AGCGTAAATTATACTCCTAGTTTAACTTTTTGCAAAGCAAACTTGGCGATGGATGTATAATTTATTTGTTTAAAGGTCAAAAGACTGGTAGTTGAGAAAGAACAAGATCCAAAAAAACCTACTTTTATTTCTACTAACTATTGTATTTTTTGCTGAAAAATTTTTTTTTGTTCTCAGCGCCATGTCTGAAAAGGGAAATAGTGACCGTGGTCGTTGGACGCGACTATTTTTTGGCCATGCCAAATAAATCATCTAGTGTATTCTCGGCTATTTATGTTGGCCCACCTTTTTCAGGTACATCTTCTTAATCAGCTCTGAGCTCACGCCCGCATTCGGCCACGATTTCTGCGCCACGGCCCACAGTTTACCGTTCAGCTTGGCATCGTTTTTCGACACCTTCTCGATCTGGTTGCCGATGCTGATCAGCGAGCTTTTCAGCTTCGAACCCCATTCCGCCTTGTCCAGGCCCTTGCCCTTGCTCTCCCAGATCTTTAGATCCTTCTCCACGGGTTTCAGCAGGTCGTGCTCGCTCTTAGACCCGCTGGAGGCCGGCTTTTTCTGTTTCTGTGCTTCCGGAGACGAGCTCTTACTATTTTTCATCACCTGGTACAGTGTAGGCTGCGATGACGTTGGAGACGAGGCACCAGATCCAGCAGGCTTCGGCGTGCCACCCTTGGACTCCACGTCCGGCGTGCTCGACTTCTTGGCAGTCTTCTTGGGCCGGCTATTTTTCTTGGGCTCCTTTGCCTCGCTGTGGGCGCCAGAACTGCTCTGTATCTCCTTTAAAAATCCAAGCAGGTAGTCTGTGCGCCGCACCAGATGGATGGAAGCCGGAATCCGCTTGCTCATCTTCTCCTTCTCCTCCTTTGAGGCGCCAGCCGGCGGCGTCTCCAAAAACATCATATTTTGCAACCCTAGGATCGGGTCGTCTCTAATTTGCGTCCAGGCACCGTAGCCAAACTTGTACACGCCAATCAGCAGCATAGTATCCTGCTTGACCGTCCACTTGCACGACCAGCCGTTCACGGGCTTTGGCTCCTTGGCTAGCTTGAACTTCATCGGGTCGTCGGCGGGTATCACGCTTTGGAGGAGCTTGAGCTCCTGCGGCCTGTTGAGAACCACCTCGGCGTTCATATTCTTGACGCCCTTGTAGTCGAACAGAATCGCCTTCTTGTCGCGCTTTTTCGCGCTGTATAGCTGCATCGCCGGCGCCGGATGAGGCTGGCCGTCTGCTCGCGGCGGCAGCTTGGCCAGCTGCTCCTTTTCCTCCATCGCCTTGGCCTCCAGCTCCTTCAGCTCCTCGGCACGCTTCGCCTCGTACTCTGCCACCAGCCGCGAACTGGTCTCCATGATTTCCCGCTGACACTTGTCTAGTATTTTGATGTTCTTGTTTGGCAGCGTTCCGTCGGCCACGAGCTCCTCCAGCCGCTCGCTGATGTCGCCGTACCTCAAAATCGCCTTGTACACGTTTCTGATCTGCGACTCGGTCAGGTTGTTCATGTCGAGCTTTTTCTGGCGCTGCGACGGGCCCTGCTCGTCGTCCTGCTCGTCGTACTCGGGCTTTTTCACCGCGGCGACGCGCCGCCTCGAAGCCATCTCGATCTGCTCCTGGAGGAACGCCTCCTCCTTGCGCTTCTCCTCCTCCTCCTTGATCTTCTTCAGCTCGTCCTCCGGAATAATGTCGTCCCAGTCCACGTCGGCCTTGTAGTCCGTCACCTCGAACTGCTTGAGGAACTCTTCGCCGCCCAGATTCGACTCGCCCAGGTCAGGCGTGGTCACGTGGTCCTCGGCGTGGTTCAAAACGTCCTCCAGGTCCAGGTTCTCGAGCTTTTTCTGGTTGTCGTTCGACTTGAACATGTTGCTGGCTCCGAACTTGAGGATCTCGCTCAGCTCGCCCGACGTCGGCTCCGCCTTCGTCTTCGACTTGTTGTTGTCCGTGATGCCCAGCGAGATGATCGCATACTCCAAAATCATCTTCCGGCGCGCCCGCTCCAGCACCTGCTCCTCGACCGTGTCTTTCGACACAAACCTGTACACCATCACGTGGTTCTTCTGGCCGATACGGTGCGCCCTCGCCATCGCCTGCAGATCGGCCTGCGGGTTCCAGTCGGAGTCGAAGATGATCACCGTGTCGGCCGTCATCAGATTGATGCCCAGGCCGCCCGCCCTGGTCGACAGCAGAAACACAAAGTCCTTGGAGCCCTCGGCGTTGAAATGGTCGATAGCGAGCCGCCTTTTGTGCGAGCTGATGGTGCCGTCGAGGCGCTGGAAAGAGTGGCCCTTGAGCTGCAGATAGTCGCCGATGATGTCGAGGATGCGCACCATCTGGGAGAAAATGAGCACGCGGTGGCCGTCTCTGTGGAGCTTGTTGAGCAGCTGGTCCAGGAGCACCATCTTTCCAGAAGACATGATCAGGCCCTTGAGGATGTTTTCTCTTGAGTGCGAGCCAACCTTGGCGAGAACGTGCTCCTCGACGCCGTCAAACAGGTACGGGTGGTTCGAGGCCTTTTTCAGCTCGGCCATGATGTTGAGCAGCGAGATCTGCGAGCCGCGCGGACCCTGGTTCAGGGCGCCGTAGTTCTTGGTGAGGATGTTCTTGTAGTACTCTGTCTGGATGTCGGAGAGCTCGACTCGGAGGATGCGCTCGGTCTTGCCGGGCAGCGACGTCTCGACGTCCTTCTTGAGTCTGCGCAGGATGAAGGGCTTGATCTCGGCCTGCAGCGCCTTGATGTAGCCCTCGGCCTCGGCGTTGGGCGTGTCGAAGTCGATCTCCTGGTCGATCTGGAACTTGCCCGGCATCAGAAAGTTGCACAGCGCCGCCAGCTCCTTGAGGTTGTTCTGCAGCGGCGTCCCCGTGATGAGCAGCCGGTTGGCCACCTTGAACTCGCTCAGGCTCTCGTAGAGCGAGCTCTCTGCGTTTTTCAGCCGGTGCGCCTCGTCGACAGCCAGATACTGCCACTTGAAGCTGCCCAGCTCGGCACGGTCCTTCAGGATGTACTCGTACGTCGTGAGCAGAATGTTGAACTTGACCTTCTTGCGGTTGCCGCCCACGTAGAACTCGTAGTCGCGGATCGCCTTTCGCGACTTGGTGTTGCCCATGTAGTAGATCACGTTGACGTCCGGGGCCCACTTGTCGAACGTCTCCTGCCACGCGGGCACCGTCGACAGCGGCACCACCACCAGGTGCGGGCCGTTCTGCCGTCTCGCGTAGATCAGCCACGACAGGAAGGACACCGTCTGGACGGTCTTTCCGAGCCCCATCTCGTCGGCCAGAATGCCGTTCTCGTTCCGCGACCACAGAAACGCCATCCAGTTGAGCCCCGTCAGCTGGAAGTCGCGCAGCTCGCCGTTTTTGATGAACAGCGGCTGCGACGTCAGCTTCTCGAACCGCGGCCTGTTGGAGCCGTACGACGCAGAGAGGCCCGGCAGGATCTTCGAGTTCTGTCTGTTCTGGAACTTGGCCACCTCGTGCGGCGCCAGCGGCGCGATCTCGCTGCCCGACTCCCACGTGCACTCGTCGTAGTTCAGCCGCTTCCACTTGACCAGGTACCGCAGGTCCGACTCGCCCGTTTCGAGCGTGATCCGCTCGCTGTCGACGATCCGCTCCACCTTCTTGTACTCCTGCAAGTTCTCGCGTCTCGTCTCGTTTTCCAGCTCCATCTGCTCGATATCTTCTCTCGTGACAAACGGGTCTTTGCGGATTTCTCTGTCGTTGATAATGTACAAGTTGATGTAGTTGTCGACCTTCTTCATGCCCCGCAGATTCCTGCTCTTGATCGCGTCGTACGTCTCCCACGTGTTGTGCAGGTGCGACGTGTTCGTCCACTTGATCATGTACTCGAAGTCCGTCTTAGGGTCTCCGTTGGCCAGCACGTCCTGGACGCGCTTCTTGTGCTCCTCGAACTTCGCGTCGTCGTCGTCCGAGACGTCTGTCTCCTCGCCGATCACACGGTGGTCCAGAACCTGGTCAATTCCCTCCTCAGGAACCACCTCTTCCGGCTCCGCAGAGTAGTACTCTCCGTACGCCTCGCCGTCCTCGTCCTCGGACTCCAGAAACTCGTCGTCGTCCGCGTCCAGGGCATAGTTCACCGCCCGGTTGCTTCTGTTCGACAGCCGCAGCTCCGTGAACCCGGGAAACTGCTCCGACGACTTGTACGCAGGCTGCTTCTTCTTCCTGGGGCGGCCTCTCTTTTTCTTGCCGCCGTACTCCGAGTCGTCCGAGTCCAGCATATCGTCGTCCACCGCGGCCTCGTCATCCGAATACGTGCGTTTCTGACGCGTCTTCTTCCTTGCCGTGTACTCCTCGTCGTCCTCGTCCGAGAACTCTGCCACGCCCAACGGCTTCGATCTGGCTCTTCCAGACCGCCGCAGCCCGTACAGTTCCGGGTTGCTTTCTATCTCCGACCGTATATCGGTGGACATCTCGTGTTATGTGTGTGTTTGAGAGGCGCAGACCACTGTTTGCAGCGGATGTTTACCTGTCAACGATTTCCAACGGTTCGGTGGTAAACGTCTAAAAGCGACAAAATTGGCGTTCTTTCCGCGACTCTTGCTTATGTACAGCTCGTGATAGCGACCTGTTGCGTTTGCGCAGACCTGTGCGAGCCACTTTATATGTTTGCAACTGGTATAAAAGTCAGCAGTAACCTGGCCTTAGTGGAAAAAAAATTTACATCTCATTCCGCAAAACAACAGGGAGGGTAATCAGATCGCACGTCGCAGGGTGCTACAGATGTTTTACGCGCTCCAGGGGCCGAAACCTGGGGCTATCTGCACGCAGAACGGCCCAAGAGCAGGGAGAGATTGTGTTTGGGTATATTGCGGGTACACAGAGCAGGAACGCCAGCGATTTGGGGGCCGGAAAGAGTGCTGGCGCTGTCCTGCGCAAAGGGAGCGCTCAGATTTTGCTGTGATTGCAGAGAAAGCGCCACTAGGGACATGAGAGAAGTTCGCAATGGACCGTACCGGAGGAGAAGACGAGAAAAGGCCCAATTTGGAGCTTAGGCCGCGCCGTGCCCTGGACAGTCTGCGTCGGCGCACCAATGGCGAAAGTGGGGCACCTTGTTCCGCTGGAGACCGTCGTGCTGCTCCACAAACTCGAAAAACCGGTTTTTTTCTCCTCGCAAACCAAAATGGGCCATCTTTCGCCCTTCACGGCCGACAAACAAGCCGACACGTCCTGAAAACGGACCGCCTGCGCAAACTTGCAGTCTGCAGTCACCACAAGCTGGCGGAGCTCGTGGATGTCTCACTTACCGTGTTTCTAAGCCCGCCGAAGCCGATTACCGCCGCAAACGCGCCAAAACACGCGGACAACAACAGCACACACGTCGCACCAGAAACAGGCGGTTTCTAGCGCTGCCGAAGCCGGTGTATCCAGACACTGCAATTAAGCAGAAAAAAGCGTATGTATTTGTCCAACGAAAAAAAAAAGGCCACAGGCAAGCCAATATCTAGCACCCGCGTTTACCCGGCCCTCCTGGTTGCACATCGACGCGTCGACGGAGGTGCCATGGCCCGCTCGCCACGCCACCCTGGCCGTCGACTGCACCTCGCCGGCATGTGGTCTGTCTTGGCAGCGCCAACTCGCTTCTGCGTCGCCGACGTGTTTTGCGTCGGCACACCGTCTGTCATTTATGTCCGGGCGATCAGTAAACATAATTAACAAGGGCAAGAAAAAAGGACTACTGTCTAAGCGAATTTCATCTACGCAGATCGAACCGCAAGGAGAGCGCCTCCTTTAGTATGCCTTCTAGTGAAGGATTGCAACAAAGAGAGAATTCCAGCAGCGACAGTCCTCCGAGTGGCGAGGACTTGGAACAGCTGAACCATCAGTTCAATTCATTCAGAGTTCGCATTCCCCTGACCGGCAACCGCAGAACCCGCGCGGCCATGGCGTCTCCGCAGCACGAACGCCCCGGCAGCCAGGGGCCTGGGCCAGAGGACCAGCACGACCATATCAGATGGTCGAACGACAACGATCTCAGCATTATCCCGCGAGTGCTGACGAAGGATCCGTTCAACGCGGTGTCGAGCACGTTTTTCAGAAACCACCCGGAGCACTGCATGAGCGGCGAGCTCTCGGACTGTATGCGCGGACTGGGGCTGATGGGGCTCATGAACAAGAACATGGCCGACAAAAGGGCCGAGATCGCTGCGCCCAAGCCTGCTGTCGGAAAGCGCACGTTTTCGCAGATAGGGGCGCCTGGAAGGCCGGCGGGCGTGCAGCGTAGCAGCTTTGTGCAGCCGGGGATGACGTACATCGTGCGCAACGACGACGACATCTGCTCGGAGCTGCGTTTCACGGAGCTGTTCCAGGACGAGCTCAAGGTCAAGGGGACGATCCAGACAGGCCTCGCAGGCATCAAGTTTGTGGGCAAGATTGTGAACTTCATAGACAACGACCTGCGCAGCGGCGACGGCTCCAAGATGGGCATCGAGGGCTCTGTGTTCAGCAACCTGCTGAGGAACACGCTCTGTTTCGACAAAGACTTCCGCAAGTACATTGGCAGACACAAACGCATGAACGAGGACGACCCGAACTGGAAGCCGTTTTATCTGGACAAGTTTGGGTATCTGAAGAGCAACGGGTCGCGGGCCACGGGGCTGCCAAAGCCGAAAGAGACAAAGTTCCCGAACACTTCGATTTTCCACAAGATCACTAGCATGTGCGGCAACAAGGGGTGCACGTACAAGTGTCTGGCGAAGTGGTTCGACCTGCCGCCGTTCAACGAGTTCGTCAACACGCCGGCGCCGCCGACGCCGCCGGGAGGCCGACGCAAGACGATGAACAACCCAGAAAACCTGCTCGTGTGTCCACAATGCCAGGACCTGATCATGGAGAATTTTATCCTGATGAAGCTGGAGGTGGACATCGAGGATCTGCTCTGCGACTCGCGCTCGCCCAGCACCGACCTCAAGATCAGAAACGACATGCGGTACAAGCGGCGGAGACGGCTCAAGCCGCTGACGACGTACGCCGGCGTCGGGAACTCGTCGCTGGAGTCCGGGTCGACGGCGGCCTCCGCAATCTCGGTCCCCCTCACGCACATTGCCCGGCCGCAGTACTACAACAGCGAGCACACTAGAGGATTCATATTTGGCACAGGACATCAGCATTTCATGGAGAATTTACGACAACGAGACGAGAACCGCGCGCGCCGCATCCGGCTGCTGGACTATCTGGTTTTGCGACAACAATGGCGCCACGACTCGGACCTGCCGCCGCCGTTCCACTTCCGGCAGCAGACGAGTAGCGGCGAAGGATACTCGACAGACTCGGATTTCAGCGACGACGAATTAGAGCGCAATTTCATCGTCGAGAACTTGGACGACGAAGAGGACGCATTTGACGACGAGGACGACGAAGAAAACGAAGATGACCTGGACCTCGAGGAGCTGTACGACGTGGAACTGTCGAGCGGGCGATCGCGGCGCATCGAGAACCTGCTTTTTGAACGCAATATCAACAGAGAGCAGCAGAACCATCGAAGAGGCCATGTTCTCGCGCGCAAACTCTACAAGAACAGCAGCAGCAAGCTGAAGTTGCATTTATACGTTTCGATCAACCGGCTCACGGGCGAGCTGTTCATGATACCGGGGAACTTGGACCGCAACAACTGGAGCTCTGAGGAGAACGACGGCGAGCTATTCGAGGACTACCAGACGTTTTTGAGGATCTACCGGCTTTTCAACGGGGACGGCGGGGATTCCCGCGAAGAGAGCTCGAAACAGTACCGCGAGTTCCACGAGTACCTGCAAACCAACAAGCAGTGCGAGCGGCAGCGTGTGCAGAAGCTGCTCCTTCTGAACTTGATCACCAACCCAAACCTGTACATGTTCAAGCCAGAAAGCAAGCCCATACTGTACGACGTGTCGACGCCGCTGCCTGTTGTCGTGTCGCCGAACATCCTGCCGTCGATGGGGCCCCCCTTCAGCAAGCGCAAAAACAAGCAGCACGAGGAGGAGGAAGCCCAGATGAAGGACACTTTGATCCAGTACCTGAACGAAAACGTCAACTTCTCGCACGACCACACCAAGGTGCTGAAATTCAGCCCGAACTACTCCAACCGGCTCAATCTGTTTGGTTCATTGTACTCATTTAGCTACTCGTGATAGATACAGCAATTCACAGGGTTACCACAGGCCTCCGTCTTTTCTGCGCTCTTTCATCCACTCCTTTTTGCACTCTCTGAAGGCGCGGAAATACTCGCCGCAGACCTCCTTGTAGTCCTCGTCGTGGTTTTCCATGCACCGGATGGCCATCTGCGACGACTTTGCGCACGGGTCGTAGAATTTAGACGCAGTCTTGGTGAGAAAGGCGTCCTTGTGCACGCGCTGCGTCGGCGAGTCTGGGTAAAACTTGACCCTGATCTCGTTGTCAACTTTTTCCACAAAGCTCGGCCTGTCGTCCGTCTGTGTCTCCAGCCGCCGCAGCGTTTTGTTGTCGACGGTCTCGTTTGGCATTTTAGAATGTATTTAGTTGATTTTTTTTTGCACAGCCGGTAGTAAATTTTCAGCTCTTTATCATGGACTGCTCTTTGGAGGACGTTTGCAACCGGTGCAAGAAAGAGCCGTGTGTGGTTGTCTCGCGCAAAGACCATTTCTGTGCGGCGTGTTTCAAGAAGTTTCTCTGTACAAAGCAGCGCAAACAGATGCAGGACGAGAAGTTCAAGGTCAAGTTTGGCAAGTCCACAGCAGAGCGGCCCAAAGTGCTTCTGCCGCTTTCCTACGGCAGTTCCTCGCTGGCGCTGTTCGATATGGTCGTCTCGCATTTGGAGGAACAGTGTCAGAACGAGAGGGCTGTCCAGGGCTACGTTTTAGTGGTGCTTCACGTGGGTGAGGACGCCGCCAGGATGGAGCGACTGAGGAAAAAGTACTTGCAAGTACTGGAGAAGCTGGAGGCGGAGTTTGTGACGGTAGACCCGGCGGTTTTTGTGCGCGATCTCGCGAGAGTGACGGTCACAGAGGAGTACGCTGTGCGGCGGACAGAAAATAGCGAGTCTCTAGATTTGCAGGAGCTGTTGCTCCAGTTCGAGAGCCGATCGTCGCGGCAGGATTTTTGGCAGCAGGTTGTCCAGGAAGTGGCTTTGCGCAGCGCAGTCGCACACGACTGTTCGGTGGTGATTTTTGGCCACTCGATGAGCCGCTTGGCGGAGGAAATCCTTGCTCTCACCGCCAAGGGCCGCGGCGCAGAGACGGCGCACCGTCTCACGGATGGAGAGATAGAGTACGCCGGACGCCGCTTACACGTGATACACCCGCTGCGAGACGTTTTGGCGTCAGAAATCAAAGAGTATGTGCGGTTGGGCGGGCTGCAAGAAATGGTTGCAACCGAAGAGTCCGTGAAGCACAAGTCCGCGAAAAACAAGACTGTGAACGAGCTGGTGCGCGAGTACTTCGAGACGGTTGAGAGCGAGTATCCAGAGGTCATCTCGACGGTGGTCAAGATTGGCACGAAGCTCGACTCGCCGCAGGGCATGGCGCAGCAGTGCATATTGTGCCAGGAAGCCATCTACCGCGACCCTAAGACGTGGCTGGAGCAGATGTCCGAGAGCGCGAATAAAGAGGTCCAGAGCGACGTGCCGCTGTGCTACGGGTGTCTGATGAACCTGGGTGTTGGCGGCGGGGCGGTGTGGCCGGTGAGTCGGCCGTCGAGAGAGGAAATCCTGGCGGAGTATATACTTGAGGAATAAATAAATAAATATTTTATTTATATTTATTATTTATGGAATAATTCAATTTTATATTTTTATATTTTTCATGTCCGAACAGTAAGTCCACGCCCTTTCACATTATACACTAACCCAGATCGCTTGAGAAAGTTCTAGGCCAACTGGCCGACTGCGAGCTGGAGATGGACGAGGTCGAGAAGGAGGTCGAGAGGTTCCGATTCGCCAAGTCCAAGCCCGTGTACGAAAAAAGACGAGACCTGTTAGTCCACATCCCCAGCTTCTGGTACATTGTTTTGGCCGAGCACGAGGACTTCCAGGAGTACGTCCAGACGGACGACATGAAATATCTGGAGTTCATCAGGGAGATCTATGTGGAGTACCTTCTGGACGACGACCCCCTGAAATTCAGCATTACCTTTGGATTCGAGGCTCCCAAGGGCGAGATCGAGACGCAGACAGTCACGAAACGGTTTGAAAAAATTCACGACGTCGAGACCGGCGAGGAGAAGCTGGTATCGGAGGCCGTGGACGTTAAATGGCCCGCAGAGCTCGACAGCGTCAACCCGCACCTGATAAAGGCCAAGGGAGAAATGACGCCCGCTGACAAGAAGAAGTACCGCGCTGGGATGAAATCGTTCTTTGCGTTTTTCGCCTGGACGGGCAGAAAGCCCGGCAAGGAGTACAGACACGGCGAGGACCTTGCCTTGCTGATTGTAGAAGACCTGTTTCCTCATGCTACCAAATATTATACAGAGGCTGCTCCTGGTCTTGGAGACGGGGAGGACGGCGAGGAGACGGTCTCGAGCAGCGAGGAGCTGGACCTCGACGACGAGCCGGCCCCTAAACGGGCCAAGACGGCTACTCCGTGAAGTCCTCGTCGTCGGACGGCTCGGGCACGGGCTCAACAACCGGGAGCTCCTGTCGCCTGCGTCTTTTCAGCAGTCTCGAGACGGCCATCAGCGAGCTGAGCGCCGAGTCCACCACAAACCGCCGCCACTGCGCCCACACGCTCTCGTTGACGTCCACAAACGTGAACCCGCCGTCGTCGTCGAGCCGGATCTCGCCGTGGCGCGAGGTGTACCACTTGTACGCGAAGCGCATGCTGTAGCCAGCCACCACGGCGGCCACGGCCCACAGCAGCAGCGCCGCAAGAAGCCCGAGCCGCGGATGCAGCCTGTTGAACTCCTCCTCGCGGCCCTTGCACGGCACAGGCTCCTCGCTCTTGTCGAACTCGGTGCCGCCCTCGCACGTCGAGAGCGGGATCTTGCGGTAGCCGGTCGCCGGGTAGTACTCGACGGGCGCGTTGTCCGCAAAACAGATGTCATCGTGGCTCGGCGGACTGTAGCCGGGGACGAGCCGGCAGAGTCCGTCTGGCGTGAGGTAGTAATTGAAGTCGCACTCGTAGTCCTGTCGCGTGCACTTGCAATTGCGGACGATCTTCGGCTCGGCGATGGCGCGGGCGCCGACCTGGCACAGTCTGCCGGGGATCTTGCGCGTGTACTGCACTTCGTGGCCAAACAGACAGTTGTCTGCCTGGAACGGGTGTTTCGGCGTCCAGGTCTCGAAATCGTCCGCAGAGCACTTCTTCGAGAGCAGCTGGCTGAAGTCGACGCGGAACACTCTCGTCTTGTCGCCTCTGGCGAGCGGGACGCGGGTGAAGAGCATGAACACCAGCGAGTTGTCGCCCGGCACCGTCGAGATGTCCTCAACGGTGACCTGCTCCTTCGTGAACTGGAAGTCGACCCACGTGTCGCCCTCGTCGACAGAGTAGCTCAGCACATTGGTGTTGTCCTTGCCGTTGACCAGAACTATCACCGAGCCCTGGTCGCCGTACTCCCATAAATAGACACCCTTCCTCACCTCTTTCCACGTTATTCCGCCGTCTTTCGTCAGGAAGGTGTGCCCGTCGTAGTAGCTGCCGAGCTGCGGGCCGACGTTGCCCACGCCGATCATCATGCCGACCGCACTGGCCGACGCAAACGTGTCGCGGTAGTCGGCACGCTCCGTGAAGCCGTGCAGGTGCAGCGAGCACTGCTCGAGGCTCTGGCCGCTGCACAGCCGCTGGTTTTCGGAGTCGACGACGGGCGGCTGCAGAGGCGCCCACTGCGCGCCGTCGTTGTGCGTGATCACCGACCGGATGCGCTTCCTGGCTCCCTTTCTGGCGTCGTCCGGGTTGGCCACGACGTTGGCCACGATTAGGCCCTCGAGCCCCGTGATCTTCTCAAAGTCGACGTAGCCGCCCTCGTCGCGGTTCGCGCTCTCCAGCACGGACACGTACTCGGTGCCGTTGCTGTTGGACTTGAGGATCGTGCCGTACTCTGTGCCGGTCACGGGGTTTGTGGTCACGTGCATGAACACGGCCTTGGAGCTGCCGGAGAGCACGGTGTACGCCTGCTGCCTGCTGAGCTGGATGTTTGGCGGGAGGCGCGCCGGGGCCCACGAGACGCCGTCGAGCGAGACGTGCGGCTGCAGGGCGTCGTGCGCCTTCTCCGTCGCCGCGACCCAGTACTCGCCCGTGCGGCCGACGCCGACGAGTCTGTCAAGCAGCGTCGATCGACTCTTGAACAGGTCGGCCGACGCCACGAGGCTCGAGCGGTACTCTGTGGCCTCGTTGGTGTCCTTCTCGCACAGGACCCACTCGCCGCCGGCAAACTCGCACCGCCGCACGTTCTCTTGGATCTTCAGCCACCGCTTGCCCAGCGCGTACGTGTGGTACGCCGCCAGCCGGCACGCCTTGGAGAACGGGTCGTTGCAGCCCTCCTGGCCCATGAAAATGAGCCGCTTCGGGTCCGACGGGTGGAAGTACAGCGTCGCGATGCCCGCGACAGCCTTGCTCGGCGTCCGGAACGACTTCCAGTTGTCTGCTCTGTCCAGGGAGTAGACGATCTTGTCGTTGACGGCCAGCAGATAGACGTTGGTCGAGCGGTGCGGATCGACGTAGATGTCCAGGAACTCGTCGTCGGGCGCCACCTCCTCCCAGACCTGGCCCTGGTTGTGGCTCACAAAGACCTCGTTCCGGTTGGTCAGGACGAGGACGGTCTCGTCGGCGTCGCCGGGCAGCTTGTCCAGATAGACGTACTTCTTGACCTTGCCCTGGAACGTGAAGTAGGTGGTGCGCACCTTGCCGTCGTTGAAGCCGTCGCGCGCGTCCTCGGGCGCGCCCTCGCGCTCGTCCGGGTTCTCGTCGGAGTGTGGGCTCTGCGGGACGGGCGTCACGTGATCCGCGCTGGCGGCGCTGCTGCTGGCGGCGGCCGCGCTGAGTATGCACGCGATTATCCAGTACAGCGCGAGGATCTTCATTGCGCCGCAAAATTAGGAAGCAGGCCCTTTTATATATCTTGCGTGGTAGTGCCGAAATCGCCGTGCCCAGAAAAAAATCTGCCTGGCTACAGGCCGTCGCAGTAGGAAAGCAGGCTCTGTTCCTCGGCGAGCGTGCACGCGGTCTCGACGGCGTCGACGGCCCGCAGCGCGTCGAGGATCTCGTGGTAGTACGGCGGCGTATTCTGCGCGATGCCGAACTCGCTGCCCTGGGTCGTCTGGAGCAGGGCTGCTATGCCCGAGAGCTGCAGCCGGTCGAGCAGCTTCGCGCTCATGAAGACCCTGCAGAAGAAGACGTTTATGCCGCGCCGCTGGTATGCAACAATCACGTCTCGGAGGATCTGCGCCGCGGACGAGTCGACCGACGTCATGCCGTCGAGGTCAAATACGACATGTCTTATTGGCCGGCCGCTTTGCTGTGCTGCCGGGTGCACGCTGACGGAGCCACACAGCTCCAGCCGCCGCAGCCGCGCCTTGAGGTCGTTCGTGTTGGTGAACGTGAGCGGCTCGGGCACTCTCACGATCAGACACGCGTCTGTGTCCTCGAGGACGGGCTTGTTGGCGGCCGACTGGCCGGCCGCGCTTTGGCGGCGATACTCTGAGTAGCCGGGGACGATCTCGTCGCACGGGTACGCGGCGCGCCCGTCGACGTCCGAGCTGACAAACTCCTCGGTGCCGGCCACGCGCGACAGGATCTGGATGCGCGACTTGGTGGAGTGCTTGATCACGCGGACGACCGAGTAGAAGCAGCCGAGCGCGACGCCGAGCTCGATCGAGTAGACGAGCGACGCGACGAGCGTGACGACGAAGGTGGCCAGCTCGTTGTAGCCGCGCGTGCGCAGATGGAAGCGCACGTCACGTGGCGTCTCCTGGACCAGCGCCAGGCCGACCGTGGCGACGATGGCGTTCAGCACGCACAGCGGCAGGTAGTAGACGTAGTTGAGCAGGCACGTGGTGACCAGCAGCGTGGCGAGCCCCATCACGAGGCCGGCGACGGGGGTTTTGGCGCCGAGGAGCGAGTTGAGCTTCGAGCGGCCGTAGCCGCCGAACGAGGGCAGGCTGCCGACGAAGCTGAGCGCGAGCCCCGCCGTGCCGAGCGCGACGAGCTCTCTGTTGGACGAGACGGGCATCGGCAGGCTGGAACCGAGGCTCTTGCCCGCCGAGGAGCTCTCGAAGAAGCCCAGAATGGCGCACATGAACGAGGTCGAAAACAGCTGCGGGTACCACTGCCGCAGCTCGCCGCGGAAGGGCACCGTGAACCGGAACTCGTCGATGTCGACCTTGCCGAGCACGCGGATGCCCTTTTTGTCGAAGCGGAAGTGCGCAGAGAGCACGGTCGAGACGGCCACCACGAGCAGGATCTCGGGGAAAAAAGAGGCCGCGCGCACGTGACGCCGGGCAAGGGTCCTTTTCAGCGCGCCCGCCGCGAGCAGCACGAGCAGCGCCGCGGCGCCGGCCGCCAGCGTGGCCCCGTGGTACTGGTGCGCGTGCTGCCAGATGAACCGCACCTTCTCCACGGCCGAGTGCACGTGCTCGTCGGGCGGCAGCAGCAGCAGCACCGTGTCGAGGCCGAGGATCGCGATCGCCGAGTTGACCATCATGGTGAGCCCGATCGCCGCCACAAAGCCCCGCAGCAGCGTGCCGCACAGCACGTTGTCGATGAAGCCGAAGCGCAGCAGCCCGAACGCCAGCAAGATCGCGCCCGAGAACGACGTGATCACCACGAGAACGTCCACCGGGTCCACGCCGTCGTTGTGCTTGACAACCTTCTCGATCGCCTGCCCGACAATCATCGACACGGCCGCCTCGGGCCCCACGATCATCTGCGGCACGGTGCCCAGCACCGCGTACACGGCGGGCGCCAGCGACAGCCCCAGCAGCCCGCACACGGGCGGCACGTGCGCCACCGCGTTGGCGAACGACATGCTCAGCGGGATCTGGTACGACGCCAGCGACAGGCCCGCCACCGCGTCGTGCACAAACAGGCTGAGGCTGTACGCGGGCAACCACGACGAGCAGGGCAGGTAGTACGCCGCCTTCTGGGACGCTGTCAGGACGGGCGACTCTCGCACGCGCACAACGTGCCGCGACACACTGCGCGACGCCGTCGACCGGGAGCCGTCGCTGTCGCTCGTGGACCCGTACGGCGGAGCGGCCGACAAGGCGGGGCCCTGGCCCAGCCGGAGCGAGCCGTCGCGCGAGTCTTTTTCTCTACCGGGGCCAGACATGGTAGCGAATGGGAGAGGGAATTTATGTAAATGGAATATTTCGGTGCGCATTTTTTAGTCGGGTCGATGTGGGGCAGCTGGGGTCGGCGTGGAGAACATGGGGTAGTCCGCATGCACGGAACGCAGCGCGCGCATGTCGTGCCCTCGGCCGCTTGCTCAGCAGTCGCCCCACCTCGGGCCGCACCCGTTGGGGGGGGGGGGGGGGGGGCTGGTGCAAGGGTGCGCCTTTATCGCTCCTGAAACAAAAGAGCTCCAGCCATTTGCACAAGATCAGGTGTTTTCTTCCACAGGCCACAGATATATTGCGTCGCAGCCCCGTTTGCGCCGCCAACGAACTCCCAAGTGCACACCTAGCCTCTGCCCTCCCACGCATCCGTTGTATGACCCCCACCACTAGGTTTGCGCACACATCTAGCATCAAGACATGACACTCAGCAGGAAACCGATATTCGGGATATCGTCCAGGCCAGACCCCAGCACACTGCCCCACGCAGGAGCGCAGCGCACGGCCCGCGTGGGCACGCGCCCGCGCACAAGAGCCTCCACCGTGTCTGCGACTCAGCCTCCGTGCCGGGCCGAGACTGTCCAAGGCAGCAAACAGCGATCGCAGTCTGTGCCGAACTTCGATGTGACCGATCTGATGGACGCCTTGGTGTTCCTGGAGCCCACGCCGGTGTTCCCGCCGTCTTACAGCACGCTGGCGCCGGGCAAGCCGAAGCCGGTGTACTCGAACCCAGATGAGGGGCACGAGCCGCTGCCGGACTACCTTCCGACGGTGTACAAGATCACGACGCTGTCGCGCAAGCTGGAGTGGATCTCGCCGTACGAGCTCGCGCCGCAGCGGCAGTGGCGGTCGGTGATTGTCGAGCTCAACTCGACACAGCTCAACATTTACAATAGAGACGCTGCGCCCCGGCCGGCAGGCTGTGTGTCGGCAGACGACGAGAGACTGTACAAGTCGCGGCTCACAACGTCGCACGACTTGCGCGACAAGGCGCTGTTTGCGCAGCAGGGCCTGCTCGCGCCCGACAACCTGGTGCGCTCGTACTCGTTGCAGTACGCCAAGGTCGGCATAGCGACCGACTACAAGAAGAAAAAACACACGTTGCGGCTGCGCGCCGAGACGGAGCAGTTTCTGCTGGAGTTCCCGACCGTCGAGAGCATGATCGAGTGGTACTGCTGCCTGAATCTCGGGATCGACAACTCGCTCGACCTGACCCGCCGCGAAATGCCGAAGTATCGAACCGTGCCGCGGCGCCGGCGACGCAACAGACACCCGGGCGACTCGCTGATGGTCGGGTGCAGACGGCGGCCGTCGCTCGGGATGTTCCGGCGGCGCACAAGCTCGGCAGACCTGTCGTCGCTGGTGTCGAGGTGGAAACGCAAGTTTTCGATGGCGGGCTCGAGGCCGGCGGAGGTGCGGCACGACGAGCCTTACGTGGTGTTTTCGGACGTGTCTGACCACGAGCCGCTGTCGCTGGAGTCGCCTGCGAACGAGAGTGCCGACGAGGCCGAGCCGGACGACGAGAGCGACCATCTCGACGCGACGTTCGAGGACGACGGCGACGACGGCGGTTCGCCGACAACGGAGGAGTACGAGTACACGCAGCACGCGCGCCACAGCTCCGACGCGACGCTCGTGACGCTGTTGTCGGCGTCGTCCGCCGAGGCCGAGGCCGAAGCGATGCCCGAGCCGACTCCGGTGCTGTCGACGCCGTCGTCGCTGTCGAACGGACTGAGCAGCTCCCCCACGTTGCAACAGCGGGCCACACCATCGACCTCGGTGTCCAGCTCGAGCCTCTCTGCGTTGCCCGAGAAGGAGGTGCGTCTGCAGTATAAGTGGGGGACCGACCTGCGGCTACCGTCGCGGCGCAAGATCCTGCGCGACTCGATCCGGTGCATGACGACGCTGACGGCGAACGAGCGCTGGGCAGGCAAGTACGTTGTGCGCGACGCTGCGTCGATGGACCTCGCCTTGAAATCAGGGGGTGCCAGTTTCTACTCCCCAGACTACACGATCCCGCACCAGCAGGTGGGGCGCTACTTTGCCGGAGGCCGCGTCGGGGCCGCCATGCGTCGCCCGCAGGGGCTCGAGCGACGGCTCCAGGAGTATGTGGTCAGCCCGTGCGGTCTGATCCCCAGGATCAACGAGGGCTCGCAGCCCTGACGGGCCCCTCCTCGCACCCCCCGTGTCAAATTTCGCCGTCCAATGAGGGGCGCGCGAAAAGAAAAAAGAAGCCGCTCCCGTTTCTGTCGCGGGTCTGCCAATCACCGCCCGGGCCCCACACCGTATTTTTTAGGAACGTATATAATGTGCATCAGCCCTCAATAAATTCCAACATGGTTCTTCGCAGCTTTGTCAACCTCACGGAGCGGACAGGAGCGTCGTTTGCGCGGCGCCGCGCGTCCAACGTGTCGTCGTCGGGCAGCAAGCGCTACTCGCACCCCTTTTTCAAGCCCTCGTACGCCAAACCCCAGGACTTGCTCATAGTGGACGACGTTGCCCGCGAGGACTCTGGCCGCAAGACACGGTACAGCCGGTACTGCAACATCCTCACGCCCGCGGCCATGGTGACGCGCAACTATGTGGTGTTCGACAGGTCGCAAAACACCGACGACGAGCCCCGTGCGCAAACCCCGATCCTGCTCAAGAAGGCGGGCGGCAAAACAAACAAGAACGGCCACATGAACGTGCGCGTGGGCGCGGCCGCCAACGGCCGGCGCCAGCTGCGGTTCAGGCGGTCGAACTCCACCACAGTGCGCACGTTTGCCGTGGAGATCGCGGCCGGCAGGAGAGAGTACTCCACGGTGCGCGAACTGGAGCGGCAGCTGCGCGAGCTCCGGACGACGGAGGCGGAGCAGCCGGCGGAGGAGCCTGAGCACGCGGAGAAGGCCGAGCCCGCCGCGCCGCTGTCGGTTCACGAACGTCTGATCGACGAGCTGCTGTCCAGCAACCGGCCGAGCGAGGTGCTCGCCGTCTATTTCAACCTCCGAGGCAAGGGCCTTGTTCCCACGACTGCGCTGTACAACAAAGTCCTGCGCTCGATCCCGCAGCGCGCCGACACCGGCGAGTCCGCCGAGGAGAAGCTCACACATCTGCTGAACGTGTACTCGGACATGCTGGCCAACAACCTCAAGCCGTCGGACGAGACGTACGAGCTCGTGGTGGGGCCGCTGCTGAGGGGCGCGCAGAACAGCTACAGCATGGGCGAGTTCCGCAACAGCAACGACTTCTTCCGTATTGCGCTCGAGCTGTTTCTCATCAGCCACAGCTCCAACGCGGCCATCCGCTTCGACAAGGCCGTCTACTACGACCTCGTGCGCGGCCTGAATAGATTCAAGCGCGTGCAGATCGTCGCTGCCGACAAGCTGTACGAGCTGCTCAGGCCGCGCGTCGATCTGACGCAGAACCTGGGCCTGTTTCTGCAGCTGCTCAAATACGCCGGCTACTGCAAAAACAGCGGCCTCGTCAGCGCGCTGTACCACGACATCGACGGCAGGATCGATGCCAAGGTGATGGAGACGCAGCAGTACGACGTCTACGCCGCGGTGCTCGAGTGCCTGCTTCTGTGCGGCCAGTCCGCCGAGGCAGCCGCTTTTCTCGACCAGGTGGTCCGCAAGTGCGACAAGTCGCAGCACCTCTCCAAGCTCCTCTCGAGCTTCATTGCCGGCCAGGCCGCCGAGGACCCCGCCAAGGCATACCACTCGTACCTCAAGTTCAACGCGGTCGACTGGCTGCCAGAGGTGTCTGTGGCCAGTCTCCTGCTCGTAATGAGAAAGTTCCTCGACGGCGGCGACTTCGGCTCGGCACTGCAGGTCTGGAACATGATTGTGCCGCGCAAGGACTTCGACGAGGCCATCGACCAGCTCGCCCAGCACGACGACTTCGAGTACCTCTCGTCGACGGTCGACACTCTTGTCGGCGCTGCGATCGACAGAATGGATAGACAGAACCTCATCAGATTCACCAGAGAAATCATCATCAAGGACAGCCTCGTGCTGTCCAACGAGTCGCTCCTGAACCTCGTGTCGTACCTCAACGCGAACGAGAAACAAACGGAGCTCGCCACGGCGCTCGTCATCAACCAGGGTTATAAGAAGTCCAGAGACGGCACGAGCCTCAACAACTACCTCTCGCTGCTCGTCGACTTCCTCACCCCCTCCCAGTACCAGTCCCTCTTCGGCTCCGGACTGTTCAAGACTGCTGTGGAGCAGTATAGAGTGGTCAACGACAACGTCTACGGGCTGATCAAGATCTTTGATTACGTCAGCGGCCTGTCGCAGATGACCGAGCAGATCAAGCTCAAGATGAAGTACTACGGCAAGGTGCTGAGCTTTGAGTTCGAGGACGCGTCCAACCACTATGTGCATCTGCCCGCAGAGCTGGCGAGATTCAAGCAGTATGTCGCGCAGCTGGCACAGTGAGTGTGGTCATGAGACATATTAATGAACTTACTCCATATTAACGAAGTTATAATAACCCTAGACGGGGTGCCAACAGTAGGAGACGGGAGCGAGAGGAGAATCTGGTCTTTCCCCTCCTTGTAGTCACGTGATGTTACATGCCACCCTCGCACCACGGGAACGGCCGCCGCTTGCCGCCCGCGAAAACTCGCCGGGCGTAAATTTTTCGGCCGGCCCGCGTGGCGGCGGTGCGCAGAGGGAATCTTGCGAGTGAAAAATATTAAAACATTTTTACAAGGACTTTCACAGATATCGAAATGGGTATGTACTAACCGCAACCGACGTCGCACCGAACCTGTCTCTTCAGCTCGTCGTCGACAGCGTCCCCCGCCGCCACTAACCTCAGTTAACGTTCCAAAGACCAGAAAGACCTACTGCAAGGGCAAGAACTGCAGAAAACACACCCAGCACAGAGTGACCCAGTACAAGGCCGGAAAAGCCTCGCTTTACGCCCAGGGTAAGAGAAGATACGACCGCAAGCAGTCCGGTTACGGTGGTCAGACCAAGCAAGTTTTCCACAAGAAGGCCAAGACCACCAAGAAGGTTGTGTTGAGACTGGAATGCGTCAGCTGCAAGACCAAGCTGCAACTCCCTCTCAAGAGATGCAAGCACTTTGAGCTTGGTGGAGACAAGAAGCAGAAGGGTCAAGCCCTGCAGTTCTAAGTGTGTAATGTTAACACCTGTTGGTACACCTCGTAGCCCTCTCTTTACGCGCACATCCCTGCACCGCTTCTCCGAAATTCTGCTACGCTCCCAAAAAATTACGGATCGTGTTTTGTTTTCTTTCGGAGAGCAACCATCAGCACCTTTCGAGCCCAGATCGCGACCCAGCCATGTATCCGCAGCACGACAGCGGTATGAACTACCAGCAGAACATGTACAACGTATACCAGCAGCAGCAGCAGCAGCCTCAGTATCGACAGTACAACAACCAGCAGTTTGGCGTGCCCAGCGGGTCGCCACACCCTCAGCAGGTGCCTGTGTTTGGTGCGCAGATCCCGAACATGCAGCACCCGGCGCAGCAGCAGGCCGCGGGCTACCAGAACATGTACGGCACGTCGCCGACCCGTTCGTTGCAGTTCAACGAGTTCAACCCGCAGCCGCCTTCGAGTCCGTCGCGCAGCGTACGGTCTGCGAACCTGGCGCCGATCTCGTCGAACTCGTCGCTCGTGTCGCCGTCGAAGTCCGCGCTCAAACAGCCCGAGTTCCCGTACTCTAACCCGGCCGCAAACAACAGCAACTCGAACCTGTCGTACCGACAGAGCGTGCAGTCGCTGCCGCCGCCGGCAGACTACGTGCACTTCGACCGGCACCCCGAGTGGTTTTCGAAGTCGTCGCAGGACAAGGCGGCCTCCATCAAGCTGAAACTGGAGCACTACTACAAAACGGCCATCGAGCATGCCATCGAGCGCAACCAGAGACGCGTGTCGTTTGAGCAGAAGCTGGGCACAGAGAGCTCCGGCGAGCGCCGCAACAGAGAGCTGCAGCTGTTTGGCCGCAACGAGTCGCAGTTTCTGCGGCTGCGAAGAACACGGCTCACACTCGAGGATTTCCACACGGTCAAGGTGATCGGCAAGGGCGCCTTTGGCGAGGTCCGGCTCGTCCAGAAACGCGACACGGGCAAGATCTACGCCATGAAGACGCTGCTGAAGAGCGAGATGTACAAGAAGGAGCAGCTGGCACACGTCAAGGCCGAGCGGGACGTGCTGGCAGACGCAAACTCGCCGTGGGTCGTGTCGCTGTACTACTCGTTCCAGGACCCGCTCTACCTGTACCTGATCATGGAGTTCCTGCCCGGAGGCGACCTTATGACCATGCTGATCAAGTGGCAGATTTTCACCGAGGACGTGACCCGATTCTACATCGCCGAGTGTGTGCTGGCGATCGAGGCGATACACAAGCTGGGATTCATTCATAGAGACATCAAGCCAGACAACATTCTCATCGACATGCGCGGCCACATCAAGCTCTCGGACTTCGGCCTGTCGACGGGATTCCACAAGACACACGATTCCAACTACTACAGAAAACTGCTGGACCAGGACAACGCCAGCGGCGCAGGCGGCGCCAACACGGGCCGAAACTCTGTGCTCGTCGACCCGATCAACCTCACCATGTCGAATCGGCAGCAGATGCAGACGTGGCGCAAGTCCAGACGGCTCATGGCCTACTCTACCGTCGGAACCCCCGACTACATTGCTCCAGAGATCTTTCTGAACCAGGGATACGGCCAGACGTGCGACTGGTGGTCGCTCGGTGCCATCATGTTCGAGTGCCTGGTGGGCTGGCCGCCGTTCTGCTCCGAAACTCCTAAGGAGACCTACTGCAAGATCCTCAACTGGAGAGAGACACTACAATTCCCCGAAGACATTCACCTGAGCCCCGAGGCCGAGGACCTGATTCTGAGGCTTCTGACCGACGCAGACCACCGGCTCGGCCGCAACGGCGGCGCCAGCGAGATCAAGGCACATCCTTTCTTCCGTGGAGTCAACTGGGACGAGATCCGCAACGTGGAGGCTCCGTTCATCCCAAAGCTCAGGTCCGTCACAGACACGCGCTTCTTCCCGACCGACGAGCTCGAAAATGTGCCGGACTCGCCTGCGCTGGCCCAGGCTGCCAAGCAGCGCGAGCAGATGAAGGGCAGTGTTGTTGGAGGGGCAGACACCAAGGAGGATCTTCCGTTCATTGGATACACTTTCAGCCGGTTTGAGTATCTGACGCGGAAGAATGCTTTGTAGCTTAATAAATGTACACGTCAAAGACGCCGAGTAGAGCGGGAGGCCAGCTTCGGCCAGGCACCAGGAAGTGTATGGCGCGGTATGTGTCGACACCTGAGTTTCCGTTTGAACGTAGCCCTTATGGCCAAGTTGGTAAGGCGCCACACTAGTAATGTGGAGATCCTCAGTTCAAATCTGAGTGGGGGCAGTGCACTATTTTTTTGCCACCAAACCAGCATCAGCAATGACCGTCCGTAGAACTGCACCGTCCGCCACCGTCCGCCACCGTCCGACAGACCCCTGCTCTACAGCCAGCTTGTCGGCACTCAGTCCCTGATTTCCCAGTTCTCTCTTTGTCTGCTTCTCCCGCTCACCTCTTTTCCGTCGCTCATAACCCGACGGCACCCAGAATTAAATTGTTTATCGAATACGATCAGAACCGTTCCAGCATCGCGGCCTATATCGATTCATTTCTGTCCACTTCCGCTCCAATCACTATGTCGGGTACGTACACGCCTCCCCAAGCCACTAACGGCGCAGTCACCGGTGGCAATCTCAAGCAGCCTCTCACTGCTGACGAGAAGAAGTTCTACAGCCAAATCTTCAAAACGCTCGATCTCAAGCACACAGGCCTGCTTTCCGGGCTGTCTGTGAAGCCCCTTTTGGAGGCGTCCAACCTGGCTCCGCCCGTGCTGGGAGAAATATGGAATATCGCAGACCCGGACAACAAAGGGTCGCTGGACCAGTTTGGGTTCTGTGTGGCAATGAGACTGATCGGACACATCCAAAGTGGCGCTGTGCTCAGTCCAGAGCTTGCGCAAAACGTGCCTCCTCAGCTGCCCAAGTTCAGTACCATCTCTTTCAACGCGACGGGCGGAAGCCTGCCCGTGAACACCACCGGGTCGCGGATCTCGTCGGCCTCGTCCGTGGACTCGCAGCACGTCGTTGTTCCTGTGCTGACGCCCCACCAGGCGGCCAATTTTGGCGCCATGTTCGACAAAGCGGCTCCCGGCGGTGTTCTGCCTGGAGTGCAGGCCAGAGACATCTTTCTCAAGGCCAGACTGCCTACGCAGACTCTGGAGAAAATATGGAACCTGGTGGACCAGAAGCAGACCGGCCAGCTTGGCAGACCGCAGTTCATTGTGGCTATGCACCTAATCCAGAGCTTTCTCAACAAGTCCATGACCATTCTTCCTGCTGTCATTCCAGAGCCAATCTGGGCCGTGGCCTCGAACCCGTCCCAACCGCAGTCGCCGCTGTTGCAGCAGGCTTCTGGCGGCTCCATTGGCTCGGGCTCTGCCAATCACAACACCTGGACCATGTCTCCGCAGCAGAAGCAGCAGTATGGCGCCGTCTTCGACAATCTGGACAAATCCAAGCAGGGTAAGATAACCGGCGACGAGGTGGCCAAATTCCTCATGACCTCGAAGCTGCCAAACGACACGCTGGCTACGATCTGGGAACTGGCCAACTTGGACGGCTCCGATTCGTTCAACAAGCAGGAGTTCTCCATTGCCATGTACCTGGTGCAGAAGAAATTGGCCGGTGCCGAGCTCCCTGAGGAGACCCCGGCCTCGCTGATCCAAACCAGCAAGTCCACAGACAGTCCGCAGGCGCCACCGCCGTTGCCGGCTTCTCCGTCTACTCCGCAGCAGGCCGCCAGCCCTTCCAAGTCGCACATGGACGACCTGTTGGACGTCTTTGTGCAGCCTGCACGTGCGGCCTCGAAGCCGGCTGTGCCTCCGGTCCCTGCCTCCAGAGCGGCCCATGTCGAGTCGAACACCACGGGCCACGGCGGGTTTGTTCCGACGTCGAACTTTGGCCGCCAGCTGCAAAGCCAGCAAACCGCCGCGGACGAGTCGTCCGACGACGACGAAGGCCCAGAGGACCTCGACCACCGGCCATCCAGACCGGCTCCGCCAGCGATCCCGGGCCGTGCTCAAAAGCCTCGTTTCGACGAGACAGACTCCCAGCCAACTTCTCTCCCAAGACAGCCTACTGCTAACTACGACGCCCTGAAAAGCGTGGCCAGCCCTGTTACCGAGTCGAAGGACGTTTCTCCAGCGCCTTCCCCGGCACAGTTCACACAGCAGCCGGCCAGCGTGGAGTTCACCAACCAGCCGCAACCACCGGCACACACCTCGTCTACCGACAGAGACGTGTCGAACCAGCTTTCGCAGGCGTCTGTGGACATTGCGAATTTCTCCAACCAGATCAACTCTCTGACGATACAAACCACAAACGTGAACACCAAGAGAGACAAGGCACAGAAAGAACTCGCGAGAATCATGAAGGTGAAGGAGGGCATAGAGTCCAAGCTGTCGCAGCTGAAGACGCTCTACGAGCGCGAGGTGCAGCAGGTGCAAGAAGTGGAGGAGGTGTTGATCAAGTCGCGCAACGAGTCGGACTCTTTGAAGCAGGAACTGGCTCTTGCCGAGGCCAATTACCACTCGGAACAGTCCAAGCTCCAGAAGCTGCAGCTGGAGGTTGAGGAGACCCAGAAGGGTAATCAGACGATGAAAGAGCGGCTCGGCGTGCTGAATGCTGAGTCGATCGACCTGAACCAGCAGATCGAGTCGCTGTCACAGAAGCTGACGCAGTCACAGAAGATGCTTGCGGTGACGCAACAGCAGGTGGCCTCGCAGGAAGAAGAAAACAACCAGCTGAGGTCAAAAATTGACTCTGTGATGAAGTCGATCAGCGAGATCGAGCTGAGACACTCGCAGCTGCTCACGAGATCCACAGAGCTGGAAGATGAGAACTACGACCTTCACGAGAAGCACGGCGACTACAGCGCCCAGTTTGTAGAGAAAAACCTCAGCTTCAGCACTGCTCTTGCTTCCGGGGCCGGTTACCTTGCTGCCCAGCACGAGAAGTCTGACGAAGAGCAAGACGACGAGGAGTCTGAGGAGCAGGAGGTGCCAACGTCGACGCTGCAGAATTTCGACGAGACCGAATTTTCTGTGCCAAGCACGCAGGACTTGAGAAGAGAGACCACCGAGTCTGTCTCGAACACGACCGGTTTCGACTCGTCGACTAAGTCCCGTTCGGAGCCAGCCACCTCGCAGACCTCGGAGCTGGACGACGGGTCGCAGACCCAGCAGCAGTTCTCGCTTCCATTCGGCATTCCTCATTCAGAAACGTCGTCCATCCAGAACAATCCGTCGCAATCTGTTAGGGGCGACTTTGACCTGCCGGACTCGCCCACGTCCACCATCGAAGAGGAGTCCGCTCCACCTGTGCTGAGCTCGCAGATACTGCCGGAAGGAACAGAGGACGTTCCGGAGCCAATCTCGTCCAACGAGAACGGCGAGTCGTTCGAGATGGTCAACCACGACGACGCCAAGGACTCCTCTCCTCAGGAGCCTGCCCCTCACTACACGATGCCGGGAAGTTTGCCGGGCGAGTTTGCACAGATCGCAGAGAAAGAGCCAGAATCAAACACCACTACAGAAACCTCAGACACCACAAAGAACGAGGCAGAAGACGAAGACGAAGACGAGGATGATCTTTATTCACCAGCTACTAAGCCGGCTGAGCTTGCAACAGAGGCGGCCTCCGGGGAGCCACATGTTCCTCAAGAGAGCCCAGATCCCGACAAACCTAAGCCAGAGGAGAGCAGCGACGACGAAGAGTTCCACGACAGTATTTCGAGCCCTGTGAAGCTGCAAAAGAGCCAGGCCGAGCCCCAATCCGGCGACAAGTCGTTCAACCCATTCACAGCACAGAAGAGCGACAACATGTTCGACGACCTGGGACTCGAGGAGGCACGTCCGGAGGACTCTTTTGACGCTCCGCAGTTCGATGAGTTCAACAACTTTGACGCGGGCACCCACGGGTTCTCGTTTTCGGCCCCAGCGGCCCAGGACGCCGCTGGAGCAGGCGCTGGAGCAGGCGCAGCCAACGACGACTGGGAGCAGGTGTTTGCTGGGTTTGGAAACGATCCAAATCTGCAGCCCGCCACAGAACATTTCGAAAGCCTGCCGCCATACGAGTTTAGCGAAGCCTTCACGGAACAGCCGTCCAACGCAAATCCTGCGCCAAACGACTCCATCTATAGCCAGAGTCAGCAATTAGCAATTGAGGAGCTAAAGGGAATGGGATTTGACGAGAAGATGGCGGTGGATGCGCTGCAGAAGAACAGTTGGCAGTTGGACCTAGCCACGAATTTCCTTCTGGACTCTGCCTAAGGGGCTTCAAGCCCGCCAACTCTCTCTTCGTATAGTCTATGCAATTTTTCCAGTTTCAGATAGTACTCTTGACGCTCTGTAGTGTATGTGCTCATGAAGGACGCCAGCTGCGCTTCATCAACTTCCACAGGCGACGAACGGATCTGGTCCACCAGGGACTTGGTATCTCTGTCCTTATCGTTGACGCTGCGCTCCACAGCCCGGATAATGGACTCTCTCGAGTATTTGTTCAGCAGGTCGTACATGCGGACCTGCAGTTGGTCGAACTTCTTTAGTTTCTCGTGGAACTGCTCCAATTGCTTGTTGATCTGGTCTGTCTGGGGCACAATATCCTCGTTCACGTTATTCAGCAGCTTGGTGGTGTACTCTATCTGTTTTTCCAGCGACTCCACAATTTCTGTGCCTATTTGCTCAAAATTGGACGTTTTGTAGAGGTAGCTCTGGAGCAGTTCAGGGGATCTGGCAAGTTCCTCGAGTTTATCCCTGCTCAGCTCATTAAAGTACTGAGGCAGTTCTGAAGAGAACTGCAGCCTCTGTGTCACGCTGGCAGGCACCAGCGGGTATTCCAGCTTATCGTAGTCCAGCACTTGCTCCTTGAGCGGTTTCGGTGGAACATTGGGAAGCATTGTGAAAAGAACTGTCGCTTTATTTTAGAAATTCCCAGTTTCACTTAATTAATATTTCCCAAATTTTAATTTCTAGCATTTCTAGCATCATGTCTGTTTCAAGGGTCTCCGCTTTGAGGCCGTCGGCGTCAATGATAATGATCCACGGGCTCGGCGACTCGTCCGACGGCTGGAAGTTCTTTGCAGATCTTTTGCATAGACAGGAGCAGTTCAGACACATCAACGTCATTCTGCCTAATGCCCCTGTTATTCCCGTCACTGTCTGCAACGGGATGCCAACGAGCGCATGGTTCGACCTGACCAGGTTCCCGATCGACCACAACGTAGAGGAAGACCCGGTCAGGTTTTGGAAGAACGTCGACGAGATAAAGCAATTGGTCGAGACTGAGGTGAAAAATGGCATTCCTGCCAACCGCATCGTTGTGGGCGGATTCTCGCAGGGTGCAGCAATGAGCGTTGCTGTGGGCGCAACATCAAACCGCACGCTAGCCGGCATTGTGGCGCTGTCTGGATTCTGCCCCGTGGAGAAGTCGTTCAAGGATAAAGTCCAGACCGCGAACCAGAATACTCCAGTCTTCGTGGGTCACGGAGACAGAGACCCGGTGGTGCCTATTGCAGCGGGCCGCCACGCTGTCGAAGTGTACAAAAAGGCGGGTTTGCAAAACATCGAATTCAAAGAGTACAGGGGAATGGAGCACTCCTCGTCGCCGGAAGAGATGGCGGACCTCATGCGGTTTTTAAGCCAGACGATCCCACAGTGATCTGGCGAGCTTTTTCTGCCTCCCGCGACGCTCTTTCTATTTCGACCGCCCACAGGGCGGCTCCCGTGTGGTTTGTAAATGCAAAGTAGATATTTATAATTGGCAGCTGCTCCAGGCACAGCGACACAAGCCCAAACGTGAAGTAGAGATGCCTGTTTTTGCGCCACAAAAAATACGTCTGGGCTCTCGTGTAGCCTTTGAGCTGGAAGTAGCGGATGTGCCTCGAATACCCGGCCCGGGACGCCTTTAGTAGAATCACAACGACGGGTCCCAAAATCGGGATCATGTTGAGCGTCAGGTACACCAGCTCCTGCAAAACAAAGCGCGCAGGGCCAAATGCCTGCTTGCAGTTGCGGTAGCACCAACCAAGCAGAGTCTCGCGACAGCTCCCGCTCAGCCCGTTGTCCAGAAGCCCGCGGTACAGATGGTTGTACCCGAGCTCGAGCTCGGTGTTGATTACGTAATCAAACGTGTACTTGAGCGGTTTCGGGAGCAGAAAGAGCGCGTTGATCAGGTTGATGACGAAGGTCATGAGCTGGAACGTAGTCGGGCCAATGAAAGAGAAAATTCCTCCTGTGAAAAACAGGGAAGTAAGATAAAAACACAAGGCTGCGCCGTAGATCAACACGCTGACGAACACGAGGCCGACGATGTTCATCTTGAGGTATCTCCAGCACTCCAGATGGAACGTAAAGTAGTAAATGCCCTGGAGTCAGTTTTCAGCCAGTCCCACGTACCCTGAAGGGATACCACACGGATTTGAATACGGTCATGGAGTACCCTCTAAATAAAGGATTTTTTGTGCCCAGTTGGGGATCTATTTTATTTTGCACCTCTGCACCGTGGCATGCACTCAAGATAAACAAAATAGTTAGCCACAGAGAATCTACGCCATGTCTGCTTCGCAATCCAAAGGCGGCGGGTTTTTGCGCTCGATGTCGCCGTTGCCGCTGTTGTATGGCCGCAACTCGGATCTGCAGAGCGGGAACAGGCAATTGAGCTCCAGAGACAGAAAATACGTGTCCAACATTGAGAAGGCCCTCACGGTATTTGATTCCGTCGAGGAGTGGGCAGACTACATTTCGTACCTGAGCAAGTTACAGCGGGCGTTGCAGACGAACCCGGAGCCGCAGATCAACCATTGGATCCCGAGCGAGTTCGATATTTCCAAGACGCTGTCCAAGTGTCTCTCGCCCAAACTTCCCAGCGGAGTGCATCGAAAGGCCCTGGAGGTGTACACGCAGATATTTGAGATCCTGGGTGTGGAAGAGCTGGGGCTGCACGTCAGCACGTGGCTGCCCGGGCTGCTTCCGCTGATGTCGTACGCCAGCATCAGCGTGAAGCCGCAACTGATTGAGCTGTTCAAGACATACGTTGTGCCGATCGAGCCGTCGATTTTGCGGGTCATTTTCCGCGGCATTCTGCTGAGTCTTCTGCCAGCCCTGGACGACACGACGTCCGAGTCGTTCGACGCCGTTCTCGAGCTCATCGACAGTTTCAAGGCGCAGCTGGACAACAGTCCGCATTTCTGGCAGTGTCTTTTCCTGTGCATCATGACGTCGCCCGACAAGAGGCTGGGGGCTCTGGAATGGCTGGTGCGCCGGATGCCGTCGTTTGGGGTCGACGGCGAGCCGGAGCTGCGCAAAGACGCCGTGCTGGACGCTGTGGACGACGAGACGAGGGCCTGTGTCACTCCGGAGCCGGGACTGCTGATAAAGGCGTTTGGGGAGGGGCTCGTAGACGAGAACCTGCTGGTGCAAAGAGGCTTTTTTGACCTGTTGATCGGCCGGCTGCAGCTGCACTCGGCCATTCTCCAGGTCCTCGTTTCCGACGCAGACAAACGGCTGTTAGTGCTGAGAGCCACGGGGACCGTGCTGCGCAAGGACATGTCACTGAACAGAAGACTGTGGAACTGGCTGCTTGGGCCGTCCAACTCAGAGCAGGCGCGTGCAGGGGGCAAGGCTGAGCAGCTCATCACGGCAGAGACAAGGTCGCAGTACTTCCGCTCGTACGGGCTTGAATATCTGACACAGGCAATTTTTGCGCTGCTCGAGGGCTCCGCCAGCTCGCAGCCACGATACCAGCAGCGCATCGAGGCATGCAGAATTGCAGTGGCTATCATGGACAAATGGGAGATCGGACAGTATATTGTGCCGAAGATTCTTATACCAATTATCAGGTGCACCAAGGAGACCCACGAGACGGAGCGGATGGAGGTTTTTGATGAGCTGGTGAAAAACGCCAACTCCTTCTTCGACAGCGTCGAGACCATCAACATTTGGTCGGACGTGCTACGGCTGATCAAAGACGGCGAGATCGACCTCGTGCTCTTCATTCTCAGACATTTCCGTGTGGAGGAGGAAGACATGGTGGTGCTGCATCTTCCGCTGGCACTTTTGGCGTCGCTGGCCAAGTTTGACGGCAGCAAAAAGTGGATAGAGCTGCTGAGGGCTCTGTTGGCCCTGATACCCCAGAGAGCCTTCTTGCCAATCGAACACGCCGACGAAAGATATGTCAGCATAGAAACCGTCGATAACGCCACATTCAAGAGCGAGATCATCGCCAAACTTGAACAGTACTACAATCTGACATCTGAGGAGGCTCAGCTGGACGCACCGGGCGAAAAACCATACAACACCGCCGACCTGAGCGCCATACTGCTCACATTGACGACCCATATCACGACGGTCCAGCTGAAAACGCGACAGGCGGCCCTCTTTTACGAGTTTTCCGAGATCGTCAACGAGCTGCTGGAAAAGATCCCAAACGGAGCAAACCAGTGGAAGGACCTGACGCTGCTCAAGACCGTCAACGACTACCAATCGGGCAACTTCAGCGAGGATTCTGTTCCGATTGCGTTTGGTATTTCGCTTCTCTTCAAGACCCTGGCTAGGCAAACCTCCGGCGCCCAGTTGTTGAAGATCCTGAAAACGGTCATGGACCTGCTCTGGAGCTGTCTGGTGCATCCGAGCGGAAAGTACCAGGTCGAGACAGTGAAGATGATTTGCCAGCTCGAAATCAGCGTGGACTCGCACTACATCGAGGCTGCGCTGTCGTCGTTGTTCCTTGGCTCCGATAGACTCACGCGCATGAAAGCGTTCAGCGCTCTATGGACACACACATTGGCCTTGAACGAGACAGAGAACATTCTTTCTCGTCCCCTGAAGCTGCTGTTGGATGATCTCAGCAGCGAAAACGAAACCAATAAACTGATAGTCTCTCGTTGGATCAAGTCGACCGTCAGCACCGGATCCATCAGCAAGGTGTTCCAGATTCTGTGTTCTGGTCTGCTGTCCAAGAACAGTTTTGTGGCCTCTGGCACGTTTAGAAGTGAGGAAGACGAAGACTTCGCGCTTCTCCACTACCAACTAGCCACCATTATCAACCTTTTGCGCACCGATCTGCAGCTGGTCTCAATATTCAAGAACCAGCCCTGCACACTCAACAACGATGCCGATATCAGCATACTTTCCAGGCACCGCTGGGATGTCACCACGTACAAATCGCTGCTTGTCACGTTCATTTCGAGATTTTTGTCCATAGATGCTCCAAAATTTGATAGAGCAGTTGTTGGTCAGTACTGCGGCTGTGTCAGAGCCTGCCTGAGCCTTTTGGAAATGCTGATAGATGGAACAGAGCACGAATTTACAGAGATCATCAGGTCTCTGACCAAACTGTGCAAGAAAGCAAGTCTGTATGGCGACCCAATCACAGCGTTCTACTTATCCACCATTTCAAAATTCATGAGACTTGCGCACGATTCCAAGATCGCGCTTGAGCTATTCGACTACGAAAATGACGGCATGCCTCCTAAATTTGCACAGATTGTGTCAGACGGAGTTTTGAATTCGAGATCGTCGCTGGTTCTGGCATCCTGGATCTCTCTCATTCTGAGCGTCACCAATTACGCTCCGGAGCTGGTCTTTAGAAGCACTTTCAACGTCACCGCCTGCATTTGCGAGAAGCTGGACGAGTTTTTCACCATCAACACTCGTTTCAGCCAAACTGAGTCCGACGGCGACTCCGACGAAGCCATTCTGGAGCTGATTAACGGTCTGCAGGAACTGCTAAATGCCAGCCACACTTACCTTTTGGCCTCAAAATCTGGACTGTTTGCCAAAGAATCAGCCTCAGGAAAGGAGTCCAGCTTCTTTGGATCCGTCATGCAGGGTGTTTTCCAGGTGGAGGCTCCGGACGAAAAGGGCGAGGATCATTCAAGACGGATGGAAATACTCAAGGCATTCAAGCTGGCCGTGGAGACATGCTACCGTATCTGGCTGTGGTCAGACGAGCACTCGAAAGTCAAGGCCAATGCCATCAGCGTGGCGCCCTCGTCGCCGCTGGTTACCAGAATGAGCTCGATAATAGGGATCAACACCACCAGCACAAGACTCATTGACGAGGAAAAGCCCTCCTTTTTGTCGTTTACGAAAACCGTCAACTACAATGCCTCGCGTTTGAAATACAGAACCAAGAGAATCCTGGAAAGCATTTTTGTGTTGGAGCCGTTGGAGACGCTGGAGACGTTGATGAGTGCACAAAGAACCCAGGGTAGCCATTCCGACAGATATTCCACATTCAAGGTGATTCATCTTTTGGACGGAACCAAGTCAGAGAAAATCATTCCGCTAGCCCTGAATTCGCTGATGTCGAGAGTGAACATGGCGTCGTTAGACCAATCCAAACGGTCTTCCATGATCAATGAGCTTAACGACAAGGATGTGTCTACTTTTCTGACCGAGTACATGGAGTCGTTGAGCAGCGACTCGGTGGAAGAGATATGGACGCAACTAATGAGCTTCCTAAAAGATGTCCAAACAAACATGTCGCACTACAGACTGCTTCTGTCGGACATCCTCAAGTTCAGCACTATTGTTGGAGTGAAGCTATCGCAAATCAGTTTTGGCGAGCAGAAAAAAGTGCGCAAGGACATGACGGACTCTTTCATGAAAGTTCTCACGATGGCCACAAATGTCAAAAACGCCACCGAAGACCAGTCAATTGCCTCTATTTTGAATCCTATTAATATTCTGCCTGGAACAGACAACCACGACTCAACAAGTTCATCAGCACTGAACTCGGAATCAACTGGCAAGATAGAGACTGGTGCGGAAAACCTCAAAAGTCCGCCAGTTCCATCCATGAGAGGATCGTCGCCAATCAAGGAGACTCCTCCGTTGGAAAAAGAGTCGGCCAAGGAGGAGCTGTGCACTTGCCTGGTTTTTGTTGTTCCAAAAGTGCCCGTCATCGTTCAAGAGAGCGACAAGGTGGTGACATGCTACACCACGATAATTAATAGCACGCTGGCTCCGCTGCTTAAAAACAAAAATGCAGGTCAAGTTCCAGACTATGTGGTGAATCTGATCGAAGCTCTCAGTTGCATGAACCAATGTCTGCAGCTGAAGTTGTGGAAGAATCTTTGCTACGACATTATGATGGACGTCAAGTTCTTCGACACTCCAATCAGCGCGCGCTGGAATCGTATACTGTACAATTGGATTAAAGAGGATAAGGAAAAGCTGGACGAGCTGGTCACAAGGCTGGTTCCGTACCACGGCTCTTCCACCCTATTCAACTGGAACGATTCTGAGATGTCAAACAAGCGGCTGAACCTCAAGCGGATGGCCTATTTGTTGCTTATTTCTCCGAAGGACAGCCTGCTGAACAACGTGAGCGACCTGCAATTTAGAGTGTCTGACATGCTGAAGAATTCCTCGAACCAGTCGCTAAAGCCTGTCATTTTTCTTCTTCTTCGGGTAATCATTTTCAAATACTCCGATCCTCATCTGAGCACGCTCTGGCCAACTGTGTACACAGAGCTGCAATTTGCTCTGCACCAGTTATGGATGCGACTTGAAAGCCCAGCGGAAGGAGACAGAGTCACAGATGCTCAGCTGGAGTTTGACAACGAGCTGGTCTTGCAGGCCTGCAAACTGCTGGACGTCCTGCTAGTTTTGAAGCCTGAGGAGTTCCAACTGACAGAATGGCTGTTTGTCTCAGACACGATCGATGCTGTTTATCGCGATTCCAGCGTTCCGGTGCTGTCCCTGGTCGACAAGATTAGTAACTTGAGACAAATGCGGACCAAAGAGCTCCACGACAAAATCGAGACCCGTGTGGACAACTTGAAGAGACCGCTGCTGGCGGGACACAGCAAGGTCGAGTCCGTATACGACCTTCGCGAATTCTTCGAGACACTTTCAATCCACAACTATGAAAGCGAGTACGCTCTATTAGATGCCGATGCGGAGGCTATCGAGAAGGACATTTTCAGCGATCTCTTTGGCTAGCTGTATTTTGGAACAGGTATACGCTGAGGACCTCCCATCCAGCCTTTCGCTCAATCTTTTTCTCGACACTGAACGAGGGGTGGCTTTTTCGGAACTGCTCTGCCACCATTGAAGGGTTATTGCGCGCACAGAAAAGAATATATGCCTGACCGTTGGGAGCGAGGATTGTGCCTAGACTTTGCAACAGCTTGTTAGTGACCACCATGCCGTCGGGTCCTCCGTCCAACGCGAGATCGAGCCAGGTCTGGTCCTCTGCTGACTCAGGCACGGCGGGAACAGCCGGGGACGGCACGTATGGCGGATTGAAGATGAGCAGGTCCACCGACTCCGGTCTCAGACTGGAAGTGAGGTCGCATTGGATGGAGTCGAAGTTCACGGCGGCTGCGTTTTTGGCGTTTGTGGCCACTGCGGTCTGGCAGCAATGTGGATTTATATCGGTCGCTATGAGAAATGCATTTTTCAGTATATGTTGATTCAGAAAAGTAGACACGATCCCCGACCCTGTTCCGAGCTCCACCACAAGCCGCGGCTTATTATTTGCGATATTCTGCCCGATCTCTTCAAACAGGTCCAGGAGCAAAAACGAGTCCTCCGCCGGCTCGTATATTTTGCCGTAGTCAGTTTTTGCAATCAGCGGTGTCGAGAGCATAGATAAATAAACATATAATTATTAATTCAATAAGTTACAATATTTTTTAGTTTTTTGACTTCATACATCGCATCATGGGAGAAACCGTCGAGATCAAAGTGAGAGTGAGTAGAGCGCACAGATACAACTAACAGTTAGAGTTTGACAGGGAGAATGGTGAGTACAGAGGCATCAGTCCCGCTAACATCAGATCCGCATCGACGTTGATCTTCACGACAAAGTAAGTGTGCAACGGAGCGATTGCTAACGCGCCAGGTGAGCGACCTCAAAGAAATCATCGAGGTGAAGGAGGGGATTCCTCCGCACCAGCAGAAGTTCCTGTTTTCTGGAAAGCAACTGTAAGTGAGTTTCGAGATTCTTCTAACCCGCAGGGACGACGACAAAACGCTCGAGGAGTGCGGCATAAGTGCTGGCTCGGACCTGCATCTGGTGCTGTCGCTCAGAGGCGGGTCTTGCTAGATAAATCAATGTACGGGCGAGTCCTTAAGACACCTTGCACCTGGAAAAAATGTAGACAAAATATTGTAAACACCCATGTCTGGATTCAGTTTTGGAGGACAGTCTTCGGCGCCGAGTGGCGGCTTCTCTTTTGGAAATAACAGCAATAGCACGAACAACAGCGCAGGTAACACCGGTGCCGGGTTTTCGTTTGGAAAAAGTGCGTCGACCGGGTTTGGCAACACCGGTGGATTTTCACTGGGTGGAAACACCACGCAGAACTCTTCCACGCAGAACGCCGCCCCGGGGGCCACCGGCTCGACGGGGGGCACAGGGTTCATGTTTGGAAATACTGGCAACACTAATTCCGGCACAACAGCGCCAAGCGGGCCGGGCAATCTTTTTGGCAATACAAACAGCTCTGGCACCGGACAGAGTCTATTTGGCAACAGCAGCAAGCCACAGACTACAACGGGAACCAATCTCTTTAGCGCAAACAACCAAAGCGGAACCACGGGCGGTGGGTTCTCGTTTGGAACCAACGCCGGATCCAATACAGCCACTACTGGAGGTACTTCCCTGTTTGGTGGTAACTCTCAACCCGCGCAACAGACGCAGAATACACAGCCCACACAGAGCCAGCCCGCTTTTAATTCCCAGCCCTCCTTTGCATGGTCCAGTCAGCAATCGCAGCAGCAAAGTTTGCATCCGATGGTTGTAGAAGCACAAAAGGTCAACCAACAGCAAAATCAGCAGCAGAACGGATACACGCCGACGATTGCGGACCAGCTGACCAAAGTGAAGAACTCGTGGGATGCAAACTCCAACCAGTGCCTGATGAAAACGTTCGTGTACAACAAAGTGCCGCAAGAGTATAACAACTACGAGCGGCCTGCCGACGAGTCTGCTGAGGACTGGGAGAACGCGATGAAATTGCGCCCGCGCGGTTACAACACGCTGCCCGTTAGAATCAAGGGATTTGAGGATCTGCTGAACAGGTCCAACTTACAAATAGAACATATCCGCAAGTCGAGAGTTCTTCTCAATAACATCAATTCTAACCTCGTGAATCTTGGCGACAAGCACGATCTGGACTCGTTGAGCAGACTGACGCAGTGCAAGATCAAGCAGAAACAGTTGGATCTCAAATTGCTGAGGATTGCCATCAACTTGACGGTGCTAAAATATAAAGGCTACCAGCTGACCAACGACGAGGAGAAACTAATATCGCAGTTCAAGGAGCTGGTCAAGTCTGTGGACGACCCAATAGGCCTGAACCGGTCGAACGAGCTGTGGGCCAGACTGAGCAATTTGAAGCAGCGACTGATCAACCTGAACATCAGCTTGGAGAACATAGATGCGTCGATGGCAGTTGCTGCCAACGGCGCCGTGTCGAAGTCGCATGTTTCGAACGACGAGCAGGTGATCAACAAGCTTGTCAGCATTTTGTCCAAGCAGCAGCAGGGCATACAGTACCTGTATGACCTGATTGAGAACGACAAGGAAGTGGTCAAGAAGCTGGCTAAATAGACGATATAGTCGACGCGTCGAATAAACAAAATAATTTTTGAGGAAAAAGAAAACTACCAACAAACCAGACATGGAGTCAACTCTAATTTACCGGCTTTCGGATGGTAAGTACCTGCTCAGTCCAGTCTAACAGCTAGGTCTGCCTCTTTCGGGCTCGATAGATGACGAAAAAAACGCCAGCTTGGGAGAACTCAAGAAGAAGTGCAAGTTGATCATCCTGAAGCTTAACCCGCAGACTTCGGAGCCCAGAGCCTCCATTGACTCGGGAAGCCACACGTTGCACTATCTAATTGTTGACACCATCATCTATGTGTGTATTACTACCAGCAATTTCCCGAAAAAGCTTGTGTTTTCGTATCTTGCCGAGATCTCTACCGAGTTCAGTCACGTCTACGCTAGCGAGCTGTCCAGACCGGACTTGAAGCCGTACCAATTTATCCAGTTTGACTCCTTTATCAGCAAGACGAAAAAGATCTACGGTGACTCCAGAGCCCAGTCCAATCTGGACCAGCTTAATACGGAACTGGTCGACGTGAAGAAGATTATGAACAAGAACATCGAGGACCTGCTCTACAGGGGCGACTCGCTGGACAAACTCCAGGACCTTTCCGCCAATCTGAAAAACCAGTCCCAGAAGTACAAGAAGTATGCCGAGAAAATCAATTTCCAGCTCTTGCTCAAGCAATATGCGCCCGTGGTGCTGATCTCGCTCTTCATTCTCTTCATTATCTACAGAGTTATATTTTAATTTTCATCTGCCCACGTCGTCCATTTGGTACCTGATGATCTTCTCCTTGTTGTCCGTGGCGGCGTACACAAGGTTGCGGAAGGCATCGCCCAGCAATCGCGATTTGTCAGGGTCTGACAGATACGGGTCTGCCAGCTCGAACTCCTCCTCGCCAGTCAGGCTTCGCAACTGCTGGAACCTGTTCCGGATCAACACCATATGGATCACAGCCTTCAGCTTCTTCTTGGCGGAGTAGCCGTCCCGGAGGTTGGAAATCAGATCGACGTCTTTCTGCGTGTCGCTCGTCAGCCACGGATGTTGCAGCAGTCGCCAGGCAGGAAATCGCGTCTCCTGGCGCGTGTCGAGACAGCAGAGAACAAACTCCTTGCCTTCTTCGCTCACATTGGCCCAGCTCGGGCTGTCGAATTTCAACGGCTCCTCCACCACCCGCAGGAATTCGTCGACAGTGTTTGCATCGTACGGACTATAACCGCACATCAATATGTAGCATACCACTCCCAGTGACCATATGTCCGCTTTGTAGCTGTACGTTTCGTTCGTATAGGTTTCTGGCGCCGCGTATAGGAAAGAGCCGGCGTGGTCGCGGATATATGGCTCCGAGCGGCTGAGCTTTTTGGCGATCCCAAAATCCGCCAACACAACATCGCTGTCAGGGTCCTGGGTCTTGTACAAAATGTTCTCTGGCTTGATGTCACGGTGCACAATGTTGTTCTTGTGGAGGTAATGAAGAGCCCAAACAAGCTGCAACACGATGGTTTTGGCGTCTTTTTCTGTGAAGACAACCTTCTCGACTATCCGGTCAAAAAGCTCTCCTCCCGTAGCTAGCTCTGTGACGAGATAAAAAGAGCTCGGAGACTCGTAATAGTCAATGAACCGCACCACGTTGGGGTGGTCGAGCACCTTCAACAAGGCCACCTCGTTCTCCACCACGTATATGCGCTCTCCCAATGCCTTCTTGCTCATCACCTTGACGGCCACTTCCTGCCCAGACTGCTGATCAACAGCCCGTCTCACGTAGCCAAACGACCCAGCACCCAGCACATCTATGTTTTAGTAAAGCACACGGGCTGCTTACCTCCCAGATCAAACCTGCGCCTGAAATGTAAAGTGTCCTTTATCTGTGTAAATATACCCATCTATCAGATCTCAAAAAAATTGTTATCGAGGCTTATCTATCAGAGGGGATTACGTAACCAACAAGCTTGTATCGTTCTATTACACGTACGCGAGCATATCCTGGACAAGGCCGCGGACCTGGTAGAAAAGCTGGCCCATCGCTCCGTCAATCACGAGGTTACCGTCGGTGACTTTCCTGACGGCAAGCTGGTTGTTCACCACGAGCGTACCGTCGCCTCGGAACTCAACTGCATGGTTCAGTTCCGTCAGCTTGCGACGCAGTTCTGCTAGCCTAATGTCGCCGATACTGATAGAGTTGGACACCGGCATCACATTTGTGTTGGTGGGCGGAACGAGCTTCATATGCTTGTCTCCAGGCGCCACTGGCACCACCTCTCCGTAAACGTGCGCAATCGAGTATCCGCCGGTGATTGCCTGCCAATTGAGCGTGTTGTTGAGCTCGTTCGAGATCACTAGGTCGTAGGAGGTCACGACGTTGCCGAGATCGATTTTCTCGTTGAATTTGGACAGAATGTAGTCTGTGCCCAGGATGCCAGACGCGTCGTCGGCCTGGTAAATGGCCAGCATCTTGGATTTCTGTTGGGCCATGACCGCTTCCATCACGTCCAGGGCGCCGCCCATAAAGGCCTGTGTGGTGTTTGGAAGCAGTATGACCTTGCGAGGCTTCACCGAGTTGAAGGTGATCCGCATGGATCTCAGGTCGGCCAATCCAGAAAGGTCCACAAACGCTAGACCACACCGGATTTCCACAGAAATGGGCTTGATGCTGCGCACCTTTGGATCAGCTAGCGCGTCCAGGTTGTAGACGGTGTCTTTTTCCTTCGCCTGTTCAACAACAGCGGCTTTTCTGACTTTCTTGACCGGCCTTTTCACCGTCCGTCTTTTTTTCTTCCCGTTCTCCAAGTATTCCTCCACAACCTCCTCCAAATCCTCTTCGTATGTTGGCTTGTTGAGCGGGAACTTTTCCTCCTCTCTCATGAAATCACTGTGTCTGATAACCTCTCCGTAGTCGTCGACGGTGACCTTCCTGACAATAAAAGGGAACATCCTGTTCCTCCCCTTGGCGTTCCGCACGTCGAAGTCCATAGGCATCTGCAGAATCTGGTCCACAGTAATATGCTCCTCTTCGTCCTTTGCCGAGTGTGTGGACCGCGTTAGCGCAGTGGAGGTTGTTGTGGTCCTGACGTCGCCGTTTTCTCCGTTTTCGGCGCCGGCGCTAGCCTCTTCTCCGTCTGAAAGCTCCGAGTCGTCGTCGTCGTCTTCGTCGTCCTCGCCGATCAGCGTGTCCAGCAGGTCGTTGTTCAGCCTTTCTTGCACCTCCTGCTCCTTGCGGCGCTGCCTGCGCTCCTCAACACTCTTCTTGTACGCATTCAGCTCCGAGCCACGCAGCTTTTCCTCTCTCGTTGTTGTCAGAGACATCTGTTTTTCGAAAATGGCCAAGACGCCGTCTTTCAGATTATTGTCGCTTCTCACTTTGTTCTCCCACTCCTTGTACACTTCGTACGCTGTGGTGTTCACTTCTGGTCTCTCAGTCATGATCAGCGCGGTGTTGTGCTTCGAGCAAAGCTCTATAAAACAATCTCTCGAGAGAGACCCTTCGTTCAAATCCGTGCCGTCTACGAAAATGATCTTTGGCCTGTGGTCGAGCGAGGCAAGGTCCCGCAACGAGATGAGTTTTAGCCTGTTCGACTCGAACGGCGTCTGGTTCTGGTTCTCCCAGTTCTTGGTGATATCCGGCGACATCCACTCCAACATATTGCCGGAGAATTCCAGCGATTTCTTGCCTGTGAAGGAGAGAAGGTAGAAACTGATATCCACCGGCACGTTCTGGTCCAGCAGAGGGAGCAGCTCGAGCAATCTGCCGGTGACAGAGGTCGGGAGCAGGATGGACGTCCCGTTCATCAATGTGAGCTTTACGAGCTCCATGAACTTGCTGATGCGCATCTTGTGAGACAGCGAGGACCCCAAATCAGACCCGCTGATCAGAGTGGTGGCACGGAGAAGATTCGGCAAGTTCAGGCGGCCCGATTTGAGGAAGTAGTCTTTGGAGTGGTTCCATGTAGGGGCGTAGACGATTTTCTCGGCGTCCTTGTTGAGCAGCCAGAACGATCCACCCAGTGTGTGACCGGAATTGTACGCCGTGATTGTGATTCCCGACAGATTGCCCGTCAGAGACACGGACTGCGAGTAGTTGACTGTGACGATGGAGTTGAAGTAGTTTTCCACGTCTTCCACGTCCAGAAGCGCACCTTTCAGCGGACCAACGAGCCCAGCCGACCTATAGAGCTCTATGGTCGCCAACCGCCCAAGCTTGGAAACAGGAAGCGTCGCGTAGGTCTTCACTTTGCGAAGAATCGGGTATTTGTACAGAAGATACGCAAAGGCACCGAGGTACTCGGTGGTCGTCTGAGAAAGAATGATTAGATGGATGTTGGGGATGTGCGGCTCCAGATACGATATGTCGCTCACTCCGTCCCATCCAGGATCGGCGAGAATATTAATTTGGCCGTCGAAAGTGAGAAGTCTGGCTTGCGTCTTGGAGGTGTTTTTCAGCTGTTCAAGCTGCAAAGCTTTCTTCTCGTCCTCGTCCTCGTCCTTCATATCTTGGTCTTCAAGAGGGTCGTACGAGTCCTCGTCGGGCTCCTCCACGGGCTCGGTGATCTGCTTTGGCGGCGCCAATGACACAAACTCAAACATGGTGCACCGAGAATCTGAAGTGTATTTTTTTTGTAAGGATCCGAAAAATAACTTACCCGGAGCCAGTTGAGGAGTAATATTCAAGCCAAGTAGCTCCTCTTCCCTATGTCGTCAACAAACACTTTCGACTCCATTTCCACATCTAGAGTCACAGACAAGCTCAGAGACACCCAGTACGTGCTTGAAAATGCACCTCTCCCGAAGGAAATCCCCCACGTGAAGGAGATAGGAGCCACCACCGGACCTCTGGTCAGTGCCTCGTTTTTCATCGGCGATAGATGCAAAGACTACAACGACGACTTCATGAAGTGCCACCAGGAAAACGGCCAGAACGGGACCATCAACTGCCTGACAGAGGGCCGCAGAGTGACGAGATGCGCAGCCAGCGTGATCCGCGACCTCAACACCCATTGCAAGAAGGAGTTCGAGCTGCACTTTCAATGTCTCAACTACTCCAACATGGAGCTCAAGAACTGCAGAAAAGCCGAGTCGCTGCTCAACGATTGCGTGTTCAAGAACCTCCGTCTGCAGAAGCGCGTTCCGGACGACGGCAACAGAGAGGTGTTCCGGCCGGGCAACCAGATCTACGAGCCGCTGTCGCCGCACCCGGCGAGCGAGCGCGCCTACCGCCAGGCCACTCACGGCTGAGGGCGTTGTGTCTGTCACACGTACTAGGGATCTATTTATTATCTAAGCACCACTCTGCGTAAACGGCTGCACCCCTGCACCGCTTCACTTATCGACAAAATTGTCATTTGCGTTAGACGGCTCGTGTGAGCCAAATGCACCCCACGTGGCTGTTACCCGGCTACCACGATCGGTCGAGGTTGGAGTCGGTCATGTTTGCGGCCGGCAGGCGACTTTCACGCAGGTCGCGCTTCCCTTTAGAGAAGTGTGCTTGCGTTTCCGCTTGCCGTTTGCGAGCACCGCATTGTTTTATTTCGTAGACTTCTCAGACAAAATGATTTTCATAAAATAAATATTTGTTGAGCTCAAGAGTTAGCTCCTAAGCAGCCACGCCTTTCTTTGAATAACCCAGCAGGGAATGACGAGCCTGATGCCCGCATCGGCTATATCCAAACAGAATAGCTACATAGACTCGTCAGCAGACGAGTCCCACCTGTCGAACTCGCATCCCCCAGATGCAGAGAATAGCCTGGGCTCCCATGGCCATTTGGAATCGCTGGACCACTCAGACTTGCCAGAGTTGAATTTTGAGAGTATGGAGCTGCAGTGGTCGGAGTTCACCAACCTCCACGAGATCCAGCACCTGGACAACATGATACATCACCAGCATGCCGATCGAACCAATCCGGCGGACCATTCGCACCATCAGGACGAGGACTACTCGTCTTTTGCGTCCGACAACACTGCCCGCGAACAACTCACAGACCCTAATTACCACCAACCTCCGCAGATGTTCGAGCGCGACTACCCCGTGGAGCAGCGCACCGAAGCCGCCCCAGCACCGGCAGTCCGCCCGAACGACGTGTTCACGCCGCTTGTTTCGCCCGCCGTGACGCCGCTGGAGCACGCCATGAACCCGCCGCACGGCACCGGCTACCAGCAGGGAGCTCGGGACGAAAATGTGCACAAAAAAATCGGCTTCAGCCCGCTTACGTCGCCTGCTCTGGAGTTCCAGAGCTCGCGTTTTCCCAGCCAGATCAACAGCGCGGCCAGCCTGAGACAAAAAAGACGGGATGAAAAAACGTCCAACATGTCGCCGCCAGTCTCCAGCGACGACGGCGCAAGAAGAGCCTCCTACAAGCGCTCGAAAACCCCCAACGGGACGCCGCTTTTTGGGCCGGCCAACCCAAACGGGTTTCAGCAGCAGCAGCAGCCGGGCTCGTCTGCACGTATGAAGCAATCGCCGTCTGTGAAGCCGTCGTCTCCCGTTGTCTCTGGCACCCGTCGGCCCTACAGATCCAGAAACAAGTCGTACAGCGGGCAGTCTCAGAACTATTTCGATATGCTACCCGAGTCTGCCACTTCCAACGATCTCATGCTTCCGCCTTCTAATCCGCCCGCAAAGGAGGAAGATTTCAGCGCGATGGAGCTGCAGTCCAGGTCGTACTCACAAGAATCCGAGCCCGGTAACAAATCCGCCGAGATGGACACGGGCAACCCGTCTGCGGCCACGCCGGCCGCCATGATGTCGTTTGCCCTGTCGAAACTATCTGCCAAGAACTCGCCGCGAATGGTAGCAAAAGATAACGTTCTGATAAACCCTAACCACAACGCCAAGTCCGCCCAGTCGTCGCCAGTGATACTGCCTTCGTCCAACTCGTTTTTGCTACAGGACAACCAGCAGCTGCCAGCAGCCGTTATACCTCCCCTGCACATTAACGGAGCCTCTAAATCGTCCTCCAGATCGTCGTCTCTCAAGACGTCACCGGTAATCCAGAACAACGACGACGTGCAGCCTAGCCAGAGCCCCGAAGGCATGTACTACACGAAGGCCCGCAGCAACTCGGGCGGATCGACGAAATCTTCCCAGACAGATCGAAAAATGACCCACAAACTCGCAGAGCAAGGCAGACGGAACAGGATGAACGTGGCCATCCAGGACCTCGAGAAAATCATCCCAGACACGCTCAAGAACGAGGTTGCAGTGCCGTCCAAGGCTACCACCGTGGAGCTGTCGTCCAAGTACATCCAGATGCTCCAGAAAGAGAACAAGGGTCTGCAGCAGCAGTTGGCGGCGTTGAAACAGGAGCTCGAGATACTGAAGGGCGGGCCCCAGAGCCAGGAGAGTATCAGTCCATTCCGTGTTGACGGAAACGAGGGCCACGAGTAAATCAAAATGTGTCGCTCGGTATGCACAATATATAAGCCGCACACAGATAGAGCAAGGAATAATTTGAATTTATTTCGTAATCAAGCCATGTCTCAATTACAGCGCGAAATGCGGTCATCTCACCGCAGCGGCGCGCGTTCGGACGGCAGGGCCTCTTCTAAATCCGGCCTACGCAGTCCTAGTCTGAAAAGTCCCAATATGGACGCAGAATACAACGAATTTGACGAGAGCCTGATGGACATGAGTTTCATGAAACTGGACGACATGCTGCGCCAGAAAATACAGAGCACGGAATCGCTGTCGTCCACTGCCGCGGTTGCCGGGTCGCCGATAAGCCGGCAGGAGAGCAGGGCAAATTCGCTGATCGGGTCCATCATCGACAGCGAGGAGGACACCGGCGCGGGCGAGGCCGGCGACGACGGGGGAGTCGTGAAAATATACACTGTCTCGGACGTGATAACGGCGCTGGGCCGGCCAAGAAGCAAGATAAACTCGTTGTCGAGAGAGTTTTTGCTGGGCGAACTGTATCACATGATTGTGAAAAAACCTCTGGCCTCCAACGGGAAGGTGGTCAACGAGACGGATCTGGAGTCGTTGATCTCGTTTATCAAGACGGCGCGTTCCGGACTCGAGTTTGTGTTTGCTCTGCGCTCCGCCGTCGCCTATATAGCCAGCGACTCCGACGAGGTGGCTACGGTAGCTGTGGAGAGCTTGTTTCCTGTTCTGCTTGATAAAATCTACAGCACAGAAGAGGCCTACGAGGGCGTTCGCTCAAGCTGTTTGATTGCATATGCTAGCATGCTTTTGGTGATCTACAACGAGTCGCATTGCTACGGTCTGGAAAATAGCGTCGAGACACTCATGGAGTTGGCCGAAGGGTTCAGCGCCGGCAGTCTGACGGAAAATGACGAGGATATTGTTGTGAATGCTCTCAATGCCGTTGGCATTGTTGTCAGTCTGCTCTATAAAGCTGGACGTGAGGTCAACACCGTCATACAGGACAACATTCCTCTACTGATGAATTTCCTGGCGGAGGAGTTCTCGAAGAAGGTCCAGAAAACGGCTGCTGTTGTGATTGCATTGATGTACGAGGTGTTTGATTATGACGACGACGAGGAGCCCTACCACGATCTAGACGATCTGAAGAACATTCTGACACAGTTGGTGAGGTATTCCTCGAAAAAAGTGAGCAAGAAGGACAAAAAAGAGTCTCGCTCGATATTCAGAGAGGTTCTGCGGAGCATCGAGGAACGGGCACACGAAGCCAGCGGGGAGACAGAGGTGTTGTCGAGGTTCAGGCTCAGCGGTTCGAAAACCCTACCGATCACCAGCTGGTTCGAATATATCCGCCTGTTGCATCTCAGATACATTTTTGGCTCCGAGCTGAATCTGCACTACATTTCTTCCAGGGAAGTGCGCAACCTGCTGGCCCCGCCCGACGACGAGTCTGCGAAGTTCAGGTCAACAGACGATGAGTACCAGGAACACAACAAAGCGTGGAAGTCAGAAACTGGACGTCTGAGCAGTATTAAAAAGGACCAAAAAATCAGGGAAGCACGAGAAAGAAAACTGCGGGAACAGCTAGGAGATCTTGCATTGGAATGACTATACTATTTATGGACCCGAGTCGGCCGGCGGCTCGCTCGTCAGTGTCGTCTGCGGCGCGACATATATATTATTCGAGGAATTCAGGTCCCGACTCTAAACTTACACATAAGGCACAAACTGGCGTAGATCTAGTCGTCTGAAATCAACTGGTAATCATGCGATTAGGCCTTTTGTAGCTTCAATATCTGACTTCTCCACGGGTTGGTCGAACCGTAGCTTGCATAAGCCCGGGTATTGAGGTTGGCGGATACTCAAGAAGCTGCGCTCTTTGGTGCTGTAGTTATCCACGCTTAGCTAAGCAACCGTAGAAGGTTGAAATATTTCGTACTTTATTTGGTTTATGGAGCTGAGCGCAGAAAACCTTGCTTTGCACGACAGGGATGAGCAGGAGTTCGAATCCAGTGACGGCAGCTCGGACTACACTTATGAAACCGACCTTGTGTACCACGATCCACAGAAGGAGTGGGAGGAGAACCTTGTGCAGTTGAAGACTTTGGTGAACTTCGTGCTGTTGCCCGTCATCGGCAAGGTGCTGGGGCGACGGTTTGCCAACTACGTGTGGATGAAGATCGCTAGTCGTATTTATTCGTGAGGTGTACACATCAACGTTGATACCGCATCAGTTTGAGCAACAGTGCTTCACTCTTGAGCCTGATATCTGGGTTGAGATTTTTTAGAATCTTGATTAGTTTGTTGACAATTGACACGTTCAGCAACATGAGGAGGCCTGAAATGGACGGATTGGGCTCTCTGAGACGTTTGAAGAATGTAATGAGCAGTAGAAATGTGTTTTTGATTACAAATCTCAAGTCAGGCAAATACTCGTCTGACCGTTTCATCTTGAACTCGGAGAGGTTGTTGATGTAGACGTTGGATGAGAGCAGAGTTATTAGGCCCTCGACGGTCACGTCTGTGTCTGTGAGCCTGTACCCAAGCTCTAGAAAGCTGTGGAAGTCGACGGTACGGACGGTGACGTCGGAGCCAGCCGACTGTCGCGAGGTCGAATTGAGGTGAGCAAACAAGTCCTCGACATTTATGTTAAACGATTCCGGGGAGATAAGGACGTCGACCAGCTCGCTGAGCACAGCGATTTCCGTGGTGAGGGACATGATATTATCGTACTTTTCAAAATCTTTAGGCCACACCGTACACCGCCCAATTCAGGATATACATTGGTCGACTATGTGAAAAGTAATAGCCGATCTGCTTCTCGCAGACTGGAGACAGAAGAACAGGTGCAAGAGAGCGTGCACTTATTTTGCCAGACAATGCTAGAGGGTGTCCTATCTTTTGTATCCTGCTCCCTTTGCTAAGTAAGCTATTCAATAGCAAGACCAATAGACTTCAGCTTGGCATATGCTTTGGACACAATGATGGTTGACGAGTGCAGAAAAGGACATGCAGAGCTTTGATAAGTTTTTTGTCTCTTAAGCCATGATTTTGAACGTCGACGAAAAGCTAAACGTCAAATGCGGTAATTAACGGTTGTTCTTAGGTCTGTCAGATCTTGTCTTTCTGCAGCTGGTAAGATCGGAATGCTTTACGATTGAGGAAGGAATAAGAGACGTACCTTAGTTTATCATGTCGAAGATACCAGAAAGAGTACAGAAGCCGCGCCTGGACATTTCTTACACCCATTGAGATCTTACCAACTATTTGAAGAGCTGAATCTGGTCCCCAAATGCATGTATTTTATGGACACAACATTTGCTGAACTAAAGCTGAGGACTTTTGGGGGTCCACCAAAAGCTACCAGATTATGCGATCTCTCGTAGCAAGAGCTGAAAAAGAATGACTCCCAAACAGTGTGAAGAGACTTCAACAAGAATCCGTATTCGTCCTGGAACTTGCAACTCTGCGTTGCAACCACATAGTCAAAGTTTGAAAAGATGCTTCAATGTTCATGCACAAATATCAAAGAACCGAGAAATAAGTTGTTTAGCTGGTGCGTTCAAATTAACTATTATACAAGATTAATGTGGTCTAGCTTTGGGACCCCAATTGGCTGTTGGGTTTTCCTGGTACCTGACAATCTTTATTTTCCGCAGTTCCTTCAGTTTCTTGCTTTCCTCGTTAGGCTGGAACAGCCAGGTGATATCATCCACTTTCTTCTCCTTGTTCAGGGAGGCAAGGTCAATGTTCTTGCCAATTGATTTGTCAGTCATGATTTTGTATCCAGCAGTGTTTGGGTTCAGTTTATCGGCCGTCACCCCATTCTTTTCAGTCCACAGCTTACCGACATACCAAATGACCTCGTACGGGGCGTCAGTTTTGACTGCGCCCGGGGTCGAATGGCAAAGCGAGACTCGGTACCCAAGATTCGACAGCGCAGCCGCAAAGGTGTCAATCGATGGACTTGGTCCTTTCAGAATTGCGGAAAGCGTCGTCGTTTTGATATGGAAAGGAGCGTCCACCAGCTCATTCTTGGCCATGGTCAGCATTCCCTTGATTCTAGGCCGCGTCTTGAATATAGACTCATCTGCCGACTCTTCAACGCCGAGGACGCGGTCAATAAATGCGGGATTGTGCAGAGGTCCTCTCCACATTGGCCCACAAAGGTGATTCGTGAAACCGCAGAATGTGCACTCCGGACCAACAGGCGGTCCTTTGCTCAGACCATACTTCTTACTGTTTTGCTGTGCTGTTGCATTCGGATTCTCGGTCCATCGCCCAAGCGGCTGACTGTAAATAGCGTAGCATCCAGAGCACTTATAGCATATCATTTGATTGGACGCAAGCTCTTTGACCTTGATAGGCGCCGTTCTAACGCGTATGAACAGACGGACGTAAAAGTCAATGGACAAGCAAAGTTGTGGCTCGATCCATTTTTTGTATTTGGCAGCAGTCGTTGAAATCATATGCAAGACGAGTCTAAGAGCGGATTCATGAGTAGCGTCTCCATGCAATGGACTTCCGCCATATAATGCAAAACATTTCTCCGGATAGCCAGCTCCAGCTAGCACACCAAGGTCCGTACAAGTCACCAGCAAGAGGCCCCCGTCTTTGAGTGAATTTAGGGCCGAGTCGACAAAGGGCGCCGCGGTACCATAGGGGTCCAGATCAACGACATGGAATTGGTCCTTTGAATCAGCCATCAACCGGATAGCGTCTCCCTCATTGGCCTCCACTTTGTGCTCTATTTTGTTATATTCAATGTTGAGATTGATGGCGTTCACGGCATCCCGGGAAAGATCGTTTGCTACCACCTTGGCAACGAGAGGAATTTCTTTTCCATACCGAATAGCACGAAGACCAGTAGCAGAAAGCGCTTCCAAAACTCTCAAATACGGCTGCGGTTGGCAATCTTTCGGGTTTGGAGACTCTTGGTCATGCTTGCGTTTTTTAGCCAGCTTCTCTTCGTGGTAAATCTCGGAAAATGCACGAATAGCCAGCGAGCTCAGGTCTCTATTATACTGCTGGACAGGGTTGTAAAAGACCTGGTCTGGTGGGAATAAGACCGACGCAGAGCCCTCAGTGAGGATTTCGTACTTGGAAGTATCTATCTGGGGGGTCATGTGAAGGTATCGGCGAAAAGTCAGTGGTAACAACCTTAAGCGACTGCCCATACAGTAGTAAAAAATACTTTTTTGTAAATTTCTAGCTATCTAGGAAGAATTTTTCTTGAACTCGGTGCGAGGAGGGGTTGCAATCAGAGATCCAGTCTCTTCAATTGCGGTGACCGTCGCCATCAATGAAGGAGTATAGGTCAAAACTCTCTTGATCCAGACCAGTTTGAGTTTTTGACGGGTCACTGGCGGACTTGGCGGTGAACGTGCTATCCAGATGGCCCAGCGGAGCAGATGAATACACACTGGTGACTGGAGCGCCATATTGGGCCAGCGGTATATGGTCCTGCTCGATGGGGCCAAAAGAATAGAACAACGAGTGATGCTGCTGTATAAGGTCATCATGCTGTTTTTTGAGTTCTTCCATAGTCAAAGCGTACGGGTGAGATGTCTCTTGAGGGGAGTGAGAGGCCTCGAAATAGGCATCTAGATGTTGCTGTTGGGTGAATGGAATGTACTCTGGGTGGTTTGTAAATTGCGCATTAAAGTGTGACTGGCTTGCGGCGGAATGAGCGTTTTCCGGCGCTGTTGGATAAGCATACTGCGTGTTCTGATGGCTCAGAGTCTTGATCAGTGGATATTTCTGGGTCGTGTTCGGCACTGCACTGTTTGACGAACGGGCTCTCGGCGCGACTCTGTTGCTCGAAAAACCCGACACGGCATTTGATGGCGAGAAGGCTGCTCCAAGCCCGTAATAACCACCGGAGGAAAGGGACGACGGAGCATATTGGGACTGGGAGGAGAGAGAAATCACTGAGACTATGGAGTTCGAGCGTCTGAGAGTCTTCATTTTCTTCGTAACAGAGGTGCTGACCGGAGACACCTCCACCAGTTCGTCGTAAGTAGTTCCCGACTCGTCATCTCCGTGCTGCGATGGCGTGTTCACCATTGGCGATTGCAGTAGCTGTTTATTTTGCAGCGACTGATATATGGAGTTTCCCGAGTCCGAGCGATCTCGAGCGCCCACGGTGGCCGACATGGTAAACGGTGTCGGGTATTGGCCATATCCAGTGAAGTATTCCGGCTGCGGAGTGGCACTGGAGACCATCGAGGTCACAGAAGAGCTGGTGGACAGAATTGGGGTTATTGGCGTATACGGCGCGTTTGAGTTGCCCGTTACGCTCTTGGGAGTCAGCGAGTATTCCGAGGGAGTCGCTGCCGACGACGAGTCGCCAGGTTGGTGGACTTCACCCTTTGGTTTGCGGCTGCAAAATTTTCGCAAGGACGATCTTTTTGACGACTCTGCGCCTACAAAAACCGACGGCGCGGAATTTGAGAACGGCATGAGCCCGTTGGGGACCTCCTCCTGAACTTCGGTTTTGACTGCCTGGGGCCGCGAGTCGGGTTCTTTGCTCTCCTTGTCCTTCTTCAGTGGACGGCCTCCGAAAAGCCGCGAGACTCTACGAGGCCCGGCTGTAGCTTTTTTTTCATGCTCATCTGCGAGAGACTCTGCAGCAGCAGTCGGCGTGCAGTTGACGAATAAAAACTCCTTCGGAGTACCCTCCTTGTTGACTTTCGGCTTGACGTTGGTTTTCCTGAACCCGTGCTTGTTTGTCTTGGCGGAGGAATCGTTCAAAACGAGGTTCTGTGCATCCTGGATTATCTTCGACTGCTTCTCGGCATCATCCGTCTTAAACTTGTTTATTTTCCAGATCTTTTTAGCGTAGGAAGGCGGACCCTTTAAAGATATCTGCGAAGGCCGATTCACAGGCATCACCAGAAACGAGGACTCCAGCTCGATGCTGCTGTCGCGCGTTCTAACAGAGCCGATCCCAGAATCTGCCTGCTCCGAGTTACCGAGCCTGCCAAATGATGCAGACGAAGAACTGTCGTACGAAAATGCTGGAGACGCCAGCCCAGAACCATCGGCAAGGTCCCGGTCTTGTTTGGTAGCCATCGCTTCCTCTTTTCTGCCCTTCTTTGTCACTCTCATGGTAGATGCAGAGGCGGTCAGTCCAAAATGGGCAATAGGGAACCTTAGCCAATTGTAAGTCTCAAATATAGTAGGCAGCTGACGAGAGTAGCGATAGTGATTTGGTCAGGTTGCACTGGTAGATAAAGTTGAGCGAGCGGTACTGAAGTTGAATTCCTTGAAACCGATGAAAAATCAGGCCTGCGAAAAACCAAGCCGGCATGGCGCGAGGTGTGGCAACGGTTAGTGCAAGGGTGCACATTTGCAAAATACCTACTAAGGCAGCTTATGCTTATGGACGGAAAACGACGCAAGCCGCAGCTGGACCTGCAATTTTCGGACGAGGAGGACGTAGTAGAGGACCAGAAGCTACCTAAGAGGCCCAAAGTGACTTTTAAAAAAATCACAAAAGCAGATGCGACCCGGTTAAAGGAACGAGAAAGCAGGCAAGAAGAGCAGGAGGTGTCTCTTGGAGCGCAAGAGGTGCCGAACGAGCCTAAAACAATAGAATCATCAACTCAAGTGCCATCTCTGGCTAGTATGGCTACTCAGGAACGCAAAATTATGGCCGATGCGTTTCCGGCAGCCGAGATGGAGGAAACGTCTGATTTCGAGAACGATCGCGAGTGGTACACACAGGACGAGGCAGTGTCGCATCCTATTTTGGAATACGAGGAGTACGACGCGATGGAGCACGACATAAGGCCTGCTTTCAGGCGCAGAACCGCTGATTCGTCAGCAGGCCGTTCCCGATTCGACGAAGAAGGGGCTCCGGACATTGATCTCGTTGTCCATCGTCTAACGCCTCCCTTTCTGGACTCGGCAACCATCATGACCAAAAAACTGGAAGTCATCGAGACGGTACGAGACAAAACAGGAGACTTGTATAAGTACAGCAAGTTGGGGTCTGCGCTAGTCAACGAGCGTCGAGCGAACAAAGATCGGAAAAAAGGTGCCAAGGATGCTGCAAGCATGAACAATTCTCGTCTGGCAAAGATTTTGGGCGGGAAGGAAAACGCTGGCGACGCCTCTGAGTCCAAGGAGGGTGGCACATTTCTGGACGACCAGACGTACGGCCGCCAAGCGATATTGCAGCAGAGAAAAAGATTACCAGCATATCAGGCACGCTCCGAGCTGATGAAGGTGGTAGCCGAGAACCAGGTTCTTGTGGTGATTGGAGAAACCGGATCAGGAAAAACGACACAGATTCCCCAGTTTCTGTACGACGAAGGCTACTGTAGGTACGGCGGGCTCGTTGGCGTCACACAGCCTCGAAGAGTGGCTGCGCTTTCGGTGTCAAAAAGAGTGAGCGAAGAGATGGGAGTTAGACTTGGACAGGAGGTTGGATACACGATCCGGTTCGAGGACCGCACCTCTTCTCAAACGCGCGTTAAATTTATGACGGACGGTATCCTGCTTCGTGAAGCACTGATGGATCCGGAGCTCGATAAGTATTCCTGCATTGTGATGGACGAAGCCCACGAACGGTCTCTGAATACAGATATTCTGCTCGGTCTGTTCAAGAGAATACTTACTCGCCGCAGAGACCTCAAATTAATCATTACCTCGGCCACTATGAACGCTTTCAAGTTCTCCAGATTTTTTGGCAACGCAGAGCAGTTTACCATTCCAGGCAGAACGTACCCCGTCGATGTGATGTTTTCGGCTATTGCCGTTCAGGACTATGTTGCCAGTGCCGTGAAGCAGATAATCAGGCTGCACCTCCGCAGCGAACCTGGCGATATTTTGTGTTTCATGACCGGTCAGGAGGATATTGAGACGACCTGCGAGGAGCTCGACAAGGAGCTAACGGATCTGATGAAGGCCGATGAGACTCTCGAGCCGTTGGAGATCCTGCCCATATATTCCACCCTGCCGGCAGATTTACAGGCTAAAATCTTCAGAAAATCGAAGTTCAGAAAATGCGTGGTGGCAACCAACATCGCCGAGACATCCTTGACTGTTGACGGTATACGGTTTGTGGTGGACACAGGGCTGATGAAATTGAAGGTATACAATCCGAAGCTGGGCATGGACACGCTGCAGATCACGCCAATATCACTGGCGCAGGCGAACCAGAGGTCTGGAAGAGCTGGTAGAACAGGCCCTGGACTGTGCTACCGGCTCTACACTCAGTATGCTGCCACAAATGAGATGTTTGCTGAGCCGATTCCCGAAATACAGCGCACTAATCTGAGCAACACCATCCTGCTCCTCAAATATTTGCAGGTGGAAGACTTGTCAAAATTCCCGTTCCTGGATAGGCCTCCTATTGAGACCATAAACACGGCCCAGTACGATCTTTGGTGTCTGGGAGCCTTGGACAACTTTGGGAGGCTGACCGCATTAGGAAAAAAGATGTCGAACTTTCCGATCGATCCTGCTCTTTCCAGACTCCTGATTATTTCGTCGTTCAAGCAATTCCAGTGCTCTAAAGAGGTCATCACTATTGTGGCCATGCTTTCGATTCCGCCTATATTTATAAGGCCGATGCATGACGCAGCATTGCAGAGACGTTCAGACTCCATCCGAGAGAAGTTTCAGGTTGCTGAGAGCGACCATTTGACGCTGGTGAATATTTTCAACCTGTTCAGGTCAAATGGTTGCAAAGAAAGCTGGTGTACTAAGAATTTTCTGCAATATAAGTCGCTTCGACGCGCAGTGGAGATTCATTCGCAGTTGAGCCAGATCATGAAATCACAGAAACTAGCAATTCTCAGCAACCCGAACTGGGATGTGATCAGAAAGTGTTTGTGTGCTTCCTTCTTCCACCAGGCAGCTCAGTTCAAGAAGCATGGAGAGTACGTTAACTTGCGGACCGGACTGCAGATGAGACTGCACCCGACGGCTTCTCTCTACGGCATGGGCGACCTGCCCAAATACGTGATTTACCATGAGCTCTTATTAACCGGTCGCGAGTACATGAACTACGTTACGGCAGTCGATGGAGAGTGGTTGTGCGAATTCGGCGAGATTTTTTATGCTGTTAAAGAGAAAGGCCTCACATCCAGAGAAAACCAGGCCCGCAAGGAGCGTGACTTTACAAGGCTCATCGAGGAGCAACGCAAACTTATTTCGTGAAAACGATGTTGTCAATGAGACGGGTTGTCCCGCGGTCTTCGGTGTTGCTGTTTGGAACTCTCACGGCCAGACTCAAAATGCACTCTCGGTCCTTGTCGATGGTGGCATCTTCAGGAACATATTCGAGGGTGTCTGAGTAGTTGAATGCGACGTAATCGATTTCGAACTTGTCGTTTTCACCAACAATGGTTTTCTCGATGCCGGCTGTCAGCTGCCCCGCGGTCAAAGTGCAATCATTTGCGTACTGTGAGCGAGCTTCTGTCATCGAGCGGTACAATACACTGGCCTGTTTTCTCACTTCATCACTCAGATAGAAGTTTCTTGAACTCAGGGCCAAACCCGTTTTGTCACGCACTGTGTCAACAACGTGGATTTGGACGTTGAACAGCAAGTCCGACACCATCCGTTTAATAACGATAGACTGCTGGATGTCTTTCTGTCCAAAGTACGCGTTAGTGGGCTCCACAATATTGAACAGCTTAGTAACAACGGTAGCCACACCTCTGAAAAACTGAGGTCTAGCGCGGCCTTCAAGCTGTTCAGAAACTCCGCTCACGCTCACGAATGCTCCTTTCTGCTTGCTTGTCTCAAGAGAAATACCGCTTGGATACATCTCTCTCACGGACGGAGTGAAGACTCCGGCTACCCGACGGGCCCTGTCTTTGGATACGACGGACTCCAGAAGTTGAAGGTCGCGCTCGATGTTGCGGGGATAGGCATCTAGATCTTCATGAGGAGCAAACTGCGATGGATTCACAAAAATGGATACCAAGGTAACGTCATTTTGCTCGAGCGATTGGCGGACCAGCGAGAGATGTCCCTCGTGCAGGTATCCCATCGTAGGAACAAAGCCAACAGACAAATCCTTGATCCAGCAGTCTTTCCGGAACTTGCGAAGCTCGGCAACGCATCTGAATATACGATTATTTGATACTGTCATTATTATTGTGCGACAAAATTGAGGAAGATGGCTCCCAGACTGAGTCAACCTTCTTAACCGATCTGAAAAAAAATTTAGAGTCAGAGTAAACTTTATACGAATCCTACTCGATTGCGTCGATCGACGCGTCGGATAAATATTCTGTGGTCTCTATGTAGCATTGTTCTCTATTAATCTCAGCAAGTTGCGCAACAGCATTGCAATAGTGACTTTTCCAATGGACGGAACGTAAAGGGAAGCGACATCTTTCACGTCGTCGTTGAAGTTTTTGTGGCTCGCAAAGTTGATGGCCACAGCACCGCGTTTGACGTATTCAGTAGGGAACTTGTACGACTCTGAAGGAACCCCGGTGATGATGACATCAGAAGACAAGGCGCATTCTTTGAGGCTTTTGTCGCAGTCCAAAACCACGTGCTTTTTGAGTCTCAGACCATCGCCACGCTCGTAGATCTGGATGCTGTTGATATCAACCGAATAAACGGTAGCACCATCGTTAGCGAGCAAGGCTGCCAGCGGTCTTCCCACAATTTCAGAACGGTTGACCACAGTGATGGTCTTCCCATACAATCTGTCACCATAGTTCAGCAGAGGATTATAGACTCCCAAATGCTCCAAGATCTTCACAATCGCCAGAGGTGTGCAGGGAAGAATGGACTTCTTTTCCTGTTTGTCATCTAGATACCTAATGTTGTGATACATGTTGGACACATAGCGGAAATTCAGACCTTCGACGTCTTTCTCGACTGCAACACACTGTTGCAGATAGCGATCTTGACCGTCTCCATAGACGGGGAAGTAGACCATGATGCCGTTGACCGAGGAATCATCGTTGCATTTATAGATTTGGTCCTCCAGCTGCTCCTTTTCGACCTGGATCAACTGGTATTCGAATCCCAGCGACTCGCTCGTCTTGCCAGTCCATTCAGCATACTGTTTGGCAGCAGGGTCTGGGTTGGCAAGCAAGCCTACGAGCTTCGGCCGTCTAGCCAGCAGGGCTGCCTTTGCTTGGACCTCGTCGGTAAAGCGTTTGGCAATCTTGGAAGCCAGAATGGTTTTTCCTGGTGACATGTGACGATAAGAATTAATTAACCTCAAATTATTTACTTATTGATTCAAGTCACAAAATAAAATACTTATGTGGTGCAGAGGTGTCATCCGGAGAAAGATTTCGGAAAAATAGGCAGGATGAAGACGGGTCGAAGATCGGCCCACACGTGGATGCTTCCGAAGTAAATGTACCGTTCCCGAACGCCCCATTCACGTAGTCATTGACGGAAAAAATGCAACCTATACATGCAGCTCCGCATTTCCCCTGTCTCCCCATAATTTCAAATATCATCCCATCTCAGGTCGTGTGTCAGCCAATCGTTTGACATCGCTCCGTCTTATTTAAACCACCGAAGTCAGTTAACTGAAAATACATAATCTGTTATAATAAATATGAGTTTGGATACTGAAGTCGATAAAATTGTGTCGGAGTTTGCCGTCTCCCAGGAGACTCTCCAGAAGGGTGTTGAGCGTTTCATTGAGCTTGCGTCTGCCGGACTGAAAAGTGACGAAGACAAGTATGGTTTGCCGATGATCCCGACCTACGTTACCTCCATCCCTACGGGTAAAGAGAAGGGCATTCTATTTGCCGCAGACCTGGGAGGAACCAACTTCCGTGTGTGCTCTGTCGCATTGAATGGGGACCACACCTTCAAGCTGATCCAGCAGAAAACGCACATCCCTGCGGAACTGATGACCTCTACTTCGGACGAATTGTTCTCGTATCTCGCTAGCAAAGTCAAGGTGTTTTTAGAGACGCACCATGAAGGAGCAGTTGCCTCTACAGGAACCCAAAAATTCAAGATGGGCTTCACTTTTAGTTTCCCTGTTTCGCAGACCGCCCTGAACGCCGGTACCCTGCTTAGATGGACCAAGGGATTCGATATTGCAGACACTGTCGGCCAAGACGTTGTTTCTCTCTTCCAAAAACATTTGGACTCTCAGGACGTTCCTGTTACGGTCTCTGCCCTCTCCAACGATACTGTGGGAACTCTTCTTGCAAGATCGTACACGGGTTCTAATAAGGAAGGCACCACCGTGCTCGGATGCATCTTCGGAACAGGAACCAACGGTGCTTACAACGAGAAGCTCGAGAATATCAAGAAGATTCCTGCCGACGTGAGGGAGAAGTTGAAGGCTCAAGGTGTCACCCACATGGTCATTAACACCGAATGGGGTTCCTTCGACAACCAGCTTAAGGTCTTGCCAAACACCAAGTATGACGTCCAAGTCGACGAGCTCACCAGCAATAAAGGTTTCCACATGTTTGAAAAGCGTGTCTCCGGAATGTTCTTGGGTGAGATCCTGAGACATATTTTGATCGACCTTCACGCTAAGGGAGTGCTCTTTACTCAGTACGCTAGCTACGAGTCCTTGCCTCATAGACTCAGAACACCATGGGATCTAGACTCGGAGGTTCTTTCGCTGATTGAAATCGACGACTCTACCAATCTGCAGGCCACTGAGCTGTCATTGAAACAGGCCTTGAGACTGCCAACTACTACTGAGGAGAGGCTTGCCATCCAGAAACTTACCCGGGCCGTGGCGAAGAGGTCTGCCTACCTTGCTGCCATTCCTATCGCAGCTATTCTGCACATGACCGAGGCTTTCAAGGGCCATAACGTCGAGGTCGATGTTGGAGCAGACGGATCTGTGGTTGAGTTCTACCCTGGTTTCAGAACCATGATGAGAGACGCCATTGCACAGACGCAGATAGGCGCCAAAGGAGAGAGAAGACTGCACATCAACATTGCCAAAGACGGCTCATCTGTGGGCGCTGCATTGTGCGCATTAAGCGAAAAAGAATAAGTATACAGTTATGAAAAAAGGACTCGGAATATATTATATATATGAACCTGAGATTTGCTCCCAAAAAAGAAAAAAAAAAAGTATCTATTCCTCGTGATTTTTTTCAGCCTGCTCCTCCCCGCACGGCAATAAAAACATGAACATGAAAATATTATTGCATGAGGGGTAACGCGATTTGTATCGTCTGCTTTTTGTATGTGACATTTGCCGGCTAAAAATCGCGGGGAGCCTTTATCGAACCAGTTGTATCTAGATATATAAGTAGAAAATTGTATCCCGTTTCCTTATCTGAAATAAATGACTAAGCGATACATATGCCAATTCTGTGCCCGTTCTTTTTCCAGGTCGGAGCACAAGCTCCGACACGAGCGATCCCACACCAAAGAAAAACCATTCCAATGCTCAATCTGCAAAAATGGATTTGTCAGGCGGGACCTGCTGCAGCGGCACCTCCGCACGGTTCACGGTTTGGTGCTGAAACACAGTATCGACGGGAACATATCCACCAACGATGATCTGCTGAAGTCACCGTCTACTGCAAATGGAGGGCCTGGTGAGATGGTTTCGACGGATCTGCAATTCTCAGCTTTGCCCACGTCGCCAAGCGACTTAGATCATATGGAAGACAACGCTGCTATCCTGGCAGAGAAAACCGTTGTATCGCTTCTCACGCTGTCCAATCGATTTAGACACCTTAACATGGAGCTAAAGAACTCAATAACGAACTACATCATAGTGTTTGGTAGCAGCAAAAAATGGCAGGAAGATCTTCCCTCAACCAACATAAACAAGCTCTTAGCCATCAATGAGCTAGACGAGATGCTATACCTCGTGGTCTGCCTAGGGGCATGCCTAATAAATGAGTTTGAGGATGCCATCACAATGTTCAACAAGAGCTGGGAAATTATTATCGATAAAATCACCAACTCCAAAATTAACTATAACTCGGGCGAGATATTCAACAGATTTGTCGATAACTTAATCATTCTCGGTTGCATCTACCTCAATTACTTCATTAATTTTTCCAACAGCTCGAAATATAGCTATGAGCAGTTACACAAGAAGATCGCCATTCCAATTGACGTACTATTCGAATATCTCAATAATATTATTAGCACGCACATGGCCAATAGAGACGGACAACCACAGGGGACTTCTGCCCCAAGCAAACATTCCAGTGATATTGCAGACCACAGTTCTAGGCGTGGGCTTGAACCATTTTATTGGAACGCATATTTACTTCTCTCGCATTATTCGTTTGTTTTCAACAAGTCGCCATCCTCGCTGCACCTGTACCTCCTTGACAAGAATCTCCCAGAAGAGCACCTAGCAGATCAGTCCGGCAGTGACGAGACTCTTGGCCAACTTATTACCAACTTATCAGTGATTTCAGGTTCATACCAGAATTTTGTGAACCATGACGATCTAACGCTGAAAGAGAAAGCAATTATATGCGGACTGATGAACGAGCTTCAGATGGTCAAATTCAACGAGACCAACAAATTGAGCAAAAACGTCATCTTACAACAAGGACTGTTCAAAGATAACAAGAATTTTCTTCACAACGCTATCATACTAGCAAATAAAAATTTCAATGTTTCTGCAAAGCTTGCTTCCAACTATGACGACGAGTTCATTCGACTTCTCTCTATAGTGAAAAGAAAGCTACTGGTCAATTGTCCTTTGAAGTTTACCGATTTACTCTCAAACTATCTGATTATACCCAAAGGTGATTACAACTGGACTCTTTTGGCTTTAACTCTGAAGGAATTCATTTTTGAGACCGAATCGCTGATCAATGATAAAAACTTCCTCAACAATGACAAGCCTATCATTGAGTTTGATTTGTCAAAAATGGTAAACTTACTAGGCATTGAATCTAACAGCTCAAACACAGCCTCCGAGCTGACTGATGAGGAAATATACAAAAACATTCACAGTTTTATATCCACACCCTTCAACTACAATTTCCTGATTAACAACAACTTAGGAATCACGTTACTACCGTGTCTTCTCTTAGCATTAATCCTCAATGAGAACAGTCTGATGTATCACCGAAAATTTCTAAATCTTCCTGTGAACAATCTTATCATGGTGGAATTTATTATCGGGAATTTTTTGATGCTGATTAGGATTTTGAATTTCTATCGAAAAAAATATCTAATTGATCTGTCGAATCCTTTGGAGAAAAATTGGACTTCGCGAAACACAAGTCATCCTCCAGGTACATCCAACAATCCCAACACATCTGAAGATGAAGAGCAAGGAGATGAGGAGGAAGATGAAAGCATAATTTTGTCCGTCATATTCTACGTGATCAATGAACTAGGCAGGAAGTACACTTATACTCCGCCTGTTGCAGGCGAAAGGCGCCGAGCAAACAGCATATCCATTGGTGAGTTCAGCAACAACAACGAGAAAATGAAAAAAATGATGGGCTCTAAAGAAACCAAACATGGTTCTGACAAACCAGAAGATACGCTGAAAGCGCAAATCACCAACGATATAAAGTACCAAAATATCATGAAAAATGTTCAATCAAGTTTTCTGTGCTGGTTGAAACTTTACCAATCTGACTTTGCTCAATTGGAACAGTTCATCAGAGTGCTCTGCAAGGTATTAGAAAATGACATTTATTCGAGACTCCAAAATCAGAAGGCTGGTGGCAGCCCTCATAGTTTGGACGTGTTCAATCTAATTTCCAGTCATACGCAACCAAACCCTGAATCCCAGTTTTATGGCTCGCATATCACTCCTTTTGGGCAAAGGGCCCCGCCGTCCAGCTCCAACGACACCGGTTATTATCAACATAATTCGGACCATTATGGTCAGCAGAAGCTTCCATCATTTGTCGGTCAACATTTACAAGGATCCTTGTCGCCTCCGGGTGTAAATCCGATTTTGATGAATAAAGATGACGATCGGATTCTACTACCTCCGATCAACCAGAACAACAGGCATCTACCTAATCCGTTTGGAGCTCCCGCCGCTTCAAAACTAGGACTGGCAGGAACAGAGGGTCTGAGCGAGCTCATTCAAGCGGCCTCGACGGTCGTGGAGCAAGACAAGAAGTAATGCCATCCGACGTTCTTTTTCTAATGTCATCTACATGAGCACACTACTAATGGTGTTATTTGAGACAGTAATATTATTCATATTCGCTTCCAGCTATTTCGACGGCGTAATTGCACTGGAAACCAGCTGCGAGGAGTAGTCGCTCTGTCCGCGCGAAGACATTTCAGAGACAGTACGACCATGAACTTGCTTCTTGCGGGGAATCTTAGTAACGTCATCAGAGCCAACTATTGACCCCAGCGCATAGAAAGCAACCAATAGGCCAACGAGCCCAATAACTGGGCCCTGGGCTGGCATGGTGGTGCTGTAGTGCCTATGCTGTGCAGGGTCGTAAACTCCTCCTCTGAAATTTGAGTAGCGGACGTTGTATGGCGTAGGATGGCCAGACTGCATCATCCGATTTTCGTGCATCCGTTTCTCGTTACGGATGTTGCGTTTGAGATGCTTGTTAAAATCAAAGTGAGGAACATCATCCGAGTTTGGGCTTCGCGGAGAGTAGCCATGGGCTGTAAAAGGTGATCGTCTGTACGACGGCTTGAAGTTATGCATAGGTCTAGGAGAAGCAGATTCTGACGAAGCGGATGTGTCATAGGATGCTCTTTTGCTAGGATCTATAAGAATCTCATAAGACCTTTTGATCTGCAGATATCTCTGATTCTTGGTTTCGATCTCCTCTGGACTCAAGTTCTGTGACTTTAGCATGTCTGGGTGGTACTGCAGACTCAGTTTGCGAAAGTTCGATTTGATTTCTGAAGCAGAGGCATCCCTTGATTTAAGATTAAGGTTATTATAATGGTTGACATGATTATGGCGAACGAACGCGCAAAGTTTCATATGAGGTACCAAGGGCCTCAACGTAAGGCCACGGTTGATGTTCAGAGCCATATGCTGCATATCAGGATTTCACATTGAACTTATATGATGTTCAATGGACGGACAAATATTTCTTTTCCCCACTTGCTGCTAATTCCGATAAATAAATAATTTAGTCGCGACGTTTTAACAATAGTAACAATAGAACGCCTTATTATTAGGACTCTTCGGTTAAATCCAGCTCGATCCAGCTGGGCCAGGCCAGCTCTTCTATGAGGATGTTTCTTATTGCGCCAACGAGGAATTTCTCGATCTTGCCAATATTCCGTAGAACAGAGCCTTGATTCAGAGAAGGAGAGTCTTGGTGACTCCCGAGTTCTCCTTCGATTTTCAGATTGCGAATTATGTCTATCCTATCGCGCGATGAAAGGACTGTGTGCGGTATTTCGGACACTGACGATTTGCGCGAGTCTTGGCGACCCTCCTCACCCGACTCGTGGGCAGCTTCCTCGTCGTCAATGTCGCACAAAAAGGAAATAAACACACGTTTTTGTATGTATGCCAGCACCGCCAGAGAGTGGATCTGGAAATGGGTGATTTTCAGCCGGACGGGGAGCTTGATAAACTCGTGGGTAGGATAGTTGATTAGTAGGTTACACACTACCTCGATGTATATGTTGGAGTTGAACTTGAAATCAAGACTGAATTGTATGTCGTTGTCTGATCTCCGAGTGTCTTTCTTCTCTGGCTCTTGAACGTGACTGGCTTCCGGCTCCTCATGGATTTCTCGCAAACCAAATGCACCTAGCCCCAGGCCGTACGAGTTTGTTCGAGGAAGCAAAAGAGACCCGCGAGGTGTTCCCACCGGGCTCGAGAGACCCCCAACCAAAACACTCGCCGGAGAAGGGCTTCGAGATACATCCAAGTGGGCCTTGGAAGATGCCTTTAGGGGGGTAACCGGAACTGGTTTGGACTTAGGCTGCGCAGGTGGCTCAATCTCGGAGTAGAACTCCTCGAACGGCTGATCTATATCTCTAATCGTGAGCTCGGGTGATTTGTGTCCCAAAGAAAACTTTACCACTTTCAGGCCACTCAGGTAGTTAGGAAGTGCAATTGAAGAGAGCTTATCATTCAGGAAGTCCGATAATTGGGAATTTATGCTGGCGTCATTTGAGATGCTGTCCCAATCAATATCGAATGACATGAGAATGAAAAATAATTTTCCGTCTCTTATTTTTTCTCCTACATCTGCAATGCTGAGATCTTCGCTGGTGAGACAGTTTGTCCGGTTCCAGTCCACTGGAAAACAAGGCAAAGGTGTGGGCGTCATGTTCATGAATATGGGAGGTCCGTCCACCATCCCAGAGACTTACGACTTCCTTTATAGACTGTTTTCGGACGGGGACTTAATTCCGTTAGGAAGATTCCAAAACTTCATTGCTAAAATCATCGCAAAGCGCAGAACTCCGAAAATCGAGTCCCATTACAAGGAAATCGGAGGCGGATCGCCCATCAGGAAATGGTCGGAGTATCAGGTTCAGAAAGTGTGCGAGAAGCTGGATGTGGAGTCGCCCGAGACCGCGCCCCACAGGCCGTATGTTGCTTTCAGATATGCCAACCCTCTGACCGAGGAAACTTACAAGCAGATGCTCAATGACGGAATCACAAGAGCGGTGGCTTTTTCCCAGTACCCTCAGTTCAGTTACTCGACCTCCGGTTCTTCCCTCAACGACCTTTACCGCGTGTCCAAAAGGGTCGACCCTGAAAGACAGATTGAGTGGTCTGTGATTGACAGGTGGCCAAAGAATGACGGTTTGACCACGGCTTTCGCTAACCACATCAAAGCTTCCCTCAGCGAGTTCCCTGCAGAGATCAGAGACCGAGTGGTCCTTCTGTTCAGTGCACACTCCTTGCCGATGGAAATCGTCAACAGGGGAGACTCTTACCCGGCGGAGGTGGCAGCCACCGTCTACTCGGTTATGGAAAAGCTGAACTTCTCCAACCCTTACAGGCTTGTTTGGCAGTCTCAGGTGGGACCTAAGCCTTGGCTTGGAGCTCAGACTGCAAAAATCACCAAGAAACTGGTGGATGAGGTCGACGACTCGCAAGCTCCAGGTGTGATCATTATCCCAGTTGCCTTCACCTCCGACCACATCGAGACTCTGCACGAAATTGATATTGAACTGAAGGAAGAACTTGACACTCCTCACAAGATGATCAGATGTGAGTCGCTGAACGGAGACCCTGTGTTCATCGATGGCTTGGTCGAACTGGTGAAAGACCACTTGAGAAAGAATGAGTACCACTCCAAGCAACTGCCTCTGGACTACATTCTGGGGAGCGTTGGCGCCAAGAATGTCTTCAAACATCCATCCGAATTGTTTGGTGAAAGAAAGTAACTACTGTAAATATCATGAGCTGCGAGTTAAATTAAGCTATTCTCTCTGGCCTGGTCTCTTAAAACCCTGCTCTATAAAGGTTAGCACCTCGTCGTAGACTTTTGTTTTCGGTGTGTCTTTCTCCCTTCTGATAGACTCCTGCTTCGGTATTATCTCTTTTATCACGAAAACAAGATCGTTCCATTGCTCTTCGTCGTCAACTTTGACCAGCCGTTGATAGAGCTTACTAACCAGCTGTTGTTTGTGCTTATCCTTGTCCAAGAACGGAACAACAAACTTGATAATCTCCTTGAACGATTTCCTTGACAGCTCGGAATCAGCAGCGAGTCCGCTGAACATGTCAATGAACCCGTTGTAAATTGCATTGTCTTTGGTCGCAAGCTCAGTGAAGAACAATTTGCACATATCAACGATTCCGGGGTCTTCGTTCACATACAACTTTGCCATTTGTGCAAGCTGACCTTTGACTTTAACCTGACCAGCAAGAATGAGGAAAGTCACAGTCATCAGACATGTCCTTTGAACCATAATATCCTTATCCTGAAGGCGGCCATACAAGAAGTCCTTACTTGTGTCAATGACATTGTTGAAACAGACAGCCATATCACCCAACCCAAGCACCGCGTTGCTCCGAACAACAGGATCCTCGGATGTTTCCATTATCTTGAGAAATAAACCAAGATTCTCCTCGCAGAATCTTGGAGAGATGCACATCAGTTTGGACAAACAAAGGATCGCTTGTCTTTGTAATCTCTTGTCGTTGTAGTCTTTTGGATGTGTGACAATTTCTTTCAGGAGAGGAACGAATTGAGCCAAGAGACCGGTCTCACTGTAGAGCAGCTCTTTTTCCTTCACCACTTGCACGGCATCTGTAAAATCATCTTCGGTGGTACCTCCGATCATGTCCAGCTCATTTTGCTGCTCGGGTTTTTTGTGTTCGGATGCTATCTTTCTATTCTTGAATTCAGTCTCACATTTCTCTAGATGAATGATGGTTTTCAACCCAACGTGACCAATAAGGAACAATAGCTGCGAAAGAGACACAACCTTGTCGTGGGACTCATCAAACTCGGACGAAAACACATAGCTGGCTTTGGACTTCAAGATGTTGGAACAGACCACATCGGGACATGATGATATGACATATATGGAATTGAGGGCCTCTTCTGCCATCCCAAACCAATTTCCATCTTCTGTATACTGCAATAAGACAGTTGAAAGTCTTTGAGTGGCTTCATCCTCTTTGGTCATTCTATAGCCGTTGATAGAGGCCTTAGATGGCACGATTCTTCTCAGCGCTATGCAGGAAAATCGACAGAGAATCCAATCCGTGTTTTCGTAGTTGAGACCAACGTTCAAAATCAAATCAAGCCCTTTCAGTGTAATTTCGTGGTCTGTGAAAGAGAGCATGCCTAGAATTATGATTGCACCTCTCTTCTGCTGTTTCGTAGCAGTACTGCTGCTGAAAAATTGCCAAAGCACCTGAACAACATGAGGGTCGATGTAGTTTTTAGCATACAATTCGCCTAGAAGCTTTTCAAGGGACGCGAGGTCGGCAACGGAGGAGTTAAATGTGAGTTTGATGAGGTTTGACGCAAGATACGATGATCTTTGTACCATTGATGAATTTTCAGGGGCTGTCAAATAGAGATTCTTATAGCATTCCATCAGTTTCTCAACAATCATATTACCATCTTCGTTGCTTCCTTTCATCCAAATTAAATGAAGCATCCTCTTGATACCTACTTGGCAATTCTCAATTCCGTACGCATCTGCAAGAACAAAAAATCCCATAGACTCAATAACTTCATTTTTGGATTTGGAATAAAGTAGCTCGCAGCACAATGATGTCGCTTTATGAATCAGCTTGATGAACTCAACAGCATCAGCATAATACTGATAAGTGAGAGAAACTTTATTCACCACAGCAGGGTCTACATTTGCCAGCGAAGAAACAATTGATGTCTCTGCTTTTTTTCCAATTTCTGACTCTTGGTTGGTTTGTGTGCCAGATTTTTCGAGCTCGTCTTCATCTTTTTCATCCTCCTTCTCGCTGTCTTCGTCGTCGACATCCATTTGGTCGTCGTCACTATGGTCGCCGTCATCCTGATCTCCTAATTCCTCTTGATTTTCCTCGCCTTCAAATAAATCAGGCTGTAACTCTTTAAGTTTCTCTTTGGTTTCTTCCAGACGCTTTTCCCAGACAGTAAGCTCAAGCCTATCACCATGCATAACATTATATGGATGAGTCAGTATCAATGAGGTCAACAGTTTGATACAATTCCTGCGCACGATTCCTGATCGGTCTTCCAAATGCCTCACAGATAGCTTAGTCCATCTCAGTCTTCGATCAACAAACTTAACGGTCATCTCGGTCAGCTTTGTAATCGCCTGTATTGCCCTTGAGCGGACATATGGGTTGATATCCAAAAACCGGTCCTCCAAAAGTTCCAAAAAACTATCTGCTTGTGTTTTGTGCTCATCGTACTCTTCCTGAGACTTTGACAAAGTTGTAATTATGTTTCCCACTGCTTCGACAACTGCACATCTCAAAGTGAACGAGTTGTTATCTAGCAGCTGGGCCACCAAGGATATTTGACGCATAACAATCTTGGGATTGAGTTCCGAGAGTTTTATGATGAAAGTGCTGATAGCTTTAGGGCCATTTGTGTCGTTTTCATTGAAATGACGTGCGCTCACTTCTTTTAGGATTTCATCTGTGAGTTGATGGTGATCGTAATGTTTACTCAACGTATCAAGAAGTTCTGCCATTACTGTACTGGAATGCTGGAAGTATGTCAAATGTTGCAGAATAGCGTTTTGGACATGCGATACTTGACCATGGAACTTGATGGCCATGCAAATAGCTTTGAAAGCGTGCATTTTAACCGTGACAATTTTCGCTCTTTCTGGACTCTCCAGTAGAGCGTTCACCGGATTCAGAAAAAGAGTTCCAACGAATAAATTGCGCTCGGGGGTTGTTTCGAACAACAAACTGAGTTTGAGTTTGAACACATCGATAATGGATACAAGAATGTTTTCAATCACGCTGTTTGTTTTATTCCAGTGATACTTCCCCTCGGAAGTCTTTAGACTTGTTTCTTCTCTTCCTAGATATACAAGAAGAACGTGGATCAAATATCCATACAATTCCAAAATCTTGCGATGCGTAGCGAACAAATCAATGTCTCCAGAATTGACTACTTGGTATGTCTGGTTGGTGTGGTGCGATAGGGTACTGGATACCAAGTATGCTAGCTTGTATTGGAGGCGGTTTTCAAGTTGTGGATAGCAATGCGTGAGGTTTATCAGAGGGTCCCAAAATTCCTCATACAAGACGGCATCGCTTCTCACCGCGAGTTCCTGTGTGACAACTTCCAGAAAATCTTCAGGATTCCTATTCCCATCAAGCTCAAAGGTATCGATGTTGTCGGCAAACGACGTCAGCGTTTGTGACAAATTAAAATCAACTTCCATAATATTCACAATAAAATAGATCGCGTTGTTTATATTTTTGTTTCAAATCCTGGCAGAGTACACCCAAAATTTTGACAGAAGAAATAAATCACCATCCCCAATGTCTGAAAGAAAGGTGATCAACAAGTACTACCCTCCGGACTATGATCCCTTAAAGGAGGAGAAAGTGAGAAAGGTGCGAAAGTCCGGTCCTGCAGGATGGCCAACCGTGCGATTGATGATACCCTTTTCCATGAAATGTCTGAACTGCGGTGAATACATTGGAAAATCAAAAAAATTCAACGCTAAAAAAGAGAGCACGAAGGAAGACTACCTGGGGATTCGCATCTTCAATTTCCATTTCCGCTGTCCACAATGTTTCTCCGATCTGGTCTTTCGAACTGACCCCAAAAATGGAGATTTTGAGTGTGTCTCAGGTTGTAGACGAAATTATGAGCGGAAAGAAGGCAAAATTGCAACAGATGAGACCATGGACGACATATTGAAGCGACTAGAAGAAGAAGACTACAGAGAAATGCTGGCGAAGGAAGGAAAAAAGGAGAACGAAGAGACCGCTATGGAACAGCTTGAGAGACGACTCAACGAACAACAGAAGGAGCAGGAGGCAACGGAGGAGATTGAGGAGCTTCAGGAGAGACACCGGCGTCTAGAAAAGGCCAAGCCTAAGATATTGGAGGATCAGGAGTTGCTGGATGAAAAGGAGGCAAAGCTGGCTTTTCAAGCAAAATCGCAAACCAACTCGCCGACTGAGAAGCCGGCATTTGAGGCCAACCAACTTTCGCTGCTATCAGGATATTCGTCGTCGGACGACGATATGGTTACGGTGAAACGCAAGAAAACTTCTTTGGGAATACGGAAAAAGGTCAAGGTGTAGCTGAATCGCTATTGTTTGTACACTAATATACACGGGGCTTAGTCTTTCAACTTGGCGTAGCCCTTAACCATGGCATTACTGACACCCACGCGACGTCTTTCCAAGGCCAGCAGTAAATCTCTGAGAACGACAGATTGTTCCTCGCGAGCTTCTCTGTACCGGATGCCGTTGTCTCCCCGAACAGTCACGGAATCTGATTTTGCTGAGGACTGCATCCAAGAATACTTCTTCTTGGAACCGCTCATCATCAATGAGGCTGTGATATTGGTTTGCTTGTGTTCTGCAATTAGATCTGCCTCCTTTTTGTCCTCATCGAGACCGAGTGCCATTCTTCGTTTTAATCGTTTCTCTTCTCTTTCTTTCTGTTTCGTGGCAATGTCTCTAAGTGCTTTGGATATTTCTGACTTTGTGCCCCCCGATGCTTGCTTCTGTTTTGTCCGCAATCCGCGCCTTCTATGCCTTGAAACCACAAGCAGATCTGTCACTAGGCTAGACATGTATTCCTCACAGGCACTCGACATAAGATTTATCAGCTCCTCATCAAAATCCATTCGTCTCATTCCCTGTTCTTCCATTGTTTTATTCATAAACCAGGCAACCTGTCCTGGACGTAGAAAATCGTTGGGACTGAGTTGGCGCCTCGAAACCTGTAATCCGCCCATCATAGCTTCTTCTTCAGCACGAAGATTGACTCCTGCTGCTGCCACTGCATCGGCGAGTTCCTCGGGATTCTGTTCACCAAATCGTCCTGAGCCTTTCTGTCTTCCTGGTGCGCGACGTACTTGTTGTGTTGGTTCCTGTTTTGGTCTGTTTCGTTGACTATCACCAGCCTGCTCCATTATTTCGTTGATGTATTCCATATTAGGACTTCCGACTGTGGAGATTGCTATCCCAGCACCATCATCGGCTCCACCTCCTGGAGTAGCAATTTGGGGAGTGCTGATCCTGCTTCCAGAAGTGGATCCGCCTTCTTCCATAATGAGTTGATTGTACTAAATATTTGTGGCAATTATTATTATAAAATGCACCGGGTAACCTTGAAAAATAAAGAGACTGGCTGTGTTAAAAAAAATTATTTTGAGATATTTCAGAGTATATCCATGTCCGCTCGATCAAAGATCATCACTTTCCAAGGACATGAGAACTTCAGGAACCGTTTAGTGTTTGCCACTCTTAGTGGAAAGACAATAAAAATTGAAAAAATCAGGTCCGATGACCTCAACCCTGGTCTTAGGGACTACGAAATCTCGCTGCTCAGACTAATAGAAAATGTCACAAATGGATCTGTGATCGAAATCTCGTACACCGGTACCACTGTCATCTACAGGCCTGGCCTCATAATAGGGGGTGACTTTGTCCACCAGTGTCCAGACGGAATCGCCTGCGGATATTTTATCGAGCCAATGTTATGCCTTGCACCATTTTCCAAGAAGAAATTCTCCATTTTGTTTAAGGGACTTACTGCCACCAAGGAGCATGCTGGCGTGGATTTCATTAAATGGGGACTTCTGCCGGTGATGGAAAAATTTGGAGTTCGCGAAGTCGAACTACACACTCTCAAACGTGGCTCCCCTCCACAGGGAGGTGGTGAAGTCCATTTAATTGTTAATTCGCTTATTCCACAACCTGTCACAATTCATGTCCTTGATTATCAGAAAATCTCATCAATCAGAGGGGTTGCTTATTGCACAAGAGTGTCGCCGTCTGTGGCTAATAGACTGGTGGATTCCGCTCGAAGTGTTCTCAAGGCAACAAATTGCGAGGTGAATATTACCACAGATGCTTGCCGCGGGGAGATCGCGGGAAAATCGCCAGGTTTCGGACTCACTTTGTTTACCGAGTCTAAAAAGATACCTTTCAGATATGTGGTGGAGGATATAGGCACTGGAGGCGAAACACCGGAAGATGTTGGTGAACGTGTCGCATTGAGTTTATTGGAACAAATCGATACCAGCGGATGCCTGGGACGGAATCAGCTTGAGTTGGCCTTTCTATACATGGTCATTGGTAAGGAAGATATTGGTCGCCTACTCATAAACAAAGCTCAATTCGACGAGCAACTGGTTCTTTTCTTGAGAGACATCAGAACAGTTTTCGGTACAAAGTTTTACTTCAAGCAAAGCGACGAGTTCCAAAACTCCATGTATGCAACGGTCAAAGGTACCGGTTTCATAAATACATCTAAGAAGATCGCATAAACGCTTGGTATTATTTCAATGGCATATCCTGGAGATCATTAAACACTCTCTGTAAAGCATCTTGTTGTAATTCCCCATATTTGACTTTTTCAAGGAACCAGTCCTGAAACGTTTCAGAAACCAGGTATTTCGTTTTTTGAAACAATCTGAACTCGGTCAGGAATGTGGATTTCACAAGGATGATGTAAGAGAGAAGCTTGTTCAATTCTTCCACTGATTCGGTCAAGAGCTTAACAAGCTTGTCCACTTCGGACCCTCTAATGTCTGATTTGATTTTTATATGGAAAAGTCGCTCGCTAGTTTTCATTATGCGGTTCAAAAGAACGTGAATTTGCTTTTCAGAGGCGTTCTTGAAGTTGCCTAGCCTTTCGATAAGAAAATGCAGCGAGGCTAAATAGTCTTGCAGCTTTCTGAAGTTTTCAAGCGTATCCGAACTCAGGGTCGTCAATTCATCATCCTTAAGTTGCTTTGTGGTGCTGAAATATTTCATGACCTGCTTCAAGATGGTGTTGATGATAGACAAGTTTTGGCTTTCTTCTGGCTGCGCTTCGGAGATCACCATGTTTTCAACACCATAAAGATTTCCACTATTCGAAGTAAATTGTCCCAAGTAGTACGAAAAGCGCTGGTGATCTTGAGACAGCGCCAGCTCTCTTTTCTCCATACGTTCCACCAGAATGCACAGTTTGGACCAAATATCCGCAAAGGTACTCAAACTCGAGTTAACTGTCTGTAAATTCTCCATGAAGTCAAGCTTGCTATGGTCAACAGGGTTTTCGTTCCATATCTGCGTAATATTATTGACAATGCTATCGTTATTGACCGTTTGTTCGGGCACTGATGTTTGCTCCTCAAGGTCAGGGTCCTGGTCATTCAGACCCCTCAGTACTTGGTCAAAGTTCATCCTGAACCGCTTCGGAAGGTTCAACTTGATCGATTCCAATTCGTCAGTAAGCTCAATGTTTGCAAACTTCTTCCAGTTGGAAAAATCATTAGGGACAGTCAAGAACATGATCACCAAATTCTCCTTAGAGAGTATTGGGTGCTTGCTCAATTGGTAAAGGAATCGCTGTAAACTGCGTCTTCGCTTCTGCAGGAATATAGAATCAGTGGAGGATGCTACTGGATCGTATTGTTAGTAAAGTTCAACAGGGAAGGCAGGTAGGGAAATACTTACACAATTTCTTGGGTGGCAACTCTGGAATTAGTCTGTATGGGTACTTGCGCCACAGCACTTCAACAAGCCAGGCAAAATCACTGTATCGTCTGATTATTTTTGTTTCTGATCCGGCAGGCTTGTCATTTTGATAAAACTCGCGAGGAAAACGAAGGTTATGGCTAATGAGGTAGTTGATGTGCTTGAAAACGAGGCCCTCCTTCTCCGGGATCTCTTTGACTCGGATTATCGTTTTATCCTCAGTGTTATGATATCCCAAGGGATTGAATGATGCAACCAGCTCTTCCGACCAGACAGTGTCCTGCTTCAAGTCCACTTCTTCCTGGTTTTCGGCATCCAAAGACTCCGGATTAGCCAGTGGGTCCAATGGTGATGCAGATTGATTGTGAGACAGCTCGCTGCCATTTGCTTGGCGACGATCAATATTCATCGCAGCAAAGTTATTGGCAAGGATGTCGTTGGAGTTGTAAGAACTCCAGTTATTATCCTCTAAAACAGAGGACTGAAGATTCTGAATGCTATGTGTAGCAGGCAATGCCCACGGGTCTTTGTCCATTAGAGAGTCTGCCGCTCCAAAACTATTTTCTGACATAAAATTAAAACAAGGCTTTAATTGTTCTATTCGCTTTCGTAGGAATATTTTAATCTGCGATAGGTCAACTCTTGCACAAAAATAAATTCATTCGTTCATGACTTCAGCCTTCAACAGGAATACTTTTATATATCAGCAGGTGGACGCCTTTGAAGGGCACCTCAAGGAACTTACAAACTCAATTCAGCAGTACGAGCCAAGCGTTGAAGTCGCTGCCAAACTGGTGGCCACTATGGACACGATTAACCAAGAATTAACCCAGCTTGAGAGATTGCACGAATTAAAACGAAATCAGGTATTTGAACAGAGCAAAGAAAACCTACGATTAAACGACGGAATGAGAAATATGCTTACATCTCTGATAGAATGTCGAAAAGAATTAAATGATTTACCCAGGTTAAGCATCCATGAGCAATTGCAGCTGGAGGATCTCGAGGCCAGGAAACCAAAATTGGACGCTGTGAAAGAACTTGTGGCATATGCCATGAAACTCGCCAAGTTCTCCAAAATTCCGCGCACCTTTGATGGTTTCCTATTGCCAAATAACTTTATATGGCCCGGTGATGACAATATGAGACGAGGAATGCTGGCAACAGCGTCTCTGATGCCAGAAAAAATCGTGCGGCACGAAAATGGTGAACCGGATGAAGGAGAGGATCTTCTAATGCAAGACACTGAAGAAACACAAAAGCAAGAAGTTGAGGACGATGATGAATTTGTCCCTGAGCGCCGAAACAGTTTCAAAACCTCTGCCAGCCCTGAAAAGAAGGACGCGGCCGCAATTATGGCTGGCATTGATCTTTTCGATGAAAGCGACGATGACTAAGCTTTCAGTCGGCTTTCTTATTCTCCAAGTAATAGCGCACATCTTTTTCAATATTCGCCAATGCTGAATGAAGGGCGTCAATCTCGGCTTGGTCGATGGCGACATTTTCGTTGGCTTTGACCCATTCATCAACTTCGTTCGTTAATTTGTCATAATTATCTTTGATTTCTTGAATATCAGGAACAACGAAATTTTCAACTTGCAGCTCTTCCTGGTTGTCAAATTCTGGGAGTTTACGCACGATGTCGTGGAGATCGGTGGCCGAATTGTAATGTTCTCTAAGCTGAGCCAACGAGATTTCTTTGTCCTGGACCTTTGCAGCCTTGATTGGTTGCAAATGGTAGGTTTGCAATTTTTTGGAAGCTCGTTTTCCTAAAGGACTATCAAAGAAAACGATGGTAGCAACACAACTAATGTGAACCCAGAAATAGCATGTTTTCCACAAGTTGAAAGAGGGAACAAATCTCAAAATCATGAATGGCTGCACGATGTACCCGAACGCCGACTGAGTAACAAACCAGCCGATTACATCATATAGGAATTTGTACTTCGACACATTAGAACCATCCTTTGAACAGAAAAGAGGCCGCAAGTTTCTGCGGAAAATCTTGCCGACTGTTTGCATGAAGGCACCGATGATAAAGGTCATATAATATCCAGGCATGGTTCCATGCCAGAAAGCAGATGTAAAAAAGGTAAGGAAAGTTGGCAGCATTCCTGGTTTCAATTGACCAGTTGTAGGATCTCGTTTGCATGTTCTCAGATAAATATAATTCTTTAACCATTTGTTGGTATTCATGTTCCAGGCTTCAAGACAATCGTGAACATTCTGACCAGTTTCGAAAGCGTATGGGTCAATGTTTTGGACTCTATTCCAGTACATTTTGCCAGTCTTCGAGTCATACCCATTGTAGCCCAAACCAGCAACAATGCAGCCAGCTTCGCTAATCGACCACACGGAATAGTATTTCATCCTGTGGACAATTCCCAAGATCCACAGGAAAATGATTTTGTAGAAAATTGACTGTTGGGTGAATTCAAACGACAATGCATAATCCAGCGTAATTATTGGCTTGATGTAGATCCATAAGACGGCCCAGAAAGCGCCCTGTGCCACTCTGTTCAAGGCAACCCGTCCACTCCGTGGAATCTTCCTTTTGGAGAAACGTCCTGGTCTTTTCTCCAGAGGAACATCATTGAAGATATCGGTCAAAATGAATTTTTCGTAGTCGCTATAGTCGAAAGAAGGACCAGTAACCAGAGATCCATAGAAAAACACGTATCCAAGATAGTATAGAATTGGTGGATATTTCAGGATTGCTCTGGATTTCTGGTACGTGTTCAGCTGATTGAACTTGTCGATGTCTTTGTGATACAGGCGACCGTCGCTGACAGACCATCCGAAGGAGCTAAGCTTTATGACCAAAACCATTTGTGCTCCGGTGATGTCAATCGCTGATGGATCATACTCAGGAGCTAAAAATTGCGCTTTCAGATGGTTCACGCACAAAAAGAGCATCAACGCGATCAAATTGACCCATGGCATAAGTCTTGACTTGTAGTACTTCACCAAGACGAATGTAAACAGAGCATTGAACAAAAGCACAAAGAAGCCAGACCAAATCTCGAGAATAAGGAAGATATACACGGCACTGACCGCAATAATGTAGTAATTCTTCAAGTGTATTTTTTGATCAGGAATCCGTTTGAAGATAGCACTCAGAGGAAACGACAAAAGCAAGCACGTCAGGATTTTACACGATCCCTCGTCAAGGCCGGAGAAACCCGAAAACCTGGCAATCGCCAATTGAAAAGGATTGTACATTAGACCAGATTAGACGATATCCTATTTTGGTGCCTTTTTTATTTTGCAAAACGTCGATCGTCCATTTTTTCGTTCATGCTCAAATCTGCTGGGAGAGCGCGTTCACTCCACCTCTCGGGCCTATTGCGGCCATCGGAGCAGTCGTACACTCTCACTAAAAAGTTCAATCATCCTCAGTCTCTTATGTATCAGCTGATATCGCAAGTTGACAAATACCACGAGTTTATTCCGTATTGCACAGAGTCCTTTGTGCGAGCGCGCGACAACCTCGGACAACCATTGGTGGCAGGGCTACGCGTGGGATTCCAGCAATTCGACGAAGAGTTTACGTGTGACCTACAGTGTAAGCAGCCTGAACTGATTGTGGCTCGTTCCATCACACATTCGTTGTTCAAGTTTCTAGAAACCAGGTGGACGGTGCATAATTTAGACGACGAGCACTGCAAGGCTGTGCTGAGTTTGCGCTACGAGTTCAAAAACGAGCTATACAATCATTTGAGTTCCTTTTTTGCCACCAAGGTTGCGAACTTGATGTTCCGGTCATTTGAAAAACGTGCGTTTCAGGTGGCTCAAGGCAAACTGTCCGGCAATTAATTAGTCTAGAAATAAAGATCCTGGAAATTTAAATCTTCAATATTTGGTTAACGGCCGCCTAATCGTGTACGTTTTTGAATTTCTGCACTCGAGTTTGAAAATCTGCCGCATTCCGACGTGTTGATATTCGTAAGCGGCCTGACCGTACAATTTCTGACGGTTTTCTATGTCTCAAATCTTGCTGAGAAGTTGGCTTTTGAGAATGGTAGGTGATGCAAATCCTGCTCTCGAGCTCCTATAACTTACATGAAGTAGTTCGCTAGCGGAGGATGCCACGGAGAGAATCGTTGCCGTACTTAGAAACTCTGATTCCTAAAATGGAAAAGGAAGAGAGTAGATATTGCTCGTCATTCAACAGGAAGTCAAAATACCCTTTGCTACTTCTAACTTGGAATAAAGCATTGACTTTGGACTTCTGCGAGCTTGCACTTCTGATAGCGAAACACTACTGCAGTCCATGGATCCCATTGTGTAAGAGAAGAGCTCAATTTGCCAAAGCTCTGATAGCTAAGGCGAACAGAATACACTCTATGCCTTATGAACTCTCCTCAGATGTGTTCAAGGCTCCGATTAATGGGCACAGGTGTTGCCCCTTAGCCTCGAAGCGTGGGGACGACGGCTTTTTTTTCTATAGCTTTTTTCTAGGCCCTAAGGACTATAGGAACGATTGGTTAGGTAAATTGGCCGCTGTCAATCCTCTAACTTTTAAGGATGGGACAGTACCAATCAATGTGAATTAAGAGGCCGGTACTAAAAAATTTAAGGATGCAACTGACCCTAAAGGGTGGTCCCCTTTGAGCACTGTGTTGCCAGGTACAGCCAATAAGTTGGTGCCTGAGAGCTCTGAGCGAGGCACAGAAAAGCATTGGGATTGATAACGGAGCTTGTCTCTTCAATAGAGCAGGCTGGGTTTTGATGCCACTGTTCAGATATTATTAATCAGAGGAGGCTTCTCTAAATTTTTGTCACATATTTTTCTGCGTTTCTACGGTAGTGATTGCTGACATTTTGAACTTCCATGCAGCAAGTGACGTTGTGCTGCTTGGAAAAAAATTGGTCTCACAAAAAAACAATATCAAACTCGCAATTAGGTTGCCTCATACAGGAGGCCATTGAAAGCCAGAGAATACGGCTCTGTTGTCACACCACTCACAGATAATCCAGCAATGGCCGTGAATACTCCCACCTTCGAATTTACGGTGCTTGGGTGCTCAGGGGGGCCTGTAGCAGGGAAAACCTGCGCATTTCTACTGAAGCCTTCGTCCATATCATTCCAACAAGCTCTTGAGAATGAGGTAGACTGCATCTTGGCACTGGACGCTGGTGCAGGTATTGAGACGATCGCCGAAATGATTGCAGATTGCCGAAAAAACACAGCTTCCGTTTCGTCTTACTTTAATCAATTATACAGCAACACGGAGGATCCGAGCTACTACAGCGACAACAGTGGACTGATGGACACTGAGCCATTTGAGGATGTCTCAAAAAACTCTACCAATTCCAGCCTCCAGCTTGCAAAAGGCATACTCAATCGCATGGCTGCCTATATCATAACTCATCCCCACCTTGATCACGTTTTGGGACTCGTGATAAACTCACCCTGTTTCACGCAACAAACACAAATCTATGGAACTCAGCAAACAATAGACAACTTGAAGAATCACATTTTTAACGACAAAGTCTGGCCATCATTATCGTATTTGTCCTTCAATTATTTGCAACCTTACACTGAAAATCTCAATATTACAGAATCTATCGCTGTGGAAACATTCCAGGTGAGCCATGGGATAACGCCACCCACCGAGGTGTATAAGAGCTCAGCGTTTCTATTCACAGAGACAAACGATAAGGGGAAGCTGCTTTTTTTCGGTGACGTAGAGAGTGACTTATCGTCAAACACCAGATATAATCAACAGATTTGGTTAAAAGTTGCCGATTACATACTCGCGAAAGAACTCAAAGCCATTGTGATTGAATGCTCGTCCGTGGACAAAAAACCGGGACAGCCTCTTTTCGGCCACATGACGCCGACCAATTTGATCAGCGAACTGCTAAATCTACGAAATATCTGTCTTGAGAAGGAAAAAGCTACCACACACCCCTTAGGCGGTCTCAATGTGCTTATAATACACGTCAAGGAAACATTCGACAATCTTGGTGACCCTCGGAAGCAGGTACTTGAGAGTCTAAGAGGATTGAACCAGATACATGATTTGCGGATAAAATTCACTATTTGTATGCCCGGGATAAGTTATTTCATATAAACGACGAAACGACCTATAATTGTGGTAACCCGTAGCCCGTGATATGCTTGGCGAAGTCCCACTTCATATCCTCGCACTTGACATCTTTGTGAAACTCGATGTTCTTTGTCGTCTTGTCCACAACGCACAAAGTGTACTTGTCCAAGGACCTTGCATCTCTATAAAACAGAATCTTCATACAGTCTTTCACCAAGTTGACGGCGTCTTCTTTGGTCAATTTCTCGACATCTTTCATGGTATCTGCTTTTTGCCTAAGCAAAGGAATCGCCAAATGTGCTCCAAATCCAGTAGCTAAGGATGGAGAAGCGTAAGACACGCCTAAAAGGTCAACATACTTCATAAACGGCTCGCCTTCTTCGTCGAAACCAGCAACGATACACGCGTTCCACAACGGATCCATCTTAGACCGGCGATTGTATAGCACTCTAGTTAGGTATTCGTGGACGTAGCTTGCTTTCAGATTATCTTGCTCCATGTCGTAGGAGTCCTCCACTGCGAGATCGTCTAGAATTCTTTCCAAATATTGCAAGTCACTGATATCACCAGAAATTCCGACAATCGTCTCTGAACCGACCCTAATAATTCTCTCCACATCATCCAATTTCATAAGAGAGCCGTAGGCTCCCATATTATCTGCCGCCATGACGACACCGTCTTTATAACGCACAGCAATAACCGACGTACCTGTGATCATTGGCTGTTGGGTGTGCATGGAAGGGAATTCAGCATTGGTGCGAACGTTTTCCGGGCGCTGATTGCTTGCTTGTGCGATTTGCGTGTTGTATGGGCCATAGACAGAATCCAATGGTTTTCCCCAATGGAAAGGATCGTGATTCATGATTGAGTGGCAAAATAATTCTCGATTCATTTTTTCTAGCAGGACGATATCTGGGTCGACCGACGCAAGATTAGCGATGATCGACTCGGACTCGAAATTCGCACAAAGAATAAATAATTTACATCATTCGTCATGAGAGTGTCTGTTCCAACGCTAGCCAAATACGTTCCTAGTATCAAGTTTGTGGGAGGTCCACATGTGATAACCAGTAAGTATCTACTATATAAAGTCTAACGTCAGAAAAAAACGGTCCTCCGGGCCCTCACCCTTGTGCTCCGGACCAGTTGATGCCAGCCAAAGCAGGATCCTCCACCGCTTCCAGCACTCAGAGCACCTCGAATGTTGGACCAGTTCCGTTTGAGAGCAGAAATTTTCTGTCTTCCCGCTTCAGATACAGTCCATTAGATGAGATCGAGATTGAGGACGTTAACACAGGTGGAGCGGAGTACCTTATAAGATAAAATCCATCCACTGAAGTGGGACTCAATTTCACGACACTAGAGGAAACATGTTGGATCTGGCTATTTCATTGCAGATTTGTCTCGCTGAGGACGTCACATATTCAAGTTATATAGCAGCTGAATGTCAATTGTATCAACTCAATGAATTCTCACCGACCTTCTAACGTTACGCCTCTTACCAGTTCTAAGAAATGTAGTGAGGCTAATTGCGACAGCATTGGGCTCAAAATATAGCAAGACAATAAAAAATAAATCTACTCTTTTGTTACCAGTCTCGTGTACTCTGAAAGTGCTAAAAAAATCGCCATAATTTATTTCACTTTCCTATTTTTCCATGTCGCAATCCAGATACGACTACGACGAGAACTCGGAAACGTGGCCGTATTTTGCGCTCACAAGTGTGCTGCTGCCTCTTGCGCCGGCCACTTGGTCATTGGTGAGGGAAAACTTGAGTCGTGGCTCGAAAGACGGGGACCGGTTACGCCCCGTGTCATGGTTCAAACCTTACAACGAATCGGCGCAGAAACACTACAAGAGCAAGAAGCGTACCAGGAGCATCTTTTCACGAAAATTTGTTCTTGTTGCGTTAGGCTGGCTGCTTGTCGCTGGAATAGTGTACCAGATCATGGTGCAAGAAGTGGTCGTCGGAGAAACCAACTTTGATCCTTGGAAAATCCTTCAAATCGACGAATCGGCCTCTGAGAAGGTCATCAAGGCCGCTTACCGGAAATTGTCTTTGAAGTTCCATCCAGATAAAGTTGACACGTCCAAGATGACTCCAAAGGAGATCGAGGCGGTTGATTCTGCTTACGTGCTGATAAACAAGGCTTACAAGGCGTTGACGGACGACGCCGTTCGAGAGAATTTTCTCAAATATGGCAACCCTGACGGGCCGGGAGACGTGAAGCACGGAATTGCTTTACCGAAATTCCTCATTGAGGGCAAGATTTCGCCTCTACTTGTGATAGCTTACGTTCTTCTTATTGCTATTATTTTGCCTAGTGTTGTTGGCTCGTGGTGGAACGGTGTCAGATCATACACTAAACAAGGACTTCACGTTGACACTGCTGCCCACTTTCTAGATATCCTGATCAACTACAATCCTGCCAAGCTCTACCAGATTGAGACGGTGCTGGAGTACCTTAGTTCCTCTACTGAATACAAGTCCATCGACAAGTCTCTCACCCCCGAAAAGGTTTTGAAGCTGTTGTTTGCTCATCTGGAGAGGAAAGCTCTCGACTCCAAGGATGAACAGTTGAAACTGGAAGTTGTGGCTATGACTCCGAAATTGATCATTGGGTTTATCGATATTGCATCGAATTTCAGGAATACTGATATCTGTTTGAAACTAGTGGAGGCACACAGATGTGTTATTCAAGCCCTTAATATCGAAAGCAACGCCATGGCTTACAAATACAGACAAATTTTGCAGCTTCCCGGCGTCGAGCTTTATAATTTGGATACCAAACAGCCAATCTACAGTTTGGGCAAGTTGCTGAAAAATCCGAGTGTAGAGCCGGAAAAATTCCTGAACTGTGCCAACACAGATGAGGTACTAAAGCTCGCTTCTCAAATCCCGCTAATGGAGCCTCTGGAATGCAAATTCAAAGTCACTGGCGAGTCTTATGTTCCTCCTAATTCGACCGTACACATCAGCCTGAAATTTCTGGTCAAGTCTCCCGCTCATAAATCTAAACCAGAAATTTCAAAGTTGAGCAAAGAGGTGCAGGAGACGCAGCTCAATGAGCAGGAGACACTGGAAACATTGAGAAACCCAATGAAAATCGTGGAGGACCAACCCGCAATCACACTTTCTTCGGCCCCTGTTTATTTCCCTGATCCAGAATATTTGAAAGAAAACAACGGATGGATTGCCTTTTTAATAATCCAGAGAGATGGAAAGCTAGGAGAGAACCCGCAGTATGTTTCCAAGGTCGACCTCTCCAACCTCCGATTGAGTCAAGAAGAGTATTTGGAGTCCAAGGCCGTTGTCTCCACATTTAAATTCCCTCTTACTGCCCCTACACCTAACGAGGAAGGAAAGTTCCAGTTCCGTCTTGCCTTGAGACATTTGGTCTACTTCGGCTCCGATTTGGACATTCCTTTGGTAATGGAAGTCGAAAATAAGCCAATTGAGAAGACCAACAAAGATCTGTACGAAATTGAAGATCCAGAAGAAGACTCTCTTGCTGGAGCTTTGGCCCAGATGCGTGGAGAGAGTGTGCGTAAAATTGAGGATGATTACAGCAGCTCTGAGGACGAGTCTGAAGAAGAGGAGGAAGTTGACTGGACAGATATAGATACAGATACTGATGCCGAGGAGGAAGAGAAGGAGAAATAGATGTGGTCAATGTCATTAGCTATTACCCCGTATGATTCTATTTGCATAGTCGAGTAATTGTCCGTTACCTTCCTGGGTAACAAAGAACCTCTTTCTAGAGCGGTCTTTCCAAACAATCACGCCAATTTCTTCGCCATATGCAAGAAGCCTCTCAAACTCGATGTCTGTGGAGAAGTCTTTGTAAAGATAGCCTTTAAATGATTGGATACGATCAAGTTCTAACTGCCAAAGTTTGATTTGATCCACCACTGTAGGCGGTAGAATTTCAAGGTCCACCTGTCTATGACCTGCAGGGTTCCCAATTGAGCTCTCGAGCTCTAATTTGCGTGCCAACTTGTCTTCGGCTTGTTTCACCATCCATGGATGCGCGTGAGAACCTAAATAGTTGATCATCTGGTCAGCAGTGATTCCGTTAATCAAAGCGCGACGAACGGATTCTCTGGTGATGACCCCGGTGACCATGTTCGCGAACCGGGCTTTCAGATGCACAAACAGGTTTAAAATGGCAATCTGCAATGGCGAAGACGTGTAGCAGTATATCTTGAAATTTGTTTCCACCACGATGGTGCCCTGATTGTTGCTGTTTTTCGAGTTGGTGATTTCTTGGTCAATTGCGGCGGCTGAGGTCTTGAAGTTCGTATGTTCGGATGTTAGTGTCGTTGCCAGTCGGGTGGGATAGAATATCTTCTTGTTTGTTTTTGAAGGAGTGTAAATGAGTCCATAATCAATAAGGTCGTCTAGCATTATTTTCTGAGTGTCACTCAGGGGCTCCACGGGATATCCTTGTCCGAGCTCCAAGGATCCTAGCATGAAGATGAAATTCAGCACCTCGACCGGGTTCATCATAAGTTTCTCGGACATTTTTAGGTATTGAAGTAACAGCGTCCAAATCTGCGAGTTGATGTCTTGCAGAAGAAACTGAAACCCGTTCTGTGTAATGAGCAAGTTTTTCAGTGTTTGAATGGAAGGCGACTGTTGCAATTTGGGGTGAAATTCGTAGTCGTCGCCAAGACGCTCTCTTTGTTCTCTGTCCGACGGGAGCTCCATCAACCCACTGTATCTAAGCAGAGTTAATACTCCCACACTAGGTAGCTCTTTCGTTTCTGAGCCGACCATAAAATGCAATATACTCTCCCACCTGTGCAAACAATATGTATCCAGGAACTCAACGCTTATGGTTTCTATACTTTCCAGATTGTTGTCCTCCACAACCTCGCTAGCGTCTCGACTTCCTGTCAATGCATTTCTGAAGCTTTGTCTGAACGTTGGATTCAGCGAGACAAAGGGTAATTGCGTCGTCTGGCCAGTTTGGGGATGAGTGAATATACGTCTTGTTTCTTTAAGCAAGTTCAATGCCTTGAGTCGCTTCAACGAGTCATTTTGATAGATCTTGCTTAAATTGCGCGACCCATTGAAAGAGCTAGATTTAATCCACCTGTTCAAATCAGTAGAAGGAATTGCAGTGTCTTGGAACAACATTGTCATAATGTAAAACTTTGCGAGCGAAGGTAATAACCTGAACACGGCCAGACAAGTCTCGGGCGATCTGTAAAGCTGCAAATGGACGGTCTCAGGTAAGTTGTCGAGATACTCATTAATTGTCGACTTAAAGAGTTCTGACTGGCCTGATGATGCTGACTGCTCAGACATTGTTGAAGATGGATCAGGAAAAAAATCACTTTGACGGAAAAATAAATAGCCCAAAAAATAATTCAAAAATTTTTTATTGATAGTACATGTCCTTCGAGGATCTGCTGCAGCCGTCCTACAAGGGAAAATCTCTGACGGATCCAATCAACACCGCTGAGGATAAGTGGAACCTGCTCCCAGCGTTTCTTCAGGTGAAAGGATTGGTGAAACAGCACTTGGACTCGTTCAACTTCTTCGTGGACACAGATCTGAAGAAGATCATTCAAGCCAACGAAAAGGTGTTGAGTGACGTTGATCCGGAGTTCTATCTGAAATATCTAGACATTAGAGTTGGATACAAGAGCGGAGGAAACCCGAAGGAAACCGAAGTTCTTCTTCCGCCTCACGAATGTAGACTTCGTGACCTGACTTACAGTGCTCCCATCTATGTGGATGTTGAATATACTAGAGGCCGGAAGATCATTATTCACAGAGACCTTGAGATCGGACGCATGCCTATCATGTTGAGGTCAAACAAGTGCATTTTGAACGGCAAAAATGAGGCCGAGATGGCGTATCTGAACGAGTGTCCTTTGGATCCTGGAGGATATTTCATTGTCAACGGCACAGAGAAGGTCATTTTGGTTCAAGAGCAACTAAGCAAGAACAGAATTATTGTCGAAGCTGACGAAAAGAAGAACATCGTGCAGGCTTCTGTCACTTCCTCCACACACGAGAGAAAATCCAAAACCTATGTCGTTACGAAAAATGATAAGATATACCTCAAACACAACTCCATTAGTGAGGAAATACCGATTGTGATTGTTTTGAAGGCTGCAGGTCTTGTTTCGGACCTGGAGATTTTGCAGCTGGTGTGCGGTAACGATTCGGTCTACCAAGATCTCTTCGCTGTGAATTTTGAAGAGGCGGCAAAGTTGGGGATCTATTCTCAGAAAGAAGCTCTTGAGTACATCGGACGCAAAGTGAAGACCATCAGAAGACTGAATGCCCCCAAGCTCAGTATTCTCCAGGAAGGTATCGAGGCCATTGCCACCACCGTTATCGCGCACATCACTGTTGAGAATCTTGATTTCAAAGAGAAAGCCCTGTATATAGCCATAATGACGCGCAGAGTCATCATGGCAATGCACAACCCCAAACTGGTTGACGATAGAGATTACGTGGGTAACAAGCGGTTAGAGCTGGCAGGCCAACTGATGTCCCTGCTGTTTGAGGATTTATTCAAAAAATTCAATAACGACTTCAAGGCCAACCTGGATAAAATCCTCAAGAAACCAAGCCGCGTTTCTGAATTTGACGCGTTGCTCCACATCAATATTCACTCGAGCAACATTACGACGGGTTTAAACAGGGCCATCTCTACAGGTAACTGGTCGCTCAAGAGGTTCAAGATGGAAAGGGCCGGAGTCACCCATGTTTTGAGTCGATTGTCTTATATATCGGCCCTTGGTATGATGACACGAATCTCGTCGCAATTCGAGAAATCCAGAAAAGTGTCTGGACCTCGTGCTTTGCAGCCATCTCAGTTTGGTATGCTCTGTACCTCTGATACTCCTGAAGGAGAGGCCTGTGGACTGGTGAAGAACCTAGCGTTGATGACCCACATTACCACGGATGACGAGGAAGAGCCTATCAAGAAACTTTGCTACATTCTTGGCGCCGAAGACATTTCAGTCATAGATAGCTCTACTTTGCATAACAACGGGACTTTTGGTGTGCATTTGAACGGTACTCTCATTGGTACTACCAGATTCCCGAACGTTTTCGTTTCCAAATTCAGACATCTGAGAAGAACCGGCAAGATCTCGGCCTTTGTTTCCATCTTTACCAATGTCCATCAGTCAGCAGTTCACATTGCTGCTGACGGTGGCAGAATTTGCAGACCACTCATCATTGTGGAAAATGGCAAAGCAAAAGTCACCGCAGAACATCTTAGACGTCTCCGCGATGGAGAGTGGTCCTTCGACGATTTTCTCACGAACGGGCTAGTTGAATATCTGGACGTTAACGAAGAAAACGACTCTCTTATTGCGCTTTACGAGAAAGACATAACTGGCAGCACTACACATTTGGAGATCGAGCCCTTCACTGTTCTTGGTGCTGTGGCCGGTTTGATTCCATATCCGCACCATAATCAATCGCCAAGAAATACTTATCAATGTGCGATGGGTAAGCAGGCGATCGGAGCCATTGCATATAACCAGTTCCGTCGGATTGATACCTTATTATATCTGATGTGCTATCCCCAACAGCCAATGGTGAAAACCAAGACAATCGAGCTGATCGACTATGACAAGCTGCCAGCCGGTCAAAATGCCACCGTCGCCGTTATGTCTTACTCGGGCTACGATATTGAAGACGCATTGGTGCTTAATAAGGCTTCGATTGATAGAGGATTTGGTCGCTGTCAGGTGCTGCGGAAGACTACGGCGGTGCTTAAGCGGTATCCTAACCACTCAAAGGACATTTTGGCGGGGATGAGAGTGAAGGAAGACGGAAAGCCAATTTTCCAGCATGAAGCTTTAGGCCCAGATGGATTGGCCGAAGTCGGTGTTGAAGTGCAGAGCGGACAGACCTACATTAATAAATGTGTTCCGACAAATGCAACCGAGAGCGTTGTTGGAGGACAACCTACCATCAACCAGCAGCAACAGCATAGAGAAACTCCGGTCAACTACCGTGCGCCGGTTTCTAGTGTTGTCGATCAAGTGATGATGTCTGTGAGCGACAACGATCAGGCCCTGATCAAAGTGCTGCTGAGGCAGACCCGCCGTCCCGAGCTGGGCGACAAATTTTCGTCTCGTCACGGCCAGAAGGGAGTGTGTGGTATCATTGTTCAGCAGGAGGACATGCCATTTAACGACGACGGGATCAGTCCAGATATTATCATGAATCCGCATGGTTTCCCATCGAGAATGACGGTTGGAAAAATGCTCGAACTGGTTTCTGGCAAAGCAGGTGTTCTGGATGGATCCCTACAATACGGAACATGCTTTGGCGGATCCAAGCTGGAAGACATGTCGCAGATCCTCATAGACAAGGGATTTAACTACAGCGGAAAAGATATGCTTTACAGTGGAATTACTGGAGAAGCGTTGCAAGCGTACATTTTCTTTGGTCCGATCTATTATCAGAAACTGAAGCATATGGTGCTGGATAAAATGCATGCCAGGGCCAGAGGTCCCCGTGCTGTGCTGACAAGACAACCTACGGAAGGCCGTTCCAGAGATGGCGGATTACGTTTGGGAGAGATGGAAAGAGACTGTGTGATTGCGTACGGCGCATCGCAGTTGTTACTGGAACGTTTGATGTTGAGTTCGGATGCGTTTGACGTCGATGTCTGTAACTCTTGTGGACTGATGGGCTACAACAGCTGGTGTCCTTCTTGTAAGACAAGCGAGGGAGTAGTGAAAATGACAATTCCCTACGCTGCAAAGCTGTTATTCCAAGAGTTGATTTCGATGAATATTGCACCAAGGTTGAAAATGGCCGATGTTTTCTAGACCGAGTAAGTAATCTAAAAAATTATGTGATCTAAAATTTTTTTTTAATTTGAAAAAAAATTCAAAACTTTTACCTTTCACTATGGCTAAGGCTAAAAAGTCCACTAAAAAGTTCCAGGCGAAGAACCTGAAGAGCACAATTGAGCAACGAAAGAAGGTGCAGAAGTACAACAAGCTTCACAAAAAAAAGAGCTCTTCCGGTCCTGTTCCTCAACCTCAGGACAAGAGAGATAAAGAGATCTTTGAGGATATGGATGTCGAAGAATTTTTCGATGCAGACATTGAGCTCCCGAAACAGCCAGCCATGAAGAAACAAAAGGATGAAGAGACTGATGGTGAGAGCAGTTCCAGCGGCAGTGAGGCGGAATTCGACGAACAAGATCTGAAGGACTTAGAAAAAGACGATCCAGAGTTCTACAAGTACTTGCAAGAAAATGACAAAGATCTGTTAGATTTCAAACCCGTGAATCCACTCGAAGCAATGAGCGATGATGAAGACGATGCCGATGAGGAGCAAGAAGAAAACCCCGTGCCAGAGGAGGACAAAGAGGAAGATACCATCGAAGTGACTGTAGATATGATTAAACAGTGGGAGGCCAACTTGAGGTCAGACCAGCCTACCATCAAGACTCTGAAAACAGTTGTCATTGCTTTCAAAGCTGCAGTCCACACCGGATCTTCAGGAACATACAAATACAGCGTTACAGATGAGAAAGCTTTCCACAAGCTGATGTTCCTTGCTTTGCAAGAACTGACTCTAAGTGTTCAGAAATTAGTGCCCTACAAGATTTCATCTCACGGTACCAGAAACTTGCCTTCGAATAAGAAAGTCGCTCAAATCAGCACGCTTCTCAAGTCGCATGCAGGATCGCTAATATTGCTCCTCAACGATATCACTAATACCGAGACAGCTACTTTGGTGCTGAAGTCCGTTCAAGAGCTGCTTCCGTACTATGTTTCTCACAGAAAGCTTATCAAGGAGATGATGAACGCTGTGGTGAACGTTTGGAGCTCTTCTCAAGACGTGGAAACGCAAATCGCGGCCTTTGCGTTCCTCAATAACTCCAGCAGAGAATATCCAAAAGCCATCCTCGAGCTAGTTTTGAAAAGCACTTACTCTAGCTTCATTAAAAAGTGCAGAAAGACTAATGTCCACACAATGCCTATGATCAACTTCCAGAAAAATTCGGCCGTGGAGCTTTTTGGAATTGACCAGACTCTTGGGTTCCAGATCGGATTCGAATATATTCGTCAGCTGGCTATCCATTTGAGGAATAGCGTTAACACCACCACCAAGGACAGCTACAAAGCAATTTACAACTGGCAGTACTGCCACTCGCTAGATTTCTGGTCCAGAATGATTTCTGCCCACTGTCATCCAGAGACAGAAAAGGCTAACAAAAAGGAGGCTCCTTTGAGGCAACTTATCTATCCTCTTGTCCAGGTCACTTTGGGAGCGATCAGACTGCTACCAACGGCCCAGTTTTTCCCCTTACGCTTCTACCTCATCAGATCCCTCATTAGACTATCCCAGAACACAGGTGTGTACATCCCGCTCTTTCCGCTAGTCGTCGAGGTGCTCAGTTCCTCGGCTGTCACCAAGAAACCCAAGCATGCTCATCTTCAGGCCGTTTCGTTCGATTACGTCATCAAGGTTCCTAAACAGTATCTCGGGACTAGAGTTTACCAGGAGGGGCTCATTGAGCAGGTTGTTGAGCTGGTAGCCGAGTTCTTTGTCTTGCACTGCAAGAGCATCGCTTTCCCAGAGCTGATCACTCCGGCCGTGATTTATTTGAGAAGGTACATGAAAAGATCTACCAACATCAAGCTTGTGAAACAGCTAGGCACCCTGGTGGACAAACTCAACGCCAACGCCAAGTACATCGAGAAAGAAAGATCTACTGTTGAGTTTGGACCAAACAATAGAGTTGAGGTCGGCATGTTCTTACACGAAGTCGATTGGCAGAAGACACCGTTGGGAGCATACGTTGCCGTGCAGCGTGAGGTGAAAGAGGCTCGTGAAAAGGCTCTGCGCGAATCTTTCGAGAGCGAGAGCGACGGCGGAAGCGGTGGAAGCGAGGTGAGTGACGCTGAAGAGGTCGATGTAGACTCTGAGGAGGAGGAATAAATATTCTTGTATATTGACGGCCGATCACAAAATTTGTCGTTTTTGGTAACGATAGACATAAAAAATAGGTGAATAGATAACAGCCAAAAAGATAAACCCAATAAGGAAAATAATAATTACGTGCATGGTGTCTCACTCAGTATTGCAGTATTTGCTGGTCATCGCGTCCACCACCGCTGCTCATTACAGCTCATCATTTAGGGCAGATGGATCCTCGTGTCCTTCTGATATCCCGTTATCGTGCACCAATTCCTCGCAAATTCCAGATACCTGTTGTTTTGAATATCCCGGGGGAGTTTTGCTGCAAACGCAGTTTTGGGACTACGATTACCCCACAGGCCCAGACGATATGTTCACTTTGCATGGATTGTGGCCCGACAACTGTGACGGCACATATAGCCAATTCTGCGACAGCTCGCTTCAAATTTCCGACGCCGAGGAAGTGCTGATCTCATTTGGCGAGCAACAGTTATTGGAAAGGATGCACGAGGTCTGGAAGGACTACCAGGGAAACGACAATAACTTATGGGTCCACGAATTTAACAAGCACGGCACCTGTTTGAGCACTATAAAGCCCTCTTGCTACGAGAACTTCGAGACTAACAGAGAAGTGGTTGATTACTTCCGAAAGTCAGTCGAGCTGTTTGAAGGACTACCCACCTACAAATGGCTTGAGGCTGCTGGAATTACGCCGTCGGACTCCCGGACTTACTCCAAGCAGCAGATTGACGAGGCCCTCAGGTCCAGGTTCGGCAAGGAGGTCTACTTCAAGTGCGACAGAAACCACGCCCTGAATGAAATCTGGTATTTTCACCATCTGCGTGGATCCATCCCCCAGGGCAACTACGTCCCAATTGATGCCATGATCTCCTCAAACTGCCCGTCCTTTGGCATCAAGTTCCCTCTGAAGAAGGCCTCCTCTACATCATCTGACACCATCACTGCAACCAAGACCTCAGCCACAAGCACCGCCACACCTACGGGCAACGGAGGCTACCTCAAGCTCGAGAACCAGGCTGGTTGTCTGATCAGCAACGGTAAATGGTTTGTGTCGGGCACATGCGCCACGTATAAGCTGTCAGAGGCAAGTTTCGGTGGTTACCAGCTGGCTTCGTCAAAGGGAGTTTGTGGTATCGACTCCGATGGCTACTTTGCCTGTGGTAGCGGCGTCATTGCTGCGCAATTCGACTACGATTCGTCCTCCGGGCACGTCACATACGGAGGACAGCCAGGATGGTCTGCCGGTAGAGTGCCGTCCCGGAACGCGCAGGTTCCTATAGTGCCTGGCTCTAGTCTAAATGTCAACTTTAGATTGATCTTCGAGGCCAGATAGAAAATTATCCAATAGATTTTATTCATAGTAAGCAAAATAGATATTTCTGATTTATTGCTAATTTGCAAATTAGTCATGTCTTCGCTACGTCCGCTGTCTCCAGAACCGGTCTCAGGGGACGAAATCCCGATAGGGATTCCTGCGACTCCATCATCGAACAGACTCAGTCTCAAGGTCGTGCGGACTCTCGCACTTCTCCAAAAGTACTCTACTATTCCTATGGGCTTCTTTACAGTAGTGCATCTATCAGGCGTCATGATTGCTCCACCAATTGCTGGCATCGATGTCGCTGAGCAGGTGATATCCATGGGCCGTGAACTATACCAAACGGGTTCCTCAGAAACTGTTCTTTTTGCCTCAGCCTGTGTTCACGTCTTGAGCGGCATTGCTCTACAATTTGCGAAAAAATGGGACAACTATGTGAAGTACGGGAGATCGCGCAGGAACACCTCACCGGCAATTTCGTCCGCTAAAGAAGCAGAGATTGATAAAAGCAGCGGGCTTGGAGGAATCACATATTTATTGGGACTTGGACCCAGACCTTCGCTAAGCTTCAAAATGCTAGGACTGACGCCTCTGCGGTTTTCTGGCTATTTCTTGCTTCCATTGCTCATCTTGCATGTTTTACACCAGCGAATAGCGCCCCTGGCCGTGGATGCAGACTCGTCCATGGTGGATTTGTCCTATATTGCGTGGGCCGTCGCACAAAGCCCATTTATGAGAGCCACTGGCCTGATTACCTTGGTGGGAGTGACATCCTATCATATTCTCGCCGGAGCACTGCAGTATCTGCGCTGGTACAGCCGAAGAGCTCGCAAGAATGCGTACAGAATAATTTTTTTCAACACCACCTTGGCGGCCCTCAGTGTGTTCAGCATCTCCAGGATCGATCCGCCTTCGGGTTCTACTGCCCGCAAATTCGCTGCTTATATGAGCCATTTTGGCATCTAATTTATGACTATTTACATTATTAACTCGAGCAGACGTCGCAAGTCTCTGGATCTCCAAGCTTGCAAGCAAGAACATTATCCTTATCATAAATGTTGTAACCTTCGGTGGTATCATTCCCATTTGACTTGCGTTTCTTTGTCGTATCCGTAGGCTCTAAGATGCTTCTTTTGAACCCAGAGGGCGTGACAGTAAATTTGATAGCAGATGCAGCAGCCTGGGTTCGCAAATAATATATGCCTGTTTTCAGCCCTTTCTTCCATGCATAGAAGTGCATGCTAGTCAGCTTGGACATGGTTGGATTCCGCATGAATAGGTTCATGCTCTGGGACTGGTCAACGAAAGGAGCACGGTCTGCAGCCATATCTATAAGTGCTCGCTGCTGAATTTCCCAAACCGTTTTATAGATCTCCTTGATGTCTGCAGGAATGTTTTCGATGGCTTGGATGGATCCCTCCAATCGAAGGATTTCATTTTTCATTTCGGGGCCCCACAGTCCCAGGTCCACAAGATCATTGACCAAGTACCTGTTTACAACCTGAAACTCCCCCGATAAAACTCTTCTTGAATACATGTTTGAGGTGATTGGCTCAAAACATTCTGTAAATCCAAAGATCTGCGACGTAGAGGCGGTGGGCATTAGAGCAACCAGTAAAGAGTTTCTCACACCATTCCGATGTATCTTAGCTTTCAAATCTTTCCAGTCCCACATATCACTTGGTTTCGCGTTCCAAAAGTCATACTGCAAGACTCCTTTCGAGACTGGAGAGCCAACATAGGAGTCGTACGGCCCATATATTTCGGCCAGTTCAGCTGAGGTTTCTAAAGCTGCATGGTAGATTGTTTCAAATATGAGGATGTTCAGTTTCCTACTTTCTGGAGAACCGAAAGGCATTCGCAGCTTGAAAAACACATCAGCAAGACCCTGCACACCAATGGCAATTGGTCTGTGCCTTTTGTTTGAAGTCTCGGCTTCCGGCAAAGGATAAGACCCCACGTCAATCACAGTATCCAGATTATGAGCCAGGGTCTTACAAACATCGTGGAGGAGTTGAAAATTGAACTTCCGCTCCCCCTTACCATCTTGTACAAAAGAAGGAAGAGCCAAAGAGCCCAAATTGCAGACGGCCGTCTCTTCACTGGATGAATATTCAACAATCTCACAACAGAGATTGGACGACTTGATGGTACCCAAATTTTGCTGGTTAGACTTTTTATTGCAGGCATCCTTGTATAGCAGGAAAGGATTCCCTGTTTCTGTCTGAGCAACTAGTATCGCATGCCACAGTTTCTGTGCCCTCACTTTCCGAATATAACGACCCTCAGTCTCATATTTGTTGTAAAGCTTGACGAAGTCATCTCCATACGAGTCACTGAGTCCAGGAGATTGATCCTCGGAAAAAAGACACCACTCTTGGTCCTTCTCGACTTTCTCCATGAACAGATCTGGTATCCACAAGGCATAAAATAGATCTCTTGCGCGCGCTTCTTCCTTTCCATGGTTTTTCCTTAAGTCTAAGAACTCAAACACATCCGCATGCCACGGCTCCAAATACATGCAAAAAGCACCAGGTCTCTTGTTGCCACCTTGGTCCACATACTTTGCTGTGCTGTTGAAGACTTGAACCATAGGCACAAGCCCGTTGGATGTGCCATTGGTTCCAGAAATATAAGAACCGGCAGCACGTATGTTCGAAACGTGTATTCCAATTCCACCGGCTGCTTTCGAAATGAGGGCAGACTTATGAATCGTTCTGAAAATACCATTTATCGAATCTCCATCCATAGCAAGAAGAAAACAGGAGGATAGATTAGGCGTCTCTGTACCTGCGTTGAACAGAGTAGGCGAAGCATGGATAAAGTATTTTTGGGACATAAGTCTGTATGTTTCAAGGACACGTTCTATATTGCCTTTGTGTATTCCCACGGCCACTCTCATAAACAAATACTGAGGAGTCTCGCACGGTCTCCCATCCATCTTGAGCAAATATGATCTTTCCATAGTTTTGAAGCCAAAGTAGTCCAGCTCCAAATCTCTTTCAAAATCGATCGCTTTATTCAGCACCTCAGCATGTTTGTTAACAATTTCATGGACATCGGCAGCAATGAGAGATTTGAAGTGGCGATATTGCGAGGGACGATACTTTCTCATCCTATTGACATTTTCTGAAAAACTACCACATACGTGCTTCTGCAGATGACAAACCAGTATTCTGGCTGCAAGGTAGGAATGATCGTAGTGCACAGTAGTCAGGGAGGCACTCACTTCAGCTGTCAACTCAAGCAGCTCTTGAACAGTGAGGCTCTCGGGGAGACCACTAACGACTTTATCGAGAATCACATCAATGCTGACAAACTCCGTGTTCAGTCCTTTTGTCAGGGACAACAGGTGATTTCGCAATGTGTCTCTGCTAAAGACAGACTCCTTCCCGCTCTTCGAGTCCTTAACGATGGTCTTTGTGTCTGCTGTCATTGCTTTCGACCCATGTGCAGGAAAAACCAATGCTCTTGCCCTTTAACTGTTTTCTAACGAAAAAAAATATGCACTTAATAAGGTTTCCCCAAGCGTTAGAGTGAAACAAAAAGAAACTACATCCGTACACCATCTCAGATTAGGTACGAGCTATGCAATAAGTCAGTATCCACTTGGCGTTAGTAAGGAGGTAGCGACACGCAGAGGTCCACTCCTCGTTGGAACTGCGGGCAGATGGTCTGATGGGATACCCAGCAACTTTGTCTTCAGTCATTTTGTACGGCAAGTCATTCGACTCGTCCAGCTGTTTAAGCTTGCGTCCAATTTGCGAGACTATGTCCACCAGGGCAACCATTCCTGCATCCAGCTGGTTGTGTGTAAGCAGCTTCCCTATGGAGAACTCTCCGTTGCTAAACAGATCCAGTGTTTGCTTGGATATCGTTCCGTTTCGGTCTTTTCTGTATTTTTCAATCCGCGACGTGGACCCCATAGGAATAATACGGTATCCGTCCAATTGGAAATCCAGGATGCGCACCACAGTGGCCAACAAAAGCGCAAGTTGACCCAAAGCTGCGTTAATCTCATGCCAGGATACCTTGACGTTATCGAGGTTTCCGAGTCGAAGGCCGTTTATAGTGCCAAACTGATCATCATGCGAAATCATGAAAACGTCGTTGAATACGTTGGTTTTGCGCAAAGAGTCTAATCTGTTCAGGTTATACTCGTACGAAGCTTTGATGCGCTCTCGCTCGTTGACAAACTCAATTAGTTCGAGATCGTACGCATTCTTCTGTAGGCAAAAATCCTTCTCCTGGTTGTCTAGATCTTCTAACTCCTGTTCAACTTCTACCAGTTGCTCTGTTAATTGTTCCTGTTCTTTTTCTGCCTTTTCAAGCTCTTCCAGCAGTTTCGTCTCTTCCTCTTTTAGGACGGCGAGTTCGTCCAACGAGTCCTGGGCCTTGTTCCTATTTGGGCCGCTCTGTGCTGTGAGTTTCTTGAGAAATTGCACATATGTGTCTTTTTCCTTTGTCATCTGCTCAAATTGGATCTTCAGCTGGTCTATTAATGTAGATGCGCAGTCTGTACAGACTGGATAATCAATTTCATATTTGGAAGACAGAATGCTGAAGATGTTGTCTAACGACGCCACCCGCTCGCTGACCGACACTTTATCCATAGAAGGCTGTTTTTTGTCTTCTAGAATCACAAACGACCCATCTTCAGCGTGTAAGGCGTCTGATCCCTTGCTGGAAACGAGTGGCTTACTACCACTGGTTTTCGAAGCCTCTTCAAACAATGTCACCCGTTCTGGAGGAAGAACAGGATACTCATCCAAATCTTTTGGATGATCCTCGTTCGGCCGTTGGCCATAGCTGAGAGTGAGCAGATGCTTCTGTGCATTGCTTAGGCCCTGCAGAGACTCGTCAATGACCAACGGGAGCTTGCACCGTTGACATGTATATTGAGCCATAACAAACGAGAATTCGATAGCACAGCCGTATTTTTCTCCACTGATGCATGGTAGCACTCTTATTAGCAATCTATATATTCACCTCTATCTCTCCTCCAACGAAAAAACGACATCCTTGTGAGCCTTAGGATCGTACGGCTCAATTAGAAATCTGGAAAACAGCTTCAAATTATGGACACCACGGATCTCGTTACCGAGGAGAGGCATCTTGACAAGATGGTAGTCCTCGTAAAGCTCGTCCATCTGGTCGAGGTACTTGCGTTGCATCTTCCATCTGGACTGGCAGCGCTTGCATTGATCATCGTCTGCAAAGAGCAGCTGGTTCACCACGATCGAGTTGACGTCCATGTGGTACTTTGTCAAGTCTTGGACGAGTCTCTCGGTCTCATATAACGACAAAAACTCCGAGATACACACACAGATAAATGTCGTAAGTTCGGGATCCTGGAATTGTTTGTTCACCTCAGTCACCTGCGTCTTGATCTCGGCAAGCTTGTTGAACATCTCTGTCTTTTGGTCTCCGCCCATCATGTTAAGTAGCGGTCCTAGTCTGCCACTAATCTCGTTGAACTTACCCAGCAAGGTTTCCAACGTGGATGGCAACTGAAGAAACCTCAACGTGTGTCCAGTAGGGGCAGTATCAAAAACAATAGTGTCGTACTTGATCACCGACGAGTCTTCGTTTTTCTGATTCTTGATATGCTTCAGGACCTCCATGAATGAAAAAGCTTCGTCAATACCTGGAATGGAGCCTGTGACTTCGCTCATCATGCCATTAAGTGGATCGTTCTGGTCCGTACCAGAACCATTGTTGGCGATGAATTCTTCCAGCGATGAGGATGGATCGATCTCCATGCACGACAGATTCGAGATACCATCCACAACTCTGGCGTCTTTGCCAAATTTCTGATCGAATGCGTCGGACAAGTTGTGGGCAGGATCGGTTGAAATAAGCAAATAGTTCTTGGTTGGATTATGGAGGGCAAGTTGGATGGCAATGGACGAGGACGTTGTCGTTTTACCGACACCTCCCTTCCCACCGACGAAAATCCATTTCAGACTTTCGTGGGTCACTATATCTTTGAGGCTTGGTTCGACTTCGAAATCAGACATGGAATGGAAATTTAAAGAAATAAATAAAATTTACAGCATTCGAGCTTCAGTTTATAATTTAATAGCCAGAAGCTAAAGGGTATTTATTATGCAATTATTATTTGCTCATGAAAAAACGTTTCGTTTGTTTGATGACTTCGCTCACTTCTCCACCATGCTCAATGCGTTTTTTAATCCAGCCAGAGAGCTTTTGCTGGATATGTGGTCTTCCATACCGTACATCTATCAGGTAAATCACAGAGTAATCTCTGATATTTCTGATGGCACGACCGACACTCTGGTTCACCGCTTTCATGCATATATTCTCGTAGAACTCGCGCGCGTTTGCCACTGCGTCCTCACGCGACCCTCCCATCTCTATCGTTTTCGACTCCACGTATTTTCTCTTGGCTATGAGATCACCGCTCATTAGATTAGGAAAAGGAAGGCCCACCATGGCCACTGCACGTGCAAGCTCATCGGAAAAATTGATTCCCTCCGACATCTTTCCGCCAACAACGGCAAATAAAACAGCTCCGCTGCGCTCAAGGATACACTGAGAATAATTTTGCAAGACATTATCAACCACGTTCTCCCTCGACTCTGTATAAATAGTTTTCACCTGGTTGATTCGGTGGTAGTGCCCGCTATTTTTCCACAAGTCAACTAGCTGGTCCAAGTACTTGTAGCTGGGAAAAAATACAACCATTCCATCAGGAACGGCTGCTACCATTTCCAAAATGGCATCGCCGAGCGCATTTATCATTTTCTTATCGTTTCTCTTATCGAATGAGAACTCAAACTCCACCCCCTGACGGCTCTTCACAGGATAGACATCTAAGTTTGAAGCCGGAATGATGTGGTCGCAACTGAAATACCTGATTTGAGTGGATTCCACGTAAGGGACGAGGAAACTGGTAAAGTCGGAAATTGGCTCCATCGTTCCTCCTGCAAGCAGCACACACTTGCACTCTTCAACAATGTCCCTGAACGCTTCGCTGGGGTCCAAGAGAAGGTACTTCATGGCAATGCCATTATCGGAATCCCTTTCGTAGAACAATTTACCACTCTTCGAGGGATTGGAGAGACACTCTAGAAAGGATCGAATCTTGAAAAGTATTGGTGTTCCAGCTTTATGATTTTCGTCAATCTTTTCCATATAGCTCTCTATTTTATATGCAATTTTGGATTTGGTCAGATACGTCTCTAAAGAATGAAAATTGAGCAGATCGCCAGTGGTGTCGTCAAAAATGGACGTCACATTGATTTCTGTTCCTGCTGTCTTCTTATCGCTATCCTTTGTCAAAAATCTCGCCAATATAGTAATCATCTTACTGAGCTTGGCGAGATTTATTCTGTTCCCGGCGTTCAATCGGGATGAAAACTTTGTGGTATAGCTCTTGAGCGCCTTGCGAACTTTTAGCAACTCACTGAGGGAAATAGTGGCAGAGTTCAGCGAAGATATCGTATCCAGCAAATTATGGGCCTCGTCTATCACCACAATACTGTTTTTCAGATCCAGCCCCAGAACCTGTCTGGTTGATTTCTGAAGCAAGAGCTGGTACGGCATGGACACAATCTCGGCAATTTCCATGCCGCGGCGCAAACTATAGTAAGGACACACTCTATAGTGAGAACCTATCTCGTGCAGCTCCTCAATATCTCGGATTTCAGAGAACGTGAGATCGCGAAACTGCGTGGTCAGGTCGTCGGTTTCCGGCCTTGGCATATAGCTACAACCCTTTCCCCCGTCTTTCTTGCGTTGCAGCTCGAGACACGCTTCATTGATCTGTTGAACGTCTTTTAGAGAGCTCACTTGCTCATTAATGCACAGTTGTTTTCTGGATCCTAATGCCAGATACTTTGTTTTTTCGTCGACAGTCTCCAGAGACGACGGAAAATGGGTGAGTCTCAATTGCTGTCCAAATTGACTCAGCTGCGAGTGTGTCCGTGACGAGAAAAATATCTTGCTGTCACACTGATTGATCTTTGTCGCCTTGTCATTTCTTTCTGACCTGCCTTCCACCTGAGCCAAGAGCTGCTTTATTTCGTTAGCTATTTTTGAGTTTCTGTCCTCTAATGTTTCGTCCTCAAAATAATCCTCGGGAACGAGATCTTCCTCTTTGACCACTTTTCTCTGCTTGCGAGTATGCGTTTTTTCCTTGATCTTATTCTCGATAGCTTTGCCCTGGGTCTTGGCCAGCTCGTCGAGATGACGTTCGTATTCGCGAGCCTCAGCGACCATTTGTCCAACGATTTTCTCTCGATACGCCTGGCGAACCCATTCAGGCTCGTCATCGTCATCGTCATCAATAATGGCGTTTTGCCGCTGCTTTAGCTCGCGTAACCACGTCATTGTCGAACAGATGATAGAGAGCGTCTTTCCAGTTCCGGTCGGACTCTCAAAAATGCCAACTTTATAGTTTCCCGTGAGAGTGTCGTAGATCGCCTCCATGAGCTTCACCTGAACATCGTAAGGCGTATACGGGTGATTGAATCGTCGCTCGTGGATCACCACCTCCACCATGCACGCGAAAAAATCAGAAATAATTTTTTTCCTATCTAATCCACGCTCATATCTCCGGTCGAAATGTCAGATTCGTCCTCCAAGTCGTCTTTTTGCTTTCCGGTCTCTGCGTTACTTTTGCCGTCTTCCTGGTCGCGCTCGTTTTTCGTTCGTTTGACAAGCCGGTCTTCTTCTGGCTCCGAACCTAACCGTTTTGGAGATGCCTCCGTAGTCGCGTCTTGTGCTGCCAAAGCGCGCATTTCATCAATCCAGCCGATTCGGCTCATCTGGATGCAACTCGAATCCTCAGGTTGCATTTCGCCCCTTGAGTCCGTAGTGTTCCTGGAGCCATACTCTGCTAGATGCTGATTGATCTCCTCGATGGATGTTTGCACAAGTATGCATCGCTCCAACGCGCGCAGATATTTTAGTGCGCTCACCTCGTTCTCGTGAGTTTCTGTCGACGCGCTACCTGATTGATAGTAATTGTTGTCTGCTTCAATGACGGTTTCGTCGTTGGTCACTGTGTTACGAATTGTTGTTTTGAACTCATGAAAACGCGTCTTCAGACCTCGCGTTGGCTCGAAACCTGGTACTTTCAGAAGTAGTGTCTCCGTGAGATGGTAGATGGTGAAAGGCGGGGAGGTAGGAAAATCTGTCTCTAGCCTGAGTTTCAAGCGCGCAATAAACTTCTCAATTGGTTCCCCAACAGAGTCGAAGGGAGTGCGCGCCACGTAGGAGACATCTGCATGGTATATTTCGACTACCACGGCTTTGATGAGATCCCCAATCAAAGGGACCACTTCAGGCCACTGTACAGTTTGATTCTCCCTTTTGTAGTCCTTATCTGCTAGGATTCGCTCTAGAGCATTCTGAAGCGGTCCTACTCGTCAGCAATTTTCGTAGCAGTACATACCTGGTGCTAGTTGGAGAGGCTCCATTAAACAAATAAATCAGTTTTTTTTTCATATTTAGTTTATGTTCAGAAGAGCAATTAGGACTGTATCGAGCATGCCGAAAATACAGAAGTCTGAAGAGGAATGGCGCGCAATTCTTGACCCTGAACAATTTGCCGTTCTGCGGCAGAAGGGAACAGAAAGACCATATGTGGGCAAGTACACAGACTTCAAAGGCAAAGGCATCTACACTTGCGCAGGTTGCGATGCGCCACTGTACGAGTCAAGCACCAAATTTGACAGCCATTGTGGATGGCCCGCATTTTATCAGGCTCTTCCAGGCGCACTAATCACGAAGGAGGATAATTCCCACGGCATGCAGAGAATCGAGATCATGTGTGCTTCCTGCGGTGGCCACCTTGGACACATATTCAAGGGGGAAGGCTACAACACTCCCACGGACGAAAGACATTGCGTTAATTCCATTAGCTTGAAGTTCAACCCTAAGGATGACAACAAATAATGCTGAGGCTATTTATACGAAATAAGTCTTATCATAGCTTGGAATCAGGCCTACTATTAGTACGGATTGAAATAATCAACTTACGACAGCGCGTCGAAGGACTGTAGCTGGATCTTGTATCCGTCTGGGTCCGCCACCAGAGCAGTTTCCTTCAAGTCTGGGTTTTCTCCAAACTTCGTGATCCATTTGGCGTTGTCACCAATTCTGTCAATGACAGACTGGACATTCTTATACGAGACAGCAATGTGATCAAAGCCAACAACCTTGTCAGTGTCCTTGTCAAAGACATAGTAGCCAGCAAACGAGTCGTCGGATTCGGTTCCGTAGTTGTGAGTCAGTTCAATGATGGACTGTCTGGCAGCTTGTGGCTTAGGTTGCTCCTTGTTCTCGACATACGAGTCGTCCTCGAAGCCAAGGAAGTAAAGGGTGAACTGAGCCTCTGGGAAGTCTCTAGTGCTGAACAGCTTCATTCCTAGCAAGTCACGGTAAAATTTGAGAGAGACCTTCGGGTCCTTGACTCTGATCATGGAATGGTTCATTCTGTAGGCAATAGGATTGACCGTGGCGGACTCGTCCAAAGCGTTCTCAATCAACTCAACCCAGTACCCATCCGGGTCCAAAACGAAAGCAATGTTCTTTTGTCTTCCATCTTCGAGCCTTTTCTTAAAGTTCACTCCCTTTGCAAGGAAATCTTCCTGTGCCTTGGCAATATTGTTGACCGAGACGCAGAGATGGCCAAATCCTTTGTAAGGTTCCGAGTTTCCGTCGTAAACCTTGGCATTGGAGTTCTTAAGCTCGCGCAGTTCGACCACTCCGTCTCTCTGGGCGACTTGCTTGCCAGCATTTGGGTGGCCATTGCTATCGAACGCAACGAAGACCGAAGTGTACTTCGCAGTCTCCAATTGCTTGATTGCCTTCATAGCAAAGGTGTTGGTATACCAGCCGACGGACTTGGCCAGATTTGAAACGTGCAAACAGGTGTGGTTAGTGAACATGGCAATGATAAAAAAATGTCGGAGTAATTTTCTTCCTTCAATTTCGATTTTTGGTAATCATGTCTTTCCAAACACCCGTCAACCAGTTCATGGTTGCGGACAATGTCGAAACGGCAGGTTGTCAAGAGGCGGTGACGACTGTTTGCGAGCTCATAGAGACTAACCAAGTCACTCTTTTGGAGTTCATTCGAGGTTTAGGCACACATCTCACCGATGAGTCCAACGCTATCAGGACCAGAGCAATCACCCTTCTCAGCTCTGTTCTGGGCAACCTAAACAGAAAAAAGATGTACGCCAAAGATGTCCAGGTGCTGCTGGATTTTTATCTGTCGAAGCTTGACGACGAGCCTTGTTTGAGAGAAGTGCTCAAGGGTCTGAGCTCGCTTGTTTTGATGAGCCAATTTGATCCTAACTTAATTCCTCACCTGTTAAACTTCCTGGTGGAGAAATACTCCCCATTGGGCAAGCTGGCTAGCGTTAGGTACTTTGGATTTGAAGTTCTGGACTCCACACTATCTGCCCATCTGGAACCAGCAAAACAGTATAATGATGAAATCATAAAAACATATCTGCATGTTTCCAAGAATGAGAAAGACCCCAAAAATCTGCTGCTGTCGTTCAAGCTCTCAGCGCTGATAGCCCAGAACTTTGACATCAGCAAATTTTCCGAGGAAATGTTTGATGCAGTGTTTTGCTATTTCCCTATATCTTTCAGGGCTCCAGCGAATGACCCCTACAAAATTACGGGAGACCAGCTTAAACAGGCCCTTCGCGACTGCCTGAGCGCCAGCGACTTGTATGCCAAAGATGCTTTCCCCAATCTTCTCGAGAAACTATCGGCGACCTCTCCAACAGTCAAACTCGACGTTCTCACAACCCTCAACCAATGCGTCGACAAATACTCCACGGCAACGGTGGAAGAATACTGGATCACACTGTGGAATTCGCTCAAATACGAAATATTGCATAACGAGCTTGCTTCTGTCGAGACATTGACACAGTTGTTTGAATATTACGAGAATTCAGAAAATGAGGACGAACGCATCATTCCTGCAGTTTTAAAGATCTTTCAATCGTTAAGTAGCAAATTGCAAAATGTGAACGATGATCTCAACATCAAGGACTATCTTTATGTGATAATGGACGAGCTGGCTAAGAATATCAAGAACCACGGCGACAATAAATCAAAGCAGTCCACCGTTATTTTAGCTGCTCTATGTGCAGCTAACATCAATGTATACAATCTGCTTATTCCTCAGGTAATGCCCCTTTTACTGATTTCGGATGATTTAACAGTCAAGACCCAAAGACAAATATTGACGAACGTCTCTTTCATGGTTGACAGCTATTATATTCTGTTCAATGAGAAACAAGAATCTATTCACCCAAACAATCCAATGTATGAGTTCAAAGATGACCTGCTGATGCTCTTCAACAAAGCTTTATTGTCTACATCCAAGGTTGAGGTATCTCTCAGATGTTTAGCTGTGAAACTTGTGGCTAAGGTCGTCTCACTGAATTTCTTCTTAGCCGATCAGGAGGCTCAGTTAATCACTCAACTAGTGACAGACGTTCTCCTGGAAGACGACAACAGCGTGACAGAAAAGCAAATCCTGCAGTGCTTCAAGTCATTATCTGTAGGCTATCCGTCTGCTGTGCTTGAGATAACTGTTCCAAAGCTGTTTTCTTTTCTTCCGGACGACGACAAGGATCTGGACCAATTAAACACCAAGTCTCGTGTGCTCGATATTCTCATTTCCATTTCGGAGTCCAAGCTTGTTATAGATTCTGTTATGTTACGGTTAGTTGGAAAGATTGGAACTCTGATAAAATCTGCGTCTCAGAGTTACGTTCGATCAGTATTTTTGACCCTGTCAAAGATAGCTGGTAACTTGAATGCGAAAGATTCCACGAACGACAATATGAAACGACTAGTTCCAAGGCTATTTCATGTCGTTCTGGATGCTGACAAAACCAATCATGATGAAGTCGTTCTCGAGTACACGGGACGCGTTGCTAAGAAGATAGTGCTGCAAACAGACACCTTTCAGCACGAAGAAATTTTGAGGGATGCAATCGACTTGTTCATCAACGGCAAACCTACATCTCTTGTTGTCAAGCAATTATCGGAACCGTTGGATATCATTAAAGGGAACCAGCTTCCGTTCATCATTTTCACGAAAATAATTTCGGCGGTCGATAAAAGTGTGAAGTTTCCTATTGAGAGCTCATCTTTTCTCAATCTTTTGTTCCAAGCCAACAAGTTGACGGTGCAATTTTCGAGATTATCGGTCCTGCAATGCATCTCACTGGTTGTCAATAAATGGATTGACGACTCCGAATACCTGATTGCGATCCTGGAAGATTTCAAACAAGCCTTGGGCGATTCCTCCATCCCTGTCAAGGAACGATCCAACACTTTGGAGGTACTGATTTGGATTGGAAAAGCATTGATCATGAAACAACACGCATGCGCTCCCCCATACGAAGAGTACCTTCTATCCTTATTTGACAGCGAAGAGCTTCACGTGTTCACCCCTAAAATTCTCGAGATACTGGTCGCAGATGTGGAATGCTACCAGCAGTTCAAGAAACCTGGTCCTCTCAATAGGCCGGTTGTTTTTAATATGAATGTGCGCTTGTTGTACAAACAGAAGCTCTTCAATACAGTGCTGCCATTGTTGGTCTCTAAATTTGAGTCCTCAAAAAACCAGACATATTTATTGGCATTATCACTCATGCTCAAATATGTCGACAAGTCGATTATTGTTCCGCATGTCGGAACGCTCCTGCCACTTGTTTTGAGGTCGCTGACCACTGATTCCAATGTCATTGTCACTTCTTCGTTATCTATCCTGACCATAGCAGTCAACGAATCAGACGAGTTGGTTTCTCGTCACTTGTCAACTGTCATACCAAATCTGCTGGAAATTGTCAACACGCACAAGAATGAAGCGGTGAAACGAAACGCACTGGAATGCTTGCTTTCACTGACAAAGTATGATTTACATCTATTAGTTCCCTATAAACAGGATATCATCAGGCGACTTGCCAAAGTCCTGGATGACCCTAAGCGATCCATTCGCCGGCTGGCCTGCGATTGTAGACAGGCATATTATGAGCTGGGAATGCCACGTCAATGATTACAGACCATCGAATTTCCTGATCCCATGTTCTTGCGTGTGGGCTTTTTGCTTCTTGGCGTCTTTTTTCGCCGGCTTCTTTCGTTTTTTCGGTGGCTCCTCGTCGGAGTCTTCCAGCTGGGCGAGGAGCTTTTCTCTGATTTGCATCAAAGGCACGGCGGGTTGATCATTGTCAGAATCAGAGTCTTCCGAAGCCGATTTGGCTTTAGAGTCGATTTCTTCTTCAAGCGACGCAGACGAATCGTCAGGTTCGTTGCCAGACCCTTCATCATCACCAAAACCGGTCCATTCCTCCTCCTCCTCTGCACTGGAATCTTCAGATTCATCAACGTCTTTCTCATCCTCATCGTCGCCGCTAGACTCGACATCCCCAGTTTCCTTCCATATAGTCAACCGATCCATCCCAGCACTTATCAATCTGTATTCATGATCCAAGTCCAAGAATGAGACCTCGTCCGTCTCGCTGTGCACTCTTCTTTCAACCACCCTTCCCGATCTGATGTTGACTCTCGACACGGTTCCGTCAAAACAACCTGCCCAAATATGCTCACCCTCGCTATCCAACGCAGAAATCAGAGACTCCACAGGCTCCTTGCTGATGCGGACCCTGGAGATTTGATCCGCAAAATCGTTCATTTCAGGCCTCCACACGGTGACCACGCCTTCTCCCATTCCGCAGAGCATGGTATTGGGGTTAGTAGGATCTAACCAGGTCGAACATAAGAGCTCGTCTTCTTGGTCCTCACTTTGGTGCAGAGGTTGCTCTTTTCTGATGTCAAAATGCGACAGAGTCGTGGAACCAGTGGTGACAAACTGATAATCGGATTTGGGCACGTAATGGTTTATAGAATTGACTGCATCCTCGTGGACTTTTTTTATCTGGTATGTTTGCTGCAGAGTGTTGGAGTCAAGACAGAGAACGTCACCGTTCTCTGTTCCGACAATCAAAAAGCTTTTGTTAGGAACAGTCAAGATCTTGGTGATGTTGGAAGCAAGGATGTCTGATTTTGCCACCACCATGCCTGTTTCTGCTTTGGCTTTTTTTATTTGCCTGTCGAGACCAGCGGAATACACATGCTCCCCCGTTGCATCGAAAGTAATGGATCGGCAACTACCCTGGTGACGTTTTGTGCGCCATCCAATGGTGACGCAGTCAGAGCCGTGCAGGTCCTTGGCTCTGACATCGATCTGTGCGCACTCGTTATCGGTGGAATGAAGTAAATGATTTTCCAATTTTTCAATGTCATATTTAAGCAACTTGACCTGTCCGGTTCCCGATCCAACAACAAGAGTGCTCTCGCTTGGGTGTGCATTGAAACTGAAAAGGGGATCAGTGCCAAAATTGAGGTCCACCAAGGGGACTGGAACTGATTTTACCATGGCCTTTATTGTATAGAATAATATTTTTTTATTAGATCTAATTTGGCTGTGCTCATAGACCTTATTAACTTATAAAAAATATGGATCAAAACATATAAAGCAGAGAACCAGGTAGCTGCGGGAGATCCCACAAAGGTCATGGAGCGAAATCACAAAATGACGCACTTCTTCTTTCTTTCTCTCTTCTCCTTAGTCTCCAGAGCGGCTCTGGTGGCGGTTTCGAAAACTTCTCTCACTCCTTGGTTCAGCTTGGCGGAGCACTCAAGGTATGTCAAGGCCTTGATCTTCTCAGCAACGGCTTGTCCCTCACTTGTAGACACAGGCGCCTGGTTCAGCTGTGCCAATCTCTCGATCGTTCTTGGATCATTTCTCAAATCGATTTTGCATCCGACAAGAATCATTGGAACATCTTGGCAGAAATGCAGGACCTCACTAATCCACTTCTCCTGGACGTTGTCCAAAGTGTCTGGAGAATCCACTGAGAAACATATCAGAATGACGTTCGAATCTGGGTAGGAAAGTGGTCTGAGACGATCGTAGTCTTCTTGACCGGCGGTATCCCAAAGAGCTAGCTCAACTCTTCTGCCGTCAACCTCGACATCCGCAACGTAGTTTTCAAACACTGTTGGGACGTAAACTTCTGGGAAAGCACCTTTAGAAAAAACAATCAACAAACATGTTTTACCGCAGGCACCGTCACCGACAATCACCAACTTTTTCCTGATCTCTGCTAATCCGGCCATCTTGTGCGCGTTAGTATAAGAATCTTCTTGCGGGCAGGTGTATTATGAACACAAAAGGGAAACACTCTTTTTGGTGGCTTTTGATTTTTGTTTGTATTTCGTACTTTCCATGTGACGCTGTCATTTTATAAGACGGCATTGGGCTTTTTTGAAATGGGTGGTGCACGTTATACATTCTCGACTAAAACACTCTTTCGACCTGTCCATTTAATGGATAAACTGCCTGATCTAGTCTGCAGCTGGGTGCGGCTTGATCCTTTAGCTGTTGGTTCTTCAACAACATATGGAAAAAAACGGATCTAGTGAAATCAGCCCCTTTGGGAAACTCGGTTTTCGCGATATCGAATCCAGCCACCATTGAGCAAAACTCTTGTGTTCTCATGTTCTTCGCCCCATTGTGCGCTTGCGGAACTCCCGCTCAATGCTACTCACCTCTTCTTACTCACAATGAAAGCAAACAAAGTCTGAAAATGGTTTGCGCGAGATCTTTTTTTTTTTACATAGGAGGGCGTGTGCCAAAAACTCCAACCCCGTGCAACTCCGTGCAAGGATGTTGGTAGCACCTATTTAACCTCGTTTAGAAACTGCTGGTACTTCGAGGTCTGGTGGATCCCGCATTCTGTCTTGGCCTTCCCCTTCCATCTGCCAGCACGCTCGTCCTCTCCATCAGCAACTGGCTCTGTCGAGTGCCAATCTCCGATTGACTTGTACCCAAGGTCGAGTAACTCGTTGTACGGCACATTGTGTTCCTTAATGTAGCTTTCAACCATCCCAAAATCCCAGCTGGCAAGAGGACTGATTTTGATCACATTAAGATTAGTATCGATTTCGATAATAGGAAGTTGCGAGCGCGCCCCTCCTTGCGATCTTCTTCTACCAGTGAACACGGCCTTGATCTTCAATTCTTTATGTGCTCTCTGAAGCGGTTCCACTTTCGCAAGAAAATCGTACTTGAGTTCGTCCTTCGACCAAAGCTCGTCGCCATATTTCTGCTGGAACTCCTCAGCGGTATCGCAGTCCTTGGGTTTATAAATATGGAGCTTGAATTTTGGGTACTTAGCTCTTACCTTAGCTATGAGATCGTGGGTCTGAGGAAAGTGGTACAGGGTATCGATGAAGACCAAGTCGATAGGGTCCAAGTCCAATTTGTCCAACATGTCGAGGATGCAAAGCCCTGTCAAACCAAAGGCTGTGGTTTGGAACAGGTTGGGGAATGAGACAAGAGACCACTGCAATATTTCCTGTGGTGTTAACTTTGCAAGCATCTTATTCAGATGCTGCAACTGGAAATCAGTGATAACGATGTCTTCGGTCATTAGCAATAGTGCTGTCGAGCTTAATTTTCCAGTCGATCCAGTTTTTGATTTATAATACTCTTTTGTCATGTCATGTGATGCGACGCGTCGATCGACAGATTTTCCTAGACATCAATTTGATTTAACAAATGACTACTGAACTTTCGAACCCGAACATAGAATCGCCACTGGCCGCGGTAGAAGCCGAGCTCTCTTCAATAATTGAAACACTGATACATCTCGGTGTTCAAGTGCACGATTTCCAGGGCACAGAGGAGGCCAAAATTGGGCTTTCGAATAACATCAACAAGCTCATAACTCAGTTGCAGTCGATTTCGTCGAAAAAAGATCTGCAGGACATCTCTATCCCGCTAGAGATTGTGAATTACATTGAGGACGGACGTAATCCCGACATATACACGCGAGAGTTTGTCGATGTGGTGCGAAAGATCAACCAATATCTGTTCGGAAAGTCGATCGCCTTCGAACAATTTCGAGACATCTTGAGCGCTAAAATCAAGTCCGAATTCCCTGATCTCGAACAGGAGGTCGAAAGTATCAGGTCTAAAACCAATGTAAAGGACGCCTGTTCATAGATACGTGGTGGTGTAAAGATGTACGATTAAATATATGTCGAAAAATTTTTCGATTTACTAGTAGTCTTTCTGGTCAGGCATGTTAACAAGAACACTGAGATTGATAGTGCGGACTAGGAGTCTGCCCAAAAGACAGGTACGCTGGTACAATGGCTTGCCCCCGGAAGTTGAAGAGGAATTTGGAAAGACCGTCGAAGAAATTGGGTGTGATGATGACGGATTTTTACTCAAGGATAGCTTCTACACTGAGAAAACATTCCGAAACTCGAAATTCTACCAGCACATGCAGAAGGTCCGCGCCGAGCAGGAACGTCTGATTGAACTGAAATTGAAATATCTTGCGCAACAGAACGAAGTCGACATTGAGGAGCTGCGTAAACAATTAAACGAGAGAGTGGATGCACAAGTGAGTCAGGCCCGTAGAACCCAGCAGGCTATCAATGATAACATTGCAGCCTTTGAAAGAGAAATGAGCTTGCCTTTCAAAGTGGACCTGGTTGGTGATATGTTAAAAATTCTGAAGTTCGAGTCCGATGATCTGGAGAGCTCCCCCGTGTATCAATTTATGGTGAAAACTGATGCTTCCTTAGCACAAGAGCTCCGCACTCTTCTCGCGCGTGGTGTCTCTGCAGAGCAGAAAACGCAGCTGGAATCCAGGTTAAGGCAGGGACTCTGGTCGGAGAGCAAGAGACGAGAATTGCAAGAGCTGATCAAAAAAAGATATGACGAGTTTGTGAACTTCAAACAAAAAGTGGATACCGAGCCTATCTCGATCAACGAAATCTTCGAGCTGCTAGATAAATATCCTACCTTTGAGCAAAGCGATCTCTACGAGGTCTTACGTGAAGTTGATCCTAGATTTGGAACACTTTATGGAGAGGTTAGGAGTCTCGCAGAAGGAGAGGAGCGAAAATTGCGTCGCATACAACTGAACAGACTACTTGCTGACGAGAGTTCCGGGATTTGGAAAGTTCTGAACGATCTGGAGAGCCCTGAATTCAAGACGGTCAAAAGTGTCCTAGAGGACGAAAGTGCAAAGTTTGAGCCGCTGAGTGCGGAAAGTCTGGTCGCATATGCGCGTATTGCTGAGAAAGATGAGGATCTAGAGATTTTTGATTCCATTGACGAATCTCTGAGTGTTTTCCTGCAAAAAGCTCGCGACAACGAGAATGACGAAAGAGTTGTTGCTGAAGTGCACGATCTATTGACCACTGAGGGCCCCTTGAAGGACTTCTTGGAAGACACCAAGAGCGAACTATATCAGAAGGTGCAGGCCAAGGTCAACAAAGCAAGGATTAAATACCACAAGGAGGTGGTGTTGAATCCGCTAACTAAAGAGATCAAGAGCCTTGCCAAAGAAGACCAGTCCAACCTGAGTCCTGAGGTGGCTCAGATCAATAAATATTACGACCTTTTTATCCAAACGATGCATGAACTAGAGCAGGAGCTGAAGAGCGGAGAGTATGAGCCAATCTCTTCAAAAGTGCACCTTGAGGCCCCAAGCCTTCTTGACCGTGAACCGACTCCCCAACAGCTCGCTGAGGTTCAAAAAATAAACCGTTCGAGGAGGTACGACGCTGAAGATGACACTCTCCGTTTCTGTGCTCACATGATAATGCACGGAGGTAAAAGACAGCGTGCAAGAAGATACATCAATCAGGCCCTGTATCTGGTGTATCTTGAAACTAGGGAAAACCCCGTGGACATTTTGAAGCAGGTCATAGACACTGTGGCTCCTTTGGTGGTGACGCGCGTTGTGAAAACCGGATTTGCCAAGAACTACTCAATTCCTGCTCCCTTGACTCCTCGACAGCGGATGCGTACTGGGTTCAAATGGATTTTGGAGGCCAGTGATAGCCGTGCTTCAAACGACTTCCCCGTGCGTCTTGCCGAAGAAATCTTGAACGTTTACAGAGGAAACTCCAAACTTCTTGAGAAGAAGACCTCTTTGCACAAACAAGCCATTTCCGTGAGATCTTACCTGAAGCTGTGATTGATTGTATATAGAAACCGAGGGTGTACATTTTTCGCCTCTGCACTGCCTAGAAATACATTTTTTTCTTCCACTTTTCACTCGTTTTTTCCCTCAGAGATCATGAGTGAACCTCAAGAAGACAAGGATTACGATCGCTCGATTAAGGATGATGTTATCTATGAGATCCGCGAGACACCAGAATTCAATGAGACTCGAGCCCTGATAATCGCTAACCTTAGACAGCCTTTTGACAACCAGGAATTCCAGGATTTATTGAATGAACAAGCAGCGAAGACTAACTCGACAATAGAGCGCGCATGGCTCAATAACCGCAGAAGCCATTGCATCGTCATAGTATCGGACGTTGCAGGCGCAGTTGCGATTCAGAAGAACCTAAACGGAACCAAGTTCCCAAAAGAAGATACAAATCAAGAAGACGGAGTTTCTAGACACCCACTGTACATTGATTTTATTCCTGTCAAGGCTACAGAGCACTGGATCGACCAGGAAAATAAAGGACCTAAAGATGCTGTTTGGAAGGTCTCATACGTGAGACAGCCTTCTAAACGGCAAGAAGGCCAGGAATTCCTCGTTGCCACTCATAAGATGCTCAATTACCCAAATAAGACTTTTGGATACAAATCATCAACCAGATATAGAGGTAGGGGAGCCTACAGGGGCAGAGGAAGAGGCGGGTTCAGAGGCTACCGAGACTACGACTATAGATACGCTCCATACAGAAGGGACTATGATTATCATGATTACCCAGATAGACACACAGAAAGAGAAAGATCGCTGGAGTGGACTAATTAGAGAATAATAGCTCCACTTGGTTTGATATTTATTAATGAATCTTCAGGCCCGCCAAAGGCTATAAATAATGCTACACAGTCCATTCTGTTCCGTCTCCACCACATACAGTCCGTAGAGTGCCAGCCAAGTACCTGCACTTAGCAGTCCCATCGCAACCTTATGCCATATACCGTAGACTCTCAGAGGAATGTAGTCAATGATACAGCTTTCGAAACCGGCTTTGCAATGCCAAAGAAGCAACATCCCCATACCTGCATCGACAAGGGGATACTCCACGCCGCCAACAAAAGGTGCTAACATCAGCGGAGCCATTCCGAGTGTCACTATTCTTTCGTATGCCCAATGGTATGAGCCGTGATATTCATTGGGAGCAGGTGGCACGTACGCATCGTTAACGGTTCCAACAATGTTCCCCGGTGGCTGCTGTTTCAGTTTGAAGTCCTCAAGTTTCAAACGCGGAAGTCTTGGTAGCTTGAACGAGAGCGGGCGAGAAAATTGCGGGTTGATGCGAAGCACCATGACTAAAAAAATTGGCACAAAAAAAAAAAGCCTAGCTAATTACAGTGCTAGGATTTCGAATATCTGAAGACAGACAGCCAGTGTTTCTGATCTTAAATTTATTTCCATTCCGCTGGCACAGCAACTTCGTTATGGTCACTGAAAGGGTCAAACTCATTAATCTCAGACCGGTATGTCTGAGAAGTGCCTGTGGCAGGTGCAACGCTTGACGCTCTTCTCTCGCTGTTGATCGTCTCGTAATCGGCAAGCGAGTCGGTCTCTCCTCCATCTCGCGGCTCTGCCATCTCTTCGTAAAGCTGTAGAGACCTCACCAAATCATCGTTACACTTGAGTAAAGCTCCTAGGAGCTCTTCTTTGTTGACTAGCTGCAGATATCTCAAGATCTTTCTTCTGATGGCTCTGCAGTTGTCGAAATCCCTGTTGGCCTTGGCGGAGTGGATAGAAAGTTCATCGGGTTCCAGGGTTTTGAGGGTGTTTGTCAACGTGGTCGACAAAACGTTCGCCTCGGCAATTGTCTGGTATATCTTCGGAGTCTCTTTCTCGTAGTTAATCCGGGGAATCCTGTACTTGTTATCAAGGTCCCTGTTTGTCATTGAAGACACTAACCGCGAGGCACTTCTGGACGAACCGTGACGTCTGCCTTGCGAACTATCGTCCGAGTCGTCGTCGGGCGTCTCGTACACCTCCTCGAATGGAGTCTCATCAGCCTCGTCGTTCATGAAATCTGGCACCTTCCGCTTAGGTCTCACAGCTCGCGCCACTGATGCGGAGGAGGCAAGTGAAAACAGACCTCCTGCGTTCCCTGTCCGGGCGTGCTCGTTTCGCCACCCAACAGCCAGCTGTGTGGCACGTTTGCGAATACGTGGATCGACCCCTGACACTTCTGGACGGGTCACAATGGTGTACTTTAGGCGGTCAAGCAGCTTGGAGTCATTGTATAGTTGGTTCAGTTCTGGGCCACCATTGGCGACCAGCAGCTCCAGAAGCTTCAGAGCATTGAACTGTTCCTCGAACGAGCCGTATTTCAGTTTTTTGCGAATTGCCCTGGCCACCTCTACAGGACCAGGCTCCACGGAATTGCGCTGCAAACGGATGGCTTCCAGCAGTGCAGGAAGTTCCATTTCCATGTACGCATCGTCCGTGTCGATTGGGGACATCTCGATGGTTCTGTTTGCCAGAGTGGTGACGGCAGTGTACGAATGTGAGTCCAGGAAACCCATGTGTAAGATAAGAAAAAATGAAACTAATGTGAGGCACCACAATTACACAAAATAAAGCAGGAATTTATTATATAGCTAGCTAATTACTGTGAATGACGAGGAAGTCTACGGCACCTTAGATAGCACCAACCTTTTTCAACTTCTCCTTCAACTTGGACTCGCCCAGAGATTGCAGGTCGGAGTTACCTCCAATGTGCTCTCCGCCAATGAAGATGTTTGGCACGGTTCTTTGTCCGGTAATCTCCTGCAAAGCATCCTGGAGTTCATCGCCGTCATCAATGGTGTTGAGTTCGAGGACATACAGGTCGTTTTTGACGATTGAGCTCAAGGTCCTCTTGGCAGCTGAACAGTATGGACAGTAGGTCTTAGAGGCCACGAAGACCTTGTGGGAAGCGATGAGCTTCTGAGCTTTGTCGATAGCTTCTTTAGACATTGGAGTAGAAAAAAATCTGCGAAACAGCAACTTGAAAGAATAGATGGCAAATAATGCGATCAGAATATTAGTGAACATTTTACCCAATTTTTCCGTTCCTAGTATTTTTTACATCAATCCGCTCTTCTTTAAATTCTGCTGAATAATCATGTCAGTGATTGCAGTCAGCACAAACTTCATCGACTCCGTGTCTGTGGCACAAGTGCGATGGACATAAATCGGCTTGTTTGCCCGGTTCAGACTCAAGAAGAGCTTCTCGAAATACTGTAAGGTATCCTCCAAATCGTTGGTTTTCCCCTTATAATCCGGGAAGTATTTGCGGAGAGGGGAGCGCCGCAGCTTGTCCTCGAGCAAGTCGACCTTGTTCAGGAAAAGGATGAACGGAGTATTGGCAAACCACTTACTGTTGCACAGACTCTCGAAGAGCATGATGGCCTCGTGCATCCTGTTCACCCGCTCGTCCTCAAATAGCATCTGGTCGTATTCGCTAACGGCAAGAACGAAAAGAGCGCACGTGATATCCTGGAAACAGTGGATCCATTTTTTCCGTTCGGATCGCTGGCCGCCCGCGTCCAGAATCTTGAACTTGGTATCGTTCAATAGGAAGTTCGTCTCGGTAATTCCTGTCGTTTTGATTCTCCCTTTCAAAATGTCCTCATCCGTGCACAGATATTCGTCTTGCGCATACAAGTGGGCGTGTTCGAAATAGTAAGCTGCAGACCCTTCGAGCTGGAACAGGTGGTTCTTCTGGAAACACGTCTGAATTCCGTCGTCGTTCTGCCACAGCTTCTGGATTGCCTCAGCAATTTCCGCTTTGGAGAAACCAACGTCGTTTCTCCCCGACAGCTCATAGAGTCCTGGTATCATCTCCTCGGATTCCTCCTCATTTCCTTCTATCTCAATTGACCCTTCCCATCCGGCATTGGCCTTTCCAGTGCTCATCATCTTGCGCTTGGCCGCCCCGTTTTCGCTGTACTTCAGCACGTAGTTCTTCAAAAACGAGACTCCACCAGCCTTCGAAGCGTCAATGCTGTCCAGAGCCTTGTACGCTAGTACCTTTTTTTTGGACTGATGGAGCTCGCTGCCCGGAACGTCGCACTTCAAAGGAATACCCAATTTTCTAGCTTGGATAATAAGTGTCTGCATAGACCCCACAGTGTCGGCCCAGATCACGTTTGAGTAGAGCATACGTTCTTGGCTTGTAAAGCCACCTTTGTGCAGCAATTTCATTTGCTTGAGAACGGTACTCTTGCCGCTCTCACCTGTTCCAAGCAATAGAAGCTTGACTTGATTCTTCTCTGTCTGCTGGCTCTGCATCAGCATCTGCTCGACTTTGGAGTTTTGGAGCTTCTCCAGATACTCTGGATCGCTCTCGTTGATGGAGGAGCTGGCATTGCAACCCATGGCAAATATCAGAAGACAAGTTTCTGCCTGAATCTGTCTTCCTATTTGCAACTCTGTCTCTGAAACATTAACAATAAGCTGCCTGTATTTTGAAACAAGCTTGTGCGTCAGCCGCAGAGCCACAGCCTGATTTCATTTTAATTTCTAACTTTTTATATTGAGCATTACTTAGTCTCGGTATCACTCAAATGTTCCAGGTGCGGTAAGAAAATAGAGGCATCGTTCAGTTTCACCACGTCCACCTTATCCAGTATCATTTTTTGGCGGAGATGATTTTCGTCCTGTCTCGGAAGCGTATCGTCTGCATACTGGTAGTTGGTAATGATATCCATCCCATACCCCAAAGTCGAATAGGGGTAGTTTTCAGAACTTTCCAGAACCAAAGCTAGGGGAGACGACTCCTCAATCAGTTCCGGCTTTGCTTCTATTATGATGGTCTGATTCAAACAGGAGTCCAAAGACATCGTCCGATCTTGTCTGTTTAAATTCTGAGCCGTATTCTCGTTGTTCATTATTGACGAGTAATCGTTCAAATTTGTGAAATCCGGTTTTACCTCGCGCGGAATTCTACGCCTTGGTGCGAGGCCATTGGCTTGAAGTGCAGCGTTAAGCGATATATCGTTGATGATCGTGGAAAAAAGATGTGACCCAGGAAGCGTGGTTTTTTTTCCCGGCGCGGAGTTGAGAGTCACTTCTGACGTCGGCCGCAGCGACCTGGATGAGGGCTTCGGGTTCTCTATAAGCTCCCGCTTTAAAATAGCTTTCAGGGGCCGGAAAACTGTCGTTGAAGCGTTGGTTATGTCCGAGAATGCCCGCCTGCCAATGCTGGGCTTCTCAATGTCGCGCAGAAGCGATTCTCCGAATAATGATCCAGAGCCAGGCTCATCATACTGCAAGTATTCCGTCGGTAATGATATTGAGACCTTTCTAGAAGACTTTGTTGCTTGTGGTGGCAGTGGCACTTCATTTTCTTGTTCAAGCGGCGGAGTCTTAATAAACTTCTTTCGCTTGGCTTTGAATGGTAAAAATCTAGCGAACGATCGATCTCTTTTGGCATGGTCAAGTCCTTGTGGAGCTAGGGGCTGCTGTGTCACCATGCATTCTTCCTGCTGCCGTATTTGCTGCGCTTCGCCAACTCGCGCGTTCTCTGCGTTATGAGGCTTTTCAGTAGCAGGCCCATCAACTGGTTCTTGGTCTCCTTCGTCAGTTTCGGCCCCCGCTGTCTCATATATCTCATTTTCTGGCGGAGGATCAAGCTGTTCCACGACACGAAGATGATACGTCTTATCCAAATACCACGAGTTAGATTCTTCGTGGGTTTCGCAATGATGCTGATGCGGCTCGCTCTGACCTAGTCCCAAAAGCTGGACGGTTTGCCTCAATCGTTCGTGTCGTTTGGCGAACTCGCTGATGGGGACCCCAAGATGTAAACCAGTATCTTTGTCAATACCTAATGAGATCAAATACGCGGCAAGCTCGGCATTTCGAAGAGATATCAACGGCATGTTTTTCAGTCGCCTGGTCAGGATATTCGGATGCTTCTCAGGGTCTCTTCTTCCCCCGCTATTCCACCAATGGTGGAAATGCACTCTCAGCTCCAGTAGTTTACACTGAAGCTGTGATAGATGATAGTGAGTGGACATGAGAGAGAAGAAAATTTGGCGGTTAAAATTAGCTTTAGGAGCGTAGTTGACAAAAACTTTTTTCCACCAGTTCCTTCAGGGTCTCATAACTCACAATAAGACAGCTCATTTCATCTGGCGACACGAGCAGAATAGTCTCTTTGCTGCCAGCATCGAGTTTATTCAGGCAATTGATCACATGCGTCAGATCTAGTACAGGCTTCCCGTTCTCGTCAACCTGATGGAACACGTAGTCGCGGAATAGCTTGATTGGGTAGCGCTCGCCAGTTTCAGACCACGACCCGTCTTTGACAAACTCCGGACGGTCACAGATAAAATCTAATTTTGCGAAAAGACGAACGAGACGAGCATTTTCAACTTCACGCGATAAACATGCCTCCATGTAATCTGCAGAATCTTGCACACCGTTCATAACCGAAAGTATTTCTGGAGCAATCAGCTGTTGGAGCTGCTGAACGGAGAGTTCATTTTCAATGAGTTTCTTGAGAACAAACTTTAGTTTGTCAGAAACCGTTAATTTGGGAATACCTTCCTCCACACTGAGGTTTTGCACTTTCGCGAAAACAAGGGACTTTGCCAAATCGTAGATCAGAATACCCATTCCCTGCATATCGCGTGCTTGAAGCTGTTCGAGGCTTTCCGTTGAACCTTCTTTCGATGCTGCCTCCAATATATCGTACACCCCACAGGCAGACAGCCTTATGCGGGCCTTGTTGGTCACTATGATTTTTGTCGGATCGAAAACCCTCACAGCCAAACCTGCTTTATGGACTTCGCTCACTGCGTTTGTGAGTTGCACCAAGTAGTTCCATAATAACGGCTCTGTTATCAGCTCGGGATCCTTGTCTCCTATTTTGAAAAAATGAGCTTCCAACAGATTTCGTGACATCGGATAGTAGTCGTATATGAGCACCAAAGAGTTGTCGCCAAATTCCCGCGTAGTCATCACTTCGTACAACTTAACCACGTTGGCGCAGTTCAGAGATCGCCATTTGTTCACAGAACGGAAACACGACTCCGAGGAAATAGGTACGTTCTCCAATCGTCTCATAGTGTACAATTTGCCGTCTAGATTCGACATGACTTTATAAACTGAAGACGTGTATCCAAAAGATTTCGCGCTGGTCTCAAAGTTCTGGTCTATGGGACACAGACTGTGGTACTGATTAATGTGGATCGGAAGGCCAGACTGCGCAGCGGAAATGGTTCTGAGCGACTCCTCGTTCTTTTTTTGTATCTCCTCTCTCAGGTCGTTTGGAATAAAGAGGTCGGCGACGGTTCTTTCGTGGGGCTTGAGATGATGCTGAACGTGGGGAGGCGGCTGGCCAGCATACAGATGGTAGTTGATCGGGAATGGGTTTGTTTGCTGGTAAAATGGTTCTTGCTCCGCGGAAGAGCGGGCAGGATCACCGATTGGCATCCCCGGTGTGAAAATTGGGGCAGACTGTGGGTCGAATGGAACACCAGCCGAAGACGGAGCGGCGACATTGCCCGATGGAGAAAAGCTGGGTATGTCATCGAGCTTCGAGGACAGGTCAGCGAACTTGTTCACTAGCGACCCCGTCGGCGTGAACGAAGGAGTATGGATGTTAAACTTCTTGCGTGCCCCGGAATCGGCAGTATCAGATTGCACTGCCAAAGGCGAGGATCCAGTGACGCTTGGCTTGGAGGGCGTGAGACCCGCCTTGCTTCCCGACAGGCTTTCTGATGATAGTGTGGTGGATGCTGACATTGGCTCTGATACTGGTTTGGCGGTCTGCGGAGAAGATTTGACCTCGCTTACGTTTTTCTTGGAGGGATCGTCGTGGTTGAACGAACAGCCTTTTTTCTCCCATTTGCAGAAGCCGTGTATTTTTATGTTTCTGCACGGAATGGTTTTGGCCCATTCGTATTGAGTGCCGCCGTTGTTCATCTCTGGGAGAAGACTATATCAGTAAATTGCGCAGATATTATGTTGGCTGTTGTTTTTAATATTTGATAAGTTTTTGTTCAAAATATTAGGTAATAGATTGTCATATCACTCACGTGACCAGCATCACCTTTGCAACGTCTAAACTAACTTCGGGAAGCCAGAATAAGGGGAGACAACTGATATTTCCGGTTATTGCACATAGAGCAACCCTTGGAGCGACCTTCATTTTGTTTCCTCTAGTCTATCATAGTTACCAAAGGTCCTTTGGATGATTTTGCAGCTACCACACAGAGCAGTTGACAGAGGAGTAAAGTAGTGAGTTTATCGAATTACATCACGATCGGTCTTCAAAGTGCCACTTTACGCTCTGCCACTCTCTCCAGATCCAAGAGACTTAATGCTTGGCAGTATGTATCTCCAACGTACACATAGCTAGTTATCTATGCACAGTTCGGCAGTATCAAACAAAAAGATGCAGCCTTTAGTACTTTAGGAAGAATCTGCCACACATCGCGCTTTTGCGGCGGTGGATCACACACACAAATAATCAGAACTCGTCTGTTCAGTGATGCAGCAAAAAGATGTTCAAAAAAGAGACAAGTGTGCGCCGTCTAAATCCAACACAGAATTTAAGGCTCAGCAGTTCTTTGGGCACTGCCAGAGCTGTAAAAGGCCACACAAATAACTCTGAACTTTGTAACTGTAAGATCTACGGCACTTTAGCATTTCTGAGGTTCTTTAGCTGCAGCTCAAATCCGTCCAGCTATTTAAAACAGCCTTATTTTTGAAACCAAGTCAAACGGTCTTCCCCTTTGGCACATGACAGGGAGCTGGATCCCAGCACAAATAAGCACCTAAACCATTTAGTCAGAGCCACACTACGCTGCTAAAAGCAGAATTTCAATGCAGAACCTATTACATCCAGATCACTGTTTTCTGCTACTCTCCAAGACTTTCATGATTGAGTCTCCATATTCAGAATCCATACACCTGCACAGGGGTTTAGTTGAATACATCGGGCTCGAGAGCCATTAAGGACACCTGCGATTACGAGATTTTGATGGAAAAGTTTCAAATCCATCTCCACCAATCAGGCACGAGCTGCAATGATCGCAGATATGATTCAGGCTTCCAGCCAAAGGACTATAGGCGTGTTTCGCGATATCGTGGCTCAACCAAAGAGCAGCACGCCAGCAGTGGCCCAAAAAACCACAATTAGGGCGCGAAGCGTTGGTGGTAGATCCGGGACAAATCACCCAGGGGTATCAGGACCCACATATCGAATTAGCAGCTATTCTGGCAGCAAGGCACAAGTCTAAATTTATGTAAGATTTTAGTCAAGCAGCGAATTGCATAAAAGCTTTCTGCCATATTTCAGATTATTTTCCAGCGTATTCTACTGGTAATCGAGTCATGTCGGTTACAATAGTGACAGGTGCCTCCAGGGGTCTAGGAGCTGCCATATGCAAACTGATACTACAGAAAGACGACGACGCAAAAATTGTTGCCATAGCACGGTCTAAAGATAAACTGCAGGAACTGGCTGATAAGTACGGCTCAAGAGTTCTGAGCATAGCTGGAGACGTCACAGACACAAATTTGGTGGCAACGGCAGTGCGAAGAACTGTCTCTACTTTTGGCAAGATTGACTCTGTTGTTCTTAATGCGGGTGTGTTGGAGCCGGTCCAGCACATCAGCGAGCTGGATATCGAGCAAGTGAAACGGTTATACGACGTCAATGTGTTTTCTGTGATGGATCTGGTGAAACAGACTATACCATATGTACGGAAAACCGAGGGAAACTATCTCTTTGTGTCATCTGGTGCGTCAACGAAGGCGACAGACGCATGGAGTGCGTACGGATCATCGAAGGCGGTTATCAATCATTTTTGTCTGAGCGTTTGCGCAGAGGAGCCAAAAATCCGCACTATTTCTATTGCCCCGGGCGTCGTCGATACGGAGATGCAGAAGGATATCCGAGAGAAGTTTGGTCAAAACATGAAATCAGAGGCATTAAAAAGGTTTACGGATCTTTATTTCCAGAATGAGCTACTGGCTCCTGAAGTTCCTGCAGCTTTGTATGCAAATCTCGCCCTGAAAGGAGTTCCAACGGATTTGAACGGCAAATATCTGCGTTACAATGATGCAGCGCTGGCAGATTTTGCGAACTAGGAGACAGCCACAAATCACGGAGAGGCCCGGTTCACTGGAGCTGCGAATTTCATACCACGTAAATGAAATCCAGACAGTAAAATTACGAACGATATCTGTGCATGATATGCGCATGAGATCGATTAATAAAATCTTCTGCAGGCTTGTTTTTTTTTGGCGAAGAATCTGCAACGCTGGTAGCCAACAATACGAACAGCAAATTTCAATCGGGCCTTATGCATGTACAAACGAAATATATGAAAGAGGCATTTTTCATTGGGCCGTAGGAGTTCGTTGCAGACCTGCTTTCGGTCCTTACCTTACACTTTCGCGTCTTGAGGAACACTAAAGCAGATTTTCCCCTATTGAGTGAAAAGGCATTATGAAGGCTCTCTTCTATTTTTTAGGTTAAATAGACTTTGCAGTGCAACAGAGAGGGCACCTTCCTAACTGGGCGCAGAATGTAAATGCCTTCTGCGTCGACCAGCGCCTATGTTTCCTAAGTACTGATTCGCCGCACTGCCCCATTCTCTTTTCACCGTGTAGACTTTTTGACACCTTAAAATAAAAACACCATGTCTTAGCACGAGACTTGAAAGTTTTTGGCTCGTATTCGAAATATGGAATCCTACCATGGCCTCATAGTGACCCCGTCAGACGCTATTCTGCTTTTGGAGGCCGCCAGACAGAGCATTATTCCCAAAATGAACAGACGACTCTCGGATTACGAGCGCATGATTCTAATAAAACCCGGAGCCGTATTCATTTGGAATGAATCCGAGTCCAACATGAAAAGATGGACGGACAGCAGAAACTGGGGCGCTTCCAGAGTAAATGCAGCATTTCTTATATATAGGGAGCTCGACTCTTCCCAAACTACCGGCACGTCATACACATACAAGCGCAACGGCCTCGTGAAACAGTCTTTCTCAGTCACTATGAAAAACGGAGGCAAAGTGCATCTAATAAGCTACATGAATAGTGACCATGAAGCCAACAGGTATCTTATGAGACCGACGCAGGACCCAAGACTTAGACATATTCAAATAGATCGGAGCTTGTATCCAGACAACCTTCTGGTAGACGAGTCCGACAAAGAGCATGAAAAGGCATCTTTACTTAGGAGGGCGTCCGACACCACTTACGACAAACAGAAAACTTTGGTAGCCCCGGCCCATCTGCCACCAATTAATAATGTCGACATGGGACCTACCTTCTCGTCGACCAACATTGTGGCCAACGTGGAAAGGACTCCGCCCTCCAGCACTGACCAACAGAAAACACAATCCCGGTATACTGGCCGCTTGCAGGAGGACGACAAGATGCTCAGTGTCTTAGATAGATACTTCAAATAATTACGATCCACCTTGTGTACGGGTGTTGTACTTGAAAGCCAAATATTTTTGTCGTCGTGTCGTTCCGCACGATGGATTTTGTATTTGACGCCTATGACAACTACAGCGGTGACTCCCCGGCAAGCTCGCTGCCCGTACCGTCTGCACCCCTCAAGATACCGAATATCCCACTTCAAGGAGATCTGACCCGCAAATTCTCGAATTTGAGCATCTTAAATCACATAAAGCCGAGAAATAAAGACAAGCACCAAGACGAAGACACGGCCGCTTTCCGCTATGCCAAAACCTCGCTAGATCTTCTCAACGCAAACAATGAGCCTTTGGTTCCCTTAGAGCTCACGGCGGAAACTACAGACTCCAATGTGCTTGCCGGACGCTTGAGTCGAGTTCTGAATCAATCCAATTTTGATTCTACTATCCGTCAGTCGCTGGTAATGCTTCAATCGCGAACTGAAGAACGTGACGCATCATCTGATGGGAATATCGATTACAAGAACCTGACGAGTCCGAATATGCTGGGGTCCATTGCTCGCCGCAAATTACGAGGCGACGTAGAGAGCGAGCTTTTGCGTCAGCATTTCCAGTCGCTGAAGAAATTCCATCTGGTGGTCAAGAAACTGAACGTGATCAAACAGGACCTGGATGATTTGAATTCCTGTTATGATGAAATTGATGGGAAATTGAGCGAGAGTTTGCAGGATACGGCAGAATACAAAAAAGAAGTCAAAGAGCTAATTCAAAAACGCGACTTGGTGAAGATCAAGAAGAGCTTGTTGGCTGGATTTCGCTCTAACTTCACTCTGAGTGCATATGAGGAACACGTTCTGCGCAACGGGGATGTTGATCAAGAGTTCTTCAATGTGGTTCAGAAAGTTGAGAAGATATATGCGAATTGTGACATTCTGCTTAGTATGAACAATGACAAGCTGGGAATCAGCATTATGAACCAAATGTCGAGTCATCTTCAGCAGGCCAACGAGAGAATCTCAAATTTCCTGCGCAAGACTCTCAATTCGATCTATGTTCAAAACGACTTCGTAAAGAACCCAGACTCCATTGCCAATTTTCAGCGTGCACTCGTGTCTGTTCTTTCGAAAAATAAAGACGAGTTTGACTCCATTGTGAGCGATATTATAGAAAGCAGGTCTCGAGTTGTTAGTGAGGAATTCATGTCACAGCTGAACGGCTACTCGGACGAAATCCGTTCGAAGCCAAACAAATCACTTATTATCTCATCGTATGACTCGAAAAGATATGTGAGCGACGTGCTTGCTTATCTTCATACTGTCATTGCAAATGAGCTCGAGATGGTTGAGAGCTTGTTTACATTTGATCAAGAGGTGTCGGCTGACCTTATGCCGGTGATTCGCACAGTAGTTAATAAGGTGCTTGGATCTTTGAATCGACCATTCAAAAGCAATTACAAAACTATCCTGAGACAGGAAACTAAGCCGGGAGTTGTTGTCGAGCTCTATCAGCTTTTGGATCTTTACAAGCATATGTTCGAGAAGTTGACTCAAGGCAATAGTCTTATTGAAAGCTTGTCAGAATTGCAAGAAGACTCGTTCAAAAGATTGCTAACTCTCGTTTCCCTGAAAATAAGAGAAATCAAAGTTGAGTCAGAAGTTGAAGAGATCGATGAAGAAGTTCTTGGTCTGCCAGACTGGCTAATGGACTTCTACTCTGAGTTTCTGGGCATATTTGATTACCACAACAATGCAGACAAAACGTTTCTCAACGTTGATAAATCAGAGGAAAACGAGCTGATCACACTTCTGGTAGATGAGCCGCTGGAGTTACTGAACTCGATTTCAAGCAAGCTGGATTTCCCCAAAAAGTCTAAGAAAATCTTCATGATCAATTGTCTAGATTTCATGCTTTCCAAAATTGAGCTGGTCTCGGTTCTATCTTCCAAAGCTGTATTCATCCAGGAAATGCTTGAGCAAACCGTTCAATCACTCATAATTGACGAGTTCAACCAGCTGCTCAAAAATTCAGGACTGTTCGATATTTACAATCTTGTGAACATGATTTACAAGCTTGAGGATGATTTCTTCGACGTTTCATTGTACGAGCCAATCATAGAAAACAAACTCTTCAACGTTGCTACATTTCAGCAAGCAGATATGAAGCTTCAAGAGTTCTTGGTGGGATATTTGGTTTCGAATGAGCTAAACAAACTGATCTCCCCAACACTCCTCAATACCATATTCATCACCTCGTCCCTCAAATTCGTCAAGTTCTATCGCAAACTCCTACTCATCGTGGGTGAGTATTTGAAGGACGATGATGATCAACTTATCAGCGTGTTCCGCTGGGATGACACGCACGTTGCTACACTTCTGGGTGTGGAAGAACCATACGAGCGTGAGAGAGACATAATTGACTAGACAATGCATAATAAATAAATTAATCACCCCTTTCCGGCTTTTGACCTCTTCCATAACCGTCTTTCGCGTAGTAATCCATAGGATAGAAGTCTTTCTCGAACTTCTGATCCTCTCCAAGCATCACCATAGCTTCATACGGCGTAAGTAATGGCTTATGGAAAGCATAACCCCAGTCGATCGATAGTCTTGGACAAGCAACTTGGACGAAAGCGTCGATATCGTCGAACATTGCGAGCTTCCCTGGAAAAATCTCTGATAGTATGATTTTCACAACAATTTTTCCTGAGTCGATAAGCTGTTTCTCTAATCGTTCCACTGTCACCGGATTTCCTTGTCGTCCCAGAGCACCCAGTATCAATCCTATTTTCTTGGCCTCGGACGCGCGACGCACGGCATCTGCCCTAACTTGCACCATTTCTTCCTGAGCGTAATACTCTCTGGTAAACTTCCGAGAATACGGGTCATATCTATAGGCAGGAATCGAAGGGTTGTGGATCATAGCGCTTTCCAAATGGAATCTTCCATCGCCAATGTAAACCATAGCATCGAAGTGGTTCGGATCTAAATGCGCGGATGTGCACCCAAGAACTTCCCCCTTGGATAATGGAGATATTTGAGGAGGCGTGACATAGAGAAGCTTGTCCGACTCTGGACCTTCCAGTTTGCTTTTAATCGAATGTATGGTAGGGTTGAATTGTATAGTACCAAACACAGCCAATCGGGTCCCGTGCTCAAAGTTTCTGGTCAAGGTTCTCATCAAATGGCCCTCGTCAATGACGATGGTCACGAACACATAAAGGACCTTGATTTTGGTCACATCAATGGGGACAAGACACGAATGCGCATAGTGGACAATCATATCGCAATCCAGAGCTCTGGCAGTGTAATCATCTATGCAGCAGGCTCCATAGGAAACGTCGCCCATGACAAGCACCTCAGCATTGCAAAACTGCTCGATAATATCAGCTATCACCATGGAATAAATCAAAAGCCCTTCTGGCATCTGTAAACATACCCTTTTTGCATTGTTCTTTCTCACGTTCCAAACAGTCTTGTGGATTTCAAAGTTATAATTTGAAGGCAAAAGACGTGCTGCCTCTTTGAGCTCTTCATCGTCCAGAATTTCCTGCGGAATCTGATTTATGAGCCTTGATGCGCCTTTCTTCGCACGTATAATCACTGCTGAGCGGCTACCCTTTTCATCCTGCTCACGCGATCCAACGAACCTTCGCCGTCTTTGGGTGATGTCGACTGCTGGCGACATGATAATGAAAAAATAATCTATGCAAAAAAAAAAATTTAAATAATTTTAGAGCCGCAGATGATTACACCACGATTCGAGGTGTCACAAGACGATGAATTTGTTATCATCAAAGTGCGAATATCTAACACCAGGTTCTCCGCTAAGGCTGTGGAGATGATTGCCGACGACGACAAGTTTATCTTCTCCCTCGCTCCATACTATCTTCGGCTCCGCTTTTCTGGTAGCATAGTCGACGATGAGCGCGCCAAAGCAGAATTTGTCCCAAAGGAAGAAAGCATCCTAATCCGCATGCCAAAAATGAACAAGGGAGAGGTGTTTTTGGACCTTGATCTGCCTGCCAAACTTCTTGCAAGAACTGAGAACAGCGAGAGAAAACTTCCCTTGATAGAGGAAGTAGGCGAGACGAACAATGTGGAATCACTAGCCCAGGAGGCTCAGAATTTTGACTGGGAGGTTGAGCAGGTTGAGCAGCAGCCGGCTCGTCTTGTCCCGCAATTCTTCTATGGTTTCAATAACCAGTACTCGAACATGATGGAGGTGTCTCTTTCCAACGGTAATGACATCAACGAGCTTTCCAATCCTGACAAAATGGACCCTGATGAGCGCATCAATGAACGGTTGATCAAAGAAAACCTAAAGTTCGACCCAGAGTACTATGCGAATGAGTATTTGACCCAAAAGTATTTTCCGCAGGACTCTAACATCAAACAAATTCTCTGCTGGGAGAATCCAATCCGCATACAGCACAAAAATCGCAGCGAGACAGAATTTACTACGGAAGAACACGAGCGGATGATGGATCTGCCCCGAAAGTCTTACCTGGTGGATAACGTGCGGCCTCTTTACTACACCATTGTGTGTCTGTTGTATGGCTATTTGTACGAGCTCCGGCAAAATGAGGGCGAGTTGACGGTGGAAAGCGGGTGGACCGTGGGGAAACTGGTGCCGCAGTTGAGCTGTTTGGACTCGCAGCTGATCCAGTCGAATAATAAGACGGAAACAAATATGCTTCGTGTGGTTGCTATCACAATGGCCAGACGCAGTCTGTGCTACCCATTAGTTCGCAATTTCGAGATGGTGACGACTGTTTGGGACGATGTTTACTGTACACTAAGGTGTGGCAGCAGAGCGGTGTTGAAAGCCCTGCTTGCGTGTCGCGAATTGTTCAGATTCCACGATATCTATTACATATACTGCAATATCTGGCTAAATGACCTGTGTGCCTGGACAATGAACAATGCCAGCGACACGGTGCTGAGAAACCTGGGCCATGAGTTACGCAAAACAGTGGCCGAGATAAAGAAGCGCGAGATTGTCTTTGAGAAAATCCTGGCCGACGACTCGGAGGAGCTGGAATTTGTGAATCTCACAGATATTGAGGAGCTGGCTGAGATCTCGTACAGCGAGTCGATCGCGGCTTCTAGTTAACGGGCGATATTAGTGATACGTCGGCTGAAAGCTGTCTGCTATGCTTTTTTTCAGGAGTGGTGTCCAGCGCAGGAATGACGATCTCTGGCGCAGGAGAAAGACGTCTTTTCCGCGAGCTGTGCTCTGAATCTTCTGGAATTGAGACTTCTGGCGGCAGCGAGATGGTTCTGTGGTGTCTGCCACGTCGCACGTCGCTGACGGCGAGTGGCTGCTTGCCGTTTAGCAAAGACGAGACTGCGTGGGCGCCGATTCTCGACGGAGACAGTTGGTGTCTAGGGTTCAGAGTGGTTTTGCGTTGAGCGGAGCCGGACCCAAACTTGAAGCTGGCCATGGGATTAGGTTCTGCCTTGTTTATGCTTGGAGCAGGCAGTGTTCCTGACCTTTCAGGAACGAGAACGGGGATGAGTTCGGGCGGGACGTTGATCTGTGCAGCCAGTTTCACCAGCTCCAACGTTCTATTCAGCTGCTCTACCTTGTAATACTCCTGTTTGGTGCGCTCCTGCTGTATCCTCGTCTGAAGAGCTAGAATAAGCGACTCCTCGTCGTGAGGCCATTTGTCTGAGTTAGACCCGAAGAGAGTGTTCATGAACGAGCCAGACATGACTAAAACATTTTTTGCACTGCGAATTGGTAAATACGTGGCTGTGTACATACGAAGAGCTAAAGTATAAAAATATTCTGTGGCGGTGTACATCTCAGAAAAACGCGTATGTCTATAGTGTCACTACTTGGAATCAACGTTCTGAACAACCCAGCCAGGTTCACGGATCCGTACCAGTTCGAGATCACTTTCGAGTGTCTCGAGCCGCTGAAGGAGGATCTCGAGTGGAAACTGACCTACGTGGGGTCGTCGCGATCGCTCGAACACGACCAGGAGCTGGACTCGATCTTGGTAGGCCCTGTGCCGGTGGGCGTGAACAAATTTATTCTCACCGCAGATGCGCCGTCGCCGGAGCTGATCCCCGCCAGCGAGCTCGTGTCGGTGACAGTGATCCTGCTCAGCTGCTCGTACCGCGAACGCGAATTTGTGAGAGTTGGGTATTACGTGAACAACGAGTACGACTCTGAAGAGCTCCGCGAAAACCCTCCGTCCAAAGTCCAAGTCGAGCATATTGTGCGCAACATCCTGGCCGAGAAGCCGCGTGTGACGAGATTCAACATCGTGTGGGACAACGAGGAGGAGGAGGAATATCCTCCGGAGGAGCTAGAGGAAGAGGAAGAGGACGATAAAGAGACAGTTGGAGACGAAGACGAGGAAGACGAGGACGAAGAGGTGGAGGACGAAGAGGACGAAGAGGAGGCCGACGAGGAGGCTGAAGAGGCTGAAGAGGTCGAGGAGGTGGACGAAGTCGAAGAGGTGGACGAGGCCGACGAGGAGCAAGAAAAAAAAGAGACTCGCTGATAAATAGTTATATGATGAGATTAATTATGCTAGAGTATTAAATGTGCAGCGCGTTACTTGGATGCGTTCTCGTACAGTTCGTTGATCACTTGGAACGTTCTGGTCACCATCTCGGCAAGGACAGGTCGCCTGTCTTCGCTGACACGGCGGAGGATTTTATCAGGGTGCCATCGGATCCTTTCCACTCGAAGCTGGTCATGGGGTATAAATTGGCCCACGCTCTGAAGATTCACTTCTCCGCCAGGAACAGGCATAGGCGGAAGCTCGTGCTCCAGATCAACGGTCTGCCACCGCTTGACATACTCTTCGTAATCATTTCTGCGGACTCGGTACGGATCCTCTTTCTGCGGCAGCTCAGGCAGCTCTGCAGCGTACCCGTTGATGTGGCGGTGGTAATTCACATTCGGAAACGGCTTCTGATCTGGGTGCGGCGTCACAAAACGGTAGCCGTTTATCGAGGGCCCATACTCGTAATGTGGCCGAGGCTCAGGATCCGATTGTTTCTTCGGAGGCGGGGGCGGCTCCGCCGGACGTGGCGGCGAATCTGGAAGTGCCTCGTGCTCTGTGTGCCTGCGTTCCGGCCGTCGCTTGAATTTCAGCCGCGTGGCGCGCACCTCCGCTTCCGTCTGGGCATTATGCCTCATCACTATTTTTTATCTTCCTATATGTTAGCACAGCCGTTAAAAATTTTCCTGCAAAATATTCTTCTTGATGCTCCGAACGAGACAGCTGGCTTTCACCAGGCACTTCAGCTGTTGCCTACCGCGGCGCAAGATCACGATTGAGCACGACGACGATAAGACATACGAGGATATTCCGCGGTCGAGCACTGTGGGAACCGAGCAATCGAGTCTGTTCTTTTCGTACAGAGCAGGCGGAGAGACGTTTGGCCAGCTGGTCAACGAGGTGCTTCACGACAGAGACCCGCTTCATAACCACCGTGTGGTGACTCCAGAGGAGGCCATGGAAGGCGTTGATCCAAAGTACAGAAACACAGAAACGGGCGAACTCCTTGCTGCTGCCACGAGCAGGGAGGCAAGGCTCCATCCGCAAACACTGGCGGGAAGGGTCAACAGAAGACGCGTCCAGCTGCCCAGGCTCATTGCAGATGCTATAAATTACAACATGATGCTTTTGCACGAGCCAAAACTTTTGAAGGACAAAGTTGCAGAGTACTACAAAAAATTTGAGGATACGGGTCTGCACGCGAAAACTAACACTGAGGAGGAAGCGGATATTTACATAGCCGGCTCGTTTCTGCAAAACTACGCGACGTGTTATCAAGTCTTGGACGAGCTCAGACGTCGTGTCGGGAAAGAGTGGAGTCCAAAACGGGTGCTGGATTACGGCTATGGGCCAGGTATAGGAATGGTAGCTTTGAACGAAGTGATGGGCGATGATTTCAACCCAGACATCAAGGATGTGGTGGTCAACGGGTCTTTCCACATGAAAAGAAGAGCCAAAGTTTTACTGAGTCGGCAGGTCAACGAACAGCACGAAAGAGAAGCCGGCGAACCTGAGGACGCAGCACAGGAGCAGGAACAACTAGGGACGCAGGAGGAGGAGCAGGAGCTTGACTCAGAGGACCGGAAACCAGACCAGCCAGTGATAGGCAGGGTGAAAACCAAGCTGCTGAAGATCAAGTCTGTCCTTTTGGAGAAATTGCGTCCGGAGAACGTGAAATACGATCTAATTATTGCTCAGAACCAGCTTTTGAGAGACGAGAAAAACTTTCCGCTGGAGGTGGATGAACTGCTGGACCCCCTGATCAAGCGATTGGCGCCCGGCGGTCATCTTGTGCTTTTGGAGCGCGGAAACCCACTGGGAGCAGAGACGATTGCTCGTGCGAGACAGGTGATGTTGCGGCCTGAAAACTACGGAGACCGCATTTCCAAGATCCCGAGACTATACAAGAATAGCGACGTGCTTGCTGCAGAAGCTTATGAGTTGTCTCTGGAGGACGACGAGCCGGTTGAACCAGAATTGCTACAGCTTTACGACGTCGAAGAAGCTGTGTCGGTCGACCCGATAAACCTGAAAATCGTCGCGCCGTGCTCTCACCACGGAAAGTGTCCGCTGCAATACTTCAATCCAGAGTATTACAAATACGGCAAGGTGGGGAGACGGCTCAAGTTCTGCAACTACACGATTGACGTCGAACGGCCGAGATATGTGATGGAATTGAAAAGGGGGGCGAAACTTGCCGCGGCGTGGCGCGACAATCCAACCAAAAAGTTTATGTCGTATGCTGGAAGCGGGCGTCCGAACGGCAAGGACTATGAAACAGCAAGCTACTCGTATCTGATTGTACAGCGTTCTGTGGAGTCAAATCAAGAGCTGGAAGCCCTAAGGCAGCAGGATGTTGGTGGCAGAACCGTCGGATACGTTCCTCAGACTGCCGAGGAGCTGCCCCGTGTGCTATCGCCGCCTACTAAGCGCCGGGGACTGGTCGTTGCAGATATGTGCGCACCGTCTGGCCACGTTGAAAAGTGGTATATTTCAAAGAGTGTCGGAGAGCAGGCATACCACGATGCGCGAAAACTGGGAATGGGTGATCTGTGGGCTTTAGGCGCAAAGTCGAGGGTCCAGTCGACCAAGGAGAACGAGTTCTACTTCCAAAAGCTAAAAAAGCAGGAAGAAGAGATACGGAAGCAACGCAAACGCGATGCCAAGCTGCGCAAGAAAAAAATGAAAGAGGAGTACCGGAAAGCAATCTATTCTGAGCCGAAAACGTTTGGCGAGAGTTTGAGAATGGTAGCACAGGTTGACTCATTCAGGATGCTTAACTTGAGGAAAGAAAAAGACCGGCTCCAGGCTGACATCGACCGCGACGAGCTGGCTTGACCTGTACATATTATTTATTATTTTTTATATACATCTGGGCAGTGCTCATGCATCCTTCACGTACATGATTGGGAGTCCTATGGGCGTAGAAAAAAAACTGATCCCTTTTTTCTCTCTTGTATGCCAAACAGCTAGGAGTCAGGAAAATGGAACCACTGAACGTGTTGAGTTGTAAGTGTGAGCGCCTGAGTTACGAAATACTAACAGACCAGTTGGAGATACACCATCTTGTTCATTCTTGGTATGGCGGCTGTCCTTGTCAAACTGCAGAACTTTTGTGATTGGGTCCAGCTGTGTTCTAGAAGACGATCAGGCGATAACCTGGAAGTCTGTCAAGTATGGAGAGACAACCTTCACTCCAACGGGATCGGCAAAAGATCTCGCAGAATTAAATTTAGAATCCCTCAAGCCTTTAAACTTTGTTTTGCTGGGAGCGGATAGCCACGAAAATATGATAGATACAACGACGCAGATCAAATCCTTGGTGGGCCCGCAAACAATAATACTGGTGGAGTCAAGATACTGTCTGGGATTAGAAGAGGTGGTGAAGAAGGTTCTTCCCAAAAGTAGAGTCTTGGGGATGATCTGTGACGCAGATGTCAGAGTCATAAAGACGCAAAGCGGATACCAATATTACCACAAGAACCACAGCACAGCAGCAGTTATCGGGTCGTCGATTGATGAGGACCAGAACATCGTGCAATTGCTCAAGGGAGAAGGAGATCTCGGAGCCAGACTGACGCAACTCACGGAAATGCTCAAGAAAACAGAGGTTTATCCATGCTATTTGATTCCCAAAGGCATAAATCCAACTTTCAACAGCTATGGGTGGAAAAGAATTCTTCCATTTATCAGTTTGGAAGTAATGAGCCTCGTTTACTCGAAGCTGAGCACGTTGGATCCCATTCAATTTGGGATTCTCAAGGGGGTGTTCTCCGACTTACTCACGCTGGGCCGCAAGTATGGAGCACCCGACCTCCCAGATCCTTCAGACTCCTCCAAGACAAAAAATCTGCTCGACGTCATGATCAGAGACTTCAATCAATCGTACCCTTCTAGCGCGATCAAGACGCCGAATTCCTCGAACTATACTGACGCAGTGTCAAAGGAGCCGATGCTGGACCTCGCGACCTGTGTTCATAACTTCAATTACGGGCACGAAACAGGCGTGAACTTGTCATTGAAACAAACGTTGAGTTTGGCGACAAAGCACGATCTGAAAATGCCATACGTCGAAATGCTCTTCAGCTTTTTCACCGAGATCCAAAAGCTGAAAGATCAAAACATATTCGACTGGGCAAACAGAAGGACAGTAGCTGTTCGAGAATCTAATAGTTACGGGGTCGCCCCGTTCCAGCAACAGATACAATATCAGCAATATCCAATGCAGACAGGACCGGCGCCGATGAGCCCTAACCCTTCAGGCACACAGGCCGGGCCGGGACAGATGCCGATGATGCCTGGAGTGCCCCAGCTCATGCCTCAAATGATGTATGCGCAGCAATATGCGGGCTACGCAATGGTGGCCGGGCCAGCCAGCTTTGGCGGAGCAAACCCTGGTCTGGTGCCAATTCACCCGAGGTTTCGGCCAGATAGCAGCGGGAACACGCCAGGACAGCACACGGTGTCCGCAATCAAGAACTCGATGTACAGAAAATCATCCACTTCGACCATCCAATCGGGAGAAGAGCTCTCGAGGAGTCAGCGTTCCGTGATCGAGCACGCCAACGTGAAAAACATGTTCAGCAACACCACGAGCAGGTACGGCGACGTGGACTCGTTCAGCCGAGTGAACGCGTCGAACGGCAGCGTTGCCAGCAGCGGGAGTCTGGCAGGCAGCATATGCCCTTCCAAGTAGCTAAAACGCTTATATAAGCAAATAAAACCCTTTCCTGATGTGTACTTCGCGCTTCGGGCTGCAAGCGATTTGTCGTGCACCGGGAACCAAAAAATCAACATGGCCGAGCATTGTTTCTGATAGCGTTCTGCAAGACATGTGCAGGGCGGCGTTATCCAACCAATCAGAACAAAGTACCGCGACAAGGAGATTCGAGCACTTGGACGAGAGACTTTTTGATCGTTATCCTCTTTTCTCCGTGCGTCTTGTTATGAACCATGTATTCGAGCAGCCAGTCTCCTCATACTGGCCTCGGATTTGACTCCAGGCCCGATCATGTATTGGATATGGACGCTGCACATTCTGCCAAGGCTGCTGACGAAGCGTCAGCAACTGCCCTTTGGAAGATGTATTCCAAGGCCAAGGCTAGTCTGCCGTACCGGTCGCGGATGGAGAACCTGACATGGCGTCTCATGTACATCAATATTCACAAGAACCGCACCAAGTCACTGTCCTCCGCCCCAGAAAAGACTGCTGAACGGGCCCTGCCGTCGACAAAGGCTACACAGACGCCGCGGCCCTCGGCACCTGCCAGTTCCGAGGCCAGCAACAGCTATGGTAACTGGCCTCAGTTCCCCGACCTCGACTTTCTGGAAACGAGCCACCACCAGCCGATCGACCCAAATTCCAACGAGTTCGACTATCTAGAGCACATCAAGTCTATCGGCGGGCACTCGAGCGCACCGCTGCCCGAGATGAACTCCTCTCCGTTGCCGAATTTGCACGTCGACTCCACCGCACAGCCATACATGAGCGCCAACCCGTTGGACTTGAGCCAGGCGCCGTTCACGCAGACCGTGGCGTTTGACAACGGGGGATCGCCGTCGCCTGTCAACTTCGACGCCGTGTCCACAAGCGTGCCCACCTCGCTGAAACACCATCCGAGCATGGTCAATATACACACCGATCACGTCACCAACGATTTCTTAGGCCAGTCGCTCCCCAATGCCAATCCTCTCTACTCGCCGTCGCAGTCGTCTATCACGTCCCGAACGCGCTTCCAGTCGTTCTCGTTCGATAAGGCGCCGGGCCAGTTTGCGAGAGATGACTTCAGCTTTGACGTCGACGGCGACATGAACATGTTTGACCACTCGCCGCAGGTGCCTGCGGCCACCACTCCCACAAACATCTCTACACCAGGCGTGCAGCTTGGCACCAAGTTCAGCAACTCGGCTCCCAAGTCGGCGAGACGGTCATCGGCGGCTGCAAAGCGCAAGGCGCCAGTCAAGCGGAACCCTAGGAGCGCCACTGACGTGGGCTCTCTCACGTCCACCCCGGGCACGCTTCCGAAAAACGGCTCGTTCGCCAACACCCCTACAGGCACCCCTCCTTCGAGCAGCAGCAGCAACGCAGCATTGGGGATTGCTGGCGCAGAACAGGGCAGTATTGCGTGTACGAACTGTCATACCAAGACCACGCCGCTGTGGCGTCGGAACCCTGAAGGACAGCCTCTTTGCAACGCGTGTGGTCTGTTCCTCAAGCTTCATGGTGTCGTCCGGCCTCTCTCGCTCAAGACCGATGTGATAAAAAAACGCCAGCGGGGAACCACTACGAAGAAGCCCAAAAAGAAAACAGATGGAGATGACCTGAACCCAACTCCGATCGTATTAAATAAGGTGAAGACTGCAAGCAGTCCTTCCAAAAGAGAAAACTCGGCACGCGGCCACCAGGAGACAGAGGGCTCCACTAACGAAGATGCAGAGTTGGGTGGGGGCCTGTATCAGGGATCGCAGCCGTCAAACGATCTGAAGTCTCTTGACTTCGATTCGATCTTGAGTCTTGGCCAACAGCCACAAAACCGGCCTCCACAAACTGAGCCCACTAATGAAGATCCCTCCTCCCAAAGTTTAGGCACTACTGCTGGTCAAAGTGGCAACAACAATTGGGACTGGCTTACTATGTCTCTGTAACACTACCGTCGCTCCTTTATATACAGATATAGATCTATCGTGCGCGACACAGAGTGTAACAAATTTATTTTTTACTCTTATTTTATTCTCTATTATGTCAAAGGTGGGTGTTCTTGCTTTGGGACCAGCAGGTGTCGGCAAAAGTACGTTTTGCAACTCTCTGGTCGCTCACATGCAAACTGTTGGGCGGACAGCCCACATAGTGAACCTGGATCCGGCCGCAGATCCAACAGAATTTGAATTCAGCATAGATATAAGAGACTTGATTTCGCTTCAGGATGTCCAGGAAGAACTCCATCTAGGACCAAACGGGTCGCTGCTATACTGTTTTGAGTTTCTGTTGGACAACCTTGATTGGTTGGATGAGCAAATTGGAGATTACAACGACGACTACCTCATTTTCGACTGTCCCGGGCAGATCGAACTCTACAGCCACGTTCCTGTTCTACCAGTGATAGTGAAGCATTTACAACAACAACTGGGGTTCAGCCTTTGTTGCACATATCTATTAGAGGCACCGTTTGTGATAGATAACTCGAAGTTCTTTTCGGGAGCATTGCAGGCCATGGCTGCGATGATTTTCCTGGAATTGCCACACATAAATATTCTTTCCAAAACCGATTTGATCAGAGATACTGTATCAAAAGCGCAACTCAAAAAGTTCCTGAATCCAGACCCATTGCTTTTGGAACAAGCAAACGAGCAGGAAGAAGGTTACATTTCGAGTAACCCGAAATATGCTCGGTTGAATAAAGCTATTGCTCAATTGGTCGACGACTTTGGAATGGTCCAATTTCTACCCCTTGATTGCTCGGACAAGGATAAAAACGACACAGTCAAATCAATTTTGAGTTACATTGATGATGTGACACAATGGAGCGAGGCGCAGGAGCCAAAGGAGCCCAACGATGAAATTGAAGTGCCGGAGGAAGATGCCGAGTGGCAATAGCCTAGACCTTCTTACTTTGCTTCTTTTTGGGTTTCAAGTCCTGGAATGCATCCAAAAGAGCAGGGATATCCTGACAGCTGCCCGTCACTATGAGGTCGAAGTGTTCAACATAGTCCACAATCGATTGCGTTGGCTCCTCAATATTGATCCAGATGACGCTTCCGTTCTTCGAATGCACCACTTTGGCCATTTCCTTGACCAGTCTTCGCACTCCTGGAATCTTCAGTGTCGTCCCCACAACGAGGAGACAGTCGGGACGGTTTTTCAAGTCCGACTCAGTGATGTTGCCAATTATTTCTCCGTCGGGATGGAATTCATTATACAACACGATCCGGGGTCTCAGGACCCCGCCTGACTGAACCCTGCGTCCAGCAATTGCGCGCACAGCGTTCAGCTCTTCGCACTCCGGGCAGTTACGGATAAGCTTGCTGTTCTCGTTAAAATAGGACTCATCTAATTCTTTCACGTGATGACATTTAGAGCAATTCAAAAGCTTGATATTTCCGTGTAGTTGTATTGTCTTTGGATACGGCTTCTCAAAATTCAACGGGACCTTCGTCTCCAAATGGGGAAGCTGTGTGTCTAGGCAATCTATGTTTTGTGTGTACAGTCTTAAAAGACGACCCTCTTGCGAAATTTTGTCGAGCAATCGATGAAAAGGCGAAGGTTGACATTCAACAGACAATGTGTAAAGTTTACGAATCATCTTCTCGAATTCCTTGAGCGATTCAGGCGAGCGGAAAACGTTGTAGTCAAAAAGGTTCTTCCCCGAACCGTTTGCCTTGGAGGCGAATCCCTGGAACAGACCGTTAGCGGATCGAAAATCAGGAATTCCAGACCCCACAGAGATGCCAGCTCCGGTAATGGCAACAATCTTCTTCGATGTTTCGAGGCTCTGACATAGAAATCCAATATCCTCAAGCTGTAGACAATCATTCAGGGTTTTTGGCTGTAGGGGTATGTTAGAAATGTCAAGAACTGTACCATTCAAAGGCCTATACCTGGATCGTCTCCTTTTCGTGATTTTGGGAGCCGGTGAGGCTCTTCGACATAAATGGGAAGGTTTCTCTTCTTCCTTAACATGTATCTCATCGAGTGGATGATCTGGCTCCTCTTTTTTGACATAAAAACTATTCGCAGTTAGAATAGTCATGATGATGTCTTGTTCCGTTTATTTTTTTTTATCAATTTCCAAATCTGTATAATTCATTAGCCAAACTGACCGTGGCGCTCTAATAGCACTTTTTTTCCTTGTTATCGAGGAAAAAAAAAAAAGCTTAGTCAGATAATTTAGAATTGATAGAATTAGCTTTCTTGCTGTTGAGACTCTGAGTAACGACGTTTCAACATGTCCGAATACCATATCAACGGCCACTTTTATGAGCCGTCGGCCATATATGATCTTCAGAGGGTCTCTACTTTCTGGGAGCAATTGATCATCGACTTAACCAGTTCTAGCTCTAATAATAATACTGGGCTTAAGAACTCAACTGGGTCTCTTTGCGGCTGTTACGATGGCGAAGGCTACACATTCTTTTCGGACTTAGAAGACCCATCGCCGTGCTTGGTTAGCGGAGTTTTTGCATCGCTAATTTCAGTCTTTTTCATCATTTGGGGACTTGTTCAAGTGCGTAAGCTCAGGAAAACTAGAAATGTCAATTCCAAAGCAGAGTGGTGGTTTGTACTCAAGCTATCTCTGATTGCCGTTCAGATCGTATTTCAGCTGACACTGGCAATTCTAGCCGTTAGAACGTCTCCTTCACCTTTTTCGGACGTGCTAGTTTTGTCCTCGGACTTCAATCTCGTCGCTTTGGTTGTTGCGTTCGCCCTCTCATATATTGAAAATTTCAAGACTTTTGTGTCAGAGACCGCTCTCATAATATACTGGCTATTTGACCTGTTCATCGGCTGCTTGAAAATCGTCAATCTTGGCCTGAGAAATGACAAATCTTCAAGACTTCCAATCACGGTTCTCAGTACGGTCAATAACTTGATCCTATTGGTGATGGAGATTTATTTTGCTCCAAAAGCCCCAGTGGACCCTACCCAGACTGAGAACCTCTACGATTCCGCCAACATTTTCGGCAAGGTCACGTTCACCTGGTTGACTCCGTTAATGCAAAAAGGTTCTATCAAGTATCTGACAGAGCTCGACCTCCCTGCTCTGCCTTCCTTCCTGAGAAGTGACCATCTTTCTGGGGTCCTTGAATCTCACTGGGCAAAACAACTCCGGTCTAAAAAGCCAAGTCTGGCTATTGCGCTGGCAAAGTCGTTTGGTGGTCCGTTTTTAGTGGCTGCGTTGTTCAAAGTCGTCCAGGACTGCTGTGCCTTTATTCAGCCTCAATTGTTGAAGCAGCTGATAAGATTTGTCAATGAATATCATGAAGATCCTACAATCCCTATGACCAAGGGATTTATGATTGTGGCTTCAATGTTCATTCTTTCGGTTCTGCAGACCGCGTCACTGCATCAGTACTTTACCCGTGTTTTCGACACCGGTATCAAGGTAAAATCCTCGCTCACTTCTCTGATCTACAAAAAGTCGCTTGTGCTTTCCATTGAAGCCAAACAGAAAAAGTCATCGGGTGACATTGTCAACCTTATGTCTGTGGATACCCAAAGATTGCAAGATCTCTGTCAAAACCTGAATGTTATTTGGTCTGGACCTTTCCAGATCATTTTGTGCTTGGTTTCGCTCTATAACTTGCTTGGAAACGCCATGTGGCTGGGTGTTTTGTTCCTCTGTATTTCTGTTCCTATGAACACTTGGGTCTTCGGACAACAGAAGAAATTGCAGAAAACTCAAATGAAAGTGAAAGACGAAAGGACCGGGCTTATCTCGGAGATGCTCAACAACATCAAGTCCCTCAAGCTTTACGCCTGGGAACTTCCATACAAGAAGAAACTGATGTATGTTAGAAACAACAAGGAACTGTCAAACTTGAAAAAAATCGGTATTTTCCAAGCATGCAGTCAGTTCATTTTCAACACAACGCCGTATTTGGTGAGTACTTCTACCTTCGCCCTATTCATTGTTGCCTATAGAGGAGTTCCATTGAGCACAGACATCGTTTTCACCGCTCTTTCTCTGTTCAACTTGCTTGGCTTCCCGCTTGCTGTGCTTCCGTGGACGATTGGTAACATCATCGAGGCTCAGGTGGCCATTTCCCGAATTACTGGCTTCCTCGAGAGCGACGAACTGGACACTTCTACGGTGACCAGATTACCAGCACCCACAGAAATTGGCCAAGATGTTGTGAACATTGTAAACGCAGATTTCCTGTGGTCCAAAGATCCTTATAAGGCTGCTCTGGAAAACATAAATTTCACTGCAAAAAAAGGTCAACTCAATTGTATTATTGGCCGTGTTGGTGCAGGTAAGACTGCGTTGTTGCAGTCTTTGCTGGGAGACTTGCACAAACCAACAGGAACCGTGATTGTTCGCGGATCTGTGGCCTACGTTCCGCAAAACGCATGGATCATGAATGGAACCATCAAGGAAAATATCCTGTTCGGTTGCAAGTACGATCCAGACTTCTACGAAAAGACAATCAAAGCATGTGCCTTGACACACGATTTGAATGTTCTCACGGACGGGGATGCAACTCAGGTGGGTGAAAAGGGTATTAGCTTGTCTGGAGGTCAAAAAGCCAGACTTTCGCTCGCTAGAGCCGTCTACGCCAGAGCGGATTTGTATCTGTTGGATGATATTCTCAGTGCTGTTGACGAGCATGTTGGTAAGCATCTGATCAACAATGTTCTTGGTCCAGACGGTCTATTAAGCACCAAGTGTCGTATTCTTGCTACGAACAACCTGAACGTGCTCAAATTCTCGGACAACATCAGCTTGCTTCAGAACGGAAAGATCACCGAAAGCGGCCATTACGACGATATTGTTTCTGCTCAAAAGTCTGAGCTCTACAACGTGATCAATGATTCTGGTGCAAAAAAGAAGGACGAGGAAGTCTCTGAAGACGTTTCCGAAACCGTTATCGATAAAGAGAGCTCAGAGGATACTCAGTCTGTTTCCAGTGAGCTAGATGACGACATCAAGAAAATTGCATCCAAAGATCTTCCAAAGGCAGAGCTTGAGGACTTCAAAACATCTGTCTCGCGTAAAGACGAGACGCCAACTGGCAGAGAGGAGAAGCATGAACAGGGTAAAGTCAAGACAGCGATTTATCGTGCTTATGCCAAAGCCTGTGGTGTGCGGAACGTTATTTTCTTTCTGGTGATGGTGATTCTTTCGATGGGTGCCTCTGTTCTTGCTAATATCTGGTTGAAGCATTGGTCTGACATCAACACCAGACTGGGCTTCAATCCGCAGCCTTGGAAGTATCTGGGAATCTACTTTGGCCTTTGTGTCGCCAGCACTTTCTTCCTTTTGTGTCAGACACTGGTGCAGTGGCTCGCAGTGTCGATTCAGGGATCCAAGTATCTGCACCAGATCATGCTGGATGGAGTGCTTAGAGCTCCCATGCAGTTTTTCGAGACCACTCCAATTGGACGAATTCTGAACCGGTTCTCTCCAGATATTTACAAGATTGACGAGCAGCTTGCAAGAGTGTTTGCCATGTTCTTCACCAACAGCATCAAGGTCACCTTCACCATGCTTGTGATCATCTACTCTACCTGGCAGTTTGTGTTTTTGGTTGTTCCTCTGGCTGTTCTCTACAGATTCTACCAGCTGTACTACTTAGCCACGTCGAGAGAACTGCGTAGACTTGATTCGGTTTCGAAATCTCCTATTTTTGCTCACTTCCAGGAGACGCTCAGTGGAGTCGCTACTGTTAGGGCTTATGACCAACTGGAGCGGTTCAAGTACATGAACCAGCAGAAGATGGATGTGAACATGAGCGCATACCATCCTTCTGTCAGTGCCAACAGATGGCTTGCTGTCAGACTGGAATTTTTGGGCTCTTTGATTATCTTGGGCGCCTCGAGTTTGTTAGTCGCGACTCTCAGGTCTGGCCGTGTGACACCTGGTCTTGTGGGTCTGTCCATTTCGTATGCCTTGCAAACCACGCAGTCGCTCAACTGGATTGTTCGAATGACAGTGGAAATTGAGACTAACATTGTTTCTGTCGAAAGAGTCCTCGAATACGCTTCTTTAGAGCCAGAAGCTCCCGCTATCATTGAAAACAAGAGGCCGCCTAACAACTGGCCATCTAAGGGTACCATTGACTTCAAGAACTATAGCACGAGGTACAGACCGGACCTTGACCTTGTCCTCAAGAACATTAACCTGGCCATCAGGGAGAAGGAGAAAATAGGTATCGTGGGCCGTACAGGAGCCGGCAAATCTTCACTGACGCTGGCCATTTTCCGGATTATCGAGGCCTTTGATGGGCATATTGAAATTGACGGCCTGAACACAAGCGAAATTGGTCTGTTTGATCTCCGTTCCAAGTTGTCAATTATTCCGCAGGACTCTCAGATTTTTGAGGGCACCCTGAGGGCCAATATCGACCCTATCGAACAGTACTCAGACGACGAGATTTGGCAAGCCTTGGAGCTTTCGCATCTCAAAGACCATGTGATGGTAATGTATGAGGAGTCTGCTAACAAGGAGGATATTAAAATGGATCCACTGCTGGTTCGGATCAACGAGGGCGGATCCAATCTGTCTGCCGGTCAAAGACAGCTGATGTGTCTTGCCAGAGCTCTGGTCAAAAAGGAGTCCAAGGTTTTGATTTTGGATGAGGCCACTGCCAACGTGGATTACCAGACTGATGCCATTGTTCAGGAAACGATCCGTTCAGCATTCAAAGATCGCACCATTTTGACCATTGCGCACCGTCTCAACACCATCATCGACAGCGACCGGATCATTGTCCTGGAAAAGGGTGAGGTGGCGGAGTTCGACACTCCTCAGAACCTGCTCAAGAAAAAGGACAGTTTGTTCTACTCGCTTTGCAAAGAAGGTGGTCTGGTGGAATGATTAGGGAAAGAATTCTTACAAATATATAAAATAAAGGCTTAGAATAACGTAGTTATTTCCTCCTCGATTGCGTTTTGATCAGGGCACTGGCTATGCCAACTCCAAGGGCGGTCAGACCGCCCAGAACGGCAAACCCGATTAGTCCGTCCTTAGAGATTTCACTCTCGATCTCTTTTTTTAGATTCACAGCTTGCAGGTTGTCTGGCTCGTGGAGAATAAGCGCATCAATGTATCTTTTGCTTTCTTTCAGCTCTCCAATTTTGTAGCAGCCTGCTGCCAAGTAGTATAGACACTCGCGACGCCTTGCGGGCACATTCTTGAATAGTTCTGTGAGTATATTGACGCCCTCCTTGTTATCTTGCTTGCTATTGGATTTGATGAGGGCCCAGCCCAAGTTGAATAATGATTGAGCAGTTGGTTCTGGTCGCTGATCCTCCACCTCTCGTTCAAGCACAGCCAGTTGTTCTTCGGGCAACGGCGTATTCAGGTCCCCGAGGGCGGGGAGATAGTTTAGTTTCTTCATGCTAAAAATTAGATTTATTTTTTTGCAAAATCACTCCGCATGTCAAAGAAACCAACGTCCCAGCTGACCAAACTAATGGCTGCCACGGTACAATGCTCGGCCGAGTCCGCACAGTACGGCCAGTGCGTGCTCCGTAATTACGAAAACATCAACAAAGATGTTTGTCTCAAGGAATTCGAGTTGTACAAGAACTGCGTTCAGAAACACCTGGGACGGAAATGGTGAGACTTAATTATTTAAAATTATTTATTCAGTTGAGATCAACATAGCACTTTGAACTCCTTTCGAAAGTTCTTAAACCGCTTCTTGCTTGTACGACGGCCAAACAAGCGCTTGAAGAGCTTCGACATGCGCCCAAATAAATATTTGTTGACACCGACTAGTATTAGGTAGTTGGCACAGGCAGCCACTAGCAGGCTCATCTTCAGGCTTTCGGGTGTCCACGTGATGTCCATCAAATCTCCAAACCAGCTGGTATTGTCAAGATACATCAGGGCAGCAGACAGGATCGAAGTGGTGAAAACTGTGGTTATGAATGGGTAATTTTTGGCAGCAGGCTCTCTGTATGGGGGACCGACGGTCAACAGCATTGCAACCATAATGTACTGAAAGTTGGCAAATAGGAACAGCACTGTGTTGTCGGAGCACTGGACTTCATCGTCGTCGCCAGGAACAGGAGGTCTATACCAGCTTTCGTCAGCCTCTTTCAGCGATCTCCAAATAGAGAACTGGAAACAGAACAGAACGCAGATGTTTCCTAGCAAGGGGATCAATATTTTTGGCGACATCAGGTTCGCAGTAGGCCGTTTGGGGCATAGCTTGTCGAATGGCTTGCTCCAAGCCATGAACACAGCAAGCGGGATGATCAGGAACATGTCGATATACAGGAACTGGAAATCTCCAAGGTTTGTGCCCTCCTTATACAAAATGGAGACCGTGATAAACTGGATGGCCGAGTATAAAGACATAAACTGGAAACAGGAGAAGCTCGTCACCAGAGAGGCCCGGCCTTCCTTGATGACGTCCAAAACACATGAGATCTCAAAAATTCTCGACGTGAACGGAGCTGCCACAGATGCTTCTGCCTCGCTCAACGAGATTCCAACATCCGCCGCCTTGAGTGCTCCGCAATCATTAGCCCCATCTCCACAGAAGCCCACAGTATAATCCAGCGATTTGAGCCGGTCAACGAGCTCATGTTTTTCGTCAGGAGACATTCTAGCAAAAACGGTCCCCTTCATCAACATCTTTTCGATCAGCTGTTCATGATCGCTCAATTCAGTTAGGATGTACTTGAATACATCTCCTGTAACGGCGATGCAATAATCGTCTGTGCGGTTGATATCCAGCGGTACCAGACTGACTGGGTCCAGTTGGGACTCTGGGTCGTCGACCTCAGTCCAAACAATTGGGATCCTCTGATTGTCCTCGTACTCTTCAAATGAAGGAATGTAAACTTTGCAGCCCTGGTCGACCAGACCGCACTCTCGTGAGACGCTAACGGCAGTGAGGACGTTGTCCCCCGTGCACATAATGGTGCGAAGCTCGGCATCTTTGAGGTGTTTTAAAGAGCTTTTCGTGGAACTCTTCAAGCGGTTCTCGAAAATCAAAAATCCAATAAATTCCAACTCCGATTCGCACTTTTCACGAGGAAGCTCGTTCAGGAACTCCAGGTCGGTCAAATTGGCTGAGTTCGGCTTTTTCATAGTTTTCGTAGCACAAGCAATCACACGGTAGCCATTGTGAGTGTACTCGTGGAGGAGTTCTCGATAATTAGCTGGAACTGTCTCCGGGAAACACAAGTCCTCAATTACCTCAGGTGCACCTTTCACGAAAACATTGAAGAGAGCTGGATTGTTCAATGACTGGCATATTGAGGACATTCGTCTCAGTTGCGAAACAAACTCAAACTCGCGCAATTTCACAAACAGCGTATTATTTTGGAGCTTGTTCTTGGGGCGGAAAAGAACAGGCGAAACGTTGCCACTGAATTTGTGTCTAGCAACAAAATCGTTCAGAACTTCGTCGTCCACGGGATTCTCAATCATGTCCCAGTTCGTGAACTCGAATGTCTTTGCATCCAAAGGATCTCCAACAATTTCGTCTTCCACTTTTTTCAGAGACTGGCAACTTAGCATTGTCAGGAACAGCTCGTAAGCTTGCGGACTAGCCGCATCTCCAAATAGCTGGTCAACATGCGCATAGAGGTCGGTGAAATGGCGCTCTTTTCGGTCACGGATCGGCTCTGAAACGCGAACTCCCATCAAATCCAAGCCTTCCTCGGTCAGCGTTCCAGTCTTGTCGAAACACATGACGTCCAGCTTTCCTCCAACGTTTATCCGCGTTGGCGCAATGCAGAACACACTTTTATGCCGTAATCGCGAAAGGGCAAAGCTCGTGCCGATTGTTAATGTTGCGGGTAATGCAGGCGGAACAACGATGGTGATGAGGTCCAATGCGCGCAAAGTGATTGTTTTCCACCCCAGCCCGAGCTTGATGAAGTTGATAGCAGAAACAACGAAGCCAACCAGTGCAATCACCGTCATCACACCAATGTACTTGAAGGAGTCCCGGTAGAACTTGAAGTCGCTTGGCTTCGGGAATAGCATCGATCTCACCAACGAGCCCTTGGTGGTGTTGAAACCGGTTCTCACCACAAGAGCCATTGCTGGCTCGTCTCCGTTGCTGGCGTAACGACATCTGACGATCTTGGTACCGGAGTATAGGAACGACTTGGCCAATTGGGGAGAGAACTTGGTGCTCGCAAACTCGCTTCTCAGCTCTGCAGCCGTCTCTGGCGAAATTGGCAGCTTGGACACAGGAACAGACTCACCTGTGAGCATTGACTCGTTCACGATGCAGTCACCCGAGAGTAAAATTGCGTCACAGGGAAAGTAATGAAGAGACGCATCAGACACTTCGTAAACGTCGCCGGGCACCAGTTCTTTGGAGTTAATCTCCTTCCAGAAACCGCTTCTCCAGACCCTCACGTCGCACTCGAACCTCGAAATAGCACGCATGCGTGTGATGGTGGTCTTTGTTTCAATAAGCGAGTCGGCGATGGAAAAGACTGATATGATGAAAATACAGAATGCGTAGTAGTAGTAACTGTCAGCAAGCCATAGCAAGATTGAAAATGCCTGAAACACATAAAAAGGATGAAGGATCTCGTCAGTTAGCAACTGAAACACCGACTTGTCCTTGATATCGATGAGATTTTCGCCGAAAATGAGAGACCTGCTCTGGTACAGGTCTTCGGACAGACCTGCCTTGCTCTCTGGAAAATGGCACCATTTCGGGTCGATCCAGCTATTTGCCAGTTTGTAGATGTCTTCCAGCGGGTCGTAGAAAAATTTCATGTATCTGTACTCAAAAGAGATCAAAATCGGAACCAGAGGATCAGTGTCATCCAGGTCGTAATCGTCTTTGTCGTCAAATTTAGACTTTGTGAGAAATGATGACAGCGAGCGATTGTACCAATGTCTCTTCACGTTAATAGTGTCGAGGACACCGAATTCGTCCTCCACAACGACCCACTGTGCCTTGGCGAGCGGCGTGGCATTCCCCATCATCTGGATACGGTATCTTGGGAACCAGCGAAGACCCAGGTACCCGAGTCCTAAGGTCAAAATGATAAATAGATAATATACTGCTGACTTAAGGTACGAGTTGGAGTAGCCAGCAATTCCTATCACAAGGTCCTCCTCCGCAAGGTAAAACCGCTGGCTCGTGTTTTTAGCTGGAAATTTGGCTCCAAACAGCTTGTCGTGGTGTCTGACATCCGCCCACACTCCAGACTTGGAATCCCACTCGTCATGCTCCGAGGAAAGATCACCTTCTTCGTCCGGATATTCCTCAGGAAACAGCTCCTCCTCGCTCGTGTGCATCGATCCATAGCTGGATATCGGAATCGAAGCCAGCTCGGTATTGCTATGGATGGAAACAGCCGGGTGCTGCACCGACATACTTCTATGATGCAGCTCGTCATCGTAGGTGTTCCAATTGGTATCGTAGTCAACGAGCATTCCCTCTGGATTATGCAGCTGGGATGAAGCTCCTTTGGCCTCTTCAATCTGCTGTGTGGTGAAGAACTTGAACTTGGCCCGCTCCTGGAATTCAACGGTGCTCGCATTCGAGTCCACGCGGTGCAGCGAAAAATCATCCAGCTCGCCAAAATCGTCTTGCACAGCGACACTGGAAATAGCTGGCGAGGGAAACGGCTGCGGGAGATTATGATGGAACGAAGAGATCGATGAGGGAATCACGTGCGACGCTGCTCCCGAGAACATCTCGGTCTCGTTTTCGTCCACATGGAACTGGCGGGATGCGAGGGACGCGGAGTCGCGATTTCGTGAGGCCTCGCGCCGCCTAGTCGAGAGCGAGGAAAACGAGTCTTTGTGCGAAGGCATAAAGATTTTTAAACCCTAGCGACAAAATAAATTTAAAAAAAAGACATGTGTTTACGTCAGCGCAGGTGCGAAACATCCAAGGCGGATGGTTACCCAAGAGGTCCTTTTCATGATTAGCGTACATGCGTAGAGATCATTTCTTGAGGAAAGAGGGTTTGGGAAGGGAGAGTGTGGAAGGCGCACTGTGGAAGGAGGAGCCTGCGTAGACTGGAGTGGAGGAGGAGAGGGGGGACATCGACGTCGAGGACTGGGAACGGGGGGACTTTTTGAGGTACGAGTCGGCACTAGATGGCAAATTCGTAGCTCCTGAGTTTCTATTGGATGCAGTGGACTGCTGTTTGTGGTTATCGCGGGTCTTCTTCTTCGTACGCCCGCCAAAATCTGGTTTCTGGCCATCAGGCAGCGATTGCGACGAGTCCAGCAACAGATGTTTAAGATCGTTCGTGGTGGACTCCACGACTGCGTTCTGTTTCGGTCCTTTGGATGCCTTGTCCGACTGAGCCTTTTTCTGTGTTTGCTGTTGCTTGGACTTGTTTTTATCTGAGTGGCCAAAATCCACAGCAGTTCCGTCGGGAAGCACTCCTCGCGGGGGGATGAATGCGTCTGCTTGTTTCTTGCGGGCTCCTTTCTTCGTTTTGGCCAGGCCTGGGCCTCCCAGGTCTATATTTTGGGACTGTACCATCATGATTGTTTATTTGATTGTGAGTCAGATAATTTAATTATTTTGCTAATTTACACTATTAGAGAGACAGAATAATTTTCGACACAGCTGTGAAACAGCTTCAGAATAAATCCGCTAGGTCGTCGTCGTTTTCTTCCACCTCCTCGTTCTCGCCTGCCTCCTCGTTGTCCTCCTGATCCTCCTGATCGTCTTCGTCGTCTTCGTCCTTATTTCGATCGTTCGTACTGTCTTGCTCTTGTATCTGCATGCGCTTCAGCTCAAGTTCCTGCTTGAGTCTTCCGATAACGTCAGTGATACGGTTACGCATGATCGGATTATTGGCCTTGGCCAGGTCCCGGGACTTCTGCTCAATCGTGCTTTCCAATTCGCTGATCTCCTCGCGCAAAATGGCGTTGTGTTGCTGCGTCTCGTTCATCTCTTCTCCAACAGGACGTATATGCTCTTCCTCATCCTCCTCTTCGTCGTCGTCGTCATCTTCATCGTCGGAAGACTCGTGTTCCTCGTCGGCAGACGCTCCCTCAATAATCTCCTCCTCCTCATCGTCCCTTGGTGCGTCCTCAAACGCAGCCTCCAGCTCCAAGTCCAGCTCGTCCTCCTTGTCCTCTTCCTCCATCTGTCTGTCCAGCTTGTCCTCTATCCTAGCTTCCTGTGCCTTCTGTTTCTTTTTCCTGAACTCAACCGGCTCAGGAGTGGAGTAGCTGCTGGCCTCCTCCGATGGATCAATGAATGTGTACGTGCTGGACTCTGCTTCGTCGTCCAAGTCTAGAAGCTCCTGGACCCTGTCTTCGACGCTCTGCATGATTTTCTGTTGGTAACGCTTCTTAAAGCGCTGCTTTGCATTCTCCAGCGGCGGAGTAATTCCGTCCGGATACGACTCGCCATGCTCCATGTCAACGTCTATGTCCTTAATATCCTTCTCAGACTCGAGCCGCTTCACGATCAGCAGCATCTGGCACACGTCGATCGTCTTGAATATGTTCTTTTTATCCACAGACTTGTGGACTTCCACCACAGTCGGCAACTCAACCAGTTTGCCTCCGTACAACATCCCATTTATTCGTAAAATCGCCCGCCTCTTGTCCTTCCACTTGATCGTGATCCCGCTCATGTCTCCGTCTTCAACACATCTGCGCAGATAATCCAGCGACTCGTCTGGTACCATTCTCAATATGATACCCTCTTCGATCAATGGGTCATCTTCTCTGTCGGGGTCTTCAGAATCGTAGCCGTCACCGGGCATTCTTGTGGGCTTGACCCTGATTGTGGGCACTTTTTTAGTCGTGCTCAACTTGAGCATGGGACGCGGCTCTTCTGGTCCCGATGACGTCCTGAGCTTAATCTTGGGCTTTTCTTCGTCTTTATTGCTCAGTTTTATTTTCAGTTTAGGCATGGTGGGTGTATAGGGAAAACAAAAAAAAAAAATCAAGAAAAAAAATATCATATATATTTTAGATCCTGCTCCATGTCCAAAGTGGTGACCAGAGCACAGTTTGTAAACTCGGTCGAGACATTTAAACAGGCGTATGAAAGCACACACTTTGGTCGAAGTAGCACCAAAATTCCGTTCTCGCAGGAAACCAACCATGAGATTTTCGAGAAGCTTGATTTGAAAAACCAGTACAAAGACCCATCAGAGAAGCTGCACATAGTAGACTACAACACCGGATTCAACAGCTTCGTTTACGACCTAAATCACTACCTGCACCCACGCTTCCACCTCCTTATCCCTAACAGCGCGGCAATGCACAGATTTTGGAAAAGGCTCCATGACAATGATCCCTTGTGCCGGAATTTCTACCTGTTTCAAGAGGATCCACGGTCTCTTAGACACTATAACTCCGAAGAGCTTATCAATAGCGGGAAAATTGTGCTTGACCGAAATCCTGCCGAGAAAGTGAACCAAACGCTGCTCATCACTGGTTCCTACATTACAACCTCTGACAAGTCAAAGGTGAGAAGCATGCTCTATTTCAACCAGATGCGTCTCGCTTGGTACAAATACCCAAAAGTGAAGTCTCTTTTTTGGCTGCGTCCAGCGGATGCCCTGAAATATCTCGGGATCATGGGATCGAGGTTCAGACAAACTAATTCTGTGGTCGCAACCGCTTTCGGCGAAGTGAACGTCATCGCATACAGCAATTTCGAAAAGCAGAAAAGCGTGACCAGGTGCATGCGGCAATACCCGAACGCTATCGAACTGCCCAAGATGCCTCAACACGAAGACCTGATGCTGGTCGAGTTCCAATCGAATCAGGATAAATACAAAATCGAGCACATGCCCGAGTTCACGCTGGTCCTGCACAAGCTATTCATGTTGCCGAGCTACAAGGTGGTCCAGAACCTGCATTTTCTCGGTCCGGGAGCAGACGAGTACTTCAAACAGGTTCTTCCTGCGTCGGTTCTCGAATGCAGAATCTGTGACCTCCCGATAGAGGAGCTTGTTGAGATTTCCAATTTATACTTCCGCTGGCCGTTCAAGCCGATGACCGACCTCGAACTTTACCTAGAGTCAGACAAGGATCACACTTAACTGACTATAGAATATATATAATAAATCTCACGGCTGTGCATAGACAAATTTTTCAACGGTTTTTGCATCGGTTGCTAGACTTAATGTGGAATGTCAAGCAATGACAAGCTAACCAACGAAACACGGTATCACGTGATTGTTGATCCGAGCTCTTTGGTGTTTGGCGGAATCACAAGACTCAAAAAATGGCAGACAGAGTACCGTCTGACGGTCTTTGTACCAAACTACACACTGAGAGAACTGGACTTCCTCAAACGCTCCATCAACCCTGTTGTTGCCCGAAACGCGCGCGAAAGCATTCGTGTCATCGACGCCGCGATAAGCGAGGACCCTGCCGATACCCACAACCCGCGTAATGTTCAGTTTCTTTTAGAATCTCCCGAGGAAGCAGGCCCGGACTGGAAAAAAGCTTCAAGCTACAGACAACGGACGCCCTTGTTAGGTGAAATACCGACGATGGCAGGCGATTACGGACTATACCAAAAGCCTCGGAACAAGACTACGCGAACGGTGAATACCGGTTTCGAGAAGCAGCAGGAGCTCGCGAAAGATACGGATCAACACGAAAAGGCCAAGGTCCCGCCACGACTGAGGTACCTGATCCGCTCGTGCATTCAAAAGCAGTACGTCGAAAATAAGAAGCGCAAACCGAGGTCGAGAATTGATTGGGTAGTGGTTTGCGAAGACCCCGTCACATCTACATGGCTCCGGTGTTTCGGATTCAAAGTGCTGAGCATGAACCAGATGGAAGCGTTTCTGGAACAGCGTGACTCCAGCGACCCACCAAAAGTGGCGAACGAAGCGCCTGGCATGGTGAAAACGCAGGATTACAGGAAAATCACGTTTGCTCCCAGAGGATCGGGCAAGTTGTGGACGCCATAGCTCTAAAATGTTAGTCAATTTTCGAGAACGCAGCTTCAGATAAGTGTCAAGGGTTATATTCATCGAGCCGGAAGCTCTAACATTAGAGATGCCAGAAAGAAAAGTAATAATAACAAGTATTCATCATTTGCTGCTTTCGAAGAGTACTTACACACACGAAAAAGGTGCAAGTTTTTTTCTGGCAGCTGAAAACTTTTTATGCTATCTGGTGTAAAGGTGTTTGCGCTCGTGATTGCGGATCAGAATCACCGCGAGAACGTAGGCTTCCAGGTTCAGGTTGGGCGAGTTCCTGAACACCTGCTGCAGCAGGCTGTCCGGGCACGTGATCTGGTTGTATCTGAGCGACTTGGAAAACTCTGCGGGCTCTAGGTAGCATGATTTATCTGAGTCGTGATATTTGAACGAATCGTAGCATCCCTTGAGGAACTTGCACAACCTGATGAAATCTCGAAATTCCAACTCAGACGTGGTCGACACGAAGGTGTTGCAGAGGCGTCTGGCACTGTCAGATCTGAAATGCGTTCCTTCCGGATTGACCAGCAGCTGTCGCAGATCCTCGTAATCGATCGAGTCCTTGCCAAACTGCAAGAATGCGCCGTAGAGCTCCCGGTTGTGAACGGATATCGAGTCGGGACTCATTCGCGAGAGCAGACTCAGCAGATTAGGCACTTGCGGGTCTGGAACCGGGTCGTCGAGGTCGACTTGGGGCAGCCGGGGATGTAACTCGAGACGGGCCAACGACGGCGAAGAATAAATCCCAGCCTCCTCGGAAGACGTCCTGGGAACCTTTTCCAGCACTGGCGGCCGTTGCGAGCGGGACGAGTGCGACGATCGTCTGTTTTCTTGGGACGCCCTCGTGAAGGAAGACCGGGGACTCAAATAGGGATGGGGGATCTGCTGCGGCTGTGAAGGAGCAACATTTCCCGGTTGCGATGGCGACGACATGTAGTAGTAGTTGTTGATAATCGTAGGTTTCTGGGCTGCTGGTGGGGCAGGAATGGGCCGTGGCCGGGGGTGAGGCGGGAGGGCAGGCGGTGTTTTACTTGGCGAGTTTTGCCCTCCGGTGGATGGTTGCGGTTTCAGAGAATTGGGATTTGGAAACTGGTGTTAGGTGCGGCTGAGCTGGCACTTACCGGCTGGTAATTACTGTCCTGCAACGACAGATCCACGGATCTGTTCTTCTGTCTACCAAAAACCATAGACGATTAAGGGATGATGTAAGCAGAAAAAAAATTCCTAGCGTACGCAAGATCAGTAGCCACGAAAAGCAAATACAGACATTGAGCCAAAAATAGGCCAATAGAGGATTTGGATTGGGTTGCGCTACGTTACGAGGGCAGCTTTGCGAGCCCCTGCCGCTAAACTTATTCTAATTTCCATTCTTCTTGGCTCTCGCCCGTATATTCATTACACCTAATCTCTGAATCTTCTTCTGTACCCCTCACCGTCGTCTCTTCTTGGACCACGTCTGGCCTGTGGTCTCTCCTGGATTGGCTCAGCAACCAAGGTGTTTGGAACAATGGTCTCTGGCAAAGCAAGGTACTCTCTCAGGTAGTTGATACCCTCGTCGGTCAGAGTGTAGTAGTAGTATTGCCACGAGAACTGGGTCTTGACGTATCCCTTGGAAGTCAACGATTGCATGGCCTTAATGACGTACAAGTTCTTGGTGTCGATGTCATCGTGTTGAATTTCAAAGTCTTTTTTAGCGACCAAGACGCCCTCTGATACGGTTAGAAAGTCGACCCTCGTCGGCCGCAGCCTGTGCACTACTTACCCTTGAAGAGGTATTGGTGGATCTTCTTTCTGTCTTCCTTTGGAATTAACATGCTGTACTGATGAAGGTGAGTTTAATTTTTCACTAATATTTTGTTACCTATGGTGACCCGAATTTTGGCAGAGGGAAAAGTTTTGCCGGTGCGCGTGTGGCTGCCCTATTTTATGTCACGTGCAGAATCTTTTTCTAGATTATTGTCTGCTCTCATGCCTATCAGACTGTCCACAGACGAGCGTCCGTCGGGGTCCAGGGCGTCGCTGCAACTCCCTGTCGCACTCCAGAAATTTCTCACTGCCCGAGTACGCAATGTCCCCGTGCTAAACCTGCTGATCCTCGTGATCTTCGCGTACTTCCTCGCCAAGCTCACCACTAGATACCACCAGCTGTACACGAAGTCGTCTCTTGTGGCCACTATGACCACCAACATCGTACTGTACGGCATTGCGGACACATTGGCGCAGTCCATCAGTGCATACTTTCAGCAGGCGTCCTTCCAGGAGCACAGCTTGCCGTACGACATTGCCACCTATCTGGGGACATTAGTTCCGAGAAGACCGGAGGATTATTTTGTCGACTACGGCGAGGACGGCGAGATTTCTGTCCACCAGGCTAGAGACGCAGCAGACGCTGCTCCGCCAACGTTCCAGGTGCGCCGATTTGCGGGCTTCGTCTTTTGGGGCTTCCTGATGTCGTTTGTCCAGGTGGCATGGTACTCGTTTCTGAACGCCATGTACAAGGACGTGCCGACGTTTGTGAGCGTGCTGGAACGCGTGCTGACCGACCAGCTGTGCTTCTCGCCCGTTTCGCTTGCCTGCTTCTTCACATACGGCACGCTGGTGATCGAGCAGGGCAGTGCAGACGACGTCAAGGAGAAGCTGTACAGGGTGTATCTGTCGACGCTGGCGTGCAACTTCTGTGTGTGGTTCCCCGTGCAGTTTGTGAATTTTTTGGTGATGCCAAAGAGCTTCCAGGTGCCGTTCAGCAGCGGCATCGGCGTGCTGTGGAACTGTTTTCTGTCGTTGAGAAACGCCAGTAGCTGAATAATTTTTTGCCGCGCCGCCGCACGTTGCATTTTTAGTCCACCCGCGCGCGCGGTAGACGCTGAGACATGTATTTGAGAATACGCACATCCTCTTTTCCTCTTTCTCATTCCAATAATGGCTGCCCAAGTCGAACAACTGACTGACAAGCGTGTGATCAGCTCGATCGACCTTTTTTCTGCGCCCAGCGCCCCTCTGACGGGCGAAAACATCGACATCGACGTGGCTGCCACCAACGGCGATATCAGCGCCCCCTTGGAGCCCAGAAACGCGCCCAGCACCTCCAGCACCAGCACGCTGCTCAAGGACGAGGAGTACCCCACTCACTACAACATGGAGTCCGCCATTGCCAACATGTATCCCGGCGATGTTGGTCTGGCGTGTCTGCCTGTTCTGAAGCGGCTCCATGCTCTCAAGAAGGGGGCCCATTTCACCGTCATGATGGTGGGCGAGTCAGGTGTGGGCAAGACCTCCTTTATCAACACCCTGTTCGACACCGTTGTCACAGAGCCAACCACCCGTCTGGGCGGTAGCCCTAGTAAGACCACAGAAATAGTCTCGCACAAGGTCGAGCTCGTCGAGGACAACTTCCTGCTCAGGCTGAACGTGATCGACACTCCCGGTTTCGGCGACTACATCGACAACAGGTACTGCTGGTACCCGATTGTCAGATACATTGACGAGCAGTATAGACGCGCGGTCTACCAGGAGAACCAGCCGGACAGGACCAAAACCTCGCACTCGGAGGTCCACGTGTGTCTGTATTTCATTGTCCCGTCTGCAACGGGGCTGACCCAGATCGACATCGAGGCCATGAAGAACCTGTCTACCAGGGTCAACTTAGTCCCCGTCATCTCCAAGGCCGACGCTTTTACGGTCGACGAGATCAACGCGTTCAAGCAGAGAGTCAAGAAGTCTCTCAAAGAGCACGAGATCTCGATCTGCGAGCTGTTTGACAAGACCGGCGCGGCCAACCTGATTGGCGAGATGCCGTTCTGCGTTCTGAACTCGCAGGGCTCGTTTCCGAACGCCAAGGGCCAGCTTGTCCGCGGCCGGCAGTACAAGTGGGGGCTGGCCGAGGTGGACAACCCGGCACACTGCGACTTTGTGAAGCTGCGCGAGTTTCTGATGGGCACCAACATGGCGGACCTGATCTCGTCCACGGAGAACTACTACGAAAACTACCGTCGCGACTTCATGCGGTACCGGCTGGGCAAGGCGATGGAGATGACCATCAGCCACGAGGAGCTGGCTGCTCTGAACGTCGAAAACGAGGACGGCGAGACGATCGTGCCGGACAACAAGGGCAGCTGGAAGACCGTGCAGGCGGAGGACGGCCAGACACACCCGAACATCCGGCAGGTGATCGAGTCGAAGCCGAGCGTGGGCGTGCTCAAGATGCTCAACACGCTGAACCTGCGCGAGACCGAGCGGGAGCTCGTGGAGATGAATCCTGCGTACCTGGACAGCGAGAAGACGATGAAGAAGCGGTTCACAGAGATTGTGCAGGCGCAGAACCAGAAGTTTAAGGACTGGAAGCGTGCGCTGTTCGAGAGACAGGATAAGTTCAACAAGGACATCGAGCAGATCCACAAGCGGCTGGTTGGTTTGCAGGACGAGATCAAGATGATCGACGAGAGGTGATCAGCGACATGTCGCCGTGCTAATGTGTAGCGAGAATACAGTTTAGTGTGCTTCCACTTGGTGGTTTTCGCTTAATCGTTTTTGGTGGTGGTTTAGGCCTGGCCTGGTTTTTTGTCGGTTAATCCTTTCACTCCATTCGTACCTAAACTAAGATGACATAGTTAGTGCTGCTCCGGCTGCTCCGGCTCTGCCCGCTCTGGCTCCGCCTCCTCGGGCTCCGCCTGCTCCTTCCCCGGACTGACCACGTTGTAGCCCTCGTTGAGCAGGTCGCGCACGGTGTCCATCGACGCGATCATCACGATCAGCCTGCCCTCGCCGCGCTTCGACTTGTTGGCCTCGTACACCTCCTTGAGGTGGCTGGTGACCTGGCGCGGCAGCTGTCTGCTTCTCACGACGCTGTTGGCAATCCGCGGCCGCGTCTGCTCAGCCACACCGTAGAGAAGCCTGAGGCTGTGCGTGAGCTCGCTCGAGTACTCCGTCCCTGCGTCGTCGCCCACCAGCCGGACCAGTCGCTCGTTCAGCGGCCTGAACACCGGGTCCAGCTGCGACCGCAGCAGCGCACGGCCCTGTGTGTCGTACAGCGGGGCGTACGCCTTCCTGAAGTCGCTGGCTGTTTTTCTGGCGGGCTCGAGAACGCGCTGGTTCATTGCAACCGACAGAGCGTGCATGTTTCTGTCCACGAACAGCGAGGCGTCCACGACGGGCCTGGTCAGCGAGTCTCTGATGTCGCGCATTCTGAGCGTCTTGACCTCTGGGACGATGTGTTCGACGTCCTCGAGCCAGTGGTCCATGTACGAGTCCAAGACCTCTGTGTAGTCCTTGAACGCTGGCGAATACGCCAGGGCGTACAGGCGCTGCCGCAGCACGTGGGGCAGCGGGAAGTGGCCGCCGATGCGGATCCACGAGGCAGCAATCGGGTAGGTTTGGACTCGGGCGTAGGTCTTGGTTATTTGTGGAGCGGTAGGCTGACTCATGGGAGGAAGGATAAATGGTAGCAGCTAAACGCGAGCAAGCATTTGTGGCGGTGCAGAACCCCGGTCCTAAAAATTTGATGCGCCTTCCCAATGCGGGAAATGATAAATACTAGTGAGACGAGACATTTAAATTAAATTTGGCTCCATTATTTTCCTTCCCGTCGCTAGCCCAGCACCGCTGTCTTTGCTTTCCCATGCTGCAATCGATTTTCTCGAACCCGTTCGAGGCCAGCGTTCCCGCCCACAGCAGCCCGATCTCGAGCCCGCCGGGCTCGCCAGAGAAGAAGAACAAGCCGTCTCTGCTAGACGACTTCGCCTCCGGCAACACCACGCTGGACGACATCATCGAGCTGCCCAAGCCCGCGGCGGCTCCCGCAGACCATCTTTTTGCGAGCTCCGCACAGCTCTTCGACTTCGACAGCTATCTCCGGTCGCTTGATCTAGACGGCCAGCTGTTCAGCCCGAGCACAACCGACCTCGACTTCTCCAGCGTGGAGAAAACCACCATCAACGACATCGACGGCATGATCGGCAACCTCTCGATTGACGAGGTTGACGCACAGGTGCGCTCTGCGCCAGAGATTTCTGAGCACGAGGACATTGGCGACATGGACTTTGGAGCAGAGCTCAGCAAGTTCCTGCGCGCCAGCGACAGCCATTTTGCGGTCGACATCTACCAGGACGACTTCCAGCTTGAGTTTGACGAGAACGAGCCACAGCCCGCCGCCCGCGGCGAGCACAGCTCACCGCTGCGCATCTGCACCCCTACAAAACAGCCGATCCAAAGACCCATCATCAAGCCGTGCCACAACTTGCTGAACCTCATTGTGGAGAGCTCCGACGGTAGCATAGAGGATGCTACCAAGTACGCGACCGAGATCAACTCGCAGAACTGTTTGGGGATTCCGATCCCAGAGAAAACAACAGAGCTGGTGACGATTCCGACCGCGGGTCCCGCCGTGGACGGCGTGCGAAAGGCCGCGATCGTGCGCGCGGTCCTTGCCAGAACCACCGCGCTGCGGCGACCGGAAAAGACGCTCAAAAAGGTCGGCTTCTACACAGAGTCCGAGAGACAGAGTTTTCTGCAACTCAAGCACAGCCACAGACGCCAGCACAAGCCCGGCTCGCTCAGCCACCAACGAACGCTCGACAAGCTTAAGGAGGAGCTACAGGAACTACAGGAAAACCAGGAGAACGTGAGCCCCGGCAGCGCCAAGCAGGGGCCAAAAACGTTCTCGTACTCAGACCGCAACCGCAAGCGCGTCTCGTGGGCCAACTCGCTGGAATGGTAGCATAGCTCTATTACTTGCTAGGCTTATGGATTGGCGCGTACGGGGTCGTGGGCGCAGCCTCTGGACGCTCGAGTTGGTGGATATCAAAGAACTTCGTCAAACAGCTTCCGCTGGACCACGCGAAGTCGTCCTCCGCAAAGCAAATACACTCGTTCTGCTCCTGAAGCCAGTTTGGCCCGTCGCATTGCAGGTTCGGCGCATGATAATATCCGGTGCCTGCGAAATACTGAAGCTTCGTATATGGAAGCAGCATAGACACTGCGATCGTGTGCAGCGGCGCGTCTCCCCATCTTTCATAAAAAATCCCGCCCTTGCGGTCCATATAGTCGAAGAAATGCATATACGTCTCGCTGCGGAAGAAGTCCAGGTCGCCGATCTCGAAGTTCGACCAGAAATGGCACATGTTGAAGCTCTCGCCGTCGTCGTCTGTCAGAAACGCCATGTTGTTGTTCGCAGCCACACGGTCCGGGTACTGGCGCATGTACTCCTGCGTGGCATTCCACAGCGTGGCCACCGTGGTGTGCAGCTCCAGCGGCGTGAGCGTGAACCCGTACACTTTCTCCTGGGTGCGCATCACCTGAAACGGGTCGTACGCGATGTTGCAGCGGAATTCAACGTTCGGCTCTACTCGCCAGTAATATCGGAATGGCCTCAGCGCGTCCAGCTTGTAGAATAATCCCGAGAAAAATCGGCACATGTGGCGATACGACTCGTTGTCGCCGTACTTGATGCCCTTGCGCCTCATCTGGCGCCGCACGTCGGCCGCCAGCTTTTGGTCGATCCATTCTGGATAGTCCCAGTACTCTGGTGGGATGAGGCTGAACTCGACCGTTCCCGAGCACATCGCGGCGACTGCTGTCTTGAAGTCGTCTGTGAACGGCTCGTTGTTGGCAAAAATCCAGTGGTAATGGTATTTGTTGTTGAATCGCTCTTCTACGCTCTTGATGCTCTGCAGCATGCCGGGGAGCTCAGAGTTGCGCACGAGACTGAAGAAGGTGGCATTTTCGCGAGAAGCCGGCACAAAAGCCGTCGGCGACGCGTTTTTGGAGAGCAATTGGCCGTGGAACACATACGCGAGGGCCAATAATACGCTGAGGACGGCGATCGGCCTCGTGAACTTAGCCATATGGCATTTATTAAGACAAGATCGAATTTTATTTTTTATTTTTCAGTGCTTCACACAGTTCTCGGCTGTGCAGTTTACAGCAGCGTCCACTATACAGCCGATTTGGCCGTTCGGAGCCGGCACAGCAGAGCCGTACGAGCGGTGCTCGTGACTCAGCAGGCCCGCTGTCTCGGAGGCGGCAACGTTCTGCAGATCTGCCTCGGACGAAAACCGTTTAGGCAGCTTGTTGATCTTGGCGTAGTACTCCGAGAATTCCGGCTGGATCGTCGCGCTGTGGATGCCATAGGCATGTAGACATTGCTTGATAGTGGCCGCCACGTCCAAAAACTCCTCCGGCGAAACGCTGAGGTCGACGTGGAGCGAGCAAATGAGCAATCTCTCGGTCAGGTTCCAGATGTGGAAGTCGTGGACGGAGATCACGCCGTGGACCTTTAGAATGTCGTCCATGACGAGCTCGGAGTCGATTGAGAGCGGAGTGCCCTGCAGCAGGATTCTGGATGACGATTTGCACAACGGCAGCGCAGAAGAGAAGATGATGCATGTGATTACCAGGGAAATGAACGGGTCAGCGTAGAATCTCCATGAATAGTCTGTGAGCCAGATGAATAAGGCGGTGGCCATGACACCAATGTTTCCGAGAGCGTCCCCCATAACGTGCAAAAACACGCCCTGCATGTTGAGCGACTTGGAGGCTTTCTTGGAGCGTTTGTTGATCTCATGGTTGTGTGTCTTGTGGCCGTCTAGGCTGTCGTACTCCCAGTTGTTGACGACGACCTGCGGCAGCATATGCTCAATGTCAGAGTCCTCCGATGGTTCCTCCTCGTGATGCGCATGGGAGTGTCCGCCGAGTTCTCCGTGAGAGTGTCCGTGCTCGTGGAACAGGAAGAGCCCAACGAGGTTGGAGAGGAGACCGCAGGCACCGACCACTAAAATGAGCTTCGCGTTGGTAACATTCTGTGGCGCAACGAACCTCTGGATGGCCTCGATGAAGATGGTGAAGCACAAGGCAAGCAAGAACACAGCGTTGATGAGCGCACCCAAGATTTCGGCACGTTGCCACCCGTACGTGAACTTGGCGTCGGCCTCCTTGGTCTTGGCAACATTCACGGCCCAAAGCGCCACCAGTAGCGAGATGATATCGTTCAGCATGTGGAAAGAGTCTGCAATCAGGGCCAGCGAGTTGACAGCGTATCCGCCAATGAGCTCCACCAGGAAGAAGACGGTGTCTATCCCCAGCAGAGTGAGGATCTTAATTTCTTTCCTGGAATACATGGCTCTGAGAAAGAAAACGAGGGCTCTTATCAATCCCGTAGCCTAACTATTGTGATTATAGTGACTAATTTAAAAGCAAAAAAAAACAAATTAATGTCCACCACAGTATTTTTTTATTTGTAGTAATAAAAAGCAGGTATATTTAATTTTCCTAAAATCATCCCTAGCAAATCCCAGATAAATCCCCAATATATACAAAAAACAAAATGATCACAGATCGAAGACCTCCACGGTCACGTCACTATTGTCCGTGGCCGTCAGAACACACCAGGCTGCACCGTCGCTCACGCTGTCACTGCCGCTGATCTTGTTCAGGCCGTACTTCTGTGGGTTGATCTCGCATGTGTTACCGCTGCACTTGTCGCCGTCGTTGCAAGACAAACGGATACCGAACGAAGGCTTCTCGTTCTTGAACGGCGAGGAGTCCTCGAAGTAGACAGGGTTCCAGCCGATTTTGGCAAACGTGTTTCCGCTGTCGTCCATGTTGAAGCCGGCGACGTATGGCGACCAGTTGCCGTACGGGTTGCTGGTGGAGCCCCATTGGCATCCCTCGTCGGTGGAAACTCCTGGAGGATTGATGTAGAAGTGCGAGGCGGTGCTGGCCCAGTAGTCTGTGCCGGGCACGGCAAGTGTCTGCGACGAGGACGAGTCGACGTTGGTTGGAATCAGCATCTCCTCGTTTCCAGGCAGGACGGTCTGGCAGAAAGCGACGTTCTTCGAGGCAGAGTTCTTCACCGAGGCAGTGCCCTTGCCATCGACGCAGTAGTCGTGGTCAGAGATCGGCGTCTCGAGCTCGCCATTGTCGTTGCAGTAAAGTCCTCCGTCCTGGGAGCCAGGGTAGCTGTAAGACGTGACTTTTGGGTTCCACTGAGCCATCAGCTTTCCTGGAGGACAGGCGTAAGGACAGTAGTTGCCTGGGGTGCAGGACTTGTCTTGGGCCCAGCCGTCACCGTTGACGTTGGTGATCTGGACGAGACCCTTGTCGGTAGGGAACGAACACTGTGCAGCTCTCTTTTGGTGCGCGTGGTGGACGTGCTCGACGGGAGCAGAGGTGGCAAGCACAGCAAGAGTGAAAAAGATTGACAAGTTGGCGAACATAACGAATGAGTGGAGTCTGTAGCTTTAAGGAATGAACGACTTGAGTGAGATGACCGTCGCCTGGGGCTTATATAGCCCGTAGCTCGTTTTTTTTTTTTCGCTACGTAAATAAATACCCTGCAGGAAAAGAAAAAACAAATTACCGTTCCTAAAGTGGCAAAGTAATCGAGGACAGATCGGAAAAACTGCGAGTGAAGCAGGACGGCAAGGAGAAGTGAGATCGGCGAGGTGGCGTGTGGGAGGGAAGAGACGGTTTGGCAAAGCAGCCTGTCACAGACGGCCGTGCCGGGGAGAATCGTCTGCGCTGGCACTTCGCCGTCTACTTATTACCGTCCGTCGGATAAACGCCTTGCCGTTTGGCCTCGCCAAGGCACTAATAGATTTTGCCCCCGGTGCTGCAGATTGCTTTTTCACCGACAAAAGATATTTCGTTTTTCGTATGTAGGGGCTCCTGTCGAGCTGGGGGTGTTACGTAAGCGGTCTAGACTTGAGCGGATCGCGTTCTGCACGAGTCTGGTTGGGCGGCGCGAAGGGAGGCGAGGAGAACATGGGGTCCTGCAGAGAGGGAGACGCCTCCGTTCTGGCGTCGAGACCGGTCGAGCTGGGCGCCAGATCCCACGTCTGCATGTTGTTGAGCAGGTTGTCGAAAAAGCTCGAGTTGGAGTTGAACAGCTCGTCCTGCGGATAGCTGCTCGGCGGCTGCTTGCCTGCAAAGTCCTCTGGGTTGGGGAAGATGAAGGGCAGCTGTTCTGTGTGGTGGTGGAGCTGCTGCTGCTGCTGCTGGAGCTGGAAGTTTGTCTGGTCGATCTGGTCCTGGATGTTCTGGTCCAGGGGGTTGGTGTCAGGGTGGATGAGCTGGATGTCGACGCTGTCCTCGGGGCTGTCGACCGTCTGTGGCTCGTAGGGCGCGTCGAACTTGGGCAGCGTGAGGTCGAAGTCGAGGTTGAAGCCGAGGTCGTTGAAGATGCGCACGAGCTGGATCAGCTTGTTGAGCGAGTCCTTGGAGACGTGGTTGCCGGCGAGGGCCATGAACTTGAGCAGGTCGATGCCGCGCGCGAGCGCTGCGCGGTTGTTTTCGAGGTTGAGCGTGATGAGCAGGATGAGGATCGAGTTGAACAGGAAGTGAGTGTGCCAGTAGTCGAAGGTGATGAGCAGCTTGAGCAGCTTGAGGTGGCGCAGCACGGAGATGGTCTCCTTGGCGGCGTTGATGCACTTGCGCAGCACCTGTGTGATGCGGGCGTCGTCGGTGGCGATGAACTTCTTGAACACGGCGAGCGCGAGCGGGCGGCACGCCGTGATGAAGTACTGGTTTGACTTGAGGTACACGTGGATGAGCGGCTGGTGCAGCTCGCACAGCTTGTTGTCGTACATCTCCTTGCGCAGCTGCTCGAAGTCGCGGGCCACGTCCTTCTCGAAGTTGTCCTCGAGCACCCGGACCATCTTGACCGTGTTGGCGACCAGGTCGGTGCCCAGCCGCGTCTTCTCGCCCGTGTACACGCTGCGCGACGTCATGTTGTACACGGAGTTGAGGATGTCGTCTGTGAACTTGATGAGCGAGACCTGCAGGTACAGGAAGCGCGCGCCGCCCCACTCGGCGCAGTCGCGCTCGCTGATGAGGTCGATCTGGGTCTCGTTGAACTTGACGCTCTGCGGCAGCCGGATGCGCGACGTGGCGAGCGAGTCGAGCGTGAAGACGGTCCACCACACGCGCTTGCGGCGCGAGACCTCCTGCGGCGTCAGGTACGGCTGGCGCAGGTGCAGGTTGAGCGAGAGCGCCCAGCGCGTGGCCACGCCGAACCACACGTACGAGCCGGTGATGCGGTTGAGCGACTGCAGATAGTACCCGATGAGCAGCGCGGTCTGGACCGCGGGCAGCGTCGGCATCTCGACGTGGACGGGGAAGATGCGCGCGCCGGCAAGGAAGTACTTGAGGCCGGGCGTCTTGTTGACGAAGTGCCGTTTGGACGAGAGCTCGCGGTCGAGCTCTGCGAGCGACAGCTGGTGCGACTTGATCGAGTAGAGGATCTGCTCGCCGATGGCGAGCGTGATGAAGATCTTGGACAGCAGCTGCGGCGAGAAGCACACGCCTGTGTCGTAGACGCGGCTGAACTCGGCCACAAACTCCGTCTCCTCGTACAGGTAGTGCGAGTCGCGGAAGTGCGCGAGACACAGGCTCACGAGCGGCTCGGCGTACTCGCGCGCCGGCAGCGAGAAGACGCAGTCGTCGGTCGCGGCGAAGTAGAGGTCCGACACGTGGTAGTTGATGCTGGACGGGTGCGGCGGCTGGACGCTGCGCTCCTGCTGCTCGGAGTCGCCGAAGGACACGTTGATGACGTTGTCGAGGCGCTCGTTGTTGGTGTGGAACTGCAGCGGCAGGAAAGCGCGGTTGTCGGTCTGCGAGCTGGTCTTGCCGTTATCGGCGGACTCGCCGTTGATGTAGTCCTCGAGCTCCTTGATGCGCGCCTGCAGCAGCTGCAGTTGCGACTCGAGGATGATGATCTTGCGGTCTTTGAACGGATACACGCACTCGTTGCCCGTGAGCTTGCAGTTGTCGCACGTCGGCTTCGCGCCAGAGCACTTGATCTTCTGGTTCTTGCACCGCACACACGCGATGTGGTTCCTGCCGCGGAAGATGATCGGGTTGATGTCCGAGAGCAGTTTGGGCGAGCTGAGGATGTCCTTTTTTGAACTCATGGAGCGCAGGGTCCAGACACTGGCGTGTTTTTATGCTCCTGGACCCCTCCATGCTTCGCAAACGCACAGAGTAACATTGCGGGGGTGCAGTGACCGTCCGGTCAGACCCCGTCGCTCGCAGCATTTGACAGATCCCCGCAGCAGTGAGGAGAGCGGCACCCGGTGCACGGGTGTGTTGTCGAGGACACAGAAATTCGCAGGGCCGGCTAACTTGTCCAATGCAGGCAAGCGTGGTGATCCGGGGGCTAAGTGCCGTTTCGGTGTGCGTGGCGAGCGAAATTGTGGAGAAGCAGGGACGAGGGGTAATTCTGGTGTCGCTGGAGACGCCGGAGCAGGCCGCCAGGGGCGAGCAGCTGGCCCATGTCGTGGGCCTGCACAGTGGGGACGAGCTCGCGGCAGAGTGTTTGTGCGGTCGGCATACGGCGAGACCCATCACGGCTGTGCATCTGGGGGAGGGCACGTCGACCTCTCGACGGGCGCTGCTCGTTAGCCCGCGCCAGTTGTTACTGGACACATACCGCCGGCTGGCAAGCTGTGCGCAATTGTTTGCCCACCACATTGTACCCCCACAAGTTTACTCCCTGGACAATTGCTGCAAGAAGTTCCCCACTGCCCACACAATTATAAACTGTCACATGGAGCCCACAGCAGACGTCATCAGACTACAATCTGTGCTACTGTACTGTCCGCAAGAGCTCGGCACGGCATATATACACGAATCTGCGCAACACCAGTACACTAGACTGACCCCACTTGTCCAAGATCCCCATGTCGTGGTCCTCACGGGGCCCCACCAGCACAATGACCCCTATCCGCTTCCGCGCGACTCCGACGAACAGACTTTGCTGTGGAGGTCCAGACAGCTGTACCCCCACGTAGTAGCGCAGGCCCAGATCCTCAATTCCGAGGTAATTTTCAAACCCTGCTTCGACAATCGCCACGGCAAAATATACGCAACCGCGACCGCCGACGGCCGCACTGTCGTCCACGCTGTCGGCTTTGGCTTCCACGACATCGACGCCCTCGGCGCCATCGTCCGTGCAGTGCGCGTGCTCGCGGCCGGCCGACTAGACGCACGCCTCTAGAGCCCCCAGTTTCCGCACTAGCAGTGACACCCTCGCACCCGATATTTTCCATTTTAGGTTTCCACCACTATTCCGAAAAGGGTAAATTGACGGATTACGAAATTGATCTGGAGTTTTTTTTTTTTCCGGGACGAAAGGTAAACATTTTCTTGAATTTTTTTCTGATTCGGTTTATCACAGCTTACGTAATACATACCAAAGTACCAGGCACGAACAGTCTCTCAGCGGTGAGCACCCTGAAGGTGGCCAGCTTAGCGCCCCTCCAGCCTGGGCGCGGCACCGCCAGTCTCTTCCAAGCACTGTAGCAGGCCACCCACGCACCCTCTCTCTTCTGCAGCAGCGCTCGCCGCCCCCAATGCTACTCGTCACATCGGCGCCAGCCTCCCGCACAGTTCCTGCCGTGCCACCTCCCGGTGGCCGCGAAGGCCCCCTGCGAAAATTTTTTTGACCCGGCCTGCGGGTTTCTTTTTTTTTCCACTCTGCCAAAGTGTCAGAGACAAAAGAATAGAGTATACTTGTTTGCAACTTTCAACAAAACACGATTACTGCCAATAGCACAGTCTTGGCACATCTTCAGGTTTCCCCCAGCATTTGCACGTCGTATTTCTGCCATCAGGTAGCACGGATAGTTTGTTTTCCCCGTGCTCTCATTTTGATCAGATCTCGCTTCTTCGCCACGTCTTGCACAAGACCGCTTCTCTGCACCACTCCATAAGCTTGCCAGTACTCTACTTGGCGCAATTGTGCACTGTATTGGGATTTCTTGTGTTCCGATACTAGTGGCGAAATTTTTACTCTTGTGCTGCTTCTACTACAATGGCAGACCAGACCACACTCTCGTCGCTTGAAGAGACCACCGCGCACGACGTGACTGCCGCCACGACGCCGCCGATTTGCGAGATTTCGTTTGCGAAAAAGGCCCAGTCCCAGCCCACAGAGCTCGACGATATCAGCCAGGTGCTCAACCGTCTGAATCTGGATTTGGAGGAGACGCCGGAGCGCATGGACCCCATGGACCACCTCGATAGGCTGGACAGCATGGACACCCGCGGCACGAACTCGTCGATTTTCTCCACGCAGTTCTCGCCGCTGGCCCAGCAGGTCAAGACCACTGTCCCTTCGACGCCGCCAGACCCGGCGTCGTCCGCCAATTCGTCCAACTCGACGCTGCTGATGCCCAACCAGCACTCCTTTGCAGCGACACAGCCGAGAACCCCCAACTGGTCCAGCTCTGCCAACCTCACCTCGTTCCGGTCTCACGTGTTACCCGACCTAGCGTCCACACCTAACACCCAAACATCGCAGTTCAGCCACCAGTTCCTTTCGATGACCCCTCAGAAGATGCACTCCCCGATCTCCAGCTTCAGCGGCACGCACGCCACGCCGTTCTCCTCGGCCAGCTCTGCCGCGATCGGCTTTGGCTCGTCCAACGTTGGGCAGTTTGCGCTGCCCGACAACACCCCTGCACCGCGGCCCCAGGAGAACGACGAGCTGTTTGACCCGCTCTCGGCGTCTTCCGCCACCTCGTTCGGCCCCCCAATCGGCGTGGGCGACTCTGCTCGGCGCGTCACCTACCCGGTCGCGTCTCCTGGCTCCGACGTCTCGATCTCGGCGCTGCATCCGGCGTTGACCAACGAGATGCTCGCCGGCACCGTTGCAGGCGGCTCCATCGGCATGGGCATCTCCCACAGTGGCTCCACGGGGGGCTTCCCGGGCTCCAACCTTGTGTCGAACTTCAACCAGCAGATTTCGCTGCCCTTCAACGGCAGAGGCGGCTACAAGGCGAACTACAACGGCTACACCAAGCAGCCGCAGCCAGACAGCCAGCGGCCGCAGATGGCGATGTCGACGGCCAACGTGCACAGAAAGCACTCGTCCAACAAGCGGCGCGGCGAAGACGCCTCCAAGTTCCTCAACGCCACGCTCAACGACTTTGTCAACGACATCTATTTCCTGTGCAAGGACCAGCACGGGTGTCGGTTTTTGCAGCGGCAACTGGAGATCGGCGGCTCCGAGGCGGCCACCAAGATCTTCAACGAGGTCCAGCTCAATGTGATTGAGCTGATGGTTGACCCGTTCGGCAACTACCTGATCCAGAAGCTGCTGGAGAAGGTGAACGACGAGCAGCGCACCATCCTGGTCAAGAACGCCTCGTCGCAGTTTGTGAGGATCGCTCTGGACGCACACGGTACCCGTGCGTTGCAGAAGCTGGTCGAGTGCACCAAGACGCAGGCCGAGAGCGACATCATCGTCCGGTCGCTGTCGTCGTACGTGGTTCTGCTGAGCAGAGACTTGAACGGCAACCACGTTGTCCAGAAGTGTCTCCAGAAGCTGCCATCCTCGGCGTGCGACTTCATCTTTGATGCTGCGTGCGAGAACTGCGTGAAGATCGCCAAGCACAGACACGGCTGCTGCGTCCTGCAACGGTGCTTCGACCACGGGTCTGCGCAGCAGTGCGAGCGGCTGGCGCTGGAGGTGGGCCAGAACTGCGTCGAGCTCAGCACGGACCCCTACGGCAACTACGTGGTGCAGTACGTGCTGAGCATGGAGGAGAACCGGCTGCGTGTGAAGAACGACCCGGACGCCAGCGCCAGGCTGCCCAACACCGTGCGCGCGATCGAGCTCGTGGTAGGCGCTCTGCAGTCCAGCCTGATCCGGCTCTCGACGCACAAGTTCGGCTCGAATGTGATTGAGAAGAGTCTGCGGATCCCGACGCTCGCGCCGCTGCTGATCGGCCAGCTGCTCAAGGAGGACTCGAACCTGCGGCTGCTGCTCCACGACGCGTACGGCAACTACGTGCTGCAGACGGCCCTGGACGTGGCCGACGACTCCAGCTTCCGGGACCTGAGCGAGATGCTCAGACCGTACCTGGGGGACGTCAGAAACACCCCGCACGGCCGCCGCATCGTTTCCAAGCTGGCTTCCAGGGGCGGCTCCACGGTCCAGGTTTCTCCGTTCGATCGCAACGGCTACTCATTGTGATGCATCTTTCTTTGTATTTTAGCTGGGCAAAGCCAGAAATGTATAACAGCATGAATGGAAGCATATCAAACAGGCTTATTTATACGAGGCCCCAAATATGTGCATACCGCAGCATGGCCTCGAAACGCTACATAAACACGAGCGAGCAATGTTTTTCTATTTTTGTGTATTATTTTTTTTTCCACCGGTATGGCGAAAAAAACACCTGTCTCCACGAAACCAGACTACCAGGCCGCGTCGCACGCCGCTGGGCCGGCTGCCGCCGCCAAAGAACCCCAGTACCTGTCCAAAAAGGACATCGAATGGGAGTTTGGCGGGCCTCCGGGCGTGGTTGCCATGATGGTGGGCTTCCCGTCGCTGATGTACTACATGTGGATCTCGGCCCGCTTCTACAACGGCAGCCCTGCCTGGCCCGGGGACGGCCAGTCGTGGGCCCAGTTCCTCGGCGAAATGGCACATTACGTGAAAACGTACGCCTCTCCGTCCCCAACGTCCGTCCTTGTGTTTGTCTCGTTTATGCTCGTTCAGGCCGTGTTCTACGTCACTCTGCCAGGAGTCTGGACAAAGGGCCAGCCGCTTGCGCACAGAAACGGCGAGCAGCTGCCGTACTTCTGCAACGCCTACGCCACGTTCTACGTCACCTTCGCGCTGGCCTCGCTGCTGCACTATCTGGACATTTTCAAAATCTACTACATCCTCGACAATTTCGGCGAAATCATGACCTGTGCCATCGTCGCCGGCTTCGGCTTCTCCGTTGTCCTCTACCTGTGGTCGCTCTTCGTCACCAAGGACTATCTCAGAATGACCGGCAACCACCTGTACGACATGTTCATGGGTGCTTCTCTCAACCCTAGAATCGGCCTCATCGACCTGAAAATGTTCTTCGAGGTCAGACTGCCGTGGTACACGCTGTTCTTCCTCACCTACGGCATGTGTCTCAAACAGTACGAGCAGTACGGCTCCGTGTCTCCGCAGGCTCTGTTCATGCTGTTGGCCCACTATCTGTACGCCAACGCGTGCTCCAAGGGCGAGGAGCTCATCGTGCCGACCTGGGACATGGCGTACGAAAAGTTCGGCTTCATGCTCATCTTCTGGAACATCGCCGGCGTGCCATACACGTACTGCCACGGAACTCTGTACCTGTACTACCACCACCCGCAGGAGTACCAGTGGTCGGCGGCGTACAATACCTTCTGCTTTGTCCTGCTGCTCACGGCATACTACTTCTTCGACACATGCAACGGCCAGAAAAATTCGTTCCGCAAAACCATGGCCGGGGACACCACGATCCGGAAGTCGTTCCCGTATCTGCCGCACCAGGTGCTCAAAAACCCAAAATATATCAAATGCGCCAACGGCTCTGTTCTGCTCACCGACGGATGGTACAAGTATGCTAGAAAGTTACACTATACGGCCGACTGGTGCCAGTCGCTGTCGTGGGGGCTGATCTGCGGCTTCAACTCGGTGTTACCCTGGTTCTTCCCGGTGTTCTTCTTCGTGGTGCTTGTTCACAGATGCGACAGAGACATTAGAAAGTGCAGAAAGAAGTACGGCGCCGACTGGGACAAGTACGTCAAGGAGTGTCCGTACCTGTTCATTCCGTATGTTTTTTAGACTCAATCCTGCTCAGCAATGGCGATCAGTCTTTCGTCGATCTCGTCCGGCGTCAGGCTCCTGAACCCGTCCTTAGTAGCAACGCCGACCTCCAGGTCGTTTTTCCTGAACTCTGTGCTCAGCGCATTGCTCAACGTAATGATGGCATACTCCACCACCTTGGTCCAATCGCCTTTCACCAATACACCGTCCTTCTTTTTCTTGTGCGCGCGTTCCAGAGCAGTCGTCACCTCCTGCTGTTTCGGACCCGTCGACGTCGCAATCGCACGGAAATAGTACCCGGCAGGGTCCGTCTTGAACACGCTCGGCCCCAATTCGTCGTCGACAGACACAAACGTCAACGCCACGCCCATCGGTCTCATGTATGCTTTCTGTGTGTACAACTGCGCCAGGTTGGCCATTCTCTTGGCAAGCGCGTCCACCGGCATCTCGTAGCCGTATTTATACTTGAACTCTGCGGCCTCTGCCCGGGCCCTCATGGCCAGCGACCGCGCGTCGGCAATGGACCCTGTGGCCAGCATCCCAATCGAGTCAGACACCTGAAAAATGTAGCTGATCGTGCTTGGGTCCAGCAGCTTGTCGGGGATCTTCTTCTGCGAAACAACGACCGAGGAGTCCTCGCCAACAAGTCCCAGACAGGTTATGTTGGACGAGTTCACGGCCTTGAAGGCATACTCAACTTGGTACAAACGGCCCTCTGGCGAAAACACAGTAATGTGACGGTCAAATCCCGCGGAGCCTGCGGTTAGAGACTGCGAATTGGGTCTACTTACCAGACATGGTGGATCTATTTTTTAGCTTTTTGCCACTATTGAGTTGAAATAAATATTTATGCCCAACCAATACACCCCTGCACCAGCTAGTGGTTGTGCCGCAGGATACGGTCTGCAAACTGTGCGAACGTTTCGTTCTCGTTGACCATCGCGTGCAGCGACGGCTGCAGAAACACGGCCAGCGTGTTGCGGCTGATCCCGGGCATCGCCGTGCCCTTCACGTAGTGCGGCACAGCCTTGAACTGGTGGCCAGACACCTCCTCCAATGCCGAGCCGCTCTGGAACGCTAGACAGTGAGGCGGGATGTTCACCTTAACCACGTTGCCGCGCCGGTCCTTGATGTACAGTCCTGCGCTCGGGTCGGGACTGGCGGCCAGCTCTGCGTCTCCGTCGAAGAAGAGCGCTGACGTAAGCGCTGTGATGCACGAGTGGTCGCAGTGTTCACCGCACCAGTCGGACTGCGAGCTGGACGCGTTTGGGAGGTAGTGTAGCAGTCTGGCCTTAGACGTGGTGCTTTCTCTGATGATTGACTCCAGGTAGCCGGGCTCGTAGTTTTGGAGGTGCTTTTCGCAATAGACATCGATTTTCTCGCAGATCTGGAGACTGATCTCGATCATCAACGTGATGAGCGCCTTGCAGTTCTGCTGGAACCCTTTGAGCTCGTCCAAGTCTTCTCTGGGCCATTTGTTCCACGTCGTGTACGCCTTGTAATTTTCGTAGCCCCTGGTTTCGTCTGGCGGCGGGCCTTCCAGACTGGGGTCCTTGAAGAAGGAGCAGTTGATATAAAATGAGCCTTTCAGCTCGTCCGCCACGCCGTTGGCCAGTTTCTCTTTACCCAGCGACCATCCCGTGAGATAGTAGCCCTCTGGACACTCGAGATCTTGGAGGCTTTGTTGATCTAGACGAGTCAGATAAGACGCCTGGGTAAGCACTTTTCTGCGCAGTTCGTGGTATTCCTTTGGAAGATCCTTGACCACGAGGATCCCCAGGGAGTCGTTTCCAAACGCGTCGATCAATTTGTCAGCCGTGATGTCGCTCAGCGACACTGTTACTGGAGAGGCCATGATAACAGAAAAACAAAAAAGGACGATCGACGTAAAAAAATATTTCATATATTTTTCCTTCTTGCCATGTCGTACAGCTGGCTGGACGAGGAGAGCACGATCTCGCTGGACCGGCGTGCCAATCAGAAGACGCCGTTCTACGAGCCGATTGTCAACACTTTCAAAGAAGGCGGGTACAACCCAAACGTCTCGTACCACTACAACCCAGACGTTTCTAAATACCACTACGGAGTCAGACACCCCATGAAACCGTTCCGCTTGATGCTCACAGACCATCTAGTGATTGCGTACAAGCTGTACGAGCAAATGGACCTCTACCAGCCGCGACGGGCCACCAAGGAAGAGCTCTTAGAGTTCCATTCCGAGGACTACATCAAGTTTCTCGAGTCGGTGACGCCAGACAACGCCAAGAAGTACGCCGAGCACTTGCGCCAGTTCAACATCGGGGACGACTGTCCTGTATTTGACGGCATGTACGAATATTCGCAAATATACGCCGGTGCGTCGCTCGACGCGTCGCGCAAGCTGATTGCCGGCATGAGCGACATTGCCATCAACTGGTCGGGCGGACTGCATCATGCGAAAAAACACGAGCCGAGCGGCTTCTGCTACGTGAACGACATTGTACTCTCCATTCTGAACCTGCTGCGGGTGCATCCGCGCGTGCTGTACATCGATATTGATTTGCACCATGGAGACGGTGTCCAGGAAGCATTCTACCTTACGGACCGCGTAATGACGGTTTCTTTCCATAAGTACGATGGCGAATTTTTCCCCGGCACGGGCAACCACGACGAGGTCGGCCTCGGCAAGGGAAAGCATTTTGCGCTGAACGTGCCGCTGCACGACGGAATCGACGACGAGTCGTACATTTCGCTGTTCAAGTCGATCATGGAGCCCGTGATAACGAATTTCCGGCCGACGGCCATTGTGCAGCAGTGCGGCGCCGACTCGCTCGGCTGCGACCGTCTTGGAAGCTTCAATCTGAACATCCGGGCCCACGGCGAGTGTGTCAAGTTTGTCAAGAGTTTTGGCATTCCGATGCTCGTTCTGGGCGGCGGAGGCTACACGCCGCGAAATGTGAGCCGACTGTGGTGCTACGAGACAAGTGTGATGACCAACGTGAAGCTGAATTCGCGGCTACCGGAGGTGTTACCATTCCGCAATTTTTTCCAACCGGACTACTCTCTGCACCCGAACCTGGGCGACCGCTACGACAACAAAAACTCCAAAAAATACCTGGAAAACCTGCGCAACCAGTTGCTCGAAAACCTGCGCTATCTGCGTGGAGCGCCCTCTGTGGAAATGCAGGAGATACCTCCAGACTTGCAGAACATGACAACCGACGAGGAGCAGGAGATACTGGACAGACTCAACAGGGAGTCTGAGTACGATGCGCATCTGGACGAGAAGCGGTACTGGCTGAACACCAAAGACCAGGCCAGAGTGAGCGAACAGGTGGAATAATAGATGTATTATTTACACGAAAGGAACGGAGTCGTTGTCGTCTCCGAAAATGTCGCAGTTCTCATAGTCAAAACCCTCCTTCTCCAGTTTCCACAGCCGTTTCAGCTTCATTAGCGAGATCTCGCCCGAGCCGACTCCGAGGTCCATCAGGGCCTTGAAACAGCACTCTATAATACACTTTTGCTGCGGCAGCACGCTGCAGAGTCCACACACAAACAGCGGCCACTGGACCATGATCAGCCGGTGGTCGAACTGGTAATACAGAAACTGGTCGAAATCCATGCTAGCCGTCGCCTCTGTCCGCTCCGACAGCTCTGAATAGTATCTTGTCAGCCTGGTCATGTCCTCGTCGTTCAGGTTATCTTTGAATCTCACCAGCGGGTCCAGCCCCAAAAGCATGCGGTTCACCACATCCTGGACAAGTTCGTTCGTGATGGCCAGGCCGTTGCGTCTCATACAGTGCTTCATGGTGAGGATCTTCAAATAGCACGCATCCGTGTACAGCTGCTGACTCAGGTCGAGCCAGCTGTACCAGTTTTTCGTGTCGTCGGGGTCAGAGGTGAGCGGGTTGGTGTTGTGCATGTACGCGCACATGACGACGCCTTTTCCGTCTGGGTTGTTGTAATGAATGCCGTTGAGGTTGAGAGGATGGTTGGGCGAGTCCAACGGAATGCGGTACGGCGGGCCAGTCGCGATGCATTTGAAGAGTCGCGCTTTTTCCACCAGTGCCATCATTTTGAGCACCTGCGAGCTGAGCACCTGGCCGTCTTCGTTCAGATACCGGCCGATGTCCTCGTTCAGCGCGTTCTCCATGTCAAAATGGCGGCGCGCCTCGAGCGTCAGCACGATCTCCTTGAAAAGCTCCTGCACGTCGTCGTTGTAGCCGTGGTACAAATTGAACGTGTTGTGCACAGGGGCCGGGACGTGGTAGTTTCCTGCCACGTAGAAACCGAACTTCGCCAGCGTAGCCCCCACGGGGCTGCCGCTCTTCATCACGTCGAGGAACTCGGCGAGTTCCTTGAAATCGTGGATAGTTCCGCCGCTCGGCGACGTGAGCGCGGCCAGGGTCTCCATGGAGTAGAACCACGTCCAAATGATGCCCAGCTCCAGCGAAATGGGCATGTATTTGCAATATTTGATCAACAGGTCCTTAGCTCCGCGCAGATGGGCCCGCCATTGCGACCCGGTCGACGCAGAGTAGTCGGAGGCCAGAATTAAAATCGTGAGCAGCAGCGACTGGATATTGTTGAGGATTTTCGGTTTCGAATGCAAAATGGCGTCCAGCGACTTCAGACACGACGAGAGATAGTACGAGCGCAGCTGCTGGTGCGACTCCTGTTTTTTCCGCGAGTCCTCGTCGCCATTCTTTGGTTTCAGCTGGTAGCTCTCGTACCGGGCCGAGATGGCCAGCAGAGCATATAGCAGGTGCGGCGAGCTTTTCGCTTCTAGCAAAAAACACTTGATAAACGAGTTGTGCAGCAGGTTGGTGGTGAAGGGCAGGATGTTGAGATGAAGTTTGGTGATGAGCACGTTAAGGTAATTCATATGCGGCGAATCAAAAGACCACCCGAAATACGCAGCCAGGTCGCTCAGGTCCTGCGAACTGATGGAATTGTTTAGCGACGCGAGGAAATCAAACCGCTCGGGCACTCCAGACCTCAGAACGGCCGGGCTCGGCGGCGGGAACGCTGACAGTTTGGATCCAGAGCCAGCAGTTTTGACGGCCGGCTCGCTGCGGTCGAAGTCGGTCTCGAGCGTGTTTGTGAGTCGCCGAATATAGAAATTGTACGACGAGCCGAGATCCGGCTGCTCGAAGTCGGTGCTGAAGCTCTGGATCAGGTCGTTCAGGTCCGAGATCAGGTGGCTCGCCCCGGTAAATAGATTGTTATCCAGCTCCTTCGATTGGTGTAAGGGTGTAGGCGGCTCGAACGCGAGCTGCTGCCGCATCTCCTGCTCGAACGCTCCTCGCGGTTTTCCCTGCAAGTGCGGCCCGACAGACGGGAGCCGGTCGACCTCGGCGACCGCACGCGCGAGCGGCGGGTTCTGCACCATCGCCGGCGGCTGCGCAAACGTGAGCGGAGCCATCTCTCCGTCCGGCGTCACAGGCTTGCTACCACCACCACTGCGCGCAGCCGACGGCGCAGAAGCGGCGCCAGACACCTCGCCGAGATTGACCAGCTTGGTATCCTGCGATTCTATCGTGAAAGTGCGCGAGCTGGTGAATTTGATGGTACGTTCGTAGACACACTCCTTGTGCAGATGCGCGCAGTTCCAGCACTGCGGCTTGCCCTCGTCGCACTTGAGCTTGCGCCGCTTGCACTCTTTGCAGCCATTGCGCGAGTACTGTCTCTTCTTGCGCTGGCTCTCGCTCATAGGCGATGGAAACAGGATTGAGCAGAGATAGCAGTGGATTGGGAAGTTTTTTCCGGGTGGTGGTGCACAGATGTTTCTGGCCCGCGAGATCTACGGCGCGCTTGCCAAAAAAGTTTTTCCAAGAGAGCATACGTCATCAGCCGGGAAACAATACAAACAATGCGCGGCCCTCAAACCACAATGTGCCCGCTCACCGACCCGCCGATCGACGCGGAATGCTTGAGGACGTCGAAATTTAAAAATAAACAAGAAAAACCACAGCTAGCGGTAACTCAACCACGGCGCCCCAGTGTCTCAAATCCCGTTCCACACTCGTTTGTGCCCTGTCCCTCCTTCAGCGCGTGCAAATGTCTCATCCAGCCAATGGCAACAGAGCAGCCAACGGTGCGGAGGTTTCTGACGCCAGCCTGGTCCCAGGACTGAATAATGTGGACATCGGAGATGCCAAGCGCGTTCTTGGAGCTTCTTCCGATAGTTCGCGCAAAAACAGCTCCACAGACGGCGTGGTGTCCCGGAAACCCCCTAAGCTGTGCTACCAGTGCGGCAAAACGATCATCGGCACCCTCGTGCGCGCCATGGACAGAATCTACCATGTCGACTGTTTTCGCTGCCACGACTGCGGCAACCCCTGTTCCAGCAAGTTCTTTGCCGCCGACGTGCAGGTCGATGGCGACACCGTCCAGGTGCCTCTTTGTGAATACGACTACTTCAAGCGCATCGATCTTATCTGCTCCACCTGCGACAAGGCCATCAGAGGCTCCTACATCACTGCTGTGGGGCGCAAATTCCACCCCGAGCACTTCTTCTGCGATATATGCCACAGGGTGTTTGACTCTGAGGACTACTATGAGCACCAGAACAAGATATACTGCCATTACCACTACTCCGTCCTGTACGCGGCACAGTGCGAGGCGTGCAAATCTGCAATACTGAAACAATACGTCGAGCTCTACCGAGGCGGGCGCGAGCAGCAGTGGCACCCGGAGTGTTTCATGGTGCACAAGTTCTGGGGTGTCGACGTGACTGCTGAATGCGTCGGGATCTCCGAGATGGGGGCAAAAACCCTGAGCGACCCAGAGGCGAAAAAATCGCTCACGCCTAAAGAGCTGTTTGACCTCGAAAGAAAGCTCGAGCGCATGACGATGTCGATCTGGCTCACGCTGTCGGAATTCGAGGAAGGCTGTGCCTCCTGCATCTCCGACATGCTGCACTCCGCGTCGACAGGCAATCAGCTGGGCGGACTTTTGGTCACGGGCCAGCTGGTGCTCAAGATCGAGTACCTGTTTCGCGGCATCGACATCCTCAACGACCTGTTTGAGTCGTCCAGAATCCGGCTGGACTACTCGGCGAACCACAAGCTCGCGCCGCTCAGCAAGGAGCCTCGCAGCATGTCCTCAAAAATCATGTCGTACCTGACGTTTTTGCGCGACACCGACAAGACAAAGCTGCTTTCTAACACGCACACACAGAAGCTGCTCTCATTAATTTCCACCCTGGCCCACTACATCAAGCTGATCTCCAGAAATACACTATTGCACGCTCTCGAATACAACAAAATCAGCCGTTCCTCGCTTGCCACGGACAGATACCTTCGCGAGATCTCGAGCCATGACTCGATTCCCCAGGACGTGTTTTCTGTGCTGGGGATCCCGCCGAACGCCAAAGACCTGTGTTTCCGGTGCCAGAAGAGCATCGAGGAGAACTGCTTCCGCTTCGGAGACCTTATCTGGCACACCGAGTGTTTTGAGTGTTCTAACTGCTCCAGACGCAGCAGCACGCACACCAGTCTGAGCGAGTTTAATTTCAACACGAAAAAACAGCAGATCCTGTGTGCCAGCTGCTCTTCAGACGACGTGGACGCCCAGCCGGGCTTCAAGAAAGTCTCTCGATACATGCAGCTGATTTATCTACTGAAAATTGCGCTGATCAGATCCAGACACGCCATGCTGAAACGCGGCATCATCTCAAAGACCCTACCGCAGGTTCTCGCGTCCTCCGACTCTTACGACCAGCACGTGACCGACATCAAACGGATGCGCTCGAAGCGCCAGAAACAGCGCATAGGCACTGCTTCTGCCGAGGCAAGAAAATCGATAGTCTTGGAGGCCCCCGAGGCATCGTCTGCGGGCATGGTGAACGTGGATCCGGAGTCTGGGAAATCGCTATCTTCGTCCATCAAGGCGTCGAAATTCTTGAAGAAAGAGCGGTCTTTGGGCCGCAAGGGCTCGAAAAGGCTTCGGATCGAGGACGTTCCTATGAAAACGAATCCGCAGTCCACGAATCTCGACGTGACCTCGAACCTGCTGAAGAACGAGAAAGGGCTGACGCTAGACGACATTCCGCGGATCGTTTCGTCGGAGCAGGCACGCGAACACCGGCCGAACGCGTTCAAATTCCAAAAAAGAACATACACGCCGGCTACTTCGACGATTCCTGCTCCGAAAGCGGTCAGGAACAAGGGTCCCGACTCGGGCCAGATGTCTTCAGCCACGCGAAGCGTATCTGGCGCTCCGTCGTCTCCTGTGCCGCAATTGAAGACGCCGTCTCAGCTCCTCGCCAAGTCTCTGCGCACGCAGGATAGCGCGTCGTCGGCGCCAACGTCTGCTGTTCGCTATTCGGAGTTCTCTAAAAAAGACAACGAGTATCTGCAACACATTGCAGCATTCGCATTGCACAGACTCATGGGAGACACGCTGTCTCTGGAAGACTGCCTCTCGTTTATTTCTGTGAAAAAAAGTGCCTCGTTTTGGGAAAAGATGTTTGGAGGGTCAGGAAGCTCCAAAAAGACCACCAACAAAGTGTTCGGCTGTCCATTGGAAGAATTGGTTGAAAAGTGCGGCGTCGAGAGCGACTTGGGAATCGGGCCGCAGAAGCTCAAGGTGCCAATGCTGGTTGACGAGCTCATCAACGTGATGCACACGATGGATCTGTCTGTGGAGGGCGTGTTCCGAATAAACGGTAACATCAAGCGTTTGAGACAGCTTACGGAGGAAATAGACGCAAATCCACAGCAGGTTCCTGATTTCTCCAAGGAGACACCTATCCAGCTGGCTGCGTTGCTCAAGAAGTTCACTAGGGAAATGCCTGACCCATTACTCACTTTCAAGCTCTACGATCTCTTTATTTTGTCACAGAAGTTTGGAGACGATGCCAACAAAAAGGACAGGATTCTAAAGCTTGCCTATTGCATGCTTCCGAAGGCTCACAGAGACTTGGCAGAGGTGTTGCTCTCTTTCTTCAACTGGGTCGCGTCGTTCTGTCTCATTGATGAGGAGAACGGGTCCAAGATGGACGTGCACAATTTGGCCACCGTGATCACACCCAATATCCTGTATGAAAGACCCAAGACAGACCTCAAGGACATCCCGACAAGCTCTGTGGAGCTTGTGCCGCAGGGAGAAAACCACTTTTTGGCCATCGAAGTGATCAACACGCTGATTGAAACGCAGGACGAATTCAGCATCGTTCCAAAGGATATCCTGCAGCTCTTCGAGCTGGGAGGGTTTAGCAAGTGCCAAAGCGAGCTGAAAACTAAAGAAATCCTTGCCAGATGCGAAGCGGTGTGCAACGAGCATCCAAACGTTCTTGATTAGAAGTACAATCTATTTATCATGCCATATCGTTCTGGTTTCCTGCATCGCACCGCGGCCGAAAAATCCCATCATCACCTTGAACCTGTCAGTGCTATCCATCAAGCTGGCTTTGAAGAGATCGTTGCGTTTTCCGAGCTCCTCGTGCTGTTTGGTGAGAATGGTCATTGTGTCCAGCTCTCCAGAGCATTTCGGACAGGTTTGGTCGCTGGATGAAGATTGGGAGAACTCGTTTGTCAGACAGCTTTCGTGAAAGGAATGCGAGCATCGAAAATGCACTAATGGGAACGACAACGGCCGGTTGCACGAAGAACATTTCGACCGGTTGATGACCTGTGGCTCTGTGTTCTGTTTTGAGAGTTCTTCTGCGACCGCAGACGCCTCCTTTTGATACGAGTCGATCAGCTTCTCGTTATTCTCCATGTCACGTTTTTGTCGGCGGATCTGCTCGATTAGATAATTTTTAATAAGCCCGAGCTTGACAAAGGAGGTCATACTGAGGAGTTTCACCACCTCCAGCGGAGTCATAGATTTAAGCGAGTCGATCTTCCATATCAATTCGGCCACTTTCTCTTCTCCAACACGGTTGAATATCTCCTCAGACGATGTGTATACAGATAGTGCCAGCTTGTATAGATCAGGCTCTTTCTCGCCGTACTTCTCAATGACTTCCAACGATTTTTGATAATTTCCTGTCAGGATAGTTGACCTGAACATGTCGAGTTCAAATCCTTGAGCCGAGTCGTCGGTGGCCTCTCTGATAGCAATCTCTGCCTCGGTGTAGTCTCCCAGATTGGACAGCAGTAACAGATTTGTCTGGTCCTCAAGGTTCCATTTGCTTTTCTGGATGTTCTCCAGCAGGGTCTTGGCCTTTGATTGCCATTTGGATTTGGTCTCCTCGTCGCCATTCTTAGACATGGTGAGGTACATCTCGTATAGCGTCACCATGATATCCTTTTTGTCCTTTTCGTCACCGCCGAACTTGTCGTAGCTCTCGATGCAGGCTTCCAGAAAGACGACAAATTCGTTTGGGTGGTCCACAAACGATTGGAAGATGATTCGCGGCCGTGGAGGAAGATACGTTGGCTGCGCCGCTTGCGGCTCCTCGCTGTCCGCCAAGTTCATGAACGCCACGAACTGCTTGTATGAGGTCAGGATAGGATGGTTGGTGTTTGATTTTGGAACCGTTGCGAGGTCCGCCAGGTCGAACTCGGGCTCTGGGCTGTATTTTCCCGTGAAAACGTCAATCAGAAGCAAATTGCACTCGTTGGGAAGACTGTCCAAAAACCACTTCACTTTATCAATCAGCACGCGGAGAAGATCGTCAACAGGCAAGGTGCGGATGTATTTCATCGTCAAGCTTGGATTCTTCATGTCGTGCAGCTGTATGTCGACCACGGTGGACGGATCATTGAACTTCTTGGCGATGTTAGCGGCCAGGACGTAGTACCCGCTTTCTCTGCATGTGCTGATGACGGTTGGCATGTCGAACTGTTTGGAGGGTTCTGTGATCTCATAGTCCTCGTTCATGGACACGTTTTCAACGTAGCTAAGCACCGCCTCTGGCCTCTTGAGTTTGCAATAGCAGCAGAGCAAAAGCGTCGTATGGTCAACCGTTGACTTCCCCAGCTGTATCAGCTTCTCGAGATACTCAACCAGATACGGAATTTTCGAGCTTTCCTTGTACTTCTGTATCACCTCACTGGTTTTTCCTAGATCGACGCTGTCCATGTACTGCTTGATTGCCTGTTCGAAGTATCCCTTCTCGTAAAGGTGATTGCCATACTGTTTGTGGATTTCGAGCAGCTTCTGTGTGCTGCAGTTCTCGTTTTCTGCGAGAGAGATGGCTAAATTGAAAAGCTCGTGCTGTACGAGAATGTTCAATTTCTCGGTGAGGTCCTTCTCTTTCAGTTGGAAGAGCAATCCGCCAGACGTGAACACGTAGAGATCGTCCCACAAAGTCAGAATATCAACCACAGAACTGGAGATCGTCTGGTTCAGCGCAATGAACTTGTTGATCACATCCACGATAACAAGCTTATTTGTGACAACTGATGAAGCGGCGGTCAGGTTCGAGCTCACACTGGACTCAATCACCACGTATCTGTCTTTGTAGGCAAAAATGCGTCTTTTCGGTATGTCGAGCAGGAGATTGTGTGTCTTTCCGCGCAGGTTGTAGAATTGAAGACTCCGGTCGCGGGCAACCACCAAGTTGCGTTTTCGGTCCTCAAGCATGGCGCTGCAGTTGATGTCTACCCCCTGAGACTCGTCCAGAATGCGGTCTGGCCGGCCCTGGTTTCTGCCCGTGGTTGGAATCGTCAGTATTTTCGACACGTTCGACACGTAGAGCACACCTTCGTCGCGGAAGTGTACGCTGGTAATCGGGTCCCGCGACTCGTACACGACTCGCTGTCGAGAGCCCCTGTCGTGGAGCAGGTCGCCTCTGACGACGATAACCGTCCCGTTGGCAAACCCAAACACAAGCACGGTGAAGTCCGCCGTGGCGTCGAAACAGGTCAGCGGAAAGTCGTTCGTCCCGTTTGTTACTTGACAGAGCGAGTGGTAGTCGCTGTTGTAGTCTATCTTTTTGTGTTTCTCCAGCTTGGGCAGGTCCCACAGCTTGAGCGTCACTGGAAATCCCTGTTTTTCGGCGATTGAGCACAAAAATCCTGAGTGTCCGGCACCTCCAAACGGCACAAATACCAGCCGTGTTATATCCCAGCCGAGGTCGTACGCCTGGAACTCGAATACCGGCTCGTACTCTCTGTTGACCAGCTTAATGGAAGCCTGCGACGAAGCGAGAACAAGCAGGTCGGGCGTCGCGGCAATGGCGCTGACGTCCGAAGCGGAGTAGAGCGCGTTCGCCGTGCCGTAGTGCGGGTCCTGGATCGGGACACATTCGAAGAATGGGAACTGTCTCCAGTTTGTAAGAGACATAAATCAAGATAAAATAAATGTAAATATCTTTAGCCACCTGTGGCTGTGTTGAAACGTATTTGAGGAAGTGGGCAGGGAAGCGCATGCGAACAAAGCAAGGGAGCAGACGCAGAAAAGATGTTTCTGTGATTTTCTTGTTTCTTTGCTATGACTGTGAGTTTTGTATCCGTTTTGACGTCGTCGTCTGTCTACTCGGACGTGGAAAATAAGGAGAACGTCGAGCCCAAGCGCAGCTGGAGTTTCATCAACCCCTACTCCCAAAGCCTGTGGTTCCTGTCAAGGGGCAACCAGGGCGAGGAGATTAAAGACATGCAAAAGCGCACCGAAGAGCCCAGCCGCCTTAGGCAGAAAGCGAGAGATTTGCAGGAAGTCAGCATCCCTTCAAGAGACAAGTCGCTGCCCCCAATGCCCCCAATACCCCCTAAACTGCTGCAAGACTTTCCGACGCCAGAGATGTCCGAGTTTAGCGACACAAACAGCCAACTAGTGACAAGAACAGAGCAGCTGTATTTGCAGGACTTGGATCTGCTAAATGCCGTGGCCGCGTCGTTCGCTGGCTACGTAAACGAGCGGGGCATCCCCATCAAGTCAACAGAGATCGTCGTGCTATTTGGCAACCTCAGTCTGATGATCAGTCTGAGCGAGCTATTTTTGAAAAATCTCGCAAGCGGGAATGCTCTTGTGCGCACTTTGAACGACTACTTCGCCAGGCTCTCCCAGGTATACCCGTCTTTTTTCGCATTGCAGGGACGGAGGTTAGAGATCCTAGACTCGGTGAAAAAAGACCCGCGATTTGATGACTGGTTTGCCAGTCTCAACGGAATCAAAGTTGAGAAGCTGCTGAAGGTGCCAGCAAACCGAATTAGTGAGCTGCGAGACATAATAACCAAACTGGGGCTATTGGAGGAATGCCCTAAGCTCAGCAGACTTGTTGAGATTGAGAGCGGTCTGCCCTCGCCGTTGACATCCCCAACACTGATACTAAGCGTCCCCGAGAGCTGGAAGCAAAAACACAAGCAGAAGTGGAAGGAAATTGCCAAGGAGCCATTCGAATGCCAGCAGCTTGCATACTTTCAGCACGAGTTCAGGGCTATCCACAAATTGTTTGACACCACTGTCCGGTCACTGGACAAGTGCTTAAAGCTCCAAAAACTATCAATAGAGTCTAAGCACAATATAGCGCTTTCTTTTTTGCGATTCTCCCAGGACCTTCCCAGCAGTTACAACAGGAAAGAAACACAGCTCACGCCAAGATCGCTCTTCTTCAAGGAGAATTTCATTTCCTCCAGCTATCAGCTCTACTTGGAAAAGCTCCAGAACCAGAATAATAGTGCCAATCAATTGATGTCGCGGTTTGAATACGAGCTGGGCCCAGCGGTGGAGGAAATCAGCACTGTGCTTGATGTCGCGGAACATAAATTGTCAAAAATTCAGAGAGCGTTCAATAAATTGGACAAGGACACCAAAGTGGACAAGTTGATGAAGCTACACAAACTCAATGGGTTTTTGAAAAATGCCATCGGCCTTATTACGATAACGTATGATGAGCACGTCAGATCTCTCCTCAAGATATACCAAGGACGGGCCGAGACGGCAAAGCGCATCATTGAGCAGTTTATGGAGATGCGACAGCAGAACAAACACGTGATTGTATCATGTGGGGACCTCCCATTCAACAAATCGCTTGCAATGACCAAAGTTGTGCGGAAACTCTATAATTAAGGAGCCCGCGACATCCTCTCAGGGCTACCGAGTACTGGAAATATTACGTCAGCACCGTGGTCTGGACCCAGTTTTTTTGATACCTGGATCTAAATTTAGACCGTATCACATGGATGTCCAAATGCGGCTCGGCTCTATGAGTGAGAGGTACGTGTTGAGAAAGTTCGTGAGCTAACAATGAGTGACCGATATGAGCTCTTGCAATATCTGAAGACCGTGGAGTGCGAGGACTACATCGATCTATTTGTTGCGAATGACATCAAGATTGATCTGCTTCCCCAACTCGATAGACATGCTTTGAAAGAAATCGGGATCACCAAGGTTGGAGACAGGCTGCGACTGCAGGTTCTGATCCATCTCCTAAATGCTGAGAGACTCAAGTCACGGGTGAATGTGAGCGATCTGGCAGAGGTTGTTTCGAATGCTTCTGCCACCTTGAGCAGCGTTGATAAGGCAGTCACGTACAACGACAAATCGCGACGGTCTTCCGACACATTCAAGGTTGAAAACGAGTACAGGAATTGCGTCACAATAATCGGACCGGACGGCCACAGAAATGAGGTTAACGTTACAGGGTGTTTTAGTTCGACCTCGATAAAAAAAAAAGCTGTCAGAAAAATGGGCATTCCCACCACCCACGTCGAAGAGTGGAAAGCGTATTACGTCGACGAGGACGATAATCTACACATGATGTTTGATGCCGAGTTCACGGCACTATGCCATTCTCCAGACCGTCCAGAGAAAAAACGCATAATTCTATGTCATTCGAGCGAGGCACCGTCGGAAGCAGCTTTGGCAACCTCGAAGTCCATTTCGACCACTGCTGGTTCTGATAAACAGACTCTGAAGAACTTCCTTGGGCAGAGACCGCCTTCGCAGCTAATTTCCACCAACCTTGGCGAGTACTTCCCTGACACAGGGGCTACGGAGTTGCGGGAGGTGATGCGGAATAGTGTGCGGTTTTCAATGTACAGTTCCAAGATGAGCACGCAGCAGTCCACGCGCGAGTCGATCTACTCTGGAAGGCCGCAGTTTACTGCTAGCTCTGTCTTCAGCTATGGTGTTGCAGTTCCTGTCAAGCACACTGTTGGAGATGTTATTTTGAACCACTCCGCTGCTCTGGACACACTCCGTGCCGACCAACCGCCGGATTTAGAAGACGATGGCACCATTCGTGCTTCGATGCGTAATGTGTCCCTGGATAAGAACGGCAGCTTGGATTCAATGCAACGGGCGCGCATGTCTGTTGCGTTCTCCAAACGGGAAAACAGAGACTCGACGGTGATCAAGCTTTTTGACGACGACGACGACGACGAGTCGTTTGAGTCGTCTGAACAACTCAGCTTTTCAGGGCAAGACAACGGAGGTCCATCTGTTTGGCACAAGGGAACCAAAATTGGCCAGGGATCTTTTGGTACTGTGTACTTGGGACTCAATGGACTGACTGGAGAACTAATGGCTGTGAAGCAAGTTAGCCTTCCCCGCTCTTCTGAGGATACCAAGCAGACGATGGTGAACGCTCTGAAACAGGAACTTTCGCTGCTCAGGGTCATGAACCACGAGAACATTGTGCGCTACCTGGGATCGTCTGCCGATTCTGACAATATCTACATCTTTTTGGAGTACATTCCCGGAGGATCGGTGAGCTCGATGCTGTCGACATACGGGCCTTTCGAAGAACCCTTGGTGCGAAATTTCATCACACAGGTGCTCATAGGCCTGAAATATTTACACGGCGAGGACATTATTCACAGAGATATCAAGGGTGCCAATATTTTGATAGACATTGATGGTACGGTGAAAATCAGCGATTTCGGTATTTCGAAAAAAATAGATATCAATGATACGGAGCAAGAGGATATCGGCACCACCAAGCAGCAAAAACGCGCGTCTTTGCAAGGATCCGTGTACTGGATGGCCCCTGAGGTGGTGAAACAGATTGCATACACAGACAAAGCCGATATCTGGTCTTTAGGGTGTCTGATCGTCGAGATGCTGACCGGCAAGCATCCATACCCGGGCTTTTCGCAGATGCAGGCTCTTTTCCGCATTGGCACGTTGACGCTGCCCGACATTCCCGACGGCGTCACTGATGACTGTCGCGACTTCCTCACAATGACCTTTGAGACCGATTACAAAAAACGGTGCAATGCAGCCAGGCTTCTTAAACACCCGTTTATCACGCCGTTATTGTCGACAAAGCGCTAGATCAGGCTGCGGGTTCTGCAGTGTGCGATTGGTCTTTCAGAATAGCATTCATGAGTGCGCTTCCTCCGCCCAGGACGAAATAGCCGTGGCCAAGGTCCTTCAAGCTGCATTCTCTTGTGTCTCTAGAGGGTCTATATATATCTAACAGGCTGTTTCTTCTGTTGGTAGCGTTGTAGAAGGGCTCGTTGTCTATAAAGTTATTGAGCTCTGGTGTTGATTTGGATGTCTGGATGAGTCCCTGTGGTCTTGGGGGCAACTCCTCGTCAAAGGAGACCACTGAAGCCGTTTCCGGCGCGGGTTGGTGTGCAGAAGTGTATGCTGGCACCTCTGACCACGCCAGACCGTGCTCATTGTCGCTGGATTTGGCTCCACAGATTAGGAACACGCCCAAAAACGTAAGCAAAGCCCCGGCCAGGAAAACTAGGCACTGTGCAGCGGACTTGCCTGCAAAGTCGTTGAAAACAACAATGGAGCACAGCAGAACTGCCGTGGTGAAGAACACAAAGTGGATGGGCACCACTGTTGTGGCATTGGCGATCTTGAGACAGGAATTTAGATAGTGGACCTGGAACCCGGACGTGCCGATTATGACGAGAAACAACACGTAGGGCCGCCAATTGACGAATATTTCGCTGAATGGCACAAACGCGACTACTGAGGACAGCAGTTTTGTAGAGATGGCGGTGTAGGTGCCGAAAAGCGCCACCAGCGAGAGATGCAGCAGGATGTATGCCATAGACCTTTCTAGGGAACGGAGCCGGAGAATGAGGACGACGATCGCGAAGAGCGTGCTTGCGAGGTAAATGAGTGTTGGCGGCGACAGAACCATGGAGTCTATGTACGAAAAGGGGTCTTGAATAGGCCGTGCCGGGGAATCGGCTACCGAGGACAGGACCATAAATACGACGCCAGCCGCGCTCGCGAACGTGCCGTAGAGATCTCTGCGCCGTATCTTTTCGTGAAATATGAAAGGCGCAATGAAAGTGGAATTCGAAATGATGGTCACTACGCCGAGAGGCGCCACAATGCTGACGGGTGTCAAACCGTAGCTGACAAAGTTACCCATCTCCCCTAGAGACATGAGCACGAAGCCGAGCTGCCATTTCAGGTTGCGGGAGTAATGCTGGGAGCCCAGATGAAGATGGGCCTGTTTTTGGATGTTCAGGGAGATGGAAATGAGTATGTTGCCCGAAACAGAGAGCAGTACTCCCAGCAGGATATAATTCATGGGGGAAAAAATAAGGTGAATAATAATTATTATGGATCCTTTGGAAGGCGAGGAGATCAAGGGATTTAAAATTGGCGACAAGACAGTGGACGTCGGGCAGCTGAGACATCCGCACAGCCGTGTGGTGCACTGTTTGCCTGGCAAGGAAGAATTGGCACATGGGGGTCTGTTGCGCACCGACAAGCGACCAAAGGGCTCGGAGAACAACGGGGATTTGGTTCAGGAAGCGATCAATCTGAAGAAGAAACAGAAGGAGATATTGGAGCAGGACGAGAAGAAGCAATGAGCGCGCTCGAAAGCTCTTGCGCCACTTCAGGAAGTACAACGATATATACGAGACAGAGATTCGCAGTTCAGCAAGGGCCGGTTGCGTGGGGGAGTGTTCGGCCAGCAGTTTTTCTGCCACCTACTCCATACGGGGGTCAACAGCCCCAGCCTAGAAGAATACTGTAATGATCCTTCCGTAGGTTCACCTACGGAAACCTTGTTACGACTTTTAGTTCCTCTAAATGACCAAGTTTGACTAGATTCTCGGTTCCAAGATGGAGTTGCCCCCTTCTCTGAACCAATTCTGAAGCCTCACTAAGCCCTTCTATAAAATACCACTACACGCTTCGCCGTGTTAAATACAAAAATGTTTTTTTCTCCTTATGTTTGTGCCTAGACAGCTGGGTCTCACAAAACAGGCTCTCAGGAGCAGCGTATACCTATTGGTGGTGTTGACCGTGGTGCTTGTATATTTCTTTACCCGTCCAAGCCAAGTCTACGCCGACTCTCCCCTGGTGCTGGACCTGGAGTTCTATACTTGTTACCGACCCTTTTGCACAGAGTCCGAGAACGTCAGGGTGGACAAAGACTTAGGGCTGGGGAAGGCTCTTTTCAAAAGAACGTATTTGCAAAAGAAGCTGGGAGATAGCGACGACACTGCCGTTGTGGACGTTTCTGTGGGAAAACCAGAGTACAAGCCCGGCGACCTATGGAAGCCTAGGGGCCACGGCGTCTGGGTGAAGTATGGCCCGTCCAAAAATGCAATCATTGACGCAACGGTGCTTTTCCAGCCGTCAGATCCACGACCCGGATGGACAGTGCTCACAGAGCCGCTACACACAGACACAGATCACCATGTTTACATCAGCTACAGACGGCCAGCGAAGACGCCGGCCCGGCCGCAACTCTCCTTCAAGAACAACAAGTTCAAGATATTGCAGGTGGCAGACCTGCATTTTTCCACGCTCGACGGCGTGTGCCGCGATCCGTGGCCAAAGCTTGCTCCGGGCGAGAAATGTCAGGCAGACCCAAAAACGACGCGTTTCGTCGAGACTGTACTTGATCTCGAGAAGCCGGATCTCGTCGTCATGACAGGCGACCAGATATACGGCCCTGGCTCGCCCGACACAGAAACGACCATCCTCAAGGTGTGCGATATTTTTGAGCGTCACAAAACCCCGTACGCAATGGTGTTTGGTAACCACGACGATGAAGGCTCGCTCCTGCGCGACGAGATCATGGAGATCGTCGAGGGTTTGCCGTACTCACTCTCATCAGCTGGGCCTGCGAATGTGTCTGGGGTCGGCAACTACGTGCTCCAGGTGCAGAACAAGCTCGCTCTCTATTTTCTAGACTCGCACAAAAAGCTCACAAAGGTGCTCGGGTACGACTATCTGAAGGAGGACCAAATTCAGTGGATCAAAAGCTCCTGGGTCCCTGCAACCGTGAGCATGGCTTTCTTCCACATTCCTCTGCCGGAGTACAGAAATACGGACGCGATAGCGTTCGGCAACTACAAAGAGGGCGTCATGGCCCCGCATGTCAACTCTGGAATGGCGCAGACTTTCAAAGAGATTGGAGTTTCCGTGGCATCTGTGGGCCACGACCATTGCAACGACTTCTGTCTGCATTCCGATCTGTGGCTGTGCTACGGAGGTGCCGTCGGCGAGGGCGGTTATGGCGGCTACGGGGGCACAGAACGGCGAATGCGTGTGTTCGAGGTGGACGCGACGAACGGACTGGTCTCCACGTGGCAGCGACTGCATTCGGACCCCCAAACCGTTATCGAGCATCATGTACTAGAAAAATAAAAATAAAATTGTATATTTTATTTTCCATGCCAGAAGAGTTCTTCTCCAAGGAGGTCAGCGCCATGGCGCTGGAGTACCTGGTTAATGAGTGTGTGGCACTGTCCGTGCGCGTGGAAGAACTGCTGGCCAGCGACAGCGTGCCGGGAACGCTTGCGGGCGACGTTGCTGGGCTCAAGCTAGAACAAGACAAACCAGGGACCGTGGACTTTGCTTCAAACCCTAAATTCCTGGGGCTCAATAATCTCTACCGCGTGGAGAGATACGGCTACGAAATTGGCTACAAGATCACAGACTGCATCATTTACAAGAAATCGGTCCAGGAAGGAGTGAACATCCAGCTGCTGGAGGTGCTGGAGGTGATGAAATTTATATGCCGCGACGTGTGGCGAATGTTTTACCTCAAGCAGATGGACAACCTACGCACAAACCACATCGGCACGTTTGTGCTCGTGGACAACAACTTTCGGCCGCTGATCAACGTCTCCAGCGCACAGGGCGACGCAGACACCATCCGCAAAATCCAGCCGTACTTGCAGCTGCCCTGCGGACTTATCCGCGGCATTCTTGCCAGCTTAGGCATCAGCGCTGTCGTCAAGGCGGACGTCATCGAAAACCGGCTCCCGGCGGTCTCGTTCAACGTGCAAACCTCGCTAGCGAAGTAGCGCGCGGTGTACGGGTGCCTGCCTGAAGGGTGCATATAAAAATAAATAATACGGGGTAAACCAAGAATTAGATAGAAGTTTATGTAAATATGTCACGGCAAATCACCGCCGATGATATTCCGCAGGCAGTGTTGGTGGGCAAACCGCTCCTGTACTTCACCACCGGCTTTGTGAGTTTGTGTGTCTTTCTTTTCGGATACGATCAGGGTTATTTCAGCTCGATTCTGACAAACCACTATTTCAAGGAGTATTTCAACTACCCAACCGCACTGGAGATCGGTACTGTGGTGGCTATTCTGGAGATTGGTGCTCTGATCTCGTCGCTGAGTCTGGGCCCCATCTCCGACAAGCTCGGCCGCAGAAAAACCACCCGGCTCGGTGCGCTGGTGTTCTGCATCGGAGGCACGGTTCAGTCGTGTTCCAAGTCAGTGTCGCACCTTGCCATTGGCCGTTTCATCTCTGGTATCGGCGTAGGGTTTCTGTCAGGCACGGCACCCTCCTTCCAAGCAGAGATCTCTGCTCCTGAGAACCGTGGACTGCTGGGATCGGCACAGTTTACCGGCAACATCATGGGCTACGCGTCTTCGATCTGGATCGACTACGGGTGCAGCTTCATTGAGAACAACCTCTCATTCCGCATCCCGCTCATGCTGCAGGTCGTCTTCGGCTCGATCCTATTTTTCGGCAGCTTTGCGTTGGTGGAAAGTCCTAGATGGCTGCTCGAGCACGACCACGACGCAGAGGGACTCGTTGTCATCGCAGATCTTTTCTCAGGCGGCCATGTGCACAGTGAGAGGGCCCGCGAGGAGTACAAGGCCATCAAGGAGTCTGTCCTGATAGGCCGGCTCGAGGGAAGTCTCAGCTATCTCGATGTTTTCAGAAAATACCCCAGACGGATATTCATGGCCATGAGTTCGCAGGTGTTCGCGCAGTTCAACGGTATCAACGTGATTTCTTACTATGCTCCACTGGTGTTTGAGCACGCCGGCTGGGTTGGCAGAGACGCCATTCTGCTCACCGGTTTCAATGCCATTTTGTATGTTCTCAGCAGCATTCCGCCGTGGTACTTGACAGAAGCATGGGGCCGCAAGCCGGTGCTGATTATGGGAGGACTGGTTATGGGAGTCAGCCTGTGCGCTGTCTCGTACTTTAGCAAATCTGAGGCGTCAAACAGCGCCACCATGGTTGTCGTTTTCGTCATGATCTACAACTCGTTCTTCGGCTGCAGTTGGGGCCCAATCGGCTGGCTGAACGTTGAGGTGCTACCTACCAAGGCCCGTGCCTCGGGAGCCGCCATGGCCACGGCCACGAACTGGCTGTGCAACTTCATTGTCGGGGAACTTGCACCGATTCTGCTCGAAAAAATCAAATGGCGACTCTACCTTATCCACGCGACCTCGTGCTTCATCTCCGTCGTGACGGTGTGGTTCGTGTTCCCGGAAACCAAGGGCCTGAGTCTCGAGGAGATGGACAGCATTTTCGACGACAGATCGTCGGTTTACTCGACCCACTCGGGCAACCTCTCTGGCTTTGGATCCACAAACGACTTGGAGGCCTGGAGCAGCAGGTCGGGAATGATCACAGGCCACGCTCCACAGGCTGCAAGACATCCAGGCGCTCCAGAGACAAATCCATTACTGCCAAGCAACAAGCCGTTCATCTTGCCACAGGATATCGAGCCACCAGATCTGGCTACCATCTACAAGTTCAAGACAGACGATTCGCGGTCTCTGCGCGGTTCTCTGCGCAAGGGCTCTGAGGCTGTTTCGTCTATTTTCCGGTTCAACAGATCCAACAACGACGAAGCAAGCATGGCGTCCGACGCGGTGTCCGAAAGATTTATAAATACTTCACATTGATTACGCTGCTACCCGTCTATAACATGCAACAAACTTGTCACCGTGGTTGCGTGCCACTTTCTTTCCTTCCTCGGTCGACTCGCGCATGATAGCCACACAGGGGTCCTGGTCCTCCCATTCTTTAGAAAGTCGCTCAAATAGCGGGTGCTCGTCCAGATGGCTGACCATCCAATCGTGCAGGTCCTTGACGTCTGTGATGGTATACACAATTCCTCCCTCGCGCAACACATACGCATACTCGCTCAGCAGTGTTGTCGTGATGATGCGCGCCTTGTGTTTTCTCTGCTTGAAGTGCGGATCCGGGAAACAGAAAAACATCTTAGACAGCTGTCCCTTGTGGAAGAAATTAGGAAGGAACTTCATGGCGTTCGCGCGGATCACGCTGATGTTTTGATATTTTCTCGCCTCTTTGTGTTGCAACCTCAATGCGATGATGCGGTCCTCCACGTACTGTGTGACCTGCACCCTGATCTCCATACCCAGGATCAGCTTGTCGGGGAAATGTGGAGCCAGATCAACTAGAAGACCGCCGAAGCCGCAGCCAATGTCCGCGATCTCAACCTGCCGATCCAATTTCCCTGTCTCGCTATCCACAAAACCTGGATAGTACTTGCTCCAGTCCATCGACTCGGGGCTCTTTGGGTACTCCAGCTTGTGATCTGAAAACGGATTAGAGTGTGCACGTTGTCTATAGAACCGTTTTTTCGGGAGACTGACCTCCGGGCCGTCCTCGAAGCGCGCGTGCTTGAGCACTTTTCGGGTTTCCTCCTTGGCCTCGCGATATTGCTTTCTTTTAGATAGAGTGTCAGACATGATTTTCAGCACTATTTCTTTCTCCAAAGTAAAAATTTAGTCTTCCAGTTTTTTTAGAGCTGCACAGCCTTGCTCTTGCCGACTCGTCTATATACAGCTATTTACTCCCGTTTCTCGTCTTTCTCCGGGCTGTCCTTCTTCTCCAGCTCCTGTCTATGGGTGTCCATGGTCAAGTACAGAGTGTTGGCGGCGCTCTCCAAAGTTCTGACCAGGCCCGCCCCGGAAAGAACGGTCAACATTCCAACTAGTTGAGACCGCAGCTCGTCCATTGTTGGCATCTCTTTGAACTGGTTGATGTCCGCAATGTCAACGACATCACCTCCAATTCGGCCGCCAACAATGAATAAGCGCTCGTTGTGTGCTTTCAGGGCGTTGACGACGTTCTTCACCACCTTTGGATTCAAGTCTTTTATCAGTATGGCGGCCGTGGGTCCCTTCAAAAGCGGCTCCAAGGGATGTCTTATTTTGTGCTTCTTCACTTGTCGGTAGGCGGCCTTAGAAGCTGGGTCCTTGTGATGAGACGCCCTGAGGTAGTGCTTGAAGAGCGAGACCTTGAGTTTTCTTATTTGTGCGCCAGCTTCCTCGATCTGCAGCTTGATTTTCAGGTTATCGTGTGCTGTGAGATTGTTGTGGTGCGCAAACAGCATGATCTGGTTGTTCTTATCGAAATGCTTGTACACATCCAAGAGGTACGTTTTTCTTCCGTTTTCCGGTTTGGTTGTGTTTCTCTTTTCCGGCGCTGCCGACGTAGTGCTAGCAAATCCCCGTATGAGCCCACGAACGCCCGCCTTTGGGGCCTGTAGCCCAATTCTTGCAAGAGCGAACATGCTGTGATGGCCGTGGTGGAAAATTTTGAAAAACTATTGTGTCGCAGATCGTCTCACTTTGGAAAAATCATGTGCGCCGATCGTCTCCTCAAAAAGTCTTGCTCAATTATACCACTTTGTTATTTTACCCATGGACAACACGGCCCCTCGCAAGTCGCCCGTGCGCAAGCCCCCTCCTCCGCATCTTTCGGAGTTCTACTCATTTGTCGACGGCTCGTCTCCGGAGGCCCGGCCGCAATTGGAGACCTCGACGCTCCAGAGCGGGCCCAAAGACCCATTCCAGGAGAACTCGCTATACGACATTGCCGGGCTCTCATTGGGCGATGTCCAGCGCAAGCTTCGTGCGCAGTCATCGCGCACAGAGTCTCTGCTCTCTCTGCAGCCTTCCATGACGCCGTCGACGCTGGATCTGGAGACGCTTATCACCAAAAAGGACGTCAACGCCACCATCGCGAGCTGTCGCGACCTGGTCCGCACGGCTGCCGCATATAGAGAGGCGCTGAATGCTCTGAGCACGGCTGCCAGCGAGTTCGGGCGCTCGTTGGAAGACTGTGCGCGTTGCAAGGGAGCAGGAAGCGCTTCCGAGGGACTGATGACAGCCAGCGGATTCCACCACCAGATAGCAAACCACCAGCAGATTCTGGCACACAGCCTGTCTGATGGTTTCGAGAGACCCATTCTCAACATTATATCCGACTTCGAACGTTCGTACAAGGCCAATGACGCCGTATTCAAGAAAGAGATCAGAGAAAAGGTGCTGCAACTTAGACAGAAGGAAGCTACCAACAACAAGCTGAGCCGCAAAAAGACGCGAAATATCATTGCATACAAGTCGAATCTGCTGCAGCTGGCGTCGCAGTTGGACGAGATCGACCGTGCCAAACACGACTACTATGTGTCGTCCTACGACCAGACACAGGCCACCTTCACCAGCATCCTCGCGAAAACCAGCTCTGTGATCGCCATGGAAACACAGATGTACGAGAGCATCGCCAACAAGGCCCACTCGGGCGGCGGGCTAGACAAGCTGCTGGCCCGGGAGCCGTCGCCGGCACCAGAAAACAGTAGCGACTCCGAGACCCGCACGCTGGAGGCCTCGCGGCCGTCCTCTGTGACTGCGCAGTCCGACCACTCAGACCACTCAGACCACTCCGAGCACGCAGATGCGCACGACGACGCCGACGACGCCGACGACGCCAACAGAACCACCGACTCGTTCTTCTCGCCGCCCGTGGTCACCTCGCGCGACGAGGCCTCCGCAGAGGCTCCCGAGCAGCAGCAGCCAGACCATACCTCCACGTTCTCTTTGCCGGCCGCCACGTCTCCTGCTGTTCCTCTTGCACCAACGGTGACGCACGCAGACAGTGTAAGTGTACAATATATGTAGATTCGTTCAGATCATCACTCGTTATGTCGTCCTGGCTTTTTTATTTTTGAGATACTGGGCCATGGGGTCCTCTTCCTCCAGTTCGTTCTCTATCAGCTTAGCTTCCACCTCCTTCTCCTCCCCAAAGTCCTTCTCCATCTCCTTAGCCAGAGCCTCGTCCCACTCCCTGTTGGCGTCGAACTCCTTATCGTACTGGTACGGCTTGTATCTCACATGGTCGACACGAAGCACGTACTCGTCGCCAAAGGAGTACCCGTTGAGGTTGTCGACGGCGAGAATGGTCGACTCGAACTGCTCGTACTTCAAAAATGCAAACCGCCGCGACTGGCCCGTGCTCTTGTCTCTCATGAGCTTGAGATGCGTAGGCACTCCGTACTGCGAAAACACAATCAGCAGGTCCATCTCGTTCATCTCCGGGGGCAGGTTCCCGATGAAAATGTACGACGTGTCGGCGTACTCGTAGTGCCACGACGCCTTGACGGGCGTGCCCAGTTCCAGCTCGCGCTCGTTCAGCTGCTGGATCTTGCGCACCTTGTTCATGCTATTATTTGATGGAAAAAAGTGTGCAAAGGTTTTATTCTTCCATGCTTGTTCCTGGAGACCGTGTGGCCGTGGATGGGTTTTTGGCGACGGTGCGCTTTGTCGGCGAAATTCCAAACTGGCCCAACGAGACCGCCATTGGCGTCGAGTGGGACGTTCCCGAGCGCGGCAAGAACGACGGCTCGCTCAACGGCACGCGCTATTTCTCCACGCGGCACGGAGCAAAGTCGGGCAGTTTTGTGAAGCTGTCGAAGCTGCAGCCGACGCGGTCGTTCATGGACGCGATGGCGTACCAGTACGCGAGCGACGAGTCGCTTGCCAGCGAGTCTGTCTCGCTGGTCGACCATTTCGATCTCACGATCGGCACAAAAAAGGTCGAGAGCTACGGGTTCGAGAAGCTGAGCCGGCTGCAGGCAGACTTCCGGAACCTCGAGACGGCTACCCTCGAGCGACTCAACGTGGCGGTTTCGTCCCCGATCGACTCTTCGCTGCACAACTTGCAGGTGCTCAATCTCGGCTTTAATTTACTGGACTGGCACAATCTGATGCAAATAGTGCTCCAGCTCCCGAACCTGCACACTCTGAAGGCAAACGGAAACCGCTGGACGCGATACGAGAGGTGCGAGCCGTGCTTGTCCGTTCGTACACTGCATCTTTCCGCCTGCGACCTTGGGAGCTGCGAGTACACCTCCCAGCTGCTTTCCTGCTTTCCCAGACTGCAACATCTTCACGTCGCCTCAAATGGCCTAAACCGCATACAGGTGTGTGGTCTAGAGTCTCTCGATCTGTCGGATAATAGCTTTTCGTTGCTATCGGACGCACCGCCAGCCAAACGACTCAACCTCTCGTACAACGACCTGCACATCCCCCCTCTCACCGATGTCTCCCTCCAGATGGTTGAGGAACTAGATCTCTGCAACGCAGCCGTTTCTGAGTGGTCAGAAATTGACAACCTGGCACAGCTGCCCAATCTCACCTCTCTCAGAATATTGAACACTCCCTTGCTCAACTCTATCGACTACGACTCGGCCATAAGCCAGCTGTTTGCAAGAATTCCGTCCCTCGTAAAACTCGACGGAACAGTGTACACCACCGAACACCGCGACAACTTCGAGCTCTACTTCATCAGCAAGGTCAGGTCCAAGGAGTGGAGCTGTCCGTCGCCGCGGTGGGCGGCTCTATGTGCCAAGCATGGCCTTTCCCCAGAAAAGAGCGCACCCGCTGAACGGTTCCCAACCTCCACGCGCGTCGACGTGGTGTACAATGATCTGCGCTTCTCTGCTACGCTGTTCTCCTCCGCAACGGTAGGAAAGCTGCGCGGAAAGATCTCGCGCAAGTTCGGGCTCAGTGTGCTCGACTTCCAGCTGTACACCCAGCTCGGACAGGACACAGAGCATCTCGCCAACGACCAGCAGCCGGTGGCCGCGCTGGCGCTCGCCAACCCGGTGCAGGTGAAACTGCAACCGTGGGAACGCGGCTTACGTCAGCAGCCATACCCGCGAAAAAGTGGAGTAGCAGATTAAGTTGGGCATGTCTTTATCCAAGGGAGTCAAGGAGCTGCGGTTTATTCTGTCGCAGACGGGGGAAGCGAGTCGTCCCCTGCGGTAAGTTGCGGCCTTCTGCTCTAACAGCTAGCTCGTTTCTTGTGAAACAGTACAGGACGATCAAAAACGCCAATCCAGACATCCCCATACTGATCCGAGAGTGCTCGAACGTGTCGCCTGTGGTGGTCATCCGTGTGGCGAACGGCAGAGAGATCCGCAAGGAGCTCGCGAGTCTGAGCGAGCCCGAGATCTCAGATGTTCTAAAGGGCGTTTCGTGACACGGTCTATGCGTCCATTTACAAGCCTATATACTATTTATTTATCACGTTTCTCAATGATAGCTCTCTGAGACTTGGCCTTCACCATCTGGCGTAGCGCAGCGTCTCTGGCCTTCCTGTCTGCCTTTTCTCTCACCTCTGTGTTCTCTTGCATCTCTTTCCATGTCTCGGAGAAGTTCTCCATCAGGCCCTTGCTGTCCTTGGCTGGCTTCTGCATCGGATACATGCCGCACATTTTTCTGAACTTGGCGGACCTCAGCAGACGTGCCTGTACGATCGAAAACAGACCGTTCGCCGTAAAGTACACCAGCACAGCCGCAGACATGTTCCAGGTGAACACAATGGACAGGAACGGCAGCGCCATGAACGCCTTCTGGGTTTTCGAGCTGAACTGGCTGATGGCCGTCTCGCCTCCGAATCTGAACGAGACAGCGTACAGACAGGCAGAAATCAGCTGCAATCCGATGTACGGGTCCGGAGCTGTCAGGTCGTTGAACCAGTACAGACCCTGGTTTTCAAAGCCTTGCACGGGCAGATTGGCCATTTCCCTTATACCGAAGAACGACCCAATGCCGTACGTCAGCTGGATTCCCGGCGAAAGAAACATTCTCGAGTACTTGACGCCGTACTTCTTGTTCAGCTTTTTAATCTCCTGCATTTTCAGCTGCTGCGTCATGCGGTCTCCTCTGGCCATCGCGGTGTTCAGCTCTTTTCGCAGAACCTTCGTCTCGGGCGCGGCGGCCTGCGAGCGCGCCATGGCGTCCGACGAGGCCATGAAAAGCGGTAGCAACGCGAACCGAATGCCCAGCGTTGTAGCGGCGATGGTGGCCCACCAGGGCATGCCTGTGGTCACGTGCACGGCCTCGAGGGCGGTCTGTATGAGGTCGGAGGGCCACCAGCCGTCGCTGAGCCCGACACTCTTCATGTACCCCCACTGGTCAGAGGTGAGGACGTTCGACACGCTCGTCGCCGTCTCTGCGTCGAAACCTAGCGTGGTGTCGAATTTCGGTTCCGCGGTCTCTGTGCTGTTGAAACGCACGCCCATGGCAGCCAGCGCAGCGTGCCGTCCAACAAGGGTTCTGGCGTGAACGCTCACCAACGGTCTTGCTGATTGGCGAAAGACAGGAATCATGGTGGAAAAAAGAAAATATTTTTCGCACCATATTTCCATGCTCCCCGTCCTTCGCAAAGCGGTGCCTGCCGCTTGGCGAAGAACTGTTTCCAACCTACCGTACCCCAGTCAGCCGTACGCGGAGTCCCTGATTGCGAGTTTGCAGAACCCGACTCTCGCCAAAGACCTTAAACGGAAGACGCTGCTGGTGCTTCTGCGAAACCTCAGGAGCGGCGAGTCTGTGCTCTCTCAGCCGCTTGTCAACGCGCTTTTTGGCCTGTGGCTGCCTTTTTTCGGCGACAAAGAGGTGCAGAGCTGTTTGCTGGACGGCGGTCAGTCGAAAGAGCTCACAAGCATGCTCATTCAGTCGTATACGCTTAAAGGAGAGTACGACCTTGCTTTGGGTGCTATTGAAAGAAGCACGCTTGTCGTGGACAGGTTCCCGTGCGAGCTGCTTGCCTACCATCTGATTGTCAGCAAGCAATATGAGAAAGCGTATCAACTGGTAGACCTGCTCTACACCAAACGGTATCCCCAGATACTCAACCAGCAGCTCTTGGAGCTTCTGGTGAAGAGCTCGCTGGACGACGGCCAGGTCGAGCTGGTGTCGAAGTTTGTGGTTGGGTTTGTTTTCCTGTTCGACCGGCCGCTCATGAACCTCTCTGATGAGCTTGCAGGGCGTCTTGCGCGGCTGAGCATCGAAAGGCTCGATTTTGCTACGTTTGCCAAAACAGTCGACTACCAGGCCAAAAGACTCATGCTGACCGACAAAAATAGCGCCACACAGTTCCGACACCGGATGGAGCTGCTCAGGTTCAAAGGATACGTTTCAAAACTCGGCGGAGAGCGCGTCATCGAGAGTGGTATTTTTTTCAACTTGGGATTTTTGGAAAGCGAGTGCCAGGTCGCAGACTTCCCTACGCTAACACACGACTTGGCCCAGACCGTTGGCAATCGCCTGAATCTACACCAGGCCATCATTCTCATCGAGCAAATGCACGGATACCATCTGAAAGAGCACCGCGACCGATACTCGCCAGCACTGCATCCGGACCACCAGCTGTACCGCATGATGAAGCAGAAAAGCGACCCTCAGATCGAATTTGAGGACCTCAAGGACGATTATGTTCAGTACATGTCGAGCGTGGGCAAGCCGAGTCGCAAATCGCACAAATACAGGATGCGCAAGGTCATATCGTCCAAGCCGTTCAGCGTACTACCGTTGAACATCATGCTGAAAACTATCAGCGAGTCGAGCAACAACTTCCGGCTCGCGCTGCAGCTGGTAAATTCCATGGTTCGCAAAAGGCGGTGCGAGCTCAACGAAGAGTCTCTCTACTACATGCTGAAGATCTGCAGTGCCAGCGAGATGCTCAACGTAGACCTTCTCACGTCGCTTCTCAACAGTTTCGACATACAGCCAACTGCCAAAACGTACCATCTGATGTTCGATATGCTCATAAAAACGGGACGCGTGGAGCTGCTCCGACGCTACTTCGATGAATACAAAACCCGCAAACACTACGTCTCCCGCGAGATGCACCGCAAAATATCAGCACTGATAAATATATAGAGCGCAGAAAATGTACATAAGATTATTCTGAAATTATTTCTCATGAAGCTTTTGATCATCAACCCCAATTCGTCGCAGTCGATCACAGACAACTTGAAAACCGTAGTGCGGCCAATTCCAGAGTTCCAGTTTGACTTTTTCACCGGGCCCCCCTCTGCCCCTTCCTCCATCAACAACTCCCATGACGGGAAAGTGTCTGCTAAAGCCTGTCTCGGAAAGCTGAAATCAGACCCTGCGTATCTCGAATACGACGGATACCTCGTTTGCTGCTACTCGGACCACCCGTTAGTCGGTGACCTAAGAGAGCTTGTCAGCGTGCCGGTGATGGGCATCTTTCAAGCTTCGCTGCTCTACTCGCTGAATTACGCTACGGAAGCGACAAAAGTCGGCATCTTAACGTCAAATAAAAGCTGGGAGCAAATACTTGACAACTCGCTGCTGGATTTTTTCGATTCCAGAAACTTACCCAAGTTCATGACCCCAACGCTGGCCGCCGATGTAGACGTGCTCAGGCTGACGGATCCGGAGAATTATGCTAAGATCAAGAAAAAGATTGGGGTGCTGATTGCCCAAAACGCAAAAATCGTCCTGTTGGGCTGCGCCGGCCTCAGCAGTCTCGACCGCAAATTCAAGCAGGATTTCCCAGACATCGAGTTTGTGGACTCGGTGAAAATTGGCGTCGAGTTACTGGCCGCGCACGTGCGTTTCTCCTTCATTGGCGTCTCTTCTTCAAACACGTTAGTAGTGTAAATAGGTCATCCTCAAGTTTGCGTTTTTTCGTCTCCTCCAATCCATCGACTCCGTCAGGATTCTCGCGCACAAGCTTTGTCACCAGCTCCTCCAACTTGACCCAGTTCTCGGGGTCTTTCGTATCTAGAGCTTTCTCTGGACCAGGCAACGGCGCGGACCATGGATAAGGCATAGGATAATACATCGGCATGTGGGGCATAGGTGGAAGGTTTTCGGAAATCCCTGTAGCAGGTGGCATCATGGGGTAGTAAGGATAGCCGTAGTAGGGCATTGGTGGATATGCCGGCAAGAACTGGCTTGTGTCCTGTCCAAGGAAACTTCTCTCAGCACGTTCTCTAATAGGTGGTACGCCGGACTGGCCTGCGGGTGATTGTTCTCTTGGTGTGGAATGCCCGACTGCTGGGTGGGACGTCTGGGCCGGCGGGACGCCTGCTTGCTGGTGATGGCTGAATCCACCATCTTGAGCCGACGGAGGCTCCGCCGTTGGTACAGAAGAAACAGTATCAGATTGCGCCGTAGGTTGCCTTTGGGCTCTCTTGCTCGTTTCTGGAGCTTTCTGCGGTGTTGAGTTCGGCGGTATAGTATCTTCAGTCGGAGATAATCCAACGGTAGGAGAACTCACCTGAGAACTTAGAGAAACGAGACGCTGGGAGACGGGTTCGTGGGCTGGTTTCTGAGGTGAGGATGTAGCAGCTGGTTGCTCGGAGGTCGTGCCTGCCTTAACGTTAGGCTCTTCATCTGCCTCATCTTCCGAACATATGACAAACGTAGTGAGTTCTGCGCTTGTTCTCGCAGCCGAGGAGTCTTGTAGCTCATGTGTCTGGAATTCCTCTTGCTCGGGCTGTTGCGGTTCTGTTCTTTGCGCCGCAGTCTTCTGTGGTCTATTAGGTTGTGATTCAAGTTGCTGCGGGACAGAAAGTGTACGTGTTTCCTTCGTAGCGTTGATGTGAGTTTTTTCTGCTTCACTTTTTGCGTTTGGGGATTGCGACGAGCTTTTGGCTTCTAAAGCCCCTTCTATCACACTTTGCAGTTGAGAGACCAATCTGAACATCTCTCCTAGCAGCATGTTGCTATCTGCAGCATTGTGATGAATTAAGCTAGCTTTTTTTCTGAGAAATAGCTCGAGTTCCTCTCTCGGACATTGACCTTCATCTATAAGCCGATTTAGCACGCGATTCACCACAGGAGGATAGATGTTAGGCTTTTCGTTGAGAAGACAATTGCTCACTTGGTACCGGAGAAGCTCTGTGCCCGGGCACGATAGCAAGACGTCGTACAAGACGTAGAGCTGTTCGTCAGAAACCGCTTTGAGATTCGTGGCCTGCCAGAACTTATCGTGCTTCTGAGCGTCTATGGTGCTATTGTGGCCCACCTCGTACAAGACAAGCCGAGACAGGATGTCAATGTATTGGCTCTCACCCAACTCTCTAAAAATAGACGTCCACACAGGTGGTGGAGCGTTGAAATAAGCTGAACACACATGCGCGACTAGCGAATCTGTGACTAATTTCTCAAACCCTTGGCAGTGATTCAGTAACTGGTTACATGCTTGCACGTATTGGTTCACATCCAGCGAGAAAATGTTGTCCAAATAGCCCGCTACCAAGTTGGACCCATGTTGAGCGTCCTCATTGTCTAATTTCTGTAGCCATTGAGATACAACGACGAAAATAGACTTAGCTTCTCCCCATAGGTGCAAACTATTAAGGATGTCTATGGCCTTGAAGAAGTCACAAAGAATACTCTCAAGCTCTCTCATATCTCCTATTTCAGCGCAATCTTGCTCCGTTACCGAAAATGTATCGAGTAACATCGCGAGGACTGGCTCTAGTGACCGCGTGAAAGCAGCAGAGCTTGGCGAAAGCCCCGTTCTCAATCCGCCGACAAATAGCGTGATAAGTTTGAGTTTCCTGGCGACAGAGATTCTGCTCTTGCATGATATCTTCAGAACCGGGACAACTTGATCTGGCGAAGTAGCCACCCAGATCGTGTTAATTGGTGGTATCGAAAGAGAATGCGTCAAAATGTCATCAGCAAAACAGTCTTTCTGCAATTTAATCTGCGCTGGATCTGGCTTTGAGGGGTTCGATGTAAGCATCTGTTCCAAGAAATTGATGCCGAATTCCAACTGTTCAACGCTTCTCGACTCTGCCAGAAAGAACTGGCCCAGTATCGTACAGATCCATTTAATGGCACCATTCAAGACGGCTCCTTCATCCTGCGGGTTTCTGGTGAGGAACTTGTATAGACTATGGTAAATCCTGACAAAGAGTTTCTGGTATTCGAGAAACAACGTGTCATTGAGCTCTAGCGCTAAACCAAAAAATGGGTGAGCAAGTACATGAAACTTGACGTCGATCAGCTCCTCTTCGCTCTTTGTCTTTGGGGACAGAGATGTCCGGTACGCCATGGAGCTCTGGTACGCAAAAATGATGCCTTTCCATGCCTCCAAGGCTGCAATCTTGGGAGCAAGGCCGTCCTGATTGAAGCATTCGGTGAACACCGAGATCCAGGCTTCCAGATGCGGCCAATCTTCGATCCCTTTATTCCAGGTGAACGCGGAAATCGAGTAGGTGACCAAGGCCCATATTTTCATTGCTTCAACATATGTACCCCGTCTAAGGGTAATATTGAGCGTCTTGACTAAAAGATCGCAAACAGACGACCCAGGTTCTAGCAAGTTTTGACTCGCTTCGACGACGTGCGAGTTCACGAAAGTCTCGGCGTCCTCGCTCATCAAAGCCAGCAGGTCCTCGCGTATTTTAGGATTGCAGTTCGAGGCCCACTCGTTCAAAAGTGCAACCACAGCTTGGAGAACTCTGTGATGTGACCCCAGATCAACACTCATGATGCTGGCCAAAATAAACGGAAACCACTTGTTGCACGTCTTGAGCATGCTTGCAGGAGCCTTCGAGCCTATCTTCTTCAGAGCAAGAATCTTTTCGTGAACAAGGGTTCCGCTCGGATAAAAAGGCATGCCGATCAGCGCATTGATAGCCATTTCACTCGAACCGCCAGGAAGAATACAGGACTGCTCTTTGCAGAACTGAACAAATGCAGAAGCCATTGCTTTGGATATGCGTTGTCTCAACACCAACGTGCACAGCATCTCGACTATCTCTGCGGTCTGCGACACCTCAAACATCGACATGACCGTGGTGATCAGCTTCACCCCTAATATGGTAGTCCTGGACTCCACTGCATCGAAGTCCATATCAGACGATACATACGCCTTTGCAATCTCGGCACAGGCTACCTTGGCGATACTCGACACGTCAGCCTTGTTCAAGTGGCGAGTATTGAATTCCACGCTGTTGATCTTGAGCGTGTTGTGAAGGGTAGCGAGAATTTCAAATCTTCTGGTGTTGTCTTCCCTCTGCAGAAGCTGGTAGCATTTTCTGATCAGCTCTATTGAGGTTGGGTCGTTAGGCTCCTTCTGCACCAAGAAACCCGCCGGCCACTCTTGAGTTATGTCACTTTCAACAGGTACTGATATACCCCCCTTAGGCGGACTCACTTTCAGAATAGACCGCGGCTGGTAAGGCTCCTTGATTGGAGAGGATGCAATTGGTGACTTATCGACGTTGCCAGAAAACAGCACTTTCTTATCTGACCCCGTCTGGTTACCGGCCGCGTCCCTTGAACCAGCCTGCCGATTTGGAGTGTGCGGAGCAGGCGATGCAGGCTCCTCCGGTGTATTTTGTGCCAATGACTGCTGGTCTTTGCTCGAGGGACGCGCTGGAGTTCTCACCACGGCTTGAAAAGCGGAAATCGAGTCGTTTATTTGAGCTACGTTCTTCTCAAACGCTTGTTTACTGATGCGCAAGTGGCGATGTCCAGGCGTCAACGGGGTCTTACTGGAGCCATTTGTCGGGGTAGACTGGGAACTTCCATTGGCTGCTGTCTGGAGCTCCGGGCTCTGCGATTGAGGTGCGGATACCGTCGATTTATCGGGCGACGGTCTCAATTGTTCGCTGGCAGCGACGCCCGCTCCTGAATTGTCATCGCGGATCACGGGAGTCGCGATGGCTGGCTGTGACTGAGTAACCGACGCGTTGTTTGCAACACTAGCAGTCTGATTCGTACTAATCTGTGCATGCGAAAGATCAGCAGCCGAGCGCTGTAGTGCGGCCTCTTCGCGTTGCCGCTTTGTTTTGTTGCTTGTGCTCCGTTTGGAGTTCATAATCGAATACAATCTGCTCAGCTTAACAGGATCATTTTTGGTCGGAGAGGTGAGTACGTTGTATGGCGATTCCGCACTTCTTGAAGGTGCAAACCGTGAACGATTGTTCCGTTTCGCGTCGGCAAACTTCTTGCCTAACCGGTCGGCTTTATCTCTGCCACTAGTAGTGGGAGCCACGATGACCGTGGGGCTGGTTCTCCCCGTGTCGTTGTCATTAGCGCTCATGGCTTCTGGCTCGAAAATGCAGTACAATTAAAGACGGGCGCGTGATTCTGCAAAACCGGGAGATGCGGTCTTGTGGGTTCCTAGCTGACAAGCGCAGTACTTTATTTATCTCCTGCCGTTCCTCACCTTTGCAAACGTACAATTTTTTCAGGCTGGCAATTTTTTTGTGTTCCTACGCGTACACCTCACCGCACCAAAAGTTGGCAGTGAAACAAAGTATTTCAGGGTGCTATATCGTTTTCGTAGCTTGGAAGCACAACAATCGGCAGGCGGACCGTGAACTCCAGTCCGTTGTTAATACCTTCCACAGCCTTGTAGAGCACAGAGCCCTTGTTATCGGTGAAGATCGAGGCCAGATCAAACACTTGCCGGCCTTTCTGCGCGCTCTCCTCTGGCGACCGCGTAAGCTTGTAAGCATCCACCAGAACAAACTTTATCTGCAGCAAGTATTTCAGTTGGAAGAAGTTTGTTTTGAACTGCGGCTCCACGGTCGCAGGCACTTGCACATTCACATTGAGCTGCTCGGCGTCGAACGTGCTGATCGGCTTATGGAAAACAGTGGTCTCCATGCTGTTCCCGTGTTTGATGCCTTTATATACTTCATTGTACTCGTAGCGCTTCAGGTACTCGTCTCTGTAGATGATCTGGTCCTTTATCAAGCGCACTTCGACGCCCTTGGTCTCAAGCTGGGCATCCGCGAATGACATGCTAATGGTGATGTAATCTCCGACTCTCACAATGTTCTTGCTCAGACTCAGGTTTGCCAGCTGCAAATGGTCCTGCTTCACAATGTACTTTGTTTGCTGGTGGAGAGGAATCTGGCCCTCCATGTCGGCTACGTCATCAGCAGAGAGGAACTCTTGCTTCTGGACGCTGTGGTAGTCCTGGACAATGTTGAACAGGTTTTGGCGGGGATTCGACTCCGCATCCTGTCCGTGATGATACAGTTTTTCAAAGTTTTCCTGTAATTTGATCGCATCCATCACGTCGCTGTCGTTCAGCTCCTTCAACAGAGCAAGAAACTGCCTGGTTTCGAGGTCTTTACTGAGATCAAATGTTTCTGGCAGGTCCTCCGACGATGATCTCCTCGTTGGGTCTGTGGTCCCCAGACTACGCCGAAGAAGCTCCATATTGATCGTCGAGGGCTTCTTCGATAAGTTGTTTGGAAGCGACGCGTTGGACGGCCTCCGAGTGTGTTTTCCATTGATCTCCGGCTCTGAGTACTTCCGCACGTGTCTGGGCTGTACAGGCGTTTCGGAAGAACCTGAAACGTTCAGGTCGACATTTTTCAGCGCAGTTGGCCGCTGGTTCATCCGCGGTCTTTCCAGGTGGAACACTGGTTGTCTTCCGAACCTATCGATGTATGGCTGTATCTTGAGCGGGAAAAACATAGTCTTGTTGGAGAATGTTCCATTTTTCTCCTTCAATTGGTAGCCCAGAATGACGTTGTAGTGGATCTGGACTGCCTCCGACCGGAACGATGGAGCGAGATCCATGGGCAGTTTCATGTTCACATAGAAGCTTCGCGTTAGTTTGTTCGAGGTTGAGTTGTTGTTCAGCTGGCTGGGCTTGAACGTGAGGTCGCTGAATAAAATGGATTGTGTTGTGGAATAATGCGGAATGATATGGGTATGTTCGTCGTTCATATCTGTCTGGAATAATGTGGTCAGGCCGGTCAAGAGGCCCTTTTTGTGTTGATCAAAAGTAATATCGAGCCCATTGATTCCAGCAAGCCGGCCTTCAAACGTAGCCGACTTCTGGAGCTCCTCAAATATTGAGGCGTCAACAATCCGGTCGTTTATCGAGTAGTAGCCGAAAAGTTGAACATAGCCCAAATAAATAGAAATATCCTGCAGAACATCGTTCTCCTCCTCAGACACGGGGTCCAATTGTTGCAAAAATAGTGCTCGTGTAGCATTGGAAAATTGAGAAGAAATACGGCTGCCAAACCAGCCGTCCTTCTGCGCGGGGGGGTCATGCTCTGCTTGTTTGGAACTCTTCGCGGCAGCGTTATTGTTCAACGGCCCGATATACCGAAACCGCAAGACCAGCGAAAGCTCATCGGTCCCTGCGATTACGGGAGAATTCTCGTATACGAGCTCCACGCGCACGCTGTCGTTGATATTTTGGTGGTAAGCAGTGTGTGCCACCATACCACTTCGATTGAATACTTACTGATGATAAATAACAGGACAAATTTGACGTAAGCAAATTCATCGGCACTCCTGCCACCATCAGCGAAATGGGCGGTAGCGAATTAAAAAAAAGAAGGATGCAACTCCCTTAAGCATTTTTAAACAACTTGTGTTTCAGCGTCTTGAACTAAACTAATACAGATGCTATCCACTGGCTGGAGTAAGCTGTCAGGAGCTTTCAGTGCAGTTCACGTGCTTCCCAAAAGAGAGAGGACGCCAGAACGAGTCCAGTTTTCAACGAAATGGTTTCTCAGCTGTCTAGCTATGTTTGTGATCTTCAACTTTGTCAGCATCTTCCAGCAAACGACGTTTATGTGCCAACTCCCAGCAGTGAATCTTGTGCGAGTGCTTAACAACGGCGACAAGTTTATTGACTCTGGAAAGCTGTACTTCAAAGAGAACTACGACGAGGTCAGAAAGGATAATATTGAGCTGTACAACTCGTTAAGCAAAATATTTGAGATGCAAAAGAACTCGTACCTCAAAAGCTACGATGAGTATGCACTGATACTTAATCCGCTTTTCATTCTAGATGAAGCAGAGGTCAGGATCAAGTTCCATCCGATGAAGTATTACTTCAAAAACAAAAGCTTTGAGTTCAAAAACAGCACAATTCCTATTTTAGAATTCAAACGTGTGTTTGGCCACAACCTAACGCCTCTCAGGGCCTTGCGCCGTCCTCCGCTGCCTTATTCTTTTCGTCTACATGAACACCACCAGGATACCAATGAGTTCCTCCACAAAATCGTCTATCCCATCTACGAGTCAAGCGGTTACGACAGAACCGATTATAGCTTGGACTCGCTTTTAGACTACTCCTTTGTTCTCAAATACATCAATTTCGGGGTGTTTCTAATTTCACTTATATTCTTTGTCGAAGCACTCTCTGTTGTGGTGCCATATTCACTCAAGTATCATCGAGTCTTCTCGATTCCCAGGGTGAATCAAGCCCTATTCGTATTGGCAATCATTTGCTTCGTCAGCTGCTTTATGCTGATGTCTGTCAATATTGTCCTTAACTTGATTCTTGTTGGCAAAGAATCCAATGATATTGGTGTCGTGAGCACACTTATGGGATTTATCCAGCTATTTTGGCTTGTCTTCATTGCGTTCCAAACCAAAACCTGGATTTGGAAAGTGTACCTCGAAAACAAATATCCGTCATCTGACTACTCTAAAGAATTAGAGACTCAAGGCGAACGTCGGCACAGTCTTGGCGGCTTTGGAATTAGACCATTAAGCTTTGGAAGTATCAAAAGACGTTTTACCTTGACTTTGAGCCCCACTGAGAGTCCAAAAGACTCTAGCGTTGGGGGATCGGATGAACATGACTTGGACAAACTTTTGGGCCCTCACCTTTATACTGAGAACTTGCATGGCGAGTCCAGTACAGATAATTTGGGCTCCGAGTTCAAGGCAATACCGGGACGCTCAATTCGCTCTATACGTTCTGCGCGCTCAATTCGCTCTCTGGGAGTTGCCTCAATCAGTGATCGAGATCCATTCACAACAGCTTTGCCACACCAACCGGGAAGCACCAAGCAGGATGACAACAGGAGTCTGAAATCCTCGCGTAGCCGCCTTTCCATGCTCTACAACGGCGTCAAAGAGGAGACAAAAGAGCCGGATAAACCTGAGAATACCAAAGGCACAGAAATTGTCAGGGTTGCTTCTAAACCTGAAGGGATTTTTGTCGAGGACGTCGTCACTTGTTCTAAGGCTGTTGAGTCTGGAGAGGAAGACGGAAACGATTCTGGAACTGAAAGCGAGCAGTCTTATGATGCGGATTCTAGTGGTTCAAGCCAAAAAAATGAAGAACAAACCAATTCCAAATGCTCGATCTCCAGTCTCAAGAAAGAGACTACTGTTCAACCCGGTGTGCCAAAAACGAAGGAAAGTGACGAATTGCTAGTGGAGGAGAATCGCGATGCAGAGCGTTCAACAACGAGAATCTCCACTGCGGCGTCTGAAAGTTTTGAGCATACTCAGGAAAAAGAGGATGATAGCCAAGACAATGTTAGTTAGAAATGAACAATTAAAGGCGACTCTCGTAGCTGTAAAATCCTTATCTGATTAAAATACACGTTAATTATCATAACTGAATCATTGAACCATGCCTGGTATCTGTACGGATCCGTTTATCTGTTGGCCTGCAACGACTGATGGCGGATTGCGCTTCAAACCAAAGCGCTCATCAAATTCAGTAAAATCAATTTCAGCTCCATCCTTCATATTACTGTACATTTGTAGAGCTTCATCCTCCATAAGTCGGGAATCGTTGTAGACCATGGAGCCCTCTTGGTTGTAGATTCTTGCATTCGCAAACATTAGATGAAGGTCGTAGATGAATTCTTCCAAACTCCAATACACTTCTCCCTGAACCCTGCGCTTGATTCCATCAAAGGCTATAGGATTCTTGATAATCACATAGTAGTCAGGATAAATGCGTTTGATAGGTTTAGTAAGGAAAATCGTCGAGAGTTTCCGGCCATCAACCGACATAGTCAACAAGCGGTCAAGGATTTCGTTCAATTGTAACTGTAACGTATGACGCTCTTCCATGGTCATTTCCGGAGGGGTTGCATTCTCTTTACGACATATTGGAGCCGAGATGGGTATACCTCGAGACTTTTTTTTCCTCCCTGCTCCTCCCCCTGACGGAGTTTGTGGTGTAGAATCTCGCATCTCCGGAGGAGACACAGTGTTTCGAGCAGATCCACTTTTTTGCTTGCGTTTGGCTGTCTTCGGCTTTTTCTTGGACAGACCCTCCTCGTCGTCATCAATGAAATCGGCTAGGTCGCCGCTTGGATCGACTGAGTTCTCCAAAGCTTCGGTATCAGCCTTCGGCTTACGGCCTCTCTTCCGGCTCTTCTTTGGTCTTGACTCATCGTCTTCATCAGAAACATAGCCATCAATTTCTTTCAACCACTGCTCTTCGGTGATATTCTCATCGTAATGAGTAATCTTACGCTCTCTGGCTCCACGTCCATAATGAAGCATTTCCTCAACCTCATCAGTTATTTCTGGCTCTTGATTGTAAATCTCAGGCAATTCTGACTCGGATATCAATCTTGGATACCCCAAGGAGTTGTCATCACGCTCCTCATCGATCTTATTGAAAAGCTGCAGCTCTTCTTCGTTTCTCGCAAGAATCTCATTGAGCTCCTTATCCTCTAGAACTTCATCTTCATCCTTTTCATTCTCTTCAGCTTCAAGAAGCTGCCTTAGGAGCGCTTCTTGTTCTTCGGATGTAGATTTCTGGTCAAATTTACCGGCCTGAATAACTTTACCATCAATGTCCAACTTTTGGTGCGCTCTTTCTAAAATGTACTCCTCGATCGAGTCACTGGTAATTAGTCTCAGAATCCGAACCTCGTTCTTTTGACCAATACGGTGTGCTCTGTCTTGAGCCTGAAGATCTTGATGCGGATTCCAGTCAGTGTCAAAAATAATCACTGTGTCGGCAGTTTGCAAGTTCAGTCCTAAACCACCTGCTCTAGTCGAAAGAAGGAAAACAAAGTATGGAGAATCTTCGGAGTTGAAATCCTTGAGCAGTGCAGTACGGTCATCTGCTCGAGTGTCTCCATCTAATCTCATGTAATGCATTCCTCTGAATCTCAGGAAATCCTCCATGATGTCCATAATTTGAGTCATCTGGAAAAACATCAGAACTCTGTGACCACTGGCACGGAATTTGGGCAAAATTCTATCCAAAAGCTCAAACTTTCCGCTCACTCTCCAAATTGTATCGTTATTTTCATGTGAAGGATTGATCATATCTTCAATGGCAGGGAAGACAAATGGATGGTTACATATTTTTCTCAACTGCATGAGCTTGTTGTTCATACCTTTGATACCAACTGGGGCCTTGCTGTCCGAGTCACCTATAAACAACTGATTATACTTCAACATTTGATGATACAATTTAGTTTGTAAGCCAGATTTGCGACACTTAATGACCCTTTCTATTTTATTAGGCAAACTCTTTTCAACGTCTTTCTTCAATCTCCGGAGCAAAAATGGTCTCAAAACTTTATGCAATCTTCTGATGACTAGAAGCGTCTCTTCTTCAGACAACTCCAACTTATCTTGACTTCCGGTATTCGCAAACGGTGTGTTGAACCAGTCGTCAAATGACTTGTCGGAGTTGAAAATTTTAGGAAGCACAAAATTTAGTAAAGCCCACAACTCAGGGAGGTTGTTTTGAAGAGGCGTGCCTGTCAAGATAAGCCTGTAATCAGAGTGGTAAAACTCAGTTAGAGTAGACGATAACTTTGATTTGGTATTTTTCATACGGTGACCTTCATCAATGATCATGTGCACCCATTTTATCTTGGACAAGAGGTATTTGTCCTTGATCACATACTCGTAGGTTGTCAAGAGAACGTTAAAGTTGCCCGCCCTGACATCATACGCAAGCTCTTTACGCATTTGTGGAGATCCTTTGTAACTGATCTTCTTTAAACTTGGGGCCCATTTGTCGAATTCAAGATTCCAGTTAGGCAATGTTGACAAAGGCACAATGACGAGAAACGGACCTGGGATCTTCTTCACTTCCGTGATATAAGTCAAGAGAGAAATAGTCTGGATTGTTTTTCCCAGCCCCATCTCGTCGGCCAAAATACCATTCAAATGGTTGTTGAACAAAGAAACCATCCATTCTAGTCCCCTGAGTTGGTACTCCTTCAATGTTCCGCCCACAAGAATTGACGGTTGCTTGTCAATCTTCTCTTGAATTCTGTGAGCAACAGAATAATAATCAGCATTTTCTTTCTCCTCATCGTCTTCCTCCTCTGTATTAGTATATTGCGGATCAATGTGATGTGCGTGAACCATGTGTTCCTGGGTATCTCTTTGTTGAACTTTCACCGACTGTATTAATGTACGCAAAAATCCGGTGGTTTGTTTCAGAATGTGAGTAATTCTAGTATCCTTAGTTTGATCAAGAAGTTTGATATACGCCTCTTCATCGTTTGCCTTGAGAGCTTGCAATCTCTGTTTGGCATTTCTTTCAATACGGCGCTGTTCTTCTTTCTCTGTCTGGGCGTGGTAACTATTAACTCCTCTAGCAATTCTCGAAAGACGGTCCTTTCTGGTGGAGAGATACTTCTTGAAATCGTCAGAAACACTAAGTATATTTGCCTGTCTCTCCTGTATTTTATTCTTTTGCGAAAGAGCCGTGACTGTTCGCTGCTGGTTATACAAAGCGTGTGCCACTGATGCGTCGTGCGTGTTGATCGAACGAACCCTTGCGGAAAAATTAGGTAAGTGGTTTGTGAGTAGCGAGTTCTGATGGAAAACAGTGCTCACGACGTGGCCTCGAACAGCTTTTTGGTATGGCAACAATGACATCAAGGTGTATTCAAAAGTGTAAGACACATCCTCTTCCTTCAGTTTTTTCAAATGATCTAGCTCTTCTTCAAAGCGTAATTGGTCCACCAATTTCTTCGTCTCAGCAGCTTTGACGACGTCCAGAGGCTTTGGATAGAGGGAAGGAATGATAACTCTGGACTTTGGATCGCTCAAATACTCGTATGGAAGACCTCCTGATACATCCGGCACTGAAAAACTATCCACAACCAGTTGTGGGTCGTGAATAGGTATGATATTCGAGACGTCTGGGTATTTTTCTCTCATCTGGTCAAGAGGAATTGGTGGGTGTGGAGGCAGCATTTTAGCTGTCTGCTGCTTTGGAGGTTCCTGTTTCACCATCGTTTGCTGGGTAGGAACCGGGAATTGTTGAGCCGGAGGAACAGGTGTCTGATTAGGCTGCTGCTGAGGCTGTTGCAGCTGCGGCATCATCATATGCTGATTGTGGACCATGGGCTGCGGATGCGGCATTTGCGGAGTCTTGTGGGGCTGCATCGGTTGGATTGATTGTTTGGATGGCTCCTTTTGGAGCTTTTGCTTGTGCTGCTGCTGTTTGAGGAATGCATTGTTTTGCGAGACGATCGACGCGTTGGGGTCGCCAAACTGTCTGTTGTACTGCTGGAACGAGATGTTGATGATATTGGCTAGTTCGGGCTCGATCGGCTGGTTCTGGATGAACTTCTTGAACGCGGCAATCTGGTATTTGAGCAGCTGCGACTGGGGCGGAGAGAAAATGTTGGAGGGCCCGAAAGAGCCGGACCGACTGGCCTGTGGTGGCTGCGGCTGCGGCTGAGGGTGGGGCTGATGCTGTTCCTGGTGCTGTTGCGGAGGCTGCTGGGGGAATTGCGAGAAGCCTTGTTTGTTTTGGAACTGCGACATCTGGCTCTGTGCCTTGAGCTGTCTCTGGAACTGGGAATATTGCGTCAGAACAGAGGCGAGCTCTGCGAACTCAGGCAGTTGCTTGGCATTTTCTCCGTGCTGGGATCGAAGCAGCTGAAGCCGCTTGTATATGTTTTGCAGTTGATCCGGGGTGAGGTTTTTGATATGCGCAGGCAACTGGTGTTGTTGTTGTTGTTGCAAATACTGCGGCGTGGGCTGTCTATTATTAGGGAAGTCCATGGTATTTAAACATCGATTCCGAACGCGAATTTGATCAAATTGTACACAAACACGTCAAACCACTGTGGAGATGCGCCGTTTTGGTATGTTTGCCTACAATTGCTAGAATTTTGTAAGGGGAACTACTAGCTGCAGAAAATGGTGCGTGAAAAAAAAGAAGCTTAACCAATCTGCCAAAAGAATTACTGTGCATCGACATATACGTGTATATGATTGGAGCATCGCAACAGGGGTCCTCTGGGTGGGTATCGACACAATAGACTGTCTGACCCAGACAATTATGCATGCTGTGTTGTCCAGCCTTAGATTAAGTTCAGATCCCGTAATCTGTTGCAGCTCTTGAGTTCTAGTTGCTGCGCAAGCTCGAGCTTATCTTTATCGACGAAAAACCACCCGTAGCTGTCCTCGATCATGCGGTCTCTGTACGCCTCCTCCCGCTGGCACTTGTTTCGAAGGTCGTTGATGTAGTAGTTTTCCACCGACTGGTCCAGGTTCCGCAACTTGCGTTCCGACCCTCCGCTGTACGCCTCCAGCGAGGCCGGGTTCACGTAGTACGGTATTTTGTGCGTCGGGGTGAGCCGCTCCGCGCTGAACCCGGGCGACGTTTCAAAAGCGAATTTCGGCAGTTTCGAGTAGTTCGACGAGCTGTCGCCAAACAGCGTGCCCAGTATCACCGGGATCAGAACCACCAGCAGCGGCCCCAGCTGGCTGATTATGTCCCATAGCTTGTTGTCCTCTCCGCGCTGGCCACCCGCACGCGTCCCAGGACGTGGTCGCTGCGGCCTCTGTCCAAACCCGCGCGGGGCCTGGAATGTTGCGCCTCCGGGCCCGCCAAAGTGGAACGTGAACGTGTTGCCGCCAAAGCCGCCTCCAGGTCCTCCAAAGAACATATTCAGGATGTCGTCGTCGAACATGAACCCCTGCGGCATGCCCCCGTTCATGTTCATGAACGGGTTCATTCGAGGGTTGGCTCCGCCAAATCCTGCCCCGCTGGATGACATACTCGGGCCGCCCCGCGAGTCTGGGTCAGCTCCCGTCTGGTCGTACACACTGCGCTTGGCCGAGTCGCTCAGCACCTCGAACGCCTTGGCCAGCTTCTTGAACGCCTCCGCCGACTGCGGGTGCTTGTTCTTGTCCGGATGAAGCTTGATGGCGAGCTTCCGGTACGACTTCTTGATCTCCACATCGCTCGACGTCTTGTCCACATCCAGGATCTTGTAGTAGTCCGTTCTGTCTATACGCAGAATCCGCTCCACCACCTCTTTCTGGTCTGCCGTGAATTCGGCCATGATGTTGTCTGCTTGAGAACTTGTGGCTTTTTAAAAAAAATATTACTTTCACAGCCAGCTTTCTAGAAGTTTGACCTTGAACGTAGATATGTCACCACTATATACGCCTCTATCGCTTGTGCTCGTCCTCGCCGTCCTCCAGCAGCCACATCGCCATCTCCTTCTTGTCTTTGTTCTTGTCGCTCGCGTCCTTCTTGTCCGGAACAATCGTCGACTTGCCCTCCATCACCACCTGCTGCACATGCTCCTTCTGCTTCGCACGGTCTCTCATCCGCTCCTCGATCGTGCCGCGCACCAGCAGCCGGTACACAGTCACCTGCCGCGTCTGGCCGAGCCGGTGCGCGCGATCCATGGCCTGCGAGTCGATCGTCGGATTCCAGTCCGAGTCGTAAAATATAACCGTGTCCGCAGCAGTGAGGTTGATACCCAGACCACCCGCGCGCGTGCTGAGCAGGAAAATGAACAGCTCTGGCTTCGTCTGCCAGTCGTGCACCAGGTCTCGACGGTCGCTCAGCTTCGACGACCCGTCCAGCCGGATGTACTTGTACTGGCGATACGTGAGGAACTCCTCCATCAGATCCATCATCTTGGTCATCTGGAAGTATATCAGACACTTGTGGCCATTCTTCTTGAGGTCCACGAGCATCTCGTCCAGCTTCGCGAGCTTGCCAGACTCGATCACAAACCGATTCATCGACGGCAGTCTGATCGACGAAAAACCATTTCTAGCGTTGAGCGGCTCCACGTTCATCTCTGCCTTTGGCCACAGCTCCAACGGCACCTTGCGCTGCATCAAGTCCCACTGGACGTTGAGACTGAGTGGCGCCATCGCCTGCCGAATAACCGGGTCATAAAGCGCGTCCCGCTTAATGAAATTGAATCTCTGCCTCGAACACGACAACTCAATCGGCGGAGCAGAGGCAGCGGGGAACGCTCCCAAACGGGCCACATTCAAATACATGTCCTTGTACACCTTGTCTGGCACCGTAGCATGCTGCTCGTAGTGCTTGCAGATGTAAAACATGCTGTGGGAAGGAACCTGTCCATGGTATATCTCTCTGAGCAGCTCGGCACGGGCTTGCTTGGAAACGCCCGTGTACGAGCGCAGATCAATTGCGTTCTGCACAACGTTTCTGGATGCTGCGCGCCGCGCGCTGGATGGCGTCTCGTTGATGAAACGCAAAAATGCAAAATTGTCGCTCTCATGCAAATTCTCTGGATTCCATATGCTCAGCTTTTTCAGCACGCTGGCCTTGTCGGCTAAGGATTTTTCGTACTGCGGAGAAAGCAGATCTTCCAGCAGCAGCTTGGGGAGCCTGTATTCAATCTGGTTGCGGGTGGTGTAGTTGAGCTCCAGCAGGTTCTCGTTGATCTCGCTTGCCAAAGACGTGGTCTCCGCGAACCTGCTCATACTGAACGAGGATTTGGTATCGGCTCGCTCAAACAGGTCCGGATGGTTGCACACCTTGCGGAACTGCATCACGACGTTCATCAGCGAGTCTCCCTGGGCCTCGTCGTCGTTGCTGTTGTTGATCTTCTTGTTGCTGTCTATCAGGTCCATGATGTTGATCTGCGACCGCAGCATCCGGTACAGCTTCTTCTGTCTGTTTGTGAGGTCACAGAACACGTCGATCTCGATCTTGTCGCCAAGCTCGCTCTGGACGTTCTTCTTGATCCGCCGCAACATGAATGGCTTCAGAATCACGTGCAATCGCCGCAACTGTTGCTCGTTCAGCTGCGTGTTCGACTGTGCGTGCGCCTCAATGTCCTTGGAAAACCACTCGCTGAACTCGTCGTGCGAATCGAACAGCGACGGCATGATGAAGTGCAGCAGCGCCCACAGCTCCTGCATCGAGTTCTGGATCGGGGTTCCCGTCAGTAGCAGCCTGTTACGGCACTGGAAACTCAGCAAGGACTTCCATCTAGACGTGTTCGATGACTTGATGGCCTGCGCCTCGTCCAAAATCATATACTGCCACTTCATCTTCTGGAAATATTGCACGTCTGCTACCACCAGCTGGTACGACGTGACCACCACGTGGAACGGCGAGTCCTTGTGGTAGACAATGCTCTTCCTGTCCCAGAACTTCCGCAGCACTTTCCTGTCCTTGGCGCTGCCCCAGTACGGCAAGACCTTGAAATCCGGCACAAACTTAGTGATCTCCTGCTGCCAGTTGTGCAGGGTCGACGCGGGCGTCACCACAAGAAACGGCCCCCAGATATTGTGCGTCTCGGCAAGATACGCCAGCACAGATATACTCTGCACGGTTTTCCCCAGACCCATCTCGTCTGCCAGTATGCCATTGATGCCCTGCTCGTACAAATTGGCCAGCCAGTTCAGTCCCTTCATTTGGTACTCCTTCAAAGTGCAGTTGAGCAACTTTGGCTGTGTGAGGTTCATGTCGCCGATACTGCTTGGGTTCTGGAAATTCATCTCGCCCTCGTTATCTGGTTCTGAGGCCTCGCCATTGAACTCCTTGGCGCGCTGCTGCGCCGCCAGAAGCGCGGAGTGCGCGTTGGCAGCAGCCGTCTTCTGCAGAACTTCGTCGCTGTGCGACTCAAAGTCTATCTCGCTCAGGTCACGCTTAGCGGCCGCAAGGTCCACGCCGTCCAATCCCGCGTCATCAGGCTTGGCGCCAGCAAGCAGCGACTTGTCGCCCATCTCGCCCTCCACCTCGTCGGTCTTGATTTTCTTGCCAATAAAATGCGAGTACAACTCCGTCTGGTTGATAAGGAAGTTGAGCTTTCTCGACTGCCGCCGCGCCTCTCTCTCTTCTTCCTCCTTCTTGGCCTTCGCCACCGCCTCCTGCTCCGCCCGCGTGCGCATGTTTCTCTCTTCGCGCTCGTGCTTCTTCCAGAAGTTCAGCATTTCTCTCATCGACCGTCTGGCCTTGGTCATCAGGTCTTTCTGAGACCGCGTGGCCTTGCCGACCCATTTGCGCGACTCTCGGGCCGCCAGCATCGACGTCTTCTTCAAGTTCATCTGCTTGGCCTGCACCATCTGGTAGTACATCCTGTAGGCCTTTGGGCCGTCTTTTCGAGCCAGGTCTTTCCAGATCGAGATGTACACATTGTCGTACTGTTTGTCGATGGCTTTCTGCTCTTTCACTGAAACGCTGCTTCTGGATCCCCTGCCGTCCTCGTCATCCATGTCCAGGTCGTCCGAGCCAGCCACATTGTTCACGTTCGCGGCCGTGTCGTCTTCGGTCTTCTTTTTCCGTTTTTTCGTCTTAGTCTCGTCCTGCTCCTCGTCCACAAGCTTAGACGGGTCGATCCTGGTCTTGCGCTTCCGCTTGCGACGGCCGTCACCGTTCGTGTCCGCAACGTCGCTCAGCGCCTCTGCTGGCTCCGCAGAGTCCTCCACCAGCAGCTCGTCGACTTTTTTCGGCGCAATGCTCATAAGCGGCTGGCTGGCCGCCTCTTCTATCGGCTTGGCACGGTCGATGGTCTTGTGGAGCTTACTCTGCTCCTCGCGTTGCACGTCTGCGAGTAGCTTGAGCTGGTCGGTTTTGAGGTCGCGCAAATCCTCCGACTCCTGTTCGGCAAGCTTGTTGCGCCTGGTCAGTTTGTCGTAGATCTTGGGATCAAGTTCCAAAACCTTAGTCTTAAGATCTTCGATCAGCCCTGGGTCCACATAGATGCCGTCCTGGGCCCTGAGCAGCTTCAGCTCGTTGTCCAGGAGCTGCATCTGGTTGATCTCATTCATGGAAAGTGCATCCAGCTTCACCAAAGCCCGCACACGCCGCTCGAAAGAGTGCATTAGTTCCGTGCACGAGGGCACGGTCCCGCCCGCCACGGTCTCGGTGCTCGGCTGATTGCTGCTCGGTGACGAGAGCATCGCAGAAATCGACATCTGGCGGTCAGCAGGGCGCACAGCAGCGGTGAGTACGCGACTATGGCCGTTGGACGCGGATGGAGGTCCAGTCTCGGTGGCGTCTTCGTTGGTATTCATGACAATCCGCGATGGCGCACTAACAAATAAGTTTTAAAAAGCTCTACGGGAATTATTTGCCACCTGACGCTTAGTTTGTGTGTTGGTGTTGCTCGATTTAAATTTTCTCTCGTGCTGGTTGATTCGTGATTCGCTTTCATCGAACGAAAAGGGCCGTGATACAGTATTTATTTATAGCGGCCGGGGGACACAGAAGGGACAGTATGGGGGTTGTTTTGCTGTTCCTAAGGCGTGGCAGGCTTACGAGGTGCCGATAGCGGCCCACGCCCGTTTTCCAGTACTGCTCACAGCCGCCTCTCTTGTCCGACCCGTCGATCGGCTTTCTGTATTTTTATTCCTGCGACTGCAAATCAGGAATTTTTGCCGACCCCCACTTTGTTGTCTCTTTTTCTTCCTCACCATGTCCCAACAGCAAGCAGCGACAAGCCGTGCCGAGCTGGTAAGCAGTGCGGTCGAGTTTCTTTTGGACCAGAGCATTGCGGATTCGCCGCTCGCCAAAAAGGTCGAATTTCTTGAATCTAAGGGTCTTACCCAGCAGGAGATCGAGGAGGCTTTACAAAAGGCTCGCACCGGCGCGGTTCAAGCAGCGTCACCACAGCAGCCCACTGTGCCACCTCGCCCGCCGGTGCCCGATTACTACCCTAGCGCTCCGCCACTGCCTGAGCGTGACTGGAAGGACTACTTTGTTATGGCAACAGCAACGGCAGGAATCTCGTATGGGGTGTATCAGATTGTGAAACGGTACGTTATTCCGAAAATTCTGCCGCCGTCAAAGGCCCAACTGGAGCAGGATAAAGCTGCGATTGACCAGGAGTTCCAGCGTGTCGAAAGCTTACTGGAGAAGTTTGAGGCGGACCAGAAAGAGTTCTACCAGAAGCAGGAGGCAAAGTCCAAGAAGATCGACGAAACGCTGCAGGAAGTAGACGAGATCATCAATAAAACCAACGAAAAGAACCTGAACAACGAGGAGACGCTCAAGTATCTCAAGCTCGAGATTGAAAACATCAAGACCACGCTACTTAAAACGCTCGACAGTCAGAAAGCCACGCTCAACGCAGAGCTCTCAGCTATGGAGAAACAACTGCAGGACATCAAGTTCGACATCAAGACCTCTGGTATCACCGGTGCTCCGCAGCTGAGCACGCCTCCGAGCGAATCGACGTCCAGACAGTCGCCTGCTGCGGAGACGAAAACCAAGGTCAACCTGAATATCCCATCTACGACATCGATTCCTTCGCTCAGAGACGTGTTGTCCAGAGAAAAGGATAAAGACGTGAATTCCGACGGTATTGCGCAGTACGAGCAGCGCACAGCTAACGAAAAAAGCGTCGAGCGCACGATCCCGGCTTGGCAGCTTTCTGCCAGCAACGGGAGTAGCTCCACGACGTCGAGCGCGGCAGGAGACGAGCAGAAACAACCTAAAAGAGGCATACCGGCGTGGCAGCTGAATGCCTAACTTTTTTTTTCATAATTGTACAATTCCATTACTTCTTATCCGTACATCCTAAACCTCCCTTCTACCGTACCTTACCAAACCTGTGACCATGTTGAACTGAAAGGAATGCTAGTTTTTGAGTTCAAATCCAGCAACGAGGCATTCCACGGAGAATTAGCCGACCCCGACGATATCGTGGAACCCGTCGACCCTGCGCTCATTGGCGCCGGAATATGATCCTTGCCCGACGTCGTAGAGGAAACGGTACTTGAATGAGCGAGCGGCTGGCCAATAGGGCCGAGCTGTGCTAGTTGCTGATCAGCCAGCGACATGAACGAAAAATCAGAGCTGGAACCCGAAACCGGCGACGGGGACGTCGAAGACCCCACGAGCGGATTCATTTTCTCAAACGAGGACTGGAAACCTTGTGGAGCATGTCTTGGCCTGTTGAACCCTTGCGACGGAGCGTAGTTAATCATCTGCTGGGTCTGCTTGTTTCTCTGTATCTTGTGCTTCTGAAAGCCCAGCCTAGCCTGTTCGGACTGGTATCTAGCCGTCAACGCGATCGTGCTATTTATGTCATCTAGCTGATACGAAAAAGGCACAGCGTCCAGGACCATATTGTTTGCTGGAAAGTTTTTAGATCTCAAAACTTAGATTGGCCAGAAAATACCGGAGCCGTTTTGTATGGGTATATATGAGTGCGATAAAAAAGATGCCGATTAAGACTTCGTGGCCAAGCTGGTTTAAGGCATGCGACTGTTAATCGCAAGATCGTGAGTTCGATCCTCACCGAGGTCGTTTTTTTTCGTACTTTATGTACGTGTTTTTACTTTTTGTATGAGCCAGCGTCATGGTGGTGTTGCTGGTCCAAGGCCTTCCCAGCTCGTCTCTTTGACACACGGCGAGTCTACGTCAACAAGCATGCCTGATTGCACGCTCGTTTCAGTCAGATAAAATTGTGTATTTGTTTACATTCCTGGTGACCCGTTTTGATTCTGACAGCCCCCTACATATTGTAAACATACCAATTTTTCAAGAATTTAGCCATCTGTTTTTGCGGTCTGTATCCAAGGCCTCTGCATTTCTGCCCTTTCTTACTGCTCGTGCAGTGGATACTTCACTCGCTATAAACTTGCTTGATTACATTCTCCCGCAAATACATTCATTTGATAGATCGCAAATTTAATCACCCCTTATTATATTCTAGCTACAGTCATTCGTTATACCATTCAGAATGGGGCTGCAAGTGGTTCGCTCGCTGGGTTCAAACGAAAATGAGAATGTGGTCAAGTCCAAAAGGAGCTCGACTGGTTCTCGAAGGGCACTTAGGGTTGTATCCAGCAATGAGGTGAACAAACAGGTGCGTTCTTCGTCCACCAAGGAAGCTCATTTAAAGTCAGAGTCAATCAAAACAGACGGAGTCTCTGCGGTGGACGAGTGCGATGACGAAACGGAGGACGACATGGTTCTGGAGGACGAGGAGGTGAAGGCACATCAACATATTTCAACAGATGCAGATGACGAAGAAGACGAGGGATTCCAAGTGTTGGAGGAGAAAGTCGAGCCAATGTCACCCAGATGGGACGCCAGTATTGAGGCCGAGCTCACAGCGGTGGTGAGGAAGTTTTTTCGTGAAGATCCAGATCCAGGGGACGAGGATACATGGGACGTGTCCATGGTGGCCGAATACGGCCCTGAAATCTTCAACTACATGCGCGATCTCGAAATAAAATACGCTCCATATTCCCACTACGTGCCCGATATCCAGTCAGAGATCACGTGGGAGAACAGAGCCACCCTGATGAATTGGATCGTCCAGGTGCACGCTCGCTTCAACCTGTTACCGGAGACACTATTTCTCGCTGTCAATCTGATCGACCGGTTTCTTTCGAAGCGGGCCATTTCGCTTTCGCGGTTCCAGCTATGCGGAGCCATTGCTTTATTCATTGCTGCAAAATATGAGGAGATCAACTGCCCTTCTGTGCAACAGATGGCATACATGGTGTCCAATGACTATACGATCGAGGAGTTGCTTAAGGCAGAAAGGTTTATGATCAACGAGCTCAAGTTTGAGATGGGCTACCCGGGACCTATGTCGTTCCTTAGGCGCACCTCCAAAGCTGATGACTACGACAGTGAGACCAGAACTCTTGCCAAATACTTTTTAGAGACTACCATCATGGACCCCAGGTTTGTGGCCTCTCCTCCCAGCTGGCTAGCGGCAGGAGCGCATTATCTCGCCCGCAAGATGTTGCACCACGGCAAGTGGACCGAGGAACACGTTTTCTACAGTGGCTACTCGGAAGCACAATTGAGGCCATTGGCCGATGTGCTCATTGACAACTGCATCGACTACAAAAACAATCACAAGGCGATCTTCGACAAGTACTCCGAAAGGCGATTTAAGCGCAGTGCGATCTTTGTCCAAGAGTACTTGAGAGAGTCGCTACAATATTGAATAGCATATTACACGGGCCGGTTGGAAATTGGCAGAATTCTGAAGTTTACGTATAGACGACGATATATAATATGGCAAAGAAAAAAAATTAATTCTTCAATCTACAATGTTCCGTCAAGCACTCAAAGTTGTTCCTGCAGTTTCCAAGCTCTCTTTTACCAGAAGAGCTGCCAGACCTTTGGTTATGGTTCCAAAAATGGCTCAATTCTCCACCAGCGTGTACAGAATGAACGCACCAGATGCTAAGTCACTTGTCCAACAGGAGCTGGACTACGAGAAGAATGACGCTTTTGACCTGGATCCAAGCTTTGTGGCCTATATGAAGAACGAAAATATTAAGGCTATTGAGCCGAACGAGCATGCTTTCTCTCACATGATCAAGGAGTGGAACGATGAAAAGGTTCATGTTCTGTTTGACATCCAGAAGATCACATTTGCTACTCACGCCAATAAGCAGATCAACGATGAGATGGGGGGCGAGGAGGAGCAGAACGAGGTGTTTTCTGCGGGAATGACCGAGACCGTGGATCTTTCTGTTGTTCTGGAGAAGAACGGCAAGGCGTTGCAGTTCGACTTGGATCTGAGCCCGGAGGAGTATCACTTCATCATTAATGGAGTCAGAACCTTTGACAACGTGGACTTGGCTCTGGACTACTCCAGCAATAGTGTCGACCAGAAGGACCTCCTCTACAGCGGACCATTGTTTGAGAACCTTTCTCTGGAAATGCAGGACATGTTCTACGACTTGCTGAGAGAGAGAGGAGTGGACGAGGAGCTTGGAGAGCTTCTGGTTGCCTATGCCACCTGGAAGGAAAACAATATGTACATCGACTGGCTCGAAAAGCTGCAGAGCTTCGTTTGAGCGGGCCATGATAGGCCTCCCCCTGTATATAGAGATTAATGCTGAGGCTTTCACACGTCGATAGACGCGACGACAATGATTTTTCACAGTCACAGTTTTTTTCATCGACAAAAAAAATTAAAACCTTCATTTTAACCAACCACAACTATGTCTGACGCTTTGGTTTCTTACGCTGCTCTCATCTTGGCTGATGCTGAGTTGGAGATCTCTTCTGCCAACCTGCAATCTCTGATTACCGCTGCTGGTGCTTCCGTCGACAACATCTGGACTGAGGTGTTCGCCAAGGCTCTGGAGGGACAAAACTTGAAGGAGAAGCTTTTCGCTATGGCTGCTGCTGCTCCTGCCGCTGCTCCTGCCGCTGCTGGCGCCCCTGCTGCTGGCGCTGAGGCTGCTGCTGCTGAAGAGAAGGAGGAAGAGGCTGAGGAGGAAGAGGATGACGACATGGGCTTCGGTTTGTTTGACTAAGCATACAGTATTAATACATCAAGATCGGAGTTTTAGATAGTAAACAGTAGTTGTGCGCTGACTGGTGCATATTGGCAGCTTGTGTACAATTTATACTCTGAGCTAACCATTGAGATTAAGGTATTTAAAAAATGCACCTCCTTAAATTTGCTACAATTCATTGCGCATGACGATTTAAGGTATTACACATGTAGTATACATATCTAATCCTTCAGTTTCTGTTTGCCGGTGATGCCGCTCACGTCGTACAAAAAGCCCTTAAAGAACTCGTACACGGGGAAAACAACACACTGTCCTGAGGCGACGCGCATGACTCTTGGAAGGATACCTTTATAGAATGCCTTCACACCGCTCTCCTTGAAGAGGTTGGCTCCGATACGCACACCGCGGGCGAAATTGGACTCGTTCGAGTGTCCTGTTTCCTTTTGCATTCTCGTCTTGATCGTATCGAGTGGATTGTTGCAGAGAGGCCCAATGGCTCCAGAGGTAAATCCTATCACGGCTGTTTGGTAGGAAGGCAAGACCTCGGCGTTTTGATAATCCTGCAAAAACGATTTGAGGAACGAGTATGTGGTAAAGTTGGCTCCCTGGTTGATGGCCTGCCGAGCAGCAGTCAGAGAGACACCTCTGTAGAGTGTTTTCAGACCTTCCTCGCGAACAATCATCAGGGCGGCCTGTGGCGCAGAGCGATACTTAGGCACCTGTAGAGGATCCTTGAGAGAGTTGTGCTGAGCCTGTAGTCTGATCTTGACCACCTCCATAGGGTTGACAACAAGCACTGCCTCGGTGACACCTGCCATCACACCACTGATGAAGTTGGACGACGTGGCGACCTGACCCGTTTCCTTGTTGATAAATAGCGACTTGTAGAACTCGTAGGACGAGAAACGGATGGCCATTTTCGGCACGATACCTATACAAACGGCACCCAGGCCTCTGTACAGAGCGAAAAAGCCCTCGTTTTGGACAATGTTGACACCTGTCTTGAGAAGACCCGGGGGCTTTGCGGACTTCAGCCCAATGCTTTTCTTAAACAGCTGCATCCGCACCTTGATGGTATCGAGAGGATGACAACACAGAGCCTCAAATAGGCCCGCAGTTCCTCCAGCAATGAGATCAATAGCAGTGTTCTTGGGCTTTTTGTTAGAATTCGCAGAAGCACTCATCTTCGATAGGTCCAATGCAACATTGGTGAAATTGCCAAACCCTTTATATTGTCAGCTACCGTCTCCCCAGATTATTTCGCGGGGGATCGGAGAAGGCCTAACGGAAAAAAAAAAAGACGACTCCCGGTAAACCTGCACACCTCGCACCTCAGCCAAATAGCGACCAGTCTTGCACCTGCAGTGACTCCAGGATATGCTGAATCACTTGTTTTGCGACAGGAATCCGGGGACCAAAATCTTCCCCCGGGAGGTTATAAGTTATCAGCAGGTCGGTCTGCACTCTTTGGAGCCGGATAAGTCCGAGTAAAACCACCAATTCGGTCTGGTCCCTCCCCCATTTCTTTGCCTCCTGCGAGCCAACCAAGACGTAGGTAGGGTCCTGGGCGAAGTTCGGACACACAATTTTTGTTGCTTCTAGGACTTTGGCGTTATCAGCGCCATTGAGCTTGGCTAGTTCCTGGAAATGGTACTCGGCGGCGGCATCGTCAGGGACGTCGACCGACTCCAGGAGATCAAAGATGATGGCGTCCTCCGGGCCAAGCTGGGTGTCTGGCCCGGCCACAAACACCTCCTGTGTATCTGGGATCTGTCTCAGGGTCGATGCGTCAACCATTCCGGCTGGGATATATGTGGTGATGGCACCACCATAGAGCTTTGTTTCCTCGAAATTCATGTGGTGCGACAATATTTTATTTTTGGATACTGCCATGTTATATTGATTACCTCAGCGGCGTGAATGGCAACAAGATTGAATTTTTAAATTTTGTATTGTTTTCTGAAAATAACACTATCAACACAACTACTTAATGACCGACATTTTAGCTGTGTTGTCGGATCCAGTGCTGTTTGGACAACATGGGCCGCGGCTGCGTGAAGACATACTTGCGCATGTGAAGAAACAACAGGAGGAAAACTGCAGCCTCAAGACCAAGAACGAAGCCTTCCAGACCGCCTTAGGCGAGCTAGGTACGGTGCTGAACTCGGTGGCCATGGGCGATCTGTCGAAGAAGGTACAGATCCACGAGCTCGAGAGCGATCCAGAGATTCTGAAGGTCAAGATTACCATCAACACTATGATGGACCAGCTGCAAACGTTCGCACACGAAGTGACGAACTTGGCCACTGAGGTGGCTAACGGAAAATTGGGTGGCCAGGTGAAAACCCACGAGATCCAGGCGAGCGGCGTGTGGCGGTCGCTCATCGACAACGTCAACGCCATGGCGCTGAATCTCACGAACCAAGTCAGAGAGATATCGGAGGTTACGTCTGCTGTCGCTGCTGGAGACTTGTCGCGCAAAACCAACGTTTACGCCCAGGGAGAGATTTTGCAGCTTCAGAACACAGTGAACAAGATGGTGGACCAGCTGCGAAAGTTTGCGTTTGAGGTTACGCGGGTTGCCAGAGAGACAGGTGTCGAGGGCCGTCTGGGAGGACAGGCCCGGATTGAAAACGTTTCTGGTATTTGGTTGGAGCTGACCGACAACGTGAACGCCATGGCTCTTAATTTGACGACTCAGGTTAGAAACATCGCGAACGTGACGACTGCAGTTGCCAAGGGTGATCTATCAACCAAGGTGACGGCAGACTGTAAGGGAGAAATTCTGGAGCTCAAGATCACAATCAACAAGATGGTGGACCGGTTGCGGACTTTCGTCGAGGAAGTCAGAACGCTTGCTACTGAGGTCGGAACGAAAGGTATTTTGGGAGGCCAGGCTAATGTGACAGATGTCGACGGAGCGTGGAAGGAGGTCACCGAGAAGGTCAATGTGATGGCCAATAATTTGACGAATCAGGTGAGATCGATTGCGACGGTGACGACAGCCGTTGCACACGGAGACCTGTCACAGAAGATCAAGGTCGAGGCCCAGGGAGAGATTTTGCAACTGAAAAGCACGATCAACAAGATGGTGGACTCGTTGCAGGTCTTTGCCAAGGAAGTGACCCGTGTTGCTAAGGATGTGGGAATTGATGGTAAGCTTGGCGTGCAAGCCGAGGTGAACGATGTGGACGGGCTGTGGAAAGAGATCACTACGAACGTGAACATCATGGCTGCCAACTTGACGACCCAGGTGAGAGCATTTGCACAAATCACTGCCGCAGCCACAGACGGTGACTTCACGCGTTTCATCACGGTTGAGGCGTCTGGAGAGATGGACGCCTTGAAGACCAAGATCAACCAGATGGTGCTGAACCTGAGAGAGTCTATTCAGAGAAACACTGCTGCGAGAGAGGCGGCCGAGCTCGCGAACCGCGCCAAGTCGGAGTTCTTGGCCAACACGTCGCACGAGATCCGTACGCCGATGAACGGTATCATCGGTATGACGCAGCTGACTCTCGAGACACAGCTGACGCAATACCAGCGCGAAATGCTCTCGATTGTGCATAATTTGGCCAACTCGCTGCTAACAATCATTGACGACATTTTGGACATCTCAAAGATCGAGGCCAATAGAATGACGATCGAGGAGATCGACTTCTCGCTCAGAGGCACTGTTTTCGGCGCGCTCAAGACGCTGGCCGTCAAGGCGATAGAAAAGCAGCTTGAGCTGATCTATAAGGTGGACAACTCGTTCCCGGATAATCTTGTTGGAGACTCATTCAGACTGAGACAGGTGATTTTGAACCTGACTGGTAATGCCATCAAATTCACGAGCCGCGGTAAGGTGACCGTCAGCGTCAAGAAGACCTCGCGGGTGATTAACAACACGGACAAATTGCTGCTGGAGTTCTGCGTGAGCGACACCGGTATCGGCATCGAAAAGGACAAACTAGGCGTGATTTTCGACACGTTCTGTCAGGCAGACGGCTCCACAACGCGTAAGTTTGGCGGTACCGGTCTAGGTCTGTCCATTTCGAAACAGTTGATTCATTTGATGGGCGGTGAGATCTGGGTCACGTCGAACTACGGAGAAGGATCCAACTTCTACTTCACCATTCTTGTTTCTCCAGCAAAGGTGGATCTGTCTAGACAACTGGAAATCCTGTATCCGTTCAGAAACCATCAGGTTCTTTTTGTTGCTTGCGACCACGACCAGAAGGCCATTGAGGAGATCAAAGAGAACATCAAGCTGCTCAAGCTCGAGCCGGTCGTGGTGCGCGATGTTGACGAGGTCAAGATCAACGACCCGGTCTCCTACGACACGATCATCATCGACTCTATAGAGACAGGCAGAAGACTGCGCCTGCTCCCTGAAATCAAGTACGTTCCTCTGGTTCTTTTGCATCCATCGATTCCAGCGTTGAACATGAGAGTGTGTCTGGACCTTGGTATCAGCTCGTATGGAAACACACCATGTTCAGTCACCGACCTCGCATCGATTCTCAAACCTGCGCTGGAGAGCCGTGCGGCTCCTCCTAACAGCGACGGCTCCACTTCGTACAAGATTCTGCTCGCAGAAGACAATCTCGTGAACCAGAAACTTGCCGTCAAGATTTTGGAAAACCACGGCCACAGCGTCGAGGTTGTCGAGAACGGCCAAGAGGCTGTGGAGGCCGTGAAGAAGAACCACTACGACGTTATTTTAATGGATGTTCAGATGCCGATCATGGGAGGCTTCGAGGCAACGGCGAAGATCAGAGAGTGGGAGAAGAAAAAATACGTTGACTCGATGGCTTTCCGCACGCCAATTGTGGCTCTCACTGCCCACGCGATGCTGGGAGACCGCGAGCGCTGTTTGAAGGCACAGATGGACGAGTACTTGTCTAAACCCCTCAAGCCGTCACTCCTGCTTCAGACAATCTCCAAATGTATTCACAACATGAACCAGCTCAAGGAGATTTCAAAGAACCAGAACGCTCGCGGGTCGAATTTTGCCAAGCACCTGAAAAACGGTTTCGTCAAGACCGAAATTCACCACAAGAACGGCTCAGAGGCGGTGCAAGGCGAACAGAAGATTAGAGAGCTTTCAGAAGAAGAGATTGACGCTGCCATGTCATAAGTTGTATTATTAATTCATGCTACAATATCTAATCTAGGAAAGATCGAAACCTGCGTGCGAGTTGATGGAATACAGTAGTTTTTCCTTCAATAGCTTTTTGTTCCTGTAGTCGGGCAGTTTGAGGAGATTCACGCACGTAGATGCCGTAGGCAGTCTTGAAATGTCTGTTCCCGAGTTGCGGATTCCGAATTTCGGATTGAGCTCCTTGAAGCCCAGCAGTGGTTCGCGCGAGCTGGAGGTGACAAACTTGAGAAACCTTGACCGCAAGTCGTTGTCAAACTCTTCGAGAAGCTCAAAGAGGTCTACAATGGTCTGATCGCGCATTGTGTAGCCACCCAGTGCGGTGTTGCGGCGCAGATCCTCAATATCAATCTCTTTCTCTCCGCCCGAGATTAACTTGGCCAGCTCATACGCGTTGAAGAATGAAAGCCATTTGGGCTTAATGATCTGAGACAGTCCTTCTATGAAGTACTTCGATTGGATGGCAATCGACTGGTCCATCTTGAACTTGGCCACGCAGTACACGTACTGCAGCTTGTTATGATGGTTCACCTTCATCTTTCGTCCGCCAGGAAGTAGCTCAATGGTGACAACCTCTGAGGAATCCTGCAACTTTTCGCTGATGGTAAAGTTCAGGTCCAACTCGTCGATTTCATGCTCTGTTAGTTTCAGTAGCTTGGAGAGGTTTCCATGCAGCTCTGTATCGTAAGTCTTGAGATCGTCAAACGAAATTCTCTGTTGGAATGAGGGCGTGTTGGTCCATCGACTAAGGAAAAAGGGGGCAAACTGAATATCTGTCAACACGTTCTCGTAGAGACACTTACCGATCACCATTCCCAAAAATCTGAGCATCTGTAGATGAAACGTTTTCTCCTCCGAGTTAAAGTCATAGGAAGGATTTTGCTGCTGTAGCTTCAACTTCAAGAAGTAATCAGGGTTGGGATACAGCTGGAAGTTGGACGTCGCATTAAAGAACCTCATCCCGCCATTCTTGTCTGCATTGGAGTTGGAAACGTAAAATGCGCTGTCCACAATGCTGGTGAGCAACTCTTTGGTGAGTCCGCCCCCATCAATCCCTGCCTCTTTTTCTCCAAACTGGTTGATAAACTCCACTGATAAGGGTAGTTTGAACTGCTGCCCGCGCAGCTCTCCAAATTGCTCAAACGCATCGAAGAGAACATTCTCTCGTGAAACAACACCTTGTATCTTTGGGTTGAAGATTCCTGTGATCTGAGACTTGTCTTTTTCAATCAGCTGTCGGAACAGCTCGGCTCGAGTGTCGAAAGGTATCATGAATGGGAGGTATATGAGGATGAGAAGGTTGTCCTGTAGTTGAGTATTTGAGGCTTGCAGAACGCTTGCCGGAAGGTACAATTCTCCGTCTTCCTCTCCAGCCTCGTCTTCGTCGTCGTCCATCTCAAGCAATGGAACAAGTTTGGAAACGTTGCGCATCGAAAACACAGGGTCTTTGAGCAGCCAGAAGTCTTCGTCTGTGAGGTTCATTCGAAGGTCGCGGAGATAAATCTGCTTCAGGAGTTTCAGCGTTGAGAGGCCGATGTTCTTGTAAAATGTGAGTATTCTGGCTTCCGACACAGAAAGATCCGCATATTGCACAATACGCCGTCCCACGACATAAAAAATAGAAAAAGAGCGAAGGAACCTCACGAAATAAAGATAGTTCTCCTTGTCGAGTCTTCCCGGGTTGAACAGATCGGCATCGTTGGACACGCAAAGCAAGTAACCGTAAAGCTCTTCCAAAAGAAACAATGTTTTCCACCACATCTCTTTCTGTGGGTCCAGCAAAGTTTGTCTAAGCTCGCCATCGTTGGAAATATGTGCTCTCTCCTCTGCCAGAACAAAGACCTGAGCGAATAAGTGTTCATTGCTGAGGTTCATGAAAAACTGGTTCATAAAGTCCATAGAGGACGATGCCACTATAAGGTTCACCAGTAGTTCGTTCCTCAACAGCTGGTTCACGCTGCCTTTGGCAGACACAAGATGGAGCAATGCAAAGAAGAACGAGACAAACAGATCAGTTTCGACCTGCAAGACCTCGCACTGTCTAATCACCGACTTGGTGAAGTCTGAGGCATACAGTTTTTCAATCTGTTTGCGTTCCTCGGGCAGAACAAAAATCTCTTGGCCGCTCGCCTCGTCCTCGAACTGCAGTTTGGCCGAAATTCCACCTATAATAATGGAGAAAGCCTCGAGTGACGACTTGGTGATGGCGATGGAGCTATGCGATAAAATGGTGACCACGTTCACCAAGTAGTGGAATTTCTCTGTATCTGTGAGGTTTTCAAACAACGGTCTGTGGGCGCAGATCCACTCAAATTGCAGTTCGATCGACCGCCGCAAAAGAGCGTAGTTGTGCGACAATGCGAAGTCCACAAACTCCGGCTGTGGGGCGGTGAGGAACCGCAAAATTCCCTCACTAGCATAGCTCGAGAGCTCAAAGACGGTCGCCAAAAACAGCGGGTCCTTGGCGTATACGGTAAGCAGGTATTTCACGAGCGGGTTCCAGTCGGCGGACACAGGGTACTTCTGGGCGAGAAGAAGGACCACTTGAAGGGATTTCTTTGCGATTTCAGTGTCTGGCGACCGCGGAATCGTCTCAATCAGCGTCCGAGCCGTCTTGGAGGCCGTCGAGGCAGACAGCTGTTGCGTCTGGACAATGTGCTCGAGTCTATCGAGGTAGGTGTGATCACGGGTGCCGGCGAGCTCGGGCCAGAAAAAGTTGAACTCTGCCACATTGATACCGTCCCAATTGGCACCCAGCTTGCGTCGCGCGTGCTGGAGGTCGAGATACGTGCGTGCAAGCGACTGGATCGTAGTTGCGGCCCGTGCCTCTATGCGGGCCCTCTCACGGCGCTGGCGCTCGAGCTGGGTAGTCTGCAAAAAGGATTGTTTGTTCTTTGCAAACAAACTCCTGTTGCCGAGGTTGACCTGGCGCTTTCTGGTCGATCCAGTGAAGTTGGTGTTCATATACAAGAACAGGTATTTTGCCTTTGGATAAGAAAGATGGGGCCTGCACGACCCCGAATTATTTCTGAATTATTTCCTTAATTTTTTTTGAGACGCGTTTTAGAATCATTGTATTTCAAATCATGAGTGCAATTACGTCGAAACACGCAGGTGACGCGCGTTTGGACGGGCCAAACAAGCGCCAGCACCTGGACATTTCTATCGACGACGGCGTGGGCACGGCGACGGCGCACTCGCTGCCGACGGCAAATCAGTCGATCACCCCCCACGGGTACCACTTGCCGGTGCACGGCAAGTTCGACCGCCAAAAACTGCACAACAAGCTGACAGGAGGGCAATTTGAGAACGAGGCGAGCACGTTCGAGAAAGAGCTTGTCTCAATGTCCAAGAGGGAGTCGGAGGCCAACGTCCAGAGCGAGAGGCAGAGATGGGACCGTCCCGCGGTGGTGGGGTACGATCCGGCCACGTACGACGTGGACTTCCAGCAGCTGGACGCCGAGGAGACGCTGATCAATGACGAGGCCGCTGTGCGGTTTTTTGGGGTCACCGAAGAAGGGTACTCGGTGCTGTGCAACGTTGTAGGGTTCCGACATTACTTCTACGTGCCAGTGCCGAAGGGCCTGACGCAGGACGATTTGAGCGACTTCCACAAGTATCTGCGCACAAACTACCAGGGTGTGCAAGGGCTGGAGATCGCGCTGAAGGAGAGCATCTGGGGCTACAACAACAACACAAAGCTGCCGTTTCTTAAAGTGGTGGTGGACGGCATCAAACACATCGGCAAGGTGCGGTCGGCATTCGAGCGCGGCGAGATTGAGTACAAGGGCCTGTTCCCGCCCACTGGGTCGATGACGTTCGACAATATCCAGTTTTTGCTGCGGATGATGGTGGACTGTCGCATCACAGGTATGTGCTGGCTGCGGGCACCGGCGGGCACTTACACGCCGGTGCCGCCGGAGAAGGTTGTCTCGACATGCCAGTTGGAGTTCACAATCCACTACAAGGACCTTGTGTCGCACGCTTCGGAGGGCAAGTACCTGAACATGGCTCCGTTGCGGGTCCTGTCGTTTGACATCGAGTGTGCGGGCCGCAAGGGGATTTTCCCCGAGGCGGAGCATGACCCGGTGATCCAGATCGCGAACGTGGTGGCCACGGCGGGCGACCCGGTGCCGTTTGTGCGCAACGTGTTTACTGTCAAGTCGTGTGCGCCGATCGTCGGGTCGGAGACGTTTTCGTACGAGTCCGAGGAGGAGATGCTGCTCAAATGGAAGGAGTTCATTGTGAAGGTGGACCCGGATGTGATCATCGGGTACAACATCGCCAACTTCGACTTCCCGTACCTGATCAACAGGGCCAAGGCGCTTGGAGTCCACGACTTCCCGTACTTTTCGCGTCTGAAGAATAGCAAGCAGGAGATCAAGGACACGTTTTTCAGCTCGCGCGCGTACGGCAGCCGCGAGAACAAGGTGGTCAACATCGAGGGCCGCATGCAGCTGGACCTCCTCCAATTTATCCAGCGCGAGTACAAGCTGCGCTCCTACACGCTGAACGCGGTGTCTGCACATTTTCTCAACGAACAGAAGGAGGATGTGCAGCACTCGATCATCACAGACCTCCAGAACGGTAACCAGGAAACCAGAAGGCGGCTGGCAGTGTACTGCTTGAAAGACGCGTACCTGCCCTTGCGACTTGCCGAAAAACTCATGTGTCTGGTCAACTACACGGAGATGGCCAGGGTTACCGGCGTGCCGTTCAGTTTCCTGCTCTCACGCGGCCAGCAGATCAAGGTCATCTCGCAGCTGTTCCGCAAGTGTCTGGACCTCGACATTGTGATCCCCAACATCAAGTCGGAGGGCGTCAACGAGGAGTACGAGGGAGCCACCGTGATCGAGCCTGTGCGCGGCTACTACGACGTGCCGATCGCGACGCTCGACTTTGCTTCGCTGTACCCGTCGATCATGATGGCGCACAACCTGTGCTACACAACCCTGCTCAACAAGCAGACAGTCGAGCGGCTGGGCCTGAAGCAGGACGAGGATTACATCGTGACGCCCAACGGCGACATGTTCGTGCACCCGCACCTGCGGAAGGGCATTTTGCCGACGATCTTGCAGGAACTGCTCGCGGCGCGGAAGAAAGCCAAGCAGGACCTGAAGAAGGAGACCGACCCGTTCAAGAAACAGGTGCTGAACGGACGGCAGCTCGCGCTGAAAATCTCGGCCAACTCGGTGTACGGGTTTACGGGCGCGACAATTGGTAAACTGCCCTGTTTGGCCATCTCGTCGTCCGTGACGGCGTTCGGCCGTGTCATGATCGAGCAGACCAAGGCAGAGGTTCAGCGCCACTACAGCATCGAAAACGGCTACGAGTACGACGCCCAGGTCATCTACGGTGACACCGACTCGGTGATGGTCAAGTTCGGCCACAGCGACATGGAGACGTGTATGCGGCTCGGCGAAGAGGCGGCAGCGTACGTCTCGACCAAGTTCAAGCACCCGATCAAGCTGGAGTTCGAGAAAGTGTACTTCCCGTACCTGCTCATTAATAAAAAACGGTACGCGGGGCTCTTCTGGACCAACCCGCGCAAGTTCGACAAGATGGATACCAAGGGCATCGAAACAGTGCGCCGGGACAACTGCCGACTGGTGCAGAACGTCATCACGCGGGTCCTGGAGCTGATTCTGGAGGAGCGAGACGTGGAAGCTGCAGAGCAGTTTGTCAAGAAAACCATTGCGGATTTGCTCCAGAACCGCGTCGATCTGTCGCAACTGGTCATCAGTAAGGCTTTGTCACGTCAGGACTACGCGGCTAAGCAGCCGCACGTGGAACTCGCGGAGCGGATGCGCAGGAGAGATGCGGGCTCGGCCCCCACGCTTGGTGACCGTGTTGCTTATGTCATCATCAAAACGGCCGGAGATAAGAACTACGAGAAGAGCGAGGATCCGTTGTACGTGCTGGAAAACTCGCTGCCGATCGACACCAAGTACTACTTGGAGAACCAGCTGGCGAATCCGCTGACGCGGATTTTCGAGCCGATTCTGGGCGAGCGCCGCACCAAAGAGCTGTTGCATGGCTCCCACACGCGGACCGTTGCCGTCAGCGCGGCAAAGACGGGGGGGCTGATGAAGTTTGCTCGCAAGAGCAACACTTGCAAAAACTGCAAGTCGCCAATTCCCGAGGGCGAGGCTCTGTGTCAAAATTGTCAGGGCATGGCGGGAGAATTATATGGACGCGAGTTGGCCAAGATGAACAGCTTGGAGACCAAGTTCAGCCGGCTCTGGACCGAGTGCCAGCGGTGCCAAGGCTCTCTACACCAGGAGGTTCTGTGTTCTAACAAGGACTGTCCAATCTTCTACATGCGGAAGAAGTGTCAAAAAGACGTTTTAAATCAAGCCGAAGAGCTAAAGAAGTGGGACGCAGCTGCCTGGTGAGACAATACGACACGGAGTTAGGCATTAGTAATTTATTTTTTTTTTCTAGATGGGCGGAGCAATATGTAAGCAAGCGACAAGGTGGTTATGGTGACTAATTGCCACCTGAGATAAAACTCGCAACCTTACGATACTTGGGGATAGCTTTCTCGGCTCCTGCATGTCTTGGCCTGATAACTGAGAGGCGCAAGCCTTAATGGCGCGAGGTTGGCGCACTGGTGGGACCAGAATCCGAGCCGTCCGAAACCCATCAAGTATTTTCCTCTCGGCTCGGTTCGCGCGTGCTTATATTTTTTTAGCTCCGATCCCGAATATAACGCAAGCACAACGGGATTAAGCCGGTGTTAAATTACTAAGTGGGCAAGTATAAAAAACGCAGTATCCCCATCCTGGTCGGCACCATGACTCGAAGCTATCCTCTCGACTACACTAGCAAGGCAGACACATACTATCTGGCCTCTAAAGTCAAGGCCAAGCTCACAAGGGAAGCAGTCAAGAATGACATCAACCTTCATAGACTTGTGTGCCAGGCAAACCTCCTGGACAACTTGATCGACAAGCTGAACGCTGCCGAGGAAAGCAAAGGCCGTACGGTGTCTTTCGACAACATCGCTAGCGAGAAACGCGTGCAATTGGTGGAGCCCGTGAAGCCCGAACTCACGAATCCTCAACAATACGACGACGATTTCTATAGTGACAGCGATAGCGACCCTGATGAAGACTACGAGAACTACGAAGTGAGCAAACACCAAAGCAGCTCACTGTACATGAACCACGAGCCGAACGGGTCGACGGTGACGATAACGACGGAGTGCGTGGACTCGGATGAGGAAGACGATATGCCTTCTCTTTCGAGCTGTTCGAGCGAGAGCGAGTCTGATTACGACAGCGACGAGGAGGCCGACCAGGTTCACGTGCAACACGTTGAGCATGCTGACAGAGCGAAAATCGAGGCTGCGCGCAATTTGCTGAACTTGCGGAGAAATATAGTCGAGTGTATATGAGTTATGTATATAGCTATCACATTAACGCGTTACGATTCACGATTCGGGAAAAGGACTTTTCGGCATCCCTCGGTGAAACTGCTCGGGAGCAAAAGTACGCGGGGTTAAAACGGCTCAGAAAGAGAAATAAGGCGTTTCCCGTGTACGGGTGTGCAGTCGTCGGATCAGGTTGGTTTTTTTCCGTCGAGGCCCTCCGCAATCGCCTCCGGTCGCGCGAACGCAGAAATTCACAGCCAATCAACATATAGTTTTTTGTAATAAAAGAAGAATAAAAGTGACCATTTCCCCAGTTGTTTCTTCGTCATGTTCAAATCGATAATTCGTTCCCGCGGCATGGCCACCCAGGCTACTGCCCAAAGACTGAAAACGTTCAAGATCTATAGATGGTCCCCAGACACCCCAGACAAGAAGCCATACATGCAAGAGTACAAGATTGATCTGAACCAGTGTGGTCCGATGGTGTTGGACGCCATCATCAAAATCAAGAACGAGCAGGACGCCACGCTCACCTTCAGAAGAAGTTGCAGAGAAGGAATCTGTGGCTCGTGTGCCATGAACATCGGCGGTCAGAACACCCTGGCCTGCCTGTGCAAGATCGACCAGGACACCTCCAAGGAGACCAAAATATATCCACTTCCACACATGTACATCGTGAGAGACTTGGTGCCGGACCTCACGCACTTCTACAAACAGTACAAGTCGATCCAGCCATATCTGCAGACCAAAAACAAGCCAGCGGATGGCAAGGAAAACCTGCAGAGCGAGGAGGACAGAAAGAAGTTGGACGGACTGTACGAGTGTATCTTGTGTGCTTGTTGCAGTACCTCGTGTCCTTCCTACTGGTGGAACCAGCAAGAATATCTTGGACCTGCCGTGCTGATGCAGGCCTACAGATGGCTCGTGGATTCCAGAGACGAAGCCACCAAGAGCAGAAAGGAGATGTTGCAAAACTCTATGTCCCTGTACAGATGCCACACTATCATGAACTGTGCGCGTACCTGTCCTAAGGGCCTGAACCCTGGTAAGGCTATCGCGGAGATCAAGAAACAATTAGCATTTGACTGAAATATTTATATTAAATATTTAAATGAAAGAGAACGTATTCGAGGACAATGTTGCGCAGTTAGCGCATTGCGTTGGCCGCAAATGCGCCAATGTGCGCACTGAACGAGTAGACGGCAAGGTACGTTGTCAAGGTTTTTAGAGGCGGCCCTCGATGGTCCTGCTAACTACAGACGGTGATCTTTGCTCTGGCCTGCCGTGACGACATACAGCTCGAGATCGTCATTTTTTTTCACCAAACATACGCAGCGCCAGTGCTGACATTCCGCACGTGGCAGCTGCAAACTATCGACGGCATCGAGGCTCGCAGTCTCGTTTTCGATCAGACTCTGATAGACAAGCTCGTCACCCGCGACAGTTCGCTGAAAGTCTATCGACGCGTCGACCCTGCAATCACGCTAGTGGACCATCCGGTGCTGGGCAAGCCTTTTTACCAGCTTCATCCGTGTCAGACAGCCCAGCTGCTGGAGGATGTTGCCTTGCAGGGCCCAGCGTCGCTCGAATTTTGGTGGAAATTCTACTCGTCGGTGCTGATGTGATCGGCAGAGATAAATAAATAATTGCTGAATTTTTAACTCGCTCAAGTATGGCATCTTCATTCAATCAAACACGAACGCAGATTGTTGGCGTGGAAAACCAGTTGGCTGGTCTTCTGGCGAGTTACAGCTCGTTTGCGTCTGCGCCGGGGCCCGAGCCAAGCGCGGAGGAGGAACAGCTCGAGCGCAAAATCAACGACACATTCACTAATCTCTCGGCCTTGGTCAAGGAGCTGAACCGGGTGGTTGACTCGCAATCGCTCAACAACACCATTTCGGCATCAAAGATGCAGCAGTTAACGCGCCACAGGGAGAACCTGAACCAGTACACGATCGATTTCAACCGAATCAAGTCTACAATCAAACAGGAACGTGATAAAATAAATTTACTCTCGTTCGTTCGCACAGACATAGAGGACCACCAGAGACGCGTGGACGGTTCCGGCGGTTCGGACAGCGAAGACGGATACATGCTGAATGAGCGCCTGCGGTTGAACCAGCAACACAGCGCCATGGATACACTACTGAGTCAGGTGTTCGAGACTAGAGACGAGATCCTCAGACAGCGCAATGTTTTGAGCAGTGTCGGCAACCGGCTTCAGCGGTCGCTGAGCACGATGCCGGGGCTGAAGGTGCTGCTTTCCAAGATCAACACCCGTAGAAAGCGAGATTCGCTAATCATCGCCGGTCTCCTGGTCACATGTATTATTTTGCTGTGGTTGTTAGCATAGGTAGATGGACGATACGAAAAGTATATGTATGTTTTGGCGTCGGTCGACGCAATTTTTATTTCGTAGTTTATTGCATGGACGCCCTTGTTGAACACTACGCGAGTGGTCTGGAAGAAGCTCTTTCGTCATTCTCTCGCAGGCTTGACCCTGCGGACATGGCGGAGAGCTTGTACTATGAGTATCCCGAGTTTACAGCCGCTTTGGATGCCTTGTTCAGCACGCTGGACATAGACACTGTTATGGTGGACAAGATCCTCCTGTTCAACGGGATGTTCACTAAATGTCTTTTGGAACTGGAGGCATCAGAGGGGGAAGGCTCGAAAGACCCAAAGTTGTTCTTGGCACAGATGCTGCTGCTTCTAGATTCCTCGATCTACCTATCCTTTGTCAAGTACTCTGGCCTTAACCCTGTGCCCATGCAGACCTTGAACTCAATCATGCTACTAAGTCCTACGGATTTTGTTGTGGATACGTTTGGCCCGGTGTTTTTCTCGCACAAGTCCCTCGACAGACGGCTCAGACTGACTCTTCATAATTCGCTAGTTGGAAAGGCCAAGCCAGGCTCAACGCTGCTACAGATCGGCAATGTTCTGCTCCCGAAACTGCTTGGACAACTTGAGTCGCACGATGTGTTTGCTGCGCAACTCATGGCCTTCATCACTAATGCCTTTGACATCAACGACAAACTGCTGCTGACCAGTGACTGGAAGCTGAACGACTTCAATAAAACATACCTTGAATTTTCCAAGTCGCGCAAGTGGCCGTCGAACGCGAGCAGAAACCCGGGGCGCCGCACAAATGACGCTTTTCATGAATACATGGTTCTGGCGGTGTATTTCACGACAGACTTCAAGAGACTGGTGGAAGAGCTGAACGCTTACAGAGGAGGTAGATATTCCAAGACGAGCCTGCCGCTAATAGACAATTGCAAGAAACTCGTCAAGACGATCAAGGAAATGGACGTGCAAGAGCCTGCTCCGAAAATTGGCAGCGCGCACGAGCTGACAGGCGAGGAATACAGCCAGCTGGTGGACAGCTTTGCGGCAAAGGAGTATGAGTGCGACTGGCTTTTGAACGCTGATGAGTTTGGCGTCCAGCTCAGACAGCCCAATCATCGCTGGGCGGTGATATTCCAGATCTACGTGATGGTCTCGTTCATCTACGACCTCACGGACGCCAAGTGGACGAAGGTGCTTGGCGACATCAACGCCAAGTATAAGAAGTTTCGCAAGCCTGAGTTTGACGCGATGCTGGCCAACGATAGTGTCAAAAGCCAGCTGGTCGAGGTGCTCACAGAGATAGAGCGACACTACGCAAGCTACTTCCCTGCATTCCACCGCATTTTGAAGCACGTTGTCGACAACACGGAGATCAGATGGCGGGCGTTGAAACTCAAGCAGTTCAATCATGAGAATCTGGCTGATCTGGAAGCGCTATCGAACGACAAAAAGCGCAAATTGGACGAACACCTCGACAAGGGGCCAGAGATAAAGGCACCATATACATACAAGCTGGGAACGGCAAAGCTGTCCCAGATATGGAGTGTCAAGACGGGGCTCGCCGAGATCGAGCGGAAACTTGCGGACCCGCAGGAGCTGCTGGAAAACTACAAGGACGAGCTGTATTTCGTAGAGGGTAGCCTGCAGAGCGGCGAAAAGAGCGATGAGCTGGTCGAGAAGCGCGAGCTGCTCACGTGGAAGAAACAACGGCTCGAACGTGGGCTTGGGAGCTGGTTGAATTTGTAGGTCGATTGTGAAATAAGGCTCGTAGGAGGTCACGTGAATTTTCAACAATCGGTGTTTGAAAAAAAGATATATGGGGAATAATTAGTTTTATAGATAGATTATGCCATCGATTTCTGAAGGAGAACCGTCCATCTCGACATCTGTGGCTCTTTCGTCGGCGACGATCAGCTCACCCTTTGGGCTCCCGCTCGATCCCTATGAGCTCAGGGGCCGCGTATTGACGTCCCCTTTCAACGTCCTGTTATCAGCCATCTACCTGTTGAACGACAAGATTTTCAGCTACGAGCTGCTGGGCCACCACGATGTCCCTGACAGACGCTCGTTGCTGGGCTTGTGGAACAAGCTGAACAGAAAAAACCTCAACAACAAGGTCCCTAATCTGTACAACCTGGAGGTGAGATCTGGCTGCGGAAACCTCGTTCTGGGCTATCTGAACGAGAGTATTGACGGCGAGCCCGTCTCTGTGATTATTCCAAGCTCCGGGCTGGAGTACATGGAGCCTGTTTTACTGCAGCAGAACCAGAACCACCACAATCTGGCTCTGTCGTTGAACGTGGCCAGCTTGGAGTACGACTTCAAGAGCGGCCAGCTGATTTCGCAGTACTCCAAGGTTCTATCCGTTGCGAAGAATTTGAGACTGCCAGTTTTGCACTCGCTGAACGCAGTGGAGGCCCAGCACTTTGCCATTCTGACCAACGCTCTGGCCAAGCTGAAGATTACCACGGTCCATCTTTTTGACGGTCTGAGCTTCCTCAAGACCAATCAGACGATCTCGGGCTCGCTTTCGAACGAGCGCATCCGAGCTGTTGCAGACGAGCTGTACGAGAAACTCAACGGCAAGATCCAGCTGCTGCCTGCGGTTTCCCAGCTGTCGTTTGCGCTTTCTGTGCTGAACGAGGTCCTGGGCACCAGCTATGCTCCGTTCGAGTACTACGGTCCCCAGGGCGCTGAGACCGTTTACGTGGCGTACGGCTCGAAGGAAACCACGCTGCTGAAGCGGCTGAACGTGGCGTTCGTGCACGTGAGAACGGCACTGCCCTTTGAGGTGGCTAAGTTTGTCGACTTGGTTCCGGCCGGCACGAAGCAGGTCGTCGTCATCGGCGAGAAGTACCACGGCGTCAACCTGCTCAAGCTGGACGTTCAGGCTGCGCTGTACGTGAAGCAGCGCTTTTTGAAGGTTGTGGAGGAGACGGTGGCACAGTTTGAGCGGCTGGCTACGTCAGTGGTCGAGACAGGCTCCCATTTCCAGTTCCTCACAGCAGACAACTCGCCATTTGTGGACGTGCCTTCCAAGATCACCCACGCGCTGTCGCTGGTGCCCGACATGGACATCCAGTATCGGCCGAAGTTTGACAACACGGTCAACTCTGGTGTGTTTTCTGCCGACATCCGGACAGGTTCTGCCTCGAGCGAGTTGCTCGACGTCCTTGTTGTTGAGGACGCACAGATCTTGAATGAGGTCGACGTGCTCAAGAGTCTCAAGAAGACGGGCTCGCTGCTTGTGGTGAACGGGCCGGAACAGAAATTCGACGAGGTTAAGTTTATTGAGAAAACGCTGTCGTCGAAATTCAAAGCCCGGCTGCTGGTTGAACAGCGCACTCTCAAGGTGATTGACCTCAACGCTGTGGGCGAGCAGGAGGCCACTAAGGGCCGCACCGCGTCGATTGCGATCCAGGTCGCATTCTGGAAGCACGCCTATCCGGAGCTGGACACGGGAGCCATTGTGACGAAGATTTTGCAGGCTTTCGGCAATGAGGCCGAGCTGTTGGCGTCGGTGATCGCCGAGCTGGTCGAAAAGGTCGAGCAGCACGTTTTGGAAGTCGTCGTCAAGGAAGCCGGTGAAGAAGACGAGCAGGACACCAAATTTGTCGATCTTGTCGAGACCTCATTCGATCCTAACCCTAGAGAGAAGTTTGTGGACACCACAGGCGTCAAGGTCGAGGCGCGCTCGGAGCTGGTGCGCAAGCTGATGTTCAAGGAGGCGTATGGCGTGTCCAAGGCACTGCGGCCAGACCTGCCGGTGCAGAACTTCGTGGTCAAGGTGAAGGAAAACAAACGGCTGACTCCGACCGACTACGACCGGAACATTTTCCACATCGAGTTCGACGTGAGCGGCACCGGTCTCAAGTACAACATCGGCGAGGCTCTCGGTATCCACGGCAGAAACGATCCGCAGATCGTGGACCACTTCATAGAGATGTACGGTCTGGAGCCAGACGCCTTGGTCGAGGTGGCCTCCAAGGAGGACGAGACAGTTTTCGAGGTGCGTACCGTCAAACAGGCACTCATCGAGAACCTAGATGTTCTCGGCAAACCGCCAAAGCGGTTCTACGAATCGCTCGCAGAATATGCCACCAACGCTGACGAAAAAGCCACCCTCACAAAACTTGGCAGTGCAGACGGTGCAGAGCTGCTCAAGACGTACCAGGAGGAAGAGTGCTACAACTACGTGGACATTTTCGAGCTGTTCCCAAGCGCCAGACCCTCTGCTGAGGAGCTGGTGCAGCTGATTCCGGTGTTGAAAAGAAGAGAATACTCGATCGCGTCGTCTCAGAAGCTGCATCCAAACGAGGTGCATCTTCTGGTCGTTGTGGTCGACTGGAAGGACAAGAAGGGCAGAACTAGATACGGACAGTGCTCTAAATACCTGAGCGACCTGCGCATCGGCGAAGAACTCGTGGTCTCGGTCAAGACGTCGATCATGAAGCTGCCACCATTGACCACCCAGCCAATCATCATGGCAGGCCTTGGTACCGGTTTGGCTCCGTTCAAGGCCTTTGTGGAAGAGAGATACTTCCAGCAGACCCAGGGCCACGATATTGGTGAGATATACCTATACCTTGGCTCCAGGCACAAGAGACAGGAGTATCTGTACGGTGAGTACTGGGAGGCCTATTTGAACTCGGGAATCATGACCTATATTGGAGCAGCCTTCTCTAGAGACCAGCCGAAGAAGGTGTATATCCAGGACAAGATCAGAGAGAACTTGGAAGAGTTGACCGACCTGATGATGGCCAAGAAGGGTCACTTCTACCTGTGTGGTCCAACCTGGCCGGTGCCGGACATCACTGCCTGTCTGCAGGACATTTTGGAAGCAGATGCGGTCAAAAAGGGCCTGCAGATCGACAGTGCCAAAGAGGTTGAGGAGCTGAAGGAGGAAGGCAGATACGTTCTGGAGGTGTACTAAGTAAGTACAGAATATATTCTATCAAATTAAATTTCAGGAGTTATTAAATCAAAGGATGATTAAGTGCTATACGGCGATGTCTGTGCAGGATTGATCTCATTTGAAGACTTGTTTTCTGTTTAGCAGAACGGCGGTCTAAGAGAATCGGTTTCGAGCTTAGTGACTTACGCACAACACACGAAGATGTTGCAACCAATATCTTCGAAAAGTTGAAAAAAAGAAAGGAAGGGGTCGACAGGGAATTGAACCCTGGACCTCCTGCTCCCAAAGCAGGAATCATACCACTAGACTACCGACCCGTTCACGTTAGGAGAAGTATAACACGGATACCTATCGTATTCGTAGCCTCATGATATCGAGTGTTATCCAATGTATGTGCATGTTGACTTAATCTCTACTTTTTCAATCCCTGTGGGGTTTCGTCAACTTTACACCCCGAGCATTAACGGGGACGCATAACATATTTTTATGCATAATCTTTATGCAGTTGAGTAAGCTGTCATCGAGCACATCATCAAGTATCACCATTGACACTGTTTCTTAATCCAGTACCTCTTTTTCGGTCTCTTCTATCGAGCCCATGGGAAGCACAACGCCAAACTAGCCGAACCGCGATACATGGCTATATATCACTCCAACTTAAATAACACCTTCAAGTTCTCATACATCAGATAGCTGATTGACACCGCAGGGGCCACTTTCGCCAAGTTGGGAACCAGACCCTTAAAAAGTCCAGGAATACCTTCCCGGGTTACCGTCTGCCTAAGCACATCGAAGAAGCCATTGTAAGTGTAAGGATGCGCAAATGTTCCCTGAGCCTGCAATCTCGTTCGGAGCAGATTGATCGGGTACACCATGGTGGCTCCAAAGGTGCCACTAACGGCACCCAAAGTGAGCACCAGGTAGTTTGGAAGTACCACGTCGTCGACAGAGCAATGCTGTTTTTCGGCTGTTTTTTTCACGTACCATTTTTTCACAGTGGAAAAGGTTCCGAGGTCTAAAGCCGCGTACGGGAACATTCCGCCCAATCCCAGCGGTAGTCCTCTGTAGAATATCCTCACCCCTCCTTCTTTAAACATGTCTTTGGCGGTTTTCACGAGTAATTGGTTACCTTTTTCTTTGGAATCCAAAGATGCGCATTGGATTCGATATTTGAGCGTGTCTATTGGATAAACGGTTATCTGAGCAATAACTCCACCAACACCACCGGAAACAAAGGTGGACACTTTCGAGAGTTTTGACACATCGTCCACCCCCTCGATACCACACAGAAACTTCTTGGTAGCCTCAAACGACCCGAACTTCATCGCGCTCTCGGGGAACACCTTGAGGACGTTGAGTCCATTTCCAACGTAGAATGCACGAAGTCCACCCTGTTTGTACAATGTTTTTGCTGCGCGGATCAGCGGCGACTGGATTTTCTTTTTGGACACCGGGTGGTGCACTTTCTCCTCAATTTTGCTCTGCAATTCTTGTCGGCTGTTTAAAAGCGTCGAAGCCAGGTCGGTTCTGGCAATCAGGAACACCTTGACTCGATCAAAGGGCGCTGTGCAGGTTCTGGAAACAACCCCAGAAAGACCTCCCGCAAGGAAATATCCCACGCTCTTGAGGATGTCGTCGCTGACGGTGACGTCTCCTTCAGACGAAATGTTCTCCATCTCATCGTTGAGGAATTTGAAGGCTGTGCGGACCCGCGAGCCTTCCAGCCGCGGAATGAACAGCAGGCCGTCACGGAACATCTCGAACGTGATAAACCCGCGGTCCTCGAAATCCAACTTTCTGAAAAAGGTTTCAACTTCAGACGGGGTGGGTTTTAAACCCAGCTTGAACAGGTACGACTCCACATCCTTTTTTGTGATCTTGCCGTCGTGATCTCGGTCGACATTCTCAAAACCCTTGGCCAATTGGGCCTCTGCTTGGATGAGGTACTGGTTAAACTTATCAAAGCTGATCCAGTCACTAGTTGCTTCTTGGCCAGCAAGAGACTTGTAGATCTGAGAAATTGCGAAATGCGAGTCTTTGAGGGGATGATCGGTAAATTGCAGCGCTCGCTCGAAATCCTCTAGCGTGAACTTTCCGTTGTTCTTTGTGTCGATCTCGTCAAACAGCTTCTTGTGGCGTTGCAGCCGCTCTGTCAGGCTTTCTTCAGGCATGAACAAAACAAGTCTAGGAAGTTATTTTTTTTTTGGGTATTTCGACGCGTCGAAAAAAAGTGTTATTTTTCTTCCACTTTTCTCTTCTAAATGTCGGTCAACATATTTGGCGACCAAGTCACTGAAGAACGTGCGGAGAACGCGCGCCTGTCGTCGTTCGTGGGCGCGATTGCCGTCGGTGACCTTGTGAAGACCACGCTAGGTCCTAAGGGGATGGACAAGCTGCTGCAATCCTCGTCTTCGGGCGACTCGATGGTCACCAACGACGGGGCCACGATCCTCAAAGCTATACCATTCGACAATCCTGCTGCCAAGGTACTTGTCAACATTGCCAAAGTCCAGGACGACGAGGTTGGAGATGGAACCACGTCGGTAACTGTGTTTGGCTCGGAACTGCTGCGGGAGGCGGAAAAACTCGTTGACCAGAAGATCCACCCACAGACCATCATTGAGGGCTACAGGATTGCCTGTCGTGCAGCACTGGCCGAGCTAGAGAGCCTAGCCGTCAACAACGTTGACGATGAGACCAAATTCAGAGAAGACCTGATTAACATCGCCAGGACCACACTTTCGTCCAAGATTCTGTCTCAGGATAAAGAGTATTTTGCAAAACTGGCTGTGGATGCGATTTTAAGACTGGGCGGCTCGACGAACCTGGATCGAATCCAGATCATCAAGAAGGCGGGCGGCAAGCTGTCAGACTCGTTCCTGGACGAGGGATTTATTCTCGACAAGAGAATTGGCGTTGGCCAGCCAAAGACGCTCAAGAACGCGAAAATCCTAATTGCAAACACCTCCATGGACACAGATAAGGTCAAGATTTTCGGTGCGAAGTTCAAGGTGGATGCCACCAGCAAGCTCGCAGAGCTGGAGCGCGCCGAGAGAGAAAAAATGAAGGCCAAGGTGGAAAAAATCCAAAAATTCGGTATCAACTGTTTTGTCAACAGGCAGCTGATCTATGACTGGCCCGAACAGCTGTTGAGCGATGCTGGTATCACCACTATAGAACACGCAGATTTTGAGGGTGTTGAAAGACTGGCCCTTGTGACCGGCGGCGAGGTTGCGTCCACGTTTGACAACCCTGAGAAGGTGAAGCTCGGCTACTGCGACTCGATAGAGGAAGTCATCATTGGAGAAGATATCATGACCAAGTTTTCTGGCGTGGCTGCGGGAGAGGCTTGCACCATTGTGCTTAGAGGAGCCACCGAGCAGGTCATTGACGAGGCAGACAGATCTTTACACGACGCCCTGTCAGTGCTTTCTCAAACCACCAGAGAAACCAGGACCGTTTTGGGTGGAGGCTGCTCAGAGATGAACATGGCTCGTGCCGTGGAACAGGCCGCTCAGAAGGAGAGCGGCAAGAAGTCGCTTGCCATTGAGGCATATGCGCGTGCTCTGAGACAGCTGCCAACCATTCTTTGCGACAACGCCGGTTACGACTCGAGCGAATTGGTTTCCAGATTGCGCTCATCCATATACAATGGTATGAGCAGCTCGGGATTGAATCTGAATGAGGGAACAGTGGACGACATGAGACGGTTGGGTGTCGTGGAGAGCTACAAGCTGAAGAGGGCCGTGGTGTCGTCTGCCTCTGAAGCAGCCGAGGTGCTTTTACGTGTGGACAACATCATTCGTGCCAAGCCTAGAACGGCGGACCGTGGAATGCACTAGTAATACATAGCTGGAATACCATAATCGAGAGAGCTGTATAAGCGAGAGGCCGGAGCCAATTAATTTGTTGAGGGCCAGCATCCGAGGGTGCATGAAGGTCTGCTAGTTGTCCCATACACCCAAGAAATGGGTCGGTAGTCTAGTGGTATGATTCCTGCTTTGGGAGCAGGAGGTCCAGGGTTCAATTCCCTGTCGACCCCTTCCTTTCTTTTTTTGAAGTTTTTTTTATTTACCAGTGACAAGATGCACAGCCGCTTAATATTTTTCAGATGTTTGCGAGGTTTGTACGGTTTTACAGCCGGGGTCCGTTGCCTCCTCTGCGAGCCGATTCGAGTCTGCTGAAGCATTTCAACGTGACGTACGCCCGGTCATCCGGGCCGGGCGGCCAGCATGTGAACAGGACGGAGTCGAAGGCGGTTCTTCGTCTGTCGGCGAAGGGGTGGCAGAATGCTCGAGGAACGTGGGTCGATCCGGCTACTTTTGACCAGCTGATGGCCAATTACAACGACAAAAGCTGTCCAGAATCCAAACGGTTTCCTTATTTTACGAATGCGGGGGATGTGCTCATCATGAGTGACTCCACTAGATACAGACAGAAGAACGTTATGGAGTGCCTGGAGAAATTTGTGAGCGCGGTGCAGAGGTGTGGAGAGCCTAGGAAGGAGACCGACGAGGCTACGCTGGAGCGGTGGGAGGATTTGCGCAAAAAGGAGAAGGAGGTGCGAGTACAGGCGAAGCGCAAGCTGAGGGACAAGAAGAACGCCCGTCGCAAAATCAAGATGGAACTGTAAATATATGAATTAATAAAAGAAGTCATTTCGCGTTAAATCATATCACAGAAGACTCGGCCGTGCTGGTGGCGTTCCACAGGTCCTGGAGCTGCAGAACACTGGTGATGACGCCAGCTCCACCCGCAACACCATTGTTGACACGTTTCTGGCTGAGACCGTTAATAGCCACCAACCCGTTGAGAGCATGGATCACCAGGTCTCTCTTTGCCCTGTAGAGCTGGGCATTCTGGGCGCCGAGAGTCTCTTTCTGCTTCTCAAGGTTGCCTCTCTTGTCCAACGGATCCTGGTCGTCGCCCGAGGCCAGCTCTTTGAGCAGTTCTTGTTTTCTCAAGTACGACACCCTGAGTTGTCTCACGTTTTGCAGAAGTCCCGACACCAGAGCCACGAGCCAGAAGAAGCTACACACTTGCTCAATTTTTACGAGCAGTTTGCCGTTTCTGTTCCGCAGCAGCCCCAGCAACTTGAGCCAATGCACAGTGTCGAACCCGTAGTAGAGGGAGTAGCTGGCCTGTTTGACGCTCTCGAACAGCTTCGTGTACCCGTCGCCGAGCTCGTTGTCCAGGGTCACCGATAGCGCCTTGAGGTGTTTCAGCGGCTTCAGGGCTCTCAAAGGCTTTCTACTGAGCATAAAAAGGTCCTGTAGTCTTCTCACTAGGTAGTAGTTGTTCACAGTAGAGCCTGTTTTGAGCAGATAGTAAGCCAGCAACTTCGTCACGTACTGCAGCGTTCTGAGTAGCTTGTCACGGCCATTGTTTGTCTCGAGGAAATTGATCAGTTTCGTGAGAGTCGGATGATATGTTATCGTGTCGCAAACCATGGCTGACTATCCGTCTGTCTGAAGTTGATATATATATTTGCGGATTATCACCCGCAATTTCGCGCGCACTTTATTTTTGAGTCAGGGCCCCGCAAAAAAAAAAATAGCCTATTTATTTTTCGTAGATTAGCACGATGTCCATTGCGTATCCGGCAGTCAACATTTCCTATTGTGTCAAGTGCAAGTGGATGCTCCGAGCAGCATGGTACCAACAGGAGATTTTGCAGACATTCTCATCGAAGGCAATCGACGAGAATGAGACCACGCTGACAGTGAACTGCGCCATGCTGTCTCCTTCGCTAGTTGCAGGAACGTTCCAAGTGGCAGTGAAGGCGGACGAGAATGCGGATTGGGTCGTCATCTGGGACAGAAAGGAGGAGGATGGATTCCCAGACTCCAAGCTCCTCAAACAACGCATAAGAGATCATCTTTACCCAGAGCTCAAGCTCAGTCACATAGACAAGCCAAACAAACACGGAGGCAAGCTCGTCACTAGACAGTCGCCTGAGCCCGGTCCCGACGACACATGCATTGACTGCAAAACTTGGGAGTACTGATTACACATATCCATTACACATATCCAAGCCATTCCAGGCCGCTATAGAAAAGCCTGTCAATCGGGTTCAACGAGTCGAAAAACCTGTTCGGCAGCCGTCGATAGCCCGCCGGTGCTATGTTGTCGTCCTCAGTTGCCGGGAGGTCGGCGACGAGCCCCATCACGTACGAAACGATGCAAAATGCCAACAGTCCAGCTGCCAGCAGCGTCAGATACGATCGCCATAGCTTGATTCTAGCTGTGCGATTGAGTTTCCGCTGAAATCGCGCCAACAGATCATCCTGACGCCTCACCGCGAGCACCAGCGCCGACTCCGTGGGCTCGGCAGCGAGCTGCTCATAAACCTGGATCAGTGTCTCGTAGCAGTCCACGAGTCGTCTATTCAATTGCAATTCCATTGTACAGTCTTCGTTGGCCGACCGCTTGCGCTGCGCGTTCAATGTGCCTTTTAATATACTAATTTTCTGGAACAGCTTCTGTTTCTGTTCCATCAAGGACAATGCGACGGGTGCTTTTCGTTTTATAGTTCTCGTGTCTGTTCGCCTCGTCAGATCAGTGTCTGTATCAAATAAGTCTTCAAACTCGACCTCAAAAAGCATTTTAAACAGCACCAGAAATTCGTGCTTTGTCAGACTTCTGCTTGGATGCTCGAGGATCGTGTCAATCCAGAATGCCTTGTAATCCGGAGATAGAAGCGCCCGTCCCCAAATCTGCTCGATCTCTTCAATCAACGCCCCCGTATCAGTTATTGCTATGCGGTCGGAGTCTGTGAACCGGGCCCATGCCCTATCCAATATGCGGTCGCCGCGACCCATATCGATAACTAAGATTATAGTTTTTTTTCTTTTCGCGTACTATACATTATTCTATTTTTGCTCGCTCTGGATCTTAAATATTTGCTTGTACTCGATTCGGGCCTCCAAACTGAAAAGCTCGCGCGTTGTCTGCCAGTTTTCAATTTGTTCCACCTCCTTAAGCAGAACGTCTGGTTTTCGCGCAATCACAATGACCGGCGGCTGCAAATACGTCTGTGCGTTCTCGTCGTTGATGATTACCCTCATGGCATAAATACGGCCCTTGATGCTGCCCAGACTAACAGCACCAATAATAACAGGCTTGGATATACCGCCAAGCTCGTCCAACTTGCTCTGAGATAGCTGGTTCTTTCCTATAAGCACTCCTTCACCTTCAAAAAACAACCCTGGACGGTCCTCTGGGAGTATAAAGTCTTCAGTGACAGTCCTTCGCAGGAGTTCTTGGCGTGACTCCGGACTAAGCATGTAGTAGGAGGAAAAAATACTGCGACGCAGCTGGAAAGGCTCTCCTAGCAGCATTTCCTGGACAATGGCTACCTCGAGCTGCGGCAGCAGGTAGGAGGACTCAAATGGTACAGCGATGTTCAGACATCCAACTCCGTCCACCTGGAGCTGTTTGGTGGCCGCGTAGACTGTGATTTCCTTTAGCTGATGGCACAGAGGCGTGGTAGCAGAAACAACGAGATCAAGATAATTGGGATCCTCATTCATCAGAATACAGTCGAAACAGTCGTCAAGCTGGGCCGTTTTCAAGAGCCGCAAAATCATGCTTGTGAACAGTTCGGGAATGCGCGTGACGGAGAGTATCGTGAGTGTGTTTCTGTCTTCGTTCGAATCTACTATCAGTTGTCGAAGTATCTCGTTCCAGAGTCCTTCCGTGTTGAGCGATGTCTCGTCCACACGCGTTTTTCCGACCTCCTTTAATACACGCACGCTGGAAAACCAGTTGAACTTGGAAAGCGGGTCTGGGTTTTTGGTCATGAGATCTATGGAATCAGAATTAAACAAATACGCATTAGGCAGGGGCGTGCGAAATAGAGCATTGTCGAACTCGTATATATGGATGCGCTCCACGCTAGCCAGATTGGACCGGATAACATCGTTTTTGTGCTTCAGAATATTCCCGTGCTCCAGAGGAACATTCATGAATAAATTTTAGTACCGTATAAATAAACCCTGGAGAATAATTTTTTTTTAAATTTGAATATTTTTCACTTTCCAGCCAGAAGAAGGTAAGTAAATCGCTTAATGATGACTTATGAATGCATAGTTCAACTGATTAGCATGAAGATAAAAACTTTCCATCAAAAGTCTTTCACCCCTATCTGAGAGCAGATTTACTAACTGTCAGTCATTCTATTTATTTCTTTAATGCATACATTCTGATCGGATACAGCTCTTTAGGCACTCCTTTCTGTAGATCCGTAGCTATGAGCCTCCAGCCGGCCTTTTCGAACAGCAGCCGGAAATTCTTGTCGGAGCGCGTTTTGCTCGAGTCCTCCGGGTCATACACGTCGTCGTCTCCGTTCACGTTGTTTTCTTTGATTACCAGTAGTCCGTCCTCCTGTAGCGCATCCTTGCACCGATCAAGCCAAACGAGAAACGCATCGTCTGGCAGATGGCCGCAGCACCATTGGCACCAGAGAAGTGAGTACTTGCCGTGCTCCTGCGGGACCCACTCCTGCATTGGGATTTGGTAGATTTCGCCGATCTTGCCTTGTTCTGCCAGCGGAGCCAGCTCTCTGTACATCTGGTCGACGAATGGTTTCACGGGCTCTAGCAGGTCCACCTTGTCGCAAACCTTGTGCAGGAAGTCTCTCGTAACTCGTCCGATGCCTGCGCCAAAATCCAGCCCATAGCTGATCTTACCGGGCTCGGTCGAGAAGCGTGACTTCAGCTTGCGGATAAAAGTCATCGAACCGACCACGTCCGCCTTTGGGACACTCGTGGACTCCCCAAAGCCACCGAGCACACCGTCCACAGACGGCTCAACCCCACTCCAGTACCGAATGGCGGCGTCGTAATCTATCTGTGCGTCAATATTATTCTGAGCGGGTTCCATGTTCTCAGCAGCGACGATCGACTCCAACTTTTTTCACTCGTTGAAAAACTAAGCATTCCAAACAAATTGGACAACTTAACAATGAGTGGCAGTAAGTTAACGTGCGCACACAATTTTGGCTAACAACAGTACGTTTATTGGACCTTGCGAAACCTTTCATCTCGCTTCTGCCAGAAGTGGAGTATCCCTACCAGAAAATCGACTTCGATGAGAAGATCGTTTACACCATAGCCTCGGTCGCTGTGTACTTGCTTGCCGGTCTTCCACTGAGAAACGTTGCGCAGGACCGCATTGCCGATCCGTTTGGATGGCTGCGGGTCCCCTTGGCGTCTCAGGCCGGAACGGCGCTAGAGTTTGGGCTGCTGCCTGTCGTCACGGCCGGTTTCCTGTGGCAGATTCTCGCGGGATTCAAAGTCATCAAAATCAACTTCGAATCCAGATCCGATAGAGAGCTCTTCCAGTCTTGGCAGAAACTGACCGCGGTGTTGATCGCCCTGGTCTATGCTGTGTTACTCTCGTTTGCCGGCTACTTCGACCCTGTCGACCAATTCACCTCGCCAACAACGTTGTCTATCGGGAGCAAGCTGACCTACATTTTCCAGCTGACGTTCATGGCGCTCATCACCGCTCTCCTGGTGGAGCTTCTGGACAAGGGGTACGGCTTTGGCCCGGGGATTCTGGCAATCATCACTGTCTCATCCGCCACCCAGTTCGTCACCTCGTTCCTTGGGCTCACCACCACTCTCACCGCCAGAGGTTTTGAGTCTCACGGTGCCTTGATCCGATTGATCAGAAACCTCAGAAACAAGCCGTTGGGACTGGCCATCTACGACGCATTCACTAAATACAACCTCGCCAACCTGACCCAGATTTACATCACTCTCGCCGCTCTGGCTGCTGGTGTTTACTTTGGCAACTTTAGAGTTGAGGTGCCTATCAAATCTGCCAAGGTCAGATCCATGGCCTCGGTGTACCCAATCAAGCTCCTCTACTGCGGAGCGCTACCTGTGCTGTTCACCTACGCCGTGCTTTACAACCTCAACATTATCGGGTTCGCCCTCACCAGAATTTTCAGCACCGTGCCGTACGTGCAATACATCGGCACGTGGAAGTTGGACGAATTCAACTTCTCCACGTACAATCTGACCTCGGGCTTACTCTACTTTGTGTCTGCCTCTCCTAAGGGTGCTTCTCCACTGCACTACGTCGTCAGACCGGTCACATTTTCTCTATTTGTCATTGTTGTGTCAACCGTTTTCTCAAGAATGTGGAGCAACATTTCAGGCTCCTCTGGCAGAGACATTGCCAAACAGTTTAAGGAGCAAGACATCACTCTCATTGGCCACAGAGACACGGCTGTCGGAAAAGAACTTGGAAAAATCATTCCTGTGGCTTCCACCACGGGAGCTTTGATTGTGTCGGCGATTGTGTGCGGTGTCGAGGCTCTTGGACTCTCCGGAGGTCTTGCTGTTGGAGCATTCGTTGGCTTGTTGTGCGCTCTGACGCTTTTGGAAAGCGTTATGACCGAGTACCAGCAGTCCGGAGGAGTGTCCTCGCAGTTTGGACAGATGTTTCAGCAACGTTAATAGTATAGAATGGTTTGTACTAGTGAAGAGCATATTCTCGTCTATATGCTATTTCCCCATCTCTGCACCAAAAAAATTCAAGCTACTTAAATTATTCCTAAATAAAATTGTGTCCTTTAGCAGAATGGAGAAATTGCCCTTTAGAAGGCACACAGCGCCCACAGCGCGCAGCCTCGTGGTCAAGAACTCTCCGGACAACGAAATTGCAAAATCCAACTGTGTCGCCGTGTCTCCACAGGACTTCCAGAACGGCAGCTACGTGATCTGCGACGGCAAATATGTGTTCAGTTGCGTCGCAACCACCAAATGCATGCCCGGCACGATAGGGCTCAGTGGAAATCAAAGGTTCTGGGGGTCTTGGTCCACGGACCAAACAATCGCAGTGGCACCATACGACCTGTTCCAATCTAACGGCAAGAAGGGTGCCTATTTGGGCACACTGAACGTGGAGATCAACTTTTGGAATAGAAACCGCGCAAACAACAAACAGTTTGACCCCGACGAGATGAGCGAAGCTTTTGTGCACCGATTTGACACTCAGATTCTTCAGCCTTCGCAGATCCTTCTTTTTGAGTTTAAAGGCAACTATTTCGAGGTCAAAATCCTTTCCTCGCAGGTCATCGACTTGGGAGAAGTGCAATTGCAAGATGTACCTACGTCCACAGATATAATGAACAAGGGTATCTGTGTGAAGCAAACGAAGGTGAATTTCTTCAAAGGTTCGGACGGACTAGTCAATTTGAAGGCCTCCAGCACGCGCCCCAACTCTGACGCTATCATCCGGCCAGACTTCAAGTTTGAGGACATGGGGATTGGAGGTCTCGACAAGGAATTCACCTCGATCTTCCGAAGAGCCTTTGCTTCGCGTATATTCCCTCCTGGTTTGATCGAGAAGCTCGGAATCCAGCACGTGAAGGGTATGCTACTGTACGGCCCTCCAGGTACAGGTAAAACGTTGATCGCACGTCAAATTGGAAAGATGCTGAACGCTAAAGAGCCCAAGATTGTCAATGGTCCAGAAATATTATCGAAATATGTCGGTTCTTCCGAGGAGAACATTAGAAACCTGTTCAAGGATGCAGAGGCAGAGTACAAACAGAAAGGCGACAGCTCCTCGCTGCACATCATAATTTTCGACGAGCTGGATTCTGTGTTCAAGCAGCGTGGCTCGCGTGGAGACGGTACTGGGGTGGCCGACAATGTGGTGAACCAGCTGCTTGCCAAGATGGACGGAGTGGACCAGCTGAACAACATCCTGGTCATTGGCATGACCAACAGAAGAGACTTGATTGACGAAGCGCTGCTCAGACCAGGTAGATTCGAAGTTCAGGTGGAGATCCATCTGCCGGACGCTGCGGGCAGAAAACAGATCCTGGAGATCAAGACTAAGAAAATGAAAGAGAACGGGTCTTTGGGCAAAGACGTCGACCTCGAGAAGCTTGCCGAGCTGACCAAGAACTTCTCAGGAGCCGAACTTGAAGGTCTGATCAAGTCTGCCACCTCATTCGCCTTGAACCAGCACATTAAAGTGGGCACAGTTGGAGAGATTACTGGCGACCTGGAGAATACCGTTCTAGATATGAGCTGTTTTCTGAGCGCTTTGGATGAGGTCAAGCCTGCATTTGGTGTACACGAAGAGGATCTCCATGACTGTGTCAAGGGAGGCATTCTCAAGTATTCTCCTAAAATCGACCATATCATCCACCGTGTCCAAAGGGCTTTGGAGCAGACGCAGAGCTCTGAAAAATTCAACTTCTCGTCACTATTGCTATATGGTCCTCCTGGATCGGGCAAGACTGCTCTGGCTTCCTACCTTGGGCTCAAGTCGCAATTCCCATTCATTAGAATCATCACTGCTGATGAAATGATCGGCATGTCCGAATCTGCGAAGGTTCAGTTCATCGATAACACTTTTAGAGATGCGTACAAGTCGCCATTGAATGTGCTGATTGTTGATGACATTGAGGCGCTGATTGACTTTGTGCCGATCGGACCTAGATTCTCCTCTGTGATCCTAAGGGCTCTGATGTCAAGACTGAAAAAGTCACCGCCAGAAGGCCACAGACTCATTGTGTTGGCCACTTCTTCCAATCACGAACTGCTCAAGAGCCTCGACGTGCTCAACTGTTTCAATGACGAAATCCTCGTCAACAACCTCACTACTCTCCAGGAACTGTACTCAGTTATGGAATTGGCATCTTTCGGAAGCGACTCCCAGGAAAGAAAAGACATCATCTACAAGTTGAAGGCTGCGTTCGGCAGCGAGAAAATCAACGTGTCCATCAAAAAAGTTCTTTTCAACATCGACACAGCTAAATTTGGCAGCGACCCAGCAGACGAATTCGTCCAGCTAATGGTTGAAAGCCAACATTAAAGGGTTTATAGAAGTAATTTACTGTTGCTTCTGAGCATAAATTGATTGTACAAATAATATGTTTGACAAGTGGTCGTTAAAGATGCCGACATTAAAACGTGAACCATAGTCACCTTGAAATGAAAAAGGTTGACGTGAAGCTAAGCGCCTACGCTCGCTCTCGTTTCTGCTTTTCATGCTTGAGACTCCGTCTCTGCAGCAGCGGAGACACCTTCCTGTTGTGCGGAAGAGGATTCAGCTTCTTCATGCTGTGGTCCTGGTTCATGGTCTTCTGCTTCTCTATCACTGTCTTCGTCTTCATGGTCGCCCAAAGCAGCAAAGATATTCCTGGATGCCTCTCTTGGCTCGTCAGGAGGAGTGCCCGCACCTTTCTGTCCGCTTGAGGCGCCAGAAGAGTTACCAGATCCAGCAGACGGCACCGTGGTGAATTGTTGCTGGCTCAATTTAGAGGAAGACAACTTGCTTTTCTGCTTGTTGAAAGGTCCGAGAGACCTTTCCGATGAATTTCTCACAACACCAACTTTCGATATGTCATTAGAGGAAATCTGGTTGCTGTTGCCCCATTTAGAGTTTGATCTCGAGCTGTTTGATCTCGAAGAGCCAGATCTTGGGTCAGTTTTACGCCTTCTGATGGCATCTCTTTCCTCTTGTATACGCTTAGCCTCGGCCTCTTGGTGAATCTCAGCAATAGTCTTTGGGCCGGCATTTGACTTGGCATCCGCCCATCTATTTGCCCTCAAGTCACAAAGATCCATAAGCTTAAACTTGATTCTAGATGACAGCTGACAGTTATTAATGATGTGGTTAATTTTTTCGAATGCAAAGTCCAGTGGGCCTCTATTGCTGGAATCAAGCTTGGCACCAGTTGTCGTCAAGAGTTGCGTCAAAGTCTCCAAAGTGTCCTCACTTGGAGAGTCGGAGTCAGAAAGCTGGTCAACAAGACACTTGATGATGATCTTTTCCGAGAGCAGGTTCAAATAGTACAACTCGCCAATGAATCTGACAAGTCCTAGTCCCCTTCTCTTAGCGGCTGCCATCTTATAGTATTCATCAGACATCATCTCTGGCTCTAATGGAGTACCGTCCTCGTTAGTTGGCAATTTATCCGACCAACCCTTTTCATATTCTGCTTGACATCTAGACAACAGCAATTTCCGAACCAATCCAGAGGAGTAGACACGCTTTGGAACTTGTTCGGGCCGAGGCTGGGATTTATCCTCGACGTCTTCCGAAATATCAGTACAAAGTGTCAAACAGAGCTTTGCGTAAACAGAAGACCATAAGTGCTCGTCGCAAGCCTTGGCAAAGGTGAGTTCAATGACTTGCTTCAATGTCTTGACGTCATCTTCCCATTGTGCTTGGTTGGCGATCTTAATGATTTCAGCGGAGATAGTATCGAAGTTATCCAAGGTCAACTTGTTCAAGTGCGATTTGACCTTTGCCTCCACATCATCTTCTTCTAATATCACAGTGACACCATCTGGAGCGTAACGAACCTCTTTTTCTTTGTTTCTTTGCGATCTTGGAACCCATCTATTTGCAGACTTTTCCAAGGGCTTAACCTCAGCGACTGGCTTAGCAACTTCCGTCTCCTCGTCTCTGTTCTCCCTATCGTCATCCAACCTTCTGGGCTTCTTAGATCCTTGTCTTTGACTCTTCTCACGAGACCCAAGACCCATCTTCTTTTTAGAACCGCCTCTAGAACCGTTTCTGGATCCAAATTCACCTCTAAGGGTGGCACTTCTTGGCATAGCATTCGAAGAACCTGGTCCGCCTCTTCCAAACTGACTTCCGGATCTAGAGAATCCACGGTCGCGTGACTCTTTCTTGGCACCAACCAAGTCAATGATCGACCGCACTTTGGCATCCCACTCGTCGTCAATAGGGAACTGACAGATCGGCTGGAATTGTAGTAAGAATGGCGGACTGTACTTATTTTTAGAAGCATTTTGTAATCTTGGATCCGGCTTCTCTTGTCCTTCTTTGTAGGGGAAGGCGTAGATGTCTTTAATTGGAGTAGCCTTCGAAATTTGAGCGAAAAAGCGGGTCATATCGAATGTCTTGTCTATACCTGGAGAACCGGCTTCCAAAGTTTCAGTTGTCTCATCCCTGGTATCCTCTTGACTGTCTGCGACAGGAGAAGACTCTGGGCCCTCTGTTTGTTCGGAAGCAGCATTTATCGGTTCTTCCTTCATCGAAAGAGGTTGTCCCTCTTCACTTGACTCGTCCACGGAGGAGGTAACTGCCGTAACAGGCTCAGCCTGAGTTGACTCAGCAAGAGAGTCTTGAGCAGCCTGAAATTCCTCCGCTTTCTCAGCTTGCTTGCATTCTGGTTGAGTTTCCTCAACCTTCTCGATCTCCTTAATCTCCTCCTTTTGTTGCTCAACAGGTGCGGTTGGCACGACAGGCTTAGTAGGTTCTTTTGGCTCTTCTTTAGGGCTTTCAGGTTTCTCCACTGGTTTTGATGCTTCCTTGGATATTCTTTTAGGTAATTCCTTAGGAGTATCATCTATTTCTGGAGTTTCATCAGGCTTTAAGTCCTTTTCGACTTCCTTTGTCGTTTGCGGCTTCTCCTCCTTTTTCTCCGAAGTAGCTTTAGAGTTTTTGAGCCTGAGTTGCTCCAAGAACTTTGCCTTGAATTCCTCGTTTGCTTTCTTCACCTCTGGCTCAGCTGGTTTCGCTGGTGCAGCGTCTGGTTTGCTTGGTGACATCGGCACAGACGCTGTAGAGCTAGTTGACGGCGGGACAGCAGGCAATGAGGCGTTAGCTTTGGACAGAACAGGCGTGGAAGATGACGATGAAGATGACAAAGATGCAGTTTTGGAGTGGCCTTTATTGAATTGAACAGCCTCACCGTTCTTATTTTTGATACTCAGGTTGACGGGTTTTGACACCGGGGTGTGAGTCGCAGAGTTCGGCAGCGTAGGGCTGATGCCAATAGCACCCGGTGGTGGAGGCGCGTAGTAGGCTCCTCCTGGAACTCCTTGAGGAGGTGGCGCATAGTAACTGTAAGCATAACCTGGTGCGGCCGCCTGATATGGCTGCGTCATATATCCTGTCCAACCTTGCTGTTGATAATATGGAGGTTGGGGATGAGACTGGTTGTAATTACTGTAGCTGCCATTGTTTCTCCTGTTCTTATGGTAATTGGAGTTGTAATGGTGAGGCGTGTTCCCTGTAGGTGGGACGCTATTTGGATTCGACATGATCAAATTGTCAATGGGTTGATGAAAAAGTCCCAAAGGAGTATTGATCCTGATAGAAGAAAAAGGTACCGAACGGACTCCACGTGAGCAAACACGTTTCTAAGGAACTACGAGTAGGAAGTTCCTGATATATATACCTAAAATAAGATATATATTGGTACAATTACCTTTTTTACAAGAGAAAGATTTTTTTTGGTCTTGTTCGCTTTCAATAAATTTTCACCGTTACCCGGAAAGTCATTTTCGATCCACGATTTTAGCCTTCCGCAGAACCGTACCGATCGTCGTAAGCTTCGCATCTGGTGTGCAGGGCGTGACGAGCTTACTTTAGATTCAACGAAGCCCAATTTTGCCAATAATCATTTTTGCTGCCATGGCTCCTAGCAATGCCAAAACAATCAAGCAGAATCCGTAAATTATCACCATGTCTTTGTAAGATTCCCTTTCTGCGTGGTTAGCTTTCAGGATCTAGGTCTCTGCACTTACGGAAACAGTAGGCTGTCATTAATTCACGGTTCTCTGGATCTCTGCACATGTCGATTTTCTGATCCAGGCAATACTGCATTGTGCACTGACTACAGCCATGAGCGATTTCCAGCTCGAGGATCTCGTAGTTCACCTCGCAATCGCACTTGCAGTACGACTGGAAGCATGTCGCGAGGCCTATGAACACGAGACCTGAGAGCCACGAACGTAGGAGCATGTATTTTTATCAGCAGACTGCTGGTTGCACCTTTACACCGAAAGATATTCTTCCATTCGCCACCAAAATAAAATCAACGATTGTAAAGACAGATTCTTTTCAATTACTCATTCAATTGCAAAATGGCGACCGCAACGTCACACGAAGCAGGCATAAAGCCGTTTTTTAAACAGAAGATACAGGATTTTGAGATCCAAGTCAACGATAAGACTCAAAATCTTAGAAGACTGGAGGCGCAAAGAAATGCCTTGAACGCCAAAGTTAGGGCACTTAAAGACGAGTTGAAGCTTCTGCAAGAGCCGGGTTCCTATGTGGGAGAGGTTGTGAAGGTTATGGGAAAGAAGAAGGTTCTAGTGAAGGTTCATCCAGAGGGAAAGTACGTGGTGAATGTGGCGAATGACATCGATATCAAGAAAATCACCCCAAGTTTGCGGGTTTGTCTTAGAAGCGATACATATGAATTGCATCAAATTCTGCCTAATAAAGTGGATCCATTGGTCTCACTCATGATGGTTGAAAAAGTGCCGGACTCCACGTATGACATGGTTGGTGGTCTTGACAAGCAGATCAAAGAAATCAAGGAGGTGATTGAACTTCCGGTGAAGCACCCGGAGCTTTTCGAGAGTTTGGGTATTGCTCAGCCTAAGGGTGTGATTTTGTACGGACCTCCGGGAACAGGAAAAACGTTGTTGGCCAGAGCGGTGGCCCACCACACAGACTGTAAATTCATCAGAGTGTCAGGATCGGAGCTGGTTCAGAAATACATTGGTGAGGGATCCAGAATGGTTAGGGAACTGTTTGTGATGGCCAGGGAACACGCTCCTTCCATTATTTTCATGGACGAGATCGACTCCATTGGATCCTCGAGAGTTGAGAGTTCCTCGGGTGGAGGCGACTCTGAAGTGCAAAGAACCATGTTGGAGCTGTTGAACCAGCTGGATGGTTTCGAGTCGTCGAAAGACATCAAGATCATCATGGCTACCAACAGGTTGGACATCCTAGATCCTGCTCTTCTGAGACCGGGAAGAATTGACAGAAAGATCGAATTTCCACCACCAACATTGAACGCTAGAACAGATATCCTGAAGATTCACTCGAGATCGATGAACCTGACAAGAGGAATCGATCTTATGAAAATCGCCGAGAAGATGAACGGCTGCTCTGGTGCTGAAATCAAGGGAGTTTGCACAGAGGCCGGAATGTACGCATTAAGAGAAAGAAGGATACACGTTACACAAGAAGACTTTGAACTAGCCGTTGCAAAAGTCATGAACAAGAATGAGGAAGGTGCCGTTTCTATTACCAAGCTATTCAAGTGAGCTCACTCCTCGTCTATTCTCACCGCATTATTAATCAGCCACCTTCTGACGTCGTCAAGATTGTCTTTTGCTAAGACTGCTTTGCAGATCCATGCTCTATCATACTCGTGTTCATCCAACAGCAGGGACACCATCATCGATTTTTTGGTAGTAGCTAGATCCACGCAGAAATAGAATACCGACGAGTTCATGAGCTGTGTTTTAATGTGGTTTATAATGTCGCCGAAATTTTGGAAGGAGGCCATTCCGCTAGATTTGCACTCCTTATTCTTGCACCACGTGTTTCCGCAGCCGGAGTTGAGTTGCAAAATGTACCGTCGTTCGATACGGCTGCGCAATTTCTGGCCTGTTGGATCATTAATAGGTGAATATAGTGGCCCAAAACAAAATTCACATAACTTCAGCTCGTTTGAAGTGGCTGCCTCTCGAATACAATTGACGTTTGAGCAGACCACGGGCTTAGGCCTCGTCACTCTGTTGAGCTCGTGTAGTTTTATGTGCGACTCCAAGTCTCTGAGTCTGACGTTTCGCTTGCATCTCGGACATTCTGTTGTTTTCGATCCGCATTCGAGCTCGTGCTGCGACATTCCGGAAAGTAGTGCATCTGTGGAAGCCTCCATCCTAGGTACCGTCAAATGACAAAATCTACACTCATGCAACGTATATGGACAGCTCGTAGCCAGATGCACACAGTGGTCCACCAATCTGGTCGAGACTGTCTGTGAGCATCGGGAACACTCCGGCGCCATGTGATAATGGAAATATTTCTGGTGTCTTTTGAAAGATGTGTCGTCGTCTCCATACGCTTCGCAGCAGTGCCAATGATTTTCGGGCACATTTCTGAGAAACACTTTGCCGCAGCCGCGTGGACATTTGACGTTGTTGCGCAAACAGAAATTTTCATGCATCACTTTGGAGGCAGCAGCTACCGTGGCTCCACAGTTGCTGCACACATTGGCCGAAGAGACGGTAGTGGATTTTTCAGATGAGTTTGCCGATAACTGGATCAGTGTGGGTGCGAAGGGTAGCAGATACAGCGTTTTTTCAAAGTAGGGGAACGTATTTTGTAAAAACATCTTATTGTCTCCGTTCAACGTGTGCCATATAAAAGAGCGGTCGCTTACATTGGGCATGTTGGAAACGACAAAGTCTGTATCGGCAGTGATAAGCACACGCTCGTGATCTTCTAGCTCGAGCTTGAGCATCTTATCGGTCTGTACATTTTCGTTGACGCGAATAGCGTTGATCGTCTCTCTATGCAAGAATTGCTTGGCCATCTCGTCGTCCAGAGGAACAACGTCCAAGTTGATATCTGTGTCTATGATGCAAACGGTAGCCGCTGGTTCGAGCCTGTCAATGAGAAGCTCGTACGAGCCAAACTCGTCCTCTAGGAGCAAGGTTTGCCCTCGCGTAAGCGAACAATAATACTTGGTGAGCTTTGCCTCCAAAAACCATTTCCAGTCCGAGATGTTCTTGTAGAACTTTAGAGGCTTGATGCTCAGATCGGTGGCTTTTGGCAGTTCAATCAGCTCTGCTTGCACTGGGCCTCCAGCCTCCCCTTTCAGTGCCTCAAGCAGATCGCCCGAAACAAGTACAGTGTCTTCTGGAGCACTGAATTCGCGAACGCCGGCGTAGCACACATTGGTGGCGGTGGCAAGTCGAAACGTCAGGGGATGCGGCAATGGGTCGTACCGCTTAACAAGAAGCTCCAGCACAGACGCGGGCAAATCGATCTTGTCGGAATGGACGGGGATGACAGTAGACCTTTCCACACGCGGAAAACTAAACATGGCTAGATCTTATGTACACAGCCGTTAGTTATTATTACGGAAAAAATAATCTGACTCGTGCACAGCCATGGCCAATGGGTGCTATTCGTTCTTTTCCCTATACAGTATGATTTCGCTCTGTTTGAAGTACCGACGAGCATCCTCGTCTATCAGGACCAGGCTGAGGAACGTCCTCGTAGAGAATTTTTTGTTGACGTCTCTATACGTCGGCGTCAGGTCGAATCCGCCCAGAAACAGTCTTATTGGAATGGTCTCTCCTCTGACGGGCGCTCCGTCCATAATCTCAAACTTGACAACGGTCTCACTCTCGTTCAGCTGGTTCGGCGGCGCTCCGCACGACTCTCTTCGTATGAGGGATAGCTCCATGTGCTTGATTTTCAGCCGTACCAGCAGAAAGTATATTCTCCCCACAATCACGTCTTTCAGCGAGTATTTGTTCTTGGAGTACTCAAACTCAATATGCAAGCAGTCCTCAATCCCCACGTCCATCTTCACCGAGCTTGTAGGCACCACGCTCTCGGAGTCTTCGCTCTGGGGGTCCTGGTACTGGTACACCCAGAGCTCTTTCTCCCTGATCACATCGGCCGACTTGCGCGAAACGGTCACCTTGAGGTAATACCGCAAGCGCACGTTTATGCCGCGGTAGCTTTCGTACTGTTTCTCGACGTTTCTGAACTCGAACGGAAACGTTTCTGGATGCCTGAGCTCCCCCGGACTAGCAAGCTCGTGCGCCATTGAGAGGAAATTGTCGGTCACCATGCCATCGTTGTTTGTCTCTATCGAGCCTAGAAGCTGGATTTTGATTCCTGTATGTTCCACCCTCTTGTTGTCTCTGGTTCTTATGGTCACCTGGCCCTTAACGGTCTCGCCGTCCTTGTACAATGGCAGCTTCTCCTTGCGCCCCTTGATGCCCTTCTGTTCCACTGTCTCGCGCAAGTCCTCTCCGTCAAGACGAAGCTCTATGTCTAGCGGCGACTTGAATATAAAGGACATGGCAAAAGAGAGGTTGTATTTTTATATAGACAACTTGTTTTTACACTCTGCCAAATTACGGGCAACTTTACTGACCCAGACATTTCAGGATGTCAGCCCAAACGGTCTTTGGTGGTTGCGAGGCATCGATCCCGGACCAGATACCGGCCTTCTTGTAGTACTCGACAATTGGCTCCGTTTGCTCGTGGTAGGTGACCAATCTCTTCTTCAAGGCCTCAACGTTGTCGTCCGATCTCTGGATCAATGGCTCGCCAGTGACGTCGTCCTTCATGGCCTCCTTAGGAGGGTTGAAGATCTTGTGGTAAGATCTTCCCGAGGCCGGGTGGACAAGTCTACCGGTGATTCTGGCAACAAGCAGCTCGTCGTCAATCTTGAGCTCAATGGCTTTTTGCAGCGGGGTCTTGTTCTCAGCCAACATCTGATCCAGCTTCTCAGCCTGAGGAATGGTTCTAGGGAAGCCATCAAGAATGAAGCCGTTCTTGCACTCCTGGTTGTTGGCCAGCTCGTCCTTGATCATGTTAACCATGATCTCGTCGGACACAAGCTTACCTTGGTCCATGATTTTCTTGGCCTCCAGTCCCAATGGAGTCTTCTGGGCGACCTGCGAACGCAGCATATCACCGGTAGCCAGGTGGCAAGCACAGAATTTCTCTTTGAGGTTTGGGGCCTGGGTACCCTTTCCTGCTCCCGGTGGTCCGATGAGCACCATTCTAAGGGCAGCTGGCAACTTGGTGGTCAGACCGGCCTTAGACTCCAAGGCTCTGATTCTGTTCTCGAGCTTCTCGACCGACTCTTTCAGTTCTTCGACAGACATGGTGAGGTTGTTGGGGAAACGTTTTTTTGTCAACACTGAAAACTCGGTGCGAAGCAGGTGTAAGGATTACTCTCGGATTCAACTTTTTTATGATTGGAGAAATACGCTATATGAATTCATTCTAAATCATAGCTCGAGGGAATACTGCTCTAGAATTTGACGTCCCAGCTATCCAGCTTCATGGTGCCATTTTCCTGCAAATTAATGTGCATCTTGAAAGCGTCCTTCAGAACATGTGGCTCGTGCATCGTCTTCTTCTTCTCGCAGTAGAACAGGGCTCTGTCGTAGTAGTCTTGCAACTGCGCTCTGTAGTCTGGGTGGGCACACTTGTTGATGATCTTGCTGACTCTCTCCTTTGGCGAGCATCCTCTGAGGTCGGCAAGACCGAAATCAGTGACAATCACGTCCAAGTCGTGCTCAGTTTGGTCAATGTGTGAAGCAAATGGAACAACACACGAGATACCGGTAGGGTCCGTTTTGGTAGGTCTGGCTGCTGGGGTGTGCATGATCGACAGCTTGGCGTTTCTCAGGAAGTCGGCAGATCCTCCCAGTCCATTCAGCATTCTGGATCCATTGACGTTGGTTGAGTTGGCGTGCGCGTAGATGTCCACCTCGACTGGCGTGTTCATAGCAATGACACCAAGTCTTCTAATCAATTCTGGGGAGTTCGACACAACCTGCGATCTGAGACATAGTTTCTTGGAGAAGAGGTCCCAATTGTCGAAAAATTTCTTGAATCCATCCGTGGACAGTCTGATGGAGGTGGCAGTAGCATAATTCATAGCGCCAGTCTCGAAGAACGGCAAAAATGAGTCCTGCAAAACCTCTGTCCAAACAGTCAGGTTCTTGAACGAGGAATCTGCCAGTCCGCCAATGATTGCATTGGCAACGTTACCGATACCGGACTGTAATGGGTGCAAGTTATCTGGCATTCTACCGGCATTGACCTCGTGCTCGAAGAATTCGATCAGATGGCTAGCAATCCTGCGGGATGTTTCGTCCGAAGGTGCTGGGTCTGGAACTCTATCTGGGGTGGTGGACTCGACAATGGCAACGACTCTGGAGGGATCGACCGGAATGGCTTGCAAACCGTTCCTGTGGTCAACAGAGGTATATGGGTATGGTTTTCTGAAAGGTGGGTGTTCTGGCATGTCAATGTCATGCAATCCCTCAAAGGATGGCGTGGCAGTGTTGACTTCGATGATAATCTTGTCCGAGCAGCTCAGCATCTCGGGAGAGGCACCGACAGCAGGACCTGGGACAATCGCACCGTCCTCGGTAATGGCAGTTGCCTCGATAATGGTGTAATCCAAGAGATCGTTAGACTTGTCCATGGTGTAATAACCGTAAGTGAGGTCCTGAGGGAACATGGACAAGTGTTTATCGAAAAATTGGGTTCTATTGGAGTTGATCGCAGCGGCGATCGGTTTACCGACTTGGTGAGGCGCACGTCTCAATATCATGTCATTTTGAGCCCATTGTGATTCTTCTGGACCTGCCGAGGCACCGACAAACAAGTTGAAGGCCAGTTTGCCTTGCAAGTTGTTCTTTTCAACGTGATCCACAAGGGCTTGAGGAACAACCTTAGGGGCTCCCACTCCGGTGAAACCCGACCATCCAAGATATTGGCCGTGCTGGAAGAGAGGAATACACTCTTCAGCGGTTCTAAGCTTCTTGAGATATGGAGCATAGCGGACTCTTTGCTTGAGAATGGCAGACATGATAAAAAAGAATGGTTACAAGCGGAAGGGAAATTCGGAGAGAAAATATTTATATATCGAAATGGTGTTATTTCCGGTTTTCAGAACTTCTTGGACCCATTTTCTAGTTTTCCGGCACGGGGTGTGCGAACAATAAAACCTGACAAAAAAAATAGCACCGATGAATAGTTGGTGGAGAGACCCGATATGGCCTATATCCGGTCCCCAAACCGATAGGCCTCGGGCGCCTGACTTGCGAGAGCTGGAAAGTGGCTTCCAACCGTCGGTCGAAAGTAGATAGTACCATACTGGCGAGGTCAGTGCCTATGCGACTCGGAACCCGTTACAGGTCATCCCCTCATGCGCGTGATATTATCCTGATGCACCCTGTCAGTTGGCCAATAGAATTGCGCGAGATGACAAAACGGCCGCGAAGTTGGAAACTTTCGCACCTGGGGAAAAGAACCACATGACCCGCTTTTTGGATCGCGGGACGAATGTGGGGGGTGTCGTTTCCGTACTTATTATCTTCATTATTCATTATTTTTCGTATACTCTTTTACGTATCTCTCGTCAGCAAAACAGTCTTCCACGTAGCCAACCTCAAAAGTACATGTGTGCTTGTTTTGTCCGTTGTTGAAGATCATTTGCAGGTATTCCTCCACTTTGCGCAGTTCCAGTTTGTCCTTCTCGCTTACCTCCTGGAAGTGTGGAACAGGTCTAACAAGGTACAAAGCCAAATGCTTCATATTATATTTGAGCTCCTTTCCGATTCCAAACACATTGCGTAGTTCGCTCAATGTAGCCATTCTCCAGCCAACAAGTGTGAGCGACTCAAGGTTGGTCAAAATCGATTTGTTCTCGATCTCACGCGTTTCTTCATTTTGCGTCTGGAATATCTTTTTCAAGTTTAGCCAGTTGAGCCATGGGTAGTAATAGTTGTACTTGTTCTCGTTGTAGTCTTCACTCAAAACCACAATCGAAAGGTGCTTTAGGTTGTTGTAGAAACGTGTCTCAAAAAGAAATAACTCGTTGGCATCGTTGTCAATGAAAGATCTGAACCGTTCGGCAGCCACAAAGGAAGACGAGTATTTGCTGTAGAACAGAGACAGACGTTCGGGCGACGTAAACTCGTTGCTCTCCAACTTAAGAAGCGGATTTGGTGAAGGGTAGACAGGCGAAAAGACGTCACTAAGACTGTAAGGATGGTCCCATTTGCAGTTGATCAGCGTCAGATCGTTCAAAAACACGAGACGGCCATCCCTGCTCCGTTCTTTGAGGTCGCTGAAATCCGACTTGAATTTGGGATAAAAGTATTGGTCCTTGGCAAGAAGAAACCCATTAAGAGTGAGCTGCTTGATGTTATGGAACCGTTGCAGTTGAGTCAGTTCAAAAAGAGACTCATCGTTGGGCGCACCAGAATGACTGATTAGCTTCAGTTTCTCGATCTTGTCGCTCAAATTGGTATCAAAGTTATCCTGGTACTTTAAACACCGGGCTGACGACATAACTTCAATCACCAGCTCCTTGAGGTTGGGAGACTCCTCCAGTATCCCTTTGAGTGATATATTCCATTCCCCGTAGGTAGTAGATTTTCGGTCTTGAAGGTCGCTGAAAATGCGGATTGCGCGAACAAGGTCTTTGGACTTGAAACTCTCACTAAAAGATTTGAAGTCTCGCCATGTCAGTTTCAGCCTTTCGTATACAAGAGGATAAAACTTTGCTCTGTGAGCGCTGTCCAAAGTCGATATGTTGACCAAATCCTCTCGCGACAGCTGCATGCATCGGATGAGCTCAAGCGGCAGATTCAGGAGAAACAACGGATACGTGCTCGACTCCGTCTTCCGCCGTTTAACGTCCCGGGAAATCATGTTTGGTCTTGTTCGAAAAAAATTCTGTTATATATATAAATATCTAATATTTGCGCCGATGTGGGCCGATCGACGCGGGTCTAGTAATTCATCACGTCCTCGAAGTCGTCGTCTTCGAGCTCCGGCTCAAAAGCGAGCGTTTCGGTGTCGCCGTCATGCAGCTTGTCATAATGCTCCCAGTTACGCTGGAGTCTCTTGAGGGTGACGGAGGCCGAGGCCGTGTGCAGAATGTTCATTTGCGTGAAGTAGCGAGTCACAAATTCCCGATCGCGGTCGTACACGGAGTTTAGGCCAACATAGAATACCGCCACCTGGACGATGAGGACGCAATAGTTTCTCATCACTTTTTCACAATCCAAAAATCGGAAAAGATGCATTGCCCGCTGGACCAGTTCCTGGATTATTGGGTGCTTTTTAGGGATCCGGCCCAAATCCGAGGTGATGATCAGGAACGCAGTGATCACAAACGATTGGTGACACACGTCATACCATGAAATATAGTCGTAGGTACCGTCAGAATACTCGACCTTTTCAATTGCTTCTGGCGAGAGCGGTTCAAACCCCAATGGTGGGGCGAGGTGGTTATCAGGATGCATAAAGTGAGTTCTGGGCACGATTCCTGTTTTGCTGATGATCTCAAACTGCGCCTCTCTGTGAAAATCGGCAGTGAGCTCGAATATTGAAAAGGCTGAAAGGCTGGGCGACTGTGAGGGAGAAGATCTCTTGCTGCGCATAATTTTAATCGATTTGATCAACTTTTGAAGCGATACTCCGAGCGTATTGGTATAGCCGTAGAGATAATTGAAGCCGTCTCGGCGGCTGCACATCATGCTTTCCCAATAGGCTTGCGTATACGGAAGGTCGTACATGGCGAGCTCGAGCTCTCTGTCGTTTTTGAGCACCCCACCCAGCGGAGCAGTGAGACCGGCAATATTTTCGATCGACAGGTACCAGTTGCGGCAGAATGCCACGACGTACGAATCTCGCTGGCGAAGGCGTGGGTCCTCGCTAAATGGGGCATATGTGGAGAGCAGGTCCTTTGCGGCACAGAGATGCGGTCTCCATTTCTGGACAAGAGACATCGCAGTGTACGACGTGAGAAGGAGGATGGTGAGTAGCATGGGCTCCACGTTCGCGCTGATCTTATTCTGGTCAGCCAGAACAGTGGACAGCAGCTGCAAACACGTTGACAAGTACGAGCAGTAATTTTTCTCGTCTTGAGCGTCTTGGGTTTTGCGTAAACTTTGCAGGGCACCGCACGATAAGATGGCAGCCATGAGATAGTTGTTCTTACTCGCATAGGTCAGAAGAATTTCCCGCGCTGGGTTGTACTGGGGCGAGGGTTGAAGAGGCATGATGACTCGGGCGTAATCGTGGTCGAAGAGCTCTAGGTATTTTCTGTGTTCTCCGGGAAACTGCAGAGAGTCTATGGAGATTCGTTTGGTAAGGAAATCAGGAATCTCCCAGCTTTTTGCCGAATCAAACGACGTGGAAGACTCTGGGTGCTGGTACTCGGTGCGCTCGAACATCCGGAACATGCTCTCCAGTTCACTTTCATCGTTCGGAACGCCAATCTCGTCTATCTTGCTCTCCAGCAAGTCGTTGAGACTGTGTGCCAGATTGTTCGCTGATGCTCCCAAAAATTGCACGGGGACGCTGCTCTGCGGGGAGTGAGACTTTTCATTCAGTCCCGAGGACTCCGAAGTGTACGGTGTGGCGGTTGCTGGTGGCGAAACGCGGGTGTTTTCGTGAGGTCCTAGTAACACGGGCCCCATTCGATTGACGTAGAATTCCTGAACATGGCTTGGCGGAACGTAGACTGGCGCATGATATGGCGTCCCGTAGTGACCTACGGGCGAGACGTTGGTCGCGGACATGTCCTTGAGCTTCGACGACTTGCGTGGCTGATAGACACAGACGTTGTCAAGCCGTTTGCAGTGCCAACAAATAGGCTTGGCCTCGTCACACTGGCATTAGTATACTTCCAAGCCGCACACTTACCTTGATTTTGCGTCGCTTGCATTCCACACAGCCGTCTTTTGAGTACTTTCGTTTCTTGGGTTTAACGGACATTTTATCCATCGACAGCTAAGTGTCTTCGCTTATTCCCTCGGTGTTCAAGGAGTAAAGTCGTTGTTGGCGTAATTTTCGAAACTAGCAATTCAGCTGACACTGTCCTGCCGCATTGCAGGAGCCACGATCCCTGATTGACGATTTAAAGTTTGACAGCAGACAAATTGTTCTCCGCTCGACGCATGGCCAGCCGTCGCGGTCGATCGTCGCGGAAAAGATAATTAATCATATAGCCTAATCATCATCTTCATGTTTCCTTTGGTGAACCCTCCAAACAGGGTCCTTCAGGTGGATGCGAAGCTGCTCGACAACGAAATTTTTGACATTCTGTCAAGGCAGCTGAATGAGGCCATCTCCAACCCGAAACTGCCGCGATTTTTCCAGATTCTAAACTCCAGATACGCTGACGAGCTGCGACTGGCCTTGGAACTATTTGTGTTCAAAGTGACGGTCTGGAACAAAAACAGCAGCTATGGTCTGCTGCTCCAGAATCTGGTGATGTCGGACGGAGGCGATCGACGAAGAAACACCAAGTCAGAGCTTTCCAGACTCAAGAAGACGGCCCTCTTGTCGTTTCTGATCCTATCTTATCTGTACAAAAAGCTGGAGTCGCATCTGTACAGTCTAGACGAGGATGATGAGGAAGACCGCACCAAACTGCATCAATTTCTGCACAAGATCATGGCCAAACTGCAGAGACTCCTACCAGCGCTTCAGAAATGGTACGCTGGTCTTTCGCTTGCCAACTTTCTTGCTTTCCTGGTCCACGGGCAATATCCCAGCCTTATCAATAGAGTTCTCCGCATCCGATACAAGCCGCTTGTATCCACACAAGTTTCGTTTGCGTCGAATCCGGAGACCATCTCGTACGAGTTCCAGGACAGACAGCTGGTGTGGAACACGCTGACGGAATTCCTCGTATTCATAATGCCAATGCTCTCAATGTCCAAGCTCTCGAAATCAGTTATGCGACTGCTGCAGACGGACCAGAGACTGGAGGAAAAGGAAACTATCTACCGTTTCCTTCCCGAACGGTGCTGCGCAATCTGCTATCAAAACACCACTCGCGCTGGCGAGACCGACGCGTCGATCGACGAGCATCTTATCACGAACCCGTTTGAGACAAGTTGCGGCCACGTCTACTGCTATGTGTGTCTGATGGCAAAACTTGAGGACGGAGATCCGTGGCAGTGTCTGCGGTGCGGCGAACGCGTTGAGTTTGTGCGGGTGTTCGACGGCGAGCCTGCTGACTACGAGCCGGACTCCAGCGACCAGGAGTCTGCTTCGGAGTACTCAAGCGACTCCGGCAACGAGTCAGACTCGTCTAAGAGTTTTTCAGATAAGGTCGATCATGTCTATAACTAAACAATATGTGGGCGGGAAGTCAAGCGCGACATCACAGTCCGCCATCCGTCCTTCTTAGGTTCATAAGTACGGGGTGCAGAACGGAAAAGGAGCTTCCTTTGACAGATTATACTTGTCGTGGCTAGTAGATTCTGTAGGCTTTGGAGGCCGGCATCTGGACGTGGAATCATTGGGGTCTGATTGACAGGGCGTCCAGACTCCTCCTCTGTGCAGAGATAAAAGTATTCGACAAGGTCGCCCCGAGTGCCTGATGGTAGCACTGAATTCCACATGTTTTACGTCTTCAGTACTTTCACATTTCTCTCTGATGATCACAATGCTGTAGGTTCTGATCCATCATTAGCAGTATCTGTCTCCGAGAAGCTCCAATCACGATCGTGGTATCCGTCCACGTTCTGGTAAGATAGATTCTACGGGCACAAGGCTGAAAAGTACAATGTTACCCTGAACTTTTTTTTTTTTTTTTTTTGCCCCGAGAGTATAAATTGAGCTCTCCTGGCTCAAAATTTTTTTTCCAAGATCTCTTTGCCTTTTGGCTTAGATCAAGTGTAGTATCTGTTCTTTTCAGTGTAACAACTGGAATTCCCTCGCCATGAGGGTTTTATTGTTACGTTCACTTTTTGGATATGATTGCCAACCTGACAGGTTCAGATTTATCTGACTTGTCGACTGGCGCTGTGTCGTTGCCCTTACACTGTTTGGCTTCTGACGCTCTACGAGCACTGCCAAAGGCTTGGCTGTGTTTGCAGAGCGCGTGGTCTGTATATGCTTATTACTAGCTTATGTAATATTAACCTTAAAAAATGTTTCCAATATAAACAACGCGAAGAACAAAATAAAATATTTGATGCTCCTCAACATCACAGACCATTTGAAATGGCTGTCCCATGCGAGGCCGCAGATTCCTCCTACCGTCAAATTTCCGCAGTTGACTCCAGACCAACTGCAGGAACACATTAAGAAGTCTGCCGAAGCGGACGTCGACCGTCACTCGGTAGCACTCCCTCCACGGATCTGCAATCAGGCGCCGTCGAGAGTTCTGGTGCGCGCAAGTACTGTCACTCCGGAAACAGTCAATGAGATGAGCGGGATTATGGCACGCAAAGCGGCTTCTGTGCGGCAAAGGAGTCTCGGATCGTCGCAAAACAGCGTGGGTGTGATCGATCTGACGAACGAACGGGTCGCTGCTGCACGCAAAAGGGCAAATGAGGCTGCAGGCAGCCCGATCAGCAAGAAACCGCGAACTAACGACGATGACGAATTTTCTGACGACGACGAAATAGAAGCTATATTGGCCAACCGCCATTCCAGCAACTCCACCAGCAGAAGCGTACCGCGAGAGGACGGGCATTTGTCTTTTGGCGAGCTCTCCAAGATGGTGGAAAATGCCAGTCTCATGAACAAAGAAGCACGAGAGCTCATCACGCTACAATTTTCACTGATGGCGCAAATGGACTCGTTAGCGAATCTTTTGCGCCAGAATATATCTGTTGACGAGTCCACGTCTATCAGTGAAGACGACAAGAGGCGCAGAAGAGGCCAGTTGGCGCATGACATCCAACAGTCGCAGGCAGCCTGTAATGAAACCAGGCTTCGAATACAGCATTTTTGCATAAATAATCTCGGCAGAAGGTTGGAGGAGGATATCAGTTCAGAGATAGATACCACAGCCATACCTTTTACCAGTACGGCATACACAGCGAAAACTAGCACACAACTCATTTCTAACCGGGAAGAAATAAATCAGACACCTTCAACCATAAATGCCACCAATCAGTCCACGTTTCCGAGTCCTTCTTTCAAGGTCCCCCCTGTACCGTCAACTGCCATTTCTGATCGCGAGGACCGGCGAAACTCCCAGCCGGATTTTGAGGATTCATTCAATTGCGACAGTGACGATCCTGAGGTGATCTCCACACAGGAAAAGGCAGAACTTGACCAGTTCATTGTGGACGACGAAATTTCTGGCGACGATGAGTCCTACAAAGAGGATGACATAGAGGACATTGAGAACACAGAGCTTGGCGATGTTCAAAACTCGCCAGAGCTGGAAGACGTCGAGGAGGGCATTGAACACATGGAAATTGTTCAGGATAACGCGATTCTTCTGGACTCGCCGCAAGACGAGTTCTTGGAGGAGGAAACACGGAACGATTATTTTACACAGCTGAACGAGGAGCGGGAACTTGACGTTATAGACCTAGAGGACGAGCAATTCTGGGACAGCGACGCGGAGAATGAGATTTTTGATAGGCGCAACGAACAGTCGAAGAAGGCCGAGCCACAGCAGCCAGTCTCGCAACACTCCGACTCGGACATTGAAGAGCTAACAAATGTGAATCCGGATGCGTACAAAAAATTCATGGGCAAGTTCGAATGGACTACAGAACTGTACTCGGTTTTGAGAAATACTTTCAAGCTGCCGTCTTTCCGAGAGAATCAACTAGAGGCTATAAATGCAACACTAAGCGGAGAGGATGTATTCGTTTTGATGCCGACAGGCGGCGGAAAATCCCTCTGCTACCAGTTGCCTGCTCTCGTAAAGTCCGGAAGCACAAGCGGCACCACCATCGTTATCTCGCCTTTGATTTCCTTGATGCAAGACCAAGTGCATCATCTACTACAGAACCAAATCAAAGCGGCAATGATCAACTCAAAATCATCTGCCTCGCAGAGGAAACAGACGTTTGACCTTTTTGTCAACGGGTTCCTCGATCTCGTATATCTATCTCCTGAAATGATCAGCGCAAGCGGAATGGTGAGAAATGCCATTGCTACACTCTACAAGAAGAGAATGCTAGCAAGAGTTGTCGTGGACGAGGCTCACTGTGTTTCCTCTTGGGGTCATGATTTCCGTCCGGACTACAAAGCTCTGAGTTATTTCAAGACCGAGTATCCTGAAATTCCCATGATGGCCCTCACGGCAACGGCGAACGAGCATGTCCGGATGGACATCATCCACAATCTCAATCTAAAGCATCCTAAATTCTTCAAGCAGAGTTTCAACCGCTCCAACTTATATTACGAAGTGTTGCCAAAAAAGAAGACTGTCGTGGAAGAGATTGCACAGATGATCAACTGCAAATACAAGAATATGACAGGAATAATCTACTGCCACTCGAAGAACTCGTGCGAGCAGACAGCGACTCGTCTTGCCAACTATGGTATTAAATGTGACTTTTACCACGCAGGAATGACTCAGGACGACCGTCAAAGAGTCCAGCTGGGCTGGCAAAGCAACGAGATCCAGGTCATCTGTGCTACCATTGCGTTTGGTATGGGAATCGATAAGCCAGATGTTCGATTCGTCATTCACCTTACTCTTCCTCGTAATCTTGAAGGATACTACCAGGAAACCGGAAGGGCAGGGAGGGACGGCAAACATTCTGACTGCATTATGTACTACAGTATGAGAGATGCTCGCACTTTACAAGGAATGATTATGCGCGACAAGGAGCTTGACCGGTTCAACAAGGAACAACACGTGAACAAATTACGCCAGGTGATACAGTATTGTGAGAACACAACAGATTGTCGCCGTCAGCAGGTGCTGCAATATTTCAACGAAACTTTCAACCGCAAAGACTGTCAGAAGAAGTGTGACAACTGCGTCAACGGCGAGAACTTTGAAGTCGAAAACCGCGACATGACGGCCTTCGCCAAAGACGTAATAAATCTCGTTAAAAATCTTAACGGAGAAAACTTGACCGTGATCCAATGTCAGGACGTTTTCAGAGGATCCAAAACAGCCAAAACTGTCAATTTGGGCCTACATCAGAACGAGTACTTTGGAAATGGCCGAGAGCTGCCCAAAATGGAAATCGAGCGACTATTCTTCCATCTTTTGAGAGAAGGCTTCCTGGAAGAGAAATCTGTGATGAATGCTGCTGGGTTCGCCACAAACTATCTTGTTCTTGGACCCAAAGCAAACGACGTGCTATCTCGCGGGAAAAAAGTGGTGATACCATTCACCAGAAGCAAGACCCCTCGATTGCAGACGCCATCTATTTCTCGGACAGCTAACAAAGAGAACACGGCTCCCCAGTTTCTTTCTGCAAGTAAGTTTTTCTCTGTCGGGCCACCAAATGCTAGCAAAACGTCTGTGAAGCAGGTGGATCCCAAGTTGGCCGACCACATCAACAAATGCTACCTTAAGTTGCGAGAGCACCGGTCGCTTTGCAGTACGCACCTAAATCATTCCAAAGACTCGACCATGGCCTCCGATACCACTTTGAAAGATATGGCCATGAAATTGCCGACTACAAAATTGGAGTACGATAAACTTGACGGTATCGAGAAAAACCAGACACAATACTTCCAGAAGTTTGAGCGTGTACTAGCGGCTCTGAGGCGAGAACGCGAAACTTTGCTGGGCTCAAACAGCCCTGAGCTGGAAGTTGTCTCGTCGTCGCTCCCGTCTCAGCAAGACCACAAAGTAGTTAATCAGCTTTCGCAGCTGTTCTACCCTGAAAGCCAAAATTCATCACGCAAATCTACTACTGTTTCACGAAGCAAGAGCTCGAGCCAGCGAGGAGGCCGCCCATACCGCAGGGGTGGATCGAGAGGAGGATCGAGAGGAGGGCTACGCCGACCAAGCAAATCCGGTTCGCGGGGTAATTTTAGAAAAGCGAAAGTGCAACCAAAGCAGCTTTCAGGCTCTGTCATTCGCACAATGAGGATGTAAGCATCGAGAAAAAAATATATTTTTTTGCATTGATAATCTGGAGAAGTCAAAAAATCAACATTAAATTAATTAGTGATAAATTTTTTTATTAGCGACGCTGCTGTGATGGAGAAAATTAACGTCCTTGTCGTGGGAAACGGAGGTCGTGAACACGCTCTGGTGTGGAAATTGGCCCAATCGCCATGGGCGAAGCGCATTTTCGTCGCTCCTGGAAATGGTGGCTTTTCCAAACTTGATAATGTCACGACTGTCCCTATTGGATCCTCTCCTTCTGACTTTGGTTCATTGGTTGACTTTGCCACCAAGCACGACGTTGGCCTTGTCATACCTGGTCCAGAACAGCCCCTGGTTGATGGCATTACTACGTGGTTTCAGAAAGCTGGTATACCAGTTTTTGGTCCCAGTGCCAAAGCAGCCAGAATGGAAGGATCCAAGACCTTTTCGAAAGACTTTATGAAAAAGCACAACATTCCTACTGCCCAATACGAGAATTTTACTGACTATGAGGCTGCCAAACAATATATTGCCAACTCTAACCATAACCTAGTTATCAAGGCTTCAGGAATCGCTGCTGGAAAAGGTGTTTTGATACCCGCCAATAAACAGGAAGCTTACGAAGCCATTAAAGAAATCATGGTCAACAGACAGTTTGGTTCTGCCGGTGACGAGGTTGTTATTGAGGAGTTCCTTGAGGGAGATGAGCTGTCCATTCTATGTATCAGCGACGGCTACTCCTTTGTTGATCTTCCACCTGCGCAAGACCACAAACGTATTGGCGACGGCGATACTGGCCTGAATACTGGAGGGATGGGTGCTTACTCGCCTGCCCCTATTGGTACCCCATCGCTGCTGGAAAAGATCAGAAAGAGTATTCTGAAACCAACAATCGACGGAATGAGAAAAGACGGCTACCCAATGGTCGGATGTTTGTTTGTTGGTATCATGGTGACTCCTGATGGCGAACCAAAAGTTCTTGAATACAATGTGCGGTTTGGAGACCCGGAGACCCAGACTGTGTTGCCGCTACTAAAATCTGACCTTCTAGAACTAATGTTGGCCACTGTTGAACATCGTCTAGATTGTGTCGACTTCCAGGTCCATCCTGACAAGTACAGCACCACGGTCGTTGTGGCTGCTGGTGGATATCCAGAGTCTTATAGAAAGGGAGACGAGATTACCGTGAAGGAGCCATTGCCGGAAAACACTTTTATTTTTCATGCAGGTACCAAGGAAGAGAACGGCAAGGTTGTCACTGCCGGTGGTCGCGTGATTGCTGCAACCGCCATTGCTGACACTTTGGAAGAAGCCGTCAGGAAGGCCTACGTTGGTGTTGACCATATCTCATTCAAGAACAAATACAACAGAACCGACATTGCTCACCGTGCCTTCAGAGAAAAGCAAAAAAACAAGGTTTCCATTACCTACGAGGACGCTGGTGTTTCTGTTGATGCTGGAAATCAGTTGGTGGAGAAAATCAAAAAGAGCGTCAAGTCCACCAAGAGACCAGGTGCGGACTCCGAGATTGGCGGATTCGGAGGTCTGTTCGATCTGCAGAAAGCCGGATACACAGACATGAACGACACTCTTCTTGTGGCTGCTACAGACGGTGTTGGAACCAAGCTTAGAGTTGCCCAGATCATGGATATCCACAACACTGTTGGTATTGATCTCGTAGCGATGAATGTCAACGATTTGGTTGTTCAGGGTGCCGAGCCACTGATGTTCTTGGACTACTTTGCAACTGCTCATCTGGATATTAAGGTTGCTGCCGATTTTGTGGAAGGTGTTGCTAATGGTTGCAAATTATCGGGCTGTGCTCTTGTTGGCGGCGAGACCAGTGAGATGCCGGGAATGTACGCTCCCGGTCACTACGACACCAACGGAACTGCCGTCGGCGCGGTTCTGAAAGGGGATATTTTGCCAAAGAAGGACGAGATGAAGGCAGGCGACATTCTTCTTGGGATTGCCTCTGACGGTGTGCATTCGAACGGGTTCTCGCTGATCAGAAAAATCATCGAGACTACCGACTACAAGTACACAGATCCTGCACCATGGAACCCTGACTCGACGATTGGCGAGGAAGTTCTCATTCCAACTAGAATCTACGTCAAGCAGCTGCTTCCTGCTACCAGAAGGGGTCTGATTCTTGGACTTGCTCATATCACTGGAGGAGGACTTGTTGAGAACATTCCAAGAGCTATTCCTGATCATCTGAGTGCTGAGGTCGACATGTCCACTTGGACGGTTCCTGAGATCTTCAAGTGGCTGGGAAAGACGGGAGGAGTACCAATCAGCGATATTCTAAAGACTCTGAACATGGGTATTGGCATGGTAGCCATTGTAAAACCAGAGAATGTGCAAGAGGTCAACAGGGTCCTTAAGGAGGCTGGGGAGACCGTATACACCATTGGCAAGCTTGTTGTGCGCAAGGACTTACCTGGATGCACTATTAGGAATAGCCAGGATTTGTACTAGATAAAAATAACTACGAACTTTTTCCTTCCCTATTGTAACACTGCCAATCTGTTCCACGTGCGCTCTTGAAAAAAATTTTAAAAAAAAGATTTAATACTGGGTAATAGATGAGCATTGAAAGCTAGTGGCCAAGACCGCCAGCGAATACGAAATTTTCAACTGTGAAATTCCGGGTGATAAGCTTATACTGCATGACAAAAAAAGAGCCTCCATAGCCAAGTCTTATCAAAGAATAGTATATCAACATGTCTGACCGCGGTTCTTCTAGATCCCGTTCTCCAGCTATGTCTGTGACCTCTTCAAAGGACGTTGCTTCGATGCATTCCAGCATTAGCGGTGATTCGCGTTTGAACGACCACAGACATCAGAACATGACCCTTCCAGTCAAACATGATTCCAAACATCACCAAGCGGAGGGCTCGCGGCCTACCCGCTTTGAGTCACATCGTTTCAGCGTTACGGAAAGACCTGGACTGAACGAACCTGTGGCAAGAAAGCCCGAACAGTTACTTGACTCTAGTGAACTGAGAGACAGGATGGTGGCCGTCGACGATGACGAAGATGATTTTGCCATCAAAATTCCTTCTCAAGTGCCTCCTGTCCAGCAACGCCGGCGGTCTACTCGTTCTCGCTCATTCGGTGAGCAGGTTAAATCGTTTATCAAGCCACGCGAGGAATCTTTCTCCGGAGGCATTCTATTATCAGCAAATCGTCCTAGTACGGACAAAAACATCACCATCTCCTCTAACAACAACCTTGCTCGTACCATTTCCAAGGGCAGCACCAGAAGTGACAGATCCAGAAGACGTCCTAGTAACAGCAACATTAAAGAAAAGCACAGCGACAATGACAGCGACAGAGACTCGCATGCCTCCAATGACTCGCAAGAGACAGAGGAAGACGTTTGCTTCCCAATGGTCCCCGAACACATTCGTATCCGTGGTATTGACTTTGACGAAATTGAAGAATTCATCAAGGAACAGAGGGAAGAAAATGAGATCTTCATGAAGAGAGAAGAAAATCTTAGACAGGATAGCTACGCGTCGAGAGCCACTGGTGCTGAAAAGTTCAGCACCGCAGCACTGAAGTATACTCCACGTCCTGACGAAAAGGATTCTTCGGGAAGCAAGGACACCTATGCTGTTACCGACAGCAGTGACAGCGATGGAAATGGTGTTACTTTCGAGAAACAGTTCCCTAGCAGGGAATCTGCTCCTCCAGACAGATTTAGCTTTTTCTCTTCTGAGGACGAGGAAACTATTCACGCTCCTGATATTCCGTCCCTGGTTCCTCCCGGAACTCCCTTCGAAAGCCTATTCCAGAGGGAGGAGGCCATTTGGTGGCTCGACTGCGTTTGTCCAACAGACAATGAGATGAAAATGCTGGCAAAGGCTTTTGGTATTCATCCTTTGACTGCAGAGGATATCCGGATGCAGGAGACTCGTGAAAAGGTGGAGCTGTTCAAGAACTACTACTTCGTCTGCTTCCACACATTTGAGACCGATAGCGAGAGCGAGGATTTCCTTGAGCCTATCAACGTGTATATCGTTGTGTTCCGCAATGGTATGCTTACGTTCCATTTCTCTCCAATCTCTCACCCGGCAAACGTCAGAAGAAGAGTGAGACAACTGAAGGATTATGTTAATGTGAGCGCCGACTGGCTCTGCTATGCTTTGATCGATGATATCACTGATGGATTTGCTCCAGTAATCCATGCTATAGAGTACGAGGCAGACGCGATTGAGGATTCTGTGTTCCTGTCCCGTGAAAGCGAGTTTGGAACCATGCTTTTCAAGATCGGAGAGAGCAGACGCAAGGTCATGACACTGATGAGGTTGTTGCAGGGCAAAGCCGACGTTATCAAGATGTTTGCCAAGCGGTGCCAGGACGAAGCCTTGACTTCACAAAATGCGGCACAGCCCCGTGGAGATATTGCTTTATTCTTGGGCGATATCCAGGACCATATCATCACTATGTTTCAATCGCTGTTATCCTATGAAAAGATTTTCAGCCGCTCTCACTCCAACTACTTGGCTCAATTGCAGGTCGAGTCCTTCTACGCTAACAACAAGGTGACCGAGCTGCTATCGAAGGTGACTTTATTGGGTACCATTCTAGTGCCTTTAAACCTGGTGACGGGTCTTTTCGGAATGAACGTCCAGGTTCCGGGGCAAAACGTCCAGAATTACCATTGGTTTGGTGGTATTATAGGATTCATTGTTTTCATGATACTTGTGGCCGGTTTGGGATCTGCTTACTATCTGCGCCTGCTTAGGAGAGATCGGTCTGATATTAAATTTTCGGGCAAGTCTATCAGAAGCTTTCATTTCGGACACCGGTCCAATGCGGAGCCGCCTAGGGGACGCAGCAATCGGTCTATGGTGAGCCTTCCTTCTAAGTTCACCCGATACGCTGGAGACTGGTAGACTGTATAATAGAATGTAAAAGAAAAAATATACAAAAAATATTATAGAAAATAGCGTATTAAGTTGAATAATACATGAGGTTACACTGTGTATTTACGCTCGCGGGTCTGCTGGCACTGGCGCTGAGCGGCTCACTGGAGAAGGTGGACCAACGATTTTTGAGCGAAGGCGCTTCGCTTCAGATCCTTCAAGAGTACGATGCCATTTTGAACGATCTTCGAAAGATGGATCCTCAAAATCCTACAATTTCTAATGTGTTGTATAAGCACGGACTAGTCAATTTCTCTCTCAAGCGAGACAAATTGGCTTTGCAGGATTTCGAATACTGTCTTGATATCAATCCGAATCACCAGGGCTGTTTAAACCGACTACAAGAGCTGTGCATCGAAATGGGTGAGTACGATGAGGCAGAAGCGCGAGGAATTAATGTGGATGAATACAAGCAACTGGAGCAAGCCGTGGTGACACTACACAAGAACAAAAGATACAAAGAAAGCATAGAAAAGGCGCAGGAGCTCATCAACATGTCTCCGCTGAACATGAGGGTGCGAGCCATAGTTACTGACTGCTTGAAGAATTCCAAATTAGATTTTCCACAAAAGGTTCAGCTTCTTGCCGACCAGTATGGCGTACTTGTGAACAACGATAGGTCTCTCGAGAATTACGTGGATCTCTTCGATTTACAATTTTTTGGCAAGGCTATCGATATCGGCAGCTGCTCCAAAGTGTTGAAAACGTGTCTTAAATATGACAACGATTATAAGGAATGTCGTGAACGGACTAAGATGACAGTGAAAATGAGCAAACTCCTTGATTTGTACGAGCAGGTCTCCATTTATTACTCGTATCTATATTTAGACGAGGGAGATGTCGTGCGCGTGGAGGAATTGGAACCATCGGATGATGTATGGCGACAGCTGCACAACCTCCTGTTTGGTAAAACCAAGGTGCGCGGCCAGGAGTCTTTGCTGGGTGTTGACCTTTCCAAATATCGTACCAACTTGGACGTCCTGGTAGAGTTGACTGTGAAAGCCCTAGAACGATTTGGGTTTTCGAGACGTGAGATTCTGGACCACTCACCGTTCCTCCACGAACTTGCTCGTATGGCTAAGGAGTCCTGTATCCGCACAGGAAACCCTTACAAAAATAAACTGGATTACAAGGACGAGATTCTGCCGGAGCAGTTTGAAGAAGTGGACAAACTGCTGCGCAAAAAAAAGTATGGCGAGGCTAAGCAGAAACTGGACGCCATGCGTGGCGGTTTCAAAAAGAGCTCGTTATGGAAACAGAGAAACGAACAGCTGTCTAAATTCAGGGAGCATGAGCAGAGGCAAAGAGCCAGGCAGCAGCAGCAGCAACAGCAACAACAGCAGTATCAGCATTATCAGCAATATCGACAGTATCGGCAGAACCAACAGCCGCCTCCACAAGGAGCTCCGGACGGCATGGATCCTTATAAAGTGTTGGGAGTCTCGAAAACTGCTGATGATGCAGAAATCAGAAAAGCATACAGAGAAAAAATGAAGCAGAACCATCCAGATAAAATGAAAAATTCCAACCTTTCGCAGGAGGAAATCGAACAAAAGGTGGCTGAGATCAACAATGCCTACGAGATCCTGTCGGATGCGGAATCGAAACAACGATATGACCAGCAATCAAGTGGAAACCATGGGCCGGGCTTTGCAGGTCAACATTTTCGTCCTCCTAATGCAGGCGGCGGCGCCTTCTTTCAGGGGGAACCCTTCGGATTTAATTTCCATTTTGACTCATTTGACCAGAATGGCGTTAAACGCGGCTACAAAGTAAAGAGAAAAAGCAGTAGGGGCTGAAGTATTCGCAAACATGAAGACCGTAATATTTCGGGCGCAGACACCTCGAGCCAGTAATTTCCGATACGAGTTGTATGAAAAAATTATAGCGTGATCTGGGGGCAAATAAATACCACATCAAATCTTCTGCATATTGTTTTCAGTAACATGTTTAGATCGCTCACCTCAAATTCCCTTAAGCAGGGACAAAGGGTGTCGACCAAGGCCTTACAGCATCAGCCTTCACCTCAAACAAGACTTTTGAATAGTCTTGTCGAGCAACAGGGCTCGGGCCAGCCTTTTAGCTCCAAGAAATACAACTCCACTGTTATTCCACACCAACAGAGAAACGTGGGAAACTACACCGTGGCGCCCCACGATCTTTCCAACAACAACTGGCGTTCATATACTCCAGAAGACTCCAATACTCATCGGGATCTGCTTGCTTTTGACCAGTGTTTGCTGCAGAACTCCACTTACGATTTGGCTACAGGCCGCATAAGCGGCGGGGTTGAGAATTTTTGGGCGGCCGTTAAGAAGATCATTCCCTTGTACCGTTCTCTTGTACACACCGGGGAGTTGGACGAAAAGAGAATGGGCGAGTTCGTATCGTTGCTCAGGAATGGACTGAGAATCCATAGACTCGAGCTGTCAAAGCTCAAGAAAAACTTGGACAAAGATTCTACAAATCCCATCAAAAATATTCACTTCCTTCTTACATGTGCCATTAGAGAAGTTTCCTACAACTTACTCGACGGTTCCATTACCTTGAATGCTCATGGCCTAACCCACTTATTCAAGGCTTACAAGGATCTGGGATTCACCTTCGAAGCGGTTCATATCTGGGAGACTGGTAAGAGCAACCCAAAGCTTTACCATCTGTTCACGTCCGAGCCTGTTTTGGGATCGATCTTCCCATTTTTGGTTGAGAGCGGGGACTTTGATTTTGAGGAGGTTTGGAGCATGTACCAGAAGATCAAGGCAAGCAAAGGTCGTAATGAAAGACTGCACAATGAATTGCAAGTGGGCATGATTAGGGTCTGTTTGTTCAAAGGACGCACCCAGGACGCATTAAATGTGTTTCAGCAGCTGTCATCCGACGTCTATTCGAGGTTTATTTCGAAGGGTATTGAGCCTCCTATCAATGTCAAAAGCTATATGACCATGGCGCACCTGTCATTCATTGGCTTCAGCAAAGATATTGACACTGCAGATGTGTTTTTCAAAGATGCCGTTAATGAAAGCATGCCTTATTTGACGCCTCTCCAATTGAATTTTGTTAAAAAGTATCTCGCGAACACTTGGGAAGTCACCCAGGATTTTGAGAAGGTCAAACGTATCTGGTTGATGACGTGGAAGGACTACGAAGCAAAGAAGACTTCGAACTCGTCTGTCTCATCTTCCTTGAATGACTCGTTCCTATCGATTTTTTTTGCGAAAAATCCGGAATATTCAGAAGCAGTTTTCTTGGAGCTGCAACAGCTCATTGCTGACTACACTGCGATAAGACCGATTGACGAGCCTTTCGTTAACGTTTTGCTTTCCAAGAGCACTATCTGGCGCAATGCGCGCACTTTAGAATACATCTTCAAAATAGCACAGGACAACAACTTTTCAAAAACAAACGTCTTCTACAGATGTTGCTTGAAGGCGTGTGGCACGGTTGACATTAGTGCTGACCAGATATTAATATTATTCAGACAATTACTTAGTTTGAATGCCTCCACTGGAATGAAGTACATTGCTCACGCTGACTGGATCGCACTGAGGGACGCTACCATCAATTCTCAACAGTTGTACACTTTTAGTGATCCAAACTCCAGAATTGATATTTACTTTAAGCTTTGGAAATTGTGTGCCCCTTACTTCATTTCCTTGGCAAACTTCAAGAACTACATTTACAAAGATATCAGACTTAATTACAACTACTCGCAGATTTTCCAGCAGATGCCAAATATCAAAACGGACATTGAAGTTCCTGAAATCGCCTTATTTAATAGAAACGTCGCGATCGACTCTTACATCGGCTACTCGTACTAAGTTGGATACGGATATAATTAGGGATTTTATATGACTTATTAATAATGATATATACTGATGATGATGTGAAGAGCAAACTAAACTAAACTATTGTGATCGAGCTAATCCGGTTGCCGTCAATGAGGATTTCAAAAAGACACCTGCCATATCCAAAAAGCTTAGTTAATCCCCAGTTCTTGTACTCCTCATTCTCTTCTGCGTTCGCGCTGGATGTGCTTTCGTCCTCCACAGATGTACTGCTATCAAAATTATCCTCGTAATCAATAACTTCAAATGCGTTATCAGAATTTATACTGAAAGAGTTAATCTCATATTCTTTCCTGTTCAAAAACACAAATTTGTTCTCTAGCTCTCGAGGCAGAAGCTGCTGAATCTCGTCGAATGACTGATGGCTGTACACTGTCTCTGTCGATATCAAGGATTCAATCTTGAAATTAAGCTTCTCATACTTCAAAAATTCTAGCGAGTTCTCAACATTGCAATGTATTGTGATCTTTGCGAGGATGCTTGAACCATTCCTGGTCTCGTCAAGCACATAAATCAAATCCAGTCCGTACCGGAAATAATTATGGATCTTGTATATCTTGATGGTCTTCGAGCCATAACTGGTGATCTCTCTGTGTTTGAGTAGGGTATCGTCTGGAGGTCCCAGCTTGGACGTCACCTCCTGCATAGTGGACACTCCAATAACAAGAGCAATTTCGGAGTATTCTGGAATTGACACGCTCGGTCTGGCGTGCAAATCAATCAACGCATATCCCATACTGTTTTGGGGAACATTACTTGACGGGAATAGATCAGATAAATAACGGATCTTGTTAGTCATATTAGTATCTCCGATCACGTCCCTGATTTTCTGAGCACCCTCGTGCCAGCTGTCTCCCTTGAAGATGGTGATGGAGAAGCAATTAATATCGTCTTTGCTGTTGTTAAGAGTCCTAATCAGGTCGTCGCTGCCTTGATTCAAAGCCACACCCTCGATATTGAATAGAAATGCAATTCCTGGATAAGAAAGCCGGTAGCTCTTTGACAATTCGTCCTTAGTCCCCGGGTACGTCGGACCAAAGATCTTGTTGTATATGTGCTTGAAGTGCAAGGAAGACATGCATTCGCCTTTATATTTGTACTCGACGCCATAACTACCGACCTGGTTTATTTCGATAAGCAGCAAAACATGGCTGCATGCATCAAACACGAGGTTGATGTTTAGCTTGGTCAGTTGAAGAATTGTAGTTTTTGAATCGTTGGCATAGATAAAACGAATGTCGTTGTGCATACCATGCTTTCGAAGTAACGAAAATATCTGATAAAGAGACCTGCCCAATTCAATAAATCCAAGACCCTCAGATGGTTTGAGCTCCAAGGAAAATTTACAAAAAGGAGCCATGTCACTGTGGTTAGATAAAGGTTATTCCCTTTTGTTTCCCCTAAATAAATCCTCGCAGATTATGTAAACTTCCCGTAAGATAAAAATCTTATCTATAAGATGACTACCGTTATTCCTCATATGGATTTTGATGTCGTTAGCCCGCGACTCAGTGCTGATTTCAAGCTGGTGTTGCTTGGAGAGTCCTCTGTGGGGAAGTCATCGATATTACAGCGCGTACAGAACGGCACATTTGACAATACAAAGGCGTCCACTGTTGGTGCCGCTTTTGTCTCCAAAAAGGTTAGCAAAGACAATGGAGACAAGATGGTTAACTTGCAGATTTGGGATACCGCTGGACAGGAGAGGTTTCACAATCTCACGCCCTTGTACTACAGAAATTCAAATATGGCATTTATTGTGTTTGATATGACTAGCATAGATAGTTTCAGGAAGGCTGAATATTGGATAAAAGAGCTGGAAACTTACAAGAGTGACAACAATTCCTCCCTCAAGCTTGTACTTGTGGGCAACAAGTGTGATCTTGCGAGCGGGGGGTGTGCTTTCGAAGATGAAATACGCCAATTTCTCAATGTTAACCCCGAGATCTCCAAATACTTCAAGGTGAGTGCGAAAGAGAATATTGGCTTGGTAGAACTTTTTGAGTATGTGGTTGACAGTGTTGACAATGAGCTGTTTCACGAATTCTCGGCAGACAATAATGGCATTATTGATCTGAGCTTGAAAAAACACCAGTCCAGTAGCTGCCAATGCTGAGACCGAGAAACAGCATTGTGAGTGCGATTTCGAGCCACATTAGATGCCTAGTGTTCTTTTGTGAAATTACCACTCCCACCAACACGAACTGGAGATTGTTCAGCTCCGGATATGGACACAGCCAGATGTTGAGCAGAATTTGAGCTATATTTAGACCTGTTTGCCAGACTCCACTTGCCAAAGCGAACTTTTTGTAGCTTTGCTTGGCAAGCTTGTTGTGGATCTGCTCCATTTGTATCATCACCTGCGAGCAGGTTGGTCGGTTTTTAGCATCAGGGTCGCACATCAGTCTTATCAAGCGCAGATAATCTGGCAACAACTCGTCTCTGCGCAACTTGTCCATGTCTTCAAACAGATTGCAGCTCATAATTTCTTCACGAATCGCGTTTTGGTCAGAAGACTTGAATGGCAGCTTTCCAAAACATATGTAATATAGTATCATTCCTAACGAGTAAACGTCTGAGTAGTAGGAAAAATCGTGCAGCTGTCCAGGATCGACCTCCTCAAACAATTCGGGAGCACAAAACTCTAGTGTACCTGTACATCCAGTAGAGTTTCTTTTGGAGTTCTCCATGATTGACTCGCCGAAATCGCTGACCACAAGATTTGGGATTTGTCCCAGATCGTCTACCGAGTCGATCGGCTTGTAGTCGTCTGGAAATTTCGTCTTGAACAAACAGTTTGACGGCTTGAGGTCTCTATGAAGGGTCTTCTGTTCATGCAAGTGATGCAAACCATTCAGGACATCTTTGAAGATTTTGTAGATTTCAAAATTGTTCAGGTATCGCCGATCTGTGCTAGCTCCCTTCATTCCCTTTTTTATCATGCGACGACGTATTTTTTCCTGCTTGATGTCGAACTTGGGCTGCATGAGATTCTCTATAAACTGCTCAAGTGTGCCTCCATCGCAGTACTCAAACAAAATGAACACCACAGGAACCTGTGGTCCGAAACTGCTGATCTGATCGACCTCAAGCCAGACGTGGTTATATTTTATGATGTTGGCATTAGTGGTATTGGATGACTCTGTAAGACTGTAAAGAAACTTGACCTCATTCAAGATGCGCACCAAGTTCCCGAAATGATTGCCAATGGCTATTTTTTTCAGGGCAAAGACCCCCAATTGCAGATTGAAAAGTTTATGCTCGACCTTGAGCACTTTACCGTTGGACCCGTTTCCCAGATCTCCCAGAACAGAGAAAAACTTCTTGAAATAGCCCTGGTTGATGAGCTCGACAGGTATCTGGTCTATATCGGCAGGATGAGCCTGGTGAATTAGGGTAGAAATCAGCTCCTTGTTGGATTCATTTCCAGAATCTGCTCGAGCCAGGAGCCTGAAATAATCGTTTCGCAAAAAATCAGACCCTGATGATCTTCGAGGCGACTCGTTCGAAGAGGGCGGATTGATATTGCACTGGTAGCCGCAGTCGGGACAAACAAATTCGAATTGAGATGGACCAGACCTACGCCTTCTGCCATGAGAACCGTTAGATTCTTCGTGATCCAGCTTGACCAGCTCCAGATTCTCTGTCTCAGAGTTGTATATCACAACTGAATTCAGTGATTTGTTATGGTGAACAACGCTCAAAAGCTTGTCGTTATACCGTACTATCGACATACTCCGATCACACAAGTATATAAGGTGTTATGTCTCGCATATATGTGACCCCATCCTTTTTGAGAGGCCGGGTAATACCTTCTTTTTCGCATGTCTAGTGTACATTACAGATTTAGCAGATAGTCCGTGTTTTCCGCTGGCTTGGAGTGGAACAGAGTTGATGTGGACGGCGACTGAGCCCCAAACGAGGGACTTTCAAATAGGTCATAGTCGGTGTCCTTGACTTCGGACGGCTGGCGTTGTTTTCCTGCACCCCTGATTATCTCACTCAGGGAAAGCTTGTGTAGCAGCTCAGTGTCCAGAGTCCATTCCATTGCGGGCTCTGCTTTTCTTGCAGGCGGATCGTTGTTCTGCAAACTATGGACCTTCCTTTTGAGCTGTCTGTTTTTCACTAGCAAGTCCTCGCACTCGTCGTCTTTGGCCCTGAGCATCTTCTGCAGTTTTTTGATCTCGATTTCCTGCTGTTCAATCACGGCTTCCAGCTTTTCTGTCTTGCGCTGCAAAAACCGCTGGCCTCCTAACTTCTGCTCCAACTGCCTGTTTTCCTTATTTTTCGCGTCGAGTTTGGCCTCCAAGTTCTTCTTCTCAGTTTTCCAGGACTCGCTTTCCTGTATAGTCTCCTCGTATCTTCGTTGGAGCCTCTCGATCCGCGACTCCTGCTGCTGTTCGTGCGCACTGAAATCTTGCTTGCGTCTCTCGAGTTCGTCTCTCTGCACCTCCAATTGTCTTCTTTCCTCCCCCAGCTTGCGTTCCAAAAGTCCCCGTCGGAGCCGCTCGTCTTCTAACAGCCCTTCTAGCTTGCTCACCCGGCGTCTAAGCTCCTGCAATTCGACCTTTTCTACCTCGAGCTTTGGACGAGCATCGACATTTTCCTTCAGCGGCTCTTCCCTACTTCGGATTCGCTTGTTTCGCAATATCCGCTCCTCCTTCTCTTTCAGTTGGCGATTGAGCTCCGCGCTGAACTCTCCTGCATTCTTTTCTCCCTCGCTACAGAAAACTGTTTGATCAGGCTGGACCTTGCCGCCATTGTAAAGCATATCTGTTAGCTTCACCTTTGCATTTGCCGCCTGCGATTTTCGTAGCTCCAAGGAGTCCTCGTCGTTCTTTTTCCTGAACCAATCCATAGATATTGTTTTTGTTTGGGGTGCTAGATAAACGCGTTTGTGGCTGGTGTACCTAGTAAATTTTTTTTCTAATGGCCGGAGAACGAAGCCTTTGCTAGCATCATGTAAAGTTCCCCAACTTCGGGCCCAAAGGTTCTGGAAACTATTATTCATGGTTTTGTGGCTCGGGTGGTATCTTAACCGACTATTCATGTTGCACCATGGACTCAAATTTTAGTCTCTAAGCCATCGAAATGTAAATTAAATGATTGCAAATTAATAAATACTCCTGTTGTAACCCAAAGTCTTCAAATATCAACATACCAGTTCTCTTCATCGCTTCTGTAGTATTGAGAGGATTGTTTTGTGCTACCGCTTTGCATCCCTTTTTTTGCTCTCCTGCAACTTTGCCCCACCGCTTTTCTTTTGCGGAATTTTCGTCCAATGAAAATCGTCCAATCGTCCAATCGTCGCGTCGGACGTTCTCCCCCTTTGTCATTTTTAATCGCTTCTTAGTGTCGTCAGCATATATTCCGGCTTTTGTTTTTAACAGAACCTCTGAATCACCACTTCACCTGTTTGTCATCATCGTTGTAGCTTGCAAAGAAGTCACAGAAGTCACAGAAGCAGCAAACAAACTTGTTTTTACACGCTACCGCCAATTGGTATTATTATTTCTTCAAATCGACTATCGACGGGACTACTGAAAACATAAACAAACCATGTCGAATCAGGATGAAAGCATTGGGCAGCCTAACGTGCCTAACACGTCGGAACACCTCAACACACTTTTCTTGACTCAACTCAAAGATTTGTCGGAATCTATTGCCACTTCATTCGACTCCATTTCGAACTCTTTGGCAGAACTGAGAAATAAGGCTGGCTCCATTGCAACTCTCGCTGCCACGCTCTCAGACACGTACGAGTCCAATCAACAGCAGAACGGAGGTGATTCAAAGATATCGGCCAAAGATATTGATGCAAGACTGATGATGTTCCAGGTCGCGCAGCAGGCCCAGAACGGTCTTCCGAAACATGGATTAGAGCAAGATTCTCTTGGCGCCGTCAAGAAACAAAAGACTATGTCAGAGTCTCTCCCAGACGACGAGTTGGACCATTCGGGAAAGTCGTACTCGAACGACGCCAACCTGCCCGAAATCGATCTCAATTCTAGAGCAAAATCCGTGCAGGATCTTTGGGAGGAGTGGAATGTTGGCTACAGAAACCAGGAACCATTGAAATCGCTCGAAAGAAGGTACGGTACCAGATGGAGACGTGGAAGGATTGCCAAAAGTGCTCAGAGGAGAAAAAAGGTGATCGAATTCATCGAGAGCGAGGCAAAACGGAACCCTGGCGTCACGGAAGAAGATGTTGTTCGGCTGCTGGAGAACTACCGGATCAAGAAAAACAAAGGTCTATTCTGGCTTTATGGATCGCTTCCTAATCACCTGTTCAATGCCAATGGAGAGCCTATCGAGTTCCTTCCGGATGAGAATGACATGCAGTCGAAGGACGAAGGATTGACCGACGACTCTGAAGCCACGGCCGCGGCCGTGGCTGCTGCTGCTGCAGCAGCCTCAGTCAAGCATTGATCCTTTTAAAAATTATCCACCAGCTTGAGTTTTCTCTATTTATTTCGGCTTTGAAGTGTATACGAATTGACTAATTGTACTTATAGAACTCTTAAAATCCGAACGGATTATCGGCAGTAGCATTAGCCAGATTAGCTCTTTTGCCCGTAGGTTGACTTTGAGGCCCAAAAGATGTGGAAGGAGCATTACCAAAGCCCAGTCCAGTTGGCTGCGACGTTAAAGGCTCGTTGAACGAAGAATTGAAGCTGGTCGCAGGGAACTGGTTCATGCCATTAATGTTAGTACCCGTGTTGAAGCTCGCAGCAGGGTTGGACGTGGTATTGAACCCAGTATTCATGGTGTTCATGTTCATGCCGGTGTTCATATTATTCGTACCCGTTGGACCACCAAGCGACGTCTGCGCAAACATGTTGCTGAGTTGATTCATACCAAACTGGCTTTGAGGAACAAAGCCCGTACGTTGACCCGTCAGTCCATTTTGGAATCCAGTTTGGAGAGTGGTTTGTGCTCCAGTTTGAAGACCGGTTTGGAAGGTCGGTTGGATATTTGTTTGGAAACCTGGCTGGTATCCGGATTGGAAGCCAGCTGGTTGGCCTAAGCTACCGTTCTGAAATCCTGTCTGCGATCCCACTACTCCACCTTGCATGCCAGTCTGCTGTCCAAACATGCCCGTAGGTTGACCCATCAGACCACCAGTTCTCATGGTAGCCTGCATAGCCGGGAAGCTGGTCTGCAAAGGCACCAGATTGCCGCCAGTTCTTTGCAAGCCTCCTGTCTTGTTGATCACCAGACCAGTTGGCTGGAGAGGCACTAGGCCTCCCGTAGGCTGAGGTTGAGCAAAAGAACCAAATGTGGTCACAGGCATGAAGCCACCTGTCTTCTGAGCGAACGTGGTGGCTGGCATGGTGCCTCCGGTCTTTTGAGCAAAGGTAGTAGCTGGCATGATCTTTCCTGTTGGTTGCAAAGGAATCAGGCCAGTGGCTTGGCCTGTAAGCATAGGAACCATGGTAATAGGCATGAAACCGGTGGGCATTGCCATTAGGGCACCCGTCTGCATGGCTGTCAGTTGTGGATTCAGAGTGCCGGAAGTCTTTTGAGAAGTAACAGCTGGAAGGGTACTGGTCGACCCTGTCAATGCAGGCTTTTGAAGCGCAGGAGCTGAAGCTGAAGAGTCGATAGGGCCACTCTTGGTTGGCTCCATTGGCTTGATTTTGACAAGATCCTGAATCGATCCAGTGAGTTGCGGTGTCACTGGCTTGGACTCGCCAGTTTTAGCAGCCGGCTTCAAGGACCAGGCGTCATCTTCGAATTGCTGCTTCAGAGTTTGGCCGTTCACAGAGTCCGTCGATGCGTTGGCCTTGTTAGTTTTCAGCGAGCCATCATTGGTACTGAATAAGCCGCCATTAGTTGGCTGAGTCGAGATAGGCTCTGGCTTGCGGTTGAACTTATTATCCAAATACTTGTTAACTCTCAAGATATCTCCCTCTTTTAAGCCAAGTGTTCGCATCAAAGAAGTATCAATGTCTGCCATAATAGCCTCGTCCATTTGCTCTGTGGTGAAATTTCTTGCATACTTGTCACAAACGTTTGCGTCCACTCCGCAAGTGACAAAGAAGTCGAACCAAAATTCGTACAATTTTTCATTTGATGGTAATGCAGAGCTTTTTGGTTTTTCTGGAGTGGCAACAACAGCTGGAGCACTCTCTGGACGCTCTGCAGGCAATGGCTTTTTGTCTTTATAAGACTCCAGGGACATGCCGGTGATTCTCTCCACAAACTCCAAATCCTCCACAGACAACTTCTGAGCAGCAACAGCGATCTTGACACCATTCACTTTATGCAAATGGATCTTCCCATCAGAGCATCCCAGAAATTCGGCCTCGACCTTGAACGCACCAGACCTGTCGATCCACGTACGAACACGGTAGGGATTAGGCTTTGACGAGTCCTTGTGCTTGGAAGCCGACTTGGCCCTTTTTTCTCTTTCCTTTTCGTCGGCTTTTCTGATTCTCTCTCTTTCAGCACGGTCTCTGAGCTCCCTCTCCTTACGTTGTTGACGGCGTCTCTGTCTCTCCAATTCCTCTCTTTCAAGAGCTAGTTCTCTTTCTGCCTCCTTTTTCCTCTCCTTCTCAATACGTTTCTTCTTAGGACTCAACGAGGAGGAAGAGCCTTTTCTGGAGAATAACGACCTCAGACCCGCGGACGCAGCCGATCCAGAGCTAATAACCTTGACGTAGTTCGAAGGGACCACCCCTTGTTCTCCGGTTTCGATGTTCTGCACCATCCACCAGTCCTTGCTCTTTTTGTCGTTGATAATGTTGACGGTGTCGCCTTCGAAACAAGTAAGCTCATCCGGAGAGGCGGCCTCAAAATCGTATATGATCTTTCCCTGTTTCTTTGTACTAGGAATCGATGCCTCCTTGACGTCTTTCAGGACACTCATCGATGCCATGCCCTTGAGATCGCCCAAGATCGACACAATCGCCTCTGCGGAATCTTTGGTCCCGGCATGCAGCTCATAAGAAGCACTCGGGTTCTTAAAGTCTAGGAACACATGTTTTTTCTCGTGGCTGTAACTAATCAGGTCGTTGATGCTCCAATCTCTGGAGTCCGACGATCCGCTTGGAGTGATGAAAATCGTCGAGTTGCCAATGGCAAACGTGGCCTTCTTTTTCTTCCTGCCGTCAATCTCATACACCGTCCATGTAAAGAAGTCGTCCTTCAAAAATGCATTGTTGTCCTGAGTTGCCGACAGCCCATCAGACTCGCGTGACTCCGCATAGGCGTCCGAAGTCACGCTTCTTCTGGAATTTACGGTGCTGCTTCTTGGTCTAGAAGGCATCGGAGGAGGCGCTTCCTCGTCTGGAGAGTGCGCAGAATCGGCTAGATTCGGCCTAGCAGGCATCTGTGGAGCAGGGGATTCAAGAGGTGGACCTCTCTCTTCACGCAAGTCGGCTCTCTGCGGAGGGGGAGGGAAGTCTTTCAGGGCGCTGCCGGTCCCATAGACGGACTGTTGTGGCGCTTGTGAGGCAGGCTGCTGAGCCTGTCCCATCTCTATGTAATTAGCAGGCACAAATCCGAATTGATGACCATTCAAGCCAACAAGAGTCCAGTTTTGGTCAGACGTATCGTAAACGTCGAATTGTGCGCCTTCCGTGAAGGTAAGTTCTTCTTCTGTCTGTTTATCATAGTCGTACAGGGCTGTGGCACGGCCTATCACCTTTGCCGGCTCGATGTAGGTGCTGGGAACCAGTCCCGATGGTTCTTCGACGTCTGCGTCGACGACTCTCTTTTTCACTTTCCACCAGTCATCTATGTCGGATTTTTCGAGAAGATAGAGAAGATCGTTTTCCTGGATGGAAAGCTCCTCATCGTTCTGGGCCTGGTAGTCGTACAGAGCGACATAGACTCCTAAAAATGCGGAGGCCATGTTTGACGTATAATAGTACAGGATGAGGTCCAGCTGTTTAAAAGGGGGTTTTCAAAATTGGAGGCATTATGGCGACTATCGACGCAGCGGTTTTGCCGGACGTGGGGTCGGTCGGTCGACGCGTCACACGTTTTTTTCTTTTTTTTGGTTCTCGCGACAGAATTCGATGCTTCCGATTCTGTTATCTAATCACGGAAACGACAAGCACCTGCACTGCCTCCTTCCTTCCTCAAGGATTGCTATGCCCAATATTTGAAAATCTAGCCCGGTCATGCATATGCAGCAGTCTTCCCAAGAACACGTTGAGGTCGTACGGGAAGTGATAACGCGGTGCACGGATGTGCATGAATCCACTCCTCTCTGCAACAATAATTTGAGATCAAGAAGATCCGTAATATTTTTAACTCACCCGTGCAAACCGGCTATTGGGAACAGGAATTTTCTTTTTAGGCGAGGCGTGCAGGCTAGAATAGAGTAGTCAGCGACGTAAAAGTCCAATGAAACATTAATTGATCTTCCTTTTTTTAGAACGGCCCATTAGTTGCTACAAGTACAGTATAATTCGCATCTCTAATCCATCATATCCCCTGGCGCTCACATTATGGTAAGTATTTTAATATCCTGCGCTGACCCCGAAGCAATTCGATTATGACAAGTCCACCGCTCCACGCGAAAAGACATCCGCGCTCTCTTTAAGTGAGTTCTCCAAAAACATCAAGGACGTCAGTCAGATGCCCCGGCTCTCCCCTGGCCTGATGTCCACACCTACGGCGCAATTATTTATGTCTCCCGAAGGAGCAGACAATTACACGCACTATACCCATCATCATCACAACTCTCTCTCCTCTCTCAACTCTTCCATCTTGAACCCTACCCCGGGTTCTCTCACCCACGGCGTCGGTGGAAGCAGTACTACGATTTCAGATATATACGCCAGCGCGGCAAATGCCACTGCAGAACCGCTTACTCCTCCGGACTACTTTACCCAACAGCCTGGTGCTATGGAATCGCAGTCCCGAAAGAGTTCATTTTCCAACACCATTTGGAACCAGCCTCCAAATTTCAAGCTTTATTCTCCATGGGGGTCTTCTAGCACCAATGCGCTGGGCGCTTCCTACAATATTCCCGAGCTGGACAGTTTAGGGATTCCTGCTCCCGTGGAACTCAATCGCGCCCCGACTCCAGACGAGCCTGTGCAGCAGCACAAGTTTACCAGAAACCGCTTGATGTCGTTGCAAGGGCCCGTCAGCGTGCCTTCGTTTGAGAAACAATTCCAGAATTTGACCTTATCGCCATCACAAGCTGCCCCGCAACAGAACTCTCGCAAAAGCGTATCCTCGTACCCGACGGTGCTAGACGACTCGACGGATATTCTGGGCTTGTCGAAAGACCAGTTTGGCTGCCGTTTTCTGCAGAAGAAGATCGACGAAGATTTCAGAAAAAACTACCCGCTGATCTTCGAAGAGGTCCACCAGCACTCGGTCGAGCTTATGATGGACCCGTTTGGCAACTATCTCATACAGAAGATCATTCTGAACGCGAGCACTGAAGAGCTCAAGCTGATCCTTACCAACATCGCCCCGCTTATTCATACCATCTGCAGAAATCAGCACGGCACTCGTGCTTGCCAGAAGCTCATCGACTGTCTTTCGACCACTGGCCATTACCGCCTTTTGCAGAACAGCTTGACTCCGCATGTTGTCAGCCTGATTCAGGACCTGAACGGTAATCATGTGGTGCAAAAATGCATCGCCAAGTTTCAGAATGACGACCTGCAGTTCATCATCGACTCTATCTGTAACAACATAGTCAAGATCTCCACCCACAAGCATGGCTGCTGTGTACTGCAGAAGCTGTTGAACAGGTGCAACCACCAGCAGGTTTTGCAGTTGGGCTCTGAGATCGTCGCAAACTCGTACCAGCTGATGCAGGACCAATTTGGCAACTACGTCGTCCAGTTCCTGATTTCGCTTGACATCCCATCTCTGAACTCTGAGCTCGTGAAGATCATGGTGCCTTTCATTTGCGACCTTTCCACACAGAAATTTTCTTCAAACGTGGTCGAGAAGTGTCTCAAGATCAAGTTCGACCTCGGCTTCAACCCTTTGGTCGACGCTCTTTTGCAGTCTCGGGTTCTGGCTGTCCTGGTGAAAGACCAGTTTGGAAACTACGTTGTGCAGACTGCCATGGACAATTCCTCGCCAGAGAACAAACTGAGATTTGCACTTGCGATCAAGCCAATGCTGCCAATGGTTCGACACGCCTCCTTCGGTAAGCGCATCCACAACAAGGTTATGGGCATCTTGAATGATGCGGAGAAGAATATGGATGGCTCATCTCAACTGTTGCCTCCTATCGACTTGCAACGCGTGCGTCCTAGTGACGCAGAAAGATTTTTATGATACATGGCTTATGACTCGAGACGAGACGGTTTGTGACTACTCTGGAATATGGTGTATTTTTTTGTACGAACATGAGATTTATATTTTATCCTAATCCTTTCTACGCTTAGCACGCTCCCATGCACTGAGTCTCTTGCGCTTCTTCTCGGTCGTCACGTCCCTGGAATTATCAAACATACTCCAGTCTTCTCCAAAGAATTCGTTTTGCTGTTTCTTGCGCTTTTCCTTTGCAGACATCTTCAGCTGCGAAGCAGGAAGACGAGTGAAATTCTCTTCTTCGTAGCGTTGAATCTCGGCCTCTTTTTCCAGCTGGCGCCTGGTCTTCATGTCTCGTCCCTTGTTCACAATTGTAGAGCCAATAGAGGTCTCCACAGCAGGAGCTTCACTAAGCTCTTCCAAATACTCGTCCATGGATTGCAGATTTCGGCGGCGTTTCTGAGTAGTATCGGTTTCAGAGAACGTCTGTGGAGGCAAGACGGCAGCAATTTTCGGTGGACGGTACTTTCCGTCGTTCTCATCTTTTTCTGATGTGTCCTGCTTTGAGTCTTTCTTCATGAACGCAGAAGCATCTGGCCTGTAATTGAGCCCTTCGTCCTCGTCTTCGCTGTCTGCGCTGTCCTCGCTGGCGTCGCTATGCACCATCTCGTGCACTTTTTCACTTGCATCATTTTGCTCTTTCTCTCGACGCTGGTACGCACTCACCAATTTATCGAGCTGGTACTGGAGTTTTTTTTCTAAAGGCTTGACACCTCTGTCTAGCGTGACTCTTTGCACTATGCTGTTCTTGACGGCCTTGTCAAATATCTCTGAATCACCGTGTTTCATCAGGTTAATGCGCGAACCCAGAATGACCAGAAGATTATTGATGTATGATAGCATGCTGTTGTTCTTTAGAGAAAGCAGGGAAACACCTTCTATTTCCTGTGTTGATTGCGACTCTTTTACAAGCGACTGCACAAGCTCTGGAATTTTCTCAGAGTCCTCCAAATATGCCACCATGTTGTCCAATGAGGACGACGTCAACTCTATTGACTCCGTGATCGATTTAAGCAGCTCTTCCAAAGACATGGGATAGGTATTTTTCAGATCTAAAATTTTATGCACTGCCAGAGAAAAAAATTTTAAGAGTCCTTTTTATCTTTTGATATACATTATTCCAAATGCCTCAAAACGAGTATATTGAGCAGCATATCAAGCAGCACGGAAGGCGACTGGATTATGAAGAGCGCAAGAGAAAGAGAGAAGCTAGAGAGCTTCACAAAGTCGCCGAAAATGCCCAGACCTTGAAGGGATGGAAAGGAAAGCAATTCGCCAAGAAGCGTTACTCTGAGAAAGTGGCCATGCGTAAGAAGATCAAGGCCCACGAGGAGAGCAAGGTCAAGGGTCCAAAGAAGCCAAAAGAAGACGATGGAGAAGCATTACCTACATATTTGTTAGACAGACAGCAACAGACTACAGCAAAGGCCATCACTTCCTCGCTTAAACAGAAGAGAATGGAGAAAGCAGACAAGTTTTCTGTTCCATTACCGAAAGTGCGTGGTATCAGCGAGGAAGAGATGTTCAAGGTGGTGAAGACCGGAAAGTCCAAGTCGAAGTCGTGGAAGAGAATGATCACCAAACACACATTTGTTGGTGAAGGATTTACTAGAAGACCAGTGAAACTAGAGAGAATTATTCGTCCAGCCGCATTGAGACAGAAGAAGGCCAACGTGACACATCCAGAGTTGAAGGTGACGGTTTTGCTGCCTATTCTGTCCGTCAAGAAAAATCCTCAGTCGCCAATGTACACCACCTTAGGTGTGCTCACGAAGGGAACCATCATCGAAGTTAACGTGTCTGAAATGGGAATGGTTACCGCCGGAGGTAAGGTCGTCTGGGGTAAGTACGCTCAAATTACCAACGAACCAGACAGAGACGGAGTCGTGAATGCAGTGCTACTAGTTTAAAAATTGTTACGGTGTACGGATGTTAAAAGAGCCACATTCTTATCTTAATGGGCGGGCGTATGGCTGACTTTTTTTGATAATAAAATAGTTTTACAGAAGCACCTATTTACCCTTGGAAAGCGAGTCATCTAGCTGCCTAGCTGCAATCTCTCTTTCGGAACTTTACACTCGCTTTACTTATTTGCTATGAGATTGTCCGCGTTAGCTTTAGTCTGGATTTCGGCCTCTGTGGCATCTGCCGTGCCGCTTGGCGGAACGGAGCAGAAAGTTCTCAACTTGGACCTTCACCAGGAAGACTTTTTGCCAGAGGTTGACTCTGAAACACTGCAAGGGCTCATTACCGAAGACGCCTTGAGAAGCAGAGCCGAGGATCTTTTTAAGATTGCCGAGCATTCTGTGGCTCAATTTGGACATCCAACCAGAGTCATTGGCTCCAAGGGCCACTGGAAAACAATTGACTACATCAAGAAGGAGATTCACAAACTCGGTGGGTACTACAATGTCTCTGTTCAGAAGTTTCCTGCTTATATGAGTGAGATTTACAGCATGGGGGCATTTATCAACGGCACTAAGCCAGACTCGCTCACCGAGATGGATATGAGTCCACCGACTCCGAACAAAGATTACGTGAGCGGGCCCTTAGTGCTTGTTTCCAACAACGGATGCGACCTTTCGGACTTTCCAGACAACACCGAGGGTTCTATCGTTCTAGTTCAAAGAGGTGTTTGTCCATTTGGCCAGAAATCCCAGAACGCCGGCAATCTTGGTGCCAAGGCCGCTATCATTTACAACAACGAGGAGGGTAGTATCAGGGGAACTCTAGGCGTTCCTCCTATAGGAGCTGTTGTTGCTCCTACTGTTGGTATTTCCAAGCTAGAAGGAGAAAAGTATGCCTCTCTTTTACGCAACACGTCTTTGAACGCTTCCGTTATGGTTGACTCATTTGTTGGAGAAATCCATACCTTGAACGTCATTGCAGAGACTTTTGAGGGTGACCCGGACAATATTGTTATGCTTGGTGCTCATTCTGACAGCGTTGCTGCTGGCCCAGGAATTAACGACGACGGCTCTGGTACAATTTCGTTGCTGGAAGTCGCCAAGCAGTTATCCAAATTCAAGGTTAACAACAAGGTCAGATTTGCATGGTGGGCTGCGGAAGAGGAAGGTCTCCTAGGCTCCAATCACTATGCAGCGACACTTTCTCCGGACGAAAATTTCAAAATTAGACTTTTTATGGATTACGACATGATGGCATCCCCAAATTACGAGTACGAGGTTTATAACGCTTCCAACGCTGTTAATCCAGTTGGGTCTGAGGAGCTGAAGAACCTATACATCGACTATTACGAATCAAAGGGATTAGATTATGTTCTCATCCCATTCGACGGCAGATCGGACTATGTTGGGTTCATAGAGAATGGGATCCCAGGTGGGGGAATTGCTGCAGGTGCGGAGAAGAAGAACGCGTTCAATGGTGAGGTTCTGGACCCTTGCTACCACAGCCTGTGTGACAACCTCAGTAACCTTGCCTACGACGCCTTTGTCATCAACACCAAGCTTATTGCGCACTCTGTTGCCACCTATGCTAAGTCTCTGGAGGGCTTCCCTGCTAGGCAGAAGACGGTGGATGCTTTTGGCCAAGCTGGTTCCATTTTCCAGTACCGCGGCTCTCACCTAATTGTTTGAGCGTGCTACCAGAATTCATTTTTTGTAAATTTTACGCATGAATAAAACTATGCACCATGCTTTATATATTCCTACTTAGGTATTCGTCCATCGTGTACATTCTACGTGGGTTATGGTTTTCGCCGAGCACGTCTTTGAAGTTGACTCTATTGCTGACCTTGAGCTTGCTCAAAGATGTTGAGCTGGAGCCAGTGGAGGCTGCAGAGCTTGTCGAGTATATTTTTGGCGGAGCAAAAGTTGGTTGCGCGAGGAGTGGGCTCTGGAGGTCGGGCGTGACCACCTCGGTGAGCTTGGTGGGTAACGAGTTGATTGTGTTGACGGAATTTCTATTTTTGGCGGCTTGTGGAGCCACGAAAGGCGCGACAGGATTATTGACTTGGTGTTCGTTGGCGTTCTGAAGATGGCGGTGTTTCATGTTGATAGGCAGCGAGACAGCAGAGTTATTGATGACGGAGGCCTCAGACAAATCCGACTCCGGCGTAGTAGAACCGGAAAGATTCAAGAGCTTGGAAAATCCTTTGAAACGCGACGTGTCGGCCACCTCGTCGAAATCGCTCAGAAGGTCTCCCGAGCGAGAATTGCGTAATAGATGACCCGAGTTGCCGGACCGCTTGAGCACCGTATCGTTGAGCTTGAGGTATGCGTGATGTGTTTTGGAGTCAACAAAATATCTCAGCAGCTTATGCGTTTTAACAGTTTTCAGTGCGACCCGATTTTCGGGCTTCTTTTCCAGCATTTTGCGCAGCAGCTCAACAAGAGACTTGAAATATGACACCACTTTTGAGTTGTAGTCGTAGCCGTAGTTAGCATCAATAAGCCTTTTGAGCGTGTAGCACTCTGCAAACGGCGGGAAGACGATGTCTTTTTCTACCACGTCGTGAAATAACTTAAACTCATTCTCGTTGTAGAAAGGGAAAGTCTCGAAGAAGAGATAAAACAGAGTAATTCCCAGGGACCAGACATCTATCTTGTATCCTGGATCGGACTCTTTCTCTCTTTTAAATTTGAATAGCGAGAAGCCAGACTTGCCTATAGATTGCCCCTTTGTGTTTTCATTTTCACAGATCTCCGGGGCTATGAACAGCGGCGTCCCCACGATCTTTTTAAATACCTCGAGGTTGTCTTCTACTTCATTTCCTGTGAGTTTGTAGCATGTGCCAAAGTCCGATATTTTGACCCTGCCGCGGTGATCAACTAGTAAATTGGAAGGTTTAATGTCTCTGTGTATAATGTTCTGCAAATGAAGAAATTCCAGCCCATTGATCACGTCTTGCAGTTTGGTCTGTATGTTCTCCATATTGTCCTTTGCGGCCGGATAAGTTGCAAAATTAGTCCGATTCAGCTCTCCCATGGAACAGTACTCGCTGACAAAATATATTCGATTGTTGGAAGAGTGGCTAATTATGCCGTACGATTGAATAATATTGGGATGCTGGAAGCCACGCAGTAGCTTGATTATGCGAACCTCGTTCTTTACTCGGTTGATGTTGGACACATTGGACAGATTCAGGATTGGCTTGTCCAGTTTCGTGTTCCCTATTATCTTTATTGCGTAGTAAAACTCTCCATTGACGCTTGCTAAATCCGATATATGGTGGTCCCTGGATGTGGAAACTAGTATCACCCTACCAAAGCGGCCTGATCCAAGCTTCTTGATGCTCTTGAATTCACTTAAATGGAATTCATTATCCATTCTTCCCAATTCCAAGAACAAAACCTAGCAGAAATTATTAAGACCCTTAATCTCTTTTCGCTATTTCGAGGACACCACAAATTGATTCCTTGATTCATAGTTATGCAATCAAGAGCGGAACACAAACCTAGGTGCTTTCCCAAACCTTCAGCAGTCAAAGACTCATCCAGCTACCAAACCTTACCGCGTGGCGTCAGTTACCCGGCCACTGAAAATGTATTATAAAAAGTCGGAAAATTGAACAGTTTTTTTTTCTTAGTGAACGCCTGAAGATCAGATTCTTCGAACATGGCTCTTGCCTTTTACCAGAGCCATCCGGGATCTGTCTTTACTTGAAAAGGCATTACTCGAATTTTTGGAACCCACTCCCAATCGATACTCTTTAGAGATCTTGGGAACCCGTAACCTATATATACGCGAACTAAAATCACCCTGATAGCTGCATTAAGACCGGCACTCTGGTGCCTACGGATGCAGCCTTATCATCTTATCTTCACGTTTTACTCTGTCTGGATCCATCCGCTCCTTATCCGGGGTGGTGAGATCTCGTGTTCGAACTCTTCGGCAGAAGTTACATAACCCCTGCCTAATTCGGAATGAAAATTTTTGTGGATCCGTGTTGATGTTTTCAATTAGATCCCGTATTTGTATTTTTGTTTTGTTCGATAGCTAGCATTTAAAATTCACGTAGAAAAAGCGTGAATATCACTTCCAAATTCATTCCAAACAGTTCAATCTGTTTATGTCTCTCATTTCATTCATATATTAGCCAGCCTTCACATCGTTTACGTGATTCTAATGAATATAATGCTCATCAAAAAGGACAAATGCTCAAAGGGGACGCAGTATTGCCAGACCAGCAACGACGTGAGTTCCACGACTATTGTGCTTGCGGTGGTGATACCCGTCGCTGTTGTGGCAATGGTGGTCGCGTTTTTCATCTGGAGAGCCTGGAAACGTAATAAGAAGGAGGCTCTTGAGGACAATGATCCCGACTTTTACGGTGAAAATACCGTGTTACCGGACTATCCAATAAAGGAAGAAATATTTGCAGGCAGGAACGCTAGTGAGAATCCATTTGATGCGTCGAATACTCGTTACCCCCAAGCAGCCCTTGACGAAAAGGAGCAGAGCTTTAACAATAAGGCAGGATCTTATTATAACACGTCTCAATTAAGCCTTGGAACAGACAATATGCTTGGAACCCCACGCGCCCACGTGGAGTCTTTTGTTTTGCCTCGCGTTGACGATTCCACCTCCAAGCATTCCTTGGATCAGCTCTCTAGACAACTTGGAGGCGTGTATCCGGGATACAAGGTCCCAGAGAGTGTTAGGCTCAGCTCTAACAATCATTCCAGAAAGTCTTTGTTTTCAGAGAATTCCGGAGATCTCACTGGTTTTGAGAGATCCACTGAGGACTTGGGCAGAACTCTTGGGCCACATAGCTCGGACAAGTCTCCAGAAACTCCTCAGAAATCCTCAACAGTTTACTCTCAACCTGATAATACATGCTCCCCGCCAACTTCTGGTCCTCCTGGTGACCCAGAGGAATCTGACGATGATAAGTTCTACGAAACGACCGATCCAGGGCACCGGATGTCCTATGATGCCGGAGATAGTCACAAGTACTCGTTCGACGACACAGATGCTTCTGTGGTGCATCGCCATAGCCACGAGTTGGATGCCAATATCCAGCCGCTAGACATCGAGCCGGATCATGAGAATCCCGATCAATTTGCGTCCGATTACGTTCCAGAAAGCTTGCCAGGGGAAAAGTATACTAATAAGCCAGAGAATGAGATTGTGTCCAGCTCTTCGATGAGTAAAGCTCTTCCAGAACCTGAAAATGGGGAAGTTCCCGATTTAAACGAAGCTCTTGTAGAGGAGCAGATACCGATTTCACCTGAAGAGGAGGAACAGATCAACAGAATGAAGTCTGTTTACAAAGTCTATTTCTCAAGAGAGAATTCTCTGAAGTCGAAGAAGTCAAACCACATGTTTTTCGAGGACCAGGATATGCCACCTTTGCCGCAGCTGCCACAAAACCAGGAGCAAGATATGCCACATGAGCCAGCATATGTAACTGAGCCAGGCCACGAAAACGTCTCTGCACCTCCAAAGGGTGCAGAGGCGGATTTCAATCACTCTGCTAGTAACGGCAGACCAGAGCTTAGATTGGACACTTCAGTGAACGATCATCGTGCAAGCTATTCGTCCTCTGTCTACTTGGACGACGGAGCGGTTCCCGTGCAACAGCACGGTCACCCATTCTATCCTCACCAGCATATCCAGAACATTTTGAACCAGCAACAGTCGCAGGCGCATTACTTCCGTCAAACGGCTGCACAACAGAGAAAGCCTCAGCACTATCCTGTCAAGCAGAAGCTCGAAAACCTTCCGTCGCCCCACGAGCTGAACAACAGAAACTCTGCTTTGGAGACCTTCACACAGTTTGAGAAGCAACGCAAATATACTGGCAAGAAGGGACAGTCTCCGGTGGTGATGCAGCAAAATTTCAGTCCTATCGAGAACACGCAATGGGGACCGAGCCAGACAAACTCATCCCAGCCTTCGCCTCACCAGATCAGAGACTCAATCTCCATGTTCAATCCTGTGGATATCAACTACAAGAAGACCTACAAGCCTAGCGGAACGCTAGCCGAACAAGTCCGCAAGGTTTCTCCTAGCGCACGGTCATTCTCTCCAACATCTTCCGGATTTGCATACGACGACCAGATGCCGCGGCCAATGACCAGAGTGGGTTCTGAGACGCTTATTCCAAAATCAGGCTCCCAAGCCGATCTTAGAAAATATGTAGACAATGCCAACCTATAGTTTAGTTCATCAAATGAGAAAAAATTGAGATACATATTTTATTAAAACCATGTCGCAGATGAAGGGTCTAGTCCAGTTCATCACGGACATCCGAAACTCCAAGGAACAGGAACAGGAAGACAGACGTGTCCAATCTGAGCTCGTTCACATTCAGAAACAGTTCCAGCAGCCCAATCTTTCCGGCTATCATCGCAAGAAGTACATTTGCAAGCTGCTGTATATCTATCTGATGGGCTACGAGTTCACGTTTGGCCTGAGCGAAGCAATGGCCCTTGCCCGCTCGAGGGTCTATTCTGAGAAAACCATTGGATATCTGGCTCTATCGCTCTTCTACCAGACGCGCACAGAGGACGTTGACACGGTATTTGAAACTATACACAACGATCTTGCCCATCAGAAGGAAGACTTTGTCTGTCTTGCGCTCCAGTTTCTCTCTTCCGTGGCTGACTCGGAGGCGTACAGCAGGGCATTTGAGGAGCAGGTATTCCAGTTGATTAGGTCGCCCCTTTCGTCCAGTCTAGTTCGTAAAAAAGCCGTTCTGACGATGCTGCAGCTGCTCAAAATTGATCCCCTCCTGGTCACCAGACAGCCAAGCTTGGTTTCCCGGGTCGCACCGCTGATCAACGATTCCGACTTTGGAGTGAGCATCGCTGCCGTCTCGCTGGTCCAGCATGTTGCCAAACTGGATTTGGATCTCTGTGCCAGCTGCACCACGCTAGCTCTAGAGAAATTACACAAGATCGTCGTCGAGGCCGAATGTCCCGCCTCACACATGTATCACGGCATTCCTGCGCCCTGGCTGACCGTCAAACTGTTTCAACTGCTCGAAACTCTGGTCCCGAACATCGACGCAATGCCCCTGGACCAGGCCAACATGCATACCGTGAGAACCGTGATCCAGCGAGCTATTTCCATGGCCATATCACAGTCGCCGTTGGTGTCTGCCGAGGCGCGGCACACAAGGGATTTCGTCCTGCTGGGCGCCGTGTCGCTGGCCGCACACGTCGACCCTTCTGCCGATCAATCGACAATCGCAGCCGATGCGCTTTGCCAGCTGCTGCAGTCCGCAGAAACGAACACGCGCTACCTGAGCCTAGCTGCTCTGGCAAAGCTTGCGGCAAGAAACGACGAACCCGTTTTGATGACTATCAACAAGCATATAGAGCAGATCTTCTCCCTGCTTCGCGACAGAGACGTTTCCGTGAGACGACTTTCTCTGGATCTCATGTACATTATTTGCAACTCTGATACGGTGCAGCAGATGTGTCAGCGGCTACTGGAATACCTTTCTGTGACTGACTTTGCCATGAAATCCGAGGTTGCCGTCAAAATCGCCGTGCTCGCCGAGAAATTTGCCACAAACGCTACCTGGTATGTCACCACCATGATGAAGCTGATCTCTGGAGCAGGCAATTATCTCGACGAGGAGGTGCGACAGCGGCTGATCCAGATCGTCGTCAACAACGACTCCATCCAGGCCACGGCGTGCCGTCTCTGCTACAGTGCGCTCAAATCGGGTACTTACCCAGAGTCTATGGTGAAGGTGGCTGCGTTCTTACTTGGTGAGTTTGGCACGCAGCTGGATACTCCCCTAGTGCAGCAGTTTGAGCTGCTTTACAGCTGCTACTTCCAGACCTCTGTCACGGCCAGATGTGTTCTGCTTTCGAGTTTCCTCAAGTTCTACGTCCACGAGCCGCAGCTCAGACCGCGAATTTTGGAGCTATACCAACAGGAATCCAACTCTTTCAGTGCAGAGATTCAGCAGCGGTGTCTGGAGTACTCTAAGCTGGTGACGCTGCCAGATAGCTCGCTGTTGAATCTTGTGGTAGTCGCCATGCCTCCCTTCCAGTCAAAAATCTCGCCTTTGATCTCCAGACTGGGAAACGTCCAGCAGCTGCAGCAGAGCTTCCAGCTGAACCTGCCGTATGCTGCGCGCTCTTCGTCGTCGCTAGAAAGACCCAAATCGCCCAAAAAAGCAGCTCCGCCTCGCCCCAGAAGCAGGAAGAACACCAATCCGATTATGTCTCCGCCGCTCAATTCCACCACCACCCCAAGCCTCACAGACCTAGACGACTCGTCGCGGTCCATGTCGCACTCCTCGGACTCGCAATTCTCCTACAATTCCGCTGCAAACCCTTCTGTCGACCATTTGCCAGCTTTCAGCCCTAACTGGAAAGAGGGATACTACCGTCTACTGCATTACGATCAGGGAATTTTCTACGAGGACTCGTTATTCAAAATTTTATTCAGACTCAGAAGAAATCATGCTCAGTTGCACTACGAGCTGTCTTATTCCAATAAGTCTCCCGGTACAATCACCGGCCTGACAAGCGAGGTGATTGCTAACCTGAGCAATGCCGAAGATCCAGGATACGTGATCAAAATCATCAAACATCCAGAGTCCACCATCACTTCCAATTCGAAATCGGTCCAGATCTTCGACGTCACCGTGCGGAAGCCGTATCTGGACAGAGAGGCACCCAGCATCAGTATATCATTTGTGTGCGGGACCCTGTGTCAATACAAGCTGCGGCTTCCGGCTGTAGTTGGGAAGATCATGGTGAGAGGTACGCCTCTGCCCAAGGAGTCATTCTTCACCAGATGGAGGCAGGTCAGCAGTTTGCCTGGTGGAGAGTGCCAGAAGGTGATCCGGCTTTCCTCGCCGATGCAGACGGTGATTCTGAGTCGGACCATGCAGCTCTTTGGATTCAATTTGCTCAAGAACATTGACTACAACATGCACAATATCGTGTGCACTGGTATTTTGAGTATGGCAGCTGGCGGGGCAGGGTGCTTGATGCGGATCGAGACAAATCCTCAGGACGCTCGTGTCCTGCGAATTACAATGAGATGCACTGTCTCTGGGCTGGCAGATATTCTGGTGGGCACATTGACAGATCTGTTAGATAACATTTAAAGTATATCATTTTAGCGTGGTTTTTACTAGAAAAAAATGTTCAACTTGATAAGGCCTCGAGTTTTTATTAGACTTAAGCATTTTCCATCCATGAGTTTGGAGTACACATCCGAGAGAGGCGAGGAACTTGTCTCGAATGCCAATAAGATTGCGCAGAGAGTCCGGGAGCTGAACGATAAAGCTAGATTGGTGTGTGTGTCGAAGTTCAAGCCGGCGAGCGACATCAAGGCACTGTACGACGCCGGCTACAGACATTTTGGCGAGAATTATGTCCAAGAGCTTCTGGAGAAGGCCAAAGTGCTGCCAAAGGATATCCAATGGCACTTTATCGGCGGATTGCAAACCAACAAAACTAAGGACCTTGCGAAGAACATCGACAACCTGTACGCTGTGGAAACGATCGATACTGAGAAAAAAGCGCGCAAACTGAACGATGTGCGCATTCAGTCGGGAAAGCCGATTATCAACGTCTACATCCAGGTAAATACCTCTGGCGAGGAACAGAAATCGGGAATTTCTCCGGAAGAGTGTTTGCAGCTGGCGAAAATTATCGTCAATGAGTGTCCAAAGCTCCATCTGGAGGGGTTGATGACGATTGGCTCGATTGTGCAGTCGATCTCGAGCAACGAAAACCAAGACTTCAAGACGCTTGTGGAAGTTAGCAAGAAGCTGGAGGCCGAGCTCGGAAGAAAATTGGAGTTGAGCATGGGAATGAGTAATGATTTCGAAGAGGCTCTCAGGCAAGGCTCGAGCTCCGTGAGAGTGGGATCCAGTATTTTTGGTAGCAGACCTACAAAATAGATTTATTCTAATTTATTATTCGTTTTTTCTGTTTTCGCTATGGGCCCTAGAAAACAGGCCACGAGGCGGTCCACGAGATCACAAATAAAGAAATCTGAGCCTGTGGTTGAAGAAGAGCAACAAGTATCTCCAGACCCGACTACCCCTCAAGGCCTGCTACAATCGATCAGCATAACTCAGTATGTATTTGAGCTTGTTGATAGAGAGGCCTCGATAGCAGACTGGATCCAGTGGTTTGTTCTACTCTTTGTTGCAAATGTGATATACGTCTTGTTCAACGACAAATCGAAGGGCGATTCGTTCAATGTGCAGTATTTGTACGACTCTATTTTTACACTGTTGTGTGTTGTCTGTCAAATGGCCATAGTCTTCCATCATCTCTGGAAAAAATATAAAGTCACCGGCCAAAACGCTCCACAGTTGCCTGAGCTGGAACTCATCTATGCTGTCTTTATTCCACTTGCAATTTCGCTCATGCAAAGTCCAAGAAACCTGGTCCTCGTTGCAGGTTCTGTCGCGCTCGTGTCTGATCTGAATGAGCTGGTAAAGATAGGAGTCTCTGTGCTTTTGGAAATTCAGCTGCTTACATCACATGAAAGCGTCGAATCCTTGCCCTTTGTTTTTGTCCTCGCTGGCCCCGTGTGGCACGTGACCGTTACGTCCCTGCTGGAGTATGTGTCTCCTAACTCGTTCTCCAAAAGCGAAAGAAACATCTTGGGGACTCTTGCCGTCGCTATGGTTCTGTTCATCAACGCACAATCTTCAGTGCACCTCCAGATCCTCCAGAAACTCATGGTGTCATTTTCTGCGGCCACAGGCCTCTGTTACGCAATCTACCTGGTATACGAAAAGACCGACCGCAACTGGGCCGTTCTTGCCATTTTGCAGGCGGCGTTCTATGGCACAGGGGTCCGTCTTTCCATCTACTTCCTAACACCGGTACTCAAGGAAAACCCCCTGCTATGGCTGCAAGATTACATCCAGGAAACGGAATCTCGATGGTTTATCTTCCAGCTCTGGCTCTGTGGGCTTTTTATTGTACTGCCTTCTCTGTTCATCATCGCGCCAGTGTTTCCATTGGACGTGCGCCGGAAAGTTTGGCATTTCGTCTTGTTTACGGCGTTGTCCTACCCGCTGCTCGTTGATTCGCAGATGGTTTCTCTGGCACTAATCGGACTATTCGGTCTATTGTTACTGGTGGAACTGCAAAGAGCGTTGCGGATCCCGCCATTCGGCAGCTTTCTCCAACAGAAGTTTTCTGATTTCCTAGATGAGAAAGATTTAAAGGGCGAGATCGTCTCATCGTACCTATTCTTGGTGCTGGGCGTTGCACTGCCGATCTGGCTCGACCCCGAGGCTCCGGAAGCGATAGCAGGTCTGGTCACTGTTGGTCTCGGCGATTCGTTTGCTTCGCTTTTGGGCAAGCGGATAGGAGCCAATTTCTGGCCAGGAACCAAGAAAACAGTCGAAGGGTCCGTTGCATTTGTGGCAGCTACCGCAGGGGGCTTGGTGTTTTTCAAGCTGTTAGGCCAGAACGACTTCTCCTATTCCAACATTTTATGCTCGGCAATGCTTTCTGCAATGGTGGAGGGGTGCACGACAATGAACGACAACCTGTTGGTACCAATATTCACCTATCTGTGTTTGACTGTCTTCAAATACTTCTAGCCGTGCTCTAAAAATTTAATAGATTTAAATACTAAACTGAAATGGACTTGGAGTCCGTCGAAAGCGTCGATTTTACGAAGGTAAGACGGCACCTTTGAGTGGCTAATACTAGATCGCGCAATTACCCCCACCGTGCTTTGATTTGCCGGATCTCGCGGGATACTCCCAGATCAAACAGATAAACACAGAGTTAGAGGGAGAACGATATATTCAGCTGAACGTGCAAAACACCCCTGAGTGGATAAACTATGTTTGCGAACTTGTGATGAGGAGTGATGCACTGGGACTTGTCGCTATTCTGGACTGCGCTTACCAGTTCGGGTCTCCTGATATAGTGAACTCTGGCCTCTATCAGATCAAGAGACAGCTGCAAAAAAGTCATTCAGACACGGAGATACGCGACTTGCTAGAGCGAGTACTTGTCTATGACAGTTTTGAGACCCTTGGAGACGTGAACAAGTTTCTGAACAACATTTTGGAGGTGATACCGACGCAGTTCCAGAATCGACCTCTCAACTGCATCCTGGTCTCAAACACGTCGATTTTCTACTGGGATCTCCGCGATATGGACAATTTTGACGAGCTTGCCGAGCTCCATCGCATCTGCAGGCAATTGTCCTCGAAGCTCGGGTGCTACGTGCTATCAAGCCGAAGTCTGTTTGAGTAAGAACGTGCCTCATACACCCGTACACTGCAAATAGAGTACCGAGCAAAAAAATTTTTAGGAGCGAGAGACAGATCAACAAAATCATCTTGACAGAATGGCCACCGAAGACCTCAAACCAAAGATTCTTTCGCAGGTTGAGTTCTACTTCTCGGACTCGAATCTTCTCAATGACAAATTCCTCTTTACCACTCAACAAGCCAACGACGGTTGGGTCCCGATTAGCGTCATTTCGCAATTCGAGCGTATGAAGAAGTATAGACCGATCGAGACGATTGTCGAGGCCCTGAGACAGTCTGAGAACCTCTTGGAGGTGTCGGAGAATGGCGAGATGGTGAGAAGAAAGACACCATTGCCTGCAAACCAGAACGAGGTCCAAGTTGCAATCAACAAGAGAAGCGTTTTTGTCGAGCACTTGCCGGAGGATGCGACTTTGGACGAGCTCATCGAGTACTTTGGAACGTTTGCCCCTGTCAACCAGGTTAGAATGAAGAAAAGGGACAAGAAGTTTGTTGGATCTGTTTTCGTTGAGTTCAAAAAGGAAGAGGACGCACAGAAATTCATGTCTGCCGAGGAGAAGCCGAAGTACCACGGCAAGGAGCTCAATGTGATCAGCAAGGTGAGCTACGACGAATACAAGGCCCAGAAGTTTGGCGAGAGAAGGGGCGGCCGTGGCAGAAAGGAAAAATACAGAAAGGACGACCAGAAGGACCGGAAGAGAGAGGAGTCTCCAAAGAGAGAGGAGAAGGGAGAAAAGGAAGACAGAAACGACACGAGGGAGGAGAATGAGCCAAGGGACGACACGAAGAAAGAGTAATGTGTACTATATCTAGACCGACTGTGCTTACATAATACAAATCTGTGGATACTTATTTTTCAGGGACGCGACGCGATTAAAAAAACCTCTCTAGTATGGCATCCCAAAGCGTGCTGCTTCAGTTCAATCTGAAGCCAGAGGACTCGGAGGTTAGCTCCAGATGTGAGGAGCTGATGGCCATATTTGGTCTGAGCGCAGAGGATCTGTTTGTCCAATGGGAGACCTACGTGATGAACGCGAGTGCAGCTGATGATCCGCTGCAGTTGAACGTTGAGAATCTCGGGAAACTGCAGCAACATCTCCAGAAAAAGCTTGTGAAAAGTCAGCAGAAGACGCCGCTCTCTGCAGTCAAGCGTCCGATGATGAGAACGCCAAACATGAACTTAGTACCATCAACCCCGTCCGTCAAGAGGCGCAGGAAGGATACACCACAGAGTGCCGATGCCAGTTTTGCTGGCCTGGACTCGTCGCCGCTGCGTTCCTCTCCAACAAAATCTGCGGTCTCGGGCGAAATCATCGAGACGTTGAACGGCCATTTGGACGTTCTTCCTGGAAGCGGGATTAGGCCGAAGCTGCTGGCCAACTTCAATCCTCAGAAATACAAGTTCCGCACCATGAATCAGAAACTGCTGGAAGTGGCGGACTACCTTGACGAGCAAATTGACAGCATGGCCAAAGCTGTGCTTGAACACTACAAATTTGACAGCGAGGAGTTTGGCAACCCGAATATCCAGTCCCAAACTGAGATCCTCACTGTGGGGCGAATCGTGCCAGACTCGCCATTGACGGCCTCAGACGCCGATCTGAACGCCAATTCGCTGTTTCTGGAAACGTCGCGACTGGGCGGAATAGGCCAGAGAATTAAGCTCGATCTTTCCTCGCTGCATGACTACTCTTTTTTTCCTGGCCAGATTGTTTGCTTTCGCGGCCAAAATCTCACAGGAGAGTTCTTCAAAGTCACTGAAACGCACCAGATACCATTTCTGGGATCACCTGTCTCGTCCGCCGAGGAGCTGCAGTCGTATGAGTACGGTGCAGGAAATATGAAGGTGATTTTCACTGCGGGACCTTACACGCCCCAGAGAGAGCTTAAGTACAGCTATCTGGCGGAGTTCGTGGACAGAATGAACAACGAGGTGCGTCCAGACACAGTGGTGATGTTTGGGCCCTTTGTGGATGTGAATCACGTCCAAGTAGCAGACGGAACGCTTCACTTCGACGAGCTCGAAAAACAGCCGGCAACGCTAGATGATGTGTTTCGTACCGTGGTGGCACCGATCCTACGGAGACTCGAATGCTTGGTGATTCTGGTGCCCTCCACGAAAGATGCCACAACCAAGCACGCAGCGTATCCGCAGGACTCGTTCGACAGAAAAAACCTGGGCTTGCCCAAAAACGTCAAGTGTTTCCCGAATCCAGCCACTTTTCAACTCAACGAATTTCTCATCGGCTGCTCCAACAACGACATCTTCAAAGACCTCAAGGACGTGGCTGCGGGCGCCCCATTGAAGGAGTCGCGCTTCGACAGAATCTCTGGTCACGTGATCGAGCAGCGGCGGTACTACCCGGTGTTTCCTGGCGGACTGAAACAAAAACGGAGTCTCAAGGAGGACGAGCAGGCTGTGCATATTAGCGGCGCGGACCTGCACGTCAGCTATATGGGACTAGCTGAATTTAACACGTCTTTGCCAGATATACTCGTGATTCCTTCGGAGCTCAAGGCATTCAGCAAGATTGTGCAGAACGTGCTAGTAGTCAACCCTGGCACATTTATGCGCCAGAATGCAGCAGGCTCATATTGCGAGGTAAATCTCAAGGCGCCAAAGCTTGATGAGCTCGAAAAAGCGGGCGACTTATATCTCCACACCGTGTGGAAAAGAGCACGGGTGGATGTCAGACGAACATGAGGTTAGCAAAAGGATATATATAATAGCTTCAGACTATTTAGTCTTTTTATCCTCCACAATGACTCTCTTCGGAAGAACCGAGGCAAACTTGAGTAATTCATTGACGTTGTTGACATAAGTCGAAGGTTTATCTTCTTCCTCTCTTTCCATCAGTCTAGCCAGAGCTGCTTCTTTCTTGACACTTTCTGGTGACGCTTCGACGTAGTACTCGTTGATGATCATCTCGCCAAAGAATGAGACGGAGTGCACGAGAATTCCTCCAATAACAATAAAGGGAAGAATCAGATACCAGCTGTTTTTCACTGAAGTACGAGATGTCGATGCAACAATGTCACCTCCATTATACATCAAAGAAATGGAAGTGGAAGTGATGGTGCCGATAATCAGCAGAATTTTGATGAAAAGAGTCCATGGGAAAGCATTTTCCACGCGTTCTGGAAGAGGAACCCTGGTGAGGTTCAGAAGCTTGAAGTAGTCAGCCTTGTCCTGAAAGAGTTCTATAACCAAGGAGATAACTGGGCCGAGTGACGAGGCTGGTCCAAACAGCATCAGGAACCCGAATTGAATCACAAGCTGTCTGAACTCGTCGTCTGCAGAGAACTCTGGCAGTTCAACCATCTTACGAATGCTCTCTAGATACTCCTTCTCCTGAGGAGGATCGGTGAGTTTGACCGGTAACAGCTTGGCTGGACCCATGAGAGACTTCAAAGCTGGAAGTGCAAAGATCCTGGTTAGCACTTGAGGAAGCACAAATTCCAGCAGTAGACCCACAATTTGGTTGGTCAGAATATAATACGTGTACTGCGTGTTGAGTCTCAGCTTGTTGATCTCGTAGTCGGATTGCAGCAGCGTGATCTTTGGAATGTACGACTTAGAGCTGGACACCTTCTCGGCGTAGGAACCTATGTGAGGCAAGTATTCGTTGAGTTTGTATCCGAATGGTAGGTAGATGAATGAAGTGATGATTAGTGCCATGTAGCTTGCCAGAAAGTTGAAAACAAACATTTTAATCAAGAATGATTTCCTTTTGGTACTTGGGCTAGCATTCCCTTCGAACGAGAGATAGCCATTGACCACCACTGTGTAGACCGCGGTGCATATAGGGACAATGGAGCAAATCAAGATGGTAGGGACTAGCGAGAGGTAGGGTTTGAGTGGGCCTTGGTAAATCTCTGTCAACAAAATCTCTATGACAAAACAACCCAGTTGATAGAACACCAAAGTTAAGCCAGCTCCGACAGCTATTGGAGTGAACATAAGTTTGCGCAGAAGCACCTGGTGTGGCCTAATTTTAGAGCCTGAGCTCTTCGACTCCAATTTCGACACATTGGTCAGATTCCACTTCATAGAAAGCTGTTTTTCCTTGAAGTACCAGCTCAGGTAAAACCCAAGACCACTCAGCAGGTTAAGAACAGTAAACACCTTGGAGTACCTGCCATATATGCGATTGCAAATAACTCCAATAACGGACAGCAATGTGAGCCAGTATATGTACAGGTTGCTAAGCTGGAAGTAAAAAGCAGTCGGGGAACCAAAGTTCTGAAACAGAAAATCGGACTGCTTTGAGGAGAATGGCTCACTGAAGAATGACAGCAAGTTGCTTCTCAACTTTTGAGCTTCTTTTTGGATAGCTTCGTAGTTTGCAACAGGAACACACGCCTCGACAAACTTCCAACTGCCTTCTCCAGGCGTAATCTCTGCGTTACCTTCCACCTTCTCTCCTGTCAACTTAGTGTATACTAATCTGAGTCTATCTGCTGTGGAAATATCAGAAGGTGAATTGACTCCGTAGAAGCCTTCAACCTCTTTGGTCTTCTTTGCTAGTTTCTCAAAAAAATCGTCCTTTAGCTTTATGAAAACAAGCAGATGGTTGGAATCAGAATGCGGTCTGACGCTTATCTGAAATCCATTAAGATCCAATGTCTTCACCAGCCTCTGAAGATTGGTATCAGACTGAGTCTGAGGCTCTAAAGTCTTCGGATCAACCAGGTAGAGAACCTTCAGCACATAGTCCGGTTTTAACTGCTGCAAGCTACCAATTGGGGCTTCTTCCTGATTCGAGGATGGTTTTAATGATCTATTCTTTGTTTCTAAGGAGCTTTCAGTAGCTGTAGCATCCGAGTTTACCTCCTGGGCCATGATATAGAATGAAACAGGAACAGCTGAATTTTTCTTTTTTGTTGCTCTTTGCTATATTAAGATTTTGTAAATCGTCTCCGTCGATCGACGTCTTACCAGATGTGGGGTAATTGACCATTTTCAATCCTTAATCTTTCTCCCCTAATTTTTATTCTTCATGTCCAAGACACCTGTGCCTTTTTCGCCAGAGAATATCAAGACTGTTGCCTCACTGTATAGAAGGTCCTTGAGAACTGCTGCTGACTGGATCAACAGACGTGATTTCTATCGTGCAAAGGCAGCAGAGATCAGGCACCGCTTCGAGCAGAACCGCAACGTTTCGGATCCACAAGAGCTAAAGGTAAGTTGCCCTCGACCATTAATGCTGACTATATAGGCTATCATTGACAAAACGGAGCTCATGCTCAATAAGTTCAAGCACCCAGACCCGATTATCCCCCCTCAAAGACCAGGAGGTATCATGTACGACAGAAACGCTCCTCCAAGATACTCCTCAGGACCTGTGCCGTACAGCAATGAAGTGTAATGTACATGTCTGTTGCTCAGGCTTATTTATTACTACAACCTATTTATTGATTCAAGATTGAATTATCTATATTTCCATCAATATAGCTAGTTCCGCGTATATTTTTTTATCCCCTTTTTCCCACCATAACAATTAATGTCTTCGATAGTAGACCAGTGGCTGACATGGTTAACACCGGCGCATTACAGTAAGTTGGTTGTGTCGCTGACTGACATCAGATAATCCATCTTTAACAGAACCAATGAACCTTCAAACAACGAACTGCTACGTCTCAGAGGGCGGCCATCTGTCGAGCGATATTTATGATCAAGTCTGCGACCAGCAAGTGCAACAACTCCAGGCGCATATATACTACCTCAAAATGGCTTTAATCACCAGCATTATGGGTGTGTTGTCTGTCACTCTATACTACAACTTGAAACAATACAACAAGGATATTGCTAAAAATCCTAAACCTCTTCTGCATATACACACGCTTCGACGTGCCTTTGTGGACATGATTCTAAATGTAAGAATAAGTGTCACAGAGGCAGTTAAGTTTGGATCCGGCAGTGATCAAGACAGATATTACAACGACGCCATAATAGATCAATACTACGAGGACGATTCATATCAACTTCAATACTGTATGGACGAGGTTACTGGCGACTTGGTCAAATTCGAGCCAGAGGTTTTATCGTCAACTACCGACCCCATATTTGATTCGCCCGATATCCTTACCAGTGCTACTGTGTCGGATGATTTAAGAGTCATTGTGGAAAAGGCAGAGTCAGACTCTCTGCATGCTTACATTTTTGATCGGGATAGTTTTAAAACCAACACTATGGCCCTTACGACTAAGTACTTACTGAAAGAGCCTGTTGACATTGATCAATATTTGACAGTGTGCTATAGTGGATTTGATGATCAAGACGAAGGGGCAGGTCAAGAGGAAGAGGTTGATTATTCAGAGCTGAAGCCAAATCTCGATGTCTTCACTCTAGAGTATTATCTCACAGACCAAGAATGTAATAAGTTTGAGGATATCAATACTCTCAGGAAGCTCATGTCTTTAGAAGATGTGGGCGATGCCATCTATCCAACCATTGTTGCCCATACTTCATTTATCTGCTATCTTATTCAGACTACACCTAATGCTCAGTTCAGACACTTGATGTTCAAATTCGTGAGAGACCTTATCACTTATGAAACCGACAACTCACTGGATCTTGACCGCTTTGCGCTGCTTATAAATTGCATCTTTAGCGCCACGAGATCAGCGTCTGAGAAGCAAACCTATAACTGTGGCGTGAAAACACTGTATGCTACGTTGGGGGCAGTTGCAGTGGAAGATTTCATTGAGGGGCTTGACTTCTGGTTTGTTAAAGAAGCCCCAAACTACGATTTGGAGCTAGAACTACTGAAGTTGGTTTTGCTCAAAAACCTGCAAGCCCTTAGCTGCGATTTGAACTTATTTGACACAGTCTCTGATAAAATCAAATCATTGCTTTCTCGGCTTCCAGAAAGCTCTAAGGTTTCTGAGATGAGACTGGTCTGGGACGCTATCTGCTGCTACGTGGGGAATGAAAATAGTGTTCACTGGCAGGCATCGCAAAAAAAGCCTATGGAGAATAAGCGCAAATGCTCTGTAGCTCTTGATCCCATCCCAAGTCCGACTAAAAAGTTCAAAGGACTGAGAAGCTCAAATCGGAACGACTTTGCATACACGTAATCTTTAGAATAGCATAAAAGACTATTATATCAATTATTAAATCAGATACCATAAAGTCAAATCAGAAACCACTTAAGGACAAATTTGACCAACAACTGAAAGATTTGGTATGTGTGTGTGTGTGTGTTGATTTTCTCCATCAAGGGCCATGAAACGGACTCTCTCCCCCATTCTAGTTCCCCTGTGTGTGAGTGTGATATTAAGAAACTTCAGCAGTATTTCCAACGCGATTGGCTCTGATCAATCATCACGTGTGTGTGTGTGTGTGTCGGATGATATCACAAAGTCAATGTTGTCGTTTTCGATCTGCAATTATTTCAAAAAAGTTGATTCATCAGCGACATTCTCGGCCTTGGCAGCCCCGGACTCGCTCGAACCATCAAGTTTGTCAGCGTGCTCGGCAAGCTTCCGGTTGGCTTCCTTGAAAAGACGAGCCTCTTCCTCAGCGGACAATTCGTTCTTACCCTTCTTCTTGATGTGCCACATTGGGTTCAATTTTCGGAGGGTCAAGTTCTTGGTGAATGGAAGATGGCCGTGTCTTTCTTCGTAATACATCAAGCACAAAGTCACTATGACAGCGATCCAGTAGACGTTGTACGACAAAACCGAACCGTAGGTTGCAGAGTTCTGCCATCCGAGCAAAGCGTTGAAGACATCCCAACCGTTATCGATTTCTGGGTTGCAGCAGTTGACGTGCCAAACAGACTTGTGGATGTTATAAGTACCTGGGCCGGAACCGTTTTCGGAAGCATCACCACCAGTCTGTTTGTTGAAGACGTAGGTCTCGAAGTCCCAAACTGCTCTAGAGAACAGACCAGCAGAAATGAGATACAAGATAGCAGTAGAAATGCACAGGAACAGCTGCAGCGAAACTGTGGCACCTCCGTAGAAAAGGAAGAAACCGATACCGATACCAGCAACTAGACCACAAAACACTGGCAATGGGAATGAAGAAGCTGGAGTACCGATACCGACACCACCGACAAAAACAACGGCTTCCAAGCCTTCTCTCAAACATGTAATGAATGGAAGAATGAACATGGAGTACTTCTTGACGATGTAGCCAAACTTGAACCGTTCAGCTTTCGTGGCAGGTGGCGTCACTAGGGCTCTGGCGATCTTCACTCTCCACTTGGCCTGCATCTTGTTGACTCTCAACATGGCAATACCCATAATGGAAATCAGTATGGTAGCGATAAGGGAGAAAATACCTTCCCACAAGTCTTCGGACTTGGACCAGATATCATTGTGGAGAGAGTAGTATGCACCAATGAACGCACCTCCCAAAATCAAACAGACAAGAACACCCAGCATAGCACCCCACCAAACTTGTTTGCGGAGCCGTTTATACACATCAGGACTCTTATTGCCCAAACTCTGTTTCAAGAAAGCAAGAAGAACCGCAACGACGACAACGGCTTCCAAGGTCTCTCTCAAAACAATGAAGAAGATCTGGACCGTAAAAACTTTGTTAGCCATTGATAAGAGTTATCAACTGTTTCTTTTATTTATGAACGGGGGAGAGAGTATAAACCGTTCGCAGTAAAAGCGGTTTTTTAGTGGGGAGACGAAGGCCTTTTATAGGTGGGAAGTACCAAAAATACCGAAAAAAAAAAAAAAGAAGACAATGCAATAGATTTTTTAGATAAAGCTGCTGAAATTATGCGGTGTGCGGTATTCCCTATTATTTCGGACATTTCGCAAACCTGATTGGGGCAAAAAATTTCTACTGCCCGACAATTACTTTACACTCAAACACTTCCGTATCTGCAATGTTTTGTAGGCAATACAAACTCCTGTGCATTTTCCTGTGATGCGTGTACGTGGCCGCAACAATTTTGCTTTTTATTTCCACGTTTATTCGTCCTCGTCAAAATCGGCTTCCATATCGCAGACCGCCTTACAATTTGGGCACAAAAATTGCGGGTATGTCTTGACCACTATTGGCCTGATGCATTTGTAGTGCCACGAGTGCGAGCAGCTCGAGACGAAGACCGCTTGACACGGCTTTATGGCACTCAAGCAGATAGCACATGGCGAGACCTCTTCTTCTGATGTCATAAGCGTGAGTTTCTTTAGGCGTTCGTGAGCTTCCTCATTAAATTTCTGCGTTCTCCTGCACCATGAAGAATTAAGCTCCACTGTCACTTTGACGCATCGATAGATATCTTCTGATCCTCCTCGGTAATCCATTCCCAGTTGCAAAATGTCGGAGTCCTTCAGGACGTACTTCCTGCTTTCCGTGTTTGCTGGAGAGAGTCTGACATGGTTCAAAAATGTGCCTGACGAAGAGCACACGTCTTTAAGATACCAAGTACCATTGTGATCCACAGATATCTCCGCATGCTGCCGCGACACAACCTTGCTTTTGAAAACGACAGCTGCTGATGAACCTTGTGGAGCTGTAGCAGCACTTTTGCATTTTTCTGTGTATCTCCCCACCATAATCGACATGCCGGGCTTGATTTTGCGAATTAAAGGCCCGAAATACATAAACGGTGTCGACGACGAGTGGTCAATGAACGGCGTCAGACGGATCGAGTAGTATCCATTTTCATCGCATTTAGGCGCCTCGGTCTCTGCCCCAGGGGGGTCGAGAGGTGTTGTGATACCTTCGCTCATGGAATGCGCCAGATCTTCCATATTGATATCACTATCCCCCTCATCGGCCTCGGACGTTATTGCGCTCAAATTTGCCGGTGCGCCGGTGGAAGGACTCTCCGGTGGGGCGCTATTTGTCTCGCGTAGCCTCGTCCCTGGAGCAGGCACTTCCAGGGTTGACCGTGGTTGCGAGTCCTCGACGTATGAACTCAAATTGGCCACCGTAGGACTGTTCGCTATGTTCAGGTTGTAAAGGTGGCGATCGAACCGATTGTGCTGATTGTACTGTGACTGGTCCTGTTCGTAGCGTACAGAGTTGGGACCTGAGCTATCGTCAGCAGACAGCGAAGGCAGGGAAATAGAAGATTGTCCGGTGGAGGCTGCCCGTGTCGGATTTGGTGAATCTTCGCCGGTGGCCTGTGAGTTGATATTCGTACTGTTGATCACCGAGCTGCGGACCGTGTTCACAATGCTCGAAAACACGTTTCCCACACTTTGCTTACGTCTGACCTGAGTCAAACGAGGGTTTTCCAGACTGATGGACGATCTGCCTGAACTCGTGCCCGAAATGCTGGGAAAAGCCATGACTAACAATGAAAATCACGCCTTACAATCTGATGTTAAGACTCCAGTGATTTCTTGCAACAAATAACCAGTATCGATATTCTTAGAGTACCCAGAGACTTGTTGTCTAATTAATTCAATACATAAACTCGATTCTTTTATTTTTTTTTCCTTGCAAATTACTGTATCAGGCATCGGTGTTAGGATGTGCTTCTAATCCTACAGAAAGCATATATTAATCCATACACAATTCCGCAATAGGCGACTTGCCTAAAACTTCGATTGTGTACTTGAGGTCTTTGTGCTGTTTTGACTGGGGATCCCATTGTCTGTAGGCGTCAAACAAATTTTGCAACAGCTTTCGGGCGGGGAAATTGCGCAATTTCAACACCTCTTGCAAAAATCCTCGCAGACACCAAGGCAGATGATATTGGTTGAAGCAAAACTTCTTAACGTTAATCGTTTTCACATTTAAACAATGCTGGACAATCGAGTTTGACGTTTCTAGTGTATTGGCGATTCCTGCCCGGTAAACGTTTTTGTTAGTTATTATATTGCCGTGACTTCCTGCTCCCAAAGTGCCTTGTAAATAGCTGTTGATTTCAACTAACAATTCGTGATCGTCGTAGTTTAGGTTTCGCACAATCATCACCAGAGTCACAAGCTGCCTCAAAAATGCAGGAGTGTCGTCTTTCATGTAGACACATCTATATATGTTGGGATGATTGAGATGAGCGCACATAGACGAATAAAGCGGAACAAATTGGTCATCCATCGAGCCAACGAAAGTCAGCTTAACGTTTTTGCGCAAAAGAATATCGATATGTCGAACGAGCTCTTTGCTTTGAACGGTTTCGTCGTCTTGGAAATCAAAGAGCTCCATCAGGACTTCGTTTTCAAAAGGAGTGTAGGCTCTGACGGACAGCCTCGAGTCGAGTCCCTTGTAAGGACCAAGACACACCCCTGAGATGCTTATTAATCCTGCCTTTTCAATATTGTCAAGATACCCAGCAGTTATGAGTCGCGATATGATATGGATTGCCACGGGCACTGTTTGAGAGTGCGAAGCAACGAATAAATAATCGCAGGTCAGAATCGAGTCTAGCCAATTGTCTAGCAGCAAAAAAAGACAGCTGTTGACCCTCTCGAGAATTCTTCCCGAGCCATCCATCGATATGGTTTCTATATCCATGTTGACCCCGTGATTTCTTCCCCACTCACGCAAGCATTCCGTAGTCTTTCCTGTCATTACATCTGCAGATCCTGTAGGCTGACCGATAAGCGATTTGATCATTTTGAAGGGAAGGAAACCATGAATAGATATCACAAGAGCCTTTTTCGTCTCTACTTTGTCCGACAATGGTTGGTTGAACGTCGGATCATGGTATAAGTGCATTTCTGGAGGGACCAATAGAACGGGGCATATCTTTGATAGCAAAAGTCGCAATTTGGTCCTCCTAGTTAAATCGCGGTACGTGTACGTTAGATCCGGTACGACATCACAAAATGATTCTTCTAGCTTCTCGACTGAAGCTTCTTGATTTTCATACTGTGTCTTTGGTAGCGACTCACAATGAACAGGCGAATTTGAAGTCGATGTACCGAAAATGCTTAGCTCGCCTCCTTTGTCTCCATAATGAGTTTCGAATGCCCATGATGTTGTTCGCTGTATTTGCGGCCCCAGCACAGATAGTTGATCGATCGCTGTTTTCACTCGCTCATCCTCGCTTGTTCGCACTGACGCTTGATCTTTCGAATTCTCCAAAGCTGCTGCTGACCACGGCCACCCCCACCACCCGCGGGCGTTTCTTTCTATTTCATTACTAGTAGCATTGGTCTGTGATTGCGTCTCCGCTTTGCGTCCAAAAGGCCCCATCCAGCCGGACCAATTCGACTGTTGCTCTTGGCCCCACAATCCCCATCTGTTGAGAAATCCGTCCTGTGGATGACAAAGGTCTTCTTGGGATGCTGTAGACTGCTCTTTCATTTGATTGCGGTACTGCTCGAGCGTCAGGTCTTGTTCCTCAGTGGTCTGCGCAATACTGCCATTTTGTTCTGCTGTCTCTGCTATCTCTGTCTGTGGGCTCTTTTGTTGTTTGTTATCTTCCTGCTGAGTCTTTTTAAAGCGATTTCTCAGTAACGATGATATCGAATTTGACGATTGTGACCTCTCCACTGATGATTTCTGGAGAGATTCTGGCTTTCCCATAATTTGCGGGATAAGATAAATTGTGTACTAATGGATTCTAATTATTTTATCTTTTGTTTCTCATGTCCTGGAAAAATGATTTACTGGCAAAACTGGCAGAACGAGACAACTCAATGGAAACCCAGAAAGACGTGTTCTTGTCATGTAGGTATAGACATCTGTTTACTGACATCTAGTTCAAGTTTTATGTGCCAGAATTGCGTCGCTGGAACGACAACTAGATACGGTACAGCGTGATGATGTCAAAAAAACAGTGTTGGACCTGCTGGGAGAAGTCGAGCAACTGAAGCAGAAACTGAGCTTGACAGAAGACAGTCTCAAGCATGAAATCGGGAGGAATAAAGAGCTTGTCAAAGAGTTGAGTACCATCAAAAATAATTTCAACATATTGACAGACGGATACAAGAAACTAGAGGAACGCCACCTGCGGTTACAGGAAGAAAGCAAAATCAAATTCCAGAATCTAGAGTCATTAAATGATGATATATTGTCGTTGAACATCGAAAATAACTTGCTGAATGATAGGATGGCTAAATTAAAGCAAGAGAACGAGTCCTTGATCGAACGTTGGATGAAACGGGTCAAGCAGGAGGCAGAGGTGCTTAATGATGCGAACGAAGCACTGTCTCGTAGCGAAAGATCCTTAAAGCATGAGAGCTAAAAGAAACTTCCGTATTCATCCACTTCACTATTAAGAATACTTTCAAGGGCTTCTACCACAGGCTGGCCGATTTGTTTCACCATTTCGAGCGCCTTGTTGAGGGTTTTGCGATTGAACGCCTTCCCGTCCGCTGTAGACAGCGCTATTGATTGAATTGGAGCAACGATATTTCCTTGGCAGTACCCTATGCATAGACCGTTCTCTAATACTTCTTCCTCATCCAAAGAAGGATCAACCAGAACGTTCGATCCCACCAGCCCAACTACGAAGATCAGCATTGGTTGATAGTTCGAGTCTGCGGGTATCAGATCTGTGGCAAGCTCCCAATCGTCTGCGAAAGAAGGTTCTTCCTCGATCTCGCGATCGTTGGTGGTCGATGTGAGTAACGGCAGTTTGGCGGACTTCAAAGCCAAATAGGTGCCCATAGATATGAGAGACAGAAGTGAGTAGAGCGTGTATGATGAGTTCTTCAAATCTTCTGGAACGGAAAGAATAAGGATGTCCACATACAATTGGAAATAATATTTATCTGTCAGTCGAAGCACTTCAAACTCAAAATTGTTGACCAACGCACGCTGTATCATTGCTGATAAATTCAGACAAAGGCTCGAGTTATCACGTTGACCTTCGATATCCACATCCACGTTTATTAGCTCGGATAGGTCTTTTGTTTTGATTACTTTTGCTTTGACACTGGTGATGCATTCTATTCCGTCCGGGTTGTACACTCTAGAGGAGCCATTACAGTTAGGCACAAACGAGCATACGGCTTTTAAGGGCCGAAATTCGTTATTTTTCCTGGAGTCTGTTCTGGCCGAGTTTTTGCCAGCCAGGGAATCGTAGATGTACGATTTTTCAGCGGTCGAGAGAACCATGTCGAGATGCACAAAAATAAAACATTTTTTTATTTTCTTGTTACACGTAAGGTTGACGATCAGATTATGGACAAGTTTGCTTTCACCCAATTGCAGCCAGCTTTGTTGAAAAACAACGACAAAGAGTCTGGTCGTGCCGTTCAGGCTGACATTGCAACGTATTTGACCAATCTACATACACATTTGGAGTCCGAAGATCTGGACAGCTCGAGTTTGACGTTTGCGATCGAACAGCTGGATCTGTTGATCGACCACTTCACTACCACATTCAGTGATGTTCCTGAAGCTCACAGTCTGTCTGCGCGGGTAAACACGCTTTTGGCGAAGACGTACACCCTGGTGTTGTCACAGATGCTGAAGAAGGCACACGAGAAGTTCAACATCAAATTAATTGATGTTACTAATAAAATGGTTTATTTATTAGCAGACGTCAAAAAGCTTTCAATCAAGTCGTGGTACTCTTCGCTAAAACACATGGCATTGGCTTTTTTACAAATTACATTTGCGCAATTCGGCGGATTCCTTAATTCGTACAAAGGCCTGCTACTGACCACCATTTATAAATACCTCACCAAATGTCATGATAACTACAATACCGCAATCGAATCCGGGATCTTCAAGGCAAACTATTTCACAGATATGGTGCTGACCTTGGATATCGTCTTAAGTAACGACAACAGCTCCAATACCTTGGACGATAAGCTATTGGGAAGACTTTTGAAGCTTACCAAATATCTGACACAGAAGAACTCATCTCATAAATACATTTACCCTTTGCTCAGTGTGTCGTATACTTACAACATCTTGGTCCACTTGTTAAAATCGGACAGATATGTACTCTCGATCATAGGCAAGAAAAACACTCCATCCGTCACCAGCTACCTCACGTCGATTACGTCTTATTTGAACGATTTAATCACCGCCCTGTCCACTGAAGATCATAAGCTTCGGGTTGTGATATCCAAAAACATAGCTGATCTGCTCGTCTTCAATATCATCGTTTTCGGTGTGAATCTCGGTGAGGAGGAAAAATGCTTCGAGTACACTCTAAATTACCTGGTTGTTCATTATACAAAAGAATCTCATACTGAAGAGATCCGCACTGGCCTTATTGAAGCCATAGTTCAGTTGATGTCGAAAATGAATTTATACTACACCACGAATACCGTTCGCATTGGTTACAAAAACGGTATCAATTACATGAGCCTCAAATTCCTCGATACCTTGAATATTATTTACTATCACATATTTGGCAAAGGCATGGCCACTAATCAGCTGAAACTCTCAAAAGACGATAAATGTTTCAAAGTCACCGATGCTTTCGAAAATCCAATAGAGATCCTGAACCAAATTGAGACTCTTTACTGCTTTTTCCTTAGAGAGGTGGACTCGGATATTAATAGACTCATCGTTCTTTCGAAAATTATGTACGGAAGTACATCTGAGATCAAGGTGGTGAAATTTCCCTCCCTGATTGAAACCGTCCCTGCCCCAGACCACGATGCCGATAATCAATATTACGTGCTGTCGCTGCTCAAACTATCTCAGTTGCTAATTGATCAGCTTGATGAGTACGTTCTTTCTCAGCAGGATGGTATTTCAGATTCAGTGGACTCGTTCGCATCACAGCTATGCAGTACATTGTTTGAACTTTGCAAACATAAAAGTTTCAAGATCAGAGTTGTTGCAGTGGACTCTATCACCAGGCTTATCTCCATCAAACCTGAACTTTCTTTCGATATATTGAATGAATCACTGTCCACTCTCTTAGCCTCATTTGACGAGGGTAAAGGAGACATGAACTTCTTGTTCAACGAAATGCACGGACTTGCATTCCTGATTGCCTCAATCCTCTCTACTTGCCCAAAAGAGCATATCAATGCCGATTTTGTTCTTCAAGTATTTTCCATCTCCACCAACTTCCTGAAAAAATTCAACTCAACCGTCATTATGGGTAATCTTTTTGGATCAGGTTCGGGAAGCTACGTTTCGAACGTCAATTACGAGAAACAGCTTGTCAGTTGGATCATCCTCATGGGCCTTTTCAATTACGCGACCGAGAAGGATGGCAGCTCGGGGAGTAATTTCTTCCTTTTGGAAAGCTCGCAATTTATTACAATCTGGAAAAACCTTCTCACCCATTCCATGCCTTCGGACTTTGTTCAGACGTCAACTGTTGATGGACTCACCAAGATTACGAATTTGAGTGAGATAATGAAGCTGGTGGAAATCAAAAACCAGTCATTGGTATGTCTTTCGAGCTATATCAACTATTTGTCGTCAACTAGATCTTCCGTTGAGAACTCATCAAAGTCAAGCTTGCTGACACCCGAAATTGCCTTGTCACTCAACCAGATCGTTAATAAGAGTTTTGTGTTTATCTCAAACTTGAAAATGCAGGTTTCAAACTTGACTGTGCCACCAATACTTGAGAGAACCATCAAGCTCCATAAGCTTCGTGTTTATCAAAATCTCATTAAGCTCCAACCATTCCTGCCCAAATCTGACTCGAACTCCAACCTTTTGCTGGATGTAGTGGAGATTGTGTGCAAGTCAGGCTTCAAGACCAAGAAATTCAACACGTTCAAGGTTGATGAGTTATTAATCAAGTCAACCACACTGCGAAAACAAAAACCATCAAATGATATCAAAACAATTGACGAGCTACCACTTCAATCTCTGTACACAGTTGAGTCAAATAGAATCAAGAGTCATCTGGCACCGCTGACGGTGTTCGACACTGATGGTATCAACCGGTCGTCATTCCTGAACGATTATCTGATGTATCTATATCAGGGCTCTACATCTTTTGGGTACACTGACTTCTCGTTGTCACCTCCTGACCTCGATACGATGCTCGTAGATATTTCTGTGGAAATTCTGGCTCTGTCGTTTGGTTTTCTATCTAGCAGGGTGCAAATTTCGATTCTGGAGAACATGCAAGAAGTTTTGTTCCCTACATCGGGACGTGCGTCCATCATTGCAGTGCAAAATATCTGCGTCTCTATCCATAGCATCGTCAGTTATATGCGAAACCACAGTGAAACTCTCGAGCAGACAGGTTCCCGTTCCACGATGGAGCTTTCCAATTCGGTAAGCGTAATGGTAATTGATCTCATGAAAAGGATTTACGCTGAATATTCCGAAGCTGCTGGACTCGCAGAACTGAACTCGGACGCGATAGGCCTTATTTGTTCGTTGGCCGCATCAAAGGAGAATATGCTGTCAGACCAGATTGCTATTTTCATCAAGTCAATTGTGGAAAATGCAGAACCCAATTCACGCTCGTTTGACTCGCTCACGCTGTCTAAGATCTCGGAATACTCCAATCTTATGAACATTTCAAACATCTTCAGCGTACTTTTGACCTTGATGTTGGATCCGCATCCCCTGGTCCATGCATCTGCATTAGACTCACTGACAACTGTTATTTCCAGTCAGCGGCAGATTGAACTCATTGGGCCTTTGCTGACAAATGTACTTGTGGCAATGGAGAACGTGCTGAACTCTGACGAGTTTGGATTTAACTCACCTGTCACTGTGTCCTCAAACCTGAATTACCATACAGGGCAAAACTCTGTTGTCCTGTTGGCAAGATTGGCTCGTGTGGTGATCAACAGCTCAGGCCCGACCATTGGACTTTGGGAGATTTCCCAGAAGCAAAAACTCAAGAATATTCTATTCGGGCTGATCAACCTTGAAAAGAAGGAGTTGGAGGCAATTTCGAGAGAGCTGCTTAAGGCATTGGAGGAACTGTTGATTTTCGATAAATCACTGATCTCTATGGAAGCGTACCTCAAGCTCGTGAAGTTTACGATCATCAACAACATCAAAGTGGGTGTCTCTGATGGACATTACATTGCTAGTGAGGAGTCGATGGAGATATACCCTGTCACAACTAGTGATATCAACTGGAGGCTCGCTTTAGAGTCTTACAATCAGTTATTGAAGCTAGGAAATAGCATTGATTCCGAGATGGAACAGTTCTTGTGGATCTCTCTGGAGTATGCTGATAGCTCCACAGTCAAAGAGGTGTTTGATAATCTTTTGAAGTTTTCGTCGGTTGCAGAAAAGGTGCAGTGGTTTGAAAAACTTGTTAAGCTTTTCAACGTGAACAAACATGTGCTCTATGAGCCGTTGCTCTCCACTTATAGAAAGAGAATCAACCATTCTGGTGCCCTTTTCAATCCTATGAGATTTAGAAAGCCTGTTCCTGTCAAGTCGAAGCCCAAGTCAAAATCAAGCACTCCTGTTCCTGCTTCCACGGTAAAGCCTGAGCATTTGGACTTAGAGATCGAGGATGAGGGTGAAACGTTTGCTCGTTCTGAAGAGGAGCCGTCTGTCAAGCATGAAGAGACTATTGACTCCTCGAGAAACGAGTCGAAACCGGCTCTTGCGCATGCCACTATGGTCCAGTCGATGGTGCTCGAAAATGAGACAACAAAGTGGAAATTCAAAAAATACATTCTTCAACTGCTCACCGTCGTTGTCTCAGGCGCAAGAAATGACTCCAGACTGCAGAAGTATATCTCTACCAAGATATCTGAGCTTGTTGAGATTGCATTTATTTGCTCAACCTCGAGCCTGATTCAACTTCGAATCTCCTCCTTAGAACTCATAGGGCATATCATTGACATTTTTGGCAACATGAGCGACCCAGTATATCCAGAGGTCTCTCTTCTTGGACAGCAGTCCGCTCAAATCACGACGGCAATTGTTCCAGCATTCAGCAGAGACTCTAACATCGGACTCGCTTGTACGGCTATTGTTTTGGCCTCCAAGCTGTTGAGTAGTAATATTGGCCAGGTGAGTCGTATGCACCGTATCGTCAACGTTTTGACCACATCTCTAGAAGAGTTTGCACGCGCAAAGGGATCCGGCAACGAGACGTCTAATGGAGTGCCTAAAAATTTAAAGATTGGTGAGGTCTCTGTTCTAACCACCAAGTCTCAAAATAAGCTGTTGGTGTACATTTTACAAGCCTGGTCGAGAATCAAGGTGCATTCTGGCGGCAACCCAGACACGAGCCAGCTGGTGGACAAATACATCAACATTCTTACACCTCTCTGGTTATATTCCCTTCGCGATTTTGCGATGATGAAATACGGCAGTCAGTTCTTGGTCACCAATGCCGACGACGTGGATATCAATACGTATGAACAGTGTTGGGTGGACTTTGTTGAGGTCATTGGTGTGATTGCAAACGAAAACTCTACGCATCTGAACGAGTTCTTGCGCGATGACGGATCTAACTTTTTCTTGGTTCTTTTTGGCCAATGCATTGAGCATTTGATCAAAGTCTCATCCAAGACAAAACAGACTGTAACGCCATATGATTTCCGGGTTCTGGACGCTTTGGCAGGAATTTTGAAACTCAAATCGGGGTTGCAATTGGCTTTTGATGATTCTATTTTTGTCGAGTTTATTGACCTGCTAGACAGGCTTGTTTTGATTTCGGATCCCTCTTTCAAGATAAAACTACTGGAGTTGGCCTCTGGAGTATTTGAGTCTTATTTTATGACCTCATCGAGCTCCAAGAGCCCGGAAGAGCTCCATAGTGATGTGGACAAACTGTTTGAGCTGCTCAGAATTAACATGCTGGCAATAATCCAGATTCTTCCATTTATCAGAGACAGGGAGTTGGGAAGGACTCCTCTCAGAGTAGTTGAGAGTCACGACCTAATCGTTTTGAAAAAAGCGTTTGACCTGTCGTTGAATATGATTGCATATCTTCCTGAAGTGATCCAACTGGATTTGTACACTTGTTTCCTCTTCGCATTCACCCTTATTTATGAGCTGAATAACTCAGAGATCATCGCAATTCTGCTGCCCACGCTCAAAAAGATTATTTCGAGCATCGCACATGTCGACTCTAGAAACTCTGGCACGTCTCGTTTCTTCCATTCAATCAAGAAACATTTGAACGTCACTAACAAAAACTCGATTCTCACGGTTTTCATCATAGTCACTACATCCGATGAATTGCATTTGACAGAGGAAGAAGCAGCCAAAGTTTCAGAATTTATCATTAATGGCTTGCTTTCCGAAGAAAGCAGCTTGAATACAATCTCTATACAAACGATCAAAACGCTGATTAAAAATAACGAGAAGACGGGTCTCATCCTGGAAAAACTAATTCCTCAGCTTGTGGATCAGGTGTACCAATCGAAGCTGAAAGAGCCAAGACTGGTCCTCGAGATATTAATTGTACTGACTAGATCTGTCTCGTCGGAGAAAATCGAGGGATGCCTCAAGATTTGCATTCCAATCATTCTTTGGTTTGATGACTTCACTTCACAAAAGTACGAAAACTACCTCCACCACAAACTTCTCGACCTCATTCAACACTCACCAGCACACTTCAAAACATTTGTTGGTTCGTGTTCCGGAGATCAAAAACACAAACTCGAAAGATTGGTGAAGCTAGCAAGCGCCCCAGAAACTGAAACAGAAACGGTATTAGAGGAGTTCTCACACATCCAGTTGAAAACTTTTGGTTAGTAGATGAATTACTTGTGCTTTCCCAAACACAGTTGGTGGTATCGGAGCTGTCCTTCGATGAGAAAGTTGACTGCCGGCTGTGGTATCTGAATATTTGAGGCTTTTCTGATAATTGAACGCTTGAGTTGCCCTGCTAGCAATTGTAAAAAGACGACATGCTGGTGATTTAAAACTTTCTGTACGTATGGGTGCCTTTTGAAAGCTTCGTATTTGGGTCCCAGTAAGCCGTTGATGAGCTTATATCTCTTTTTTACCCACGACAAAAGGTTTTGTACGTGAGGATTATCTTGCACTATCGTGTACAAGGACTCCAACCATTCACTCAAAAGGTTAATCTCCTTAGTTGGGACATAAAGGATCTTGTCGACACCATAGCTATTTTCCGTGTCGAGGAATTTTTCACATACAAGAATCTCCCAATCCCCCAATGCATTGGCCTTGTCAAACACTTGAACCTCGCCGACATCTGGATTTACAGGCATATCTAGGTCAACATAGTAATCGCACTGGCTGAATGGAATAACCAAATCTGGATTGTATCGATTTTCATTGTTGAATCCCTGGGGCTTTGTCGATGTAGAATTAAACAGGGCAGTCCAAGAATTGGAAGATGGCTCTATAAAGTCTCCTGGAAGCATACCCCTAAAACCACTTTCAACAAATCTCAGCCGCTGGTTAGAATGCAAGAAGAATGAGGAAGGGTAGTGATACCATTCTCTGCCAATGCAGACATTTTCAGTGACATTGGTGCTTGATGTAGGCAGGCGTCGGAAAACCGCTAAGGGTGAGCTATAGTTTGACACCAGGGAAACAATTCGCAAGACTGAGACAGTGAAAATGGTCATGAACACGGCCAGTCTGCACAAAAATGTGTAGACTCTAGCGAAGAAGCACGTCTTGCCAAATATTTGGGTAATTTGTGAAATGAAAAATGAGGCGGACAATGTGATCAAAGGATAGATTGGGTATAGGAAGCGTTCCTCTTTGTGAGGCTGGAAAAAGAAAATTGCACACCAAAGAAGGATTGGGGCCTGAACTGTTTTTATCTGCTTCAGGTTGAATCTCTCAAATGCGACTGGAGACAGAATTCCCAGAACAGCCAAAGGCACCACAATATTGAAGTTGAGCAGGAGATTGTGAATGTAGTAAATCAATGGCTCAGTTCCAAATATATTGGGTCCCGTTTTTTCGTCCGAGTATAGCACATTGTACAGCACGATGTTCAATGGCACAAAACTTGTTTCTCTGTAAAATAAAGAATCGATTTGTAGGATGGCAATAGAGATGAATAATACTGCCGCAAACCCTAGTCCACCAAATGTGAGTAACTGGGAGTAAGACTTTCTTGAAACCAGTGTGACTCCGACGTAGAGGCCGAAAGGAATGGTTAGTGCCAGGGAAAAGGGCCATCCTAGAAGACCGCCAATTACGGCAGAAAGAATGGCCATAGTGAAATGCTTCTTTCTGGCGACAATGGATTCCGTGTACATATGATTGAGTAGCTTAAGACTTTCGTCGTAGTCTGAGGTCTTTGCCTTGACCAAAGATCGCAGCTTTTCATTAATGCTGTTCTGAATTTTCAGAATAAACCTGTCATATTTCAGGTAGTTGACTATGGAGGCGGTGGATAGAAGCATCAAAATCATGCTGAACGAGCTGGGAAGAAGACTTATGGAAGCATGGGACATACCCGGATTGACTGCTTGTAAGACCAGAAACCAGTTGGACAGATCAGGCGAAATGTACGCTAAAGTGTTGGCCAGATGTATCTCCGCGGACGCTGTTAAAAGAGCAATGGAGAGCCTCACAAGATAAAATTGTAAATAAGGTGGAATCTGCACGCTTGGTACCAATGTTGCCAGAATCCTGAGCGGCTTGTTAAACACGGTGAACGGCAGCAGATAAGCGTACGACCTGATCGCATATTCAGGCGAGTACTCCCAGGTTTGCTTGCCAAAAAGCCTCGTAATCAGATTCAAGGGTTCCCAATAATTGAACACCTCGTCACAGTCGGATATTATGCCGTAAAATGCCTCCAAAGTCCTGGAACACAGTAATATAAGTATTGGTATTAAGGACGGCATCACAAAATAATGTAAATAAATATTGCAAATAAATATATAAATAAATAGAGACGAGCCAATTATTTTCTGTCCTTGGTGGTTTGATTGAAAATCGACGAGTCTTTGTCAAGCTGTTTGCCAACGAGGACTGAATGTGGAGGGTGGAAGTCCTTCTTGTTGGAGTAGGTAGATTTCACTTCCCACCAGGGGACGTCCTTCATGATCTCTGCCTCTCTGTTGTAGTATGCGATGGTTCTGCGGACTATGTCTCTGTCCTGCTCAGCTTGCAAAAGAGGCAACAGATGGATACGAGACCATATTTTTTCTCTTTTCAGCTCCACGTTCTCCCTGTTTCCCTGGACGACCTTGTAGAAGCCATATGATGTTGTAGCAACCAGTAGTCCAAACCAGACAAGAGGCCTAAATCCCCTTGAAGGCAGGTTTCTCTTCCATTGGATCTTCTCGTAGCCTCCAACTGGAGGAAGATCTTGGGTAGCCATTGAGGGGAAATAATTAATAGGGGACAAATAATTATTGTAAGGACGCTGTGCGTCGATCGACCCATATATCTTAAATCTTTCGCTTTTCTATCACCCGGCATGTCTATAAAGATCGCATCCAAATCACAAGTCGAAGACCTACTGGCCAAGTACGACACGTTCCTTTTTGACTGTGACGGCGTGCTGTGGCTCGGTGACCATTTGCTCCCAAACATCGCGGAAACATTGGACCTCCTTCGTTCCAAGGGTAAGAAGGTGATCTTTGTGACCAACAACTCGTCCAAATCCAGAGCCGACTACGTCAAGAAATTCGAGAAGTTTGGCATTGTTGCCACCACTGATGAGATTTTTGGCAGCTCTTACGCAACGGCAGTCTACGTGGACAGTATCTTGCAACTGCCGAAAGACAAGAAGGTCTGGGTCCTGGGAGGATCTGGTATTGTTGACGAGCTCAAGCTGTTCGGCTACGAGTCCTTAGGTGGTGTTGACCCTAGATATGACGGTCTTTTAGACATGAACGATCCAGAGTCGATGATTTACAAGATCGACTCTGACGTTGGAGCGGTGGTTGTTGGGCTCGATACCAAGCTCAATTACTACAAGCTTGCTGTTACCATGCAGTACCTCAAGGACCCAAAAGTTCCATTTATTGCTACAAACATTGACTCAACCTATCCCTCGAAAGGCATGAAGCTTCCGGGAGCAGGCTCGTGCGTTGAGTCGGTGGTGTGTGCCAGCGGAAGACAGCCAATTACCAGCTGTGGAAAGCCAAGCAAGGGCATGATGGATGCCATTGACAAGGCGCACAAGCTAGACAAGAGCAGAACAGTGATGGTCGGTGATAGACTGAACACCGACATGAAATTCGGTAGAGACGGGGGACTGGCCACGCTGCTTGTGCTGACGGGAATTGAGACCGTTGAGACGCTGGGTCAGCTTAGCAAAGATGAGCAGCCCACATACTTTGCCGACAAGCTGGGCGATTTGTATGAGCTGCTGCAATAGACTCTATATAGCGACTTACACAAATATTGTCTTGACAGGAGCCGTGCGCCGATCGTCGCGCCGTTCTATTCTTTTTTTGGTTTTGAAGCAATATCATCGTCATATTTACTAGACACCGTGGCTAACATAGGATCGGCATTTCAGTTCGCAAACATAGTGGCAGGTAGTGCATAATGTCCGTTACTCAGGAAACACTCGAAAGTTCTGAGTTGATCAACTGGACGATTTTCCAGGAACTTTTGCTCATGGACGAAGACGAGGAAGGCTTTGCCCTTTCGTTGGTTCAAACGTTTGTGGATCAGGCGTCGGGCATTTTCAAGGAAATTGAGGCCCTTATTCAAAAACAGGATCCGTCCGAGGACGATCTCAAACGTCTTGCGTCGCTGGGCCACTATTTGAAAGGTTCAGCCGCAGCTCTGGGATTACATATAGTGCAACAGGAGTGCGAGAGAATTCAGAACTACGGCAACAAGATCAATTTGGACGACTATGAGCCAGCGACTAAGGCCAGCACAGTAAACGATTGGATCGATTGTATTCAGGCCGCATTTAAGAATGCGCTAGATAACTATGAAAAGAGCAAGGAGCTGTTGAGTGGGTTTTTCGGTGAGCAGCTATGAAACCACCATGTCGACGAGTTTATAGTTGTAATGGACCAGTAATGCGAACATTGCGTAATTTACTCTTCTTTTCCCGTGGCCTTCACGTTGTTTTCGATCAGCGAGTACCACAGAATCAGCACCATTGCGATGATGCCAAACGTGATGGCGATGGTGTTCAGGTCCGTGTCCGTGATCATCTCTGTCTCGAGGGTCAATATCACACTCTGGTCGCGGTCCGTGGCCTTCACGCTAAAATTGTTTGGCTAGGTTTTTTTTGCGTGGCATGTTGTCGACTCGACGATCGACTGCACCAAATCTTATTTAAATCAAACCCGGGGTAAAAATTCTCTCCACCTTAAATCATGTCCCGTAAGCTTACTTTCATTCCTGGCCCTGTTGAGTTCAGCGATGCCGTCTTGAACGCCATGTCTACTCCGTCGCAGTCGCACAGCTCGCCTGAGTTCACCAAAGTGTTCCAGGAAGCCCTCAAGAACACTAGAAAGGTGTTCAAGTCCACTGACCCCGAGACCCAGCCTTTTGTTCTGTCTGGATCGGGTACACTCGGTTGGGAGCTCGTTGGAGCCAATCTTCTCTCACGCTCAGAGGCGGTGCTGGTGGTGTCTACGGGCTTCTTTTCAGAGCATTTTGCCGAGGCGTTACAGGTTTACACGGATAACGTCGACATTGTCGGTGCGGAGATTTTTGGCGACGCGGTTAAATTGCCGGCTATAGAGGCTAAGTTGAAAGCCAAGTCTTACGGCATGATCACTGTCACACAGACAGACACGTCTTCGGGGGTTTTGTCGGATGTCAAGGAGATTGCTGCCCTGGTCAAGAAGGTGTCACCGGATACCCTGATTGTGGTGGACGCTGTTTGCGCCACTGCATGTGAGGAACTGGAGTTCGACGCCTGGGGAATTGACTTTGTTCTCACCGGTTCGCAGAAAGCGTTGGGCTGTCCGTCTGGTCTATCCATCTCGTACGCATCCAAGCGTGCCCTGGACAAGGCTTTGGCCCATAAGCCGGCTTCGTATTATGCGTCGATTCCGCGGTGGCTGCCCGTCATGCGCGCCTTCGAGAATGGTAGCCCTGCTTATTTTGCGACCCCGGCCGTCCAACTGGTCCATGCGTACAATGTTGCTCTGAAGGAAGTTTTGGCTCCATCGCTGGAAGAAAGAATCAGAGCCCATGCCGAGGCTTCTACCAAGTTCAAGAACAACTTGGAGAATCTGGGCGTCAAACTGGTGACGGTTTCGCGCGACGTGGCTGCGCACGGGCTCACCACTGCCTACTATCCAGACGGTGTCGATGGACCTATCTTCCTCAGCAAAGTTAGAGATTACGGCTTCACTCTGGCTACTGGAATCTATAAAGATTACAAAGATAAGTATTTCAGAGTGGGCCACATGGGTGTCAGTGCTGTTGGCGAGCGGAGACAGGAACTAGACGAGTGTTTTGAAGCCATTGCTAAGGCACTTAGAGAATCTAAATAGAAATCTTTATAAAATTTATTTTTCTATCATTATTAAACAGACAACGGGAACTGGCCAGCCCAGTCAGAAATCTCCTGCTTCAGAGCGGCCAGCTCTTCCGAACCTTGGCCGATCTTGGCCTTGAAGTCTTTCAGCTTGTTGGCCTCGATAGGAAGACTGCTTTGCACGTTTTTGGCAATCTTGATGGCTCTGTCGATGTAACCAACGATCTTGACAAAGTCCTCCTCAGAAAGACCTCTGCTGGTCATGGCTGGGGCACCGATTCTGACACCGCCTGGAACCAATGCAGACTTGTCGCCTGGGATGGAATTCTTGTTTAAGGCGATGTTGATCTGCTCACAAACAGACTCGATTCTGGCTCCGTCAATGCCCTTGTCTCTCAGATTGACCAAAACCATGTGCGAATCGGTTCCGTCAGAAACAAGCTTGTAGCCGAGTCTTTTGAACTCGGTCTCTAGAGTCTTGGCATTCTTCAGAACCTGCAACTGGTACTCCTTGTATTCTGGGGTAGCAGCCTGTTTCAACGCAGTGGCCAAAGCAGAGATGGTATGGTTGTGAGGACCCCCCTGGTGGCCAGGGAAGACCGAGAAATTGATAGGGTTCTCAAGGTCGTAGTAGATCTCCTTACCGGTTTTAGGGTTGACCGATCTGACACCCTTTCTGAAGAAGATCATGGCACCCCTAGGTCCTCTCAAAGACTTGTGGGTGGTGGTGGTCACAATGTCAGCGTACTCAAAAGGCGATGGAATCACACCAGCAGCAATCAGACCAGATATGTGCGCCATGTCCACAACCAGGTAGGCTCCAACCTTGTCAGCAATCTCTCTCATTCTCTTGTAGTCAATCAATCTACAATAGGCAGATGTTCCTGCAACCAGAACTTTAGGTCTGTACAAAACAGCGGTCTTCTCCAACATGTCGTAGTCGATGATTCCGGTGTCCAAGTTGACTCTGTATGGCATAGTCTCAAAGTAGGTGGAAACAGCAGAAATCTTTCTGGTGTCGGTTTGATAGCCGTGGGATAGATGGCCTCCATGAGGCAGGTCCAATCCCATCAGTCTCTCGTGAGGCTTCATGATAGCCTGGTAGACTTGCAAATTGGCTGGCGAGCCAGAAAGAGCCTGCACATTAACACCCCATTTGTCTGCATCCAGATTGAAAGCCTTCAAAGCTCTGGCCTGGCACAAGAGCTCCATTCTGTCGATATGCTCGTTTCCTCCGTAGTATCTGGCACCTGGGTAACCCTCTGAGTACTTATTACTCATTGGAGATCCCAAGGCGTCGAAAACAGCGGTAGAAGTAAAGTTCTCAGAGGCAATCAGCACAATAGAGTGTCTCTGTCTCTCGATCTCGTCCTGGATTATAGAGGCGACTTCAGGATCAACATCCTTTAAGTGGCCTTCGACCATCTGTCTGTGGGAAGGAGAAAGGGCGTACGACATAATAAAAGATGAAATAAATAATATGAAAGATAATTAATTAAGGTGACAGGAAAAAGAATAGTAGAGGACAAAATAAAAAGGTGGGGGTGTGTCACTTAAGTTAGAGCAGATCTACAGTTACTGACTTCCGTTTCTACAATTCTCTAGTTTCTTCTTTATTACCACATATACCCGATTAACGGTAGGATTTCTGGAATCTGGCTCTAGCACCACGACCACCGAACTTCTTTGGCTCCATTCTTCTAGCGTCAGCAATCAACAGGGTTCTGTCGTAAGAGGTGAAAATCTTCTTCAGCTCGTTCTTGCTTGACTCGTCGACGTACTTGGCTGTGTAGGCAATCAAACCTTTAGCAATGGCCTGTCTGATAGCGTAAACTTGGGAAACGTGACCACCACCGGTAACCTTGATTCTGATGTCCAAGCCAGCAAACTTGTCAAGACCGACGATAAGCAGAGGCTCGTAAACTTTGTGTCTGAGGATTTCTGGTTCCACAAGGGTGATTGGAACACCGTTGACCTTGATCAAACCCTTTCCGGCTTTGACGTGGGCCACAGCAGTTGCGTTCTTCTTCTTACCAAAGGTCTATAATATTAGCAAGATCACATATGGAGTCTTGTTTAACTTACCTGAACGGACTTGGTAGGCTGGGTAGACATGGTGATAATGTTGGATGGATAACTAATTATTTCGCTAGCTTTTGTGTGTGAAAAATTTTAGGCACCCTTACACGGGTTTTTGTGTTTTCTGAAGATTGTGACTGCTTTTTTTCATCCTGATCGTTCGTGCCGGTGCGAATTCTTGAAAAATTGAAAATTTTCCTGTGAAGCAAAAATTAATCTTAAGGTTAATCACAAATGGCTATCGCAAAGAACCTCCCAATCCTTAAGAACCACTTCAGAAAGCACTGGCAGGAGAGAGTCAGAGTCCACTTGGACCAGGCCGGCAAGAAGGTGTCAAGAAGACAAGCCAGAGCTGCCAAGGCCGCTAAGTTGGCCCCAAAGCCAATCGACTCTCTTAGACCAGCTGTGAGATGCCCAACCATCAGATACAACAGAAAAGTCAGAGCCGGGAAAGGATTCTCTCTTGCTGAGCTGAAGGCCGTTGGATTGACTCCTAAATACGCCAGAACCATTGGAATTTCCGTTGACCACAGAAGAGTGAACAGATCCACCGAGATTTTCGAGACCAACGTCGCCAGACTTCAGAAATACAAGGACTCCTTGATCATCTTTGACAAGAACACCAAGCCTTCTGGTGAGCAAGTTTCTATCGGTGCTACTTTCCCTGTTGAGCAACCTGCTGCTGAGACCGAACCAAGAGCTGTTGTTGTGCCTGAGCAGACCGCATTCAGAACTTTGAGATTGGCTAGATCCGAGAAGAAATACAAGGGTATCAAAGAGAAGAGAGCCAAGGACAAGGCTGAGGCTGAGGCTGAGAAGAAGAAATAGGTTAATTGAAGAAGTATTGTATTACATTGTAATTCGTGTAGACAACAAGAATCCCCATACAATCTTTACTCTCTGTTCAACACTTATCAGTTTATTATCTATACTTAGTCAAACAAACCGAATCCCATGTCGTCGTCTTCCTCCTCCTCAGCAGCAGAGGCCTCCTTCTCCTCTTCGGCAGCGGCCTCAGCAGCACCACCAGCAGCAGCGCCTGGAGCAGCAGCAGCGGCAGGAGCGGCGCTGATGTTGAAGTTGGTCAAGAGAGACTTCAAGTCCTGGCCATCCAGAGCCTTGGCGTAGATGGAAGCCCAGATGTTGTCGATCTCGATGTTGGCACCAGAGGTCAATTTCAAAAGGTTTTCAGGGTTGATTTCGACATCCGAGTCAGCCAGGATGATGGCAGCGTATGAAAGGGCAGATTCGGTGGACATTTTGGTTGGAATAATCGATTTAAGCACTGAGGGCAGACTATTTCCTTGGTGAAAAAAAATTGGAATAATTTTCCTATAATATTACGGGTCATGTGACTGAAGTTGCAACCCTCGTGCCCTAATCTAAAATATTTTTGGTAGCTGCTATATAGATGTATACTACAGAAGGGCAAGCACGAGCGGTAGCAGGCCGAACACACTTGTTCTCAGGCCGCTTCCTTCGTCGCTTGCTACAGAAACTGCCACAGATGTAGACCTGTATGCTGTCGTTGTGCGGGTTTGGAACAAGGACTGCGGCGTACAGGAGGTAGCTGCATCTGTGGAATTCAGCGAGCTCAGGGAAGTGCAAGTGTTTTCGTGGGTGAGAGCTGGCAACTTGACGTGGAACATGAGGGCCTGGTTATCAAGATTGGCCCCGGACGCATCAGAGTACAGAAATCTTCCAAAATTCATGAAACCGTTCTGCGTGATAAAATCGTCGTCGGAAACGGTCAGCAGGAAATATTCGTCGGTAGTGCACTCGACCGGGATGAGAGTGATTCCTTCCCACTTCTCATTTAGCAGCATGGAGTCGTCTTTGCCGCCGTTGTGCAGTCCGAACTTGCTCAGCTCGGTCTGGTTGTTGTAATCAAGGAACGAGTAGTAAGTAGCGGTTGTAATTCCGTCTTCCAGCTTCCCTTTATTTGAAGCGATCTTATCGCCCTTTTTGTCGTACTTGCCGGCAATGTTGGTTGCATTGGCAATGGAATACAGGTCAGCATGTCTGTAGAGTGACGTGGTGTTGTCCTGTGCTCTTCCGCGTCCACTGTCTCTAGCCAGAACCATAAATATTTCGTCGCTCACGTACACGAGCTCAGACTGCGCAGCAACTCTAGGATTCTTTGCAGCATCTTTTTCGGGGTCCTCGTAGGTAGGCAATCTTAGCACATACTCTGCTTCCAGCACTGGTGATGAGCCAGAAACGTCGTACTTGACCATCCGCACGTACTCGTTCGTGTACTTGTGCGAGCCACCCTCTTGCATGGCAGCAGACTGGAGCAAGGCGTACAGGTGCTTCCCGTCAGGTGACAGTGTAGCCCCTTCGAAGCCCTGGTTGTTGGCACGGCCGGAGTCTGGGTCTCCAGTGTCGTAGTCCTCGTACAACGGAGGTGAATTGGCACTGAAGGACATGGTGCCGTTTCTAAAGGGAACTATGGCATCTGGCGGGAGGGTGTAGTCGATCAGGTTGCCGTTGGAATCGAATCTAAAAATACCGGGACCGTACTCATCGGTGATCCAGAAGCCGTTGGAAATGTCGTTTTTCACAATTCGCAGAGCTTCGGGGTCTAAGCAGACCCGTGTAGTAGTGGAGTTTGTGTTCAATCCGCCACCAAAACCGTCTCCAACAAATTGGGTAGCCGGCAACATGTGTCCGTTCTGGTATACGGTGGTGTTGCAGTCGAGTCCCGTCATGAGCTGCCCGTTGAAGTCTTTCAGCAGTATGGTGTCCTGGTAGTTCCAGACGAGGTTGGCAGAGGAGGAGCTATTCTTCGGAGTGAATGTGACGCCGTACTTGTGGATTCTAGGAGCATAGTTTAGCGTGCCATTGGTGTTCCAGCCTCTGTCTGGCAGATTGTACGTGACAAAGGTGTACACACCATTGGACACCGACAACGATGGCTTGTGCAGAGAGATAGACGACCCAAACGAGATAGTGTCCTTGTATTTATCAATAGCGTCGCCGGGGACAATACCATAGCCGGACAGTCCGTAGTTGATATACTCGTCGTTGCCGATGAAGACAGAGTTTGCAGCAAAGCTGGCGGGGATAAGCGAGAGACACGCAGAGACAGTGGCAAACTTCATTAAAGAGCACGCATGGCCAGATCCCCGTATTTATGCTATTTACGGCTCGATTTTCGGAAGAAAAAACGGACTCACCACGTGCAAATAATTTAAGCTATTGCGTCTATTTGTTTTCAGATCCTGATCGTGCTCATGTGCCGCCTGGCCGGTTTAATGCACAACCACGTGGATGCGTACATGTTAATTCTGTCGATGCTCTTTCCCGACTCGCGTACGGCAGCAGCTTCGCAGATGTAGCCCCTCCTCTCGAAATTTTTTATGTACCATGGCTGCGCGGAGGCAGAACGGAGCAGGACACGGCCGCCGGGTGCCAGAGCCTGGTCCAGTGCTGCAATCTCCTCCTCTGCTTCTGTTCCTGTCGGGTCGAACCAGTCCATGTGATCCATGATCACAGCTACCGTCAGGGACTCCTTAGTCAGTCTAGCGAAGACGTCGTTCAAGTAGTCTGTGTGAAGACGGATGTTATCCAACGCTGAGCCTTTGGCCGAGAATTTTATGTATGCAGACCCAGTGAGGTAGTCTGGACAGTTCTGTTCTGAGTATCTGCCCATGAGAGCCAGGTAGTAGAAATAGTTGTCGCTGGAGATGAGCGAGCGGGAAACCACAGGGTCCAGCGTATCGATCACGTATTTTACCACAGACGGGCCCATCATGGCAGCCTGGTTTGCCGGAACGCCAAGCGCTTTCCAAAGAAAAACCGGATTTCCAATCAGCAGCTTCGAGACGATTGGGTTGAACAGCGTCGGCTTGATATTCTCGTCCCAGATGCGTTTTTGCTCCTCGATAGTTTTTGCCGCACACAGATCATCCACGTCGGAGGTTACGCCACAGATCTTGAACACGTAGCGGGCCATTCGCAGAGCCCATTTCGAGAACCCCGTGTCGTACAGGCCGCGGCCGTTCACGCAGAACGTCTTCTCGCCGTTGGCGTACCAGTACTGGAACGCATTCGAAGACATATGGGGTGCCATTTTGGTGACTAGCAGCTCACGGAAGCCCTCGATCTTACCCAGCCCAAACATCTTCCAAATTTCCTCCCTTTTCAAAGACTTGAAAGCTGCCAGCTTCAGCTCCATCAAATGGCCCTGACATGGGTTAAGATCAACTCCATGGATACGCCGAGGCGGGTCAGGCAGAGAAGCATACGCCAGAATATTGTCGCCTGCCGAAGTGATCGCTAGAACAGTGTCTTTGGACGAGAGCTTGAGGATCCTGGCATCTTCTCTTGGGTCCTCCCATGTGAACGCGTAAATGTACTGGTCGTTGAATTGCTTATACTCTGGTCGTAGTTCATCGAAGTAGACCCGATAGGCGTCTTTCTGGTAATAGATGGACGGATAAGGTAGATTTTTGGCCTGCGAGTCAAGAGCCGCCTCGTGGCCCTTACTTCTGGCAATCTCCACCGACTCATCTTGGGGAGCCAGGTATGGGGACTCGGTGGCTAGCGCATTGATCCTGTGCAGCAGGGCTGGCGAGCAGTCTTTATCGCAGCCAAGCCAGATGTAATATGGGATATTTCCCAGTTTCTTGTTGTACAGGTTGAGCGACTTGAGTGTTCCAAATTTGTACTCAAGATAATCTCTTCTCGCCGGGTCCAAAAACACCCGGTCGGCCTCAAACCACGTACGCCAAAACGTGCGGAATATCCACGGGTTGTGTCTGTTCGTCATTCCTCCAAGGGTGTTGACTCTGGCTAGCGAGGTGGCAATCGTTTGGACTCCAAAATCCACACAACAAACAACTCCGTTCTTGTGCAGCATGGAAACAACATGGTCCACGGCACAATGGAAAGTTGGGATCATTGACAAAGAGTAGGAGAAGGTGATCAAGTCAGCAGGCAGGTTGGCAACAGAGAAGTTGCACGCGTCGGCATGGACACAGTGGACGTTTTTCCAGCCCTTGGCATCGAATCGCTGTTGTGCAACTTCAAGCAAGGAAGGCGACAGGTCAACCACGTAGATTGCTTTGAAGTGTTTTCTTAACGGCAGAACGGAGTCCATGTGCTCCACGTTGTAGCCTGTGCCACCACCTACGTCGATCCACACGAGATCTGAGGTTTTTGAAAGGTGGCTAGCTGCCAGCTTCAGGGAGGTCTCTCTGCCTTGCAGAAGCGTTGACCTGGTCAGGTCGTAGATCTTAGCCTGGGCCTGGTAGAACGACTCGAGCGCCTGCTGTTGGGCACCTGTGCTCTTGGCGGTTTTCGACGATGGGGTGAACGGTTTGACAAAGCAGAGATAGCAAAACTGAATCACAACTCTGAACTTCTTGCTGGAGATGCAGAGCAGTGCACTCGCAAGAGCTGCACCAAGAAAAGCATAAGTAGCGTAGAGGACCATATCCTCGGTCTTGAAAAAATCTATCATTGGCGGGTGAAAAAAGATAACGGTCTTCTTATAAGTGCACCCCTGCCATATCCAACAAACGGCACGGGGAGATCTATCAACAGCATGTGAAAACTGCGCGGTTCGGTGGATAGAGGTGATTGGGAGCAGATATCTTTGCTGACGTAAGAAATAGGAATTGGGGAGGAACGTGGGTCAGATCTCTAATTGATTGTTGGGTCGCAGCTGACCAAATCGGGGAAGTTGTTATGTTTCACAGAACGTTTAAAGCCCCACCTCCCAAAGCACGTAGAACCAGTCTAAGGCACTGCTCACAAGCCTGCGCAGAGGTTTACCTAAAACCAAGAGGAGTGTGCCCGGTGTCGGTTTCAGGAGTGGATTGGGTGTCAGGTGTCTGCCATTTGCTGACTCTAAGTCGACGTCGGAATACATTCTCCGACTCCATATGTCGTCGCAAGCTCCTGAGAAGACCACACGAAACTTGCCCAAGCCAAAAGCTGCGTATCTTCCTACCAGCAAGGACTCTCCGCTATATGCCAACAGAGAGCTGTACAATGCGATTGCCGCCACTCACGAGGCTGGCAAGCGCGAGCTTATTGAAAAAGTGACTGTCCCTGTTCGCTCGGGCCGTGCTTGGAAAGTTCCCAAGGGACACATCTGCCGGATCGTCGCCTTGGAGGGCCCGCAGGTGGGTGACCTCAACATATGGAATGCAAATAATCCAAGAGAGAGACTGTGGGCCTCTCGTACCAGACAGTTGCAATCTGCGCACGTTTCAGTGTACGACCGTCTGTGGTCCAATCTGCCATACTTGAGACCGCTTTGCACCATCACGGGCGACTCAATTGCGTATGGTCAGGATGAGTGGGGTGGAAGATGCCACGATCTGCTTGGAACCCGCTGCGACCCATACGTCGATAAGCTATTATCGGGGGAAGATAATGACTTCCACTGCCATTCCAATCTAACGCGTGCGGTTCTGCCGTACGGATTGACAGAATTTGACGTCCACGACGTGCTGAATGTGTTCCAGCTCACCGGGCTAAATGAGCACGACCAGTATTTCATGGAGACCTGTCCTGCGAAGAAAGGTGACTACTTTGAATTTTTCGCAGAGACTGATCTGCTCTGTGCTCTGTCGACCTGTCCCGGCGGCGATCTGTCGCAATGGGACTGGGGTGAGTCTGAGGACGGCGCGGGTGTGGACATGACTGAGTGCTGTAGACCGCTCGGTGTTGAGGTTTATAAAATTACTGATGATTCAGTTTTACAAAACTGGACCGAGCCGCAGCCTGTGAAATACAACGGTCTGCACGGTCTAAAAATGCCTTGAATAAATTATAATTTTCTATGTCTCGTCCAATCTCGTATCTAGAAGACCTGTATCGTCTACGTAACGCGGCTGGCTGCTACTCGTGCTGTCAGGTCGCGGGTCTGTACTCAGTGGACCTCTCGCGGGAGCTGTTGTGGAGGGCGCTGCGCAAACTCGTGCTGCAATATTCACAGCTGTCGCTACAAGTGTTCGCGAACGAGGGCCATCACGAGATCAGGCCGTTAGACTGCTACACATTGGACGAGGTTCTCGAGGTCCGCGACGATTGTGGCATGCTGGAACTCATTTCTGACATCAACAAACGCTATTTTAGTCTCAACGTTCAGTCTCCGTTGTGGAGGCTGATTCTCGTGGGCAAAAACCGGCTAGTGTTTTACTATGAACACCTGCTGTTCGACGGAACTTCGGGCAAAAACTTTCACATACTGCTGCGGGACGCGCTGGCCGAGGCACTGGCCGAAAAGGATGCCGTCGACGCTGCTGCGCCGCTATTTGACCATTCACGCGATGTTCTTCCGGCGACCAACCCTGACCAGATGGCTTTCGTAGATTACCGACCGTCTGTGGCTTTTGCTGCGCGCGTGGTGTTTCACGAGTTTGCGCCCAGGTGGCTCAAAAGTCTGCTGCAGCCGTTTTCGAAGTTCCCCTTGATTATGGATCTGTTTGAACGAAGAGACCTGGCCCGCCAGCCGGGCGTGGCAAACGACGTGTTCGAGCTCGTGCAACTGTCTCGAGAACAGGTTACTCACCTCGTTGCCCTGGCTCGCGATCACGGCGTAAAACTCACCGCATTGCTCGCCATGATGATGCATGTGTCATTGCTGCCAACCGTGGGGAATAAGTACACAGACACCTCAATCCCTGTGAATTTACGGCGATATATGTTTGCAAAGCCAGGCCCGCCCGAGCTAGGCCTGTTCATGGCTGAGGTCAATGTAAAGCTGTTGCCGGCAGCAGAGTACGGCGTGGTGGCAGACGAATGTAATTGGTCGCTCGCCGCGGCGGTGCAAGATCAGCTCAACCAGGGTCTTTCTTCCAGCATGAAGCCGATCGGACTGCTCAAGCACATTAGTCCTCGTGATTACCTGGAGTCCAAGCTGAAATCACCGCGCACTACCACGATGGAAATCTCCAACCTTGGCACTGTAGCCAGCACCTCGCCCGTCAAGCTGTTGCGTCTTACCTTTGCACAGCCTTTGGGGCTGACCGGCCCCTATTTCGGTGTCAATGTTATCGGCGCAGATACTGGAGTCGACATTGTGCTTGTCACGTCGTCAGAAATGGCGCCCGAGCTGGCACAAGCGAAAGCTGCCTTTCTGCGCCTGCTGGATAAAATGCTCTAACTTTATATAATAATTTGGCTGTGTTCAATTTATTCTACCCCACTATGTTTAGATCGCGTCCCAGAATACTCTTCGCGGCCGTCAGCCCCAGGCGACCGATTTCCTCCTGGAACGTCGGGGCCAACATCAGGCATTTCCGCCAAGCGATGAAGAACTCGGGCTCGCCGTCGTTCGCTGTGCGCCTGCTATATTTGGGCGGAATCGCAGCAGGCCTCAACCTGGCCTTTAATTCCATGCTTTTTGTGCTCACCAATTTATACATGAACGAGCTAGAAACCATCTCGTGGGACTTCGGCTTTAAGGCTAACACCGAGTTCAAAAATGGCCTTGCGAACGAGATGATTATCAACGATCCAAAAAAGGCCAACCAGCACTACACCAATGCTCTGAAGCTCGTCAGCAAGACCAATGGGCTAGGAGAAGGCGAGTTGCTTGGGTATAAGCAGCTCGATAAATATTTACAACAAAAAGACATATCGTACATCACGAGCTACAGTGATCTTCTTCTTCGCTATGCCTTGACGCTGGGCTCCAAGAGCCAGGACCGGGCGGTAGAATGCATACAGTATGCGCTCAAAATACAGGACAGATATGGGGAAAAAGCACAGACAGAGGTTGGTGCATACTCGCTCCGAAATCTGGGTCTTCGCTATCTAGCAGACGTCGAGAAAGAGAACAAGCGGGTGGATGCGGCCGTAAATTTGCTCAAGGAGGCGATTCAAGTGATGCAGAAGCACGAATTCTCTTATTTGCCCGAGCCCGACGAGGTTCCGCCAACAGAAACTTGCTCAACGCAACTAGTTTCCTCAATTATCGAGCTGTGTGTTCTGTATGCTTCGACGCGTGTGCCGGCCTACATGAACAGATCATTCAAGCTGCTGCTGTCGCTCCTGACTAATCTCGAAAATGAGTCAGGTGTGCTAGCAAAGAGTGCGCAGCCCGATGCCAAAAACATTAACGCAGACAAGATCCCACTTGTCAAGCTCCAAATCAGCGAGATACTATGGTATAAAGGGCAGCACGGACCTGCACTCGAGTTTGCCAAAGAGTCAGCATGCCAGGCAGATTTGTACTCACGGGACAATGCAAATAGCGCGAAGATTGCCAAAACCGGCTACCAAAATCTTGCTACCATGTACTCTGAGCGAGGAGACAACGAAGCCGCCGAGCTGTGCATGCTGAAGGCAGATCGCATTGAGATTCCTGTCTCGGCGTTCGATTCACCTTCGCGAACCGTCAGAAACACTGTATTGCGGCATTATCTGGGGCCTTGGAGCGTTGCATTTTTCGCTTAACTAATTTGCTCAGGCTGTGCTTCTATTTTTTTTTTTGGGTAAAACGAGCAAATTACGTCCAGAGTATATAAAATGCATCTCTACGCCCTTTCTTCTGCCTAATGGTCGCCAGAGATTTGGAGGTGTACGATGGCGTGCACTGCATTGCCGATATAGGCACAGAGCACTACTCGATGCTTAAGAAGATGTCCCAGGCAGCTACTCCCTGGGCAGATATGGCAGAATATGGCAAGTACGTCACGTACTTGCTCGCCGGACTGGTTTTTGCAGGCACAGTTAAACATTATGTCTTCTCCAACTATGATGTGGACCGTATGAGAGGGGGGCCTGCACGGATTATGGAAAAAATGACTGCTTACAGCCGGTTTATTGTCTATCGTCGGTTACCTTCAAAGATCTGCCACCTTTTCGGTCTGCCGTCCTCTGTGGGCAGTCTTTTGCTGATTGGGCTTGTCACCCTCTACAGCTTGCTTTGGTGCTTTGTTCCACATCCTTACTATCGTGCCTGTTTGGGCTTTGGGTCCCCGCCGCTTGGGGTTCGTGCTGGCTTCATGTCGCTGGCCTTCGTCCCATTTATATTTATAATGTCGGGGAAAACCAGCATAATCGGCTTCCTAACGGGTATTTCCCACGAAAAGCTGAACAGTTATCATCAAACAGCATCCATATTGTGCTTGTTCTTTGGATGGGTCCACACCATTCCTTTCTACCTACAAAACGCTAAGGAAGGTGGGACAGCCAGATTGCACGAAAAAATGTACTCGACCCCGGTCTATGTGTCAGGAGTCCCCCCAATCATCTTTTTGACACTGCTATGGATAGGCTCGCTCCAGATCGTGCGGCGGTTCTGGTACGAAGCTTTTGTGTCGTTGCACTGGGTGCTCGCGATTGGCTTCTACATCAGCTTGTTCTACCACGTTTATGGCCTTCTGAACTCCGACAAGTACATGGTGGCTACTATTGTCATTTGGGGCGCTCAGCTGTTGTACAGATGGTTTGTCAAGGGTTATTTGAGACCGACCAGATTCATGAGAAGTGCTACTGCCAGCGCTCGCAGAATCGGTACGCCCGACGAAAAATGCATGGAGGTTCTTGTTGACACCCCTATCAAGTTTATTCCTGGCCAGCACATTTTCCTGAGAACGCTGGATAGGAAAGTTGCGGAAATGCATCCGTTCTCGGCAATTCCTTCACCCAACGGCATCAAACTGATTATCCGCGCGTACGACGGGTTTACAAAACACCTATACCAGTCTTTAGAATCGCCACGTGACTTCAATGTGCTGGTGGATGGTCCTTATGGAGGTGTTGCGCGAGACGTGCGCAGCTTCTCGAATCTCTATATACTGTGCTCCGGATCCGGTATCACATCGAGTCTGCCGTTTATCATGGCCTATGCGAAGTTGATCTGCATGCCGGCTGTACCGTTACAAACAATCCGACTGGACTGGACCGTGAGACATGCAGCCGACGTGTGCTGGATAGAACAGGAGCTGAATTACATCAAAGAGGAGTATGCGGCCTTGATGAAGAATGGGGCTCTTGAGATTCACATCTACTGCTGTTCTGGTGAGAGTGAGAAAATGACCATGTCCATTTTTGAGTACCATAGCTACAAGCCTGTGGTGGCTGACATTATGAAGTCTTTTCAGCTTGGTAGCACAAACTGTATTATCTGTTCTGGTTCGAAGAGTTTGAAAGACCAAGTTGGAAATGCAGCTGCCAGATTGCAGTCTCGAGTGGGCGACGTGCGCGAGGTATACCTCCACACCGAGGAATTTAGCTTCTGATTCGTTGAGAATAGACTCTCCTATACATATTCTATAGCTGATATCTAATACATCAGGCAAATGTCAGTTTAATCCTTCGATTGGCCAGCATGAGCAGCAGAATCGATAAAACTTTCTATTTAGAATGATAGAACGAGGACCAACAAGGACAGCAGGGATTTCGTCCTTCCTCCCCTACCCAGTTGTAAACTCTTTATCCCAACCAGGAGTGTGAAGAAACTTAATACAACTCTGCGGTTCCCCTGTAAGATTGTGAATACGGTCGCCAACGGATGATCATGTGACTGAAAGATTGGAGCTCAAATAAACCTTAGATTAAGATTTTTCGACTAGATCCATATGTTGTCGATAGGTAGGCTTTGAAGGCCTGTGTTAATATTGCTCCTCACAAGGTTTCAGTCTACACTGGAGCGTCAGTATTTCGCAAACACTTACCTGCAAAATGATGGTCTAATGACTTTCTCACGTGACCAAGTTTCTTTACTTTAGGTAAGCTCCGGCATTTTTCGATATTCGGCTGATTGGAATACGCAAAAATCAATGTCTGCGTTGTATGAGCAGCAGATCGCGATGAAGAACAGGCGGCGCGTGCTCGACCTGGAGATAGACACCTACTTGAAGCTCAAGAGCAGGCTACTTGGGTATCTTGCTACTGCACGCGAGAACAGACTGGTTTCTGTGGATTCAGAGGAGCTGAGTAAAGCACAAGCCGAGCTAGATCTGGCACGGTTCAGGACGAATCTGAACCTGATGGTGGATTCACTCAAGTACAAAAATGCAAGTAAGGACGCCGAAGCGATGGAGACGTCCATCAACGCCAAGCTGCTTGCTTACATCGACAGAGAAGTGGAGGAAAGCAAGCAGCTCACGAAGAAAATTGAAAACGCCAAGGAGCTACTGAAAAACCGTCGCAAAATCAACTCCGTCGTCCAGCAGTATCTACGTCGCTCGCGCACAATCACATTGACCAGAGAAGAGATAGAGACGCTTTTTGGCGACGAGATCGACGCAGCGTCGATCGTCAAAAATGGTCGCGAGGTCAGGAATAACGTGTACGAGTTCCAGCTCAGCAGCGCCTCGTTCCAACATAGTTTCCAGCAGCTGACGGCCCAGATAGATGCCAAGGTTGCCGAGTGCGACAATTTCAGGATGCAGATCGAGGAGAGCAAGCGCAAATGGGAAGCTCTTGCTACGAAACTCTCCGAGATCCTCACACAGATACATCATATAGAGATATAACCTTAACTATGTACATCTATTCAGCCTCAAGCGACTCCAGCTTGTCCTCCACAAAGCCCTGGACCACCTGGACCTCTTTGGAAGCTGGAATCACAATGTTGTTCTCTCTATACTCGTCGATCTTGGCACATGCCTCGGCCACACCTTCTGCGCTCGCGCTCTCTTCAAACAGAGTGTACAGTTCTGCCACGTCTCTGAGGGGCGCCAGGTCTGTGCGACCGATCTGCTCGGCAAACCTGTCGAACTTGAGCTGGCCGATGTACTTAACACCTTCGACAAATCTAAGATCGACCTTGAAATCTGCGTCCAGAAGCTCCGGAATGCCAAAAATTGCCTGTTGCAGTCTCTCCAGCTTGTCGTACCAATCGTCTGTCTCAACAGTTTCCGCCGTAAGGTACTTTTCCCTGAACTCCTGCAAATATTGGTCTCCGTTGACTTTGAATTCTTTCTGGGCGTTTTTGAGCGCATGGTCGCGCTCCGTCAGCACCTGCTTGATTCTCCACATGGACTTGTGAATTTCGTCATCCAGCCTTCGGTAATCCTCACCAACTGGGTTGTCTCCCTGTTGGCGGAAGATATAGATTTCTCTCTCCAATTTATTGCGCTCTTTTAGGCAGACATGCCACAAACCATGCAAATCTTCCCACGACTTCCGTCTGAGCTCCTGCACTGACCAAGCTCTGCCGGTGAAGGCGACTTCTGACTGGTCTCTGACGAACTTCTTGTTGTGGAAGAACTGCCACAGTGGATGGTCCTCCTTCACAACGATGTTGTTGATGGTAGGCAGAATAGGCGGTCTCAGCTTGACAGTAGGCGGAATCCGCTTTCTCGCTGCTACTAGCGCAGTCGTGTGGAAATGGCGGGACATGGAGAAAGATTAATGTTCGATGATTTCTTCAAATAATTTTTCAGTTCGTTGTGGCGAAGTCTAGTGGCTGATGCAATTTTAGTAAACCATGTTCAGACCATTTTGTCAGTGTGTCCAGGCCACGCGGCAGCTGGCGACAAAAATACCCCGAGCGAACAAGCTGCCGCCACGGCCAAAGCTCAGTGAGGACGAGATTGCTGAGAAATTCATTAAAGGCGGCTCCGGCAAGGGCGGCCAGAAGATCAACAAGACGAACTCAAAAGTGCAGCTAACACACATCCCCACAGGGCTCGTGGTCACATCTCAGGCCACACGATCACGCGAGCAGAACCGCAAGATTGCACGCGAGCTGCTTGCGGCCAAAATTGACGAAATGCGCAACGGTGAGAATAGCAGGGCAGCTATAGTAGCTCTGCGCAAGAAGATGGTGAAAGAACGGGCCAAAAGGAAGACCAAGGCGAAATATAAACAGTTAGGCTCCAAATCTGACCCCGACATCGAATGGGACGCGGTCGTTGACTTACATGAGGACGAACGGAAAGTATAACTCATAAACTCAATTACATAGTAACAAAAAATCACTGTTTTATCTTGCGCATATTCTCGAGCTGCGTTCTGTAGTCATGTTCTCCGTGGTACAGCTCCAGCAGCGAGTTGAGGTGACCATCGTTTTTTCCCAGCCACTCCAATGCCTTGTTGGACCAGACACCGGGTTTTTGAACGAGCAACTCTTTGCCCTCAGTTTCGAGATAGTTCTTGATACAGTCAAGAACAAGATTGCGTCTCGAGTTGCATCTGTGGAACAGGAAGATGATATAGTACTCCTTGATGCCAAGGCTTGCCAATTGAGAAAATAGAGTTTTCGTTGTGACTGTGACCTGCGGATCAAGAGTCTTCTCGAGCTGCTCCAAAAACGATTCTTTCCGTGGGAGCACGTCCGCAAGATCGATCGGTGGGCCCTCATTTTTTAACGACAACGCAAAACGTGGATCCGAGAAGTACGTTGTAGGTTCATCGACAAACTCCAAAGGCTGCTGCATGCCCTCGATCGCAGGGTCGATATTCGCGGAGCTGCTCTGCGGGTCGCGTTTCGTTCTCTTTGCCGGAGGTCCATCCTGCTCCTCTTGCCTAAAATTCTTGAACGCAGTGACGAGATCCTGGTTGGCCTGCTGTGCTGCCATTGCGATCGACTGCTCGATCTGCTCCTGCGGCGTAGGACGCAAGAACTGATTTTCTGGCCGGGGAGCAGGCACGAACTCCGGCTCCACAAGGTCTGATGCCTCCATTGTCTCTAGGTTGGCATCCAAAAACTCGTTTCCTTCGGGAATATTGGGGAAATATAGTTTTGGACCAGACGCTCTCTTCAGATGTTTTCTGGCATTCAGCCAGTCCTTATTCGCGGAATTTGCCGGCTGGGGCTCCTTGTCCTGTCTAATCTGCATGATGCAGTACTTGAGATAGTTGGCAATACCAAAAAGACTCAGAAAGTTCTTGTATCTCTGTCTCCAGGACTCGGAGGTATGTCTAGGGTGAGAACTGGCATAGTTGTCGAAGAATCCAGTAGGAAAATTAATAATCTCAAAGCCTTTTTCGTCTGTCGTCGGTCTCAGCTTCATGTAGATGGTCCTGCACATCTCGAAATCCTCCCACGCAGAAAAGTTGGTGGTTTTCTTCTTGATATCGTAGTCCCGAATGTAATTACCGTTGGCGTCTCTCAGCAGCTCCTTGTTGGGCCCAGCCTTGTAGACATACTCAATGTCGTACTTCAGAGTACGTATCCGCTCTCTCAACGATGCAGCACTGCGGTTCCTTTCCTTGAAAAAATCTAGCTCGGCGATATCCTTATAAATTTGATGGCCCTTGTATCCCATCCAGGGCCGTTTTCTGATTTCCTCAAACAACACATTATCCTCCTCCTGAGTGAAATATCTCATTGTTGCAGGACCACTGATATTGGTAAGTGGGCTAGGCGCGGACGGCTCCGCCGGGTTGTGGATCTCGTAATCGGACAAATTCTGGATACCCTGAGTAATCGATTTTTGCACAAATTCGTACCTATAAACATGGAATCGCTTAAGATCTTCACTCATGAGAAATTCTTCAGACGATAATATCACGGTGTCCTTGCTGACTCCAGCAACCACATGGCCGCCGTTGTTTTCGATAAGATTGATTAGCTGCTGGTTTCTGTCAAGTGGCGGGTAGAGATAAAACTTCATTGGCTTCCCAGTAGCATCAATAAACACGTCGGATTGTGCTGGTCCTCCACCGGGGTACTGGGCGATCTGTTGGTGCAGCATGCTATCCATGGTGCTGCGAGTGTGATTATCGGTGATCAGGTTTGTGTGAGGAGGGTGTTGGTGTTAAGTGTATTTTTGTAAACAATCAGATTTTTGTTTTACTGTTTCTTATTACTATTTTTTTTCCCAAATGATCTGGTTATGAGCCTGTGACAGCCAAAGCTCGATGGCTCTGCAACATCAGGAGTCGGGCTCAGCTCGGCCACTCTTGCGCTAGCCTCATTCAAAACGTATTCTATCTGGTCTAGCGGCAAAGGCGGTGCTGAAGTTTTTTCTCCGATAATCACCACCATAAGCCCAGCATGAGCTTTACCATTTGCTTATCTTATCTCGAAAAATCCATATTTTTCGCATGTCACGAGAGTCTGGCTCGATTAGGAGTTTGCCTCGCAAGCAAAGGGATCTGGATTCTTTCCCCATCCTCGAAGAGGACGAGGCGGGCAGCGATGACCATGGTCTACCGATAATGCCTGTCTTCAGCGTCGACGAGGAAAAAGGCATCCCGAAGGAAGCCCGGAGTGTGGACAATAAAAAACGCATCGAGCAAGAGATCGAGGGAGACTTCGACAGTGAATTCTATCGAGACTCTGCAGACCTGGCGTCGATGCAACACAAGCCACTGCTGGCGCAGCAGGTTGATTTGGGCGATCCAGACTCAAGCGTCGACGAGTCTACTGACGAGAGCGAACACAATCTCGAGGAAGCACCTGAAGTTGAGCCTGCCAAGCCGTGGAAAGTGCGCAGTTGGATCCGCAGATTTACCACTCATGCTTCACAGGCGCCTAAGCTAGGACAGGACTCCTCAGAGGGCACAGAGATGGACAGTCTTGACCCGTTGCATGGTATGATGAAGTCGAAGCTTTTCCACTTTGGCGCTCCAAAAGAGCGTCCTGTGGACGAGGAAATGGGCCATTATGACGAGGCAAAGGGGATAGTTGAGACACACGTCCCTCTGGAGAACGCACGTTCTGTTTCGTCCGAGATGTCGCTCGACCGCGGGGCCTTGAGAGACACCGATTCCAACGAATATTTTATAGTCCCTCTGGCAGACGACTACGACGAGATGGTGCCGCATGAGCCAGCAGAGCGACAACGGTACAAAAAGGGCATATTTTCGAATCTCATGCGGCTGTACAATTCAAGCTTGTCTAATGTCGTCTCTGCGCAAGACAGCGACAGAGATGAGACTTCTGGCGCAAAAAAATGGAAACGGCTTTCGCTGCTAAACCGATCCTCTTCCAGTTCCCTCAACGAAGTGCTGAGTTCAGACGACAAGAAACGGCGCTACAAACGCGAAGTTTCAGGCACTTCTCTCGCCAATATTTTTGGTAGCAGGGAAAGCAGCATTCACGCAGAGAAAGTTGACCTGCCGCAATTCGAGCACAAGGACAAGAAGCTCAAGGACATTCTCAAGCTTAAGAAGAAGCGCAAGCGTGAGACGGCGGCGCGCATTACCGTGCACATCGCAGATGTGCTGCAACGCCAAAAGTTCATTCTGACGCTGTGCAAGGCATTCATGATGTACGGCGCGCCCAACCACCGCCTGGAGGAGTATCTATCTGCCGCATCACGTGTCCTGGAGATTGACAGCTCGTTTATCTACCTCCCTGGCGTGATGATCGTTTCATTCGGTGATCCGTCCACGCGAACGTCCGAGGTGAAGCTTGTGCGCGTTTCGCAGGGTCTCAATTTGGGCAAACTAGACGAGGCACACGAGCTGTACAAGAGCGTAGTGCACGACCGGATCGGCGTTGAGGAGGCGTCTGCGCGGCTCGAGGAGCTGCTGCAGCGGCCAAATTACTTCAACACCTGGTGGAGCATTTTACTGTACGGGATTTCGAGCTGCTCGGTGATCAGCTGGGCTTTTGGCGGCTCGTGGCTCGACATTCCGCCCACTTTCGTTCTTGGCTGTCTGCTTGGCTTCTTGCAACTCGTCGTCGCACCAAAATCGTCTATCTACTCGTCCGTGTTTGAGGTCAGCAGCACCGTGTGTCTGAGTTTTATTGGCCGTGCGATTGGCACCATTGGCGGCGGCAAGTACTTCTGCTTTGCAGCGGTCGTCCAGGGCGGCATGTGCCTGATTCTTCCCGGCTACATCATCCTCAGCGGAGCGTTAGAGATCCAGAGCAGGTCCCTCGTAGCAGGCTCCGTGCGCATGTTCTACGCCATCATATACTCGCTTTTCCTCGGGTTCGGCCTCACTCTCGGGTCGGCACTGTACGGTTGGATGGACCACCGCGCAACAACAAACACCACGTGCACTTCCAACATATCGCCGTGGTGGAACTTTGTGTTTGTACCGGTCTTCAGTCTCGCGCTGTCGATGGCGTCGCAGGCTCAATGGCACCAGCTGTCAATCATGACTATTATTGCGTGCGGTGGCTACGTGGTGTCATATTTTTCGTCTCGGCATTTCAGCATCACAGAGTTCAACTCAGCTCTCGGCTCCTTCACCATCGGTCTGCTGAGCAATCTGTACTCTCGCACAGGCAAGTCGTTCCGCCGTATCGGATACTGCAATTCTGCTTTCACCTCGATGCTAACGGGCATTTTTGTCCAGGTCCCCGGGGGAGTGGCCTCGCGCAACGTTTTGGCAGCAGGAATTTCGCAGCTTAGCAACCAGACCAGCGCGAGCAGCGGGACGCTCACTTCTGCAGCATCTGGTATCAGAAGCAGCACCCTAAGCTTTGGCATCTCAATGATTGAGATTGCGATTGGAATCAGTGTCGGACTGTTTTTCAGCACAATGCTGGTGTATCCTTTCGGTAAGAAAAATACCGGTATTTTTAGTTTATAGAGCAGACTGCTAGCATTTATTTATTGAGCCCTAAACTCCTCCGGCCTCCCTAAACCATCTGATCACCCTGTCGAAGCCAACTATCACCAGCCCGTCATTGTCGCCCTCGCCCGGAACCAGACCTCTAGGAGTGAACGAAAGAGCACAGCACGTCGCATGATCCAACTGATTCGTGTGGCTAAGCGCCTCGTCGTCAACGTCCGACTTACTCACCACCAGATTGGCCTCTTTGGTCCGCGTGCTTGTGCTCCAGACCCGAATCGTGTCGTCCAAACCCCCACTGGCCAGCAGCGTCCCATCTTCGTTGAACGAAACTGACATGCACCAGCTGTTGTGCGCAAAACCCCCGATTCCGACATTGGACGAGTGCGACGCATTGGTCAGCGTGCCAATGACCTCGCCGTATTTCACGTCATACAAAAATATCGTCCCATACGCGCCCGAGTCGCGCGCCACCGCCATAAGCGTACCCCCGGGGGAAAATCGCACACATCGCACCGTCGACAGTGAGCTCGAAGACGTCGCCTTTTTGAGGCCGTAGGATTGAAACTCATACAATGGTTTGAGATACTCCAGGTCGTAGATGTACACGTTGCCGTTTTGGTGGCCAACGGCCATTCTCTTAAATGTAGGGTCCAGATCAACACTAGTTGCAAACGATTTTTCTGTTGAGGACGTTGTGGCCGAGTACGTCAATGTTTCACCATGCAAATTGTATATCTGTGTTTCCCCCGAGGCCATCGTGATTGCTAGGACATCGTGGTCCTCTTCGTGGTCCTTCATGAATTTTAGTGCCCAGAAAGAGCTTTTTTCGTTCTTGAGCTCTGCAGGCAGATCGTCAACGGCGGTGAGCCGGTTGCTCATTTTGTACAGGTAGAACTTTCCAGAGAACGACACTGTGCCAATCAACAAGGAATCGCTCGTTTCAAGCAGAGAAACGTGGTGTAGCCCAAACTTGTCGACAAACACCTCTGTCTCCAGTCGCCGGTCGGAAGAGGAATGGGACCACAGTTTTAGCGATCCGTCGGCCGAGCAGGTAACGGTGAACATTTTGGAAACGCATACGTCCAGAATGTCGGACTTGTGCGCGTCTCCCACGATGGCAGTGGATATATATTGTTTTCCCATAGGAAAAGATGTTAGCTAGTTGAATTATTATTTATTTGACACACCTCTACACTAAAGATAACAAAAAATAATCAAGTATATGTTCATTTGATATGGTGGAGGTCAGAATACCCAGCACCACGGTGCTTAACGACTACCATCTCTACAACATTGAAATACAATTTGGGCCTGGTGTCCATGTGCACAAGCTGAGCAAGCGTTTCAGCGATTTTGTCGAGTTCAAGAAGGAATTGGAGGACTCGTTGCATGCGACTATTCCTTATAGCTTGCCTTCTAAATTCACCGCATTGTACCAGAGCCGCGCAACTACTATAGAGCAGCGGCGAGTTGGGTTGGCAGAGTTTTTAAACGGGTTGCTCAACGATGAGCAGCTTAGGAGGCATAAGCTCGTAGGCGAGTTCCTTTATCTGCCGGAAAACACATTCAATCAGGAAAAGGAAGAAGTGAGTTTATCGCAAATCGAGTGGCTGGAGGTATCAAAGGAGGTGAAAGCTCTGCTCCACAGTGTGCGGACGAAGATTTTCGCAAAACAGGCCAACGTTTTTGAGTGTAAGCGCATTCTGGACGCCTGTGAGGCTAAAATCGACCAGCTGAATAAAAATGTGCACAATGATGAGCTCGGAGCAGGAGAGGTGAGGCGGCGCAAAGCAATTGTAGACCAACAGCGTCATGAGTGCAACGAATTGCGTGCACTGTCGAGGGGCGTGACCGCTGCTGTCGAGAAACCTACCTTTAAAAGAAGTCTCGGGAAAGCCAAGGAAACAGAGGCCACAAAGCCATTGGACAATGAACAACTGTACCGGCAACAGCAGCTACTGATGAGTAAACAAGATTCAGATCTGGACGAGCTACGCAGCATACTTAATAGGCAAAAGCAGATTGGATTGACTATCAACGAGGAACTCAGTGTACAAAATGAATTACTTCAGGGCTTGGACAACCAAGTCGACAGTTCGCAGCAAAAGATGAACTCTGCGAAAAAGAGGATTGGACGGATTCTCTAGCATGGTCCTCTGAAGGAGTTGTGTTTGGACTCTGGCGGTGTGTCCTTTAATTCGATAAGCTTCTCGTTGCCGTCATTGGCAATAGAGAGAAGCATATTGTACACCATGTTGTTGTCTGTTTCTTCTGCTCCAGTTTTCAGCTTCTCGACGTTCTTTCTGACCAGTGTGACTGATTTCATTAGCACCTCCATAACCTCCACAATGTCGTGCATCAGTTTGTCCAGCAGCTGGGACGTCAAGTTGTACTTGGCCACGATTCTGAGTATCTCGTTGTTCTTGCCGTCGTCCTGTGTGGACGTCTTCGGAAGACCATAGTTTGGAATGATCCATTTGCGGTTTCTCATCAGAGTAGACACCAAAGATTGCGGAATTTCTGGGTACTCATCGGTAAACTCCTCTGAAAGCTGGAATGAAACAACAGGCAGTGCAGGGTTATAGTACTGGTGGTCCGATAAAAAGGCATGGTGACTGACGGGGCTTGGAGCCTCCTGAGGCGCGCCGCGTGCCGTGTGGCCCTTAGGCAGGTGCAGGTTTGAGACACAAACAAAGATTCCAGTTTCTTCCAGAAATCTCGACAAAATACGTGCGTTTGTTAGGCAGTTGTCGAAAATCTCATAGTACCCCTTTTGGCCCAAATGAAGGAAGTTAAAGTACTGATGGATAACCTGGTAGCCTGGTCTGGAGAAGTTGATAGTGAAGGACTCTTCCAACCCTCCAAGATACTGTAGCTGGAACTTGAGCTCTTCTGGTAGCCAATCCTTGTTACGGAAAACGACCCAGCCGAGTCCCGCGGTAGCGAGACCAAACTTGTGGCCCGACGTATTAATCGACACCACGCGCGGGATTCTGAAGTCCCACATAAGGTCTGGATACACGAACGAGGCAAGGAATCCGGCAGACGCGGCGTCCACATGTATGGGGACGAAGTGGCCAGTCTCGTCCTCGTATTCCTGCAGGATGTCGTTGATTTTCTCGACACTCTCAAAGCCTCCCGTGTAAGTGGATCCCAGAATAACAAAAATACCGATCGTGTTCTCGTCCAAGTTCCGTCTGACTAGCCCGTAGTCGAGCAAGAAGTCTGTGTTGGACACGGGAATTATGCGTGCTTCGACGTCGAAGTATCTGGCGAATTTCTCGAGAGCCACCTGGCAACAGGACGCCATGAGAATGTTCGGATGGTGGTAGTCCTTTCCCGCTGCTTTGCGCTTGGCCTGCCAGTTTTTCTTCATCGCAAGGCCTCCCAGCATAATGGCCTCGGATGAGCCGGTGCAGGCAGTTCCGAGCGCGCCGTTTGTCAGATCGACGGGAGCGTTCCACATGTTTGCCAGAATTGAAACGCACCGTTGCTGCATCTCCAGCAGCATTGGGTACTCGTCGTTATCGGCAAGGTTTTTTGTGAGATTTTCGATGATCAGCTGTTCAGCCTCTCTTTCCATGTGGGTGTTGACAAACGAGGCCAGATTGAGTGTCGTGGTGCCGTCCAGGGTCAATTCGTCGTGAAGAATTTCGTATACTTGTCTGGGCTCCATTCCGTTCTCCTGGATCCTATACTTCTCGGCAATACCCCGGAACTTGGACACGATCTTGCTGGCAGGCTCTTCCTCGACACGGGCATTGTGGAATTGCTTCTTGGCGCTGATATACTTGTTGACAAGCTTATTGGTCGGGGACTCTGTCCCCAGGATCTTTCCTTCCAGCTCGTCGGAGTCGATGTGGGAGGAGAGTGTCATAAGGAAGGAAAGTTAAATTGCTTGACTGGAATATATGCTTGCTCAAGGCAGTGCAAAAAGAGAATACATTTGAATAGCCGCACTCTTGGCAAGTAAAAACCTCTTAACGAAATCAATCTAGATCTATATATTCAAGTAAGCTTTGATGGCCTCCTCGGTCTTCGCGACCATGGCCCGGTACTTCTGCTGTGTCTCAATCTGGTCCAGGAAGATCTTGTACTTGGTGTTCAGAAGCTTTCGGTCTGGATCCGTTACACTGGAGGGATAGATGATGCGGCCCACACCAGAGAGCTCGGTCATGATCTTCCACAGCCTATCGCCAGGACCCGCGCCAGACTTCTTTGAGATGAAGTTTTTCGTGGCGGTGGCCTGTGCACGGCTTTTGGAGCCGAACGACAGCTGTGCGTCCTCATCGTCGTCCGACGCGTCGATATTGGCTCCCAGCTGCTTCGACTCGTCCTCAATTGGAGTCATAGTAGGGAAGGGATATGCGGACTGCGCATTTCCGGCCGCCAGAGCGCTGATCGACGTCATGGAAGCCGTGGCCGATGGAGCCGTGTACGGAGAAGGAGGCTGGCCGGGCTGGCTCTGCTGATTATCGGCGTTGGACACCGCAGAGTTTCTTCTGGACTTGGCATTTGGCTCCTTGCGATTCTTAAGCGCGTCTTCTGCTGCTACAGCACCCAGCATGGCAGAACCAAACACAACAGACGCATCGATGTATCTAGGAATCACAATAGGCAGTCCAGTGCAATCTGCCAACAATCTCATCAAGAGTCCGTTACGACACTGGCCACCGCTCATAAAAATGGCTTTGATGTCGTAGCCGGCAATCTCCATCTTCTCGATAATATGTCTGGTTTGCTGGCCGATGAACTCACATGCAGCAAGGTACTCAATAGCCAACGAGTCCAGCGAAGTGTCCATACTCTGGCCGATGATCGAGGCTCTCATCTGTGGGTCCGCGATTGGCGATCTGTTTCCGTGGAAGTCACCGTAAAAAAACAGATTTTTGGCCAGCGCCACCACAGATCTCTCCTTGGTGGATTTTTTCAGCTGCTCAAGTCTAGAGTTTAGATAGTCAAATCTCGACGTACCAGAAGCCTCAGAAGCTACGCCAAGCTCCATGTAAGCCGGATGAGTGGACAGTACGTGTGCAAGCAGCGCGCCCGTGCACGATTGGCCACCCTCTGCGAGCCAGAACCCTTTGGCCATCACGTCTCTGTATGGGCCCCAAACACCATCCACAAAGATCGGCTTGTCGTCAAGACAGATGTGGCAGGTCGACGTTCCTGCAACAGCAGCAAGTCTTCCCTTGGCCTTGGCCATTCCCTTGTTGCTCTTATCCTGCTCCACAAGATCCGGAATCGGCGTCTCTGTCTGTGCGGCAACTGTTCCAATCCACCCAGCATAAGCGTCGATCACACCAGAACCGACGTAGCAGTCTGTCGTCAGTCCCAATTGCTCGGCAGACCTCTCGGTAAGGCTTCCAACGGTTTCTCCTGCAGATAAAAACTTGCCGTTCACGCCGTTCACTCCACCAAGTCGTCTGAAATTGTCCTCCACCAGCTCAGGCAGATCGATCTTATTCAAAAATTCTGAAGACCAGCCGTTTCTGTTCGTGATTCCCTCTGGAATGTATCCCTGCTTGCACACAGTGCTGCAGAACGACCTGGTCTCAGAGCCGGTGGCCTTGTGGGTGAGGAAATCGGCAAGATCGTAGAATTTACATTGTTTAAACAGTGACTCGCCGTTTGAATCCTTCGGCATGTGGTTCTTCAGCCACTTCATCTTTGGCAACTCCATCTCAATAGACATTTTGCCACCCACGTACTTGAGACACTCATCGTGCGTGGCATTGATCTCGTTTACCTCGACCTCCGCTCTATGATCCATCCACAGAATAATATTTTCCAAGTGGTCTGCAAAGTCAGGACCCACAGCCATTGGCTCGTCGGTTTTCTCGTTGATGGCCACCAGAGAACAGGTGGCGTCAAAACCAATACCCAGCACGTCGGCCGGATCAACATGGGACTGTGAGATTGCCGTCTTCACACAGTAACAGATTGCATCCCAGATCTCTGTGGACGACTGAGTGATGAAGTTGGCCTTGAGCTCATTTCTCGTGATTGGCCGCTCGGAAAGACCGAGAATGGCTCCGGTCTGGTCAACAACGGCAGCTCTTGCTGACCCTGTGCCAACGTCAACACCCACATAGTAGATCGGGTCACCCTGTTTGTCGGCTACCTGCAAGTTTCGCAACGACAAGTGGAAGGGATTAGTAAATGACTTTGCAGAGTGAATGTGTGTCGCCATAAGAAATACACTATAAATGATAGGACCACAAATTAGTTGTGCTGGGAATAAATATATATATAAATCCTTGCTTTCGGTGGCCAGTACACCCACCCCACAATATGGCAGTACTGTAAATTTCTGGAATGGAACTCCGTATGCGCACGACGTAGATTTATTATACACTAAAATAAAAAGTTACTATACAGATCACTCTTGTTGGGCGGAGGCAGACGACGACGTCGACGAGGCGTTCGAGTTCTTGTTCAGGTACTTGTCGCACACGCCGACCACAAAGTCAAACTGCTCGTTCTCCTGGATCGTCTTGTTCAAGATCTGGATCGTAATCTTCTTGCTCTGGTCGTTAGTAGCCGTCTCGACAGACTTCTCCACCAGTGAGCACAAAAACAGCTCCAACGCCCGCCCCACAGCCACAGGAGTCGCCTGTGCCACTTTACCGATATCCTCGTCTGTCTGCATCAGCTTCTTGATCCGCGCGGCAGGGAAATGTGTCTTGATGTTGGCGTAACTGGCCGGTGCCTCGCTCTCTGTCATGATTACGTAAGGTCCCCTTTTGACCCCCATAAGCAGGGAATTTTGCAGTCTTTATATAATTTTTTCAGCGACAGACAAAAGCGCCTGCAACGTTTTTTTTCCTAGCCCTCTCCCTGCACAGCCTTGAAGTAATTCATGCTTTTTCAGATAAATCTGTCAGGGAACAGCACCGGGGCCACCAGCGTCCAGATGTACAGAAGGTAGCACACGACCGAGCTCGCCACCTTCATGCCAAAATTGAAGTACGTGCGGCCCACCGGGACGAAGCTCGTGGAGTCTGGCTCGTACCCCACGTTGATTGTAAGCAGCGCCGCGATGTATTGCGTAGCCAGGAAGAAAAGACAGTGGAACAGCGCGTAATTGTACTTTGTCAGTGTCTCTTCCTCGCCCAAGTCGGTCTCCGAGCCGTCAAAATACGATGGATCCTCGAGAGCAGACTCTGGCAAGGATCCCTCGTTCACTGCCTGTCGTATTGCCTGGAGTCTCATTTCTCTGCGGGATGGCTGCTGCGAGACCACTCCCAGAACGGTTTCTGCATTTGTCGAGTAATTGGAGTTTGCGCTATGGCTAAAGACTGAATTTGCTGCCGCCCGCGTCGTTGTGTAAGCCACGGCTCCGAACGTGAAAAATGCGCCCAGCACCACCGACAGGGTTCTTGTGCCCGAGTATCTGACCAGCGGGTTGCAGAGTTTGTCGTCCGGTTCGCTCAGACAGGCGCTGAATATCAGATACGTGCAGTAGATGCAGCACATGGACGACTGTGCGAGCCCTGCGTTCGGGTTGTATTCCTGCACCGTTGGCGAGACTGAGAGCGCAGTGGCGAGGAGCACGAAAACCAGGTTCAGCGAAATGGCCGTCGTATTAAGAGCACAGCCTGAGTGCGAGAAGTAGATGTACATCACAATAGTGAGAACAATCACTCCCAAATACATCCCTAGGGTGCCTCCGACGAGCAGAGATCTCCAGAAAGAGGGGCCCTCCATAAAGCTATTTTCGGTGTCTCCATCATCCAGATAAATTTCGCCCTCCTCTATGCGCTCCATACACGTTTCAGCCCACTCGTGTGCAAAGTCCACAAGCAAAATCAAGCTAATCATAATAAAACAGGTGCTGAAGAAGACTGAGCTGAAATTACCCCAGAACAGGAAAAACTTGTCTGGAATCCAGTATGTTATGAGCATGAAGACGGCAAGTGCAAAGAGTTTGACCATCCAGTAGCCGTTCTGTATCACAGAGCGCGGATTGGACGTCGATTTCACGCCAACTAGCAGGCCCGCAAGCACAAGGTGCATCAATCCGAGCGAAAAGCCCAGTCTCTGGACGTTGGTGAAACCCACGCAGTTGTGCTCTTTGCAATACTCGTTTCCGTACTTAAACAGTCCCCATGTCCACTTTTCCACCATTGAGGTCAGCGAGTGTGTTTGGCTCACCCAGGACAGGAGAGAGTTCAGCAAAAAGATGATGGCGTACGTCATTCTAGTGGCAACGGACGACTTGAACGTGCCGGCAAGCGGGTTCAGCTGCGAATTCATACAGCAGGAGCACAATGAGGCCCCGCAGCAGGAGGCCAGCCAACTGCCAGCCATGCTTACTGACGCAAGTGGCAGAGACACAACTGCGCCCATGGTACAACAAAAGAAATGTAATAAAAATGACTAAATAAGATTAGAGTGCACTGCCGCAATATCATGGAAGGGGCAGAGATGGTTTCAGTCAGACAAGGCTACAGCCATCTTGGCTGACAAGACTTTTTCCATGCTCTGGATTGACAGTATTTGCTGCTTTTAAGTCATTGCCACAGTTTTGCTACATGAGAGTCTATTTATGTTAATTCATCATTTAATTAATGTAATTTTTTAACTCTCAAATATTTGAGCGTTCATGTCTCCCGTTGTCATCCAAATTGGATCCCGCATTTTCAAGTTTGGACTCGCCGGCGAGTCCACGCCTTTCTCCGCATGGGAGACCCGTCAATTCGCCCATAGACGAGATATAGACCTGCTTCCCAATGAGTACTGTACAGAGGAAAGCAGAGCTATCTCAAAGCTGGAGTACCTGTTCCACCCCAATATTCTGGATTTCAAGCCCGGAAATGACTTACGCTCGTTTGAATACACAATGAATCTCCATATATTCGATATTCTCCATTACATGTTCAAACGACACCGAATCAACGCGGTCAATGCCGACGTGATCCTCGTGGCTAACAGCATGCTCAGCCGACAATATAGAGACATTCTGCGGTTCCAACTGTTAGAAAAATTGCATGCGAAAAGCACAGTTTTCCTAGAAGAGCCATTGATGGCCACGCTGGCCGCAGGGACGAGATCGGCGCTGGTGGTAGACCTGGGCTGGCATTTTGTGCTAATCGAGCCTGTGTACGATCTCCGGATATTAAAGACCCACTCCAAGTGGTCCAAAAGGGCAGCAAAATGGTTGAGTCTGAACAATGTTGCCGTGGACTTACTATTGGACGCCAACGACGACATTTACGAAATTGACGAGAAAACACCATCGCAGCTGCTGACCGAGCTGTACCACGAGCTCCCAATCGACCTGCGCAAAACGCTCTACGAAAACATCATTTTTGAAGGCGGGCTGGCCCAAAACGAGCAGCTGATTCAAACCATTTTGCAGGATTTGAAGGCCCAAAACATCGATGCCTCGTCGGCGGTCTCGTTGGGCGCATGGGCAGGCGCCAGCATATACACAGACACTGTGCTCTCAAAGGACGGCAATTGGAACTCGATGGGCAGAATAAAGCGAGATAATTATTTTACACTTTGACCTTATCATTCATCGCCACTCTTTGCGACAAATGCATGCGGTTTCTTATTTCTCATGGAATCGGACTTAGCAATGAACGGGTTGATGTTGGCACTCAGAGGCATCATGCTGAAATTAAACTCCTCTTTGTCGTCGCTATCGTCTGTGAACTCGCCAGAAAGATCATAAAACCGCTCCCATGGATACCTTTCCAAGTACTCCTTGGCGCTCATGTCGCCCAGATGCCACACACGATGAAGAAAGCGACGAAATTGTTCTTTGAGAGGCACGCCAGCTGGCTCGACATCAAGGTTGTCCATTTCGTGGTTTAGAATAGTCATCAATAGCGACTCGTTGGTGGGACAGTTTGGGTTGTATTCCATGGTATTGTAGAAAGGACATGCATAGGAGACTGGCGACGGAGCAATGTTCTGCAACATCAAGGGTGTACTCTTTGGAGCTAGAGGCTCGCCGTGGGACTTGAAGGCCACTTTGGTATATCTAGTTGCCTGCGTAGAGTTTGAGGCCACAGACTTTGCGGACTCCTTCGACTCTTTTCCCAGTTCTCCTCCCTTTCTGTAATCGTCGTACACAAGGTTTGGGATATTTGGCGAAATCAGGTTTAGTTCCCAGTTTGGAACACCAGATGTAGCTTCTGTGACCGGCTGAATGCCGGACGGCACATAACTCGGCGAAGATTCGTCCATGTGTGACTCCAGCTCATCTTCTCCATCCTCTTCATTGTCGTCCTCATCTTCATCTTCCTTATCGTCGTCATAATCGTCGTCGCGCTCCTCGTCGTCCTCTTCGTCCTCGTTGTCCTCGTTGTCCTCGTCGTACTCCCCGGTATCGCCCTCACTATGGTCGGCTGGCCCCGTCTCAGGAGCCTCCGCAGCTCTTACAGACAGAGCGCTGCACTGAAACGAACCAGAAAGACCGGTCAGAACAGGATCGCCCCTTCTTGCAGGCAGCTCCTTCAACAACAGGCCGCTTTTCTGCTCGTCCTCGCTATCGCTAAAGTCGCCGTTGCTGTCACCCAGTACGTACGAAGATGTCTCGATCGTGTCCTCTCTGCTGTCAACCATGCGATTGGGGTCTCTCTGGGACATAATAAGCTGCGCAGCACTGTTGTTGTGGCGATACCGCTCTGATCTTGTTGACTTGAGCGTCTTGAACGCCTCGAACTTCTGCTCGTACACAGACAGCAGCGAGGCAGCTGCCATTGGTTTCCGGCGTGCCGTCAGATCTGTGTTCTCGTTCTCCATATCTTGAGATAAATAAAATACGCAACCCTTCAATCTATTTATTTATTAGCCGCCGTCAGCTCTGCTTTACTGTGTGGTTTTCGCCATAATGGCACCCACATAGCTCTGCAAATACTTGTTCTCGTTCTCCAATTCTTTGCACTGGCGCTGTTTTTTCTGGATCAGCTCCATCAGCAGCATGATCTCGTTTCTAATCTTGATGATTTCCGAGAGCTCCATGGACTAGAAATATAAAAGTGTACATTAAATTTTTCAGACATGATTTCAGACGACGAGAAGCGAAGACTGCGTGCTCTGAAAAAGGAGCAGAGGCGGCTCGAGCAGCAACATGGAGCAGAGAAAACAACGCAGCTCTTTATTCGTCGCCCCCTGATTGACCTCCCGCGCTCCGAGCCTGTGCAAGACACTTTCACCATCATGTCCTACAACCTTCTCGCCCAGGCCCTGATCCGACGCAGTCTTTTCCCCGACAACGGCGCAATACTCAAATGGAGTAAACGATCTGAGGCTCTGCTAGCAGAATTGGAATACTACGCTGCAGATATTATGTGTTTGCAAGAGATGGACTACATCCAGTACAACAGCTACTGGAGCCCCAAATTAGCCCAGTTGGGCTACGAAAACAAGTACTATCGATCGGGCACGAAAAACCACGGAGTGACAGTATTCTACAAGGCCTCTAAGTTTGCTCTTGTCGACTCATCGTTTATAGACTACGACAAGGTGGCTACCGACGGCATTGTTCCGCGCACTGCCACGCAGAACGTGGGGCTGCTGGTCGCTTTGCAGCCAAAAAACCGGCCCGACAGCGTCCTTGTGGTGGGGACCACGCATCTGTTTTGGCATCCGTACGGAACGTACGAAAGAACGCGCCAGACATATGTGGTTTTGCAGTCGATGCTGGAGTTTGAGAAACGGGTCAAGCTTTTGCACCCGAATTTCGCCAAAACGTACAAGTTCTTTGCCGGAGACTTCAACTCGCAGCCTTACGACTCACCGTATTTGTCGATCGTCCAGAAACCGATTGTCTACAACGCACGATGTCTGAACGTCATTTCGTGCTCGGCCTCGTACGACTACTCCAACCAGGACGGCAATGAGCACGAGACGCCTGTCCCAGAAGAATTTGAGCCCAATGAGGAGCAGCGTAAAATGGTCCACGACATGGAGAAACTGCACAACTCGCTCCCCGCTCGTGCCATTTCGCTGTATTCGCTCGGCTACCATCTGGTCGACCCTAAAAACGCCGGGCTGGACAATGACCGCAATGAGCCATTTTTCTCCAACTGGGCACACACCTGGCGTGGTCTGCTCGACTACATCTTCTTTGTGACCGAGTGGGATGGCTCAGACTGCACTGCGCCTGACAAACTCGAGGACTTTGAGGTCCAGCACGGCGTCATTTTAAAGGGCCTGCTGAAACTGCCACATCCCACGGAAATGGATAAGGGCCAGCCACGCGAGGGCGAGTACCCGAGCGACCACCTATGTATAATTGCCGAGGTCGCATTGCGCTAACATCTATGTATCTAGTGATAGAAGAGCCCCAGCTCCGCGACCGATGCGCCGTAGCTGCTGTCGTCGGTGTCCAGTGTGCCGTAAACTTCCAGCAGGACGTACTGCGCGGTGTAGTCCTGTGGCAGCGCAAACGTTGTACTGTTTGGCTCTGAGATTCGAACCTCTGTGTCGGATGCATTGTAGGGCGAGGCTATTTGGACGGGGTGGTCGGTGAGCACTCGCACGAGCTTCGACTCGTCTATCACAACATCTGTTCCTGTGGTGTCCAGAGGCTCCGATACGAGGCTGAGCGAGAAATTCGCTGCAGGCCGGTTCCCCCACACAATGGCCCCCGCGTTGAACGTTTCGCTCGTTTCGAGCTCCAGCAGCACCGCCGCGTTGCCATTCTTATTTTCGGCCTGCCAGGTGGTAGAGTTGTCACCGTCGACGATTGACATGACCACGTCACCGTCGCGCCCTTGCGTCAGGCTGTGTGCGAGCGCCTGGCACTCTGTGAGGGAGCCCGGTGTGTTGAACTGTTTCACGTGCACCGGCACCGTCAGCTCTGCGCCAGGCTGCAGTGTGTGGTAGCCAGCGGCCTCGTTCCTGTCATCCACGTACACGAGAATAGGCTCAGTCGTGCCGCGGTGGCGGATCGTCCCGTTTGTCTCGCCAATAGCTATCTCGAGCGACTGGTTCAAGTACTTGAATCCGGAAATCTTCAGGTCGCCAGCAAAGAGCGGTAGTTCGACCGGGTCGAAATGGAGCACGCGCTGGAGCCGGTTCTCTGATGACAGCGCGTACGAGAACCTGATCCCTGTGAGTCCAAAGAAGTAGCTCTGCACCAGCCCACCGTGTGCCGTATTGAAGGGAAATGCCGGGTGCGTCCCGCCGTTGGCGTCGAAGTTGTCGTTGTTCTGCTCGCTCATCTGTGCAAACGGGAACCGCAGAAACGGCTCCACAGACTTGTAGTGATACGTCTGACTGCCACAGCCGTACTCATTGAGCTTCTGGCTCACGGCGGCGAATACTGGAAACGTCATCGCGGGGCCCTGCGACGACTGGTGCAGCGAGTAGTAGGACAGGTCATTGGTGGCACGGACCTCGTCGTAGCCAAAATTCTGCTCCAGCGCGCCGTCCTCGTCATCAATGTACGGGATCAGCACCACGTCGGCTTGTTTGATCGAGACCGACGAGTTCATCGTGTCGTACTCGAGAGTGATGTTGTCGCTGGATTGCGGCAGATACATGTTATGCATTATTTTTAGCTGGGTGGAGTTGGACGGCTTCCCCAGATGCTGCGCCACACGATCCGCCCACTTCATCACTTGGCTGATAACCACTGCCGTGTAAGCGGCGTTGTCCTTGAAATTGGCGTACTCGTCCGGGTCCGTCAGATTGTGCGTGGTGTATTTTTGCAGCGTGTCGTTGTATTTCACGTAGCCGGCAAAAAACTCTGCTGCATCCCTCAGCACCGGCCAGCCGTACTGCTCCAGGTGCTCATCGTCGATCGCCCCGCTCAAATATGCTTTCCAGATCGAGTAGCAGATGGCCCCGTTCAGATGGTACTCGTAGTTGACACAGGGCCCCGTGCCCGTGCAGTTGCCAAACCGACCCGACGTCCACGAGTACACCGCGCCTGGATAGTCGTTTGCGGCTGCGTTGCGCACGGACTGCTCGTGCAAATAGTACCGGTACGAATTGAGCGCAACGCTTGTCTCAGGAGCAACTGCCAGCAGCGCAGGAATCATCCACAGGTCTGCATCCCAGAAGACCAGTCCGGCGTACGAGTCCGAGCTGAGCCCGCCCACCCCCAGCGCGGCTGTCAGGTTCCGAGCCGAGGACCGCGTGTTGGCGAACAGGTGGTAGACGCTTGCCTCTGCAGCCAGAGTCAGGTACGGCTCGCTCTCCACCTTGACAGCAACGTCACCCCACACAGCATCCCAGGCGTTGTCGTGCATGGTGCGCAGACTGGGCCACGAGTACCTGGCCGCGTCGAGGGCTGTTCTTTTGGCTGCCGCAAACGTGGCGTCGCTGGAGTTCGTCCCCAGCAGATCGTCCGAAACCACCCCCACGTACTTGGTCATGCTAAGTGGGTGCTCCAGCGCCACAGACACAGTGTTGGTAACCTTATGGAATGCGGCTGCGAGCGTCTCGTTGATACCGGGGGCGTTCACGTTCAGCCGCGAGTACAGCGTCGCGTGCTTGTATTCAACACCTTCTGGTTGCACTGTCATAAAGATGCCCGAGTCTTCGTAGCCAACTTTCTTGAGCACACAGCGTTGCGCGGAGGCAAAATCAAGCACGTCCACCACGTCCAGCTGTAACGGGGCCGCGCCGGGCACCAGGGCAACCTCGAGTTGCACGAGCCCGAGAGTCTCGATGTCGCGGTGTGCCAGCACTGTTATGTTTACAGCTATAACGCCCAGCCACGTATACGCCGTCGAAACTGTACCTGTGGCCATGCGTAGCTCCTGGCGGTAGTCGGTCACGTGAGCGGAGCTAGTGTTGGCTGTGCTTGGGTCGAGCACGTACATTGTGCCGTCGAGGGTGGCGGCAAGTTGGAGCCCCGTCCACTGCGGCACCGCGCTGATGACGCTCTCATAGCCATTTTCCCGCAGCTCGGGAAAATTAACGCCGGTGGTGTTTGGCTGGGCGTCGAAGAAGCCGGCAATGAAGCTGCCAGCGTAGCGGGGGTTGAACAGCGGCCAGCCGTTCGAGAGGTCCGAACTCGTGGCGTTCTCATTTTGGTCGTAGCTGAAGCCAAACCCAAGGTTGGGGATTCGCGAGCCGATGTACCCGTTGGAAACGTACGGCTGGTAAGTGTATCTGTTAAGCTGGTTAAACTTAGATGTCCCAAGGATTCTTTCTTCCTGGAGATAGTACGACTCAGTTTGCTCGTCAAAGTAATCTGGCTGGGCCAGTGCAAGGTCCAGAAGCAGGAGCAGGAAGCCAAATCGCATGGTTAGAGTACAGTGCTAGCCGAAGAAGAAGCGCTAGAGTTATTTGGGCGGTGCAGAAAAAAGCAGGAGCCAGTTGGGCGAAAAAGCCCCTGTTTATAGAGCAGAGACTAGAGGTTTGCAGCTGCAGGGGCGGCAATGTCCGGCAAACAGAATTATATGGAATTTGCGGGGGAATCTGCAACGGGTCAGATTTGGCACTGGTGCAGATAATCAGACAGGTGCAGACGATCGACGCACCGACGAAAAATAAAGTTGAAAAATCCCCAAACGGAAATATAACAACAGCAGGGCACAAAACCAGCATACGCCAAAAAGTGTAAACAAAAGTGATAAAGTTTGCAAACAAAACACTCAACCGACCTCTTTGTTGCGCGAAAAGTACATCTTTTTAGCTTTTCATCCGCCACAAACACATACTAGGTAGTCCTGTTTTGACATACACGCGAGTTATTTGAAGATATGAGAGAAGTTATCAGTGTGAACGGTAAGTAAAAAGCACTTGTCACGCGGATGTCTAACTCTTTCTAGTTGGTCAAGCCGGTTGCCAAATCGGTAATGCCTGCTGGGAACTCTACTCGATGGAGCATGGAATTACCCCAGACGGATACTTGCAAGAGGGCCTCACCAGACCCAAGGGTGGCGAGGAGGGATTTTCCACCTTCTTCGCGGAGACCGGCTCTGGAAAATACGTGCCAAGAGCTCTGTACGTTGATTTGGAGCCTAACGTTATCGACGAGGTGCGTACCGGAAAGTACAAGAACTTGTTCCACCCAGAGCAGCTCATCAGTGGTAAGGAGGATGCTGCAAACAACTATGCCAGAGGACACTACACGGTGGGAAGGGAATTGTTGGACGACATCAGCGACAGACTTAGAAAAATGACCGATCAGTGCGATGGATTGCAAGGTTTCCTTTTTACCCACTCGCTCGGTGGAGGTACCGGTTCTGGTCTTGGTTCGCTGCTTTTGGAACAGTTCTCGAATGACTACGGTAAGAAGTCCAAACTGGAGTTCGCCGTCTATCCTGCTCCCCAGGTTTCCACCTCTGTTGTTGAGCCTTACAACACTGTGTTGACCACACACACCACTTTGGAGAATGCCGACTGCACCTTCATGGTTGACAACGAGGCCATTTACGAGATGTGTCGCAAGAACTTGAACATTGCCAGACCAAACTTCAACAACCTCAACAACCTAATTGCGCAAGTCGTGTCCTCTGTGACGGCCTCTTTGAGATTCGATGGGTCTTTGAATGTCGACTTGAACGAATTCCAGACTAACTTGGTGCCATACCCAAGAATTCATTTCCCATTGGTTTCTTACGCCCCGGTCATGTCCAAGTCGAGAATTACACACGAGGCCAACTCAGTCGCTGAAATCACTGCTGCATGCTTTGAACCAGGCAACCAGATGGTCAAATGCGATCCTAGATTGGGCAAGTACATGGCCACCTGTTTGCTGTACAGAGGTGACGTTGTCAACAGAGATGTCCAGAACGCTGTTTCCGTGATCAAGTCGAAGAAGACCGTCCAGCTAGTGGACTGGTGTCCTACCGGTTTCAAGATCGGCATTTGCTACCAGAAACCAACCCAGACTCCAGAATCTGAGCTCGCAGACGTCAGCAGAGCCGTGTGTATGCTTTCCAACACTACTGCCATTGCTGATGCTTGGCAGAAGGTTGACAGAAAGTTTGATCTGATGTACAAGAAGAGAGCTTTCGTCCACTGGTATGTTAGTGAAGGTATGGAAGAAGGAGAGTTTGCGGAGGCCAGGGAGGATCTTGCTGCTTTGGAGAGAGACTATGTTGAGTTGGGAGCAGACACCTTCCCAGATGAGGAAGAAGAATACTAAACAGGCTGCTCTAGTATCTTGTCGACTAATTTTGCTGCTCAATGTGAGGATCCTGACATGTTATTTGTATTTCTTTGAATATTATATACCCCTATCAAAAAAGCGTCGATTTGTGTGTCAGCTTGCGTCGGTTATTTCGATGGCAATTTTTTATTACCTAATCTACTGGACTTACCACTCTCTATCTCCGTGGATGGTAATAATTATCCTTTAAGCTATTATTTAGTCCATTTTATTGACTTGTAATGTCGTCAGGGACCGACTCGCGAATTAAAAAGAGCCGCAATAGAGTGCCCATTTCGTGCGAACCGTGCCGGAAGAAGAAGCTCAAGTGTGACCGCACGAAGCCATGCTCTAGTTGCGTCAAGAATAAGACCCAATATTCGTGTAAGTATGCCAACCAGAACCTGGACAACATGAACAAGATGCAGCTCACGACTGAGATCATCAATCTGAAAATGAAAGTCAACAAGCTTGAGAAAATCTTGCAAGCTAATAATATCAACGCTAGTGAGTATAGCGATTTGTCGTTTGTGTTCAATGAGTCAATTAGCAGAATGTGCGAAGACCAGGAGGACCCGGTACTTGATTTATCAGACAAATTCGATCGCATGATTTTCAAGGAAAACAGGATGTTGCGTTCCGGTGCTACCTCCTACGTGACATTTATTAAAGCGGATAAGCAATTGAGCTTGCTCTTTGAGGCTCTCAACAAACGACATGAGCAGGAATACGAGGACTATATGAACGCACAGAAAACTAAGGTTCAGCACGATTCTAAGATGTTCGATAACAGCCAGATCGCGCGCAAACATGCTTACCAAGACAAGGATCTTTGCATGGACTCCATTCTGAGTGGGATGACTACCACCACGCTCACCGCTCCAGAGCTTTTGAAGAGTCATGACCTTATCGCACTTGCAAGCAGCAAGCTTCCACCAATGTATGCCATTGATGCTCTCATCGATCGCTTTTTCACGCATGCTTACTACCTGGTTCCGTTTGTTGATGAGGAAACTTTCCGGGAGGAGCTAACGTATGTTTTATTGTCAGATGAGAAGGGAAATCCAAGTTTTAAGGTTACACATCATCAGAACACCTCGATCGTTTCGCTGCTCCTCATCATCCTCCGATACGCCTACATGACCATCAACGTGAAGGAGTTTGACGAAAACCCTCGCTCGATAGAAGACGAGAACTTGGCAACCATGTTGCGAATGGGCATCGTCATTGGTCCACAGTATGTGGAGCTGGCAAAGAATGTCCTGTTGAGCATGCCTCCCGAGGAAAGCATTTTTAGAAAAGTGACGATTCGCAACATACAGGTGCTGATGTTCCTCAGATGGTACCAAAGCTACTCGCCAGAGCTGAGTGAGGATTACTATGAAGCGTCGATTTCACTGAGCTTGATCATCCAGATGTGCCGCGTGCTGGGCATCAACAGAGATCCCGACCACTTTCCTGAGGTGTTCCGAGACGAAAAGGTGAAGAATCTCAGAAGAAGAATTTTCTACAAGCTATTTTATATGGACACATTGAGCGCTTTTGATCTTGGAACGCCAGTCGTAATTCATCCCGATGAGTACGACGTCAAGTTACCAAAAATCAGCGCCAAGGATAAGGCAACCTTGGACGATTTCAAGCGCGGAATGTCTATCAGTATTACTGGAAAGCAACTCAAGTCGATCATTAATGAAAATGCGATCAATAGGGATATAGATCTCGAGTTTGAAGTTGCCAAACTGATCCGCCGAGCCCTCCAACTGTGTCGTAACTACGACGACGGTGCAAAAAAGTCCGATTTCCTAGCACATATTCAAAGAATTGAGCTTTTTCTGAATAGTCGGCTAAGCTCAATTTACGAGATGCTGGACAGCGGAGAGCTAACTGGCAGTTTCAAGATCGAGGATCCGATCGAGCGGATTTTCAACATTTCAAAGATCAAAAAACTTGAAATGAGACTGGTTCTCCTTTCCTTGTTGAATTGTCTACACTACTTACTGTTCTTGTATGCTTCAGAAGATCAGGAGGAAGAAAAACTGGAGCACGCTGTGAAGGCGTCTGAACCTGCCTTGATCTTATTCAAATTCACTTACGACTTTGTTAAGTACTTGACGGAATCATCCACCATTCATGGGGCTAGCAAGTCACATCAGAATTTCAAGCGGTTCTTCAATGGCCTGGAGATTCCTTTTGCAAGCAAAGTCCAGGCCTGTTTTAATAGAGGCATCTTGTGGACAATGTCGATTTTCCTGCAAAACTTCACCTCTGATCATTTGAAATTTGAGATTCTTTTGAAGAAGTTTGGCAACTCTGTGGATTCTGTTGTTGTTCTGAATTGGCTTAACATTGACCTTGATAGGAACACCAACGATCAGTTCCTCATCATCATGTTTCACTATTTAAAGGAATACTATCTCAATACTATTGGTTTGAAGGCAGACTTTTTCTGTTGCTGGAGAGTTTCGATGATTATCAAGATTTTCTTCAACTTTTTCAAGAACACAAAGCAGGAGAGATTCGAAAAGGTGCTCACGCATTACGAGCTTGCAAGCGAAAACCAGAATTTGAGAAAGGACTTCACGTATGCCGAGGCCAGAATTATGAACTCGGACCCAGACAAACTGAAGAGAGGGCCCTCTTCGTCGAACATATCTAACCCGCTTGAATCGGAGCCTACGCAACTGACCACCAAAGGATTCGACCAGATCATTTACGATAATGGGGACGAGTGTCTGGACGACTTGCTCAAGGAGGATCATACCCACCGTCCACCTGCTCATGCGTACTCTTTCTTCAGCGTCCCTGACTGCTACGCTCTGGCAGACCTAGGATCGTTTCAGTCGAGCAATTCCTTCTCAGTCAACCGCCCTTCTGAAACAGACTCTTTCAGCCACTCGAATTCCACAGACCACCCTTCCACAGACCACCCTTCTACGAAATCTAGCGGCTCCGTTGGAAACGTGACTTTTGATGATCCTAGCAAGGTCGACGTCATGTCATTTGGAGCGCCGGACCTTGTGAGTCCCTTCGACACGTACGCCAGTCAGATCAGCGCAATGGACCAGGAGGTTCCTGGCGAGAAGAGCATTAACCTGCAAGACTTCATCTCTCAGTTTTCCAAAGACCCGATGTTTTCGAGCTGACTGTTCGCTGTATATACGTTTTTAAAAAATCAGATTTCAATATTGACAAATATGGGGCCTGTGGTATCGACGAGAAACCCGTTGTCGCCGACCAGGAGGTTATTGGCACTCACTTTTCCTTCAATGGAGGATTCCCAGTTCGTAACGTCCCATTTGAGTCCGGTCGTGCTCAATCGCACAGGACACGCAAGTGGCAACAGCCCAACAAGCGGCAGACTGGCCTTCACCAACTCTTCACCTCGATGGTAGTCCTTTTCTTGCAGCAGCGTGACAAAGTTGCGTCCTTTGGGAATAAACAGAATATACTCGTTATATTCGTTGTTTCTCACAATGAACTCGAAATTGGGCCGAGTCTGATGCAATTTGATCAGCTTACTGATTGTAGAGACCGTGTGGTCAAATCTACCGCCAATTGATCCCATCATGAATACGGAGACCTTATCTTTAATGCTATCGGTAATGCTTTCCTCATGTTTGCTGAGGCCGTCATAGTCGTCGTAGTCGTCGAGATTTATTGTCGAATCGAGCAGAGCCAGGTTTGAAAGCGTGATGGCTTTGTCTAGATCCGAATAATATTGGGAGGCCTGCTGTTTGACCTTGACCCCCTTGGATTTATAGAAGATGCTCACATCGGGCCGCAAGGAGTCCAGGTCACCTATCACAAAGTCCGGCAGCCAGTCCAGACCGTGTTTCAAACTATATTTGTAAAGCTGGTTTGCACCCCCATCGGCACAGATCCTCAATTGCGAAGCATCCCACACTTGCTGTACAGCAGCGACCGGGAGCTTAATCTCCTGGTTAAGCAAAAGAAGCACCTTTTTCCCCTGCCCAGAAAAATAATCCGTGGGACAGATCACGCGCGCGTCAGCGGGGGGCATGATGTGAATATGATCTGGGTTCTCTGTGACTAAATTGTCGGCTGCCGAGGTAAGGCCCATGATGGTCTTGAATACAGGTTTTTACAATAGTTGCACTCCATTTACATTGAACTTTTCATGGCTGTGTAAGGAAAGCACGCAACGCACGCTGCTATCTACGGCCTTTATTAGGAGAGTCGTCCGGGTCTTTACGGGGTTCCACGAAGCCTCCACGGGTGTCTCTGTCGTGGGGAATGCCTTGCTCGTCCAGACGAGCAATAAGCTTGTCTTTTTGGAGCAATCGCCACCTCGTGAGTTTTGCGTAGTCGTGAATCTGGAACCCAAAGATTTTCGGCGTGTATATGTCCACGCTGTGGCTCGGTATGAGTTCTGGGAACGCCTGGAAAAACATGGCAGGAAAGGAGGTGCCGAAAAAGGCGCCGTCCAGCGATGAGTGTCTCGATGACTTAGGGTTGTAGATGTCCTCGCAATTCGGGCAGTACAGCTTCACAGAAGCAACCTTGGGGGTATCGCTGAGTCCAACGGGAAGCAGGGGCGTCAATTTGCAGAACACACGCGGACAGTATCCGAAATCCGCGTTCTTGTATTTTTCCATCATCTTGTTGAGACCTCTTTGAGTGATGATGTAGCGGGCGTGGATGAGAGCATACAAAAACTTGGCGTTGTCTTCCAACCGGGCACGCGTCTGCTCCGACTCATTTTCGCTGATCTGTGTTCGATCCGTGATAATGTCCACCAGCAACGAGATTCTGTCCACGTACTGATTGAGACCTGTCAGGTTGAATCTGTCGGTGATGTACTCGACGTCGACGTCGCAGAAATACTCATTGCCGCGACTTCCTAAGAACCAGTCGATCCAGTACTCCGTGTACTCAGAGCCCGAGTCGCTAATATATTCTGCAGAGGCCATTAGGGCTATATACTATTGAGATAAAATAAGTTTTTTTTCTCGTACCAACACTATGTACTTTCTAAGCGGGTCGTTTTCGAGCACTGCGGCCTATTTCGTTTCTGTCAACTCCACGAACGAATACGTGGCGACAGCAGGAAATGATGCCACGATCATGGTGCGATCCATGTCCAAATTTGTCGGGATGGTGCCTGATGCTGAGACATTGGAGACGAAAAGCCCGTCACAAGTGCAAACAACGCCCGCCATTGACAAGGCCAAGTTCACCGAGGCGCAGCAGGCTGATAACGTCGTTACGCTCAAGACGCGGAGCAAGATCTCGTGCTTGAAGTTTGCAAACCTGCGCCAGAACAGCCATCTTCTAGTGGCCCTGTGCAAGAACGGCGAGGTCTTCCTTGTCGAGAATCCGGAAAATCCAGACTTGTGCGAGACCACTTTGTTGTACCGCCAAAAAAAAGGCCAACTGATAGACTGCAGCTGGTCCGCAGACGACCAGCTGCTGGCCTTTTCCTCAATGAACAACGAGGTTGTCATCTACGACACGCTCTATAGAAAACAGCTTACGAGCTTGCACATACACAGCAACGACGACACCATCGCTGTGAAGGGAATCACCTTCGACCACTGCGCTAACAGGTACTTGTTCACCCAGGGAGACGACAAGCTGGCCAATATCGTCGAGTATTCTTTGCAGGAGGACCAGGAACACGGTAGGGTATTCAAGTACAAGATCGCCCAGCAACTTTCAAATTTGTCGAGCAACCTCAAAGTCAAGGCCAATTTGCGGAAAGTGGCGTGGTCTGCGGATGACAAGGTGCTCGCCTGTCCAAACATGGGCAAGGGCAAGTCCTCGCTGGTGGCTCTGCTCAACAATCCGGACGGATCAAGCTGGAACAGCTGGTGCAAATTAATGGCTACTGATTTTCGTTGCATCATGACAGCATTTTCTCCGATAGTGTTCGCAAACCCTGCAAACAAAGACCCCTCCGACATGAATCCTGCGACAGCTAAGCAGTACTACATTCTGGCCACCGCGTCTGCAGAGAGCACTGTCGCCATTTGGAACACCGCTTCGAGTGCGCCGCTTATTATTGCAAACGAAGTCAGTCTCAGTGCGATCCAGGATATGTGCTGGAGCGCAGACGGTCGTCTACTCTTCATATCGACAGCTGCGGGCGAGCTGTTGATTGGAGTATTTGGAGAGAGCGAGCTGGGAGCTGCAGTCATTCCACTGGACAAGAAAGAGCAGCTGGAACAGGCTGCAGCAGAAAAGCTTCCGGGACAGCTGGAGAGACGCGACAAGTGGCTTAAGGAAAACGGGTCGGTTAAGGAGTCTATTGTGGCGCCTGCCACCGACCCAAAGAAGACGGCACTTAAGAAAGAATCCAACGGGCCCACCGTTCCGGAGGTGTCCACGGTTCCGGTGGATCTCAAAAAACGGCCTGCATCGGCGGCCGATTTCGATGCACCGTCAACTTCTGTTCCTCGGGAACTCTCGCAGAAAGCGAACAAAATCATCAAGAAGGACGACAGTGCCCAGAACGGCAAGAAAAAGAGAGAGCTGGAACCATTGGATTTTATTGGCTCAGTCGTGCTTAATCCACAGCTGTCGTTTAGTAATGTGAGGATTTCCATTGCCAAAGTACGACTCAATTTTTTCTACACGCTGCCCGAGGACGAGTCCCTGTACTTGGAGGTGAAGAACGGCACGGGCTTTGAGTCGTCGCCAACAAGAATTGCACTGATGAAGAAACTGTCAGAAGAAAATAGAAAGCAGCTATTTGTGGATTTTATTCCGCTAAAGGTGCACTTGGTGGCAGCCACCGAAAAGCATTGGGCCGTGTCAACAACCAACGGACAGATTATAGTTTACGGCAGCTCGGGACGCCGAGTACTGCCTCCCTTGATTTTGGGGTCACCGCTCTCATTTATGGAAATGAAAAACCAGTATCTGTTGGCCGTCACAAGCGTGGGAGAGATGTATGCCTGGGACTTGGACGTTCCCAAAGCTCTTTTTAGACCGACGTCGCTATATCCGTTGCTGCAGCCGATATACCGTGCTAACCAGTACGAGACTGTCACAGAGGCCAACGGACTGGTTTTTGTGAACGGAGATCTTCTCACGCGGTCCGAAAACCTTACCATGTGTTCGATTTCGAGCACGGGAGTGCCCATAGTCACTCTCAGCAACGGGAACGGGTATTTGTACGACAAAAACATGAGTTCGTGGTCGCTGATTAGCGACTCTTGGTGGGCATTTGGGTCGCAGTATTGGGACTTCACTCGGTCGCAAGTGGAGGACGAGTCCATTGTTGGCGCTCTGGAAAGCCGCACAAATGAAGAGCTTTTACGCAGAGGCAAGGGCCGTCTTCTGAATAAAATATCCAAGGTCATGTTGATGAAAGAGGGATACGAGAATTTGGAGACGGTTATCTCGCTCAATCACCTGGAAAACAAAATATTAGTGTATCAACAGCTACAGGATTCAAAGAGTTTTAAAAGTTATTTGATCCTGTACGTGAAAAGACTCTGCGAGCTCAATCTCAAAAATCGCCTGATCGAGTTGTTCCAGGAGCTCTATTTTAGCAAGGAAGAAAAGATATGCGGTTTTGATCGAGCAGAGCTTTTGAGAACACTTATTCTCAGTTGCTCCAAATACAGAGAAGTACAGAGGATACTGGTGGTGTACGGAGAGAATACCGGTCTTCTGGAAGACGACATTCTGTAACGACTAGATGATTATGTATATATACAAGACTCATTTTTCCATGTCCATGCCAAGGATTTTATACACCTGTTTCAAGTTCTTGCTGGCCACTGCTCGGGCTTTTTCTGCTCCCTCCACACTCAATTTATGGAGCAGGTCTGGCGAGGCCATCAGCTCTTTGTACATTCTATTAGGCTCTTGCAGCTCTCTCACCACTGCATCGGCCACAAGCTCTTTCAAATCTCGTTTGGAGAGATCCTTGATCTTCGGCACTATCTCCTCTATAGTTTGGTTCGTGGTAGCCGAGTAAATGGTGATCAGATTAGAAATACCTGGTCTTTGCTCCGGATCAAATGTCAAAGGTCCCTCTATGGAATCTGTGGTGGCTTTCATGATTTTCGTTCTCATAGACTTCCCGTCCTCTGTGATGGTTATCTTTGACAGCTCGTCGCCATCGGACTTGGACATCTTTTTGGACGGATCTCTCAGATTCAAAATCCTGTTGGAAGGTGCCATCAGGGTTTTCGGATAGTTGAGGAACTTCGTCTTAGTCTGTTTGTTGAATGCAGACACAAGGTCCCTCGTGAGCTCCAGGTGCTGCGCCTGATCCTGACCCACAGGAACATGCGTAGCGTTGAATAGCAGCACATCGGCAGCCATCAGTACCGGGTAAGCAAATAGCCCGAGCTTGACGGCTCCCAGTTCATTCTGGATCTGCGCGTCGCCTTTCAGGTCTGCTTTGGCCTTCCATTGCGTCATCCGATTGAGAGATCCCATACCAGCAAAACAGGTCAGTGCCCATTGCAGCTGGGTGTGTTCGGGCACAGCAGACTGATGATATATTGTAACTTTTGTAGGATCTAGGCCGCATGCCAACAGAGACGCATATGCCTCGAATCTCTGCTTTTTCAGATCAGAGTAATTCTGGGGCACAGTCAAGGAGTGCAGATCGGCGATAAAAAGAATCATTTGGGAGGAAGAGTCGAGTTTGCGTGCTATCGTGTGCCAGGTCTTCGTAGCCCCGAGATAATTTCCAAGATGGAAGGCTCCCGTTGGCTGAATACCGCTTACTAACATCGAGCCCTGGGGTAGCTTGAACGTGGGAGAGTTGACATATTCCACAGACACTGTAGAGGCAAATCTGCGGAACATGGAGTGGTTGATTTTTATGATAAATTCGCTTTATTTACGATATTACTTTTTCAAATAATTATGTCTCATCTAGCTAGCCGAGCGGAAGACGATTTTTTTGCGTTTTCAGACGAGCCAATAGCTCCACCGAAGAAGAAGCGGAAGAAGAAGGATAAGAGGCCCAAGACGGAGAGCTTGAGTGTTGACATAGTGGCAGACGAGCCCGAAAAGGGGGTCAAAGAGTTCACCAAGGAGGAGTCCGCAAAATCTGAGTCTCCCTCGAGCAAGGCACAGTATGACACATTGATAGAGGAACTAGGTCTCCAGGCAGTTGAGGAAAACGTTAGAAAGAGCGCGAGTGTGAAGATGAGGAAAGTCAAGGCGATTGAGACAAACAACGATGATCAATTCCTCAAAGAGCTGGACAAGGACATTGAGCTGACGCAACCCGACGGAGAATTGGATGAGATATTACAAAAGTATAGCTCTTCAGAGCAGATGGTGGCTTTTAACGGAAGACAAATACCCATCAAACAGGCATTGTTCGCTTTGACCGTGGAGGTGGCGTTGGAGGACGACGAGCAAATCGGATTTCATCTTCGTGTTCGTAGTAATGCACAGTTTAAAACTATTTTGCGCGAAATACTCAAACAACTGGAGTTACACAACAGGAATCTTCCTCCGGGTTGGACAGAAGACATCGAGTCGCTCGTCTTTTACGTACAGGACCATGATATAATTTTGACCCAGGATTTGCGGGTCGGGTCTCTGCTGCTTTCTGGTGCACGGCTGCCCCTAAGCGACGCTGGAGATGCGTTTGCGATCACTGCCGTTTTGACTCAAGAAGTCACGGCACGCAGACAAAGAAGAGAGGCATCGCTAGAGAAACTGGCCCAGTCTCAAGATCACACAGAAGATCTGGACGATGATGAGCTAATCATAACTATTCTGGACCCCCAGAAAGATAACGAAAGGACATCGCTGTCTGCAGAGAAGGGGACCACAGTCAAGGAGCTTCTGGATATTTTTTTAGTGCGCATGAATTATCCGGATAGCTTGAACATCGAGCTTCAACACGACGGTCTGGTGCTTGATAAAACAATTCCAGTGGATTTCCAGCTGAGAAATAATGACATCGTTGAGGTGGTTTACAACTTGGAAGACTTGGAATCTTTCGGAGAGCACGAAGTAACCGTAATTAGCGATGAGGACGTTATGGAGTCTGAGCAGTCCGATTATTTTTCTATCAAATTGAAAGGAAAGGACCAACAAGAGGTCAGGGCTCAGGTGAACCCGAAAACCAAGATTAGGACGATTGCAGAATTTTATCTCAGCAAGGTAGGCCTAGACCCAAACACCAGGATCCGGCTAATTTTCGATTGCGAGGAACTGGATTTGAACGCTAATGTGGAGCATACCGAGCTAGACGACGGCTACTTAGTGGACGTAGAGTTACTCTAAATAAGCCTTTTAATGTTATTTAATGTCCAGCCTTTCTCTTTCATCAGGCCGCCAATGTCTCCGGTGTCCTTTTGTTCTAGATTATTGAGGTTCGGACGGCCACTCACGTAGCTGATATAGCTTTCGGGCCCGCAAATAAATGCAAACGAAGGGTACACTGGTGGAGGCTGTTTCCTGAAGAAACTGAACTGCTGGAACGCATTCTGGGGCTGCAACCGAATATCCAGCTTTGGAATAATCTCCTCTTGCTGTGATGACAGTTCTCCGATTGGTGCTCCCTGAATTTGGTTCTTAACTTCTTGTCTTTTCTGTGCAAGTAGCTTCTGTCTGTAAACTTCTTCGCTGATTTTCACATCCATGAGGCCCGAAAAATTCGGTAGCGTGGGCCTCGACACATGCTTAGCCTGCAGCCTGTCTCCATGCTCGCTTACAAGATAGGTGAACTTTGCACGTCCGCACTTTTCAGCAAAATAGTTGAGCGTTTTCAGCTGGCTTGGAAGATTAGACTCTTTATGCAGCGAAACATAGGCATTGATGAAGCCTTTTGGCGGGTTCGGCGAATATAGCATCTGTAGTAAAGGCAGAACTCCAGTTCCTGCCGCGTAAAATGCCCACGTCTCCGGCTGCGGAATATTTTCATAATACTCGGGGTCTGGCTGTATTTTTGATAACAGAGGTTGCAATTGAGGCCTTGCGGGGAATTTATCCAATGGGTGGTACGGGACCTTATATTCCACGACTGGACCGCGCAATTCCACCTCGTCTAGCAGCTTGCGGCTCGTCAACCAGCGGGAAAATTCACCATTATCGTAACGCTTGACCAATAGCACAAACTTACCTTCCTCCTCCGGTTTGGTTACTAATCGAAGATGAGGCTCCTGTGTGTTAGGGTCGATTCCCGCAACATACAGGGGTAGTGGTGTATAGTTGCGTACAATGTTGATTTCAGGTTGCTTGATCTCAACACTCCATATTCTTTTTCCATCGAACAATTGTTGATGGGGAGCCAAGATGCTTCCTCTATTTTTCCTTGTGAGCTCAATCAAATAATGATCCTGATCGACTTGGTACTTGAAAGATACCAGATAAGGCAGAAACCGGTCTGGAAGAAGCAAGTCTGAAATTGTTTCCTTTTTGTCGGCGCTGAAATAGTTGTATGCGTAGAAACCCCAGATCAGAGCACCTCCAACTGCCAAAGAGGGAAGCATTTTCCTCCATTTTGATGCTTGGTGCGATTTACGGATCTGCTCGCTGCGGACGTCCAATGGTGACCGCGGAGCGTGGAACTCGTATGTGACACCCTCCTTGTTGTCCTCGGGGTTATACTCCACTTTCTTTTTCGATAGCATATTGGATATGCTCGTGCTTATTGGAGGAATGGAGCCAGAGGAGCTTACATTTGAGTGCTTTGGGATCTTTTCCAAATCTGCCGAGTCATTTGGACGGCTCGGGACGTTTGAATTGAGGCGAATCTGACAGGAAGGCCGCACCCTTCTCAACATAATAGACGGCAAAGTACCTGGAAAAATAAAAAAATGTAATTCGAGTTATTTTCCATGTCTCTTTCCAAAGTCCATACTTTCACAGGGCACACCGATAAATGCTGGTCGATCGATATCGATCGAACTCGCTCCCTCCTGGCAACGGTGTCTTCGGATAAAACATGTCGAATTTATAACTTGAATACGAAACGGTTAGTCGGTGTGCTGGACGATAGCACACATACAAAAACCATGAGATGCGTGAAGTTCAGGCCAACAGGACCTGTTCCCTCGTTAGCAATTGGGTCATTCGATTCGACAATCTCGATCTGGAGCAAGGAGGAGGAAGACTGGGTCTTGATGGCGATAATTGAAGGTCATGAAAATGAGGTCAAGAGCGTCGACTGGTCGCACGATGGAATCTACCTGGCCTCTTGTTCCAGGGACAAATCGATTTGGATTTGGGAAGCGGACGATAGCAACGAGGAATTCGAGTGTATCAGTGTCATCCAAGAACATGAACAAGATGTCAAGAACGTCTCCTGGCATCCAACCAAAAATATTCTGTGCTCCAGCTCGTATGACGACACTTGTCGTGTTTTTAAGCAAGACGCCTACGACGAGGATGATTGGGTGTGTGTGGCTAATTGCCAAGGCGCTAATGGAACAGTGTGGTGCTCCGATTGGGAAAAAAAAGATACGTTCAGATTTGCCAATTGCAGCGACGATTCATTAGTAAGAATATGGAAAAAGACAAGTCCAGACCAGGAAGCCACACCAAACGGCAAACTACCTTCCACCCTGAAGTCGGAGGAGGAGTGGGTTTTAGAGGCCACTTTACCAAAAGTCCACACAATGCCTGTGTACGGCGTTGCATGGAATACGAACGGGTTGCTTGCCAGTTGTGGGTCGGACGGCCGAATAGTCGTCTATTCGGAATCGGAAGGCGAGTGGAAGGTTTGTGCCGTTCAGGAGCTAGGACATGAAGTGTTTGAGATCAACTGTATAAAGTGGTGGAACGAAAATACGCTTCTGACTGCGGGCGACGATGGAGCGGTAAACTTGTGGACATTGAACATATGATTATTCAGGCCACTACGATGAGCACTAGGAAAAGGAATACCACACTCACAATCACCAAGAGCCAAAAGCAAAGTCGCCGCTTGTTCCTTTGGTAGCGGTCTGCCTTGTGAAGGTGTTTCGACGCGCGCTGAGTATCGTGTAATGTACTGTATAAATTGGACTCGATGTTATCTATCAACCCGCCCTGTTCGACCACTATATTCGACAAATCGTGAAATATTTGATTCAGTTCTTCTATTCCCTGCGAAATGTTCTGGATGTCTCTTTCTCTTTCCTCGATAAGAGCCCGTTGATACTCTACTTCCTCTGCATTTAAAGGTTCGTACTCAATGACCGCCTGTTGCTGCTGCTCCCGTGACGATGGCTCCGTTTCAGTCTCTGTTTCCTGTGAAATGAGACTAGCGCTCTTCTCATTCATCTTTTTCTCCAGAGTGGTGTACAGTGATTGCAGGTCGTTGAAATCTTGTAAAGCCCGCTTCAAACTTGTATTCAGCTTATCTTTCACAAAACTCTGCGACTTATTGAGCAACGAAGCGTCTAGTTGGTTTAGTCTTCGCGTGTCATACGAAACGCTCTTGAATAGCTCAAAAAGCCGCGATATAAGCTTCGAAGAGTTTTGATGGTACTTTTGCGCATTCTGATCCTTATTGATTGCATCTTGGAGAAAATTGAGGTTCTTGTTCAGATTGCTTAGTCCGTTATTGACATCGAGAAGAGTGCTGCTAATCTGGCGGTTGATATCGTCAAACTCGGGAACGTCCTGATACAAACGCTGCTCTTCTAAAGTGATGGCGTCAAACGAGCTCATAATATGTGCGATTACTCTACACTATAAAAAAATCATGAATTAGTGATTTCGACTCTCAAAATTGGTGCACCCTTACACCATGTAGTAAAGTTAAAGCGATAGTTAAGATTCGGATTCCTGGATATTAATCTGAGCTAGAAGGTCTGCAACTGTGTCGGTGACCTCACACTTGCTTAACTCCTCTTTGAGCCTCAGTAACAGATTCTCCAGTTGTCTATTTTTCTCAATAAGGGCTGCGTTTTTCTGAGCTAGTATATCATTGTCCTGTTGCAACTTCTCCTGTTGAACTTTCTTCTTCTGCCGACACTTGAAGGCAGCAATCCTGTTTCGTTCCAATATCCGTTGTTTTTTCCACGCTGATGTCCCGTGGATAGGCCCTGCATTTGGATTGAAGATAACCTCATTGTTGTAAAATAGCTGCTGTTGAGGCACTCCCTGTTCGTTGACGTGTAGATCGTTCTCTTCGTCGGCTTTCGTTTTCTTGGAGTCCTTCTTGTGGCACATCATACTGATTTGACCTATTTGGCCGTTGGAAATAGAAACTCTTCTGCGAAGCGGAAAATGATGGGAAGCGGACACAGGCGTCGAGCTCTGTGATTCTGGATCAGTCATCACATTGGCAGGGAGATAGTTCGAAGCGTAAGATGGAGCCACCTCGTGGGGTACAACACCGGCCTGCGGTAAAGAGAGGGAGGGCGACCAATCGTCAGCAGGAACTTGTTGATTTGGAGGGTACGGATATGGGTACTCCAAGATGGGAGGGTTGGTCATGAGTAGATTTTGGAAATCATTAGGGTCCAAGTGGAAGTTCTCAAAGCTTCTTCGGTTGACGTGCTCAGACTTCACGTTTGAGTTGAGTAAAGGAGCGGCAGTCTGATAGGATGTATCATCCGATGTGGTAGTCGTGGAGGGATTCGCTATTCCCCTACCTTGTGACGATGTGTCTGTAACCTCTGTATTCGTTGATACGCTTAGCTCAGCCTGAGTTTGATCAATTATGTTCATGGCAAAGGCTAACTGGTCAGATTGTGGTTCTCCATTTTGCATCATAGAAGGTACCCATGCACTTTCAGTCTTGATGGAGATACTAACGGGTTCCGCGTTTGAAGTTGTTGAATCCGCAGAAAACATGGACACCGATTATAAAACTATTCACTATTTTTTGTCTCTTTTATTAAAAGTAGATTTCTTTCTTTTTGCTTATTTTAATTACTAACTGCAGTTCTTTTTCTTACCTGTGGAGATTCATATGTGACCCGACAATAAGGCACATAATCAGAGTGACAAAAAGAGTACTTTTTTTTGCGTATCTACATTTAGCATAGCAAGATTGCTTCCCGAGCAATTTACCGAGCTATTAACGCCGACCTTTTGGCTCGCTAGTTTTTTCGCAAAAGCGTACTAGAGAGAAAATTAACTGTTCCGGACGGAAACTCCGAAAAGGTTAAACACTTTTTTATACAATTTATCCGAATTGCGTTCTAGCATAATGTATACTAACAATGTACCATTGAGTTGAAATAATAAATAAAGTTAAGATAAATAAGAATCAGCCGCTAGTCCTGATGGACTCTGCGTCTCAGTTTGGCGAGGCGATCGTACTCGCCACTTAGTATTCTCTCGACAATAATTTGGTCATCTTTTTGGAAGCCAACGTAATCAAACTCGTACGATTCTGGATTGCCATATTTCTCAAATGTATCCAAAACAGCAGTGTCATTGTCTTTCTCCGCCTTGCTGCGCACCCGGTACAACAATTCACGTCTGGCCCATTCCGAAACGTCCATATCGTCTCTCCAAATGATAGCAACGAGCAGGGCAATGCATCCAGGAACAAATAAATAATGCGCAATATTTTCCCACCCTTCCTTCTGGTCACCTTCCCTCACTATCTTCCACTTTATTTCTCCTGTAGCAGTATCTTCGTACGGGATTTTGTCAATGATGAGTCCCGAGGATGCTTTTAATTTGGCTAGGTCCTTGTCGTTTGCTGAGTATAACTTTTGGTGCTCTTTCGGCAACCTGAAAGCCTCGACAATTCCTAAATTCCGTCTACCTGCATAACTATTCAAATATGCGATCCTCTTGAGCTCTTCTTCTGGAGGCTTTCGGCTTGATCCGTCTTCGTTCTGGAAGATGTGGTCATAATCTTTGAACGAGTCCAGTAACTCCCGACATTTCTGCTCAGCAGAGAGGTTGAAAGTCAGCAGCGGCTTGGATGAGTGGATTCCTCTTATTCCGGTACCAAGTCTGAGTGATTGGAGCGTAAGACATTTGGATCTCAATGGTCTAAACATGAAGAGAAAGTATTTGTCCCCTCAATGTATCGAGCAAAAAAAAAGTGGGGAATCAAATTTAGATCTTCTTAGCATATTTCTTAGTAAGTGCACAACCTATGCACTTTGAAATCAGAAGTACCCAGTGCAGTCATGCGCGAGACTGATAGTGAGTGAGTGAAGAAAAGGATATAATAGCAGGGTCCGGCCCAAAGTTAGTTATTGTGAAGCTTGTTTTAGGTGGATATTCGTGCATGACTTTTCTCGTATACCTTGCCACCCTGAGTTAAGCAATCGCCTTCATTGTAGAGATCGCTATCAAATGATGTATTTTTTTTTGGGCTGCGGTAACTAATTTTTTGTTTATCTTTAAGAAATTGTGACAATATGGACAATGTACCCAACGATTTTCCTGACATAAGGACGGATCTTTTGGCAGACTTCCACGCTTATCATGCCGCTTGTGGCAAGCTTTGGGAACTTGAACAACTAAATACGCGTCGACTTGATTGGATCAAAACTATCTCGCAACTTATTAACGTCATACAAGTTATTAACGACGCGGAACAGCGACATAGCCAAACACTCAAGGAGCTGAACAATTTGCGGCGAACAGCGAAACAAAAACAAGTGCCTTTTTCGTCATCGAGATCAAGCGGTCTTAGGCCCGTTGCTGTTCGTGCCGGTAAAACAGCCGTTAAATCTAGCTTGTCAACAAATACCCCTATTAAAGCATTTCCTTCTAAAACAAGTACTCCTGTCTCAGCACGTGTGACAACACCATCTAGCGTGCGCAAGACGCTACTCAAAGCAACAAACACACCACAGAGTGTGTCTGCCAAAACACGGTCTATTTTTGAGGATGATGACGACAACGAGGATGATGCATTGCCCGATCTCAAAACAGTTGTCCGCCCAAAAATCCAACTAAAGCGTAAAAATTTAGAAACCTCCGCGCACGATTCGTCTCCGTCAATACAAACGGACGATGAGTTTACTTCGCCTATTTACAAACGGATCAAACAGACTCAAGAACGCAATTCTGTCTCATTGAAAGCTCCAGCACCCATAGGTATCAGTCCTCTGAAGCGACGTAATGAGAATTTGAAAAGCGGTATCTTTGGCCGCTGACTGATTATATATGCTTAGCTCGTCTTAAACAATTGAAAAGCTCTATCTCCAATGTAAAAATAAATGAAGTTTCCTGCTTCGTGAGAAACAAACGATCCAAAGTTCTTTCCCACTATGCAGTGCCAGGTAGTTCCATACTGCTTGTCCATCTCTTTTTTGAGATATGCTGATAGTTCTGCATTTTTCTTGTACGATTGCAAGGCCTTTTCAGTCAAATCGAAAACGAATTCCTGCATATCCGTGGACTGATTTGTTAGACATTGAAACTACCACTTACCATGTCCGAGGACTTGAGAATTGCTGAATTGTTAGTTGTTTATCTTTGATGACTTACGGTCCACCTTTTTTGTTTCTTCCAGATCGCTCATTCCAAAAATGATAAATGATGAACTTTTTTTGATATAATCTATATTCTCCCCCACGAAGGCAAAATAAATTTTATGGACCTGTTTACGTCTCTCAATGGATTACGATGAGTTTAGCAATGACAACAACCCATTTGCAGGCTCCAATCACTTTTACTCTAATGGGATAAGCACAACCACTGAACATGTAGAGCCACAAGACAGCAACACCAGCGGAGCTAGTTTAGGAGTCCAATCTGTGGATAGCCAGCCTCTTGTCAGTCACATATCAGCTCAAACTTCGGATAATACAAACGTTGTGATTACAAACTATGAAGTTTTGCGAGATTTCAAGAACATCACAACAGTATACTACAAAATAGAATACATGTCCAACAGCGTGTTGCGCCGCTACACAGATTTCGTTTTCCTTCGTTCTCACCTCACAAAACTGTTTCAGGCGAAAGTGATACCACCAATTCCAGAAAAACATTCGCTGGGGCGACTGATCAAGAATCCATTCACCTACAAATCAGACACAAAGATAATATACAGACGAATTCGACTACTTCAGTACTTTCTCACAGAGCTTATATCCGATCCTGAAATTAGACAAGCGGAAGTTCTTGTCAGATTCCTGGAACCTTCACAAAGAAACTGGCATCAGGTGGTAAAGTCTGGGCATGTTGCCAGCTTATCTTCGAAATCTGTGCTGCTAACTTCGCCCAGAAATCCAACCATACCCAACCCATATTTAGTCTACCTACCAATCCCGCCTCTTGGACTTGCGACGAAGTACAATTCAAGCCTCAATTCACGGATATTTGTGCCATTGGAGAAAAAGACTAAGCTTTTGTTGCAAAGAGTCCAGGGGCTGGAACAAATATGCAAAAAACTCATCAAAGATTTTGAAAAAAACCGCTTAGCCATGGTCGAACTTGGCGGATTCTTCAATATATTCAGTATCTTGGAGGATCAACAGAAATATATCGAGGAATTTGGAAACAAGATCGATTTAACCTTTTTGAATATTGAGATCTTAACAAAGTCCATCACAGTCAAGATCTACGAACCATTGATTATATTACGCCTTACGTTAGTTGCGATTTTACGTCTACTTCATTATAGAAAGCTTAAAGAGTTGCAATTATCCCATCTGCAAGAAATCATTGTGAAAAAGCAGATCCGACTTAAAAGTTTGATAGAACGAGTGACATCAGAGTTTAAACTCAACCAGGTGTTGCATGATAATTCTGTCGATTCTCCAAGCCTGAACAGAGCAATAAATGAGCTGAAAATGAAAAAGCAGAAGCGCAAACAGTTGGACGAATCATCTCTTATCATAATCAACGAGCAGCTGCACAAGGACAACGACGATGAAAGCTTCATCAGAGATCACGATAACAATTCTACACTGGATAAAAGCAATCAGGGGAACTGGAAGACAGCCATTGCCGGAACATCTTCATCTGCATCATCAAACAAGATTCATGCGAGATCCCCGTCTAGCCACAAATCGGTCTCAAAATTAACGCCCGAAGAATTAGGGTCAGAAATTTCTACAGCTCGCCTAGAGCTCAGCGAAAAGCTGACTCCATGCTTTACAAACCTTATGCTTGATGTGAAGTTTATCAGTATTGAGGTAGAAAAGAATGTCAACAGTCAATTAGCCAAGGTGATTCAAAAGCTGTACGATATCATGAATGACTGGCAAAGTGTGGTTTTCATTGAATTTGCGCATAGCTGCCTCAAAATATGGAGTAATGATACATGCCTGAGTTGATTGCCAAGTGCACGACGACGACTCATTCATCATCCTATAAGTCCATAGCATACATTTAAATTAACCTTCAGATTTAAATTTGCTGAAATCTAAAATCTCGTATATCCCCTGAAATAACTACGCTGAACTTCCCTTACCAAAGGAGAGTTTGTCATGACGAAGGTCTGAGATGCTTTTCAACTTGAGTAATCTAGAGTAATCCGAATGATGGAGAAAGCATTCCCACATCTTCGTGAGGGGGCCGGAAATTTGGAAATCGGGGGCTATGGCTCAATGGTAGAGCTTTCGACTCCAGTCAAATCTACGGATTCGTGCAATCGAAGGGTTGCAGGTTCGATTCCTGTTGGCCTCAGATTTTAATTTTTTCCTGAATTATCAAAAACGAACATGCAATTCGATTACAACAAGTAGTATCACACTAAGGTTACACAATTAATATCTATTTCCCGCTTTCCACAGTCTTGGGACTTACCTCACCGTTGTTAAGTGCATTTTCACTGGATGTTCCAGACTGTCCGTTAGGAGGTTGCGAGTTGGAAGCAGGACCATTAACCATTTTTCGGCGTTTGTTTAACGTAGAGTTTGCCAAGTCCAGTTTGTTCAATCCGACTTCGTCAAGCTTCTTTTTCGAAAGGCGGTTAGGAGAAGGGGGCTTCTGGGAAGCAGCTTTGTTAGCCTGTGTAAACGCACTTTTAGGCATCTGAGCAGCTGGGTCCTGGAATTGGTGTTGCTGAAATTTCTGCCTTTTTAGTCCTGCCTGTTGTTGTGAGCGCATCTGAGCTTGCTGGAACTGACTTGTCATCTTCTCGAGAGCACTCAATTCGTTGGATGTGGATTTATTGAACGCTTCAAGAGACGTTATCGGTGAGTTGGACCTCGATAAAGCGTGGAAGTGCATCAGAGGTTTCACAAGGGTCATAACATCTCCAACCTGCATGACTCTCATGACATTCTCCTGGAGACCAAAGTTGCTTAGTCCTTTGAAAGCAGAAAAATTCTGTCTGATGCTTTTTGAATCAATGAATTCGTTCTTTGCCAGAAACTTGTCGATAGTTCCGAGCTCAAGACCTGCAGAAGTACGGTAGATCGATATGTCAATCTTTTCAATTTTGAGTTGTCTGCTGAATTGTATTTTAGTCACTCCATAAAGCGTAACATAGGAACCGTCCAAATACCAGTTTCTCAAAATTAATCGCGAACATTCCAGATGAGTTGATCCGTTGGGCAACACGTTAGCCCGTATAAGGTTGTGAGATATTTCAAAAAAACCTACCCCGGAAAGAGCTATGGTGTAAATGATCCGGGCAAAAAGCGAAAAAGTAAACGTGTAAAATCTTCCCTCGTTGCCGTGTTTCAGAGTCAAAGTAGCCACTGCCGACTCGCTAAAGTACTCCTCCATGACTTTCCTCCAGTATTCCAAATTTTCTGAATCGGCTCTCACACAAAGTTTCTCTGTCAACTCGAAAAGGCGAATGATGGCAATATTTGCAATATTCTTTTTGATATCGTTGGAGTTGTTAAGCTCCGAATGAGTCATCTGAGCCCCATGGCCAGTAGACGGCGCCTGGCCCAGCGCAGGGTAGGAAGCATTTTGATCTCGAGCTTGCCCCTTGACAGCTCCTGGCTGCATAGGTACCCCAGGGACAGGTTTGGGCTGATCATCTAGCGGTCGATACAAAGAGTTCTGTAGATGGCCATAGGTGGCTTGAAGCTGTTGTAATGCGGAAAGTTGCTGTTGAGACATGACGCCTGGTCTTCCCATCATTGCGGATGCCGCAGCAGCGGCCATCGTGTTCGTGCTTATCCCGCCGTTATGCAGCCCCTGGATCTGCTTCCATTGTTGTTGAGTCTGCTGCTGAGGCCTCTTATTATCTGTGGAGCCATGTTGTTTTTGCGACGCGAGTGATGTTCCTTGGGGTAGCCCGTTAGGGGTGGAGGGATGAGAGCTTGACGCATTTAATCCGACATTATCACCTGCAGACATCATCTGAGGATGATTTACCTGGGTCCCCATCTGGCTAGGACCATACTGCGCCGGAATACCCATATTAATATATTGCACTTGTTGATTTTGCCCATTTTGCTGCCTGGGATGAGACCGAGATGGTGAGCCTCCGTTAGTCGAACCGTTGTTCATGGATCAAGCCTTCCTGTGAACTGCACACAAGTCTCTAGTACCACTTAAGTTTCAGTGTCTCCTGTAGTTAACGGTGGGGAGTTAATCAATGATTGGCACACTAAAAGCCATAATATTATTAGAATTACCTAAAACTGACGATTCGAAATTTATTGTCGATTTTTCCTTTCCCTGGGGTTGATTAGGAGGGCAGTGCGTGCTCATAAAAAAAAGTCGGAACCTTAAAACAAGCCTAAATTTTCTCAATCAATTAACGTAATCTATTTATTCTTACTCTTGCTGAGCTCGCTGAGTTTTTTCTTGGTCTTGTCAAGCTTCTGTTTCTTGGCTTGCAATTCCTCCTTACGAGCCTCTTGCTTCTCAATGCCATACTGCATTTTCTTGTAGAGCTTCTTCTGTTTGTTGGACATCATTATCATCTTGAGCTCCTTTTCTTCCTTGGCCTCCTTAGCTTGTTTCTCGGCTTCTGAGATGGTTCTCTTCTTCTTGTTTTCTGCCTCAGAATACTTGACGCCCTTAGCCTCAAGCTCCAATTCTCTTTGCTCAGCAAGTTCTTCGTCTTCCTCATCTTCGTCTTCTTCATCTTCGTCCTCCACGTCCTCTTCGTCCTCCTCTTCACCATCTTCTTCCTCGGCTCCGACTTCCTCTTCCACCTCCTTGGCCGTTGTATCTGGATTGTAAATTCCACCGTCTCCCCAAGGAGACAAATGAGGCGGCAGGGTCTCACCTGGTGCATAATCATTCACATTCAGGAGCTCTCCTTTATTAACGCAGTCAAAGACCCATTGAGGCTGGACGTATGTGCGGCCTTGAACCTTGTTAGCAACCTTTGGCCTGTCGACAATCTGATGGGTCACGGCGCCCAAGTCGAAAGCAACTTTGCGACCATTTAGTTTGGCCTCATCTAGAGCAGCCTCGCTAATCACCTTACCCCCGGCAGAGAGAATCACAAACTCCAAAATGTCCAAAGGAACCTCCCTTCCAATGAAGAACACAAACTTGGACAACAAGGTGCTTGTACTGCTTGTGTATTTCGAAGGCTGTGCCAAGATATCTCCAGTGTTTTTGTTCACATCCTTGAACTCGTCCAGCTCGATTTCCTTCTCCTCTTCCTCATCAACGTCCCGAGACTCTTCGGTCTTGTTCTCGCTGTCAGCAGCTAATGCTCTGTTTATCTCTTCTTTCGTAAGTTTGGTCTCCTCAGTTTCTTCCGGCTTGTCGGTTGGTAGCACTGGATCGCTACCCTTAGTCTCTAAAATGTATGCTGAAAGTCCACCAATCCCTTTCATCTTAGTGCTGTCGATTTTCGGTGGATAAACAAGTTCGGCGTCAGTGTAAAGCTTGTAAAGCACAAAATGCAGTAAAGTGGAGTAGAATTCAAGGAACGTCAGCATTATCCTAAAGTCAATGTCCGTAGGGATATTTTGTGGGAATTTGAAAGGAACCAGCCAGATCACCTCCTGTCCTTTGACACTAGCAGAGTAGTACACTCCTTTGATAGAAACAAAAACCTTCTTCAAAAGGCGTTCTCTAGCAATGTAGGCCATCCATTGGTTGGTCAATTTCGAAGCCTCCGAGGTGATTCTAGCACTCACCTTATCAGTAGCAGGCATATTACTGAACAAGAAAAGCATATTCAAACAATCATCCAAGTCTCTCAGGGCATCAAGGAATGACGGGTATCTTTCCTTGACAATTTTATCTAGCTTGTACTTCGGCTTGTTCTCCTCAAGCCTCTTGGCATCACTGACTTCACCCCTACCAAGTGCCTTGGTGAGCTTCTTTGAGAAAGTCTTGTGTTCTCTAAACTTGGCCAGAATTGGCTCGTGCATAAGATATTGAATATCCTTAGTGTAGTAGAATGTCACAGGAGCCGTCGATCCCTTATTAGCTTTCTTCTTGTTTCTTGGTTCTCTAGGATAAATTCCCTTGAAGATACACAAGCGACGGAAATCGGCTAGCGAAACCTGAAGTTTCTTGATTGCCTGTGTTCTGGTGATGAAATTCTTGGCGTTTCCGGAAGTTCCCTTCTTTTTGACCTTTCCCATGGTTAGCGATGATACTTTACTCAGAGTAGATATTACAGGGAAAAAAAATTAAAATAAATTTTTCAGATTGGTTGGTACACACAGTAGATAAAATTGATCATCTAATAATAGTCTTTAGCTATTGAAGATGCTACGAGTAATCGGTCTCCAGACACGCATTTTGCACGTAACTGCAATTCACCACCATTATTCCATTATTCGAAAGCTAAAAAATGAAACAGACATAGACGATCTTTTTTCCACGCCCCCAACGTCAGCAACCAGCAGGTCGCATTCCATGGTTGATCCATACATACTCAGCAAGCTGCTGAATCTTTCAGGCCTATCACAAGACATTTCAGATCAGGAAAAAAAGGAACTCATTCTGTCGCTAAATGATCATTTAAAGTTCGTTTCTCAGCTGGAGGATGCTACAAGTTCCGGCGAGCTTAAAAGACTGGTTGAGGACTCTGAAGAGCTCACATTCGATGATATCGTTTCTGAGATAGAAAATAGCGCCGCAGAACTGGAAAAAGGAGAACCAGAAGAATCTTGGAACTCGCTCAGCCTGACGTCGCAGCACGAGGAAAACTATTTCGTCGTAAACGAAGGCCTCATTAAACAAAATAAGCAATAATAAACGTACCTATATTACATCTCGGACTCGTCTTCCAAGTCGAGTTTTCGCTTGCCGGTATGACTTTCACGAAGCTGGGCCATTTTCCTGACACCCGTTTGGAACTTGGCCTTCTTTGTCATCCTCTCGATCTCTTCTTCCGCATCCTTGCTCTCGGCATTGGCAAAGTCCATCACTAACCTACGGCCAAGCAAATGAACGCCCTGTAATTGATCCATAGCGCTTTCGGCCTCCTTGAGCGTACTAAACTCGACGAAAGCAAATCCTCTCGCGGACTTGTCAAACTTCTTAGGCACTCTGACAGATTTGAGGTTGCCAAATGGACTAAACAACTCGAAAATATCGTTCCTGGTAGATTCGAAAGCTAAGTTCTTCACTATAATCTTTGGTGACTTCTTTCCTTTCTTGGCAGATGCGTCTTCCGATTCTCGTTGACTTACTCTATGTGAGAGCTTCAGTTGCAGCTGGTGGCCGTCTAAAAGATGTCCGTTCATTATCTTGATAGCGTTCTCTGCCTGCTCCTTGGTTTTGAACTCCACAAATCCAAAGCCCATACTCTGCATCTTTCCTGTGTGCTTTGGGTCTGGACGCGTCCTAACAACTGCGACGACGAAGCCAGGCAAGCTTTTGAAAGTTGCAGTTAATTCGCTTGTAGTGGTGCTGAAATTCAAGTTCTTCACGAACACAGAGACAGTAGGACCAGATATTTCCACATCGTCTTCGTTGTCAATATCCATGATTTCCGTGGTGTCGGCTTTCGATTCGGTTTTAGAGACGTTGTCAAGTTGCTCGGTCGAAGCTTCTTGAGTGAACAAGTTCTTTGGACCCTTCTCAAGATACAGAATCGACTTTCCGAGACGTCTAAAGGCGAGCTTGCAAAATGCAGCTCTCGCAGCAGGAGCGTCACGGAACTCAACAATGGCGATGGTTCCGGCAGGAGGCATCAGTAGTCTATTAAGTTGTCCGTAGGCGGAGAAGAGCTCACCAATCTCCTCCTTGGTGGTACCGTGCTGAAAGTTCTTCACCAAAATCACCTTATCATCGCGTTCTTTAGTGTTGAAGCTGGTCAAATCAACACCTTTATCCTCAAAGTACTTCCTGACATCCCCGATAACATGGGCCTCCGCCAAAGCCTGTTTTACAGCAGAACTGCTGCTTGTGGGATCGATCAACTCCCCTTTCGAAATACCCATCTTGCTAGCCACGCTCTCAAGGACAGCATCGTTATTCATATAGAGAGAGTTCCAGCTAAACTGCGCTTTGGAAGCCTCATACTTTTTCTTCAACTCCCTCTGCTTCTTGAGAGGAAGATTGGCAAGATCGAAATCGGTCAGCGTGTGATCTTTTTTAGCTTCGGCAGGAAGGATGTGAAGTAGTCTGCCTTGGAAGATTTGTTTGTCCAATTCTAAGTATGCCTTGACAGCGTCGTCCGGAGAGGTAAATTTGACATATGCAAAACCTTTCGAATTTCCAGTCCTTGTGTCAACCGCAATGTGAACCTCATCCAGAGATCCATATGGACCGAAAAGTTCACGGAAATCGTCTTCAGTAGCCGAATAAAGAATGTTCCTAAGAAACAATCTTCCCGTTTGTGATATACGCTGTATGGCTTTATCCTGCTCATCGAGCTGGGGCTCTTCTTCATACTCTGATTGATGTGACACATTATGTTCAGCTTCCGCCATCTGAGCACCACTGGTTTCTTTAAGATCTTGTGGTTCTTTAGGCTCTTCGGTAACTTCATCATCTTTGATTCTTTTCCTCCTCAATTTGAACCATTCCAAATCATCCATTTCAGCGCTCTGTTTCACTTCCTCTTGCTTATCATCTTGTGCATAGTCAACCTCTGCTTCTACGTTTTCAGCTTCATCCAATGTGATCATTTTTTCGGCATCCTCTTCCTTGCTCTGAAACCCGTTAAACTCCTCGTATTCATCATCACTAGCATTTTCTGCAGCTTGAGATTCTAATCGCGACTCTGTTGACTTCTCTGATTTGGCGCTCAAAAGAAGATCCTCGTTCTTCCAAGATTTTTGCTGAACACTAGGCTTGGAAGCTTCTAAGAACTCTTGAAGTTTGGGATTGGAGTTTACTTGGTCTTCAATAAAGGCATCAACTCCCTTCTTCGTATGCTTGTGCCTGCGCTTATTTTGTATCTCTTCAAGTTTCCTCAATTTCTCTTCAGTTTCTTGTAACTGTCTTTTGGCTTGCAACCGCTTTTCTCTCCACGGAATGGGGACAGTTGGATCGCTGAATGTTTTGGCCAGCTGAACAGATATCCTGGCAGTATCAATGAATGTTTTGTCAAAGTATTTGACCGCGTTCTCGGCATCCTGTTGGGATCTATATCCTATGAATGCAAATCGCCTTGATTCACCTTGTCTATTTCTGACCACCTTCACATCCGTCACCACTCCTTTTTCCTGAAAACGTGTTTTAAGTTTATCCTCACTGAAGTACAGGGGCAACCCCTTGACTATGATTCTCGACATGCTAGAATATGTGCTCTATTACCTTCTGATCAAATTTTTTTTGAATTTTTTTGAGCTTGTGCTATCAGATGTAAGGGTGTGTGACTCAAGTTTCACGTCAGTCCTTGTCCATGTCTGCATCAGACAAACCAAACGACTAGCCTACGATTACCAATAAGCCAGCATATCTGACAGAGGAATTAAGTGGCAAAAGACGTCAAAGGAATCTGATTCTTAAAAGCTTATTTTTGGTGGAAGAGACGACTCCTTCCGAAATAAAATATTCGGTACCCATTTTTCCCCATTAGGAGGGATATTTTATCAACATCATAGAAACAGGATTAATCCCTCAGTTGTACAATGAAGAGCGAGCTTCTAGACCATATTGGAGTCCAAACTTTGAAACAGCAGCTATCATCAACATCTAACTACATGAGAGTCACAAGGTGCCTTTGTTTTGTGACCATGTTATTATCATATTTTGTAGTCTATGAGATCTTTTCAGCGGCGACAATTGGCGTTAAATACCTAATACCTCAAACTAGATTTTCCTATAAGAGATACTTTGCAGCAGGGTTCTGGACCCTTTGCATTTATATCCTCGAGCTGAATAACATTCAGGTTGAGATCACTGGAGATGAGCTAGAAACCGAGAATGCACTTTTCATCAGCAACCACGCATCCCTGATTGATTATATCATCTACCCTTATCTAGTTCTCAAGTCTACTCGAAAACCATCTGAATTGGAGGCGGCTCGAAAAAACGAAAAGAAAGGGGAGCCCGAGAAAATATTCGCCCAAGATCTCTCTTCGATCCTGCTTCCTCGAATCAGCTTCTTTACGTGGTATGCCATTTGGTTTATTCCGAGTTTTAGGGTATTTAGAAATGTGTTCCAGGCAGATGAGAATTGGGAACTCAATGACGAAACGTTGGGATTTGTATTCAGGGACCTGCTTGATTCAGAGGTGGTAGATTGGCTCGTTACATTCCCTGAGGTCAACATTTTCACCAAGAAGGACGCCAAACTGCAACAAGGCTTGTCCGAAAAATTCTATCTGCCGGTCTTGAATAATCTGCTATATCCTAGATACTCAAGCTTTGCGAACGCCGTATCCGGGCTCCACAAAACACAATTCACAAGGCTGTACGATACATCCATTATATACTACAGAAAAACACCGCAGGGGAATATATCGTTTGACGCACCAAACCTTCTTGAAGCCTTTGGTCTATATGAAGGGAAAATCAACATCAAGGTCCATGTTCATGCTAAAATGATGAGCAGGATCCCATTAAAGAGAAACAAATTAGAAAAGTGGCTAGAAAGGAAATGGATCAAAAAGGATCGGCTTATCACTAACTTTAAGAATGAAGTAACAAAGGAGTACTTACGAAACTCTTAAATATGCGTGGATGCCAACTCTGCCTCTAATTTCGACAGATCTTTATCCTCCTGGACCTCTTCTTCTTCATCTTCGTCCTCGTCTTCTTCCTCTTCAGAACCTGGCTCTTCCAAATCATCCAGCTCATCTAACTCACCCAATCTTCTGTTCTCAAAAGTCTCAGCGATTTGTTCAATCAGCTCAGAATCTTCTTCGAAACGATTACCGTTCAACTCTAACAGCTTTAGCGCGCTCAAAGAGGGAACAACCCTGGCCAGCACTTCTAAGGAATCAGACTCAAGCTCGTTGTACTGTAGTTTGAGAGTTTCAAGTTTAGAGTCTTTCAGGGTTGCCAGCCCTTGCATCACCTTGAGACATCCTGTACTCTTCAGAAGACAGTCGTTGACATTCAACTCTGTCAATTCCGGCCACTTTGGCAAAGCAGATGCTAAAGCCAAAGATCCCGGAACAGTGAACGTGTTGTCTTGCAAGTCAAGAACTTTAAGATTGTTAAGATATGCTAAACCCTGATTAATTAATTTTGCAATCCCTTGCGGTCTAATACCATTTTGATATAATCTGATCTCTTGTAAGTCGGAATTTGCCTTGAAGCCAATTGCCAGATAGTCAACCGAGCCGTTTTCGAGTCTGTTACGGCCGCACCAGAAAGTCTTGAGAGAAGGTGCGTTTTCCTTCTCCTTCAACTTGGCCAGTCTGTAAAGGGCTTTTCCGACCCTGGCGCCAGAGAAAGGCCCCAAACCGTTGTTCGTTAAAATGAGGTGTTCCACAGATTTTGCAGAAGATAAGAAGTCTTCAAGAATGTCAATGGTGTCCTGGCCTAAGGCATTATCACTCAAATTTAGCACTTTCAAGGATGAGCATTCCAAAATGACTGGGAAGAATTCTTTCAAAGAAGCTGGAATCTCATTCTTGTCACGAGACGTGTATATATCTTGCAAGTTGAGATGGAGCAGCGTCGAAGAAAACTTCTTGATCTCGGCAGCGAGGTATTTCGAGCACTCTGGCGAAATGGTGTTTCCAGAGATATCGATCAATTTGAGGTCTTTTTTGGAGGCCAGTTCTTCCAAATATGGCTGGATGTCCTTCAAAGAGTCAAATTTGATTCCCTTGTTGGACAGGGAAAAACTCTCTTCGGGGGTGATGCCCAAATCGATCTTGTGGATGGTCGTCATACTAGTATTATTTGTAGAGAGAAAAAAAATATTTTGTGGCCCATTCATCCATTAAATTAAATCTACATGCTAACACCGACTGACTATTTCTTCTTTCCGAAGAGAGGAGCTCCTATGTCCTTTCCTCTCAACTTCACACCCAGAGCTCTCTCCAACTTGGCTAACAATTGCTGGTTAGGAATGGCTCTGCCAGCCTCGTAGTCGTTGATCACATTTTGTTTCTCGTTAACTTTAGTGGCCAAGTCCTTCTGTGTCATCTTCTTGTCCTGTCTGGCTTGTTGAATGGCTTTACCGACAGTGAGATCTAACTTCTTAGGAGCAACAATATCGTCAGTTCTGTCGATTTTGGTCAATCTTTGTCCTTCTGGATCGCCCTTAGCGTTGGCACCTCTGTATTTCTTCTCAACAGCGACCACCGCACCGGATCTTCTGGCAGCATTCAACTGCGACTCGGTCTTAACAACTCTCTCCTTTGGGCCGGAACCACCAATTCTGGCTTTTCTCCCGATGACTGTAACAGAATCCCAATCCGACATGTTCAGCTGAAATAATTGTGTTGCGACTATTTGCCATTTTTTTTTATTCGAGAAAAGTACAAGGCCAGCTTACGTCATCGGACATCTGAAGTCTGCGTATTCAAAAAATGCTGAAAAATTTACCAACATCGACCAGCATGCTAAATCTGTGCCGACCTTTGGTGGCTCGTCAGTTTCCCTTGCAGCCGTTTATAAGACTAGTCACAACTGCGCAACTGGCGAATCGGATTCCAGGCGACAGGTATTACGAAATCAAGGATAATGTGGACGATTACCTTTACTACAAATCGCTGACCCCAAGAGTTAGAGATATCGTGTACACGAAAGATGACCACTTAGCGATGCTGAACAGAAACGCGATAGATCTTGAAGGAAGACCACTGACACCAAAACCGGTTCCCGGGGCACCATCAAGACTGAGATTTTCTTTTTTCATCGATGGACTGTTACTGCCTGCAGAGCTCGATGATCTATTTCCTGTAATAACCAAGCTCGATTTGCATGCTCCCGAACTTCTCAACGAGATGGTGATAAAGTCATTCTTGTACAAGGCAGCTGAGTTTAACAAGTTGTCAGACGCTTTGAGTCTTGTGTTTCAGCTGGAAACTTATAAATCCAATCTTAGATTCAACCAAACCGTATCCGAGGCTGTCATTTTATTGCGAGCTCTAGAGGTTGAGAAGAGTAAGATCACGTCTTTACAATGGTTCAACGTGAAAACCAGATTTGTTAGAAGACCAGACCGCAAACACCGAAAGAAGGTGAACGAGCCAAGCTCCTTGTTGACTGAACTTTGCGGATTTATCAACCTCGAAAGAGCCCAGGTGGAGACATTTGGAGAGCCAGATGCCTTGGTCACTAAGGCCGTTGAAAAGACTTTTGATAGATTGCAAGGCTTTGCTGGATTCAACATTGCAGACTTCAAGAAATCCAACTTGATCAAGATGTACTACGGTCTGGAGCATATTTATACTATCACCAAGTATCTTTCGCATTGTGTTGCTAGAGCACCAGAGCTACCATATTCATCCAAGTATTCTGACCTTGTGAAACAGAACGAAGCATTTATTTCGGAAGCAGAGGCTTTGCAGCAGAAGATCGGCAAGAAGGAGACGCAGCTCGAAAAGCTCGAGGCGCTCAAGTTTGAACGGAAGAGAAAACTTGCAGAAGAGACCGAAGAAGCCGACAAGACTGAGTAAATAATGATGTACATATATATATCTTCAACGGCTACCAAGTATGAATGACTCCCTTGCACCACCGACTTTTTTAAACTCAAAATTATAATCAACAACTCGCTTGATATTTGATTATGCTTTCGGGACTCAGAAGGCGCAAAGAGGACCAATCGGAAGACGATCTGAACAACCGGCAAAATCCGGTGTTTGATGCGATGGAGGAGGATGACGACTTGAGTGACTCCCAGTCGGAGGAACACGAGAAGAAAAAGAGCAGAAGACCGAAAGAAAACGCTTTTACGCAACAGAAGCTCAAGGCATACCATCCTATCCTCACGCCGAAAACTGTGATTCCGCTACTTCTTGTGATCGCCATAATATTTGTTCCCATCGGTGGTGGAATGTTGTACGGATCACATCATGTGCAAGAATTTGTGATTGATTACAGTGACTGTAGGACACTGGCAAGTCGTGATTACTTTAGCGAAATCCCTGAGAAAAATTACAAATTCCAGTTCAAAAAGGACATCACAATAAGGCCTCAGTGGAAATTGGCTACCAACGAATCTTCATACTGGAACGGGTTCGACGAAGAACGTGACATATGCCAAATACAGTTCCAAATACCAAACGACATTGGCCCTCATGTCTTCTTCTTCTATCGTTTGAAGAATTTCCATGCGAACCACAGAAGATACGTGAAAAGCTTCAGTGAGGACCAGCTTAATGGAAAAGCCGCCTCCGTTTCCACTATTAAAGACACTGTGGGACAAAACTGCCAGCCTTTGTCGGTTAACAAGGAAGGTAAAAAATACTATCCTTGTGGATTGATTGCCAACTCCTTGTTCAATGACACCTTTTCCACTTTTTCCGCTGTTAACGGTACGACGGACGACTACATGCTCTACAGAAAAGGCATTGCCTGGTCTACGAACAAAAATCGCTTCAAGAAGACGAAATATAATGCCTCTGAAATCGTTCCTCCGCCAAACTGGTATAAAATGTATCCGGAGGGCTACAATGATACCAACCTGCCAGACATAAGCGAGTGGTACGAATTTCAGAACTGGATGCAGCCTTCGGCTCTTCCACTCTTCTCCAAGATGATTTCCAGGAACGACCACGATGTGCTTCATGAGGGTACATACCAGGTTGATGTGGGCTACCATTTTCCAGTTACTCCTTATAAGGGCAAAAAATACCTGTATTTGTCGACGAGAAGCGTGATTGGAGGCAAGAACTCCTTTTTGGGAGTTAGCTGGATTGTGGCAGGAGGTATATGTTTTGTTCTTTCCCTCATTTTCTTGATTGTGAATGTTGTTCATCCCCGGAAGTCAGGCGATATGAGCCTGTTGTCATGGAATAAAGGATGATGGCGGTTACGTGCATGAATTTAGATAAAAAAATTGTGATACATAAACAAATAAACGTTGGTAACTGGAAACGGATATAGCGTTAAGGTCGTCGCCACGGTTTTTCTTTGGTTGATATGCTCCCCCAATTCCTTTAACAGTTGTTGTCAGGACCAACGGTAGTGAGCCTGGAAACCATCTGCGGGATGTCATACAAAAAAGGAAAACCTGTACTTGAGTTGTTCCGGGAAACGGATGATGACAATGATAACTACACCGACGAGTTCGAAACCGCAGAACTCATCACAACAACGAGAAAGTTTTTGGTGCAGCAGTACGAAATCGATAACGCCTTAAAAGTTATAAATCCTAACAATGTGCACCACAACAACCGGCGTTCTTCTACACTTGGGCAACAGACCGGTACTAAAGAGCAAAAAATGGGTATCCGTTCAACAAATTCGCAGTCTCATCGCAACGCTTATTCGTACCCTGATGGAATTCAGCGGGCGGATCAGAATAATCGCCCAAGCTATTTAAATATTAATACCTATGGTATGAGCGATCTCTCTCCCGAGGAGTTTGCAAAGTACACAAAGCTCAAACATGTGGGAAGAGGCGCATATGGTGGAGTCTATCAAGCCAAACACGTTGACACGGGAGAAATTTATGCGATGAAGGTTATTGAGCTTGATCACACACACTCTGACTCATGCTCCAGAAACGACGTGGCAGTGAGTGATAATCAGCACTTGATGAATGAAATCCTCATCATGAAGCAGTTTGACCACGTCAATGTCGTGAAACTGTTCCACTATCATCTTAACGAGATGTCTATGAATTTAGTACTAGAATATTGCGAGGGCGGCTCTCTAAGAGACCGTTACAGAGCTAAGGGACCATTACCTGAACATGAAGTTATAGGCTATATCAAACAGACGTTGGAGGGACTGGTATACTTGCACAAGAAGCGCTTCATTCACAGTGACATCAAAGCAGCGAACATTCTTCTCAAAAATGGCGTTATAAAGCTAGCAGATTTTGGTGTTAGTATCAAAATTGACGCAAAGGACGATATTGAAACGCTAAAAAACAAGAAGAAGGAAGCAAACGGATCACCCTATTGGATGGCACCGGAGGTTATTAGACTCCAAGGAGTTTCAACAGCTTCTGACATTTGGAGTTTGGGAGCTACGGTAGTCGAACTGCTCACCACTCAGCCACCTTTCTATCAGCATGATCCGTTTCCAGCTTGTCACGCAATAGGATCGGGAGAGCCTCCAGATATACCGTCGGGAATATCTCGCGAGTGTTTCCAGTTTTTAACTGTTGGGTGTTTCCAACAGGACAGGAAAGCCAGATTAAGTGCAGAACAGCTACTTCGTCATCCGTGGACTCAGGGAGAAATCAAACAAGAAGAGTTACATAAGACGAGCCTCAACCGCGAGAACAGAACCGGGTTTTTGAAACAATACAATGAAACGTTCCAGGACAATTACGATAACGATTTTGAGGAGCGATCCATAAATTTGTTGATGACTATTAATACCATGAACAAGAAACAAAGGCTTGAGATTTACAAAGAATCGATGTCAGGGGAAAGCGAGGACGATTTCATGGACGTTTTCGAGATTGATCATTTTAAAGATCTGGACGTTGGAAATCAAAAGGACATCGACATGAGACAGCAAAAAAGAACTTACATCCGAGATTTAGTTGACCGCACAGAGGAAGCAACATTGGAGGAGTTGCAACTGATTTATAAATTTGTGACTGAAGACGATGAATGTGGCCAAGAGGGCGAAAAGTTGCACGGGGGCTCGAATTTTGTGATAAAATGTCTGATTGATCAGAAATTTGTATACAAGCTTACATCTAGGCTTTTGACGGAGGAGTCTGACGATTGCAAAATCGAGCTTATGAAAATTGCGGTTCAGCTCTTTCAACACGACACTCAAAGTATGGTGACATTCTATCATTGCGGGTGTACCTCGAGAATCATTCAAGCATACCACGAAGAAGAAAGTGTCTTCACATATTTGTCCATGCTTGTGAAGTCCAATCTACCAACTCTGTCTCTTATTTCAACAGACATTTGTGAAGTGCTGGTTCTGACTTTAAAGAATGGAGACACATCGAGACAAAATTTGTGCGTTGAGCTGCTGCTTGAACTTTTCAGAAACGAGAAAATTGAGAAACAGGGGATGTCCTCGATTTTAGTTACACATTCTGTTCCAAGACTACTTGCCATTAGTTTGAGCAACATTCGGGGCCACATGAGTGAAACGCAGCTAGCGGTGGCAGTTAGGACTGTCAAGCTTCTTGCCAAAGTGGCGCACTACTGCTCCGACAACCTTAGAGGCAAGTTCTTTACTGGCGATTTCTTTACTTGCTTATTTAGGAGATTTGCCAAATTGCCACTTGAGTCCAAACTGGAGATGGTGAGGATAGTGAACAAGTGCGAGATGTTTTTGGACGGTGCGTTGGAAGATTTAGATAATTCACAGATTCAGCAGATCTTTGATCAACTTCTTGAAGACCTTTCCTCGGAAGAATGTTCCAAAGTATATGAGAGGTTTGTGAAATGTACAATACCCATTCTTCAAAAGCTATGCACTTTGGACTCCAGCAGACAGGTGGATTTATTGTCGACCAGCAGCATAGAGCTTTTCAACCACTTGCTCAAGCTCTTCACCAACTCAAAACGGAATGAGACCATCAAAAACCAGGTAGTTGATATTTTTGCAACAGCAGCTGGCAATCCTAAACTATCGCAAGTATGCAAACGATACGGCGCAATTGAAATTCTGATTAATGTTATTGACGACCCCCATTACCGACTTACCGCAATTCGCAACATCAGAAACCTCGTGGAGACAGAAGGAGACATTCTTGACGAGGCGCTGAAAAGGAAGCCGTTGCTTCTCAACAAGATCGTGGCAGGTATCAAACTCGAGAACGACCTCGATCATTTTTTCATAGAATTTATCCAAGTGCTCGAGAAACACCGGGACAAGTGGGTCCAATCGAACAGAAAACACACCCAATCATTCAGCATCTACAACTATATGTGCTCCTCCGAGGAGATCTTAAACTCGTTATTTGAACGGCTGTCACAGCCGGAGCTAGTCGATCCTCTGCTGGTTCTTCAACTTTTCCAGGTCTTATATAGTCGCACGCCGCGGAGCTTTGTCCTGCGGGAGTTTCAGCCGGCCTTTCAGGATTTGCGGAATGAGTTGCTGAAGCCAGTCGGAGGCAGTGACGCTCGAAAAGATCGGATGATCGATATCATTGATGACATTCTTATAGAAGGCTAAATTGATAAAATATCAGTGTAAGGATGTATTTAACCCGCATTTTCGGGTAAACTCATCATTGACATGACTAAATAATATAGCCGACTTCCGGATTTCCTCTGTCTAGACATGACGGAGGCCGATTTGGAGGACAATGCTGTAAAAGAGAAACGGTCTGTGTTTAAGGATGTGGTGATCAAAAACTACCATCCGATATGGAACGTGGCTTTCATGTCAACAGGAATATGCTCGGGGATTCTGTTTCGCTTTCCCTATGAGATTGGCGTCTTCCGCATTTTTGGGCTTATCATGTGGGCAGTTTCACTCTCCTTGTTTATAATGGTCAATGTGTTATTATTCTTGAAAATGCACTGGTTTCGGGGATTTACATATCAGTTGGCTACCGATATCCAGCTGAATTTATTTTTGGGGCCTTACTCCATGGGATTCAGTACAATTATCAACATGATTCACATGATAACGGATCATTATGACAAAAGTTTCAAAATTGGGCTAGTCATCATGTGGTTTATCAACTTTACCATGGCGCTGTTGTGCGGCTGGGTGCTAGTCTTTGTATTGCTTTGGAAGAGTAAGATCGAGCAGTTTCAACTGAATCCGCAGCTTATACTACCAGTCTTACCGCTTACAGTGTGTGGATCGAGTGGTGCATTTATATGTGGTGCTTTTACGGGCTACTCCAGCCGAATTCAACTGCTGCTCATCATTTTGACATATCTGCTTTGGGCCAACTCCATGATGCTTGGATTCAGCCTGATTGCAATATTCATCTGGAAGATGCTTGTGTACAAGCTCCCGCCAAAACAGCTCATATTCACCCCTTTTGCTCCAATCGGTTTGATTGGTCATGGGGTGTGGGGAATTCTACTCAACGGGAGCAACCTAAATCTCTACCTTGGGAGCCAGGATACCCATTTTCCTGTGGATCCAAGGCTTCTGGGACTGGGAGTCCAGTACGTGACAGGAATGGTGGCACTGTTCTTGATCGCTGTTGGCTTTTTTTTTACCTTTCTTGGTCTGGCAATGTGGATTGTGTACGGACTACCAGCTTTTAACCGGACTTACTGGATTGTTCCATTCCCTGTGTGCGCTCTGAGCCTGGGGATTACCGAGTTTTACAACATCTTTCACATAGAAGCGTTCAGAGTGGTTGGTACAATCTACGCGGTTTTTGGAATTTTGATGGTACTTGCATGCTTGGCAGGCAGCGTGCTTTTCGAGGTCCCTTATAGTGAGATAAAATCTTACAGGTGTAAGGAGTGAATGATTTGATGCCAGTGTCTCCAAAGTAATTTTTTTAAACGAAAACATTAGTTGCATATACCCCAAACAGAATATGTCGTCTGCGACAGAATCATCCGCCTCTCCTCACGAGGAGATAGTGCTTGATTATCTTCCGTATATTGATCAGGAGCCGTCGAACGACGTTCTAGCGGTGGTGGACGATCTGATTCAGGAAGAATTAATGAACTTTAACTTGCATCAATTGCATCCGAAATTGCGCAACGCATCTGTGGATTTAGACAACGAGTCACGGAATTTGCCCATTACCAACGAAGGAATTGGGGGGATCAGTCTATCAAGCTACAGCAACCTGCTAAATGAGCAGAACGAGCCAGACATCAACAAGATGAAGACAGCGTTGTCCTATACTCAGCTGCGGTACCGCACTCTTCTCCTCAACAGCCAGGAGAGCGCACAGGAGATCAACAAAAACAAGTGGATGACGCACCTGGATAATCTAAAGCAGCACCAAGAAGTACTAGAGCGCGCTATTGATCGCAAAAGACGACACAAGGACGAAATTAATGAGGAACGGAAACGGCAATGCACGGACTTTGAACCTATGAACGAATACCTGGGAACAAGATGGACTGAGAAAATGGAAGAGCTGATCGACATTGGTGTTGAGGCTGCTCTTCAGGAACTGGAGAACTGAATGGAGTTAGTTCTACGAATAACGACCGAGAAGGCATTATTGCTACGCTCGCATTAATATCTTATGACAATTATCGAGTATGTATCTAAGCAAGAACATCAGCATCGTACTTGGCCTTGAACCAAGCAATGGTGTCCTCCTTGGAGCACTTGTGAGAAACACCGACCTTACCCTTGGCTCTCTTTCTTCTGGCAACTCTGAAACCAGCTCTGCCCATCACAACGTAGAAGTCCATACCGTAGATTCCAATACCTGGGTCGTACTTGATACCCAAGTCGATGTGTTCTTGAATACCGAAACCGAAGTTACCAGTCTCGGAGAAGTTCTTCTCTCTGAGTTGGTATTCTTTCACCTTCAATCCTCTCTCCAAAATCTCCTCTGCCTTTGGTCCTCTGACGGTAACGTGGACAGCGATCTTTTCGTTTCTTCTGATACCAAAAGTTCTGACAGTGTATCTGGCTTTGCTTTGCACTGGGGTCTGACCAGAGAGTTGCTCCAACACCTTGGAAGCTCTGGTCAATCTGTCACCAGACTCACCAACACAGATGTTGAGAACCAGCTTCTCAATCTTGAGTTCTCTCATAGGGTTTTGGCTCGACATGTCGATATTGATAGTTAATTCAAGAGTTGATACAAAAATTTTTCATCCATCCGCACACCATCTCAGAATTGGCAGAGTGCACGGGCAATGAAAAATCATGTGACTTCTCTGTTTTCTTAAAACCCTTACTGGTGTATGGGTGAACATTATGAGTTCAACTGCACACCCGTGAACCTGCTAGGCAGAGTCTATTTTAGTATAATTACAGTGGCAAATAAATCTAACCAATATGTCTATCACCGAAATTGGGAAAAGATTCACCCATAAAACCCAATTCGAAGCAGAACTGGAGGAGGCTGCTACAGACTACCAAAGAATACAGCCGTCACTCAATTCCCTCGCCCCAAGTATATCAGTTCCTCCAATATCACAGCCAACAGCATTCCTTAGGGCACACACGGACCATGACTCGAATCCAGACTGTAAGATTAAGATGGCCCACGGAACCACCACGCTGGCGTTCCGGTTCCAAGGAGGAATTATCGTGGCTGTCGACTCTAGAGCCACCGCAGGTAACTGGATTGCATCTCAAACCGTGAAGAAAGTCATTGAAATCAACCCTATGTTGCTGGGAACCATGGCTGGTACAGCTTGCGATTGTCAGTATTGGGAGACCTGGCTGGGAACTCAGTGCAGACTGCACGAGCTGAGAAATAAAGAACGAATTTCTGTTTGTGCTGCATCAAAGATTCTGTGCAATCTCGTTTATAGTTACAAAGGCATGGGCCTCGGAATGGGGACCATGATTTGCGGATACACACCAAAAGAGGGACCTACCATTTACTACGTGGATTCCGACGGAACGAGATTGAAGGGTGATTTGTTCTGTGTCGGTTCTGGACAGACATTTGCCTATGGTGTGCTGGACACCAATTACAAGTGGGACTTGACCGTTGAGGAGGCCCTTTACTTGGGAAAAAGAGCCATCCTAGCTGCCGCCCACAGAGATGCATACTCTGGTGGATCTATTAATCTATACCACGTCACTGAAAATGGATGGGTATTCCACGGCAATCATGACGTTGGTCCTCTCTTCTGGGAAATCAAAGAGAAGGAGAAGTCGTTTAACAATGTTGAGGCATAACTCATTGTATATTGTATATTGATTCACGAATACAACGCATATGCGCACATACTAGTATACGGATGTTTTATTCAGTTTTAGAGGACTTGGGGTCTGGTTCTTGATCATCCTTGGCCGAGTCAAACGAGTCTAGCGGTCTTTTCTTTGAGTCAAGTTCTACCTCCCCCGAATGCTGAGCAAGAAATTTGTCCAAATCCAATTCCTTCGAAGTGTCTTTATCATGATCCATGCTATCAAGCATTACTTTCATATCCAGATCTTCCAAATCAGACTTATGTTTTGCAACGGAGCCGACAGGAGGAGTGGGCTGCGAGAACTTCTGGAACTGTAGTTGTATGCTTTCATTATCGTACTGAGATTGCTTTTGTTGGACTGTTTTATTGATTGATCTTGAGCCCGAAGGGGCCACGGGTGATGGCTTACCGTAGTATTGGGGTTTTCTAATTGAAGGGATTTGGGAAGAGGAGGATGGGATAGGAGACGTGCTTGCCATTCCCGCCTGAGCTGAGGAAATAGACTTGATCGATCCCGACGTGGCTAACGGTTTAGGGACAGGAGGAGAAGGCCTTGCAAATTGCTGGATGTTCGAACGAGTAGAAGCTGGTTCAACAGGCTTGGAAATAGACGAGGCTGGCGAACTGCTGGGAGGCGGGAGACCCTTTTTCTTGGTTACCTGAATGGTAGCAGCGTTCAAAGCGGCGGAGAGAATCTTCGTGATATGTGCAGGGTTCTTGTCAATTAGTGTGACCAACGGAAAACCCTGAATTCCAGCATTTTTTGCGGCTTGGTTCACCTGGGCAATGGTCATCGCAAGAGCCTGGGTGAGAATTTGAGTGGTTGTTTCTTTATCGTACATTTTGCGGTCCTTGGTGAGTCTTATAAGTTCCTGCTGTAAATATGAGAGCGCTTTCTTTGTGTCTCCTGACAGTTTGGAGTTGGAAGACTCAAAGCTGTTCGATTCAGGAGCAGGAGAACTCGACGACGAGTGCGACTCGGGGCGAGTTGGATGTTGCTGGAACTGCTGTGAGAGAGTTTGCAAGTGTTGTGTGGCTTTGATATTGGCGAGCTCTATTTGCTTTCGTTTCAGGCGTTCTTTTTCAGCGAAGTACTCTTCATCCAGCCCCCATAGCCATCCTTTTCCTTCTTTGCACACCTTGCGGAAAGATTTGTTCAAAGACAGGTTGTGTCTGACCGAGCTTTGCCAACCATCTGGACAGTAATAATAGTAAGGATACAATTCCTGAATTCCTTTATAGATTTCCGAAAGCGACATGCCGCGTTCGGTTCCTTTCTGTCGCAAACACTCGGCAATAAGCGTTGAGTAGGAAAAGTTGGGTTTTGTTCGGTACTCTTGAGGAATTTCTTCGGGCTTGTACACTTTCTTAGCTGCTTTTGATGGTTTTTTCAACTTATCTTTTGCCGACTGAAGGGACTGTTGTGCGCGTCCAGCCGGAGATAAGGCATTCACACCATCCATCAAAGAATGCTGGTTTCCATTTCTCGCAGCAGCAGCGGCGGCTGCTTCCTCACGTTTGACCACAGAAGCCTCCGCATTTGCTCTTAGTTCATTGACAAAATCATCACCCAATTTGAAAACCGTCGAGGATTTGCTGTCATTCACCTTCGGATGTTGTGGGGTCAACGAACCTTCTCGCGAGCTTCCACTGCTAGTTGCATGGTTATTCGAAAACGAAGTCTTCAAGCTGAGTGCATCTGAAGGATTTATAGGTTTGATTTGTTTTCCGTTTTTGGAATCCGTAACAGTTTCGTCTGTTGGAAGAATAAACATAAACCTCGTCTCACCTATCTGTATTTTAGTCTTATCCTTGAGTGGTAGTGTTACCCCGTTTTCTACGAACATGTCGTCGACAAATGCGCCATTCCTACCAACAACGGACAGCTCAAATCTCTGGTTGCCAAAATTGTAGAATATTTTTGCGTGTCTTCTAGAAATAGCTTTCTGCTGACCAAGATGGATGTCGAGGGAGTCGGTACTCGTGTCACCTTCAACCAACCTCCCAAGTAGAATCTGCATGGTTTGCACGTAGAAAGTGAAGTTTTCAAAATCCAACATAGCGTACGCCTGGATATGATCAGATCCCTCCCCGTGCTCAAAAGATTTTCCTCCGGAGGACTGCATTGCCATGGGAAACTGCAAACCAGAGTCAACACCCTGCACTTTCTTCATTGAAGGAGTCGTAGAGTCATTGCAATCACTTAGCGGATCATCTCCTGAAAGCGTTGGTGTCATATCTGATGTATCCTTTTATAATTCTAAGATTCCATCGATCGGTGTCTATTAATCCTGATTTCAAAAACACTTGAACACAAAAGCGCGTGTAAACGTGTAATTACTTTGATAATCAACGAGCTCTGGACTCTTGGTATATGATGCGAGATACAAACAACACTTGTGACAAGGTACTTGAATTTAATTTTTTTTTTCTTTTCAAAATTTTCATATCTGCTACTGCTCGCCGATCGACGCGACTTTAAGATTAGATTCATTGATAACGTATTCAAGTGTGTAATGTAAGAAGCTCCTCTAAAGTGCACCTTTTCACCAATATAAGCTTCAGAATCTCGCGTACTTGAGGGTTCCCCATCATTCTGTTCGATTCCTCTCTAGTTAATAATTCAAGCACTTTTCCTTCCTTCACTAAAGTGATGAGATAGTAGGGATCGTAATCATATCCATGGTATGGAGCGCTACCCGTAGCAGCATGTAGTAAAACCAAGCCTGCACTATAGAGATCTGTACTGAAGTCTGGAAGTTTGCGTTGATCCTTAAGCAGTTCTGGCGCGGTGAACTGTAGAGTCATTTCCGGCTGCTCGTGAATGTCTGTGATTCTGGCTGAAGACGTAAAGTCGATGAGCTTAAATACTGGTACTGGAGCGGAAACATCCTCTACCAGGATGTTATCAGTTTTTATATCACAGTGAACGGCTTCAAGGTCTTGAAGGACCTGGAGCACGTTTAGTAGGAAGTTGAACAAACAAAACCAGCTTGTTAGGCCAACGGCCGGCTCATATGCATCGGTTATCTCGCGTCTTTCGTTAATAAATCTGAAGAGGTCTGTATCAGAGTTTTTCAATAGAAGACAAGGAAGCAAATCTGTCTTCTTGATCATAGGGAACTGCGTTTTGTCTAGATAATACAATCCATATGCCTCGACAAATGGAAAAGGCTTATCACCATATTTTCTGTACCACGTGTTGTCTCTATAGTCTTTTAAAAGTAGCAAAAACTCTGTCTCCTTCTCGATGAGCTTGACTTTATTCTTTGCGGTTGGGATCTTGATGGCAAATTGCATAGCCATATTCTTAGCTTCTCTTGTTGATAGAGTGGCCAAATGCACATACGAATTGGATCCTTTACCGAGAAGTCTATCGAGCTTGATTTCAAAGACTGCCGAGGAGAGGACAAAGTTCTCTAGTGATTTGGATTTTAGCTTATAGGGAGTGAGGGATTTCAAATCCACTTGCGTTCTTGGCACACCAATGAAGTGCTTTGGGATCTGCGGCCTGGTATCTAGAATATTTGAAAGGACATGTGAGCTATCAAATTTCTGAGATGAAGGTGACGTTGGCGAGTTATAATAGTGCTCCGCTGTTTCCGTCGTGTTGGCGTTCGTGGTATCAACTGTGATTAAGTCTGTTCCAAGACACGACATGGAAGTGCCGGACGACGATTTTGTGTCTTCAAAGGTAGCCGATGATACCTCACATACCGGGGTATAGGGCGGTGTTTGAGACATGGCTCTTTTAGACACATGTAATGAATACGAGCAAACGTTTGCGGCTTTTGCTTGTAATTAGAAAAATGCGTAGTTTGCAATAGATTCCTTCAAATGCGGAGCTCAACTGCTCTTTCAATTTGAGACTTCAAAATATAAGCAACTAAAGGGGTTTCCTTGTCAGAATTTTTTGTAGCGAATCCAAATTCGGATATTTACACTGCCAGGAAGAGAAGATTATCGTACCGCCTAATGAGCGCGACTTCTAGGGGAAAAAATTAATCAAGGCTGTGTAGAAACGGATACTGAAAAAAGATCGGTTGATTTTTTGAGACCTTTAAAATCCTTTTAATTTATAATCAATAATTTAGTTTCTGATGTCGTTGTGTCGAAGTCAGTTTTTCTTTGTGAAGAACACTTCTTTGCTTAGTGTGGGTCTCAAGGGAAGCTCAGGCAAGCAACTGTCGCGGCTCTTGTGCAAAAGTCAGCCTAAACCGAAGATGAGTGTATTGGGGTCAAGCTTGTTCAAGACGTCTCCTCCTTCCATTGCATCAAAGATTTACGGTATGAAGCACACTAATAACCAATCTCTGTTCAACCAAAAGAGACAATTCAGCACGACAAAGGCCATTTTTGAAGAGGCTAAAGTGGTCAAAAAATCCAGATGGCCTGCGAATTCTAATATAAAGCTGGGATACTTGTGTATTGGAACTTCGGTTCTGGTTTTTGCAATTGTTATTCTTGGAGGACTTACTAGACTGACCGAATCCGGCTTATCCATCACTGAATGGAAGCCGGTGACAGGTGCCATCCCTCCAATGTCGCACGAGGACTGGGAAGAAGAGTTTCGCAAATATCAAGACTCTCCTGAATTCAAATTGCTGAACTCGCACATTACGCTAGAGGAGTTCAAATTCATCTTCTTAATGGAGTGGTCTCACCGGTTGTTAGGGAGAATCATCGGGGCGGTTTTTGTTCTTCCAACTCTCTATTTCATAGCCCGCAGACAAGTTTCACCGCCGGTTGCGTTTAAACTTCTGGGCATTTGTGCTCTAATCGGCCTTCAAGGTGCTATAGGATGGTGGATGGTGTATTCCGGAATTGATGAGAAACTTCTTGAGGAGCGCAGATCTAAACCAACCGTCTCGCAATACAGACTCACCGCCCATTTAGCTGCTGCATTTTTAGTGTATTGCACTATGATCTCTACAGGGTTTGGAATTTTGAGAGACCATGCCATCATTAAAGACCCACAAACTTACCTTGAAATTTTTCAAAAGATTCAGTCACCGTCGCTCAAATTGTTTCGCCGCCTGAGTAAAGGATTGCTCGGTTTGGTGTTCTTAACAGCCATGTCGGGAGCCATGGTCGCCGGATTGGATGCAGGTCTGATCTACAATACATTCCCTCACATGGGGGACGACTACCTCCCATCGATGAATGAGCTTATGTCACCAGTGTTTTCGAGACTTGCTGACCAGTCTGATTTGTTCTGGAGAAACATGTTTGAAAACCCAGCTACAGTGCAATTAAATCACCGTATACTCGCCATCACTACTTTTTGCTCTGTGTTTGCTCTTCACATGTACTCTCACAGAATCAAATCAATTATCCCAAGGCATGCCTACAAATGGCTCAACATTTCAATGGGCCTAGCTTCTCTACAAGTTGCATTGGGAATCTGTACGCTATTATGGTTAGTTCCAACCGAGCTCGCAGCAGCGCACCAAGGAGGTGCCTTGGCCCTTCTTACCGGTATCCTGATGACCGTGTGCCACTTGAAGAAGCCATCTAGAACAAACCTAATGTTGCTGAAGAACTCTTTCTATAAGGCGAAGATCAGCAGTGCTGTTCTGAGATAAATTTGTATATATCATGCTGTTGGAACTTGTACATACGATCCATTTCTGTCATTTTTGATATTGGCCTCAGCCGAAAAATTGGTTTATAAAATCCAACTTCGAAAAGATTGTGCGATATACACAAAAGATTAAAGAATGCTATTTTTCTCATTCTTCAAGACCCTGGTGGACCAGGAGGTAAGTTACGCCTGGTAGAAGCTAGAGAAACTAACAACTAGATTACTGTTGAGGTAGGTGGGACAATTTCCGCTACTAACATTTAGCTCAAAAACGACGTTGAAATAAAAGGTACTCTCAAATCCATTGATCAGTACCTCAATTTAAAGCTGGACAACATTTCCGCCAACACAACAAAATACCCTCATCTAATAGCAGTTCGCAATTTGTTCATCAGAGGCTCCAACATCAGATACATCCACATAAATCCAAGTTTGGTTGATACCAACCTTTTGCAAGATGCCAGTAGAAGAGAGGCCATGGCTAGTGCAGGTGACAAAATTGGAGGAAAATGAAGGGTGCGGATAGAGACAGATAAGTGCTAAAAGACGGATTTACCGTTATCATTTATGTACATTATTAACCGGATTTTCCATACAAGATCTCAGGACATTGCGCTCTCTTATGTCCATGTTTCATACAGTAGGAGCAGGTCATTTTTTTGTTTTTGCTTGGAGCCACTGTTATCCTCTTTGATATCACATTTTGCCTTGCAGGCATATCGCACTGATTATGTTTTGAAGTCTGTAGTTTGACCTTGTTCGGCAGGAGAATATAGTCTGTTTGTTTCGTTTCATCATACAGCAAAGCCTTGCAATCTGGGCAGCGAAATTCCTTAATTTTGACCACCTCCTCAGCAACGTTTTGTCCGTCCTGGATGATTTCAAGATTTTTTAGCTTCTCCAGATATCGATCCAGCTCGCCTATTTTTTCGTTGTACGCTGTCTTTAGCTGGTCGAGCTCCTGCTCCTTGTGTGCTATTTTTTCTGCAAGTGCTCTTATTGCTTCATTTACCGTTGCTAGCTGATCCACCTGATTATTCATATGATAGCCCAAAAATTAAGTATTTCATAATATATTTTCTTCACATGAATGTCAACCTAAATTCCAAACAAGCTCGAACGCTCAATATATACGAATCCAGTGCGGGATACTATACAACAGGAAGGTCACTTAAATATAAGCTGAACGATGCTGACGCGCTGGTAGATCTTGATGGATTGCCTCGTTTGAAAGACGGTGTTGATAAGGAAAGATACAAAACTCCGGTGGGTTATATTTCCAAAGGGCGAGCCATTGCTCCAGACGAGCTATTGCATGGTGTCTTCAACGTAAGCCCCCATGATCTGAAGTATTTGACGCGAGAGGAAATTAAGGGGCATACTGGTGTTGACCTTCCATCGTCCGAGTTATTGAAATCTCTGCATTACTATTTTGCTGAACGTATCCAGAACGACCGAACCATCCCCGATAGCCAGAAGAACACGCTTTTCACGCGCTTTTGTGACGGTTCTGCTTTGCTGGCGATGGGTGTTTTGGTTGAAAAATGGATTGACGACCTCGTTGGACGCCAAAAGGAGACCCACAAGCACTTCATGGAGCTAGACGAGGTGGAAGATCTGACAGATGTTTTGAAGCGGAAAAGACGTTTGGACTATTATCGAAGGAAGAGACTGAGGAGACATCCTGATCCCGATCTAAGTCGATCGACGTGAGCGACCTCTGGGCCTAAAATTTTTATGGAAAAAATATTTCAAAGGGCTCGTCTTTACAGTACGATAATGGCTAAAAGAAAGGGCAATAAGAACGGTAATGAGACCAGAAAGCGCGAGAATAGAGGTTATTGGAAGGAGATAGAGCGTGAGAATGATCAATGGGAGAGATATTATAGGGCTCAGGGCCTGATCCCAGAGGAAGAGTTTGACCAGTTCAAAACGACCTGTCAGCAGGATCTACCACTAACTTTTCGAATCACTGGTTTCAAGAAACATGCAAACGAAATCTCAGAACTTTTCACGACTAAACATATGCCAACTCTGACCAATGCAAATGATGCGAACTCCAAGCCCCCATTCCCATTTCCTTGGTACCCTGGAAAGCTGGGTTTCCAAATAGACTTGCCTAAATCTGTGGTGAAAAAAAACCCATTGTATGCATCAACTCAGAAGTTCCTTGTGGTGGAAACGGAGGTCGGCAACATCTCCAGACAGGAGGCCGTCTCGATGATTCCTCCACTATTTTTGGAGGTACAGCCTCACCATTATGTGTTGGACATGTGTGCAGCTCCTGGTTCCAAGACTGCTCAACTAATTGAAGCTCTGCATAGCGAAGGAGTTCACGTGCCTGGATTTATTGTTGCAAACGATTCGGACTACAAAAGGTCTCACATGCTTGTTCATCAAGTGAAGCGTCTCAACTCCCCAAATCTGGTGGTTGTCAACCACGATGCCCAGCTATTTCCCAAAATGAAGTTGAATCCAGAAGGCGACTATGTTAAATTTGACAGAATACTGTGTGATGTCCCTTGTACTGGAGATGGCACCATGAGAAAGAACTTGACTGTCTGGAAAGATTGGAGAATAGGAAATGCTTTGGGTCTGCACTCATTGCAACTCAATATTTTGATGAGAGGATTACAACTTCTTAAAAAAGGGGGTAGGCTTGTTTATTCGACCTGTTCCTTGAGTCCTATTGAGAATGAGGCTGTGGTTTCTGCTGCTTTGCGCAAATGGGGCGGAAAAGTGAAAACAGTGAACTGTGATAATATGCTGATAGGACTCAAAAGACGTCCCGGAGTGTCCGACTGGAAAGTGTTCGGCAAGGACTGGGAAGAGAAAAATAAAGAAGACAACGATGAAAGTCTTCCAAGCAGTGTTTTTCCGCCATCTGCAGAGGAGGCAAATGCATTCAACTTGCAGAACTGTATGAGAGTTTATCCGCATGATCAGAACACAGGGGGTTTCTTCATAACTGTTTTAGAAAAATTGAACCCAGATGAGGAGAAGAAGGACGAGGACGAAGAGCCCGCTGCCAAAAAGCCCAAGTTAGAGAGCGGCAGCGAGGGTGAGAAAAAGATTGAGCCTGTGAAGAAAGAAAGATTACCGAGGGACGCCAACGAAGAGCCATTTGTGTTTCTGGACAAGGACAATGAAGAGCTTAAAAAATGCTGGGATTTTTACGAGGTGAAGGACACTTTCCCAAAGGATAGCATGCTGGTCAGAAACGGCACTGGTGAGCCGCTGAGATCCATCTATTTTGCCTCTCCAATAGTGAAAAATATTATTCAAACGAACGAAGCGAAACTGAAACTGATTTATGCAGGAGTTAAAGTGTTTGTTTCGCAGAGAGCAGAATACTCCCAGCAGGCATGTCCTTGGAGAGTCCAATATGAGGCTATGCCTATTTTGAAGGACCATTTGGGAAGTAGTAGAACGTTTGAGATCAATCTAGACCTTCTGAAGATTCTTCTGAGCGAGACATTCCCTAATGTGAATAAGATCAGAGAGGACAAAGTGGATCCTGAATTTATTGAAAAAATCACCGACTTTCCTGAAGGATGCTTTTTCGTGAGAGTGAAAAGAGGTGAAGACAAGGAGGACATGTATTTGCCTCTCTGGAAAGGACGCTCCAATTTCAATTTGATGGTCAACAAGCACGAGACTCATGAGCTACTGTATAGATTATTTGGGGTTGAAAATTAATAGGGACTCAAAAGTAGAGTTTAGCTTTTAGGTTGCACATGCTTCTATTTTTTACGTCTTGTGCCGCATTTTTTTAGAGTATTTTATAATAATCATCTAGCTTGTTCCACATATACTAACACCCTAATGATAGCAAGCAGGTCAGCCCAAGTGCCCTACTCTAACTTCAAGAAGCTAGGGCTTGGTGCTGCTACTTCTGGATCACTATACTACATATCACCGCAGTTTGTGGAAACGGCGTTCTCCAAGATGTTCTCTAAGGCAACGTTCTTCAATATATGCGTGCTTCTTTTTATTTATTACTCACGTACAAGATATCAAACGTCCGCGGTCGTAAACGTCGCCAAGCTTACGATTCAAAGCATGAGGAGATGTATAAGAATGCGCCAATTTCAGTCAATGTTGGTGAGGCTGCCAACTTTTGATTACAGGGCCGCGAAATTCGTGGATAACAAATGCCTCATTTGTTTGGAGGACTTGGCAACGCAGGACACAGTGTTATTGGCCTGTCGGCACGTGTTTCATCAGGAATGTTTCGGAACGTGGTATAATCTCAGCGACAGTTGTCCGTACTGTCGCAGAAGGGTTCGCTAATAAATCATATGCTAGACGATAAATTTTGCTTTCGATTATGACGATAAAAGCCAAAGCAATAAGTCCGAGTCCAAAATCCTGACCGAACTGAATGGCAGTGACCGTATCTCCTGCAACAATTTTGTTTTGAATGGCGACTATGACAGCGCAAAATGCCCAGAAGTAGAGGAATTTTGTGTAATTTTGGTCTTTGAAGTTGAGGAACGGTTTGACTTCGAAAGCGCAAAATAAAATCCGAATGAGCATGTTGATAGAGTTCGCCAAAATCAACCCTACAAGCCCAAGCTGCAAGCGTTTGATAAAGAAAGCAGACGTCAGATAGAAACACGCGGAATTGACGAACATTAGGCGCGAGTACAGACTCACGTGATCTGGATCTGTATAGACAGAGTTGAACAGCGCTTCGAGTACGCCATTCATGGATAGTAGAGGAAGGTAATACCAGTAGATCTTGAAAACTTCGACAAACTTTTCTGGATCCGCTATGTTTGGAAATGCTTGATGAATGAAGAATGAAGTATTTCGGGGTGCAAAGATGAGTAGCAGAGTCAATATGTATATGTAAACGGTTACCACTTTGTAAATGTTGCGGTTGAGGTTTGCCCGCTTACATGTTTCTGGCTGATTCGAAGCGAAAAGCTTTGCTGTATTCATTCTGATGGTTTCCTCAACTGGTTGGAACAACAAGCGCGCCATTAAAGACCCATAGTTGAGCACGATAGAGTAGTATCCCTGATCGACGATAGGAAAGAATTGATTAAGCACAAACCTGTCTCCCTCGGTGAGGAAGTGCTTAAATATTTGCTGAAGAAAAAGCGAGCGCAGATAATTCCATGTCAATGGTTCGAGGAAGGCTCCTGTAGATGAGAGACGAGGTAAAGCGAGCCTAAATCTCGAATAACACACAAAAACGGTGAGCGAGTAAAAGAATTGTGCCAGGATGTAAGCAACCACAAAAGTGGCGTCTTTGCCTGCTTTCATGCGAACGTTCATCACGATGGTGAACTGAACCACGCATTTGACAAACGAGGCAAAACTCTCAATCTTCGCTCTTTTCGTGACATTCAATTGTGTTTGGTTGGCATTATAGTAAGGCTCACTGAGGATCTCCAGCACCAGCGACGCTATGATAGCGACTAGACAGACCTGATAGTGCCAGGAGCTCAGAAATAGGCTGCCGAAACCCAATTGCCAGTGGACAAAAGGGCCAGCAATAATGGCACAGAAAACCAACGGCAAGTAGGAAAAGTTCACCAAAAGCTGATCGTATTCCTTTAGTTCGGTATTCATAGCCTGCACAGATAGTCGGACAGGCTCTCTGCTGATAAAAAGCACAGTGTTGATCACAAATTCGATCAGGCTGCAAAGTCCGAGACCTGTCGGTGTGACATGTTGAATCAACATTTGGTTCATTGCAAATGTCATGAACTTAATTGTGGTCTGTCCCGCAATTAGGATACAGGCTGCACGGGTCAAGTCAAAACCGGCAGCAGAATCTCCCTTCTTCGAAGACCGCACATTGTTTGAGATCTCAGGATTGGTCCTAGTATTCATAGCGGGCCTGTTCAACTAAGATGTTAGTAACCATCAAAGGTTTCCAAATTGGGCACGGTGGCGGAAAAAGCTATTCCCGTTGAGTTTGAACCAGATCAAGTTTGTGTTTATCTGTTCACATTTTTTTTTCCACTAGGAGCCCCATGTTTTGCTTGCACAGCCGGAAAAAATAGTTAACAATACAACAAGGATAAAGAGAAATATATATGGCAGCTGGAGATGATCTCCCTAGATTACAAACAGACCCTTAAAAGCCTCCCTGGTAGCGATACAGAACATTTTCTCCATGATGGCCGTTCGCTAAAGACGCCAGCTCCTCGCTCTCAGATACTGCTTCAGGCACATTGTCGTTCAAGTTCAAAGACAGAGTGGCGTCGTCTGTGGTTGCAATGACCTTCTCCGTACCTTCGAGCTTGGCATGATCACTGTGTTTGGCAACGCCGGAAGAACCGATTTCTGCCGACCGAGCATTTTTCAGCGGTGAAACTCCCATGTCATCGTCATCTTCGTGCGTGTTATGGTACTGCGGGTTATGAGGGTAGTGTGAATGATCTCCGTAGTCCTGCTCATATAGTTGCTGCATATATTCATTTTCCTCGAACTGCGATTTCTGTTGTTCTTTGCTCTCTGAGTCGTCAACGGGGTACTCGAGAAAGTCGTCCTCATCTTTTTTGATGATGTTGTCGCCATCGTCTTCCGCGTCGTCGTCCTGCTCAGCCACCTCAGCCATCGAACCGTTTTTCTTGCTCACTTTCTTCCTTTTGATTTCTCCACGTTCCTGTTTGAGCGCTTGCTGTTCTCTATACTTTGCCAGATATATTTTGAGGACTTCGCTGTAGTTTTCAAAGCCTAGATTGGTCATCGAATACAGGATATCCTCTCCATTGATGGTCTTGCGTTTTTCCATCAAACACTTGTCGCTCGCCTCGCTGGTGATGAAAGAGATGAATTCCGAGACACACTCCTGCATACACTCTTTTGCATCTTTCGACACCTTGGCCGTGGTCGGCAACGTGTTCTTCATTAATCGCGCAACGTTAGCAATCGGAAGCCATCTGTCTTGCTCGCGAAGCTCGAAATCTTGCGACGACATGATGTGGGGTGGAAATCTCTGGAGAAATACTTTCTGAACGATTTTTTATCAGTTAGGGCCTGTCGCGTCGATCGGCGTGCTCTGTTGAAAAAAGCGCAATATTTTGATAAACGGTGTATATGTCTGACAACGAGAGCAACAGCGATGTCGAGGAGGTGAAAGAGGTTTCACCGCCTGCTACCAACCGTCAGATGAGCGCAGATGAAATGCAGCGACTTGCTGAGGAACGTACCAAGATAAGAGCACAACTGCGCGCCTTCTCACAGGCCAATCAGTCCCATCCCCAGGAGGCGCGGCCACAAGCTGTTGACGAGGATGGCGTGCCACTGGACATGAAAAAAGGCATGGAATATTTGCAGGAGCCCCTAGAGGAGTACAAGGAGGTGGAATTGGCAGAGAAACTGCTCAAGAGGAAACGCCAGGAAGACGAAGGAATTCGGGGCGAAAGCGACGGCGAGGACTTTGAGGACCTACTAGACATGTTTGGAATCGATGCTGAGGAAATATCTATTAACATGGTCCTAAACCAACGACAACAGCTACTGCTGGAGAATATGGATGCCGAGCAGATAAATCGATATGAATATTTTAGAAGAACCAACCTGAACACAGGAGGCATCAAAAAACTAGTCAACATGGCCATTGGCTACAATGTGGGAACGGATTTCGCGAAGATACTGGCTGGTGTCGGGAAAGTGTTTGTCGGAGAGGTTGTCGAGAAGGCAAAGGAAGTGCAGAAACGACAGAACCGCGCTCGTGTCGAGGAACAACTGGAGTACAAGCGCAAATTGAAGCGATACGAGATCGAGGTCGCAGAGCTTGAGAACGAGATCAAGAGACGTAAACTGAACAAGGAAAGCGCTGACGACCTGCCTGATGTGGCCGATATTCCCCGTCCCGACGGCCCGGCTGCCACGTTCAACAGCTACAGAGTTAATATTCCCGACGATAGAGACCAGCTTACACCAGACCACATTCGCGAGGCATGGCGTCTCCTGATAGAAGAAAATCACACGGTTTTGCAGCCGCGATGGAGAAAGCAGGGCGGTGGAGACGGATGGTTATTCCGCTAGGATTGTGTCTTAGTTTAAGTTTCGGGAATAATAAAATTACGAGCTACCGTTTTTAATTCACACACAGTTAAAACTAGAAAAGGGAAGAGAGTTAACTAATTAAAGTCACCCTCAATGGAAAAACACACACACACACACATACACGTCTTTCGGTGGGGAATAAATGGCACGTGACTGGAACGATATCAGCCGTCTCTAAACACACACACAAATTAGAGACAGGCGTTATCGTTTAGACACCGAGCCACCTAGTGAGAAATAGTAATCTCCCGGGTAGTTCCTTCTTTGGAAAGGCCATCATTGACACTAGAGCCAGCAGCCTCAGCAGCTTCTTCTTCCTCCTCCTCTGCCGCCAGGAAGGCCCTATCGTCAAGATTAAGGTCAGCAAGCACTCTTTTTTCAATGTCTGGAATATCAGCCATACCGTACCAGAAAATGACAATACAACCCAAAACACCACTGACACAGGAGAAGACCAGGGCCACAATACCTCTGGCAGTGAATCCAGCCGGAAGATCTTTAACCTGGACGTTCTGACCTGTCAGGTCGAAGAAGTCGTTGTCGTTGCCAGCAGCATTACCGGTGTAAGACATGTTGACGTTTTGGCAGACTTGCTTCCAGTTTTCGGTCAGAGTCTCGTTGGCCTGGATTCCAAGAGGATCCTCAATCAAAGTGAGAGCCAGACCTTGGATCAAGTGCCATTCGATGTGGCAGTGGAAATACCAGACACCCGGGTTGTTGGCCTTGAATCTGATCACGAAGTAAGAGTTTGGATTCACGTAGAGCACGTCTCTTTCCATTGGGTGCTCAGGCGGAGTGTACGGAGCAGACTCGTTGTAAGCCTGAGGCGCGTCGTCCGGGAACTCTGGACCTCTCTCGATAACTTGGAACACGTGACCGTGCAAGTGGAACGGATGCTTACCGGTATCCTGGTTGTTGAGCACGATTTCGACGATTTCGTCCTTTTGCAAAACGAATGCGTTGGTGTTCGTACCGTAGACATACGCATTAGTAGCGTTCTCACCGGCAGACATGACACTACCGAGAGTTGGGACCTTTGGAGCAGTGTAGGTGATGTTGTTGAAGAAAGCATAGTTGATACCATTGTTCAAATTGTTCATTATAACGTCGATGGTGATCTGGTAATCGTAGCTCTCGTACAACTCTTCTTTCACCAATGGAACCAGGTAGAAGTCATCAAGGAAGTCATCGATCGAGTCGACAATGTATTGGTCTGGCAGATCCGCATTATCGTCATAGACAATATAATTGGTAGCGTTCAGCACCAGATCGTCAGGAACAACGTCGAGCATCGTCGAGTCGAACATCTGCATGAAGGCATAGTTCTCGGACGTGTCATTCTTGGTTGTGATCAGAACATCGTAACGCTGAGCGACAGTGATGTAGATCATATTGGTCTCGTTCGGCTCCACATAGACACCATCGACTGCCACGACAGTGAACGTGTGGTCCTGCATGTACAGGTACTGAGACACAAAGCCACCGATGTTGATCAGACGAACATAGTATGTCTTGTTAGGTTCCACTTTCCAGGTGTTATTTCTGGTGTTATTCATGAGCAGATTCTGAGGAATTGGCTCTGCACCAGTTGGATTGTAGACGCTCAAGAAGTCGGGAATCATAGTGCTAACGAGATCGTGGTACCACTCAGAGACAGTGAGTATGACTTCCTCGTCGTAGTCGTATGGCATATCAGGGTCCTCAATGATAAAAGCACCTCTCATACCGTCCATATACTGACCTTCCGTGTGAGAGTGGTACCAGTAAGAACCAACCTGGTCAGGAACCGTAAAGTTGTACAACATAGTGTCACCAGGAGCAATCGGACACTGGCTGACCAGCGGCGGACCGTCCATCTGAGTCGACCCGTGCTGGAACAAACCGTGGAAGTGAAGAGTAGTATTAGCATCGTCAAAACCATTGGTCAAATAGACCTCGACCCGGTCGCCCTTCTGGACTCTGATATCAGGCCATGGAAATTGGCCGTTACAGGTAATCACTGGCCTTTCGTGGGTGCCGTCTGGGTTGGCAGTGCCCCAGCCGGTGGTCCAGTTAAAAACATGAGTTTGGGCCAGAGCTGCTGCTGCAAAAAAGCCTGAAGAAAGAATTGACAATCTCATTCTCCCCAGAACGAAATTAGTATATGTGTGATGGAGAAGTAGTCTAGGATATTACAAACTACTTATAAGGGTTTTTCAGGTGCTCTTAGCTGGACGCTATTGGCTAAACTGAAATGCATTCACTGATTTTTTTGATAATATGCAGCTCTGCGTGTGGCGGTGAACAATTTTACGGACAACCAATAGAAAGACAAATCTTGATTTGGACTACCTTGTCTTCGTAGAGAGCCTAGTGGAGACCCAAATGCTTTTCTCCTTTTTTGAGAGCACATTTAGCTTTCCTTATGCGCAATTAGAACGGTACCTGTCTTAGTGCAAAATTTGCTCAGATATCGTTAATGGTGCTTTGGCCGAATTTTCTTGGTATTTTTTTGACGAGAGGTGAAAAAAGACCTCAGCCACATTGTATGTAAACGGATGCCAAGCACATTGTTTTCCTCCCTTTTCCTCTCTCAACCTCCCGATAACTCCATGGACAATGCACAAAAAAGTAATTGCTTATTGTTGTAGAAGGGACGCAAAAGTCCTGTACCAAAATAATATGCGTTTCCGAATTGGAAGAATAGCAGACAGGAAAACCTAAATTCGTGAAAAAAAAAACGGTGCGCTCCTCATCAGGGGCTCGAACCCTGGACATTTCGGTCGACTTCCGAATTGGAATCCTTAAAAGCCGAACGCTCTACCAACTGAGCTAATAAGGATGGAACACACCTGCCTTTTCGAACATTTTATTATCTCGAGGTATTGACCACTGAATTAGTCGATCGACTCAACGCGCTCGTTTTTTTGACCGTGTTTAAACACTCTTTCTATCTTGCCGTCTCTGATGAACATAGTGGACGCTCGGTCTCGCCTGGAATCCGACGGCGGCAAGAATATGAACACCCCCACCGAAATATTCAGGTCGTTCCGGCTCAAGGACAAAGCTCGTTGCGCTCCTCAAACTGACGCACGGGAATCGCAAGAAAAACCTCAAAACATCCAAGACGGCGCCTTGGAGACAGCAAATCCTAGTGTTTCCATAACCTCAATTTTAATGCCGTCACGCAATAAGTGTCCGCCGCAACTACAACAAGAGCACAGAGCCATAGATCCCCATAATGTTGTGCTGAAACTTCCCAAACGGCCAAAAGTGTCTGGTGGCTCGTTGCTGCAAAATGGCAGGTTTACAATTCAGTCCCCCCGTGTGAGGCCCGAAACGTTCAACGTGACCTTGAAAATGGACTCAGAGAAACTTCGTACCGCTCTGCATGCGAAACAAGTGCATGTCGTAGATCTCGAACAGGAAGAAGCTATCATAAAGCATGAAAAACCGCAATTCATGAACTCGTTTTTTCGTGATGTTTGCGAAGGCGCGAAACGAGCGGACTCGGTTGAATTGATAAGAAAAGACAAACCTAAAAGCATGGACGTTCCCGTCCTCGGAAAACTGGATTTTATGATTTATGACAAATATGACATACCTCAGCATGCTTATCTGCGGCTACAACATAGAAAAAGAGAACAGAGCACGGCACATGAGCTTTCATTTTCACAAGAGGAGCACGCAAAGCTAATGAAATGTTTCATCAAGAAGAGCCAGGCAAGAAGCTCTCAATATACATATAGGCATCTTCACGAGACAATGGAAGACGTTGTGCGTCACAAATACCAAACGGTGCAATGCGCGCCCTTTAACAGACTATGCGTAGACCAGTTTTGCGACGCCAGTGCTCAGTGGTGCGATCTGTTCAGGCCATCTCACTATCAGCATATTCTGCAACCTCAAACGTTGAATACCGACCTATATTTTTGGCTGAAAAATATGTTTGTGAAGCTACGCAGAGTCGATATAGAAAAACGAACCAAGCTGCTGCGCAAGAGACGCGTGCAAGCGGAAATGGATGATTTCCTTGTGGACGAAGCTTACGAATCCGGAAACGAGACCGAGGACGAGGTTTTCGTGCCGTGCTTGATAATAGAAGGTCCGACGGGGAGTGGGAAGACGTCTGCAGTTTATTCTATCGTAAAGGAGCAACTGCAGGGTCACGTCTTTGAGCTCAACTCCAGTCAGAACAGAGCTCGTAAGAGCATTAATTTCCATCTGAGGCAGATCGGCACCACTAAAAATGTGAAGAACGGCCAGGACTACGGTCTTATTTTATTTGACGACGTCGACCTGATTGACGACGAAGACGATAAGGATTTCTGGCAGGCAGTGACCGAGCTCCTGACCTACTCGTACCGGCCAGTCGTGCTCACAACGCAGGATCTGTCAAAAATACCGCCGAATATCGTGGACCAGAGCACGGTCTACCGTTTTATTCAACCAAACCACAGTGTACAGGCAGAGTATCTGGACTTGATAGGTCTCCGAATGGGCATGAAACTTGACGATAATATACTGCAGGAACTGTGTGGCTACGACCTACGTCACTCTCTGATGCAACTTCAGCTTCTGGGGAGCAGCTGTGATCGGAAGAGGGACGGCTTGGTGGAAATCAGGAAAGAAGACAGCCCAGAAGCTGCACCGTTGGCTTCGTTGCAACAGCTGGAGCACGACCTAGAAATGAGATACTGCACTGAGAGTTTAGGGCAGGCAGATCCTGCAGTCGGTGTTGCTGTTGCTCATCGACAGACGGTTGATTTCTACTCGTCCAAACTCTACCAAACCGGATCGAGATCTCGGGCTACGAAATATCTGGATGGAGAAGAGTATCTGGCGCAGAACCCAGGCTGTGTTTTCAATCGCGTGAGCAGGAGCGTGTTTTCGGCGGAGGTCCAGCCGTTCATCAAGGAAATGGCGCGCGGAGAGATGGTGCGCATCCAGCTCGGGGGCAGAAGACTATTTGATCTGAACCCGGTCGACTACTTTGATAAGCTCTTCTGAGGCGTCGATCGACGCAAGATCTGTAAAAAAATGGAAAAATTTTCTCCAGATGACTAAAGAAGAACGCATAATTTATTATTGGATCAGGAACTAGGACGTTTGGCCCCATCATGTTAGTTTCAAGAGCCAGCATTCGCAATGGTGGGAAGCTGAGCCGTCATCTGGCGACCACGTTGGGCCAGATCAGGGCCCCAGCCGGGTTCGAGTCCAGAACTCCCCCATACGAAAAATTAATCGATAAGTTATTCAAGGTCAAACATATCCTGAACAACCAGCCGCTCACCTTGGCCGAGAAAATTCTGTACGCGCACCTGGTCGAGCCCGAAGAGCTTTCTGGATCGTCTTCGTCCAGAGACATCCGTGGAAACAAGTACTTGAAGCTGAACCCAGATAGAGTCGCCATGCAGGACGCTTCTGCTCAGATGGCTCTTCTGCAGTTCATGACCTGTGGAATGACTTCCACCGCCGTCCCTGCGTCCATCCACTGTGACCACTTGATTGTGGGCAAGGAGGGAGCCGACCTCGATCTCAAGTCCGCCATAGCTACGAACCAGGAAGTGTTCGACTTTTTACAGAGCTGTGGAGAAAAATACGGCATTCAGTTCTGGGGGCCAGGATCCGGTATCATCCACCAGATCGTGCTGGAGAACTTTTCTGTTCCCGGTCTGATGATGCTCGGAACCGACTCGCACACGCCGAATGCTGGTGGTTTGGGAGCCATTGCCATAGGTGTTGGAGGAGCCGACGCGGTGGACGCTCTGACGGGAACTCCATGGGAGCTGAAGGCACCCAAGGTGCTGGGTGTTAAGCTGACGGGAAAAATGAACGGTTGGACATCGCCAAAGGATGTCATCACCCATCTGGCCGGCATATTGACCGTCAGAGGAGGAACTGGCTACATTGTTGAATATTTCGGAGAAGGTGTCGAGAGCCTGAGCTGTACCGGTATGGCCACTATTTGCAACATGGGTGCTGAGATCGGAGCCACCACGTCGACCTTCCCAATGCAGGAGGCTCATGTTAGATATCTGCACGCCACGAACCGGGGCCCAATTGCAGACCTGGCCAAGTCTGTGAACCAGAACTACCAGTACATGACGGCCGATCCCGGCTGTGAATATGACCAGATAATCGAGATCGACCTTAGCACGCTGGAGCCTAGCGTAAACGGGCCGTTCACTCCAGATTTGTCCACGCCTATCTCAAAGCTCAAGGAGACCACCAAGGAGAACGAGTGGCCAGAGAACATTACTGCCGGTTTGATCGGCTCCTGCACGAACTCGTCGTACCAGGACATGTCGCGCGCTGCCTCGATCATCAGACAGGCCGCCAAGGCCGGCTTGAAGCCTAAGATTCCGTTCTTTGTGACGCCAGGGTCTGAGCAGATTCGTGCCACGATCGAGAGAGACGGTCTAATTAGCACGTTCGAGGAGAACGGCGCAATTGTGCTGGCCAACGCGTGCGGTCCTTGTATCGGCCAATGGGACAGGGGAGAGTCTGCTCCGAAGGATACGAATGTGATCTTCACCTCGTTCAACAGAAACTTCCGTGCGAGAAACGACGGCAACAGAAACACCATGAATTTCCTCACGTCGCCGGATATTGTCACGGCCATGATTTACTCGGGAGACATGAACTTCAACCCTATGAAGGACAGCATCCAGCTGGAGAACGGCGAGACATTCAAATTCGCTCCTCCTCACGGAGAAGAGCTCCCGTCCGAGGGATTTGTCGCTGGAAGAAAAGAGTTCTATCCTCCATTGGAGCCTAAGCCTAAGCCAGAGGTGGCCGTCAACGTCTCGCCCGAGTCCGACAGACTGCAGCTTTTGGAACCGTTTGAGCCGTGGGACGGCAAAGAACTGCAGACCAGAGTGCTAATCAAGGTCGAAGGCAAGTGCACGACCGATCACATCTCTGCCGCTGGCGTGTGGCTCAAGTACAAGGGTCATCTGGAGAATATTTCGTACAACACTTTGATCGGTGCCCAGAACAAGGAAACCGGCGAGGTGAACGTTGCGTATGACTTCGACGGCAAGCCGTTCGGCATCCCAGAGCTGATGATGAAGTGGAAGGCCGAGAACGTTCCGTGGTGCGTGGTTGCAGAGCACAACTACGGAGAAGGGTCTGCCAGAGAGCACGCTGCGCTGTCGCCGCGGTTCCTTGGAGGAAAGATCATTCTGGTCAAGTCGTTTGCGAGAATTCACGAGACCAACCTCAAGAAGCAGGGCATGCTGCCGTTGACGTTTGCCGACGAGAACGACTACGACAGAATCAGCTCGACCGACCTGCTCACTACCGTTGGCCTGCCTGATCTGGTCGCCAAGGGCGGTAACAACGGCGGCATTCTGAAGGTCAAGGTGACAAAGCGCAGCGGGGAGGAGTTTGTGATCGACTGCAAGCACACCATGAGCGAGGACCAGGTGGAGTTTTTCAAAGCGGGCTCTGCTATTAATTACATTGGTGAGCAGAAAAAGCTGAACTAAATAGAGGAAAGAAATAGAATGTATAAAGCTCGGTAAGGCTACTCGTCTCGCGGCTGGATCTCGCAGCTCAGCTTCCAGCTGCGATCGTTCTCCTTCATGTTGATCTGCTTCACCTTCCAGATCTCAAGCAAAATCAGCTCCTGCAAGCACGGCACACCGGCAATGTCGAACATGTCGTCGAAACTCTGCGACTCGTCCTGCAACTGCAGCCGCAGGTTTCTGATGGTGGCGCTTCTGATCAGATCGATTTTCTGATCCTTGTTGTACACTTTGCCCAGCTCTCCCGTGTCTCTGTATGGTATCTGCAGCGTCTGCAGATCAAGAATTATCTTGGTGATCTTGGTGTACTTGTCGACGTTGATCAGCTTCTGGTTCAGGAAGGATTTGGTGTTGTCTCTGTAATTTGGATTGCCGTCCACGATGAACGTCAGGTCCTGCAAAAATAGCGAAAGATACGGCACCGAGGGAATGTCGAGGTTTTCTTCGAGATTGGAAAGCAGAAAGTCGCGGATCTTGCCGCGGTACACGTTGTAGTTCTTGTCGGGATGGATAACCGACGCCAAATACTGAAACAGCTCCTTGTACTTGTCGGACAGATTGTCCCAGATCCGCGTGATCCGCGTGATCAGGAAGCTCTGCAGCGATGTCATGATCGACGCAAGCGAGTTGAAGTTCCGCAGGTACAGGCACGAGATTGCGATCTTGAGCCAGCACTTGACCGCGTGCACGCGCTGTTTCATGGTGAGTTTCGGCTGCAGGATGCTCTCGATAACATAATCACTCAACAGGTTAGTGAAGAGCACCGAGCGCTGGATGTTTGGCGAGAGGTTGAGGTGCAGCTTTTTGGACGTGAAATTCTGGTTGAGCAGCTCCTCGGCCTTGATGGAGCAGAACATCTTCGACTCGATCAGGGTCAGTTGTTTGGCGATCTCAAGCCCGTTGAAGTTGAGCAGCGCCAGGTCTTGGTTGAGGATCTTCCAGCTCTCCTGGGCGGTTTTCCACCACGATTCGAGCAGCGTCTGTGTGTCTAGCGGCACGAACTTGTCGAGCCGCATGTTCACGGGTTGCCAGTGCTCGCGAAGCATGTTTCTGTACGACAGAATGACTTTCTGGATCGACTCGAGCTGCTTGTCGCTGAGCAGCACCACGTTGGAGTCGGTGTTCTTGAGGTCGATCGCCAGGCCGAGGTTGATCGACTGGCGACTGCCTCTGGTGGCCGTTTTCTCCAGGTCGTAGGTGTCGAGGTCGTCCAGCAGCGAGTTGTATGTGTCGAGATCGTTCATGATGCCGGTAGGGTCCGAGAACGAAAACGTAGAGATATGCCTCGAGATGTGTTTGTGCTGCTGCTTTGGCGAGATTTTCCGCGGCACCAACTGCGAGTCGTTGTCGATGTTGTTGTAGTAGTTGAGTCTGTCCTTGATGGTTTCGACAGGCGGCATGCCGATGAGCTTCGACGCCGTCTCTATCAGGCGGAGCGCCTCCAGCGGCAGATACTCCTTGACGGCCTCGTTGAAGAAGTTCAGCAGCAGCGGCAGCAGGTTATAGTCTGTCCGGGGCTTCCAGTAGCTCTCGAGCCACAGCATAAACGTCTTACACACGAGCTGGCGTCTGTGCTTCATCTTGGACTCGAGCGATGAGTGCATGTGAAGGCTGCCGGCGCCGCTCTTCTTCTCGTTTTCGTTTATCCTGTTGTTCACGTCGAAACGCGCCACAAGCTCCTCCAAAAGCACCGAGCCGTGCGAGAAAATCCGGAACGTGAGGAAAAACGTCGACACGAAGAAGTACTCGGGCGGATTGTTCTCGTCGGTCAGCAGACACACGAGCGCGCGGAACGACGCGCCCAGGATCTCGTTGTCCGTGCCGCGAAGCACCTCGTCCTCGTGGCTCACATCACCGGCAGGCTCGTCCAGCAGCTGCTCGAACGTGCCGTCGTTCTGGATAAACGGCGAGCCATCTCCGGGAGTCACCTCTGCCAAAAAGTCAAGCCCATCTGCCGTGAGCTCCATGTTGGCTGCATCGCCTGCACGGAACATCGAAAACCGTTTCGACGCCCGCTTGTCGCCCCGCGCAGTCTTGTGCTGTTTCAGCTGTCTGGTAATCTCCTTGTCGGAAACGAGCCCCGCAGAGCAGATCTTGATGAACGATTTTGGCGACACGTTCATCTCGAGGAAGTCTGGGTACTCGCGGGTGTTTGGTAGCTCGAAGTCCTTTGTGGCCGCTAGGAACGTCTTGAGCACCTTGAACGACGTGCTCACCAGATAAACGAGCTGGCACGCCGTGTTGATCACGGCTCCGCCCTCCTTCGAGTAGAAGTACAGGTCTTTGGTTGGGGCGGTGCTGGACGACGTGGCGGTGCCCGAGCGCGCCAGCATCTGGGGATTTTTTGTCCCGCTGGTAGCAACATCCACCAGGGCACGCACGTTGTGGTTGAATTTTTCGAGCGTGGCAGTCAGCTCCGTGCTGTTGGTCTCAAGTAGTCTGAGCTGGTCGGCAGTAGAGAGATTGGAACGCGCAACAGCAGGCAGCCTGTAGCCAGGCGGGATGATGGTCTTGATCAGCGAGCCTATGAATTGCAGCTCGCGAACCTGCAAGTTGATCTGGTTCACAATGTTCTCCAGCAGCTGGCCGCCCTTAGCGTTGTGCTCAACAAGATCCAACCGCCCCGAAATGAGCGCAAAGTAGCCCATCAGATGGTTGTACAGCTCGTTCACGCGTGGCGCAGCATGTGGCGGCGCAGACAGGTAGCGCACGGGCACGAGGTGCGACGAGCTGATGAGCTGTTTGTCTCTGTTGACTAGGTCGTCGCTTTCGAGCCCCCACACGTCCAAAAACGTGATCGCCTTTTGCAGCACCTGATACGCAAGCAGCTGGAGATACTCGATTTTTTTCTCGTCCATGGTATTGAGGAAGTCTTCGGCCTTGTAGATCAGGTCCGACCAGTCGCGCAGCAGTTTCTTGCGCAGCCTGCGCACGATCGGCTTGCGTTGCACAATGTCGCTCGTCCGCGAGATGCAGTCTGTCTCCTTGAGTAGCGTTCTCACGCCCTGCGTGATGCCATTGATGTAGCGGATGTCGAAAGTGTATCCCTTGAACTCGTTCTTGATGTAGAGCGTCTTGTTCTGCGGGTTGAGCAGGAACATGCCGGCGTGGCGGAACAGTTTGCGCAGCGGCCGACGCGACGCAGCTAGTCTGGCATACTTGCTCAGATGCGGCTCGTCCTCGAGGTCTTCGGAGAGAGTGGCCCGGAAATAATTCATCGGCACCCAGCCGCGCTTCAGCGTGTTGAGCAGCGTCACCTCGCCCCAGCCAGAATCGTCGAGCGAGTACGTAAAGGCAATGTCGTTCTCGTTGAACGAGAGACATATCGACGCGTCGTTTTTCGACTCCAGCGTGCTGGCGTCGAACGGATGCAGTGCCGTCACAAACAGCGCTGATGCGTCGTCCTCGTCTGCGTCGTCGTCCAACACCGATGCTGCGTCCGTGCTGAGCTCGTGCAGCTGGTGCGAAGACTCCATATTTGCAAGGTCTCTGTTGCTCGACACGGCCGATTTCTTGCTGTACGTATTCTGGTACAGCGACTGCTGTCTCACAGAGACGCGCGTTTTCTTAGGTGTAGACGAGAATTCGGGCATCTGGGCCATTTTGTCGGGCTCCTCCTCGGCAGCAGTTGCGGGAGGCGCGCGTGCCGGCTCGTACACACTCGACGACGTGCTCTCACGAGGAACGGTGGCTTTTTTCGCGAACGGGGCCACGGGAGCAGCAGAGTCGGCTGGGTCTGCCGGCTCTGGGGTTGCGCGCAAAGACGACCTCTCGGGAATGACAGGCTCCGCTGAAGATTCGGGAATTGCTGCCAGATGTTTTGCGGCAGGTCCAACATTCGACTCTGGCGCCTCAGAATAGATGCTCGACGAGTAGCTCTGGTGCTTGGGGACCTCAGAGTATTTTGCATGGCGCAACGGCATCTGTAGCAACCGCTCAGTGCGCTGGTCTGCAACTGAGGTCCAGGTTTCGCCGTCCTCCTCTTCCTCCTCCAGAATCGGAGTCTCCGTCAGTGGAGAGCCAGCTCTGCGGAAACTTGAGAGTCTGACGTCAGAAGAACTCAGAGGATTCGTAAACCGCTTAGCATCCTCGCTGCTCGGCGTCTTGTCTTCGTCTGTAAACGCAAACGACGACACCACAGGCGTTTTGTCCTGGTCAACCACCGGAGACGTGTATCCTTCCTTGTCGAGATCGACAAAGTTACTCTCCGACACAGACGAGTCGTCCTCGCTGTGCGACGTGCTCGTGCTGTTATTGGACACGTCCATTGTGCTGTTGAGAAACTCATTTGTCTGGATGGTGTTGGAGGTTTGGTCATACTGCTCGTCCGCCCCAGGCTTGTGTGTGATTCCCAGCGACTCCGATAGAACATTGCCCAAAATCGGGACCTTGCCAAACGCGCTCAGTTGATCGCCTTCCTTGGATTCAGGAGCGTGGGGAATAGGACTCGAGAGATGGCCCTGTCCGTCAAGTTCCCCCTGAAACGGGCTCACGGCACAATCTTTCACGCTGCCGGGCGAGCTACCGGCAGACCCCACATACTCGTTAAAATCGGGCTCCTTCTTGTCATCCTCGTCCACCCAGGTACCTGGCATCGGCGATAGCTGTTCTAAAAGATAACTAAAGTCTTGTCTGTCCTTGGGCGTCTCGGACGCCTCGCTCTTCAACGGCGGAGCCGTGCTCTGCCGGCCAAGCTTTAGTGGCGACGTCGCCTTGGTGTCTGGACTGTCAAAATTCTGGTTGTTGTCGGTCATTGGCGTCAAGACAATATCTATGGGATAGGTTAGTGGCCTGCCGTCGCGTCGCTAAAATTTAGTACTTACTTTTGTTCACGGGACGCGCCTCAAACGTGAACCGAAGATCATCGTTTTCGTCGTTTTCGTCGTTTGGCGAGATGACCGACATCTCAAACGCGTAATATTGTCAATTGTCCAAGCAAGCGTATTCAAGGCTCTGAAAATTCACACGATTCGCGTTTTTTTTTTTTAAATGTAGCTACAATTCGTTATATTACGTAACTAGTAGGGCTCGAGCAGCTGGCACACACGAGCGCCCAGCTCAGCACAGTCGGCCGCAGAGGCAGCTTCCGAGTACACTCGCACGGCGTTTTCTGTGCCGCTCGCCCTCACAAACGAACGGCCTCGCGTATATGCAGCCACCAAGGCGTCGATCTTGGCCTGCAGACCAGCCGGCTCCACGAGCCTTCTCTCTGCGTCGGCGGTCTTGAAAGCAAACCGGTCCTTCACAAGAACCTTGAAGAGCTTGTTCGGGAGCTCTATGTAGTCCCTGCCCCAGTCGACACAGGTTTTGTTCTGGATCCTCAGGGCGAGTAGAACAGCAAAGAGGTCGGATATGGAGTCGCCGACTGTCTGATTGATGAGCTCAGTGAGCAGGAGCAGCGTTTTGAGAGCCCGCTCCTCTTCTGGAGAGCTTGGTTGCTTATTTTTGAGCGATTTTATGAGGTTGTCCGAGAAAAGAACTGTGCCGTGTCCGTTGGCCTCAAAGTAGACTCCTATGTCGTACTCCTGGGCCTTGTGATGAAGATGCTTCACTCCCGTCGGGGTAAAGTCAACAGGAATTTGAAGTGTCTCCTGGACATATTTAGTGGAATTTCCGTTGGCGTATGCTGTTTGTATTATTCCCATTTTAGCTTGAACCTTGGCTTGCTGAAGCAGTTTGTCGATGAAGCTTGCCAGGAGTGTGGCAATGCGGTCTCCGTCCAAAAGGTGAAAAAGTGATCCATCCGTGTAGTAGAAAACCACTCTGTCGGCGTCGCCATCAAAAGACGAGTACAGCTGGCGGTCTCTTGGTCGCACGTTAGCAGGCAGTTTCTGGTTTGTCTTGACGTAGTCTGCGCCACACTCAACGTTCAGTACGCTTTTATCCTGCGTGCTGTCATTCACAACGGTGATCTTGATAGGATCTCTGCTCAAGTTGTGCAGCTTCGGTGCACCGACTCCGTTCGCAGCATCCACGGTGATTTCCAGTGGGTCTTGAATGTTCCACAGGCGCAAGATCTCTGCAACCGCACCGACTGTCTTTTTATTGTATCCATCCTCAGAAGGCTCTCCAAAGGCCGGGTCATTGTGCGATCTGACCAAATAGTGCAGCTGAGGAGTAGTGAGCTCCCCAAAGCTTTTGGCTCGTCCAAACACCTCAATGCCGTCAACGGCAGCCCTGAGCAGTTGCGGGCTCGTTTCCCGCGTGTCCATGCCTACAACCACGAGTCCGGCCTGCTCAACGTCAATATTCTCTCCTGCGACAAGGTCCCGAACGTCGTCCTCGAAATTGTCGCTGTTGGCCAGCTGGGTGGCATAGGGCTCCCACGTCTGCGGCAGCATTTCTCCTAGCGGGTCCACAACCTTGACTCCGTTATCTTGGGGCGGGTTATGCGACGCAGTGATCATGACGCCGATCGTTTTACCTCCCAGCTTTGCGGATCGCAGAGACGCCAGCACACCCACCCTGAACACTGTTGAGTCCAGCAGAGATCCAAGAGTGCGGAAACCGGCTGTCCCATACGTGAAAGTGGTCTTTGACGGTTTTTGATGGCGCGCTCTGGCAGCAGACAGCGTGTCTGTCGACATGTAAACAGAGAAATAAAATAAATTTATATTAGATTTCATTAGGTAATTTGGTCCAAAATAATTCCACACCTAATGGCTCCGTCGTTGCCTGTCTATTCCAGAGAGGAGCTACGTGACCACTACTTGCACCTGTTTCCGGAGCGAATAGTGGACGAAAATGGCAGGCAGAAATTGAGCCTGGACAACTGCAAGCTGTGGTCTCTTACACAGCACCAGTGCACGTTTGACGGAGACAGGACGATATGTGTGCCATTCAAGCGTGTTTTCGCACGGTGCAAGGACACAGAGTACTACTCCCGAAAAGAGCTTAGCGGGTTCAGGCTGCTTCCTGAGCTGAGCGGCGAGAAGGAGACGGAGACGTACCGCAACATCGAGATCACCACGGAGAAAGATAATCCTTACAGCACCCAGGACCCGTTGCTGGCTGACTTTTTGCGTGCAGACAAAGTGCTGCACCAGAAAATGAACCAATACTACGAGAATATCATCAAAGAGTCGGAGAATTAGTAGATAGGTACATTAATGGAACTGGAACGTTTCGCCCTCTGGAGGTTGTGGCAGTTTCCTGTTTGAACCGCTCGCCATCTCCTTTCTGAGCTCGAGAAGCAGGATCTCCATGCTGTACGTTCTTTTCCAGGAGCTCAGTACAGGGAACTTACTGGCAAGCACGAGTCCCGAGTTTTGGTCGACACATGGTAGGTTGATCTTCGATATAAATCTGACGATGGGCGGCTTTTCTGGATACTCGGGGCCGCATTCTATGGTGAGCGAGTAGATTCTGTTTTCGTGTGACGAGTTAGGCGGTCCCAGGATCGTCCCGTTCCAATGGGTCATGGTGATGTCGTCCAGGTCCTGTAGACCGTAGGAGCAGGACTCTGCGCCCAGGCCCTTCTCGCCCTTCTCGAGCTCCTCCAGCAGCTTAAAGTTTCTAGGACTGGCTGTTAGCGGCGGCACAAATTGGCACACTTACATTTTAGACATGGAAGCTAAAGGGTGCGAGGTTTATTTATTTAGGAGCCTCTCATTTGCCATTTGACACAGCCACAAATCGATTAAATTAAATATTCGCGTTACATGTCTGGACAAAGCACGCCGAGCTCACCGTTTATAGCGCATCCGCACGATTTGCCGGGCGATCGCGATCTGCGGAAGCGGTTGTCCTCTCTGGAGTACCAATATAGCCAGCTGAAGGACAGCTACGAGATAGACAAGGTCAAGGGCCAGGCTCTGGTGAAAAGGCTGGAGAGAGATCTGGAGCACAGATCAAGCGAGTACGAGGCCGCTGTGAGCGACTCGAAGCTGCTCTTCGACGAGAGTAACAAGCTGAAGCGTGAATTGAGAGAAATGGAGGATAAATTCGAGCAGGCAGTGGGCGAGAACAGGTCGCTCAGGACAGAACTCGATGAAAAAACGTGCAAGCTAAATAAGCATCTGCATGAGTTCCAGGAGATTGAAAAGCGTCTGGAGGATGTCATTGCGCTCAAGGACGCCGAGTTGCGGCACAAGGATTCGGAATTGCTCGGCTTGAGGGACGCTATGCGCGAGGAGCTGTCTCTCAAGAGTAGCAGGATCGAAGAGCTCACAAACCAGGTGCGCATCCAAGACGCACAGATTCGGGAGTTGCACGAGCGCAATGTGCACATGGACGAGATGAAGGCGCGCGAACTGTACGAGAAAGAGTGCAGCAACCAGTTGGAATACATCCGCGAGCTGGAAAAGAGGAATTTGGAGCTGAGCAACAAATTGCGTGCGTTGCAGTCAAGACAGGACTATGTTCAGGTCCTGAGAGAGGAGAAGGCAACGCTGTCCCAAAAACTGGCTACTTATGAGGCTCTTGAGACCGAGTACGAGGACCTGAAGCTGAGGTATGCTGCGATGGAGCAGAAAATGGGAGACTGGCCTATTTCGGACCCTCCTGCCACAATTCTCGATAAATGCTCTGTGCTGGAGTCCACGAACAGCCAGCTTCTGCAGAAGCACGAATCTCTGTGTAACGAGCTTGCGCGCGCTCAGCAAGAGGTGGTCGATCTACAATCGAAGCTTCTGGAGTCGCACGACAGGCAAACGTCGCTAAAAGCCATGCTGTCCGAGAAAGACACCGAGAATACGAAGCTCAGCAACAACGTGAAGCTGTTGAGCCAGGAAATCCAGTTTTTGAAGGACAGAATCGACAACGTGACGCAGGAGAACACGATGTTGCTGAAGAATAAAGGCGTGGAAGCAGAAAACGCACAGAAGTTTGAGGGACTTGTTGCACTTCTCGAATCCTATAAACAGCAGCTACAGAGCCTACGGAGCCAAGATACAGGACAGAAACGGCACAGGAGCGAGCAGGAGCAGCCAAATGTGTCTGCACAGCTGGCCGAGGAGCTGAAGAGAAAGGTCGACGAGAACAGCGAACTGCTGAGAACTATTGAGGACAAAAACAAGCAGCTGGTCCAGCTGGAGCTCGAGGTGAAGAAGTTGGGCAGCAGCAACGAAAACGGGGTCCGGGTGCTGGAGTTGCGCGAAAATCCGGCCGCAAGACACGAACGCGTAACTAGAAAAATGCTGGATAAACTACGACAGGAGAATCGGCAGCTGGTCGCGGCCAAGCTGGCGACGGACCAGCTGATCCCCAAATCGGTGTACGAGCGCGTTTGTCTGGAGCAGGACCAGCTACAGGAGGAGATCAAGTCGCTGAACAAGCGAATGACTCGGCTACGCGAGATGTTCAGCTCGAAAGCGGCGCGGTTCAACGAGATTGTGTTTCTGCTGCTTGGATACAAAATCGAGCTCCTCAGCGAAACAAAGCTTAAAATGTACCCCAAGTTCAACAGAGACAGTTTCATACAGGTTGATTTGAGTCGGCGCGGCAGCAGCAAGGGCCAAGTTTTGGACGGAGAGGGGATCCGCGTGAAACTCCCCGCCGAAGGGGGATTCCAAAAAGTTGATGTCAACAACCTAATTCGGTTCTGGGTCCTGGAGAAGCAGCAACCGTGCTGCTTCTTCAATGCGCTGAACCTGGAGCTTTACGACAAGGGCCAGGAGTTGCTCCCGAATTAAGACCGATATGTGCAGATTGTGGAGGTGGGGATGATCCCCAGGGGTGAGAAGCTAGTGAGTGGGGTTGACTTCACGTCGGGGCCGTTTTCGCAGGACTCCGACGCTTCCGGTGTACGGGTGGAACTAAGATTCCAGCGAATGGCATCCGTGTGTAATGTAATATCACGCATAGAAACGCACTGGCAACATGTAGCATATGGAGGGCAGCACCCAGATCCTAGCACGAGCTTGACATTTTCCTGGGTAAATTCAGCCAGGGGTGCGTTGTGGGGTAATAGGGTCTGAGTGCGCGAGGTCAGGAGTGGATGCGGACGAAAGATAAGTTTTCATAGGGGGCATAAAAAAAATCCATGACCACAAATGCGCGGATATAATTGGCTGCTTACGCAGGAGATCGAGGTCGCAAGCGACGAACGTACCAATTGAAACAGACGTTTGAGCGCTCGGTGGCGGCGTCTGGCTGCCGCTGGAAAGCTCAGGCTGCCGTTCCGGTCGTCACAAACACGCTCTGCCTCTCGGGTGGTCGCCAACGCGCCTGGAAGCGGAGTTATTGCCCGATCCTGGGCCAAGCTACCTTCTGCACTGCCTTGTTTTTCGGGCTCCCTCCCTGACACTATGGGGTGTCCCGATTATTTACTATGTGGCACACAATAGAGTTTATGTAAATGATGACCGGCAGACGTTGGGATATAAATTGAATGTACAAGAAGCACTTTTTTTTGTTATTTTGCTTTCTTCAAAGACATCTGAACTGTGTATAGAAAATGTCTGCATTGAGAACCGTTACCAGAACAGCCTCAAGAAAATCTACGCTGTACAATGCCATTCGTGCCTACTCCACCAAGGAGTCGACGCTGAAGGAGAGATTCGCTGAGCTTTTGCCAGAGAAGCAAGCTCAAGTTAAGGAGCTCAAGGCCAAATACGGTAAAACTGTGAGTATCAAAATATTCTGAAATTATTGCGGGACCGAATATGCGTTTCGGGGCCGGAGTAATTTTAGTCGCGTTGATTTTGGACAGCACTAATTTTTATAGGTTATTGGCGAGGTTTTGTTGGAACAAGCCTACGGTGGTATGAGAGGTATCAAGGGTTTGGTCTGGGAAGGTTCTGTTTTGGACCCCGTGGAAGGAATCCGGTTCAGAGGAAGAACCATTCCGGACATCCAGAAGGAGCTCCCTAAGGCGGAGGGCGGCGAGCAGCCACTTCCAGAGGCCCTTTTCTGGCTCCTGTTGACGGGTGAGGTTCCTACTGCCGCCCAGACCAAGGCTTTCTCGGAGGAGCTCGCTGCGAGATCGAAGTTGCCAAAGCATGTTGAGGAGATCATCGACAGATCTCCAGCCACTTTGCACCCTATGGCCCAGTTTTCCATTGCTGTGACCGCTCTGGAGTCCGAGTCCCAGTTCGCTAAGGCTTACGCCGCAGGTGTCAACAAAAAAGAGTACTGGAAGTACACCTACGAAGACTCGATCGAGCTTCTGGCTAAGCTGCCAGTCATTGCTGCCAGAATCTACAGAAACGTTTTCAAGGACGGTAAGGTGGCCGCTGTAGACACCAGCCTAGACTACAGTGCCAACTTTGCCAACATGCTGGGTTACGGCTCGAACCCGGAGTTCCTCGAGCTCATGAGATTGTACTTGTCCATCCACTCCGACCACGAGGGTGGTAACGTTTCTGCACACACTACCCACCTGGTTGGATCCGCGCTCTCCTCGCCTTTCCTTTCGCTGGCTGCCGGTTTGAACGGCTTGGCTGGTCCATTGCACGGAAGAGCCAACCAGGAGGTGCTGGAGTGGCTAAAGGCCATGCAATCCGAGCTGAAGGGTGACATCTCCAAGGAAAACATTGAAAAGTACCTGTGGAACACCCTGAACTCTGGCCGTGTGGTTCCGGGTTACGGCCACGCCGTCTTGAGAAAGACCGACCCAAGATACACTGCTCAGAGAGAGTTTGCTTTGAAGCACATGCCAGACTACGACTTGTTCAAGCTCGTCTCCAACATCTACGAAGTTGCTCCGAAGGTGTTGACCGAGCACGGAAAGACCAAGAACCCATGGCCAAACGTCGACTCTCACTCTGGTGTTCTTCTGCAATATTACGGCTTCACCGAGGAGTCCTTCTACACTGTGCTGTTTGGTGTCTCCAGAGCCTTCGGTGTTCTGCCACAGCTCATCATCGACAGAGGTCTTGGAATGCCAATCGAGAGGCCAAAGTCCTTCTCCACCGAGAAGTACAAGCAGCTGGTGGAGAGTATCAACAAAGCATGATGATTATAATATTTATTGGTGTTTACGAGACGAATAAAAGAAAACAGCCAAATCAGTTTGGAAACGCAGTAAATCGCATAAACACGCTCCGGAAGTCCTGAGAGCTTTGGTATGTTCCGGAGCCGGAGCAGTGTTGCTCTGCAATGCTTGTGGTGGAGGCGGCACGTAGCAGGGGTGATCTGTAGTCCTAAGTTGACGTGCTACGGTAGAGACGGTCCACGTCCACGCTCACACTTTTCCTGAATTATGGCTTCTTGTTCGTTGTTTAACCCGGTTTATTTTGCGTGGTCCTGCAACCGACAGAGATCTATAATCTAACATGGATACATCAGAGGTCGGGTTTCAAGCTTATCACCGAAAACCGGTATTGGGCTTTCAAGAGGGACTTGTAACACCGAAAGATGTAGCCAAGTCTTGTAGTTCTTTGGTCACAATCACCATCTCATCATCCGAATTTCGGAAGCGGTGTTAAATCCCGTTGCAGTCAACTGGCCTCAATTACTGAGCCATTTGACTTATCCCGTTGACATATAGATACGAGACTGACATGCAAAGCCCATTCCGTTGAATGTATGCAACATCGTTCAACGTTGTATATGCTCCTGTAGTTAAGGCCAAAGCTTAATAGAAGAGCAGTTTCACTATGAGCTTCCTTGATGGGAACTTCCCGCTTTCAATTTCAGCAGATGTTCTACCACCGGCAGCACATACTTAGATACCAACTATGCCTGCAAAAGTATGCGCTTCGAGAACACATTCGATGAATCCACCTTCATTGTGGCTGGCAAAGTTTTTGGGTGCTACCCAGATGGGAGCAGGATTTGGCTGCATTATTCTTAAGTATATTCTTTGTGATATCGATCCACATAACTATAGGCTCACTGGGAATCAGTCTGAGATACGACTTGTCTCCTGTTGCTTGGTCAGACTGAGTCTGAGTTATACTTTGTAGTTAGTATTGTCAGCTTCATGTACTCTGCAACCACTAGTGCAGGAACATCTGCTGATTTCTTCATGTCTGAAGTTTGGATTCAAGAAATATGCAAACATTTGATACTAGAATGACTTGAATGCTACTTTGCTAAGTATGGTTGCACTCGTAGCTGCAGTTTCTGTGACAAGCTCGCAATGGTTGCATGCTGTTGGAGCAGCCAACTACGCTGCTTTCTGCAATCCAACGCCTATCATTATCTTTGCAGCGGGTGTGCTATGATCTCAATGGCCGCCAGATCTCCTTAGTCTTCCGGGTCATCAACATTCGCGAGTTGACATCCATCTCAAACATTGTGTATGATTATGTAATCTCTGGTTTGTGGAGCGTGTGCAGCACACATTTTCCGGAGGCTGGAAATTAGGAATAGATAATTAATTTACAGCAAATTTGTCGTTTACCCCATTTGATTTGATATTAAATACTAGCGATATACCTCACAGGCCTAAACTCTGACACCTTGTCATATTAAAGCTCAGTATAATAGACTTTGCCACTCTCTTCAACGGTCCAGAATGAGTTATTATACAGCTTCCAATTACAACAGTGATACCCAGACCCCATCCCAGATGTCTCTCAACGCTCAACAGCAGACGTCTCTAACGTCGTTGCTGGCCTCTGCGGCTGTCCAGCAGGCCCAGCACAATCCGGCAGGACAGAACCCTCAGGCTGCAAGTTTGCTCGGTAATCAGAACATGCATTCTCCGAGCCAGATTTACAACCATATGGCCAACAACGTGGCCGCTTCTGGCGCCTCGGCTGGTAACTACACGGCCCTGTCGACCTCCAACTCGTCGACAGGCTCGTCTACATACCAGTCGTTGCTGCTTTCGTCGCCTCAGACGTCTGTGGCCTCTCTTTACTCGACCCAGAGAGCTCGTTTCATGTCATCTAAGGGCTTCGATGTTGAGGACGACATGGAGTTCTGTCCGGAGATTGTCCACACGGGAAAGAGCAAATTTAATCCTTACACGTCGCAGACTTTCAGTCCAAACACTTCGCCAGAAGCCGCGGCTCCGGCTCAGACCTCTCCCTTGAGTCCGGGCACACAAGGCGTACAATCTCTGTATTCTAGATCTGCGCAGGCCACGCCTGGAACCCCAAGCGGTTCTTCTCCACGGCCAAGCACGCCTCGGACTAAGAAGGTGCTCGAAATTGTGAATCCGCACACAGGAATGAAGATTTCGCAAGGCAACGTTTCTGCTGTGAAATGAATCCTTATGACTGAATGATTGGGTTGGGAATATGCTGGGTTACTGTAAGATAGATGATAGATGTTATTTAAGTACGTCTAATAGTCGTTGAATTACCCGGCTGTAGAAATATTCATCAAAAAACCTTGGAAAATTACAAACTTTGTCACTCTATTTGTTCAACATGGCCACCAAGTTCAGACAGCCACAGTGGCTAAAGAGCAACGGGTTTGCGCCCCACGTCTATCTGTTCCGCAATATTGAGTCAGGCCAAGTCATGTACTCTCAAACGCCCCACATCACCAAATACCAGATCCAGCAGCAGAGTTTTAGACCCAACTGGGAAAACAGAAAGCCTTCGAAAAGACGCGATCTGTGGCGTCCAATGGCTGTCGCGCAGTTTGATACACACGAAAAAGCAGTCAGAGCCTACAACGCGCTGGTCGAGCTCAAATACATGCGTCAAGTGTCAAAACGTAAGGAGGCGGAGGCCCTGCGGAAAAGAAATCAGTTCCAACAGATCTGGTACTTCGGCCAATACCGTCCAACGTGGGCTCAGGAGTCTGTAAGCGATCTCACCACTGTGCTAGACGAACTGAAACTCTCCTCAAAAATTTACTGGGACTCGTTATGGCGTAAAGGAGACGACAAGTACTGGAAAGATTTGCAGGTGGAGCACGACGAGCTGGACAAGGTAAGTCCAAGGGAGAAATTCGTGGCGCTCAACGAAGTCGAGCGAAAATGGAAAGAAGAACAACAAGCCGCTGAGGCCGAACAACAGCCTCAACCTGCCGTGTAAATAGAACGAGTAGCAACATTCAAACGATTACTCACTATATTATCATAGATCTGGATTAAAAGCTGTTATTTTTACATGTCATTAGTCGTCTCTTCTTACTCTTGTTTCTCATCTTTGCGCTTCAACTTGTTTTGCTCGTCCTGTTTTCTCTTTTCGTTCCTCTTTCTGCGCTCCTCCAAGAAAATCTTGTACTTCTCCAAAGAGATCTTCTTTTGCTTATCCGAGTACTCGTCAACGCCGTGGTATGTAGTATCAAACAACTTATCCCAGATGGTAAAGAAAGGCTGCGAAAAGTTATATTTCACTCCGAAATGCTGGTGGTGGATATCATGGTAAATCGAGTTGTTCGGGAACACAACTTGGAACGGATCGAATGGGAACGCGTACCCGCAATGATCGTCGACTGTTTTCAGCGTGGAAAACGTGAAAAGGAAAATCTGCTCGCGGGGACTTAGTCCGGTCACCAAACTAGCAATACCCGTACCTACCGTGTCAAGCAAGAAACCCTCGACAGGATCATTGAAAAGAGCACCATATGCGTAGGGCACATAGAGTCGGTGATGGCGAGAGTGGAAGCGTCTGTACAACCATTTGTTCAGATGCATGGCGCGATGGAGCATGTACTGCCAGCTATCAATGATGAAGAATGCTACTGTGATCTTGAGAAGCGAAAGACCATACCAGTATGTCACATAAAGCACCCAGGTTGGAACAGCAGGCACCATCTGTCTCCATCCCCAGAGAGTGTGGTTTTCGTAGCCGGTCATCGGCTTAGGATCAAATTGGTAGAAAACTAGGGCTGCAATGGTCTGGATGACATGCTGCAAAATAACGTCTCGGATCACTATGGGGAGAGACACGGTGTTTTTTCTAAGCATCTCCTCCGATGGGTGAATTCGGTACCTCTCTGCAAGCTCGTACACATCGATGATGTGATAGAAAGTGGAGTACACCCAGTACGCCACGACCGGTGCTATCGCCGCTAGTATGCCATCTGGAAGCCCCTCGATCAAACTTGGCTTCGGTATTTCAAGGAACGGAGGTCTTGAGGCGCCGTCCACTATCTTGAGATCGTTCGGATCCACCAAAGAAAACATTTTGAAGAGAAAATGTACTGGCTCTGGATCGGGCTTTATATTTATTAACAATAAAAAAAATAAACGAACCACAAAAACTTTTAACTGGCTGACGCCGACGCGTCGATATCGTATTCTTTTCTTATTTCATTCGTACATGCTCTAATTTATTTTGCCCCGTCCTTCCACCAGGGCTTCCTCGTCGTATATCGTCGGATGATCGAACTCGTCGTCGTCATCTCTGTAGAAATGCTCTAGTTGCTCAGAAATAAAAAGTCCCACAATGCTCACAGTGCACCCAAATCCAAAACACTTATCGAACCAAACGTCGATAAAAGTAATATCGTGATCGAAGAGTGTGAGACTGCTTGCGAGTAGATGTGTGTGAAGCAGCAGGGTGGTTGACAGCAGATACACGCCTGTCAACTCGCAGACAAGAAGATCGAAAAAGAGTGAGGAGTCAGGCGCAGTTGACTGGTGTTTTGCAGACGGTAGCAACTTACCTAGCTTGTGGAAAGTGGTCACCACGCTCTGGAACGAGCAGCAAAACAGAAAGAATGAGAGAACAAAGCTCACGTTGGTGGCCAGCTGGTCCTCATAGTCGCCGATATCGTAATGTTTGGCGATGATTCGTGCAATAGTAACAGAAAGCGTATCGGCAGACTGGGCGTCCGGTTTCGGCGATTTGAGTCCAAATTCCTCAAAATATATTATTGGCAGCCGGATGACCATGATGTTCACAATTTTGTACAGACAGTATAGCGAAAAGAGAACGTTGGCCCATTTGGAGACCTTGCCACGGAGGGTGGCCGCATACTGCTGGGAGTGGTAATTAGCCACCAAAAAAGAGAGATCCTGCAGAAGCTCACGCTTCATCTGGTTCAAGGCGCCGAGTTCGTTCTTCAGGTCCGAGTTCGTGGGGGACTGTGCTAGCTCGGTGGTTCTGGTGTGGATCAGTTCTGTTGTGGTGCGCAGCGTCTCTACGCCTCTAGCAATGTCCGCTTTTCGCACACGTTTGTGCTTTTTGACGAAAGAGTAGTACAAAGACGACACAGAGCCAATGCCGTTCAGAGCCGCAAGACACGTCACACCCAGCATGGTGACTTCTATCAGAGTGTTTGAGAAGAAAAGCGAGTAGTTGTCGATCTGGGACGCAGCTGTGGCTAAGATGTTGAACGTGCGGAAAACCAGAGCCCACGCGATGAACACAAGCAGGAAAGCCAGTCCCTTGTGCTTAGTGCTCAACACGCGGGCCACGCGAGACACAAGAGGCAGACGGGAGACACCCATGAAAAGCAGCAAGCTTGGGTTCACGTACGTTAGCAGAAAAGTCAGCACCGACAGCGTAAATTCCCAGTCCCACACGCGAGCTGCGGAGTTCCCCAGATCAATAATTTCAAACAGCACCAGGCTAATGATCTGCAGCGAGAACGAGATAGACACATCGAAGAGCATCCGTGCTGCTTTTTTAATAGCCTTGTCCTCCACGATGGTTGTTTTGGAATCTAATAAGGGCTTTATGAATGTCTGTTCGACATTTGGCTTCAACTGGACGGGCTTCTGGAGGATCTTTCCCAGGTCTTTGCTCAAGGTCTCTTGCAAGGATTGCGAGGACTGGAATATGCCGGCTGAAGAGCAAATGTAAGGTAGCACAACTCTGTGGACGAGTCTTTCTGCCACCTGGAAGTTCATCGCATGGACAACGGCCAGAAGACAGACGCCCAATACCTCTTTCCACATATTTTGGACAAGTAGTAAATTCGAGCACAGCCAGAAGAAAAAATTACACCAGCTGCTCGTAGCACAGCCAGTGTTTAGTTGACGGCCTTTTCGTGGAGCCATTTGGTGACCATGTCGATCTTCTTTTTGTGGACGTTGCCCTGGCCAAACTCAGTGTTGCCCTCAAGCAGCTCAAACTGGAATTTTCCGTCTCCGAAGCTCGACGCTAGTTGTTGTACGATGGCCTCGTCGGAGTGGCCGTCTTTGGCAGATATCTGCGACAGATTGAGGACTTGGCGTTTGCAGATCTGCGCGATTTCTGACTCGAGCAGCGACTTTATGGTGGTCCACTTTTTGGACGTGAACAGATCGCATTTGTTGCAGAACAGCTGAAAATCGACGCCGTTCGGCACAGATTCCGTTATCTCGTACAGCCTGATCAGATCCTGCGCCACCTCTGTGCAGTACTCGCTGGAAAACTGCGACGCGTCAATCATGTAGATGATGCCCTTCACGGAAGAGAGATTCTTCTTGAGGAACGGATACAGATACAGCGACTTGAGTTTTTCGTTTCCTGGGAAATCGTACACGTCGTAGGATCCGATCTTTGCGCCGAGGTTGAGCGTGGCGCTGTTGGGCTCGACAGAGCTCACTGTGAGCACGGGCAGGTCGCCCTTGGTAAGCAGCTCGAACAGGTTGGTTTTGCCGCTAGACTTGGGCCCCGAGATGACAAACACAGGCTTGGACAAATGGAATATGCGTTTGCGGTTGAAGAACACCGACGTGACCACGAGCACAGCCAGCGCCAGTAGCAGCGACAAGATAAATCTCTGGTAATCGGGAGGGGCTACTTCAAACATAGTAAAAGCGAAGATGAAAAATATGGTGCGAAAAAAAAATAATAAATAATAATATTGTCTATTTATTCTCTAGGAAGTCTCCAGTTCATCTTTCGGCCCATTGTCCTGGACCAACTCCTCGCTCGTGTCATTGTCCCCCACGGTCTCCAGAATGCCCTCGTACTCCTCGTCGACGTTGGCGACTGGTCCCGTGTACCATTTTTTGGCGTCCACGGCGTACCAGATGAGCGAGAAGAGCATCACGGCCCCCAGCATCAGGACGGTGTAGTTCATGTTTTCCTTCGTGACAGGCATGTAGTTAGGGAAGATGAAGACGATCGAAACAAAGACGGTCCACACACAGGCGTAGAACATGATTGGTTTGGCGAACTTGCCCAGGCTGAACGGACCAGGCGTCACACCCATCTTTTCTGCGTTCATCATGAAGAAGAAAATCACCAGCACGTACGACCAGTCGGTGGCGATGGCGCAGACGGAGAAAATGGCGTTCATGGCGATCGAAGAGCCGAGGTTGATCAGGGTCAACAGCGAGTTGATGAAAGTGATCATCCACAGACATCTGAGCGGGACACCGGTGGTCTTGTCGACGTTGTACCAGAACGATGCGAACGGAACGCCGCGGTCTCTGGAGAAAGACCAGAACGATCTGGTGATGGAGCAGACGGCGACTGCTCCGCAGAACCACAGCACAACGAAGCACAGCGCCAGGTATGCGGTGGCAGCCTTTCTGCCCATTGCGTAGTCGAACACCTGAACGATCGGCTGGCCGGACGTAGTGTTGAGGATCGCGTTGAGGTCGTCGCCCATGCACAGCGTGTAGACGATGTTGAGGACCCAGCCGAGTAATGCGGTCACGGTCAGTGCGGATGCAATGGCGAGCGGCGTGCTGTACGCGGCGTTGCTGATTTCCTCGGACATTCTGGACGTGGCGTCGTAGCTCGTCATGACCCACGAGACGTTCAGGAAACCGAACAGGAACGCCCAGCCGTCTGAGGACCAGCCCGTGTTGTTGATCACCTTGGTGAAGACGTACTCTCTGGAGTTGATTTTAGGACACTTGACCAGCATGGTGATGATGAGCGCAATGACGGAGCCGAGGTTGACGAAACAGTAGTACTTGGTGATTCTGGCGAGGACGGACGACGGCAGCGAGTTGATGAGGCCGTGCGTGATGATCACGGCGATCGACGCGCCGGTGATGTGGCCGGCGGACGGCACGTACTTGTAGTCGGAAGCCATGGAAATGGTCTGCAGCAGCAGCGTGGCAGCTCCGAAATCGGTCGAGCACGCTCCGGCCATGGCCCCGATGAAGTAGATCCACCCGTCAATCCAGCAAACAAGAGGCACGTATCTCTTCGGCACGACGTGGGTGATCACATAGTACATTCCACCGCAGGTAGGGAAGCACGAGGTGATATGGGAGACCGAGTAAGCGATGGCCAGACAGCCAAACATACCAACGAACCACGACCAGGTCGCAGCGGCAGGGCCGCCGGCCCACAGCGGATACTCGTAGGTGATGGCGACAGTCCCCATGAGACCAGAGATAGACAGGGCGAACGAAAACGTTGCCAAGAAAGAGTAGCTTCTGTTGAACTCCTGCTTGTAGCCGAGATGGGCCAGCTTGGCGGCGTCGGAGTCCAGAGTCACTCGTGGAGACACTGTTGTGTGCAGGTTAGCTTTTTCCAAGTCTTTGGTCATGTTTGGAATCTTCGAGAGAAGAAACAGAGAGGTATTTGTAGGAAAATTTTTACGTCAGGAGCTGCACGAATATCAAATCGGTGACACGATGAATCTACGATAGAGAGATCAAATAACTGCCGGATTAGTATAAGTTTCACACGGCCACGACTGGCCTCCGGCAGCGTTGCCTCGGGGACCCAGTCTGTGAGATAACAAATTTATCAAATATGTCATTCTGCAGCTGCGTTATCGAGTCCGAGGCACACTTATCTTATCTGCGATGTGCGAACGGTGCGAGACAATGCACGGCGGCTCCAAATGGACGTACTTATTGTAGGTTTTGGGACAAGCGGAAAGCTCGTGTTTGTGGTGGCCATGTAATCTTCCTTCCTAATCTGGAAGCCAATTCCGCGCGCCAGCAGGAGCACCGCAAGCCCGCGTTACATGTCACGTGCCACTCATGTGCCCGTCTCTGGCCAATAGCAGCCACGGCCTATTGTGTGCCCGTGCTCGCCCATTGTCCTGCACAATACGCTCGCTTTTCCCTGTCTTATCTCCAAAGATAAACACGGATATATTCACGCTGCTGCTAATATTGCCACACCGTTCCCTTCCTCCAGCCGGTACCGATGAACAATTCACAGTTCTCGTTCCGCAAAAGACCCATCTTCCGCAACAGCTCGCAGTCCCAGATCCCCGTGCTCGACAACTACCCGTCGCAGCACTACGACGAGGCGTCCTATGACCCTGACCACCAAAGGTTTTACTCCAAGTACAGAGGCATACTAAAGGACAAAGACGAGCCGCCGGAAGAGGTTCTGCACAACCCAGAGTTCGAGTACAACTACGACGAGAAGATCAGGGCACCGCGGGTGTCGCTCCTCAACCCCAACTTCAAGCCAGAGCCTCACGACAAGGAGCCGGCACAGCTCGATCTCAGGGCCGCAAACAACGACTACGTCACGTCGGACTCGAACACGGAGTACCAGCCGGCCAGCTTCGACCTGTCGAAGCCCACAAGACAGTACTCGGAGTCGTCAGACGACAGAACCAGTGTGCCACCGTTGGGCGAATTGAGACTTAAATTACACAGTGAACCCAAGATAAAATATGTTCCGCCGGTGCTGCGACAGACGCTGGTGAACGACTCGGGCCCGCAGGACACGGCACCGCGCTCGGCTTCGGAGCCAAGCGAGCCCAGCCAGGACTCGAGCCCGTCAGAAAACGCAGACTCGTCCAAATCAGATATAGCTCTGCACAAGGTGCTGTCGAACTCTTCGATCACGTCCAAAGGGCTGGAGCCCTCGCACTCGCACTGGAAACCCAACCACTCCACAAACAGATGCACAGGCTGCAATCTGCCCTTCTCGCTCGTGCGCCGCAAGCATCACTGTCGCCGCTGTGGCGAGATCTTTTGCTACCGCTGTGTCCAGAACAGCGCAAACCTCAACGTGCTGGCCAAGTTTGAGAAGCCCGACCTGGACAATGGCAAAATCCTCGATTCTGGAGGCGGTGTCGTGAAAAACGCAACGTACTGCAAGTTCAGTAAAGTGTGCGACCGATGCTTCAAAGACTGGCTCTTGTTCCTCCAGAACGGCAGCAACTACGAGTCGGAAGTCCAGCTGCAGACCCCCAAGGAGTCACAGAACACCAATAGAGACCGCATGAACTCCGAGTCAAGCAAGTCCGGAGTTCCTAACGACTGGACATGGAGCTCGTTCTAATACGCAAGCCTAGGCAACAGTGTTGTTGACCACCAGCTTGGCTAGATGCTGGAAGAACGTCTTCAAACTCACATCCTCCGTGTGCACAACAGTGCTGGCCGGGTCGCTGTCGGCAACGTAGCCGCTCATGCCGCCGCCTGTGCCGATGTTGTTGTCGTTCTCGGATGGATTCAGCTTCGAGTACAAGAATCTGGCCTGCGACTTGCCCTCATCACATGTAACGTATCTAGGCAGCGGGAACCGGTCGGCAATAAGCGACGCAGCCTCCTCTCTCGATCTTTCAATCATATCATAAACTCCAGGATACTCGTCTCTTGGGTAGTTTGCATCTCTCCACTCGGCTGCGATGCTGCCAAAGTAGATAACAGTGTAGAAGAACGCGTCCAGCAGCAGCACGGCGTCCGGCTTGAGTGACGCAGAGTCCAGTAGAACAGGCTCTGGCTCTGAGCCGTCAGCCATGAATCTCACAAGAGTAGGCTGGATCATCACCAGCGAGTCTCTCACGTCGGTTCTGAGTAACGTGTGGTGGTAGAACGCGGTCTCGTCAGGAGAGCAGTTGAAAACTTGCAGGAACTGGGATCTTCTCAAATGGTAGATGAATTGCGGAAGCAGACTGAACTTGGATGACAATCTGAATGAGTTTGGATCGTTTCTGGAGTAGTCTCCAAAGACAGTACACAGCTTGACCAGAGACTTGTCAATCCATCTCAAAAGATCTGAATACTCGCCGCCGTTCTCCAGCTTGTGGACAATCAGTCTTGCATACAGCACGGCTGCCGCCTCCTGGTCAAAAGTGTTCGATAGCTCAGTAGAATTGGACGTCAATCTGCTCAACGTTGTCACTCTCATACGGACAGTACCATTGGTATGTCTATAGGTAGTCTGGAACTGGATATGGACCTCTGGGACCGAGGAGTTGCGTTGATCAGCAGCGCCGACAGTTTGCATGTCGAAAAATATACCGTACGTGTGTCGTGGAGACACAGATGGAAGGGCCCATTTGTTGGTGAACCCGTTACCAACTTCAACATCCGCCACATTCTTTCCTTCTTGCTTCAAAGAGGTGGCCAGCCCCACCACACCTGCGACCTTCAGTCTTTGGGAGGTAAACACCTCCAAAGAGCCGTCAAAGTAGGAGAAAGGATATCCTTCCTCGTCCTTGTTGAAGCATGCAAAAAATGAGTTTTTGAAGATCGAGGTTTGGAAAGAGTCGGTCACCACGATCGTGCCTCCTGTCTGGTTGCTCAACGATCTCATCTCGTAGATACCGGTTTGGTCGTAGCATCCGGCAAAGATATCAACACTAAATGTAGCAGTAGATTGTGGATCGAAGAATTTGTCCTTCACGTCTTTCTTCACCAGAGTCGCTTTGGTAGCCAGCTTCTTGTAAAATGCAACGGCTTTTTTGTAATGCTTGGCAGTCCCTTTGTCAATGTCGCTGTGTGATCTTATAGGTTCCTTCAACTCAGTACCGACAATTTTTCCTGGCCCAAAAGTACACGGGCCACCAGCAAATAGTGTCACTTTTGCTGCGCATTGCAAAAATGACCCTTCAACAAGGCAGGAGGCGATGCTGAGGGCTGATCCCGTCACTCTGATAGCTCTGTGGCCCGGTTCGACTGTCCATTTCGAGACTTCGAGCGACTCGATGGTTTTGGTGATTTGGAACTCGGCTTCTGGATCGCTTAGCGGCAATAGGAACTTGTTGATGGTTCCGCCTGTTTCGAATTGCTGTATCCAGTTCTTGGCGCCGTTTCCGGAGATGCCAAGCTGTTTCTGCACCTCCACAGACTCGTACTCCTTGTTTCCGCTGAAAACGTATTTTTTGAAGCACGAGTCGAAATTCAGCTCGTGCACATTTACCACCGAGTCAAAGGTGATGAGACCAATTAGAGATCCCGGTGGATGCAGAGACAAAGAGGTGATCAGCAGGTCTTTGAGCGCTTGCAGATCTTCGGGCTCCTGGCACAAGTCAATGACATAGATGAAGGCCGGCGGAGGAGGCGAAGGAGTTTTCGTCAACACATATTCAATGGTGGATGCCTGCGGAGTCAGCTCAATTGGCAGATTCTCGGCTGAAATATTGGAGTAGTGCACCGGGAGCGGGTTCCTGGACAAGCAGCATGTACACGTCCATGTTTTGGATCCCAAATCAATCTGAGAGAACACGTTCAAGACTGCCCGACATCTTCTGCACAACTGTGGGTCGTAGGCTGCCACAGGCAAGTCCTCTCTCGGAAGAAGTGGAGTGTACAGACACCCAACAGGTGCTGCCATGTTCTCTGCCTCCTGTCTGGTCACCGGAAAGGCATTCCAATTAAAACGAACTCCATCGATGTCTTCGATCTCGTAGATGTCCGCCATGTTCAATTAGGCTTTATATTTCGCAGGTAAGGGCGGAAAAGGAACGAGTCAACACACACAAATGCACGTTTCTATTTGAGGGGTTCAGAGCCTGTTTTGCGCACTGGAAAGTATAAAATCGCTCCACAAGATTTGCCCTTTTGTTTCGTTGTTGTCTTTTTTTTCATTCGATCTTCAAATAGGGTAACGAGAATCTGCGCTAGGATTCTGGCTGTACACCCCTACACCAGGTAGCAAGAACCGTCCATATTACGAATGATGGAGTTCAAGGATTCTAATCTCTTGAAGTCCCGAGTGTCGTTCATATATGATGCATGCTCACTAAAACTTTTCCGGGAAGGAAGTCTCTGGCTGGATTAATTTTGATAAACCGGATGGATGCTGTAAGGGAAGCAAGGCCATGCAGCATCGCGGTACCAAGAAGCTTAAACCACTACAACTTGACTGAACAGACCGCAGAGGTTAAGTGGCCAGTAAACCGTGTTGTGGCTCAAAATAATAAGATCGTTCACAAACATGCAATCCGCATTCGTATTAATGATACCCGTAACAGTAAGTTTACCGTATAAAGCCAATATTAACAAGACCCAGATTCAACGGTTCATCACACGCGTCAACACTTCTCCGACGTCTGATCCGTCCACCACGACGCCCTTCTCGCTGCACTTTGCCTTCATTTTGAGCTCAGAACACAAACCGTCAATGTCCAGCTCGCTGAACTTCGGATGCGTCGTGATCCGCTCCCATATCTGCGAGCACTTCATCAGGTTTTTAGTTGTGTCCGGCACAGCCTCATCCTTGTCATTGTCGTCGGGAGCCGCTCCTGGGGTGAGCTGAGTAAGAGTCCCGTTGAGCGAGTTCAAGTTATTTACCGTCAGCTGCTGCTGCTGTGCGTTGGTGAAGAATTCGCTCAACGGATCATCCTTCGACTCCTCGCTTATCAATCCCTGCAGTGGGTCTGCTTCCGTGGTCACGGGGAATTCATTTTCAATCGACGAAAAGACAATATCGGATGGAGAGAAAGCGGAAGGGTTCACCTGGTCAAAAACCAGAGACGTGTCATACGTTGGTGTGTCAAACAAGAAAGGCAGTTCGTTGTTGTCTGGCTTCTCCGATCCATAATCGGCAAGCATCTGGAAAGGAGAGGGAGAATAAGCGGACCCTACGCCACGCGACGACGGAAGAGTAGAGCCTCCGGTGACGGTAGAAGGACGTTTATCCCTTGGAACAGGACAATTTTTATCGCCGCACACAGTTCCTAAACTGTTGCAGAAACTCTCCTCCTCAAAGTCTCCCTTGTAGTTCTTCTGGCTGAGGTCGTGAAGGTCTGTTCTTGGAGACGAGTCCTTCGGCACTGCTGTGAGGTTCGCCTGTTTCTGCTTCTCAGCCCACGGAAATAAGAATTCGGTACTCTTCTCTGCCGCAGAGGAGCACGACGAGGCAGGCGTGTGAGTCGAGTTGTTTGGAGACGAGGTATTAGATGTAGACTTTTCCGAGTCTGTTGAGGTTAGCGTTGTAGAGGTATTGGTGTTCTGTTGCTTTATATCTGCAAGAATGGGGAGTTCTTTCAGGAAGTCTCCCTCTCCACGATTCATGAGCCTGTTCATAAGCGTGTTCACCTGGATTCTGAGCAGCTCTGTTTCATTAGCAATCTGCATCTTCTCGTTCTCAAGCATCTGCACTTTCATCTCCAGTTCCCTCATTTTCTTCTCCTTCCGTTCTCTGAAAGCTCGTTGTGCCGCTCTGTTCTGCGCTGTTCTCTTGTTGGAAGGCTCGGTGTTAATGGGCTTGCGGCCTGGCTTTGAGTGCGCGCTCTCATCGGTCAAGCTACTTGGAGTTGCTGTGGACATCATAAAGCTGCGGATTGAAGGGTACGGCGTGTTGTTGCAATCAAAAGTAGAAAACGTCTAGCTTAGAGCACAAACAGTGGAGATTTCACCGGGTACGACACAATACTCCCTTCTTTTTGCAAATTTGGCGAGATTAATTAATTTGCCTCTGGTCCTTCCTATTTCGCGAAAGCCCAAATTAGTAAGCACCAAATTTCCACAGCCAGAATAGAAAAAATCTAGAAGATGGAGATGGATATTTTACAGATAATGTATTCGGATTAAATACTGATTAACGCGTTCTGCTGCTGTCCGCGGCCCCAAAAGGTCCACTTGCTGCTGAAAACCCTGTGGCAGAGCTCTCGCACACCGTGCAAGACCGAATCAGCATGAGACCCCAGGGCCTGGCCCAAATCGGCGTCCCACCCTTGCACCGTGCTTATCTTATGTAAGAGCCCCAGAAAAACCAGAGCCACCACCGAGTCTAGTGCGGCATGTTTCAGCACTGTCTTGAAAACGTTGAACAATTTGCTCAGCAGGGTGACAACGAGGGCTCGGATGCGGGCATGAAGCGTTCTCCTTCTCCTGTCTTTTCTCGGCACGTTTCTAGCGGGCGGAGAGTCGCGCAGATGGGCATTCAGTCCGATCGTCTTCAGACTAGAAATCTCGTAGCTCAGACGGGTCAGCGTTGCGTTGATGTCGTTCTGCCACCTCACAAAGTCGAGATTCTTTGTTGTGTCGACGCCCTGGCTGTTCAGTCCGCTCGTAGTGGCCCCATACCCTGCCATTTGCGATATCGTCGCGTTGCTGCTGACAGCCCGGTGACCGGCGCCCTGCGCAGCCTGCTTTTCCGCGGCAGCGGCGCTGGCCATCGAGAGTCGCGAAACAGGCCGCACAAGATTTGCATGCGAGCCCGACGACGTAAGTCGGTACAGCGACAGAGCAGGGCTCTGCGCACGCGTGGACAGCGGAGCCTCGGGGTGGAACTCACCCAGCGTCGGCGACACTTGCTGGTCCTTAACCTGGTCCCACAGGTACTCCAGCTCGCTCAGCAGCTCACGGGCCTCCGCAGACTCGTTGGCATGGCTTCTCATGGTGTCTATCAGATATGAAATGTACTGTTTTTTAGCGTCTGTTTTGGAGAGTCCTTCCTCGAGTTTCCACGCGTCCCACTTGCGCTTTGCTGCCTCGTCCTCTGGCCGCGAGCCTATGGGTCTTTCCATGAGCCCTGTGACGTCCCCCTCAGTCGCCTGTTTGTAGAGTCCGTAGAGTTTGACGCGGTTGGCAAGCGGCGGACGCGGGAGCGAGCTCTTGGGCGACCGCGTGGACAGCGTCCGGATGGTAGCTATGGCCTTGACAAAGACCCTGTCGATGGAATCAGACATGGAGAAGAGAAATTATTATTTTTTGTTTACATAGCCTATCTACAGAGGTCGTGCAGGGGAAAATACTACAAAAGAGCTACAGTTAACTATGTCTGGATCTGAAATGGACCACTGGAATCACGTTCGCTCATCCGTGGTGAGTAGGAAACAGATTGATCTCGTTTGCACCAAAATAGGAACCAAATATGGCAGACACTTGGCACCAGAGTGTTGGCAAACTGGATAGAGGGAGTCTTGTTTCTGTATTATGATATATTCCGCCGTGTACATATCTGATCAGTTAGTTTTCTGGGACATCAATCTCGCCAGCGTCGATGGCCTCAATGATGTCGTGAGGGTTCTTACCGGCAACTCTGCATCCCACAGACTGGGCAGTACCAAGGACCTCCTTGGCAACGGAAGCAAGAGTCTTACCGAAAGACTTTTCTCTCATGGTTCTAGCAATCTCCCAGATCTCCTCGAGTTGAATGTTTCCGGAGTGCTTGACGTTCTTGTCCTTCTTTCTGTCTCTAGGTGGCTCCTTCAAAGCGGTGATGACCAGCGAGGAGGCAGATGGAACAACAGAGGCCTGGGCCTGTCTGTTCTGGATCTTCAGCTGGACGGTCACCTTGATACCCTTGAACTTGGTGGTGGCCTTGGCAATGTCTTCACCAACCTTCTTTGGGGACAGACCAAGAGGACCGATCTTTGGGGCGAGAGCGGAGGAGGCTCCCACTTCGCCACCAACGGCTCTCAGGTAGATGTACTTCACTTCATTAGGGTCGAACTTTGGAGGCATGGTTAAAAGGTGGTAAATTTTTTTTGCCTGAATTTTTCAAAAACTGGCAGAGTGCAAACCCTAGCCCTTGTGAAGTCACGTGACTCTCGGCGAGGGCTGGGCTCGGCCGCCCCGTCTACTCCTACTGTAGGCCACGTCGGTGAGAATCCCTTCTTCCTTAGCGGATGCCGAAGCCACCGTCCGACTGGGCGTTTGGTGCTGGTGTGTATTTATTTCGCTGCCACTTTTATATTCGGGTAGTACAGGTGGTGGTCGTACTTTTCGAACACCACTGCGACCTGCGATTTCGGCAGGTCTGCCACCTTGAGCGCCTGGCTGAACGTCAGCAGACTTGCCACGTTGGCTTTTTTCAGCAGTCTAGTCTCCTGTGTAAGCCATTGACTGATAAATTCGGGGAACTGCATTTTTGCTACCAGTGCCTCCAGACGGCGGATGTTGGCATTTATTTCGTCCGATTTCTGTTTCAGGACGCCCCTCTGGTAGCTGGCGTTAGCTTCGGAGGACAGCTGGCTCGCGAGCCATTCCTGTTGCTTCATCATCTCCTTGTAGTCTTTGAACGAGGGCAGTTGAGGGACTCCTATCGACTGGAAGGACTTGAACTGCAGATTATACAGGTTCTCCTCTGAAGCCTTGCAGAGCTTCGGGAGGTCCATGAAGCCCTGTTTGCCGAGCATCCGCAGCACGGTGGCGCGGTTTTCCGCGAGACTTTTGTGGATCTGGTACTTTGCCAGCTGCATGTTGAAATAGAGCTCCATTTTCTGTAGCTCGGGCAGAGACCGCTTTTTTGCTTCGTACTCCTCGCGCAGCTTGGCCTTTTTATCGCCCTTGGCCTTTTTGATTCGCTTGGAGTACGCCGCCAGCTGTGTCTGTCGCAGCTGGTTGATGTCCAGGAGCCGTCTTATGTGCTGGACCAGGTAGTCGAGCTGGTTTGCGAGCAGCCAGTAGCCGAGATGCAGTTCGCGGCAGTCCTTGAAGAGGCACAGCTCTATGGACTTGAATAGCAGCTCCGCCATTTTGGTGAGCTTCAGGTAGTAAACGAAGGACGAGACTGGCATGACAGGCAGCTCGGAGTTGGCAAACGTGTCCTGGAGCTTGGCGTGGCTCTCGAGCTCGAAATTCTCAGCTGCCACCTGGATCGAGTCCCACATAATCAGCTCCTTATTGACGAACTGGCGCTGGCGAGACGGGTTTTGCGAGATGGAGGTCAGAAAGTTGTAGAATGCCGGCTCTATCTGGATGATTATTTTTTCCAGGCCCGCGCGGAGCTCGTCGTCGGTGCTGCTCTGCAGCTTGGAGTTTTGGAAGGAGATTTTCGAGAACACGTCCAGCAAAAGCGTCGAGATGTTCCACCCGCGCGACCCCAAGATCGACCGGTCGTCTCTGATAAGGAAAAGCTGCATCAGCGCACGCACAATAACGTGATTTCCGAGGATCTCGTCCGGGTCGGTCGTGAACTGGCGGCGGGCCATAAAGATGCTCAGAAACTCGTACAGCTCCACAGAGTCCCGCACAGCCAGCACGTTCAGCATGAACTGGAAATCTGCGAACAGCTTGGTGAAGTTCTCGAGCGAGCCGGGGAAATCTGAATGGGCCAACGGTTTGGGCGGCGACCGGTTATTGAGCGTTTTTTGCACATTTTCCGAGAAACAGGCCACCTCCGGCAGCGTTGCGGCAAACGCAACGGTCTCGGGCTGGGCCAGCCGCGCCAGGATGCCAAGTGCGCTGTCGGCGAACGAGAGCGACAGCCCACGGTTCTCGTACAACTCGACAGAAATCTGGGTGACTTCGCAAATGTGCAGGCTGTGCTCGATCAGCAAAAGCATGTCCACGCAAAGCTGCTGCGATGCAGACTCTGGCTGGCTGCGCACCCACGCAACGGCTTTCTGCAGCTCCAGCACCGTTTGTTCGCCGTCGTACACGGAAAAATCAAGATCCATCGTCTGCGTATTGAGGTCCTCCTCCTCGTAAATGACGCCTGCCACGCCGAGCTTGAGCACACTGCTCACAAAACTGATCACGCCCTTCACGAACGGGGCCACGCTGTGCTCCACAAGTTCGCCCGTGACCGGTTTTCGCTGAATAAGCTGTTCGACATAATAACAGCTTAACACGCTTACGCTCAGCGAGTTGTTGTTGAGCCACGCACACACACTGCCAAGCAGGCGCACCATCACCCACGCAGCCTGGTCGAGCGTCTCGACGGCTGGATTTGAAAGACTAGGCTCCAGCAGCGCGGTGTCCAGCTTCGGGTTCAGCACCTCCAGGGCGTGGGTACCCTCCAGAAGCTTGAACTGCCGCGACTTGACGATGGAGCCGTACTCGATGGCGGAGGTTATGGAGAAAAACTCGCTGGTTATGTCCTCATAATCGCGGATATTCAGCCGGCTAAGTTGTTGTTCGACGTCCATAAAAAAAAATACACGATCGATCGAGACAAATTTACTCAGGGTCCGCTCGGTGGGGGGAGCAAGAGCTTCTAGAACACTGTTGCCATAGCAACACCACCCACACCCGCTACACCTACCAGTACAGTACATCTAGAATCTCATTGCTATATCCTCAAATAGTCTCCGATAAAACCTTGTTGAGCTTGTTGACCTTGGAGGCGAGCGACAGGTCGACGGACTTGTCGGCCACCTCCACAATCAGACCGCCCAGAATCTCCGGGTTGACCTCGTTCTTGATCTTCAGCGTCTTGCCCGGACCAACGTACTTGGAGTTGGTGATGGACTTAGTCAGCCTGTTGAGGATCTTGCTGTCTAATGGCTTGGCGGAAACAACGGTAGCCTCCACCACGCCGTTGTACGCGTCGTTCAGAACGCCAAACTGCTTGGCAATGGAGTCGAACAGGGACAGCCTGTTGTTCTCGGCCAACACGGTCAACAGGTTGGCCACAACAGGCTCCAATTTGAGCTCCTTGGACAGGATGGAGACGACCTCCTTTCTGGCGTTCAGCGACATGGCAGGGTTCGAGAGCACTTGGGCGACCTTGGCGTCCTTGCTGATGGTGGAGGAGAGTTTCTGGACGGACTGGAACGTCTTGTCGATGGAGGAGTCCTTGGCAGAGGCGGAGAACAATGCGGTGGCGTAGGTGCCGTCCAGTCCGAACAGCTGGACCGGAGGCTTAATTGGGGCAGCAGATGCCAATCTTCTCACGAATTGACGGGACGCAAACATGGCTCGGAATCTGGTTGACAGAGTGTTTTTGGAGGAATGAATTTTTTCATTCGTTGGGCATGAGCGCCCCTGTGCGCGCGAGTTATGCGCCCTGCGTTCAAAATCGTCTGGATGAAAAAAAATAAGACCCATCCATGTCGTTTCTATTCAGGGTTTCGAGAAGAGCCGTGGCTGCGCCGTGGTTCGGCCCGCTGTTTGCGGCCAGGCCGGCGAGCCAGGTGTTTCTCGGCCAAAGAAGCATCGAGCAAACCGAGCTCGAGAAGCAGGACACCATGACCAGAAGACAGCTGGAGCTGTCGAAGGAACGAGTCCAGCTCAAGCGCATGAAGCCTGTTTCGCCGGGTCTGAGGTGGTGGAGACGGCCGGTGTACCCTTACTTGTGGAAAGGCAAGCCTTACAAGCCGCTGACCGTGACAAGGGTCTCGAGATCCGGTCGTAACAACACGGGACGAATCGTTGTGAGACATCGCGGAGGCGGCCACAAGCGCCGGATCCGGCTGATCGACTACCACAGACAGGCTGGTGGGCCTCAGACGGTGGTGAGAATCGAGTACGACCCGAACAGAACGGCGCACATTGCCCTGATCAAGCACAACGAGACGGGCGAGCTCTCGTACATAATCGCGTGCGAGGGGCTCAGAGAAGGCGACGAGGTGGAGTCTTTCCGTTCTGGGATCCCTGAGAGGATCATGAACGAGATGGGGGGCAAGATTGACCCTGCGATTCTCGCGGTGCGGATCTCCAGAAAGGGCAATTGTCTTCCTATTTCTCTGATTCCGGTGGGCACGATTGTGTACAACGTGGGCGAGCACAAGAACGGGCCGGCCAAGTACTGCCGTGCTGCGGGCGCGTACGCGCGCGTGGTTTCCAAGGACCCGGAAAGGAAGCGCGCCGTGGTGCAACTGCAGAGCGGCGAGCAGCGGTACGTGAGCCTGGAAGCGTGTGCCACGCTTGGCGTGACGTCGAACGCGGCCCACCACAACGAGAGCCTGGGTAAGGCAGGCAGAAACAGGAACAAGGGTATCAGGCCGACCGTGAGAGGAGTGGCGATGAACAAGGTGGATCACCCGCTCGGAGGAGGCCGTGGTAAGTCGAAGAGCAACAAGCCGCCTATGTCTCCGTGGGGTGTTCTTGCCAAGGGAGGGTTCAAGACCAGAACGGGCAAGCACGTGAACAAGAACAAGGTGAAGGACCGGCCGCGTGGAAAGCAGGCCTGATGTATATAGTGCGACAATGTAAATGTTGCGAGATCTGAAAAAATTAAGTTTAGAGCTAATTTAATTTAAATAATTAGCTGAACTCACTCAAAGTTGGAGGAGGGAAAGGACTTGGAAAGGGCACAGCGAGCAGTTTCGTAGTGTGTAGAGGCTGGCAGACGACCGCAAGAGTTTTCCGGAGGCTTACCAGCTACAGTCTGCCACGCTACACTATTGTACTCTGCTGCCCCCGTTTTGGCTATGAATTTTTTTTTATTTTTCCTCCAGGTGCATCAACCACAATTTTTTTTTTGACTTGAAAAATTGATTCGGTAAATTCTTTGACTCATCCGCATAGTAGACCCTGCTCTAGATATACCATGCTCAGAGCAAGCTCGTTCAAATCTATGCAGCTCAGACGCTTTAGCGTCTCTGTTCGGTCGCTGGCGGCACAGGTTCTCTCGGGCACCAAGCTGGCCGCCGAGATCCGCGCAGATGCAAGAAAAGCCATCTTGCAAATGCAGCAGGCCAACCCTAACTTCAAACCGTCGCTGACAATCATCCAGGTCGGCGACAGACCCGACTCCTCGGCGTACGTGAGAATGAAGCTGAAGGCGTCGACAGAGTCGGGCGTCGAGTGCAATGTCATCAAGATGCCAGAGGACACAGCAGAGGTGACTCTTTTGAACAAGATCCGAGAACTGAACGAGGACTCGAAAGTGCACGGAGTTCTGGTGCAGCTCCCACTTCCAAAACACATCACGGAGGTCAAGGTCACCAACAGCGTGGCGACGGAGAAGGACGTGGACGGCTTCGACAGATACAACGTGGGGGAGCTGGCCAAGAAGGACGGAGAGCCGCTGTTCCTGCCGTGCACGCCGAACGGGTGCATGCGGCTGCTGGCGCAGACCGGCATTGAGCTGGCCGGCAAGCACGCCGTTGTGATTGGCCGCTCCGATATCGTCGGGACGCCTGTAGCTGCACTGCTCAAGAAGGCCAACTGCACGGTGACCATGTGCCACAGCCGCACGACCAATATCCCAGAGCTCGTGCGCCAGGCCGACATTGTGGTTGCTGCGGTCGGAAAGCCGAAGTTCGTCAAGGGCGAGTGGCTCAAACCGGGCGCCGTGGTCATCGACGTCGGTATCAACTACGTGGATGCTCCGGGCACCAAGAGCGGGCGCAGGCTTGTGGGGGACATCGACTACGACTCGTGTGTCGACAAGGCCTCGTTCCTGACGCCTGTCCCCGGCGGAGTCGGCCCCATGACGGTCGCCATGCTGGTCGACAACGTTGTGCTGGCGGCCAAGCGCCAAATGGAGCGCGAGTCGCGCCCCGTCGAGTGTGTGCCGCTCCCACTTAAGTGTCTCGACCCGGTGCCGTCGGACATCGACATCTCGCGGGCGCAGCAGCCAAAGCATATCACCGAGGTCGCCGAGGAGCTCGGCATCAAGGAGTCCGAGCTCGAGCAGTTCGGCCACTACAAGGCCAAGGTGTCGCTGTCGGTGTATGACCGGCTGGAGGAGAACCGCGACAACGGCAACTACGTGCTGGTGGCAGGCATCACCCCCACGCCGCTGGGCGAGGGCAAGTCGACCACGACGATGGGGCTGGTGCAGGCTCTGGGCGCTCACTTGGGCGTTCCTGCGGTGGCCAACGTGAGACAGCCGTCGATGGGCCCCACGTTCGGCGTCAAGGGCGGAGCTGCCGGCGGTGGCTACGCGCAGGTGATCCCGATGGACGAGTTCAACATGCACCTGACGGGCGACATCCACGCAATTGGCGCCGCCAACAATCTGCTGGCAGCCGCCATTGACACGCGCATGTTCCACGAGAGCACTCAGAGCGACAAGGCGCTGTACAAGCGGCTCGTTCCGGTCAAGAAAGGCCAGAGAAAGTTCACCCCGTCCATGCTGAAACGGTTGCAAAAACTGGGTATCAGCGAGACGGACCCGGACAAGCTGAGCGATGCGGACGCCGCACGGTTTGCGAGACTCGATCTCGACCCCGAGTCGATCCAGATCAAGCGCGTGGTCGACGTGAACGACCGGTTCCTTAGACAGGTCACTGTGGGGCAGGCTCCGACCGAAAAAGGCTTTACGCGCAAAACGGGCTTCGACATCACGGTTGCCTCGGAGATCATGGCCATTCTGGCGCTGTCGCGGGACTTGGAGGACCTGAGAGAGCGCGTGGGCCGCATGGTGGTGGGCTCGAGCCGGACGGGCGAGCCGGTCACGGCGGAGGACGTGGGGTGCGCGGGGGCCATCACGGCGCTGCTCAAGGACGCGGTCAAGCCGAACCTGATGCAGACGCTGGAGGGCACGCCTGTGTTTGTGCACGCGGGGCCGTTTGCGAACATCTCGATCGGCGCGTCGTCGGTGATTGCTGACCGGCTGGCGCTCAAGCTGGTGGGGTCGCACAAGGGTGCTCCCGCCGGCTCTGCCGCCGCTACCAAGGGTTTCGTCGTGACAGAGGCCGGCTTCGACTTCACGATGGGAGGTGAGCGGTTCTTCAACATCAAGTGCCGCGCGTCCGGGCTGAAGCCGAACGTTGTGGTCCTGGTGGCCACGTCGCGCGCGCTCAAGCTGCACGGCGGCGCTCCCGACGTGAAGCCGGGCCAGACGTTGCCCGAGGCGTACACGCAGGAGAACGTGGAGCTTGTGCGCCGCGGCTGCGCCAACCTGGCCAAGCAGATCGCCAACGCCAAGAGCTACGGCGCGCCGGTCGTGGTGGCCATCAACCAGTTTGTCACGGACACGGCCGCGGAAATCGCTGCGATCCAGGAGGAGGCCATAAAGGCGGGCGCCACGGCCGCCGTGCCGTCGAACCACTGGGCGCAGGGTGGAGCCGGCGCAGTGGAGCTTGCGCGGGCGGTGGTGGAGGCCGCCAAGCAACCGAGCGCGGGCAACTTTCTGTACGAGCTCGAAGGCTCGGTGGAGGACAAGCTGGGCACGATCGCACGCAAGATGTACGGCGCGGACGGCGTCGAGCTGTCGCCGCTGGCCAGAGAGCAGATCGCCACGTACGAGGCGCAAGGGTTTGGCCGGCTGCCGATCTGTATCGCCAAGACGCAGTACTCGTTGTCGCACGATCCGAAACTCAAGGGTGTTCCGCACGGGTTCACCGTTCCGATCAGAGAGGTGCGGCTGAGCGCGGGCGCGGGCTACCTGTACGCGCTGGCCGCCGAGATCATGACGATCCCGGGACTCGCCACGCACGCGGGCTACATGAACGTCGAGGTGGAGCACGGCCAGATCGAGGGCCTGTTTTAGTCGTCTATAAACATCATAATCTGTACTCATTAGGAAGCATTGATCTGCTCCGAGATCTTGGCCTGCTTGACCAGGTTCTCCGGGGCGTCCATCTCGTCGAGCATGATCTCGATCAGTCTGACCTTGTCGTTCTTGTTGAAGGCCTCGTCCGCAAACAGCGCGTTCAGCTCCTCGATCGTCGACACGCGGATGTTCTCGTAGTCAACCTTGTCGTGGAACAGCTCGAGGACCTTGAAATGGTCCCATTTCTGGATCATGTTGTACTGCGCAGTAGGGCCGTGGATCAGCTTCTCGATCGTGTAGCCGTTGTTGTTCAGCACAAACAGGTACGGCTTGAGGTTCCAGCGGCAGATGTCCGAGATGGACTGGACGGTCAGCTGCAGAGAGCCGTCACCGATGAACAGGATGCATCTGCGGCTAGGGTCGATCTCCTCGAGCGCAAACTGCGCGCCGGCGGCAGCAGGAAGCGAGTAGCCGATCGAGCCCCACAGCACCTGGGAGATGGCCGTGATGTTGCCTGGGAAATGCGTCTGGGTCACGCCGAACGAGGCCGTGCCTGTCTCGGTGACCAGAACGTCGCCGGAGCGCAGGAAGTAGGACAGTTTCTTCCACAAAAAGTCCTGCGTCAGCTTGCCCGACTTGATGTGGGCCACCTGCTTGTAGTCCTGGACCGACTTTGGAAGCGGCTTAGGCACGTACTCCAGCTTGGCGTCCTTGATCTGCCGGCACAGTCTCTCCAGCACGTACTTCATCTTCAGGTCCTGGTACGTGGCGGCGCGGACTTTGCAGAAGTCCGAGTGGAACTCGACCACGTTGGTGGTGTGGTAGTTGTACGAGAACGAGCCGGTGTTGAAGTCCGACAGCAGGCCGCCGACGCTGAGGATCAGGTCGGACGACTCGACGGCCTCCTTCACGTCCGGGTTCGACAGAACTCCGATGTACACCCCGCCAAATCTGGGGTGGTCCTCGCTGAACGCCGACTTGCCCATAGGCGTCGTGTACACGGGGAAGTTCGTGGCCTCGACGAATTGCGCCACAAGGTCCTGCACGTCGTGTCTCGACGCGCACGCGTCCACCAGCACAATAGGGTCCTTGGCCTCCACAATCTTGCTGTAAATGGCGTCCACAATCTCGTCCTCGGCAAGCTTGTCGTTAGGAGGCAGCGTCAGCTGCAGCGGCGTCTTGAGCAGCTCGGAGTCGACCAGCTGGTCCACAAAGTTCGAAGGCAGTGCCAGGTACACCGGTCTCTTGGTGGTGTAGGCGGTCACGATCAGGTCGTCCACGACACCCGGAGCCTTCTGGATATCGTCGATGCCGGCAAGCTTCTGGTTGATGTGCTTGGACATCTCCTCGAAAACGTCGAACCGGCCGTTACCCAGCGTGTGGTGGAGCAGCAGCCTGTTCGAGATACTCGACAGCGAAGGCGTGCCAACAATGTTCAAACATCCGACGTGCTCAGCCATCATACCGGCAACGGCATTGACCGCCGACAACTCGCCGACACCAAAGGTGGTCACCAGACACGACAGGCCGTTGATACGCGAGTAGCCGTCCGCAGAGTAGCCTGCAACGAGCTCGTTCGCATTGCCGGCCCATCTCAGGCCGTCCACGGTGTAGATGTGGTCCAGCAGCGCCAGGTTGAAGTCACCGGGAACGCCGAAAATGGTGTTCACTCCGGCTTGCTTCACACGCTCAAACACATAGCGGCCAAAGGGAATTTGAGGAGGTAGTTGAGATGAAGACATTTTGCAATGGCTGTAAGGGGCGGTTGCTACACCTTTTATACGGTTTTCGGATCAATCTAGGCAGCAAGTAAATCACACCATGCCACCCGTATGCACGAAAGCCGCACGGGTGCCAGAATTTTGAAAAGCAGCTAGCTATCTGTAGCACAGGTGAGGGGAAGGAACATGACCTCAGATCGCGGCCGCAGAGCGCGCACGACAACGTGCGCATAGAAGACACAAGCTTGTGCGACGGCGAGGGCAGGGGCGCCTGTTTTTGCCCAAAGGCGTTTTCGGACTCTGTTGCTCCTATCCCGCAGGGGCTGCCACGACCGGTGGATAGTATAGGTCCGTACCGTTATTTGCCGTCACACCATTTCCTGCGGGCTTACGTAAAACGCTGCTGCGCGAAAGATCTCCAGGGCTGTGCCGCTGGAGTCCGCCACGCTTACCTAATCGGCCCAAAATATTCGACTTTTATTTACTTTATTGTCTTGTTTATGAGTGCGCCGGGCGAGACGGGTAAGTTTAGCGGCACCGGGTTCTAACGCCAGAATTTGACCTCAATTCGCTGCGCGTGGTCGACCTGAAAAAGATCCTGCACAAGCGCGGCGTCTCCATTCCCAGAAGCGCGCGAAAGGCAGATCTTATCGAGCTGCTTAAGGCCCAAACAAGGACCGTTGAGGGCAGGACAACGGAGCAAAAGGCAGACCAAAGCGGAAGTAGCGAGGATGAGACTGACATAAGCTCTGGGGCAGACGAGGAGCGGAAAGCGGGGGATACAGATCCCCCCGGGCCGGAACACAAGCCAGCTGCTGCTCGTGTTTCCAGCCCGCAGGTGCCCCCGTCAAAAGTGACCAAGCCGCGGGCCAAGATCCCCAGGCCCAAGCGTGTTTCGAATTTGCCGCCTGCGAAGGCCAGTTCTCCAGCCAAAGGAAAGATCAAGAATTTGGTGGGGCAAAGCGTGCCGCAGAAACGCAGCCTGGAAGACGGGAACGACGACGCCGACGCTACGGTGCACAAAGAGTACTCGAAGATCTTGAAGAAACAGACCAACCACAAACGCGTTTTCTCCTCCTCGGCAGCAACTACGCCTAACAACTCAACAATTGTGTCTCCAAAGAAACAGACGAATGTCAAGGTGGAATCAAGTCCAAGCTTCAAAAACGGGCACGAGACGCCGTCCAAGGAAGCCAGCCAAGAAGAAAATACTGTGGTTATCCACCCCAAGAGCGAAGCGTCTCAAACCCCGCCTCCTGCAGATACGCACCACGACGAATCCTTCGTGGTACCAACTCTACCCTCTTCGACGCCGATGGTGTTTAACAGCCCTCGAAAACCGATTCCTCCGCTCGATGTTTCCGATTTTGCTGCGCAGCTCCAAAAACTGTCTGGCCCTACAAAGCCAATATCCTTGGATAGACCAGAGGAACAAAACTCGTCAAAGCCAGAGTCGCCAGATAGCACCAATGACGAGGAGGTGCTGACACAGCTGCAACATGAGATTGACGTCACTCAAGAACAGATAGAGGAGAAATCGAAACAGGCTCTAAAATCGATCGGGGCGGCTCCGCCATCCAATCTCGTCTACAGACTCGTGACTGCTTGGCTTTTGACACTGAGCCTGATGTATGCATTCACATCTTACCGCGAGCAACGGATAAGAATCGGTTTCTGCGGTTCTGAAGTGTACAGTCCGCTGTTTGAGTACGATAGAAGAGCTCATCCGGTAATTTCTCAGTACTTGGACAAGATTGAAAGCATATTCACGCTATCCTGCGTTCCGTGTCCCGAACATGGGCAATGCTTCCCCTATTCGAGACTCTACTGCGATCCCGATTACACCATTTACAAACCACTCAAGTCGTTATTTGGGATCATACCAACATACCAGACCTGCGTTCTGGACTCCGTGAAGGTGAAAAAAATCGACAAGATGGTCAAGTTGGCAACCGATCTGCTGAATCGGCGAAACGCCGAGTACAAGTGTGGTAGAGGTGAAGACCACGAGGTCGGGATGACCATTCCACATTTGCAAAACTACATCATCGAGACTTTTGATTTGAAAGACGACGATTTCGACTACTTGTGGGAGAAGACGTTTGCCGTGCTCAAACAGCGCCCGGAGCTCGTGATTGGAGATAACTTTATTCGGTCAACCTCGCTGTCAAAGCTGTCAATCAAATGCAGACTCATCAGGATGTTCATGGACGTGTTTGTCCGTCTCAAATGGCACTTGCTAGCACTGGTGCTTTTTGCTTCCTTGATAAAATACATGAGTGTCAAGTTCACCCAATACAGGAACAAACGGATCTTGGTGAACGAGCTGACGACGAAGACCATTGAAAAGTTGCGCAAACAGGCCGAGCTGTACCGACTGGGCCAGTCGTCACAGCCTTACATTGGCAAAATCCAGCTGCGCGATTACTATCTGATAGACGCCTCCCTGAGCGCAAAACAGAAAGCCAAGGTCTGGAACGAGGTCAGTAAACATGTGGAGACCAATTCAAATGTGAAAACCTACATGACGGAGGTGCGAGGCGAGATGTTCAAAGTTTGGGAGTGGATAGCCACCATCTGAAACTGCCTGGTGCAAGGATGTCGCTTTCGAAACAAATATTAGTCAAATTTGGTTCTGGTCGAAATTTTTTCTGGTGTACCAAGATCTGAAGAAGACTCCAGTGTTTCGATTTTCACCATCATGTCTTCATTCGGAACAATATTCAGGGTGACCACCTACGGCGAGTCGCACTGCCGTTCTGTGGGGTGTATTGTGGACGGCGTGCCGCCCAACATGAGTCTGACTGAGGACGACATTCAACCTCAGTTGTCTAGAAGACGCCCGGGCCAATCCAAGCTGACCACGCCTAGAAACGAGAAGGACAGAGTTGAGATCCAGTCTGGAACTGAATTTGGCAAAACGCTTGGAACTCCCATCGCCATGGTTGTCAGGAACGAGGACCAGAGACCAAAGGACTACACAGAGATGGATGTCTTTCCTAGACCTTCGCATGCTGATTTCACGTACCTCTCCAAATACGGAGTGAAGGCCTCGTCTGGAGGAGGCAGATCGTCGGCCAGAGAGACTATTGGTCGTGTTGCTGCAGGAGCCATTGCCGAGAAGTTTCTCAAACAGGTGAACGACGTTGAGATCGTGGCGTTTGTTTCTGGTGTTGGAGAGTGTCAGATCGACCGTTCTGTGCAGAACCCAGAGTTTATGGAGCTTTTGTCGACCATCACGAGAGAAAAAGTCGACCAGTCCGGCCCTATCCGTTGTCCTATTCTCGAAAAAGCCGACGAAATGACCCGTCTTGTCGTGGACTGCAAGGAGCGCAACGACTCCGTGGGTGGCATCGTGACCTGTGTCATACGAAATGTGCCTATTGGTCTTGGGGAGCCGGCTTTCGACAAGCTGGAAGCCATGCTTGCTCACGCGATGCTCTCGATTCCGGCCACCAAGGGCTTCGAAATCGGCTCTGGTTTTGAGGGAACCAAGATGAGAGGGTCTGAACACAACGATCCGTTTGTGAAGAAGGGAGGCAGGCTTGGCACTGCCACGAACAACTCGGGAGGAATCCAGGGCGGCATCACGAACGGAGAGAACATCTACTTCAGTGTTGCTTTCAAGCCTCCAGCTACCATTTCGCAGGAACAACAGACCGCCAGCTACGAGGGAGACGACGGGGTGCTCAAGTCGCGCGGAAGACACGATCCCAACGTCGTTCCACGTGCCATTCCGATCGTCGAGGCCATGGCTGCTCTGGTGCTTGCCGACTCGTATCTGATCCAGAAGTCGCGCGAGTCTACGTTCGGCTCTGTGTACTAAAAAATAAGCGTTAATTATTTACTCCTCTTCGTCGTGTTCGTTGCTGGCTGTGCGTTTCCGCGGCCCGTCGGGGTCAGGGTTAGTGACTCTGAGCTTGGAACGTCGTTTGGAGCTCACCAGAATTTGCACGTCCAAATTCTCCAGGTCCGGCTCCGGAGGGGGCAGGAAATCCTTGGACCGGCCGGGCATCGCCATGAGGGGCGCTCTGTTGTGGAACACCAGCGACGTGGTGCGTGCTGCTGGCGGCGGCGAGGCCGGCCGAGAGCCTGAGCTCTCGCTTTTTTCGCAGATGGTCGAGTTGGAGGTCATCGAGTGCGAGTCTGCTGCGGCCTTCAGTTTGAAAGAGTTGAGAGACGAGTCCTCGGGAATCAGATGGAGGGCGAAGTTAGAAGCCTCGGCGGGCCGCAAAACAGGGATGTTGGTGAGCTGTGGGCTGTGGCCGGAATCGTCCGGCGGCGTCTCTGCCGTGAAGAAAGAACGGATGCTGGACTGGTACGAAAAGCTGCGTCTTAGTGAGCGGCCCAGGGAGTACGAAATCGTGGACAGCGACCGTTTGAGGGGGGACACGGGGCTTTTTTCCGCCGGCTCCGGCGTTGGATCCGGCTCGACGTCCGTGTCCTGGTCCTGGTTGACCATCTCGGACTCCAGCTGCCATCTTTTGCGTTTCCATGAGCTGATGGATAGATTATCGCCGTCGTCGTAATTATTGACCTTGACGTGGTTCCCAAAGTATGATGTGTTTTCCTTCTCCGCTCCGTGCGAGGCAAACGTCGTCGACGACGAGTTGCCGGCCTGGTAGAACTCCATGATGTCTTTCAGGTCCTTTTCCTTCTGCTTTTCTGCCTCACGTGACTTGTATTTTTTGTAGAGCCAGACTGCCACCAGGGCGATGATGGTTGCTGCGAGGGCAGGTATCAGCACAGACAGCGCAATGACCAGGCTTTTGCTGGACTTGCCCGGCGTCTTCTTCGCCAAATTTGAATAATCTACCGACTCGAGCACCTCGAAACTCGTCGTGTTGTACAGCGTCAGGGTGTAGTTTGCACTGTCTCCATTTACCACAACCAGCGTGTCGTAGATCACGGCAGCGCCGACCATGTCGTCCACGCTCAGCTGGCTGTTGTTGGCGTTGTTGGTTTTCGAGTTTGCGAGACTCACAGTGGTGTCCAGCGACGTCCACGACCAAGAAGATCCCACGTCCAATCTGGCAAAATTTGGCGAGCTGTACGTACCAGAAGAGAGGCCTCCTCCGACCATCAGCACAAAGTCGACCGAAAAGTCGCTGTAGTTGCTGCTGAGATATTCCTCGGTGATCATGTTGCTGGAGAAAACAGGCAGCAACAGCGCCCCGGCCCTCGAGTTGATGGTGTCTGTTTTATCTACCGATACGCTCTTAAATCCCCACGACTCGTACTGCCACACCGCCAGCTGCTTCAGGCTCACCCAGCCGCTTGCCGTCTTTCCTCCGACCAAAACAAGAGTGTTGTGGTTGATCAGCAGCGACGAGGAGTCGTAGAAACCGGTTGGTTGCAGTGAAGACTGAGTATCTGCTATTTCCAGGGCATTGAGGTCTAATTGCACCAATCGTCCAGAGACTCTGCCAGATGATGAGTTGTAGCCCCCATACACATATACGGAGTCTGGAGCGTCAGGAGTCGCCATGTAGGCGCTACCCGAAAGATACTCCAGCGGCGACCCGAAGTCCAGCTCTTTCCATTCTTGAGTTGTCTCGTTGAATTGGGATACCGTTAAAAGGGCCGAGTCCGAGGTGTTGGTTTCGTAGAATGCATACAGCTTGTTGGAGACCGATATCACTTTACAGTCGTCAGCCGGGAGTTTCCAAAGGTCCGTCACTGTCTGGCCGGTCTTAAACTCGGAATTGAAAGGAAGCATAATCAGCGAGTCATCATGCTGTATGTAGGCCGTGCGGTTATAATAGTTATAGATCGAGTCTGCGCTGACCAGCATCGCCAGCACAAGAAGAACCAGCATGTTCATGGAGAAAGTAGACAGACTGGAATTAATGGAAAAAAAACTATTTATCTTTTACCTAAAATGGAATTTTCATGTACAACATTTCATTATTGTATGGACTATAAAGTCGCCTCCAATGACGATCCGCTTGGCACAAGGCGAAAGCAACAGCCGCGCCTGGCCCATCCAATCGAAAGTCGTCCCAAAACTCAAAACGTTCCGTTATTATAGCATAGTATACTCTTAGGAACCCATATGTAGCCTCCAAAATGCAAAAAATAAAGCCAAAAGATGCAAACCAAACCTAATTTCTTACTCCCTGTTTATCGATCTTCTGCCGCAAAACCTTCAATCTATTGCCAATGCTGTTGATGAACAGCTCGATGATCTTCTTGTCCTCTGCATCGAGCTTCTCGTTGCCCGTGACCGGCTCCTGGTCGTTGCTCAGCAACGCCTCAAGCATCCAGATCGCTGTCGAGTAACTCAGCTCGCAGCCCAGCAGATCCTCGTTCTTAAGTTCGTTCATCGCCGCGGTACGGCTCATTTCCAGAGCTCGATCAAATATCAGCTTCTCCGCAACCACCGGCTTGTTCAGGCTCGAGCCAGACTCGCCGACGAGCTGCTCGTTGGCTTCAGCCAGCCTCAAACGGAGAAACTCAGCCTTCTCAAGCGACTCGTTGAACCGAGACCGTATCCACTGGACGAGATCGTTCAGTTTTGGAGAGGTAGACGGTTTTGACGAGTTTTGATGCCACCAATCACTAGCTATGGACATAGCTCTGGCGAGAAGCGACAGAGTTTCCACATATAAGGCCACGCCTTCGCTGCTGATCGACTTCACCATTGCTGGCGGGAACGCATCGTTTTGGTACATCTCGTCGTAATCCGCCGATCCGGGCGACGAGGACGATGGCGGCAACGGAATGAGCTGGCTGAATTTAACTTCTGCAAACAGGGAGATGGCGTGTGCCATGGTAGCCAGAAGCTCCAACTGATTGATTACTTCTGTGTCTTCAAGCGAGGCCTCTTGGCTTGGCTTCAGAGGCCTAAGCGTCTTTGTAGCAAGTAGGTTCGTAGTCACATTGGTTATTGCCGACTCGATAGCGGCTTGTTGCGATTGTTGAGCTTGCTGTTGCTGCTGCTGTTGCCCAAATAATCTGTTCGAGGTGTAGCCCAAGGCCTTCGTCAAGGCATTGGTAGGGCTGATGGATATAGGCATCTTGCGGTCACTCCAGCTAGGTCTTCTGTTAGATCCCATTGAAGATGTGCGACTCGAGGGGGAAAACCGGCGCTGGTTCTGTGCTCCCGTAGCAGCTGGCTGATTAGCCGTGCTGTGTTCGTTGGCTCCCGAGTGAGGCGACGGAATAGCAACTGCACCTGCACCGGCTTTGGCAAGCTCGTCGGCAATGGCGTTCACTTCCACAGTGCGCTTCTCAACGACAACGTAGTCCTTCTCGTAAACAAAATCGTCCTTGTCTCTTCTTGCACTGGCGCCCTTCTTGATCTGCCCATCCTTAACGGTATCTGGAGGCGGGCTGCTCTTGTTGATAAGCTTCTTGATCACCTCGTCCTTTCCAGAGCCATCCATCGGTTTGGGTATTCTCAAGCCGGCCGCCTTACCAATCAGAAGTGAATCTGTAGGGGTCTTTTCGGCCCTCTCCTCTTCCTCCGATTCTTCTTTTATTGTTTCCTGGGCAGGCTTCGCAGGAGCGGGGTTCTTTGGATCAGGTAGATACTCGCTGATGAACAACTGCTCGTCCACATTAGAGCACTCTAAAGGTTCGTCTGCGCATTGAACGTCGTACACAATCAGCGGGTCATTGAAGAACTCCTGGAAGCCCATTCTCTCGGTTGGGTTGGCTTTCAAAAGGCCACAGATGAGCCTCACAAGGTCATCAGGGACCTCTGCCGACACTGGGAAAGTAATTTCGTCTTTTGATTTTTCGATCTTCCTGAGCAATTCCACGTGATTTGACGCCCTGAAAGGCGGTTTGCCGACTGACATTTCGTAGATGACCGCTCCAACAGACCAGAGATCCGCCTTTGCGTTGTACTTCTCGTACCGCAGAATTTCAGGAGCCATATACAGTGGCGAGCCACACAAGGTCTCAGCCATAGATGTTGATGGCAAGAACCGAGCAAACCCAAAATCCGCAATCTTCAGGACGGGAAGCTCCCACAACCCAGAGTATCCTTTCCTCTTGAACTCCTCCTTGGAATGCACCGGCGGCGAAAGCAGTAAGTTCTGTGGCTTGATGTCTCTGTGCACCAGATTTTGGTCCCTGAGAAACTCCAGCGCAGAGGCCAGCTGCTTCAAGAAGTTCACCACCAGAACCTTGTTCAGACCGTGGCTATTGGGCGGCGACGGGTACCTCTCCAGGATCGAGCTGATCAGCGGATGCGTCTGCACCAGCTGGTCCCTCCGGCGGATGAAGTACGACAAGTCCCCCAGCGAGCAGTACTCCATAAACAGATGGAAGTACTGATCTGTCTTGACGCAGTCCAAGAGAGCCACAATGTGAGGATTCTTTAGGTTCTTGAGAATGGATATCTCGATCTCCAGATTCTCCACCAGCTTCTGGTTCTTTAGACGGCTCCTAAACACAGACTTGACCGCAACTGGGGCTTTCGTCCGGTTGTCGTAGCCCTTATAGACGTTTGCGAAGGAGCCCCGACCGATCTCAGGACCTATCGTAAAGTCGCCAACGACCTGTGCTTGATGTTTGGACATCGGGTTGACTAAGCCTTACAAGGTACCCTTGGTGTCTGATTTGTGCCGCGATATATCGTGTTCAATGTAGTCAAGAAGCCAAACAAGCGTGTCAGTAGATCTGCCGCGTTTTCCAGCCTAGATTCTGCACCAAATCCAGTCCCCAACGCGATAAATCTGTGTACCAAGAATAAAGACTAACAAGGTGTGACTAAATTGTTTTGCCCTTGATAAGAGGGTTAACGGGCTACTCCTGCTTAAGTAATAAAAATAAATTTTCCCCAGTTTGTTTTTTTCTGTCACTCCTTATCAGATAAAACGTTTTACATGATCTCGCTTGACGTGCTGGCGACCGTCTTATCGGTCATGTCGACGGTGTGCTGGATCATGGCACAGGCGCCGCAGCAGTTTGAGAACTACAAAAACAAGAGCACCGACGGGATTAGCCCCCAGTTTCTTGTTCTCTGGTTTTTTGGCGATCTCACCAGCTTCGTCGGCTGCTATCTCACCGACCAGCTCCCATTCCAGCTCTATCTCTCGTCATACTTTCTCTTCAATGACGTGGTGCTGCTGTATCAGTTTCTGCACTATGGGGGCCGCTTGAGAGTCCATTCCTTGGCGGCGATGCTGCAGCTGATCTGGTCGAGATTTGTCCCTGTGCGGGCCGCCGACCCCGTCGCATCCACCAAACACACGTCAATTGGCACCGCTGTTGCATGGTGCTGCACGTTCATCTACCTGGCGTCCCGGATACCGCAGCTGGTAAAGAATTACCATAGAAAGTCGGTCCAGGGCATCTCTCCTCTGCTGTTCGCATTTGCGCTCATGGGCAACCTCACCTACTCGCTCTCGATTGTGTGCAACGCGGGCGCCCTCACACCCGACACAAGAGCAGTGTTTCTCAAGACAGAGTTGCCATACATCCTTGGTAGCAGCGGAACGGTTTTATTCGATATACTATATTTCTACCAACGCTGGCTGTATGTGCGGCCACACACATACATGGTGCTTGTGGAGGAGTGACTCAGAAAAAGCCCTGGCCCATTCCCGTCTGTCCCGGCTGGCCAGTCGGCTGGTTGTACGCAGACAACACCTGAGCGTTGGCCAGCTGTCTTTGTTGCAACAACTGCTGCTGTTGCATCTGCTGCATCTGCATTTGCATCTGCATTTGCGCCTCCATCTGCGCCTGGTTCTGGTCCATATACTGCTGTCCGTTCGAGTCGATATAGTACACCTGCCCGGTGTTTGGGTCGATGTACTGGTAGATCTGCACCTCCGGGGCGCCAGTCTGGGCCTGCTGCACCTGCTGCACCTGCTGGGTCGGGCCGCCACCGCTCAGCCAATCGACGTCGGTCGCACCGGTCTTGGCCGAGTCCAGAAGAGCGCCAGCCGTAGCTCTCCGTCTAGGAAGCGGCGGCGGAGTCTCTTCCTTCTCCTTGGCCAGAATACGCAGCGCGAGCTTGATATCGCCGCCGCTGCGTTCCAGAGCGTCCAAGTTCCGCTCCTCGTCTTCGAACCCATAGTCGTATCTCAGCTTGCGCGAGAGATCGGCGTACTGGCCACGGCTCGAGCTGCCCCGCCGCAAGCCTCTGCTAGAGCCGTACTCATCCCTGCCTCGCCCGCTGCGCCGACTGTCGCTCCTGCTCAGCCTGTAGTCTGCTGGATCGATCGGAGTGTTCCGGAACAGGCCCTTTATGTACTTGTTACGCAGATAGAGTGTAATTGCGCCCTTGTCGTCTTCGTCGTACGGGAACGGCTCCTTGTGGCTGTTCCACAGCCGCTGGTTCTTCTTGTTGCCCATCGACGCCAGTGCGTCCAGCTCCTGCGTCGTCCAGACGTCCAAACTCAGAGACTTGACCTGCGAGACGTCTGGGCCGAGACTCCGGTGGATCGAGGCGCACCGGCCGCACAGGAACACCCCGAGGTTCCAGGACGCCCACATTGGATACGCTGCGCCGCACTCGCCGCACTTGTTGCGGTTGACGCGCGCGTTCAGCATCTCCAGCAGCCGCTGTTCCTGTTCTGTTCTTTTGACCATAATATTAACAACAATTTCTGAAAAGTAGCTTACATAAGGGGAAGAGGAAGCAGCCGGAGAGCAGGCTGGCCCAGGCGGACAGCGCCTTGCCGGGTAAAGAGAGCCTTCCACACGCTTGCGCTGAACGCGAGGCCAGCGGGAACACGCTGCAGACCGTTCTGGCCGCGTTATCGCCGTACTCGCCGCCGTCTGGACCCTTGCCTTTTTCTATCCAGGCTGTGCTCGAAAAAAGTTCAAAGCCTACCAGTGCTCGCAAACATGAACTGCATCCGGCCGCCAAGAGCGTCTGCCGTGGCACGAGCGCATCTCCGGCGCATAGCCACGGTGCCCATGATTTTTGAGGGCGCACCCGCGGACCACCACTTCATTGCGATGTCCCCCGCCGGTGAACCGCTGCATAAGGTGCTAGCTCTGAAGGACACGCAGCCCGTTGCAGAGCTGTGCGAGCGGGCGGCAAAGGGGTTCCTCTTGTGGAAGGCGATGAGCGTGAGGGAGAAGCTCGGCATTTACGACAGCATCATCCGCCAATTGGAGGCCCAGAAAGACGAACTGATCCAGGCCCACGTGGAGATTGGAAACCCCATGTACATGGCGGAATTCAACTACCACGGGACTCTGGACAACATTCGCCATTACCGGTCAATTCTGGACACCCGTCCTGCGGGGACCATGCCTGTGCAGAACGCCAAAATAGAGAGCACCGGTGAAATCTCTATGGTGGTCAACGAGCCGTTCGGACCTGTGCTGAGCATAGCCGCGTGGAACGCGCCGCTGATTCTTGCCACGCGCGCGATCTTTGCTCCGCTCACAGCCGGCTGCTCGGTAATCGTCAAGTCCAGCGACTTGTCGGCCCGGATCTCGCACCTCGCCGTCCAGGCGTCGCTGGACGCCGGAGTCCCCAAAGACGTCTTGACGCTGGTGCATTGCGAGTCGGCGAAATCCAGGGAGATCGTTGGCGCGCTCATTGCGAACAGAAACGTGAAAAAGGTCAATTTCACCGGATCCACCCGCGTGGGCTCCGAAGTAGCTGCGGTGGCAGGAAAACATCTCAAGCCGGTGCTGCTGGAGCTCGGCGGGAAAAACTGCTCCATCATCCTGGACGACGTCGCAGACCTCGAAGAAGCTCTGCGGACCAGTCTGTGGGCCAGCTGGGCCCACAAGGGACAGATCTGTATGTGCACGGACCTGATTTTCGTCTCGGAAAAAAAATATCCACGGGCTGCCCAGATGCTCCAGAAAATCGCAACCGAAACCATCGCCGCCGACAAAACTCTAGCGATACCGCAAAGAACAGCTGCACACGCAGAGTCGGCAAAAAAACTCGTCAGCGAAGCGCTGCAGGACGGTGCAAAGTTGCTAGCAGGCAGCTTGGACCTCTCTGCTACCAGTAATTTCTCCCCCGTCGTTCTCGCAGATGTGACGCCGCAAATGAAGGTCTACTCCACAGAGACGTTTGCCCCTGTTGTGTGCTTGGTGAAATATAAAGACGTGGCGTCGGTTGCTGACCAGGTAAACGCGCTGAACTACGGACTAAAGTGCTCTATCTGGACCAGCCAGGGTCTCGCAGCACACAAGCTGGCCGGCCAGATAGACTGCGGCTCTGTCCATGTGAACGCGCCGACCGTTCTCGACGAGCCGCACCTCCCCCACGGCGGCACCAACAAGTCCGGCTACGGCAGGTTCAACTCGCACTGGGGCGTTTCCGAGTTCCAGTACCCGAAACTGCTCACCGTGAAGGTGTGATTACGTAAGCACAGCGACCGCTGGAATATCTGGTGATCGGCTCTGCGAATAAAATAAATGCTTTTTAGAGGACCGATCGCACGGGCCTGTGTGCGGCCAGCTTTTGCGCCCTCCACGGCAACTAGAGGATTCCAGTCTGTGTACCATGTGGAGAGCCCGATCATAGACGACTCCAAGCTCGAAAACCAGATTTTGGGCCGGGCATACAACAGGTTTGTCCCCGAGCACGGCTTCACGAGGCAGTCTGTGGACCTGGCCATTGCGGACTTGCAGTTGAGGCCAGAGAACCTTGTCGGGCTGTTTGGGATAGGACTGCAGGTGTCCGACGTGGTCAACGAGCTGATCATGTACCATCTAAAGCACACTAGAGCCAATTTAAGCAAGTACCACGACGAGGCCGGCCGGCTGGCCACTGAGGGTGCGAAAGTGCGGTTCTACATGCAGAAGAGGCTGCTGGACAACGTGCCGATTATCAAGTATTACCACCAGGCGCTTGGGCGCATGATTCTGCCCACAAACCTGGGCACCTTTCTGACAGAGCTGCAGAATCTTTCGGACGATATCACCTACTACTCCGGCGACAAATCGAACGATTTTGCGTGGTATTCCAAGAGGTTTGCTCTGGCAGGCGCGTTCGTGCAGTCAGAGCTGTTTATGGTGGGCGACACCACGCCAGACCATTCCGCTACTATCGGTTTCATGAACGATAGAGTATCCGACATCGAGACCCTCGGATATGCGTACAATTCGATGGAGGAGTGGGCGATTTTCAACGGAATCAGTCTCGTCAATCTTATCAAGAGCCAGTTAGCGCGGGGGTGAACTTGTTCGGTGATATATAGGCATAATCATGCACTTTGAGCACTCATAATAGCACCTTGTAATTTGGATAGATCCTGCTGGTGCTGCTGGATTTTCTCCTCGACACGCTTGATGTCGCCGCTGATAAACTCGATTCTCTTGTCCACGTTCAAATTGGCCTCTGCGTTGTCCTGTGGCAGCAACACCGGCCCCACAAGCTTGTATATTTTGGCGTCGTCGTCGAGAGTGTCGAACTCCTGTTTGACGATCTTGTTCTCCTGGAACTGCGTCTCGAGCTTTTGCCTGGCTCGCACGAGCTCCGTGAGCTCGGCCTGCAGCTTGGTGTACTGTTTGGACAGGTCTTCCATCTGGGTATTGGTGGACATATTAAGAAATACTGGATCTAAAATAATTTATTGTATTTTTTCCTCGTTTGCCTTTCATGGTACGTTAAAACAATTTCGCAAAACTAATACCTAGCTGAGACCGTTCCAGGACCTGCCCGCTCCCAGGCACATTGTCCAGGATGAGGACCTGTTGCTGGAGAAAGAGCCCATAATACCCACCATTACGGTGGATCACCATATACACACCCAGAACACATACTTCGTTGCCGTTCCCGAGGTGCTCAGAACAGTTTACGACGCGCTGTTGCAACTGGCGCCGTCCAAGGTGGTTTCCTCGATCAAGGTCAGCTTCCCAGAGCTGGAAGAGCAGGAGGAGGTCGAGGAGTTTGACGACGAGGAACAGCTGTACAAGTCGTCGACGGCGGTGCTGGCACAACAGGACTCCAAGACGATCGAACTGCGCCAGACCAGGCTCAACAACCAGGACATAAACTTCCTGCTTGTTCCCGTGTTCAAGAACAAGCTGATCTACAATCTTGTGGCGTCCGCGTTGTTTCAGCATTTCGGCATTTCGAAGCTTGTGTGTTTTGCAACCAGCGAGCTCAGCGGCCTGCACACGCTCAACAAACTTGTGTCGCCGAATTTCAAATTGCCGCGCAAAGAGCTGCTATTGGAACAGGTGCCTGACATGCGGCCGCCAAACTTCATCACAGGCGCTCCCGGAGCCCTGGTGTCGCACGCAAACATCTACAACGTGGAGGTGGCAGCCATCGCAGTCTCTGCAGAGGGCGCGTTCCAGCTCGATATGGAGAAGTTTGACGTCGCCGCGCTCGTGGATCTGGCCGCCGTGGTCGACGACTACCTGGGTCTGGGGGGAGACTACGTCCAGATCGTCAGGGAACTCGCAAAGGTGAAAAAAGCAGGCAGTGGCAGCAACGCGTTGTATATATAATATGGCAGCCCGATCAAAAGCGATCGATTACCCTACTTGTACACCGCCTAGGATTAAAAAAATTTTCCCACTAGTTTTTTCAAGTTTAGATTTAGGAGCTAGTCTTTGTATCCTGGCTTTAATACTCGCAACCAACATGGCAGGACTAGATTACCTTCTCTTCGAGGAGGCCACCGGATACGCCATTTTCAAGGTGAAACTGCAACAGGACGAGATCGGCTCGCGGCTCAAGGAGGTCCAGGCCGCATGTAACGATTTGGCAGCATTTTCGAAGCTGGTGGAGCTGGTGTCGTTTGCGCCATTCCAGGGCGCTGCGCAAGCGCTGGAGAACGCCAACGAAATCAGCGAGGGCCTTGTGTCGGACTACCTGAAGTCTGTGCTCGAGCTGAACATCCCTAAGGGCTCGAAGAAGAACAAGGTCGCTCTTGGTATTTCCGACAAGGCGCTGGGTCCTTCCATCAAAGAGGTGTTTCCGTACATCGAGTGCTACTCCAACGAGGTTGTGCAGGACCTTTTGAGAGGAATCCGTGTTTTCGGAGCCAAGCTGCTCAAGGGACTGCAAGAAGGAGATCTGGAGAGAGCACAGCTTGGTCTGGGCCACGCTTATTCCAGAGCCAAGGTCAAGTTTTCTGTCCAGAAGAACGACAACCACATCATCCAGGCAATTGCTCTGCTCGACCAGCTGGACAAGGACATCAACACCTACTCGATGAGAGTCAAGGAGTGGTACGGCTGGCACTTCCCGGAGCTTGCCAAGATCTGCAACGACAACCAGCAATATGCGCAGCTCGTGCTGTACATCAAGGACAAAACCTCGCTGACAGAGGACAGTCTGCACGACCTGGCCGCCATTGTGAACGAGGACGCGGGTGTTGCGCAGCAGATCATCGACGCTGCGCGGATTTCGATGGGTCAGGACATTTCCGAGCAGGATATGGCCAACGTGCTCACTTTTGCAGAAAGGACGGTCTCCATATCCGAATACCGCAAGAATCTGTACAGATACTTGACCGATAAGATGCACACTGTTGCGCCAAACCTGTCCGAGCTGATTGGCGAGGTTGTTGGAGCCAGACTTATTTCGCACGCTGGTTCGCTTACCAACTTGTCCAAACAGGCTGCTTCCACGGTGCAAATTCTGGGAGCAGAGAAGGCGTTGTTCAGGGCGCTGAAGACCAAGGGAAACACGCCGAAGTACGGTCTGATCTACCATTCTTCGTTCATTGGCAAGGCGTCTGCCAAGAACAAGGGACGAATCTCCAGATACCTGGCCAACAAGTGCTCGATTGCCTCCCGAATAGATAACTACTCTGACGAGCCAAATAACGTTTTTGGCCAAATTCTGAAGAAGCAGGTTGAGCAGAGACTTGAGTTCTACGACACCGGAAAGTCGCCAATGAAGAACTCGGAGGCCATCCAGGAGGCTCTTGAGCTTTCGGGCAAGACCGGTGGTGCTGCCGATCTGATTGAGGAGCCAAAGAAGGAGAAGAAGGAAAAGAAGAAGGAGAAGAAGGAAAAGGAGGACAAGAAGGAAAAGAAGGACAAGAAGGACAAGAAGGAGAAGAAAGACAAGAAGAGACACGCTGAGGACGGCGACGAGGACGAGAAGAAGAAAAAGAAGAAGAAGAAGTCCAAAGACTGATTAGGTAGAGCAACGTAGATAAATTGAATTTTTGATCCGATTATGTCAGAAACGTGAAATGGCATCACAAGAGGGTTTAAAAATAAATACCGTTTTGTTCTTATCTATAACCACCTGAGTTTGGTGATTGGTTATTTTAGCAGTCTATTTGCCTACACGACCCGACGACAGTACTCTCCAAGTTGTTGATCCTGGTATTTGCTGAGTTTGCTGGTTCTTTGAATTCACTAAGTGACTCATTATTGCTGCTTTACCCGAGTTTCCATCCTGCCAGCTTTATCTTTTCCTAGATCATGTCATCTCCCACAATGTTTAAACAAAGCTACACCAGGGAAGCTTCCGGCTCCAGCTCCCACGAGAAACAGTCCCTGAGCTTCGGCCACAAGCAGTCGGTGGCTTCCCACTCTCCCCCTTCGCGCAGACGCAAGTCCTCCTTCACTACGTCATCCTCCCCGTACGCTCGCAGACGCTCATTCCTGTCTAAATCTATGCTTGACAACGACAACTTCCAGATATATGAGCTGTCCTCTTCGGCACCGTCGGCGTGCTTTGTGTCGGAAGAGAACGGCTCGCGGGCCAGAATCCCTTCCTTTTCAATCAACCTCACCCAGTCACAGGGTTTCATCTGGAACCAGGACTTGTTCGCGTCGTCGTACCAGCAAGTCCGAGCCGGGCTCAACCCGGACGAGTTCCAGGAGGGTTCCAAGAGCGTCGAGGTGGTAGACATCATTCTTGACGACGACACAGATACCGAGAACCTGGCTGGGTCGCAGAAAGAGCCGGGTCGCGAGAAGAAAGGCCACCAGGAGTCGCACGGGGCCGGCTGCGACGACGAGAGCATTTTTCCGGTTGACTACTAGAGTTCTTTGTTTTGCCGCATTCCATGACCTTACGATACTGTTGCTACGTATATACACCGCGCCGGGTGGGAGCTTGCTGTAGTATGCTTTCTGCTACAGCCGATCGACGCGTCGCTCTGCTTGCTAGTACTCTGAAAAAATTTCCATATCCAACATTTGGCCGTAGTCGAAAAACCCCAGGAATCCAATCTTCGACTGACATTGCCCCGCCCGTCGCCATGTTCAGACTCCTCGGCTCAGCATTCCCGCGCATACACACTCGTCTCGCGTCGACACTGGCCGTACCGGCTGCCAGACAGATCCCGGCTATGATCGCCCGTCCACAAAATATCTCGCTTACAGGCTTCAAATTTGTCAGTCCCATTGTTGCCGGTCTCACAGAATCCCGCGAGCTTGTGCTCTCCTCGGTGCTCCGCAAAAGAAGACTGAAAATGAAAAAACACAAGCTCAGAAAGAGAAGAAAGGCCCAAAGAGCTCTCAGAATTAAGACCGGTAAATAAATGTACATACTCTCAAACAGTCCCTACTATACAGCATCACAGCTCCGTGTCGACGCCCTCAGGATGGTCGTCGACCCAGTTCGAGACCCACTGTGCCAGTCTCGCCACATTCTCGTCCAGCGAGTCGACGTCCTCGCTGTGCAGTTCTATCACGATGCGCTCGTCGTAGTTGTCTCTGGCCTCTGTGAGAAGCACCTCCATGATTTCCACCTCAATGTTTTCGCGGATTTTGCCTTCCTTATACCCTCTCTTGGCCAATCTGTCGTACAACAGGGTATTGTTGCACCGCAGCACCACAACGAGGTCGATCCAGCGCTCTGGAAAAATCTCGCAACAGTGCCAATCAATCACCAGTCCGCCCTTGGTAGCCTCAGGCTCCAGCGAGTCCAGCAGCTTGTCCTCGTCAACAATAGCAGAGTCCCTCTCCTTGTCGTAGCCGTCGATGCACCCCTTGGTCTTTGCGTACTCGCTGACGTTAACATGTGTCAGGCCCTTTACCTGCTCACACAGCGCCTCCGCGTGTGACGTTTTGCCGCAGCCGGGTGTCCCTGTGATGATGATATTGGGCAGTTTTCGAGGCATGATTTGGCTGGATTTTTAATTTTTTTATTTCTGGGCCCAGATACCTCTCTGTTACCCGGTACAGTCAATTTTCAGCAAAAGCTCCAGTACCACAGCTAACCAGAAACAGTCTTCGGCGAGGATTTCTACACGCAGTACACACAAGATTGGCCTTGATTTTTGCATCGGACAGCTTGCAAATGTGTAAGTAGCCGGCGTACGGCGTTATTGCCGCCAAATACTAACAGCGCTAGCTGCTTGGGGAAACAATACCGGTACCGATCATGGTACGAATAATGCTGGGAACAACGATAAATTCCCGGTTCTCGGGGCACTTCCGACACAAACACAGAATAACCACCAGCAGCGACCTGAAGTGACGGACATTCAGCAGCAGATCAGCCAGACACAGGCGGTTTTGAACGCCATTGAACAGGCCAGCAGAAACAAGGCGTCGCTGCTGTCGGGGCTGGGCTCTTCGATCAACGGCTCGACGAAGAGCGAGCCGGAGATGGCCGACATCGATAAATACGGGCTGAAGGGCCTGTTGCCGGTCCTGAAAATGCAGAACAACGAGCTCAACACAGTAGCGACCGGGCTGGACCTCAACATGCTGGGGCTGGACCTGACCCCGAGAAACGACGATGTGCAGATATCCAAGACGTTTGCGTCTCCGTGGCTCGAGACAAGCCGGTCGGAGGTGGAGCCTGTTTTCTCTGTGCCGCAGTCGTTCCAGATAAATAGCGAGGAGCTCGTTTCTGTGGAGAGCAGAATCAGCTCGTTCAACGACGAGACGCTATTTTTCATCTTCTACTCCAAGCCCAGAGACGTGCTCCAGGAGCTGGTGGCCAGGGAGCTCAACAATAGAAACTGGAGATACCACAAGGACCTGCAGGTGTGGCTGACGAAGGACTCGAGCGTCGAGCCGACGGTCAACGGGCCAGGCTCCGAGAACGGCACCTACGTGTTTTTCGACCCGACCTCCTGGGAGTACGTCACCAAGGACTTTGTGCTGTACTACCAGTCCATCATATAGTGTATATTATTTATCTAACATGTGCACGACCTGCAGTGAAAAAGACGTTAATATTTAGCTTTATCTGGTGAGATAGCGTACGATTCTAAAATTTCGCCTCATGACAGAGTTTATAGAGCTTAGTCTCTCGCAGACGGAGCGCGGCTCTGTGGACAGAAAGGGCCATAGACGGTCGAAGAACGGGTGCATGACGTGCAAGATCCGCAAGAAACGGTGCGACGAACAAAGACCCAGCTGTGGGGCGTGCATCCGGCTCAAGAAGGAGTGCAAGTACGTGAGCGAGGAGATGACGAAGGAGGAGGTGCAGCGGCTGCGGCGGGAGTGCAAGATCTTGGAAGCCGAGCGCAAATGTCGCCGTCGCAAGCCGCAGCAGCCTAGACCCAAGACGGAGCCTGTGGGCGAGCCCCTGGGCGGGAACAAGGTCGTTTTCAACCCGCTGTCGGAGATGAGCACCGTTTCCGGCCCGCACGCGGCGGCAGTTTCTGTGTGGAACGCATTTGACGGCATGGAGCAGCTGGAGATAAAGCAAAGTGCCGAGCCGGGCCAGTTGGTGAGCATGCAGCTCAGTCCGTCCTCGTTTGCGGCGAATTTCTCACCGAATTTCGCCAAGTTCCTGAACGAGCTGCCCCTGGACGAGGGCCGACGGCCGTCTGCTTCCGGGGACATGACGCCGCTGCAGCTGGAGACCCCGCCCTCCGTGGCGAGCCCGCTCTACGCGAGCCCGTCGATCGTGACAAACTCGCCGCTCGCGTCGCTGTCCAGCGTGGGCAAGCAGCTGTACGAGTACTACCGCGACAACCTGTGTCACGTGGTGTCGGTGGTGCGCAAGAACGAGAACATGTACCTGCGCACGTTTCTGCCCATGGCACACATGGACAAGAGCGTGCTGTACGGGATTCTGGCCTGGAGCGCGTTCCATCTGGGCGGCAGCAGGATGGAGCAACAGGGCCAGTACTACATCAACCGGGCGATCGAGGTGATTGGAGAGCGGCCGCTGCTGCCGAATGAGTCGCGCGAAAATTACAGGGCTCTGACGGAGGAGCTGCAGGACGAGGAGCTGGTGACCAAGGAGACGGACGAGTTCGACGACTCTATGGCGATGTCGAAGCTGAAGTTCTCAGACATGATCGATCTGCGGCTGGCTGCGCTGATGATCCTGTGCGGAGTGGAAATATGCAAGGGCGACGTGAGCAAATGGGCCAAGTACCTGCACTACGGCGCGAGCCTGATCAAGAAAAAGGGCGGGATCCGGTCCTTCAACGGGTGCAAGGACGAGCATTTTCTGGTGACCAACTACGCGTACCACGACATGATGTCTGCGGCGATTGTCGAGGACCGCCAGCTGCACTTTGCGCTCGAGGAGTACGAGGACATGTGGCTGGCGTCGAACCGGATCCGGTTTCTGGACCCGCTGCACGGGCTGTCGTCGCCGGTGTTCAAGATACTGGCGGAGATCAACCAGCTGGCGGTGAAGACGCGGCAGACGCTGAAACAGCACCACGAGGTGCCGCTGAGCGAGGACTGCGGCGGGGAGCAAAAACGGCCGCAGCGCATGGCGGAGGTCTACGACAAGATCATGCAGGAGGGCTACGCCCTGGACTCCAAACTGAACGAGGCTTCGCCAAACTATATACTGATGAACGACATGGACCCGTCGGACTTCGAGCTGCAGCTGACCATGTTCGAGGCGTTCCAGCTGGCGGCCAAGATCCACCTGCGGCAGTCGGTGCTGCGCATGAACCCCGGGTCGATGGAGATCCAGTACCTGGTGGACCAGCTGACGGCGTCGCTGGACATCCTGGTGGGGACGCGGCTGGTGGCGTGCATCTGCTTCCCGGTGTTCATAGCCGGGATGAACTGTGTGTACGCGGACCGCGAGCAGATGGAGGCGCGCATCGACGACGTGGTGAAGCGGTACCGGTGGAAAAACATCGTGCGGTGCCGGCTGGTGATGAGAGAGGTGTGGAAGGTCAACTCGAACGGCGAGCGGTGGGTCGACTGGTACGAGATTGTGCGCCGGCTGGGCTGGGACTTGAGCTTCGCGTGAATAGAGTAAGTCACACTTTTTGCAGCAGATGGAGTCTGTCGCGGATGGAGTCCATCACGTAGCGCAGGCCCTGCCGAGACTTTTTCAGGTTCTCGTCGAACTTCGACTGCGACCACCGCTCGATGCGATTCTTGATGCCCAGGCCCTGGAACCCGGACGAAAACGTGACCGTGGTGTTGTTTGTTGTCTGGTTCAGCTCGCGGTCGAAGGTGTACTGGTTGTACTCCTGGATCTGGATGATTTTGGTGTGGTCGAGGTTGCGGGTGTACGTTTGCATGGTCTGGCTGCCCGGGTCGACGACGGTGCGCTCGATGATCCAGGACGTGGAGATCTTGCCCAGAAACGGCTTGACCCACTTGGGCAGCCGGCCGGTCTTCATGATGAGCTTGGTCTGGTGGAGACGGCCTTCGGCGTCGATGTGGCGGTCAATTGTGTCGATGGAGAGCACGTGCGACGAGTACGGGTTCGGGTACCGGTTGAAATACGCCAGCGTGGCGGTCTCGAAGGTGTGCGGGAACGTGTGGGAGTTGTGGAAATAGAGCACCATCCGGACGAATAAATAAAAATGAGTTAAATTTTCACACCTCAGGCCAATTACAGGGAGATAAAATATAATGTATTTATTACGGCTATTAGGCTTTCTTTAGCTTGTCCTTCTTTTTGTAGCTGTCGATGTAGAAGGCCGCAAACAGCATCGTCAGCGGGGTCAGGTAGAACACGTTGATGAAGAGCGCGAGCGCCTCCTCGCTCGTCGAGATGCAGCTGCGGTACGTGCCGCTCAGCACGTCCAGGTAGCGCACAAACAGGTGCACCACCGCGAGCGAGCCGCCAAAGACAAACTGGCAGATCTGCAGCGTCGTGAGCGTCTGCTTGAAGAAGCCGCCGAGACGCACCCCCACACACGCCAACGTGTAGTAAAAGTACATGATCGAGTGGATGAATGAGTTGAACACCACAAAGATCCAGATTGGCGGCGACGCAAACCGCGTGCCGGACCACATCGACAGGATGGCGCCCGAGTGGTGGTAGCTCTGCAGCAGCGACGCCGGCCTGCCTTTCAAAAGGATGATCACCGTGTCCAGGATCTCATAGTACTTGGACAGGTAGAACACGTACGAGTAGAAAGCCAGGCCCTTGATTGAGTCGCCCTGGTTATGCCAGATACCGTGGTCGACGTCGCAGATACTCTGCCAGAACAGGTCGACCGGAGAAAGCTCGCTGGAAAGCGAGTAGTAGCGGCCAATCAGGTCCGGGATCAGCTCGTGCGAGTAATAGTAGATTGTGGTGGTCATGCCGAGGAAAGTCCACACAGAGTAGACGCAGAGCGCCACATTGTGGAGCAGCACAAACAGCTTGAAGTAGCGGTTCTTGGCAACGGCATACGGAGCCGACGGAAGACGTTTCGGAACCGCCTGTCCCGGGTTCTTGCTCTGGAACAGCCGTAGCTGTCTGCGAACAACAATCTTGTTCACCAAATGGACAGAAATAAAGTACACAAACGCCACCGTGACGGGCGTAAGATAGTGCAAGGATGCCGGGTAGAACTTTTCCCTCAGAAAGGTGTTGGATGTGTCCAGAGGGAACTCCTTGAACGGGGAGCTCGCGATGCTCGGGAGATGGAACACCTCGGAATTGGGCAGCCAATTCCACGATATCAGCTTGTACGGCAGAGTCTGCTCGATAACGTCCATGGGAGAAAGTGTGCTGGGGCCGACAGGAGGGCAAACTAAAACACGGGATCCAGGAAAAGTTTTCTGTCCGAAATTACCCAGAGCAGGCTTTTATTTTGTTGAACATTGGCCTGGGTTGTGATTACGTAAGCGCCGAAAAAGGGTTGTGTTGGGTGTTCTGTTGCCTGGAGGGGCGTTTCGGTTGAAGGCAAGCGGGGCGTCCGCTGGAGCGGTGCGCCTTGGAGCGCCAAGGCGGCGAAAAAAAGGCGAGTGCAAAAGAGAGGCAAAAGAAAGTGAGGGAGGGAGAGCGCCTCCAAATATTTCTCTTTTGGGCTGCACGGTGCTGTCTACGGCCGGGACGAGGTGTACTGCAGAAAGCCGGGGTATGGGGTAACAAGAGGAACAGTGGGTTGTCTGCGGCGTGGGTGTGTCTGCACGTCGTGTTAAGTTATTTACGAGACGCAGCCCAATCGGAGCAGGAGGACGCGCAAAAGAAACGTGGAAACGCCAGCACACGGAAAATTTTCCTATTGTTGCCACCGGAAAAACTTTTTTTCGTGCTGGTGGGACCAGTTTCGGCGCCCGCCTCTCCCCCACGAAATCCGCGCGGTGGGAAATGTGGGTTCACTCTGGGCCTACATTTCCCAAAATTCCGGGATAAGAGTTAAATAAGATGCGTCTTGCCCTCCGCTGTAATTTTTATTTCTTTTCGCTATGGAAGAACACAAGAAAGAGAACGACCGGCCTTACAAGTGTCCGATCTGCGACAAGGCGTTCCACCGGCTAGAGCACCAAACCCGCCACATCAGAACACACACCGGCGAAAGACCCCACCATTGCACCTTCCCAGGCTGCACCAAAAAATTTTCTAGGTCGGATGAGCTGACCCGCCATCTGCGTATACACACCAACCCGACGGTGCGCAAGAGACGCTCGCAAAACAAAAACATGAAAAACGGCGTCCAGATGCCCCAGCAGCAGCAGCAGCCCCAAATCCTCATGCCGATGGGCTACGATATGATGGGGCAGCCAATTTACCCGCAGCCGGTTCCCATCTATATCATTCCGCAGGGCACGGCGATCCCGCTGTCCGCGTACCAGAACAACGGCGGGTCGCCGCAGATCGTGGTCAGCGGGACGTCGCCAGGCCAGTTCCAGAGCGCACAGAGCACCCCGACCAGTCCTGGCCAGCACCCTGGCGAGGCGCGGCCGCTGACGGGGGTCAAGTCGACGCCGTCGCTGCAGTCGTATTTCGGCAGCCACGCAACAGACTTCACGCCGCCGCAGTCGTCGCTGTCGTCGCGCACCAGCTCGTCGAACTCGCTCCGCTCGCTGGACTCGTCCTCCTCCACGCTCGCCTCCGGCACCCCTGCCGCCAAGGGCGCTGTGCCGCCGCTGTCGTCGCTGTCGTCGCTGCAGCGCATGACGCCGATCCGCATGTCGTCCTCGGGCTCTGTGCCGCGCGTGTCGTCGATGCTGTCGCGCTCTGTCTCGTCTGCGTCGCTAGCGACGCTCGTCCACGACGACACCCCAGCCAAGAAAAAATCGCGCCCTAGTTCCCCCACCCTACTCGGCAACGCCAGCAGCTTCAATTCGGCAGAGTCCATCGACCGCTCCATGGCCATCTTCAACATCACCTCGCCCTCGGAAACGCCGCTCACCACCCCGATGCACTCGCCCACCCTCAAGCCCGCCACCAGCTCCCAGAACATCCACCTCCCGCCCATCAGCTCCATGGTGCGTGGCATCGCCGAGCTCGACGAGGAGCTCTTCCACAGAAAGCTCCCCCACAGCCCGGAAGAGCGCGCCAAAGACGTCCTCAGCAGAGTCCCTGCTCCGCCGCGGCCCGTGCTCTCCAAAGACAACTCCAGCAGTTCGGGCATCCTCACCATCGAGAACCTCGTCAACAAACAGTGATACTCCCTTAATTCTCTATAGATACCGAAATACACCTTACTTGCTACTTCTGCGTGCTCGCGCTGCCGATGCCCTGTTTCGTCAGCTTCACCGTCGCCTGGATCGGCTCGGTGATGCCGCTGTTGGTCCTGCCCAGCGCGCTGCCCTTCTGCCACCCCATCTTCTCGAGCAGCTGCCGCCCCACGTTGTCCGCGCTGATCTCCGGCGCCGCCGCCGCCACCACGTCGCCCTCGCGCGGCGCCCACTTGCGGCCCTGGCCGTGCTCCTTGCTGCTCTTCTTGCGCTTGTTCTTCAGCTCCATGATCTCGTCTTTCGACAGGTGCACGTCTGTGCGCCGGAAAATCGGCCGCTGCTTCATGATCCGCGCAACCTGCGAGTAGTCCGGTACCCGCTTGTACGTGTGCTTCGTCTTGATCGCCACCAGGTGCGTCTTCGGCCCGTTGCCCAGGCTGCGCGGCTTGAGGTGGTAGCACTCGGCCAGTTTGCGCAGCGTGCGCAGCCCGTGCGGGTCCAGCGGCGGCCACTGCAGCGTCTCGCGGCTCGCGTCGTGGTAGAAAAGGTCGTACTCGTGCTTCATGTCGCGCACGTGCAGCTCAAACGGGTACTTGGCCAGCAGCTCGCCGGTGCCGTTCGCGACGCTGCGCGGCTTCTCCTTTGACCGGTGCCGCCTGGAAAAACTCTCCAGAAGCGTCTGCCGCAGGTCCTCGTCCATGTCTTCCTCCAGCACCAGCCGTTTCTTGCGGCCCTTGCCGGTCGTCTGCAGCGACGCCGTCGGCTCCGCGAGCTCGATCGGGTCGTTGATCACGCGCGACGAGTAGAACGCCACCATGTCGTCGACGCCAGACCCGTCAGAGTCGTCGTCGCTCGAGGCCGGCTCCGGCAGCGGCTCCGGCTCGCGAAGATGCTCGGTCGCGTACTCGAAAAACGCGGCCACACGGTGTTCCGGCAGCCCGTGGTCCACGAGCAGCTCCGCGAGGTCGTCTCTGTCGAACCACTGCGTCTCGTCTTCCAGAAACGCGCAGCGTGCGAAGTACTGCGTGGTGGCCGCGCCGTAGCGCACGTTGTCGATGCGCACGAGATCCACGTTGAACGCGTAGTCGTCGGCGTCGTAGCCGAACGGCACCGGGCCTTCAGCGGAGGAGGCGTCCGACTCCCTGAACGAGCCCGCGTCGTTGTCTATGTCGTATATCGCCTCGCCCGCGTCGTCGGACTCGGGCAGCTCTCCGTGGGTTTCGCGGGGGGAGTCAGCTTCCTGCGCACTTTCGCTCTCGTCGGGCTCTCCCGGCCCTCCCTCCTCCTCCTCCTCCTCCTCCTCCTCTATTAGCGTCTGTCCCTCCTCTTCTGTCTGCTCGTCCCCCTCCAGGTGCATTCCTCGCACCCCCTTCAGCAGCTGGCGCGGGTCGTACACCTCGCGCGCCTTGACGAACTCCATCGGCAGCTTGCGCAGCGGCCGTTTCAGCGTCTCCTCGCGGTGACGGCCCGTGAACTCGACCTCCCGGGCCATGTGGCCGGCCTGCAGGTCCATCAGCTCGCTGAACTCGCCGTGCGGACGGGCACTGCGCGCCGCAGGCGGCTGCTGGCGGCTACCGCGGCCACTGCCTCTCCTCGCGCCGCGTTGCGCCCGGCGTCCTTTCTTTGCCATACTGTCAAGTATTTTTCGTGACAAAAAGCAAGGGCAAAGAAGGAAATATTTTCTTGTCTATGCTTTTCCTTTTCTATGGCATCCCATAGCTTCAACACCCTTCACACCGTGTTTGAGTACATCTGGGATCGCGAGCTGCCCAATGACGACTTCACAAACACGCTCACCGTGCTGGGCAGGACATACGCGCCCTGCCGGCCCCCACATCAGGAGAGGACCCCAGACCTCAAGACGCTGTTCCATCGGCTCAAGCAGGACCAGGCCGCCGAGACAGAGGCCAGTTGGCCGCGCGAGTTCCTCGGCGACGTGCACTCGAGAATATGGCTCACGTACCGGTCTGGTTTCCCGCTCATCAGGCGCGCAGAGGACGGCCCGAGCCCCCTCAGCTTTGGCTCGCTCCTCAGGGGCACCGTTGATCTCGCCACGGTGACCAAGGGGTTCACGACAGACGCAGGGTGGGGGTGCATGATCCGCACGTCGCAGTCGCTGCTGGCCAACAGCCTGCTCCAGCTGCGGCTCGGCCGAGACTGGAGATACGACCGGACGCGCGAGTGCCCCAAACACGCCGAGATCGTGTCGTGGTTCGTCGACATCCCCACCGCGCCGTTCTCGATCCACAACTTTGTCGAGCAGGGTGCCAATTGCGCAGGAAAAAAGCCCGGCGAGTGGTTTGGCCCGTCTGCTGCCGCGCGCAGCATCCAGGTGCTGTGCGAGGCAAACTATGATAAAATAGGGCTCAAGGTGTACTTCACCGCGAGCGGAGACATCTACGAGGACGAGCTCTTCGAGCTGGCGCAGTACGGCGCCGAGCTGCGGCCCGTGCTGATCCTTGCCGGGATAAGGCTCGGGGTCAAAAACGTCAACCCGCTGTACTGGGACTTCCTGAAGAAAACGCTGAGCTGGCCGCAGTCGGTGGGCATCGCAGGCGGTAGGCCGTCTTCGTCGCACTATTTCTTTGGGTTCCAGGGCGACTACCTGTTCTACCTGGACCCGCACGTTCCGCAAAAAGCACTGTTAATAGCATCCGAGGCCCCCCACGAGAGCCCCGACCCGAACCACTACGTGGAGGTCGAGTCCGGGCTGGACCTGGACTCGGTCCACACAAACAAGATCCGCAAGCTGCATTTGGACCAGATGGACCCGTCGATGCTGGTGGGGCTGCTGGTCGAGAACCGCGCCGGCTACGACGCGCTCAAACGCTGCATCAACACGCACGACCAGAAGTCGCGGTTCCTCAGCGTCTACGACTCGCGGCCCGTGCTTGCGGCCAAGAGCTCCGGCGCGCTCGACGAGAGCGAGTTCGTGGACCTTGGCGTTCTGTCGATGAACGAGTACGACGCGATCGACGACTGCGACGAGCACAGCGACGCCGGCGCGTGCCATGCGCTGCTGCGCAAGGAGCGTGCGTTCTCGCACCCCGTGCTGGTGGCCATGGACCCCGAGGAGCCGGAGGAGATCGACGCGTCGATCCATTTCGACAAGGACGCCTCGATTCTCGAAAAGGACCCGGACCGCGCCAACGAGACGTTTGAGGAGATCCACGTTTCCGAGACCGAGAGCCGCTTCGAGCCGGACGAGCCCGTCGTTGTCAGCCACGACTCTGCCGCAGTAATGTAAAGTAGATAATTATTTTTCACCCCGGGCTGTGCTGCAAAAAATACGCGTAATGGATTCATCTTCAGACCGTGGCCTGGAGGACGATTTGGAGCTTGACAACGACATCCAGCACACGCCCCTATCGGACTACGAGGCCGGCGAGGCCACAAAGCAGTCGGCCGTGGCGGACGCGGCGAAATTCGAGCTCGAGGCCCAGCAGGCACTCAAGTCCCAGATTCTCATCCTGTGTTCTGCGCTCGGCGGGGCCGACGACAGCGGCAAGTACGTGCTGGGCGTCGACGCGCTGGCGTGTCTCAAGGACATCAAGCGCTGGATCAAGGTTGTGGACGACGCGTCGGACAGCTGGAACGTGGCCTCGGCGTGCGACGACAACGGCCTCGTGGTCAACGATCTGATCCCGATACTGGTGCAGCTGCCGGCCCGCGCCGCTGAGTCGAACCGGGCATTTTACCACAGCATTCTGCTCGCCGCCCTGGAGCTTTTGGTGGCGCTGACGCGCCCGCTGGTCCTCGACACGGAGCGCGCCTCGGCGGCGAAGATTGACCTGTACATCAAGCTGAAAAAATCGCACGTCCGGTACAAAGACCGCATTCTCAACTACGAGGGCGGACGGTGTCTGAAAAGCGTTGTCGGGCTGACAATCCCGATCCTGAGCACGCCGCGAGACCAGCGGAGCCCCAAGGACACCGTGATCCTCAACTTGTGTCTGCACCTGTTCCGCAACGTGCTGCGCATCGAGCCGGCAGACACAACGGTGGGGCCGCGGCGCAGCGCGTCCAAGACGCAGCAGGTCAACGACAACATGCCGCGCGGCGTGAGCGCGGAGGACATCAGCTTCTCGCACACGGTGTGCGTTTTCCGCGACAACAAGGTGCTGCGGTTTGTGCAGACGATCACGGCGGGGCTGGGGCGCGAGTTCGACGAGCGCGTGCTCGGCACCGTGTGTCTCGACACCTACTTCTACCTGCTCTACGGGCTCGACCCAGCCACGGTGGCGGTGCAGGTAGACGACGGCGCGCGCGGCGGTGCAGCCGGCGCGCTGTCGCTTGGCTCCGCGCTGGAGCACGAGAAACTGCTCAAGAAAAAGCTGCTGAGCAACAACGTGACGCGCCACGCCAACTTCGGCACGCTGCTGAGCATTCGGCAGGGCGACGAGCCGGTGCTGACGGTGTCGGGCCAGAAACGGCTGATCCGCGCGGACCTGCTCGAGCAGCTCGACGCCGGCGTGTCGAAGAAGGCGGTGGCGGCGCGGCAGACGGCCAACAGGAACGAGAGCACGCGCTCGGACTTTGACCGGCGTTTGGGCGCCGAGCGCGCCAAACAGCTCTCGCGCGACGCACACAGCGTGGTCCGCGAGTTCTGCTCCGACTTCGTCGAGGCCGGCTTCGGCCCGCTGTTGCGCGCGGTGCGCCGCGCCGTGCTCGGCGAGCGCGCGTCGTCTGCTGCGTTCCTGGAGTTCCACTTCTTCTTCGTCGTCGCGTGGCTCCTCAAGTACGAGCGGCTGCTACGTGCGAGCTGCGCAGATCACGTGTTCCGGCTCGGCTACGTCCAGGACGCGCTGAGCCACGACATGCTGCGGCTCGTGGTCAAGAACAGCCTGCCGCTGTACCTGCAGAACCGCGAGCACAGTCTCCTGCGCGTCGCCGTGGGCTGTTTCCGCGAGATGCTGCTCACGCTCGTCGACATGCACCGGCTGCGGCCCGAGGACCACGCGCGGCTCTCGCCAGAGCAGCACGACGAGCTGGCCACGTACGTGGCCGCGGCCGAGCAGCTGCTGCGGCTGACGTTTTCCGCCGAAGACGACATCGAGGTGCTTTTCCACGTCGTCCACGACGCTCACAAGGTGTCGCTTGCACATGCGCTCGACATGGTCGAGTACACCCACGTGCTGTTGAAGGTGCTGCAGTACCTCGCGGACCTGCCCACGCCGCTCGCGATGGGCAGGAGGCGCCGCGGGCCCGCGCCGCAGCAGCACGGCTCCGACTCCGACAGCATGGACGACGCGCGGCTGAAACGGTATCTGCAGTTCGACCGCGCGCGCTACGAGGTGTACGAGCGCAAGCTGCTGCACGAGCGCGTGGTGGGCTGCTTCGTGTCTGTCTTTGCCAAGTTTGCCGAGCTGAGCGAGCCGCAGGTGCGCAGATGCATCTCGTACTTCAACCGGATCATGCTGAGAAAAGACGAGCACTTCTTCAAGCTGCTACGGCTCGACTTCATGCTCGCGTTGCACGACATCAAGGACGCCGTGTTCGGCCCCGCCGTGATGCGCGACCTCGGCCGTCTGCTCGGCTACTACATGCACACGCTCGAGAAAAAATGGGCCCAGACCGACGCCGTGCTGCTCGACCTGCTCACGCTCGGCCAGGACCACGACCGCGGCGTGCGCGCGTTCCTGGACACGGGCGACCTCGACGAGTGGCGTGCGCGCGAGCACGCGCAGAGCGGCGCCGACGTGGCGTTTGCCACGCCGGGCCTGTCGTACTCGCACAAGGTGAGCGTGCTGGCCAGCGCGCTCGTGTACCGCGACCAGGGCGGCCTGCTCGAGACGCTGACGGCGCTGCTGCGGGCGCGCGGCGACGACGAGCTCGTGCTGGACGACCGCGCCGCGCTGCGCAGCGGCGTGTTCCGGCTGCTGCTCGCGACAGCGGGCTTCCGCGTCGCCGCTGGCCGCGCGGTGCTGCCGCGCGACGCCGACGCGGGTCACGTGACCGCGACGCTGGAGCTGCTGGAGCAGGCGCGCGAGCAGCCGCTGGAGAGCGACGAGGTGGAGGCCGAGCTGGTGGAGGCGGCGCAGGAGACGCAACCGGAGCCCGACGGCGGCGCAGCACGGTTCGACGACCTCGGCTCGGACAACGACCTGGAGACGCTGAGCCGAGTCTCTGAGAGCGTGGACCGGCTGGATGCGTTGGAGGCGGCGCTGGAGAAGAAGACTGGCAAGCGACGGCGCGACCCCGACGCGGACGAGCCGCGATTTGCGGCCTCCGCACGCAAGCGCAAGGCCCGTGCTACGAGGACGAAGCGGCGCAAGAGCGCGCCGAAGCACGACGAGCCGAAGCAGCATCTGTCGTCGAAGTACGTCGACTCGGACGACGACGCGTCGGACGCAGAGAAAGAGGCCGAGTTCTTCCGCCGGGAAGAGCAGCTGCAGGCGCTGATCCAGGCGAACGGCGGCGTGATCAGTCCGGAGCAGTTCCAGCGGCTACTGGGCGGCGGCGGACAGCAGAGACGGATGGTGGACCTCAGCGAAAGCGAGGAGAGCGTGCTCAGCGGAAGCGAAGGCGCGGATAGCTCGCAGGCGTCGATTGTGCGCGCCCGCCGCGGCCGCGCCGTGATCGACGAGGATGAGTAATAAATAGCAGTCTCTATACACCTGCACGTATAAAATCTACGCGACACAGTGGTCGTCGTCGGCGCTGCGCAACGCGCTCAGCACGGTCTGCGTGGACGACAGCACCATGACACAGAGGCCAAACGCTATGCACAGGTACAGCGGTAGCTTCTCTCTGAGCGGCTTCGTCTTGGTCAGCTTGAGAAAACAGAGCGGCGGCAGGATGAACGCGAGCAGCGACGCGGACGTGGCGCCGACGAGCTCGAGGATGGCTCCGAGGTTGCACGTGAACAGCGCCACGAGCATCGGCAGGCCGGCGAGCGCGGTGGTGATCAGCAGGTGCTGCGCCGTGGACAGCTCCGGGATCTCGTGGCGGTGGTAGACCTCGAGCAGGTCGCGCACGACCGCGCGCACCACGTACAGCTCGAGCGGGTACGTGGTGAGCATGTTGAGGCCGAAACAGAGCCGCGCGACGTTGACGACCCAGTCGTCCGCGGGGAAATTGTTGAGCACGTTTCCCTTGGTCTTGGGCCCGAACGCGAGGTAGCCCGAGACGCCCATGACGCCGCACACGACGCCGGAGAGCGCGCACGCGACGTGGGTCACGCGGTTGAAGCGGTCGAGCGTGGGCTTTCTGATCGAGTCGTAGATGAACGTGGTGTTGTGGTGGCACACGAGCGCAAACGAGATCACGCTGATGCTCTGGAAAATGCCCGGCTCGAAGAACCAGCCCGCCCCAGACACCTGGCCCCGAACGTCCGCCGGCATGGCCGGCCCGCGGAACACCACGATCAGCAGGATCACAGACATGCTGACGAGCGCAATGCCGCTGGCCTTGGCGAGCCGGCCGATGTCCTTCGTCAGCGACAGCGGGAACGAGATGCCCATGATGCACAGCACGATCAGCGTGTTCCTGGCGAGCAGGAAGTCCGCCACCTTGGACCCCTGCACCTGGCGCGCAAACACAGACCTGAGAACGTGCGGGATGGTGTCGCCGATGATCACGGCAAACCCGACGTTGCCGCCAAACCCAAACAGACCCTGAGCCAGCAGGATCGCGGTCTTGCCCACGTCGCCGAACGCATGGCTCACAAAGCCGGTGTACGTCTTCGCTCCGGACAGCTTGGTGTTGACGATGATCATGCGGAGCGTCCAGTCGTTGACGACGGCAAGCAGCACCAGCAGCACCAGCCCCGTCAACAGCCCAGCGTTGCGGAACGCCCGCGGTATGCCCACGATGCCTGCTCCCAGGATCGAATTGGACATGTTGAAAAAGGCCGCCTGCAGGTCGCTTTTGCCGTGCTCTGTCACGAGATGCTGCAGCGCGGCGTCCTCCTGGCCAGCCTCGTCCTCAAGTAGAAGCTGCTCGCGCTGGTCGCGCAGCTCGCCCGGGTCCTGTGGCATGACAGGATTATAATTCGATATAGAGAAATATATTTATTTATCCCGCCTCGCACCGTTTTCCAGCGCAAATCACTTTGTTTCCTATTTCTCTTTTATTATGAAACCGTCCAAGAAACAGGCCGACGGCCCCGCCTCGCGAGTGGGCTCCTTCATGGGCCTGCGCAGAGGGTCCAAGACGGTGGACCAGGGCTCTGTCAGCTCGCCAACAGGCACGCTGTCGCGGATGAACACCAACGCGTCCATGTACTCGATCAACGAGTCGCCCACGAAGAACGGGCTTTTCTCGCGCACAAAGACCCTCCCGGCGTCCGACGCCAGCAGCATCGAGTCGCCGCTGTCGCGGATGACGACCAACACCAGCATTGGCGGGCCGTCCACCACTTCCGTGTACTCTTTGCCCTCATCCCATACCAAAAAGCTAAGCAGTGCAAATTTCAAGAAAGCTCACCGACATACCATTTCGGACGACTTCGAGCTCGAGCCGCCGGAATCCGAAGAGGAGATCGAGGTCATGTTCAAGGAGGTGATGATTTCCAGAGACTTCAACAGTCTGCCGGAAAAGGCACGCAAAGAGATGGAAAACTACCCTGTGGACCGAAAGTGGATGCTTATCCGACAGCACAAGCTAGCCGAGTACAAGAAACAGCGCATGATGCAGCAGCAGCAGCAGCAGCACTCGGCCGTCCCCAGCCGAAGCGTCTCCACGGCCAGCACCGTCGTGACAGAACGGTCCACTCCTTCTGCCGGAAAGGCGTTTGACGCGCAGTTTTACGTGGTGCAACTGATCGGAAACAAGATCACTAACGACCAGCTCAAGGAGCTAGACATCTGTTTGAGCTCGGAAGAACTGCACTGGACCGAGCAGTTCCTCAATCTGCAGGGAGCAGTGGCTCTTTGCAACGTGCTGATGCAGCTGTACAAGACCAAGCCGCTCGTCAGGTCACAGGGCGTGCCCAACCGCCATCAGCCGCCATCTCCCGCACAGATCCTCTTCACCAACCCTGCAGAGGACTACGAGACCGTGCTCGACAAGGAGACCAAGCTGTTCCGTTGCATCAAGGTAATAGCCGACCTCACTATCGGAATCGACCATCTGCGCAAGATAGACATATTCATACCCGCCATTCTGGGCGGCCTCTATTCGACGCGGCCGCAGGTCCGTAAGTGGGCCACCGACATCATCACATACTTCTACCACAAGACCAACTGCAGTCCGCTAATATACAAAACCATTCACAAGCCCGTCAACGACAACGTCCATCTGGCGTACATCAAGGAGCTCTACGTCTCGCGGCCCAATCTGCTCGACCGCAAGTCGCAGTATATCCTGTCGAACGCTGAGCGGGTTAAGAAGTACGAGGCGTGGTTTTGGGCCGTCATCAGACTGTTTGAAGGGCGCGGCAAGATGGGCAGCCGTGTAGGCTCCTACGACGAGTTCAAGCTCAGCGGGCCGATCTCGAACAACTTCCTCATTGAATACGGACTCTCGACGCTCTTGTTGATCAACACGCTTCTCCAGTACTCCAAAGACCTCGCAGATAGGACCAAGCTGCGCCGGCTGTTTCAAGTTGCGGGTATGACCGAGCTGTTTGAGCATCTGCGGCCGTTGGAGAACGTGGACATAGACCACAGTATTGCCAACATCGAGAGCTCGGAGCGCGCCGATTTGCAAGAGCTTAAGCAGATGGAGGAGTTCCAAAACAACAACATCAACTTCAACGACCCGTTGTCGCTGTTTCAAGCGATGCTTAACAAGGCCAAGGGCACCGAGGCTGAAGGATATTTGACGTCGATGATTCAGAATATGTTCATCAGCCAGTCGTCGAATTTGCACACGCTGGATCCGCAGCAGGTGCACAGGAACTTGAAGCTCATGGACACCTTTGTTTCGAACATCACCATGGCGTCCGGCGAAGACGACACAGACATGAACATATCGATCAACCGGCTGATAGCGTCGTATCGGACAGACGAGATTGCACGGAAGGCCATGATCGAGGCGCGCGAGGCCAAGAAACGCGCGGAGGAGGCCGAGGCTGAGCGCGACAATGCGTTGCAAAAGCTCAACGAGGGCTCTAAAGGTGTTATTGAAAAACTCTACAGAGACATAGCAGAAAGAGACACGATTCTGGATCGGCTGCGTGAAAAGCTTGAAGCCAAGGAGAACGAGGTCAGCGAGTTGCGCAGATTGCGGGTTCTGGACAAGCACCAGCAGGAAACCGAGATGCGCGAGATGTTGCTTCTGCTGCATAGCCAGCGGTTGCTCTCCAGCCCGCCAGACTCCTCGGAAACGGCGTCTTCGTCGCTCAAGACCGAAGGATCGTCCACCGTGGAGGAGCTGCGCAAACGTCTCAAGTCGCAGGTAGACAAGAATAAGGTGGAGGTCAAGAGAATTGGCCAATCTGGAGTGGAGCCGAACGCTCGACTACGTGATTTGCGGTTTAAGATGGACTTGTTGGAAAGAGAGGCCAGGGACCTGGAAAACACGGAGTTTGAGGACATTTTGGCGGAGAGGCACGACACAAACAAGGTCGACGACGTCAAGACCCTTGGCGAGCTGCGGGCCAGACTCGAGTCGTTGCAGAACGATGCAAACAAGGTGATCAAGGTGCAGGCCAACCTAAGCACGCAGGAAAAGCTCGAAAGACGCAAAATGGAGGCGCTGGACAGACTTCAACGGCTAGAGAAAACAATGCAGGAGCTGAAGATCAAGGAGTTGGAGGAGATCGACTCGGCAGACCGCCGCACACTGGATCCAAAGCAACGTGCCGTCAAGAACGAGCGTGCGGAGAAGCTGAAGAGCGAGCTTGACGAGCTGGAGACCTTGTGCAACAATCTACGGTTCCAGCTCAGTCTGACCGATGAAGAGGTCGATAAGGAGGCTCTTCTGCAGAAGTTTGAGGACCAGTACTCCAGAGGCAAAAAAGAGGTGCCAAAGGCGACGTTTGTCAGCTCTGCTCCACCAGTGTTGGTCGGTAACTCGGTGAAGAAGATCGACACCACCTCGATGAGACCATTTTTGGGAGAGTTGGAGAGAACCGTGGGCAAGTCTCCTGCTCTTGACGAGAAGGAGAATACAGAGCCATCCGAGAAGCCTGTGGAGAAAAAAGTAAGTAAGGAAGAGTCTCCTAAGAAGGAGGCTCCAGCACCTGTTGAATCTTCGGTGCCGCCTCCTCCGCCTCCACCACCGCTTCCTTCCTCTGCAGGCTCGCAAGGAGTTCCTCCGCCGCCTCCGCCTCCTCCTCCGCTTCCATCTGCTGGCACGAGCATGCCACCTCCGCCGCCTCCGCTTCCTTCTGCAGGGCAAAAGCCAGTTGCGTCGCCAGAGAAGTCGCCATTCCTTGCCCCAGGGCCATTTGACATGCTCCCTCGCCCGAAGAAGAAGCTCAAGCAGCTGCATTGGGAGAAAATCGACGACCCGGTTGGGTCGTTTTGGGCCAACATGGGTTCAGAGGAGATGGCAAAACAGCTTCTGGAAAATGGCGTTTTTGACGAGATCGAGGTGATCTTTGCCGCCAAAGAAGCCAAGCGGATTGCACGCAAGAAGAAAGAAGGCGCGCAGAAGGTTTCTTTCTTGAGCACAGACGTTTCGCAGCAGTTTGGAATCTGTCTTCACTCGTTTTCTGGACTTGATGACGAACAGGTGGTGGCAAAGATTTTGCGGTGCGACAAGGACGTTCTGGACAAGAGTGCGCTGCTTGACTTCCTTGCCAAGCCGGAATTGAACGAGATATCCAATACGCTGGCCAAGAACTTTGAGCCGTACTCTACAGACTGGCAGAACGACAAGGAGGCTAAGCACGACAAGGACCCGAACGAGCTGGCCAGGGCCGACAGAATATATTTGGAGCTGATATACAATTTGCAGCATTATTGGAAGTCAAGAATGCGCGCTTTGAACGCCATTTTGAACTACGAGAAGGACTACGAGGAATACGTCAAGAAACTGGAGATGCTGGAAAAGGCTTTGGAGAGCCTTGAGAACTCCAAGACCTTACGAAAAGTCTTCGACATCATTTTGATTGTCGGCAATTACATGAATGACAAGTCCAAGCAGGCACATGGGTTCAAGCTGAGCACGTTGCAGCGACTCAGTTTCCTGAAGGACCACAAAAACCTAATTTCATTTTTGCACTATGTGGAAAAAGTAATCAGAGAAAACTACCCAGAGCTGATCTCGTTTGTGGACGATCTGAAGCCCGCGATTGATGCAGCCAACATCTCTGTCGAGCAGCTGAAGAACGATTGTCAGATGTTTACTCAGTCGATCCGCAACATCGACGCGTCGTTGCAAGACGGTAACTTGAGCGATCCGTCAAAATTCCATCCAATGGACAAGTTCTTGCACGTTGTTTTCCGCGGTCTGCCGAATGCGCGTACCAAGGCCGAGCTGCTTAGCGACCGCTCAAAACTTGTGATGGAAAAGTTTGACTCGATGATGCGCTATTTCGGCGAGGATCCAAACAGCGATGAGTTTGTGCGCAACTCGTTCCTCAAGAAATTCAGCGAGTTCGCTGAAAACTTCGAGCGTGCCTCGAAGGAAAACAAGGAGCTCGAGGAACGCAACAAGAAGTATGAGATGAGCAAGAAACGGTTTGAGGAAAGCAAGAAGGAGAAGGAGAAACAGCAGGAGGCGCCGAAAATCAACTCAGACATGGACAAGTTCCTCCAGCAGCTGCGACAGACGGGCCCGTTGCGGTCGGAGCCTACCTCCGCGAAAATCAAGCAATGGGCCAAAAAACACACTGCACAGTCTGCTTCCGCTCTGGAGTCGCCCACCAAGACGTCTGAGCAGGACGACGAGGATGATCTGCGGTCGAAGACCCACGATCTGCTGATGAAGCTGACGCAGCAGTCGGGCGAGGATTCCAGTCCACCGCTGTCGAGCTCATCCTCGGGAGTGAATTTACACTCGGGAAACGGCTCAGAGCTCAAGCTGAGCGAGAAGATGAAGAAAAGGTTGCAACAGAGCTCGCGCACGTCCTCCGTCACGTCGCTCGACTTTGACTCCGTTTCGCGCTCCGAGTCTTTCAAGACCAGCCGCTCGCGCCTGGACCTGGCAAGCCAGGCCCTCAGCAACCCGTTGGCAGAGCAAGAAACTAATGCCATGTCGCCTAATCCGCTGATCGAGGATAAGGAGGAGGAAGAAGAGGCAGAAAGGGAGGATAGAGTCGACGACAAATTTATTAACGGTTCCGTGCATGACGAGGCGTCGGAAACGTTCGAGTCTCCGGATGAGTTCCAGGACGCCAGCGAACACTGAATACATATACGTGATTCTATTTCCCCTTGAGTAGCTCGAGAGCTCGCTGGAGCTCCTTGATGGCAGTCTCGATGTCTTCGTAGTTGAGCGCCGAGATGGCGAATCTCGCGCGTTTCTGTGCCTGCGCGATGATCTCGTCCGTCTGCATCATCTGCTGGATATCTTCCTTGGACAGGGCCGGTTTCGCTGGTGCTTTTGGCTGAGGCTTGGGCTCTGGCTTGGCTTCTGGCTCTGGAGCAGGCAAATCTGGCACTTTTGCAGGCGTCCTGGGGAGGCCGAGCTTGTTGGGCTCTTCCTTGATGATTGCTGGCGCGGCAGGCAAATCGAGCGAGTCTTCCAGCGACTCAGGCGCGGACGGGAGGGCTGGAGGGGACGAATTGACTGGCGTGTCTTTTGGCGATTTTTCGGGCGAGTTGATCTCTGAGGGAGGGTTCGGAAGTGCCAGGGATGGCGGTTCCGGCTTCTGTTCGCCAGCGTTGTCCCAGCCGGCGACTTCTCGTTCCTCCTCAGGCGTCACGTAGTCGTTTGGGTCTTCTCCGTTTTTGATGGCTTTGAGGATCCGTGCTGCGTGGAACTTCGCATATTTTTGGCACTTCTCGAGCTCCTGCTGCTTGTCCTTGAGATGGTCTGGCCACAGATTGAGAACCTGGTAGAAGTCCAGGGCGGCCTTGAAATTCTCCGCGGTTTTCTTGGTGGCCGTATGGTTGGCAATCTCTTTGAACGAGCGGTCGAAAATTGCGGTCGCAAACCCCCACACAAGCTTGAAGCTGGACGGCGGGTCGTTGATGATTTCAAACGATTTCGACGACGACTCTTTGATCGCCGCCTTTTCCTGCTCGATGTCATCCAGCAGCTGCAGAGCGTACTGCTCGATCTCCTTTGATTTCTGGTGCAATTGGTTGTCGAGGATCAGTTCTGCCGCGTACAGCTTGCACAGGTACGCGATGCTGGGCTGTACGCCTGAGAGCTCGCCCGCGCGCTTCACAAACGGCTCGATTATTTTCAACCCGTCCGGGACTGTCATAGATAAAAATAAATAAAACTAAATTGCAATAGGCAAGAAATTTTGATTAATTTTCTCTTTTGGGACGCGAAATTCGGTTTTTATCTATGGAACCAAACGAGCCCAAAAACACGGAATTGGCCAGACCTGACCCTGTGCCGCGGCTCGTGGCGTACGGCGACGTCAGCGTCGTGGAGTTCGACGTGGAGGGATGCACGGTCATGCGCCGGGCACAGGACTCGTGGGTCAACGCGACGCAGCTGGCACGGCTTGTTTCTGTTGTCAGACCCAAAATCAGCGGGTCGCTAGAGGCCCAGGCGAAACAGGGCGCCCACGAGATTGTCCAGGACTCTCCCGACCAGCTCAGGGGCGTCTGGGTGTCGATTGAGCGTGCAGAATCGCTTTGCAAAGAGTACGATATTTACGGCGTGCTGGCGCCGCTGTTCGGCTACAAAGGCCCCAAGGACCTCGCGCGCACGCTGTCGACGCTGACGGAGGCGGACGAGCCGGCGTCACCCACGAAGAAGGCCAAGACTGCGCCCGAGCTGCCTAGTCTGCAGACTTTCGACCACGACACCAGAGAGCCGAACCCGAACGCCCCCTACGCGCTGGGCCCGCTCGGCGAGGACGAAGTCGACGAGAAGAGCAAAGCCGTGCTGTCGTCGCTGTTTCTGCCGAACCAGAAGGAGTTCTCGCTCGAAGGAGTCGCTATCGACGCGCCGATCGACGACAACGGCCAGACAGCGCTGCATCTGGCAGCCACCCTGGGCCGCATCTCGCTGGTCAAAGAGCTGGTTGCTCGCGGCGCCAACCGGCTGCGCGGCGACAACGACGGCCAGACCGCCCTGATCCGCGCCGTCCACGCCACAAACTGTCTCGAGCACTCGTGCTTTGACCAGCTGCTCGACTACCTGTATCCGGCCATCACTGTGCTGGACCACAAGGGCCGTTCTGTTCTGCACCACATAGCGTACACGTGTGGCCGCAAGGGCCGCAACGAGGCCTGCAACTACTACCTGGAGACGCTGCTGGAGTGGGTGGTGAAGCGCGGCCCGCACCTGCCTCCTGGCCAGCAGATGAGTCTGACCTCGTTCATGCAGGAGGTGGTGAACATTCCGGACCGCAACGGCGACACGTGCCTGAACATCGCGGCGATGGTGGGCAACAAGCAGATCATCCAGCAGCTGCTGGAGGTGGGCGCCGACCCGAACAAGGCCAACAAGGCGGGCGTGAAGCCGGTGGACTGCGGCATCGACGTGGCGTCGCCCCGGACACGGCTGCCGCAGCCGGCAGCCATGCAAAGCGTGCCGGAGACCCCAAAGCTGAGCAGCATGAAGATCCTGGAGTCGCTGCAGACGTTTGTGAGCCAGCTGGGCAGAGACTTCAAGGAGGAGCTGGAGTCGAAGACGAGGCAGGTCGACGAGATCCACCCCAGGCTGCGCGAGAAAACGTACAAACTGTCTGAGAAACGCAAGCAGTTCGAGGAGCTCGACAAGCTCGTGCGCAAAATCGGCGACTACAAAACCAAGATCATCAACCTGAACAACGCGATCCGGGAGGAGGAGCAGCGGTTTGTCGAGGAAACAAAAGAGCTGCCGATCAACTCCAAGACGTTCGACGGCGACTTCGACGCCGACGAGCCGTTCACGGTCTGGTCCGTCTACAACGAGGTGGAGAGACGGCTGCAGGAGACAAAGGATCCGTCGGTGTCTGTGGCCGACTTCGTCAGCCAGCTGGACCCGGCCACGCTGCTGGCGTCCGAGCAGCTCGAGGACCTGCCGCCGGCTGTCATCTTGGAGGCGCGGATCAACGCCTACACAAAGAACAACGCGATGCTGATCGAGCGCACCAAGAACCGCCGCTCCTCGAGCCAGGAGCTCGAGCAGCAGTTCAAGCGTGTGATCGGGCTGTGCATCGGCAGCTCGGTCGACGAGATCGACGAAAAACTGCTTAGCAGCCTGCTGCTGAGCGTGGAAAACGACCCGGACCCGGAGATCGGCCAGATCAAAAAGGTCCTGAGTATAGTGAATGAGATAGAGAAGTAAGTGATATTTAGCTGGAGTACGGGTTCTTGTGGTACGAGACGGCGGTCTCGTGCGCGCTCTTCGCCAGCGCGTACGGGTTGTTCTTGTCCCTGCGCGCCTGCGGTGGAACAAAGCTCTGCTGCGGCTGGCTTGGCGGCTCTGGGTACGGTCTGGCGTACCGCTGCGGATAGAAGCCCTGTGGGTGCATTTGCGGCGACTGCGGACGGTGCTGCTGCGAGTGGTTCAGCGGCGGCGGCGGTCTGCGGCGCGGAGACGACATGTTGGCCTCTGGCGCCTGCGGAGCAGCGTAGCCGTTCGCATACCCGTTCGCGTACCCGGCAGTCGGCGGCGCAGGCCGAGGGGCAGACTGGTAGTCGTAGGCTGCAGGGCCTTGGGGATTGTACGGAGACTGCAGCTGAGTGTTCTGGTACCCGCCGTAAGCCACCTGCTGCGAGACTATGTTGTTTGGAGGAGCCCGCGGGAAGTGAAGATTCTGCTGCGCCGGCCTGTACTCGACAGAGCCGGACGAGCCGGATCTTTGTGGCTCGTAGTATGGCTGGAGCGGTCTTTGCGGCGGGTTCTGCAGCTCTGCCGCAGGAAGGTGAGAGCTCTCGCCGTCTGGGCTTTGTCGGGATGGTCTCTGTCTCGGCATTCCAAGAGTTCCAGGGCTCTGTTCCTCAGAAGGCGCCTGGCCAGCAAAGTTGGGCCGGATGGCTTCTTGGTACGACTTGTTGAACGCCGTAAACGGCGAAACGACTCGTTCCTGAGAAAGAACTCTTCTGTCGGAGTGCTCGCCGGAGTCTGTCGACGATGCCAGCGAGGGCGTGCTGCCGTACCGTGGGTTCGGCTGGCCGTATGGCGCGTGCGGTCTCGTGACCGGGGTGGTATCGAGGCCTGGCGACGGAGACGACTTGACTATCGCCGGGGTTCTAGTTCTTGGGTTGATGATCTGGATGTCGTAGTCGTCGTCGTCGTCGTCTTCCCCGTCGTCCGACTCCTCGTTAGGATAGAGGTCCTCGATTGTGTCATCTTTCACGTCCAGGTTGGCCAGCGTCTCATTCAGCTGGTCGTAGTCAGGCAGCTGGGCGTACTTGGAGTATATCTTCGCCAGGCCGCCCGGTGAAGACTGTTTTTTCTGCGACTCTATAGCTGGCTGAAGTTCAGGTGTCTGCATTTGCTCTGCGCGCTGTCTGAATCGCAGTTCAGAATACTGCGAACCACTGTCCTCCTTGTCTTCCACGTCCGCAAGGCTCTGGAACGGCGTCTCTTCCTCTGCTTTTGGAGTCTCCCGGGCCAGGCCCGACGATTGTCTTTTTCTTTCAAAGCCCAACTGCGGTTTTGGGGTCATCGTAGGAGACTGCGGGTTCGAGAAAGACCGCACTTTGCCAGCAGCAAGGTCTCGCGAGAACTCCAGCATCCCTGCGGCTCCCACTGTGCCCTCGACCGAGCCGCAGCCATCGTAGCCCTTGGCCACCTTCGGCCTCAAGATTTCCTTCACGCCCTGCTGCCACTGGTACGAGGTCCAGGAGCTTGTCGTAGCGCTGGCCGTGAGCTGCATCAGATCGTCCACCTCTAGGTAGTGCACCTTGGGCAGCACCGGCAGCGCAAACAGCAGCGAGTTCGGATCGAGCTTGTCGGCATTTAAGCCCTTTGGTCGTCCGTAGAGATGGAAAGCGTCCAGCAGTGGGATCAGGAACCGGATCAGCGTGTCGTAGCCCGGCACCGATGAGTGCTGGTCGGGCATCAGGAAGATGGAGCAGTCCTTGGTGCCTTCAGACTTGGAAAACACTATAGAGCCGTCCAGCTTGATCATCGTGCTGTGGTCGATGACCGAGTAGTTCTGCGGATACACGGCATAGATGGAGTTGGCCTCGGTGATGGTGGCCATGGCCAGCTTCTTGCCCTTCTTCTCCGACTCGTAGAAGACGACGCGACCAGGCACGAACTTCTTTTTGCTCCTTTTCGCTGGGGGCTCGATCACCGTGAAACACCGCTTCCACGGCATGCCGGCGCCGAATCTGACGCTCGTCCAGTCCTCGTGCTCGAACTTTGTCTCCGCCAAAATGACCTTGATATCCGACAGCAGCGACCCGCGCGCGCTCAGCAGCGCCCCCGTGTATGCTTCTTGCAACAGGCGGTATTCGGCCGCCGCGAGTCGAAAGGCCGCGTGCCAGCGACGGAACTGCTCGGTGGACGAGATCTGGATCAGGTACCGATTTTTCAGCGTAGTCGACACGATGATGACGTTGTTCAGGTTTCCCCCTGAGGAGGGCAGCTGGTCGATCGCCTTGAATGTGGCGTCGGTGAAGTTTATGTACGACGGTTTACTGGCCGAGTCGACCGACGGGACCTCCTCCATGTCCTCGACCCTGTAAATTGCCAGCTGGTTGCCCGTGAGCACCCCGTACACCTCCTCCCATTTGCGCTCGGCGGGCTGGCCCTCCGAGTCCAAATCCTTCAAAATCATAAACACTCCCTCGTGATATCTCCGGTGGGCCTGGGCAGAAAGCAGAGTGGCGATGGGAGACAGGGCCGGACTCAGCTCGCCCCGGGACTCCGCCGTCTCCACGCGTTTGGGGAGCGACGACTTCTCCTTGGGCGGCGACGCGGCCTCTTTGCGAGAGAACGTCCGAAGCTTGTTCATGGGGATAAAAAAGGATGTTTTGTTTTCGACGATAAAAAAATCTCCGCGACGACGCGACGCCCGTCGGTGCAGAATTTAGAGAGGCGCAATAAACCAAGAGTTCAAGGCGGGGCGCAACGCACGCAATTGCGTCTTGGCCAAGACCGTCTGCGTACTTCGTATATCGAGCGTATAAACAGGGTTGCTGTGTGCTGGCGGCCCAGAAGGCCGAAATCGCGGCTAGCCTGGTGCGGCTGAGTGGCGCGCAAATTTCAGCAGCTGCGTGTTTTTCAACGGGGCCACCACGGGCTGTGTCTCGGGCTCTGTGGCCTCGGCGTCTCTGGCCTTCAGATTGAACGATTTCAGGAACACGGGCGAACTTTCGACCGCGGCCCCGGCCCTGTCCACGATCGCGTGCGTGCTCCTGCGCACCATGCCCTTGAACGCGGCAATTGGCGTGCTAATCCACTGTGTCTCTAGCGGGCCAAACCGCACGACCCGCGGCGACTCCATCGCGCTGTGTTCCGAGCTGCGGATGGAGAGTTTTGAGAGCGACGATTCTGTGCTGCCGACTGTTGCCGTGCGCGAAATAGCCAGCACGGGAGCTGCGTAGCTGCGCGTAGGTGTGCTTCGCCTGCTTCGCCTGCGGAACAGATGCCACGTGTAGAGGCCGGCGATGGCTGCTGCAACGACTGCCAGAGGCAGCACGAGCCCGAGCGTGAGCGACAGCTGCGACCGTTTGGCCTGTGTCTGTCTCTGGTGGCCGATCCCGGTCACCGCGTTGGAGAACAGCGTGTACGTAGCCACGACGGTCGTTGTGATGGTGGTGATGTCGTCGTCGGCGACAAGACTGTAGTCTGCTATCTCAAAGGCCATGGCAGAAAAATAGTGCGCGTTTTCTTATATACCCCGGTGTGTCTTGCATTTGTCTGAGACAGACGTGATACATCTGCCGACGAATCTGCCGAGCATGCAGGCCGTGGTTAGGCCGGGGACCGCCTTGCGTTCTAGAACTGCCGGGAGGTTCTAGCTCAGTCGATTGGAGCAGTTGGACAGCTGCAGAGCAATTTAGTGGATATTTCTTGGGGCACCTTACGCAGTCTGCTTATTTATTTCTGCACTGGCGAATATTTAGTTTATTCGTGCATATTATTTCAAACTCATGATTACCGTTATAGGATCTCTCAATTACGACCTCGTGACATTCTCCCCGCGCTGTCCGCGCGCAGGCGAGACGCTGCAGGGCGAGCAGCTAGAAGAGCATCTTGGCGGGAAGGGCCTGAACGAGGCGATTGCCACGGCTCGACTGTCTGTTGCCAAGGGCCATGTTCGCATGTGGGGCAACGTCGGCGACGACGAGCACGGGAAAAAGATGATCGCCGCTCTGACGGAGGCCAACGTGGACACCGGATTGGTCCGTGTGCTGCCTGGTGTTCGCTCGGGCAGCGCAACCATCATTGTGGAGACCGAGTCTGGCGAGAACAGAATTATCATTATTCCTGGGGCCAACGGAGAACTCAACCCGAGCGACGAGCAACTGGCGGCGAATTTCAAGGACTCCCAGCCGGGTGACTTCGTCGTGCTGCAGAACGAGTTTCCCGGCGTCCGCAAGGCGATTGAGTGGCTGCATGCCAACAAGCCTGACCTTTCCGTGGTGTACAATCCGTCGCCGGTGCGGGATGATTTGCTGGACTTGGAGCTGCTCAACAAGGTGGCGTACCTGGTGGTCAACGAGGGCGAGGCTGAGCAGATCACGGGCCGTTCTGGCCGCGAGAAAGACCTGCTGGCCGCGCTGCACCAGCTGCTGCCGCGTCCGACGCTGATCATCACACTGGGGGCCCGCGGGTGCATTTTCCAGAGCGGCGAAACTGTCGAGCGCGTGGCAGGCGTCAAGGTTCGCAACGTGGTTGACACCACCGGCGCCGGCGACACGTTTCTGGGCGCCGTGGTGTCGCAGCTGTACTTTGGCGCAGACCTGGCCCGGGCAGTCGAGTTCGCGACGGCGGCCGCGGCGGTGGTCATCCAGCGCAAGGGCGCCGCAGAGAGCATCCCGGAGTACTCTAGAGTAGCATTACGAAACTGAATACGACTAATTAGACAGATATTAAGATTTCTCCTCGGTGAGCATGTCCTCGGGCAGGTCCAGCTTGAGCGACCGCAGCGACGGCAGCTGGACGGTGGACTTCGAGTTGAGCGAGCTGCTCATCAGCGACGAGACCGTGGGCAGCGGGCTGGTGAGATTGACGCCCGACGGGATCGAGCTCAGCGACGCGGACGGATACAGCTTCGGCGACACGGACGGTGTCTGGAGCGGCGTGCCGTCCGGCGTCGTCTGGCGCTGGTGCAAGGATGGGGCCTGCGGCATGCTGCTGAGGCCCAGCAGGTGCAGTGCCGCCGAGGAGTCCTTGCTGGCGATCATGGTGGCCGTTGGCGACGTCGGGATGGCCGGGGAGTTTGGCCTGGATTTCTTGAACTGCGGCTGCGGGAGCCTGTGGTCGGCCGACGAGAGGTCTGTGCTGGAGAACGAGCGGGCCAGGCCGGACAGGTTGCTGGACGACGCGGAGTTGTTGTAGACCGAGGCGGAGCCGGAGCCCGAGGACTGCAGCTGGGGTAGCGAGCCGGTGGACGGTGTTCTGAGCGGCGTGAGGCGCAGCGTCGAGAGCGAGTTCAGCGGCGGCGGCCGATTATGCGCGCCGGTTGGCACGGACGGCTGCTGCGGCTGCGGCTGCGGCTGGCTGTTCTGGAAGTACTCGCTGAGCGAGGGCAGCGACTTGACGTACTGTAGCTCCGACGGGCCCGAGACCAGCGCCGCGGCCGCCAGTTGCGCCTGGTGGGCCTGCTGTTTTTGCTGCTGGAGGTTCTGGAGCTCCTGTGAGGCGGCCGTGGCCAGCACGTTGATGTCAAGCATCGACTTGGCGGTCTGCAGCGGCGGTTTCTGCGGCAGGGGCTGCTCGAGCGCAGACTCGTCCTTCTTCTGCTTTGCAGCCGGCTTCGACTCGCTCACCAGAGCTTGTTTCGGGATCCGCGACGTGGAACTCGATTTTTTCATGTATGCAGGTCTTGAGCTCTGGTTGATGGCGTCGGTGAGCTCCCAGTCCGGGTTGTGTGCGTTTTTCCTGCGCGAGTTGGGGTTCGTGTGTATTCTGGAGTGTCTCGTGAGCTCGTCGGACCTCGAGAACCGCTTGAAACAGCCGGGGAAGTTGCACTGGTGAGGCTTTTCGCCGGTGTGCGTTCTGATGTGCCTGGTTTGGTGCTCGAGCCGGTGGAACGCCTTGTCGCACATCGGGCACTTGTACGGTCGCGGCAGGTCGCTGGCCGGGACTTTCTTCTTGATGTTTGCGTTGGCACTGGGGTTCTGTGTTGCCTGTGTCACGGCAGAGCCGTTGGTGCTGGCCCTGCCGGTGTCTGGACGCGGCTCCGCAGAAACCTCTCTCTTAATTTTGGCGTCGCCCACGCGGTCGGGGCCCGCCACCGAACTGACGCTTGTTGCCATTCTAAAAGTAGTTTGAGACTCGGGAGGAATTTTGGAAGACATGTAGATAAATTTTTTTTCACGCAGGGAATATGGGGTAATGGGGAACGGTTTAGCGGCATGCTGTCGGAGACGGGGCTAAAAGTGCACGGCGGTGGTGGGCCAAGAGGCGCCGTCTACACTGTAGCTACGTGCCTTGCTGCCTGGAGTGTTTTGCTACAAATCGTTCTCTCCCCGCAATTCTCATTAGTCTAACGGTTTAATCCGTCCAATTGTGGGGCACATCCAGACACCGGAAAATTTTTAACCAGCCAGCCTCCGTTTTTTGTTTCTTTTCCCAGCAAGGCTGAACCGAAAATCCAAGGGCAACGGACAGAGGAGTGTTACCCGGCCTGGGGAAGCTGTTGTCCGCATTCTTCCAGATTCTCGCCGGCCCAGTACACCCCGTAACAAAGGTCCAGCCAAAGCAAAATGCGCGGTTCTCTACAGTCGCCTATTGGCTGCGCGCTGGACCTCGACTCGGACTCCCCAGTGCCCCCCACACACACGTCGACGCCAAAAAAAGTGCGCATGCTGTGTGCCAGGGCCTCCGCGCAAAGTCCGATTTTGCGCACCCCGGCATCCCAGATGTATAAATTTTAGAATCCACCGTGGGAGTTTTTTCGTAGCAACGTATACTTTTGTTCTCTTTCCAAAATGTCCCAAGATATCCAAACAAAAGCCATTAATACAATCAGAGTCCTGGCTGCCGACATCGTCGCCAAGGCCAACTCCGGACACCCTGGTGCCCCAATGGGAATGGCTCCTGCCGCCCATGCCGTCTACTCCCAGATGAAATTCAACCCAAAAAACCCACACTGGATCAATAGAGATAGATTCGTCCTCTCTAATGGTCACGCATGTGCTCTCCTGTACACATTGTTGCACCTATTCGGCTACGATCTCACCATGGACGACCTCAAGTCGTTCAGACAGGTCAACTCCAAGACGCCAGGCCACCCTGAGGTGGGCATTCCCGGAGTCGAGGTCACGACCGGCCCACTTGGTCAGGGTATCTCCAACGCCGTTGGCTTGGCCATTGCCCAGGCTAACTTTGCTGCCACGTACAACAAGCCAGGCTACACTCTGTCCGATAACTACACCTACTGTTTCTTCGGTGACGGATGTATGATGGAGGGTGTTGCCTCCGAGGCCATGTCTCTTGCCGGCCACCTGCAATTGGGCAACTTGATCGCCTTCTACGATGACAACAAGATCTCCATCGACGGAAGCACCGAGGTTGCCTTCACCGAGGACGTTTGCGGAAGACTCGAGAAGTATGGCTGGGACATCTTCGAGGTCCCAGACGCTGACACCAACGTTGCCGCCATCTCCGAGGCCATTGCTAAGGCCAAGAAGACCAACAAGCCTTCATGTATCAGAATCAGAACCACGATCGGTTACGGTTCGATCAACGCTGGCTCCCACTCCGTCCACGGTGCTCCTCTCAAGAAAGACGACATCATCCAACTGAAGGAGAAATGGGGCTTCGACCCAGAAAAGTCCTTCGTTGTTCCGCAGGAGGTTTACGACTACTACCACAAGATTTCTGAGGCCGGTGCTGCTGCCGAGGCCGAGTGGAACAAGCTCTTCGAGGCCTACCAAAAGGAGTTCCCTAAGGAAGGTGCCGAGCTCGCCAGAAGACTCAGGGGCGAGCTTCCAGAAGGCTGGCAAAACGTTCTCCCAACTTACCAGCCAGGCGACGCTGCTGTTGCTTCCAGAAAGCTTTCTGAAGTTTGCCTGGGTAAGCTGCAAGCCGTTCTTCCAGAACTGGTGGGTGGTTCCGCCGATTTGACCCCATCCAATCTGACCAGATGGACTGGTGCCATTGACTTCCAACCCGAGTCCACCGGTCTGGGTGACTACTCTGGTAAGTACCTGAGATTCGGTGTTAGAGAGCACGGTATGGGCGCTATCATCAACGGTATTTCTGCCTTCGGTGCCAACTACAAGTCCTTCGGTGCCACTTTCCTCAACTTTGTGTCCTACGCTGCCGGTGCTCTGAGACTGTCTGCTCTTTCGCACCACCCAGTCATCTGGGTTGCTACCCACGACTCCATCGGACTTGGTGAGGACGGCCCAACCCACCAGCCTATCGAGACCCTTGCTCACTTCAGAGCCATTCCAAACCTGATGGTCTGGAGACCAGCTGACGGTAACGAGACCTCTGCTGCTTACATCAAGGCCATCTCGAGCACCAAGACTCCATCTGTGCTGGCTCTTTCTAGACAAAACTTGCCTCAACTATCTGGCTCCTCTGTCGAGAAGGCCCTGAAGGGTGGTTACACCGTTCACGAGGTTGACAACGCCAAGCTGATCTTGGCTGCCACTGGTTCGGAGGTGTCTCTATCCATTGATGCTGCCAAGCTGCTCACCGAGAAAGGCATCCCAACGGCTGTTGTCTCGATCCCAGACTTCTTCACTTTTGACCAGCAGCCTGCTGACTACAAGCTGTCTGTGCTGCCAGACGGCGTCCCAATTTTGTCTGTGGAGGTGATGGCCACCTCTGGATGGTCCAAGTACGCCCACGCCCAATTCGGCCTGAACAGATTTGGTGCCTCCGGTAAGACTGCCGACGTGTACAAGTTCTTCGACTTCACCCCAGAGGGCGTCGCCAAGAGAGGTGAGCAGACCTACGAGTTCTTCAAGGGTAAGAACTTGATTTCTCCATTGCACACTCCTTTCTAAATGTATTCTCTACAGATGAGTGATAATTAACTCCACACATTTTTGAATGGGTCTTCGGACGTGTAGTTGAACTGAGGCTGCACCGGCTGCACCGGCTGTGTAAAAGGTTGCGAGCGAAATGGCTGCTGGATCTGCGGCTGGGTCTGCGGCGACGGTTTCGAATATAGACTAAGAATCGATTTCTTGAGATCCGGTCTGCTGTTCTGGGCCGTTTGCGGCTGTGGAGGCCGCGAAGGCGCCGATCCAAACAGGTCGGACGAAAATAAGTCTTGGGATGCTGAGGCGGCCGGAGCGGGCGTTGGTTTGGCTGTGGAGGTGCTGACAGAGGCGTTGACAGGCGTGCTAAGTCCGTCCAGCAGCGAAGACGTGGACTCTGTCTGCTGTGAAAGCGACTCCGGAGACTCGCGCTGCTCCGTTGTCTTTCCAGCAACAGCCAGCGCGCCCGGTTCCTTGTCGCTCTTCCATTTCCTCATCTCGTACTTGGTGCGAATAAAATTCTCAATCTTGCTCTCGTCAGGCACGTAGTTGTCCGGGAGCTTGTCCTCCCAGAACAAGTTTGCCCGCTCGTTTCCCCACATTACCATGCTCTTGACCTGCTCGTCGGTCCACGAGTCCAAATCAACAGATTTGACCCGCGAAATGTGTGTCCCCATGCTTCTATGAATACCGGAACACCTAATACAGACAAAGACGCCCAAGTTCCATGACGCCCAGCGCGGGTTCTTGGAGGTCTTGCAGTCTGCACAGTTCTTGTTCGCAGGCTCTCTCAGCAAGGTCTTGAGGATCTGCTGGTTTCTCTCGTTGTGTTTTCTCTGCGCGGACATACAGCTACGAACAAGTTTTTTTCGTTATCGGTATTTTTCATGCTCTACAAAACCCCACACCTCGCACCGCCATCTTCTAGTACACGATCCGCGACCGCATGTCGCTTATCCGGCGATCGATGTCGCGCGGCAGCCTATCCATCTTGGTTGCTATGCGGACCCGCCTGTCGGGCCCGAGACGGTAGTACTCCTCGATCAGGTCTCCGTCGATGCAGTTTTTCGGCGGATTGTAGTAGCCTTTGAATTTCAGATACTCGCGATCTGTCAGAGACGTAAACTCGTGTACGATCAGCTTCTGCAACTCCTTGAAGAAGTTGACTTCCGACAAGCTGTTCAAGGGATACAGACAGCCCATTTGCCCTTGCAGACAGCCGTAAACGATCGACTCGGCGCCTCCAATGGTGAGCGAGCCCTTCTGGAAGAACGTCGGCATGTCTCCAACGTAATAGTTCACCGGATTGTCCAGCTTGGTCCTGCGCATCTTCACCAGGAACCCATGGTTGTCCTCGTCGCTCATCTCTGAGATCTGCTCGGGACAGCGCAGAACCGAAATGTTGCCAAACTTGTCGCCAACAACGACAGTGTCGTAGTCGAGTAGCAAGGTGCGGGTCACGTGCCGCTGCATCGTGTCGTCGATGAAGTCGACAAAGGCGTTCTCCAGGGGCTTGTAGACCGTGTACCGGACGCTGTCGCGCACGTCGCTGACTATTACCCGGAACCCCTGCGTTTTCAGGTCGACAATCTCAAAACAGTCGAGTCTGGTGCTGGACCGTTTCACCAGCTGTTTCTGGCCGATGTCGTACAAGATGAGCTCGTTCTTGGTTCCAGCCAGCAACTTTCCCTGGAAGGCAATAAGGGCGAGCGCGAGATGTTCTGTTTTCGTCGTTTGGTACAACTCCAGAGTGCCGTTTGCAGAGATGCGATAGAGATGGATGTACGTTGCGTCATTGCGAGGAGGGCTTAGTTGCTGGTTCTTGGCTGAAGAAACCGCCAAAAACGGCTCCCCTGGGCGGCTCTCGAAGTTCACCCAGCACGCTCGGAACGCAGTTTCGTCGCCCAGATCGACTGTCTGCAACACAGATTTTTCTGCCACCACGACCGTCTGAATACAGCTGGCCCACGCGCCCGGCGCTTTTGGATAGCCAAACTGCTGATACTGCTCGATGCGTTCCTCGTCAACGTCGCGGCTTGTGTCAATGTCGCCCTCCAGAACGTACATCATGCCGTTTTTGTCTGTGCAGTCGCACATGTATTTAGGAGTGTTTCTGAGCGCAATGTTCTCGATAATAGTATCGTTTTCCAGCTGGTCGATGGTCATGATCGTCAGACTGTTGCCGTAAATGGCCAGCACTCCATTCTCCGGAATGTCTTCGCTTCTGAACGAGCATGCGTGCTGGAACACCGGTTTCGTCAACGGAGTGATTTTGAATTCGGAAGGTCGAGTGTATCCCAAATAAGTACGGGCTGAGAATATGCAGACCGCATTCTGGCCCACGGCTTCAATCTTGGACAGCTGCACAGCGCGCGGACCTGTGTATTTGTTTCGCGGGTTGGACAGCTCGCCCGTTTGCGGGTCCATCTGCAGCCGAGCATACACACCGCTCTCCATACCGATATGGACGTACAGAAGCGACGTAGCCAGCTCGGGCTCGTCCTCGTCGTCCTCGCTGGCGTCTTTGTTGAGCACAATAGCCGTGTCTTTCATGTAGAACGCCATTAGAGATGAAGCTGCGGAGCTCAGAATCTCTTCGCCAGCTACTTCGAGGGTGGACTCCGGGTCTGTAGAAAAAACCGTCAGCGTTTTATCCTGACATGCAACCAGCAAATACGGGAACCTGGCAGCACCGGCCTGCACCTCTCCCAGAGTGAGCGCAGTGATCTGGGCAGCGAGCTCTTTGTGCTCGTTGTACTCTATTAATTTGTCGAGATCGTCCAGCTCGAAGTAGACGATCTCGCGGTTCGACAGCGCGATGGCAAGCTGTGAGTTCGTTGCGGAGCAGTGCAGAACTCTGATTCCGGCAGGTGGGGCCCAGTCGATGGTTTTCTGCGGAGTCTCGTCGACGTAGAACACCTGTCTCACGCCGTTTGGGTGCACCTGGACAAGCGAGGCGCCACCCACCTGGAAAACGCCCAGCGTATTTGTATCAAGCACCAGGCCACTATTTTCCACCTCCTCGACATTCTCGCCAATACGCAAAACCAGCGTTCCGTCCACGAATGAGAGAACGATGTATTTGTCGTACTCGTCGTCTCTGTTGAGCTTCGAAACAAACACCTTTTGCACCACCGACGGCAGCTCCTGGGTGACGACTTCGCTAAACGGCAGCTCGTGGTTGAGCACCTTGAGTGCCGAGCGGGGCCCCGTGCCGCAAAGAGAATATATCACAGGCAAACTGGTGGTTTCGTTGGAGTTGTAGAGTTTTGCGTCGATCAGCGGGTTGATGTTTTCCACTATGTTCACCAGATTCAGATTCTCCAACGGCCGCGGCTCAAACAGAGTCGTTTCGTCGTTTAGAACAGCAACGTCGTCCGGATAATCTTGAGAGCTGAATTTTCTCTGGTTTTCGTCTCCCAGCTTGTCGAACTGATAGAGATATTGGTCGCCGCATTCGCAGTTTGCGTAGAGGAATCCGGCCCTAAAAATCAGCAGCGACGTGCACACAGGCATGGTGTCAAAATACTGTATTTCCACCGAGTTCACCACGCCCGCCTCGCCTCGAGACTCGTCACTGTCCTGGACAACGTAGTCAAGAGTGATTTTGAACAGGTCGCCAAGCTCGCTCTGCAAGAGTGCAAAGAAGCTATTTTTCAGCGTGTGCACAACTCCACAGACAATGCGCGATCGTCCTACTTGCCCGGATCGTCTTGGAATAGGAATCGTGTGCGTCATTTTGGACAGACATTTATACTGAATTATTCCCTCCGAGCATAGCAGAACCCCTGAAGGGCCCTGGGTGCCTCCTGGAAGAGGAAGCAAAAAATTTGAGGAGAAGCTGACTTCCTCGCTGTATTTCTTCACCACGTGGTTGAGCCCAAGGTCGAGCTCGTAATAGCACAAGGTCTTGTGCATCTTTTTGTCGGGTCTGTCCTCGAAATCCGAGTAGTCGCACTCCAGGGCCGCAAACTGCGGATTCTCAAACCCCACGTCCATTCCGCAGACGGCGAATGTCAAGACCTTGGACTTGTTCGCTTCCAATGGAGACGAAACCTGGAGCCTGTTTCTGTGATCTGAGGTGAATTTGTAGACAAATTTGTTTTTCTCGATGGCGCCAATCATGGCCGCTCTGCTGCGCCCGTCCACGGCAATGTACTCGCCAGGGGAAATTCTTCGCAACCCGGTCTTAAAGTACGGTTCGTTAGATACGCTTTCGAATCGTCCTTTCTCATTATTCATCTCCAAGACAGTCAAATTTCCACTGTCCGAGGTGACAATCAACAGATCCTTTTCTGACCCACTGCTCTTCAAAGCCTCAATCGATCTAATGTGGCTGAAAGTGTTCTGGGCCACCACTTTGTAGAAGTCACCATTGTTTCTATTCAGTTTCCACAGCTCAAGAGTCGTGGCTGTGGCCCTGACAACCTCTTGCTGTCTTCTATTGCCAGTGAAATTGCCTATGCAGCACTTGACAGCGGTCACAGAAGGCCGGATAGTCAGGTTGTACAGGAACAGGTCTGGATTGAGAGACATGTTCAAGCAGTAGAGTGAGATTTATTTGAATATTTTTTTAATCGACGCGACGATAACGGCGCGCGCCGTCTGTGATACTTTCTTGATTTTGTAAACAAAGTGAAACAAAAGATCATCTCCAGACAATGGCGGACGTCGCTAAAAATACCACCTCAGGGGTTCGATCGTACTTAAAATCAGTCCACGAGATTTCTGAGCCAGAGCAAATTGAGATTGCCATCCGCAAATGCTTCCAGGAATCCCAGCTGTCCGTGTCCTCTCATGGGAAGCAGATCGCCATTCTAAAAGCCCTCCAGTTGAAATGTCGCGAACAGAGGCTGCAGTCACAGTTCAATGAGCTGTTTTGCAAGCTGGTTAACAAGGTTCTTCCGATCAAACGTAACGAGCCAGTGGGTGACCGCATAGTCAAATTCATTTCGTCATTTGTGAGCTCTATCAACCCTGAATCAGAGGACGACAACGCCAAGGTCGACAAGCAGGACGAGAGAATGTACAACCAGTTTATAGACAGGCTTGCTCGTCACTTGCTAAATGGTCTGGAAGCCAATAATAAGAATGTTCGGTACAGAGCGTGTCACATCCTCTCGCATCTAATGAACAATATGACGTCAATTGACAGCGATCTGTATGAAGCCCTTAGCGAAGGGCTGCTCGCTAGAATATATGACAAGGAGCCGCATATCCGAATCAAGGCCATCACAACTCTGGCAAGCTTCCAGGAGCCAGACGGAAGCCAGGAGCTGAGCAACGCAGCAATGAAAATCCGCTATGTGATGCAGAATGACACGAATCCAGAGGTCAGGCGAGCATGTTTGCGCCAAATTGAGAAAACCAAGCATACTGAGCCGTACATATTCGAAAGGGCAAGAGATACGAACTCCGTCAACAGAAGACTGTTGTACTCCAAAGTGCTACCTGATTTCAAAGATTTCAGGCGCATAGATTACAAGGCTCGAGAACAGTTGTTAAGTTGGGGTCTGAAGGATAGAGAAGAGTCCGTCAAGAAGGCGGCAATCAAGTGGCTCACGGAAAATTGGATGCAGACTTTAAACAACGACGTCATGGAGCTGCTTGAGCGTCTGAAAGTTACCAAGAGTGATATTGCGGAAACCGCCGTCCGTGTTTTCCTTGATAACCGGCAGGATATTGTGGCCAAGATAACCTTCGACGAACAGATCATGCGCTCATTGACACCAGAGACTTCTCTTTTGCTAAGGGTCTATTATCAGCATTGCAATGATACGAACAAAATCACGCAGGTTGAAAAATACTTCCCGGAAGCCGCTCAGTTCGCCGATATATTGAATGGCTATTTTGCGAAGCGAAAAGAGTGTCTGATTGTATTGACTCAACAAAAACCAATATTAGAGGCAGAGAGCTCCGTTGATATGACAGAGATTGAAGAGCTGGACTTCGTGCTGCGACAATTGCTGATTGTGGCTTCCGAATATGACTATAGTGATGAGTTCGGACGAAGCAGGATGCTGAACACACTAAGAGCGGTGCTCACGAGCGATCATTTGTCGGATAACCTGATTGAGGTCCTCATGCTTTGTATACATAAACTGTCCATCAGCGAGCGCGATTTCACACAAATGATTGTCGAGATCATCAATGACCTTAAAGACTCGGCTTACGAAAAACAAAACACGTTAGAAGGCATTGCCGGAGAAAGTTCCCGCGTGGAGGATGATCTGAACGAAAATGACGATGACGACGACGATGATGACGATGATGAGAGTAGTTTCCACTCTGCAAGAGAGCTGTCCCGATCATCAATTGCGAGCGCCAATAGATCGATGCAACAAGAATTGAAACAGGTCGTAGAACTAAGTCCCGAAAATTTGATTGAATGTCTATCCATTGCTCGCCGAATGCTTGAGCTTGTGAACGAGCCTTTGAAGGATAACATCACCTTGATGTCCATTCTCGATAGCCTGATTCGTCCTTCTATTCGCCGATCTGAAACCGAAATCAGAAAGCTGGGTCTCATTTGTTTAGGTCTCTGCTGCATTCTTGACAAGGAATTGGCTGCTGACAGCATTTTCATTTGTGCGATATTTGTTACGAAAAGCAGCGAGGAGTCGCTTGTTGTCACCGGTATCAAAGTTATTTCTGACTTGCTCGCAGTCCACGGAATCTCTGTTCTGGAGGCAGGCATGGCAAACAGCGTGGATGCCATTGCAATAGCGCGGCTATTCTACCGTACGCTGAGAGACACCAGCCGTAAAGAGGCCCAAGCCACTTCAGGGGAAGCCTTGTACAAGCTGTTTTTATGTGGAGTTATTACTGATGACGAGTTGTTCGAAACCACACTGCTTTCCTATTTCAACCCTGCAATCAACGACAACGAGCAGCTGAAACAGTGTTTTTCGTTCTGTATCCCTGTCTATGCTTTCTCTCATGAATCGCACCAAGAAAGAATTGCTCGCGTCACTTGCGACACGCTATTCAGATTATTCAGTGGGTGGGACGAGATGACGGAAGCCGGTGGCGCTTCCTCGATAACAGCGCAATCTATTGTTCAGCAACTGATGTACTGGACCGATCCCTATCGAGTAGTCAACAAAGCTCCGGGTCAAGCGGCCGGCAGTTCGGTACAGGTCGAGGTTGGGCTCCAACTTTTGTCTTTGCTGGAGAAACTAGAGTACTCCGGGGCTACTAAGCCCTTTTACAAAGCCATAATGACCTCGCTTCCGCGGCTCACCTTTACGGAACAATGCAATGTCGCGAAGCTGGAACAACTATACACTTCGATTGAGCAGCTGGAAGGCGTATTAGAAAAGCCTCTGAAGGATCAGCCCTCTAGGAATGCATACAACAGGTTCAAGGAATATGTATTTGAATGTCTGGATAAGGCAGGTGGACAAACCGAGAAGCACGATGAGCAACAGGAGGAGCAGCAGCAGGAGGAAAAGGAGGAAGAGGCGAAAGAGGAAGAAGAAATTGAGGAGCCCGCTTTCGAATTACCAGCTGGTTCTCAAAAAGAGCTATTTGAAGAGCCGGCTGTTGAAGTGAATACGAATTCCGCCTCTATGCACGAGCACACACGTCAAGAGTCTACATCTCCTGAAACTCAGGAAAGAGCAGAGAAGAAATCCTCGAAAAAGCCCAGATCGAAAAAATCTGCCAAGAAAACAAAAAAAATCGAAGCTGCATCCCTTCCAGATGAGGGAACAGAGCCTATAAAGACGGTTAGCCACTCAAAAATCAAAAAACTTGAGCACAAGAGGCGTGTGAAGAGTGAGGATGGAGGACTGATAGGCCGAAAAGCCAAGGCGAGATCGACAAAGCCAAAAGAAACGAAGAAAAAGAAGAGAAGCCACTCGTTCTCAGATTCGGAAGACGAAAAGCCTGCGACTACATTTCCACTCAAAGAAGAAAGCGAGGATGAAGTTGGCGACACGTCGGCAATTGTTCTCGTTTCGGATGATGATTGAGTAAATTGCGGCACCACGCAAATTATTTCGATCCTACGATCGTCTCGGGCAGCGTTGATGCGGCAAAAAAAATAATGCGATTAATTGAAAAAAGCATAATTCAAATATAAATACCCGGGAAGGAAATTTTTTTCTTACCCCAACAAAAGTAATGCTCTCTTTTCAAGCAGCAAATGCCATCACTTATTTAACCTACGGGTTTATGTTAGTGACTGGAGTTGCGATTGCAGTCTACCATAATGATAAAAAGACATTCTTGTCCTCTAATGGTACAAGAACGGGTCTTCCGTTGGCGTTGAACTTCATTGCAAGCGGTTAGTATGCTAGCAGCCAAAGTTTAACATTTCCAATCAAAAATATCACATCGTCAAACTACTCTATTCCACAATATTGATATACGGGTGCTTGTGTAATAACAGGCTGAGAACATACCGTCGAACTCGAACAAGTTAATACTTGCGTGAGGATTATTTGATATTGTTGGAATTTGTTAAATAGGAGCGAACTATTGTTCCTAGTACTAACCTTCTTAGCCATGGGATGTGGAATATTGACCACCTATACCCAGATTGCCAACATAGCCGGCATTCACGGCCTCTTGGTGTACACCATTTCTGGAGCCATCCCTATATTCTTGTTTTCTCTTTTCGGTCCTATGATCAGAAGACGGTGTCCTGAAGGGTTCGTGCTTACCGAATGGGTATTCCAAAGGTTTGGGCCAGTTACTGCTTTGTATTTGTCGGCGTTCACCATTTTCACCATGTTTCTCTTTATGTTGTCTGAACTGACAGCTATTGAGTACGCCATTGAGGCTTTAACTGGTCTTGATGCCACGCCGGCCATGGTGGTCGAGTGCGTGGTCACTACGATATACACATTTTTGGGAGGTTTCCATGTTTCTTTCATCACCGATTCTTTCCAGGCAGCTTTTGTCATGATTTTGTTGATCATTGGTGTTATTGGCTATGCCACCAGTATCCACATCAACATGGACCTCAAGCATGCCACAGAAAACCAACTATTGCATGCGAACAAGCTGGGATGGATGCTTCTGTATATTCTCCCAGTTGCCATCATCACCAATGACTGTTTCCTCTCTGGATTCTGGCTCAGAACCTTTGCAGCCAAGACAGATAAGGATTTGCTCATAGGTGCTTCCATTGCTGCCGTTGTTGCGGGTATTGTTTGTACGCTTGTTGGTCTTCCAGGTATCCTCGCTGTGTGGACCGGAGACTTGCAAGTGTACGATGACAATGGAAGCAACGCTTTCTTTATCCTTGTCTCCAAGATGCACAACTGGATCATTGGTGTGATTCTTATTTTCTCGATTGGCATATCCACCGCCACATTCGACTCTTTGCAGAGCGCCACCACCTCATCGATCTCGAACGACATATTCCGAAACAAAGTCAACATCATGTGGGTGAGGTTTATTGTCATTCTTGTCATGGTGCCCTCGATTGTCGTGGCAGTGAAAGCTGCTACCAATGTTCTCCAGATCTATCTGATTGCCGATCTAGTTTCCGCGTCAGTGATTCCAATCATCTTCCTCGGCCTTTCCAAGAGGTTTGACTTTTTGCGTGGGCTCGATGTGATGGTTGGTGGATTGGGAGCATTGGTTGCAGTTTTCATCTATGGTACAATCTATTACGGCAACGCCAAAGACGGTGGACGTCTGCTTTTGGTCTGGAACGGCATCTACTCTGATCAAGATTGGGGTCCTTTTGGTGCTTTTGTAATTGCTCCTGTCGGTGGCTGTCTGATTGGATTTGCTTGTGCTGCCATTAGGATAGCTGTCTTGAAAATTAGGGACAAAACCAGACGCGTCAACCGTTTGCCAGAAGTGGAGGTGCAGCGAGAGCTGTTGGATGATGCTGAAAGTGTCACAAAGAGCAAGCTCAAGGCTCTAGCCGTCGGCCTCGTGTAAAAGAACAATCACGTTCTAGTATTAATATTATACGACATATATTTTGTTGTAGAAGTATTTACAAGAATAATTATATCAAGAAAAATAAAATTCAAATCTATATGCCGTACTACTCTCTTGGCCTAGAAGGCTCGGCCAACAAATTAGGCGTCGGCGTCATTGAACACCCGCTTGAAAAAATCGCCGCGTACAACCATGCTAATGTGCTCTCTAATGTACGAGATACGTATGTGACGCCTCCAGGAGAGGGCTTTCTTCCCAGGGACACTGCTAGACACCATCGAAATTGGGTGGTTAGACTGATCAAGCAAGCGCTTCGAGAGGCAAATATACGCCCTAATCAGCTAAACTGCATTTGTTTCACGCAAGGACCAGGGATGGGCGCTCCGTTACAGAGCGTTGTGATAGCCGCAAGAACGATTGCTCAGATGTGGGACTTGCCTCTTGTGGGAGTGAACCATTGTATTGGACACATCGAAATGGGCAGAGAAATTACGGGAGCTACGAATCCGGTTGTGTTGTATGTGAGTGGAGGAAATACCCAGGTTATTGCGTACTCGCGGCAACGGTACAGGATCTTTGGAGAAACGTTGGACATTGCTGTTGGAAACTGTCTGGATCGGTTTGCAAGGACGCTGCAAATTCCGAATGCGCCTTCTCCCGGATACAATATTGAGCAGCTGGCGAAAAAAGGCCGCCATCTGGTCGAGCTACCGTACACCGTGAAAGGGATGGATCTCAGCATGAGCGGGATCTTGGAGTACGTTGACAATCTGGCACACGATCTTTTTCAAGGAAAGAAGAACAAACAATTGATCCGAGCCGATGGTAGCAAAGTGACGGTTGAGGATTTGTGCTTTTCGCTTCAGGAATGCATCTATGCAATGCTGGTGGAGATCACAGAGAGAGCCATGGCCCACGTTGGTTCGCGCGAGGTGCTAATAGTTGGCGGAGTCGGGTGCAACGAGAGGTTGCAGGAAATGATGGGTATTATGGCCAAGGACAGAAATGGCAGCATCTATGCTACAGATGAACGCTTCTGCATTGACAACGGGATCATGATTGCCCATGCCGGGCTTCTTGCCTTTAGAACGGGCACAAGAACTCCATTGGACCAGAGCGTTTGTACACAAAGGTTTAGGACGGACGAAGTTTTTGTGAGCTGGCGAGAAGACTAAATATTATTTAGAGCATTTAATATTCAAAGCATTTAATATTAACATATTTTACTGTTTTGATCTTCCGTGTTTGTTATGAGTGTTTTGGAAACCAATTTACGACGCATAAACGAGATCAACCAGTCCATACAAACACTCTACTACCGCGCTGGAGGGATCTTCAGTAATTCTCTGCTGGAATCTCTCGACACTACGCAACAGATACGCGACATCCAAGAAGATGAGCTCATCCTGCTTAGGGGCCAGTCGCTAGCGCAGTTAGACGTGGATGAGGGTAGCGTGCCACAACTGGCTGCCGTGAAAAGCTCTCTAGAGCAGCTGAAAGACGACCCAAACGAGGACGCGATGGTGCGGCTCAGCCTGATGTACCAACGGCTACTGCAGTACGCATCTGTCTACAAAATCGAGGAGTCGCAAAGAAACGCGATCCAGGAAAATCTCAACGAAGCCACGGCCGCTGTGGCCGCGCTAAACGAGTACAGAACGGCGCTGGAGGCGATGCAGGATGAGCTTGTGATATGGAACCATTTGGGGGTCCAGGGAGGAGTCCAGGGCGAAATGGTGGTGGCAGTCGCGTCTGAGGACAGCGAGGATGTCGCTGGGCTGATCGAGAAGGAGGAAGCCGAGCTGGCGGCTCTGTCGGAGGACAAGAGCTGAGTCCTGCGCCAAATTCATATACCCCAGTTTGTCGTTTCCGAGCGAAAAAGTGCGTAAAGTCCAAAATATTTTAAATATTCTCACTTGTACTTTCCATGTCAGACCAGATCAAGTCTTTGACGACGACGGCGTCTGTTTTGGTGAGCAAGGACCAGGCAGGCTTGCTCAATAACAAGACGTACAAGGACGCATTGTCCACCGTTGGGGGCCACAAGAGTCAGAAACTTGTGAAAAGACATGCTGAGAACGCAAGGACCAGTGTTTCTCTTGTAAGACGGTCCAAGACTACGCGAAACGACGGTCTAGAGATAGTGAGCGATCAGCTGCTGGCAGAGATCCCCGCGCAGGACGAAGAAGACGCCGTATTCTCCTTGTATCAGGGATTTAGTGCAATCTTGCCAGACCTGGAGCAAGCAGCTTCGCCCTCGAAGCGACTCGCCGCGGGATTGAACGCTGATACCATCAAGTCGACAACCAACGTAGCGCAATTGCACCAGTACAAGGACGACGTGAATTACAAGTTGGATCTGCTGGAGATCAGAAAAGGCATCGCCGAGAGCGACATCAAGGAGCTCGACGCCAAGATCGAGCAGCTGTATCGTCTGCGCAAGAAAATATTTGACCGTGTGGCAGAGTACGAGAAGGAGGAGTCGGACCTGGAGAAACTGCTCCGAATAGTGGAGAAAAGCCTCGAGAACAAAGGTGCCCAGACGGCGGAAGAGGCCGTTCAGGAGCCGGCCCCCATTCGCAAACACGCCTCGACACTGAACCAGTTCTACAGTCCCGGGAGCGAGATAGTGCGATTGGAGGCCCACGACGACGCAGTGACCTGTTTTGCGTTCGACGCTCCATTTGGCACTCTGGTGTCTGCTTCGCTGGACAACACCGTCAAAGTCTGGGATCTGAATAGAAACGAGTGCATTGGAAGACTGGAGGGCCATCTATCGAGCGTGGAGTGCCTGGCGATGGAAAAAGACCTTGTTGTGACCGGATCGCTGGATGCTTCTTTGCGACTCTGGGACTACACTAAGGTAGGCGTGGACGAGCCGCTGCTGCACTCTTTTGAGCGACACATGGATGAGATCACCGCCGTGAGCATGTCGGGGTCAACCATTGTGTCGGGATCGGCCGACAGAACCATAAGACATTGGGACGTGGCTACGGGGCAGTGCATCCAGACGATAGACGTGATGTGGGCCGCTTCGAGGAGCTGGAAACAGGCCCCGGCCAAGATGCAGACCCCGTATATTGGCGCGCTGCAGTGCTTTGATGCTGCCCTGGCTTCCGGAACAGGCGATGGCGTTGTTCGTCTGTGGGATCTGCGTAGCGGAGAGATTATCCGCCAGCTAGTTGGTCACACGAGCGCCGTCACGTGCCTGCAATTTGATGAACACAGCATCGTGACTGGGTCGCGGGACCGGTCCGTCCGCATATGGGATCTGAGAACCGGAGTGTTGATGGACTCGTTCGCGTACGGCCACGAGATCCGGTCGCTTCAGTTCGATGAGAAGCGAGTGGCCTGTGCTGCGGGCGAGGAGACGGTGAAGCTGTATGACCGCATCGACCAGGCACACACCGACGTGGCCCAGGGCTCTGGAACAGTGACTTTCTGCCGTTACACAGATAGCTATTTGGTGGAAGGCCGGGACAACGGTAGCATAGGTGTGTGGAAAATATAATGTACATAGACGATCGACGCGACGCAGGTGAAGAAAAACCGTCGACGCGAAATATTTGTTCGAATATTTCTTTATTCGCCATTTTTTATTCATGTCCACTCCTACAATAGTTGTGCTTAAAGAGGGCACGGACACCTCGCAGGGCCGTGGCCAGATAATCTCGAACATTAACGCGTGTGTGGCGATCCAGGAGACTTTGAAGGCCACTTTGGGCCCGTTGGGATCAGATATCCTGATTGTGAATAACGGACGTACGACGATTTCGAACGATGGAGCCACCATTCTGAAGCTCTTGGATGTGGTTCATCCCGCTGCCAAGATTTTGGTTGATATTTCTCGGTCGCAGGATGCAGAGGTCGGAGACGGAACCACTTCTGTGGCCTTGTTGGCGGCGGAGTTTCTGAAGGAGAGTAAGCAGTTCATTGAAGAGGGCATGCCCTCGCACGTGATCATCAAGGCTTTCCGCAAAGCTTGCGACCTTGCGTGCGAGAAAATCAGGGAGCTGCAGGTGGAATTGGCCGCAGATCATAGTGACGCAGAGATGAGACAACTCCTGGAAAGATGTGCTCAAACAGCCATGTCCTCCAAGATCATCCAAAATAACAAGGAGCTCTTCACCAAAATGGCTGTTGACGCTGTGCTGGTGCTGGATAGAGACGATTTAGACGAAGATCTGATTGGAATCAAGAAAGTTGCGGGCGGATCGATGGACGAGTCCAGACTGGTTCACGGCGTCGCTTTCAAGAAAGCCTTTTCGTATGCCGGCTTCGAGCAGCAGCCAAAGAAGTTCAGCAACCCAAAGATCCTGTCCCTTAATGTGGAGCTGGAATTGAAGGCAGAAAAAGATAATGCAGAGGTCAGGATCGACAAGGTGGCAGACTATCAGGAAATCGTGGATGCCGAATGGAAGATTATATTGAACAAACTGGACGCGATAGTGGCTACCGGAGCCAACATCGTGCTCTCGAAGCTGCCTATTGGAGACCTGGCAACCCAGTATTTCGCTGATAGAGGCATTTTCTGTGCCGGAAGAATTCCTGCGCAGGACATGGAAAGAGTGGTTCATGCCGTTGGAGGGTCGATCCAGACGACTGTTTCGGATATCAAGCCAGAGCATCTGGGCTCTTGTGAAAGATTCGAGGAAGTTCAGATCGGCGGAGAAAGATACAACATCTTTGAAGGCTGTCCGATTGCTAAAACGTGTACCATAATTCTGAGAGGAGGAGCTGACCAGGTGATTGCCGAGGTCGAGCGTTCTTTGCACGACGCCATTATGATTGTGAAGAGGGCTCTAAAACACAATGCCGTGGTGGCCGGTGGAGGAGCCATAGAGATGGAATTGTCCAAGCACCTGAGAAACTACTCTAGACAGATTGCTGGAAAACAGCAGCTTATCATCGCGGCCTATGCTAAGGCTCTGGAGGTGATTCCTAGACAGCTGTGTGAGAACGCAGGACTCGACGGCACTGATCTTCTAAACAACCTGAGAGCACAGCACTCTAAGGGAGAGGTGTGGTACGGACTGGACTTTGAGAGCGAGAGCATCAGTAATAATTTCGAGAAGTTTGTTTGGGAGCCAGCTTTGGTGAAGATGAATGCACTGCAGAGCGCTACAGAGGCTGCTGTTCTGGTGCTGAGTGTGGACGAGACGATCAAGAATGAGCCTAATGAGCCTCAGCCTCAACAGCCTATGGGCAGAGGAAGAGGAATACCGAGATAAGCTAAGTAGAGATAAAATCGGTTCATTAAATATTAAAGTTGCATATGTCGTCACGGGCGTCCTTCCTTGAGGAAATATATCAGGTCCATCTCGACGTTGTCGTCTGTAGAAGACGTCTTCCCGCTGGCGACGCTGCCTTTGCGAAAGCCCGGCTCTTTGCGCGCCTCTTTATGTTCATCAGAGTGGTTCGACTCGGTCAACGAGCCTATGTGCGAGAACGCGCGCCAGCTGAACTTGGAGCTGCGTCGTGTAGAAGGGTTTGCCGTGGCTTGTGGGCTTTTTGGGGCGGAGGAGTTGAGGAAATCCGCCAGACTGACCGGATTATTGCGCGCGTTTTCTTTGGGGTCCATGATCGAGCTAGATCTGGTATCGGAAGCGTGCACGTTGAGCTGCGAGCCGTGGTGCATTACATTCGGCCTGAAAGTTTTATTGGCATCCCGCACCGAGGGGCTGCCCAGCCTGTAGCCCGGGAGAAAAGAGAGTTTGCGTCGGAGCCAACAGTAGCTATATTCAGCGTAGGGGTCCACTTTGCTGGCTCGTAGGTTCCACGGGTGCTCTCTAAACAAGAACACTAGCGTGTCGATGGTGCAGTTGAATGCCTGGAAGAAGGAGGACATGCAGAACACCCATAAATGGTAGTAGGCTCGACGGCCGTGCTGTAGCTGGAAGCACTGGGCCACGAACGGCCACAGCCACAGCAGCATATAGGAAACGGGATAAATGAAGACCACCTTCATCTGGCGCATGATCTGTAGTTGTCGTATTCGGAGTCGTTCCATTGCTTCTTCGTGCAGCAATTGCTGGATATCCAACCCCACGTCGTGCCTCGATCGATCTGCTTTCGGCGACTGTGGAGGGTGGTAGTCTGCGAGTTCGGGGTCGTGTTGGCGGATACTGTCCATGTTTTCGGTGTATGTGTCCGAGTTGAGGTCCTTTCCACGTAACTTGGAAGTGATTTGCATGTCTGGCAAGATGAGCATCAGCAGCAGCTGGCCTACTCTGTACATGAGCGAGTCTCCAAGAACTTCCGAGACAAACCCTCGTTTGTGGTGGCTCACAAAATCCATCTTGCTGCTCACGGCCCTGTATTGGCGCATCACGTAGAAATAGACAGAGACGTAGATCGTGACGATCAGAATGGCAATACAATAGCGGATGATCCAGGTCAGGTACCACACCGCAGAAAGTGGTTCCATGTAGCTCCAGCTGACCTGATCTGTGTAACCATTGTGTCCTGCGAATGTGACCGAGCTGAGAACCACGGGAATGAGAAACGTCAAAATGTAGACGTAATTTCGGACAGTGTGGAGACCGCCTTCGCCATTTGAGTGCTGGGAAACGGCTGGACGAAAAATCAGAAGCGCAATGTGCACAGCAAAACAAACGATAATGAGGTCAGCGCCCTCGATGCTGAAGCACGTTAGCCATCCTATGGCGTTGAGAAATTTAACGTTCTGCACAGACCCTTCCGAGCTGCTTTCGGAACTTGCTGGATACACCAGCAACACGATGCCTTTGAGGAAGTCAAAGGCAATCAGTATGGCAATCAGGATGTGACGGAACATTCGCTTTTTGGGGTGAATCATCCCCAGAGTGTAGAAGGCAACCAGGCCGCTGACTATGGAGGTGGACGAGGAGCTGATGGAGCATATTCGGATCAGATGTCGTTGGCCGGGAGTATAGGTTTCCTGTCCCACCTCTTCGCGCTCGAAAAGACTGGATAGATGTCCAGATTCAGTGAGCAGTCTGGACAAGTCCATCAAAGAGACGCAAAACAACGATTAGCCACAGAAATATTTTTGTGCCCAAGTTTCGCCTCAAATATCACCAGCCACGGATCTATTTTTATTATTTAACGTACATTTGGCCTTTGGTGGCAGCCTGTAATTTCGGACGTGTGCTAAAGCAAAATTCACTGGACAGGCCCGTAGCGTAACCAAACACAAATGTCTCTGTGGTGTGGAAATAGAAAACCGTGCGGAACTGGTCCGGCGACTCAAAATAGCCAACTACTCCGACGTATAGTCTCGGATTAAAGTGGTCGTCCAGGGCCCGCAGATCGACCTCCTGTGCTGCGTCGTACACCGCCTCTGCGGCGAGGTCGCATACCAGGCGCCCGCAGTGGCAATTGGCAAGAATGTGCCGACATACAGACCGCGCAAGGTCCATCTGGATAATGTCCTCGCCGTTTCCCGAACATAGAACATTGACCAGGGCGCCATCTTTCTGTGCTGTGTAGCAGCCGGCCCCGACTACGCCCGAACAGCCAATTCTGCCGGGTTTCTTGAACAGACTGCCGCCCGACGAGACCCCCGTGGACGCTGCGCGCTTGTCAATCACCGAAACGCCGATGGTGTCTGTGATTATGGAGGACGCTATTTTTTTCTCGACCGAGTCTATACGGTCAAGCTCGTTTCTGTACTTTTCGAAAAGCTGGTTCATGCGGCCATTGATCTTCATATTATGGTCAGTCACCCCCACGAGGGTCACTGGGGGTGTGAGTCCAAGCTCGTTTTTTTTCTGCTGCGCAAAATACTGGTACGCACACTCAGTAATGGGCCGTGCTGCCGTGTTAGCCAGCAGCGACGATTGGTTGTGTTTCTTGGCTATTCGGTCGTAGACAAAGATGCTCGAGTCGGACTGGATCGACCCATCTCGTGCAATTGAGGACGTCACGCCTGTGTTGGTCAGCGAACTATCCTCTATTACAGAGGAAACGGCGATCAGCTGGCGAATCTGCGAGACAACGTGATCTGCTCCGTCTGGCTGCGGGAATCTCGACTTCAAGGCCCTTCTGAACAATCGCTTGAATTTCTCGGGGTTTTCCGCGTGGTTACCTGCGCCGAAATGGAGCAAGGTTAGTGTATTAGAAGGGGACATGCCATGTCCAGATCAAAAAATTAAAATTTAAAATGACGCATAAATTATGCGTTCGGAGATGAGATCGCCAAACAAAAATGCTGCTGGTCTTCATGGGTTTCAGGCATTCAAGAGTGTTTGCGTGCCTGATAATACGCGATAGGCACTCTGGACAGTAGCCAACCAGTTCCTCTTCTCCATGATGTCGCCCGTGCCGATGTTGCTTCTGAAAGCTCCACCGGGCTTTGCGGACCGAGGGGTAGTGCTATCAAAAGCAGTACTGGGGTTTCAGCCACCGATCTGCCAGTATTCACTGCTCTTAGTCCGAGCAGCTAGTCGACAATTCACTTTGGACGTTATGCCTTGCCACGCTGATCACCAAGAGAATCGGTTAGGATACGGAGCTACTTATTTCTCATTGTAGTTGGCTTCCACACATACCGGTCAGGTTATTCCCAGCTACTCAATAAAGAGCACGCCGGCTAGTTGGCTGGAGCTAGATAGCGTAGCCACACACCCAAAGAGAGGACATAGCACGAGCACGGACCCCAGAGGTTGAAACCCAGCATGGTTCCGCCCAAATGGTGAGTCTGCTATACACCGAATAATCACTTGAAACGCCGGTGCGTCTGCTACGTGCTCACATTCTCACCCTCTTCAGCTTCTGCAAGTACTCGTTCCGAACAGCCTCGTCGACAATCTCGGACTCCAGAATCTGCGAGATCTTGGCCCACGCCTCAGGCGATAGGCCAGACGCAGGCTTGACGGTTTCGCGCGTCGTTTCTGTAGTTTCTGGCCTGGCCTTCACCATGGCATTCAACTTCAACACCCCTTCCGTGGCGACCTTTTCTAGCAAGTCCTCGTCGTGGACCGTCTTAGTCTTGAGCATCAATGTGAGGTGGTCCGGAGAACTGCCAATCTTCTTTGCGAGCTCCTCCTTGACCTTGTAAATCGACGTGGTAGAATCGAATTTGAATTCGTGCTCAAATTTAGGAGGACGGAGAGATTTGATCGTCACGCTGACGGTGGACCGCTCGCCGCCACGGTAAAACAGCGGAGTATTTATGTGTCCGAATCCGCACTAGAGTTAGCATTTTTTCATCTGGCAACGAACTTACGTTTGTGTATTTTATTTCCCTGCTTGTTCTCTCGGGACAAACAAAGTTTATCAGGCTTTGGAATTTGTTGGCAAATTCCAGCTCGGAAACAACACTCATGCTCAATTATCACGTGTATTCTGTGGGGGAGGCAAAGGTGACGCACTTTCCTAACGTTTATTCGAACGATACAAATTTAAGAGTGATTAGAATCGCCCGCGTCGCGACGGTCGACCATCCAAAATTCGAGCTCGACCAGTACGACCGTTTTGAGCCCAAAGTGCTGGTCGACGGCCAGTGGTTCTGCACAGACCTCGGAACACCATTGGCCTTGTACCTAGAGCGAGAAGAGGTGGAGAAAGTCATCGGGAACGTTAACAAACTGCTAGAGAACCAATATACCTGGAAATGGGGCCCCTATCTGCTCCTGGACACCCTCACGTTCGGGATTTTGTCAAGACTACGGTGGGATAAAAAGTATGCGGACGAACTAGAAGTATACATCCGGGACGTCAATGCTGATCTGAAAAAACGCGGCATCCCGGTCGAATTTGTGAGTCCTCGAAGAAGCGGGTATCTAAGTCTGGACGTGCTGGTGCCGCGGCCAAGTGGGCCCGTCTAGCGGATACGTTGCTGAATACGCCGCATACGGCTGTTTAGCCGGCCGTTCCAGTTCATGCTCTTGAGTCCGATCTGCTTGTTCTCCAGGAGAACGGCAGTGCGCATAAGCTGCTTGCGTTCCTGCTCGTCCATGCCCACTGCACTGCGCCGCTTGATCAACTCGTTGTACCTGCTGCGGCTCTCAATGACATATTTCTTGCAATTCTGGATCTCCTCCTGCGAAAGCTTGCTGAAGCTTGAGAACCTGAAACATTCCTCCATCAACGCATTGGCGTCCAGCAACCGCTTCGGCGCATTCTGGATTATTTGGAAATACTCTGCGCTCAGAATGCCGTCGTCATCCGACCGCTTGTGGCTGAGATCGACCATCTGGGGCTCCAGCAGTTTGAATATCGTCAGACTAACCTGAAATATCGCCTTCGACTCCTCGTAAAACAGGCAGTCCCAAACTCGCAAGGTTGTTTCGATCGGCAGCACGCCAACGAAAATGCTCATGAACCAGCTTGTCGTACAGAACGAGAGTGTGGGCAGATCGTACAGAAACGAGTTGTTGTTGGAATGCGAGCTCTCGTTGATCAGAGCCCAGACGTTCGGTAGATACTGTCTCAAACACAGCATCAGCACGCCCTGGTGCACATTGACTCCTTCCAAATTGAACTCGTGGATCCCAGGGAGATACCTTTCGGTCACAATAACGAGCATCCAGAACGCGCGCTCCTCGTCTAAAAATACCAGCAATAACCCGGCAATGAAATTAAGCGACTGACAGTAACCGATCGAGGGTCTGTACTTGGAGAAGCACTTGAGCACACGTCTCAGGGTCTGCAGCAAGGGGCTTTCCTCGGTAACTCCGTTGCGCGTGATGTCGTTAAAATGGACGTTCTCCGGGAACGTCCGATGCAGGTCTTTCTCAATAGCCTCTGTGTTTTCGTTGATCATGTTCATGGTCTCGTCGACCAGCTTGTCGTAAACGCCCTTATTGTCTTTCAGCTTTTCGTGGCCCTTGGCGAAATAGAACCAGGCGTCGCCCCTCCACTCTGCCGGAATGCCTTTGCGGACGTAGCGTCGCAGCTCCTCAGATCGGGCGGGAAACCTGGTCGGACTGCCCTTCTTGGCGACTAGCAGTCCGTTTTTCGCCATGAGCTTCTCCCACTTCTTCTTTCTCCGCGCGAGGTACTGCGAGTACTGCGTCCACCACTCGTCGTACTCCTCGGTCTTGACATAATGGTTACTTTTGCGAAAACCGTACCTGTCTCTGTCGCTGGCAAGAATGGCGTTCAGTCGATTTGGCTCCTGGTGGATAGACTCGCCGATTTTGCTCTGCACCCGCTCCAGCGACGTTCGCGACTTCTTGAGCGACTGGATCGACTCTGTTCGGGTCAAGATCCTTTTATGAGGCGGATTCACCAGCGTGAACGGCTCCTCCCTGCGGTTTTCCGCATAGTAGTCTATCAGGCTGTATCCGCCGTCAGAGTTGTGACGCGCCAGCGCGTCAGAGTGCTCCTCCACCAGGTTCGGCGTGGAAAATGAAACTTCCGTGTCCATTTGACAAGAGGAAAAAATTAAAATAAAAACCTTCAATAAATGCGATTTTTAGATGATACGGGCCAGGCCCATCACAAATTAGTGCTGTGGAGAAATCCGCAGAAGACGGCCGACTACGCGATATGCGACAGTATTGAGCTGTGGCAGGGCTACATAGTCTCGGCGAAAGGCGTTTTTGCCGTTGACGAAGACTCGTACTTCAACCACCTGTGCGTCGCAGAGCAGCCGGTGCTGTACACCACAAACAGGTTTCTGTCCAAAATAGGCGTCCCACGGCTGCCAATTTTCGAGGACAGCTGGAGGGAGTACGTGGACGACCAGAACTCGTCGCCTACCTTGGTGTTCCGCGACTCTGTGTACCCCGCAATCTTCGTGATCAGCACGGCTGCGGTTCTTGCGGTGTTTCTCACGGCCATTCTTTTCAACAAGCACCACATCAGATCGCTGAAGCCAACGTGGATCATGAAGATATCCAGCATACTCGCCACCGGACAGCTGATGGCAATCTACATCTACTCGCTCGTCTACCTGTCCAGACAGAACTCGAGAGGACATGTCTCGGCTTTGGAGCTGGTCGACGCCATCACCGACTCGCTTGGATTCAACATCGTTTACATCATCACCTACTTTCTGCTGCTCCTGACACAGATCGAGGTGATCAAAAAGATGTTTTCTCGCAAAAGAGAACGGCAGCTGATCCTGGTGGTCGGAGTCAGTCTTGCCATCATTTCGCAGATCATCTGGGCCGCCTCGACGCTGGCCTCCAAGACGAACAGCTCCGCGGACCAGAACGTTGCGCTTGTGATTCTGCCCGTGGTGATGTATCTGCTGCGAATATCGCTATCGGTGCTTTACGACTGTCTTTTGCAGGTGTACGCCATTTCCCGCAAAGACCTCGCTTTCAAGCCCACCGTGCTGCCCCTGACGCTGCTCATGGAGCTCTGTGCAAACGCGTCCGTCGCGTTCTACATCGCCGACCTGGCTAACCCGTGGGTCAGTCGGCTCGCCGAAATATTCAACATCACCTGCTCGCTGCTCGTCAACGGGGTCACCTGGGAGTGGCTCAACCGCATGTACCAGCTGGACAAATACCGCCAAAAACAGGGAGTTCTAGGTCGCCAGCTGTTTGAGGAGACAGACGCGCGATACTCCAAATGGTTCAATCTCAAGCCGAAGTTTGTCAAGTTCAAGAAGTCGCTAAAGCAGAAAGAGATCACCACCACCACTTCCGACACCTACGTGCCCTACGAGGTGTACATCTACAGTCCGAAAGAGATGATTGTGCCTCCGACATCGCTGGTTTCGCGGCCAATCGTCCGCGGAGACAGGACAAGAGACCCTGTGGTGCACGATGTCCGTCAGCTCTCGCAGGTCGAGCCGGAGTCGGAAGAGGACTCTGAAGAAGAACGATTACTAAGACGCATTCGAGCGTGGAACGAAGAACATGTTTGACGAAACCTAGCTTACTATTTTTCTGCGATCAGCACCACAGAGTAGCCCACTCCCTCGCTTCTGACAGCGTCCTGTCGCTGAGGAAGGTAGGGGAATCTTTGTTGCACCACCTTTCCAGCGCACCCGTTGAGCTTGTAGTCGATAAACAGCTTGATCAGGTCCAGCGTCTCCCGGTCGCCCACCTTGGTGACCTTTTCCTTGGCGGCCTGGTACTTGAGCGTCTCCACCAACTGGAAGACGGACAGGATTTTAGCGAACATCAGGAACTCGATGTAGTTGGAGTAGAACTCGAAAAACGCATTGACACGCGGATCCTTGTACCCCAGCTGGGTCGTGGAGGCTGTTGAGGCCGTGCGGTCGGAATCAGATGTCTGCATCATGCTTGCTATGTCTGTGTGTTCCGACAGGGTGGATATCAAGGGAAAGCCGATGTTGCAGAAACGAATCTTTTTGAATCCCAGCTCCCGCAGCACGGGGACAGCCTGGGAGCTGATCTTGTTGACCACGCTGTTGCGGCCCTCGTTATACTGTGCTAGTAGTCTCCACACGCACTGGCGCAGGATTTCGTTGTCGGACTGGTGTTTGGGGTCGCCTGGCGCGTTCTCAACGTCCCATAGATAGAGCTGGAGATATCCGCTAGGCTTGAGCACCCTTTTGAACTCTGCGAACGTGGATTTGAGATTGCTCTCTGTCGCGGTGAGCGCCAAGTCCGGACAGCAGACGCACGACTGGGACGCGTCGCGCAGGGGCAGCACGTCACTGGCGATGGTGGTGAAGGAGGAGTACTCCGCGGCGAATTTTTTCTCGTCGCTGCTGAGCTGGTATTCGTAAAATTGGTCGTCAAGAATAGGATGGTCGAAATTCGGATACTGGTCCACGTAGACCGCCGGAAGCACGCCCCTGTTTGTGCGGTCGATCACTTTTCGCAGACTGTCGGTCACACTGACGAAGTTTGTATGGAACTGCGGGTTGTCGTGTCTGACCTGCCAGCCGTTGAGAAACTCGACGTGTGCGCCCAGAATCGAGCCTTCTGCTATGTACTGGATCTCCTCGGCAGGCGTGTCTTTAAGGTTGCTGGATATCATTTTGTTGCTCGTGACGACGCACACCTCGCAGAGCTCTGCCTCAAGCGACGGGTCGACGGCGTCCTGGAAATTTTTCAGAGCCTCCAGCACCTCTCTGTTGATCATCGTCGGCTGGTTCAACAGTTTCTTGATGATCTGGAGGAACCAGAGCAGCAGGAGCACCACGCGCTTGTCGTTGAACATGGAGCTTTGCAGGCTCTGGACGAGTCCAGGTTGCGAAATGGACGAGAGCTCGTGCAGCTTTGTTTTCAGCTTGTAGTCCGCGTCGTGCTTGATGTGCTGGTATGTTGATTCGGGCTGGGAAAGCATCGCCTTGCGCTCCTCGACCAGTTTCTCGTAGTCCCCGACCTCGTCGCGCAAGTTGACGAGGAACTGTTTGTACCAATTGAGCCAGAGGTCTCTTCTGGTGATGGCATAGTCGATCGGGTCGTTGAACTCGCTCTGGTCCATGTAGTCGAGGAAAAACCTCAGGTGATCCAAATACACCTCGGTGCCCTTCTCGTTGATCTCCTGCTTGACCTTTTCGACGTCACGGTTGTAATGCTCTGCTCGTTCGCGCAGTCTTCCGAGCTTGTACTCCTCAAACTGCGGGTCTACCTGCTCGTCCTTGTACGTGCCAAAGGCAAAGTCGCTGGCCAGCTCTGTGGCGAGCTTGCCGGCTTTCTTGGTGATTTTGAATAGACGGGACGATTGCTTGGACATGGGCACAAAGTCGGCATCCCTCGATGCGCCGACTACTGATTCGGAGGGGGCAGGCGGTGTCGTAGGTCGATGGAATGCGGCCTTGCTGAGTTTCGAGAGCGGGTTCCTGACCTTGTGCAAGTTTTCCGGCGACGGCCCGGAGGACACGCTTGTCTGCACAGTATGGCCAGCGTGTGGCGGCGAGTCGGATGGCAGCTCCGACATGTGCAGTTGCAGAAAAGTTGCAATTCTTCGCAAAATAAGTACACCTGGTGCGGGGGTGACGTGTGGTAAAATATACATTTTCTGGCTATTGGCTGTGCGTAGCAGATATATAGACACGGCAGAGAGCGCGCTACACGATGGCGAACGGGTCCTCGTCGGTGGTGGAGATGTCGATGGCAATTTCCGGATCGTCCAGCTCGCGGGCCAGCTGCTCCTTCAGCACGGAAAGAAACCCCCTCTCTGTGTTGGAGTGGTTGCAGGCAATGACGCTCGAGCCTTTCTCTCTGAAGTAGAGAGCTTCGTGGTGCGACAGCTCGCCCGTCAGATACAGATCGGCGTCCACGTTCCGGAAAACAGAGCCTCCCGACCCGGCACACACGGCGACGGTCGTGATGGCGGCGGCGTCCGGGTTTTTTTTCGTGGCCAATAGGAGATGGCTGATTCCTAAGTGGCTCTTTATTTTAGGCACAAGCTCGCTGAGACTGACGGCGCGCTGCAGCGTCACGAGCCTGCCCATCCCCACGCCCTCCTCCGCAGCGTTTTCCTCGATCACGGTTTTCTCCTTTATCTCGCCCAGTGCGAGGGCCAGCCAGTCGTTCACTCCTCCCTTGGCTGCGTCCACGGACGTGTGGGGACAGTACACAGATATTCCGTGATGGATCAGTTTTATCAGCGAGCTCTGCTGAGGATCGCTCGGAGTGATGCTCTTCAGGCCGCGGAAGATGAACGGATGGTACGCCAGCACAAGACTCGACCGGGCCCTGATTGCTTCCTCGACCACAGACTGGGTCAGGTCGACCGTCAGCAGAATGTGGAACTTGTCGCTCTTGTTGACCCCCGAAGCGTCGACCAACAGTCCCGTGTTGTCCCAGGAACTGTCCGCATACGCAATCGGATACAGTTTCTGGATCCCGGCGATCACTCGCTGGAATCTTGCAGGAGAAGACATGAAAAAAATAGGCTCGAAATGGAGTTATTTTTTAACCACATTTTGTAATTATTTTATGGACCTCACAGCAGATAAACTGACGCAAATCATAAAAGAAAGGCTCCAGGCCACAGAGGTGGAGGTCCAGGACATGTCTGGTGGCTGTGGGCAGGCTTTCGCGGTGATCATTGTCAGCGACGTGTTCAGGGGAAAGAACAAGCTGATGAGACATCGAATGGTCAACGGGGCATTGAAGGAGGAGATCAGCAACATCCACGCGTTCACCCAAAAGGTGTTTACGCAAGAGGAGTGGGACGAGCAGAAGAAAATGTTTGGGGTGTGATAGTTAATAAGCGTTGAATACATGTTCACTATACAGAATACGGAGGCGGCGAGTCGTAAAAAGGCGTCGTTGTGTGGTGGTTGGCCAGCAGCTTTTCGAGCTTGAGTCTGCGAGACTGAATCTCGAGGTGCTCAAGCTGGTCGATGTGGTGCGTGGGCCTTTCTGGCACTTTGAAAGCAGTTGGGGGTCCCGGCTCTGTTTTCTTGGCAAGTTTGAATTGTAGCGATGACAGGTAGTTGTTATTCGGGAAAACGGGAGCGTCTGGAAGCTTCTCAACAGTCTCCTCGACCAACGTCGAAGCGGTGGATGGCGGACTGCTCTCGGACATTGGGATCGAGTCTTCGGTAGTTTCTGCAAACGATTCTTCTGGTGGCGGAGACTGTTTGGCCTTGTTGAGCTTGATGACTCTCCTCTTCGGTTTCACGCCGTCGTGGGCGTTCTTGAAGAACGATCTAGACTGGAAATCTTTGATAACCTCCAGTTTGCGGCCCATGGACCCGTACTGCATGTCGGTATTGCTCAGATGGATTCTATTCCAGCTCAGGGTGTTGCTTGCCGCCAGAATGGCGTTGGCGAAACTCTTGGTCACAACGTCGTCGTTCATGCGGTCACAAGAAAGCGAGCCGCCCAACGCAAGCGTCTGTCTCGAGCTGGCGATTCTGGTAAGACGCATCAGACTGCCCGGAGAAATGCGCAGCGGGAACTCTGGGTCAACATCCTTCAGCAGAACGCGCTTCTCCTGAAGGTCTTGCTCCTCGTTGAGCAGGTCCTGGTGGAATTGCGAAAGAGACTGCGTGGTGTACTTGAGACTGAACTTGTAGAGATAGCTGGGCAGGAACTCCTTGAACAGCTCGCTGATCTGCGTCTCGATGGTCTTCTGCAGAAACTTGGCAATCGGCTTGATCCGGTCGAACGTCGAACTGACCTCGATGGATTCGAGCGGATCGTTCTTGAACACCAGTGTGAGTCCCTTTGTTTTGTTGAAGACAATGATGATGATCGAGCTCAATTTGAACTTTCCCAGCGTCAGGTTCAGCGGAATATCAAAGTTGCAGTCAGAGCCGTTGAACTGCGGGCCCACAAACTCGGCCAGCTGTTTGCAGTCTCTGGCATACGCTTTGTTTTTCTCCACCAGGTCGTCGTAGATGTTGTTGTTGTATATTTTCAGCGGACTGGCGCTGACCTTCGTGTTGACCGTCACAGACGCATCGCCGTCGTACTTGAACTTGAAGATGCCTCTGAACCGGTCTGGGGCCAGGTCGCCAATTTCAAGGATCTCGAACTCTGGTGAGATGTGCCCGAAGTTCAGGTCGACAATTTTGATGTCGGACGAGAGAATATTGGGTCTCTTTCCCGAGTTAAGGGCCTCGTTGAGCAGCTCCCGCGTGTAAGACGAGAACGACTGCTTTTCAATGGCCTCCCAATTGATCTGAAAAGACATCAATAAGATCACAAGATAAAAATCATGCGAGCCTTTTTTTTTGCCCGCGGGGAGAAAATTTTGTGATTGCCCAAACGGGAATTAATGGAAAATGCATATTTATTCGTTAACCGTCATTCGCTACAGACCGTTCGTCTATATTCACGCTGCTGAGCCCGTCCAGCACGCGGTCCAGCTGCACAGGCCACCCGGCCAGCAGTGTGTCGTCGCCGTCGAAAAACCGCGAGTAGTTGAAACTGTCGTCCTCCCTCGCAAACACCCCCTCTACGCCTGCTACCAGCCGGGAATCCAGCTGGAGCCGCTCCAGATCGGCTTTGCCCACCAAACTTCGGCCCCCACTAGCCTCCTGAAACGCCTCGTAGTAGAAGCGGCTCGTAAGGTCCACCACTTCGCTCTCTCTGCTAGGCTTTTCGCCAAATAGCCCGGGTATCTCCAGAAATTGCTTGAGCTTGACTCCCCGTGTGATGTCGGAGGTGGACGCATAGATATACTCGAATAGATTGTCTGCCTCGCCTGTGCTCAAGGACGGGTAGATGAACGTCATCGCATCGCGGAACTCGCTCTTGTTCAGGTACATCTTGTCGCCCTGGTCGAATTTGTCGAAGATCATCTCGAGCTGGCACAGCTGCACGGAGCTCAGCTCGCTTGATGTCCTCATCCGCTTGATGATGCGCTCTTTCTTGTCAAACTGCGTCTCAAGAAACTTCAGCTTGTCCACGATGATGTGGCGCACGAGCTTGATGCGGAACCCCAGCTCGTCCACTCTGTACAGCTGCTCGGTCTCCTTGAAATCAAAGCCCTGGTCAATCACCTGCATCTGGCGACAAAACTCCTCCTTCGCGCCGCGCAGCCGCTCGTAGAGCTTCTCCACGGCCTGCAGATCGCCCATGATCCCGGGCAGCTCGTTGATCTGCGCCTCGGCCACGTCCGACAGCTGCAGAACGTCGCTCTCGATCAGGTCAAGCCCCGCGCTCACGTCGTGGCTGAGGTGGCGCAGCTTGCGGAAAGAGGCCTCTTTCAGCTGCGCCAGCTGCGCAGCCACGTCGCTGCTCAGCGCCTGCTCCTGCGCAACAACCTTCTTGAGCAGCTCCAGCGCGTCCTGCAACGCGCGGCCCTGCGGCTCCGACAGCCGGCTCGAGTGGAACTCCACCAGCATCAAGTTGATCTTGCTGCGCATCGACTCCAGCTTCGAGTACTGCTCCAGGAAGCGCAGCTTCTTGCCAGCCCTGAACGTCTTCAGAAACGCCTGCTTCGCCGCCACGTCGTCGCCCAGCCGCTGCATCGCGTCCAGCATCTCCCGCATGCTCTCGATCAGCCGCGCCAGGCTCTCTAGATACTCGGTTTTGAGCCCTGTGATCTCGGTCACCACGCCGAGAAACGTCTCGAGTCGCGTCTTGGTGCCGACAGCGTCTCTCACGGGCTCCTTGCTGAAGCGGTCGTAGAACAGACTCACGTACGCGACGATGCTCTTCTCGTCCGGTTTCGCGCAGTCGACGTTTTCCGGGTCCAGCAGCCGCGAGATCCCCACGGACTCTGCCACCGCCATGGCCAGCTCCAGTCTGTCCAGGTTTGTCATTTTCGCGGCGTGCTGGTAGTCCAGCAGGTCTGGCTTGAAGTAGTTGAGGAGTGCGCAGAAGGCGTGGCCGCTGGACCAGCTCGACGTGAAGTTGGTCAGTTTTATGTCGGCATACGAGCTCGTCACTTTTTTGCACCATCGCAGCAGAAGCTCCTTTTTGCTGAACGCGTCGGCCTCGTCAGAGCTGTCAAAAACGGTGTAGTTGAGCAGAAGCAGCCAGATCAGCCCGAGCGTGAGCTTGGAGTTGCCGTCCACGATGTCCTCGGCGCCGATATTGTGTATCTGGAGGCCCTGACGGTGCTTGAGATAGTCCAGTATGCGACTGACGTTCTCCATCTTCTGGAACTTGAGGTTTGGCCGCTGGTAGATGGGAAGGAGGTCGAAGTCGGGATCAAGACATTTGAGCAGATGGTACAGATCGACGCCGGAACCAAGATCGGAGAGAGAAAGTAGAGGAGCGTGGTTGTGGCTCTGGAGCTTGGAATTGATCCAGCGCAGAAACGTCTTCTCCTGCACCTGTATCCATTCCTTGAGTGACACGTCGTGGGACGAGATGGACTTGATGATGAGGGTGTCCGACATGAGGAGAAAGGAATAAGCAGGGAGGCTTGTCAAAATTTAAACTACCGTTTTGGATTTTTATAGTTTGCATGTTTCAAATTAGGAATCGACTCGCGTCGACGCGTCGGCTATATGAATATATTAACACCAGCCTCACGAGCCGCGGAAAAATGGATGCGCCATGGCCTCCTTCGCGGTGAGTCTCTCCTGGTGGTCGTATTTGACGAGGTGGTCGATCAGATCGATCACCGCCGGGTTCTCACTCAGGTGTCTGTTGTTCTCATTAATGAAGTGTCTCCATGGCTTTCTTGGATACGTCATGAGGATGTCGTCGTAGTCGCTGCTCAGCTTGATGCCGTACCGATTGCAGTATTTGTGGAGGTCGTCTGTGCCCAGCACCTTGGCGATTTTCACCAGCTGGTCGGTGTTGGAGTCGCCCTTGAAGAACGGCTCTTTCTTGAACACTATGGCCGCAATCATGGCCCCCACAGACCACAGGTCCAGCGAGTAGTCGTACTGTTGCAGGTTGATGAGCAGCTCCGGACCCTTGTGGTATCTGGAGGCGACCCGCACGTTGAAGTCCATTCCCCTGTGGTAGAACTCGGCCAGCCCCCAGTCGATCAGCTTCAGCGTCTTGGTCAGAGGGTCAATCATGATGTTCTGCGGCTTGACGTCTCTGTGCATGATGCCCATCGAGTGCGAGTAGTCCAGCGCACGCAGCAGCTGCGTGAAGTAGTAGCGGATGTCGTCGAGCGTGAATTTCGGGTACAGCACGCGGAAGTCGACGTTGTTGATCTTCTCAAAGATCAGCGCCGGGATCTTCGAGTTGTGGTCCTGAATGAGGTCGTACAGCCTGATGATGTTGGGGCCTCCGGTCAGGTTCTTGAGGATCTTGATTTCACGGTGGATCTTCTTCAGCTTGACCGGCTTGAGCACCTTGATTACGCAGGGCTCGTTGTTCAGCACGTTCACGCCCGTGAACACCTCCGAGTACTTTCCTCTGCCGATCTTCGAGATGATCTCGTAGTTGGCGATGTTGCCCCATTCTATTTTGTAGTTTTCGTAGTCCCAGTACTCTCTCGGACGGATCTCGTTGGCGTCCGCGTACACCCTGGCGACGGAGTAGACTTTGGAAGACATCGTGGCGTGCTGCAGACTCGTTTTTGCGGACACAGCAGGCTTTTCCAAAACGTCTAGGTGTCTTAAGGGATTAAAAAATTTGTGCACGCCGGCCGTCGGATGATATATTCGGCCGTGCAGGGGTGTAAGTTTTATTTTCGTATTTCCTTCATGCGATGAAGCTGGGCGGCCGCTACGACGTCACCAGCGAGGTCGACGGCATGCGCGCGCCACTGCACGGCCTGGAGTTCCACGTCGACGACGCGGTCGAGTTCCCGCAGTTTCGCCGGCTCGTGGCCGTCGACCTTGTCGACGTGCGCCGGCTGCCAGTGTGGCTCGTCGGGGCCAGCAAGACGGGCATTTTCAACGTGTACACGGCGAATAAGGACTCCGAGGCGGTTTTCCAGGAGGTGGTGGCGTACTGCGACTTTGAGCGCGGCGAGATTGTGGGCTTTTTGCTGGAGACGGACGAGAGCCAGCGGTACGTGGTGCTGTTTCCGCGGCTGGAGGAGGACCACGTGGAGATCAAGGGCGTCGTGCTGGATCTGGACAACGAATTTGTGCGCCGCGCGGAGCGGCTCGCCGGCGCGGCCGTCGAGTGCGAAGTGCCCAGCGACGCCGCCGCAATTGTCGAGGCGCCGCGTCTGCGACGCGAAAACAGCGTCCTGGACAACTATCTGCAGAAACGCAACAGCCAGCCGCCGCAGGCGCCCCGGCCTGCGCCGCGCGAGCACAACGTGGGGGAAAAATTCAACCGGACGGTGGAGCGGCTGGCCGCGCGCGAGGTGCGCCGTCTGGGGCTGCAGGCGCAGCTGAGCAAGGACGAGTGCAAAGAGCTGTACGGGATCGCGCTGAAGTCGGCGCGGTTCCTGTTCCGACGGCAGCTCCGCCAGCAGCAGGAGCCGCCCGCGGACAAGCTGGCCAACGTTGTGCGCAACACGATCCAGCTACATCTGGAGGAGCTATAGATTGTCGTCATCAAGTCATGCTAATACTACATCGCGTCATTGAGTGTCCATCACGTAGGTGCAGTCGAAAACGGCGTCGCCGACGATGTCTCTGCGCGCGACCTGGTCGCAAAAAGAGACTCTCTTGGGGCGTTTGCCGATGCGCCGTCGGCCGCGCGTGGGGAGCGACGACACGGACGTGAGCGAGGAGCCGCTGCTGTAGCTGAAGAGCTCGTCGTCGGAGAGCTCGTCGCCGGACGGCTCGGCGAGGTGCGGCCTCAGCGAGCGCTCGAGCACGGGGCCGTACAGCGCGGTGATGTCGTTCTCCTTGTGCCAGTTGATCTCGGCCGGGTTCAGCTCGGGCAGCCTGCTTCTGGACTTCTGCCATGCGCGCCAGCAGGCGTTCTCCAGGCGCGCAGACGAGGTGCACGGCAGAAACACCTGGAGGTCCTCGACGAGCGAGTCTGGCTTGGCCGCGCGCACACTGTGGAAGTTGGACAGCTCGTACGGTTTCATGAACCGGTTGTTTGTGATGGAGATCCAGCACCGGAAGTACTGGTCCTCGGAAAGCTCTGCAGAGAAGTAGTCCACGGCTCGCAGCGACGCCAGCGGCGTCTGGAACGAGGACGACAGCACGGGGATCAGCGGCAGCTTGGTGCACGACTCATGGCCGTACTCCTGGAGAAAGTTGTCGTCCATGAACTGGTGGAAGAGCCTGGGATAAGGGGAGACCATGTGCGAAAAAATATAACAAGGGGAAAAGGATGTGGGGAATATATATACGTAGCCTGGCAAGTTCCATACATGGAGAGATCTTTGGCATTGCTGCATAATAGAAACAACATGAAATATTGCTGCAGAAATACGGCGCAGCGAGAAACAATAGACTCCGAACTGGGCGAGCAGTGAGGGTGCGACGACGCGGGCGAGCGTCAAGCTTATGAATAGGTACACGTCAGCAGGGGGCGCAATACGGAGAAAGAGCACGCCGGTGCGGAGAAGGCGGAGGATACTAGGGCAGGTCGACAGCAAGGCAGATGATTTCCAGGAGGGGCAAATTGCGGCGCAAGGGAGAAAGAGACTCGGATAATTTATTTTTCGCTCGCTTGCGCCGCAACGCCCGCATCGCATGACGCCATATATTAGTGACTATAGGTCGTCTAGAAGTTCGCGCAACGCAAACCGCGCGTCGCTCTGGGTCTTGGCCGCGTCTTGCGCGCCCTCGGCCAGCATGTATGGAGACTTCATCTCGAACTCGGTCGACGACACGCCCACCACGTATGGGTCGATGCCGATCTTGAGCCCCGGAGGAGGGTCTACGCCATACATCAGCCCGTCCGTGAAGTGGGGGCCATAGGTGGCCGGCGTGAGCGGCTGCACAAGCTTGCGCCGCTTCGTCACCACAGTAGCCTTGCCGTCGCTGTTGATTTGGACGGTGACCTGGTAGTCTGCGGACAAATCGTTCTGCCCTTTGCCCTGCGCGGCATCGCCGAGCGACTGGGTCTTGCGCAGTTTGCTCTGAAGTTGCTGTGTGATTTTCTCGAGATCGTGCTTCGCCGGCAGCGACCGGTGCCGGGCCGCCAGGATCCCGAGTCCCTGGTTGTGCGGCGTCGCAGGCTGTCTGACGTCCTCAAACCGCAGCGGCTTGGGCACCAGGCTGTTCGGCGTCGACGCCACTCTTCCGTGCGGGGTCTGCGCGTACCAGTGGGTGTACATCGGCGACGAGCTCAGGACGTGCGAGAAGTGCGACACGGGCGTCGACGGCGGCACCCTTGCCAAGGGCGTGCTGGGCATTTTCGGCGTCTTTGGTGCAAAGATGTCTGTCGGCTGCAAGAGCGACGGGTTCAGGTCCGGCTTGGGCACGCTCTCGGCCGCGTTGAGCGGCGACGTGTGCGCCTGCGAGCTCTGCGGGTTCCTGTCGGACGGCGACGAGCGGGACGACGACGCCGGCGACGAGTCGAGCCCGTTTTGCGGCTGTGTCACAGACACCAGCTCGTGATGCGCTTTCGCCACCTTGTTTTCCTGGATGGGCTTGAGCGCGGGCGCTGGCTGTCTGCGCCGCGGCGTGGGCGTGGGCGTTTGCGACTGCGATCCGCCTACCCTGCGGCGGCTGGGGCTAATCTTCATGACCGGCGTGGAGCACACGGCTCCCTGGCGAATCGTGGCGGCAGAGTTGCTGTAGGCGTTCATGCTGGAGTTGATAGAAAAAGTAAGAGTGCTTTCGCCGATCATGGCAACGTCCGCTTTGGCTTTTGTAGGAGGTCTTCCTCTGCGTCTTTTTTTAACGGGCGACCCATCAAAAAATGTTTCAGACATGCTGTCTGTTTCAAAATGGCGTTGTGCAGCCGTGGCAGTGAGCTGTGTAAGGAGGACAAAAATCGGACGGAGTGGGCTGTAAGTTTGGACAACCTGTGCCGACGAGTAGAGTGGGATTGGGACGAGAGGTGGGCGATATCTGGGAATGAAAATTGGCAAAAATCAGGCAGTCGTGGGCATGCACAAAATTAGCCCAGTTTGGAATATTGCTTGTTAGGGAAATGTCAACGCGTGGAATAACCTTCTGGCAAGGCGATGTGGCGAGGCGCGTGGCTAGTAAATTGTCTGAGTAATATTTTTATGTCGTCGGCACATGAGTGGCTCGCAATTGACGTCAATCCGACAACTCGGCGCGAGATTGAGCAGCTTGTGGCTGAACACGACACCGCTGCGCTGGAGGACCGGCTGGGGTCGCGGCTAACGTTTGGCACAGCAGGCCTGCGCGCCGCAATGGGCGCCGGCTTCAGCAGGATGAACGACGTTACCGTAGTGCAGGCCTCGCAGGGCCTCGCCGAGTACGTGAAGAGCGTGGCTGACACGCCGTCAGTGGTTGTGGGCCACGACCACCGCCACAACTCGCAGCGGTTTGCAGAGCTCACCGCCGCCGTGTTCCTCGTCAAGGGTTTCACAGTCTACTATTTGGGTGGGGGGTTGGCTGCCACCCCACTGGTGCCCTTTTCCGTGGACCAGTACTCTGCCAGCGCAGGTGTCATGATCACCGCCTCCCACAACCCGAAAAACGACAACGGGTACAAAGTGTACTGGAGCAACGGCTGCCAGATCATCCCGCCGCACGACCAGCAAATCCAGCACAGCATTCTGGCCAATCTCGACGTCGTCTTCACGGACCCCACGTGGGACACCGCGCGGGTATTTGAGCAGCACAGCGACAGGTTGCTTTTCGTGAGAGACGAGATTATCGAAAAGTACGCGCGCAAAGTCAAATCCATGTTGCTCAAAAACGCCTCGTTCTCCTTCAAAGCCGTCTACACAGCAATGCACGGCGTGGGCGCTGAGTTTGTGTCCCATGTTGTGCCCCACGGAGTCCTTGTCCCTGTTGAGCAGCAATGTCTGCCGGACCCGGACTTCCCGACAGTCAAGTTCCCGAACCCAGAGGAAAAAGGAGCACTGGACCTTGCCATTGAGCAGGCCGACAGGCAGGGCATTTCTGTGGTGGTGGCCAACGACCCGGACGCAGACCGGTTCTCTGCGGCGGTGAAAATGAACCGCGTTTGGAGACAGCTGTCGGGCAACGAGCTCGGCTACCTTTTCGCGCAATACGTGGTATCGCAGATAAAAGACCGCAGCAACGTGTATCTCGTCAATTCGACCGTCTCGTCGCAAATGATCGCCGCAATGGCCGCCAAAGAGGGTTTCCACTTCCAGGACACGCTGACGGGCTTCAAGTGGATCGGCAACAAGGTCATCGAGCTGGAGAACGCGGGATACCACTGCCCCTTTGCGTTCGAAGAGGCCATCGGGTTTATGTTCCCTGTGGTCCACGACAAGGACGGAATCTCTGCGCTGGTGATGTTTCTGCAGATGTACCAGCACTGGCTCGACACGGACACCGATGCGCTCCAGACGCTGCGGCAAGGGTACGAAAAATACGGCTTTTTCAAAGAGTGCAACGGGTACTACGTGGTGCCCGACACGCGCGCGACGGAGATCATTTTCCAGCACATTAGGAGCGCGGGCAACCCGTATCCTCAGCAGATCGGGCAGTTCACAGTGACGAAATGGCGCGACCTCACTGTTGGCTACGACTCGACGACGCCCGACTCGAAACCGGCGTTGCCCGTCGACGTTTCGTCGCAAATGATCACTGTCTCTCTGCAGCACGAGGACGACGAGATCAGGTTCACGGCGCGCGGCTCGGGCACAGAGCCAAAGCTCAAGGTGTACATCGAAGCAAAAAGCTCGAGCGAGACCAAGGCAGACGCTCTTGCGCGCCAGGTGTGGGCCCTTTTGCGCGCAGAGTGGTTCAAGCCCGAGTTCCACGGCCTGATCGAACGTGTTTGACCATCGTCGTGCACAGTTCCAGATCCAGTGTAGGGAAAAAAAAAATAAAAATAAAAATAAAAGGGTTTGCGGTCGAGCTAATACGGAGCATGCTGCGGTTTGGACAGCATCCGAAGAAAACAGAGTTGCCTCTGTAAGTATGGCAACGACATCTAAAATGAGGCTAACACACAGGGCTGGCAACTACGAGATAAAGCCGAAAAAGAGGCGACACGGACAAAGAAAATGGATCAACATCATAGGCATCACTGTGGCCGTGGTGGTGGTATTACTGCTGTTCCGCCGCCGCAAGCCGGCGAAGTTTGTGCCGCAGATTGAAAACTCAGAGCCAGCGCCGCCAGAAAACAAATTGTGGCCGAAGGAGACGGGTATTCCCGAAGAAGACAGCGACGTGTGGCCAGACACGGTCGAATTTTACGACCTGGAAGAGTACCAGGGCACGGCGAACGGGCGGGACAACAAGGAAATTGTTCTGCTGCTGGTGCCGCTCAGAAACGCCGCGAAGGTGCTGCCACTGATGTTCCGCAACATGATGAACATGACATACGACCACAGTCTGATAGACATAGCATTCCTGGTGAGCGACTGCTCAGAGGACGACACCACGCTGGAGACGCTTTTTGAGTACTCGCAGGCGATGCAGAAGGGCACGCTGCTGGAGCTGCTCGACAAGAAGGAGTCGAACACGCCGTCGGGAGCCATCGTCGGCTCCAGCGACCTGTACTTGCAGTACATGCCACAGGACTACGTGGACAACGTTCGCACGGCGTACTCGCCGCCATACCACTCAGAATATACCAAGCCGTTCAGATCGGTGCAGATCTACCAGAAAGACTTCGGGCAAGTCATTGGTCAGGGCTTCAGCGACAGGCACGACGTCAAGGTGCAGGGGATCCGGCGGAAGCTTATGGGACGTGCCCGCAACTGGCTTTTGAGCACGGCCCTCAAGCCGTATCACTCGTGGGTGTACTGGCGAGACGTGGACATCGAGACGTCGCCGGGCGACATTCTGGAGCACATGATGAAATTCTCGCCAGCATTCGACGTGGTGGTGCCCAATGTCTGGAGACCGCTGCCTACGTTTCTGGGCAACGAGCAGCCGTACGACCTCAACTCGTGGATGGAGTCCAAAGAGGGGCTCGAGCTCGCCAAGACGCTCCACGAGGACGACGTCATCGTCGAAGGGTACGCCGAGTACCCGACCTGGCGCGTCCATCTCGCGTACATCCGTGAGCCCAGCGGCAGCCCGGACGAAATCGTCGACCTGGACGGCGTCGGAGGCGTCTCGATTCTCGCGAAGGCCAAGGTGTTCCGCCAGGGCTCGAACTTCCCTGCCTTCACGTTCATGAACCACGCCGAAACTGAGGCGTTCGGCAAACTCAGCAAGCAGATGGGCTTCCGCGTCGGCGGGCTGCCCCACTACACGATATGGCATATCTACGAGCCGTCCGAGGATGATCTGATCCAGATCTCGCGGCTGGAGAGAAAGAAGCGGCGGCGCCTGAACAAGGCCGGTCATTAAGTAATGTATTCATGGGCAAGCAGACGTCATAGCAGACACAGAAGCGACAGCAGCAGTAGCGGCGGCGACAGCTGGCGTTTGCCGGCCCGGCCGGAGACGACAGACGAGCTGGAGCTCGAATTGGCCGATGCGCGGCCTGAGACAGAGCTACTTGCAATGCTCAGAGTCGAGGGTGTGCGGGTCCGGTGCGAGGAGGGAGTAGTCGACGAGTTGTAGTAGGCGGAGCTGGCTCCAGCGGTGGTCTGGGAGTGTGGCAGGCTGGAGAGAGGGCTCTGGGACGCGGAGGCGTCAATTTGGACGGCCGTCCTATTGGCGAGCCCGACTTTCGCACCGTCGAGGTCGAACGTGACGTAGTAGTTTTTCAGGAACAGCGAGCCCAGGATCCACGTGCCGTTGTCCAGCGACGGCGAGCCAACAATGTTGCTCACGCAGTAACCACTGTACTGGGAGCCGGAAGGGTATGCCGATCCCAGATAGTCTTCTGGGCCAAGGGTCCACTTCTGGCCGCCGATCTCGAACGCGAGCTCGTAGGAGGTGTTGCATGGCACAGCGAAGTTGCTACCGTCGGTGACGGAGTCGTTGAAGAAGGAGTGCAGTTTGGTGGCGTCTGCGGAGGCCGTGACGATCGACGTGGTGCCGCTATCGACGACCGCGAGCCGTTTTGTTGACGACTCGTCTCCGTCGACGGCGGCCTTGTCGAAAGACACCCCGTAGCCGTCGACAGATATCGAGTCGACAACAATCTGCCAGTAATTATTGCTGTTTTCCACCACTGGGGCGTAGCTGATGGTCTCGTCGTACAGCTCGGCAATGTCCTTACCGAGGACCAGCAGCCCGGCGTTCGAGTCGCCGTTCGCGGTGCTGTACGCGCCCAGACACAGCGCAAACACGCCTTTAGCCAGAGACCCCTGGTTCTGGAGAAACGTGACGAGATTCGTCATGCCGTCCGTCGCGTTGGTAGCAGGCAGGCCCAGAACGCCCGCGAACGAGTAGCCTTCGAACAGGTCGGGCACGTGGGACGCCACGCCGAACGAGAAGTCGTCTGCAGCAACTCCGGCCAGCTGCAACGAGTCAGACACCACGCTGCCCGAGGCCGACCCTGAGCTGTATGACAGCGTGAACAGGGACCCGGACTCGCGGCCCGAGCTCATCTGGTACAGTTTCTTGTCGTCGCAGCTGGAATCCGTGCAGTTGGCTCCGTACACCCAGAGATACGCACTGCCTGTGTCAATAAGCAGCGGCAGCGTGTCGTCGCCGACAGTGACGTTGACGGTATATGCCTCGTTGGAGGAGTCTGAGTCGATAAAGGACATGCCCTGCTGCCAGGCCAGCGTGGTCTGGGCGGTCTGGCTCGACGCAAGCACGGTCTGCTTGGTGTGCGACCTGATTCTGGCGAAAAAGTCCTGTGGCGGCTTCTCGACCGAATCGACAGGGTACAAGTCTTTGGCATCGGGCAACGAGGGCACGTGCACGCTGAAGGAGTGCGCGACGGCGCTCAGCACGAGCAGTTCAAGAATGTACATTGGCTGATGCTGGAGGGTGGATGCAAGCGGAAGATCAAGAGCGTTCGACAGATTTAGATTTATAGGGTTGAGATTCCTTGCATCAGACTTGGCCCCGACTGCAGACGTGTTGTGAATTTTCCGCAAGCATTTTTAAACTTCATTGATAATTTTCGTGGTCCATTGTTTACCATACAATTCCAAAGGAGTAAAAGTATTTCCCGATCCGATATATTACCAGCTGAGCCTCAGGATCGACAATTTTTTTAACTTTTTTGGCATGCCGAAATGGCAGCTCCCAGCGCTGTGCTGTGCGGTATGAGACGAAGGTCAAAATGGGGCCCAGAATGCTTGGCGGCGTACGCGTCCAAAAAGAGCTGTATCTGCTCCCTGTAGTACGCGAAGTGCTCCAGAAACGAGCCTATGTAGCCGATGCGCACCGTGCCGTGCGCTCTGGGTGTCTGTGCCCTGCAGAACGCCACCAGCCAGCTCGCGAGGGCCGCTGCCGCGCGGCAAATCAAGCTCCGGATTACGCTGCGCAAAACAGCACGGTCCCGCTCTGTCACCGCAACGTTGTATTTGGCAAAGATCCGGGTGATTTCGTCGCTGCTGCCCTCGTAGATCTGACAAATCGTCTCGCCCGTCAGCTCGTACGCGTTCCCGAGCAAAACCCGCTGTCCAGTGAACACTTGCCCGCGCTGCGCCAGGTCGAGCACGCCTATCCGGAAGAGCTCTCCTATGTAGCGGCCAGAGCACAAGTACTCCATCGGCTGGAAAAGCGGCAGTTGCAGGTGCGACTTTCTGCTTTCGCAGTACGCCGGCTGCATTTTGAGGTCCCACGGCGTGAGCAGCTCTGCCAGGCTGCTGCCAAAACAGGACATCTCAGTGTTCAGCACACGGCTTTGGTAGCCGGCTGCCGCGTTCAGTCCTGTGCCCAAAACAAGCCCCAATCGACACTCATACAAGTACGCGCCAGCAACATACACAGAGACGGCGTCGTTGATCACCGCCTTCACGCAGACCTGCTTTCGCGTCGCCGTCTCCAGCTGCTGCAGCAGCAGCAGCGCTATATTTTTTCCCCGGATTTCGTCTGCCAAAATAAAACCCTTACCCACAACCTCCAGATACGCGTCGTTAGAGCTCGTCTGTTTGAACGGAAAGCAGATTGAGAGGCCGACGGTGACGGTGTGAGGAAAGTAGCGGTCAATAGTGGCCGTGCACACGCGGTCCACCAGGCCCTGGAAGAACGAGACGTCTATCTGCCTGTTCTCCAGCTGCCATTCTCGCGAGCACAGTATCTCGTACTGGCCTTCGCCAAAAAGCTGCAAAATGCACAATCGGAACGTGGACCCACCCAGGTCGAGAACAAGCACGCGGCCATGTGTGTGCGAGTCCGGAACGGGCGTCAGTGTGGACAGCATGGTCACGTTCGACTCGAGGCCTTGCTGAATCTCTACTTCGAGGAGGTCAACGAGAGGGTCCATGTCGCGAAGGTGCCAGGGAGAACCATAATGGAGCTCTGAGCAGCTGAGCTCATCTTTTGCCGGCCCGGGAGGAACGGGGTTCAGACCTATCATGGAAATTAAATCTGATAAATACAGAATATGATAGATAATATTTCCGCACCTGTGCACCGACTAGCGCAAAAAATAAAACTGTTTTTATCTCTTCCACGCGCGTACTCCTTACACCCTGATCCATGTACAAGTTCGTGGACGATCTGAACGAGCACCAGCGCGCGGCCGTGACGGCCTCTCCCCACAGCGCCGTTCTGGTGCTTGCCGGTCCCGGCACGGGCAAAACCAAGGTGATCACTGCAAGAGTCGCGTACCTGCTTCTGCACCACAAGCTGCCTCCACAGGACGTTGTAGTCGCCACGTTCACAAAAAAGGCCGCCAACGAGATGGTCGAGCGCCTCGCCGTGCTCCTGCAGCCGTATCCGCAGATCGACGCCAAAAAGCTGCTGATCGGGACCTTCCACTCGATTTGTGTCCGGATTTTGCGCAAATACGGCGGGCTGGTCGGTCTGAACGCCGGTTTCAAGATCGCAGACGAGACAGACGCCAAGCAGCTGATCAAGAAGGTGCTCCGGGTGATGGCAGAAAGCGGGTTGGACGTCTCCCTCAAAGACTCGGACGTCAAAAAATACAGAGCGTATATTTCGGCCTGCAAAAATAAAGCCCAGCTACCGGACCAGGTACCCGTTTCCAAGAAGGCTGGCGACACCAGCATCAAGCTGGAGGTGTACACGCTGTACCAAGAAGAGCTTGCACGGAATAACGTGATTGATTTCGACGATTGCTTGCTGCTGGTGCACAGGCTGCTCGCACACCACCCGTCGTGTATGGGCCGTGTGAAACACGTTCTGGTAGACGAATTCCAGGATACCAACAAGGTGCAGCTGGAGCTGGTGTACCAGCTGTCAGGATTCAACGAAAACTACAAGCACAACGTGACTGCTGTTGGCGACCCTGACCAGAGCATATATGCTTTCCGCAACGCAGAGGCCGAGAACTTTTACCGGATGGAGGACTACTACCGACAAAAGGGCGTTCCTGTTCTGAAAGTGGCTCTTACACAGAACTACCGCTCCACCAGCAACATCCTCACGCTTGCAGAGCACCTGATGAACCAGCAGTTTGCGCGACGGGAGCAAAAGTTTCTGCGCGCCCATAAAAAGGACGACATTCCCGTTCAGATGTTTGCATGCGCCACCAATAAGGCCGAGGCAAGCACGATCGCCGCGACGATCAAGCAGGTGGTCAAGCCAAACGGCACGCAGTACTCGGACATCGCCATTTTGCTGCGGTCCGGCTTTCTGTCCCGTGTCATCGAGCAGGAGCTGATCCACGCAAACCTGCCGTACCAGGTGGTGCACGGGCGATCTTTCTGGGAACGGCGCGAGATACGGCTCCTGATGGACTATTTGCGTGCCGTGGCGTCCGACATGGACTGGCTGGGGTACAGTCGGTGTTTGGATTTCCAGGTGAGCGGTCTGGGAGCGAAAAGTTTGCTGCTGCTCGAGGAGCAGCTGTCCGCGCAGAGGGCACGAAATCAGCCAGGCAACGTCTACGTGATGCTGGAGAGCATTGCGCGCGACGGGATGAAGGGCATCACGGCCAAGGCGCGCGCTGGGATCGGGGAGTTCGTTGCGCTGATCAAAAAAGCCCGCGAGCTGCTCCTCAGCGACGCAACCGAGCAGCAACAGCTGGAAAAAATGTTCGACCACATTGTGCAGCACAGCCGTGTTGTGAGCGTTGTCAACGAGGAGCGCATGGACAGAAAGGGCGACTCGCAGGAGGAGATCGAGGCGAACCTGAACGAGCTGAAAAACCAGCTGATCAGCTTCAATCTCCAGGAGGAAGATCTTTTACAGGACGCGTACGCCGAGGAGGACGAGCTGGAGGTGGCAGAGCAGTCGTTCGACCTCACAGCCAGCACGAGTCTTGAGAAACTGACGCAGTTCCTCGACTCGGTGTATCTGTACGAGGAGACGAAGATCGCAGAAAAAACCGTGTCCAAGGTGACCATCACGACGGTGCACGGATCCAAGGGACTCGAATGGCCGGTCGTGTTTGTCCCGTCGCTGTGCGAGGGCATTTTTCCGTCGCAGCACGCCACGAACGACGTCGGGGACACCACGAAAAACGAGGCAGCGCTCGACGAGGAGAGGCGGTGCATGTACGTCGCCGTGACACGCGCTAAGGAACGGCTGTATCTCAGCTATTTCAGAGAAACGCTAGGGTTTGGATTTGGCGATCCAGTCAAGAGAAAAAGCCGGTTCCTCAACCTGCCCAAGGGCCTCGTCAAGGTGGCCGACACCAGCGTCGCCAGCACGCCAAACCTGCTCTCGTCGTTCCAGCGGAACATAAAGCTCAACACGGGCTCGCTGGCGCTCGGCTCGGGCTTCCAGACGGCGTCCCGGCTCACCGGCGTGTCGCGGCTGCCTGACGGAGCAGTCAAGATCTCCAAGCCAAGAAAAAAACGGCTGGGCATGGGAAGACCGCTACGGTTCACGAAAAAATGAACGTGTCACGTGCGCACAGGATAGAGCAGTCTCGCCATGTACGCCTTGAATCCACCGCGCAGAAGCACGTCGTACGTTTTCAGGCGGCGCTCGTACTCGGCCGTGTGTTTCTCGTGCTCTTTGAGCGCCTCTAGGGCCTCGTGCCGGGCGATGAGCATGCGGCGGATTTTCCACTCGCGGATTGGCAGAAGGCACAGTACGCCAGCAGCCGCAAAACAGCCGCAGAATATCTGCGCCTTGATGAACGGCTTCGCCAACGTCATGTCTCTGAGCTTTAGTGCTACCACCTCGCAAAACATGGAAAAAACACCCATCCAGAAGTTCTCGTAGCTCCAGGCCGACGGAAACAGCTCCACGGGGACCGAGTCCGCCACCAGGGGCTGATTCAGCGTGGAAGCCACGCCAAAAGTGAGCCCGGAGAGAATAGCGTACGCGTACACCACGCCGGCCGTCGTCGCGTTGATCCACATGGCAAAGAGCAAAATCACCATGTTGATGCTCAGCAGCACCGCCATGTTCACGCGGCCCGTGTAGTCTGCTGCCAAACCGATGGAGAACCGGCCAATAGCCTGGCACCCGTTGAAGATCGCTGTCACGTGACTTCCTTGCGACGACGAGAGGCCCACAAACGTGCTGTACGCGGAGAGCGAGAAGAGCGCGACGATGTAGCAGGAGAGTGTTAGCACGAACCACAGCGTGATGAAGTGGACCTGCGGCAGTTTGACAACCTTGGCGTTGAACAGCACGTAGAATCTGGTGACGATCTCGCGGCGGGTCCTGAGTCGCCGTGTTGGGATGCGGTGTTTGAGCAGGCACGCGGCAAACGTGTTGCCCAGCACGGAGAAAATTGCCAGCATTCGCTGCGCCCACGCCGGGCTGCCTGTGCGGGAAATTATCGCCTGTGAGGACAGCGAGAAGACAACCCCTGCTATACCGCTAGCAGACACAATAATTCCCGAGGCAAGGCCTCTTTTCTTGTCAAACCATTCTGGGAAAATGACGATTGCCGGGTTGAAAACGAGCGCGAAGCCCAACCCAACGAGAATGCCCTCGGTTAGATACAGCTGCCACAGTTGTGTGGCGAACGAGGCCAGCAGATAGCCAGCCGTTTGGCATACAACGCCCGCCAGTATCACGGTTTTCATTCCCAGAATCGCGGACGCCATCTGAGCGAGCGGAGCCAGCGCCTGAGCGAGCGCCAGCACTATGCTGCCGATCAGAGCGAAATCTGTGGCAGACGAGCCGGGGAAGCTCCGTGCCTGGAGCCAGTGGTTCAGAAACACGCCGTAGCAGCCGTTGGCGCCCCAGGTTGCGAACATCATCAAGAACACACACGCGCAGATCACCCACGAGTAACCGGTGTCGACAGGCGGCAGTGACTCTGCTTCAGGTTCCTGCGGCTCTATGCTTTCTGAGCGGTTCGTGGCGATCCGGATAGCCTCGTTGAGGTCCACCGTCTCGCATCCCTGCGTCTCGGTTCGCACCATTTGCTGGTCGTCCTCTCTGGCTTGCTCGACGATCTGGCGAACACTGAGGATGCTTCTAGAAATCGACGAGGCCAGCGACGTCGATGTCCTCGTTCTGGCCACTCGGGACCCATTGGAGTACGCATGGACGACGTCTGGGAGCCGCACAGACTGGTGGTCATCTCGGAGCTCGGAGTCGAGCGAGGAAAATGAGCTATTGTCCATTAGATGAAATTGGTTTCTACTGCCGAAACTGGAAATAGTCGATAAGGCTGAATTCTTTATGTTTTCTCCGGTGTGAGGTGTGGTATGGTAGCCACACCTACACTTTGATTGCGTAGACGAGTCGTAGCGGCAGCCCGAGCGGGCTTTCTCCGAGGAGTTCGTGGTACGTGGCTTGTCTCTGACCAGTATCTCGTTCTCCTCTTTGGATTCGAGCGTTTTTTCTGTTTCGCTAAGTCTTTTGGTGAGCAGTTTCCTGATCCTTGACTCGCGGACTGTGGTGATCACAACGAAGCCGCCGATTGCAAAACCGCAGCAAACTGTGCCTTGATGAGCGGGTTTGGAATGCCGATTTTTCTCGGTCTCTGAAAAGCCACATTTTGGAGGAGAACTATGTCAGGACGAAGAACGAACGTTATGCCCAATTTGGCCTGCACTTGTAGTTTGAGCAAAAATCATTGCCATTCCAAGAACAATGCCGCCTACCTGAACCTAGTCCGTAGAACTGATACGTCCCCTATGAAGCTCAAAATGCAAAAACAAACTGTAGCAGCATTTTTCTAGCTCCACATGGAGCCATTGAAAGAAGCAAGGTGGTAGCAAAGGACCCGCGCGCAGCCTTTATCCTTTGACAGGCTTACAACGCTTTGGATTCAGGATTCGAGACGATGTATCGGCCTGCTGCTTCTCAAGGGCAAGATTTTCAGCCTTGGCTGGGGGGTCTGGGAGATACCTGTCCTCGAGAAAGGCGTCGATCGTTGAAGCACTCAAGGGGTATCGGAGCCAGTTTCGTGCTCCATGAGCGTATCCGGAGAGAATATTCTCTTTGGCATTACGGAGGTGCATATTCGAGGAAAACTCTGCCAAGCTAAATTGCTGCAACAATGCTAAACCAGGGTTGTCATGGTGTCAGGCATGAATTTGTGATCCACTTCAGAGGTGGATCCTGTCAACCAGTCGACCTCTGCAGGTCATGGCTGCGGTGCACGGATGCGAAAGAGATTTTTTTAAATATTTTTCCGATTTATTTATCTAGCATGGCTACCCTAATTCCACCGCCCTCGAAGAAACAGAAGAAGGAGGCCCAGCTTCCTCGAGAAGTTGACATTGTGCCCAAAAATCTGCCTGATGTGCTAATCAAGTTCCAGGCGTCGGACTCGGGCGACACCGTGGGAAGCTCTATCAGAGTGCCCGGTGGAATCACAGAAAAACAGCTCGAGGAGTTGTTGAACCAGCTTCAAAACAACACCGACGAGCCAGTCGCATACTCGTTTGCTGTCCAGAACGGCGACGATCTCATAGACGTGAAAGATAACATATACTTCTCAGTGCTCAAGCCGGGAATCAAAACCACAGAAGACACCCTTACACTGGTATTTACTCCCAGGGCCGTCTTCAAAGTGCGTCCCGTGACGAGGTCTTCGGGAACCATCAGCGGACACGGAGCCACAATTCTGGCAGCCCAGTTCCCGCCAGACACCAGCGGCTTCTTCGTGACCGGAGCGGGCGACTCTACCGCCAGACTTTGGGACTGCCACACGCAGACGATCAAGGCCACCATGAACGGCCACTCTAACTGGGTGCTCTGTGTGTCGTACTCTCCGTTTGGAAACGTTGTTGCTACTGGCTCGATGGATGGCAGTGTGCGACTCTGGGACGGCAAGACTGGCGCCCCAATTGGGTCCTCGCTTACCGGCCACTCAAAATTTGTGTCTTCTTTAGCTTGGGAGCCAGCACACTTGGTTCAACCAGGAGACAGTCCGCGGCTTGTTTCTGCCTCCAAAGACGGCACACTGAAAATATGGAATACGGCTTTGAAGCGTTGCGAAATGACGCTTTCGGGCCATTCGTCTTCGGTCTCTTGTGTCAAATGGGGTGGCACCAATCTCATATATTCTGGATCTCACGATAAAACTATCAAAGTATGGGACGCCAAGGAGGGCACGTGTGTTCAGACTCTCAAGGCACACGGCCACTGGATCAACCACATAGCGCTTTCGACGGACTTCGCCCTTAGAAGTGGACCGTTTGACCACACCGGAACCAAGCCCAAAGACGATGCAGAAAGACAGGCCAGGGCCTTGAAAAATTACGAAAAAGTGGCCAAAGTCGGCGGGAAAGTTGTCGAGAGAATGGTTTCGGCCAGTGACGATTTCACCATGTTCCTTTGGGAACCGGAAAAGTCGAACAAGCCGATCTGCCGTATGACTGGCCACCAAAAATTGGTCAACCATGTCTCGTTCTCGCCAGATGGCCGCTACATCACGTCTGCCTCCTTTGACAATTCCATCAAACTGTGGGACGGACGGGACGGGAAGTTTCTGGCCACTTTCCGCGGCCATGTGGCTGCCGTCTACCAAACAGCCTGGTCCTCCGATAACAGATTACTGGTGAGTTGCTCTAAGGACACCACCCTTAAGGTCTGGGATGTGCGCACTAGAAAACTGCTTTCGGATTTGCCCGGCCACGCAGATGAGGTTTATGCGGTCGACTGGAGCTTAGACGGCGCCAGGGTGGTGAGTGGTGGCAAGGACAAAATGGTGCGTATTTGGACACACTGATTAGGTAAGCTGGAAACTCGGAAAATAAACTTGGTAAATTCCACCATGACTAAAGTGTCACTGATCGTGGCGGCACTGGTTCCCAAGTACGGAATTGGCTACAAGGGCCAACTGCCGTGGGCGCTGAAGGAGGAAATGCGGTATTTTCGCAGAATCACGACGCAAACGGCAGATAAAAATAAGAAGAATGCCGTCGTGATGGGCAGAAAAACCTGGGAATCGATCCCAGAACGGTTCCGTCCTCTTAAGGGAAGAGTCAATGTGGTCTTGACGCGTGATGTGAGCTCCTTTTTGGGCAGATATTCCGAGGAAGTGGAGAAACATGGTGATGATGTCAAAGTAGCAGACGCTTTAAGAAGTGCGCTCCAGACGCTGGACATGGACATCATCGAGGAGGTTTTCGTCATTGGTGGAGCAGAACTCTATAATGACGTACTTCGAACCACGCCAGAGCTGGTCGATAGGCTACTTGTTACAGAAGTCAGGACGGAGAAAGAATTAGAAATGGACGCCTTTATCAACATCGGGGCACTCTGGAGAAAGCAGGATCCACATGTCTGGAAGTCGTACCTGGCCAGCAAAGGGCTGGCAAACGAGTTCTCGCAAGATAATTACGAGGCTGACTTCCGGTTCAGCTACCATATATATGCTAGGTGTTAGGTGTACAAGAGGGTTGCACGTGATGTGACATGTGCCCTAAGAAAACTTTTGCTCGAATAAAATATTGAAAAATTATTTACCATAATTCTACATCAAGATGGCTGAATCGCACAGACTCTACGTCAAGGGAAAGCACATCTCCTACCAAAGATCCAAGCACGTCACTAACCCAAACACCTCGCTCATCAAGATTGAGGGAGTTGCCAACGCTGACGAGGCCAAGTTCTACCTTGGTAAGAGAATCGCTTACGTTTACAGAGCCACCAAGGAGGTTAGAGGTTCCAAGATCAGATGTATCTGGGGAAAGGTTACCAGAACTCACGGAAACAACGGACTGGTGAGAGCACAATTTAAGAACAACTTGCCAGCAAAGACTTTCGGTGCTTCTGTCAGAATCATGCTGTACCCATCCAACATCTGAGCAGCCTGATGATAGCTAGCTATGATGTGTAATTAGAAGCAGACACAACGAAGAGTTGAAGAGGATATGTAAGACTAATATACGTCTTTATGTTAGACCTTGTCATGAGAGCCGTTTCTGGGCCTGAACTGAAGTAGAGTACGTTAAATTGTTCACATCTCTACACCATAATTCAAGCGCCAAATCCTTGCACCCAATTTTGTAATCCCTTAATTCTTTCCCCGCAATGATTCCTTGGGAAGGTCTATGGCCTTTTGGCTTGATGCTCACGTTCTTGGGGCTTTCTGGTGGTGCCATGAATGCTGTTTTTGTCAATTCCATTACCAGAAGCACAGAGTCGTCAAAGTCCCCCCAGCTTGACGATAACGACGATCGTATATTTGTTAGGCCGAGGTTCAATACCGATCAATGGGATAAGTATTTGGCTATCAGAGACTTGAGACTCACCGGTTCTCTTAGGGGCCAGCAAGCTGAACCAGAAGCACACGAGTCATTTGAGACAAACTCGCTGGTTTTTGCGAGCGAACAGAAAAAGCCTTGGGTGGTGAGAAAGCATTTCATCATGCGCAACACTCCGTCCAAGTGGATGAGCAGATACGACCCGGAACAGTCCAATAACTTGCAATCCATGAACGAAGACTTCTTAAGGGGTATGAAGAAGAGCTAGAGGTGCTATCCATGCTTATTTATTGTCATTAGACCTATTTATTATAACTTAACTTAAATTCTCACACTCCGCCGTTTGAAAAAATCCATCACCCGTTTAGCTGTCGAGTCCTTTTCACGACGAGCACCCATAGTCATGCGCCTTTCGGCAACATCATCTCTCTTGTTGCTAGGTTCCAACACTTTGCGCGGCGGAATAATTGGCTCTGAGGGTTGCAGTTCTTGCGAAAGATTGTTACTCGAGTAGAAACCTAGCATGCTGAACCGCTTGAATCTTGGAGCAGAGGTGGCAGACGTAGAAACACTCTTGCGGCTGTTGCGGTTCTCCTTCTCGTGCCTGCGCTCTGAAATGCTTGATTGGCGACTAGGGGCACTGAGAGGAGCGCTGATAGGGGCCATTATTCCGGATTTAAGCTCCGCCAGTTGGTTATCTTCCGGAACCTTCTTCACAGTGTCTTCAACTGCCGTAATAACTTGCGCTTGTTTCAGCTCGCCTGCAGGCTCAACTTTCTGTTCTTTCGCTGTTTCCACCTTCGCAGTCGACTCGGAGGACATAATTGGAGAGTTAGGAGTCGTGGTGGGCGACGAAATGGAGAAGATGTCGATGGCGTTCGATAACGAGTCAAAAGCTGCGCTTTTGCGTTTCTCAGATTCTTTCATAGTTTCCGTTTCCTCCTCCTTCTCCCCGTGATCAGTCAATGTTGTCAGCACACCGCTAGCACTGGCTTTGTCCAGGATAGGCTCAGTTGGCTGACACCATGAGTTGCAATGTTCTTTGACTGGAGACGAAGAATTGGAGCTAGCTCTGTCGAATAGCGGACGCGTCAGGCTTGTCTCAGAGGAATTAGCAGGAACAAGGAATGAAAGATCTGGAGATGGGAACATGTAGCCGGAAGATGCCGTTGCAGGATGGTATGAGGTGGGCCGTGGTCTGTTCGCTCTTGAAGGAAGCTTGGATGATATAGATGTTGTTGTCTGGGCTGAGTTGGGACAGTGAGCTCCAGTGGATCTCGAAATTGGCGGGAGCAAAGGCGGCAACATGCTTCTCTCTGAATGCTGGGCTGGGGACTCGGCTATAGTCTCGAAATTGAGAGGAGCGTTGGCAGAAATGATGCTATTGCTGCGCGACGTCCTTGTACCTTCGTTGAACGTGGCAGATCTTGGGACCGACGTCTTGAAATCGCTCTGAATGCTGTTTCTGCGCGACACTTCGAACTTGTCTGCCTCCACGACTGCTTGCAGTACCAAGCTGGCCGACGATCCAGCCTTTTCACGACCGCTGCGGTAGAGTTCGCGCGGAGTGGTAGGCGAGTGGTAGTTGTCCGATCCCGATGAGATGGCAACGGTATGCGAGGTCTGAGGGGCAGCAGGGTTCGAGTACAATAGCGATGAGTTAGTTTTTGGTGCGAAGGATTTGCTGTGCGGCTTGTTAAGCATGAGAGAAGCCGAGCTTGGGTTTTCCATGAGGGAGAGTCTTCTGTTGATCTTATCCTGTTGAGGCACGGACTGTCTGGCTCTGGTGTAGTTTCTGTCCCATTCAGAAGGTGTCACGGACAAGAATGGTGCATGTGGAGCCAGCCACGCGTGCGCCCTCACTTGCTTCAAGTCTATCCGTTTCTCTGGGTTTGGAACGATGATCTTACGAAGTAGGTCTCTTGAGCTTGGCTGGATGTACTCTGGGAAAGTCAGTGGCGTGGTGGTGATATAATGATACAGTCTGGCGATGTTATCACCATCAGGGTTTTGAGGATCGTCGTCAAAGGGGAGATATCCCGCCAGCATGGCATAGAGAATCACTCCGCAGGACCAAACGTCCACCTTGCGGCCCTCGTATGGCTCGCTGCTGACGACTAACTCAGGGGCCGCGTAGCACGGCGACCCACAGCTCGTCTTCATAAGGTCTGAGTTTCTGAAAGTGTTGACAAACCCGAAATCGGTGATGATGATGTTCTTGTGCTTGTCCAACAAGAGGTTCTCCAGCTTCAAGTCTCGATGCACAATACCCTTCGAGTGCATGTAATCGACGCCAGACACCAGTTGCGCAAAGAGACGACACGCCATCGACTCCTTGAGATAACGATGCTCGAGAATATAGTCGAAGAGCTCTCCACCCGACGCGTATTCAAGCACGATGCCAATGTACTTTTCGTTCTGTAGCACCTCTTCCAGCCTCACGATGTTGGGGTGGGCAAGCCGTTTTAGGGCATTGATCTCACGGTGTACCTTGTTTTCTTTTTCGGAGCCCTTTGGAATTGAGTCTCTGCGGATCAGCTTGATGGCGGCCTGCGAGGGGTGCTTGCCGTCTTTGCGCCAGCCAAGCTTCACCTTGCCAAACTCGCCTTCCCCCAACGTAGATCCCAAAACATAGGCTCCAAATCTCACTTCCTTGGCAGTTCTTCTCTTTGGCCCAGAATTCATGCTCAAACGAGAGCTTCTGGACGTCGGAGGCACACTCATTACGGATGTTGGGTAGGGTTCGCCTGGTGATATAGTGTTTCGTTGTTATAAGTCAAAAAGAGGTGTTGTAAAGTTAATCAAGGACGATCGACGGAGGGAGCTATGGTGGGAATAGTTTCAAATTTTTCGGCAGGGAAAAACATAAACATACGCCAAATGTTGTTTATTTTTTGCCATTACAGGAAGAAAAAAGGGGGGCCAAACCTTTTTCTGGCACTAGTTTCCTGGATCGAGGTTAGTCTGCGGCTCTGGAATAGGCCGTGAATAACGTTAGGGCGCTAGGAGCTGTGTGCTTGAGGCTTGCTGGGATAGGTGCGCCATCCCTGGGTGAATATGTAATTATGAAATTGCCGGGCATACGCACATTTGCGATGTGTCTGCCGCGGCCGCTGCAGTGTTGCTCCACAGGCCTGTTGGCTGATGTGACAGGTCAGACGCACATGTTGCAGAGGTGAGAAGCTATTACCTTGTCTGTGTTTTTGGCTTTGTGGTGTACGGGTGTTGGCTTTTTGGGCAGCGACGCGTCGGCGGTCCCAGAACTGAACGCGTCTCATTTCCCGAATGTGGAAATATGCACGAAATTTGCAACAAAATCTTCTCCCTCCTTTCTTCTCATGGACGGAATCGTTGAAGCTGCCGACGCCGTTTTTGGCGAGCGTGTCAGAGTGTTCCAGGAGTTTCTCGATGCAGATCTCGACTCCCAGACAGACTACAAAGATGCCATCAAACTCATGTTGCAGAAAGGCGAACGTCGTCTTGCCGTGTCAATCGACGAGCTACGCGAATTCAATGCTGATTTTGCCAACGGTCTATTGAACCAGCCGGCCGACTATCTTCCTGCCGCGGAGACGGCCCTTAGAGAAACCGTTCTGGCGCTTTTCAATGCGTACGAGTACACGCAGATGGAGGTGACACAGGACTCTGACTTCTATTTGGCTTTTCGCGGCGCTTTCGGAGCGCACCAGCTCACTCCTCGCTCTATCAACTCGTCTTTCCTGTCTAAGATGGTGTCTGTGGAAGGGATTGTGACCCGCGCATCGCTCATCCGCCCCAAGATTATAAAATCTGTGCACTACTGTGAGGCCACGGAAAAATTCCACGCGAGAGAATACCGCGACCAAACCACCAGTTTCAACCCAATCACGACCTCCGCCAACTATCCGACCGAGGACCCGGACGGAAACAAGTTGATAACCGAGTATGGCTACTCCAAGTATAGAGACCACCAAACGGTCGCTATTCAAGAGCTGCCTGAATTTGCGCCTGCTGGTCAGTTGCCACGTTCGGTGGATGTCATTTTGGATGACGACCTGGTCGACAAAGTCAAGCCGGGCGATAGAGTGCAGGTGATCGGTGTGTTCCGGTCACTGGGAGGCGGGCAGAACAACAGCTCGGCCTTCAAAGTGGTAATTCTCGGCAACTCTCTGTATCCCTTACATGCTCGGTCGTCGTCTGTTCAGGCTGTTGAGAAAATCACCGATTACGATATAAGAGACATCAACAAGCTCGCCAAAAGGAAAGACATTTTTGAGATCATGTCGCAGTCTCTTGCTCCGTCGATCTACGGCCATGAATATATCAAAAAGGCCGTCTTGCTTATGCTTCTTGGGGGAGAAGAGAAAAATCTGCCCAACGGCACGCATTTGCGTGGAGACATCAACTTGTTGATGGTGGGTGATCCGTCCACAGCCAAGTCGCAGATCCTGCGGTTTGTGCTCAACACGGCCTCGTTGGCCATTGCCACCACCGGTCGTGGTTCCTCTGGCGTTGGTTTGACTGCGGCTGTCACCACCGACAAAGAGACTGGCGAGAGACGGCTGGAGGCCGGTGCGATGGTTCTGGCCGACAGGGGAGTGGTGTGCATCGACGAGTTTGACAAGATGAGTGACGTCGACCGTGTCGCGATTCACGAAGTTATGGAGCAACAGACCATCACGATCTCGAAAGCAGGGATCCACACTTCGCTCAATGCTAGATGTTCGGTGATTGCTGCTGCCAACCCGGTTTACGGCCAGTACGACACTTTCAAGTCGCCGCAGCAGAATATCGCGCTTCCCGATTCGCTGCTCTCGCGTTTCGATTTGCTGTTTGTGGTGACGGACGAGATCTCCGACGAAAGAGACCGCCAGATCAGTGAGCACGTGCTGCGGATGCACAGGTATCTTCCGAAAGGCTACGTGGAGGGTGAGCCGATCAGAGAGCGTCCCGCCGTGACTCTGGCCGTTGGCGACCGGCCATTGGAGCCAGAGGAGGAAACCACCGACGTTTTCGAGAAATTTAATCCGCTACTGCACGCGGGAGCTGCCGAGGCCTCGAAGGGCAAGACGCCGCAGATTGTGACGATTCCGTTTTTGAAGAAGTACATCCAGTACGCGAAGCAGAGAATCCACCCTGTTCTGACCAAGAATGCCACAAACATGATTGTGGACATCTACGCCGAGTTGCGGAACGACGACAACACCAAGAACGCCAGAACCACGCCGATCACGGCAAGAACACTCGAGACCCTGATCAGATTGTCTACTGCGCACGCCAAGGTGCGCCTGTCGCAGACCGTTGACCTGAAGGACGTGAAGGTTGCACAGGAACTGCTGAGATTCGCTCTGTTCAAAGAGAAAATGAGCAAGCGCAACGCACCACAGAAAAAGAAGCGGAAGGTCGCCACCGACGTTCTGGCAGAGAGCGAAAGCGACGAGGAGAGCGATTTTGCGTCCGAGGCCGAGGACGACGAGGTTATTGGAAACAAGATCTTGACGAGAAGACAGAAGGCGTTGCAGCAGATCCACGAGGACCAGCAGGTGGACGAGCACGAGATGGAGGATCTGGCTAAAGACGTCGAGTCGCAGCATCTGGGAGAGGTGTCTGTTTCGCGGGCCGTCAACACTGTGGGTCTCTCGCCGGCCAGATACGAGCTATTCAAGAAAACTGTTTCTTCGGTGTTCATGGCGAACCCGGGCGTCGAGGAGTTTAAGAGCGACGCTTTGCTACAGATGGTCAATGCCGAGCTGTCGCAGGAGGACCAGTTCACTGCGCAGGAAGCGGAAAGAGCGATTGAGCGGATGGAGGCCGAGAATATTGTGATGGCCAGCGAGGGCAGTATATGGAGAATCTAAAAATGATTTTGAATAAATTAAATAATTTAATGTCAGTGGGGCCTTCTGGTAGAAAGATTATTCTAGACGAGAACGGCAAGCCTTGCCGCTCGTGCAACACACTGCTGGACTTCAAGGCAGTGACCAAGTCGGTGAACAAGACCGTGGCCGACGACTGTCCTCCGGACGTGGAGCAGCTCGGCCGGGCCACCTGGACGTTTCTGCACTCTGTTGCAGCCCGGTATCCGGAGCAGGCGTCTGAGGAACAGCAAGAGGACATGAAGACGTTTTTGCGTGTGTTTGGTAACATTTACCCGTGCTGGTTCTGTGCCAAAGACTTCAGACAGTACATGGAGAAGGACAAGCCCAAGGTGCGGACACAGGAGGAGTTTGGCAGGTGGCTGTGCGACGCGCACAATGAGGTGAACGAGAAGCTGGGGAAGAAGAAGTTCGACTGCAATCTGTGGAAAGAGCGTTGGAAAGATGGCTGGAAAGACGGTAGATGTGATTAGATGAAAAATGTGACTATATTTGTACATAGGCGATAATATACCAAGGATAATACATCAGGTGTAGAGAGAGAGGTTGAGAGGCACCGAGCTGCCTCTGCCCGATGGGTACAGTTTCTGTTTGTTTTCGAAACGTCTTGGTTTGGGCAGGTCTCCCTCGTTTGTGAAGCGGAACCGCGACTCGTCGATCTGGATCCTTGTCGAGGTGGCCGGTGCTCCGATAGTGTAGATCGAGGCGTCGATCTTGCGCAAGTCCGACCCGACCGCCTGCTGGCTGTTGATTTTGTTCTCGTCCGGCGCTTTTGAGCGCGAGAGCGTAAATCTGTGCTTGGACTCTGCTGACGGTGGTGGTGGGGGTGGAGCTTTTTTCGCGGCTGGCACAGCCGGAGCAGACAGTTTGGGGGGCGCTGGCGCGGCTGTCGGCGCCACTGATGGACTGTACGTGGGCGAGGGAGGAGCCGGCGCAGGCGGAGCCGGAGCTGGAGGTGGAGGCGGCGCAGCCGGTGCCTTGGAAGCTGGCAGTGAGGGAGCCGGCGCAGGAGGAGGGGGGGGTGTCTGCGGACCAGGAGACGGAGGATGAGTAGGGGGCTGCGCGAAGGCGGCAACAGGTGGCTGTGGAGGAGCCGGAGGGGTTGGGGGAGCTGGAGACTTTGCTGGAGGTGCCGAGGGCGTAGGGGGTGCCGAAGGTGTAGGGGGTGCTGGAGGTGTAGGTGGAACTGAAGGTGTAGGTGGAACCGACGGTATAGGTGGTGCCGACGGGAGCGATGGGGCAGGTGGCTTTGCCATGGTAGGTACCGGGGGCGCCGGGGGCGCGGCCGCAGGGGTAGGCGGGGCAGGAGGCTCAGCCATTTTCTTAGGTGGCTGCTTGGGAGCAGCAGGCGCACTCGTGGCGGGCACCGGTGGGGCGGCCATGGAGGGCACGGCAGGGACCTGTGGCTGTGTTGGCTTTTCCGTCTTCACGTCCTCGTCGCTGACGACGTGCGTGTCGTCTCGTCTGGCGTTGATTTCTGCCAGAAACGGAAGAGCGCCCGGTGAAGGGCCAGGCTTGACCGCCGGCGTGGGCAACTTCGAGGGCCCGGAAGAGGTGTTCTGTGGGCGTGCTGCCGGCGCAGACGGAACCGGCGGTGGAGGGGGGACTGTTGACGACGGTGGCGGAGGTGGAGCTGACGTGGACGGCAAAGGAGGGGCCGGCGCAGACAAGGAGGGAGGCGGAGGAGGAGCTGGTGCCGATGAGGACGGCAGCGGAGGCGGCGGTGGTGCCGTGGACGAGGGGACTGGCGGCGGTGCGCCAGGAACAGGAGGTGCCGAGGACGCTGGCACTTTTGGCACTGCTGGCGCAGTTCCAGGGACTGGAGGCACACTTACAGTCTTGCTGTCGCGTTTGGGGCGCGCCGACGGCACTGCTGGCATCGCTGGCACGGGAGTGGCCGGTTTTTCGGGCGCTGCAGGCGCTTTTGCGCTGTCACCTCTGTGTCTGAGTTTAGGCATTCCATTCGCAAAGATGTCGCCCAATTGCGGCACTCCTGCGGGAACTGCCGGGGCAGAGGGCACTGACGGCGCACTGGGGGCGCCTACGGCTGGGGACGACGCAGTGGAGTCCACAACCCCACCGACCATGGGCTTCGAGCGGTCGTTGGTGACGGCCTTTTTCAGGGCCTTGCCCTTGCGGATGTCGCCGAGCAGCGCGTCTCTATCGGGAGTCACCTTGGGCAGCTTTGCCGGCGCCTGCGACGGTGGCCCGCCCATTGGCGGCGCCGGAGGAGGAGGAGGTGGCGGAGGAGCTGACATGGAATATTGAGAAAAAAAACATCTTAGCACCGCAAAATTTTACCATGTGGCGACGATTCTACAGTCTCGAGCGGACGCTGCTGGTGAGCCGGTTGCCGTTCGACGTGACGGAGCAGCAGGTCGGCGACGTGTTCAAGGTGCTGGGCGGGCTGCGCAACGTGCGGCTAGTCAAGGAAAACGGCAAGTTCAAGGGATACGGCTACGTTGAGTTCGAGAGCGAGGAGCAGGCCCGTGCTGCCAAAGTGCAGATGCAGGGCCGTGTGATCAAAAACCTGCCGATCCGGCTGGATCTGCGCAGCGAGGTGGAGCAGCGTCGCAACTACCTGGAGCAGAAAAAGTACGAGATTTTGGTGGTAAGAAACCTGCCCTACGAGGCTACCGAGGACGAGGTGATGAAACTGTTTGCGCCGCTGCATGCGATTCGATGCGGGCTGGCCAAGGCGCCGATCACCAAGAAGTGTCTGGGCTACGGGTTTGTGCGGTTTTTGAGCCCGAAGCTGGCGCTCAAGGCGATCAAGAGGATCAAGGAGAGCCCGCTGTTTCTAAAAGACAGACGGCTCAAGGTGGAGTTTGCGCAGAAGAAAGAGGACGGATACAAGTACATAGTGTAATACAAACGTAGACAATCATCTGATCATTAGACTATATACAGCTAGTTGTCTCTAACAACACCAACCTTGGCAGGACGCAGAACTCTCCCGTTGAGCTCGAATCCGGGCTGCTGGACGTGGAACACCGTGCCCGGCTCCTTTCCCTCCACAGGGGCCTGGAAAGTGGCCTCGTGGCGGTTTGGGTCGAACCGCTCGTCGACAGGGTCGATCTTGCTCAGACCGTGTCTGGCAAGCGTCTTCTCGAAAACGTCTCTGGTCATCTTCACACCCTCGTACAGCTGCGCAACCTCCTGGTTGCTCTTCAGAGTTTCGTCCTTGACGGCATTCAGGGCATGTCCGAAATTGTCGATACTTTCCAACAGGTCCTTGGCAAACTGCTGCAGAGCGAAGTCCTTGGCCTTCTGCATTTCTCTCTTGGTGGTCTCTTGCAGATTCCTGAAATCGGCCACCGAGCGCACGTATAGGTCCTTGAGCTCGGCGCACTCTTTGTCCTTGGCCAGCAACTTCTCCTTGGTGGAGGCAAGCTCCGACTCCAGAGCGGCAACCGACTTCTCGCCGCTGTTCTGGGCGGCCTCTGCGGCCTCCTTCTTGGCCTCCTTCTTGGCCTCATTCAGCCACACACGGCTGGTGGCAAAACCCCGGTACCCTCTTGTTCCTTGTCTGACTGCTCTGACCCACATTCTGGTTGGAAAATACTGGTGAAATGTTTTTTTTTGTTCGTTTTTTTTTTACCCGGCATGTCTTCTGTTCAGTTCGGAAACGACTACTACGACTCTCTCCAGACGCTCACGTTCAATTCGCGGCCCATCATAGAGAGCCACACGCAGCTGGCGCAGGAGAACGTGGAGCACGCGGCGGAAATCGTCAAGGCTGTAGAGAAGCGGATCTCAAAAGCCATTCCCACACAGAAACTGTTCGCCCTTTATCTTCTAGACTCGATATGTAAAGTGGTTGGCAGTCCGTATACTCGGCTCTTTAGCATAAACCTGTATAAGACGTTTACACAGACATACTCGCTCGTCGACGACCCGACCCGCGTCAAAATGATCAAACTATTCAAGACATGGAAGATGGCTAACCCAGTAACGGGAATGCCCCTGTTCAACGACGACCAGCTGGACCTCATCGAGAAGTTTCTTATTCGCGCCACCGCCAACAACAAGATCGAGGAGCCGCTTTCCAAAGAGGTCCTCATCAAGGACATCGACGACCTGAAGCGTATGGTTGGCCAGCGTCTCAATAGAGGCGCCGACCAGAAAACCAAGCAGCGCTTCGAGCTTCTAGACCAGCTGCAGAACATCATCTCGCAGCCGGCCCAGATCCCCCTCCAGCAGCTCGAAGTGGTGCGGAGACAGCTCGCAGGCATCCGGGAAGACGAGTACAGAAGAGTCCAGCCACCGTCGTTTGCTCAGCCGGTTCCGGCGGTCCCGCCGGGCCCACCGGGCCCAGCGTCGCTGCCCAACATTCCTCCTGTGCCAGCGTCGCTCCCAAAGATCCCCACGCCGGCCCCAGGTCCGGCCGTGTTCTCCACGCCGGAGTTGCAGAAACTTCTAGGACTCAACCCGGAGAAGGCTCTCACGCCGCAGCCGTCCTCGCAGCAGCCGGCTCCCGCGTCGTCGGGCCTTGTGATGCTGTCGATCGAGCTGAGCCAGGCGCTTCTCAACAACCACAAGCCCACGGCAGACGAGATTTCTCTAATCTACTCTTCGAAGCCCAACCAGTGCTCGAACTGTCCGAAGCGTTTCGCCAGCACGCCCGACGGCACTATAGCGCGGCAGCAGCACTTAGACTGGCATTTCCGCACAAACAAGAAACTGAAGGACACGGGCAAACAGCTGTACAACAGGGCGTGGTATCTGAACGATGCAAAATGGGTTGAGTTCAAGGAAGACGAGATAGTGGGCTACACGTCAGACACTCTGGAGACCAACCGAGTCGTGGTGAAGGAGGCTCTGTCCGAGGAGGAGGTCAACAAGCAGATAGTTGCCATTCCGGAAGATAGCGATAACGAGACGGTGTGTGGAATCTGTAGAGAAAAACTAGTTGGAGTGTTTGACGACGAGATGGGCGAATGGATCTGGCGAAACGCCATAGAGAAAAAGGGCAGAGTGTACCATTATAGCTGCTGGGTTGAGACGAAGGGAAACCTCAGAGACCGGTCGCCTGAGCGGAAGTAGCTCTGCTCGGGTCCTGTGTTCCTACTTCTCCTCGCGATAGATAAATAGTCATAATAACTCACATTGTGTGGATAATAAATAAGAAGCCTCAGTGTTTGTGTTCCTGGCTCTCTTTGGCAAACCTGGGGGCCACAAAATCCTCGTAGACACTCACCACCACAAACGCAGCCACGCCGAGTCCGAGGCCCGGCAGCGCGCCTTTGAGCCGCTGCGTCTTATGGAACACTCCTTCGTATCTCCACGCATCTCTGAGTCAGTAGCCATTGGCGAAATAATTACCTTTTTGTCCAAGGATCGTTTGGTTGAGCCATCCCCTCAATTTAGCTTAAAATAATAATTTCTATCTGGAGGTGCAAAAAATAAACTTGCAAAAAAATACTTCAGATTATTCATCATGTCTGACAACGTAGCAGAGTCTTTGCTAAATGAGCTGAGACGCGGTGAATACACCTGTCTAGTCTGTACAGGTGAGATGGACAAGTCCTCCAGGATTTGGTCCTGTCACCACTGCTACAGGGCGTTCGATCTGCCCTGCATCCGAGATTGGGCCAAAAGAGGATCATCCACCGCGAAAGACCGTTCCTGGCGATGTCCTTCGTGCAACAACACCCATTTCAAGCTCCCGAAACAGTACACGTGCTGGTGTGGCAAGGTGCTCAACCCGCCGGAAAACGAGTTCGAGCCCCATTCCTGTGGCCAGACCTGCAACTCGCCGCTGCCCGACTGCGTCCACGGCTGCTCTCTTCCTTGCCACCCGGGACCGCATATCAAGAAGTGCACGGCCATGGGGCCCGTGATGAAGTGCAGCTGTGGAGCTGCCGAGCGGCAGCTCCCCTGCGTGTTGACTCCCTACAAGACGGGGTGGTCGTGCTCCCGGCCCTGCGACGACCTGATGCCGTGCAATTTGCACAGGTGCGGCCGGAACTGCCACGCCGGTCTGTGCGGTCCCTGCGAAGAACCCATCACCGGCCGGTGCTACTGCGGAAAACACACTGCTTCGCTCAAGTGCCATGAGCGTGCTCCCCTGCGTTCTCTCACGGCAGCTGCCCAGTGGACGGGCTGTTTCCAGTGCGACGAGGTCTGCGACGACTTGTTGGACTGCGGGAACCACAGGTGCACCGAACCGTGTCATGCGAAGACGCCCAACGGCCACAAGTGTCCTCGTTCGCCAGGCCTGCTGAGCCACTGTCCATGCGGAAAGCATAGACTGGACCAGCTCGCTTCTCCAAGAACGTCCTGCTTGGACCCAGTGGCGACCTGCGGCGAGATTTGCGGCAAGAAGCTGGACTGTGGCCACACGTGCTACTGGCCGTGCCACGAAGGAGAGTGTGCGCCGTGCTACGCGGTGGTGGACTCCAAGTGTCGTTGCAACTACACTCAGTTCTCGGTGGCTTGTAAACTGGCGCAGCAAGGCTACGTTCCCGCGTGCAACCACAAGTGCCAGGCTCTGATGAGCTGCCGTCGCCACAGATGCATGGAAGTCTGCTGCGAGTACGAGCCGGTGGCTGCTGTGCGCGAGCGGAACAGACTCAAGGGAATCAGGAAGAATACGATCGACGCGCGCACCGCGGCCGACCAGATGACGATCGAGGCGGTGCACGTGTGCACGCGAGAGTGCGGCAAGCTGCTCTCGTGCGGCAAACACTACTGCCAGATGACCTGCCATCTGGGCCCCTGTCGGCCCTGTCTGGAGTCCTCGTCCGAGGACCTCGTGTGCCATTGCGGCCAGACCGTCGTCGCCGCTCCTGTGCGGTGCGGAACCAAGCTCCCCGTATGCCTGAACCAGTGCCAGCGGCCCACGAAATGCGGACACCGGCCAGAGATCCACAACTGCCACGAGGACGACAAGGAGTGTCCGCGGTGCACGGAGCGGGTGACAAAGCACTGCCAGTGCTCGAAACATGTCGAGATCAAGAACGCGATGTGCTACCAGACGGTTGTGTCGTGCGGCCGTGTCTGCAACGAGCTTCTTTCTTGCGGTACCCACAGATGCCCTAAAATCTGCCATCCGCCAGGACAGTGCCAGACGAAATGCACGAGCCGGTGCGGGAAGCCGCGCGCATGCGGCCATCCGTGCCGCCAGGTGTGTCACGCCCCAAAAGACTGCAACGAGTCGATTCCGTGCCAGGAACGGGTCACCGTCCACTGCGGTTGCAAACGGCTTTCGCGCACGGTTCTGTGCTCGTTGAACACAGAGCCTTTGGAGTGCGACGAGGAGTGCGAACTGAAACAGAGAAACAGGCAGCTCCTGAGCGCGCTCACAGACACGTCCGACGCGTCGACAGAAGGCGACACCGTGTCGCGGTTCCTGCTTCTCGAAAAAACCTATACGCCATACGTCCTGTCTCTGTACTCGCAGCAAACGGTGTGGTGCGAGAGCATAGAGCAGATCTTGCAGAAGCTCGTTTCGCGCGAGCTCGGCAGACAGACGTACCATTTCCGGCCGATGAAGAAGCTGCAGCGGAAATTTATCCACGAGCTGGCCGAGGCGTACAAGCTTTACAGCGAGAGCCAGGATCCGGAGCCCAAAAGGAGCGTGTTTGTGAGACTCCAGGCGAGCTCGAGACTGCCCAAGATCGGGCTCAAGGAGGCGCTGTTTGTGTCGGAGAGAATGAAAGAGAAAGAGAAAAAGAAGCGCGAGCGGGCAATTCAGATTGAAGAGCTGCGGCAGCAGAGCGCCGAGTTCAACGCCATAGTGGTGAAAGACCCGTTCATGGGCATGACTGCAGAGAAACTCGCAGCCGAGCTTCCTGAAGAGCTGTCTGTGAAATGGCTGATGGACTCGTTTGTGATTTACGGGGATTTCGACGAAACCCAACTGCGTGTCTTGAAGCCGGAAATTAAGCAAGTGCTCACGAGGAAGAACCTGGCCATGGACTGTGCTTTGGCCAAGACCGACGTTTCGCGTACACTGATCTACGATGTGGAGCAGACCAGAGATCAGCCCGCAGAAACAAAAATGGAACCGGAACCTAATAGACTGCTCATCAGTACCTCTTTTGATTGGTACTAAACTGCATGCTTGCATCTGCTGTGCTACCGTTTTATTCGCTGCACAGCCGTTTTATGCATATAGAAAAAACATTTATTTATTTATTTATCTTGTACCATGGCGATTAGGGATTCGCGACCGAGCACAGAGGAGCCGCTCGTCAACTCGTTTGATCTGCGCTCTGCCGGACAGCACGCCGAGTTCCTGCGCACACGGAATGAGTACCGCGGCCTGGCCGGGTCAGACACGCAGTCCGCCAGCACCCATCTGGATACGCTTATACACCGTCCATCTCCGCTCGTGTGGGGCCTGACAGCGCTGGCCTCAATTTCGGGGTTTATGTTTGGGTACGACACCGGCTACATCTCCTCAGTTCTGGTCACCATCGGCAGCGATCTGGACGGCCGGGAGTTGCTAGTCTCGGAAAAAGAGTGGATCACCAGCGGAACCTCCCTTGGCGCAGTGGTGGCTTGCGTGTTCGCCGGATATATTGCCGATCTCTACGGACGCAAGCTGGTCATTATCCTGTGCAATGCGCTGTTTGTGGTGGGCGCTCTACTGCAACTGCTGGCTACCAAAGTGGTGACTATGATTGCGGGGCGTCTGATCATGGGTCTAGGGGTGGGGATCGGGTCGCTTATAGCTCCGCTGTACATCAGTGAGCTCTCCCCTGCCAAGTTCCGCGGACGAATGGTTATCATAAACTGTCTGGCCATTACCGGTGGCCAGCTAGTGGCTTACGCGATAGGAGCGATTCTGGGTGGCTACCACGGGGGCTGGAGAGCCATTGTGGGGATTTCGATGCTTCCGTCCACCATCCAGCTGATTGCCTTCGTTTTCTTACCGGATACGCCGCGCTATCTCATTTCGATCGGCAACAACAAGGCTGCCCACCAGGTGCTCCGCAAAGTATATCTGGGGTGTCCGTCGGAGCTCATTGAGGCCAGCATCGCAGAAATCCACATGCTCAACGCTGCGGTGCCTGGAAAGACTCAGCTCGAACGTCTGAAGAACTGTGCATCCCAGCTTTTCAACACTCCTTCCAACCAGCGCGCGCTCGTCATAGGTTGCGGCCTCCAGGCAATACAACAGCTGGTCGGGATAAACTCGCTGATGTACTTTTCAGGAACGATTTTCAAGATGGCCGGATACACCAACAGCACTGCCGTCAGCTGCTTTGTGGCAGGGACGAATTTTCTGTTCACAATTGTGGCTTTTCTAGTTATTGACAAAGTTGGAAAACGGAGAATGCTCTTGGTATCCATTCCGTTTCTGATGGGCGCACAGATTCTTTGTGCTGTGGCTTTCCTACATATGGACGTGAAAGTGCAACAAGAAGACTTGGGAATTTGGGAATGGTCTATATTGCTAGGGTTGGTGTTATTCGTTGCGTTCTACGCTGTTGGTCTGGGCAATGTTCCATGGCAACAAGCCGAACTATTCCCGCAATCTGTGCGTGGTATGGGCACCTCATTGGCTACCGTCACCAACTGGACCGGCTCCTTGGTGGTTTCCGCCTGCTTCCTGTCGCTAATGCAGTGGCTCTCTCCGGCAGGTGCATTTTTCGTGTTTGCCGGAATAACGTTTGCTTCGTGGGTGTTTATATTCCTTGTTTACCCTGAGCTGGGCTCATTGCAATTGGAAGAGGTACAGGAATTGCTAAAGGATGGATTCAACGTGCGGAAGAGTATTTATATCCATCAGCACAGGCTTGTGTGATAAGTATATTTAATAAGATGTACAATTAAATTTACGACAGATTACAACACAGATTGATGTTGCAAGTGCCGCATTATGCTCGATCACAAGCCATGGTCAAGACGCCGGGCGTCTTCTGCGAGTTTCCTCCATGCTTTGGAGCGCTGTTTTTTTGAGATATTCGCTGCGAGCTCCATTGCGTCGATGCTACCAAACGAAGCAGCCAGCTCTAAGAACTCGAGTCCCTGGCCCAGATCTTTAGTGCAGCCCCACCCCTGTACGAGGGCCCGGCCAACCTCATAGTATATAGTGCTCTGCGGATGCACTGGTGGGCACAAAACAAGCTTCCGTGGATCGATGTGGAAGGAGTATTTGTGATTCATGTCTACTGCTCCAGCCTTGCATATCCAGATGAAGCTTTGGGCGAGAGATTTTTCGTCTCCATTGCGCAGGCCGAGCCCATAGGATAGCATTTCTTGCGCATTTTCCAGAGAATGGAAATGCTGGGAAAGCCCCTGGTCTTGCAAGTCAGGTGTCGAAGACTGTTTCCCACGAAGAGCCTTCAATGGTGACTTTATTAGCGACGAGAGCGACGACGCCGAGCCTGTGGACCCGTGCGACTTGATAAAATTTGGCGATCTCAATGGCTCTGCCATTGCCTCTGGCGCTACGTCGGCAGAAGGAGGAGGTGATAGGGGGCGGAATCGCGCAGAGTCGTATGTGTTGGACTCCGTGCGGAAGTGGAATGTGCGCTGGCTTGTAGGCGTGGCATCAATGGGCGTTTGTTGCACATAATGGCTGCTCACGTAATATTCCTCCCTCGAAGCTATTCGTCTGTGTTGTGGCTGTTTAAGAACTGGACGGTCTTCGAGAGCGTCGTCGCCAAGGTCAAAACTGTGCGAGTCCGAGTCGAGCGTAGTGTTGACGTCTTTTTGCTTTTGCTCATACCAGAACGGCTTTAGCGATTGGAACTGGCTGGCAGGCTCATAGTTTCTGGCCTCGTGCTCTACTTCGAGACTCTCGTAGTCTTCGTCTGGAAGACCCAGCTTGTCCAGGAGCCGTTCGTTCGTCGCCACAGAATCTGCCGAAACCAGACTCAGCCGTGCATCGAGCGTGTCGAGCGGCGGGTTTTGCGAAATCCTTATTCGGTGAGACATAAACAAAAAAACACGTAAAAAAAAGGGGAGAAAGTACCTGGAATTAATTTTATCATTTGAATTCTATTCTGAAATTATCCTGCGGCAGCGGCCTCCTCTCTGGCAAAGTGAAGCGGTGCTTCTCTTCCATGGTGCGCCACTGTATCACGTGCAACAAGTTGTACAGAACGGTCAGCACTGGAGCGGCTATGCCGTTTTCCTTGGCCACGTCCAAAGCGTTGCCCAAAATGACCTGGTACTCGGTGTAGTTGCCTTTACGGATGTCCACCAGCATGGAGGGAGCATACCACTCGCGGTCGTCTGAGTGGATCATGAACTCCACTATCGACTCTGGCAGCTCGACGCCGTCGCTCTTCGCAATTGCCAGGACTTCGGCCATGGCAGGACGCACAATCGAGTCGACGCCGCCAAACAGCGCTAAACGGCCAATATCAACGTTGGTCAACGCACACGAGGAATTGATGGTGGCGTTGTAGACTAGTTTCCGCCATCTCGTGTAGTTGACGTTCTCGTCGAATGTGACGTCGTTCTTATCCGTCGAGTACAGCTCGATGAACTGCTTGCATTTTTTTTCCTGCTTTCCGTAGTCAATTTTTCCGTTGTCGCAGACGCCGATCTTGACCGACTCCGGGCCTACCTGCTTGACCGTGCGTCCATACAAAGTCGACGAGATCATCGACACCCCGGAGATTACGTATGCCGACGGAAACTCTTGCAGCACCGCCTTGTGGATGCCGTATCCGTTCTGCAAAAGCACGATTCCCAGATCGTCATGGTAACATTCTTCAATGAAAGGGTTCAATGGTTGCACGTCCGGCGTGTTTTTCATCGAAAACACCACAAAGTCGAACGGACCGTGTTTGGAAACGGCCTCGACAACGCTCTTGCAGATGTTGGTTGGACGGAACACGTCGACTCTGCCATAGTCGCAGGACTGCAGCTCGAAGCCCTCCTTGATCAGAGTGTCGTAGTCAGACCGGACGACAGCAGTCACCTCGCTCTTGCCTGCTTTCTCGAGAGAGTAGGCCGCAATGGACCCCACGCCTCCCATTCCAACAAGAAGAACTTTTGCTTTAGACATCTCCAAATATATTTATTTGACCGTTAACTTTTTTCTCACTGCTGGGAAGTAATTATCACTATCGAAATCCAGATTAGGAAATCGCGATAAATTATTTGATTTCGCGAACGCTTTCCTAGAGCACTGTGAGCCAAGACGGAATATCAAATGTCCAGCTGACGGCAGGCATGCGTGCTATTACCCCTGGGGCTCAATTGCATATTTTTCCAGTAAAGGCGTCTGCCTTATCTGGCCGCTGTCGCCAGTCGTCAGAGCAAATCAGCTAGCGGCAGCACTGCTAGCAACTCGCTCATGCGAAAGACCTCATAGCCTGCAGTTGTGTTATCATTGGGGAGTAAGTTCAATGATTTAAGTGTAGTCAGAATCTAACAAACAAATAGTGAAGTCCCCTCTGATCAAGTGGCTCCAGCCTCTCAAGTTGATACTGCCTTGCACACTTGCAAGAACTTTCAGAAAGCGCCCCTTACATCCAGACGCAAAGCCAGCCCCTGTTAAGCTGCTCTAGATTCCTTTTTTCGAATATTACTTTAATATCACCTACAATGTGCTATCGGCTCCACTCATCCGTCACCGCGGACTCTTCACACCTCCTGCAACGCCGCCTGCAACGCCGCCTGTGCTGGATGTCATGCTGATCCCGGGCCCACTGCTGCCAGCAGTTGTACTTCCCAGCACATAAACCATAAGCATCATCACGAGTATGTGCAGACCAAAGCAGTAGGCAACAAACATGAGTCGCGAATACTTGGTGCTCAGCACAAACCTTGTTACCTGAATGAAAATGCGCTCGAACGGCGACATGCGAGAACTGATTCTCTGGCTTTCCATGATGCGGAACTGCTCTATTGGATGCAACTCTTGCTCGTAGCTGTCTTTGTACTTGCTCTCGAGATCGCGCGACGAAGCAGCAGCAGTCTGCGTGTGCTTGGCGTCCTGGTGGAACTGGAGGAACCGTATTCTCTCGTAAAGGCCTTTGTTGTCGTTTTTCAGCGCGTTGATCTCTCTTCTGAGCTCGACAATCTTCGAAAACTGCTTCTTCGTCTCCTCCTCCAGCTCCTTGTTACGCATACGGAAACGGTCACGCTGCTGTGTGATGATAGGCAAGATGGAGTTATTTTGCTGAGCAGAAGCGCCCGGCTCGAAGCCTCCCGCAATGGAAGATGCCGGAGACAGTCTTCCCCCTCGCGAAGGAGCACCAATCATCGAGCCCCCCGCCACAGAAGGCGCGACAGAGGAAATCATCGACATGGTCTCCCACTTGTCGTTGCTAGAGGAGCCGTTTTCTAAATTCATAAGATCATTTTCAAGCTTAGAGTTCATCTCACTCAAACGCTCGAGCTGCTTTGTAAGCTCCGAGAGTTGTTTCTCGAGAGTCTCACACTTTTTGGTCAGCTCCTCGTTCTTTGAACGGTACTCAATTAACTCACTGTTGAGCTTCTTGTTGCGTTGAACAATCGCAGAGTCCAGCTGAGGAAGCTCGTCCTCGTCACCCAACTCTATCTGTCTCAAAACCTCCAGCTCTTTCTTGATTTCATCGTAGTCTTGTGTCTCGTTGACTCTCTGCCGCAACTGCCCAGCTTCGCTGTTTAGCCGAGCCACCTCTCTCTGCGAAGCCTCGATCTTGGACTGGATCTCTGACTTGAGTTTGTCAGCGTTTTTGCGTTCGTGCTCGAGTCGTGCAACCAGCAACGCGTTTTCGCTCTCCAACTCGCTGATACGTTTATTGTTCATTTGTCTTAGCTTGTCAATCTCGACGTCACTGCGGGCCGAGCTGATTTCCCGCCGCAGTTCCTCATTGCGGCGTTCCAGCTCCATCACACGCAACTTAGCCGTCTCTGCGTCCCGACTCAGCATTTGCAACTCAACAGTACCTGCAGCACGCTCCTTCAGATCTGGTCCATCAGCCAATGTATCGCTATCTCCATCCTCCTCAGTATTCAGTGTGTGCGCATGACTCTTCAGGCGGAGACGCATAATCTCGTCGTTCACTTTCAGCTCCTCGACCTCTTTCTTCAGCTTTCCAAGAGTATCTCCTAGTTCAAGCTCCTTCTTTCTCCAATTCAGTTCTTTCTCCTCTAACAGAGCTTGCCATTCGCTGTCCTTGGCTTGCAACTGCTTTTCCACAGCGGTGGCCATTTCCTCTTCGCTCTTTGCAATCTTGGATTTTAGTTGCTCGTAATCAGCGTACCCCAGCAGCTTCTCTTCAAGATCTGCCTTTTCAGCCTTTAACTTTTCCACGTCCTTGATGCTCAAAACCGCCTCCAGGCTGATCTGGAGCAACCTCTTCGGATCTGGAGCCTCGGCAAGGGCCCTATAGATATGAAAGAACACGTTTTCAACGGTCTTATTCTTCTTGGTCAAGCTGTCTACCTCATTCTGATACGACTTGACCAGTTGGTTGATTTGTTCCAGCTTCTCCTCCTCAGGTAGCTTTTTGAATGCTTTTGTTTTCGTGGCCAGATCTTTTCTACTAAGGAGGGACTCCTTCTGTGAGGCCTGGATCTCTAACCCTTTTGCGTCCATCTCCTTCTGCAGACTCGGAAGGTCAATCACAGCCCAAGAGTTCAATGCCTTTTCGAAAACGCCCGCACTAGAGGCCACATCTATGCTCGAAGTCTTATCTTCTTCACTCATGATCGCGATGCGCCCTTGAGACTGGTGATACAGCAACTTCTCTGAACAGTTCGTGTCTGAATGATTGAATGGCTACGAAAGAAAGTTGCCAAAACCGATAATGTTATACCAACAGGCCTTGTACTTATTGTTCAACCGATCGATTACAGTTTTCTATTTATTTTTATTTTGAAACATCACCTCTACACCATCAATCAACTTTACCAAGTCCAGGACCAGAGCCAGCGTTGGCTTCGGCGTCGGAGAAGAAAGGCTTCAAGCACCTGTGCTTGTCTCCTCGAGAGCGAAAATGAGTCGTTGCCCGGGTCTTGGACAATCCTAATATCAAAACTCCGATCAACATGAGTAATACGAAGTATGTGGAAACTGCAGAGACGGAGAGACTAGACCGCAGTCCCTTACCCGGAAACTTTTTGAAGCTTGCCACAGATAAGACGTCGACCGTGTCAGAGATTGTGTCACTTGTTAGTTTTTGTCCTTTCAGAGACGTATCCCAGTAATTGTTGGTGAATCGCGACACTATTATAATATCTCCGGGTTTGTAATTTTGCGTATTAAACTTGGACCAGCCCAGATTCTTAGACAGGGATTTGAGCTTACTCTGCTCAACATAAACTAAATGTACATTATTGTCCTTAATTTCGAATACACCGGGAACCTCTTCTCTTAGTGCGCGAATAATATCCACATTGTCCTTACCTTTGGCTTTTAGCATTTCAACTTTGGCGTACTTTTCCCCCCTGAGCCTCTTCAATTTTTCAAACTGGTTCATCAATTTGAGATAATGGAACCTGTGTCCAATCTGAGAAAGCGCATACCCCTGTTTGTGTAATTGTGTGTGGTCGTCAGCATCAGTGACAACCAATACCACTTTTTCGTTTTTTGACATAATAGCCGGATTAAAGTTCCTGGGAAAAATAGCGTCACGTGAAGCATCAGTCATCTGTTCCACGAACGGATTGGCATTGACTTTGATGAAGTCCATTACAGCATTGAAATCTCTAATGTCATGAGGTCCAAAACTTTGAAAAACATGCGAGACCAACGAGTCGTCCTTGAAGCACAAAAGCATCGGGTATGTAGTCAATGTGCGAGCTGTGTACATCTCTTCATCAAAATGGAGTTGATTCGCGGGATCGGCAATCTCCTGATTCACGTACTTGATTAAAGTCTCCTCTTGGTTTTTAGCAAGATCCATGAGTTCGATATCGGAGCTTTTATAGAGGCGAACGTTTGAACGCAAATCCATCACTGGCTGGATTAGGTGATCAAGAAGCCAGAAATCCTCAGCCACCGCGGTCTCCTTGGAGTAGAGATAAATGAATGTAATTGTTGGATCTACGTCTATCTCTGTGAAGTCTTCTCTTCTAAAGGGCGACGATCTGAGTTTCATTTTCTTCGACAAATCGGCTTTTGTGATGTCCTCGAATTTGGCGATATCCAGCAATCGTTTGCTCCAATTGATGATCTGTTTTCCGTTCAACGTTGAGGACTTGTACCGTATTTTGTTACCACCTCTATTACTGGGCAGAAACATGAAGATTTTGGGATCATAGGTGTCATAGTTGTCTGTAAGCAAATCGTCCATTCCTAGGGACGAACAAATGTTCTCATTGGACTTACAATTCAAATACCCGACCGAAAGCTCGTTTTGTTTGATCAGCGGAGAAAGACGACGCCCAACCATGCTCCACAAATTGCGGAAATCTAAACACCGAGGACATTTGCTGAACAACTTGTTGTCCTTGACATCTTGAGAAAAGGTATCGACATTCAGCTCCTCATCTGTTCCGGGCCAAAAGGACACCAGGTGGGGCTTTTCAATGTTTCCTGCAATTATCTCAATCATGTTGGCACTGCTGATTGCCCCGATGTCTGCTGATTTCATCAGATCAGAGATCTCTTTTGGCGACTGCAAAAGCTCCTCTCTGGAGTCTATTGCCTGCTCACGCACAAAGGCCGTCAATCCTTCGACTGTTCTCTCGTAACCCCTGCCGAAGGACGCTAAAAGCTTGCCTCCATTACCTCTGTCGTTAGGCCCATATAGTCTAAGCATCGGGTACATGAAGATCTTTTCGCGGTCACAGAGATCACCACTGGCAACACAATCAACCTGGTTGATGTAAACGTCATAAGATTCGGCCTCGGCATGAAACGTGTCGTAGAACTCCTTCCAAATCGGTGCCAGAGCTTTGCAATGGGAACAGTGCGGCGAGAAAAACTCGACAAAATGGAATCCCTTGGACATCACGTTGTCGAAGTTGGCAGCTGTGAGTGGCTCGGGAAAGACATCATCCAATTCAGCGGCCGCAATGACGGCTAACACCACCAGCTTTAACAGTGCCAGGTACAAAACCATCCTACACAAACAAAAATAAAAGATTACTTTCACATAAGGGTGAGGTGCACATCCGAACACCAGGAATATTATAAGGTTTTTCTAACTAGTTGCTGCTTGCAGGTAACTCTTGAAAAACTCGAAAGACACAAGCGTGACCGCGCTGGCAGGAAGCGTTCTTGCGAGATTGACCAGGAACCCTGAATAAAACCCGGGAATTCCTTCGTTCTTGTAGATCGACAAAAGAGTTTTCAGCAATCCAGCGCTGGGCTTGGTCGAGTCGCTATTGACGATTTGCAGTCTTGTGCGTAATATCTCGTGCGGATAGGTGACGCCAGACGCTAATATCTTGGATAGTGACGACGATAGAACCAATCTGCAAAACTGATCGAAAGTCATGGTTTTTTTGTCAAACGTGTCGCCATCAACCCGAAGCACCTTCTTTAAGTTCTCGTATAATGGGAATTGTATGGCAACATGTATGAGTCCGAAATACGACGGCAATAGTCCTCTATAAAATGATCGCGCCCCCTCGCTGTGATACATCTTCACGAAGGCGTCTATGGTTCCATTGTAGTATTCCCGTTTGATGCCGCCCTGCGTGGCAGCTGCGCCGACAGTGTCACCGAATCTGTCGTATATAGTTCTTCCTTTAGTCATCTGCAACATCAATCTTGTCTTTACCACCCATATCGGATTTGTGACGGTGGTCGAAATGGCGCCGGAAGAAATTGCACTGGCAAAATAGCCTATCGTGTCGTCTTCAATAAAGTATGAATACATTTTCTTGAACTGCTCGTAACACGAGAAGTAGATCATCCATGTAGGGAAGTAGCCAAACGTGATGGGCACCAGGCCCCTATATAGTCCACGTATTCCTTCCTCATTCCAAATGGTTCCCAATGTTCTTATGATTCCTGTGTATCTGCGTTTCTCAAAATTATTGATCTTGACCTCGTCTTCAAGATTTCTGAGATATGACCCTTGAGCCTGAAGACGAGTTTTCGTGACATCCAATGGGCAGACAACAATGCCAGACAAGAATCCGGCAAGTCCACCCGATATTGTAACCACTTGATTGTCTGTAAGCCGAAGTCGGTAATGTCCAAAGACGGGGTGCGGGGTGTCAGCGGCAGTCATACGGTCGGGATCTTTTGGGCGAGCCAATTTGGTCTCTTCAAGAGCGGGAACAGGTGGCTCTGCACTCATGTGTGATGTTCATGGGGATGGTGGTATTCTAAATAAAAATATCCCCTGTAAAAAAACACCAATTTTTTGCCCTGTTTTCAAAGATTTCCTTTACAAATTGTATTTTTTAAAATGACTTTTGACGAATTGGTGGGGTGCAAATATTACCCGATCCGGACCCCGTTTTCAGACAATAAACATTTATCTCATGACAGAATCTGGTCTCGTATCTATTTTACTACTTAGCTAGTTACTACCAAACTTTCTATCCATCTCCCTCAGACAGTTCACAACACTCTCCACCTCGACATACATACCTTTGGTGTTCAAGTTGCTGATAATGTTGTTGAATCCTGCGGTTTGGAAATTCACATGTCTAGACAGCGTTTTGTAAGCATCAGCGCACGGGATGAAATGCTTACCAGGGTGGTTTATCTCGAGTTCGTTCAATGCAGGCAGCGAGGTGACACTGCTTGTGCGGCGTGAGAAGTCAAGTTTCGGTGCTGTAGTTGGCGGCGTTGGAAGATCTGGCTTGGCTTGCTGAGCTATCGTGGTGCAGAAAAGCGTTGACATAGGGTCCTGCTGGCATTGAGCGCAGTTTCCCGGATTTCCTGTGCACGCCGGCTGCTCGTCTGCAGACTCGTTGCCCACGTCTCTTTCTGCGTCCTTCTCGTTTCTGTTTAATTCGCTCGTGATCAAATTATCTTTCATTTGAACCATCTCTTTCTGTTTTGCAATTTCGCGACAGACACACGGCGTGTCGTCCGAACAAAAGCCGCACTGGTCCTCTGGTGCAATCGCTGATTTACCGAATTCAGGGTTTTCCTCGCTCAGAGAAGCAGAATTCGGTGATCTGAAAAGCATATCGTTTTGCTCCGTCGTTTTGAGCACGGGCAGTTTCTTTGCGCGCTTGAAACTGTTGGTGAAGTCAATCTCCTGCTCTGACTCCTTGGCTCTTTTCAAGGGCACGGCGGGAGCAGGAACAAACTCGTCAAGATTGATCGAGTTCTCTCTTTTGCGAATTCCAACTGTCTCACACAAACAATCATCCTTCAAACACATACCGCAAGCTGACGACCGTGAGCTGTCCGAAGGATTGGACGGAGCAGGTGAAATCTGTTGCAGACTCAGGCTGCTGCTGCTGCTATCTCGCTCTCTTCGGCCAGACGACCCAGATGAAACACTATTATGTCGCGAACTGTTTTTGAAGTTGATCATCATCGATGCTGCTTTGGTCAGATCAGCATCTGGAACAGACGCCACTTTGCGACGAGTCGACACAGAAGATTGCGACTGCGGAGTGGCTGGACTGTCACTGGTCGGAGATATTCCTGGAGACACGCCGTTGCTAGACGAGACCTGCCGCTGCACATGCTGAAGACCTGCGCGCATCTCCTCCAGCGCTTTTTTCAGACTCTCGTTTTGCGCCTCGAGTCTCTTGATGGTGTTGGTCAACATGCCCTCTTTTATGCTTTTTTCACGCTCCAGTTCTAAAATCTGTGTTTCCAACTCACTCACACGATTGGCCCTGCGCTCACGAAACGCGCGCTGAGCCGCCCTGTTCTGTGCCTTGCGCTTAGTCGCTGGCGTGTCAACACTTGGTTTACGTCCTGGCTTGGGCCGAGGAGGCAGGACCCAATCTTTCGACGTCACGATCTTGGCGATCTTTGGCATTTGAGAGCCTGTGGACGGTGCGATCGCCTGATTCGTCCTGGGAGCTATGGATGGAGAACTCATAAGAAGAATGAATAATTTCTAGTGGGATTTCCCATCATATATATCCTAGGACCGATAATTCCAATATCCTTTTTTAATTAAAAAAATCGCCAAAACTGTGCAAAGATGTTTGAAGGCCTGAAATAAGTAACCTTTCTTGTCTATATATGTCAAACCGATCACGATTTGCTTGCGAACGGTGCAAGCGTTCAAAGCGGAAATGTGACGGGATTCCTGACGTAAAGGGCTGTACGGTGTGTCACAAAGCTGGCGTGGAGTGTTCTATTCTGCATCACCAGGAACAGACGACGAAATACATTGCGCAGTTGGAGGCCAAGATTAAATATCTGGAGTCAGACGCGCACTCAGGGACAGCGGGCCCAGCGATGAAATTGGTGTCACATCCTCCTGCCATCAGAGAACCAACAGATAAGTTAGAATTCGGCCCCAGTCTGTCATTTATATTTCGCAGAGCTCTCGATGACTCCCCGTTGAACGAATATCAAGACAAATTTGTGCCAGAAGCCTTGGAATCTCCGCCTTCCAAAACGGGGCCGCCAGATTACACGCGTCTGATGGAGGACGATGAAATGGGCAAACGTTTGATCGAATCGTGCATGAAACTTATGTTTTCTCGCTTTCCTTTTATTCACAGAGAGTACGCTTACGAATTGCACAGGAATAGAAAAGAAGTGTTACGGACTTCAGAAACAAGACAGGACGCGATCAAAAGGTTTGTTCTGCTCATGATATATGCCATTGGTCTGCGCGTGGCCCAAATGATCAAGGCAGAGACGCTCGAAGGGTTTACCTACTATCAGGCTGACGACATATATGCTGATGCCGCCCAGGATCTAGAGCGAATTTGCGCAGTCGTGGATATTGACTCCGTGAGGTGCCTAATCCTGGTGGCATACTTCATGCTCCGTTCTTCGCGCAGTCACCAGATATGGCATCTGTGTGGTCTGATTATTCGGCTCTGCGTGGATTTGAATTTGCACCGTCGTGAGAGCAGACCTGTTCCTGTCGAAGAGCTGCACGATTCTGTGATGCGTCGGCGTGTCTTTTGGAGCGCATATGTGATTGAGAGAAGCGTTTGCATGCACTTTGGACGCCCAATGTGTCTTTCTGACTACGACATCGATGCCGAATTACCATACAACATAGACGACTCTGTGACAGACTGTCACGAATTGGATGACATAATTAACAAACACCCGGAGAAAATGGGCCCGACGGTCATCACAGACATGACGGTGGGCATCTGTCTCATCCAGTTGCGGCGAATAGATTCTGTTATCCATCACAGCATCTACCGCGTCGACCAGGAACGGGACATTGTGACATTAGTGAAAGATATTGGCGTGATGTACGAGAGAGTGCAACAATGGAAGAACGACCTGCCCGCCTTTGATGATGAAGACAACCAGCTGTTCATGACACTCCTCTACCACAAGACAATGCGGATACTTCTTGTTCCTTTGATTTCGAAGGATATTGAAGTCTCAAACTCGCCCGAAGCGCAATTCTTTGTCGATCAGTGCGTCAAATCGTGCGGTACAATCTGCTTGCTTGCAAAACGTCTAATACAGCTCGATTGGTACTGTCATAGCTTCATCGCTATACACACTCTGTTTGTGAGCGCAATGACTTTGATATACTGTCTTCTCACGGGACGGCTGGAATGGACGGTCGAAATGTCAACCTGTCTGCAGTCGTGCTCCACCGCGCTATTTGTCGTGGGGGAGCGGATGCCTTTCACGAAATCGTTTCTGCGCGACGCTTACGAACGCGTGCTGAACAAAACCATGGAGCAAATGTCCAAAAAAGAAACTGTCAACAAGACAAAAAATTACCGCATTGGAGGCGTCAACGTCCTCGACAAGCCCTCGGAGCTAGATATCTCACTCTTGCAAGAGCAGAAGTACCCGGAGCTGGACCTAAACGAGTCACTTAATACGCCAATACCGAACGATTTCGACGAGCTATGGCAAATAATCAGCGACCAAAAGCCTTTTGGTATTGAAGGAAACGTCGCTCTTAATGAGTTCAACTACGGACTGGATGACGGATATCAATACTAATTTATTTATTTGTGCCTTTCGCGTGGTTCTCTTTGTCATAATATTCGTTGAGCCAGGACTGATAGAGTCCGAAATCTTTAAAGTCGGCGTAGTTGGCCACTGGAACTGTTTCCTTGTCACTGATGAGCTTCTGTGCCTTGGGAAGCGAGCATTTTTCCAAAAAAATTGTGTCTTCGTAGCATATAACATTTTCTGGTTGCAGCGTTGCACACAGCACGATCGTCAGGGAGTCTTTTTCCTGCGGCTGCTTTGTAGCCAGGTTTTCGGAAAGCCTCCCCTTTAATACGGTGGCGTACCCTGATGATTGCACATCAGCTGAATTCAGGCCCATGACACAAATGTAAGGATATGCCACACTCTTTTGACGGACCAGAACCTGACTCGAATTGCGAGAGCGACAAAAGTGCGCTATTTCGTAATCAAAACACAGTCGCATGTCAAAGCCAGAAACCACACTAATCGCGCGTATAGTGGCAGGATGGGTCCAGGCCTGGTACACAAACGGAAGAAGTTGTTCGCAGTCTCTTAGCTTGGGAGAGGTGAAAGCGTTGCAGTTTTCTTTCTCGAGGACCACTTGGGAATACTGCTCAACTTCCTGACGCAGCAATTCCACGCATTCGCGAGAAAATAGCGGAAAAGAGCCCTCACCAACAAGTTCCAGGGAGTTTAGCGTAGGGTCCAAGTGGAAGCTGCGAACATTTGTAGAGCGTGGGATCTTCGACTTTGAGAAAGCCAGATGCTCCACGGGATCAAAGGGGATACCTGGTGAAGACTTCTGGCCCATATACAACAGTTGCTAAAGGAACGAAAGTGGGCCAGAAATGTTTCTTGTGGCCGAAAAGTGCATTCCTGTATCGGGTAAAGAATTCCTTATCGATTTTTATGTAATCAGCAGGAGCCATAGACGTTTTTTTTCGTTCCCTTTCGAGCAGAAATCCGGCGTACGTAATTTTCGCAAGTGCAACAGCCTTTTCGGATCACCTGGATCCCTGGCCGAGCAAATCTACATAGAGTACTTCAGAATCAGTGCAGTCGTCCGGCCGCTCAGAATGTTCGGCGTGATACCAGTCACATTGAGAAACGGCGAGCGCGCGACAATAGTGCCTTTTGAGTCTGTCGACCACGTTCCAAAATCCTTAGTTAGTAAGCTGCACCAGGAATACAACTACGAAGTTGAGCAGGGAAACACCCTGGCCCAAATCGAGCCTCTCACAGAGCAAGAGTTTTTGGATTACTACTGCCCCAAATTTCTTGCGATCATGCTCCAAGGAGAATTCGAGTCCACTGCTCACGCTGTCGAGCTCGCAAAAGAAGCAGATCTCGGTGAAAAGTTCCTCGGGTCGTATTACATAAAACCAAATTACCCGGGGAGATCGTCGCATAACTGCAATGCAGGATTTCTCGTCTCCAGCAAACACAGAGGAATGGGAATCGGCAAACTTCTGGGGCAAAGCTACCTGGAATATGCACCCAAATTAGGCTATCGTTATAGCGTGTTCAACCTTGTTTACGAGACAAACAAGGCCAGCTCGCGAATCTGGGACAATCTTGGGTTTGAAAGGATCGGACGGGTGCCTGGTGCTGGCTATCTGAAAGACCACGGATACACGGACGCTATTGTCTTTGGCTACGATTTCACCAAGGGCAAGGAGACCTGATGCTGAAACAGCGTTATATGACAGACGTTGGCCATGAAATGGTCATTTCCGAGTGCATATGTATTTTCACGTGGCACATGCCATGCCAGCTATTGTATAGAATAATGCGGATGGAGCCACTTGCCTTATGACTAACCAAAAGCAAAGTGCCGCGCCGAAATGGCATCGTTGTGCTTACGTAAAAATTACAGATTGCCTGTTTTCTCCGATTGAGTCAAAAAAATATATTAGTCACCTTTACTATATATAAGTACTTTGCATTTGACGGATTTTTAGTGGGCTTGGAGATGGTCAGAATGGGCTCCACAATGTCCACCTTCAATTAATCATGCACCTAGCAGGTCATAGAGCAGGTAGGGAGATCAGCAAACGTATGCGTATGGATACGGTTCCCGACCTGGTGAGCGACAACTCAGACACAGACGACGATATGAGCAATTATACCTACGAGAGTGCTTACGTGCACAGTTACACAGAGATCAATGACGAGCGGGCCCGCGTTATGAACTTGGTTGTGCAAATCGTGAGCGAGACCATCTCGCTGCGCCACGGAGCAAACCAGGTTTCGTTGCAGAGGTTCATACAACGCATTTTGGAGCGCTCGGGGCTGGGAATGGCTCAGTTCATGAGGGGGATTGCTATTCTGCAAAGGTCAACATCTTCAGATGGCATTTTCCAGCAAATTTTGTATTCCATGATGCTTTCGAACGGTCTCCCGCAGGATTACGACGGATGGTCAAGGATTAGTGGCATCAGCAGCAGTCGACTGCAGACTGAGGTCCACACGTTTGCGTCCCAGCTGGGCGATTTAGCTGTGGACGATGAACAGGTTTGGAAGCTCCACCAGAGCATTAAGAGTGAGGTTTTAAAGTATGTAAAAGTAGCACGTGAATTTTGCTAAATGGACTAGGAAACTACAGAGAGATTATTTTTTTTATTACACCAATTGCTGAACTGCTAAATTGCAATGGGCGCCTTCTACTACCACGACGAGCTACCAGGCGATTTCACCGACGAGCACAATTCAGGAAAGCCTGTTAGCCTGGAGCAGCTGGCGAAAATAGGTGTTTTTTACAGGCATTTTGAGACTGTGGAAGAGGTCGACGTTGTGGCCAAAGAGCGCAATTACAAGAACAGAGACGAGATTGTTCTTTCAGAGTCGACGTTTCCCGGCGGACCAGAAGCGCTGCAAGCCAAGCTGGAGGTGTTCTATAGAGAACATCTCCACGAGGACGAGGAGATTCGTTACATACTGGACGGTGAAGGCTACTTTGATGTTAGAGATGACAACGACAGATGGATTCGCGCAAAGCTAACCAAGGGTGATCTTCTGATTCTTCCAGCAGGCATCTACCATCGATTCACCCTGTCTAATTCCAAGTACGTCAGGGCTCTGAGATTGTTCAAGGACGAGCCGAAGTGGGTGGCTTTGGACCGCGGAACCGACCAGGCGGAGTCGAGCTTTTCGAGAACCGAGTACCTTCGCAGTGTGAGCGTCAACTAGTTACGATCGTTTGTATGGGAATATTTATTTATTATCCGGAAATATATTTTCTCTAATCAACTCCACTCCACAATGTTACGAAACAGACTCGGCATCACAAACATTCTACACGCCAACTCGAACAGGTGCTTTTCCTCTAGCGTGTCACGAACGCTCATATACAAATCGCAGCCAAAAGTACCCAAGCCAGCACTCGAGTCAGAGCAAGCAAGTAGTCCAGTGGCAGATGCCAAAGACGCAGACAGACTGGCCAGACTTGAGCAGAGTAGATGGTACAAATGGACGCCCAGGATCCTCAAGCCTTATGCCCGAAGCATGACCATGCGTCCGCTGGGTTTTGGTATTAGTTTCGCAATACTCCACGAGATCACTGCTGTAGTGCCATTTTTGGGACTGTGGTGGTTTTTTCTCCACTACAATTGGGTCCCGTTGAACGTGCCGCAAGATCTATTGGCGAGAGGTGCTGAGGTGCTGTCGAAAGGGCTTATAAATCTGGACGTAGATCTGGTGGAAAAGACCAAGATCGTGACTGCGGGAGCCAATGCCTACGCCGCTACTAAGCTGCTTGTGCCGGTGAGACTGCCGGTCTGTTTCGCGCTAGCTCCCTTATTCGACAGATGGTGCGTCAGACCTATTCAGATGGCTTGGAGAAGACGGAAAGAGCGCGCCAAGGCCAAGCGGGCAGCTAACAAAGCTAGTCGTAAATAATCCTGTACATTTTTCAAGTAGAAAATTGAGATTCAAAAAATAGATAAATGGAGAACTATAGACAGTATCCGTACGCATCGGCCGGACAGCCAATGCGTGTGGCGTCAACCGACTTCTTTACAATAGGGCCATACAGGAGACGGCGCGACCAGGCCAGAGTGTCTGTTGTCCAAAAATACGAGATCTTGGGGTACATCGCTGCGGGAACATATGGTAAGGTGTACAAGGCCCGCGGCAAGACAAAGGAGCTAGGCAACGGGTTGTATGCCATCAAGAAGTTCAAGACAGACTCCAAAGATAACGAGGTAACTCACTACACAGGAATCAGCCAGAGTGCGATACGAGAGATGTCGCTTTGCAAGGAGCTGGAGCACAGGAATATCTCGAAATTGATAGAGATCATCCTTGAACGAAAATGTATATATATGGTTTTCGAGTTTGCAGAACACGATCTTCTGCAAATCATCCATTATCACTCTCAGCCGGACCACAAGCAAATCCCAGAACAGACACTGAAGTCAGCCATATACCAAATACTGGAGGGGCTCTCGTTTTTACACCAGAATTGGGTACTTCATAGAGACCTGAAGCCGGCAAACATCATGGTTACGAACGACGGAGTGGTAAAGATTGGCGACCTCGGCTTGGCCAGAAAGTTCAGCAACCCTTTGCAGAGTCTCTACTCCGGAGACAAGGTTGTCGTCACTATTTGGTACAGAGCGCCGGAGCTGCTGCTCGGGGCGCGCCACTACACACCAGCAATTGACCTATGGGCCGTCGGGTGCATTCTGGCGGAACTACTCTCGCTACGCCCGTTGTTTAAAGGTGAAGAGACCAAGATGGACAACAAGAAACAAGTCCCGTTCCAAGAGAATCAAGTGATCAAGATCCTAGAGATACTTGGCACGCCGACGCTGGATAAGTGGCCCAGCTTGAATAGTTACCCCGAATACCCGCATTTGTCGAAGATTTCGACGTTTCCTTCGAACCTGAAAGCATGGTACCAATCAAACGGAGGAAGCAACAAAAACTGTCTTCGGCTACTCGCAAGCCTGCTGGAATACGATCCCGCTAAGCGCATAGATGCGCTCGAGTCGCTAGATCATAAATGGTTCCAGGAATCGCCCAAGCCGGTCGAGAACATTTTCGCAAACTCCCCCTTCAAGTATCCGCAGCGAAAAATTCAGAAGGACGATAACGACATCCTGGGTGGCACGTCCCAGACATACTACAACGGAAAACGGGCTTTTGGGTCCTACAAAGATCCAAGGAAAAGACGCTGACGCCAGCAAAAGTATATTAGTCACGGGTTGTCATCACTTGTCTAGCTATTTGAAGGACCTCGTCTCCGATAGCTTCCTGCGACTTCTCGCCGCAGTAGATCGCAAACGCCCCCTCTTCGTTCTTTGGAATTTCCATATCATCGAACTGACTCTTAAGCATGCTACTTTTCATGAAATGGCCGGCTCTTTGGCTCATTCTTTTGTAAATTATATCGTAGTCGTTGTAAAGAAAAAGCATCAACACCTTAATATCCGGCTTCTCCAGTCTAGCGATTTTCTTGATGTACTCGCGGTACCTCAGTTTCAGCATCGAGCAAGTCACTACGGCAGCTCCACTCGGGCCGGTGGCATGAACCCCCAGCTTGGTGAGCTTCTCCAGCCAGGCCCAACGATCGTCGTCCGTCAATGGAATTCCCTGCGACATCTTGTCGATATTTGACTGGGGATGGTACGAATCTCCTTCCACATACGGACAGTCCAAATCCTTGCTCAGCCGCTCACCGACTGTGGATTTGCCCGTGCCAGAAGGGCCGCCAACAACTATGAGAATGGCCATTTTTGAAAACCTTGAGTCGATCGACGTGCAGGAAAAATAAATAAAAACTTGCATCTGAAAAAAATATTAGTCCCATAATGCTGCGTCTCTTCGTGCGACATCTGTCCACGCAGAGATCGAGAACGAAGGAAGTTGTTAGGGATGTGATAGGAAACTTAAGAAACGACTGGGAAGCGGGCAAACCGCTTCAGTATCCGCCTTTGAGGTCGATGCCGTCTGCCTTCCTGAAAAAAAATTCCTTATTCTCAACTATTTTGTCACAAACGCAGTTTGAGCTTCTTCGAAAGTCGGAGCCAGTGACAAACGAGCGCACGCTATTTTCTAGACAGTTTACTTACGAAAATGCCAACAATCTTGTCAACCACCTTGTTGAAAATGAGGACAAGCTAGAAAAGTTTCCGATCACTGTGGTTCAAGGTAAAGACGGTCGCTCAACGCTTCAGTGCACGATCCAGAGGATTGTTGAGCAAATGGCCTATCATAGGCTGAGACCCCTCTACGCTCAGCAAGTTTACGAAGACTCATCCAACTCTCAAAACTACAACAAGAATATGACTCTGAACTCCTTAAACCTCGACAACCCCTACGCATGGTACCCAGAAGCCCGTAAGCTCAAAAGGAAGATCATAATGCATGTGGGGCCTACCAACAGTGGAAAGACGTACAACGCTCTTAAACGACTTGAAAAAAGCTCCAAAGGATATTATGCTGCTCCATTAAGGTTGTTGGCTAGAGAGGTTTTCGAAAAGTTTCAAAGTAAAGGCATAAGGTGCAACCTAATGACCGGAGAGGAGGTTCTTCTTGACTCTGACAAGTACGGGAACAAAGCAGGACTAACTTCAGGCACCATTGAGATGATTCCTTTAAGCGAACCGTTCGACGTGGTCGTTGTGGACGAGATTCAAATGATTGGCGACCCATTCAGGGGCTCTGCGTGGACAAACGTGATTCTAGGAGCGCAGGCCAAGGAGATACATCTTTGTGGAGAAGTCTCTGCCGTACCGCTGGTGGAAGAGCTCGTGGCCATGACTGGAGACGATATCGAGGTCAACAATTACAACCGTCTTGGGAAGCTTGCTGTAGACAGTGAAGCTATTTCACTGGACGAGGTCCAGCGTGGTGACTGTATTGTTGCATTCAGCAAGAAGCAAATCTTGACGATTAAGGCTCAGATCGAACGTGATACCAATCTCAAATGTGCTGTTATATACGGAGCCCTTCCCCCAGAAACGCGATCCCAAGAGGCCAGAATGTTCAATGATGGTGAGTATGACGTTGTTGTTGCCTCAGATGCCATTGGAATGGGACTGAACCTGAAAATCAACCGTGTGGTATTCACCACACTGGAAAAATACGATGGAAGAAGAATGACAGCACTATCTAATTCGAGTATCAAACAGATTGGTGGCCGCGCAGGAAGATATGGAATTGGAGAAGGCGTGGGTCATATCACTGCTCTGACAGAAGCGGACCTCAAGAAGATACGGGCGGTGATGCAGGCACCTATCGAGTATCTCGACAAAGCTGTTCTTTGGCCGTCCGACACGCAGTGGATGCACTATTACTCCATGTTCCCCAAAAACACGAAACTTATAACCATGTTTCGTAAATTTGAGGCCGATTTGGACAAGAGCATGCGGACCAGTCCTAAGGAGTCGATCTTCCGCATACAGCATATGGACGATCACATGTCGATGGCCAAATTCATCAATGAACGCCATTTGGAAGACGATTTTGCCATTTCTGATCAGTTGCGTTTCATCTCCTGTCCTTCAGTTTTGAAGCTAAAAGACTCTCCAATGCACGCTATTCTCACTGACGTCTTCCAAAACTACATGATTACCGTTGCCCAGAGGCTGAAGCGCTCTGTTTTTGATTACAAGTCAATGCCATTGTACTTGACCACAACGAGCCATCTAACTTTGGATCCAGCAAGGCCTAAACTCCACAAGAATTTCACAAAGTCATTTGGCGTGGAAGCCGTGCCCGAACGCATGAAGAGGAAAATTGAAGACGCAGCCATGCGCACCAAGAAGAACCCTTTCGTTGGCAAGAAAACATACATCGGCGATTTCAACCCTATAGAGGATAGACTGATGAGACTCGAGCAGTTTCACAGACTACTGACCGCGTATCTGTGGCTTACGTATCGGTTCCCACAAAATTTTGTTCACCTTGAGCTAGCTACCAAGCTGGTTGTCCTGGTGGAAACCAAAATTTCGGAGATGTTGATGAACGTCAGCTTTGCAAAGCAGATGCAAGAAAGGTGGCGAAGTCGTTAAATGTACATAGATATCACAAAAGCCATTTGCTCTGCTCTTGATCAACGCTTTTGACTAGCGGCTCTTCGATGCTGTTGATTTTGATGTCACTGCACAGACAGCATTTGGCAGATAATAGTTTGTCTATCTCCTGCTTGAGCTCTTCCATCATTGGTTTGTTACCCTTTGCTGCTAAAAGCCTTTTTTGCAGCTTGTAAATAGCATTCTTAGATTTATAATCAGTGGACTCCAGTATTTCTCTTACTAAGCAATCTTGATGGAACGAATGTAGACATGGGAACACAATAAACTTTCGAATAACGAGGATCTTGCCACAAAGACCACACGACTCGTTTGGCTCAATGATCTGGAATCGATCTTGCTGGAACTCTTCCATCTTGCGACTTATTTTTTCTGACTGGTTTAGTGATGCCGTCATTTCGGTAGATAGATTCTCCATATCGTTCGAAAGCGACTCCAGAGAGCGCACTATCTCGTCTTTAAAGTCGTCAATGACCACAAAGTCAGGGAATAGAGGAAGCAGGTCTTTCATAGTCAAGAGATCACATTTCTCCATCAGGTAGCTCAATAAGTTGCAGATTTTATTGCCCTCTCCAAGATCCAGACTCAGAGGCTGATTGTTGACCGTTTTCTGAATCAGTATGGTAGATATCTGAAGCCACAGATTTTTGCGCTGTAACGATGGAGAGGTCTTGTCTGCAACGAGGATAGCAGACTCAATCAGGCCATGTTTCAATGCTAATGAAACTGCACTTTCGTAATCTTCTAGCATAGAGTAGATAAAAATGGCACTCTTAATTCTGTTGTACTCGAAACACAATCGAAGCACAAAGTCTGCATCAAACAACACCTCATAGCTTTTTTCGCGGTTGAAATGAGTCTTCGATCTGTTTTCCAAGTAATTCAATACCAGCTTCTCATCGTCCGAAGGGTAAGTCACCAGCAGCGAAAGAAGCGTATTGTGCACCAGTTTATCTTTGTTCTGTTTCTCCTTCACAAGAAATTTCAAATATCGGAGCGCATGATTGTGTTTGGGAGCAATCCCGTGTCCCAGGGCTATGGATTTATGGTATGTCAGTATGACGGGGAGCAACTTCTTAAAGTCCAAGTCATCTGCCAAACGCAGCCACAAGTCCACTGTTTTAGCCGGATAGTTGATAAGTAATGCTGTTGCACATTTATAGATAAGTTCTGGTTTCTGCTCTTTAGACAATATTTCCAGTGCTTTGTCCCATTGCTGTAAGTTCAGGTAATAACTCAACAAAAACGAGTAGTCTTTCATCATCGAAGAGAATCGCTCTAGCTCTTCTTTCCTGTTGTGGGAGAGCAATATTTGATAAACTGTTTCTTTGTCGACCGAGTCTTGGTATTTTTTCAAGAATCCTTCAAGGTCCGGGGACTCTCCAGAGTTGATTTTCTTCACGTAAAGCTCTACCATCCAGCTGGTGAGCATTACACGCTGCATGTACATTGTTTTGGGTAGTTTGTCGAGCTTAGCTTCCAAATACACTAACAGGCTTGGGCTTTTCATGAACTTCAGCACCACTTTCTCAAAGGACTCCGACGTTTTTGCCAAAATTCTGGCTGCCTCGTCTGTATCTCCATTCTCAAGCAATTCATAGCCCTTATTTATGAGCACAATATCGCGCTTGAGCTGGTCACTTCCGACCAATTGTAGAGCATCATCATACATTTTTTTCTCCATCATCACTTTCCAAACATCTGAATGTTCTTCATCTGCCACCAATTCGTAAATAGTCGAAGAGGAATACACCCAATAAGTTTGCATACGATAGTCAGCTGTCATTTCGGAAAGATCAAAAATCAAGTGTTCTTGCGACACCCGCTTTCCATTTAACTGGTTAAAAATTACCATCTCATTTCGGGAAGATGCAATCACATGGTATTTGGTGAGAAGCAGGCTTTTGTAATCGGCTGCAGAGATTTCGTATCGCTGGAGCTCATTGCGGGTTTGAAAGGCCAGATCGCCAATCACCAAACGTGAAATGCCATCGTCTGTTTGTTCAATAAATGCAAATGACGACTCATTAGCAGTGAACAGGCGAATAACACCAAAAGATAATAGCAAAGGGTTGTTCTTCAGTAACGAGTCTCCAAGTGAACCCTGAAATCGTGCAAGTTTTCGCTCGCCCAGATGAACCACTAGTGACACGATATCCTTTTCGTCTTGCGTAGCATGCATCGCCGTTATTGTATCTTTTCCTCTCCATAGCTGCTTGAAGCTCCTCTCTTTATTCAACTCTATTCTGTACTCATTGATGATGCCGGTGGTGGTGCCCACAAGGATTGGACCTGTATTTTTCTTGGTGACATGTGAACCGAAAAATACAAACGAACAGACTGAGTTTCCCTTGAGCTTCGATAATGCCTTGAACTGAACAGAATGGATATTTAGGTAGAAGTATTCGTTTTTGGTCGTTTGAACCACTAGATGGTAACCATAGGGGTCCAAGTAAGCGTTCGCAACGGTGACGTTGTTGGAGTCTACCTGTATCTTATCGACCTTTTCCGGGTTGTCTAGATAGATCCGGTACACTAAACCATTGATGAGCACCAGATAAAGCACATTGCCTTTCACAAGAAGCTTTTGTATGGGCGATAGGATCTGAAATTGTAGTTGGACCTCTTCGAAATTAAACATCAGTCTTGGATCCGTTATTGGCACATAACCAAAAGATGAATTAAGTACGATAAAAAATATCTATTTTCTATCTATAATGGCAATTAGTATACCAGTGAAATTACTGAACGAAGCTCAGGTAAGTGCGAACTATCTCGAATAGCCAACTCTAACAAATAGGGCCATGTCATTACGGTGGAGCTGACATCCGGAGTCTCGTACAAGGGTAAATTAATTGAGTCCGAAGATACTATGAACGTTCAGCTTAAAGACGCTACAATGACCAATACTAACGGATCCACGCAATATCAGCCACAGGTCTTCATCAGAGGATCACAGATTCGATTTTTTGCGGTGCCCGAGATTTTGAAGCACGCGCCAATGTTTGATCCCAACCACGTAAAACCACCAGCTCCAATAAGAGGTCCAAAAAGAAAATAATCAGTCAAAACCTTCTAGGGCTCCCAAAACACGTTCGAGGCGCTCGCACCCCTGTTGGTAGTGGTTTGGATTGAGCATCATGTTAGCAGTCAGTCTGGACAGGGAATCGACAACCTGTTCGATAAGATATTTTTCGTCAGCAGGAATATCGAGATCGGCAAATTCCTGACCAATAACGATTCCATCAGTTGCATTCAAAAGACGTGCTAGTGTATCATAGGAAAATGACTTAATTCTAGATTTTGGTCTTTTGGCGCGCTTTTTCGTCTTAGTAGAGGCTTGTGGCACAGGCTTCTCCTCGGGTTCTTCGATGTCTTCGTAGTCATCTTCTGGAGCCCCCTCTGCATTTTCTGGCTTCTGTTCCCTGGCAGTCTGGTCGAATATAGACTCCTCCGAGACAGTGGAGCCAGAGTTGACTTTCTTCAATGGTTCGGTCTCCTCTTTCTCGTTGTCATCCTCGCTTTCACTAATAGATCTGGCTGTGTGGAAAGAATCTGCACCTGTGCGAGCGCTTGTGGCCTGCGAGGGTGAGTATTGGTGAAAATTGAAAGGAGGAACGCCAAAATTCCGACTGGTTTGTTCCTGACCGGCCTCTGCCTCAATTTCGCTGCGAAGAACCTCAAACTCCTTCATGATGTCGTCGAATTTTCCACTAGCACGGCCGATGGATCTCCCTGAGGAGCTGGAGTCCGTCGATGGACGTCCAGGCTTGGTGGAAATCTTATCAATAGAGTGAAAACCGCCAGAGAGAGGCCGTCTTGGAGATCTTGGCGGGATCGTCAGATTCAATTGGGTGTACTGTTCTTTGTCTGGAACGCGCGGGAACCTATCGCTGAGCAACTCGGATGGACGAATCACCGGGATGACCTGAGGCTTTCTGATACTCTCTTTATCGTCTTCTTCCAGCAGCGGAGACGTTTCCTTCAGAAAACCACTGAGGTCTTTAGCTCCCGAAGAGTAGTGAATTTTTGAGCCGTTGATTTTCTTCACTTCCGACAGCCTTTCGGACGGAACAGTGGTAGACGTGTCAGAGTCTCTGTCCACCACGTACTTCACGGTATCAATGTCAGCATGCTGCACTATGCCCGAATATTCAGACATCACGGATGACCTACTACCTGGGGCATTGGAAATATTGGAGACCCTTCTATTCGACTGCTCAGCGAGGTGATGTCTAGGAACGGGAGGCGACAAGCTGTGGCGACTGGAGCTACTGTGGGGACTATCATCTTTAGGAAGCTGCATGTTTTCAGGAGTTCTCAAAGAGACTGCATCCAGGTCTGGATTGGTCACGGTGAGCTTCTGCATGGGCATTTCAGAATACACACTGGAGCGTTCCGACATGATGAGGTTGTTGTGAAAGAGAGCAAACTTTTGCGTTGTCTGTGATCTTGGAGATCGATTTAGTAGATGGCTGGTTTCTAGGATGGGGCTGATAATTTTAATATTATATTATTACTAAATCTGGAAGTCAGATTATTTGCTGTTTCGAGACTACAACTCCAGGCGGTCGTAAGAGTCGTTCCATATGTAACAAAGACCGGCTTTGAAGGGTTTACTGCTGACCTCCGTTCTTCCACTGTGTTGGTCGCTGTGGCGTATGTCAATTGGGTCAAGAAGCTGTACTTTTACAGGAACGGAAGCGAACTCGTAGCCTTCAAAGTAGTCCATATGCCGGAGGTCTTGGTCTGAGAGCCCGTCGACCAGGAGACCTTCCACGTAGTCGCCCTGATGGGGGATGACTGCAGAGTAGTTTGCGTTCCTCACGGCAACCTGTTTGTGATCAGGCAATCTGGCCTTGTACATGTGAAGATTAGAACTGTCTGGATCTGTATCTAAGAGTTCAAATACCACGTCCGGACAGACAGTTGGACCGTAGCAGCTCGTCGAGTTAGCTTCCGATAATAATATACTTACAATAATGACAGTCCATCCATGGAAATCTATTCAACTGGCCATTAGGACTAGTATATAATATAATACTACAGTGTAATTTGTTGGCAGACGGCAATTCATGCATACAATTATCCTTTTTTACCGAGTGCACGAAATGAAAGCAATTGCACCCCACCCCTTAAACATCGGCCGAAAATTGCTGTTAGAGTGATTTTTTTGTTCAAATCATGAGGCGGCACTGTAATAACGTCATCGTTGGCACTTATAGTTCGGTGATATCTGATTCCGAGGCTTTCAGTCCCATCACATTGAGGAAAAGATTGAGATTTGAGAGATGTTTCTCAGCACCCTGCAAATCGCCAGAATCCTTGAGAGCCTTGCTCACAGCCATGCTGCCAAAGATCTCGTTCCTGATTTCATCGACGATTATTCTTTGATGACTCAGTAGACCTGCAAGTGAAAGCGAGGCCAAAAACTGCCAGATGTAAGAATCGTCGCTCTTGGACTCGGAATTACGCACCTTACGCGAATCATCGTTCGAAAGGTATGGTGGGAAGATAGTAGCCAGTCTGCCTTCCAATGCTTGGAACAGGTGGTCGTAGATGGTCTGCCACTGGGCGAGGTCCTGCGGACTGAGTCCGGTCGAGTATTCCTGCTTAATCAGCTCCAGTCTCGAAACAAGTATGGTGATCAGCGAGAGCCCTATTTTCGTCGTGGACAAAAATAGCACGTTGTTACTTCCGCCCTCCACGATTAAAGCCACAAACCGTAGAACCTGCTGAAAGTCCGATTCGCTGACAAAGAGCACTAGTGTTTTCATGACGGTCATCTGGAAGAGCTCAATCTTACTTTTTTCTGTTTTTGGAATCTCGTAGTTTTCATTCACGTAGTTGGCGTACGAGCCTTTCATAACCACGTCGATGTTGTGCAGATTGGCAAATATCGCCTCCATCAGCTGGGTTCTTTGCTCGGTATCGAGGAAATGGAATAGTCTATTGAACAGCTTCATCGCCTTGTCGATAGACAGCACCGAAATGAAGGGAGAAACGACAGTATTGGAAGTTTGAATCTTGTCATTGAGACGAAGAGCATTCCAAAGGTCCTTTGAATCACGGTCTTGGTTTTCACGCTCCAAAGATTCAAGCTTCAGAACCTGGGAGTATATGTCTTCAATCACAGACAGCTGGAAAGCTCTTGAAGATCTCGAGTACACGTTCTCCTTTGGAACAACAACCTCGCCGGAATTTCCCGTGGCATTGATAACCAGTTGCTTTCTTGGCTGCTTGCCAGAACCAACAGACACTTTGCCCAAAGCGCCTTCTTTCGCAAGCACTCCGGTTCTTTCTCCGCGCTCCTTAGCAACAGTGACGGCCTTAGAAACTTGCTGTTGCATTCTCTGTAGGGCCACATCGGCCCTCTTCTCCCGGCCTCCCAACCTGTGCCCGGACTGATCTAGGTATTTCTGTGCAATGGAGCTCATATCGTCTTCGCCGACAGAGGAGTTCAACACTCGGTAGACTTGACAATAGAAGTCCTCATTGTATGGATCGTCAGTGACAATCTGAGAAAGTTGGACTCTGGTCACAAAATCCTTGTCTCTTGGGTTCATGAATCCAGAACATCTGATGATTGCAGACACTTTGTTTTGTCTTCTCCAGAGTTTCTCTTTCTCTTCTTGTGTTAAATTCTCCAGATTCTGTCTCTGAGGTCTTTGCTTCCGTGGTTTCTCCTCGGAGCCCAGGGGAGGGAAGTTTCCCGTAGCATCGCTCGAACTGACCTGCTGTACTGGCTGAGGAGGTGGGACAGCAGCATTTTGCACAGGAGGAGCCTGAGGAGCCTGAGGAGCCTGGGGAGCCTGAGGAGCTTGCAATGGTGGCTGCTGTTGCTGTTGTTGTTGTTGCTCAACTGGAGCTGGAGCAGACTGCGGCGCTTGAGGCACTTGAGGCACCTGAGGCACTTGAGGCACCTGAGGCACTTGGAGACCTGATGCTGGCGTTTGCAGTTGCTGGGGCTGTTGTCCTTGAGCCAAAGCACCCTGCTGCATCATCTGCTGCACTTGGAATGGCATGAAAGGCATCACTCCTGGTTGGAACGGAGGGAAGTAACCTTGTGCCAATGCCTGGGCAGCGGCTGCAGGATTAGGGAACTGTCCGGAGGCCATGGCCGCAACCAGAAGTTGCTGTTGCTGCTGATACATGTAAGGATTCATCTGAGGCATCTGAGGCACCTGTTGTTGAGGTTGGCGGAGTTTCGCTTCAATCTCTTCGAGAGACAACACCTTTTGGTCTGAGGCTGGCTGCGAAGACGCAGAGTCGGCTGTTTTCGCTTCGTCGTTCCACAGAGACGCCATTGGTGCGATCACCTGGTCGACTTGGGCGGCCTTTGCGTAGGACAAATTCGGATCGACAGTCTGGGGTTTCGAGGCGGGCTTGAGACCGCCAGTGAAATCAAAATTGGACCCGATTTCCTTCACGTCGGCTCCAAACGTCTCGTCATTGAAAGCGTCCTCATCTTGCTCTCCGAGCCCCTCGTAGGTTTCCTCAAAATCGAGCGTGTCCAGTTTCTGGTCCTTCTCTCCAGAAGAGGGAGGCCCTGATGGATCGAATCCAAAGAAGGACATGGTTCAATGGTTCGATAGAGTACCGACTGTGTTTATTTGGCTGGTTTTTGCCTCATAAAATTTCGACGAAGAGTTTGGGTTCGACGCACGACCCGATATTTAGTTGTGTCTAAAATCAGTGCATAATCACTATACATACATATTCCAAGACTCACGCTCTCATCTCGAACCGTCTTCCGCTCGCGGTCTTTCTCTCGCTCCGGTGCTCCTCGTCGTCCACGTCTCTGCGGGCCCTGTTTAGGATCTTGGTGAAACTGTTCACCCTGAATCTCATTCTCTGGTGCAGGTAGCACTTGACGATTTTGATGTGGTAGTGGAAGTACGATCTGAACAGCTGGATGTGTGTGATCGAGTTCCACTTCACGTCTTCGGTGCTGAGGTGTCTTGGAAACAGAACGAACGTGATGTACGTTTTATTGTGGGTGTTGGCGGCCTCCAGATGCTTAATCTCGAGCGGAATTTCCTGGTGCGAGTTGATCACCTGCGGAGCCTTCTGGATGCTACGTTTTCTGGCATCGCTGAACTCCTGCAAAAACACTTTTGAGAAGATCCTGTCTGTGTCGTCCTGGAACACAGTCGAGAAAATCACAGTCACTCTATCGTTGGACGGTTTGATGTAGATCGACTCCATGTCTCTGTAGTGCAATTGCAGAACCTGTTCGTTCGAGTTGTTGGGAGAGTCCTCTCCGTACAAGTTGTTTGGGTCCACAGGCTGCTCTTTCGAGAGCACCTCATATCTCTGGAACGCCTGAAGGAAGGGCGCTGCGAAACAGTTGCGCTTCAGAAGGGAAAGCTCGGCAACCAGCTGCTGTTTTTCCTCCTCGTCAGAAAACGTCGCCTGCTCGACATCGATGTAAAGACTGTAGTCATAGCCATACTCGGGTTGTGTTTGCTGGATAAACGGGTACTTGGAGTATTTGGAGTCGAGCAGTTCCTTCACCCCGTAGTTCACAAGGTCATTCCAGCACTTGATGCTGATAGACAGGAGAAGTTTCGTTTTGGAGTCTGGGGTCGACAAGTGGTAAGTGGTGAAGTCAAAGTCGGTTATGATTCTGTCCAGAAACACCGGCGTGTAACCCGGGGCAAACGCCTGGCCAATTGCCTCCTCCACGAGCAGGTTCTGCGGTTGTAGTTGTAACATGAAGAATACGTAGCGAAAATAAAATGGTTATGTAAGAAAAAAATAGTCTTGGGACGACGTCGAGCTGCGGAAAAGAAAGCCTCCAAAAAATACCAAAGTAGTTTAATCTCTTGAATCTGTAATATTATACAATTAGTCAGTGTCTCTGCTTTTGCCCAGTTCGTTTAGAACAGTGTCCAGTGCATCCCGCAGAGAACGCGCGTGCTCGTCTCCGGACGCAAGCGACTTGAGGTCTGTCTGACTCTTTCGAGTATTGATCCGGGTGTTGTTCTCCGTATCCGAGTGAGAGTACAGATCGGACAGCGTGATCCCGCTATCCCGTAGTCTCTTTAGTGCGTCAAAGAACTTCTGGATGTCGTTTGATCCGGAGAGTGCTGAAAGTAGAGAGGTTTGCTCCTCTTGCAACTTGTCTGCGTCAAGGCTGGCTTTTTTGAAAGTGCTGGATGCTTTGAACGTATTTGCCTCCTCTGCAACCATATTAAGGCTCGACACTGAACTGTGTGCCACCATTGGCGAGGAGTCGGACTTGAGCTCTGTGGTCTCTGCATCCGATAGCTTTGGAGAGAGCCGTCCTACGTCTTCTTTGTTTTCGATGAAGAAATCATAAGTTTTTCCAACATGGCAGGGAGGTCCGACCTCAGGGTGCATCTTTGCAAGCAGCTCCAGGCACTTCTTGACAGACTCGTCCACCATGATCAGCCTGATGAGGGTCTCCTTGCCTTCTATCGTGAGCGTGTGCTGTAATTGCAACTTGACCAACTCCTTGATAGCAACGTGCATTTCATTGCGCAGCTTGTCCGCGTACTCAAAGAACTCCTTCACTTCCTGCTCAGTCAAACTATCAGACTTGCGCAGCATGTCCATGGCCATTTGGGTGAACGGCTTGCCGTTCTGCGTCACCTTCAGCAGCGGGTTGAGGTCTGAGCTACCGTCCGTGTCTCCGTACAGTGCTCTTTCCATGTTGCGCATGGTAAGCAGTCCCACTTTCTGGTGAAACTCCGGAGGAACGCTTTCCAGGTCGTAGTCAATATTGAATAGCGACCGCGAGTACTTGAGAGACTGGCAGAGAGACTCGCAGCACGCTTCTGTCAACACGTTCTGCTTGATAGACAGGTAATTCAGGTTTTTGACCAGCGGGAGCGTCTCGCTCAGCTGGATGAGCGCCACCTGTGAGAAATCGTTGCCGTCCAGATTCAAACGATGCAGCTCCTGGAAAAGAGGCAGGTACGTGACAAATTTGTGCATGAACGTTTCAAACAATTTCTTGTTGTTGGAAAGATCCAGGTACTTGAGGTGCGAGACCTTGGAAAACGCGTCAAACACAGCAACAGTGTCCTCGTTGTCGCGCAGGTTGCAGCTGTTGAGCGAGAGGAGGGCCAGAGACGATCGGAAATTCTCCTGTTTTGTGTACTCGACAAACGGACGCAATTTCGTCGACAGATCATTGTAGCCCAAGTCCACCCCAACAACGTTCGAGCTCTCCTTCATCCAGTCAACCACAATCTCGATGTGGCTCAAGCTGAGGTCGTTGAAAGCAAGACCAATCTTCATGGTATTTTTCAAGCCCAGCTTTAGAAAGTCTCTGAACACGGCCAGATCGTTAATTTTGCAACCACTCAGAACCATCTCGTTGATTCCACGACGCACCATCAGGGTTGCCGTCAGCAAAGACCAGTCCATGTCTGAACGGTCCTGGATGTTGCACGTCATTCGGTCTCTAGTGTCTGCTGGTTTACGAAGCTTCTGGAGGTTGAGGTCGAGGGACGGACACTGCGTCAGGTCAAGTCTTGTGAGAGCCCTATTCATCGACAAGAACCAACAGAGCATCTTCCAGCCTTCAGCGTCAATCGGAGTGTTTCTCAGGGACAGTTTCTCGAGATGCCGTTTGCTCACGAGTGCCGCCAAGAGCGCGCGGAACATCTCGTGTGTCAGCGAGACCCCGTCCAGAGAGACGCAGTGAATAGGAGCAATCCGAACGAAATCAGCGAAGGAGAGCACCTCGATCAGCGAGGGATGCGGATTGCGCAGTTGCAGAATAGGCAGCGGGTCCGTTGACCCTTTGGGGATCTGCTTGAGAGTGGCAGGGATCGGAAGAATTTCTCGCAAATGGCAGCAACGGGTGTACAATTCGTCCAGCTTGAGCGTGACAACCGGCTTTTCCATTGGCTTTTTTCTTCTCACCATCGGCTTGTCAATCTTAATGTCCTCGATAGGTCCCATCGCGTCCCCGGTAGTTCTGGCCTTCTCTGCTGCCACGACTTTGTCGTGCTGATTAATGGTCTGGTCTGACGGAGTTCTCTGCATGCTTTCGGATGAATCCTGGTGGACGAGTCGCGGATGGCCGGATCCGCCCACCACGATACCGGAAGAGGTAGGTTTCTGCTCTTCTGGGCTGAGTTTGTGGATAATCAGCTCTCCATCAGGGCAGACCTCGACATTTCCCTTACGTGGGTGTCTGGATGGAATTTGCTGTGGGGGGTCGTTGACAAAAGTTGTGGTTGCAAAAGCCACCTTCCGGATAGGCTTGACGTCTCTTAGGGCCTTGATCGGAGGCGACTTCTCGACCTTAGGTGGGGGAGGCACGTACGAAATGGATAGCGACGAGCTTCTGGAGAGGTGTGGCGAATGGTGGCTCGCGTCCTTGTTGCGAGAGAGCTTGAGCAACGACCCGAAGACACCCTCCTTTGACTCCTTGGGCGACGGACACTCCTCCTCCTCGGCCGGTTGGTTGTACTTTGGATGCAAGGAAAAGGCAGAAGGGAGTTTCGGTTTGTCGGGGTGCGGCGGAATTTCTTCAGGGCTGTATTTGATGTGCGAGTTCATGGTCGGAGCAAAGACGTTGTATTCTGGCGAATTCACGTAGTCCATAGTGTCCTCGATATCTTTCAAGTATTCGTACAGTTTAGGGTCCAAGTCCTTGTATTTACTGGACAGTTTCTCTGAAGGAGCCGGCTGTGGCTGCTTGACTTCCTCCTTTGGCTGTTGTTCTACTGACGGTCTTGTTGGACGCGGAGCCTCGGAAGCTGGGGGTGCCGAAACAGGCGGGGGGCTAACCGAGGACGCCCTTGATCGAGGGCGGTCCTCCCTGCCAAATATCCTGCGCAAAAAGCCGCCGTGTTTTTTGGGTTCCGGAGCGCATGAGGGCGAAAACACATTGGTGGAGGACCGGGAAAGCGAAGAGGTGCCAAACTCCTCTTTGGTGTTCGATGATGTGCCATCAACTGTGCGCGATCTCCGCAGAGGAAGCAGATCGTGATGGCACGCAACAGTATCTGTGTCAGGGGCAGAAACGGAGGGCAATGCCTTGCTGTTGCTTGAAGTAGCCAGGGATGGAGATTTTATGGTAGATAACGTTGAACTTGTGGGTGCTCCACGCAGAAACCAGTCATATTCTGCCGTCTCCAACGTGTCGTTGACCACCTGAAGCTGGTGCTGCAGCCGCTGGCGCAGCCGATCATGCTGCTTGGTGTTATCAGTTGATGCTGTTGCAGACGATGACATGGCGAAGACAAACAAATTAGGCGGACTATCGACCCCTATCGACCGCCAGAACCCAGAATTTTTTCCAAACCAAACTGCTTAGCTAGGCTCTTACGTCACCCGGCAGGAGAGCTCTTGTGCCGGAAGCATGGCTGATTCAGCAAGCAAAAGCAGGCCCAGATCTGTGGCGATCGGCCGTGACCAGTCAAGAACCTTACCAAAGACGCTCGCGGCACCGCACGGCGGATGGCTACCACAAATATACGGTTTTGGGTTGCTTGCTCCTGCGAGTCCGACCGAGTTGGATCGTAAAGCCCGCATCTCTAGTGCGTCTAGACCGAACTCAAAAATCACGGCTATCGATTCGCACGGCACTAAAACTTGAATTCCGTAATTCTCAATTCCCGATTAACATTTTTTCATATTGATGAACACCGAGCAAGCCTTTGAGAGGCACCTTACCCTCCAAAGACGGCCGCTGACGTTCTTGCTCAGCAAGAACGTTCCTCCGCTGCCGCTGCAGGAAGAGCGGAAGACGTTCCCCCACTATAGGACTAATCCTCTCTATCGCTGCTTCTTCTGGTATCTGACACCCCTTTTGCGGGTTGGGTACAAGAGGACGCTCCAGCCGGAAGACCTCTTTGTCCTGGATGAGCAGCAGACCATTGACTACATGTACACGAAGTTCAAGAGCACGTTCGAACCGGAAGTCGAGAAGCTCTTGAACAAACATATTGCTCGAAAATGCCAAGAGCGCGGTGAAACACCCGAGACCTCCTCGGTCTTGCCAGAGGAGGACGCGGACGACTTCGAAATCAAAGTCCCTGTTCTGGGCAAGCACCTGTTCTACACATTTGGCTGGCAGTACTCGAGAGCGGCCTTTGTGAAGGTGTTGTCTGATATCTCCTCAACTCTCATGCCCTTGCTCCAGAAAAGGCTGATCAACTACGTGGAGACCAGAGGTTACGGAGCCAGCACCAACACGGGAAAGGGGGTCGGCTACGCTATCGGGTGTTGTGCCATGATCCTCTTTTCCGGCATTTGCATTAATCACTATTTCTATAATTCCATCACCACCGGAGCCAAGGTGAAGGCCGTTTTGACGAAGGCCTTGTTGGAAAAAAGTTTCAGGCTTGACGCCCGCGGCAAGCACAGATTCCCCGTGGGTAAGATCAATTCCATCATGGGAACAGATCTCGCAAGAGTCGATCTTGCCGTCGGCTTCTTCCCCTTCCTATTTATTTTCCCTATTCCGGTTGCCATCGTCGTTGTGATGCTGCTTGTCAACATCGGGGTTTCTGCTCTTGCAGGTATTGCCGTGTTTGTATTCTTCTCGTTATTTACAGGGTCTCTTATTAGGTACCTTTTCAAGTTGAGAATACGCGCCAATGTGTTCACAGATCAAAGGGTCAACCTAATCAAGGAGCTCCTGAAAAATTTCAAAATGATCAAGCTGTACGGCTGGGAGAACTCGTATCTGCACTCCTTCCAGAAAATCCGTTTGCAGGAGATGGCCACGCTATTCAAGATGCAGGGTGGCAAGAACATCCTGATCGGAATCTCGACGTGGATGCCTCTGGCCGCCTCGATGGTGGCATTTCTGGTGATGTACAGCTTGAACAACAGTCGTTCTGTGGGAGACATTTTCTCGTCTCTGACCCTTTTCCAAGTTCTAACACAGCAGTTCCTCTTGGTGCCTGCCAGTTTGGCCATGACCAGTGACATGGTCATTGGCCTCAGGCGTGTTTGCCAGCTGCTTTCCTGTCCGGAGGACAAGGAACTGGACCAATTTTTCGATGAGCTTGATGACGAGAAGCTGGCCTTGAAGATTGAGAACGCCAGTTTCCAATGGCACACTTTTGAGGACGACGGAGCCGAGGACAAGAACGAGAGCGTTAAAAGCACCAAGAGCACGAAGAGCTCGACAATGACCGAGGAGCGGGACGTTGGCGAAAAGGAGTCTCACGAGCGGGAGGAGCTGTCGAAGACCGATTTTCCCGGGCTCCTCAACTTGAACCTGTCCATCAAGAAAGGCGAGTTTGTGGTTGTGACAGGCTCTGTTGGCTCTGGAAAGTCGTCGCTTCTGAACGCGTTGTGCGGATTCATGCCCAAAACAGAGGGAAGAGTTCGCAAGAATGGTAGCGTCATGCTCTGTGGTGTTCCTTGGGTGCAAAATGCCACCGTGAAGGAGAATATCACGTTTGGCCGCCCTTTTGATCAGCAAAAGTACGACACTGTTGTGAAAGTGTGCTCCTTGAAGGGTGACTTCGAGCAGTTGCCGGGAGGAGAGCTCACGGAGGTGGGCGAGCGTGGCATTACTCTTTCTGGTGGGCAAAAGGCGCGGATCAACCTTGCCAGAGCCGTTTATGCTGACAGAGACATTATCATGCTGGACGATGTTCTGAGCGCCGTGGACGCCAAGGTGGGCAAATTCATTATGGACGAGTGCATTCTTGGATATCTCAAGGACAAGACGCGGGTCCTTGCCACGCACCAGCTTTCGCTGATTGGCTCTGCCGACCAGATCATGTTCTTGAACGGCGACGGCTCTGTTGACTGCGGAACGTTTGCCGAGCTCAGGAGCAGAAACGCAGAGTTTGTGAGACTTATGGAGTTCAGCCACGATGTTGAGAAAGATGACGAAGAGGAGACGTTGGAAAACGAGAAGAAGGACTTTTTCGAAGACGAAGACAAGGGGAAGCTTGTGCAGGCCGAAGAAAAGGCCGTGAACGCAATCTCGTGGCAGGTGTACAAGTCGTATATCAGCACCGGTTCCGGCAAGCTCAAGGCCCTGCTCCCCATGCTGTTCTTCCTCGTCATTGCGCTCACCACTTTCCTCAATCTGTTCACCAACAACTGGCTGTCTTTCTGGATTGTTGACAGATTCCACCGCTCAAAGAAGTTCTATGAGGGCATCTATATCATGTTCACTATGCTGGTGGTGATGTTCAACATTCTGCAGTTCATGATTCTCGTGTATTTCTGCAACAGAGCAGCGCTGCGACTAAACATCAAGGCCTTCAAGAGAGTGCTGCATGCCCCAATGTCGTTCATGGACACGTCTCCTATGGGACGTGTTCTCAATAGATTCACTAAGGACACTGACGCTCTGGACAGCGAGATCCAGGACCAGCTCAGAATGTTCCTTAACCCAGCAGCCACCATCATCGGCACGCTCATTCTGTGCATCATCTATCTTCCGTGGTTTGCCATAGCTATTCCGTTCCTGGCAATGCTGTTTTTCCTAGTGTCCTCGTTCTACTTGTCCAGCTCGAGAGAGGTCAAGCGGCTCGAGGCCGTGAAGAGGTCGGTGGTGTACTCGCATTTCAACGAGGCATTGTCTGGAATGGACACCATCAAGGCGCACGGCTCCAAGGAGCGGTTTCTCAAGATCAACGAAAAGCTCATAGACGACATGAACGAGAGCTACTACGTGGTCGTTGCCGTCCAGGGATGGCTTGGCATTAGTCTGGACACGGTTGCGACGCTACTCTGTCTGATCGTTGCACTGCTCTGCTGTTTTCGTGTGTTCAACATCAGCGGAGCTTACACTGGTCTGCTGCTTACCTACGTCTTGACGATTGCGGGCATGTTGAGTTTCATGCTGAGATCGCTGACGGAGGTCGAGAACCAGATGAACTCCGTCGAGAGAGTCAATTACTATGCCACCAGTATCAAACAGGAGGCGCCTTTCGAGATACCCGAGAACGACCCAGAACCGAGCTGGCCTGCTGTGGGAGCCGTGAAGTTTGTTGACGTCAGCATGAGATACAGAGAGGAGCTGCCGCTGGCTGTCAAGCACCTCAACATCGATGTCAGAGGCGGCGAGAAAATCGGCATTTGTGGCCGCACGGGAGCCGGAAAGTCGAGCATCATGTACTGTTTGTTCCGGCTCGCGGAGTTTGAGGGCCAGATCCTGATTGACGGGGTGGACATATCGAGAATCGGACTGCATAAGCTGAGGTCGCGGCTGTCCATAATTCCGCAGGACCCTGTTCTGTTTAGCGGCACGGTGCGCTCGAACCTGGATCCTTTTGACGAGCACGACGACGAGACGCTGTGGACTTCGCTGGGCAAGGCAGGTCTTATCGACAGAGCGCTTCTGCCGCAGGTCAAGGAGCAGAGCAAGGGAGACTCAAACCTGCACAAATTCCATCTGAGTCGGACTGTTGAGGACGACGGTTCGAACTTCTCTCTTGGTGAGAAGCAGCTGATCGCATTGGCCAGAGCCCTTGTTAGGGGCACGAAAATTCTGGTCCTGGACGAGGCTACTTCGAGTGTTGACTACGAGACGGACGCCAAAGTTCAGAAAACCATCACCCAAGAGTTTAGTGATTGCACTGTGCTGTGCATTGCACACAGATTAAAGACAATTGTGAAATACGACCGGATCCTGGTCATGGACAAGGGACAGATCGCCGAGTTTGACGCTCCACGGAAACTGTATGACCAGAAAGGCATTTTCCGGTCGATGTGCAACAAGAGTGGTGTTTCTGAGGCCGATCTAAAATAGACGGAATTTTCCCGGTTTGGAAATTCTGATAAGAAATGTGCCAGAAATCGATAGCGATGTTAATTTATATAAAAATAATCTAAGGCCCGTGACTAATAGAATTTTATGGTTCGTGGACTCAAATGCGTCGGGTTCCTTGGAGCAGCGGGCGTGTGCTGGTCCTGGAAGCTGCGTCAGACGCTCAGCAACGATCAGAAACGGGTCGTCACGTTTGAAGAACTGCAAAAACATAACAGGTCCGACGACTGCTGGATTGCCATCAACCAGAACGTTTACGATGTGACAGAGTTCATGAAGACACATCCCGGCGGTGTGTCACGGATTCTGAGGTACGCTGGAAACGACGCCACCAAGGGGTTTCATTCTATGCATCATCCTCAATATTTGGAGACGTTTCTGGAGGGCTCGTTGGTTGGAGAAATAAATGACCTGCCTAGAAAGAAAAAAAAGACAACGAAGACTCCAAAAAAACAGCATGTGGTAGAGATCGAGGAGCAGGAGGAGGGAGTGGCGGCGTTGGTACCGCCAGCATTGTCCCACATCTTCTCGCTGTCCGACTTCGAAGTCGTTGCGAGAAACGTTCTTCCGCCAGCTACCCTAGTGCACGTCTCTTCCGGAGCAGATGATGAGTTCACTTTGCGCGAGAACAGATACGCCCTTGGCCGCATTTTCTTCCGTCCTCGCTGCCTCGTCGACGTCAGCAACACTTCCATTGAAACAGACATTCTTGGTGTCCGCACCTCTGCTCCGTTTTTTATCAGTTCTTTTACGGGATCGAATTTAATCCAGCCCGAAGGAGAGAAGATTCTGGCTCGGGCTGCTGCCGAGGAGAATATTGCATATATGGTGCCAAAACGCGGCTCAATCTCCTTGGAGCAGCTGCATGCGGAAACGGCCCCTAGCCAGGCATTTTTTTACCAGTATGAGTTTGAGTCAGCAGAAGAGCTGAGAGAGGCTCCGAAATTTTTTAGGCATATAGAGACGACGATTCCGCAAGTGAGAGCTATTTTTGTCAATGTGGACGTCGCTGCACGCGGACTCAGGGAGAAGGAGTACAAGGTGAGGCAAATGGAAACAGGAAAGTCTGACGTCGAACTTGCGGGGCTTGCAAGGCCGGAACCGGAGTATGTTGCTACCTGGAAAGAGTTTGAGACCGTTAAGAATAGCACCAGTTTGCCAATCATCCTCAAAGGACTACAACGAAAAGAGGACATTGTTAAAGCGGCCGAGCTGGGATTTCGTGGTGCGCTGATTTCCAATACCGGTGGACGCCAGCTGGATTTCTCAAAACCTGCTATTGAGACTCTTGCTGAAGTGCACGAGGTTTTGAAGGAGAGAAATATAGATCGAAACCAATTCCAGCTTTTCGTCGAGGGGGGTTTCAGTCGCGGCACAGACGTGATTAAGGCTTTGTGTCTAGGCGCCATTCCTGGCATTGGCAGGCCAATGCTCTACAGTGAGGTCTACGGCCAAAAAGGTGTTGAAAAAGCGTCACAGCTGCTCAAAGAAGAGATTGTCAGAGACATGAAGCTGCTGGGAGCCAGTAACGTCGCGTGCTTGGACGACAGTTATTTGGATCTGAGCAGTCTTACAGTTAAGCTTGGGATTCCTAACTTCCAATACGAAAGAAACTACACTCCGATGATCAACGTTGCCGCCAAAGTGCAGTGTTAATCAGACGCTATGGACATATTAGGTGGACTCGGACACGGTCTCGGTATTCTCAATTATCGCATTGTCGTCCAGGCTGGAGGCCTTCTGTTCGTAGCTGTCGATCTCGTCCTCCGCGCCAAAGTCGCCGGTCCAGCCATGGGATCTCAAATAGCTAAGGTATCTGATATCCTCCAGCATGAGGTCATCTTCGAGACAGTGGGGAATACACAGGAAGGCGATAACGACACCAGTGAGGCCCAGGAGTGCAGCAATGATGAAAGTCCATTGTTTTCCGAGGTTGTTCTGGATCGGAGTAAAGGCTTGGGTTCCAACGGCAGCTCCTGTTTTGCCCAAGGCAGCGGAGAGACCGTACAGCGTCGAACGGACAGGCGTGGCATACGACTCTGCAGAAGCGAGACCCAGGATGTTTCCTGGTCCCAGGTTTCCAAACCCGTTGAAAATGCCATAGAAAATAATGAAGAGCGGCACGATCTTGGTGATTTTTTTGTACGAGCAGCCGATAATAAGGCCGATGACAAGGTAGCCCGCAAAGCCAATGCACATGGTGTGCTTTCTACCGATCTTGTCTGCGAGGTAGGCGCCGACAAACAGCATAGGGATGCCGATGATTGCGAGCAGCAAGTTCCACTCCGCAACCTTCTCCAGGTCAGACTTATCGTGCAGCACCGACGAGATGATGGTGGACGAGAAGATGCCGTTTGGGAAGGTGATAAAGTCGTAGATAAACCAGCAGCCGCAGGTTCCGAGGAGCCTGCGCCAATAGTACTTGAACGTAAGCCAGTAGGGCACGTTCTTCTTGATGGCCCCCTTCTTGTAGAGCACGGAGGTGGCCATCTTGAATCTGAAGTAGAACACTGCGAGCGGCCAAATGCACCCAATGCCAAGCATGACTCTCCAGGTGGTGGACAGGTGGGCGCCGCTGCCGGTGGCAGGGTAGACGATCAGGAACACGATCAGGGCAAAGGGGCCGCCGAGCGCGAGTGGCAAGTTCGTCACCAAAATGAACAGCCCTCCTCGTTTTCGGGTAGCCTCGTTGGTGGACTCCGACGCCGCAGTTGAGCTGGCAGGATACTCTCCCCCAACACCAAAACCGGTGATGCCTCTTGCGACAATCATCATCCAGAACATGCCCTCCGTAGTGGTGCCGTGGGCGGCAGTGGCGAGGATCGTACCGATCACAATCATCGAGGTGGTGGTCAGGATGGCCCATTTTCTTCCGAGATAGTCTCCGGTCACGCCCACCACGACCTGCCCAAGCACAGCTCCAACGAGCAGTGCGTTGGAGACACGGGTCTTCATCGTGTTGTCGTACGTCTTGGGATATTTCACAGCGAACACAGAGTTTAGCATGTTCATGCAGTTGTTCTGGTACCCGTCTGACAACAAGGCCGCGCCGGCACAGATAATCGTGAAGATGTCACTAAGCGACTTCTTCTTGGCGAATCGGGCGGATCTGCCTTCTCTATCGTATGCCATCACATGGGAGCCGGCCTCGAAGGTCTCCTCTTGGACCTCGGTCACCTTTGAGTCTTCCATTTTGCAGGGAAATCTCCAATGCAGACAGCATGCTATATATTCTTGCAAGGAACGCGGGCATCACGATTTTCGAATTGGCCCCACATGGCTGTAGCTTATTTAAGCCATGCACGGCGGCGGAAATTAATCTCCGAGCGCAGTGCTACCTAGACGTCAATCTCCGGGAAGCTCTCGCCAAGTGGTTGTCGGTTTTCCGGAGAGCCACGCCCACGTGTGCTCATCAACTCGGCTCTCGAGCACATGGCCCGGCATCCAAAATCTATTCGCGGGCGGTATTTTTGCCCTTCTCGGCAACCAGGGGCACTCTGGGCACGTGGCGCCAAGCCCGCACTAGCGGCGATAACCTGATCGATGCCGGCACGCCAAGAACGGGGCCTCCAATAATCTGTCGTAACGCGGTGTATGGATGTAATATTATATTATTATTTTTCGCGTATTTGTTTACAGATCCCATGACATATAATAAACGGTTCAAGGTCTCGCCCGACAACGAGCTCGGCATCGGTGCTGGAATCTCCCCCACGCTGAAGCGAAAGCGGCTATATGCGGACCCGTCGCAGAAACTTTGCAAGCCATTCAAGAGCCCCATACTGGTGTCTGCAGCTGTCTCTGCTGCCGGTAGGCAAATCCGCACAGCCCGTGCCAAAGGCCCACAATCATATGCGGAACCGGGACAGGAGAACATCCCTTTTGGCTCAACGAGAGAGGATGACGAGATGTACGGTCTGAACAAGAAAAAGGGTGCGCTATTACCTCGCAATGTCTTTAACTCCATGGACGAGACCAACAAAATCCTGACGCGCAAGTTCAAGGCTCCGGTCAAAACGAGTGCCGACAACGAGTATGAGCTGACGAATGCACAGCCTCCCCCGCCTCTGGGAAACAGAAAACGGTTGTACTTCCCTCCAAAACCGCTGCACGATCCGCTCGGAGAGTACGCCATTGTTCTTTACGATCCTACGGTGGACGTGATCCCCGGCATGAAAGAAGAAGAAGAGGCTGCCTTGGCCGCCGCAAAGGCGGCAGCCGCTGCCGAGGGCCCCCGGAAACCTGCAAAATCAGCACACAAGTCGTTGAACGAGATTTTGAAAATCAATACCCGTCCAGAGGAGGAAGTCATGAAGCAGTTCCCGAACGTCCCCGTCGTCATTGATCCGAAACTTGCCAAAATTCTCAGACCTCATCAGGTGGCAGGAGTGAAGTTCCTGTATCGCTGCACTGCGGGGCTCGTGGATGCTAGAGCCAAAGGGTGCATCATGGCAGACGAAATGGGTCTTGGAAAGACGCTTCAATGCTTGACCCTGATGTGGACGCTTCTTAGACAAGGGCCTCGAGGCAAAAAGACAATTGAAAAATGCGTCATTGTGTGTCCATCGTCGCTGGTGAAGAACTGGGCCAACGAGATCGACAAATGGCTTGGAAAGGGAACACTCAATTCTCTCGCAATGGACGGCAAAGGTTCCAAAGGAGCAGGCGATATGGCAGAGGTGCTAAGGCAATGGGCTCGCGCCAAGGGACGATCCATTGTCAGACCCGTCCTGATCATCAGTTACGAAACGCTACGGAGAAACGTGGAGAACTTGGAAGGAACAGAGATTGGTTTGATTCTGGCAGATGAAGGCCACAGGCTCAAGAACGGCGACTCTCTCACATTCACGGCTCTGAACTCTCTAAATTGTGAGCGCCGTGTGATTCTGTCCGGTACCCCTATCCAAAACGACTTGTCAGAATACTTCTCGTTGCTCAACTTCTCGAATCCAGGAGTTCTGGGCTCCCGTGCACAATTCAGAAAGAACTATGAGCTGGATATTCTTCGCGGTAGAGATTCGCTTGCCACAGAGGAGGAACGGAAAAAGGGAGACGAAAAGCTTCAGGAGCTAACTGAATTGGTCTCACGTTTCATAATCAGAAGAACCAACGATATTCTGTCGAAGTATCTGCCCGTCAAATATGAATACGTTGTGTTTTGCAACCTTAGCGAGCTACAATCCAAACTATATCGTCATTTCGTCACCTCTCCAGAAATCAATAAGCTGATTAGGGGGTTGGGATCGCAACCTCTCAAAGCTATTGGCCTGCTTCGGAAACTGTGCACACACCCTCGTTTGCTTGATTTGCCGAGCGACATTTCGGGATCCGAAAATATTCTGCCAAGTGACTACGACTTTGGGAATGGAAGAAGCAAAGACGTTCAAACATGGTACAGTGGCAAGTTTGCAATGCTAGAGCGGTTCCTTTTCAAGATTCGCAAAGAAACAGACGATAAGATTGTCCTCATTTCCAACTTCACGCAAACATTGGATCTAATAGAGAAACTATGCAGACACCATAGATTCGGAACAGTGAGATTGGACGGGTCGTTGGGAATCAACAAACGTCAAAAGTTGGTTGACAGGTTTAACGATCCAAACGGTGACGAGTTCGTCTTCTTGCTAAGTTCTAAAGCTGGCGGATGTGGCATTAACCTCATTGGTGCCAATCGACTAATTTTACTGGATCCCGATTGGAACCCCGCCAGCGACCAACAGGCTTTGGCAAGAGTTTGGAGAGACGGCCAGAAGAAAAACTGCTTTATTTACCGATTTATTGCGACCGGTACTATAGAGGAGAAAATCTTCCAGCGCCAGTCAGCCAAGATGGAGCTCTCGACATGTGTTGTCGACTCCAACGAAGACGTGGAAAGACAGTTCTCGAGCGAAAATCTGAAACAGTTGTTTTTGTACAACGATCAAACGCCCTGCGAAACTCATGACACTTACAAGTGCAAGCGCTGCCAAAGCGGAAAGCAGAAAATGAAATCTGCTGCGATGTTATATGGAGATGCCACCACATGGAATCATATCGACCGTGAAGATCTGGCAAAGAACGATGACTTCTTGATGCAAAATGAGTCTCAATACGACTCTGTCAGCTATGCGTTCGAGTATATTTCGCACTAATGACTTTTGTTGATCCATGTTGTGGACCAATAGCATCTTTCGTCAGCTTGATCATCAATCCACAACAGCCCGATGGAAAGTAGGTCGTCCAGGTTAGATTTGCATCTTGCTGTTTTCCAGTGGAAGTTGTCACGCAAGATGGAAACCGTGACGTAACCGATGTTGTCTGCAGCGGTCAGTATTTGATTTTGATCAGCACTAAACTCCTGGAGCACTGACTTGATGTACATCTTGGACCCGATTTTGACCAATTCCAGCTCATTCCCCAGCACTTTCAGGCTTTCCACAGCAACATACACATCATGCTGATGCATTTTGAATTGCCAGCCATCCTGAATAGTGCTGGTCACCAGCTGGATCACCTCATCCACAGCTATTATACCCCCATATAAATCTCTAGTTGCTTGACATATCTCATATATTCTAATCGCGAGTCTATTATTTCTTTCTTCGGGATCAATGTCGTCTTCGGCGGTCATATAGAGTGGATCGACTCCAAAGCTTTCACAGATCTGGCTGAATTGCGCTCGCAAATGGGGATTCTTCATCATTTCTTTCTTGTGTTCCTGTTTAAAGTTGACCAATGCGTTTTGGAAAACCTGGAGCTGAGTTTTCAGTTGTTCCTCGCGCTGCCTCAGCATTGCTTGTCCCAGATCCTGGAACTTGGTCTGCTGGTCAGCAGTGCGATCAAACGACGCGAGACCTTTACGGCTCATGGTAAATAAAACATCAAAAATCTGGGTCGTGTGCAGATCACACCAAATGTCGAAGTTCGCCACTGAAATAAATATCTATAATAAATACAACTATGCACAGCACTGAGCCCTCAATGGACGTTGTGGACAGTAAGTACTGTAATGCGACCGCGCATTTGCTAACGTATGTAGGAATTCATCAGTTTTTGGCACTCGTGGAGCAGTCAGCTGCGAAGTATGATCCTAGATACGTGTTGAAGGTGTTTCGTGAGCTTACTCCCGTGAGGAAAGAACTAGACGCTGGATCGCTGATCAGAGTTGTCAAAGAGATATTTCCAAGTTCTCATCCTCACTATGAATATCTCATTCAGATTTTGTCAGATTTTGAGGATGTGGAAATGGTTGAGGAAGACGTTGCCGAAGCTCCAAGACCAGAGATCGATTTGTTCATTCATTTGTTGGTGCAAATCTTCCTCCACGATAAGCAGGACTTCAACAGATTGGAACTATTCAACGAGAAATGTATTATTGCGCTAGCCAGCCACAATGAAAGAACCCTCGATCACATCTCTGCGAAGATGTGGTTCTACGTTTTCAGGTCTAAAGAAGTCCTTAAAGATACAGTCTCGATCCGTCCTGCGTTGCAGTCTGCCTTGAGGACGTCCACTTTGAGATACGACAAGGAGACAAGAGCGGTTACAATAACCTTGCTGCTGAGATCGTATCTTATCTCAAATGACATTAACCAAGCCTACAATCTTGTCGAGAAGACTGAGTTTCCAGAAGATGTTTCCAATTCTGTTGTTGCCAGATACTACTACTATCTGGCTAGAATCCAAACTATTCAGTTGGACTACTCTGCTGCAGGCGAATGCGCAATTACCGCCATTAGAAAGTGCCCACAGACCAAGTCCGCTCTCGGATTTCTGCAGACAGCAACCAAGCTCAATATTTTGATTCAACTACTGACGGGTGAGATCCCAGAGCTGTCCACGTTCCGCGATCTTTCTCTCGAGAAAAGTCTCACACCTTACCTCGCTGTGACAAGGGCCGTGAGATTGGGCGACTTGAGCCTTTTCAGCGACGCTCTGAGCAAGTTTGGCTCCGCACTCAAGAAAGATAACAATTACAACCTTGTGCTGCGTTTGAGACAGAACGTGATCAAAACAGGTATCAGAATCATTTCTCTGTCTTACAAGAGAATCTCACTCAAAGATATCTGCATCAAGCTGCATCTTGACAGTGAACTGAGTGCTGAATATATTGTCGCGAAAGCGATCAAGGATGGTGTTGTCGATGCTACGATAGACCACAAGGATGGGTATATGCAATCGAATGAGATGCTCAACATTTACTCGACCAAGGCGCCGCAGGAAGAGTTTGACAGAAGAATTAAATTCTGCATGTCTTTGCATAATGACTGTGTGCGGGCTATGCGTTATCCGATGAACACAAATAGAAGCGAAGTGAAGGCCGACGTGGATTCAAAGGAACGGGAACAGGAGTTGCTACAGTACTTACAAGAGGACGATTTCTTCTAAACGAGCTCTAGCATGATATTCAAGAAAGTTCCGACAACCCACACGGAAACCATGAAAATTCCAGCATCTCTAGTAAATTTCCATCCATTATATGGAATGTAAACGAGCATAAACACGAGGTTGGCGAGAATCCAGAGACAGGTCAAATACAAGCTGGGTTTCATGTTGACGTCGACCTCGCCGACGATCTTGCCGTTGAGACCAATTCCGAGGAGCAAGTTTAGCAACGGGCCTCCAAAACATGCTGCCAGTGCCATCAGTGGATAGCCGACATTTGCTATGACCAAGTTAGAGATCAGGTCTCCAACAGAGTTTCCTATTGCGAAGATGGTCAGTCCCATTATCGCGTCTGACAGCTGCGTGAGCACGCTGATGAACTTGAGAACATTAATCAATTCGTCCGCAATGAATGCTATGTATGCAATGGCTGTAATAAATCCTATGATACAGATGAGAAGCTTGAGTAAATTGGACTGTGGATCGGCCCTGGTGATATTATAGTAAACTCCAACAACTGTTAAGGTAGTGAGGACTAAAAAGATGGCAGATATGCCCCACGATGCATTCTCAGCGAATGAATAAATGATAATAAATTGTGCACAGGACAAAGAGCACAAGAGTTTCATAAGTCTGCTGAATGACGGTTTGATTGTCTGGTTAAAGTCCGACATTGACATCATTGGTATCGTATACTTTAGTACGAGCAGCAACGGGTACGAAAGGTAGCCGAAGATCATTTTCAGCCGATTTGGCGAATACTCCGGTTCGTCTTCCAAATTAATTTCGTGCTCCAGCAGTCTTGACTCGTAGTTTTGCGCAACGTTTACAAGCTGCGGGATATTGACCGGCACTGACTGATTTTTGCTGAGGGTCTCCAGAATGCTACCAAACTCAATGCTGCTGAGGATTCTGGGATTGAAGGTATACGAGTCTTCAAATTCCAGATTGTCTCCGTCCATCGTGATGAACGCTTCATCGTTGTAGACGTTTCTGATCTGATAGTCCTCGACAAGATCTCGCTTCTTCTTAGTCACCAGGTATTGCCAAATAAGCACCACCGCCACATAAAAGATATAGATGGCCACGAGGATGTTCAATTTTGCGGCAGATAGATGTCCATTGGATAAGAAAGCCAGCAGCGTGGTAACTGAAAGCAGAAAAAAAAGCAGATCGCGCACATAGACGAATTTGGCGCTCGACGTCAGTAGATTGTTTGAGGCTTGATCTGCAACAGAGAGCTGAGGAAGAATCTCAAAGGGCGCTGCGATCGTTATAACTCCAATAATAAAACCGGTGATGAAAAATGCAGATCCGATCAGCTCTCCAATAGCCAAAGACGCATTTTGGGTTTGAAAAGAGCTGTAGGTACTCAGAATGTCTGGGGACCCATTTCCGAAGGCCAGTAGAGTCAGCCCCGATATGTTCTCTGGGATGTTGAGATAGTTGGAGATAACGGACAGGTTAGGACAAAGAAACTCGCCAGCTGTGAGCCCCAAAAACACAAACAAATAGAGTAATATGGCAAAGATGACAGGAAGAACGATCCAGGCTCTTACGGCTGTTGAAGAGCTGGTACAGTAGTACAACCGGAAATAATTGATTTTTCCTACCTGGTGATCGGCGCAGTTCTGTAGAGCGTAGTCGCACTGTTCCATGTTTGGCAGCGAATGGACAAGATGGCACGTAGAGTTAGCAGTGCTGGCGCTTGCCATCGAGGCCAGGGCCAAAATAGTGCCGACCGCTAAAACTCGTCGACTGAGCATAGGAAGTAACATGAGTCAAGTACCAGCCGATCGACGCGGCGATTTTGAAGCGGCAAGATAAGGAAATCAGATTATTGTTTAAATACCGATCTATTGCCATCATCAACTGCAGTTTGAAGTTGGCTTTACGATCTTTCAACTCTAGACTTCGGAGCCACTTTATGCATTCTAAGGGATATATACCCCTAGCAAGCTCTTCCGACTCATCGCAACCCGACAAAGAGTCCCCTCTCCCGATGCACAAACACTCGATTGCCTCCCTCAACAGTGTTTTGGAAACTCAGTCTCTGTCCCATGACGCCCAAGGCAACTTTGTTGAGACATCGACAGGCAGGAGAGTGCTTTTGCGCGGGATCAATCTTGACTCTTCTGCAAAGATGCCTCAGGACCCCTTGCAATATTCTTATTCCAAGCCTGACAAATGTGGCTTCTGGCAGGAGGCAGATCATGTTTCCTTTGTTGGCAAACCATTTCCGCTGGAAGAAGCCTACGAACACCTGACACGTATAAAGCTTTGGGGCTACAACACGATCCGCTACATTATCACGTGGGAAGCAATTGAACACGAGGGTCCCGGAATTTATGATACCGATTACATTGACTACACTATAGAGCTGCTGCGCAAGATCGACGAAATTGGCGGTCTCTACGTGTTTATCGATCCCCACCAAGATGTTTGGTCTAGGTTCACTGGCGGAAGCGGCGCTCCACTGTGGACTCTGTATGCCGCTGGGCTCGAACCTCGCAATTTCCCTACGACAGAGGCCTCGATCGTACACAATTTTGCTCCTGATCCACAGAAATATCAAAAAATGGTTTGGGCGACAAACTATTGCAGGATGGCGAGCCAAGTTATGTTCACGCTCTTCTTTGCGGGTTCCATGTTCGCCCCAAAAGCCATTATCAACGGCATGAACATTCAGGACTTTCTGCAATCCCATTTTTTGGACGCCATCTCTTTTCTATTGATCTCGATCAAGCAGAAAGTACCAGAGCTTCTGAACAAGACATTACTCGGAGTGGAGTCGTTAAACGAGCCCAATTCTGGGTACTACGGGTATCCCGATCTTGAACAATACCCCCCATCTCAGGAATTAAGGCTCGGAACATGTCCGAAGCCAATTGAGGGCATGAGGCTGGGAATGGGGTTGCCGCAGGAGGTGGATATCTATTCGCTCTCTGTGTTCGGGCCCCGTAAAAACGGCTCTCGGCTTATCGACCCAAACGGGGTCAAAGCATGGGTCAGTGACGATAAAATGGACAAGCATTATGGTTTTGAAAGGAGTTCAGGCTGGAAGCTTGGGGAGTGTATTTTTGCGCAGCACAATGTATGGGATCCTAGATCAGGCCAAGTTATGATTTCTGACTATTTCGGCAGAGACCCAGATACAGGCGACACTTTAGATGATCAGACGTTCATCAATACCCTTTTTGTTGACTTTTGGGCGAAATGGAAAAGCATGGTGAGGAAAGTGGATGCTGATCTGTACGTGATAATGCAGCATCCTGTCATGGCGATTCCTCCTGCTTTGAAAGGAACGCCACATATCGATAGCAGAACTGCAGTTGCGCAGCATTACTATGACGGAATGTCGCTTATGTTCCAGACATGGAACAGAAAATACAACGTTGACACGTTGGGAATCTTACGGGGCAAATACCTCAATCCCGTTTTTGGGCTAGTTTTTGGGGAGAAAAACATTCGCAAATCGTTTAAAAATCAATTTGCGCAGCTCAAGAAAGAGGCCAATGACGCGGTTGGGCCAAGCGTGCCGGTAATTATCACGGAAACTGGAATGCCCTTTGATATGGATTACAAAAAGGCCTACTCTGACGGAGATTACAGCTCTCAGGAGAGTGCGAATGATGCGCTACAGTCCGCGCTTGAGCATACAAACCTCAACAGTACCTATTGGTGCTACAACTCGCGCAATTGCCACAAATGGGGAGACAACTGGAATCTGGAAGATTTCTCTCTGTACTCCAAGGATGATGTGGATGACAAAAAGAATGAGTATTGGATGAGGGCTGGAGCGTATGGAACCACAACAATTGGCACTTATCTAGAGTGGATAACGAATTCCTCTTCCAGTCTGGACACCACATCTAAAAAATCAGAGGCTGACGAAGAAGAGATCGAACTTGAGAATAAGGTCATCTCGTTGATGAATGGAACCCGTGCGGCTCCTGCTGTTGTGCGCCCGTATGGTGTTCTTGTGAATGGCACAGTGATTTTCAGCGAGTTTGATCTCAAAAATGTCACATTCGTGATGGAAATCGATACCCGTGTCCAATTGCACAAAAAGGCCCCCTCCGTGATATATTTACCTGAACTCCACTTTCCGCCAGGCCAATTTGAAGTTCGGGTTACCAACGGCACAACCTCTTATCGCCACAACAAGTTCGTCCAGCTAGTAGAGTGGGACCACGACGTACAGATTGGGAATATACGAATCGAGGTGAGCAGCTACGCAGGTCAGGATGATTACGACTACGGTGAAAGGGGCACTTTAAAAGCCCTTGCCTGCGGGTACTTATGAAAAAGGTGGACCGGGTGTGCGATGCTAAGTCCGTACTCTGCAGGCTGTTCAGGATGATTCTCCGGTTCTTGCATGTTTTAGTTTTGATTGTATTTGATTTTCTAAGGAGGTTATATGGTTAATCGAACACGCTCAGATAGGCTTCGGCGACAAATCTTGCTCTGGAATTGAGGAACAGTTTCATCTCGCTGATCTCTTTGTCGACGTCTTCCATAAATTCGATGATGAAATCAATCAATTTGTTCTTCATCATCACCTCGTTGTGGTAATTGGTGAGCAGGAACGAGATATCGTAATCTGGGATGGGTGTTCTTCTGAGAATTAAAAAGTTCTCTGCTCTTTTGGTTAAGAATCTAGTGAACTTGTCCACCAGGATACTCTCTATTTCATCGCTCTGTTTAATTTTGATGGACACTCTCACAGAATTGATGCTTGGTTCGATGAGCACGCGCTCGTTCTCGTTTCTTGATATCATCATCGGGTTCAACAGCACCTCTGTTGTCTTCTTATTTTCCACTTCTGGATAATTGTGACGCTCAACGATCTGAGACGAGAAGTTTTCGAGACAGAGTGCCACATTCAGCGAGTGTCTAACCGCTGTGAGATACGGCTTGAGGGATTGAGACTGAAGTTAGCACAATATATGTCCAAACTTACCATTTGGTGATAGAAGAGGTATTTGCTGTTATTCGGAAGAGATGGGTTTTGCACGAAAAATTAATTTTTGAAGTCTTCGATTCGAGTATGTGGAGCGAAGTGGTAGACGAGGAAGGCCGTGTTTACTATTATAATACAGAGACCGAGCAGACTCAGTGGGAGAGACCTGAAGACCTGAAAGAGAGCAGAGTGGATGCTGCCTTGGAGAAGACAAAATGGCAACGATACCTTACGGACGAGGGGGAGGTCTACTACTACAACGACGAAACAGAGGAGAGTGTTTGGACACTTCCAGACGAGGTGCGCAAGCTCATAAGCCTGGAGACTGCCGAAGAGCCTGAATCGGAGCCAGAGAATGGAGACAAGGTATTTGACTCTACAAAAATCGTGGATCTGAGCAGTTTTCTCACGGACGAGGAGCTCAGATGGGAGAAAAATGCAGACGGAAAAACAGATCAGTTTGTGCAAATGCTAGAAGACTACTCTGTGGGAACAGATTGGACGTTTCAGCAGGTGATGGAACGGTGCATTGTGGATAAACGGTACTGGTCTTTACCTGACTCGATTTCGAGGAAGGAATGTTTTGAGGTTTATTTGCTTCGGAAAGCCGATGAGGAGTTTCGAGAGAAGGAGAACTCGCGCGAGAGTTACAGGAACGCATTTTTCCAGGTTCTGGACAACTACGATATAAAGTACTACACCCGGTGGAAGACCTGTGCGAAACTTATCATGGACGAGCCGATTTACTCACTTATTCCTTCCAAGATGAAACGGGAATTTTTTGATGAGTACGTCGGTAAGCTGAAGCGTGCACGCGAGGCAGAGATCAAGGATGCCAGGCGGAAAGAGCTCGAGGAAGTGGAGGTCATTTTGCGGTCGGAGCTCACGCTGAAGTCGCAGGTGGACGATGCTTTCAAGATCCTGGATATGGAACGTCTGCCGTACCTGAACAAACTCGATATCCTCACGATTTACGAAAACATCATGAACGAGTTGGAGAGATCATTCCAAGCCACGGTCGCAGAACACAATAAACAGAACTACAGGGCAGATAGGAAGGCCAGAGACGGGTTCAGACAGCTTCTGGAGGAGGTGAGCCAGAAAATCGAGCTGACTGCAAAATTGAGATGGCACGAGCTCCTCCCTTACATAAAAGACGATCCACGCTTCATCAATCTTTGTGGCAGAAAAGGTTCACTTCCGATCGATTTCTACTGGGATATCCTTGACAAGGAAAATCAGAGTCTGAAAGCCAAGCGAGATCTGGTGAAGCACATAATTCCTACTGCCGAAAACATGTCTCTCGAGGAGTTCACCAGAGTTGTTTTGCAGAAGGTGGACAATGTCTCGGAAAGCGACTGTCGACTCATAAGAGAGATGCTCCTGGAAGAAGGAAGACAAAAGGGCGAGGGAGACCGCAGAAAACGACTAATGACGCTGGGTTACGGGGTGGCAAGAAGTTAATGACATATATAGGTGTGTACTATTATTCGTCCTGCACTAATGCAGACAGACCGAGTAAAGCCATCAGGGCGTACTTGAAGTACACGTTCTCTGTAATGAGGATGGTAACATACCCAACCAGAGGCACGTACCCAAACACCCTCCCGAGAATGTCTTTTTTCCTTTCGAGATACTGCTGTCCGTAAGCGTACAGTGGTAGATCGTCTCGCTCGTTATTATCTCCTTTTGTCAGGAGTAGCTGCTTTTGCACTTTTTTCTTTGTCTTCCTGTCTTTCTCCACCACCCTGTGCTCTCTAACAACCCTGTGCACAATAGGGATATCTTTCTCTTGCAATTTGTACACCACAACGTCTCCTACTCCAACGTACTCTTCTCTATTCCAGAGGAACAGCACGTCTCCTCGCTGGAAAGCCGGCTCCATCGATCCAGAAAGAACGACCACAATTGGAGAGTTCGACATAGTCACAATGGAAAAAAGCTTCCAGAACGCAAAGGCGCTGGCCAAAACCATGGCCATGCTCAGGCCAGAACCCAGCTGTTGACGTAAATTCATGGGAGAAAATTATAATATTTTCTCGACGCGACGATTCTCTTATGAGCACTAAGTGAGTGTTAATATTTGTCAACTAATGTCTAGCCGGTACTCTTCGAAAGCGCATCAGCGGGAAGGAAGAACAGCACTTTTTTCCACGGTGTCCCAACCGGTATCTGCCGCACATTCCCCCATAAGAACACACAACACATCTTCGGCCACGTCGCTGGATAATCTACGCCGTCAGGAGGACCCTTTTGCTAGACCGTCTTCCCCCTACAATACAGCAGACACAAAGAAACGAGACTATAATGCTTCGCTGATGTCACAGCTCGAGTCTCAGAACGATGAGACAGTCGACCTACTGGGCTCTAAAATCACAGCTCTGAAAAATCTGTCCATGATGATGGGCGACGAAATCAACAAAAGCAGATTCAACCTCTCCGCTCTCGGAGGCGACATGGAACTGAGCAAAAACCGCATCAAGGCCAACCTGAATCGGATGGCAATAATGGCCGACAAAACAGGAATCAGCTGGAAAATATGGCTCCTGTTCTTCACAGTTATATTCTGGATATTTTTGTGGGTCTGGTTGTTTTAGAAATACATGCCACTTAATCACTATTTATTCGGGTGACGTCTTCGCGGGCTCCCCATTTTTAGCATCGTCCTCTCTCAACTGGTGGGCACGCCCTCTCCAGGCTGTGCCGCGGCCGCCCCGTCCTCTTCCCCTGTGTGGTGGCGCACCCGAATACCGTCTGGCGTTGGTGATTCCCGGATAATTGGTCCTTTTCGGAGTAACTGTCAAAGTACGTCCGCGAAATTCTGTGCCGTTCATGGCGACAGCCTTTTGCGCACCTTCGTGTGTTTCAAACTCCACAAAAGCGTATCCACGAGGCCTCCCGGTATGTTTATCATACAGAATGGTTATTCTGTTTATGACCCCACAATCATCAAGTAGCTCCTTCAGATCCCCGGGTAGAGCGGAGTAGTCCACATTGCCCAAATAAACAGACCGCGAGTCAATTTCCTGCTGGTTGCTAGGCTGGTTGGGAGCCAGTCTGGGTTGCTGTGGAGTCTGTTCAGCCTCTGACATGGACACAAGGTGATCTGGGGTAGAAGATTATCAGCAGCCGACGCCCTAGACGATCGACGCGACTCGAACAAGAGGAAAAAAAATTCAAGTGCATATTTTTTTCAGTACTGATCATGGTGTCCGTTCGTAAGCGTAAGATGGCCAGATCGTCCGTCAAGAAGGCCACGAGGCGCATGAAGGACAGACAGAGGCAAGTGAGGAACTTTGGAAACTCTATTATTGCGGCAAACTGGGATCCAAAGCTGTCTCTGTCACAGAACTATGAGAAAATGGGTCTGAAAGTGCGACTGTCGCAACAGACTGGGGGAGTGGAAAAGAAAATCACTCCACAGTTTCCTGAAAGTGATGATGAATTTGTCGTTGATGAAACTGAGGAAGAAGAAGAAGAAAGGAAAAGCGACTCAAAGGACTCTTTAGACCCAGCAGATATTCCCGAAGGAACAGCTAAACTTGTGCGTGATGACGAAGGAAATGTCATCAAAGTGATATATGGTACAAAGAAACTTACCGAGGAAGTTCAAGAGGAGAAGCCTCCCACGGAGGTGGTCAAGAAACTCGAAGAGCTTGCCCAGCAGAAGGTGGTAAAGGAACGCAAACAGAGCGCAAGAGAGGTCGATTGGCTAGCAGATCTGTACAACAAGTATGGAGACGATTATGAGAAGATGAAATGGGACAAGAAACTCAATCCTTATCAGCACAGTGCTGGTGAGCTGAAGAAGAGAATCACTAAATGGAAGAAAACCCAGGGTTTGAGCACGTAGGATTATAGACGAGCTCTAAAAGGTTAATATATTGTTCGTGTTGTTGCAGATGAGCTCTCTGTAGAGTAGCTTAGCGTAGGTGGACGGCTTGTCAAGACCAAAGCAGGAGACGGATTGAACGAATCATTACTATCCAGTACTAGTATCGATCTTGGGGAAAACTTTAGCACTGTTGCATAGTTAAAGGGTCATTTTTGCATGCCAATACTTGACCTTCCTCAGTGCGCCAAATCTTGCTACCTGATTCCCACCGTGCCGCATGTGTTGGTTACGTAATCGTCTAACATCAACTTTTTTCCAAACACCGTTCGTGCTCATCTCTTAAAGGCGCACATAGCCAGCTTATGCCATAGTAGACTACAATGTCATCCAACGAGGACGAAAAGGCGCACTGGAGCCGAAGGATACATGGAGTTCCTAGTGCTCATGTGGGGAATCAAATGGTGCAAATAACGACGAAGGTATCAGAGAAGGATGAAAAGGTTTTCACTTTATTTAAAGCCGGCCTGAAGACCACGATACAAAAGTACGAGAAACAGAGCAATGAAAGACAAAAGGCACATCACAATACAGAAGCACACTTCCACAAGGCATTGAACGATTCTGAATGGCTTGACAACTAACTATTTACACGAACCAACCCTTCTTTGTTTTCTTATCGGTTCCCAAGCCGGATTTGGCCAAAGTCTCAGCAACATCCCCAAAGGAGTCTCTATCACCTTGAATAACAATGGTTGGTTTGCTTCCGGTAAGCACCTTCTTGGCGATATCTATAAGATCACGTCTGGTGATTCTATCAATCTTTTCGCACATCTCGAGAACGTCGATCCGTTTACCGTATATTTGGACTTGCCGACCCATATCTTCCAACTGGACCATTTTGCTTTCCAAGTTCATCATCAGTGATGATTTCAACTGGTTCTTGGACCGTTCGACTTCACTATCTGTAATTCCACCATTTCTGACATTATCCTCCATTAAGAGCGAGAGTTCAAATCCAATGAGCTCCCCCATTACACGGTTCGCCTGTGGAATGCAACTCAAAGAGATGCCAAATAGCCCACTGTCGCTGAAGTTGTGAATGAAAGATTTGCATGACTCAACAAATCCATACTGGTTCAAGATTCGCGTGTATGCTCTGGAGTACATCCCTTTTCCAGGACCACCAGCAGAAAATGAACCACCTCCACCGATGAGCATTTGCAAGGTCGCTAGCTTGTAGACCTCTTCGTCTTGAATCGGCACACCTTCGAAACCAACATGGATGTGATGGAATTCCTGGCCCATATAAGCAAGCTCTTCAGGATACGGAGTAGAAAATTCTCCCCCCGTATACACTGCCGGATCCTTGATGATCTCTGTGCTATTTCTAGCTTTGAAATCTTCAAAATTCCTCAAAGTGAGTTCCTCGGCTTTTTCAAATGGTACACCGCTCATAGCCACCACCAGCCGATCCGGTCTGTAAAATAAGTCTCTATATTGGCGCAATTTTTCTGAGGTCACACTATGCAGCTCCTCCTGAGGGCAGAGCAGAGGGCAACCCAAATTTTTGCGGCTGTATGCCGTCTGTTGCAAGAGTTCTGGTAATATCATATCGCTCTGAAGCCACAGCTCGTTGAGTTCATAGCGCGCATTGCTGATTTGCTCGTTTATCTCCTCGTCTAGCAATGCTGGTCTAGCAATTGTATCACTCAGGAGCTTAAACATCTTGTCCACATCTTGGTTGAATACGCTTGCTTGATAAATAAGAGTCTCTCTTGATGACGCACACATATAGTTGCCACCCAGGTGATTTAGTTTCTCCACCATTTCCGCTCCAGACATCTCTGTAGTGCTTCTATATGCCATTTTGTCCATCAGATGCGAACATCCTGTTAAGTTATATCTATCTTCGAACCTGGAGCCGGCATTGACATATAGTCCCACAGCACTAAAATGACTAGGAGTCTCGTCTACCACCAGCTTGATCCCACTTGGTAAGCTTTTAATTTTCGTTTGCGAGATCGTGCTGAGAGCACGCCGAGAGGGCTTTTTGCTCAGCGCAAAGACGTGATTCAACATTGTTCACAAAGTTTTCGGAACAAATCTGATATTAGAAAGGCAAAGCCGATCGTCGCGACTTCAAGAAAAAAAAAAGTGAGAAGGGAAAATTACGCTTAGCGAACTGGGCTGAGCGGAAAGAAACATACATACCAGAATTTTATATATATAGGAACAAAATCAGGTCCATATTTGATTCCAAACAAACCAGTCACTTTTAGTTTGCAGTTCACACAAACATCTCTTACCATACCTCAGCATTACTGGTGTTGATCTGCTCGTTTTCTCTATCGCTCAGAAATAACGTGATTTTTTTATCACAGCCCAATGAATAACAGACGTCTACCACTCCTGTCTCGCAGGCAGCTTGAAGCCCATACTACTGCTAAGTCGTGCTGGGTGACACTATACAACAGAAATATCTACGATGTGACTGATTTTCTTGATGAACACCCGGCCGGTGGTGAATTTATTTTGGAATATGCTGGTAAAGACATCACCCAAATCCTTGCAGATCCTAGCAGTCACACTCATTCCGAGAGCGCCTACGAGATGCTAAGCGACGAAATGCACATCGGATACTTGGCTACACCAGAGGAGGAAGAGGAACTTCTTTCTAAACACCAGGACATGGAAGTGGTTCCAGACACGATTGATTTGACAGAATTTGGCGATCTGCCTTCTGAACAGCTGTTGAGCGTTAAGACAGATGTTGACGAAGATTATAGAAAGCACAAGTTCCTGGATCTTAACAAACCGTTGCTTATCCAGGTCCTCACTGCCAACTGGACCAAGGAGTTTTACCTTGACCAAGTTCACAGACCCAGACACTACGGGAAGGGCTCGGCTCCTCTTTTTGGTAACTTCTTGGAGCCTGTTTCGCTAACACCCTGGTATGTCGTTCCAATTATTTGGCTTCCAGTCAATTTCTACATTTTCTACATCGGATTTGTCAACCAAAACAAATTCCTGGCACTGGCTCTCTGGGCCCTGGGATTGTTCGTGTGGACACTGATCGAATACTGTATGCATCGGTTCCTTTTTCACATTGACAAGTACCTCCCAGAACACCAGCTTGCATTTGCTGTTCATTTTCTGTTGCACGGTGTCCATCACTACTTGCCAATGGACAAGAAAAGATTGGTGATGCCACCAACACTATTTGTTGTTCTGTGCTACCCATTCTACAAGCTTGTGTTTTCGGTTTTGCCTTACTATGCTGCATGTTCCGGATTTGCTGGAGGGTTCCTAGGCTATATTCTCTACGACTGCACTCATTACATCCTCCACCATGCCAAGCTTCCAAAATATCTCCAGGATCTCAAGACTTATCATCTCGAGCACCACTATAAGAACTACGAGCTTGGTTTCGGAGTCACCAGTAGATTCTGGGATCGTGTTTTTGGCACCCTTTTGAATCCTGAAGACGTGTACCAAAAGAGAAATTAAATAGTATGATTATGGCTTATGGTTTATAATTTAATTGAACTCACGAAGAAGCGCCATCGTGGAGTCAAAACTGTAGGAATGGTCTTGCTCGACCTCCATACCTTCGGGGCCACCGGACGGCGACACGCTTTGCAGGGTCGTCAACACAACTTCATAGCCTTTCTGGTTACTAAATTCGGTCACCATGCAGCACCAGTTTTCATGTTCTGTGAGCAAGTTGATGTCCGAGTCCTCTTTGCTTATTTCAGGCGGATAGCTGACTGGTTTGAGCGGCTCTGTGTGATCCAGGTTTTCAAATTCCCCAAGAAGTATTCGCCTCGTGCACTTATGACATTTGAGAAGTGCCAAATTCTTTGTTCCGAATCTCTGTTGTTTCAGTTCCCATCCAAAAAGAGCCACCATGGATAGTATCAGGTTCGTCGAGTTGTACGTTTGCAAGATCTCAATTTGCGACTTGTTAAGTACGTCTGTAGTATAGCTTTTCAGCATGATAATCTCTTGGTGATCGATGAGGTTATCAAGATTACTCTGATATTGCTCCAGTATGTCGTTCATATCGCTGATCTTCATATGGTACTGCTTTTTGACCAACCCCACATCCAAGTTGGAGTTCCTCCACATGCATCCTGGATAGTGATCTGTACGTAGCCGACGGAGATACGAGCGGATTAATTGTTCGCGCACTTTAAGAAACTGCTCCTCTGCTTCCTCGTCTTCCACAAACAGAAAGTTAGTAATGATGTTGTTTTTGTCTTTGTGCTGGTTTAGGCGTATCAGCAGCACCGCGTTGCAGTAGTGGCAGTGCAGCTCGTTTTTTCGCTTGTGGCATTGCCAGCCGTTCACCGCGCATTCGAGAGGATTAAGTTTGTCGTCCTCGATGGACCAGTTGAGAATATTGAACGAGTTGATTCGCTCATCGAGCGTGTTCTTGTTGAATGGGTCTGTTGTTGCGAGTCTATTGACTTTTGGCGATTTGTTCAGTATGAGCGGGTCTGAAGAATTTGACAGTTTCCTTTTGTTCACAGATTTCGGAGTCGACTGACACGAAACGTGGGGCAGATGCGAGCGCAAAGAGGACGGTGAGACGTGTTTCTTGACATTGGAGTGTCCGGGAGAGAGGCATATTGAGGAGAGAATGTCCAGGATCGCAGAGGTGGTGGCCGTATCGTCCATCCCCTATTTTAATGAGATTTATGAGAAAAAATATTTTAAACTTGAATATGTCCTACAAGCTCAAGTTCTTGAAAGATGCTCTCGATGTGGAGGCTTTGAAGTTTGGCACTTTCACTTTGAAATCTGGCCGAATGTCGCCTTACTTCTTCAACATGGGCCAATTTTCAACAGCTGCGGCCCTGAGCAATGTGGCTACCGCCTATGCCCAGACTATCATTGAGTCGGGACTGGAGTTCGATATCCTGTTTGGGCCGGCGTACAAGGGAATCCCGCTTGCTGCTATCACAGTCGTGAAGCTTTACGAACTCGGCGGAGAAAAGTATGCTAATGTTGGATACTCGTTCAACAGAAAGGAGAAGAAGGACCACGGAGAGGGTGGATCGATTGTGGGCTGTCCGCTGAAAAACAAGAGGATCATGATCATTGACGACGTCATGACTGCCGGAACTGCCATCAACGAGGCCTTTGACATTATCAAGGCCGAAAACGGTCAGGCTATCGGTTGTATCATCGCTCTAGACAGACAGGAAGTAGTTAAAGATTCCAACCAAAGCGCAACTGCTGCCGTCTCCCAGAGATACAACTTGCCTGTTTTGTCTATTGTCAGCTTGGATGACATAATTGAGAATCTGAGGGACCAGCTCACAGAAGAACAGTTAGACATGATTCTAGAGTACCGGCGGCAATATGTTCCTGCTACTGCTAAATAATCGTACTGGGAAATATATTTTAATATACCGCTTTTATGCTCTGATTCTCTGCACCTTTGGCTTTGGAATCTTGGGCGTGGATGTCTCTGTTTGGGGAGTCTTGATGTATGCCGAGGCCGTTTGAGGATTTTTCATCGTCAACGGAGAGTGGAGCGGGACTATGGTGTTCATCCTGAACTTCTTCACCTTGCTCACCTCCATAGGCTCGTACCCTTGCATCAACTCCGGCGGACCTGGAAGATCCTTCACAGTGTCCAAAGTGGTAGGATGGTTTTCCAGGTATTCAGAAATTTTCAGTAGCAAACCTCTCTTAGTTCTAATGGTAGGACTAACCTGTTGGCCTTTGAATTTAAGACCAACTCTGACCCTTCCGGGGTTTCCAAAATCCTGCGGGTGACTTTTCTCAGGTTCCAGCACAGCTGCTAGGTTGAGGTGGCGACATGCGTCCAATATAGTTTTCGCAAGAGGGTTTTCGACACAGTGGTCCAAGGGAACCCGTCTCCCCTCCTTCACTGAGCGGTTGAGATCAAAATAGCACGGGTAGATCAGTTGCATGCTTTTCAGCTCAGCCAGTTCCTCTTCTGAAAGTTGATCCTGGGTTCTCATATGCCGATGAATGTCAGATGCCTCGCTGTTGTACGAAGGCTGGAAACCTTGAGGTTCCTGGTCTTGGCTTCTCACCACACTGGGTTTAGGCTTCGCCGGGGCAATTGGAGTTCTCAAATCAGGGTCGAACTCGGCCAAATCCATGTCCAAGTCATCGACATCTTCGATGTCTTCAATATCTTCGAGTTTAGGCATTGGAGAAAAAGATTTAACCTGTATTTTTCTATGTCTGATTCAGATTCGGACAATTTTGAAGATGCTCAGGAGCATTTTCAGGACATCCCAGAAAGTCACCACCGCAACGACAAAGACTTGAAACGAATCAGAAAAGATTGCCACGAAGTACTAGCCAATCTGGATTCGTCATTTTGTTCAGACCTCGCGTTGCATCTCTATATGATCAGAATGCTGGCTTCGCGGGATTACTTTGTCGCCAACGGACGTTTTAGCAGCTGGCCATTACCAAAAAACCAGGTTCCTGTTCCCGTGGCAAGCAGGGAATATGTTGACGAGTGCAACATCCATGGTGACGCACAGAAACGCCATATAGTCCCTTATGGGGAGATCTGCAACGAAAACAAGGAAAGGCCTACGGAGCAACTATTAGAGTATGTGCCGCCTGCTACCGATGCCAAAGAGGAACTGGGGTTGCAACTGCGAGCCATATTCCAGCAAAAAATATACAACAAAGTGCATGCTTATAATCTCTCGAACGCGGCAGCACGAATTCGAGATAAAAATGCTCCTACAGTCAAATACCTTCCTGTCCTCGATCCACCCGTGGATCTTCCGCAAGAAGCCAAGGCAGAGTTATTCACAAAAATCAACAACGTTTTCGACAAGTTAATTGAGCAAAGGAAGGCTTGTGTGAGGGCAGACAGTACTACCGCTTTGAACTGGTTGAGTGTCGCACAGCAGGCTAAAGATCACGATGCGTATCTGGAAATGGCAAAGTTAATGAGTCTAAAATATCCTAAACTAGAAAAACCCGTGTTTGACCAGACATTAACCGCGAAACAGCAGGAACATGGTCATAAAGAATGGTCTGCAGAGCTGGAACGTCGTAAACGAAAGAATGAGTTGAAAAAAATGCTCATCAGAAAGCGCGCAGAGCTCGAAGTCCGCAAACTTAGAATCTGGGACACGAAGAAGAATCTGGGAGAGAGACCAATGAGAAGAATCAAGTGATTATCTTTCGATCTCTGGAAAGACCGTCTCCAAAACCTCCTGTAGAACTGTTAGAACCAAGTGTCTGTTTAACGTCTGGTTTTGCAAAATATGAAACGTTGTCTCTGCAGCCAATCTGGAGTTGGAAGCTCCGAAAATCTTGGAACAGGTGTCCATGATGAAGAATTCCAAGATCTTTTTAGCATGCTGTTTGGTCTTGGATTTCTCCAATAAGGTTCTAGGAGTTCCTGACTTTCTGAACGACCCGTTTGGCCACAGGGAGTCTTGCAACATAGTAAGGATGCTAGCCACAGTCGATGAGTCCTTGAACCTCCCATCAATGCTGACTCTCACCATTTTTTCGATTGTGGAGCCCAACAATTGCTGTAAAACCAGCACAATAGCCCGGCCTCTTAACCAGACCTTTGAGTTCTTGAGCCAGAATACCGTGATTAGGAAATCACTGATAGGCTTAACAAATGAGGAAAACTTCGCTTCCTGCTCTTCTAAATTTTCATTCAAGCTGGAGAGCTCTTTTTGCATTTCCAAAGATGGCTTATCGTCGACATCACTTGCAGGAGCCTTGTATTGCAGCTGCCACTGGTTGGAGATGTTGTTGTACAATTTTGAGGCCATATTCACTGCACTCTTCCCCGGATTGCCTAGCTTCCCAAGTTTCTGGCGCGACTCGTCGGGATTGATGTCGAAGAATTCCGAAGACAGGAAGCTGCGGAAGACTTTGTCCTGGCAAACTTCGCGCATTTCAATGAGTGATTGCAGGTAGCGCTCCAATTTCCGCTGTCGCTCGACGATCAACGATCGCTGCTGAAACTTGAGAACCACCTTACGTTTGGGAAAGTCCAGCTCTCCAACTTCGGCGAACTTGCTTTTCAGATAATTATTCAATTTGAAAAATTGGCTGAACCGTCTTGCAACCATCCATCCTGCGGTCACCGTATTATCAGCCGTGAGCTTTTGCACCTCAATTATGTACATAATGCATTCTTTTCCATCCTCAAATCCGTTGAGATATGACTGAATCCGGACTTGACTTTTCCCATACAGGGTATTATCGCTTTCCTGGACGATATATTGTTGTTTCTGTAATTCCTTCAGCTGGAGCTCTTTTTTGAGTCCTGCTTGAGTTTTTCTCAGGATATTCAACTCAGAAACGTTATTGGTGAGCTCTGCCTTGTTCAGAAGCGGCTCTATAATGCGTAACTGCTGCTCGAGCTTATCAACCTCCGCCCCCAGCTTTTCTATTTCGTCGCCCAGATTAAGATTCCCCGGAGCAGCCAGTCGCAGCTCTTGAGAAGACGACATTGTCATATCATCGTCCAAGAGACTCTCGTTCTCGTCATCAAAAATCTTCATTGACTTGGTTGACTCTTTATCCTCTAACACTTCACCGTTGTTGTCGAACAGCCCATTTATCTCCATATCCTCTCCAAACAGGTCGCGCTGGACATCCTTGCTTAAAAGCCGAGAAACTCGAGGCGTGCTTGTTCCCGACGGAGCTTCCGACAGGTCTTCTGAAGATGAAAAACCGGAATTGAATTGATACAAGCTCGGCCTTTCTTGCTTCTCATCTGCCAAGTCAGCTAGTACATCCTCAACTGCACGAAGAACAGCGTCGCTCACTTTCTGCTCCTCGTTTCCAGTCTCCTCATAATCAGCCAACGGATCGCCATTAGTCTCATCTTCTTCTATCTCTACGCCTTCGCTTTTTGTCTGTTCTTCAGCTGCAACCAGTCGCAAGTAAAGATCAGATTGCTTGAACGCAACGTAGTCGGTCTTTTGCATTCTTTGATAAACTTCGTTCTGTAGCTTGAATAAAGACTTGCGAGCTTTGTAGTAGAGCATTGGATCTGCAGGCTTTGTTTCCACAAATCGGGCAACGTTGGAATAGCATTTTGAGTCTATCTTCAGAATCGGACTTTCAAAGAACTCCTCGAATATTTGGCATATATCGTCACCTTGAGCCATCGTCATAGAGTATTCTAGGTCAGACTCGTCTTCGCTGCTGTCTTCTTCCGAGAGATCGTAATTATCCTCCAAAGGGTTTCTCAGTCCTTCAGCCACAAGCCACAGCTTGAGTAGAGGGGTGCGCCGCCTCTGTTCCATGAATTCTGTAAACACAGAGAGTTTCGCAGGACTATTTAGTATCTCGGCAAACGTGATGTCCAAGTTGGTGTTCACATTTGGTTCCTGTACTGCCAGAGTGGAGGATGATTTCAGCAACGATAAGAGACGTTTATCGGTCGCGCTGCGTAGGGCAGCAAGTCTCTCTTTGTACAGCTGGTTATTGGCGTCCTCACCCCGACTCGCTTTATTCAATTGCAGTGTCACGTAGTACTTGTACTGTTTGAGCTCTACCATGGACTGGCACTTGTTGATCTCGCGCAATATACGATGGAATCTAGCTGCATCGCTCGTTGCATTCAACCTTCCTCGTGAAATCAGTGAGCGAGAATTTCTCAGATTCTCAACGCTATGCTTACTCAGCGCGCTTCGAAAACGCTTAACGTTCAAACGGTCCTTCATAGCATTTCCAAGGGTCTTTTCTACGAGCTGGTTGTAGAAGTCCGGGTCGGAAAGCATCTCCACGATTTGGAAAAATACGCATTTCACCAAAATCTCTCTGAGAAGCAGGAAAATAGGAGGAGACTCTATCTCCTTCTCATCGACTATCAGCGGGAGAATCTTGGATATTTGTTGTGAAAGCCATCTTTGAATATCATCACCTGGGTCAACGCTTTTTAGCTTGATCGCCGGATGCAGCTTTCCTTTGTTGTAGCAAGACGCGACTATTTTGTCAAGATCGGACGTACTAGTGAAGGATCTAACTGTGCCAAGTTTCCTGTTCTTCATAATCTCTTGTGCAGTAGCAAAATTTGCATAGTGGTCTGTGACTAACGGCAGGACACGATAGACAAGTGTTTCGGTCAAATCTATCTCGCTCAGTCTCTGCTGCAATTGAGTAACAATGTTGCCTATTTGCACCTGTACCTCCACTAAAAATCTCTTATCTGGGCTGATCCGTGTATACCATGACTCTACGAAGTCTCGCGTTATTAGCAATATCAAGTTGTGGAGGGTGTCACTGATTACGAAGTTTTCAGGATATAGTTGGTTGATGCGATCTGCATCTGCCTCTTGATTCAGATCTGAAACCTCTTTTGCCCAATTATGTGACTCAGTAAATCTAAATCGTGGAAACCTTGCCCGAAGCTTTTCGTTTAAACTCTCTATCGATTCTGGCGAGTGAGCGCCCACTCGCAATATCATGTAACCAAATATAAGCATAGGAATTATCGAGCCCAGAAGAATCAAGAAAATGTGCGAGCACACATAGTAAGCCACCACAGCTGCAGCTACTGTTGCAATAAAGACTTGTGGTTTTGTTCGTTTGAACCGAGTCGTAATTCCAGCGTTCTTCCTCTCTTCATTCATATAAAATATAGCGCATAATTTTTTTGGGCTAAAATAGTATTTAGATAAGTTAGTTAATCCGACTTTTCCTCCTCTAATCTGGCCTCCTCGTTGCGTTTTTTGAGAACTGCATTTCTAACCTTTGACAACAGGCTCGCATCGTAATCATTGACTCCGCTTGCTGCAACCTTGTCAGCGCTGTCAAGATGCACAAAGCTGGAGCTACTCGATGTTGGACTAGGGCTTGAGTGGTCTCTGAGCTGCAACGCATCGGGAAAGATCGAAACATCGGAAAGGTTTGGCATTGTATTTTCGGTAAATCCGGAGCGAGTCGACGCCCGCGACATCGACCGTGACCCCGACCTCGATCTGGACTGGGACCTTGATCTTGAGCGCAGGTCTTCCACCTCTTCTTCGTATTCTTTCTCCAGCCGGGCCAGACTGTACTTGTCCAACTTGGGGAAGACTTTAGGCCCTAGTTCATTGATTACCTCTGTAATCACTGCAGACAGACGATGCCTTTCCTTCCGCAATTCGTCCAAATCATTGGATCGTGGAGAAAGAGATAAGATCAACGGTCTAATGGATTTGAAAATATCCAAACCAACTTCACCCATAACAAATGCAGCGTACGTAGTGGAAACAAGCAGAGCCCACCAGGAGGCAAAAGTAACAAGCACATTCCAGGTACTGTACCTGACCAACTCATATTTGAAGACAAGCACGGTGCCGATCGCAGAATAGATGAAGTAACATATTGGCGCAGCCACTAAAGCAATGAGGACTTTCCATGAACCCAAAACGTCAAGGGCCTTGATTTTCACACTCGAGCTAGCTAGAGCGGCTTTCTGTTTTTTCTTTGATATAACCTTGCATGCAATGAAAACGGGAGAAAATAGCACTGTTCCAGGAAGACTCAACGCCAACAACACCAACAGTCGCACCAGCCTAGTCGTAAGTAAAAATAAAGTACGCCAGCGGTTTTTGGTCACTGTTTCCACCTGGTAGTCTTTGATTCCCAAATATGTCAGTCGTTTATTGTACTTGGTCACACTCTCCTTCAGATGCTTGATCTTCGGGTCATCTTTGAATTTGCTGTATCCAATAAGCAGGTTGCGATTCATTTCCACAACCAACGGCAATGGAAGAGGTCTACTAGGATTGGAGTACAACCTTCTTGCAGCCTGGATAACCTGCAACGTTTCGAGGTCGGGACTTTGAGTTGTCACAGACTTCAAAGCGGTAGTAATATTTTCCATAAGTGCATCGACAGTTTTTCTTGGATCTCTCCTATAGGCCTTCGCCTCCTCAGGGCCCACCTTGATAGGTTCCCCGAATTCCAAAACTGCCCTGGAGCGAAACTTGTGTGGATGGAAATAGTTCATTCCGCAGGGAACAATATTGACTTCTGTACCCTCGTATTCGGCAGCTGTACCCAATGCCATAATCCCGACACCAGGCTTCAATGGCAGAAGCTCGGTACGGTCGTGAGAGCCGCCCTCACTGGCGATCCCGATGAGCTCACCTTCTCTGAGTCTTTGGAAAACTGTTTTGAAAACATCGTGGTTGTCGACTTTTGGAGCACTCTTATAGGCGGTGCCGCGTATGAGCATCTCGACACCCTTGGATTTGGCCATTGGCTTTGCCAGTTTCAGTTTAGTGTCGCTTATAATCTCTGCTATTTTTTGGTTTCCTGCACTTTCGGGGAGTCCGATCAGCCCTTTGACCTCGCAATCGGTGGTGAATTTCGTTCCTTCCCCGACAATGGTCAATTCATCGTGACTGTAATCCTCGTAGCGGATTTTACCCTGTTTATTGGTCAACAGGTCCTGCGCCCTTTCCACCGGAATTGCTCCACTCCACTTACTGAGTTGGCCGATAACCGGCCTTCTGACAGAAACAGCGGCTTCAATGAAATGCGTACGACGTCCGTTGATCTTGTGGATGGCATGAGTAACAATCACAGCGTCCAGAAATTGGTTGTGATGTGGAGCGATAACCACAAGGGTCGCCCCTCTGGATGGCAAATTGTAGGAGCCACGGACCCGGACTTCACGGAAGAACGTATCGATAATAAGGTGGCAAAACCAAAGGAACAGCTCGTCCAGCAAATCCTTCACGATCTGCATATTGGTAATTTGGGTCTACTCAAAAAATGGGGCTTGTAGCACTCACTAAGCGTAAAAAAATGACAGAATTTTCAAGACAAATTAAATATAATACCTGAAAAGGCTATGCGGGTTCGCTCAGTATTGGCAAGAAGTTGGCTTTTACGTCTTGCATTCTTGTTCACGCTGACTCTTGTTTCCGCTGGCGATGAGATCTCTCCTTATGCAGACCACTCTCTGGAAAAATCGCTCGGAGACTTTACCGTCACCAATCTGTTGTTGGCTTCCGATGTCGAGGGAAACTTGCATGCACTGAATCGAGTGACCGGCGAAATGGTGTGGACTTTCGTGGGGAGTACGCCGCTCGTGGCCATTGAGGAAAGCATTGCCCCGAATATATCGGGAGCTGACCCCTCTGTGGGATCTCAGTTCTCGGCGTGGATGGTCGAGCCGTTTGACGAGGGCTCTATATACTACTTCACACAGGAAACAGGACTGCAAAAGCTGCCTGCCTCTGTCCAGCAGCTGGTTTCAAAGTCGCCGTTCTCAATCGGAGACGAGTTCATATACACAGGAGTCAAAAGGACGGGAATTGTTCGAATCGATGCGCGCACCGGTGATTTGATAGATTCTTTTGGGATACCCGAGTCGGCGGACATATGTCCGGTAGAAGACCCCACCGACCCGGTCCAGCCAGTCATATTGCTGGGGAAGACTACCTACGAGCTCAGCATCCACTCGAAAAACAACACAGCATGGAATATCACGTACACTTCGTGGGGTCTGAATAATCTGCACACCAATCTCGCGGCGGAAAACGTCCACAGCGTCGACGATCTATACATTCAGCCGTTCCACGACAACTCGCTGCTTGCTCTTGATGCCAGCACAAAGTCGGTCAAGTGGGTTTCGAGTCTGCCGTTCGTCACCGTGAATGTGTTTGATGTTTTCTTAGAGGACGGGGATGGTAACAACTTTATTGTGCTTCCACATCCTCTCAACAACAAAAATGCCACGACTACAGGTGACTCTACGTTTGTGGATAGAACCAAGGGCGGGTCATGGTTTGCCATGAGCGAGACAAACTATCCTTCCTTGGTGAAATCCGCTCCGTTGGCAAAATACGTCTCCAGTGAGCGTTGGCGCGCACCTTCGATATTCGCAAATGCCGAACTTTTGGGAATCGCCATATCTGGAGTCCACGACAAATCCATGGACAAATCGCAAAACCGCATCGATCTGACATGCCCGAGACTACCGGAGTCGCTTTCCTCGACAATCATTGAAGATCCATTGAATCGCAAACCAAGACGACCAAGAAAGTCCAGTCCGGGACTGCCCGAAGCAGAAGAGTATCTTGCCATTGATCCGCCTTCCCAATACGACGTCGCAACATTGCCCTCTTCAATGGCGAGGGGCACGCCGCTGATTAATCTGGTATATCGTGCTTTTGAGAACGTTGTCATGACAGTGATTGGCGTGTTAATTCTCGTCTTTTTATCGAGAATAGGCATTCTTCCGCCGCTGACGCAAATACTGAGCCGGTTTGGGCTCTTCAAACGCACCCAAAGTGCTGTTGAGATCGTCGATATGCTGCTCAAGGACGATGTTGTTGAATTAGAGAAGAGCTTTAATCTGATAAAGAAGGAGCGGTTTGGAGACCTTGAAACAGACAAAATGCCAAAAAAGGTGACCATTGTGGAGACCGATAACAAGAGCGAAAACTCTTCCTCGTCGTCATACAACTCTTCTAAGCCCAATGAGGAGGCTGTGCAATCAGAAGACAAAGACGGCCAACAATCTCAACCACGTAGGCGCAAAAGAGGCACTCGTGGAGGCAAGAAGAACAAGAAAAAGGAGATCGGAGGCTCTGCCCTGGAAGATTGCACTGACACTGTGCGGAGTAGAAGTGGTTCCCAGAAAAGCTTTGCGAACTCTACTATCACTATACCTACGTCAACCAGCAACATGACAATTTCAGACGAAATTCTGGGTTATGGCTCTCACGGAACTGTTGTGTTCAAAGGAAGTTTTGAAAATCGCCCAGTCGCCGTTAAGCGGATGCTGCTAGACTTCTACGATGTTGCGTCCCACGAGATCAACTTGCTGCAAGAAAGTGATGATCACCCAAATGTGGTCCGCTATTTTTGCTCCCAGCAAAGTGACCGATTCCTATATATTGCGTTGGAATTGTGCGGAGCATCGCTCGAGGACGTCATTGAGCAGAAAAAGGAGGACTCCAATGAGTTGCTGCGTAAAATGAAACCAGTCAGCGTTCTTTGGCAGATAGCGAACGGGCTGAACCATTTACATTCCCTCAAAATAGTTCACAGAGATATCAAGCCCCAGAACATCTTGGTTGTTCCACCAAAAAAGATAAGCAGCAGCGATAAGGAGATGCCTTTGCGGCTGCTTATATCTGATTTTGGGCTTTGTAAGAAGCTTGAAAACGATCAGTCGTCTTTCCGGGCCACCACTGCACATGCTGCTGGAACTTCTGGCTGGCGTGCGCCTGAACTTCTTGTTGACGATCTGGTTGAAACCGAGTCGCAGCACAGCCAGCTTTCGTTGATGAGTGACCGTCGTCTAACGAGATCGATTGATATTTTCTCGGCCGGTTGTGTTTTCTACTACGTTCTGACTGGAGGACAGCATCCGTTTGGTGATCGCTATTCGCGCGAAAGCAACATCATCAAAAACCAGTATAATTTGGATCTCCTGGACACGTTGGAGGACCGCTACGAGGTTCGCGATCTGATAGAGTCGATGATAGACAAAGACCCTGCCAATAGGCCCGATATGAGCCTGATTTTAAAGCATCCATATTTCTGGTCGATTGAGAAGAAGCTGGAGTTTCTGCTTCGTGTCTCTGACCGTTTTGAAATTGAGAGAAGAGATCCTCCGTCAGATTTACTTCTGGAGCTTGAGAGCATAGCACCAGCTATCATTGGCAAGGGGTGGTTCAGAAAGTTCAACTCGTCATTTCTGGACAATCTCGGCAAGTACAGAAAGTACAACGACGACAAGTTGATGGATTTACTCCGGGCTCTGCGCAACAAATACCATCATTTCCAGGACTTGCCACCCAACCTAGCCAAGCAAATGAGTCCTCTTCCTGATGGCTTCTACGCGTTCTTTGCCGGCCGCTTCCCTAACATGTTAATGGAGATCTACACACTAGTGGAGAGAAATCTGAGAGACGATGAATATCTTAGAGCATTTTTTTAAGCCGATAAATAAAAAGCGCATTATCTGTCTTAACTTTCTTGGTGTAAGGGGTATGGTAGTATGGGGCCGCACTGTAATCTTTTAATTCCTCAAATTGATCTAGTTTCACTTGTGGATTGATCGGGCCAGTTAGTACAATTTGCTACCTATTTTGTTCTTGTAACCCTTGATTACCAAGCTGATCAATGCCTTTGGGTCAAAAGCCGACAAAGGAGGAGATCCGTCTTGCCGAAGACAAAGATCACTCTAAGTATTGGAGGAGATGGGGAACTTATATGGCTCAGAGGGCTTGGGGGTTGCCTCGTGAGGATTACACGGCTGATGGAGACGCATGGCAATTTGACTTTGAGACTTCTAGGTCTAGAGTCTACAGATGGACGGAAGACGGGTTGGGGGGTATCTGCGATAACCATCAATACATCTGTTTGAGTTTAGCCTTCTGGAATGAAAATGACGACATCCTCAAAGAGAAACTGTTTGGACTTCCTGGAGGTGTCTCCTCAAAGAGTGGCAATCACGGTGAGGATGTTAAGGAAATGTATTATTACCTGGACAACACACCAACCCACTCATACGCTAAGTTTCTATATAAATACCCAATTGGCAAATTTCCCTACGAACAGATTTACCAAGAGAACTTGAGGAGGACAAAGCTGGAGCCTGAGTATGAGATCACAGATACTGATGCCTTCAAGGACAACAACTACTTTGACATTTTTTTTGAAATGGCGAAGGATGCGGATGATCCTGAGGAACTTAATTTCAGGATCACAGCCTATAATCGGTCTCAGGCCGCAGCTCCTCTGCACATAATGCCACAGATCTTTTTCCGGAACACATGGGCTTGGGGAGAAAAGCAGAATGCTGAAAAGCCGATTCTTTCAAAGGAGTTCCCTGACTCTGAGTATTCCATAAAGGTGGACCATTTCAAACTAGGAGATCGCCGTCTCGTTTTTGCTCCTGCCCCGGGCGTGGATGAGGATTCGGAAGATGTCGAGCCGAAACTTCTTTTCTGTGATAATGAAACGAATTTCAAGCGGCTCTACGATGTGGAAAATAAGACCAAGTACACCAAGGATGGTTTCCATGATTACATCGTTGATGAAGTCGAAGAGGCCGTCAATCCAGAGGGGAAGGGAACTAAGGCATGCGCTTGGTTTGTTTTTGACGAAAACGGGGGTATCCCGGCTGGCGACTTTGTTACAATAAGGTACAAACTAACGAAAAAGAAGGAGATAGAATTCGATGAGGAGGAGTTTGATATGGTATTTGAGGAACGCTTGTCTGAAGCAGATGAATTTTACTGGAATGTCTCGCCTCTTCCACTTCCCCAGGAACTTCGCAACGTTCAAAGACAGGCTTTTAGTGGACTGCTATGGAATAAGCAGTTCTACCATTTTATTCACGATTTTTGGTACAGAGGAGACCCCAATTCTGACATTGCTCCTGTGATTGGCAGGGCCAACGGGAGAAATAAAGACTGGAAAAACTTGTACAATGAAGACATCTTATCGATGCCAGATGATTTCGAGTATCCTTTCTACTGTTCTTGGGACACCGCTTTCCATACGATTCCGTTCGCAATGATAGACCCAAACTTTGCCAAAAAGCAGCTCGACTTGCTCACCAGAGAATGGTATATGTCTCCTCAAGGACAAATTCCAGCATATGAATGGAACTTCTCTGACTCAAATCCTCCTGTTCAAGCATGGGCTGCTTACAGAATTTACAAGATAGAGAAGAAGATGTACAACTACCAGGACAGGCAATTTTTGGAAAGGGTGTTCCAAAAGTTCCTGATCAACTTCACGTGGTGGGTCAATAGGAAGGATCCCGATGGTAATGGAATTTTTGAAGGTGGGTTTTTGGGTTTGGACAATATCAGCCTTTTCAATAGGTCCGAGCCTCCTGCAAACGTTGAATTGTTTCAATCGGACTCCTCTGGATGGCTGGCCTGGTATGCTCTAGTCATGATGAACATTGCTTTGGAACTTGCAAAAGAGAATCCCGTTTACGAAGATGTGGCATCGAAATTCTTTGAACATTACTTGCTCATTGCTGATGCAATGTCCTACTTGGCCCCTCCAGGCGTTTCCAATGAAGAAACTCTCATCCCTACCCCGGAGTCTTTGTGGGACGAGGAAGACCAATTTTTCTATGACAAAATTCATTGGGGAGGTAACAAAACCTCTGCCATGAAAGTTCGTTCTTTGGTCGGACTGATTCCGTTGTTTGCAACTTCTACTCTTGAGCCTGAGCTACTTGAGAGGTTCCCGAACTTCAGAAAAAGATTGAATTGGCTGATTGAAAACAAGAAGTACCTCATTGAAAGGAATATCGCATCTATGGAAACGAAAGGTTCAGGAGACAGACTACTGCTTTCCCTGGTCAGTAAGGAGCGTTTCATTGCAATCCTAGAAAAACTGTTTGACGAGAACGAATTTTTGGCACCGTACGGTATTCGGTCACTTTCGAAGTATCACGAGAAAAATCCCGTTTCCATGGATATTAGTGGCCAAGTGTACACCATCAATTACCTGCCAGGAGAGTCTGACTCTGGTCTCTTTGGAGGAAACTCCAATTGGAGAGGACCGATTTGGTTTCCTACAAACTTTTTACTGATCGAATCGTTACTTAGATTCTATCTATATTACGGTTCTGATCTCAAAGTTGAGGTTCCAAAGGGCAGCGGACAACTTATGAATTTGGCACAGGCAGCCGAAGAGATCCAACAGCGTCTGATTCTTCTGTTCTTACCAAATGAAAATAATGAACGTCCATATCAAGGTCCGGTCAAAGATCCATTATTGAGCAGCGAATACTTTAAAGAGCTTGTCAACTTTTACGAGTATTTCGATGGAGACACTGGACGGGGATTGGGTAGTAAGTGGCAGTGTGGCTGGACAGCTCTCGTTGCTCGGTTCATCCAGGATGTGGGAGTTGCCTGTAGAACTCCCAACAGACCGCGGCGCAGGAGGTCGTATTACGACGAGGAGGAGATCAAAAATTATACACCTAGGCCATCTCCATTTCCGTTGCTTGTTCGGCGCAAGTCTGGTAAGTCGCTATTGAATCTTACTGCAGAAAAGCTGGATATTGAAGACGACGAGAAGGCCGTACACAAAGTTCCAGGCCTGAGCCGTAGAACATCAACTAAGACCATGAACTCCGATGCGGACCAACACGAAGACCTGATGAAGCAAGTGCGTGATGCAATGGCCAACTACAAAGTGGAAGACGAAATTGTTGTTTCTAGTGAGGAGTTCGAAACCCAGAAATGAGCATATATATATATTTATTTGAATTTGCTGATAATTGTAAGGAAGATCAACATTATAAGGACAGCGATAATTCCATAGGTGATTATCTTGTTTGTTGCGAGGCGGCGAGTCATTGTTTTCAAAGTAGCGAGCGATCTGTCCACATAGGTGTCAGCCTCGGTCAAAGTTTCGCGCGCGTTCAAGATCTGCTCTCTCTGCGAACGCAGGTTATCTAGAATACCGGTGCCCACTGTTTCGGTTTCGAGAGCTGTTCGTGTGGCGTCATTGAGCCTTTGCGTGGATCTGTCAATCGACGAATGAGAATTGAGCAGTTTCTGTCTTTGGTTGTAATCGTCTTCGTTGCTGACTCCCAAGAGATTCACCCTATCGTTGTCGTCCATCAGCGATTTAAGGTCGGACTTGAGTCTTTCGAGGTCTTGCTTATACGTTCTAGTCTTGGCATTGTAGGAAGATCTTTGGTGGGTGGCAAGCTGCTGTACTTCGAGGGACATGGAATCGATAAGGTCATAGCCGTCGTCTATGAGTTTTTCGACCTCTCTCATGAGATCCACGCGTGTATTTTGATCTGCCAAACCGTATATCTGGTTAAGTTTTTGCTGGGCCTCCGAATAGGCCAGCTTGAAGTCGGTCTCATAGTTCTCAAACAAGGACATGGCGAATTATTCCAGATAATGCTGTACTTATTTTTCTAACGCCGATCGACGCCTCTTTTCTCCGAGTGCTCCATAACCGGCGCCCGAGCCAGTAATTTTCAAGACTAAAGTAATCTACATCAGAAGTCCTTCATGAGAATCTCAGCATTAAGGGTCACCAGGCCCTTGTTCAGGGCGCCGTTGATACGTGCGACTCCGTATATACAAACAAAGTGGATACGACCACTCCACTCAACTACTCCTGCCTTGCACGGACATATCAAAAAGCCGAACCCCGGAGAAGAACTGCACATCACTTTCATCACCAAAGACGGATCACAGAAAACATTTGAAGTGGCTGAGGGCGACTCGATCCTTGATATCGCCCAGGCAAACCATATTGATATGGAGGGTGCCTGCGGAGGCTCGTGCGCCTGCTCGACGTGCCATATTATAGTCGATCCTGATTACTATGATTTAATCCCCGAGCCCGATGATGATGAGAACGATATGCTGGATCTGGCCTTCGGACTTACCGAAACGAGTCGTCTGGGGTGCCAGGTGCATATGACCAAGGAGTTGGATGGCATCCGCGTGGCTTTGCCGGCGATGACAAGAAACTTGCAAGTTGGCGATTTCAAATGAGCTGAGCGTCCTATGTAATAATAATGGCTCTATAATGACATTCCTATCTATCATTGCAGATTTTTTCCAAAACTCATCTTGGCCACCTCGATCGGCACATTCAGCACTGCACTGTTGGTGGTGTGTTTTTTGAAGCCCAGCTTTAACGTCAGGTAGTAGAGTTTGGTGAGGTAGCATATGCTGAAGCTAGGCAACAACGTCAGCTTTCGAATGGTAGCGTAGTCCCAGTTGAGTTTGATCTTGAACCTAGTTGAGTATCCCTCCCTGGTTTGCACCCATTTTGGCTGGCTCCGCAAGATTACCTCTTCAAAGACCGGTAAAGTTTTCTGCGCCAGGCCGATATTTGAGAGAGATATCAAGTCGTGGCACAGCTGTTTTTCTATGCCTCGCCCCGTCTCTCTAGCAAGCGATTTCAGCTCTGCAAGATAACTCGAAAATTCGTCTTTCACACCTATTATAGCGTTCGCCGGGGTCTCTGCCTGGAGCAGAAAGTCCGGATCAAAAGTGACGGGAATAGGTGATGGCGAGGAGATTGTGCACGACTTCAAAGCTGGACGCACGTACACAATCTCCGGAGGGTGCGATGAGGTGGAATCCAGCTGTATTTCCACCTCATTGGAAAACGGAATAGACTCCAGTTTGGAGACCAGTTCATTAAGTGTATCGTCATTTAGCGATTTCAGACTGGTGAGCGAGCTGACGGGGGCAAGCTCGTCCCCGTGTTGAGATGTCACGGGACTCAGAACTGGGGATTGGAGCGGCACTTGCGAAAGAACCGATGCCTTCTGCTGCTCGATCTCTGTCGACGAGATCTTGGAGAGCACGCTGGGCACAATGTAGCCGAGTCGCACATTTTTGCTTATCGATGCCTTGAACCTGAGTTGGCTAGGTTTTTCAGATGATTTGGCGTTTGGGAATCCAAATAGCTTTTTCTTGTAGAGCGGAAAAGTGGTGCTATTTTGGTAGCTGTCTGTAGCGGGCGAAATTATTGGCTCTGCAGATAAGTCTATATTTGTTTTCTTGAGCTTTTCGGTGGCCGTGCTGAGCTCGTTGACGTCGTGCTCGTTCTCGACTCCTGCTGAGTGCAAGAATTTGATCTTTGTGAGCTTCTCTATTGCCTCCTCGGCAGCTCTGGCAATTCCTTCCAATTGCTTCTTGGTGGGCTGTTTTGCCAGGCTCTGGTTGTCTTTGTAAGAGGGTAAGTCTAGGGACTCGTCAGGTATGAATCTGAAGAAATGCTGCTCGTCTTTTATCATGATGAATTTTTTCATCGGGTCGTTCTTGTAGATGTCTTGGTACTTGCCAATCATGCGCACTGAGATGGCATATGATACCGACTGGCCGTTTTCACTCTGGTCGTTGAGCAGAATGGGCGAGCCAATGTCCTGCAGCCGGCCGTATCCCAGCGACTCGTTGATCGTGATGTTTCTGGCTCTGCCGTTGAAACTATCGCGGTCGAGCCCAAACGAAGGTGGCAGCTTCTCAAAGTGCTCGTAGATGTGGTGGTCACACGAGTTTTCGAGCAGTGTCTCTGGCAGTCTGAAATAGAAGAATTTCTTGTGTTTGCTCCCTGGCTCAAGCACCTTCGATTCGGGAAAGCCGTAATAGGTCTCGTCGAACGGGTCGTACGTGCACTGCGTGGGTGTGGGGAAATTCGCCGTCGGATAGAACCCGTCCATGTAGCATGCTCCGAAATCGAACATCTTCAGAAACGTGCGTTTGGTCACCTTGTTGGTCATTATGGACGGGATGGTGACGTAGCCTTCGAGCGACACCAAAAACATCTCAAAAGGAATTCTGGTACTTGAGGGATTGTGCACGGTCACACAGCCAGTGACGATATCGCCAGCATGGAACTCTTTCAGGGGATTACCTCGCTCAATGCTCTTCCCCATCTGAGGGAAGGTTTTGGTGGCTCTGATGGTGATCTTGACGGGTGAAGCGATTCTGTCCAGCTGGTCCAGATTGTTGAGCAGCAGTCTCTCGTTGTCTCGCACATGGAGTATTTCCTGGTTGTGCACGGTGTCGTTTGGCCTGTACGAAGGAGGATCCTCGTTTACAGCGGTGTGGTAGTCTGGAAGTCCATCAGCGCGCGAAAACTGCTCGATCTGCGTCAATGTGCGGTTGAGCAGCTCGTTGTCGGTCTCAAACGTTGGCAGAACATCGTGGGGAATAACTTCGGAGTCTGACATTTTCGCAGAAGCCAAATTTAAAATAAAAAGCTTTTAATTTAAATGCATAATTATTTTTCATCTGATCTATAAATGGCCATCGTGTTCAAATGGCCCTGGCTGGGCATAGCGGTAAGTACGCGTACGAGCCGTCTTCTAATACAATAGATACCTAGTCTGCTCATTGCGTCCATCCAGGCGTGTGCCCACTATCTGTTCTACAGAGACCGCGTCGATCAAACTAAGCTCCTGATTCTCGCCGTACTGGTCTGGTCTTCCTACTACCTAGCGATCTACACGTCACCAGGACACCCGCCCAGCGGCTACACAGTGGACAAATCCCAGAAACCGCAGAAACAGTGGTACAAATACTGCTCCAAGTGCAAACATTACAAACCAGAGAGGACTCACCATTGCAAAACGTGTAGACGCTGCGTTCTGAAAATGGACCACCACTGTCCTTGGACAATGAACTGCGTTGGACACGAGAACATGCCCCACTTCATGAGATTCCTCACCTGGGTCCTCGTAGCTGTCTCTTACACCTCTTCATTCTTGGTGAGAAAATTATCCTCCTACTACAAAAACAGAAACCTGCCGGCTTATTTGGTCAGCAAAAAGGAGCTTGCTCTCGTGATTGTGTGTACACTACTGTGTGTGTTTGTCTTGTTCACAATTGGAATTCTCTTCTTGCGTACTCTTTTCAATCTTGCCAGCAACGAAACCACAATAGAAAGCTGGGAACGCGAAAGAGTGCACTCGCACTTCTACACGGAAAAGTTCTGGACCAAGGTGAGAGCAAACTATCAGAGAATTCACAGTAAGCCACTTCCAGAACTGACGTCTTGGAAAACCAATTACAGAGAACTGAAACGCGACTCGCAGATTCCTCCAAACTTCTCATTCGATGACCTAGTTTTCCCCTACGACACAGGCTCCGCGTTCCGGAATCTGTGCATGGCTCTTGGACCAGTGCATCTCTGGCTTTGGCCATGGGGGAGACCCAAAGAAAACGGAATTGATTTTGAAAAGGTCAATGAAGACGAAGACCAGCTTAATCTGCCTTGGCCTCCAGATGGCTCCAATTACGACATCGACTCTTCTGACGAAATAACCGTCTCTTCATGGACTAACGATCTCGGCGAGACTCTCGATGACTTTGGTGTGGACCTGGCCACAGAACCTTATGAAGCACCAAAAGATATCTGATCACAGTCTGAAATATTTTATTATACACAAATTCCTAAAAAAACCATCATTCAGCCTGGTTATGGGTGTCAGCACTAGTGTGATCGGTCTGCGAAGGGCCGCCTCCGGAAACAACAGTGTCTAGCCCCGTGCTCACCGTGTCTCCTGCAGAATCAATCAATTTGCTTCCCGCTTGCTGATAAGCCTGCGGACCTTGCTCTATCCAAGCTTTGAACTGCTTATTAGCTTCTTCGATCTCGCCTTCGTCCAACTCCTTTCCAAGTCCAAATTCGCCATCTAGGACTTCCTGTAAACTCTTCATCCTGACTTCTTTGCTCAAGCGCTTTTCATCCTTACTGAAAGCAGTGTCGCGCACGAAAACATCGTAAGAGCCCGGCTCAAACACCAACCTATACGTCTCTTTATCTATTTTGACCTTCAGCTTGGAGTCTGCGATACCATCAATCTCTCCCTCCTCTTCCTCTTCCTCTTCAACGTTGGACTTCAAAAACGGAAGCAGAATAGCGTTAGGATCAATGCCTTCTGTAGGATGGGACATGGCATAACTGGTGAGATAGTAATTCCACTTCTCTTCCGGCGTCTTTGAGTCATCGCGAATCGTGGTATCGTCCAATGCCAAGAATGTAATGGTAGTGTCGTTCGAAGCCTTGTTGAAGACAATTTTGAACATGTTCTCATCTGAGGCCATCAGATTGCGGACCTGCATTCTATAGATGATTTGGTCTCTTGCGGTCGTCTTGGAGTTGTTGCGGTCCTTCTCCATCAGCAAAACCATTTCGGTGCACTTTGAGTCACTAATAATGTTGTGACAGTGCTTCAAAAGACCTGAAATAACCTTATCCACAGTGAACAGCTTGAAAGCTTTGTTGCGGAATCCTTGACGGAGGGTCTCTTCAAAATTGTTTTGGTCCAAGGAGCCCTCAATGACTTTTGCGCACAGTTCCAGAGCTTCATTGTACGAGTCGTCACCCTTAATATTGATACCCATCTCCTCTAATTGGTCATTGATCAAACCCAAATCCTTAGCAAAGGGTGTCACCTTTCTCGACTTGATTTCTTTGTTCACGCTCGGAGCCATCTGTTTGATTTCAAGCAGACGCTCATAAAGAGTGTTCAAAAAGCGGTAGAACACATAGAGCTGGGTGTTACAGAACATGTTGAACTCGATACGATCGTCACCATATGAGATGTTTGGTTTATCATTCGTGATCCAGTTTGTTTGAGCTCTCTCAACTTCACCGTCTTCTTCGCCCTGCGAAGCGATTTGAGCAGAGCCCGCGGAATCAGATCCCTCATCGCCATCATTCTTCTTAGGTTTCTTGACCTTGTTCAAGACATCCCTCAAAAGATCATTATCTCTTGATCTCTTTTTCGATTGAGATAGAGTAGGAATAGCTGGCGCGGCTTCGTTATTGTCGGGATCTTCCTTTTGGGCCTCCTTCACTTGACCGACAGATCTTCTTGCCATAGCGTTATCGATGAATTTGGAATCTAAGAAGAAGAATTTGGCAATGAAAGATCTGAGGAACCCTTCAAGTTTTTCCTTATCATACTGGGAATAAGTCTGGCTGTGCGATAAGTAGCAGTCGACTAACTTGAGAATGTCCATGAAAACCTCGAAATCATCGTAATGATAACTTAATTGCGGAGCTGGAATAGGCATCAATGGGTGCAACTTCTTTTGCATTTGCTCTTGCTTGATGGTAGAGATCTCACTAACTAGTTGCTTGTTGGTCAAAAGCTTCTTGTCTATTTGCTTGAATGTTAAACCAAGGTGGTCAAGAGACTTGTAGAAAGCCTTTTGTTCCAATTCCCTCCAGATTTTGTTCCATTCACGATGAGCTCTCTTCCATTCTTCATCCTTTTGCTTGAGCCTTTTCAAAACAACCGGAACAGCAACAGCAGGATTTTCGTGAAGAGCCTCAATAACTTCAAAACCCTTATCCTTATCATACACTTTTCTGATCACTTTCTTGTATATCGTGACAGACGTGTGGCCAAGCCCTGGTGGAAGCTTGAACTTGGCCTTTTCATCCGGTGTCATATTTGCCAGTCGGTTGGCAATCGTCTCAAGCGTTTGAATAGTTCTAAGGTTGGCTTCCATGTAAAAGTCATATTCGTGTCTTTCTTCTTCAATTCGGAACAGAATATCCTCATACTGATTCTTACGATGAGCAATGAATCCAGATTCCTCGGAAGCCCAAACAGGGTGTCCGGCCCATTCGTCATTTAAAACTTCCCAACACATCTCATCTCTGCCGGAACAAGGCATGTATGTTTGTGATTTTGGAAGCAGTCTGTATGATGGGCCGCACGCTTTGCACATCATGAGGTCCAACTGCTGTTTCTTGATAGCAATATTCTCAATATGAAGAGGTTTCTCCTCCCACCCAACAAAGGATTTGAACCAATCAAAGAGATCAGGGAAGCCACCAATGAATCCTTCCGCTTTCTCAACCAACGTGTCCTTGTCGATAACTTCGCTGGTATAAAGCCTGAGAAACTTGAGAAACTCATTGTAGGTCTGCTTGTTGTTGATAGCCTTTTTCACCTTATCGAAGAATGTAATCTCATCGGTGAGATCAGACTCAACAGCGTTCGGATAAACAGGCTCCGGAACACCTGGCAACAAAGAAGGGTTCTCTTCCTTCCGTCTCGGCTGCAAAGAAGCACGTATGTTGGACACTGGAGGCTCATCATACGGCTGCGTCATCTGATAAGACTTTTGCGTGGGAATAGATTGAGATAGCTGCTGTGAACCCCACCTCTTCTTTTTATCTTTAGGAGGCATTTGAGGCACAGGCTGGCGGAAGGTTGGGGGCTGGAAGCTTCCAACGGGAGGAAGTTGAACATTCGACTGCTGCGGTTGGGTTTGTGAATGAGGCTGACCTAGATGTCCTGCCTGTTTCCCATCATAATACACCTGGCCGTAGTTGTTGTATTCGCCTAACTGCGGCCCTTGCATCCTTCCCTGTTGATCCAGAACAGGAGCCGTCGTATCCGGCATGAAGAGTTTGAAATCCTCCAACAAGTCGGGGGCGTCTCTGAACAATACCGAAATCTCTCGGTAAACATCGTCAATCGGTTTTATTCCTTTTTGGTACATTTGCAGATTTTCGAGGAAATGCTTGTAGATGTCCGGCTCGTTGGCGTACCTCTGTTTGATCTTATTCACGTAATTGATTGCTTGATCAAACTCAGCGGGGGATCCCTGCTTCACCTCCTGCTGCTGAAGTGGCTGAGAAGGAGCCTGCTGTTGAGCTTGGTAATATGGAGGCTGTTGGCCACCATTACCTAGCATCTGGTGATATTGCGACTGGGATTGCTGGGGATATTGGTACTCGAGCTGAGCAGTAGGATGCTGATTTTGGGGGTCATAAGGAACCGGACCTGGGTCCTGTCTCACAGTCTTCCCCATTGGGGTTGTAACGATGATGGTGTTTGGATCGGCAGAAGAACACTCGATGGCGAAACCTTGAGGCAGAAATGTATTGAATCCATCAATCAGCTTGGGATGGCCTCTGAACAGCGTAGACACTCTTTCAATCACCCCAGGAGTATCGATACTGCACAATTGTTAGTAAAAATGGAAAAAGAATGGAAGATCAGGTTTGGGATGGGAAACGGGAGGAAAGAAAAGAAAAAACCACACCAAACCGGACCCACCAAAAAAAACAAGCGGTGCAAGGTGTACTTACTTTTGGCTCTTGAAGTCCTTCATTATGTCCAGAAAGTTGTTGTAGACGTCTGTCTGGTTCTGGAACTGGATCTTGACCTGGTCAAGGTAGGACAGGGCGTCTTTGACGTTCAAAGGACGATACGATTGAGCTGTGGCAGCAACCTGTTGTGCCGCCTGGTGTTCTGCCTGTCTCTGAGCTTGCGACTGGTCCTGCGTGTGCTGCTGAATGGCAGTAGAGACCAGGTTTTGGTGCTGAGTCGACGGGGAGGCCATGTTTATGTTTTCGGAAAGCTGGTTTGTTAGTTCTCTGCGCTAACGCAAATTTGATAGTTTCACTTACGTGCTGATTGTCCATATTCTGGACCGAGTATCTGCCCAGATTGTTGATTCCTGGGAGGGAGGGCAGAGAATAGAGCTGTTGACCCGTTGTCATGGGTCTGTGTTCCATCTGATACTCACCATTTTCGAGCGAGCTCGGAGGCGGGAGAACAGGGGCACCTTGCTGACGGCTGCGGATGTTAGTAGGCGTACTCCTGGCGCGCAACATACCTATATGACTGCAAGTTCGCAGGCTGATGGTCTGACGACTCCTTGTTTTGCCACGAATCTTGTGTTGACATTGGGCAAAGAAGTGTTGGTTGATCGGAAAACACTGAATGTAAACGCAAGACACGCCCCAAGAATAGCTAGAGATGTATGCGAGCTTGCAACTAGTTTTCACTGAAATGAAACTTGTGTTCGTCTGAAGCAGAAAAAAGATATTTGAAAAAGCGTGTGCGTGAAGCGGGAGCTATCAGGTCGTGCACCACCAAAGGAAGGACCTCTCAGGCCGGGTGACAGGGGCGTCGAGCTACAGGGCTGTAGCGGAGCCGACAGAAACTTCCTCTGTTTCAACGTAGGTGGGAAGCTCGCAGCGATGCGATTCTTCAGAAGGTTTGTCGCCTCGGCTTCCGCACCCTGGCTATTCTCAGGCGAGACTCAGGCCGGACAATTTACACACCTCTACACCCCGCTCAAAAATTTATCAACACTTCTTTTGCTCACCAATGAACGCCCCAGATCGGTTCGAGCTATTCATCCTTCCCGATGGAGTGCCAAAGTACGTATTGACCCTTGGAGATCTAACCGGCCAGGCTTCAGATCACACCGGACTCGAAAGTGCCGAGCTGTGTGCTCATAAAGTTCGAGAGAGAAGACCACACGCTGGGCAACTTGCTCAAACAGGAGCTTGCCAACGACCCACAGGTGCTCTTCGTGGCCTACAAAGTGGAGCATCCTTTGTTTGCCAACTTTGTGATGAGGTTGCAGACAGAAGAAGGTTACAAACCCCGGGTTGCTCTTAAGAACGCATGCACTAGACTGATCTCGAAACTGGGCATTCTCAATGACAAATTCAAACGCGAGTGGGAGCTGAAGGCATTGCTTGCCGAGGGCGAGTCGGACGACATATAATGTACACTAGATATAGACATACTCACTGCTTACTTGAAGGTATTTTTACGCATTTTGTTATACATGCTAACTATTTCCGCCTTTCATATCGATATCTTATCTCTGAGAGCGTGCTTCATAAAGTCATACTTGACACTGAAGTACTCGTCGGGACTCTCGTAAAAGTTACCGTGGCTGAGAACGTAGTCCAGAGGAAGGGTCTCGATCTCCTTGGACGGCGTAATATGCGTTAGGTACTGGCCCAGCTCGGAAATGACCATCTTGTGGTGGTCCTTGAAGTTGAATTGATAGCTGCCGTTGCTCAATTCAAACATGATGTGATTATCATCTCTAGTGTATCTGCGCAGAAAGACGTCTTTGTTGCGGCTCGAGGACTTGCGTGCTCCAGACGAGACATCGGAAAGGTGAGCAGTCATATACTTGCGGAAGAAATCCACCACTTCGATTTCACGCGACAACAAGGACGGCGTGGTTTCCTCAGTGTAGTGCGCAACTTGCCAGCCTTCCTCGCTTGAGCTCGAAATGTAGAAGACATCCGTCGTGTCAACCATTTTGAGGACGGTTTGGCCTGTATTGAACAAAACTCCAATCGCACCGGACGAGAGCTGGTACGAAAAACCATGCTTGTTAGAGTAGTCCACCCACTTGCTAACCACGATCGGCTTTTTCATGGCTCTCGCATCCGGCCTCAGTTTCTGCTCCTCGATCTCTTTCATGTTCATCAAGGTAGCGGATAAGGTGTCGTTTAGAATGCGCATCATCTGGTTCTCTGGATGAGAGTTGGCCAGCTCGTTGGTGATCCGACTTCTAACTGTGTTCCTCACTGCAACCGGGGGAATCTCCTTGTACTTGTTTTTGGTATTATTAGGCGACAGAGAGTGAGGGAGAAGCGTTTTTGGCTGCTCACTTTCAAGATCAGTCTTGAGGATCTCAACAGGGCTCCTGTAGGAGTCGTTTATTCCCACCCGCTGCTTGCACGTAGCAAAATTGATCAGGGATTCCTCCTTGGTTATGAAAGCAAGATTCTTTGGGACTTGTTTGAGCGACTCGGTGGAGATTTTGGCAGGGAATGGTCCACACTTGAACCAGTCGTGCTCAAGAATCTCGTCTAGCGAAGGTCTTAGGGTTGGGTCGGTCGAAAGCAGCTTTGTGATCAGGTTCTTGGACTCCGCTGACGCAGAAGAGTCGGCAGGGAACTTATACTCGTTATTCTTGATCCGTTCATAGATGACTTGAACATCCTTGGCCTGGAAAGGGGGCTTGCCAAAAAGCAGTGCGAACATCATGATTCCAATGGCCCAGATGTCAACCTCGAAACTGTGGCCGGTGGCTTTGCCACCTAGAACCTCGGGAGCAATGTAGTTTGGGGTTCCACAGATGGTATATCTCTTGTTTGTGGACGGGCTCACAACGGTGGCCAGGCCGAAATCGCCAATCTTGACATTCATGTCAGGATCAAAAAAGATGTTTCCAAGCTTCAGGTCTCTGTGAACAACTCTTCTTCTGTGAAGATACTTAATGGCTCCAATAATCTGGACCATAAATAAGCGCACTTCCGGTTCGCTGAGAACCTTTCTCGCTTTAAGCAGGTCCATCAACGACTGATTAGGGCAGATTTCCAGCAAGATGTACACATTCACATCGTCTTCGAAGCAGTCCACAAACTGGACAATGTTAGGGTGAGACATGCTCTTGTGGATCTTGATTTCGCTGAGAAGCTTCGTTTTGGTCTTTTCATTTTTGATAGACGCCTTGGCCACTGTCTTGGCTGCAAAAATTCGACCAGACTCATCTTTCATCTGGAAGCACCTTGCAAAGCCACCTTCCCCGAGAAACAGACCCCTATGATAACCTCTTCCGTTTCTGGTGCGCACAACGCTTGGCGGAGTCTTACAAAGCGAACTGAGTTTCTCCTTTTTCTTTTTGCTCTTTGTCTCGGGCTTGGAAATAGAGCTGCGAACCGGCGTCTTAATGATTCCATTAGACGGTGTAGCTTTGGTATTCAATTGGACGTTATTCAACGCCTGCAGGGCTCTTCCGGTGCTCATTAGTACAAGGAGTCGAGATCGACGCAGCTGGGTGAAATGAGCTTCTTTTTAAGTGTTAATTGGACGTCCTTAATTGGGAAAATAAAATATTCTTGTTTACTTTGATTGTTTACATGTTTCCCGATCGGGGCGAAATAGAATTATATATCACAAGCCACATGTATAGCCACATGTACAGCCTCGTCCGATAGATAACCGTTGCATACTATTTACAGGTGTTAGGCGCGTTGTCTACCTGTCAAAATGAACATCCTGTCCGCAGACGTCCCTGATCAAGGACTTACTTCTTTCTTGTATTATCTCCTCCACTTCAATCTCGTTCTGGAATCGGTTTCTGATCTGTTCGGCAGAAGCCCTCTTCTCTCTGAGGCTTCGCGTCATGTCCTTCAGTGCATACGGGTCAATTCTCAAAAGTCGGTTTCTCTCTTCCTCGTCCATTGCCAACTCTTGCGTCTCGACCTCTTTCACCATTTCATCTGCCTGGCCTAGACAGTATTTGATGCGGCTGGCTCTCGCCCGCCATTGAGGAATCAGCAGGTCGTCCACAAACTGCTGGCAAGAGTCTCTACGGGGCAATATTGAGTGGCGGGAGCGGTTTTCGTGATGTTTAGTTATGCTGTTCAATCTGGTGCGCAAGGTATCGTCAAGAAGCGTTCTTGAAAGGCGCAAAAAGTCCTGTAGCGACCGCGACGACTCAATACAGAGCTGGCGGTTGATTTCTGGCGGCACAGGAACTTCGTTCTCAGGAGCAAAATTCAGTTCTGAGGCTCCGCCTCTGGTCCACATTATTTAGCTGTGAGTATTTTTTTTGGATAAATTATATTTCATTGCCATCGAACTTCGCATCGAAGCGGACGCATTTGATTTTCCAATTTCACTCGACAGAAGCTTCTCTCTTCTGTAGTGACATTACCGTCTTCATTGAAGAGCGTCTTTTCATACCACGTTTGGCGATATCCTTTAGACCATTTCTCTCCAGGCTGTGCTTATAGATTCCTCTCTAGAGTATTTTAGCATGTCGGTACAAGAACTCAGACTAAAGGGCAACGAGAAATTCAAAAACTGCAATTATCCAGGGGCCTTGATCCACTACACCGAGTGTCTAAACCTCGATCCAAGCGCCTATGCTATCTACTGCAATAGGGCGGCGGCCTTGATCAAACTGGATTGCATGAAAGAGGCAGAAGAGGATCTGATCAGATCTCTGGAAATCAACCCAGACTATGTCCCCAGCTTGTGCAGACTCGGGTTCCTTTACCTTTACGAGGGAAACACTGTCAAATCATTGGAAAACTACGTGAAAGCCGTCCAAGTCTGCGCTAGAGAACCGCACCAGCTGGACAAATTCAAAGGACGGCTGAAAGAGGCCGTCCGTCTGGCAGAAGGTCGCGCAAAACAACAGGGATATCCGCAAGACTACATTGACAGCATTGTCCCCTCCACAGTGAGAGCGATTTTGGACAATTACAGGGGCTTGACGGGCGAAGATGCCGGGCAAAGTACAGTGTCCAGTAATGCTACGAATCCATCCGGAGATTCGTCAATACCCCGTGGGCGCAGTTTTGCAACCGCGATCACGGGTACCCCGATGTCGTTGGCCAGCCTTTTCGGCCAGGGACTGAACCGCGGGGTGAACACCTCCATCCGAGTCGAGACTGGGCAGCCGTCACGTGACGAGAATCAGGCGGACAGAATGGACGAGGATCCAGAGGTGGATATTTCCGACGTGGAAGCTACTAATCGGCAAATACACGAGCGGGTCCAAAACTTCATGAGACAACAGCAGGACCAGCCTCTGCAGCCCATGGCGCTAGCCCGGAGCCTTGCATCAACCATCACGTCGCAGTTCCAGAACGAGCCTCAAGGAGGAAATCTGGCAGACCAGATAGCTCGCGGAATTTCGACTTTCATGGGGCAAACACAGGGTGAACCACAGCAGTCAGCACCAGCGCACTCGTCAACGGGAGACAACCTGCAGGAAATGGGCGGGCTTCAAGACGATTTGGACTGAGAGTATAATAATAATGTAACGTTTGCTGTATCAATTAATCATATTTAAATCAGCTCAGATGCTTCCAGATCTCTTCAACTGAACGTAAGCAGCAAAAAAAGGGAGACCCATTCCAATAGCTAGTTGTTAGTGACGGGGCACGAAAGAGTTGAGAACTTACCGAAAAACAAGAAATGTGGGACGGCGTATGGAATTCTTCTGTTGTGAACCTTAAAAGGTAGGTTGCTGTATGGACCCTCTGGGAAGTGGTGGCCGTTGAGCTTGGCCACAGAGGACGAGAATTGTCTGGTACTTTGTCTGGACTGTCTTGCAATGGCTTTGGCGAACATGTTTGGAAAGAAGAAAAATTAGCCACAGAGAAATTTGTTTTTTGGTGGCAGGCGGATGTCCTGGCAGGGCCAGCTCGCGAATCCGCGAGCATATATTTTTACCAGGCTTTTTTCCTCTCTGCTGAGCTGCTCTTTTAAAAATTCCCTCCCCTTGATTGGCTCGCAAGAAAAATAATACGATTTTCCAGCAGTTTCAGTGGCGGTGTGTTGTGGCTAGTTTCGACTAACAGTGCAAAAATTAAAACAAACTCTCACCACTAGTACATCTATAGTCTATCGCAAACATGGCTATCGCTCCAATTCAAGGTTTCATGAAAAGAAGAATCATCACAGACATCTCGATCGGTAAGTCTTCATATTTTGTGTGCTTTTGAATGACCTGTTACTAACTTTTCAGGTATCAGTACTGGTCTCGTCTTTGGAAGTCTGTGGTGGTGGGGATACCACAAGCCGTCTGTTGCTAAGAGAGAGGCATACTACGCCGAGTTGGCCAAGAAGAAGGAGATTGAAGATTCTGCTTAAACCTATTTGGTATAGAACAATTAAATGACCATACACTGATCACTTCGAGTCGACCTAATGGCGTAAAAACGTGTAAGGATGCGTAGCTGAAAACTTATGGGTGTTTTGTTTGATACCAAAACGGTTCCTCAGACATCATTGGCAGATCTGGCCGCCATTTTTCGGTCAATTGGTGTCTCAGGGGCGACCAGTGACCATCTCTTGGTGTTACAGCACAGTATTTCTCGATTGTTAGACACCCTGGCTAGTTTTTCCACTTTGAAGAAAGTGACCAAAATCAGCAAGGTGGTTTGGATTGACGAGCAGAATTTCGATCATGAACACATGGAGACCATCTCGTCCAGCATAGTATTTTTGTGCGATGGCGGGTTTGAGATTCTGGATGCCATTGCGGGGATTTTAAAGCGCAAGATCCTTCCTTTCAACAGGACTTCAAAGATCTCATTAATTGTAGCCAATCGACTGCCTTCCGCCACAGACCTCGCCATCGAGAATCTTGGCATTAAGGGTGACGTGAAAGTCTATCATTGGTCGAGCCTCAGACCCATTGCACTGGAGTCTGACATCTTAGACCTCTGTTTGCCTCAGGGTGGCCTGGGCGAACTATTTTCAGGTTCAATTAATCCATTGGATGAGTTGGCAGGGTCTCTTTTGGACCTGGTGATAAACTCAGGCTACAAAGTGCGCATTACGAATACATTTATCAAGGGAGAACACTCGTCCAAACTCTGGAACATTTACCAAAACAAGTACCAAACACACCTAACAAAAGTCGACCCGAAGACTAAAAAGCGTATACAGGACCAAGACGAGACTCTATTTGTCGACCAGCACTCTTTTTTCAACCGGAATGTCGATTTTGTTTGTCTGGACCGGTCTGTCGACTTGGTCAGCGCCGTGCTTACGCAACTGACATATACAGGACTATGCCATGAGACTCTCGGAGTGCAGCTGGGCATGGTGTCCGTACCAGAGGAAAATCTCAAGCTTAGATTTGGAGACTTCAATGACGAGATCTACCAATTGGTGCGGGATCTCAATTTTTCGATGGTGGGCTCGGTACTGAACTCGAAGGCACGCACATTGCAAGTCGAGTATGATAAACGTAACAACCTTACGGACATTGAAGAAATGAAGAAATTTGTTGGAGAGCTGAACAAGCTGAAAGAAAGCCAGAAATGTGTGCAGAAACACACCGTGGTTGCGGAGAGCATATTGAAGTCTGTGAAAGATGGTGACCTGGAGCGCCAAATCCCCGGGTTGGAGGCAGAGATGCCCACCAGTAATAAGTTCAATGCATTCGTGGAGCTACAGCAGGAAATTCTGAGCGACAGTCTAGACAATAAGCGGAACTGTGCTGCTATATTGGAATACATGTACCAATTCGAACCTCCTCTATCAGAGGTGTTACGACTGATGATCCTCACCAGCATTGTGAAGAGAGGCGTCCGAGAGCCGGAGTACGAACATATGAAAACAGAGATCTACCACATGTACGGGATGGACGCATTCAAAATTCTACTCAGAATGAAAGAACTGAAAATGGTGTATCCGCGTGAAAGTCTCTCCTTTCTGCCAACTAGTATGAGCGAAGAGGTGGTTACTAGTCCGCATCAGCTCATCAGGGATTTCTCATCCATTGGCAACGGCTTAAATCTTATGCCCGTCTCTGATCAGGTGGACCCAGCAAACCCTCAGGACGCCGACTTTGGGCTTCCTGGCTACGTTCCTATTATTACACGTCTTATCGAGGCAATATACTCTCGAGAGTTCCTTGCAGCCCCGCGCGATATGCGGGTGAGGAAGTACGGCTGGGACAATCTGGATCTTAGCGCATTAGATGGAGAGCTCAGGCAAGAGTTTCTGGTTCCAGAAACTAAGAAGTCCTTGTTCAATTCAACGATTCCACCTAAGGCAAGCCAGCTTGCCGACCGGAAAGATCTCATTATTGTCACCGTCGTGGGCGGAATGACCTACAGCGAAATCTCAACCATTCGATTCGTGCTCAATAAAAACCCTGTCACCAAATCAAAGCAGGTAATTTTTCTTACCCCGGGAATTATTACGGGGGTCGACTTGATTGACAGTTTAAGGTATAGATAAAAAATGGCAATATTTTTATGTAGGCGCATTTCGAATTTAACATGTTCTTCTTCTTTCTATTAGGAGGTTAGTAGATTTGAATGCCAGCCGCTAACAATCAGCTAAGTCGTTCAAAAAAGAGCTGAAACAGTATAGTGGTAAAAGGTTTTATTGCCCAAGATGTCATAACATCTCGATGGAGTATGTTCGCAATTGGAACTTCATTACCGTGTACTTCATCCCAATAATCCCATTCAGCTTCTATAAAGAGCTCTACTGCCCTATATGCGGCAACCATACAATGGATGCCAACATAGCTTGAGGAGTCAATCATAATACCCTTCGCCAAGCTTCTCCTCATACTGTTCCAAAAGAGCAACCAGTGCATAAAAGCAAGCCTTCAGTCCATCAGTGGCGGCTTGTTTCTTCGCATAAGAAAATGCCAGCCCCTTTGATGGCATCCATTGCGCCACCCCAAACCCTGTCTTCCGTGCTACCGTTCCGTCTGCCAATTGGAGACATGTGTCAATAGCATACTCAAGGTCGTACCGGTGCCCTCGTTCGTCGTCGAACTCGTGCTTTCTATATCGCACCACTCGCCCTGTTTCTTCCATCAGAGAGCTCTCCCATTGGTTGAACCCAAACGACTTATTCGCAATTTCTATCACCGCATTGATGGGCGCATTGGTGAACAAGGCAAACCCTTGGAGATGCCCAAACTTCTGTTTCTCATTGGATCTGCGCTCGAGGAGATGGTAGAAGGTGTTGATCGCGCCCACAGACCACACAGAGGCAGGTTTCAGGTCAACGCATCCCGCCCATTCCTGGATCTCGATGATATCCCACCCGGTGATATCAGGAAAGAACTGAACGCCGGGCTCTTCAGACGGAGGTCTACCTGCGTCCTCCTCGTATTGCTGTTCGAGCGACTTGCGCGTTAGCAGTTCGTGCCGTTCCTTGTAAAAACGGTCCGTTTCAGTTCTGATCAAATACATCCATTTAGTTTTTCTAACTAAAAAGGTCCCTTTATTTATTGTTTGATTACCTAATCACAGCCTCGTAGACTGGTTTGAACGGGGGTGTCAGTCCGTTGAAACGAGCAAATTGGTGGATGCCCTGGTTGACCAGCATTTCTCTGCCGGGAATGACCTTCCATCCGTACTTTGAGCCGGCCAGCTTCATGATCGGGGTCTCCAGAGGTTTGTAAGCGGCCTCCAAAAGCATTTTCGGGCTGCTACCCTTGGACAGGGCAGTCTCGATCTTCTCCTGGAAAGCCCGCTCGATCTCGTTGTCGCCTGGAATAGTGGACACAACGAGCAGAATCTGATCCATCTCCTTCACCGACTCAAGAGAATCAAGAACCTCGATATTGTACGACTCCGGGAAATGTGCTTTGATACCTGCAATCTTGGAAGCCGTTCTATTCAGAACGTAGATCTTCTGGCAACCCATCTGGTGCAGAGCAAACACAGCTGCACGCGAGGTTCCACCAGCACCGATCACCAGGCCGTTGCCTGTGATTGTGGAAGTGCAGCCGTTGTTAATAAAGGACTGAGTGATTCCTAGCCAGTCAGTGTTATCTCCCCTGAATTTTCCGTTCCCAATAGGAATCAGGGTGTTGATGGCACCAATGGTTTTGGCAGACTCGGAGAGCTCGTCTGCGTACCTCATCATGTCGACCTTCAGAGGGATGGTGATGGCACAGCCACCGAAGAAGGGATCAGACAGCACTTTGTCCTTGACCACCTGGGGGTCGGAAGTCTCAAACTTTCCAAACGTATGTGGTAAGCCAAACACTTCATAAGCTGCCTGGTGCAAGGCGGGCGATCTTGAGTGACCGATTGGCTCGCCAACCACACAAAAGTGTTTTGGAGTCTCCAGTCCAATCAAAGACCGTGCCTGGAAGATCTGTTTGATGCTCAACTGGCCCGGAGCCGAGGCATTTGGCAGACGCTCATGAGTCACCGGAGTAAGCACAGGATTCACCACACGCGAGTATTGTCCGTATTGTCCCATGTTGATTGCAATGAGAGGCTTTTCTGTGTGGGACTCTCTAAACTGCTCCAGAAGGTAATTGTCCTTGTACTCCTTGGCCATTCCAACAAATTTCACCACGTCGACGTTCAGACGTCTTGCCAGCAGGTGCTTGCTCTCCCACTCAGCAGAGTCCCATTTGAAAGCGCCGGCAAAGTCGTGATGAGACCCGATGATCTTGGTGAACCGTCTTTTGGAGCAAAGGGTGTCCAAAAGCCCTTCCGGAAGCGACAGCTCGAGGTCCAGGAAACCGACGCCTAATTTGAACGCCAGCTCGCACAGCTCCTGCACCTTTTCATAGTTGCCGTCGGGGAACCTTCCTCCTTGCGAAACGCTTCTTACAGTGAACACAATTGGCAAGCTAGTGTGATTCCTCAGCAGTCCAACCTGCTCTGAAACATCTGAGGCGTCGTAGGATTTGAGCAGATCGACACGAAGCTCAACTGCGTCGCAGCCGGTGGTGATCTCTTCAAGGTCGCTAAGAGCCTCCTTCAGATCTGGATACGTGAGACACACAAAGAAAGAGGTGCTCCGCGGCACCTCAACGGATTTTATTCCGGTGATCTCCTCGATGAAGAGCGCCATGGAGCGCTTCAATGTGTCAAACTCCTGTGGAGAGCTGCAGTGAGGCGAAAAAAAGTGGTAGTTCGAGCACTCGTCGTACCACCCGCGTCTTTTCTGCCACACAGACTCGATTTCTTCCTGGTACGCTGGCCTTGAAGTGTCTTTTTCCGAGAGGAAAGCGATGGTTTCGCCAATGTCTCTCTGCAAGTGCAGAACTATTCCCGCCCTGGCGTAGTCTTTGAGCAGCTCTCTGGCCTCTGGAGTCTCCACGATGCCCCCGCCAGTAGCTATCACGTGACCGCTACTGTGCTCCGTCACGTATTTTCTGGTGAGTTCCAGCTCCTTCTTTCTGAACTCCTCCCAGCTGGTCTCTTGCACGTACTGCTTGACTGTTTTTCCAACAATCTTCTCGAACTCCTCGTCAAGATCAACGTATTTGAAGCCGGTCCGCTGCGCAATCACCTTGGACATCGTGGTCTTGCCAGCAGCTCTCATGCCGACCACAACAATGCTTTTGTCGCCGTTCCGCTGTGCAGCAACGGACTCCGCTTGCGCCGGTTCGTAACCGTCCAGCTGGGCCCCGAACTGGGTGTGCAGAACGTCCCACCAGCCGGGCCACGTCTTGGCAGTGCACCTTCTCTCCTGAATGATCACTGGATCTTTGCAGAAGCCAGCTAGCAGCGAGAAACTCATGGCTACTCTGTGATCGTCGTACGGATAAACTCCTGGCTTCTCAGGGGTTTTGAGGTCCCTGTAGTCGATTCCATAAATCTGGATGCCGTCGTCGAGCTCCTCGGCCTTGACGCCGAACTTGGCCAGCTGCGTCCTCATGGCTGCAATTCTGTTGCATTCCTTGACACGCTGGTTGGCAATCCCCACAATCGAGGTCGGCTGAGCCTGGCCGTTGGCGATGGCAGCCACCACCGACGCTGTCAGGAACGCATCCGTCATAGGCTCCATATCAACCAGCGGCAGAGGTTTCAGTTGACCAACCGGAGGACCTTGCACAGTAGTAGACGTCTCTGTCTGCGTCACGGTACAACCCATAGGTTTGAGCACCTCGACAGCAAACCGGGAATCGCCCTGCAAGGAGGACGAGCCAATGTTGGGAATAGTGCACTTGGTGCCGTTCATGGCAGCAAAAGCCAGCGGATACGTGGCAGATGAGGCATCGCTCTCGATCACGTATTCCGGCGGATTCACATAGCTGCCCTTTGGAATGTGATACGTGTGCTCCTCGGTAGTCGACTTGGTCACGTGGATGCCGAACGCGCTCATCATTCTGATGGTCATGTCGATGTATAGCTGGGAGATCGGCTTGCCGCCAACAAGGGCCAGCGTGACCGGCTCGTCGGCGTACGGAGCACAGATGAGAATCGACGAGACGTACTGCGAGGAGATAGTAGCCTCCAGCTCGATTCTGCCGCCCTTGAGTCCCCGTCCACACCGGATCTTGAGCGGCAGCGAGCCCTCGTTGTTCTGGTACTCGATGCTCGAGCCATTGTCCCGAAGAGCGTCGACCAAAGGACCGATCGGCCGCTTCTGCATCCATTTGTTCCCAGTGAGAACCACGTGATCAAGGTCACCGTTCACGCCAACGAGCGAGGCAACAGACGTGAGGAACCGCGAAGCGGTGCCCGCATTTCCGAGGTAGATTTCCTCGTCGCACGCCACGAGCTGGCCGCCGTTCCCGTTCAAAACCAGCGTTTCGCCCTTGTCCTCCCACGAGACAGTGGCCGCCTTCAGTGCCGTCATTGCCGTCAGCATGTGTGCGGTGTCGTCCGAATGCAGCAGGTTCTTAATCTTGCAGACGCCCTTTCCCAGAGCAGCCATGACCAGAGCCCTGTTCGAAATAGACTTTGAGCCTGGCGGAGTGACCACTACGTCCTGGTGCACGTTTTCAAATGGCTTCACGAGTATTTCGTCGGTCAGAACCACTCTCAGGTCTTCGTCATTGACATACGAGGCTTTTGGCTCGTAGCACTCGCCGATACTCTTGAGCAAAACCACCTTCTTCTTTGATCCATCGTTTTTCTTATCCACAGACATCTTTTTGAGCAAAACGTCCACGGGACACTTCTTGCCGTTGATCCGGCTCTGCAAAACTTTATCGTCCAGAGAAATTGGAAGCCCGTAGCCTGCGAAACATTTGGCCAGTCGGGAAACGCCAACAGGGGGTAGAATTCCAAGGTATCTGCTTAATTCTGCTTCTTTCACAGCTCCGATAGCCACACACTCTCCGTGGAGGGCTTGCGGTGTCAGGATGGCCTCGTACGCGTGTCCGATGGAGTGGCCGAAATTCAACAGATTCCGCAGACCGCCCTCTCTTTCGTCTAACGAGACAACCTCTGCCTTGACTCTGATCGATCCCAATACCAACTTGAAGATATGGTCCAGAATAGGAGCTAAGTCTACGCTATTGTCTGGCTTCCGATTTTTCACAACCTCCAGAAAAACCTCTGTGTGCTTCTCTAGTCTTGCAAATTCAGCCTCGTCCCAAATAGCAGCAGTCTTGATCACCTCGGCCATACCGTTGATGAACTCACGCTCCGGTAGCGTTTCCAAAAAAGCGATGTCTGCAAAAACGTAGTCTGGCTGCCAGAAAGAGCCAATGAAATTCTTGCCCAGCGGAGTATCCACGGCAGTCTTTCCTCCAATGGAGGAGTCCACCATGGACAGAAGTGTGGTCGGCACTTGGGCAAACCGAACGCCTCTCATGAAAGTTGCCGCCACAAATCCAATCATGTCGCCAATAACTCCTCCACCAATAGCAATGATGAAGGTGTCTCTGGTGCATCCCTGGGAAAGCAGGTAGTCCTCGATCGCGGCTTTGGTGGCACGATTTTTATTGGACTCGCCAGGCGACACCACATAAGTCAGCAGCCGCGATTCAGGCCTCAATTTGCTCATGGCCAGCAACATGCTCGACTTGTAAGCATCCAGATGGCCGGCATTGACGATATTCGAGTCCGTGATGAGCACATACGTAGACGAGGCCTTGTTTCCAACGATCTCCTCACACACGTGTTCTCTCATTTGGTATCCGACATGGATGGTCTTCGCACCCAGGATTTCCACTTTTTCAACGCGAGTCGTCATGGCCAGCGAGTAGTGAATATGCCCCTTTTTCTATATTTCTGACTCACCGATATTTTTTTGTCCTAGTCTGCTCGAGCCAGGAAAAAAATTAGGTGAAAATCAAATGGGCGCGTCGATCGGCCTCTTGACAATATCCAGCTTCTTAAGAGCCAGCGCAAGGTCTGCAAAGTACTCTGTCAGCCTGTTGTTCAGCACCGAAAACTGCTGGTAGTCAAATGCATGCCCAGCATAGCTACTGCTCGTAGCCTCCTGCGAGTTGTGCGGCCCCATCACCAAGGAGTCGTACAGTTTCAGGATCTCGTGTTTCTGCGTACCGGCCACCAGGCTGTCGGCAACTCCGCAGTTCACAAATGGGACCAGCAGCTCCTGGTAGAGATATATGAGCTGCGGCTTGACCTGCCGCAGAATCGTGTCCTTTTTGTTGCATTCGCGCAAATACTCGCCCGCGTTGAACATGGCTTCCATTTTGTCCTTCTGCACCTGGGCCATATCTGAGCGCAGTTTTCTCACCTCGTCGTCCAGGTCTTTCTCCACGTGCGACTCCAGTGTGTTGATTGTTGACGACAGGCTTTGCAGGAACTTTGCGAGCTTGTTGCTCATGGTTTCGTCCTCGAACTCTGTCTGGACTGACTTGATTCTATCTAGCTCTTGCAATGCTGCGTCTCGCTCGGCCATTGCGCGCTCTCGCTCCAACTTGAAGTGGCTGATCACGGCGGCGAGGTCTGAATTGGCCGCCTTGGGTTCTGACAAAGTGCCTGAGTGGAGCCGCACAGCGCCGTTGACAAATCTGGCAACGTTGACTTCCTGAAGCTGTGCGGGCTCTGCCTGCTCTCTTGAGCGAGGTGGGGCGTCGTGTGGCTGGCTGATGCGCTCATTTTCCTGTTGCAGCTGGTCCTCTGGCTGCAGCGAGCCGTGTGCCAGAACAGGAATATCGTCGCCAAGAGAGGCTCCGGTGTAGGTTTTCGTCGGCGACGAATCTCTTGACTCGTCGTTCTGGTAGAACGGCACCGTGTAGCTGTAGTCTGCATCCAGTCGGCGAGACATTTGCGGCGAATTCATCGGGTTGTCGTAGATCGTGCTGTTTTCAAAATAGACGTCCTGCTTGATCGGAGATGAAGTCACAAACTCCTCTGGCTCAAAGACCTGTTGCAGCGCCAATCTGGCGTCCACGCCTCTCTGCCACTCCGCACCAACCACTAAGGAGCTGGCGGAGCCGCTGTACTCGCTCTCGTTCAGCGGTCTCTCGTTGATCTGGTTCCTGTTCTCGTCAAATGCTACCGTCTTCTTTCCGCTCGCGTACGACGGAATTGGCGGGTCTTCGGAGTGGAACGCCTCGTCCTCGACGTTCTCGCTGTTCTGGGTGATCACCGAGTCCTGGTCGGCGATTTGGTTGGCCTCGCTGTCGCTGTCCATGGTAAAGAAAAGGGAGATAACTAAACGCTGCACTGCCAGAGATGAAAAATAAATATTACATCTAACATGAGCTGGATAGTTTACAGGGGGTTCCAGCCCGGGCAGTTTGACTTTGGCTGGCCCGTGTGGACACTCATTGCGCTCTGGCTGTGTGTGCCGGTTTTGTTCTATTTTTTTTTGGCGCACGCGACGTATCTCTGGCGAGTGCGCAAGAGACGCCGGGCTGGGCCCTCAGGAAACGACGTTGCCGTGATTGTCCTCGGCGACCTCGGCCACTCGCCCCGCATGGCGTACCATGTGCGCAGCCTGGTGAAAAATGGACGATTTGTCCATCTGTGCGGCTACCTGGAGAGCACACTGCCGGACTTCCTCTACGACGACGATACTGTCGACCTTTACGAGATCCCTGTGATTCGGCGCCGCACATGGATGCCGTATCTGTTGTTTGCAGCGTTCAAGGTTGTGGCCCAGTGGTGGGAGCTCGCAAGACTGCTTTCGACGGTCATCGACGAAAACACAGAGTACGTGCTCGTGCAAAATCCTCCGTCGATCCCCGTGCTGGCTGTCGCTGTGTTTTTGCGAAAAACAATCTGTCCGCATGTCAAGATAGTCGTCGACTGGCACAACCTCAACTTCTCGGTCCTCAACCTCAAGTACCGCAACGAGAAACACCTCGCTGTGCAGCTTCTCCGGAACTATGAAAAATATATGGGGAGACTGGCCGACTACCATTTTACAGTCACTGGGAAGCTGAGGGAATACTTGCAGGAAGAGTTTGGGATCGACGGCACGAGGATCAGCGTCGTGCACGACCGTCCAAGCGACGAGTTTGTGCCGCTGAAGGGCAACAGGATGGAGACTGTCAGAGAGCTAGCTGTGCTGGACGGATTCCAGGACGCTGACAAATTGATTGTGTCAGCAACGTCGTTCACCGAGGACGAAGACTTCGGCCTCTTAGTGGAGGCGCTGAAGCAACTGGACACAAAGCTGGACAGCAGGGTGTACGTGGTGGTTACAGGAAAGGGCCCGCTTCAGAAGAGGTTTTTGGAGCTGGTGGCCCAGAATAAATGGAGTGCAAATTTAATTATCCGGAATGCTTGGCTGTCGGCGTCGGACTATCCAAAGCTTCTTCAGGTCGCCGACGCAGGGGTCTCCCTGCACTACTCGTCATCGGGGTTGGATCTTCCAATGAAGATCGTCGACCTCTTCGGCTGCGGCGTGCCGGTAGTGTCGATGTGCTTCCCTGCTCTGCGCGAACTGGTGTCCGAGGCCAACGGGCTAGTGATGAAAAATAACTCAGATGCCGCGGAACTCTGCGACAAGCTATACCAGCTGCTCTACGAGGTGGACCTCAGACCGGGAGCTTTGCGCGAGAGCACGCGGAGATGGGATCAGGAGTGGCGAAACACAAAAATATTCTGACACAAATATTAGTACTATATAATGAACATTCTATTCATAAAGCAAAAAATAGGAATTAGTTTAGGCTGCTGAGTCCGGAAGTTTCTCCAAGATGCCCTCGTTAATCTCAGCTGTGGGCTTCGTATCGTCCATGTCAAACAGACCGAGCTTGTTGCCTTCTTCCTCGACCTCTCTGACAGAGAGCTTGCCCATTCTGTTGGCCACAATGAAGGCAGGAGTGCCCTCGGTGTAGGATCTGGCAAAAATGATGTCAATCTCCTCCAGAGATCTGCCTGCCGTCTCTGGGTAAAAGAAGTATATGATAGGGATGTAAATGAAATTCATGACAGCAAAGAACAGGTAGCATCCCCATTTGGACTCGTTGATGAAAATTGGGGTGAACATCACCACGGCAAAGTTGGAGATCCAGTTGGTACACGTGGAGATGGAGGTGGCCACGGTTCTAGCTCTCAAAGCATTGATTTCTGGCGGGTACACCCATGGGAGCGGCAAGATGGTGAAGGCGAAGATGGCAATGAACAAGAAGAGACCAACAGCGGCTCCCTTGGCGGTTTGCTCGTTCTCCTTGACCAAACAACCAAATGCAATGATGAAGGCGATACCCTGACCTGCGGCACCAATCAAGAAGAGAGGTCTTCTTCCGAGTCTGTCGATCAAGAAGAAGGATGGAATGGTGAAGACTGCATAGACAATGGAGAAGATACCGCCCATGACAAGGGCCTTTCTTCTGGCAAAGTTCAGAGTGTTCTCGAACAGGACAGTGGCGTAATAAATAGACGCGTTACAGCCGGTGAATTGCTGGAAGAATTGGGCACTGGCTCCCAGCATCATTCTTCTGAAGTACTGGTGCTTTCCTCCACTGAACAGCTCTTTGAAACCGAGCTGGGCGTTGTCAAATCTATTGACCGCGTCGGCAATCATGGTGGATTCGGCAATGACACTGTCATCGTGAGAATCAACGCCGTTGATAGCTCCCAGAATGAATCTAGCCTCTTCCATTCTTCCCTTGTGGATGAGCCATCTTGGAGACTCTGGCAAACCTATCACAAACAGAAGCAGCCACAGGGCAAACAGGATTTGCAAAGCAATTGGCAGCCTCCACGAAACAGAACTTTGTGCGTAGGACAAACCAAAGTCGACCCAATAGGCAATGAGAGTACCAACAGCAATCACAGAACCTTCCAAGTTGACCAGACGACCCCTGTTCTCTGGCTTGGAGTGCTCGGACTGCCACACAGGAATGGTGGCGGTGTTCATACCGTTACCGATACCAGTGACAGATCTGGCAATGATGAAGTGGCCCAGCTGCCAGTGAGGCTTGAATGGGAAAATGGAAACGAACGTACCGATGATGATGATCACGGCACCGAGTATGATGACAGAACGCCTTCCAAGACGTTCACCCCAAATCATAGCAAACAGAGCACCAAAGAAACATCCAATCTCGTAGCAAGCAGTCACGATACCTTGGATGACGGTAGCATGTCGAGAGTTACCACTGACGGCTGGGAACTCATCCTGGAACTGGGGAGCAGTGATGATACCGCTCATAAGACCCTGGTCGTAGCCAAACAAGCTGAAACCCACCACGGACGTGAGCGTAATGGCCCATCTGAGCTTTCTGCCACTGAGACCGAATGTGTTGTGTTTGTTTGTGAGGCTGTAGTAGCCAACAGTCAAGCTGGGCTCCTTAAAATGGTCTGTGGATGAGGATTGAGACATGGTGGATGACAAAGAAGGGAAAAGGGGTGGGAGCTGTCTGGTTTATATGGCAAGCCGGTCTTTTCTTTTCTGCTAAAAATGCATAGTAAGGGTGAGTGGTGCACAATGAAAAGTTTTGCTCTTATGCAGAAAGAGATTTATGACGTAACCATGACGTATAGAAAGCGAGCAAAATGCCGACGCTAAAAAAGGGACAACGGCCAGCGAGGCAGCCGCGGGTTCGGGCGTGTCTGAGCGCAGCTGCTCGCTCTCCAGCTCGCAAAACCTGGCCATGTACGTTGACAGATCAGGATTAATGCAATGCGGGCAAAACTGGTAGCATGCAAAACTCCCGCCCCGCGCCATATTATGTTTACAAAAAAAAGCCGTGTGCAGAGGAGGTTTGAGCCGCATCCCAAATGAAACTCTTTTCTTTTAGCAACCGAGAATTGCACTCTGAAGAGACAATAGGTACTCGTGCGTATTCTGCTCTGCCATATTGCGTGGCGTGTCGTGTGTCCAGAACTCCAGCTCCCGGAAATCCACCAGCTCGTCGTCCAGGCCGTCGGGCAGCTGTGCCCAGTCTTGGCACTCTTGGTCTAGCATCAATCCCGTGATGTAGCACCACAGCTTGCAAGTCTCCAGCGAGTTGTAGCCCCCGCCGCCAAGAAGCAAACTAGGAATCCCGGCCCTGCGTACAAGCTGACACACCATGCGCCCGTATCGGGAAATTGTCAGATTCCACTCTCTGAACTCCGAGTCTGTGCACAACCCGTCCGCTCCGCACTGGATTACCAGACATTGGGGCCTGTACCCCTCAATTTTGGGCAGAACTATATGCGCGATAATCCATTCAAGTGACGTATCGCATAATCCTCGTTTGGTGGGTATATTCATCTCGTAGCCGGCTCCCCTGCCGAGGCCGGCCACAGGCTTCAAACCAGTCCCGGGAAAAAAACCGGCATCTGCGCGGTGCACCGATAACGTGAGCACATTCTTGCTCAGTTTGAACGCGTTCGCCACGCCGTCGCCGTGGTGGAGGTCCAGGTCTATGTACATGATCCGCGAGTACTTGCGGCGCAGTCTCAAAATAGCAAGCACCGCGTCGTTGACGTAGCAGAACCCGGCGGCATGTGATTTGTGTGCGTGATGCCTTCCACCGGCCCAATTAATTGCGACTGTGGGGTTCTGGATAAGAAATTCTGCTGCCTGGACCGACCCACCCGCCACCGCCGCGCAATACTCGTCCATGTGGGGGAATATGGGGCAGTCGAACGCGAGGCCGTGCGAGGTGCAGGGTCGCTGGTCGACCGCGCACGGATCGCTGGGCCCATCTCGCGTCGCTCGTCGCTTCAAAATCTTCCGCTGCATCCGCGACAGCTCGTTCTCGTGCTCTTTCCAGTTTCTCGGCTTTAGCAGCTCGACAGCGTAGTCGCGGTCGTGGAATTTCGCCAGATCGTCCACGGACGCGGGTTTCGGCGCCAAAAGCCGCACTTTGGCGTCGTCGAGCAGGCCGTACCCCTTCATCAGCTGCTGCACTAGCGACTGGCGTCCCTCGTTCGACGGCAGCAGGTCCACGGCGTCCAGGCTCTTGCCACTATAGTACACGAGGCCAATCATGGAAAAAAATAAATCCGGTGCAGGGTGTCTTCCCCACAAAGCATGTGCTTTTACACTATAAGTAGCAAAAGTGCCCATGCTTGCTGCTAATGGAGAGACTGCAGCAGATCAGCAACCATTTGTTTTCCAAACCAGCGGCCGATGAGAAAAAGGCCGGCGACGTGGTAATTGTGAGCGCGTACAGAACCGCGCTGACCAGAGGCGGCAAGGGCAAGTTCAAGGACGTCGACTCGGACGAGCTGCTCATGAAGCTTGTTTCGGGGCTTCTGAAGAAGGATAAAATCGACGCCAATCTGATTGAGGAGGTGGTGGTCGGCAACGTCCTCAATCCTGGCGCCGGAGTGAATGAGCACCGCGCGGCTGTGCTTGCCGCAGGAGTGCCTGCCAGCTCCTCGTTTCTGGCGATCAACAGACAGTGTTCCTCGGGGCTGATGGCCATCAACGACGTCGCGAACAAGATCCTGGTCGGCCAGATCAAATGCGGGCTGGCCGCCGGCGTCGAGAGCATGTCGAAGCACTACGGGCCGCAGGCTGTGCCGAAGATCAGCAAGTGTGTCCAGGACGCAAGCTACGACGCCAAAAGCTGTCTGTTGCCGATGGGCATTACGAGCGAAAACGTGAACGAGAAATACCACATTAGCAGAAAAGAGCAGGACGAGTTTGCGGCCACGTCGTATCGGAGAGCGGAGAAGGCCGTTAAGACGGGGCTCTTCAAGGACGAGATCCTGCCGCTCGAGGTCGAGGTCGAGAATGACGACGACGATGACGACCAGGCTGCGGCTGCGCGCGAGAAAGTCGTCGTCGACACCGACGAGGGAACGCGGCCAAACGTCACGGCACAGTCTCTGGGCAAGTTGCGACCTGCGTTCAAGAAAGACGGCACGTCCCACGCGGGCAACTCGTCGCAGGTGAGCGACGGCGCCGCTGCCGTGCTGCTGATGCGCCGCGACATGGCCGAGCAGCTGGGTTTGCCGATTTTAGGCAGATACGTCGCCACCACTACTGTCGGAGTGAGTCCAGACATTATGGGTGTTGGCCCAGCGTATGCAATCCCCAAGCTCCTGAAAGCCTGCGGCCTGACGGCCGACCAGATTTCTGTGTTTGAGATCAACGAGGCGTTCGCCGGACAGGCGCTATTTAGTCTCCGGTACAACGAGCTTCCACTGGAGAAAGTCAATCCCCGCGGCGGAGCCATAGCCCTCGGACATCCTCTGGGGGCTACAGGAGCACGCCAGGTGTGCACGCTGTTGCGTGAGCTCTCGCCGGGTCAGATGGGGGTCACAAGTATGTGCATTGCTGGCGGACAGGGCGCAGCCGCACTGTTTATTAGGGAGTAAGTAGCATTAAATTTATTTTTTTAGATTTTTAATTATTCATGCTAGAGACTGAGACCAGACCGAAGCCCAGGGGAAGAGGGCCCAACAGGTCGTCAAAGAAACAGAAGGATGGCCCAGATACGCGCACCTCGCCACAGCTGCTCGAGATCCAAAAGCTGATTAAGAGATTCAAGCCCATCACAGTTAATGGTATATCCGTTGATTCGCTCTCCAAGCCTCTGGACGAGTTTCTGGCCGCAGCCACCGCCGACAAATCAAGCGACCTGTACCTCTCCTTTCTCTTGAAGCCTTCAGACCCGGACTTCCCCTACGATCTCGACTTTCTGAACCTCTCGCTCTGCATCCCTGGCACGTATCCCTACAAAGGCAAAAACCCGTCGGTTGTGGTGCTCAACGACGACATCCCGCGAGGACACAGTGTGAATGTGGAGATCGGGTTTCGTGAGATTGCCGCGCTGGCAATGGAGCGACGGAAAAAGAGGCCTGCAGAGTCCGAGCTCCAGATGGTGTCCGGAAACGACTTGCTAAGCATGGTGTTGACGCTGGACAAATATCTGGAGAGGTTTTTGTCTATGGAGAAGAAAGACACAATCAAGATTGTGAAGACGATCAAGAAAGAGACGAAGCCGCAGAAACACGAAAAGAGGGAGAAGGAGAAGCCCGTGGAAAACTCGCTACGGGCAGCAGAGATCGACAGGTTTCTCACCAGACTGCGCTCTCTGCAAATAAACCTGTTCAAGGAGACCAACCAGAACTCGATCTACAAGTTTGAGCTGCCGTTTGAGGACGACGCGTTCACCATCTCTATAGACAATCTGCAGGACATTGTGATTCAGAGACTCGTCGTGAAGCTTAGCATACCAAAAGACTATCTCGTGAACGAGAAACGAGGAATCAAACTGGAGGTGGATCTTTCCAACAGCAGCAACATGGACCTGATCAACTCCATCGAAGACAAGAACCTCAAGCTGATTTTTGGCAAGCTGATCAGCAACATGAACGCCAACTTCGCCCATGCGTCCGTGGAAATGGTGAAAGCGAAAAATACCAGCATCACGTCGCAAATCAACATGTTTGTGCAGAACATCGAGAAGTTCCTGCGTGCGCCTGCGGACTTTGCGCGCTGGCTGGGAGCTAACGAGACGCTCAACGAGTCGCTACAGGCGGAGACGCGGTGTACGGATGTGTAAAAAAATACGTGAAACAGATCGGAACGTAAACAGTCTCACATTATAATGAGCGTCGACCGCTACTGGGAGTTTTTTCGAGCTTCCCAGCCCACGGACGGCACGCAGACGTCGCCCACGAAGGCCACTGTGAGCTCTGCCAATGTCGTCGGGCTTGGGCTGGGGCTTGCGGGCCAGGGTCTCGAAAGAGGGCTCGCCCCGGGATTCAGGCCCTCGAAAGCTGACGCCCCTCTTGTGAGCCAGTTCACGTCCAAACTGCGCAACAAGATTATGCTTCGGCGCGATTTCGAGACTCTTGAGTCGATCCTGGCCAATTTTGAGCACAACAAGAACTGGATCTCAGAGTTCGTGCAAAAAGGAGGCCTGGAGCTGCTGGCGATCTACGTGGGCGAGCTTAGACGGGACCGGGACGAGTGGCTGGATCTTGAGTTTCTCATCTTGACGTGTATGAAGCATCTTGTTTCCTGCTGCAGCGACGTCATTGACAGGATGAACTACAACGTGATATCCTTGATAGCGTCGTCTTTGATCTCCTCTAGCGTGGTAACGCGGAATCTGACGACTGGCATGCTCACGCTGGTGATTGCACACCGTGCGTCGAGCGCAAAGCAGATTCTGAGCGCAATCGCGAAGACCATCGGCGTTGGATCGTGGATATCTGCCGCGTGCTCCATGGTGAGCGATCTATGGGCCAATGGCAGTCAAACCGCGTCTTTTCGGTCGAGCCCTGCGTACCTTGCAAACGAGTACGCTTTGCTGACCACGTTTCTGATGTTGTCTGTGGTGACGGCGACCAAAAATGTGCGGCGGCATTTAGAACACCACGGTCTTCTGTCTTTTTTCGAGCTTGTTGGAAAACTGAACAATAGCGCAATCAACGACCTAGTGCGAAACTACTTGGGGCACGAGGACGAACCCAGCGACGCCTCGCAGCCGGAAACAGGGTATTTCGAGAACCCTAATCTAGAGCGTCATGCCCGTGAGATCCAGCGCTCGCTGTCGTTTCTGAGCCAGAGAAAACCGCCACACGAGGCTGAACGCTATTTCCGCCTGATCAGCCTTCTGGTGGGCCACATAAGCCAGATGAAGAGCATTGGCGACGACCATCTCTCGTTTTCGATCCAGCTGGTTCTCGACCGTCTTAGCTCGGACGAGGTCGCAATGCGTGCGACAACCGAGTCACGCCAGGCCTTGAAACTGTTGAGAGAGTATAAAAGAGAAATCAGTTCTCTGCAGCACGAAATAGAGACTTTGCGCAAACTGCGCCGTCCATTGGTGAGGATCAATGGGACAGAGAATCGGGCAAAAGGCGGGAAGAGCAAAGTCGGCCAAAGAATGGAAACTTTTACTGCAAAGGAGAACGGAGAGTACGATGCAACTTCCACAAATGTCTCCGTCAGCGTTTCCAGCTCAAGCAGCTCTAGTAGCAGCTACTTTGAGCCGTACGATGATTACGAAATCAACTCGCTGGAACACTCGAAAGATGTCGTTTCTGTTCGAGCTCCGCCAGATAGCATTGCTCCTCCATTGCCGCCGTTCCTCCAAACTAAAGGTCCGGCTTCCATCGATGCACCGCCACCACCGCCACCACCGCCGCCACCAGCGTTTCTGAAGCCTGCCGCTCCGGCACCGCTGAAGTCAGCTCCTGCACCCGCTCCTCCGCCTCCGCCTTCTTTTCTCAAGCCAGCCGCGGCAGGACCGCCTGTGCCGCCACCGCTCCCTAAAATAGCCACGTCCGATCCCCAGAAGCTAGGAAAACGCAAGGACGACACACCGAAACCAGTTCTGCGAAGACCGACGTCCAAGCTGAAACAGGTGCATTGGGACAAGCTGGACGACGTGTCCAACACGATCTGGAAGACTGTGGACGATACAGCTCTGGCGTCGAAGCTTGAAGAACTGGGCGTTTTGGACGATCTCGAGAACCAATTCTACGCCGTGGAGACCAAAGTGTTCAAGCCCAAAGCTGTGGTAGCGAATAACAGTAAACGAAGCTTTCTGTCGCGAGACCTGCAACAGCAGCTCGGAATTAACTTGTACCAGTTCAGCGGGCTACCGGAGATGGAGTTTGTGGCCAAGGTGCTCCGATGCGATCGCAGCCTGGTCCAGGACTCGAGGTTGGTGGACTTTTTCTGCAACGATGCGCTGACGGAGATTTCGCCGAACTTGATGCGCGATTTTGCGCCGTATTCGACAGACTACGTCCAGAATCACAAGCCCAAGAAGAACCCCGCCGAGCTCGACCGTCTGGACAGAATTTACCTGGAATTGTGCTTCAATTTGCGCCATTACTGGACAGCAAGGTCCAAGTGCCTTTCAGTGTGCTACAACTACGAACGCGCTCTTGAGGATTTGGGTCGCGATCTGCAAGTGCTGGAGACTGCCGTGGAGGAGGTCCGTGGGTCCACCTCTTTAGTTCAGGTTCTGTACATCATCAGGGGTCTGGGCAATTTCATGAACGACGCGTCGAAGTCGGCCAATGGCTTCAAGCTCAGCACACTTCAAAGGCTCAAATATCTGAAGGACTCAAAAAACACCACCACTCTGCTCAATTACATCGAGAAAGTGATCAGAACGCGGTTCAGCGAGTACGCGAATTTTGCAGACGAGATCAGTGCCGTTCACAAGGCCCATAACGTCTCGATAGATGCTGTCGCGAGCGAGTTTAGAGAGCTGATGCGTAACGTCGAGTCTTGCAGCCAGGCGCTCACGGACGGGTGTTTGAGCGACGTTACGAAACTGCACCCGGACGACCGCATAGTGAGTTTTGCCAAGTCGCGGATCGCTGTGGCGCAGACCAAAGTGAGAGAATTCGACGCCAAGCTGACGAGCGTTATTGGTAGTTTTGACGAGCTGATGGAAAAGTTCGGAGAACGTGCTAAAGACGACAGCGCGCGCAGCTCGTTCTTCTCCAAGTTCAAGCTATTTGTGGATGATTACAAAAAAGCCCAGGCTGACAACGCCCGCCTGGAAGAGGAAGAAAGAGCGTACGAGAAACGGAAACGCATGATGGAGGAGTTCAAGAGAAGCAAATGCGGGCAGGAGCAGCCGCAAAAAGATCTAATAGAATCGTTGCTGGACCGGCTGCGCACACAGAAACCGACTACGAAGGCGCCATCTGTCCCGTTAGAGGCGCCCGAGCACGTGGAAACGCAGGATATCAGTGCCAAGGCGTTGCAAATACTGCAAAATCTTCCTCGGCTCGACGACGTGCCCGCCCTACCGCCCTCGACGCCTCCACGACAGAGCCTGTCCACACAGGGCTCACCGGACAAGCTGAGCATGATCCCGTACCTCATCACGGAGACCTTAAGCCCAAGTAAGGGGAAAGACAACTGATGCATTATCGTTACATAGCATTTATAAATTCGCATTCTGCAGACAGCATTATGCGGATGGCCTAATGGAGAGATCGATTTTACGGAGCAAAAACAGGCCCAGCAGAGCTCCAAAAATGTAGACAGCCGCCGTCACCGGTTTGCGCAGCATGCCGGCCAGCCCATACTCGTATTCGATCAGGATGTCCACGTTTCTCATCTCGTCCACCAGGTTCTCCAGCACAAACGTGACCTGTGTGTGGCCGGTTGTGATGTCGAGATACGAGAATCTGTGGTCGATCTTCCACTCCTTCAGGTTCAGGATGTCGTCGAAGCCAACAAACTTGGCGCCTTCTGGCAGGAAGAACGAGATCTCGACTCTGTCGTAGGTAGCGTCGTTCAGACCGTCCAGTAGCGGCACACGAAGCACATGGAGGTCGCCCTCGCTCTTTAAGAACTTGGACAGCGGACTGGTCCACCCGACGGTGAAGTTGTAGTTCCAGCCTCCAAAAATAGGAAATCTAGGCTTGAGCACAAGCTCATTGTTGTGAAACAGCGAGGTGCTCACGTTTCCGACCTTGTCCACAAAATACACCTCCGACGTCTCAACTTTAGGAAGCGGAATCTGGATCGACGTGATGACCGAGGTGGGTCTCATTGTGTATCTCCCATTCATCCAGTCCACTCTGGAGAAGCCCTTGTCCAGCTGGAGACCCTTGTTAGTAAGCTCGTAGTACTCCTCCAATTGTAGCGAGTCGCTCCAGTGGGACACCCAGAAATCTCTCTTGAGCAGATTGACGAACGGGAGCGGCTGGTTTTTGGTGAAAATGAGCGCCAATGGCAGGTTGCTCAAAGGCTTGAATTTTTTTTGGTATGGGCCGTACACCAGGAACGGGTCCCTGGATGAGGCTTTGAACTCTTCAGGATCGACATCGGCTGGAAGATCCAGCGTCATTTCCTGAGGCATCTTGGCCCCGAGGATTTTGAGCTCGTAGCTCAGGGTATCGTATGCCGAAAGAGCGAGCTTTGTAGTCTTGAAGAAGAGCCGCTGTTCGGCACCCATGGGGCCCTTTTCTGGAGCCGGGTGCAGCTGGTCGGTCAGCACGTACGACACTGTGAGGTGAATCTGCGATTTTGGCGCAATAGGGTACGGCAGTTGTATTTTGTAGTAGACAACGTCTGGAGACGATAGTTCAGGCACGCGTTCGGCCTGGAGCAAGGGATCTTGCTGTCTAGGCGCCTCTAAGGTCACGATAAACAGCGCAACGTCGTCCCTGACAAACCCAGGAACAGCGAAGTAGTACTCGCTGGTGGGTTCCCCGGCTATGTTTCTGGCATGGATGACATGGCGTTCCTTGACGTACGACTTGAGCACGTCAATGAGTCTGTCATACTTCACGTTCTCCCAGCTCTGTGGAGGAGGCTGTGCGTGGACGCTAAGGAGAAACGAGCAAATGAGCGCAACAAGCGGGAACAGTCTCATTAGTATATAAATTAAAACAAGCTGAATAATTTTCGTCATGACACGTTGGAGCGCAGATCGACGCGTCGGTCCGAGTCGATCGAGACAAGCTCGTCGTCGCTGAGCATGTCCGGGTCCTGGGTGTACATTGAGCTCGACGCTCGCGAGCGCAGCAGCGTCGGGGCCAGCGTGGATATCGCCGACTGGTTGGAGTCCTTGTGGAGGTCTTCGAGACGGTACATGTTGCCCATGCGGTTATCGAGCAACAAATACTCCTCATGGGACGTGATGGTTCTTCGCGTGATGCACAGCATGGTGCCGCAGATGGCGGTGCACAGGGCAGACATCAGGATCGTCCAGCCGCACCACTCGAGGTGCGGGATGAACAGGATGAGGTCGACGAGAAAGGAGAGCAGGGAGAGCAAAAACGTGGGCAGGGACCACAGAAGCACGGCGAGCAGAAACTGAGAGGAGCTGGCGAAGCGTGGGTTAAACAGCAGCAGCGTCAGCGTCATCTGGATCAGGGTGAATATGAGCGAGATGGGATGCACCACAAGCAGATAGCTGATGCTGTGCCTAGCGTTTGAGGGCAGCGAAAAGCCGCCCAGGTTCGTGAGCTGGGACGGGTTATAGCCCAGCCCGGCTTTTGTGCATGAGTCTGCGTCGCAGAGGCCGAAAACCCCAAACTTGTAGCCCTCGAACTCGCAGAGATAGATCGACTGCGTGAGGGGCACGGAGAGCAATGCTATGAGCTGAAACAAAAACGACAGCAGCAGCAGACAGGACTGAACAATGACCAGCTTTCGCTGGAACGATGTTTTCAACATGTCATAGGGGCATAGATATTAATAAATGCTGTAATTTTTGACTTGATTTATTTTTACACTGCCTCTGAAATTTTTTATGGCTACTAGACAGAACAGGAAGATTAGGTTTGGGGACGATGCGTCCGGTGGGACCGTGGAGGAACCCGGGCCGACGCAGAAGACGCCCATAAAGGTGCCTCCCAAGTTTTTAGGGCGCCAAAAAGAACGGATGGGCAAGGCTCCTGTGACGGTAGAGTTTGGATCAGACGAGGAGAACAGCGAGGAGGAGAACGAAAAGATCGCGACCGGACGCAAGCCTGTGGACGTGCGGCTCCTGAAACAGAAAGCTGCGAAGCTGCTTTCTGTGCGGGAATCGCTGCCTGTCTACCAGGTGAAAAACGAGCTTCTGGAACAGGTTCGCTCTGCCAAGGTGTGCGTGCTGATTGGAGAGACCGGTTCGGGAAAATCCACCCAGATCCCACAGTTTCTGATGGACGAAAACAACAGGGGAATTGCCGTGACGCAGCCAAGACGAGTGGCGGCCATTAATCTTGCAACGAGAGTCTCTGAGGAGTATGGGTGTGTTCTGGGACGAGAGGTTGGATACTCGGTGAGATTCAACAACGTCTCCAGCCGTCAGACGAAACTGAAGTATATCACGGATGGTATGCTGTTGAGAGAGCTGATGCTGGACCCGCTGCTGTCCCGCTACAGCACCGTGATCATTGATGAGGCTCACGAAAGAACCATTCTGACAGACCTGCTGATAGGTTTTCTGAAGGATCTCGTGTTCAACAGGCGTTCCGAGGACGATTTCCAGGTGATCATCATGTCGGCAACTCTGGACGCAGAGAGGTTTTCGCAATTTTTCAACAACGCCCCGATTTTCTTCGTCGAAGGACGAATGTATCCTGTCGAGAGATATTATCTAGGCCAGCCCGTGGAAGACATCGTGGACACGGTTGTCAGGACGGTCGTTCACCTGAACCAGACGGAGCCGACAGGAGACATTTTGTGCTTCTTGGCCGGCCAGGAGGACATCGACAAAGCGGTGGACACACTGGACAAGCTTGCTCCCGTTTTGCCCAAGGAGGCACCTATTTTGGTGCCGATGCCGCTGTATGCCGCGTTGCCGTCGCACGTGCAAATGGAGGTGTTCAGGCCGGTCAAGACGAACCAGCGAAAGGTCATCCTGGCCACCAATATCGCAGAAACGTCTGTCACTGTGCCGGGCATCCGGTACGTGGTGGACTCTGGGCTGCGGAAGGTGAAGGTCTGGAGACACCAGTTGGGCCTGTCGACGCTGCTCATTGCGCCGATCTCCAAAGCGTCGGCGGCCCAGCGTGCAGGCCGTGCTGGCAGAGAGGCGCCTGGAAAATGCTACAGACTGTACCGAGAGACAGATTATTTCAAACTGAGCAACAACACGGAACCGGAGATTTTGCGCTCGGACGTGATTTCGCCGGTGCTCATGCTGAAAAAGATGGGGGTGAACGACATTCTGGGCTGGCACTGGCTCGAGAACCCGGGCCGCGAGAGCCTGGTGGCTGCATTGCAGCAACTTTATTCTCTGAACGCCCTGAACGACAGGGGCCAGATCACAGAGCTGGGCGAAAAAATGGTGGTTTTGCCGGTGGCGCCGCACCTGGCAGCCGTCTTGATCCGCGCACACGAGCTGGGGTGTCTGGGCCCCGTCATAGACATTGTGGCGTGTCTTTCCGTAGACAATCTGCTCATGTCTCCTCCGAGCGAGAGAAGAGATGAGGTGAACGAGCGCAGGAAGGACACGTGCAAACTGGGCACGATCTACGGCGATCTGCTGATGCTGAAGGAGCTGTTCGACCTGTATGTCTCGCTCGCAGACAGCACAGAGCGCAAGGAATGGTGCAAACAGCTGTGCATCAATTTCAAAGGCTTCAAGGACGTTCTGCGTGTGCGCAGACAAATTGCCGAGTACATGGGTATGCTGAAGATGCACGAGAGCGACGGCTCGCTCGATGCGAAGCTCGTGCTCAAGGCGTTCCTGTGTGGGTTCCTCACCAACACAGCCATCGGAATGCCCGACAGAAGCTACCGCACTGTGGCGACGGGCGACCTGGTGAGCGTGCACCCGTCGTCGCTGCTATTTGGCCAGCGGAAGCCGGCTATCATGTACATCGAGTACGTATACACGGTCAAGGGCTACGCACGGGCGGTCTCCACGATCGAGCTCGAATGGCTGCAGGAGGTTGCACCGCATCTCCTGGGTAGCAGAGAAAAAATAAAATAGCTACATCACATAATTAGTCCACGAACTCTAATCTATAAAATTATTAACTAGTACACCAATTTCTGGTGGACGTAATTTTTCCGCTCCAGACCCTCGATGTAGGACTGCCACAGCCGGTCCCCCTTCAAACAGTGCGCGTCGCCCACAAACAGCAGGCTGCACCGCGCACGCGTGAGGGCCACGTTCAGCCGTCGGCGGTCTCTCAGGAACCCGATGTTGCGCTCGCTGTTGGACCGCACACACGACATCACAATGAAGTCTTTTTCTCGGCCTTGGAACGCGTCGATCGACGCCACAAGAATGCCGTTCACCTGGTGCACGGTGGCCGCCTTCGAGTCGCTCTCGACGTCCTCCTTGTCGACCTGGACCTGGACCTCCTGTTTCTCCGGGTTGATGAGCAGGTTCTCCTTGAAACCGGCCGAGATCAGGTCTCTCTGGCCGGCGTATGGCGTGATCACGCCGATCTGCGACGGAGCAATCTGCTTGTCCACAATCAGCGTCTCCACGATCCGCGAGACGCGCTCGACCTCGCCGCGATTCACATACGTGTACCCGGTCTCCTCCCCCACCCTGAGCGAGCGGACCCTGCTTTCTCTGGCCTCGCCGGCGTGGTCCCAGAAAAACACCGGGTACGAGATACCGGCCACTTTTCTGTCCTCGGCCGTGATCCCGTCCTTCAGCTTGCCCTCGTAGAACTCCATCCGCGGGAACTCGCTGATTTCCGGGTGCATTCTGTACTGCGTGTCAAACATCAGCGGAGACTGATACGTGCCGTTTTTGAGCGTTCTTTCAAAAAGAGACATCTCCAGCGACTTCACGCGGGTGTACGAGCTCAGCTGGGCCTCGTCGCCAACAAATATCACTTTCTGGACGTTCGGAGCGGCCAGCGGAATCAGCGAGCTGGGCTCCGACGACTGCGTGGCCTCGTCGATAATGACGACCGGCAGCTGCGCGAGATCGCGCAAATGCGGGCCTCCGATGGCCACAGTGGTCGAGAAGATCACCTTGGCCTGGCCAATAAGCAGCTTGCTCAAGTCCTTGTTTGCCTCGATCAGCTTCTTGAACTGGTTCTTGGACACTTTGTGCGCCTTGCCGGTTGCAAGATTACGTAATGTTTCCTGTGCCTGGGACGGTAGACGGTCGCGGATTTTGTGGTGCAGACATATCTCAGCGAGCGGGTGGTCTCTGTTGTACTCGCTCTCCTTTGCCATGGAGAGCACCCTGACGATGTCGTCCTTGTGGTCCTTCATCATTTTCTCGGCAATGTTGTCCACGGCGATGTTGGAAGCTGCAACCACGAGAATTGGGTGGTAATGCAGCTGGTCCAGCAATTGCAAGATCATCTCGTAAATCGTGGACGTCTTTCCCGACCCTGGAGGACCCTTTAAGATCGTAATTTGGTTGTTCAAGGCTGACTGCAGAGCGACGGACTGCGACTCGTTCAGTTTATTTTTGAGGCTGGCGATCCTGTTTTTGAAGAAAATCTGCCGGATAGGCTTCTGGCCCAACAGCATGTCTTTGAAGTGGGTGTTCTCCAGCCTGTCAATCGCCTGCATCACTCGCGTAACCACAGCTCCGCAGGGAAGCAGCGCAAAACCCGACACAGGCGCTCCGGACGGAATAGGCTCGAGGTTCCACTTGTAGACGTCCATCGGAATGGTGACTTTGTTGGAGTTGCGCGACATCTTGGAGAACTGCGCAGCACAGCACCAGAACTCCGGCCTCTCGGCGAGTTTGACAGCAGACTTGCGCACCAGGAAGAACGCCTGGCCTCTGCTAAACGGTCCGTTTTTCAGGTGAGACAACGGGTCGTTTTTGGAGTACTCCTCGGCCTCTCTTTTGTCAACCTCAGCAGTGAACTCTCCGTAAGGGTTTTCCCGAGACCATGACACTGTCACCCTTGTCAAAAATTGGGTCTCAAATAACTCTTCAAGGAGAAGCCCGTAGCACAGGTGGTGGAAATATTCGGGCAGAGAATCATGCTTGAGGGGAACTTCGGTGGCTGTGGACCTGATGAGCTGCTCTACAAGCACGATTTGGGAGTTGATAGACGGAGCAGGAACGAAAGGCGCGGGAGACTGTTTTTGCTTAGTGCCGCCGGATTTTCCTCTCTCCGTGGCCTTGGCTTTTGCTTTTGGTGGCTGGCTCTTGGCGCCCCTGCCGTTTGTCTCTTTTGGCTTTCCTGGGCCCTTCTGTCCTTTAACAGAGGCCTTCTTGTCCTTGACATGTTTTTCTGGCTTTGGAGACGATTTTACCTGAGGTTTCGGCCCATCTTTCCGCGCTTCGTTCTGTGTATTCTGTGAGTCTTTTTCAGGCTGGAGAGAATTCTTTGAGACCTTTGTCGTCTCCCGCTTGGCAGCTGGACGGGAAGGCTTCCCAAACGACCGACCCTTGACCTTCTTGCGGTCTCGTAGACGATACTGCTCGTCCCCCGTGACCTTGACCAGATAGTCGTCGTCATCACCGGGACCGGCCTTCTTAAGGACATAGTAATCTGCAACAACTTTCATAAAATTGTCTGTCTGGGCCAGAGCGTACTCGCGCATGCTCTTGACACCGGCTGCGCATCGCCGACACATAAGGTCCAGCCTGTTGCCTCCAAATTGTAGCACGACGAGATCTGCAATGTTCATCATGCCGCACTTCTCGCACGCCACGTCATTGGGCCCAACCCTAAATCGGTAGTGGTTGCTGGTACTGATGTGCTTTTGGGCCTTGCGGAAGCCGCCGAATACCTCCTGGCACAATCCGCAAGAAAACTCCATGAAAAATAAAAATAATCTTGAAAAATTATTTATTTTTTTATTTTTTTAATGCTCAGTAGAGATCTATAACGTCTTTGAATTTCGTCTGTTTCACATCGAACCCGCCGTCATCCGGACGAACGTCTCGGATGTCCTTCCAGGACTCAATGTACTTCTTTAGAACCGGCGAGTACCACATGTCTCCTTTGGGGTCCACGTACGCATAATGTGCTCCCTTATCAGTGCTAGCCATGTATAGATACGGGTTGCGCTGCACCTCGGCAACCGGATAGTTGCAGCTGAGGAATGGGTCATCCAGCGAGTTCAGAATTACCATCGGAGTCTTTATCTTGAAGATCCTGATCAGCGGAGACGCCGCCATGTAGTACGTGGACGCCGAAGGGAGACCTGCCTCGCGACACGTGTAGCGGTCGTCGATCTGGCACACGTGCGTGGCGTTCTTGTATAAGTCCAGGAACTCTTGCTCGTCAAAGTCTGGATTGGCCTTTAAACCCTGGATGTTCGACTTGAGCACTCTTAGCAGGATCTGGCGAATGTACGGCTCAAAGATGTATCTGCCAGACACGGAGCGAGTCAGCGCTTCCATGTCGCTCTGTAAATTCCATGGCGCTCCAATCGTGAAGGCGCTCGTGACCAGCGACTTATCTGACTCCTCGGCCAAATAATTGCTCAAAATCAGTCCGCCAAGAGAGACACCAACGAGATGCAGCTGCCTGTCGGGGAACCGTGCGCGCATATCCTGCACGGTCTGCCGCAGATCGTCGGTGTGTAGGCCCGAAAACAGCGTCGGAGTGGTGATTTTTGACCGTGCACAGCCTCTGCTATTGAGAACAGCCACGTTGGCAGTGCCTTCCAGATGGTCCACGATCGAGCGGATATTCTGCTCGTGCGAGCCTCCGGAAAGCCCGTGCAGCACGAGCACTATCGGGAGCGTATTGTCTTGCCACTTCTTGTGCACCTGGTCTATTTCCTGCTCCGTGTAGTATCTGGTTCTGGGATGCAATTTCGGATAGTTTTCGGGCTGTGTGGCTAGACACCGTCGGGCGAAAACTTCCGGATCTTCAGGGTCCACGTGATAGTCGAGCGTGAACTGGCCGGGCAAATACGTCGACTCAATGATCCGGCGGCCGTAGTAGACTGTGTGCACTTTGGAAAAGTCGGCCTGCCCAATATACATGTTCTGGAGGACGTTGTTGAAGAGCAGCGGATGCAGACTGAACCGGTGCTTGTCCCTGAGTTCGGGCGTCGAGGTGACGAGGTCGGCAAAGGGGATCTGAGAGCCTGGCGTGGACTCCTTCAGCTGGAGCTTGACGGTGTTTTTAGCGTGGTAGGCGTGGACGCTGGATGAGTTCATCGAAATACTGCAAAAGAAAAAAAAGAATCTCGCGAAATCGATTATTTCGGCTTCGGAACCAAAAAAAAAAGTATATTCAACTAAGTATTAGCGCAGTCATAAATGTACGTAACTATGGAAAGGCTCAGACATTCTGGCTCGCCTATTCGGTCTTTCCTGGTCTAACGGCATTCGGCATGTAGAACGGCTTGATGGTGAAGTAGCTGTTGGTCTCGTCCAGAAGCCCTGCCAACATGTTGTAGAAGCCCATGATTCCACTCAGCATGCAGAAGTAGCCCCCTGCCTTCATCGTGTTGACAGACGAGATGAACTGGGCGATGGTGAACAGAAGAATGAAGAACCAGATCAAAAACATCAGGAATGACAAACTGTACGTGGACCTCCAGGTGCAGGCAAACAGAGCAAACGAAAAGAGCGCCCAGGGAAGGAAGAAGATTGCGATGGCCTGGTCGTACTCGTGCGTGGTGGCATACCTCGCAGCAATTCCACCAACGTCCATCAGCACAAACGAGTAGGAACTCCAGAAGCCTCCAAACATGAGGAAAGTGCAGCAGGCCCAGGTGTTACCAATGACGAAGCAAAGCACGCCTACAATGATCTCGACGACTCCTGCGGTGGTGAGGAACGCGCCAAGAAGTACGTGGGGGGTGTGCACATAACGTGCGTGCAACTGGACTAAGCCGAGGGACACGGCGGAGCAGCTGAAGGCTGCGAGACCGGCAGGCACTGGGTCGCTCAGCTGTCTCGTGTGGGAGGTTTGTTTTCTCGCACCGACGTTGAGCGAGCCGCCGAAGGCGTAGATGAAGTCGTTCTTGTCGATGGCCTGGTCGTTGATGTAGATGTTGTGGTCATCGTGCCGGAAGGCAGACCCTGTGGAAGGCTTGTGCTTTGCTTTCGAAGGATCTATCGAGTTTTGTTTTTCGATGTCGTGAGAAAAGGAATCCGAGTTAGACATGGCCGAGTCTGTTGTAATGCAGAGCGACAGGCCCGAGTATTTATAGGGGTACCGGAGTCCATCTCCTCTTTATTTCCGCAATATAGGAAAAGAAGGTGACGAGACCTTGTGCACCCTCGGACTCCACCCACGTTTTGCTGTATTGGGAAGGAGCCGCACCCCAAAAAGTCGATCCTGACGGGGTACGCGGTCGTGCGCAGAGAATTCCACTAGTGTCGGCAGCAGAGTTGCCCCACTTCACAATGCGTGCGCACCCCCTATTGTCCTGCCAGTGCCTCAACTGTAGAAGGCCCAACCTCCGTTGATGCGAGAGCTGTGTGCTCCGCCGCCCTCGTAAACTACATGTCCTGCTGTTCCAACGACCCTGCCATCTTATAGGCTATCGCGCAACAGCCGAAGAGGGGAAGAGGGGGCCGCATGGCTGCATTGGCAAGCGGTGGTAACCGGCCGACCAGTCGACCCACTTTCTCCACTCGTCGACCGCAGATTTTTTCCCACTCCAAAAATCCGTACACCTCGAGCACGAGTTTTTTTTTAATACCTGTTGTTGTCATGTTTGTACATAAGCCGTTGCGGCTGGTGGTGCCGCTGCTGGCGCTGATCGGCTTTCTCTGGCTGATATTTGGTTCTAGCCACGAAACGAAGCCTAATAGTCCCTACAAGTACAAAAAAATCAAGAAAAATGACGTGATTCCTCGCAACTTGCCGGCCGACCATATCTCCCACTATGATCTCAACAAGCTGGCTTCTACTCCGATGGCAGCGTACAACAAAGAGAGGGTGTTGATTCTGACCCCGATGGCCAAGTTCCTGGACCAGTACTGGGACAACCTGCTGAAGCTAACGTACCCTAGAGAGCTCATTGAGCTCGGCTTCATTGTGCCCAGAACGGCGGACGGAGACGCCGCGCTGCGCAAGCTGGGGACGGCTGTCAAAAAGATACAGAACCCGAAGAACACCAAGGACGCCAAGTTTGCCAAAGTGACCATTTTGCGGCAGGACACAGAGGCGCTGGACTCGCAATCGGAGAAGGACAGACACGCGTTCAAAGTTCAAAAACAGAGACGCTCACAGATGGCTGTCGCCCGGAACTCGCTGCTCTTCACTACCATCGGGCCGTACACGTCGTGGGTGCTGTGGCTGGACGGCGACATTGTGGAAACTCCACCAACCTTGATCCAGGACCTGGTATCGCATGATAAGCCTGTGATTGCTGCCAATTGCTACCAGCGGTACTACGACGAGGAGAAGAAGGAGGACGCGATTCGGCCGTACGACTTCAACAACTGGGTAGAGAGCGAGGAGGGCCTGAGGATCGCCTCGACGATGAGCGACGACGAGATCATAGTGGAGGCGTACGCTGAGCTGGCCACGTACAGACCGCTGATGGGTCACTTTTACGACCCGAACGGAGACGTGAACACCGAAATGCAGCTGGACGGCGTGGGAGGAACGTGTTTGCTCGTGAAGGCCGACGTTCACAGAGACGGCGCGATGTTCCCTAGCTTCCCGTTCTACCACCTTATAGAGACAGAAGGGTTCGCCAAGATGGCGAAACGCCTTGGCTACGAGGTGTTTGGGCTGCCAAACTACCTGGTGTACCACTACAACGAATGAGCGAGCACAACGTCGCGTCTGTGTAAGTAGCCTAATCTTCTGTCAATTTTCGTCGGCACGCGCAGCCATTATGTCATCGTCCACACCTGCTGTGCATATTTGTGGCTCTCTCTGCCCCGGAACCCACCGCTTGCGGCAGTGGCTCCCGGTGTGTCTCTGGCTCTGTTTGCGCGCGTCTTGTGTGCACGTGACATGGCTTTTTATGACGATAATAATTGCACCGTTTCACTTATCTCTGGTGACAGATTTTTCTGCCAAAAATTACTCTTATCTCAATCTATCTAAAAACAGTCTGTCTGATGGTCGAAATTAACAAGAGCCCTCCCAACAAGAGTGAGTATGCGAAGCGGGCCAGCTAACAGTGTAGATTTATCCCACGTACCTTGCAAGTTTTTCAAGCAGGGAGCCTGCCAGGCTGGCAGCTCCTGCCCCTTTTCGCACTCCACAGGGTCTGCGAGCGAAAATAACGTTTGCAAGTACTTCCAAAAAGGCAACTGCCGGTTTGGGGCGAAGTGCGCGCTGGCACACGTGCTGCCGGACGGTCGCCGTGTGAGCTCGAAGAGCACGAAGCCGGCCCGGCCCAGGACGTCTGCGTCCAGCACGTCCAGCGAGACGAGCGAGTGGAGCCGGCCGCGGCTGAGTCTGTCGGGCTCGCCATTCACGCAGTCCATATGGACGTGTTCCACAGCGGCCTCGCCGAAAGGACGGGGTCCTGCGCTGCACGCGTCGTTCACCACGGTGGACGACACCGCGGTGGAATCCGACGAGAATATGGACAGTCTGGAGGATTTTGTTCCGGGATCTTTGAGCGAGCTGCTCACGACAGAGGAGCTGAGACGGCGCAGCAAGCCTGCGGACGAGCTCGTGCACGAACGCAACGAATTTAGAGAGCTCCGCGACCGGATCGGCAAGGGAGGCAGAGAGCTATGGGACATGCAGTTTGTAATGGAGTAGGCACGGAAACAGGTTAGGAAATGGAAAACTACAGTGTACTGGCATGTATTGTCGATTTAATGCGCTCATCTTCTGTCGGTCTTTCCGACTCCTCTCTTTCCGCTCATCAGGTGCTTAGGCATCATGGCGACCTCTCTGCGGTCGGCCTCTCCGGCCCGCGCCTGTCTGTTTCTCTCTCTTCTCTCGGCCTTGGCCATTCTCTCGGCCTTGCTGCGCAGAGCCCCATCGCTCAGTCCGCCGTTCAGCCTGTCACTCTGGTTCGCAGGAGCTGGGACCTTTCTGTCCTCATCCAGCGCACGCACGTAGTCCGAGCCAGTCAGCTCTCTGCCTCTGCCGGCCTTCTCGCGCTTCTCGCGCAGCTTGCTCACGTCGTGGCCCACGTGATACATGTGATTCTCGAGCTCGGAGAAGCTCTTGGTGATCTTGCTCCGCGGCATGATCGACTTGTTGTTGAGCGCCTTGCGCGACCGAGCAGCCTGGATCATCTGCTTCTGCTTGTTTCTGATCCACTCGGCCTTCTCCCGCAGCTCGGCCACCTCGTCGTCCTCGATCTCCTCGTCAGAGTCGTAGAAGCCTTCCTGCTCCAGCCTCTCCTCCTCCTCCTCCAGAGCCTGCAACTTGGCGCTGATCTCGGGGTCCAGGAAATCGTACACGTTGCGGCCGTCCAGAATCTCCGGCATCACGTCGTTCTTCCACTCATCGTCCTCCAGAATATACTTCTCCTTCAGGTTGATGTTGAACACACCCGCACCGCCGTTTTCAGCCTCGATGTCACGTGCCAGCTTCCGTCTGTTCGGGTCCATTGGATCGTAGCGGCCGAGCTTTTTCGCCTCCTCCGGGATGAACGGCACGCGCTCCACGTCGTCTCGGGCCTGCGGTCTCGCAACGTGGATCTTGTTGAGCACGTTTGTCACTCTCGCGGTGCCCTTGAGCTTCTGCTCGATTCTCGACGTGAGCAGCTTCTCGCAGGCCTTGTTTCTCACCTCCATCACGTTCTCCTCCTGGTAGCACGACGTCTGCATCAGCTCGACGCCCGGCACGTCCATCACGCTCTGCACGAGCTGCGCCTGGCTCTCCTCGAGGTCCTCCATTCGGATAATGTCGGTCTTGTTCACAACAACAAGCACAGACTTGTTGGCGAAGAGAGGCTTGATCGAGTGGAACAGTTTGACCTGGGCCTCAATGCTGAAGCCACACTGTTCAGACAGGTCCATAAAGTACAAAACACACGACCTCAGGTGCGCGATCGCGTAGATACTCTGCATCTCGATGTTGTTCATCTCCTCTGTCGGACGGTCCAGAATACCCGGGGTGTCGATGGCCTGGAACCGCAGATACTTGTAGTCGAAATGGCCCACGTACAGCGACTTGGTGGTGAACGCGTATGGCTGCACCTCGACGTCGGCTTTGGTGATACATTTGAGGAAACTGGACTTGCCCACGTTGGGGTATCCGCATATAAGCAGCGTTCTGGTGTTTGGGTCGATCGACGGAAGACGGCCTAAATGCTGCCTCACCTGCTCCAGATACGCAAATGGGTCTTTGAGTTTCTTGACAATCGTCGCCATCCGTCCCAACGCGGCACGCTTCAGCTGCTTGCACTGGAAAAGAGACTGGCCAAACTTCAACAGCCGCACGTAGTCCCTAGAAACCTGCTCGATCAGCGTCTTGGCACGGGAAACAGCAGCCAGAGAGATCTTGTAGTGGTTTTTCTCGTACAACGTGTCCATCAGGTCCCTGTGGAAAGGATGGACGTCATTTATGTTTGGGAATCCTTTCAAAACATCTTCAAACTTCTCCGTGAACCCTTCCGCAGTAAACTTGACCTTACGCATGTAGAAGGCACGGATACGCTGAATCTTGAATCCTGGACGGATGACGGTCGGCGTCTTTCTTTGGGTCCTGTTCAGGACAATGTCCAACATGTCGTTGGAGGTGGGGACCGCTGGAATGTCTTTCCAGGTGAGTTGCATGATAGAGATATGATTTAAAAATTTTTTTCTAAAATTTTTGAAATTTTTTTACCAGCCGGTGCACGGATGGAAGGGAAGAAGAGAAATCTAAGTCGTACGTAATCCATTACACATTGGCACATTCCGACCCTAGATCGATCTTCGGGCCGTTTAGTGATCTTCCGATGCTTGCCTGCAATGCCTGCTTAGCGAAGAATATTTGGCACTAGCGGGAATTTGTCGCATGCAGTGAGAAGATCAGGTCGCCTAGGCCCCCTGATGTTGGCAGAAAGCAAGTGTGGCACCGCTCATCCGGAACTAGAGCCTGAAAGCTAACTTCCGATTTGCAATTTGAAGCGCCGGATGGCCCGAGCTCTGGAAGTCGGCGATTTCGCCCACGAGTGGATAGGTAACCTGTGCACCGACTGTTGAACGCGGTTTAGTCCTCGAACAATTATCTGCAGGCTGTCATCACGATTGCCCAATTGGGGAGTGCAGCTTGTATTAGTCCAGGTACGCCTAAGAGGATTGCTCGACTAAGCAAGCGTCAGGTGCGCGCGGAATCTGGAGTCGTCAAGAAACTAAATTTGGATGCATCATCAAGGCGCTGCAGGTGCGGGGGTGGCTATTGCGCCGCGCCACATGGTTAAGTGCAGGAGTTCTAGCAGACGGCCGCACGCGCAGTCTGCTAGAATCAGAATGTCGCTAGTTATTGCGCCCGCACGTTGTCAGACATTGTGTAGATGTGATGTGGCCGCAACAGACCTCGAGCACGTAGGAGATTTCCGTTTAGGGAACAACACAATGTCAGACGCTCCGGTGCAGCACAATACAGCCCCCCGACCAATGTTATGCAACAGAAAATACACGGCAATACGCGTGGAGCTCTATTAGGTTGATAAGATTAGGAGACATCTATTGTCAAGACTTGGCATATATATGCGCCACCCGATAAATTACCAACCCGCGTAACTTCCCTGGTCTGCAGTATAAAACCGTTAACCATGGACCTCCTGCATATTTGCTCCTATATAAACTGATAATTTCCCATACGATGCGGCAGCTGTGAACGTTAGTCCCATGGATCCGTCAGCTTCTTTGCCCTATAATGAATTCAATGAAGTGCTCACATTCGGCCAGTACGTGCCAGTCCAGTCTGCTCACCACGACTTCGTCCCCTCAGTTCCCAACAGCTCCAGCGCTCCACAGCTTCGGGTCAATTTCCAGCAAGGGCCAAAGCACACTGCGTCTTCCTTTGAAATCGGACAGCTCGAGTCTTACAATAACGGGCCGAACCAGACACAGGGGACTTTTGCGTTCGTGCCGACGGAATCCCAGCATTATCCACCGCTTCCCACGCCACCGCAATCAATAAACAAAGAAACGCCATCCTTCGAGAACAGCACTCCCCTCCCCGCCGTCGACGCTTTTTACATTCCTTCGCCGCACCATCTGCCGGTAGCTGGGTATTCGCTACTTCAAGCACCCCTCGACGTCGGCATGGACGGGCTGCTGGACCACAAAGCTCTCCCGAGAGTCCAACCATCCTCACTAGCATCACAATACAATAAGGAAGCTTTGCAGAAGGTGAAGCGCCGAAATACGTTTCCCGAACGGTCTGCAATAGGCAAAGAAAGAGAGGAATTGAAGCTCCCTCGAAAAAACAGGTGTTGTTTCATCTGCCAAAAGGTTTTCAACAGGCCTTCAGGGCTCAAGATTCACATGTATAGTCACACGGGCGAGAAACCGTTCAGATGCCAGTGGAAGAGCTGTGGAAAACCGTTTTCCGTGCGCTCAAACCTGATCAGACACCACAAAATACACCTACGGGAACAGGAACAAAGAGATAAGAACGACCAACGAGGTAACTAAAAAGGACGGTATATCATGGTAGTCAGCTTCGATAGCTCAATAAAGCAGTGTACTTTTAGCAAATCAGGTCCGATAAATGACCAGCAAAGCTGTAGTCATGGCTCCTTCCGTATTGGGAAATCTTGTCAGGGGCGCAGTTTTTTGCGAAGCCGGCTCGTTCTTGCGCTAAAATAAGGGAATGCCACATTTTGCACATCGCGCAAAGGTGCATCACGTTCTGCTGGTTCACAAACGTCGTAGCAAGGGCTGAGTGAAAAATGCCCATGCAAGTGGGGTCGCCAAGGCTATCTCTTGCTTATGGCTGCACACCGTAAGGCACTGTTTATCCCAGATCATGCATTACCAGTATAACATAAAAAACAGCTGTCTATGTAGTGGAATCTGAGTACTTCCATTTCCCCTCACTTGGAGTAAACTAGAAGTTATCCGGAAACTGGACAATAGTAGCTTCGTTAGGATTGGACATTTCCGAATAGGGAAACGACAAATATGAGTCTGAACACTTCATTGTTGTTATTCGCACTGTCAGCGCAGTCCGCACCACGCAGAAAAAATTCCGATAACGGGCCAACTGTGTCCCGAAGAAAAGTTTTGGAGTAGTGCCACTTCTAAGCATGTTAGCGGGGACTCTAATACTTGTCTTGTCAATTTTTTGAGGACCTATCTCAATTAGGCTTGATGGCGAGGCTAGCCGTCGGCTGATGGATGTGTGATTACTTGCCTCAATGTACGATTTTGCATTCATCTATTCAAACAACTAAGGTCTTTTAGGCACAGCCGGGAGCATGGATTTAGTGGAGCATGTCAAATAACCAGTTGCCCAGTCATAGAGTTGAGTGAGACAGGCGCGATAGGCGAAGGAGAAAGAAATGTTTGAACAGAAATGCAGGCTACTGTTATTTTAGCCCCAGGGCCTCCAAATATTACTATTTGGCTGATACTTTTCTACAAACATCAAATAGCCTTTGCCTATGTTCGCTGACTGATCTCTGTAAACGTGTGAGCGGTCGCTTTTCTCCATCAAATGCAATGCTTTTTTTGCATCCATGGGCTCTATGGTAATCGCACTGGGCCGTCACGTTTAAAGCGCGATTAGAAATGTCAAGGCACAAGCACATGGTACGCTCGTCGCATTGTGGTAGAGTTCTCTAGGTCCTTTAAGTGGCAGGGGTCGGATGTTTCGTTGTCCGGCTGACCGGGGTTGTTGTTCTAGAGCTGGTGATTCGTGAGCTGTGGCGTTGAGGCATGGCCAAAGCATCTTCTACTGTTCGATGAAAAAAAGCTGGTGATAACACCCCGCTTATCGATGCCAGTCGTCGTGTCAATACGATCAAGCAGCTACGAAGCATTTGTAAAAATGACAACCTTCGTCCACACATGCGTTTGGGTTCGAAAGGAGTGAAGCTATAGTCCGTTTTGATCAATTGCATATAGACTTGGCCAAGAGAACATGTTGGCCCGCAAATAAGTCACCTCTTTGGATGACTTTGGGTTGGTGAAAATCGAATTGTATTGGTACGGTCAGTCTAAATACTCAGACATCCGAATCAAGCCCAAAGTGCTCGCAGCACTTGACGTACTGGTCAATTGTAAATGTCGAGACATAACAATAGAAAGTGTCGCAATTGTCCGATTCAGAACACTCGTAAGTGTACGGAGAGAACCTGGTCGCATAGTTCTCGTACTGCTGAAGCGACGAGTTGCTGCTGCCAATTTTCTGCGACACCTCGTGCCAGTAGGTGGCATTTAAAGGGGCCGATTCCGGCCAGTCCACGCCGTACGCCGATCTGGCGTCGTACTCCAGCTGCCATTGAGGCTCCGTGCCATTGCTGGTGAACGTCTCGTTCAGGTGGAAGTAGTAGGTGTAAGCGTTCATCACGGAAAATGTCTTGGAGTCAACCTCGAGAAAGCGGAACGAAGGATTCAGACCAATCCACGAGGTGACCGACGGAGCGATCCACGTGTGGGCAATTGCGTTGTCGGCGGTTTGGGCGGCTATGTTGGACCCGTTGAAGCCCGAGTACAGCACCTTGAACTCGTCTCTGTGCGTGTGTCCGTTGAAAATTCCCGCAATGGTGTATGGCGAGAACCGCTCAACCACCTGTGCAAACACCTGGGACGCAACAGGAAGCATATCTGCGCCGGCCGGCACGTGCATGATCAGCCAGACTCTCTCGCCCTTCGACTCGGAGTCGAGCAGCTCGTCAACCAAAAACTGGAACTGGCCAAAAGAGTCGTAGTCCTGAGTCATGTTGATAAACGCATACAGGTTGGAGATGTACCACGAGTTGGAGTTAAGAGCGATGATCTTGAGACCGCGCTTCGTCTTGACGCTGAAGCCCGTGTAGTGCTCGCTGACCTGCTGCTCCTCGTCAAAGTCGATCCAGCCGTAGTCTCTCCACAGCTCGGCCATCAACTCATTGTTCCAGTCGAACTTGTTGGAGAAGCCGTATTTCTTCTGCGCGAGCTGTCCGTAGGGGAACGTGTCGTGGTTTCCAAGCACAGGGAACACAGGAATGTCGTTGAGCTCGTATTTGACGTCTCTGAAGGTGGACTCTTCTGCCAGGAGAGTGGACTCGTAGCTGATGTACTGACTTTCGTCGTGGTCGACCAGGTCGCCGGTGAAAATTGCAAACTCGTAGCTCAGGTTCAGCTGGTGGTTGAAACTGGTGGCTGCCTTCAACGTGCTATTGATGAGCAGCTCCGGAGCATCGCAATTGTAGTGGCCAAAACTGAACGCCGGCGACCAGGAGGACGCATTGTAGCCAACGTATGGGCCCTTCTCGAAAACGTTGTCCACATATGACGAGTTGTAAAACGACCAGCCCTCGCCAGGACCGTCCTCGAGCAACGTGTTTTCCGAGATGTCGTAGCCATGGGGAACCGGGTATTTGTTGAACGAGTGAGGAGTGCAGCACATGCTGGCAGTACAGTTACCTTCTCCGCCAATGACATAGTCGTTCTCAATGTGGAAGTCGGACACGTGGAGCACGTAGAACGTCTCGTTGCCGGCTTCGGGAGCAGTTTTGTACTCGTCGGGCTTGCTGCCTCCCCAGAGTTTCGACGCGTCGATTTCCGGCGGCGAGACGTAATCGCAGGCCGACTCAGTGTAATGGCAGTAGTAGTCGCCATCGTAGGAAGTTGGGTCCATCAAGGAGACCATGTCGGCAAAATTAGAGCCTAAGTACGAGTTCTCAACGGTCGTTCTGCCAAAAGTGTGCAAGCACTTATCTTTCTTCATTGCATTGGACCCGAGACACCACTCGGTGAAAACCGTGGGAATCAACGTAGGCTTGATAAGGGCCAGTGATTTGGCGTAAAGCAGCCTGTTCTTGCACTTGTCGCAATCACTTAGCTTGGTGTTATTGCCAATGGAGTAGAGCTCATCCAGCGAGACTCGGATCAGATCTTCATCCGAAGGCCCAGAGCTGGCAGCAGGCCAGCTGCCCAGGTCGTTTTGTAGCCCGCTAAGACGGACAGCCCGGACGGCCTGGATAGTGGCAAGAAAGGCAGCAAAAGTCAGCTTCATTTGGGGTCTGCTTGTCTACACGCCAAGCCCATTGCTGCTCTTTTATACACGTAGACAGTCTATGCCCCTCAACTGTTTATTGTAGCCATGTGCGCAGATAAATATCTCGGAGATGCAAGTAATTTGCGAATTAGGAAACGCTTTCTAAAACTCGATTCATTTTCTTTCGTGCGTAGCAGAAGAAGGCCGCTGATTGGAGGTAAACTGCCGCACTCTCTGCGAGGCCAATTGTATCTTGCTGAAAACTCCGTCAAGTGCGGATCTGTGCATGGCGCAGGGCCAAAATTAAAGAACGTGGGACGCCGCACGCCAATTCGATCCTACAATTCTTCCAGGATTAGAAACACCGGAGTATGTATTACTGCTTCTGTCCTAGAAATGCCAGTCTCTCCATGTAGAACATATCGTCGAACCGGCAAATCTCGGGAAGGCCCAGCTCGACAACGTGACCCTCTTGATGGAATTCATCGTTGATTCTCTTCAACTGCATCGACTCCTCTTCGGTGAACTCCTCGTTGATATACGCGATGGTCATGTGGAACCTATACGACTCGATACTGGGCAGCGGGATGCTCAATGCGTTGGCAATGCCTACGCGCAGCTTCTTGATCTTCTGTTCCTCTTTTTCATCCACAGGCAGTAGAGAAATTTTCCACGTGTCCATCCCCCCGTGAGACGTTTGCTCAAGGTAGCTTTTGTCGACCTGAAGCCGGATAGGCAAGTCAACCTCAAACCGCGCCTCGGTGAGCTTTTTCACCATCCACGAAGTGCATTGCTCCATGGGTAAATCTCGTGGTAGCTCCTTCGGCCAGCTATCAGACCGACGCTTGTACTCGTGCATGCAGTCAAAAATCGTCATATGAAGACTCGAGGACGGCAGCATGCTTATTTTGTTTTTGAAAAGTAGAATAGGAAATTCCCTGTAGAAGTCCAGCAACCTCTTGAACATCTCCCGACCCTCGCCTTGCTGGGGGAGATGGCACACAACAGTGTTGCCTGGAAACTTGTTCACTGTGCCGTCGGTGTTGAATTTTCTGCCCATGTTGCTCTGCCTGTACAAGGTGGAATAAAAAATTATGCGTCCGGGGAAATCTTCGCGGTCTGAGGAGTGCATTTTTTGTCAGATCTCCGACACCGAGCCAGCAGACTCGCCTCCGAAAAAGAAATCCAAGAACTCGTACCAGCCCTTGTCGTCCAACAGGGCTGCTGTGACGCTGAGGGAGTTTTCACAACCTGTGAGCGAGTCCCCTTCCACTGGCGCAAAATCCTCAGCTGTGCTTTCTGAGTCCGTTTGGTTGCCAAAACGTAGATATTGGGACTCTGTGATGTCCGGCACAATGCGTTTCTTGGAAAGCTTGGAGCTGTACGGGCTTGCAATTTCCATCTCTTTTAGAAACTCACGGAGGGAGATTGCCTCGAACGTCTCGTTTTCCAGGTGGTCCAAGCGCACTTTAGAGACAAGATAGCAGAGTTTCTCTATTATGGCGAAGCCAATCTTCACTGTGAAGTAGGACTGCAGTTTCTTAATGGTGGGGAACGTGCGCTTAACTGAATCAAGCTTGTATTTGTCGTCGTCGCTTTTGAAAAGCAGCATGTCCAAGAGCACAAACAGGCAAGCATAGATCAAATGCTGCGCAACTATCCAGTAGCGATTATAAAAGGCAGGCAGCCCGATAGATGTGCTGTGGAAAAGTAACTGCGTCGCAACCTCCAGGCACTGGGGACGGTACTGTTTGGCCCAGTCGTGGGTGCCAACGAGAGACTGCAGGCGAATTCCAATTTCTAGCCGTTCACGAGTAATGGAGGAGAATAAAAGGTATTTCGCATACTGCGCTATCGACTTATCGCGGACCGAGAATTCCTTGGATCCAAAGTACGTGTCCAGTTTGGACGTCATGGTCTTCATTTTCCCAAGACAAGACACCAGTTCGGTGGCAGTAGGCTTCTCGTAACTTTCGTGCTTCAACTGCGCGAGTTCCACCATCATGCGCTCGTACATTATGCCTGCAATCTCGTCGTTTGTACAGGCTTCGGGAAACGTGAGAGGGGCCGGACTCGTTTTCTCGAGAAGCACGTCAGATGAGATTATGGACGGCAACGGAGTCGAAAAGTCACCAAAATATCTTTTGGGATAGTTGCTTATCGAGTCTATAATCATGAGGCTGTAGAAGAGACGTTTCAGGACCTCGCTTTGGTAATCTGGAGCATCGTCGGGTCGCAGTTGGTCCAGCCCCAAATTCTTGGCTGCCTCGACAGAAATACGAAGAAGAGACTTGTGCAAATACGTGCTGCCTAATGCATGTAAACACATGGACAGGACGCAGAAGATCTGAATACATCGCACGTCGGCATGTTCTAGCGCGCCGGCCCGGAAAAAGCAATCCAGCGAGGCCCGGAAGAAAACTGCCGAGAAGGCAGAGAGCTCTTCTTCCGTGTAAGTGAGGTTAGGCTGGATCTCGTGGACGCCGAAGTACATGCCTGTAGACAAGTTGGCATAAAGCAGTGACATCCAATAGTAGTAGTCTTTTGATGACTCTGTCTTGAGGTTATTATTAGTGGTATGGTTTAGGCAAGCTGGGTTCTTGGACACATGAACTTCCCAGAAATTGTCGTGATCCCTGAGAAATAGCTCGTTCACAACTCCTTGATGAATGAAAGTCGTATAATTACACGCACACTCACATATCTTCCTAGAAAGCGCAGGCGTTAATTTATTGATTAATATCGGAAACTGATCCATGTACTGATCCCATCTGTTGTACTTGAGCAGATCATCCACGGGTACGAGGCCTTTGATTTGGGCTCTTCCATATGTCAGCAGTTTGAGAGAGTACAAGTAATGTACTATCTGTCTGTTGTTAAACAGGTTTGCCTCAGTTTCAGTATTTGACTCTGGAAGTTCAGGCGACGGGACCGAGTTCCGGCGACGACACTCATGCGTGGTTTTTCGCTTTATGCAGTTCTTGCAAGGGATGGACTTGTCGCACCTAACCTTTCGAATGGTACACGGGATGCACGCAAGAGACGGGCGGCTCTTGAATTTCATACGTTTACGGGGCTAATATAGATAAGAAAAAATTATAAAGACTGGAAATATTTATCGCAGTCCTGTTTCCACTTGGATTTTAGATCCTTGTCCACCCACGCGCTGTCGATCGCGTTATATGCAAATCGTTTGAGGTCTGGAATGGTTGCACCAAAGCATTCCACCATCATCATCCAAGCTTTCGTAGGCTCCACACAATGGAAAGAGGGATCATCTGTGTTTGGATAGATATTAAGTCCAAGCTTGATCATCTTCCTGATCGGATGCTTTTGGGCCCATTCCTCCGGATCGAACAGTCTGAGATAATAGGAATTCGTAGGAACAACACTAATTGGCCGTTGTTCTTCCAAAAACTGGTCAACCAGCTCTCGATTATCAATGATTGTATATCCGTGATCAATCCGGTCAGCGTGGATGATATTTGCAACGTAGTCGATATTATTCCAAGGCATGCCGAATTCGCCAGCATGAGCGGTTATCTTGTATCCTTTACTCTTCGCACGCTTGAAAGTATCCTCGAATAGCTGTGGAGGGAAACCATCTTCCTTGTAATCAATTCCGATACCAATCGTCATTGGCGACGGAGACTCTAGCATCCAATCTAACATCTGCGCAGCTTTTTCTGGTTCGGCTTGTCGGTCAATAGCACAAATGAGCCTGCTCATGATTCCAATCTCAGCCTCCGAGTCTATCATGGCGTCGTGGATTGCCTTCTGCGCTGAAGCAAAAGGAATTTTAGACTCCAAAACTGTTCCTGTAGGATTCCACGAAAGCTCTATATAAATGACATTATGGCTCTTCGCCACCGCCAGATGCTCCTTCGTGATTCTATAGAGATCTTGAGGGAATTTGATCAGATCTGAATCGAGTCCTCTGAAAATCGCTAGGACCCCGACCGGTTTGGTTCCTCTGATGTAAAAGCGCTCTATTTGCTCATCGGTGAAAGGCTTGCCAGCACGGTTGTTGAAATAGGTGATTGTCTCCTTGCAAATAGTGCCATACAAGTGACAATGAGTCTCAACCTTAGGCAGCTTGTGACAGATCTCGTACAAAGAACCTTTATTCCTGGTCATAAGGAAAGAGAGAGCCCTGTTAAGATAAATCCTGCATTTAATCAATTTGACTCTAACACCTCGGCCGACCAGCACAGCCATGATTGATATGAGTCTCGGCCGAAGTTTCTTTTGCTGATTTCTCGTGAACGAGAGACCCTGGAGATCCGCAGAAGGTGACAACGTATTGACAAGGAGACACCAGCATCAATCTCGGGCAAATTTGAGCCTCGAATCTCCAAATATGACCATAATGGATCTATCGCTACATAGCTGATAAGACGTGCAGATAAAAATCTCGCGCTCCTAAAAAAAAAGTATATATAAGTGATGAAAAAATCCTTATTTCGCTAATGGGTAACTGCGTTAAGGAAGATAGCATGAGTGACAAGGATGAGCTTCATGTTTCTGAAGCCTCCGTGTACATTGAGAAGGAAAAACTTTTTCGGAAGGTGGATCTTCATATCCTTCCGCTGATGGTGGTCACTTACGGATTGCAATTTATGGATAAACTGGCTTTGGGTCAGTCTTCCGTTTTCGGTCTGAAAAAAGATTTGGGTCTAGTGGGCCAAGATTACTCATGGACGTCGTCGATCTTCTATTTTGGTTATATGCTTGGAAATTTGGTGAGTGTCAGAGTCCTTCAAATAGTTCCAATTGCAAAGTTTGTCTCAGTCTCGGTCTGTCTGTGGGGAATCACGCTAGCTTGCTCGGGAGCTTGTCAAAACTATGCTGGAATTCTTGCTGCCAGATTCTTCCTAGGTCTTCTTGAGAGTGTTGTGAGTCCTTCATTTATGTTGATTACGGGTATGTGGTGGAAGCCAGAACAACAATCTGCCAGATCGGGAATCTGGTTTGCCGGTAACGATGCCGGTGCAATCGTTGGATCTTTCCTGTCGTTTGGTCTGGGTCACATTACTGGAAAGCTATCTCCATGGAGATACATTTTTATCGTTTACGGGTGCATCACATTTGTGTGGAGTTTCGCTCTCTTCTTCTTCCTCCCAGATTCTCCGTCTAAGGCCAGCTTTCTCACGGAAGCGGAGAAACAATTCTATGCTGAGAATATGAAAAACCAGAAGGTGGAGAATGACTGGAGTTGGGACGAGCTGTTCTCTTGTGCAAAGGACATCAATTTGTGGCTTCTGCTTGGATCCGTTGTGCTTTCTATCTTGCCGAATAGTGGAGTTCAGAGCTATGGAAATATTATCTTGCACAACTTCGGATTCAGCGCCATAAATACGACGTTGCTCAATTTGCCGGGCTCTGTAATTGCTTGGACGGCTATCACCGGATCTGGAGTCATTGCCAGCAAAAGGAAAGGGCTCAGATGTGTGACGATTTCTGTGTGTTGCATGTTTGGAATCATCGGAGGATGTCTCATTTACAAGGGTCCAAATCTGGGAGCCAAATTGACTGGATTCTATTTTGTCTTAGTCCAGACCGCAACGTTCCCATTGTTGCTGTCGATGGCCTCGTCCAATTTCGTTGGTTCGACAAAAAAGACTATTGTCAGCAATTCTATGTTCCTGATTTACTGCGCCAGTAACATTGGTGGACCACAACTCTTCCGCAGCCAAGATGCCCCAACATACACGTACGCTTTCAGATCATGGGTCATCTGCTTTTGCTTGAACGTCGCTGTTGCGGTGGTAATGGCCATCAACTTACGCATCCAAAACAAAAGACAACAGGTCTCTTCAGATGGCGTTCCTGAGTTCGAGTACTTATATTAATTTTCAAGCTTCGCACTTGCTTTTCAGGACTTCAGTAAACAGCGTAAAAGCCTTCTTCGGATCTCTTTTCAGTGATGAACTCATAGCTGTGCTACTAGAATTGCAGCAAGACCAGTAATTCCATTCCATCTGAAGGCTGCTGCGATTCTTCGAGAACGCGAGTTGATCTTCAATGTTTCGTTTCCTCCTAAGACCACATGAACTTACCTCGCCGAGCTACTTGAGCGGAACGCCTCGGCGGATTGGACTTGGCGGACTTCACGAAATGCGACCATTGATAACTATCAAAGCCAACAAAGACTGAGCACAGGTCTGGCAACACGTTTATGATAATCCTGGCTGAGGTGACATGATTATAATGGATAATCGTTCTTCTCTATCCCGTTCAAAGAGCGCGAATCTCGGAGCAACCTTGGTGATCAGAAAATAGGCTACTTGCCAGAAACTTGAATATCCTGTTCCAACGTTCGCTGCCTTGGGCAATCTTGGCATCGCTCGCTTCAAAGTACTTGGCAGCACCAAATTGAATAACGGGAACTCCGAGTTGGAGTCGCCCTCAAAACATTCAATAGGAATTCTGCTCCAGATCAATTTCTGTGTCAGCTGTAAAAGGCGTTGCAGCAGAGTAGATACACAGTGGTTTGGAGCTACTTTATATATGCACGAAGAATGCAATGAAAAAATAATAAATAAATCGCGGAGTCCAGCCGCACGGTGACAAAATCTAGCTAATCTGACCACTGAGTGACATGGCGACATCAATTGCCCGTCTTCCACCCTATTGGGGTCCCCCTAAGATAAGCACGAAGCATCAACTGAAAAAGATTGCTTTTATTATTTCAATGACGTGATGACTCTAATTATTTAAAGAAATAAGATTAGTCCGAAACACTCTGTTGTGTTGAGAGACCTGTTACAGCACGCATTTTATTGTCCTTACTACTGCGTTTAATCCGGGATAGTGTTCCAGCGGGGACAGATATTTTGGTGCTCACCAATCCCTGTACTTATACCTATGCCAAAATTCTAGCTTCTATGCTCTTGGTCTTAAGAATTCATTTGCCAGTACTGGGATGCCGTGTCAACCACTGAGCGTTCAAGGGAAATGAACTTGTAGCCTCCGATAGATTCGAGCACATTTTCAATGTTGAATCCAAGCACCTTGTTTGGATCATCTTTCTCTGGAGCTCCAACAGCAAGCTTCTTCTCTGGGAAGTTCTTATTTAGAATATTGAGAATTGTCTGGCCTGTAAATGTTTGAGAGCCAATAAACAGTCTTGTTCCGTATGAAGCTTCCTTTTCTAGTGCCAGCTTGTGGATTTTTGCCACATCTCTCACGTCAACAAAGATGCCGCTTGGCTTTTCCAGGAAGTCAGTGGTTTGCGGAGTATTGATCACTTTTGTAATTAGCTCATTGGAGGTATTCAGTTTTTTGGCAGCCATCCAATCAAAGAGCTGAGGTCCAAATACGTACGGTGGACAAATCGTGGATAGTTTGAAGTTGGGCTTCTCCTGCTCTACAAACTCCCAAGCAGCCTTTTCGGCATACTTTTTGGATGCACAGTAAGCGAGAACTTCATTGTTGACCTGCTCCCATTCAAGTGGACTCCAATGCTCGTTAGTATAGGTGACGTAATCCTTGTTGAAGCCGTATATTGCGGCAAACGAAGACGTGATAACCACGTTGGTCACCTGAGGAGCACGTGTTTTGATGGATTTAAGAATACTGAGAGTTCCTGCCAATGCTGGGTCCAAGTATGCCTCTTTAAGAGGTTTATCCAGTCCGAGGGTTGCAGGGGAAGCAGTGTGAAGGACGTACTTGACATCGTGATGGTTCTGCAGCACTCCGTCAAAGGCACCCTCAGCTGTAATATCTTCCACCACTTCAATACTCAGCTTCGCAGCTGGGTACTTCTTTAGGAAATCTCTGACCAGAGGCTCGGCCTTTGTGGCAGATCTGACTGTACCAATGACTGGGTAGCCTGCTTCAAGCAGATTGTCCACTATATGTGTTGCAATGAATCCGTTTGCTCCAGAAACAAGGACTGACATTATACTGTGACTGAGCAAGGGGTTTGACTATAGCTCGGCAAGTAAGAAGTGAGCTATTTATATGAGGTCCAACGACAGAGAGCTTTTTTTCTCGGTAAAAAAATCTCCGATCTCCGATCAAACAATAATCTCGAGCAAAAGCAGTTCCGTCTTGGGATTGGGTCCCTCGGAAGACGGGCAAAGAAGTAGCCGAGATCAATGCACCATCAAGAAGGGAAGCGGTCGTTGCCTTTTTGGGGGTTGAGTTCTTCTTGTCCGCCTGTGGTAATCGATTTTGCTTACTCCGCCGTCGTCCTTCATATGATCGTAGTCGAAAATGAATTTTTCATCAGTTTTTAATTTGAAGTTTGGATGTCACAAGGTATCTGCAGGTACAGCCTTCTAGAAAAAATCAGCTACAAGGTGATTTTACTCGGCGTATCAATCGCAAGCGAAAGGAGGTAGCAGGGTATCTTTTTTCTTAAGCGCAGCCAATCAATGAGCTAGGAAGCGTAGAGCGTTTATACAAGAGACTGTGAACTATATAGCTTACCGATAGCGACACATCAGAAATTACTTGTTTGCTCCATAAGGTGGTGTGACGTAGCTTACGCGAGCTACTAAATGCACCAGGAAAGATTATGTGCTGGATGGAGCTCCGACAGGGAGAGAAGACCCCCGAAAAGGCGGTCCTCGCAGAGTTCGCGCAAAAATATGTTCACAACGCTCGGGTCTGCCCATTTGGCGCCAGTCATGACGTCTATATTTGATTTCACGTCGAGCCCAGCATGAAGCATGATTTTTGAGGCCTCGAATAGTGCAAATGCCAACGTGGTAGTTGTGCGTGAGTTTGCAAGGATATGACTGTTATCGCGTGCAATGGCGGAAATGGCGAGCGCAAGATCAAGCGATCTGGCCGGCCCCTCAAGTCTGTTCAATTCGCGTTGATTGAGCAAAAGCAGGAGATGCATGTTGATGAAGAGAGATCTATGATTTGCCGGTAGCGCCGCAACGTTTGCTGCAGAATACCGGAGGTTATCCGGAAGTAAATCCAAAGTCAAATGAAGATCGTGAGCGACGTCTTCAAGAGATCCAGTCCCGCTCTCAACGAGTTTTACGGCGTTCAAAGTGTTGTATTGTAGCTGTGCGAGATGCACAACAAGTGAAAAGAGATTGAAAGGTGCAACATAACGCGGGAGCTGGGTGCGAAACGGTGAGGGCTCTGAAGTGAGACCTGCTGACGGCGGACGGCTGGACAATAGACCGACGTTGCAGGACACAAATTCCGGTACTCCTGCTGCGTATATCTTGTCCAGAACGAAAATATTCCAAACCATGCGGCGACGACGCTCTTTCTCAAAAGGGTCCTTCACCCAGTTGAGCTCGTGATTCAGTATGAGCCCATAGGCCATACGCGAAAGTACAGGAATAAGGAGAAAGTGCTTGATTGAGCTGCGCGCGCATATCAGTGTTATGAGGAGCGCTTGAAGATGATCGAGCGAGGGCACCGAAAGTAGAGAGTCCGAAAGCAGTCTCTCGTACCAGTAGTTGGAAAAGCTTACCAGACGGTACTCGGGAACAACGAGATCAAGCGACAGTCCTGCCACAGCCTTGGCAAGCGGCATGGAGACCTGGCCCTCGCGCAATTTGCATATAAATCGCCTATCAAGGAAGTTGCCAGCAAAGAACGGCGGATCTCTATGCATTGTAGATTCGCAGAGCATCTCAATTTCCGATGTTGGAGCATCATAAAGAGCATCAAGGACTTCAATTGACTGAACTGTCACGGCGGATGGATATTCGCATTTTTTGCCTAATTGTCTGCATCTATCACATGTAGGCTTTGTTCGCGAGCAGCGACGTCGTCCACGCTTGCACTGTACACAAGCTAGAGAATCAGTAGGCTGCGGTTTGTAGTAACACGGAACATCTGACTTGAGACAACGCAGGCACTGCGGCTTGGTTGCATCGCACTGGATCTTGCGGGAACGGCAAGCAAGACACGACATCCAAAAGAAAAAAAAATTATTTAGTTCGCAATTTTAGCGCGCTGTCAGATTACGAAAGAGGCTAAAATGAAGATTGCTGGTGGCTGATGAAAATGTCGGTTAGGTTTTTGATCGAGAAAATGTATTTGGAGAAGGTATAAGTGCTACCTCTGTGTTTCTAACCAGCGTATTAGCGCTCCCGCATTACCGCGCAGGCGGCAAAGTGGCAAATAGTCTCGTGGAAATATCTTCTAGAAAAAAGTTGCCGAAAGTGTTGCCTCAGCGAGTACGGGACGTATAATTTCCATTTCGAAAATACAAACAGAGACCGAAGACAAGAGAGCAGTGCGCGGCTAGTGTGCAAGACGGTGAACGGACACGCAGAAAGTCGCAACTACGTATAGCTTTGCGTGCGGTAAGGAGGATTTGGCCTGCAGCACAATACACAAATGCAGGTCAAAAACAGGCGAAAAGTACAGCCAAGCAGGAACGCCGCCAGCGCAAACGAAAACGGTGAACGACTCAATATTGCAGACTGCAGCACGAGAAGCCTACGAGCAGCTCATAGGGGCACCGTTCCGAGTGGCAGGGAAGGGGCGACGGCGCCAGCGCCAGAGCGTGTGTGGCACAAAAAACAGAAAGCAGGGTGCACAACATAAAGCGCGACGTAACACGACAGGTCTGTTGTGGTGGGCGCAGAGATATCCAGATTCGGCCGTTGCTGGCGAGGAACTGCTACGTTGCGCTGTGCCACGACAAGATCGCGCTATCGCTGTATTCCGGGAGATGGCAAGCGTGCGGCGCAGAACTGCAGAAATGCAACTAAAAAATAGATCAGATGCCATTGCGCGACGGTGCAGAGCTGTTATTCAAAGACTGGGCCACCCGAACGGCAGCATTGTCACGCATGGCCGGTCCGCAGACCTGGGACAGCAACATGGACACTCTGTAGACGACCTGCAGGAGTTTTTTGAGAAGCTGGACGTGCACATCTCTTCGGAGACAGGCTTCGCCAACAACCTGTGCCGTATGGTGCCAGTGCTGGTTCTGCCGCAACGCAGGCCCGAGGCGTGCAAACGCAGCTTGGACCATCCACAACATCGACGTCGATGAGGTAAGCAATGACTTGCGGGAGTTTTCGAGCAATGGCCAGCGTTGAACTTTTTTTGGTCCTAATTTTCACGCACCACCAGGGTCGAGAAAAATGGTATAAGAGGACCGATTTTTCTTCATCGGCACCAATGCGGTACAGTCCAGCAAACATCACAGTCGACAGCGACGAGGTCACCGACGCCTGGAAGGTGTGCGTGATGAACGGAGTGTATTTTGGAGGCAACGAGTACAGCGGGTCTCTGGGCGTGCGAGTGTCCTCTGTGTTTGTGATTCTCTTTGTCTCGACGTGCTTCACGATGTTCCCCCTCGTGGCCCGCCGCATAAAGTCGCTCAGGATCCCCGAGCTGGCATACCTGCTGGCGCGGCACTTTGGGTCCGGCGTCATCCTTGCTACCGCGTATGTCCACCTTATGGACCCTGCGTACGAGGAGATCGGCCCCAGCTCGTGTGTGGGCATGTCCGGGCACTGGGCCGACTACTCGTGGCCCCCGGCGCTGATGCTCATCAGCGTCGCGACGATCTTCACGCTGGACGTCTACTCAGAGGTGTACGTGGAGCAGAAGTACGGCCCGATGCGGCAAGTGAGCGTCGTGGATGTTATCGCGGGTAACCGCGGCGACGACGACCTTGAGCAGGAACTCACGAGACAGAGGTCCGTTAGCAAGGACGACTTTACGGTCTCCGACGAGAGCATGGTCGAGGTGTCGTTCCGGACGCAGATCGCGGCTTTCCTGATCCTGGAGTTTGGCGTCGTGTTCCACTCGGTCATGATTGGCCTGAACCTGGGCGCCTGCGGCTACAACGACTTCCGGGTGCTGTACCCGGCGATGGTGTTCCACCAGTCGTTTGAGGGGCTCGGCATTGGGGCCCGGCTGTCGGCGATCCCGTTCGCGGCAGACAAGAAGAGCTGGCCGTGGCTGCTGTGCCTGTTGTACGGCCTCACGACCCCGATCTGTGTGGCCATCGGCATCGGCGTGCGTACCACATACAACCCGAACTCGTTTGCCGGGAACATCGTGCAGGGCGTCCTGAACTCTATTTCGGCTGGCATTCTGATGTACACGGCGCTGGTGGAACTGATAGCCCGGGACTTTCTTTTCGGTCCCGAACGGCCAAAGACGCTGGGCAGAGCAACTCTGCTCTTGGCGTTCTTGTTCAGCGGGGCAGGAATCATGGCGCTGCTGGGAAAGTGGGCGTAGCGAGGAGTCGCGTGTAGGCCGAAAGATAGGCCAAAAGACAAGACTAAGGTGGTGGAGACGTTTGTGGTGGGGTTAGAACGAAGACACTGGGGGGCTCTGGGTGATGTGGAGGGGGCATATTGGGGATAGTGTAGAAAAAGAGTATTGAACGAGAGATGAGGTGGTCCATGGGAGGAGCAGTCGTAGAGTGGATGGGTAGTTCGTGGTTTGTGACGTTTGAGCGGAATGGCGTGTGATTGTAAGTGAAGAGCCCAGAGCGGGGAGAAGCGATGTAGGAGGTGAGAAAATGTAGAGCGCTGCGGTGGCAGAGGAGGTGATCGTTGGGTGGGGGGAGTTGCACCAGTTTATTTCGAAAATGGGGTCGCTAGATTGTTATCCAAAGGATGCGCACTGAGAGCGCAAACTAGCCACAGAATCGTGCAATGCCGTGAGTATTCAGCATGAGCTGCTGGCTCTACTTTGTCTGTGCTTTGGCTGGAACAAAACCAAAAAAGAACTCTGAAGGTGGCAGATTCGCAGAAGGTGGCAGATTCGCAGAAGGTGATGTCGCCGACAACTTGTAAACCGCAATCATGTAACTTCTGTCGCAAACAATAACCATTTTCGCAGCGCTTGGTATTCTTGGCGATTAGAGCTACATCGTCCCATCTAGTTAGTAGAGCAGTCAAGAGTCCATTTCATTGGCCGCGAGTAGCCAACCATCTGGCTGAAGTTATCGGAGCGCATTTGACACGTGATCAAATCTCCCTCTTTTCATGCACAGGTTTCATGTGGGGTAGATGGATTGAGGAAATCTGCGGGGCCGGAGTCCGGAACATTGATCTTGCGAGGCATATGTGTGAAAGCCCCTCGTTGTACGGCGATGCACAATAGCGTGTACGTTCGTTCAGGGCTATCTAACACAATAGTTCCCGATTATGATGACCACGACATGCGTCTTTCTTTGGATAGGAGCAAACCAATGCCATTGATTTACCAAGACCTACATACCACGGAGACTTGTCTGAGTTCTATGTTTGGTCCGTCGGTCGTAAACGTCTCGTTATGATATAGCTGTCTGAAAAAGTCTACTATCCAACCGTAGTGACTGCTGGCTGAAAATGTTTTATGCCGAAACTGGTGCCTGATGACTTAAATTCTGTCAAGAATTACTCCACAGCTGTTATTTGGACCCCACTTTTGCCCATGACAAAACGTGTGCTCCACAATGGAGGACGGGATATTGTTTCACCGCAGCAAGGGAGTTTATGACTTTTGCCAACATCTAGTCATCTGAAGCGTGTTTGAAGTTTGTCACCTCCGCGAGGCTGCTTAAGCGGTTATATAAGAGGATCAAGTCGCCTCAAGTTTGTTTGCTAGATTGGCCCCAATCAAGATTATCACAACAGTAATTTAAGCGTGGTCTGGGATATAAACCACAATGATTTTGCAGAAACAGAACATACGCTTCAGAGGAAAGACGTTGCGCTTCCTCGTGACGTTTTGCTCCTGTACAGGTTTTTTGCTCCTTGGGTATGATCAGGGTCTGATGTCGACAATTGTTGGAGCAGATAACAGGTTTGGTAAGGACTTCAACCATCCTGATTCCGATGTCCAGGGCCTGCTCTCCTCAGTTTACGATCTCGGATGTTGTCTGGGATCGGTGATGTGCTTCTTTGTCGGTGAAAGAGCTGGCCGGAGATGGATGATGCTCACAGGAGGCTCCACAATGATTGTGGGGACTATAATCCTTGCTTCGTCCTACACCAGGGGCCAGTTTTATGTTGGAAGAATCGTCACAGGCATCGGAAACGGCTTTAACTCGTCCACTATTCCTGTGTACCAAGCTGAGTGTGCTCTAGCTGGCAATAGAGGAAAAATGCTAACGTACCAGGCCGTCGTTACTATTGCTGGAGTTATCATCGCCTACTGGGTTGGCTATGGAACATCATTCACGGACGGCCCTGTGCAGTGGAGATTTCCTTGCTCGCTCCAAGGCTTGTTTGCACTGGCCTTGGTGATCGAACTCCTCACAGGAATTCTACCAGAGACGCCTAGATGGCTAGTGACTAAGAAAAGATACAGCGAGGCACAAGAGGTTCTTGCTGCCATTTTTGATGAAGATCTTGACTCCGACATTGTGCTTCAGGAAGTGCAAGACATCAAAACAACAGTTGACAATGAAGCGGCCGGTGGAGAGTTCAGGTTTGGAGAGCTATTTGAAATCCACAATGGAAACCTCAGAAGACTTATATTAAGCTGTGGAATCATGATCATGCAACAGTTCACGGGATCAAATATGATAAACTACTACGCGCCGATTGTTTATCAGAACACGATGCACCTGTCCAGAAATACCTCCTTGGTTCTAGGTGGATGCTGCGAAATTGTGTACCTGGTGGGAGCTTTCGTTCCTGTGTGGACCATCGACAAGTACGGAAGGCGTACTATGCTGTTCATTTCTTCAGCAGGACTGACAGTGTGTTTCATTGCGGTCTCTGGTCTTCTGTCTCAGGAAAGATATGCTACCTCGGTCGCTGCCAGCTGCTTTGTTTTCCTCTACCAACTGTTTATGGGAGTCGGATGGCTCAATGTCTGGTTCTTCCCTGCAGAGCTGAACGGTACCCGTCTTCGGTCCAGGGTGCAAGCTATCGCATCTTTTATCAACTGGCTATCGGTGTTTGCCGTTGTGCAGATCACGCCAAAAGCTATCAACAATATTGGTTGGAGAACGTTTATTATCTTTGCCATTCTTAACTTCACGTGGATTCCTATCGTGTACTGTTTCTACCCCGAAACCAAGGGTCTCGAGTTGGAGGACATCGATCACTTGTTCGACCGTGGTGGATTCACGGGTGGGGTTTTCACGACAAGGGGACATCCAATACGGCCTGGAGAAAGGAGGAAAGACATTGAATCAAAGGCCTTTGTTGTTGATGAGAAAGATCATGTTAGCTTTGTTGAGTAGGCTCAACCAAGATCAGCTATTTATCCACTGTGTAATATTTTGGAGTTCTTTTACTTGCGCTTGTTTTATCGTAGCTATACTTAGTCCAGGTTGATTTTTCCACCGCGCAGTGATCTATCAAGTCATTAGCAGAGATTGATTTGGCATAAGACTGGCATGACCAAATGCCCTACTATCTGAAGCGAGGGAAGACCCTGACTGGCGGTTCTCCCTCAGCTGACATGTATATTGTAGGCTTCCACGGCATTGAGACTAAACACTCTCTGTTTCAGGTCATCAGATGCCTCAAGACTGTTCAAAATGTCCATGGTTAGGTCTCTCCATAATGGAAATGCTCTCTCTCCACCATTGAGCTTGCATACTGGCCAGTCACTTCCCCAAATAACTCTAGAAGGTCCAAATGTCTGCAGCGCGTATTCAAAGTAGGGAGTGGCGCTCTGCACAATTTCTTCGTAGCTCAGATTCTCAGCGTGTTTGTCAAGTTCCGAAAGCAAACCACTGAGTTTCAAATAGACTGCATTGTTATTTTTCAGAGCTATCTCGTGGATGTTCTTCATCGAGCGCTTCCACGCGTTGAAGTTGTCTGAAAACCCGTCAACTGCAAGATTGGGCTTTCCAAAATGATCTATGACAAATGCGGCATCTTTTACGCTCTCAAACAAAACACCCACCTCTCTATACTGGCCATCTCCACGACGATGAAAATCAATGCCCAGCTCGAAGACGAAGTTCTTGCTAGCCAGCCACTTAATGGACTCGATGAACTTCCTTGAAACCATGATGCCATCCGGCTTGTCTTGCAAGAGAAATCGAAAACCCTTGACTAGAGAGATCTGTTGTGGATTGATATCTTCAAACAGTTTATTGAGGTAGAGTTCCAGCGTCTGAGGTCCTAAAGGCACCGGTGCCCAAGGTATTATGGCTATAATCAAGCCCTCTTCTTTTATGGACTGTTCGACGACAAATTTCAATTCTCTTACAGCAGGAGTAAAGCCTTCAAGGCCACATGAAAGATCTGTCTTGACGTCCGATTCAATATAGATAACACCCTTGAAATTGAATGGGCTAGATCCTTGATTCCAGTTCTGTGCCCTATACTTGGTTGCTGTGTGCTCGCAACTAATATGAAGTGATTTATCCATCCACCTCAGTGAGCTTAGGCTCTCTTCATCGTAAAGATGCACATGTGCGTCTATCAGGTCGATCTTCCCCATACTGTCAGAACAGGATGAGGCCAGGTTTAAATTTCGGCGAATTGAATGCAATGATAAAACCGATCAAGACAGACTGAACAGTTCTTGTATTCCCATCGCATCTATTATTTCCATTCTATTACTAAGAAATCAAAGTCACGGATTTTTATTCGGACATGAAAAAATACAACCCCGGTCCCTTCTCCTCTTTGGTCAAGACGCAGATGTCGGAACTTTTAGGGTGACCATAACATTTTTCCGAGCGAGTTGGAAATTTAGATCAATACATATAATTGGGATATTTTTCGAGGATCTCTGTTCACACTAAGAGAACAGGCTGATTGGTGCTAAGTATCAAATGATTCTCCAAGGTAAAGTTGTTGCGATAACAGGAGCTGCCACAGGAATTGGTAGAGCAATTGCTGTGGGGATGTCCCAGCAAGGAGCCAAAGTCGCGATTAATTACCTTAACGGCCAAGAGAGCGAAATCCAAAGTCTGAAGGAAGAGATTCCAGACCTGCTAGCAGTTGAGGGCGATATAAGACATCCCGAAACATCACTGAATCTTATTGAACAGACGGTGAACAAATTCGGCGAGCTCAACGTTTTTGTGTCCAATGCTGGGGTGTGCAAGTTTATGGAGTTCACAGAAATTGACTACGATCTGTATAAAAACACTGTGAGCATCAACCTCGATGGTGCCTTTTTTGCGACACAAGCTGCCGCGGCCCAGATGATCAAACAAGGAAAGGGTGGATCTATTATTGGAATCTCTTCCATCAGCGCGCTGGTGGGCGGTGGACTGCAGGCACATTATACTCCTACGAAAGCCGCTATCTTGTCGCTCATGCAGTCAACTGCATGCGCTCTTGGTAAACATAAGATAAGGTGTAACGCCCTACTCCCTGGAACGATCAGAACTCAATTGAACGAGGAGGACTTGCAAGATCCGCAAAAGAAGGCCTATATGGAGGGAAGAATCCCATTGGGTAGACTTGGTGTTCCATCAGATATGGCAGGACCAGCAATATTTCTTGCCAGCGACCTGTCCGAATATGTCACTGGCGCCCAGCTACTGGTTGATGGTGGTTTGTTTGTAAATCTACAATAAAGAGTCATAGCCATTCCAAGTCGCTTGACAAGGCAGCTGTACTAATAATAGTGAAACATGGCCGGCCGTGTAATGGGATTGATATACTTTTACAAAGCACTTTCAGCGTCCACAATTTCCGAGATATTCTGTTTGAACTGTGCCCAGTAGCTGTGATCAACGTCCTGATTGAGAGGCATTCTTCCGAGATAGGTTTCTCCAAACCCTTTGAGACTGATCATTTTCTTAATACCCACGACACCAAATCTAACCACCAGCTCTTCTGCTCTCGTAGCAATAAACTGAAGTTTTGCGGCTTCCTCATACTGCTTAGCTTGAAACAGCTCGTAAATTTTGACGTATAGCTTTGGGAATGCTCCCGACAGTGCATCAACTGTGCCCTTTCCTCCCACCGTGAGAACTGGAAGAAGTATTTGCCCCAGTCCGGTGAAAGTGTAGAAATTGTTCTCCTTCGTAAGCGGTGACATTGCAATCATTGTGTGGTGTGCGACGTCTCCGTGCGATATCTTGGTTCCAACAATGTTCGGATGTCTCGACAGCTTGACTATAGTTTCCGGTTCCACCACAATATTGTTGGTCACTCCAGGATAAACGTATATCATGATTGGCAGACTAGATTGATTTGCAACCTGTGTGTAAAATTCTTCAATTGCGGCCTGCTTGATTCCTGGTCCGTAATAGCTGGAGCTCAAGACAAGCGCATAAGATGCTCCGGCTTCTTTAACCGCGTCAATTTCGTGGAGCACTTCTTCCAAGCAGTTTTGAGCCACTCCTGCAAGAATTGGAAATCCAGGCAGATTTTTGTGGATGGCCTCGATGATTGAGACTCTCTCTGTTCTTGTTAAATGAGCTGCTTCTCCAGTACTTCCCATTAGAACCAAGCCTTTGATACCATTGTCTCTTAAATACTTGGCGTGGGCAATCTGGGTCTCATAATCTATTGTAACAAGGTCCTTTTTGAAAAACGTGGGAACTGGAGTGTAAATTCCAGGTTGTGGTGGTTCTGGTGCTCCTGTGATAGTATTGGTCATTTTCAGGGAAGGTTTCAAAAGCTAGAGAGTACGAAAAAGCTTTCCATGATCGTATTGTCCGAACTCCATATATATGAGCCACTCGCAGGGGGAGGTTCGGTTGGTGCAAGGTGTCGCTAATTAAATTTCCGGAAGCTTATGCATGGAGAAGTCTCCTGCGTACGCACGAATTTGTGGGGTAAACAAAATTTCCGGGGAAACTGATCTTTTGGTTCTGGGAAAAAGATCAGGTTTCGAGGCACATCAACGAAATATGAACATCCAGGAGGTCGTACTTGATGACAATGAAAATAACCGTAAACGGTTGTCCAAATCATGCGATGTCTGCCGGGCAAAGAAGCTGAAATGCGATTCGCAAAAAGAATGTTCACATTGTCGAAGTCACGGATTTGAGTGTGTATATTCTTTCGTCAAAAAACCGGGTCTTAAACCCGGTTATGGAAAAGAGCTACTAAAGAGGCTATCTTCCTTGGAGGAAGAAAGCCAGACGTTCCGTAAGAAGTTCAAACTTATTGAAGCGGCACTTGGAAGCTTGCAGGCTGGCAAATCTACAAACCCCGTGGGACAGAATTTGGTGAATTTGATGAGCTCAGAGGCTCTTCAAGCTAGTGTAACATCTGTGGACGCTGGCTTGACTCAACCTCAAACATCCATGACGTCAGAGATGGAGCGTAAACGCGAAAACATGGAAAACATCAGACTTCTCAACAGCGGGTTACCAAGACCTGGAACGCTTAAACAACTCGTCGATATATTCTTTGCCAAAGTATTTCCGAGCTTTCCTGTTATTCATCCACTGGAAACAAGAAAAACTATACAGCAGTATATTTGTGCGATCGAAGCTGCGAATGCCGCTCAGGAGTTGTCGGTTCACAAACCACCCTTGATCATTTATGGGATTCTTCTAAATTCAGTGCAATACATACAAGAAAGCAAGAATATTTTCATGTCCAAGGATGAAGTTGAACAATTGATTCTCACATGTAAGCAGAAAATCATTCTTGAGTGTTACTCTGTCTCCTCGGTTGCTCAACTTCAAACAATAGCGTTAATGGCTTACTACTCGTTTGGAAATTCTGTTGTTCCGGAATCGTCGTCAGTTATCAGCATGTCTGCCACTGGAATGATCCACTTAAATATTTCGGTTACCAACGATATAACTTCTCAATCCACATCTCCGGAAACTCCAAAGGAGTCTTTACCATACGTTATTCGACCGAAAAGAGCAAAAGTTCTGAAAGAGCCTGTCACGGTCAGTGAGAAAGAGGGTAGGATTCGGTTAGGATGGGGTATTGTTGCTCTTGATATTCTGAATTCATTCTCTTCAGGCACACCCTTGTGCGTGCCCGACTCCGAAGGAAATCTTTCTAGGCCTTTGGGAACCAAGTTGTGGAGTCAAATTGACGACCCAAACTATAAGCCATCTCTTTTCGCCAGAAATGGTTCAGAAATAGAAACCTTTGATGCCTTCAGCTACTTCACTGATGTAATACAGATGATGAGAAGGATGTATGGGTTTATCTCTCACCCGCGGAATATAGCTGACAAGCAAAATGTTTGCGAGTGGTTTGTGCACTTTCATATGTTGGAAAACGAAATTAAGGAGTGGAAGAGCAATCTGCCGTCTAAGTACGCTTCTCTGTTGGACTCAAGCACTTTGGGCACCGAACAACATACCTTTGAAGAGATCGCAGGTCTGGCTCTTTTGCACTCTTCATATCACATAGCACTGATCAAGATGCACAGCGCCTATGGATACCCGCATATTGAATCTCCAGCCTTCAAGCATTCAGAAGGCTCGCGGCGAATATGTCTCGAATCAGTGGAAAGGGTAGCATTACTGGCTCAAAATATTATGGAGCAAGAAAAGAAGAAGGGTGAAAAAATGCTTGAGAACTTGGGACCACATTATTCTTTTTGTTTATGGGTTTGTGCCAGAGTTCTGATAGCAGACAGCATATTTAACCAGGCTGCAAAAAGCCAGTCAGATCGGGAAAATCTCAACATGAAACTGAAGCTGTTTTGCGGAATATTGTTCGCAATTGGGAAGCATTGGCAGGGAGCTCAAAAATATTATAGGATTTTGAGGCAGCTACAAAGCTTCGGTTTTGATACTCTCCCTGCTTCTGCAAACGCAGATTATCCAGAAGGAAACGAGGATGAAATACCTCCGTCCCAGGCCATTGCTGACATGAGGATCAATGCACATCTACTTTCTCTCATTTTGAACAAAAACTTAGCAAAAGATACTCAAAGCCGGAAACATCACGATAACCAAAATGCTGTTATGGATAAAAATGGTCTGTTAGCTTCGACGAAGTCAAGATCAAATAGAACCCAAGAGGAGAGTATGCTTCTCGACGCTTTCCAATTTGACACCAGCTCCTTTGGATTTGAAGATCTACTTGGGTATTTGACTCAAAACAACATGGCACAAGAACCTCTTTAAAACTCTATACGGCATAAGCAACTCACGTTATATCTTTCAACCAGCGGATGCTGGGGTTACGAACATAAATTATTCACTCGGCTATTTACATATGGTATAATTGTACTAGAAATAAATTCCCCGCCCTGCATATCCTTCGACTTTTATCATTAGCTTATTAACCCGAACATACAAAAAAATAGTTCCAAAATTGGATAGTGGGGCAGGTTTCCCCACATTTTTGTTTTCGGGATATTCTTTAAATGATTTTTCCGGGTCTAAGCATTTTTGAAACCCAGAAATGGCTCGTAACTGATGACCATGAAACAATCAATTTCACATTTCTGTAAACAACTCAATAATTATATAACAGCTCGAACTTCCCAAATCATAGTTTCATTGCAAAAACTAAAATGACGGCCAGTGAATTTCCTCGTATCAAGAAAATAACTACCTATCTTACCGAAGGAAAGGGTATAGGTGGAGACTACCATAATGTTGAAAAAGGACATTGGCTGGTGGACAACTATATTTCCAATCCAATGTCGAAGTTCCCTGAATATAAAGCGTCTCGTACCAGCTGGGGAATCAACGTTCTAGGCTCGTTTTGCGTGGAAATCGAATCCACGGACGGCTCCAAAGGATTTGCAACTGGATTTGGAGGACCAATTGCGTGTTGGTTGGTCCACAATCATTTTGAGAGATTCATTATTGGAGAAGATCCAAGAAACTACAACTTGATCTGGGATAAATTGTTTAGAGCCTCCATGTTTTACGGAAGAAAGGGTATCACTTTGGCTGTCATTTCAGTTGTTGACCTGGCTATTTGGGATCTTCTGGGTAAGATCAGAAACGAGCCGGTCTACAAGATGATTGGTGGTGCAACGCGCGACAGAATTGATTTCTACTGTACTGGATGCAACCCAAAAGCGGCAAAGGAGATGGGATTCTGGGGAGGAAAGGTCGCACTACCATTCGGACCTGATGATGGATTCCCAGGACTCAGAAAGAATGTGGAGTTCCTAAGAAATCATCGTAAAGCAGTGGGACCGGATTTCCCGCTTATGGTTGATTGTTACATGTCGCTGAATGTTCCATATGTGATAGATCTTGTCAAAGCTACTCAAGACTTGGATATCAACTGGTGGGAGGAGACTCTTCATCCTGATGACTTTGATGGATATGCTTTGCTCAAGCGTGCCTTCCCAACAATGAAATTCACAACCGGAGAGCACGAGTATTCCAAGTACGGATTCAGAAAATTGATTGAGGGAAGAAATGTGGATATTTTGCAGCCAGATGTTATGTGGGTTGGAGGAATGACCGAGCTTTTGAAGATTGCTGCACAAGCTGCTGCTTACGACATTCCAGTTGTGCCACACGCCTCCGGTTCCTACTCATATCATTTTGTTGCTTCCCAATCGAACACACCTTTCCAGGAGTACTTAGCCAACTCTCCAGACTCCTCTTCTGTGCTACCGGTCTTTGGATCCTTATTCACAGATGAAACTGTTCCAACCAAAGGATTCTTGAACATTTCACAGCTTGACAAACCTGGATTCGGCCTCACTGTGAATCCTAAAGTGAAGCTTATTGATGCTCGTTACATCCTTTCGCCATCTCCTGAACGTCCATTGAAGATTGAATCTGTGGATGAAAATAAGGCCTAATTGTATTAGGTCATCAACCAGACCATATCCTCCTGAGTCATTGTATATTGATAAACTTCAAGAGTTTCTGGCTTTTCAAGACGTGAGATTAATGAGGTGTCTACTATGTAACGAAAATAAAAAGTCACTTTTTTTAATTTGGAAGAACGAAAGTAAAAGTAAAAGGTGGCGTATTTTGATCGGTAACGAACTTGCTCGATTCGGTTAATCTTGGGTAATCATTGGTTTTCCAGTCCAGTAGAATGCCAAGGCTTGCGGGTAGCTGCTATTGAGGTTGCAGGCAGCCGGATAGGGTAAGTCTGATATGAATGTCATTTTTCTGATTCTGAACTTTGTTTTAGCAATACTGCAGTAGCGTTCGCATAACCATCCAACACATTAGACATGATCTATCAAGTTCCACTACATTAATAGTATGATAGGTCATTGTCGGATCCGAAGCCAATGAAAGACTCCGCAGAAAAAGCATCACAAAACTTTGAGGCACCAGCGACATCTAATTCTAATCCGCAGTGGCCGGCCACAGTGTAAACCCTTTAGGGATACCTATACGATAGTTATATAGATTTTCCGCGCGTCGATGTCTGCTAGCATATTGTAAACGTCAACTAGAAGATTTATTCTATATATATTGCAGTGCTGACTTGTAGTATTAGCTTTTAGGATATAGGGCAAGCCCTGATGCATCAACATATCAGCTAAAATCAGGTACAGATAAGCCAAAGGTTCAAAGAATTGTGCTAGTAATTCTTTTATGGTAATTCCTCTTCAGTGTTCGACGAGTGCTTATCAAATTTTTTAAGAGCTCTTATCAGTTATTCCACTACATTTATTTGACGAGTGCTTATCAAATTTTTTAAAAGAGGCTCTTTATTGGTTTCTAACCAAATGGAACCATCTAGTTTAGAGGAAAAAAAGCCAAAAGTATGTCGGTCACAGAGAGGTTGCTACTGGTGTCGTGTATCCAAAAAGAAATGTACGGAAAAACGCCCTATATGTGCTCGGTGTGAGCTAGGAGGGAAACAATGTATTTGGCCACAGAGCATCGATGGAAAGACTTTCATTATCAACGGAGAACCTTGCAAGGTCAGGAGACCCGAAGTGAAAGTAAGAAGCAGAGAAGGGTGTTTTCAATGTCGTCAGAGAAAGAAGAAGTGCCCTGGTAATCGACCACAGTGCAGGCGGTGCGCACTTCGGAACGATGATTGCCACTGGCCCGAGTTCCACAACCAATCTCTTGCCAACTACGAGTATCAGCAGAAATCAAAACCGAACTTACCTATTTTGCAAAGAACTGAGGTCTTGGGAGATGTTCGAAGGCTTCCAGAACCACTAAGCCCACGAGTCTTCGTCAAAGAGCTCTTTTTCAACATCTTTTTCAATGTTGCTATTACCTCGCTTATTCCACCTAGCTCAATGTCAGAGATTTCTGAACTGACATACCGTGAGTCCATTGAGAGCTCGATGGTAAAGAAAGTCATAATCTCGTATAGTGCAGCCCTACTAGGTGAAAAACTGACTCGAGATTTGGTGGAGGAAACAAAGCAAGAAGCCATCAACGAGATGTTGCTAGAAAAGGACTCACAGTCTGTCAGGAAACAATTATCCAAGCTCCAGTGCTCAACCATTCTCATGCTGCGCGACTTCCTTGTGGAGACAAACCCATCTGTTTTGCTCCGCAACATAAACTACGTTCTTGAGCAGATACGTTCCTGCAAGAATTTGAACATCAAAAATATCCGGCTGTTTGTCGATAGTTTCACATACCATCACACAGTTGGCATTTTATCATGCACAAGAGAGTGCATCGAATACGTCCCAAACCCCTTTGTTCTCGAAAGTGAACTAAAACAGTTTTTTCCAGAGAGTAACAATATTTCGACAAATCCGCTTCTGGGAAGGGCCTTCAAATGTTTCATCAGCGCTGCAAAAGCCTCATATATTTTGAAGTCGCAAACTATCGAACTGAAAGATATCGTGGACACAATGCTTCAAATTGATGAGCAGCTGCAAGCCGAATTGTATTCCTACACCTCTTATACATCTGATGACTATACGCTTAAAATGGTGGGTATTGCAACACTGTGCGCCAGCAAAATTCTCATAACCAAGAGCTTGCAACCTGATATATCTGCTAGCTCCAAAGATATACATGATATCTTCACTATAGGCTTCAGATCATTTGAAAGGATCCCCGAGTTGCTCGACCACATTGTCTGCGGGGGAATATGGGCTCTTTTTGTTCTTGGGATTTGTGCTCAGCAAACCCGTCATCAGCATCAGGTTAAAGCTCATATTCATTGCTATTACCGCAGATCGCACAAGCCTAATCTCTTGAATGTGCTTAAGCTACTGGAATATGTCTGGGACAATAAACTGGGGCTTGATATACTGGATGATCACCATGCTTTGTCATACATCACTCTTGCCTAGTTATATATCTGAGAAACTAACATTTGTGGGACCATTTGCGGAAATTCTTGCCCCAAATAAAGAAAACAATAAAGAATCCGTTGATTACAACGCAGAAAACTGCCAACATGATGGTAGTTCCTAGCACTCCCACACCTGAAAGCCAGTACTGGAAAACCCAGGCAAAAAGCGCACTAATGAGGTTTCTGACAAACAAAATTGCGGACATAGAGTCTCCGACCTCTTGGGGATAACATTCAATAACATAAGTCAGTGTTAAGGACGTGATGCTTCCCAACCCAACTGAAATGAACACAATTCCTAGTGCACCCACAACCCAGGAGTCCTTGTAGTAAGGGCCCAATCCGTACATGAATATACCAGCAATGTTCAGAGCCAATGGAATAGAGATCATAAGTAGTCGGAATTCGGGCTCAAAGATTCCCTTGTTTGCCTTGGTCATCCAGATTTGAAACTTATCGGACAGAGAAGAGTACACAGCACTGATGGTGCTTCCAATAACCATAGCCAGATTGAGCAGCCCAAGGGTATCTGATCCAAAGTTGTACGGTGGTGCCATGAAAAACTCAGATTCAGTGACCGTGATCAGAGACAGCCAGCAAATCTGTATTCCATACGCAAGTGCAACCCAGAGTACAGCGGGGTGGCGAAGTGTTTTGATTGGATCAATAACATCATTCCATATCGGTCTCTTGCTTGGTGTAGTTTTCCAGAGTGACAGCCTATTTTTGAAAGGTTTAACACCGGTCACGGGATTAACAACAATATTAACCTCCAACTTACGCGTGCTCACAGTTTCGTCGTGTACATTTGAGTGCGCAGCTTCCAGCAACCTTTCCTCAACCTGGGGATCAATTTCTCGTTGGAACACAGATTCCTCAAGGAATGGTAGCTCAACAACAAGCAATGCTCCTGATATGATTGCAATGAGCCATCCACACCACTTAATGGAAAGGTTTTCTGCAACATAACCAGCAATGAAAGGCCCAAATGCAGAGCCCCATCCCAGCGTAAGAGCGTATATTGCAACATATTTTCCATGTTGGTGAAGGAAAAAGATATCTGTTATGGAAACTTCAACCAGCGAGTCGATGGGTCCTGCGGCAATTCCCATCAAGACGGCGTTGCCAATATATCCGCCATAAGAAAACGCCCCAGAGAAAACTATCCCGGAAAGTAAGGAAAGCAAAGTTGCAGACAGATACACTATTCTTCGACCAAATCTTGCTGCAATTGGTTGGCAGAGGAGACAACTGAAAGCCAAAAATAAGGAGGTGGTTCCAAGGCCAGCGTTTAGTTGGTTGAGCGTACGATCGTAAATTTCTGATAGACCTTTGTACAAAGGACCCTGAAAGTTTGAGCTCGCAGCCAACACCAAAGCGAACACAAACAAAATCCAAAAATGTAACTGCTTTCTCCACATGCTCCAGTTCAACGGATCATTCGGATCAGATGATGGCTGTGGTATCAAAACAACCTCGTCACTGCTTTTTAGGCCTAGGGAGCCCGGATCATGGTCAACCAGCACAGTGGTACCAGGCACGTTTATATCTTGTCGAATAGCTAAGTTACTGAAGATCATTATTTAACAAAGAACGAGAAGACCATCGTTATATACTGTCTATTTGAAGGACATAACTGATAAAGTCCTGATATTATAATTCTTTTGAAGGTTATTCTATCATCTTTTGCGCTTCCGCATTGTTTTTTTTGGCTGTTCGAACTATCTGATAACGACGGATTATTTTTTTCCCAAGCGCTTCCGCTTATCAATCATGCAAGGATAAATTGACCAATGATTTAACCTGTGAGTATCGAAAACAGTTGATGGCCTCCCAGGATTTGTAAGATATATAGTTTGAGCCATTTCTGTCACAGTACTCATCAATATGACCGCGGACTGGAAAGAAAAAGCAGCTGCCAAAAGGGCAGAGGTTCATAAAGGCATACCCCAGGAATGGATTCTACCTTCGTCTGTGCTGGACAACTATGACGAGAATCAGAGTGTCTCCGTCCTTGAGATACCTCGCAGATTTCTGTCTGATAGTGAATTAGCTATCACTGAAAATTATTCAGCTTCTGAGCTTCACAATGCAATTGTAAGCGGAAAACTGACAAGTCTGGAGGTCACCACAGCTTTTTGTCATCGTGCTGCTATTGCAACACAGCTGACTAACTGTTGTACTGAAATAATGTTTGAGTACGGAATTGAAAGGGCCAAAATGCTAGACAACTACCTGGAAACGCATGGCAAACCAATCGGCCCTCTTCATGGAGTTCCAGTGTCTTTGAAGGACTCATTCAACATACCTGGCTACGATTCCACTATTGGTTATGTTTCGTTCATTGGAAATGCACCCAAAACTAAAAGTAGCTTTGCAGAATTCCTCGAGGACAACGGAGCAGTCTTTTATGTGAAAACTAACATCCCACAAACGTTGATGACTGCAGACTCCGAGAACAACATCTTCGGTCGTACACTAAATCCTAGTGATCTTTCTCGCACAGCTGGTGGAAGCTCTGGGGGTGAAGGAGCTCTGATCAAACTCCGTGGATCTATTTTGGGCATTGGAACGGATATTGCTGGTTCTATTCGTATTCCCGCATTATGCAATGGTGTTTACGGATACAAGCCATCTTCTAAGGTAATTCCGTTTGAAGGTCAGACTTCTCCAGACGTGCCAGCGTACATTGGCGTTGACCCTTGTGCTGGTCCACTGGCAACTAACTTAGAGGATATCACCATGCTTACTGATATTCTTTCTGACTCTGATCCAACCAGGTACGATCCCAATTCAATGAAGATTGACTGGAAAAGACCAAGTACCGACAAACTGCAAATAGGTCTCTACCTTGGTGGACAAAATGATACACCACCAGCTGACGAAATTTCTTCTCCGATCTTAAAACTCGGACAAAAGCTAGCAGCAATGGGCCATAATGTGATTGATCTGTCTGCCGTTGAATCTAATTTACCGTCACTATTTGACGGTTGGGAGCTGGCCGTAAAGCTATACGGAATTAACCCAGATTCAGAGACCATGCAATATATTTTCAAATCTGGTGAGCCCTGCATTGCCTCTTTGATGGCAAGCTTGCCACCAAAACCTGAAAGTCCTCACAACGATATTCCAGATGAGGTTCCTACCGTCCGTGATGCCATCAAGGCTAAAAAACAGCAAGCCGAAACCAGACAGAGATGGTTTGATATTTTTGGGGCCCACAAATTAGATATACTTCTCACTGCGGGAGCGCCCTATGTTGCTCCGGCCCATGACACATATGGGCCTGCGCCGTATACAGCAATGTGGAACATTGTCGACTTTCCTGCTCTCATTATTCCGTTGGAAAATCCAGTTGGTCATCTGCCAGCTCATGTTCAAGTTGTCGCACCGTGGCTTAAGGATGCCAAACTTTTGGCCTCTGCTACAGTCATTCAAAAAAGCCTTAGTGTTAAGTAGGTTAGGCAGGTCACTTAAAGTAAGAGATAAATCCTTCAATCATTGAAGTTGTAAAGTAACCATGTTAAGTAAGCAATATCTGAGCAAGATAATTTACTCAGACTGAAGCTTTTGAGATACATATTGCGAGTATCTTACACGCTGACCCAGGATATGTTCCGTTGCGGGATGCGGGCAATTTAAGTTAGCCTACGTAGCATTGATGTAGATCCGTTGAAACGGTTTCCAAAAACATCCCAGTTGCTTTAAAAAATCCCACTACATTCATAACTCAAAAGCTTTTTTTTCTAATCACAAAATATGTTGGAGCCGATTGTGATTCTTAGTTCAACGACTCTTACATACAACACGAAAAACCTTTTATCAATTCCTGAATTATCAACATTGTTGATGATGGAGTAAATTTTGACTTCACTTGAACTCTTTTTGGTCTTGCTAACCTATGCATTGCTGAAATGAAAAACTGCTCTGATTCATCACATAGGCTAGAACAACATCTGAACACTAAAAAAGAAATATACTTGATCGAGAGATCTTATGAGCTGGATTACAAACCAGTCCAATAGGATGATTCCTGAATTTCAAACGAACTTGTCAGGAACTGCTTCGAATTGGAAGCATTGCCAACTAGCACTCGATATGTTCCTTTCTCAATTGACCACTTGTTGCGTTCTCCATCAAAGTAGGAGCATGCATACTTCAGTGGAACTTGGATCTCCACATTGGAAGCCCCGTTAGGTTCGAGGAATACTTTATTGAAGCCCTTGAGTTCCTTCAGGGGACGTTCTTCCGTTGTATCGTTTGGTGGACTGATGTATAACTGGACAACCTCGGCGCCGGCCACTCCACCAGTATTTTTCACTTCCACAGAGGCGATAATAATCCCGGCGTCAACTTTGACTGACAAAGAAGAGAAAGCAAAGGTGGTGTATGAAAGACCAAATCCAAAAGCGAACAAAGGATCAACTTCGCATTTTTCGTAGTATCTGTATCCCACAAAGGTGTCTTCACCATAAACAACCTTTCCCTTGTTGGACTTGAAGGTAAGGTATGCAGGATTATCTTGGCATCGTTTTGGGAAAGTTAAACTCAATTTACCAGACGGGTTGACATCACCAAAGATAACATCAGCAATTGCATTTCCACTCTCACTTCCATTGAACCACCCCTGAACTATGGCCGGAGTCTCATCGACCCATGGCATTGTGACTGGGGTACCGGAAAGATTGACCACCACCACATTCTTGTTGACTTTAAGCACTTCTTGGATGAGCTCATCTTGGCTACCAGGAAGGTCCATAACTGGTCTATCGTATCCCTCACTCTCCCAGTCTGATGATGTTCCAACACAAAGAACAACTTTTTCAGCTTGTGATGCAACTTCGACAGCCTTTTTGATTCTATCCTTATCTGACTCAACCTTCATGGCTGAAACATAAAGCGCTCCTCCTCCGTTAGATGCAACCAGATCAGTAGTCTCCAGAGTAAACGTTGGACCCGAACCAAATTCAATCTTGTACTTGAAAGAGTCTCCCTTGTTCATATAAAGTTCCTTGGTCTTGGGAGCAGTACATGCGCCCAGGGATGCAGATCCAAGGACTTGATTATTCTTGTCATCAATCTCTAGTTTACCGTCAATGAAAAATTGCGTAGTTCCAAGACAGCTCACGCTAATCACGTAGGTACCGGTCTCCTCGGCAGTAAATTCGCCCTCGATATCCATATAGAATAAGTTGGTATCCAGCTTGTCGTTTTTGTAATCGAACAAGATCAGTTTCGTAGAATTCAATGCAAACTCATCAACAATGACACGGTCAGGAGACTCAGCAGGAAGGTTGTAAACCTTGCAATAAACACCTTTTGAACCGTTGAAAGTGGACAAGGTGCCCAGGTCAAGCAGGTTTTTCTCAATTGAGCAACCTTCAGCATAGAGTGGGAGCTCTCCGAGTTTACCAGAAATACCATCGAAAACGCTTGTAGCATAGTAAGGATTCATCGAAGCAGAGCCACCACCAAAGATTCTAGCCGCTTTAGCGTTTGGGCCAATCACAGCGATCTTGTCTGTCTTCTTCAAAGGCAAAAGTGAATCCTCATTTTTCAGCAACACAATAGCTTCTGAGGCGAGCCTTCTGAGCAAAGCAGACGTCTCCGGAACATTATTCTTGGAATCTTCCGGAGCATTTGTTGGAATGCCGCTTTCCATAGAATACTTGACCAGGTTCAGAATGTTTCTGACTCTTTCGTCGACCACGTCTACGCTAATCTCTCGGGCATTGACAGCATGTAAAAGGGCATCCACTTTTCTCATAATTGGAACTCCGGGACACTCCAGGTCCAAACCCGCATCAATAGAAGGTTTGATTGAGTAGACACCGAACCAGTCGGACATAACCAGACCATTCCAGCCCCATTCCTCTCGCAGCACATCAGTGAGCAGCCTTTTGGATTGTGAAACGTGCTCACCATTCACCTTGTTGTAGGAGCTCATCACGCATTTTGGCTGAGAATACTTGATGGCTAACTGAAACGGCATCAGATAAATCTCCCTAAGAGCTCTTTCTGAAACAATCGAGTCAACAGAATTTCTCTCATCCTCCAAGTCGTTACAAACATAATGCTTGATTGTGGCCGCAATTCCTTTACTTTGGATACCATTGATCAAACTTGCAGAGCAGAGACCCGAAAGAAACGGATCTTCACTGAAAGACTCGAAACCCCTTCCACCCAAGGGTCCTCTCTGAATGTTACAAGTTGGACCCAATATAACATGAGCGCCTTTGTGTTTGGCCTCAGTAGCCATCATGCGTCCTGCCTCCTCCAATAATTGTACATTGAAAGTAGATCCCATACCGGTGCCCGATGTGAAGCAGGCAGATGGCTCAGATTTGAAGAACTTGGTACCTCTGACACCATTAGGGCCATCACTGAGCCGTATGGAAGGAATATTCAGTCTCTCAATCTCCTGCGTATGCCAGAAGTCCTTTAGAGCAAGCAGCTGGACTTTTTCCTTAGTGTTAAGTTGTTTGAGAACGTCTTCAACGTCGAAGGTGGACATAATAAGTAAGATAAGCTTTAGCTATATTCAACGGAGATTTCTTGGATTCTTTTCGTGTTAGACTTTTCGAGTAGTCTAATCGTTGTCAATGGTCTGTTACTCTGATTTTAAGTACCGGATAAACAGCTGGTTTACGTGTTTAAAACTTCGTGTTGAGAAATTATTTAGATGAGCCCAACCCTCGGCGGAACTATATTCTACTCCAAACGCGCGGGGAAATAATTTGCCGACTACTCCGACCCCACCCCCGGATTTCGCAAATGCAGATCGCTAAGCCTGAAAAATTGTGCAGATATCCGACTGAAACTTTCTTACCCCAGTTGTACTACAATTCAGACAATTTTGACCCCGTCTCTCGGACCATCAATATAGTTCGTCCAAGTCTAGTAGAAGATGGTTTCTGGTGGTCAACATTGAATCTGAGCGGACATAGATTGAAGGAAATTGAGGAGACTGATTGAGCAGCGCATTAATACGCCTGCTTGGGTAGCCACTAGTCACACGTAAGCCAAATTAATATTCATTGGTGGCATTGATCAACATGATGCAAAGGTATTGAAAGTCATCTACGTCAAGGGTATCGGCGAGGTTTTTGTCTTTCTCCATTATCCGCTGATTCCCTCAATCTTAGCTCTCATGTTACCCACAGGAAAACTAGTCATGTTTCTATGTTCATGGTGAAACAAGGAGCAATCTTGGCAGTGCTTTCTGCGGCTGATTTAGCATCTTGGAATTTACAGCGAGAAACTAAGAACGTGCCTGTCTTCGAAATCATTGGTGGTACTACCGGAGATACATATTGATCTTATGATATTGTAGGTGATCCAATAGCCGCAGAAGAAACGTCGGTTTGAGGAAAGAAGATTGCTCTCTTTATTGGACTTGATGATGGACTCGTACGACTGAAAGTGATTTTGAATATTTGAGGTCAAATTGGGATGGAGATGGTCCTGATTCTGCTCTCACAATTGGCCGTCACATGTATTCGAGCCTTCAATACACGATTACGCTGGTAAAGACCATTCAACTGGCTGAAAATATTTACTGACGGGAAGAGATCCCCGATCCTGAAGAGACCCATAATTACTCCATGCTGGAGCGTGCATATCCTCCTATGATATTTATTGAAGAGCGTCGGTAATACGGCTTTGGAATATTTATTGAGAAGAGACCTGTTGACATCGCACAATCCGGTGTTAATTGTGTTGTGTGGATGGATGAACCTAAACTTTTGAATAGTCTAGATCAGACAGCAGTTTATGATACACCTGTTATTCCACCAACCCCAGGATTATATCTTATCCTTTAGTTGCTTCTCAACCAAATGTGACTCAAAAGCAGCCAACTCTTTTCATGCTTATACAGGTATTCTGACGGCGTCTGTGGTCCATGTTTGCTAATGAATCAGTTCAAGCTAAACTATGGCAACTTCCTTACATCCTGATGCATCAGATTTTGGTTTCACAGCAGACCCTGGCACTAAACTCTTTGATGTGTATCGTAATTTGTTACCCCTACAGAAACGCCGCTCAGACTGATATCATAGAGATGGCAAGAAAGATGAAGCCTGATATTGTTACTGAGTAGAGTTAATCGAAAGAATCAAAGTATGCTAGACTTCAAAAAAAAAAAAACAGTTAACATGACCTATACATAAGCTAAAATCATAGCCCATCCCTTCATTAACAGCATGAAATGCTTCTAATTGTAGCTTATCAAGCTGAACAGGTAAAAGACCACACTCCGGACCCGACGGAATGAGTGGTTCCGTCCGGAAGTGTGATGTGGGCCGTAGAGTTCAGGGGAACAGTGACATTGTAGGTGAACTTACCAGCTTCTTTTTTCCACTGGGACTTGATCAAGCCATTGGGAGACTTATGGAAAGTCTCACAATAGCTGATGTTCGATCCTGGCATAGGCTGAAGGACAAACTCTTTCCAACCTGGTTCCTTCAATTTCAAACCACCCATTCTCTCATGCATCCAGTTGGCAATTGAACCCAAGGCATAGTGATTGAAAGAGGTCATATCACCAGGATTGATGCTTCCTGAAGGCAGCATACTATCCCATCGTTCCCAGATTGTTGTTGCACCCATAGAAACTGGATAAAGCCATGAAGGGCACTCCTTTTGTAATATCATTTTGTATGCGTCTTCTATATGTCCTGTAACAGTCAAAGCTTCAGTGACGAATGGGGTGCCAGCAAATCCGGTACTGATTTTATAGTCATTCTGTCTAGCTAGTTCGGACAACTGGTTACCAGCATAGCATATTTGATCATCATTGTAGTATAGCCCAAAGCAGATAGCCAGAGCATATGCCGTTTGTGTGTTTGATGTGAGTTTTCCTGACGAGGAGACATAGGCATCATGGAAATCAGAACGACATCTAGAAGCCAGCTCAGCGTAGTGAGCCGCATCTTCCTCTAACTTTAAGATCTCAGCAGTCTCTGAAGTCATCGTGAGTATCTTGAAAAGAAAAGCATCAGCAACCAGATAGGCGTCCGTCAAAGCAAGAAGAGGATTGTCTGGTGGTGCAGATGGATCCAGCCAATCCCCCAACTGCGCTTCTATCTTATCCCATCTCACTTTTCCTTCAATCTTAGGAATGTAGTCAATCCATGAAACCATACTTTCGTATTGTGTTTCCAGAATGTGCTTGTTTCCAGAAGATCTGTAGAGCTCATAAGGTACAATAACCGAGGCGTCCTGCCAAATAGCGGCAATCTTACCATTCCAGAATGTGTCAAAGGCATGGATGATATCCGGAACCACAACAGCGGGTGCTCCACCATTTGCTTTCTGTTCTAGTTTCAAATCCTTTAACCAACTTTCAAGGAACGAGTAGCAGTCACACAAGTAAAGTGCCGTTGGGGAAAATATGGCAATGTCACCTGTCCAACCGAGACGTTCATCTCTTTGTGGACAGTCCATCGGTATGGCCAGGAAATTGCCTCTCATGCTATGGACGACATTCTGGTGGAGCCTGTTGAGCAGCCTATCAGAACATTCAAAACCACCAGTTGTCTCCATTTGATTTCCAATGACGACAAAGTCAATACTGTTCGTGCTGAACTCTCCATACCAGTTATCAATCTGACAATATCTTGCTCCATGGAATGTAAATCTAGGAGCATATGTCTCACCATCTATATCACCTTTGAAAGTGTACTGGTCTGTAGCTTTTGCCAGCCTCAGGGGACGAGTGCCGAGCTCCCCATTCTCCAAAACTTCAGCAAACCTCAAAGTAATGGTGTGTCCTTTTGGAGCCTTGGCATTGTTGATGCGAGGGAAGCCAACTGCATTTTGACCAAAATCAACAATCAGCTTCTTCGTTGGCGTCTCGATGATGTTGATCGGTTTCAGAGTATCAATTTCACATATGTAACCAAAGGCCTGAGGCTCAATTGATTTGGAACCGCATTGAATGATTTCAACTGGGTTCCAAGCATCATCTTTAAAGGTCGGAAGAGACCATCCCGGAAGCTCGTCATTTGCATCATAAATCTCACCATTGTACAGCTGTGCGTCTTTGATTGGACCATAATTAGATTTCCAAGCTTCATCAGAGAGAATCACAGATTTCTCACCATTTTCGTATTCGACATCTATCTCAATACTAATGGCTCTGCGATATCCGTAAATATTTCTGGCCCCGCCGTCAAAACCAAGCATTCCGCTATACCATCCAGACCCCACTCTAGCCCCAATAGCATTACTATGCGGTGTAAGCAAGTCTGTGATATCGTAGACTTGATGGAGCAGACGATGATCATAGCTTGTCCAACCGGGTGCTAAGTAGTCTTGTCCAACCTTCTTTCCATTGACTTCGATCTCGTAAACCCCCAAAGCTGTGCTATAGATCTTGGCAGACTTAAGTTTGGTAGCCGATATATCAAAACTCCTTCTGAATAGTATTTCTGGTGAAACGTCTTCATCCTTAGGCTGTCCAACCATGGAAATGAATGGAGCCCGCCAAGAGTTATCCAGAATTCCGACTTGAGCGACTGCGGGCTCACTCCATTCAGAAAAAGAAGAAACATCTGATTTTGGTGCAACACGAATCGAAATCGTTATGACTTCTCTTGACTCCAAGTCTCTTCCAGGCCATTCCACACACGAATTGTTGTCGGAGTGGACAACATCGTAAGTTGTATAAGTTTGGGCCCCGTATTTTATCTTGATCTGATAAGCACCCTGATACCAGTTTTTCTCGTCACCAAGGACCTCCCAAGAAATGATTGGTCTTTTCGTTGCGATTACCCCACTGTTTGGTCCAAGGGTGTTTGAGTCTAGTCGAACTCCTCCAACTTTAATCATTTTTCAGTCAGCTATGTTTTCAGTAGAGTGTTTTAAAATGCTGAAAAAATAGTGAATGTTGAGGAGCAGCTTTATAGTCTAAAAAGGCAAAGTTGTGGGTTTGCGATTTTCATTTCGGACAAGTTCAAATCCGCTAGTGAAAATACGGGGTGGATTACTGAGCCCCCTTGAAGCTACGTGTCCTACATAACTGTCGAGCCAATAGTAATGTACATGGGGTGGTGGACAGGGAAAAAACTTTTACAGTCATGCCCCACTTTGAGAGACTAATACCTGAAAACACGGTCTAATGATACTCCGACGTACGCGGTGAAAGTTAAGGTTACCCAGGTTGCGGGGTCGTGCTATTGTTTCTTGACGAAAACGCCGACAAAAATCGAGAATGCATGTGGAGCTATTATTGTGGATCTATTGAAAAACAAGCTCTTTTGCATTTAATATCCGTTCAAGAGGGCTCCACCGTTCGTCTGATTTTTTGTCCGATTCCATTTTGGGCCAAAATTCCAGTCACAGATCTCGGAAATTCAATTTCGCGAGATTTACCCCACAAAAAATTTCCCCAGAATTTTTCTCAAATAATTCGAAGTCGTCATATGCAGATTGATCTAAGCGTACTGCAGGTTTTTATATAAAGATCAAGAAATCAGCTCCAGTGTAAAACATATCATAGCACTTGTGCAGAATTTTCGAAGCCTATTTAAAGATTGAGAATCGTATAATTCTGTATTGAAGTGCAACATGTTTAACACCACGTTTTTTAAGACAATGTTCAAGACTAAGAAAAGGGAGCCGGAAGCCCCTATAAGCGAGGATGAGTTTGACAACATGATGCAGCTCGCTAGAGCTCAGCAACAGGTCGAGCACGGACTTTCAAAATGGCAAGCAACAAAAAAGTACCCTTGGACAGTGTACTTCATGTTTGTCTGTGTGTGGGCCATGGTCCTTGTCGGCTATGAAAATCAAGCTGGAGGTATTGTTGTTAGCATTCCGGAATTCAGGAAAGACTTTGGCTTTTATTATCAAGGACAGTATGTTTTGGAAGCCAAATGGCAGTCTGCCATAACCGGTGGTCCTACTGGTGCCCTTGCGGTGGGCTTTATATTAGGATCATACCTTGCTGATAGGTTTGGTAGAAGGAACACATTGCTTTTCGCTGTCATACTCACCGTGCCGTTCATTGCCCTTGAATATATCGCAACTTCTATTCAAGTGTTTTTCCTGGGAAAGTTTTTCAACAGCTTCTGTTTGGGAGTCATCTCCACTTGTTCTTCGGTCTATGTTTCTGAATGTGCACCTCTTGCGTTAAGAGGATTTTTTGCCGCTACAATTGCTCTTGCGCTCTGTATTGGTCCGTTCATTTGTGTTCTCATCAATAACACAACGAGTACTTACACTACACGAATGGCTTATAGAGGTATCTTCATTCCCCAATGGATCTTTTCCGTCACTGCAATGGTTATGATTACAACTATTCCAGAGTCCGCTTATTGGTATCTTTCCAGAGGTAAACGTCGGCAGGGTCTTGCGTCCTTAAAGAAGATGTATCGAGAGGAAAGTCTTATACAAAAACAATACGCCATGATGCACGTGACCGTCATAGAGGCAAGCGAGATTTCGTCTAAAGCCGGTACTTATCTGGACTGTTTCAAGGCTAAAGACTTGCGTCGTACTTTGCTTGTCGTCTTTCCCCTTTTCATGCAAGCAATGAGTGGTGTTTCTTATGTGTCCAGCTACTCAACGTATTACTTTCAATATGCGGGATTTGATACCCAAAAGTCTTTCCAAATATCATGTGGTGCACAGGCTTTATCTATTGCAGGGGTTATTTGTTCCTGGTTCATCATTGACCGATTTGGTCGCCGATCATTAATGATCTCGGGCATGATTGCCATTACCATTCTCAACCTTTTGATTGCCAGTACGGGTACCGACAAAAGCAATAGAGCGGCAATGAAAGCATCTTCAGGGTTTATGACAATGTACAATTTCGTTTACAACATTGCCTTGGGAGCAGTGCCCTACATTTTGGCTTCTGAGGTGTCGTCCGTTTTCTTGAGAGCAAAGACTTATGCGATTGCAAACCTAACGAATAATGCTTTTCAATGCATGTGGTCGTTTGTGCTTCCGTATATGTTCAACGCAAACGAGGCTAACATGGGATCAAAGATCAATTTCATATTCACAGGGTGCTCATTCCTTTCGATATTTGTGTTTTATTTTTACCTTCCGGAAACTGCAGGACGCTCCTTTGAAGAGATTGACGAGATGTTTGCTTTGAAGATTCCTGCGCGCAAATGGAAACACTGGCAAACAAGAAAACAGGAGGAGTCTGAAAAGTACTTGAGCGAGCTGAAAATCACAGAGTCTCATGATGAGCTCCCGAAATCGATTGTGTAGGACGGAAAGGAAGTAGGTAAGGAAGAATTTAGGTAACAATAATGACTTTGGAAGATATCAAAGTAGCGGTGAAGACAGAGCTATTCACTGAATCGACGGATGAGCGATGGCTAATAACCGTTGGCATACCAGCCAAATTTAAAAAGCGAGTACTTCGTACAGAATCGCTCTTTCTGCAATAGAATGACTAGTTTGTATCCTATAGTCTTTGAAAATGCAGTACGATTCATGGAACATAATTGAGCACATAGAGAAAATTTATTCCATCCAAGCTCAGAAAAACAACAGTATAAAGCCAGTAATAAAATCGCAAAATTCTATCTAGGGAACCGTAACCCGGATCAGATTTGACCAACCCAGATAATCAAGGCTCGATTTCATCTCCAAACAAAGCATCATCAGTATCATAAGTACGGAAACTTCTTGTCGGAACCTTGTTTTCGAACATGACATCGAGCTCTTCAAATGTTCTTGCTCTTGTTTCTGGAAGTCTAAAGAGACACCAAGTGCCCCACATTGCACTGAGAATAGCAGGCAAGAACGCGGCTTTACCTTTCCAGTTTCTTTGAGTAGGGTTGATCATATATGGATTGGCGACAGACTGGACAATTCCCAAAATGTAGTATATTGAACGACCAACAGCAAATGTCTTGTTTCTCAAACGAGCTGTTGGAGTTTCAGAGGTAATAGCAAAAGCTAACGGACCAATACTGCAGTCATAGAAGTAGCTTTGAGTCATTAAAATAATGGCTGCAGCCCATTTTGGACCATCCTTATCCTGCGGTGCCAATGCTAAGATTGCAACCACGAAATAAATGATAGACTGGAAGTACATGCCACCCGTGTAAAGTCTTCTGTGTCCAAAGATACCTGAGAAGAACCAGGAGCTGACATCACCAAAAAGGGCTATACCTTCACCGATGAAGGTAAATGAGTAAGACTTTGCTTGTGTGAAACCGACTTGCTCGAAAAAATATGAGCCAGAAACTCCTCCAAAACCCACCATCTGTTGGGCCATCCAAACCATGACGACAATTTCAGTTCTTCTGAGATTTGTTCCCCTAAAACAATCCTTATAAGAGTAGTTTCGCTCATCATTTTGATTGCGCAAATCACTATGAATCATCATCGCAACCTCGTTTTCGACTTCTTCGCTTTCATCTTCATTTCTAAGCTTGAGTAACGTCTGTTTTGCCTCTTCGGGTCTTCCTCTTCTGATCAGCCACCATGGTGATTCTGGCGCAAAGTAGGTAACGAGAGCCAAAGGAATAGGCCATACCCATTGTAGCGCAAATGGAATTCTGTAGGACCATTCAGTTGTATTTTTTGAAAATCCGCAGAGAACACCAGCTTTAATGAAGTGTCCAATAGTGAATGTGAAGTTAACATACATTGTGAGATAGCCGCGAAGGACAGTTGGGCACATTTCGGCTGCATAACCTGGAGCAATTCCACCAAGTAATCCCCAAATAATAGTGCATAAAATTTCTCCTGCCAACAAAACATGGATATTGGGAGCAAAGAAAACGATAAAAATGAATCCAGTTGCTAGAAAGTAGCAAGGCATGATAACTTTCTTGTAACCGTATCTCTCAACAAGCAAACCATTAATCAACAAGCCGATAATTTCACCTACAGGAGATGCCATACTAAGACCAGTTTGCCATCTGGCAGGAATTTGATACTCCTTGATTTTTGGATAGTATCTTCCGTATTTCTTGGCAAATGTTGAGTATCCATAGACAGAAGAAATTAGGGAATCATCGTAGGCCTCCATAATAATGGCCCAAGATATTGCCCATGTCCAAAAGACGGCTTTTCTGTGAGTCCACAGGGCTTGCCATGTTGATATCGAGCGAGCCTCCTTGATACCTTTTCTTGCTTTTTCTGCCAAGCCATTATTTTCTTGGCTTACTTTTTTAGTGAACTCAAAAGTGGGCTCTTTTTTTTCCATATCAGTATCACGAATTGATGCGAGGTGATATTGAATATATAGTTAGACTTACTGCTAATTACTCAGATTCAGAGAAAGGTACATCTCCTGAGTTTTTATAGCACGGGTAGCTCCAACTTTCCTGGTCGGATACTTTTGTAACGTGCGCATATGGTGCAATCAAATAGCACATTTCTTTGCACGTGTAACCAATCGTTGATTACCAAGACGTGCAAACAGTAATTTTCGCTTATAGGCATGGAACTAATACTCGGTAATTACCGAAAACCATGTATATTGAATCCCACGAGGTGCTAGTCATCAAAGAAATCGGTTTTATGTGTTAACTTCCCAAACGCTGCTAATTCATTCTCAAAAACTTCAACTTAGGTGTCCTACTATGAACTATTCAAGATTTAAAGTTTATGACCATAACATCAGATGTATACCTTCCAGTCTGATGCAAGGCGAGGCATCTTGGAATGAAAGAAAAAAGAACTGCCTTTCTAGTATGCAGTTTTTTGCTGACAACGATACCTTCATCTGTCTTCAGGAGGTTATTCATGGGCAGCTAATGGACATTGCAAGAGATCTAGGCAATGATTGGGGCTACATTGGAGTTGGAAGGGATGATGGCTATACAAGAGGAGAATATAATCCAATTTTCTACTGCAGAAGTAGCTGGGGAGTTGTGGAAAGCAAAAACTACTGGCTCAGCCCAACACCAGAGAAACCCAGCAATGGATGGGGGGCAGATTTGAACAGGGTTCTAACTCATGCAAGATTCAGACATAAAAAAAAATATTACATGGTGAATGTGCTCAATACACACTTTGACCACTTGAGTGTTTTAGCTCGCACTAACTCAGCTCATCAAGTCATTGATGTTGCAAATAGCATTACCTGTGAGCCAGTTGTAGTCACTGGTGACTTCAATGCTCCCCCCGAAGAAGAGTGTTATAAAATCATTTCAGAGGCACTGTATGATGCATCTTTGACGAGTAAGATCAAATACGGCCCCGAAGTTACATATGTGGGCTTTGACGACTCTTATGATCAGGGGTTGATTGACTACATTTGGACCAACAAGAAGACCGTTGTGACCAGATTTGGGGTTTTGCCGTGTTCCATGGGCGGTCCCTACTTCAGCGACCATTGTCCGCTACTCGCAGAGTTTGAGACAGGGAATACTATGTAGTTTCTTAGCTTATTACCGCTACCACCTCTCTGACTTTGAAAAGAGGAGTGTAAAAGATCAGTTTGCCACACTTGCCAGAGCACGTGTCCAAAACATTAGATCGATATCAATCGGCAATCCACCGGCGCAGATGAACTCTAGAACTAGAAGAGCTTGATTTGCATAAGTTGTGCTTTGATCAATTTGAAACCCCATCCCGCGCACGTGTTGGCTATGGGGGAAATTCGTGGAAAACGCTAATACGAGAGGGAAATGTCGGCAAGAGCAATCTTCTTACGGGTGCCCTTGTGGTGCTGAGGATTGCCCTACCGTTGTTGGTATGGGAGAAAACAAAAAGCACAATACCTAATTGATGTTGGTATTCCAAAAGTTGAAAGCTAAGTGCACTCAAGGGCAACGACAGATAATGAAAATGAATTCATGTAGAACTAGCCACAGACAGACCCACTTCTGCGCATGATTAAATACCGAAGGATCCTAAATACCAATAAAATATATTTCGTAATGAAATAACAAACAGATATCCAAAGGGCCTCAGTAAGCCGGCAAGTAAGATCCTTTAAAACAATCTTGACCTGAAGCAATCACTTAATTACCCAACGTCCACTGGCAGTAACTTGTGTGGATCGCCTTGACAAATGTTCTAAGCTGAGTGGCGGGGCGGCTTTTGATCTAAATATTCTTGGCATGCAAGTTCGAGAGTTGACGTCATCGGCAAGAAAAGTCCGAACAACACGAGTCCACCCTCGACAACATTCGAAATGTTGCGACGAGATACAATTGATAACCAATGATGATAGGATTCACAATTACTTCGCTATGGTATCTCACCATGTCAGAGATATTCCAGATAACATGTCGAAATGCAGGTAATCTCATACCACTGGTATCAGTAATACTCGAATTGGTACCGTAGCTAGCTCAAAACTCATATAGTAAGAGGTTCTTTCCTTTTATCTAAGCCTTACCACACTAGAGAAGCTCATACGCTACAACATTACCAACCATCACTTTTTGAATCCCGCTGTCATCAGGAAGGATTCAATTAAGGTTCATTTGAAAACAGAGAAAGGCTCCCACAGATTTAATATAAGCCAGAATTTAAAATTAGATTTCAGCTCGTGAAGTAAATGTGTATTCATCATTTGTACCCTCAAATCACTGGGGGCAGCTGCCATTCCATATACCTACAAACGAAAGTAGTTAACCAAAATACCGAATATGGCTATCTGCTTCTTGAGAGTGACTGGCCGAGATTAGTTGTCAGTGCTACTGAAGTCAGATCGGTGCTTGGGCATGTAACGTGAGCTAATTTTCAAGAACTTGTGTTCAGAGAGGGGGTAGGATTGGACGTAGGTAGAGAGACACGGACGGAATATTCCAGCAGGGCACCAATTTTGAGCGTCTAGGCTGTATTCCTACATAACAATATCTCAGCACTCTTGCAGGTAGTATAGACATTCATCTTTGTAAACGGCACTGTTTTGGTATGACCAATCAAGGACCGCGGGCAAGTATCGCATCGCATAGTATCAGAGTCAAAACACAAACCAGTCTACGTCGAGTTTCTAATATCACATTGATCTTCAGGAAACCTGAAGTTCTACTATGGAAATAGGTATTCAATAGAGTAAGTTAACTCATGAGATGTACAATTGCATCGTTAACGGCTGCTTTGAGATCTGAATCAATAAGGATTTTCAAAAATCGAGCTTGAGTTGAAAAGCATTGTACACAATAAGAAAGTATATGCTTCTGGAATACATATTGCTGATATTGCATCTGGAAGCTTTCCTCTACTACAGCACAAAAGCACCCGTCGTCGAATCCATCACTTCTCCAAGATCCACTCGAGTACCAGCAGAAGCTTGCCTAAGATAACATTCTTCAAGGAGAGCGATTGCTTTCGTCATATGTACACCCCAACCTTGCTTCTCATACTCCACAAACTGATCTAAAACCCATCGTTGATAAATCGGATCTGTTGTTTCAACCCCTGCAATTAAAAGTGGAAAAGGCCACAGTTGTGATTTTGGATATGGAGAATCTCGAAGGCCAGCCAACTCGATTGTGATTTTCATGATTTCAGTGGCAGCACTTTGACATCGATCATTTGTTCTTATCGATGGTCGGCACACTCGATCATAGAGAATCACAGCACTGTACCCAAGTGCATAACAAATCAAGATCGAGAACCGCACATTTGGAGCCAGATCACGATTAGTTTTTAAGTTCACCAATTTGCGGTTCTCTAAGACAAGCTCATCGATTTCTTTCTCTAAAGAACTAGAGTCGAACTCTGTAGAATTTCCGCATTGATTGAGCCAATTTCTTAACCTGACGATACGTCCTAAAGTCATGATGTTTCGCATATTTATAACAACAATAAAATCAATTAGCGAGTCATCTTCTGAGAAATCGTTGGGATACGAGTCTTTTCAGATATTCCATATTAGGGTCCTTTTTCTCTTTGGATAAAGTAATGTAATCCGGAAAACTAATATTCCCCGAAAACAATGCTGATCTTATATCCATTTGTAGTAGATAACAGAGGATCTGATAGCTATAAGGACTCAAGTTTTGAGATGCAGGACTATCGTTTTACTCAAAAAATCTGCCGATTTGCAATTTGAACCAAACTCTTCGAAGTATCTGTCTTGCGTGTTTGGTACCCCTAGTGATGTCAAAAAGAAGTAGGAAAAAGCATGTTGTCAATTCAAGCTCAACGGACACGTTTCCACCCTTGAAATTTTCCTGCATGACAGCTGCTAGTGCTTCATCATAGTATCTTTTCGCAAGGTCCATTGGTGAAGAGTCTCTGATAGACATATGAAGTGCCGTCAAGGCCAAAATAGAATATTTGAGTGGAACGTACTGACAGGCTAGCCTGCTTCCCATATAGGCATAAAGATTCCAGTTGGGTGACTTCATTGTGTAGAAGCGACATATCGTTTGCGTATAGAACATTATCAATCCTATTTCATTCTGGGAATCATATGGAGCCACAAGCTGTGATTGTTGAGAACTTATGTTGGAGATGTGATGGAGTTGCGCATCTTCAGATGCACTGTGCATATCATGACTGGTACTTTCTGGCTCAGAACTATGGATGCTCTCGACGAAATCGGAGACGGGATTCGGTGGATCTTGAAGATCCTGAAGACCGTATCCTTCTGGAGAGAAAAACAAACCGGCCATTTCCTGGTTGAACATCATTGGAATATTAGCAATATCAGATTCCATGATCTGATTTCTATGAGTTTCTGGCCTGTTATCTCCACGATCAAATTTGATTATGGAGGTCCCGGGCAGTTTAGGTCGTCCCTTCTCGACTAGGCGAGCAGTTTCTGTTGTTTGATCAATAAACTTGATTCCACCATGGCTCGACTTTCTGCGTTTTCCTTCTTGGGCCATGTGAACGAGCGCTCAAGTGTTAAAACCCAACTGTGCCAGCTGAAGTGATTATGCTACAAAAGGTCTCCGATTTGTAGGTAAATGAAAATAAAAAAAAAGTGCTGCACCATGCTATCTCTTACCATTAGCCTCCAAAATCTGCAAATGATAAGAGAGACCGAAATCAACGGCTAAGCAAACATGTTGACCACTACGAGCATTAAATGATTTCGTATCCTTCATAAGTTCCAAGACTACATGACTATTAAACATCCCTGTGGTTTAGCTACATCGTTCACGATGTATGGTACCTTCGATCGTCTGAACTTATTCGCCCACAGAATCCATATCTGCTTGAATTAGATTAACTTAATACGGAGTTTCAGTACATTCCCAAAACGGAATTAGTAGGTATTCCCGTTTTATTGGATCCCAAAAAAAATATACGGGCAGCGTCGCAAGCCTAGGAAAGCATTGTGGCCTCACTGAGCTCCACGCCTAATGCAGAACGATTGATAACTAGTATATGAATTGCTCGTTTTAGCAAATTCCGTTATCAGCCCGCTCTTGCGTGGCATAATTTTATAATAAGCACAGGCTTCTTCATAATTTATCACTCGTAACTTACTCTATCATTGACACCCATTATGACTATTTCTCAGGAGAAACCAGAAGCCACTCTACAGGAGAAATGGGGTAACGGCCCCGGCTTTGCTGGAATTGTCACATTTGCCCATTTCGACCACCACCCAGCTCTTCTTGAGCCAGAAAAGAGATTTGATATCGGAATCATTGGTGTGCCATTCGATACCGCGACCAGTTATCGTCCTGGTGCACGGTTTGGACCAAGTGCTATTCGTCAAGGCTCTCAACGCCAAAGTGAGAAGCGCGGCTATAATCTGAGAGCCGGTTACAATCCGTACAAGGAATGGGCTACTATGATGGATTGCGGTGATATTCCCGTTACCCCTGTGTCTAACGAAGTTGCCCTGGAGCAAATGACAGCAGCGTTTGAAGAGCTTCTGTTGCGTCGTCAGTCTAAGGTTGACCCAACACATCCTCCTCGGTATATCGCTCTTGGTGGAGACCACTCGATCATTCTTCCTCACCTTAGAGCACTCCATAAAGTCTATGGACGGATTGCCGTTATTCACTTTGATGCTCATCTGGACACATGGAATGCATCCAACAAAAACGGCTACTGGGACTCGGAGAAGACCAGATTTACTCACGGCTCCATGCTATGGATGGCTTCCCACGAGGGACTTATCAGTGAGGATTACAACGTCCATGTTGGTTTGCGCGCTAGAATTGCCGGAAAGAGTGAGGAGGATTACACCGAGGATACCAGCCAGGGCTGGCAAAGATTTAGCACAGATGACGTTTGGTTCCAGGGTACAAGCTCCATGGACAAAATTATAGCTCAGATCAAGAAAAGAATCCCAGAGAAGTATCCTGTCTATATCTCCCTTGATGTTGACTGCATGGACCCTGGTTTTGCCCCAGGAACAGGGACGATTGAACCAGGCGGAATGACTCCAAGAGAGGTCCTCTACCTTTTGCGCGGTCTGGATTTTAATCTCGTGGGAGGTGATGTTGTTGAGGTTAGTCCTGCTTATGATAGCGCTGAAATTACAGCTACTGCCGCTTCGCAGGTTGTCTATGAGCTGATCACAACGATGGTTCAGAAAGGAAAACCTCTTCCAACTCTCCAACAACAATCACCAAGTTAAAAACAAATTTATAGTCTTTAGAAGCTAAAACAGTATTAGTCAATTTTCTCTGTAGCATGAGGAACTTTAATCAGCGCACCTTGATAACGTGAGATGTGCTGTTATCTTGTAAGCAGAAATGCGTCCATCATTAATCCTACATAGCTGTCTCCTAACTATTTTGCGAAATCAGTTTCCTGAATACCCGACATCATGCACATTGCACGGAACGTACTATGCTCTGAGTTGAAAAGGTTCCATGGAGTGTCAAACTCCAGACAGCGCCCTTCATCCATGACCAGAACTTTATCATAGTCTAGAATGGTTTTTAGTCTATGAGCAATAGTGAGAACGGTACAATCTGCAAATTTCGATCTCACGATGTTTTGAATGCGTGCATCTGTTTTATAGTCCACACTTGACGTAGCTTCATCGAGAATAAGTATTTTGGATTTTCTGATCAAAGCTCGACAGAGTGAAAGAACCTGCTTCTGCCCAAGAGAATAGTTGGAACCACCCTCATCGACTGCAACGTCCAACTGGAATGGATGCAACCGTTTCCCTCTTGTAGGGTCTTGTTCTTTGATGCCTGGTAGCTCGCTTTGATCAATACAGCCTGCTTCAATCAGATAGCTGTACAATGAGTCATCTTCCAGATCATCAAATGGATCAAGGTTTTGTCGCAGCATACCCTTAAACAAAACAGAATCCTGGGGAATAATTGTGAGCTTAGACCGTAAGTCATAAAGACCAATAGTGAGGATATCAACTCCATCAATAATTATATTTCCCTCTCCTGGACCGCATAGACGATAAAGTGCAGTCATTATAGTCGACTTGCCTGATCCTGTTCGACCGCAAATTCCGACCTTTTCTCCTCCTCTAATATGAACATCAAGATTACGAAGAGCAAGAGGTAAGCCGGGCCTGTAGCTCATGTTCACATTTTTGAACACTATTTCTCCTTTTTCAGGCCAGGTTTTGGATGGTTGACATTCAGGCTGGGAGTAGTAGCTAGCCTCTTGAGGTAGACTATCAGCATATTCCACCACTCTTTCCACAGAGGACAAAAATTGCTCCAATTGACCCATTGACCGAGAAATTGAAATTAGCTGGGTGGAAAAGGAAACCATATATGACACAAGTAATCCGGTGTCACCATCATTGACATTCACCACCTTGCTCACGCAAAGTGCTTCAATGATCAAGTTGAGTAATGCTGAACACACAACAAGTCGAACAACTAGCCACCTTTGCGCACCAAGAAGTGAAAAGTAAGCCTCATTTTGCAGATATATGTACTCAAGGAATTTTTGAGTGAACTTGGTAGCCGCGTTGTGATATTTGATGATGTCTAGTCCGCTCAAAATTTCTTCAAGGCAAGAATATGTCAAAGACCTCTGTGTTGCTTCAATACGATTGAGTTCTTGACCAGAAGCTTGGTAGTAAGAATAGAAACAGTATGAAATAAAAAGAACGAGCGGAACTGCTATTGCAAACCACGGAAGATAAACACATGAGATCACCAGAATTCCACACATATTGGAAATTCCAAAACAGAAAAGACGAGCCTGTTCCACTATTGCGTTGTCGAGAGTGTCTGCATCCTTACTGAATCTATTGAGAATCCTTCCCATTGGTGTTGTATCAAAGAAGGACATTGTTGCATGCATCAAACGACGCATGGCTTTAATTTTGAGGTTCTTTGAGGAGTTATTACAGATGTAAGCCACCGTCGAAAACTGCCATTCCGCGCAAGTAACGTAGAGAACAGTGACCAGAACGTAAATCCCAATGTAAAATGAGCCTGAGCGACCTTGAAAATGATCTGAAGCCCAGAATTTTAACCATACATTCTGTAATAGCATGCACACCGTAGTGCAAATAATAGAGACTAGAAAGCATGGCAAAATCACCACCATACCCCAGGGTCGACACCCTTCTCTTAGATACTGAATGATTGTTGATAGACGAATGCTGTTTATTTGCCGACTCTCCTCTAATATCAACTTTCCATCTTTCTTAGATGGATTGATTTTCAAGCTTTTCTCCTTTATATGGGAGTCTGATGATTCCGAATTGAGAGATATGGCCTTCTCAAAATTAGAGGATATTTCAGCTTCAGAGGTTTGGTCCTCTTCATTTTCACGCGACTTGGAAGATTGATATTCCAGTAAAGAAGCAAATTCAGGATTGGTATTTCTTAGCTCTTCTTTGGTAGCAAGGTCAATGCTTCCATTGGAGTTAATGAATACCAGTCGGTCAGCCAAATCAATGAGGGAAAGTTGGTGAGTGGCAAGAATTCGTGTCTTGTCTCGAAGAATTCCACCGATGCATTCACTCATGATATGTTCACCTACTTTTGCATCAACGGCACTCAAAATGTCATCTAGAAGTATGATGTTTCTGTCTTGTTTCCCATAAACGTAGTAAACAGCTCTTGCAAGATGTATTCTCGCTTTCTGGCCTCCCGAGAGGTTCACTCCACGTTCGCCAGTTTCCGTTTCATCACCAGCTGGTAATACGGAAAAATCAGTAGCCAAAGAACAGGCTTCGACCACCTGCTGATATTTTGTAGGATTGGGCACTTCTCCAAAAATGATATTATCCTTGACAGATGCGTTTTGCATCCATGGTGTGCCGCAAAATGTCACTAAACCTGAAACAGATACAGATCCATCAATATGAGGCATGAGACCACTCATGGCCGCTATAAGAGAGCTTTTTCCTGAGCCGATTGGCCCAGTTACGATGATTAGCTCTCCGTGACGAATGGAAAGGTTAACATCTTTCAGACCTTGAAAAGAGTCGACCGTCGTAGTAATATGTGTGCTATCTTCACATGTTGAGAAATACTTTCTCCCAGGAATCATCAAACTGGTATCTGTTGTGGATGATAAGATCTCAGATGATGGAGCCCAGCTGAACCGTCCTTGCTTGATACTGAGTGCCCATTTTGAGCATTCCTTTCCGCTAACTATACGCAGTGGATCTGCAACCTCATTTGGGTGCAGCAAGAAAGCCTGTAGTCTTCCAATCGCAATGTATGCGTCACTCAATGTGTTAAGGGCGGTCGGAAACTGGGAGACGTAGCCAATCATGATGTTGAACAGCGAAACAGACGAAAACACGTTAGAGGCAGATGTGAGTTTTCCATTGTTTGTTGCAAATACAACAAGAAAGCTGACCATGGAGGAGACATTCGGTAGTGTAACAACGGTAGCAGTTATTAAGTTTCTGATAACTTGTAATTTAAGAATGTTTGCCATTTCTATTGCCCGGTAGTTTGTTAACAGCTTCAAATATGGGATCTCCCAAAAGTAGAACTTTATTATCTTCATGCTGGAGAGAACGTCTTTGAGGCATTTGATTCGTTGGTCAGTTCCTCTATTTGAAGCCACTCTTAGTTTCATAAAGTGTCTGATCAGGATACTCGAAACAATTGTAATGAGTAAGAAGTATGCAATTCCCGCCAAGGATGCTGCTCCCAGATTGATGACAAGAAGAATTATTGTAATTGTTAGGCCTATTGGAAGACTTAAAATGAACCCAAAGTACCAAATGCATAGCTCTACTTTCGAGATATCGTTTGAAAAAATCGAAATAATTTTCGAAGAAGGATAAAGAGCTTTCCCTTCCCTATCAATGAGCATGGACTTTTGAAGAATTGAGTGACTCAAAACGCTTCTTATCTGGGCACCACAGAATTGCGCGGCTATCATATAGTGTGAATAGGCCAGGCCTTGAAGTAAAACAAGGCATGCAATTCCGACGGCAAAGCCGTAACCAGAAGGTTGCGGACTTGTATCTGACGATTTTGACACCATCTCAACAATCTTTCGCACCTGCAGAGCATTCATTCCGGCAGAGACATCTCCACAAGTTCTGATCAAGACGCAATATAAGATCTGTTTCCTGAAAACGTCAAACAAAGCAAGTGCAATAATGAAACGAGATAAAGGACGCTCATTTCTCACTTTCTTAGATTTCTTAGATTTCAGAGATCTCTGAATCTCGCCGGTTTGTTTCTGGCTTTTGGCTATTCGTTGTTTAAGTGCAACTTCAAATTTTGCGGTCAACTCACCAACATCATAACGGGAACCTGGGGAAATTTTGAATATATCCTCGGGTACTAAGACCCTCCGATACCCAACTTTCAGGATTGGACTACACCAGCTGAAAAACGCTTCAGAAAAAATATTTGTCGTACCATAGGGTAGATCCTTTCTTTCGGCATCAGTTGGAATATCTGGAATTCGTTTGTCAAGTAGAAATTTTGAGAGTAACCTTTTATGAATAATCTGGATACGTGAATTTATGCTACCTTGCTCGACATCAGTGGATGACTCTGTTATTTCGACTTTCAATGTCATCAGTTATTGATATACAAGGACCAAGTATGCTTGTAATGATCTTTTTAGATAATCGGAAATCCAACAAATGCTCCTGGCATAGAGTGTAGCTAAATGCTTTTAAATACATTCATTTAGGAGAACATGAGTATTACCTCAATTTGGTTCTACATCAAATCATTGACTGTTGAGTCTTGTTAGAGGGAATGATCACCACCCCCAGATAATTTTGAGCTCTGGTTGGTTTGGCTCCAAACGGAAATATAACATTATCAGAAATGACTTGTTACCCTAAATCTGACATATTCACTGCTACAGATTAGAGATCGAAGTTAACCTATTTACATACCAAATTCGGAAAATTTCCCGATTTATGGTTTCCGGTTGGTGGAGAATCTACACTACCTTCAAGTTTACTCGATTGAAACTGGAAGCATATACAGTCACTGGCAAGAAAATGCTATACTGGAATGAAAATGTACCTGCTATAAGACTAGCTTACTTTTCAAAGTAGAACGTGTGGTTCTAATACTTCTTACTCACGTTGGTGGATATTTCCGGTCAAAAAATGATTGCCCCGTTACGAATCCGTCATTTCCGGAGGCGATCTATCAGGAAATTTTCGGGGACTTTATCTGGGGCGATAAAGATAAGAATCTCATATCACGATTTCCTGGAAAAATATCTGATCATTTGAGAAATTACAAGCTGCACATTCCTTGAAGATAAGCCGCTTCGTGCGATCTGCAATATATAAGGCCTAGTCATCCATCATGATAGTCACTCCAACAATGAGTTCCGAGAAAAAACTGATGAACGCGGTCACCAGCAGAGTCACAGTATTCTCAAGTGATGAGCTGAACACTCACAATCTAGTTGCAACTATTACTAGTGCTAATGGAGGTCAGGTGAAGGTGACCAGTGATGTGGATATGGCTATGAAGCTGGCCCTTGAGGCTGACGTTGACTACGACGAAAAGAAAGACAAGGCCCTGCGCTGGAAGATTGATCTATTCCTGATGCCTGCTCTTATGATTCTAGTCACATCTTTTTACATGGATAAGTCTGCTCTCAGCACTTCTGCTATTCTCGGTATCCAACAGTTTCTGGATATGAAAGGTGAAATGTATTCGTGGACCACATCTGCGTTTTACTTGGGTTACTTAGTCTTTGAATTACCAGTCAGTTTTCTCTTGCAAAGATTTCCTTTGGCCACAACGTTATCCTGCTTTGTGATTTTGTGGTCTATGGTGCTCATTCTTCATGGGGCTGTCAAATCGTACGCTGGTTTGATGGTTCTTCGTGTGATTTTGGGTATGCTGGAGTCTTCTATCAACCCAGGGTTGATGCTGATAACCAGTCAATATTACAAAGTTGATGAACAATTCCTGAGAACGTCATTCTGGTTCTGTTGCAGTGGTATTGCAACTATTTTGAACAACTGCATATGATACGCTATGGTTCAATATGAAGATTCGTACTCGGTCGAGCCATGGAGACTCAATCTTTACATTATTGGTGCAGTTAGTTTAGGTATCGGATTTTTTGTCCTAGCCTATCTGCCTGATGAGCCTTCCAAGGCAAGATTCCTTAATATGGAGGATAAGAAACGTCTAGTTGAACGCCTGAGAGGAAACCAGCAAGGATTTGGCTCGAAGCGTATTAAGAAGAACCAAATTAAGGAAGCGCTTACCGATGTGGTTACCTCGTACTATTTCTTGTACGGTGTTTCCTCCGACATTCCATCTGGATCTCTTGGCTTGTTTGGATCTATTCTTTTGAATGATGATTTCAAATTTTCAAAGAAGAAGTCTCTGCTGATGAAACTGCCTTCGGGAGCTGTCATTTTCCCAGGAAACCCGCTCTTTGTATGGGCATGTCTAAAGATTTGGAAGTCACGGATGTTTGTCTCCGTGTTCTCTACCATTATCTGTATCGTTGCGGCCTGTATGCTTGCCTGGCCTAACGGAAACAAAAAAGTCGGTCTGGCTGGATACTACTTGCAAGAGTTCTCTCCCATCAGTATGATTCAATGTTTATCCTGTTTTTCAAGTAACACTGGTGGGACTACGAAAAAGGCTGTCATGGATGCTATATTCTTGATTGGTTATTGTGCTGGTATGGTCATTGGCCCACAAACATTTATTGAATCTCAAGCTCCCAACTACATTGGTGGAAAGATTGCGATCGTGGTCTCTTACACGACAAGTTTAGTCTTCTTGTTACTTATCTGGTGGGAGTACGACCACAGAAATCGTAAGAACTCTAAGAATCTTAAAGAACATCCGGAGATAGAAGAAAAAGCGCGCTTGATCGAAAACATTGAATTTGCCGACTTAACTGACAAGGAGAATCCGCTTTTCCACTATTCTACCTAGGCTCGTGGGTATTTGTTATATATGTCAACCAATATCTCAATCTAGTTAGCTGTTATCTGCTCTTTTTCTACTGAAGTGTGGTAGTTAAAGTTGCCATACTGAGCAACTAAACCGGTAAAGAATGCAATAAAGTGCACAAACACTATCAAGGCAGTATATACGAAGGTTCAAATACTATCTGTAAATTAAGCTGATCTATTGTTCCCAAAAAGTTCATCAAGAGTATTTTCAAGGATAATCACACCTTGCACAAGTACGTCATCTGGGATATTTAGTGCTGGCAAAAGCCTGACAACGTGATCACCCACAACTGTGGTCACAAGTCCCAGTTCTTTGGCCTTAGCAATCACTGGTTTGGCCTCAACGGAGAGCTCCATTCCCATCATCAATCCAGAACCTCTTACGTCCTTAACGATGTCAGGGTATTTAACCTGCAGCTGAAGAAGTTTAGAGTGTAGGAGACTTGCCTTCCGTTGAACCTCTTCCAAAAATTGTTTGTTGGAAATTCTGTCTAGAACGTGGCAGGCAACACGAGCAGAAATGGGATTACCCCCAAATGTGGAGCCATGGTCTGCAGACTCTAATACTTGGTTGATTTCGGGGGAAATAATAGTCGCGCCAATAGGACAACCGTTAGCTAAAGCCTTAGCAGATGTGAAGATGTCTGGATGACCCTCTTTTGGAAGCTTGGAATGAGCCCAAAGTGTACCGGAACGTCCCACACCTACTTGGACCTCATCATAAATCAGAGCAGCTTGATATTTTTTGCATAGTCCTTTGAGCTGGACAAGGAAATCTATATCCACAGGACGAACACCTCCCTCTCCCTGGACTGGTTCAATGATCACTGCGCAAGTCCTTTCCGAAATAAGCCTTCTAACAGACTCGATGTCTCCAATTTGGGCCTGTTTAACTCCAGGAACCAAAGGTGTGAAAGGCTCTTGATACTTTAGCTTTGAGGTGACACTCAAGGCTCCGAAGGTCCGTCCATGGAACGATGTGCTGAAACAGATTATCTCAAACTTGTTTTCAGAAATTGATTTGCCCCATTTGCGCGCAAACTTCAGCGCCGCTTCGTTAGCTTCAGCACCAGAATTGCTAAAGAAAACATTGGAAGCGTTATACATTCCTCCAGACTCCTTAGTTTTTTCGACTAATTTGGCAGCAAGGGCATATGGCCATGCTGTTGGGCAGGCGAAAGAAGAGTGCAAAAGGACTCCAGCTTGCTCACGAATAATCTGCGTCACTTCTGGGTCACAATGCCCAAGAGAGTTAACAGCAATTCCGGCAAAAAAATCAATATATTTCTTATTGTCGAGGTCCCATAAATAGGATCCTTCGCCTTTCATCATCACCACCGATGGTACCCGGTAAGACGCGGCCATACACTTAGAATTTTCGACGACTTCTTCAAGCTGGAATGCTTGTTTACTCATGATTGATTAGCTACTCGCAGACAAGCGAATCTATTATATATTTTTATCTCCTTGAGTACCAGCCTGACTATTCCAATACGAGAAAAGCTTCCAAATCCGGATTAGGAAATTTTCTCAGTAGATAAGAAACAATTAACATGGCCAACAGCTTAACAGAATTTGGGCCAGTTTTCGAAATCCTCAATTAAGTCTAGGCAAAACCTGTCTGGACTCGCCCAATTTCTCGTTAAGCAACATCTCGTGAGTACAGAAAAAGTAATGACTATTTTAGAGTTACATCTATTTGACAATGTCCCAATTTACGTAGGTGGTCTAAAGTCGGCGTCGCTTTCGTAGACGTTTATCTTCCATTTTGATTCAAGGTAGCGTTTAGTCATGCGCTTATAGATGTTACCAATTAAAGAAACGTCACTGTCATCAAGCTCGATGAGGGATATGTTGTCTTTGATTCTTTCAGCAGTTGTTGATTTTGGAAGAACCACAGTTCCCCTTGCAACAGCCCAACTGAGTGCAACACATGCTGGAGTAACTCCATACTTTTGGGCAACCTCTACAATCACCGGATCGTGAAGTAAAGGTGCACCAGTTGAGCCAAGTGGGGAGTAGGCCTCCACGACCACATTGTTAGCCTTGCAGAATTCAACCAGCTCATGTTGCGGAAGATACGGATGGATTTCGCACTGGACAACAGCAGGAGGAATAAGATCTTTTGTTTCCAAAAGTCTTTGAATTTTTGGGACATTGATATTGCAAATACCAATGGATCTGGTGTAACCTTTATTGATCAGCTTCTGAAGTAGCCTATAGGCATCAACATAGCTGAACACTTCTGGGGATATGTGTTTTCTATATCCATTTTCGTCACGGGGAGTAATACCTTCGCCAGTCACCTCTGCCACACAGTGATGCATCAAGTAAAGATCAACATAGTCAAGTTGTAGTCTTTCCAATGACGCGAGAATTGCATTTTCCGGGTCCTGAAATTCATATGGGGAAATTTTGGTTGTGATGAAAAGATCCTCTCTTTTCACGTCAGACTGTCTTAGAAAGTCATTTACTGCCCGACCAACCGACACTTCATTTCTGTAAATTCTTGCGGTATCAATATGTCTGTACCCAGTTTTCAAAGCAGTCATGACTGCATTATAACAGTCGTCAGGGCTAGCTTTCCAAGTACCTAAGGCAACATTTGGGATGGAGAAACCGTTATTAAGCTTCAAAAGCTCGACAGACTTGTGCTTAGCAGGCATGTTGGTAAAGTAAACAGTCGTAAGAAGCTAGTCTTTAATATTCCATATTAGTTACGGAAGTCACCGAAGGACACTTCTTTTGGATACAAGAACTCGGTTTAGTAATTGAAGACAGAACTAAGTCCTAACTCTGCGGATACGAATCAAGAAAATATCCCCAAAGGGAAATAAGTTGCACAGCCTCAAAAGACTCACACTGTTATAAAGTTGTAAGTGAAGACATTTACTCTTTCGTGAGCACAGTCAAAACTGGACCACTAGTAGATAATTCTATCTCTATGAGCCACTGTTTAAATTGATCTCAAATATTTAATGAAGTAATGCGAGATCCCCTCTGTTGCCTTCTTCTACCTTCTTCTCCACTGATATTGTTTGACGAATTCAAACGCTCAAGAACTGCAGCTGTTACTTACAGGGGGACCAAACGCGAGTTTTTCAAGGTGCACCGTTAAAGGTTGGAACGAGGTCGTGGGTCACCTAACTGGAGCCGCTTTACCCGATGATTGTACCCCTAGATCATGTAAAAATGCACTTCTGTTATTGGAACCTGGAGATTTTGCTTGTAGGAGGTTTCAGCAAAGGACCATGATTAAGACTTGTAGTCACAGAAAACCAGAAGGTGTAGTCTGAGGACGAAAACATTTGGCTCAACCCAAATTGCGCCCATCAGGAGACTTTTCGGAGGGGGGATGTGATCAAAATAGTCGATGTGAGTACTTTGGGAAACTAGTCGGGATCCCTGAGGTGGCCGAGCGGAGCTCTTAGCTAGCTCTGATACGTCTTCGAGATCCAAGTTGGGAAACCCAAAGGTGAATTTAAAAATGGATGATAAAAAAAGCTCGGAGTGAACATGAGTATTCTAGCCTTGACAGTAACTAGTAGTCCAAGCTTTGCCAGGGAACAAGCTGGGATTGATACTGTGTTGTACAGCAGGAAAACCAGTGATCTATCTTTTTGGCGGGGTGGCGGGGTGGCGGGGTGGCGGGGTGGCGGGGTGGCGGGGTGGCGGGGTGGCGGGGTGGCGGGGTGGCG